CTCCTACACCTAACCCTCCGCCTATATCAAACCATTGGCAGTCAGTCCCAACTAAATAACTGTTCTTCTACAGTCACCAACCCTCTCGCGCTCATCATCATTCGCACCCGGCCCCCACCGCCGCCGCTCCCACCCGAACCTGCACCATTTATCTCTAGCACCCCTGACACCAAAATACCCAATCGACCCAGCCGACTACTCCGCCTACTTCGACCCGTCGACGGCAGAACTACACACGACGGCATCAATCAGCCAGATTGCAAGCTTGCCTTCTCCAGGAGGGATATTGAGCAGCAGCGCCAACCACTCGGCGACGCATTCGAGAGCGAGTTCAAGAACGAGACAAAAGCACAAGCCCAACCTCAATCCCAGTGCCAACAGCAACACAAGACTCACATTGTCTGTTCCACCATCATCTGCACATCATCATGGTGACCAAGGTCACCACTACTACCGCGACCACCAACACAACTATCACCCCCATCACCTTCACCCAGGCACAAGTACACCGTCAGGAGCATTGACCAGTGAAGGATTCGGACACAAACAACAACAACAACAACATCAAAACCATGGCCTAAACATCCACACGTCAGACCCCTCATGGCTGATCCAGACAGGATTGACATTAACCGAAGGCTCGCGCGAAAGTAAAGGCCAGTCGTGGATATTTAAACGCGACTCTTCGACCTCGTTACACACACCCGTCGAAGAGAGAGATAGACTGCCGCTACGGTCGGGGAGAGCCACGCCGAGCATCAGTCGGCGAAGCAGCCAGAGAAGAAGTGGGAGATCACTAGCCATGACACCGGCTCCCGTCACGCCAGTGATGGACGAACCGGCTCCCGACTGGGCGGACGACCAAACTCAGGCCGAAATCGCAGCTCATATCGAAAGCGAATTCACCGACGAACTAGATGAGGATCCCTACGGACTACTGGATTTCGAGGGCCAGTTTGATAGTGAAGATGAAGAGGACGTGAGGCAGGAAATCTCAAAGTACCGCCTGGGAAGATGGATGGATGGCATTGTGGATGTCTTCTTGCGTCTGGAAGATTTCCCTGAATCCTCCCAGCATCATCCTCCGGACTTGGAGGCTGCCATTCCTTCCCCTGCCCCAGCACCCCCGGTTGTTTCTGCAAAAGACGAAGATGCTGCTAGTGTCGCGTCTATCACGTCCGTGGAACCTCCGCCCGAAAAGCCCAACGGTCTCTGGGACGATGTAGCTTGGTTTGGACGTCTGATAGCAAGGGCCGTGCGGTCATAGCTTCAGTGCCATATTGAGCAGCTCTCATAGCTTCATGAAATGTAACATCATAATGTCAAGCTGCCCGTTTTTTGACCCTGCCTAGTCTGACAGCTCGATCACCGTTTGGTCCTTGCACGCCTTTTTGCGCTCTGGCGGTGCAATCATAACCACCTCGTCGTCGCTTTCGTCAGTGGCCTCTCGTTTTATAACAGAGAATTTGCGCAGGTCCTCCTCACTCTTTTCCTTCTTGATCCGGACCGTTTTAGCAGCTTCCGCCTCGGCCTGCACCTGGTTGTTAGTGGACTTCGTGAAGTCTTGTGAAACTTTACCCTTTGCCTACGAACCAACTCCACCGCCTCTTCTCTTGTGAGAGTGTCCGGGTCTCTTTCCTCGAGTGGGATAAGAGTCGGAGAGCGTGGAATCACGCTGAGGGCCTGGAGCACTTCTGTACGAGTCAATCAGTCGGTCCGTCGGTCCGTCAGTCTACTCCGAGCGGCGGTGTAATCCCTGTGGACTTTGGATACGAACTCTTGCTCCTGTAGAGGAATATCAACACAGCACACGGCTCCTTGTCGACCAGCACGCCATGATGGAGTTGCTTGGCCTCTGAAGGCTTCGGCTGGCCTAGGCTGGACAGAATTGAAATTACGAACTCTTGCCTTGCTCCATTGCACATAACAAGAACTCACCACGCTCGAGTGTCAACCGACTGTCCCTTCAGAACCTTCTCCGGGACTTCATTATCGAAGCGGGGCAAATGCGACCTTGTTACACCTTCAGGGACCTGTCGCGTACGCGTGACCTCGACTCTGATGGTGCCCACGTGCCCATACTTCTTCTGCATATCGGCCATGGTGCCGTCGAACTCTGGCTCAGCTAGGTTTCTGAGTCAGTAGAGATCCCCCGTCTAGGCTGGGAGAAGATCCACTTCTAGATAGGGCTCTCCAGTAGAACGGGCTCAACATGGTCTATGAACCAGAAACCTTCTCTGCTCCCTTTAGAATTCGACTCCAGGAATGCCCTTTACCCTTCAACCTGACGGGTGAAGGCACATAACCGCCGTCGATGAAAGTTCGCAGAGTCAGCGAGTCTGCTTCCGAGTCTCCGAAGGTTTTTTGCCCTGTCATGCGGTACTCAATTTGAAACTGAGCTCCGGGCGTGGCCTCAATGTACTTGACGACGGTAGGTGAGTTAGGGAATAGCTTGCAAGCATTCAGCGCCTCTCTGTCGTCAGCAGGAGGCTGATATTCCCGGACTGGTTGTCCGTCACTGGCAACAGTGATCTCCACGTTGTTAAGAATCGCCATTACGCCAGTTGAGCTGTACCTTCTGGAATATGGCACGACGAGGGTTGTGAAAGTTTAAACTGTGATATTTCCAGGTCCACAGACGAACGGTAGTGCTGCAGAGGTTCTAGAATCGAACAGAAAGATAGGAACGTAAAAGGAGAACAGGCAGAGTATTATCGAATTACAAGAAGGAAGACCTGTGGAAAAGGCAAGTGCAGGGGCATAAAATAGTGGGTGACCTGATGTTTGTCCACTTTACGTCTCACCGGTGATAGAGAAGGGAACTGCAAGAACTAGAAGCATTGCATGACATTTGTAAGCCGATTAGAAGGTCGGGTCTCTCGACTTGTGGCCGGGTACAGAAGAGCAAACGCTGGGGAAGTCTGGGTTGAGGTGAGGTGGTACCTAGTTGTATACAAAAGTACAGGTGACTCGAACGACAAGTCGAGAAATTCTTGGCAAGAAGCCACTTTACGCGTGCTGACAGGCTGACGCGATCTGAAACACTAAGGTAGTCCAAACTCGGAGTGCGGTGTCGTTCAGGTCAACAGCAACGGCAACAAGTTGAACTTGAACCAGTCCATCATATCCGCAGCCTCGTGCCAAAGACATGCCCTCGCCGGTCAGCCAACGAGAGCCTAGGGAGCCATGATCTCTCTGCCTGCCATCTTCACATGACAACAGTCCAACCATACAACTGGTGTTGTTGTTGACCATCACTTGACCGTTTTGGCGACCTAGACTGTTCCACGATGTAAACAACGACAAATCCAAGTCAAAATACAACCATATTCTAGACAAACTCTGCTCATCAACATCGAGCACTGAATCATATACTATACATCTACATCTCCTACCCTACAACTCATCTCATATCACCTCATCTCCTTTCAACTCATCTCAAATATATCCCCCACAATGCACCCAATCAACCTCCTTTTCACTCTCGTCCTTCTCCCATCCATCGCTTCAGCATGGGGCAGCCTAGGCCACCGGACAGTCGCCTACCTGGCCAGCATGTACTTCAGCACGCCCGCGACAATCATGACAAACCACCTATTGAACGGACAGGACATTTCCGAAGCAGCCTTGTTTCCCGACAAGGTACGGCACATGCCTCAGTTCGCCTGGTCCGCTGCCTGGCACTACATTGACGCCCGGGATGACCCACCACGATACTGCGGGATCAACATGACGCGAGACTGTGGACAAGACGAATCAGGCGGATGCGTAGTAACCGCCATCGCCAACCACACTCTCCGCGTCGCCAACGACTCCCTGTCCCGTTTCGACCGCGGCCAAAGCCTACGGTTCATGATGCATTTCTTCGGCGACGTGCATCAACCGCTGCACACTGAGGCCGAGGCCCGCGGCGGCAACGACTATGCTGTTTTGTTTGAGGGCAAAGCCACCAACTTGCATAGCGTGTGGGATACTTTGATTCCGAATAAACTTAGCTTGGAGGCCAACGGCGGCGTCAGCCGCTGTGGCCGTGCCAGCGACAGGGACAGCGACAACCGCCGTGACAACGCCAACGACAATATCAACGACGACAATAACGGTGACAGCGCCAATATCGTCCAAAACGACGACGAAATGCTAGCCGCCTGGTCCTGGGCTCTTCGACTGTACAACGACAACGACAACAAAGAAGATGAATGCCTAAACCTCGACGACCCCACCCAATGTGCACTCCAATGGGCCACGGAAGCCAACACGTACGTGTGCTCCTACGTCCTCGCCAAAGACGTGCATGGCCAAGATCTCGCGGTTGGCGAATACTATTATGATGGCGCGGTGACTGTGGTGAATGACATGGTGGGCAAAGCCGGTCGAAGGCTGGCTGCGTGGATCAATTTCATTGCTGCCAGTGACAGCATTTCCAGTTCGTCTTCCGAATCCAAATCTGGTTCCGATTCCGGTTCCGGTTCCGGTTCCGGTTCCAGTCCTCCAACAGATGAGATTGAATCACTGTTTTTACTTCAGGCGCAAGAATAGGCAACAGCCAGCTGACGAGAAATGATTGCAATGCACGAAATAAATGATGAAATGTTGGATGATACTATTGAGGGAAATTCACTACACTACATATATTCATACATATGTACCCTACCATACCCTACCTAACTGAACATTCTGATACTCGGGTGAGCACGCTCGACTGGACATACACTAATGTACACTGTATACTTGTTGTGATGCCTAAGGGGATTAGATTCCCAGCCATAAGACACCCTACGCATACTGTGCAGAAAGACATACATGGATGCTCACATCTCTACCTTACGTTACACTAGTCGTAAGAGAAACTGACAGAGCTTGACTCCAACAAGGATTGTATTGTCAGGTATCTAATCCTCAGACTTCTGCTCCAAGTCTCGCAGATCCAGACATCCAACCCGACCATGACGACCACAATTAGTACGACTACAATTGTCTATACCTAGCCACTGTAGTTGCTATGCTCACGTTCGTCATGGCAACCGTTCAAGGTTATGAAATCAAGTCGGTCCCAACTATCTCGAATGGTCCGACCTCCAGGAGTAGAACCACACATCACAACCCATTACTCAGACCATTGCTTGCCAGCATAACCTCTTGCGCCATCTGTTCGCCTCGTGCGTCCAGAATATCCCTGATCGCCCTCTCGGCCGACGAGACCAATCCTCCGAAATGATCCTCCAGTCTACCCTTTTCCACATAACTCTTCAGCTTTGCTTGCTCCTTGTCCATGTCTTTTCGGAGACCCTCTAGTTCATTCTCCGCGAATCTCTGCTGGAGCGTGCTCGGGAAAGCTTCTCGCGCGAGGATTTCAGTTGGCGACAAGATACGAACATCGCTGCCTTCAGTCTGCCCTGCCAGAAGAACCTGTTCGATGGTTTGAAACAGACTGGTCTGCTGCATCTCACTCTGGACTCGCTGGTCGTCCTTCCCACTAGTCTCGTTGAGCAACAACCAGTCGTCGCGAATCATTGCTCGTCTCCAGATCAGGGCTCGAAGGTCGTCTTTCTTGGCGGCCGAGAAGCTGGAGAGGTCGACCACCTGCAACGCCAAAAAGAACTCCTGCCCGCGTACTTCGGGGTCTTCTTCGGGAACTCCAGGCCAAGCGACGGGATCAATCAGCGTCAGGCTATCGACCAGGACCTCTGTCGACAATGGATTTTGACGCAACAAAGACTTGAGTTCTTGCTTCAGTTGTCTCTTCAGTGCTGGATACTTCGCAATCCAACGTGTGGCAAAACTCTCATTGGCCAAGTCGGCCGCTGCCTTCTCGTCAAGTGCCGGCCCAACCACTGCCGTCACGTGCGAATATATCCGTTCCTGGATCTTGATGACCGCAAGTTCGTTGTCGTACTGTTCGGAACTGACTTTGATGGTTTCGCTGTCTTCGGCTGCTGCCAGAGCTGCCAATTTGGCAATGGACAGTTCCGTCTTCTTGCTCCAGACATCATCCATCTCCTCAGCTGCAACCTCTTGGAGTGTCTTCTCCGCTCTCAAATAATCGCCTTTGCCGACAATGTCGTGGATCCAGCTCAGCTTGCCGACTTTCTGACCCAACTTTTCGGCGAGCTTGAAGAACCAGCTAAGGAACTGCATCTTCTTCTCGTCGTCTTCGGCCTTCAAGAGAGTTCCGCATTCGTCATCTTCGATGAGACGGCGGAAGTATGCAAGAGCCCACCCTTTTCCGAATCGGTCAAAGTACGTCTCAGCTCTATTTTGCATTTCCGTGAGTTTGCGTTGGTTCTCTTCTTCGAGAGAAGGGTCCGCGGCAACCTCCCGTGTCAGCTTCTTGTAGTAATCGTAATGCAGGTTCACCAGCATTCCGAAGTATCGCAGCTTCTCGCTCAAAGAGATCGCCCCCTCCATGTTGAAAGCGGAAATGACCAGTAGTGCTTGAGATAGTCGGTCGATTTCTTCATTTCTGATGGCCTTGATTTCATCCCTTAGGATTTCGGGGTCTTTTTCGAGCACCTTCAAGTGGCACTCAGCCTGTGTAGACTCTTCATTGACAAGTCGGGAGAACAATTCCACCTCGACCGGAAGTCGTTCAGCCAGTTGTTCCAAGGCTTCTTTGCTTGGTCCTTCATAGGGCTTGCCATCAAGATCCGTGGGCATCTTCTTCTTTTTGTCTCTTCCATGGCCGAACTCCCACCATTCGTTCAAAAACTTGCAAATGTCGTATATGAGGCGCTGGCCGAAACGTAACGGTTCCGGGCGTGACGTCCACGGGTGAGGTATCTCAACAGGGAATCCGGCAATCAACACTCCGTCTTTAAACACTTCATCACCCAGTCCATAGTGAGGAGCGTTATCTTCTCGGAATTTGAAGGCGGCACTGTAAGATGCTATCCACAGATCTGCCGCTTCGGTGAAGTAATCGGCAACAACTCTAGGGTCAGTAACATCCATGGGTTCCAGCTCACGAATGCAATCCCCGAGTTCAGACATTAAATGGTCGACGTGTTCGACGCTGTTGACCAGCCAGTGTCGCACTCGATCCTTCTCTCCTTTCGCTGGATCCGGATATTTCTGACGGCTCTCGTGCAAGGCTCGAAGAGTAAACTCAAGATATGACATCTCCCTATCATCCTGGGGATATCTTCGTTGAATGTCTTCTTGGACTTTCCAGATCGCTTGAGCGGCTGCCAGCTTCTCGGCGTTCAGCAGCAACTGAAAACGGGCATTTCGCGAGATGAAGGACGGGTAGCATTGTAATAAGTGCTGTGCCAAGTCGTCCAGAGCTTTGGCCCGGATACGCATCTGCATCTCCACGGAAGGTGCACTTTTTGGGAGATGTTTGGACGACGAGGACAGGATCTCGGAACTGATAGCCAGGGCTGCTGTTTCAACTTCCTCGGCAGACAGGGACTGGCTGGCGCTTTTCAAGTCCAAAGGATTCTGCTTCATACTGCCGAAAAACACAGCTTGTTCGATTTTACTCTTTGCGCTGATCCGGTCTTCAACCTCGTCAACGTCGATCTCATTGTCAGTGTTGCGAGGATGGTAGGTCAATTTGACCACACCAAAACCTTGGACTCCAAACACGATGGATGTGTGTTTTTCTGCTGACTCGAGGGCGAAGCCCAAGACCTTGTAAAGCGCATCATCCTGGAACCGAATTGCATCTTGAAACGGTTCGGGAAGTGCGTGGCGCTCCAACATGAGTTGCGAAGACGGCGTCTCTCGTATTTTCGCAAGCGAGAACACAACAATGGCCGTCTCGAACACGACGAATGCCACCGGATGTGTTCTAGCCACACAGAGACGAGGTCTCCACGTCTGCTGGTTTGCATTTGGTGACGAGTAGGAGGTGATGGGGTGCACCACTCTGACCTTGGCTCCCTGGTCGACCAGCATTTCAATGAGAAAGTATCTGGTCTGCCCCGAAGTCGACAGTGAGGCGAGGACCATCATAGGGGCACCATGAGACTCTCGTCGAGCCACTGTTGTGCTTGGACCTGCTGAAAGTTCCACATCCAAAATCTCAAACTGCAGTTGCCCGTCTTCGGATGAGAATGCTCTGAGTGCTTCAACAACCTCGTCTTTGAAACCGAACGAGGCTTCAAGTGTGTTCCCCGAGCTCAATGTGGTGCTCCAGAGTTCCAATTCAGCGTCTCGAGTGGCGATTATAATGTCTCGCTGCCCCTTTCTCGAACCTCCAGCTTTAACAATGGGCGTCCCTTTTCTCCTGTCACCACCGAAAACATGTCGAATACTTCCGAATAAGCCCGCTGCACCATTTGTGGGTTTCCGCAGAAACTGGACTCCGATCCCTGGTCTTCCCATCTGGTCACGAATGGTCAAATGAGCAGCCCGGCCATGTCGTAATGTGAGTATGAAGCCAGAGGGCTCCGCATTGACTATTTCCTCGACTGCCTCATTGCTCTGCATCCCTGGTATCGAGCCTTGTACACTGGAAGCCTGACCGGGCAGTAGCGACGTCGCGCTCGAAATAGTCTCCCAATACACGACTTTTCCCAGTTTCGCCGAAACGGCGACAATCCCTGGTTCTCCGCTCGCAGCTCGGGCGGTGAAGGTTGCCAGTGGCAGAGGGTCGTCGACCGAAGCCGGCGGGAAAGGCAGTTTGAAGGTGACGACATCCCTAGATGACGGAGTAGACGCGCTTGAATGGTAGGGCCAGATGATGGCATCGGTATGGGTAAGAGCTAACGCGTAGCCATATTCGGGAGAGAGCACACAGGAGTACGGTAAGTTGGGGCGGTTCCTTATCTGGTCAGGGAGCGCAGGCAGTTGAGCGACAGTGTAGAATTCGTTGTTGGACAAGATCAGGGCCGCATTGCTCGAACCCGTGGCTCTTTTCTCGTGTTTCTTTCCGCCTCTCAGGGCAAGATCTCTCACTGTCGATGCCTGCGTCGTATTTTCGTTGCCTTTTTCATTATTGGTTTCACGCCCTGCGACTTCGTTTATGCTTGCTTCGGTCAAGGGTTCGAAGGTATCTTTTCGAAGAGCCGACCGTTTTCGCTTCGCTTGGGGTAGCTTGACTGAATCGTCCTGTCCTGCTGCCTGTCGAGTTCGCTTAGGCCGCAACGATTGTGGACGCGAAGCCTCTGGGGAGAACATCGTGCGCATCGGAGGCGCCTGCAACGCCTGGTTGAAGCGGGAAGGGTACAATTGTGATGAAGTGAAGTCCGGGTGAGAATTATTGTATACCCATTGATGATGGAGGTATGATTGTTATGGCCGTTGTAAACCCCGATTGGGACTGCGCTGGCCTGCGACTTTCGCGTCTGCCAAGACTGCAGCCCGGGGAGACTCACTGCCGCTCAAGTTACCCAAGTACTCAGTACTACCTAGGTAGCCATTGGTAAGGTCGACTTTTAACCAACTTGACTGAACTAAGTACTACTGCGCCTCTCATACCTGGTACTGATTGAATTTACAGCAAGCCTCTCACTTCTGTGTTATAAATTTGCATGAGGAGTAGAACCGTCACTTACGAGACCAGCGGCCTGCTAGTATTTCTACGACACAATGACGCATAATTGTACATGACAGTGAAGAGGCTCGGATCACCCTTAATTCACTGTCGTATCGGCTGTCAAGGAGGATCACCAGCTTGAGCCATTGATGCAACACTGCACCGGTAGCTGAGTCCAGGAGTGACCTACGTCGCAATGATTATGCACCTGTACGGGATCAGGGAAAAGTATCCGTTTGCAACAATTGCAGCGATTCCCGCTATTCAGTACATAATGCTTGAAATCATATGATTCAAGCCTCCCTCGGCTTGCCGTTACTTTCGAGCCGAGAGAAAGGTAGTGGTTGTTGTATCATGGGAGTCGTGATAGAGCACCATCCCGAGCGCCATATATGAGCATGATCTGGCCACCGACAGACTGACCAGTCATCTCCAGGAATGATTGTGTGTGTGTGGTAGTATTACATCTTCTTGTCTTCCTCGTCAATGCTTCCGGCATTGGTGCTGGAATCAGTGCTCTCCTCCTTGGAAAGGCTGGAGGCTTTCTCAATGTCGTCCTCTGTTGGTCCGTGCAGCCCTTCCTCGAAAACGGGCTCGGTATCACGGGTTTCAAACTTTGTCTTGAAGTCGCCTAGAGCATGAGTGCTGCTGTTGGATCGGCGTCGTGCGTTGGTGAATGTGTAGCCATAGTCTTCGACTTCTTCGCCCTCGCGGCCCCTGTCGTCGTTGTAAGCAGACGTTCAGATGCCCATCAAAGAAGTGTAGTGAGGTCATACCAGTTTCCTTTACCATGGCCTTGCTTCTTAACACTGGTAGGGTCGGCATCGGCGTGGCCATGTTTGGCAAAGAAACGAGGGACACGGTCTTCGGCAGTGGCAGTACCGTCAGCAAGAGCGCTGTGGTTGCGGTCGTTTCCTTTGCTGGTGCGAGTCACTGATGGAAGGTTAGCAATGATCGCCAGCGGGATCTCCGGAAGGCCTTACTGATGTGTCGTAGTAGAAGTGCTGTGAGAAACAAGTGGCTCGAAGAGAGTTTGAGATGGTTGAAGGGTCCAGTGCAGGTTGTTGGTTATTGCTGAAAGGAAGTAAGCGTCAGTAAAGTGAAGCTGAAGTCGCAATAGGACACGCGACCCTTGGAGTTGCAGGAAGAGCGAAGAAGCTCAGACCCCTGCTTGTCGATAGTGGGAGGAATGGGAAACGTGCTGAGCAGACTCACCTCGTGATGGATCTGCAATGTGATGATCCGCGGCTCGTATGAGAGGCTGCTGTGTGGGAGATGGTGATGTTAGGTTGTTGTGAGAGAGTGAGTTGTGGTTGTGATTGAGTTGTTGCTTCTGAATTGGAAGTAATCTGCAAGACAAGGGAAGACAAGGGAGTGGTCAGGGAGATAAAAGCCGGAAGTATGTGGCATAGCACAGAAAGTTCTCATTGGGGGAAGAAGGCGAGCGAAGAGGCCAGATGGTGTGCAGCCTCACGCCGGATACAGAAGTCAGTCTCTCCATCTGCGTTGCTCGCATGACCTGCGCCCTGCCCTTCTGGCGCCTTCCTGCCAATCGTCATCGCGCCTTCCCCGGATTTTTGGTGCTGCATTACTAGTGGCTGTCATTAAGGGCTAGTGATATCATTGGCCAACCAGCGCTACTATGGAGGGGCTTCGTACTATGCCCTGCTCCACTCTTGCGCCGATAAAGGCCTCCGATTCAGGTACCAACAAGACCGGATATCAAACTGAAACACTCTGATCTGATCAGCCCAGGAGTGCAGGCACGCTGAGTGATATCTTGAATACACCGTGACCTGATGCGGCATATGCGATGCGTAGGCATGACTGGCCTACTACACATGTAGCGCGCGTTGGCAGCGGACAACCTTGTGGATATGTGTCTCGGTACTGCCCTGGACCGACGCTATTATTATTGTTATTATTATCCTCTGACCTGGTATCACACGTCTGATCGAAAATCTGCACTGCTCACTGAGAGCCTAGATCCAAGTTCTAGTTGCAACGGATGATTGAATCTAGATATTTGGCATTCATGCATACCTACAACATTGTAGGTAGCCATATGGTGTCCAGTAGCCCATTAAACTGGGCGTTACCATCCCTTCCACCACGTGGTCCTCCTGAACAGATATACAGTATTTAATCAAGCCCTCTTGAATATTGTGAGGTACTTGGGCGTTGTAGAATGGGTGCAGTGGCCTGACGACGGAGTATGCCGGAAAGTCGGTGTCACGTGAGAGGCCCAACTTGTGCTGCACTGGAATGACTCATCAGAGCAGCCCTGGTCACAGGGTCACTCCGTTGAGGCCTTAGCTGGCGCAGCAGTATTACGGGTACTTAGTACGAATGCAAAAGCATCAGGTACCACACAGCGACCAGTTGCAAGTACCGACTCTCTACAATCTCGGGAAATCAGATAACACTCCACGTGGCTGACAAAGAAGTTGCCTTGACTGCCAGTGCCTACTAAGCAAAAGCTGAGAAGTGTCGGGCGAACCACGGCGGCCACTGGCAGTACTCCAACAGCGGAAAATTACCTGGGTAGTGCTGTGGTGCCATTTCCGACTTCTTAGCGCCCTGGTTGAAAGCCCTGCCTGTGCCTTTTCGCGGACAGACCAGAGTCCCGATTTCTAATCCCGCTTTTTGGATGGTATCGGGGTGCCAGTGGTCGCCAGTGGTCCTCTCTCCAACCCTTTTGCATCCAGCCGTGCGAGTTATAGTATCGACTTTTACACGACTCTCTGCACGACACTCTCTTCCCTCAGCAGCGAGTCACCATGGCGCCTTTCGTCCTCATGGATCTCTCCGACGACTTCGTCGTCCCGACTGCAAAGACAAAGACCCCGCAATCCTCTCGACGCACCTTGCTCCTGTCGCCACCGTCGCTCTCGTCCCATCAAGAGAAATTGACCGCTGTGCTAGAAATGCACGATAGAACTATGACAGATATGCAGATGCTGGATAGACTAGCACTCGGCCTTGTGTCGCTCCCTCAATCGACCTACGACCTTGTCATGATCCTTTCCGATGCCGATGGGTCTCGCCGCGAAAGTCAGAACTTGTTAAGTCGAGATATGCTTGCTGTTCTGGTGAAAGCACTGAAGAGCGGAGGGCAGTTGCGAAGTCAAGATGGACAATTTGGCAATGTCGATGGCGTGGAGAGAAATGAAGCCATCCTGGCGGGGCTGTCCTTCCAGCCAGGAGTGGGATTTGTGAAGCCCGATTTTGGAGGGCAGGAGTCGGTTCCTCTAAAGTTGGGAAGGAAAAAGACTGCGCAGGCCGCAGGCGGATCCGAGACTAACGGCGATTCCGTTTCACTCCCACTCAACGGCAAACGAAAGACTCTAGAGGCGGTCCCTGCGGGCGTCGGTTTTGATGATGGGACAAATGACAATGATTCGGACGATGAGTTAATCGACGAAGACACCTTGCTCGATGAGGAGGATCTACAACGACCCATCAAGATTCGTAAGTCCACTTTTCACGTCCTTTCCATGAATTGGCGCTGACACCATCTAGCCGCCGAGTGCAAGCCTAAAGCGAAACGGCGCCGAGCGTGTAAGGATTGTACCTGCGGGCTTGCACAGAAACTAGAAGCAGAAGATCGGGCAAGGCGAGAGAAGGCCGACAATGCGCTCAACACCTTGAAACTACAAGCGGACGATCTCGCCGAAGTGGACTTTACGGTGCAAGGTAAAGTTGGAAGCTGTGGGAATTGCAGTCTAGGAGGTAAGGAGTCTACATCTCCTCAACTTGTGCAGATTGTTTGCTAACTAAGGTGCAGATGCGTTCCGGTGTGATGGTTGCCCATATATCGGCCTTCCCGCTTTCAAGCCTGGCGAGGAGGTTCGCCTCTTGAACAATGATATCCAACTATAGAAATGCCTGATGACCAGTACTCTGCATTGGCGTTATGGATGCCCGGTGATGTAAAGGATGGGAAATGGCGGGCAGCTTGGGACCACGGCGCAAGTTCATCGGTTGACAATCTTGGCTGAATACTAGTACTGGACGACAACCACTGTAGAAGTCGAGCTTCTAAATTGCTCTCTTCGAACTCATGAAGCACTGCACCTTGTCTGAATGCTCTCTAACCAGTAGATCGAGCGACCCGGTATATAGCGCGGGAACATTTCCGATGGGCAGATTATTTGTTCTGTTCAAGTTGGTCCATCATTGTTGCAGTGGCGGGTGCCGTGCACTGCAGTGGGCGAATCGTGGGCTGCGGAAGATAAGCGGGTGCCGAGTCTGGCAGCCCGAGTTCGGTGGCGGGCAAAGCCGTCGAGTCGTGTTCTTGGGGTTTCGGCTGACGCTGCTGACAGCCTGTGAGTGCCCTTCAAATTGTGCCCTCAGCGCTGTTGCCGACTTCTCCGTGTTAGAACAGCCCCGACTGGTCTGAACTGGAACTGGGGCTGCGACTCGAAGATTTCGCCGCCCTTTTGACGTTTCAGATCCTCCATACTATATGTATTTGTCTACCTACCTCGCTCTGTCGCAAAACATCCTCCACCGCCCCAGCACCTCTGCCGACGTTCCCTTGCTCTTGACTGAGCCTCTCCAGCCAGTCTCTTCAGCTTCCACTGTACTGCTGCAGCTGTGACACCCAGCCTCGAACCGTCTGGATACTAGTACTTCGTTGCTGAACTCACCCTCGCCCTCTTGCGCTCGCAGCCGCCATGTCCTTTTCCTCCCTTGTGCAGGACCTCGCCTTTCGAGACCAGCCCAATGCTCGAGAGAGCACGAGCAGCAATGACAACCAGTCCACGATATCTCGGCCGTCGCAGGCCCGGTCGTACACCTCGACTGCTGCAACGAGCGTAAGCATTGCAGGAGACATTTCCAGCCAGCTTCATGCCGGATACAGCCACCCATTGTCAAGAGCGTGGCAGGCAGAAAGACAATTAACAAAGGTATGTGTGGCTTGATAAATCCGCATGGCCGCAGTTATTCTCGTCTCAAATTGCTAACACAATCACCTCTCTTGCAGTCAATGCTGATCTACCCTCTTTTCATCACCGACAACCCGAACGAAATGACACCGATCCCATCTCTACCAAACCAGAACCGTCTGGGCCTGAACAAGCTAGTCCCGTTCCTTACACCTTTGGTCCAAAAAGGTCTACGATCAGTCATTCTCTTTGGTGTACCGCTAGCCCCAACCGCCAAAGACGCCCTCGGCACGGCCGCCGACGACCCAGAGGGGCCGGTGATTCAGGGAATCCAGTTGATCCGTCGACACTTCCCGCAGCTGTTCATCGTCGCCGACGTCTGTCTCTGCGAATACACGTCACACGGCCACTGTGGCATTCTGCGCGAGGACGGGAGCCTGAACAACGCAATGTCGGTGGAACGCATCTCGGACGTGGCACTGGCATATGCCCACGCCGGTGCGCACTGCGTGGCACCCTCGGACATGAATGACGGGCGGATACGGGCGATCAAGCTGAAGCTGATTGAAGACGGACTGGCGCACCAGGTCAACCTGATGAGCTACGCCGCCAAATTCTCCGGCTGCCTGTACGGTCCGTTCCGGGACGCCGCGGGCTCGTGTCCGTCCTTCGGCGACCGCAAGTGCTACCAGCTCCCTCCCGGCGGGCGAGGCCTGGCCAGACGCGCCATTGCCCGAGACGTCTCCGAAGGCGCCGACATCATCATGGTCAAGCCCGCCTCGTCGTATCTCGACATTATTTCGGATGCAAAGGAGATTGCAAAGGACATGCCCATCGCCGCGTACCAGGTCAGCGGCGAGTATGCCATGATCCACGCCGGTGCCAAGGCCGGCGTCTTTGATCTCAAGACCATGGCTTTCGAGAGCACAGAGGGCATTCTCCGTGCCGGCGCTGGTATCATCGTAAGTTACTTCACCCCAGAGTTTTTGGACTGGTTGAGTGCGTAAGAGGCGATGGATCTGAAATGAGCTGGTTTTTGTTTCAGCTGGATTGCAATGTGATCATGCAAGGGCGTAATGGAGTTCCTTTTCTGTGATTCGGAGGAGTACAGGTCTTTTTGGGCCCGTGGCGACCAAATGAGTTTTGCCAGTAGCTATTGATTTGCACTACGGGGCTGGCAAAAGAGAGTCAAGGCAATGAATGGGGAAAATGTGCCGTCGGTCGTTGCCGTATGTTATGTTTTCCATGGGACTGGAATCCCCACGATGCCAACCTGAGTTCCTTCCACGCAGAGCAAGAGACAGACAGCAACACGGTGTAAGGTACTTACTGTCCGCACCAAAGTTGGGACGGGCGCCGTCGAAGCTAAAATAACGGTAGATTCCACGTCTGTCTTCCATCACCGGTAACAAGCGGTCAAAATGAATCGGACTGAACTGAAACGAGAACAGGGAGGTCGAAAGATTTGGATTTGTTTTCCCTTATTTTTCCCCTCCATCTCTTTAGACCTTTAAATGTGTTTACTTTTACTTGTCGTGATATTCAATCGGCATATTCACCTACTGGCACACTGCAGGTGGGCACTGCATGTTAAGCTTGATTTGGGTTTCGGCCGAGTCGACATGCAGTGCAGTACCTTAGATACTGAGGTACTGTACAGCTGGAGTACAGTTAACTGTATTTATTTCTGCCTGCCACAACCTGAAGGGGGTAGGAGTCCAAGTCCTCTTCTCTGGCCTCTTTTTCCCGCCGACTTAAGGATACCACTGCATGATTGTTGCTGTTAATCAAGTTTGTTCATATAAATGCTTCTGTTGCGGTAAGATAGGAGACGAGAGAAGGGTCGACAGGCTTTTATTTGCTCAAGTACTCGTAACTTCATCCATCAAAACCCTCTTGTTTCCGGCGACAGTCGAAACGGATGTGCTTCGGTATTCAAAACCCAGTCGTCAAGACTGAGCAGAGAGGGCTCGCTGAACAAAAGGTAGAAATATTTTAGGGTTTCGGCGAACCAGAAACTCTCCATATCATCCTGTCTTCTAGCCAAGACTTTCCTGACCATCAGACCTCTGTCGTAGCGGTCTTGGTCGAATACCTCCATTGTACTCAACAGAGCGGCATGGCCGAATGCGGAACGGGTGTGTTGGACGATGGACTCGAACATGGACCAGCCGACATCGCGCCAGTACTCGTCCCCGGTCATGCGCCACATGATGAAGACCGATTCGATCGCTTCGGGGCGTAACTTGTATGAGGCGTCCGACACCTGTAGAAACCCTGGAGGAAAACGGAACTTCTCACAGTCCCCTTGTAGACAGTGCTCGGGACGGCGGCTTTCTTGGTCCCAGTACGACTCGTTCCAGCCACACTGCTGCGTGTCGTCGAAGTCGTCTGTATTTGAGCATGGGAGCGCCGTGAAGGCTTCGGGCATGATGCCCGTCGGACTGTTGCGGTAAGCCCAGACGCACCCGTTGGTGATTTGCTGCCCGATGTATAAGTCGTGGGGACTGTTGAAAATGCGAGACGCCATGGCGAACATGCCTCCTGCAAAACAGGCCAGATGTTCCGTGCGCGTCTCGAGCATGGTTTGATTGGTGTCGGGTCTTCTTGTGGCAATGCCGGCAAAGATGGCATCGGTTTCATTGCCATGAGGGATGAACGCTCGGAACAGCAAGTGGCGCTTGATCTGCTTCGACGCGGCCTTCCACATGGACTCGTAGATCTTGGTCTTCTTGCCTAATAGCAGATGAGTCTTGACCAGATATTCATACGCAGAATCCGACAAAGCACCGAGCGAGTAACGGTAGCTTGCTCTGGAAAAGTCGGCATTGGGCCCGTCTGTTGACAGAGGGATCACAATCTCCGGCCACAATCCTGCTATGCTGGAACGGTTTTGCGCCCGAGCGAAACCATGGCTGAGGAGATTGACCGTCTTCATATACTTGTCGTCTCCCGTGATTTGAGACAGTCTCGCAAACTCCAGGTACAAGCTCCCGACGTCGGCCAAAGGTGCACTGCTCGAGGCCATCAGTGGTGGCCCCTTACCGCCCAGTTGGCAATGTGTACAAGGCATGCCATTTGGGGTCCGGAAAGCCGAATGTAGCATATTGCCGAGCTGGACCAACTGTGGCAATAGTCTCGCATCGTTGCTGAGATCATATGCCGCCATTAGTCCACCTAAGTAGCGAATAGTGGACTCGAAGAGGTTGACCATGCAGTCACCGGCGGTAAAGTCGATCGTAAGTGTGGCGTTCACTGCTTCTTCAAATTCCGCATCGAGCTCCATGAGATAGAGGGTGTCGAGAGAATCAACGAGTGTGGCCGACCAGCCGCAGAACTGCTGTTTCCGACTTCCAGATAAGGGCATCAACCCATCTGCCATCCACGCATGGTCCTTGTAGGCCGTCCAAGCATGGAGAAATTCGCGCTTGACGGCATCTTGGCGGGCCGTCTGTACCAAAGACTTCCGCCGGAACTTGTGCTGGATCCTGGTCGGTTTTGAGGTTCTGGATGTAAAAAATGTGAGAAGGACAACGAAGACAAACAGGATCACCAGAGTCTTCACGTTTTTCTTACGTGGACCACGAGCATGGAACCACGCCATGACAAAAACGCAAACGGTGAAATAGAAGGCAAAGTAGCCCCTAGGAAAGAGACAAAAGAACAAAAATCATCTCATCGTAGGAAGCGGGAAACATGCAGCAACCGTGATGGTAGATCAAGGCATGCCAGGAGTCGACTGAAACGCGAAGACTGGACACAAAGGGGGCTATCGAGGACAGAAGAATGAAGGGGCCAATTTGGTCAGAAAAGGAAACGAGAGACAGGGCAAGGACCAAAGGCGCAAGCCACCAAGCGAAGGTGGTATTGATATTGGGGGTTGATAGCTACATCGGATACTCCGTCAAGGTCGCTACTGCACAGCAGGAAGGTTGACACACATCAGTTCTGCAAAGCCGGGGAGAATGGCATGCAAAAGTCCATTTGCTGGAATGTCCATGGGATTGGAAAGGGGAACTTGAAGGAAGTCGAGAAGCGAGAAGTGGCGGAGCGATCGGTCACTAGTTGAACCCCATTGGCCCCATAGACGTTGCCAAGCCATGCTAGGATCATGCCAAGCTTTCAATCTGGCCAGAAAAGGAAGGCAGGCTGAATAGGGGGGAAGCAACCAATCAAGAACTCAAGATCAGGTTGTTGGAAATTGTGATACACTATATCAGTCGTGGAGTGCCATGTGAGTCGCTATTGTATATCCCGTGGTACTTCTCCCTTTCACAAAAGCCCTACATCTACCGTATCCGAGGCAGATACTATTACATTCCGTGTATGCTTTTGCCAGCGAAGTCGTCCAAACCCCGGTTCATCGCCCCAAAGTCTTCGAACCAGATTGTGAACACGAGGAGCAGGGTAATGCGTGTGGCCACATGCAGAAGGTAGTCCTTTTGAAAATGCCTTATGTTTCGCTAAGCTGTGGGTGGTATCTGCGCGTCCCGTGTTGCAGCGACGATAGATGTAGTGTTTCATTTCGGCGTGGGTGGCGGCAAAGTTGTGCTGCTATAACTACCTTGCCTTGATTTGCTCGTGCCAGCTCCTGTTCCTGTCCCTGCCCGAGCGGCATTCGCTCCGGCCTCCTGTTCCAAGAAATGCTGCCACAGCTCTGCCAGGGACTCTTTGCTGCTCGCGCCCGGAGTAGACATGGTATCAGGACCAAAGTATTCATGATGCAATGCCGGCGTGCTGGGGGTGCGGTGGACGAGTGGTGACCCAGGCAGGCGGAGGGAGCCCAAGTTCGATGTCGATCCGCCTGTGGAGCTGTGGGCGCCAGGCCGTGCGAGACCCGCTTGTTCGCGTTGTTCTTCGGTCCATCCCAGCAGTGCGGCGATGAGCTGCAGGACCTGGAATTTCTTGGGGTCGGCGCGATCGAGGGCCAGGAATTGGAGGAAATGGTTTGTGACGATTTGTCTGTATGGAAGGAGCATATGTTATTTTGAGCGCAGGTGGAGATTGGTTCAACAGGGCATCAACCAAAACACGGGGCTGAGAGGAAAAGGAGAAAGCAAAAAACATCTTCCACCCACCTGTCCACATTATCCTCCGGCTTGCCCTTTTTGAGGAACCTCAGCGCCTTGGTCAGATGATCATTGAGAGTGACAGCCTCGTGCCTTAACTTGCCGATGAGCAAGTTCTTTTCCTTGACTTCCTTTTCAAACGGAAGGGCCCTCTCCAGCTCTTTCTTGGTCTGCTCCAACTCAACCAAAGTAGCATCATGTTTAGTTTGGAGTTCCTGAAGTTGAGCACGTAAGTCATCCTGCTCCTTCTGGCTCGCTTCGACGAGTTCCTTGAGCTCCTGTTTTCGAACAGTTTGAATCTCATGCAAAGCCTTCTGCAGGCCGTCGACGGTGGCCGCATTGATGTCGCGCTCGCCCACGGCCTTTTCGTACGCCTCTTTCAGCGTGGAGACCTGCTCCTCGAGATCGGCGTTGCGATCAGTCAGGTCGCGGCGAACAGTGCGTTCCTCCATGGCCAGCACTTCCCAGTCGTGCATGGCCTGTTTGGCATTTTCGAACTCCTCGCGCATATAAGCCTCCTGCTCGACCAGCTCCTCTTTTTCTTTCAGCCAGTTTTGCTGCGCGAGCGTCATCCGGTTGCGAAGACTCGATAGTTCCTTGGATTGTTCCGCCACTTTGGTCGAGAGCTCTTGATTGCGCGCCGTCAGTTCCTCGACCTCGGCCGATCTCGCCGTGTACCGCTCTTGTAGTTCTGATTTCTGCTCTTCGAGTTCCTCGATTTGGGTTCGGGCTTGTGCTAGGTCTTCCTAGGAGTTTGTTAATGACCATACATAAACCTCCAGAGCGCCCCACGCTAATTGAGTCTTCGAGGACAGTAAACCAAGGAAATACACAGAAGCCGGAAAGCAAAAGCAATATTCCCCCCAGTTGTACGAGAACAAAGTGTAGTGTACTACTTACAGCATCGGCTTTCAACCGCTCTCCAAGCTGGGAGCGGATAGTGTTGACTTTGCCCAGGAGTGACTGGTATTGTTCTTCGGCGCTTTCTTTCTCGGCTTGCGTCTCGGCCAGCTCGGTCTGGATCGTCTCAATCTCAGCGGCATGCTTGGACCGCAATTGCTCAAGCGACTGCCGCAACTGACTGACTTCGGCACGGAGGACGTCTCGGTCTTTGACCAGCGCGTCAAACCGGGCGGATGTGTCATCGTCATTTTCATGGGTATTCCTTGTAGCATTGGCAACTCCATTGGTCAGGTTTGCGGAGGAGCTCGTCGTGTCTCTGGTTTCAGGTTCAGCGATTGTCGGATTTGTATCTTTTCCTTGCCTTGGCCGTTGCGTCTCTTCTTTTGTATCTGGGTTGGGTTCTGGTTCTGGTTCTGGTTCTGGTTCTTCATCTGCCTTTTCATCTGCATTTGCATCTGCATCCTCCGCCGCTCCTGGTTCTCCTCCATCGTCCACCCCGACGGACGTTGTTTCATTCCCATGTTGCGCATCGTGACCCTCTTCAGTATCCACTGCATCTGCCTTTTCCTGCAGTTCGTCGACATCGGCATTCTCAGCGTCGGCCTCCGGCTCAGGCTCAGCCTCGACGGGAATTGTGAAGACGTCTACCGCTGCAGACTGTGACGGCGCGGTGTTGCCTCCTTTCTTCTTGGACTTTTTCTTTTTCTTGGATTTCTGGTCTTTTGGAACGACCGTTAGCAAAGGCCAATAGAAGAAGCATGCAATGCAAGCAGCGCACCTCCAGGGGGCATTGAACCCGCATTTGTTGACGACATGGTTCGGCCGTGGCGAGGCGACTGAGGAACTCGAACTACTAATTAAACACCGTCGTGCCAGTAGTCGGGCGATGTATGTACAGGTAGAAAGAAGTACTGGTCTAGAAGGGTAAAGTCGTAGCAGGCGGCATTGAGTCCAGTTGGGACACCGAGCGACAAAGGGCACCACTGCAGTGCCAGTTGCTCGAGTTTCAGCGGCGAAACGCCGCGTGTCAGTGTCCAAATGGATTGCGCTGTGAAGAACTCCGACACAAGTGGACAGTTGTTGTATACATGTCAAACAGGTACATGGATTCGAGTGGTTAGTTGTACCACTGCCAGTGGCAGTAGTACGTGATACTGTGTACTATTCCCCGCTTGGCGCATTTGTGCTTTATTTACCTACAACTACATCCAGATCCCGACTACTACGTGGATTCGGCCATTTCCACAGGTCATATGTATCCCAGGCGCCACTCATCCAGAACCACGGTACATTAATATTGGTGATGATCCGGCCGTTTACGTTCTGTTCAAAGTTTTCTTGTGCCGCCAGGTAGCTGAAACTATAACAGGCAAAACTCGCCAATGCCATACCTAACCCCAAATCTCGGTGCCGTCAAGGCTCAAAAAGTATTCCAACATCGCTGAATGGCTACCTAGGTACCGAACGGTTCTTGTTCAGGTCAACCGCTGATTGGGACCAAGTGTCTTTCTTACATGCAACGATGTGCTGGCATACGGGAACTGCAACAGCAGCTCCCCAGCGCCTACATTAGGTATACCTTCAAGTTGGATAGCACCCAGGTGCCTAGGTACGGCAAATAGACCACATTGCACCAAAAATAGTGTCACTTTCAGACGCAGTTGTGACAACTGGACGGTAAGGTATCCAATCTTCATTCGCAAAGTCTTATCCAGCCCAGTTTGCGCTATTCCAACATCATAATTATCATCATTTCATCGCATCGCATCCGCAAACAACGACCTCATTCCCTTAAGCAAAGTAGCAATCTCCCTGGTCTCATTCAACCGATCCACCACCTTCTCAACCTTGCCAGAATCCAACCTCGGCTTCATGTAAACAACAGAGTACTTCCCCGTCGAGGTCGCCGGAACCAGTAACTCAAACACGGCCTCCCTCTCATCGGCAGCACCACCATTGTTCCCTCCCTTGAGAGGCGGAAACATAAACACGATCCGGACTTTATTTTCATCCCCACTCCCCTCGATCCGACAACCCAGATATGTTTCCCAGAAATTCAGTTCCGGCCCATTCAACCGGCTCTGCTTGTCCATTTTGGCCGCGTATTCCCGTTGCGCTGCTAGCTTGACCTCGATCTGCCGCTGCGTTTGGGCAATTGCATTCTTCAATCGGTCGCGCGATGCGGCCTGGTTGGCTTGATGGGCTTCGAGTTTCGAGATTTGTGCGTGCATTTCGTTCTTCTCGGCTTGTTCCCGTGCGAGGACGTGGTTGTGTGTTGAGAGTGTTGATTGGAGGCTTGCGATATGCGTGGTTGCGGACCGTTGTTCCTCTGCCTCACTGTCAGCGTTGTTGTTCTGCGTGTGAAAGCGACGCCGTCTACCACTCGTAGAAAAGGTGTTTTCTGCTTTCCTACTTACCGTGTAATTCTCCTAGACGCGCGCGAAACTCGTTCCTCTCTTCTAGCACGCGTTTCCTCCCTTGTTCAATAAAGGCGTCAAATTTAACGGTGAATTCCGCCATGCGTTTGCGCAAATCATCGAATTTGAAGTCCACCGCCGGCAGTTGAGTTAAAGGGTCGTCTGAATATGGCATTGGGGCGTGTTGTGACTGGGACGCTCGGAATGAGGATGTGCTTGCTGAGAAGCATGGTTGAGACATGGTTGCGGCCATTGGGATTGTCGGGATGGAAGATGAGTAGAGGCAGCCTCAAGACCGGACAGCGCTCGGTGATTTGGTTGGAGTGTGAGCAGATGTTCAAGTTGATGCTGCGCAAGTCTGTCCGAACGTTGTTTAACTGATGATAGTAGTAGTCTTGCGGTGTCGCAGGATTAGTGGTTGTAAAACATTGCTGTCGATTACTGGCCACTTGCTAAAATTGGCGGTACAACAACATTGTCGATGGTCGTCAAGGGCAACCCTCCAGCCTTGGCATACGACCGCCGGCCACTTGCAATCCAACGATCAACACCAACACCACTGCCTACATTATTGCTGCTATTATCCCACGATACTATTGGAGAGTGGTCATTATGCAGTGCTGAGTCTGTTATTTGTTTATCGCCTCAATTATAGTGCAGAATGATTTCAGTCAATCTGTGATGGGCGCCAGACCCTATCTCGTTTCATTTGGTCGTGCTTGTCTGTGCCTCCTGTTCCGACTCGGCTGAAGCCTGTCCTTTACTGCTGCCCGAACTGGCATCCTCATTCATGACTTGCACCAACATCGCCTCGATCCTTGCAATGGCAGCTTCCATCTTATGGAGCCGGGCATTAGCCTCCATGAGCTTATCGTTGCCATCATCGTTCAGGTCAATAAGAGAATCCATCCGCTCCCCACGTTTCAGCTTCCGATACCCACGTGGATGAGTAGGCTGGTCTTCTGCCTCGCTCGAGTCACCGAACTCCTGATTGACGCTTTTTGTGCGTTGCATTTCCTTCCTGTTTCCCCGTTGATCGACGGATTCTCGTCTCTTCGGGTCCACAGATTGACTAGCCCGTCGGGCTGTCGGGACAAACTCAAACCGTTCATTCAAATTATTGTTCAAGGCCTTCCCTATTCCAGAACCATACTCTAGCTCGTCCTCTTCGGCGATTTTGTCCAAGACCGCTTGAGGTGGGTCGATATCAAAGACTGCGTAGATCTCCCCATGAGCAGTGAACCTTGTGATGGCCCAATACGGCGAGGCTGTAGCTCTGGGCCCGTTGGGATTCTTCCAGTCGATCTTTTGGGCGCGATGTGGCCGGTGCTTATCCGACATCCACAACGTCCTTCTCTCGTACCATGCAATGACCAACAATGTCGGCAAGTTGAGGATCCGGACCGCTGCGACATTGATCTTGTGGAACATGCGCTCCGAGACCAACAGCTTGAGCGGGAGCATGACGATCAGTGCCAAGATGTTAAACGGTGGCATGTATGCGAAAATGGCGTCTGATTTAACTCCTTCAAACGTCAAGACCGCACGCCGGAAGAGGATCTCCTGTACCGCATTGGCCACTATGCCGCTGAACGTGTTGGTCAACATTGACACGAGGATGGTCAGAAACAGCGTGTTTCCCAGGAAGGCAAAAAGAATCATCAATACTGGCCCTAGAAGCCAATGAAAGTCCACCGACTCGTCAATGCCCGTGCCGTCAAGACCGAACCAAATCCATATCATCCACTTTCCTATCGTGACGGACTGATTTTGTCAGACTCCCGCTGTGTATGGACCGATCTAACTTACCGAGTGAGCTCCTGCGTGTAACCATTTCAGGCTTAACATGAACCCTGCAAAACACCACACTGCAAGGGCGGACAGCGTCAAAAAATCAGACATCATGGCCCGGAGCGACAGAAACAGCATGTTTTCAGACATGAAATTGAACGCCAGCCGCGGGATCAAAACCGGCGCGGCGCAGCTGAGGATATCGAGCGACGTTCGAGCCCAAACAGTGGCCTCGGTCTGATCGCTGATGCGAAATGCATGAAGCCGAAGAATCAGGTATGTGGCAAAGATGATGCTAAACGTGGCATCAAGGAACGACCAGAGGTTCTGAGTGTAGACTCCCCAGCCGTGTTCAAGAACAGAAGCCACTTGATCGAGGACCTGTTGGTCAGCATCAGCATCAGCATCCGCTGCAATCCAGTATAAACAACTACCAACATACCCAGCCAGAAGCGTAAATGTCAAAGACTCCCTCGACGACAGTGTACTGGGGAGTCATGCGTGTTTCGCGAGCCACCATGACGGCGATATACAAACCGAGCAAAACGACAAATTGGAAAACCTCAATGATGTTCCGCGTCCGTGGCACCACCAGACGATATTGATTCAGCAGGGGCGCCCTCCTCGGGTCGTAGAGCGAGATGGGCCTCTTCTTCCACCGGTCTGGAATGACCTCGATGAAACTGCTGGGGGTGTAGACCAGTTTCCCACGGTAGATGGCCTCGACGACTTTCTGGCAAGCACTACTGGCCAGAAAACTCTTACTGGCACTGACAATGGCCACTTCGAGAGCCGTCAGCTTCTTTTCAGGATTGGCGGCCTTTCGATGGGTCGTCCACCGACTGGGCCGGCTAGTGCTCTGCTCAACGATTTCCGGAGGAGCGCCTTGAAGCGGCTCGAAACCAGCAACGAGAATGTTTGCAAGCTTCAGCAGACCTCTGGGGCCGGGATTGTGTTCATTGTAGCGACGCAGGAGCTTTTCAGCCACCAATTCGCATAGCAGTGCGCGGGTAAGATTGACGGTTTGATGATGCGTGGCGGAGGATTGTTCGCGAATGAATTGCATTCGATTGACGAGGAGACAGTAAACTGTGGGTGGTACTCAGCAAGAGAACGAAAAGGAAAAGAGGGTAGAAAGTCAACCAGACCGAGTGAAAGATCCTGTTTCTCAAACAGAGAATCGACAAGAGGCCGGACGACGGATATATTCATGCGCGGCGCTTTCAGCTGCTCGAGCGAGTATGGGTCGTCTAGGAAGAAATGAAACACACACGTAGTGAGCAATAACCATAACTGTTTCCTTAGCCGGGCAGGTGCTCGCTTGTTGCTCACCGATACTGTTGATGATGTCTCTTCGAATGCTATAGGAAGTGTAAACGATTAGTATTGGATCGTCATGCTTGTGGTGGTGGTGGTGGTGGGAGGGCGCCGGGGGGTGGGTTGTCGGCGGAGAGCAGCGACAGTGACAGTGGTGGCTATGTCGACGTACCGAAGAATATTCTCATAAACATTACACTCAGCATTCCGATACAAATCCGCCGCCCTGGGCATTTCATCCTGATTGCTGGTCCAGGTACAATGCGGCGGATATAACCCGTCGCTATCGGCGTGGTCTTCTTCATCCTCGTCGTGCTGTGACGCCAGAAGGGCCTCAGTCTCGGTCCGTTGGCTGTTGAGCCGGAATTTGCGAGGGATCCCGAATACGTGTGAGGAGCTTGAGGTACCGCCGCCTCCTGAACGGGATCCGAATGGTGCCATTTTACGGGGGAGAAGGATCGATACGATACCAGTCTCAGACAGAACAAACGTCATCAATGGTTGGAACCCGGTTATTGTGCCCTCTCTGTGGACATAATTATCGTACTCGTATAGGATGCTCACATTCCACCCAGTAGGAGAAGTGAATAATGGTCAGGTAATCCACGACTCGGTGGATAGCGGAGCAATGAGGTGACTTGAGAGTGTCGCGCTTGATGATATAGATTCCAATATGCTGGAGCGCCTTTCAGATTTGTTGGAGCAGTGCTGGAAGTATTTGAATGGCGATGAATATGTATAGCACGAGCTGTAGTATTTTTTCCCAGCACAAGTAGTAGGGAAGTTCAAGCAGAGTGTCTCCCAGATAATCAAGATGTTGGACGATGAAGTAAGATCTGGGATAGTAGGACAAGTGTAGATGTAGTAGCGGAGAAGCCAATGATGTGCGTGGGTCAAGTTGGAGTATCGATCAGGCGGATAATGATAAGCCTAATCTTAAGCTTATCGCATCAAGCTTTGCCACTGCACTGAAGCACAGACGGTGATTTATTACTGGTATTACGACGGGACCTACTACAAGTACCGCCTACTGGGTGAGTATGTACATGGCACCTAGATATCTACCAACATATACTCGTAGGACTTGACAGCAACGCTGGGGGAGTTCAGCAGCCTGGCACGATAGACGTACTCGAGGCAAACAATCCGCCTTCCGGGCTACTACTACACTTCGACGATGGAAACGGCTTTCTGGTCACTGGCAGTCATTATCATTAATCATTACCTTAGGTATATATACTGAACCACGCAGAGGGCTTCGTCCAAATCACCAAGGGTTTGCTGCGTCCAGGATTCTTTCTCGCTAGCTCCAAGGGAGCCTCCACCTCTCTCTCATCCTCTTGCGTGTTAGTCAGATTGAACACCTGAGCCCCGAGGCAGTAATCGTAGTATATCATATCTGTCGTATCCTTTCGCTGAGGATCCAAAGTAAACCGGCAAACGCACCATTCAGAGTAATCGATTTCGTGACACATTAATGGGGACCGACATGATATCAGAATTCCACCCCGACTGCAAAATGCCCGCCTCGCACATGCCCACACAGGTTATGCCTGTTGATCTTATGCAGTAGAAACGAAGATGAGTATGCCGAGTTAACTTGTTTTTTGTTATTCAGATCCTTTTCACATGCAATTTCGGAAATGGCGATGGTAGTGGTGAATCCAGCCAGGGAGTCAAGAACTTGAAGCCAAACTGCAAGCCAAGCTGGACAGTACACCGTCCTCGGCGTTGCCCGTCGTGAAATAGGTCCTTTTGAGGCCGAGATCATTATAATAAGATCATGATCGTAGCAATGACAGCCAGCAGCATGCCGAGAGACCACAGTTTTGAACTCGAATTCCCATCCGTGGCATCGTTGACAACTTGATACACAACGCTGGCTGTTTGTGCTGGAGTGTTGACCGTCGGAGTGGTGGACGAGCCCACGACGATGATGACCAGCCCATCACTTGTGATGGTCTGCAGGCCACCACCGCCGTTGCTCGTAGGCGATGGAGTCGTGGTCGTGTAGGATGTCACGGTCGTCGTGCCGATGCCGTTGCCACCGTCCCATGTCGTGGTTGGCGGATAGTTACAGTTGTTGGCGCACTGGTCGCAACATTCCCAGTAGACGACGGTCGAGGTGACGGGACAAGGAATCACGGATGTCACGGTGACCACAACGTTCTGTTGCGTGTAGCATGTCGTGTAGGTTGTCGTCGGGGTCCAGTATGACCAGTATGATGTGGTTGTTGGGGTCCACCATGCTGTTGTTGTTGTCGGTTCAGGGGTCCAGTAGCCTTCGTTTCTGTGATGGCGCAACAGCAGGAAACAGCGTCAGCGATTGTTCAGCAAAAACCAAGATGTATTGACAATGTTTCCAGCTTGACTAGACAGGATGGCTCCCAGATGTATGTCTCCTGGATGGGGTTGAAGCATTTGTTGGAACGACAGCAGCGAGGACATTGCGGCATGGGTAGACTTACGAGGTGAAGCCATGTCCGATGAGGCTGAGAAAAAAGACGCAGATAGTTTCGAAGGCGACCATCATCGTCGGACTTGCCTTTGCATCAAAGGTCCCACCCGGGAAGAAAGCCTGTTAGTGTGTCGTACTTAGAGCAGGCTGACCAGAATCGGAATTGTCCGGGGGCAAGGTGGGCTCAGTGACAGACAGTCTGCGGTAGGGTCTAGATGAAAGAAGAGGGACCGGGGAAGGAAAGGAGAAGCGGCAGTGATTGTGAATCGATAGCAAAGGACGAGATGTGAGAGAAGTTAGCTGTAGATTAGTATCGCATTGGCAGACGAGTAAGGATAGCTGAAGGAGCTTGAGCAATGGTGTACAGCCCTATCGAGAGGACATGACACCTCGAAAGCTGCCCACAGAACCACTAGTAGCATGAGCGTCAGTTGGATGTAAGGATTAACGTCAGTAGTCGGTCGGCTCGACAGCCGCAAGTCCAATAGATCGGTGGTGAGATCAATCATTCATTTGGTAAAGCCTCAGCTTGTCCCAAACATGCAGCATTGTCTGCTGCGAGATGGAGCTCCATCAGCTTCACAAAGCGAGATCCACGTACTGGCTCCGGGTACGGGATCTCAGCAGCGAGAGTTCCAGCTTTTTCCAAGATCCAGAAATCGAACCTCCCTGCAGAACGTACCGCTCTTTTCCCGTGCAAGGTCAAGCAGGTGGATTCCAAGATTAGCAAACCCCGCCGTCACAGACCAGGTGCCGTGCTTTGCCGAGCGCCACATGCAAGTTCCAGCAAGTTTCTGGGAAAGTATGTTTGGTAAAGCACGTCAAAAGCGCATGGCTTATCGCAACGATGATTTGCCCGCAAGATGCGAAGCAGTTAGGGCCAGGACGAGCCGCGACGTCGTCCAATTATGGTGTCTGGTAATAATTCGGTGGCTGGGAAGCAGGGAACAAGTCCGACGCCTTCTATGGGAGGTCAATAGAACGAGCTTGCGCGTACAAATATCTGAAAACCCTAGGCATGAATAGACATTGGACCATATCCCCATGGAGAGGACACTGACACTCGAAGACGGCATCTTGCTCGAGTCATTGTAGGATGGTACAGACCTTTCCTGGTAAGCGTCCGTGAAGCCGCGGGAAGGAATGATGTCATATTCAATCGAGCGGCCGGATCTTAGAGCACAACTTGAAGCTGAACACTTGCGATGATGGAGACGGCAGAAGCCCGCAACGTGCCGTCGGGTCCCAGTCCAACAGGTGGATGTTGGCAACGCTACTAGTAGCCTGGTTGGTGGTGAACTTGAAGTAGCAGCAATACTAGCACAAATAGCGGGATCAAGGTAGGAACCGGTCGTGAGGTACCTAGGTACAAAACCGTTTGTATAACGCAGTGTGGACTATCTCATGCCCTGTCCATCGCTCTATGCTATTTTATGTCTAACTTTGCCCCCATAACTGATCGGTGTCTGTTCTGGCAGTCCAGAAATGCCCTCCAGCACACGATAGGACCTAGGTAGTGCTGTACTCTTCCTGAGACGCACAGGCTGCTTCACGGAGCACTTGCGCCGATGGGAATGTTGACTCCAGAGACACCCTCCGACTCCCGACCCAGCAACCAGACGATCGTGTCAGACACTTTCTCAGGTTCCAGCAAAGTGATGCCGCGCTTGGCCATATCCGCCACAGCCTCTTCCTCGTTCTTATACCACTGTAAGGCCATACCGGTTCTAGTGGCACCTATAACACGGGACATGTCAGATCGGAAACACCACGCTACCAGTCTCTCTTGGCCCCCTTTCGCTTTTGACTTACTTGGCGAAACTGCATTCAGTCTGATACCCACGGAAGCCAGATCCTTGGCCACAGTCGTAGTGAGACTCGCCACAGCCGCTTTCGTGACACAGTAAGACAAGATGGTCGGGTCATGAAACAGACTGGCCGCGCTGGCTATGTTGACAATGCTCCGGGGCGCCTTGGGCAGGTCCAGCATGGCCTTGACTTCGGCTCGCATACTGTACAGCATACCTGTCAGATTGATTCCGACCACCCGGCCCCATGATTGATCGGTTTCATTGAGAAACAGAGGTGCCTGTTGCGATGGAGCTGGAGGAGCAATGACTCCGGCGCAGTTGACCGCTCCGTCGAGGGCGTCGAATGTCTTGACAGTATCTTTGATCCATGCGTTGACGTCGAGACTCGAGGCCACGTCGACCTTGGAGGTCAACACTTGCATGTCTGGGTTGATGTCAAGGAGTCTTTTCTTTGCAGTCTCAAAAAGACCCGGGTTCACGTCGGCGATGGAGATGGCGCGCGCTTTCAGTTGTGCGAGCCGACAACCTGTGTTCAGACCGATGCCCGATGCGGCACCGGTGAGAGCAAACACTTTGCCGGCGATAGACGCCATGCTGGCTGGTGAGCAGAACACGAAAGGAAATTCACTCAAGTCGACAGTAGACCTGGGTCAAACCCGGCATGCAGGTGTACTGTATTGAGCTTCTCGATGGGAACCGGGTTTCGATATCCGAGCAACGGCACCAGATTGAGAGGCAGATGTCACAGCGATGATCCCGTTCAACACTTATCGTGGCAATCAGGTACCGCTGACCTCCGTCAAGAGTCACTGCTGCACGAGCGGCTTCGCCGGGAAAGCTCGCGGAGTGACAATAGGTGTTGCGTCGGATGCGGTCAAGGTCGCGTAACAAGACCTACCTTTTTAGCCTCATGCAAGAATAATCACCGGCAGCTGTCAATTGCATTAGCAGCTTCTTCGTAGCCAATCGCCGGACTAGCAGCTGGAAAGTCGGTCACTGAAATGGACCTGGCCGATGATTGCGGCAGATGAAATGGCCGTTCGGAGTGCCTGGTAGTATATGACAGAAAAGTGCGAGTTGTAAAGGGACAAGGATGTTTCACGTGGCTGGTCGATCCGCGACGAGGCTGGCCAGTCACGACGATGATAGATTTGAGAGGATGATCGGTCCGTCTTGTGCAACTTGCCGCATGCGGTGTATCATTACTTCATGTCGCCTATAGAGTGTAAAGCAAAGTAAAGCAATCAAATCGCCTGATATCTACTGTCCAGCGCCTCTTCCAGCGCCAGCTCCGGCCCCGCCACCCATGAATTGTTGTGCCCTGTAGAGAAATCGAGTTAGCAAGCGTCAGACAAATGGCAGGCAAACACTTACAAGTTGGCAATGTTGGGATCCTGCATCATTTGCTGGATCTGGCTCATGTCGGGCATGCCACCGCCGCCGCCTTCCCTGCGGCTGTTCATCATGTTCTGGATGGTGGGGTTGTTCATAAGCCCACTAAGTGCATCGGGATTCCGCATGAGGTTTTGAGCCATCGAGGCAAACATTGGGTTGTTCATGATGCTAGACAGATCCGGCATCCCTCCGCCGCCTCCTCTGCCTCCACCAAGCATACTGGCAAGTCCTGATAGGTCGGGCATTCCTCCTCCCCTGGTGTTGCCAGGAGCATCGTCCACGTCGTCCTGAGGAGGCTTGTTTTCTTCGGCCTCCATCCTAGCCAGCTCCTTTTTAGCGGTCTCCAGGCCTTTCCTCATGGCCTCACTTCCGCCATTGCCTTCAAACTCAATTCCTTTCTCGTACGCTTCCACGCTGCCCTTTGCGTCACCCAGGGCAAACCGCGCCAGTCCCAATCTCGACCACGCCTTGGTGTATTTGGGATCGGCTGCAACGGCAAGCTCTGCATCCTGAACTGCGGATGTGTGATCACCAATCGCAGAGTAGGCAGCCGCTCGGTTGGAGAGGTAGATGGGATTCGTAGGCGAGTGCTTGATGGCTTCGGTGTATTTGGCAATGGCAGTCTGATAGTCTTTTTGCTGCATTGCAGCGTTTCCAGCACTCTTGAGCTTCTCAGCTTCTGGGTTGACGCCTACCGGGCCCGAAGGTTTACTAGCAGGAGTGTCCGAAGGAGCGCCGGCTCCTTTCAATTTCTCGTAGACTGAAAAGATGTTGAGGAGGGACTGCGAGCCGACAGCTTCGGACCGAGCTTTCTGGTCGTTGGGATCGACTCTGAACGCTTCGGCAATGCAGTTCGTCGCGACTTCAATGTTGTCCGCATCGTCGGACGTGAGTGTGCCATCTTTCAGGGATGTCGACAGGAAGTCGATGATTGAAAGCGCAAGACGCTTTTGGGAATCGGAGGGTGGCTACGCAAAGTGAGCAGTAGATCATATCTCGAGGAGACACTTACACACCATTGTACCTCTAAGCACGTATACGCCGATCAGAGGGAGTCAGAAAGCGAAAGTACTTTGCAATAATGGTATAACCTCGAGTCTGTCAAGTTGGGGTCGAGTCTTGTCTTTCACTTGCAAGGCTGCAGCTGCGGCGGGCGTAAACAGTGGCAGGATGATGTAGTTGGCGGACAGCCTCTTCGCTGCCAGTGTCCAGAACTTTCGCCCAGTAAATGACGGCTGTCTGACAGATAAATGTCAAAGGAAAACCATTCACTGTACCAGTGCGGATATTTGTCAATTACCCGTCATTAGAAAATTTAAGATGCCACCCTGGCGCTACTGCTGCAACAACTTCACTTCAAGTTCTGTGCTACGCGTCTCCTTCTGCCTCTCAAGTTGCGGTCGCCTTGCCCTCCCTTGCTGTTTCATGACTGGCCTAAAGCGAGGCTTCTGGGAAATCTTGGGCAATACATCGAATCGTACTGACCGAGCACATTTGGTGTCGCTACATCGAGCAATCTGACGATCCTTGTGTCACGGTCGGTCTTCCACGATCATTACCTAGGTACCCTTCTCGCTCTGGTTTGGGCGCATGTCACAGAGTTGAGAGTCGATGCACCGTCTGGTAGTAACACTAACCTTCAGCTCCTCCGCCGATGCAGAAATAATGGTGATTGGCAAGGAATACTACATATCAACGGACCCTTCCATGCAGAAGCTTAACCAATCGCAGTCCTACCGTACGGCGCGGCTGATAAGGAAACAGACGAAGTCGTGACGATGCTCAGAGGGCAGAAAGAAAAGTCACCACAAACGTGGCTGAGCCTTGCGACCTTTGGCTGGAGAAAATCACACTAGGGAAAGCTTCCAGAAGGGAGAAACTGTATATCGAATCCATTGAACAAGATGACTGTGTCGCCCTTTCTATATTGACGTTCTGGAGCGCGCTGGTTGGAAGACTGAACTCTCAAGTCTGGGGGTGCGAAGGACTTTTTCACTCTGTTGGTTGAGGCCATAATAAATCAAAGGATGAACCAGATCGATCCGATCGCAAAAGAAAATCACCTTTGCAATTCGACGGCACCACGACACCACCCATGTAGTTGATATCACCGGTTTCAGAGGAGGTTTACCGGTTGGCTGACATTCATTCCTCTGGTTTACACAATTTTGTACGGTTCTAGGGCGTTTAACAGAGGAACACAAGTACAGCCAGCATCCTTGCGTAGAATGTGCATTGGAAATGATTTAACACAGTCATGATTAGGCACTTTCCTCTTTCTCGAGTTTTCAATATCTGTCACGTCAATTGTACAGACAACATTGCCTCGATAAGTTTGGCGGTGTTAAGTTGTTAGCAACAAGGGACCAATAGCATGGAAGCTGTCCGGCTGTAAGGGTTTCGTTTGGAGGCTGAGCCCGGAGTAGAACCACTGGCAGCGCGGCAGGATGCGGCAGATGCCGACCCTACCTATGTTGTAGGTAGTAGTAGGGAACTGCCTCAGCCCCATGAGGCTGAGCACCTGTACTACATAGTACTGTACTGCGAGTCCAGTACAGAGAGCCTCTGAGGGTGTCGAAGCTGGAAAGGGCCGCCCCTAACTAACGTCGCCGCTGTCTTTGTTCCACACCTCCACCAACGGTCCGAACCCAGTACACCTTCCCCCGCAAGTGACAGATCTGGTTGAATATACGCACCGACCATCATCGAATAAGCGTGGGCCCGTGCCATAGGCGTATACCCTCCCTTCATCGGTCTCTGACCATGATGCCTCCCACCATGGCGTTGAACAGTCGCACTTTCAACCCAGCCCAACCGGCGAATACTTTCCGCTCTCAGTGGAAACATCCAGGCGATGTCTTCACGATCTTGCTGATTATCGGAGGTGACGTCGTTGCTCGCGCCCTTGCTCAGCTCACGGGCTCTCCTTTCACGCCGGTGGCATTCTCATTCGGTTAGTTGTCACTGGAGGTCTGCATTTGGCAGTAACCCAGCAGAGTAAGTCGGAAAGTTAACTTGTGTTGACGTTAGGTTGGGTGGCTTATGGGGCCTCCGCTGTTGTATCGGCCATCGGCGAGAACAAACTCATGCCGCTGCCGGACTGCAGCTGTATCGTCATCAACGGCAAATCGGGCTATGTGCGCGAGAACATCAGTTGGATCATCGGACGCATTGTGAGGGACTTTGAGGGCTGGAGGGGCCGAAGTGACCCACAGGGTAGAATCCGCGAATGCTTGAACACCATCCTCAACGACCGTTGGGAGCAGGACCGCGCCAAAGCGGAGAAGACAGAACCTGGGTCTGGGGAGAAGGTGGGAAGGCCCATCCAAGCCGGTTTGTGTGTCTCCATATACAAGGCTGGGCCAGCAGTCAAGGGGTGTCCAGGCTACGATCTCGTGTACTGGATGGGCTTTGTCACCACCATTATTCAACTTGGTATCGCCGCCATTCCCTGCGCTGTCTTTGGTGACTGGGGGATATTTCTGATCACCATTGCCGGTATCCTACTCTCATTCATCACCGGGGGCCTGCCACAATGGCGGGAAGAGAAATGGGCGTGTCGAGAGCACTCTGATAAGAACGTCATCTTGACCAGAGGCAACGGAAGTCAACACGCCATTGTCGTCCTCGGTGACGGCAAGGGGTTGGACTTGGAAGACCTAGCCGCAGGCCAGACGAACGTTGACGTCTCTGCTTCTTGGGTCAACCGGTTCTCCATGATCCTGCTCGCCACTCTCTGGATCTTGCTGCTGATCACAGCTGCCGGCATTGAGCAGAACACATGGTTCTTACTTGCCATCGGCGGTCTCGGACTCCTGCAGAATGTCTTCGTTGCCGGATACAGACGGTATCCTGAAGCGTATGGAGTCCCATTGATATTGGAAGACGCGGTCGGCTCACACAAGGTTATGGATGCCTTGTATGCCGTAGAGGAACGATATCCTCAGGTTGGCGCAAGCATGCTAGAGACTTTCTTTCCAGGCAAGCTTCGTCCAGATGAAGAAAAGAAATGGGAGCAATTCGCTGCAGATGCAAAGACGAAGCGTTCTCCCGCTTCGGCCGCAAAAACTAGCGATGGCCAAAATAGTGCCAACATTCCAAAGAATGGTTTTGTCTCTTGAGACGTGTTGGATAAGGTAAGACACATTAGCATGATGTGGTGGTCAAAGTTACAAACTTTGTGGCTTGCGTTAAACGGTTTTGGATAACGGAAAGTATCACCACTCATGGTGTATCACGACTTATTAATTGAGCGAAACAGCTGAGGGTAGAAGAATATGGGGAGTGCTGGCCGCTTCAGTGAGTTCAGGAGAACAGCGTGTTTGGCTTTCTTGTTTCATTTGGTCGGTGTTGAAGTCTGGTGCTCTCGATCTGAACGTTTAAGGTTTGGAAAGCGTCATTTGGTTGCAGTTAGGGAGGCCTTTGGCAGTCTGGAGGGATGGGCACAATTTATGAAAAGAGACAAATGCGCTGCTGTCCTATCGAGTGATTACATGTCGTTGAATACTTCAGAAAGTGGTTCGGGATTGAGCGTTGATCTTTGCGGTGGCATCAAGCCTTTGTTGTTTCCCGTTGGATGATTTTATTTTCAAAATATTAGAGCCAACCCGCAGAATCTATCAGCATACCGGCCTGCATGTGTATAGGCAAAGGTGATGCAGCTGACTTCTCTTTGTGTCCGGAAGTGGTATAGAAGCAGATCTCTGTCGAAGGAGGAATGTAATCAGAATATCTGGTGCGGCTCCATCTCACATCCGAAAGTGGTATCTAAGCAGATCCTTTTGAACGATGTCGTCCTTCTTGGCCAAAAACTCGTCCACATCCCATGTGACGTCGAAGTATCTGTCATTCAGCCTACGGAGACACAAAAAGTGTATTGGTCAGCTGAAGCTTCATTCAAGAGAGGAGATATTAGTAACAGGGTGAAATCAGCCTTACCAATCTCGCCTCTCCTTTGTCAACCAAACAAACGTGTCGGCCGCCAGCTCCGGAGTATCCTTTAGGACCTCATGCATGAACTCGGGCGTAGTCAGGCCCAACACGGTAGGCACACCGCCAGGATGGATAGAATATGCAAGGAGACCCTGGCCAGCATATTCAGCAACGAGGAAATTGTTCAGCCGCAGAACAGCCTGCTTCGCCGTCTGGTACGCGCTGCCGCCCGGAACGACCGCGTGCGCACCGATGCTTGAAACCGAAATGATGGTCTTGTCGCCGCCCTCGGTTTTCAGCAGCAGGGGGATCAGGGCGCGATCCATCAAATAGACGCCCTTGACGTTGACTTCGAATGATCTCCACCAGTCGACGGGGTCAGAGGTAGGGTCGGCGATCGGCTTCCACTTCTCGAGGTAGCCGGCGTTGTTGATCAGGATGTCGAGTCGGCCATTGAATTCCGCGGCGAGCTTGTCTGCCGCCGCTTGGACTTGTGATTCGACGGTCGTATCGGCCGTTAGACACAACACTTTTGGACGGGCACGGCGGCCTGTGGCCTCAGCGGCGGCGTAGAGTTCCTCTGCAAGTGATGATAAGGCCGATTCGGATCGGGCTAGCACCGCGATCCCGCTGGCTCCTGCTTTGGCGTAGGATCGAGCCGTTGCTCGTCCGATGCCCTTGGATGCGCCGGTCATGAGCACGTATTTCCCGGACAGGTCGGCTTTGAGTGGGTCGATTGCGGGATATGTGTCGTGGTGGACGGTGGGGACGAAGTTTTGGACTTTCAAAAGGTGTCAGTCAGCCCGTCTCTGTTATGGCCTTCCGGGCTCGATTCTTTGCTTACGTCGTCTCAAATCGAGTTGTGGGACCTCCATTGTTCCTCGAGGTCGAATTGGTCGTGATATGTGTGCGCGTGTTCGTGTGTGTATATAAGCACGCGTTCTGGTCGGCTACTCCTGTCCGAGTACACGATGGCCGGTTCCGTGTCTTATATCTGTATACACCGGACTTGCAGGGTCCAGATTGGGATGACAGGAAACTCCGTGAGCATCCTTGACCTATCTCCGCCATGGGCAGGTAAGCGATATCTCCTGAGACATTATTATTAATCCACGGAAGGGCGTGCTCAGAAGCTGTCCCAGAGAGTGTAATCATCACTTGCATTCACCCCTTGCCAGCGATGGTTGTTTCTCGATTCGTCAGCTCAAAGTCCTACCTAGGTAGTAACGGGGCCCGGGTTCGGGTGGGAAGCCACCGAGCAGCAGCAGCAGCAGCATCACGCAAGCTCATTGTTTCCGAGTAGTGGTGAGTTGTCGATATGATGGGTTATCAATGTCACTGTCAGTCCTACCTCATCATCTTTCGATGTTGTCTCGTCACCAAGGTGATTGTAACACCTCGAGGCTACCGCCCCGGCCAGCCTTGAGAACTGCAAGCCCCTGACATGAGCAGGTTGCGGTGTCTGCAAGGCGTGACATGCGTCAGTATGTACATGTCGGCTCGCTGCACTTCTGGCTCAACACATTTCACATGATTCCACGTGCCGTGGCATAGGATACCTCAGTCAGTGCAGTGGTTCACATACATCTACAATGTAGGTGACTTGTTCGCTGATCAAGCTGACAGATGCGAAGTCCGACTCCACGATGCCCCGGAAATTCTCCGGATGCTATAGTTGACAAAAGAGCTCTAATTTCTAGATCTCCACGTGATATGCTGACTAAGCAGATGCATCTCGAACTCCGAGTCGGATCATGGTATCTCCCTCTTGGCAATCACCAGACGTCTCGGTTCCAAAGCGTCCTACTAGTACTCCCCTGCCGACCAGGTACATGTATTTACTAATATAGTACTGTACCTGTACCAGTAGGCGTGAAACCAGCCACCTGGAGTTCATCTCAAGTGAAGAGAGATCCTGGAATGCCGACCGCTGTACTCGAAAACATTAGGAAACGTGCATATACCCTGCGGCAGGAGATGATGCTTCCTTGTTGATTGAAAATGATATCCTCTGGTACGGCGTCAAAATATGTATTGGCCATGCGGCGTGCCTCGAATCGCCGCATATCATGGTCCCCAACCCCTCCTACAAGTCGAAAGCACCGAGGACGGAGACAAATCACAAAATGGGTCGCGCGAGATAGAAGCAACCGAGGACCAAAATGCCTCCGGGGCGGACGCGCTGGTGGACGCGATCCTCGACTTACAGGTGGCGCGCAATGATCACTTCTTCGCAACAGTCACCGCCTCCAGACTGGATCTATGGAGCACCCGACCACTTGTCCTGTTAGTGTCGTTGCGCCGTTCATCGCGGTCGCTCAAGACGTACGGTCACAATGTCTCCGTCGTTTTCAAGCCAGATTCCACTTGTGTCGTGTTGCGCACCTCAGAAAGCTATCTTATCGTTTATTCGGTGGACGGAGACCCGAACACCCGAGTCCTCCAACAGCAATACGGTTACAGCCAAGCCAAACGACAAAACCTGATGCGAAGTTTTGGTGTTGATGAGACGGCCGGTGTGGGTGAGGTTCTTCTCCGCTTTCGCCGGGCCATCAAAATCGATGCAGGAATTCATTCTGTTGTCGCCCTTGGTTCAGAGTTGGTTGTGGCCACGACGAAACCCGCCGCTGTGCAATGTATCAGATGGGAGCCCCAAAAAGATGGGTCTCATGCCGTGACGCAGCTGTTGACTAAGTTGGAATGGATTGGTCATAAGTCGGCCATATTGGCAATAACCCATGATCGAGCAATGAATCTCTCGGTCTGGTTATCACAGGATGGTTATGGTTATGCCGTGCAGCGAGTGAAACCGCAGCTGGTACGGCCAGCATCGTCAGAGGACTCGCTCCCACCATCAAGAAGTTCTACGACTCCGCCAACTCGATTGTTTGACGGGTACTGTTTCCATAAACCGGACACTTTAGGGGAAGCAAGACTCGCGAGCATAAACGCACGCTTCTCGCTCATCGCTGTCGCAACATCTGCCGGGGAGATTGTTTGTTATGCCGCCAAAGACTACGTGGGCAACATTCCTTTGTCTCACACGTTCAAACCCCCCGCCTCGCCCACAGCACGAGGAGCAGTCACCTGCCTGGCTTGGTCGTCTGACGGATATTGCCTTTTCGCTGGGTACGAACATGGATGGGCTATGTGGTCAGTCTTCGGTAAAGAAGGTGCCTCGACCTTTCATATGAATTTATCCCATGCAGAATCAAACAATGAAGACTGGCTTGCTGCCGTGCATCGCGCGAGTTGGATCAGCGGTGGATCTGAAATCCTCATCACATCCCCTGGACAGGGGAGGATATGGAAACTCCAGATGTCAAGGAGTGCGGCAATGGGTTGCTTCTCATGCGCAAACCTTGTTCGTGCTCTGCTTCAGACACCGACCGAGTTGACGGTCTATCGGGGTCACGAGCTGCCTGATCTAACATCCATATCGAACGAGGCATCACTGTGGCATCATGTCCAGTATCCGCCTCTCTATCTTCATAACCAGTGGCCCATCAAGTCCAGCGTCATCTCTCAAGATGGCAGATACGTCGCGGTTGCAGGTCGCCGGGGACTCGCTCATTACAGTCTCCAGAGCGGCCGATGGAAAAGCTTTTCTGACGTGGCTGTGGAAAACTCATTCGCTGTCCGAGGCGGCATGTGTTGGTTTAACCACATTCTCGCCGTCGCTACCGAGAGTGCCTCAGGGTACGATTTGCGACTCTACTCTCGCGAGCTTGAGCTCAGTCGGTTCCCACTTCATACTGAAGCCTTCTCCATGCCAATCGTCTTTGTCGGACCGTCAGGCGAGGATTCTCTACTCGTGTACACCTACGAAAACACTCTTTACCACTATATACTCAACATTACAGCTCGAGGCGCACAGCTTGTGCAAGTGGGCCAAATTGCCTTTCACGGCATCGTTCAAGCCCCGAGTCGAGTGCGGTCCGTGAGCTGGGTTCTACCGGATTCGCAATTGCGGAACGGCGACCCATCCCGGGACGTGGAGTACGCATCTGTCCTGTTTCTGGTTGATGACAAGCTGGTGCTTTTGCAGTCGTCGCGCAATGAGAAGGACGAACTGAAATACGATATGCGTGTGACCGCCCACCATGTCGAGTACTACATTCTCATGAGAGACCAGATCTACTTCAATTTCACTAGCGGGCAAGAGGAATCGGCGCCTCCCACACCGTCCGCCAGCTCGACATTTGCTAGAAGCGGCAGCAGCAGCCAGCAACAGTGCTCACTGCGGGATTCGCTATGGATTTTTAATGGCGATGAACTTCGACTCTGGCTTGACGTGCGTGATCTATTCAACAACCAGGGTGGAGAAGGCGATCGTGGTCGCGATCATCATCTTACCGCAACTAAGTCGCCAACGCTGCTTTCCATGCCAGTAGACTTCTACCCGCTATCAATTTTGTTGACCAAGGGCGTCGTGCTGGGCATCGAATCGGAGCTTCTCCAACGGCGCGATGTCAACTTCACCCAGTTCCGCTCTGGAATCCGCACACAGCTTTTCCTCCCTTATATTTTGCGCCATCAACTGTGCGAGGCCAAAGATACCGCAGCAGCCTTTGCGCTGGCTTACCAGTACCAGCACTTGTCGTACTTTCCACATGCGCTGGAGATACTACTGCATAATGTCTTAGATGATGAGGTCGACCGGACCAGGAAAGCGAAGCGGCGCATCGTTAACAGCAACAATGACGAACAGGTCGAAGCGCCAGACCAAGACCCAGGCCCCTTGCCCGCTGTACTGTCCTTTCTTCAACTCGTCCTCCCACCGACAACATATCTATCCACCGTGGTCCAATGCATCCGCAAAACCGAACTCAGTTCCTGGAAAACACTATTTGCCCACCTTCCACCGGCATTGACCCTCTTCGAACAGGCTCTTGATCTCGAAGATCTCAAGACCGCCACGGGGTTCCTGATTGTGCTTCAGGGTCTAGAAGAGGATGCGGACGACGAATCAGGCACCTACGACGCTCGCAAGGACAAGTTCGAAGGCTACGTGATTCGCCTGATGAAGCTGGCGCGGCAAAAGTCGGATTTCGAGCTGTGTTCCGAACTCGCGCGGTTCATGATGGGCATTGATCCGCAAGGTGATGCTCTGAGACGCGTCGTCGTCGGTGTTGGGTTCACGACCAACAATAACAATAACAACGATCTGGCTGCTGCTGCTGCTGCTGCTCGTCTCAATCCCAATCGAACGGCTTCGGGGGTTCACGTTGCGTACAACGATATGCCAAACCCCTCGCCTACAGCAAGGCAGAAAATAGAAGGTGACACCAGAGCTGCTTCTCGGCAGAGTATTTCAGCCGGCGGGGATTACTTTTCCTCGTCTCCTAGCGCGATCTAACTCTAAGTGGCTCTCGCGACGGGAAAAAAGAAAGGGAGGGGTTGGGGGAGTAGAGTAATTGTGAAACTGAACGAACGTCGGTCGTCTTGTCATGGCGCCCAACACGGATCAGAAGTGGTCAAGGTATAGAAGAGAATTTGGGTTCCTGGTCAGTGTTGGCGGTGGGATTTTGTTCTTTGTATTTATCTTTTTCGCCCAAAAAAAGAGGAACGAAGACTTTCCAAGATAGCTATCTACACATTCGAGGGTTGTCCCGGTCTGCTTACTGTAAAGCCGTACCGTGCAATTTCAAGAATTCCTGGAGTCTGTTATATTGTGATGCTCCCTTCCACCGACTGAACCTTGGGTTGACATTGGACCTTTTCCCAAAACGAGGATTCCACTAGTTTACTTTCGATGTCAACAAATGACTTGCAATGAACCCAGGCTTCACGTGAGAACGTGCCATGTTCTCATTTTGTCTTTTGCATACTTCCCATCCATTGTACACCGTGGACAATGCAACATACCGACAAACCCAGAGCACACCAGGGAGAAGACGACAGCAACGCAGGTATGTATAAACTACAAGTGTCGAAATGGTAGCGGGGCGCTTTCTCTTCCTTTGCAATTCTGGGTGCTGTGCCCAGCTCATCCCAACCGCCGCACCTTGGGACTCCTGGTGCCTCCGAACTTGAGACGTGTGGAATCCGTAACCTTCGAAACCAAAGGTTTGATCATGCGGCCCTCAGTGCCCAAAAGGGCCTTTTGAAACGCCTCTCTGCCGGGCCCGTATCCTCGCATGATGACCTCTATCCCCGCACCTCCAGACATGGCGCCGGGCTTGCGGACATCGGCCAGTGTCAGCATAGGATTAGAAGTGTTTTTCTTGCCGCCAATCCGCCACTGTTTCTCGGCCATTTTGCGGAACGTGTAGCTGGCCAACTGGTAGGAGGCGTCATAGGAGCTGCGCTGAGCTTTCCGCAGACCCAGGTTGCCCGTCGACAGCGACAGGATCGGGTTCCGCGACGGCTCCGTGAACGTGATGTGGGTGTTGTGCTTGTGCGCATATACCGTCAGGTGGTACGGCTCGTCGGCCGAGACTCGAGCGCTTGGTCGTGTGGCCGCTTCGTCGCGCGCGCTTCGTGCAATCGACCTCAAGTCGCCGCTCAATAGCGAACTGAGATCCTCGGAGGATGAGGTTGAGGTTGAGGAAGAAGTCGTCTTGCTTGGTTTGCGTAGTGCTTCGGCGATCTGGTCGAGTGCCTGCGGTTCGGCTGGAGGCGTCTCTGGTTCAACTCGGATCCCTAGTCTTTCGGCCAGACTGCTCGGCTCGTGACTGTGGCGTGTGCTTGAAGAGGTATTTGTGTTGCTGGATGCGTAGCGTCGTGTCTGTGTCTGTGTCTGCGTCGACATGTATGTCCGCCGACATGATCGACACATGGACGAGATGATACTGCTGGGGCGTGACATCTTGACAGAAAAAGGAGTGGGTATCCTGATATCGTGCAACAGGAGGTCAATCGGATGCAGTAATGTCCTCCTGGTAACAGTAGCTATCATAAAGAACTCCCTCAGATGGGGAGTCAATTGGCGTGATGGCTGTGACTTGCAGTGCAAATGCAAATTTAGTCCAAGAGGAAGCTTTGCCGAAGTGTCTACCTTAGTTTTCCGTCCGTTGATAATCCGATGCCGCATTCAACATCCATGAACAAGCTCGGTCTCATTTTTTTCCTACCAGCGGCGCGCCCAATCTCTTCTGTCGCCGAGCGCTTGTAAAGGTCTATCTGCTTAGCATGATCGTACCACGTCGTGCACCGTTACATGGTGTCCGTCAGTATGTGACAGCCACCATGCCTGTCGCCACGTTGCGACCGGCGCAATTTGGACCTGGAAGAGCAGCCGCCATCAGGAGTTTAATCAGGTCCGAGACCAACTCACAACCCTCTCTCGTCTCTTCGTCATATATCACACCATTCTCCCCGAAGCTCACAACATCGAATCATACCCTCCTCCGATCTCTACATACTTCTCCACAGCGATATCAGCAAACGCAGGCCAAAGACGAGCCCAAACAAGATGTGAAGGATCCGCCGCGGGACGAACAGCCGAAGCAGGAGGCTGGAGAGGGAGGCGAACAAAAGACGGACGAAACGAAGGATGAAAAATCAGGCAAAGAAGAGAAGGACTCGAAGCCTCCACCACCGCCACATGGTGACAAAACTCCGTGGCAGGTATTCACCGAGACTCTCCGTAACGAGTTCAAAGCATCAAAAGAATGGAACGAATCTACCAAGCAACTTTCTGGGTCTGTCCAACAATTTACAGAGTCCGAGGCTGTCCGGAGAGCACGTGAGGCCTCGGAGGCCGCCTCCAAGGGTACCTCTCAGGTACTGAAGAGCACAGGTCGTGCCATCGGCAAAGGCGCAGCATGGACCTGGGACACAAAAGTGGTGCAAGGACTGAGACAGGGCGTCAATGCTACGGGGCGAACGATTGAAAAGGCCACCCGCCCCGTAAGGGAGACAAAGGCCTTCAAAGAGATCCAGGAAGCTGTTGATGATGGCAGTAGTACGAGATACGGCGGCTGGATAGAAAAAGAGGAGCGACGGAAGAGAAGAGAAGCCCTCAGAATGAAGGAGGAGAAAGAGGGCAAGCGCGCTCCTGCCGAGCCATTGGTTGAAGATCCAAAGTAAGTCGAACAGAATGTCTGGCGACCTCTTTTGCTAACATGAACTTCAGTGCTGGAACAAACATCACCGTCCACAAAGATGCAGCTTGGAAAGAATCCTGGAACAAATTCAAAGAGAACTCCAAACTGATGCAAGGATTGTTCAACATGAAGACGACCTACGAGGAGTCAGAAAACCCATTGATCTCCACGGCTCGGTCAATCTCGGATCGCGTTGCAGGTTTCTTCGCAGAGAACGAAACGGCGATGGTGATTAAGAAATTCCGCGAAATGGACCCGTCATTCCAGCTGGAACCCTTCCTGCGAGACTTGCGAGAATACATTCTCCCCGAAGTCTTGGACGCGTATGTCAAAGGCGACGTCGAGACTCTAAAGCTCTGGCTGTCAGCAGCCCAATTCCAGGTTTACTCGGCCCTCATGGAGCAATACACCAAAGCAGGGTTGAAATCGGACGGACGGATCCTTGATATCAGACATGTCGACATCTTAAACGCCCGACTTCTGGAGCCCGGCGACATTCCAGTGTTTATCATCACTTGCCGCACTCAGGAAGTGCACGTGTACCGTCATAAGGAAACCGGCCAACTTGCCGCTGGTATGGAGGACAAAGTGCAACTAGTCACATACGCCATCGGCATGACCCGACTACCGGAGGAAGTCAACAATCCTGAGACCCGTGGATGGAGAATGATCGAACTGCAAAAGGCAGCTCGCGATTACATCTGATCGAGAATTTCATGTCTCTGTTGGATGTTGCTGTTACAGGAGGCTTCGAGAGATCACAGACGGTGTGTACTGCATTTAGCGATCATTCTGGATGTGGAAAAAGGAAAAGAGTGGTTTCTTTCTTTTCTCTCTTGTCATTTCATCTCGTGGAGCAGAACTGCAAAACTCTCCTGTCTTGTGTACATTTTTTCTTACAATATGGAGAGGTGCTTTGGGCCACAAAGGTGCCATGGAAATCGGTTCCAATTTGTGCAATGTATTTCTATCCTCTTTTCCAGGGGCACGACATATCGGACAGGGTGCGGTATGGTTGCGTCGGCGACAGATAATGCTTTGGGATCGGAGGAGGATTGATTGGAGGAGTTCGAACGGCTGCTAACATGTCCAGCCTGGGGAACTCTCTGAGTGTATCTCTTCATCGGAATGAAGACCGAGAAGCACAGTAAAAATCATAATCTCTTCGATACGCCGAGTCGTGCTGGTACACAGTACAACGTTGTGGGTGTGGCTGCTTCTCCATCTCCCCGAATCACGTAAAACTGCGGCTGAACACTTGTGGCTGATGTCGTGTGACTGACATCTACGTCATTGCTCCATGTCACTGATGTAGTGATGCATGTGGTGGCAGGATCGGATCCAGGCATCAGCAAAGTTACTTGACTGGCAGGAGTAGTACATGACGAGGACGATAGTGCATGTTGTTAAATAAAGACTTCCAATCTCGCACCATATTTTAATTGTCCTGTCCGACTTTATAGACTTGACGAACTGAACTGAACTTCTCACCCATAAAGACCCAGGCCGTTGCATACTGTCTGTTGTCTGTATACAGTACTTGTTATCAACCAACCATGCCTCTTGTCGTCCCCGGCATCAACTCCAACGACTCCGGGTCATCCACTGACTCCTGGATGTCCAAGCTGATGGGCAAGAAACTGTCGGACAACCAGACCAACGAAACCAGTTTCGCAAAGAAGGATCTTCCGCAGAACCACCGCGTCGTCGAGGAAGGGGGGATGATGACCATGGATCATAATCCTGATCGGTAAGTTAAGGTATCCAGAGTACCTACCTTAATCCTGCGGAGCGAGTGTAGCGGAACCTTAGGAGGTTCTAGTCTAGTCAAGACAGCTACGATTCGTGGGCGGTCCAGTCAGACGTTCGATACAACTACAGATACTGACATGATGTGATGTGATGTTGTGGTATAGGCTTAATATCCATGTTGATAAGGATGGGACTGTGAAGAAGGTTACTCATGGATAAACGACAAGAAACGGATTGGATTACCCACCTTGGGCTTGATTTCGGATGACCACTGGGAGACCGTCGGGGAAGGCCTTAGCAACGAGTCCACTACCTGGTATTATGATATGGCATGAGTAACAAAGCTACGAAATTACAAAGACACTGGCATGAAGACGGGAGGTTCAGGTTTCTGCAGCATATCAGAATAAATTTCCAATGCTCGTACACTACTACTACATCCTCCCTCTGTATGATCGTACACACTAGGACCATCTGTTGACTGGACGGAGGAAAAAATGGCTTCACCAATATCTAGTGGTATTTCACGACGGATGGTAGTACTGGCATGATTCTGCATTCCATCGCTACCGGCGATCTGCTGGCCGAAAGACCTGCTGCCTGCACCGAACTCGTATAATTGTGTGTTCCTATTTATTCGTGTTCAAGATCCAATAATGCTTTGGATCAGACTGGCCAACCTTCTTAAGCAGCCGTGCTTTGAAGATCACCGAAATCAGACAATCCTGGGCTGGCAAGAGTCGTGAGGCGGCAAGCTGTCCACTGTCGCAAACAAGAATCGACTGAGCATACCGGCCAGTATTTAGCGTCATCATCGATAAGACCATACAGTTGTGTAAAGCCCGGTGGATGGCTTCCAAGCTTTTGTGTCTTATGGCATTGTAACTTGTATATCAAGGATTGAAGACCCGGGCATTGTTGTTCCTTTGATTTCAAGGTAGCTGTAGTAGATGGAAGCATCAACCTTAAACCTCGATGGGGGTGCTGGGATGGACGGTAGTTTGACTCGTGGTGCCATATGGCAAACCCCTGATACCAAGAAACCTGAACAAAGCGCAAAGAAGCATGGCTTTCGGTATGCATGAGAGCCTGCTTTCGGCAGGCGAACAAAGTTCTTCAAGCGCATATGGTTGCCAAGTCGTGCCCATGCGCCCATGCCGTCGAACTGGTACGTCATTTTCGCGTGAGAGCGATTCAGGCGTAAGCCTATTGCCACAAGAGTTCTCCAAGCAATGATAGCTGCAAGACATGGCAAAGACCTTTCATCTCGGAGGCAGTTGGACCACGTATTCTCTGGTAGAATGGCCGAATTTGATAACGTCCTTGTCCCTCAATTCCACATATCGGCCTTCGGGTATGGCTTCATCGTTGACCTTTGTCCCGTTCGCACTCTCCAAGTCAATCACATAAGGCTTCACTTTGCCAATTTTATCGCCAAACTCGTTCCTGCGCTCAATATACCGGAACTGTATGACAGCATGTTGTTTTGAGCAGCTCGGATGCTCTAGAGCATAGTCGCAGACGGACACCTCTCTTCCAAAGAGCCAGCAAGACTGGGTGTACAAATCCAAGGTATCCAGTATTTCGTCTCCTTTAAAGACATACAATCTCCATGTTTGCGAGGAGGGTGGTTTTCTCGCCTCAGGAGGCTCATGGTATTTGAGGACTATCGCGCCGCTAGACGTTGCGACCGTGTTGGCGACTTTCGCGAGCAAGCCTGACGGCCGAAAATTCGGCTTTTGTTTCTCTGGGGCGGGAGACGGGCTGTCCTTGTTGGTGGTAGTTTTGAATGCGTCGACCTGCGACGGGAGAGGACCCTTTGAGCGCTGAAAAGCCTCAGGTGAACGCTTCCGACGAGGAGACCGAGATCTTGACCGCGGCCGACGATGGTGACTCCGCCTATCTCTACTTCGCTCCCTTCTATGCTCGCTCTTTTCCGGGCTTCGTGACCTCCTTCGTGCTCGATCTCGATCTCGGTCTCGACTCCGACTTCGACTTCTTGACCTGTGGTGTTTCCTCCTCGCTGACCGATCATCGTCTTTGCGCCATCGGTCGTCCTCCCTGACCGCACACCGTCGACGGTCATCAGGAGATCTCGACTCCCGTGCGCGCCGGCGCGGAGGCGAGTTGGATTCAGACATTGGTTGCGGATTAATATGGACTTTTTGTGCATGGCCAGATGTTGAGGAAGTCGGCTGAGTTTCCCCATTTCGAGCCCCGGTCTCGGCGATTAGTGGTAGACGCCGATGGCTGACTTCACGACTTCCCGTCCGAGTCTGCTCGCTTGACCACTTTACTCTTCCAACACATGTTATTCTTGACACCACTGAACAGTCACGATGCCATCTTCTGTGTTGAAAAAGGCCAATCTGGCCTCCGTATATTCCACATGGCAATGCAGCGCGTGCGGTAGCGGTTCGGTGTCTCCTCGCAAAAGAGTAAAGCCGAATCCCCAATTCGCCCCACAGTCGAGAACATACGCGGACGTCAATCCAGGTACTATTGGGCACGGGCATGAATATCGAGATCATATGAATTGGCCTTGTCGGAAATCGACACCTTTCACTCCCTCACCGTACGAGATCTTTGATTTGGCAAAGAACGCCGTCTACCACAAACGCAAATTCTATGAGTTGGCAAAGATATATCATCCGGACACGAATGCGTGCGAAGGAATCAGTCACCGGGAGAGGCTAGAGAGGTATCGACTGGTGGTACAAGCGCACGAGATATTATCGGATCCGGCGAAGAGACGGGCATACGATGCGTCGGGAGCGGGCTGGGGGTCGACTCGAGTGGCGAACGCGAACCGTCGCTCTCGTGGATTCAGCAATGGTCACGGCAAGAACTATGGCTTTGGACCTGATGACGACTCATCCATCTTCCGGAATGCAACGTGGGAAGATTGGGAGCGCTGGTACCGACGACACGATAACCCGAACAAACAGGCATACTCAGGCACATATGTCCACCAGAACACGTTTGCCTCCATCGTTATCCTCCTTGCGGTCATATCAGGAGTCTTTCAGGCAACGAGGGCGGGCCAGTACTCTGGGCAATTGGAAGAAAAAGTGAAAGCATATAACGAAAAGACGACGCAGTTCCTGGCATCAAGACAGGAGCACTATCAGGAGCACCAGCTCGACGTGGAGGGGCGTATCAAGCACTTCCTGGCCAAACGTGACCCGTCTAAGTATGGATTGAAAGACGAAGAGGCCGAAGCATATCGGAAACATTTTGCAGAACAGAACGACATGAGGCCAAGTCCGCGATTAAAAGACCTGGAGCCAGAGTTAAAATGACAGAGCACCTCGTGCACTCAAATATACAAAACTAAAACGACTGATGATTATCCCTTCGAGACAACGACCATACGGACAATGCCGTAAATGACACCTACTAAAATCCACACTTTGAGGGCAACAGAACGAGGAACCTGGATGTGGTAGTTCTTCCATTATGTTCATATCGCACATGATCAGAACCTGACCAGTGTCAGGGTTTCATTGATGATTATTGTACAAGGGAAATGCCAGCTTGATCCCTAGTAGCATGATTTGCATGGATCAACATGGGACATGCTGTTTCATCAAAATGTGAAGCAGTGTTCCCGCTTTATGAAAGCTTTCCCTTGACTTCCGCTGCTTTTCCCTTGGCCTCGCCGGACAGTTCGGCGGCTTTGCCTTTAGCTTCACCAGCGATCTCCGAGGCCTTCCCTTGGGCCTTTCCGGTCTCGACACCGGCGACTTCGGCGGCTTTGTCTTTCAGCTCGACTGTAAAATGGATCATGTTAGCTCGACGAACTAGCAAGTGGCAAAAACTGGGCTGGTTGGACATACTTGTCTTGTCGATACCGGTGACAGCGGCGTCCGAAACAACACGGTCGACCTTCTTCAGGCCATCCTTCACGGCTTCAGTGGCTGATTTTTGATGGACAATCGCGGTGGAGAAGAGACGAGGCGACTGCTGAAGGGCAGTTGCTCTGACAGCAGTTCGCAGAATTGGTGTGGTCTGGTAGAGGAACGACATGTTGGTGAGGTGTTTGTGTTTGTGTTTAGTCTCGAGATTCTGTTCTTTTCGGGTTTCGGGACTGATTTGAGAGTGTTCGCAGGTATAGCTTTGGGTTCAGATAGGTCAAGGACAATAATAGTCGAGCGAGGGATGAAGGTGCAATATGAACACTGAATCATAGGTACGTTACCATTGAATCATAGGTACGTTACCATGAGGAAACTGGCCCGTCGTAAATGGCTCCGACGTCATAGGCGTGACACCACGGCGCCTGGACTGCATCATTGGGGAATCATTGCCCCCACAACAGTCGTCAGGACAGGTGGCTGTCTGGCTGGAGGATGTTCTACGATTTGCACTGAATATCTCCCGTTGGCGTGCTAAATACGACTGTCTGTCAAGATCGTTCCAGCCTTTTGAATGTGAGCCCCCCACAAGCTTGCCTTCTAGTAACACTTTTCCAGGCGTAGCAGCGCACTGGCAGGATGGCTTGCCAAAGGGATGAGGCTTGCGGATCCCTCGACGCCCATATACTGATGTCACACTGCAGACACGGACTCTTCACATGCTAAGGTGCGATATTGTTACTCGGTAACGAAGTACACGGAACAGGTACAATGTTGTACTTGTACCTAGGTAGTGCACGATCATAAATGGCGGGCACGGAACATGGAAGAAACATCCTCCAGTGCTACAGCCACTTTTGCTGTGTTGGGCTGAAGATCATCTCAGTGTTTACAATGTACCTTATGTTCTACGCCGGCCGACATCTGGTGCCAACAATCCTGCAGGTGTCAAGTTGTCGGAAAGAAAGACTCGGACGAGATCGCAAGGCTGCCAGTGTCATATATCATTAACCTGCATGCTGACAGGGATACCAACATCATGCACAACACTGTACAGGACATTATCATTCAGCTTTCCAGGCGCGCGTAACTCAACTCAATCAGTCATCAATGTCATTAGGATAAGGCGTTTGTTGATGAACAACCATTAACCACTTCCCAGCCTCGGGATCCTTCCTCCACGTACTGGAGATGAGGGCCCTGAATTCATCTTGCTCCTCATCATCGTCCTCTGCGACATGTTGTCTTGTTGCCACAACTCGATAGCTGATGATGGCGGCCTCTGTCCCGAGAGGCGTGACTTCCACGTCGTTGAGTCGGTACCGTTTCCACGGTATGAATGCTTCGCTCCTCATCACGTCTTCGAGGTTCGGAGATGTTTTGGCCGATACCTTCATGCCCATTGGGAAGAGCATAATGCAGTCATGGCTGAGAAATGGAAGAAGCGCCGTGCCTGAGTGCTTCAGGGCTTTCCAGGTTTGATCTTCAAGTGCTAGGATCGTGTCATGGAGTAGCGGGTTCATTGTTGCGGATGCAGCCGAAGGACACTTTGCGCGGGAGTGGTCGGCTTGCCAGTACTAGTATCGTGGATTCAGTTCGTTCAGGATCGTGACGAGGGTTCTGTTTCGAAGGAGATATATATTCTCAAATAGACTTGTTTAGATGATTTGCTGGACTATACAGAATAATTGGAAAGTGGTGCCTCGAGCCTGGACGGTTTGCTTTTTCTTTGCTACCTAGGTGTGTAGGTATGGTCTGATGAGATGGCGTGGAACCATAGAACCAAAGACTTATTAGGTAGGCCTGACTAAAGGTCACCACCGCCTGCTAAGCTTAAAACCTGACCTCTGCCCGGCCGTTTCTAAGCGCAAAGCGACCTCGGGCCCTCCCCGCAGTCATCCCCAAGGCTTGGTCCTACAGGATATTGAAAACATCAGACAGCAACAATCATCATGTCTTCCGTAGAACAGCAGCAGTCTACCATCACCAATCATGCGAGCTGTCCCAGCATGGAGGGCAGCAACCGTGGTTCGGGCCTACGGCCTACGATACCGAAGTTACTCTTCTGCTCCTCCAGCATCCCCAATTAAAGTCCAATACCAACCGGCTGCTCACTCGGGCAACATTCGCATCCTGCTGCTGGACCGCCCGGAAGCAAGAAACGCCCTATCGCAAGGCCTCATTGCTGAGCTGAGGCGCCATGTGGACGAAATACAAGCGGAAGGAGGAAAGGGCTCAACGAGAGCGCTAATCCTGGCTTCCAATACAGACAAGGCATTCTGCGCCGGAGCGGACCTGAGGGAGAGAAGGGGCATGAGTTACGAAGAGTGCGCAGTTTCGCCAGGTCCATGATAGACTTAAGAGTTAATGCCTCACAGGACGAGGGCTTTCCTCACAAACATGAGAAATACCTTTACCGATCTCTCGAATCTTCCCATCCCTACTATCTCCGCCATCTCGTCCGTAGCACTCGGCGGAGGGCTGGAGCTGGGGCTTTGCACGACTCTACGGGTGTTCGGGTCTTCAGCCATCGTTGGCCAGCCAGAGACCAAGCTGGCCATCATCCCAGGGGCGGGAGGAACATACAGACTGCCTGCATTGATCGGAGTCAGTAGGGCACGAGACCTCATTCTGACGGGCAGAAGGGTCAGTGGGCCCGAGGCATATTTCCTCGGATTGTGCAACAGGCTGGTAGAGATCTTGCCGGAAGATGAAAAGGAGGAAGGCAAGGCGCGTCAAAAGGTCCTCGATGCTAGTATACAACTTGCCCACGACATTTGCGAGGGTGGTCCGGTTGCTGTGATCCAGGCACTGCGAGCCGTCAATGGATGGCAGAGGGGAGAGGCTGCTGAGAACGAGGCATATGAGGTCATTCTAAACACCAACGACAGAGTGGAAGCTCTGAAGGCCTTTGCAGAAAAGAGAAAGCCAGCATTTAGAGGCTCTTGAGGCAAATATATCCATGGCGTTGCCTTGCTGCGCTACACCAGATATTCCTAGACCACAGCCAGGAGGCCATTAGGAGAATGTGTTCTAGCACAATGACAAGGCACGGTACGTCGAACACCGAGTCTGGACTGTAGAGTCACACATTGTTCCAATACTGTAGTACGGAGGTGATGAAGCCCAGGTGGACGCGATAGGAAGATGTGTTGAAGATGATGCTTCGCATGACGCTGGGGCATTTCCAGGCTGTTCAGCCTGTACTTGTTGACTAGTCGTTCCCATAAGCCACACCACAGCAGTGTGCTCCATATATATAGTTGACACTGCCTCAACGTCAACACTACAAAGGTAAACGAAATCTCCTGGTGCGTACACCGGGGCGGCTTCTGAAACAGCCCGATTTTACGCTCGCCTGTCTGCCGCCTTTTTGAGTTCTTTGTGTAGTTAGTTCAGGTGCATGGCAGTGCAGTGCTTGCTTGTTGCTGCGATGTTGGCCGCAACCACGCTCTGGTCAACAGGCTGCAGGGTCACCTGCGCCCTCCCTTATGACTGTCTCAGGCGTGAACCGCCTTTCCAGGCGGCGGGCAAAGAAGCCTTTGGCTTTGATATGTCCCGGTGAGCTCCTTTAAGTGTTCAGGTATTCCTCTCCTTGCTCTCTATGCTTGTGGCTGTTGGACCTCATTGCTTCTGCGCATATTCCCACCTCGTCGAATCATGAGTACCGCGGGGAAGCAAGTTGTACAGTATGGTCTCACAGAACTATACGCCGCCGAGGAACCTTTGGTGGACATCGTGTTCGTACATGGTTTGAATGGTCATCCTCGCGATACCTGGTCTACCTCCAAACCCGAAGTCTTCTGGCCGGCCGACCTCCTTCCTGCTGCCCTGCGAGATCAAAGACCTCGAATCCTGACATACGGCTATGATGCGACTGTTGCTGCCTTCACAGATGGAGTGTCAAAAGACAAGATACATGATCATGCAGAACACCTGGCCAGTCGGCTGGTTGCCAACAGAGCTGTAAGTGTTGGACAAATTCTGCTGCGTGCAACATTGTCAGCCATCGAGAGCCGTCGGCCAGAGTGTTGGAATGCTCCCCAGTTGCTGACAGCTAAAACAGTTAAAGAAGGCACAGGAAAGGCCGATCATATTCGTCTGTCATTCACTTGGAGGCCTCGTTGTCAAGAGATGTTTGATATACTGTCAGAGCGTCCGCCACCACCAACACACAGAGAGATTGCGGTCCATCTATGTCTCAACTTATGGTATCCTCTTTCTGGGCACACCTCATAATGGTTCGAATCTGGCCAAATGGGGCTCGCTGTTACAGAAAATCTGTGCCGTTGCTTTCCCTAAAAAGTTCCTCGACTCTTCGCCGCAGTTGGTGCATGCATTGCAGGCAAACAACGAAACCCTGCAAAACATCAACCGCCTGTTCATAGAGGTTATCGGTCGCTTCCATGTCTCTTTCTTCTACGAGTCAAAACCCACGGACCTCAAAGGTACTAGGGAATTTGTGGTCGAGGAGGATTCAGCCGCCCCACTAATACAAGGTGTGGAGCGTATGGGGATTGAGAAGGATCATAGGTGATACCGGCATGTCCCCTGACTGAAGGTCAATTCTAATGGTTCTGCTAGCCATATGTGCAAGTTCGAAGACGAATCAAGCCCGGGTTACGACGTTGTGGCCGCAACAATACAGAGGTAGGAGTCTCCCGAATTTTCATGGGAAAATTGATTGACTGTTTGCAGATATGCCAGCGATGCACCAGCGCTCATCGAATCCCGATGGGTTGAAGAGAAACAGATTGCGGATTTACAACGGCAGGCTGCTGCTCGTGAGCTGCTTGGAGGTAAGCGATCGTCTGAATCGGTCAAACGAATCTCGTTAACCATATTCCAGACAGTATCTTTCAGATGAGTGCAGGAGCCTCGGGGGCTGTGACACCAACCGGGGTGTCTCAAGGAGATACTAAATCTATCTCGATAAGTACGATCTATGCCCAGCAACACTCTTTTGTCCCCAGAGGCAAGGTTTAGCAGGCCTGGGTGTATTCCATGGGTTTCTCATTGAGCCAATTTGGACCGGGAAATGTTGAGTACTTTGCAGCTAACATATTATCGTACAGACGAATCGACGGGATCCATCCGGGTGACTGAGCAACCTCTGTCGAGTTCTTCTGGTCTCCTGCTTGTTGCCCCTGTGGGGTTCAGGCCCAATTCCGTCTTTTATGGATTCGAAACGGAGTTTGAACAGCTAGGACAGAAGCTCAGAAATGATAAGAGACGGGCCCTTGGGACCTGTGCAGCCCTATTGTGGGGCCCGCCTGGCTGCGGAAAGACTCAAATTGCTCGGGAGTATCTATGGCGACATCGTAACGACTACCCAGCAGGTAGCTTCTGGGTCGATTGCAAGACACGAGAATCGAGATCCAAGAGCTTCTGGGAGATCGGTCAAGCCGTGGCAATACTTGGAGTCGATCAACCTCGCGATCCCGCCTGGGACGAATCATCCAAATTTGTTGATGCCGTCAGGAGATGGTTCGAGTCTCGAGAAGGGTGGCTTATTGTGTTCGATGGAGTGGCCGCTGATGACGACGATGAGATCCAGGCATTTGTCCCATTTATTCCTGACCGCTCGGGTAACAACATCATTTATACCTCTGTCGATCAGACTTTGGCGAAGCGACAGAGGCTCCTCAACCCAGCCGGGATCAAAGTCTCTCCTCTGTCCCAAAAGGAAGCATGTGACCTTTTATTTAAGAGCCTTGGAATCAAGGAACCCAGTGCATTGCAGGCGAGAAAGGCCGCTGAGGTGGTTAATCACTACGAATGCCTTCCACTCGCGATACATGCGGCTGCCCATGCTCTGGTCGCCCGAGGAGTCTCCTTGGAGAAGTTCAAACCGGGCACATCTGTCCATCGGCTGGCGGAGCCATTTCTCGAGATTCTGTCGGCTCTACGTGATCATGCCCATCCCGAAGCGGTCAATCTTGTGACCCTGTTGAGCTTCTTCGCTCACACCGTTCCAGTGGCTCTGATCAGGTTTGGACAACACGCATTGTTGGAAGCTGGCATGGAGACGAGATCCGTAGAGCGCGTGGGAAGCATGAAAAAGGAGATGGACAACACCATTGCAGTCCTCAGACGATATGGGTTGGTCGAACGAACATTGCTGGAATACGCTGTACCGTCACCGAACCGTTCACACTCTCCCGAAGAGAACAGAAGCCAACGAAGTGTCACTGCGAGCAGCATTGAACGGCCCACTACGGAACTGGAACAACATCCCACAGATGACTTCAACGCCATGCTGGAATCTCATATAACCAACCAGTCCGAACAATCCTCGATGGAATCAGTTACCTATAGTATCGATATCCTCCGAATTCATAGCGTCGTTCAAGAAGTTGTTCGGGACGAACTGAAGCTCCGTTGTTCAGACCAGCCTGAGCATTATTGGTGGTGGCTCACCGTTGCCACAAACTTGCTGTGCCAGTCATACGCCGTTGCAGATGCGAAGATCAAGAATTCCAAAGGTCGTGGACTTGTCCGTGATTATCGAGACTACGAGACACAAGCGACGCGGATCTGGTCCCATTTCCCCAAATCAGCTTCAGATGCACCACCATTTCTTCGCAAGGCCCGGCATATGCTCCATGAGACAATCCGGTCTATCCGGAAGGAAATCCAGAATGAATCGCCGTCACAGTCCTTCGACAGTCTTAAACACCGGGTGCAAGCATCAATATTCGAGCGAGCATCCAGCACGTCTTCTGACAGCCCTGATGGCGAGAGTGGGATGACGAGGACATCGACGTGGACATTAGAACAAATGGACAGTCATACCGAGTCCCCAACCCAGATTCACCGCGTCATGGAATTCGACGATAGTGCTTCCGAAGGTAGCTGGACGGAGCGGTGGTCAGATGCAGGAGGAGGCAGTTCAGGAGCTCTCAATGCTAGTGGCTACCATTCAAGACGGCCTAGTGATGCTGCCACACAAGAGGCTGCGACAACAGAAGCTAGTTTCATCCAACCTCGACGCTCTTCCATCTTGCAGGCCATCTTCCAAGGACGTTCGATGCCGTCCACAAAACATAAAGACCTTGGCGAATGGAAGCCTATGCCTGCACCCCCAACTCTTTCTCATGGCCAGGCACAAGTTCGATCACGCACCTCGTCGTTCACAAGCGGCAGTGATGAGTTCGCGTCGAGACCGAGGTCTACAGGTTCCGAAGCATCAGCGTCTCTGGCAGCCGTTCATCGAGCTAGTCCTCCGCCAGCAAGAGGAGGGAGGATAAAAACTCCAAGTCGGCCACAGTCCATGGATAGGACCAGCCCGGATGGCGAACGGCAACCACTGGCTCTCAGGTCGCCCAACCAGAGGATGTCCCCGTTGGCGACCGAATTTGAGCCTGGCGTGATTCTTCCAGCCTTTGAAACCACAGAAACACCGAGAAAACATACTCGACACGTCTCATCGTCGCCTCGTCTTGTTCAGGCCGCATTGAACAATCAGACCGCAAGGACGATGGCAACGGCCCTACCCATCGAGGAGAACATCTCCATCACTCGGCGGATAAGTGTGGCTGATCCATCCGTGTTGGCACAATCGCTGCCAGTTTCACCTCATGCAATTGTGGAAGAACGGCTTCAGCCCTCGAGAATTATCCCCCTGGGTTATACGTCACAACCAATGTCCCGCGACACTTCCAGAGAATCCAATGCTTCACTGGCCACTGCGCCGCCAGCTGTTCCCGGGTCGGCATCACTGAGCACATCGCCGCAGATCCGCGAGCCTTATCTGTATAGCAGACCCGGTCCTGCTTCTATTGATTTGGTGGCAGCAAATGCGTGGGAGCAAGGGATCCGGGTCGAAGACGCTGAGGAACCGGCTAACTCGTCGTTGGAGTTCGACGGCGAAGACGGTTTCGGACCGCCGCAACCCCGGTTCCGGTCCGGAGACAATACAATTTGAAAACATGTCGGAGGTTGAGATCGAGCAGGCCGGCAATCATACACCGGCGGACCCAAATCGTGACACAATGTTCGAGAAATGAGAGACAGGACGAATTTGACGAAACATCAATGGAGACCAGATCACACAGTGGGCAAAGAAACTCTCCGGACACTGCACACAGTAGCAAGTTACTCAAGTGTCCGGAGAGTTTCTTCGCCCGCGTGAGATTGTACAGGATACTTTGCTATCGAGGTAGTCATTGAGAGAAGAGAACTCTGCTTTACACGGCTTTTCTATTCAACTCTCTTCTTGTTCTCTTGTAAACACTGATACTTGCGAGTGTGAACTGTGTTTGTCAGACTCTCAGGAGCTGGTCGCATCTGCCAGCAAGCGTACCTCGATTCGCAGCACCACCGCACTGCAGGGCAGTAGATGCCATGAGCGTAGACCAAGACCTCTTTACCATACCTACAGTACTAATATAATATCTAGGTAATTTTTCTAGGTGTCTTTTGACCCGGTCGGTCTTGACTGGGTATGTACTATGTACCTACATGTAGGTATGTAGATGTCCAACCCGGTGTTGGAAAGCCCAACTTCTCGTCACTACGACAAGATCGTAGCTGGTAATTAATATCTTCCGAGTAGTACCCGCCAAGGTACCTCCGGTGCAGAGGTACCCAAATACCCATGTTTGTATATATGTACTGCCACCCATATATACAGCAAGGTGAAGGTGAGGTCAGGCATTATTCCAGACCTGGTACCCATGGCAAAGCAAAGCGAACAGAACAAGAGACAAGAAAAAGGACATCGAGCAAAGCGAAGCGAAGCCCTTTTTCCGCTCGCTGTACAAAGCTGATATTGGGTTGTGCGTAATAACTGGAACTCTCAAAGTGATTTTGAATGACTGGCTATAAATACTGTATAGATAGACGTAGACATAAAAACCGAGGACATAAAAAGATGGGGGGGAAGCAAAACCGCCATACCGTCCATCAGAAATGCCGCTGAAAAGGCAGAGACAACATGAACAAACTGGTTGACGCACTGCACGCCATTCATCATCAATTTCAGGAACCAAAACCAAGCTCCATGCATGCACTTATATATACCCTTGGTATCCGATCCATTCTCGAAACAAAAAGAACGACAGAGAACAAATAAGGGGTCGTCTTCTTCATCTAGGTCGAAACCCATTCGGCGCCTCTTTTCAAAAACTTGTCGACCAACAGCGCCAGATCGGCCATGACGAATCGGAGCACGTAGAATGCAAAGAACTCTGCGGCGTTCTTGACGCCCAGCTCCAGCCCGACCTGGGTCTTGCTGCTACACTTCAACCCGGGATCTTCCACCTGCCGAGCAATGCCGTCCAGGACTTGAGCCGCATCAAACAGACGAGCTAGGCTGGACATGTAAGTGGCGTGGATCGGTGGCACATTGGTCAACTGTGTTGGTGTCGGAGGCGGGGGGAGTTTCCGATTCAAGTGACTCCGCGAGGAATGGACGGACGACGACGAAGTCATGGGTAATGATGGCATGGTCAGTCCAGCCGCGGAGCCGTCCTTTTGCGTACCTCCGTGAGTGCCAATCGCAGGCGCACTGGACCTAGACCGGAGCTTCCTCCAACTCGAAGCCAGGGATTTCGCTGCGGTGTTGTTTGTTTTGCCCGATCCTTGATCTTGTTCCTCCGGCGTAGATTTGAAGATGTTTGATGAACCAGAGAACCCTACGTCGTTGCCCAGCTTCTTCTGCAGGTTCGCCCGAACCTGGTCTAGCACGATTTCGAAGAATTGTAGTTCTTCAAGCATCGCGTCCGCATCAAATGTGTCGACTTTTGCCAACTTCAACAAGGCAGCCGTCAGCAGATCACACTGTGCGACCTTGTCGTCGATGGCTTTGAGTTTAACGTTCCTTACGCGCCATGTGTCGCGAGGAATGAATAATCTGGACGTGACATAGCCACCTCGGGGGTGGGCCAATGTCTGATACAGACATCGCATCAACCAGAAAGGACGGAGTAAGAATGATTCGGGGCAAGGCTCAAGAGGCAGAGGAGGTGCCAATGTGGGGGCACTCGGAGTTCCGGGACTCTCAGAAACCTCAAGTGCCCCGGTGTGATCATCGAAGAGGTACATCCCTCCTGACTGCTGAAGATGCGGCCCAAATGTTGCCGAGGGTAGGGGCACTCCAACTTTCTTCAGTTCGCTGCTGAACCCAGCGCTGCTTGGGGTGGCAGGAGATACGCCATTGACCTCAGTTGTGGCGACCGACAAGTTCCTCACCCTTAGGCTAGACGATGACAGGTTCTTCCTCACTTCAGGTTGCGGCGGTATCATCAATTTTTGAGCCTTGCCTGGTGAGGGCGGCATCACCACAGAATCGTCGATACTGCCCTGGGAGCCGCCCTGAGTCAGGGCAGGAGTCACGGGAGACTCACTCTGCATAGATTCGGTTGAAGCCATGGACCCCAGGTGTGCGAGCGGCTGCGCGTCGCCTACCAGTGATGTGGCCGGACGGTCCAAAGGCGCCGTTCGGGGGACACGGTTGTCAGCTGGAGCGGGCAGTCCTGCTGTGTTGGATGCAGATCCCGTGGGTTTGATGGGAAAACTGGAAGAGTTTCGCCTCACGAAGGTCTCAACTCTGAGTTGCTTGCCACTTTGGCCCGACAACCGTCTCTCCCGAAGACCCATTCCCGCATACTTTTCAACCCCGGTACCGCTGGTGATGGATTGTGGTGAAAGAGACGATGTAGGAGGTGACGGGAGAGGGCCTCGGGGAGGTGAGGCGAAGACTGGGTCCTTTGCGGGTGGTGTTGGCCGCGGAGATTCTTCGAGTGAAGGCTCATGAGACTCCGCGAGAGTACTCAGCATGGTGGCATTGGTAGCGGTAGTAGACGGAATGGAGCTTGAGCGTGTCTGGCCTGAAAATGTGCTCGAGCCCGATTGTCGAGGTATGCCGGATCTGTATTTAGTGTCTACGGCGAAATCGTCAGACAAGTACCCCTTCGTCATTGCTTCCAGCAGCCGTTCTTCCTCCTCAGAAGAATCGCCGTCGTCATATTCTCGAGTGAATTCATTGTCGGATTGTAACAACGATTGTTCCCCGTCAAAATGCGATATTGAAACCGCTCCACTGGCATCTTCGTTGAAATCCTGGCCGTTCCTGTCGGGCTTGGGCGTGGGCTCTTCGGTCAAGCTGTCATCATACGCTGCGTCAACAGCAGCGTTCAGGACGGCATCGAACTCTGCCCCGATCTCGTCAACCAGATTAAGGCTGTCAGGAATGCCAAAGTCAACAGACGATAAGCGAGACGACCGGGATGACGTTTCTCCCTCCTCTAGTGTATCCAGCCACGATGTAGATTCCGTGCTGTGCTCGCGCGCGTGGAGTGTACCAATGTTGGGATCATCAGCTCTCATGGTGTCTCTTTCGGAAGAGGGAGATGGTGCTCGTCTAGGCGAGAGCGGCCGAGGCATGTATTGCGCCTCCATAGGGACACCTAGACTCGGTATCTGTAACCTCCTGCGGCTGGAAGGATCGCTCAAGTATGAATCCCCGCCGAATATTTCAGGCAACAAAGACTCCTGCCTCGGAGGTATATGGACTGTCTCCAGAACACCTGCTGTATCTGGTTCAGTCCCGTCACTGGTGAAGAAGACGTGATTTGCATCGTCGAAAGGAGGATCCTCGGGCAGAGCCTTCTCCATCAAAACCGAAAAACTGTCGTCAAGATCATGAAGCTCTGCTATCCTGTTCGAATAGGTGCTTCTAATGGCGGACAGCTTCTTTCTATCATCCAAATCGGAACTTCGTACCAGAACCTGTTGCAGAAGATCACATGCTTCAGCATAGGCCTCTATGGCCCCAGCGATGTTTTGAGCATTATCCAGAAGAACCGCGGTGTTTGCTTTGCCTAATGCTTTGGACAGCATGGTCTTTTGGGTGGGACTCCTATGACTTCGTCCTCTGTTTGAAATGCTGGGCGCTGTGGTTGGCTCAGCCATGTCGTAGCCTTCCTCATCCGGGGGCGGTCGGCCGGTCGTGTTTGGCTGGAGGGTCTGAGTTGTATACTGAGACGAGCTCTCAACCGCTTGATCCGTAGGCTCGGAATTCGTCCCCATGTAATGTATCGACATTGCCACAGATTCCCCGTTCTTCCCGACCTTGCGGCCCTGCCATGTTTCTCCAAGCATGTCACCCGCGCTAGGATTGAACATCGAGGTCGGTGTGAGAGGTGAAACGCCAATAGGGCTGACTTCTCGAGAGCCATTGTTGCTCTCAACTTGAAGGAGTCCTGGGGCCTGGTTCGGTCTCCCGACTGGACTCCGACTCGCAGGGCGAGGGTTCGTGGAGGAGGGCGGTCCTCCTCGGTCGGATTCTGCTGAAGACATGGGAGGGGCCAAACTCAGCCGCCGAGAAGACACATTCGCCCGGACACGGACAGCGTCAGTCTCGATGGCTGAAACACTAGAAGATGTCGAATGCGACCAGCGATTGATGTTGAGACTGGAGCCTTGCAGTCGGGACTCCAGAGAATTCTCCGGGCGGCTCCTAGATCGGCTCCGATCGTAGCGTTGATGCTCAGAAGTCGAGAGTGTGTCACTCGCAATCTTTGACATTCTTCTCACATAGCCATTGCCGGGCGCAGACTTCGCTGAACTGGAAGCAGCCAGTTGGACGGTCTTCACCGAAGAAGATGTTGAGTTGGATCTTGAGAACCTCTGGTTGCGGGTAGCAGTCGCAGTGGTTGGGCTCATCCTCTTGTCGAGGTGCACAGTGCCGCAGACTGGTTAGATACTAGTTTGATGCTGGTCAACCTGAAGTACATCGATGTCAGAAGTGGGTAGAGGGGGTTCGACCAATATACACCGGCCTTGATGGCTACACAGCAGATGCAGAACGCGATGTACAAAGTTCAACGGCCTGCGGTCTTGCCGCGAATTGACAGCGCCGTGCCGTACCTGCAGATGACTCTCGTCGCGGCGCTCTGAGGATGACGAACCAAGGATCCTTGAATGGATGCTGGCCTGGTTGAGATCGTAACGTGAAGTGACGCTCTGTGCAAGGGTGGGGACAGCCCCGTGGAATTCCCGAGCGGTGTATCCTCTTCGCAAGAGAGGACTTCTCGCGCTGGAGTGCGCCCGAATGTCAACGTAAAGTTACTGCAATTGTGTGTGTGATTCCCTGCGCGTATAGCCTGTCTAGAGTTCCGTATATCTTATGACGCCGAATATAGCATCAGACCAGGACATGGTACTGATTAACCGGCCATCATAGTGGCCTCGGGCTGCAATCACAGAATCTTTCAAGTGCACAGCACCGACGTGGCTGTTCGCTGATGCTGCGAAGATGCAGCAGCTGAAGGGACGGTGGTCTTGGTATACTGGCGGTTCGAGGAAGAGCGGCGGGTGTAGGGTTCTCTCGGGGGGTTGTATGGTTTCGAGTATATGCGATAGGCTTGTCGGCGACGTGATGAAAGCGTGCAGACGTAGGCCAGAATCCAGTCTTTAGTCCGGAGATCTCTTTTGCGCGCCTGCGCAGTCCCTTCGAGGGGTATAGAGCGGGCTCGGTTCTAAGACCAGAGCCTGAAGAATAGCAGATTCTTAGAATGTCAAATTCGCGGATCGCAGGAGCGCTTCGCAAGGAGGCGCGATGGGAGCGCCCGGCACTGCGCTCTGGGTGAAACGTAGGGGACGTTGCAAGAGCTTCGCAAGGCGAGATGCGGTCCGGTATGTTTCTGGGATCCTCGAGGGAACAGTCGCAACGTAAGCGAGGGTATAGAGTGGGAATGGTGTTTCTGCTGCTGGTTATCGTCGTCGTCCTCGCGTAAGGGGAGGAATGGGCGATTGTGGTGTCGGTCGATGATGGCTGGCCTGCCTGCCCTTGAGTCGAGGGATAGTACTGTAGTCTTGGAGTACCACACAACCACTACACACCAAGTCGCCTCTAACTGCTGAAGCGACCGACTTTTGGAACGGGTTACAAGTCGCCGGCGTAGTAGTTCGTCGCAGCAGTGGTACTACTGCCATGTATCCATCCCTGAGCAGACCTGACCTGACCAGACGAGACCAGACGGGGCCCAGCGCAGGCAAAGCGAGGCCAATCCAACACCAACCCACATCAAGTTGGCGGCGGGCGCAGGCACATTTTCGTGACACGCACCAAACTGCTTTGGTGCGTCCACAACAAGCCACAGCGACCTCGACGCAGCCCCTGAATTCAAGTCTCCATTTCTGCCTCATGTAAAAGATCCCCCTTCCACGGACTGGCCCGAGTGTTTCTCCCGTCGCTTGCATCACGCCCACAGCACTGCAGTTCGTGCAGGGGGATACTTGGGCCAGCCAGCGTCCAGCCCGCGTCGCAGCCAAGTCCCATCCCCCATCTCTCTTTTGCGAATCGTCACCACGACCATGTTCGTCAACCCACCAGGTGCTACCTACATGTACAGTACTCAAGAGCACCGTCCTTCTTCTTAGCGACCCGAAACACTCGGCCATCTGTAACCCTACCGCTATGACGTTCAGTACCAGCGCAGTCGGTCGTCCTTGTCCTTGTGCTCCTTGCTCCATGTATTTCCCCGGCCGGAGTCCTCCTTGCACGGAGCCTGAGGGGCATAGATTCCCACTGCCACCGTCGCCGAAAGCGTGCACGCCCTCTTTGCTAATAATGTATACTATGGTTTCCCATGACACCCTAGAAAGACCAAGCATAACCTCTTCCATTCTAGAAGATGAGTACGAGACATACTACCATAGGTGAGTAAGCTGAGCCACACCATCTGTGTCGTGTGCTCTCCCAATCAAGAGAAGGGTGGTGGTGCAGATGTTATATGAGCAAGATCATCACCCGAAGATTTGTCCTGAGCGTGAAAATGCGACACTCCCTCGGGAGGGCTCTGAAGTCTGGGCAGCCTCCCTATCTGGTTTGCACAATACACCTTATCCTCCTTGCTGGTGCTACGACTGTGGCGATATTTTGCCCGGTTGCCGTCCTGATCCGTGATACACTATGCAGATGTCTCCATCGGAGGGAGATGTGCCAGACGTCCTACTTCTTGACCTGCGCCAACAGGCCAAGGGATTTTATCTCAAGACAGCAGAACACGATCACCATCAGCTCGTGATGAACATGCTCGTGATTCGTTCAGTTCATCCTTGCAGCATACTTATGATCTGTTCAAGCAAGATCTAGGGAATATCAAAATGAACGGATTCCCCCGTCACAGGGTTCGAGAATGTACCGTCAAGGTTACTGGATACCGGACTGCGAAATGTTTGCCTTCTCAGACGACAACGAGAATTTACATCCGTGCGGACTCTGATGTCGAAGAGCCCGGAGCCACAGCTTGCAGCAAAGCCCACCGCTGTATTCAATAAAATGAACGATGTCGACAGTACGACTGAACGTGCTTCTTGTACCAGCCCAGGTTAACAAGGATCACAAAAGCCGAAGAGATGCCGAGAGGACTACCGTTCCTGCGTAAAGCCTATCAGCGACTTCTCTCATTTGGGAAATGAACCACACAGGTGCTTGTCGGACGAAGCCTCTTGATGCCTGGGTGCCTAAACTGCCCGGACGATCACCACTTGTGAGCTCCCCGTGGTATCGGCGTCTTAAACTGACAGTCATGTGACCAGTGTCTTTTCAGTGCGATATGGTATCTTGCGATGCCTCTTTCTCTTCCCAGCGGCGCTCGATGTGATTATGGAACCTGAAGAGGGGGTCAAGGTCAAGAACTTCAAATAAGGTCCCAGGCGCAGGCCTGTTAACATACGAGATGTGGGTCACCATACCGGTCCTGAGCAAGCCGTCCAGTCGCAGCGCTCTGGGGGCCTGATCGTCAAAGTTCAGGTCCTCCTCGCTGTTTACGAGGTCAGCAATCCCTCCGACTACAAGAGCGCGTAAAGCATCATTACCTGCAAGTACTCTCCCCTCCCTCCTTGTTCCTACACTATGCAACATAACTGAGCATATTTTTCATTCCTTCCACTGCTGCTGCGCGTTCTTCCGAGAAGGTACCGCTCCCCATGCTGTTGAAACTCCTTCAACTCCTGCTTTGGACCCAAGGCGTGCTCGCGTGGTCCCGGAGCCCGCGAGGTCCGCCTGACTATGTGCTTGTGGCCACGGCGAAGAACATCACGATCAACTGCGAGACTAGATATTCGGTTGTGTTCAATGGCACCACGCCAGGCCCTGCGTTGTATATGAAGGAGAACCACACCACTTGGGTTAGAGTGTACAACAAGATCCCAGACCAGAACCTCACCGCAGTAGGTCCTCACACGGGTTGTCTTCAGCTCTGCTCTGTGTGAATGGCTAATGTATTGACCTTCGGTAGCACTGGCATGGCTTGAGTCAGCGAACATCGCCCTTTTCAGATGGGACACCTGCAGTCTCACAATGGCCCATTGCTCCGGGCGAATTCTTCGATCACGCGATTACTCCCGAGATTGGTGATGCCGGGACGTACTTCTACCACTCTCATGTGGGGTTTCAGGCCAGCACTGCCCAGGGGGTGATTGTGGTCCAAGACTTGGAAGCCATCCCATATGAGTATGATCAGGACGTGCCGTTGCTCATCCAAGACTATTTCGACAAAAATGATAGCACGATCCAGCAGGGCCTTGTCGCCAACCCCTTCAGGTGGTCGGGTGAACCATATTCGATCCAGATCAACGGTTTCAGCGGTAACTCATCATTCAGCAACGCAAGTGACGCATCATGCACCCCATTTGTCCTCAACGTGACAACAGATACAACATACAGACTACGTTTTATCAGCAACACAGCCCTTTCCTTGGTCACCTTAGGTGTTGAAGACCACGATAACCTGACCATTATCGAGGCAGATGGCCAATATACGATGCCCTGGACGACTGATCATGTCCAGCTTGGGAGCGGTCAACGTTTCAGCGTCCTGCTCAAAACAAAGAGCCGGCCTGAACTGCAGAAATCTAATCAGACCAGCTATTGGATTCGCTACGAGAACCGGGACAGACCTACTAATGTTTCCGGTTATGCGTTGCTACAGTATAACATTTCCGGATCAGATCGACCGGACCAACTGCCTGCGAGTCCTCCCTTGACGCTGCCTCGCGACGTGATAAATTGGGCGGAATACGCTCTCGAAGCATTGCGGCCAGCCGAAGTGTTTCCTAGACTGTCTGAGGTGACTCGCACCATCTATATCACCATGCGGCAAGTGATTCGAGTGGGGTCCTACACTAATGGCACAATCAATGGCACGCTGCAATGGGAACAAGACAATCTTATCTGGCAAACCGAACAGCGAGAAAGCAACAACAGCTTACCGTACCTTGTCCAAGTATATCTGACTAGCCAAACGCCGAATTACTCTGCTGCTCTGGAGAATGGAGGATGGGATCCTTACAGCAACGCATTCCCAGCTCTGCCCGGCGAGGTGCTCGATATCGTCTGGCTCAGTAACTCTGGGCCAACCGGCGGATGGGATTTTCATCCCCTCCACGCTCATGGAAAGCATTACTTCGATCTGGGCAGTGGGTATGTATTGTCCTCTGCAATTTATTCCCTGTTCCAGAGTGCAGCGAAGGAACGAGTGGAGCGATCTGAAGTGAAGTGTACACGACGAGCTGATTGACATTGTCTAGGAATGGAACCTACAGTGCCACCACAAACGAGGCGAAATTCCAGCACTATACTCCTGCCCGTCGCGATACGACGATACTGTACCGGTATGCGGTCTCCGGTCAGCCTGAACAGACAGCCGGTTGGCGGGCGTGGCGGATTCGAGTGACTGAGGATGACGTTGGGGCGTGGATGATGCACTGTCATGTCTTGCAGCATATGACTATGGGTATGACGATCCTTTCTCGCTTTTGCCTAGAAAAACTGCAGTCTGCGTTCGACTGACATGTGTTTTGGACCATCTAGGAATGCAAACGGTTTGGGTCTTTGGGAATGCAAGCTCGATACTCGCCAAGTTCCCATCTCCACCGTATGTGGATGGGTACTTGGAATTTGGCGGCGATGCATACGGTAATGACACTTACGATCCGCTTGTAGATTGGCTGTCTGCCAGCTCTGAGAAATAGGAGAGTGCGAGACTTTCTGGATGCGTACGGTCCTGAGAGAAGCGTTAATACAGGAGGCTATGGTAATGGTCCGTCCTCACAGCTGGAGGTCACTTTACCCCAAGCTAGACATACTAATTAGATGAAGAAGAGCATGCAGCACATAATGGTAACAAGTGCAAAGAGCCAGCTTTCAGCATCGGAATCTATCAACATGTTCTCCGTCGGAACTTTTACCGCGTCCACAGATACCAAACCTGTTGCTGTGGCATGCAGTGGACGACGGAGCAGTTCTCAGCCTCGTCGCGTGATGGCTTGTTTTATCAGGAACTTGAAAGTGCAACGTCCCCAGACTTTGTCCTCAATTTTCGGTTTTTATTCTACAATGCGCACGGCACACTCTCCTCCTCATTTTCAGTTCCAGAAATACTCTGACGACTGTTATCATCGAGCCAAGTCCTCGAATCCACTGGCTCCTTTTCTCAAGCCATATAAAACCAAGCAACAACAGCGTCTCCCCGAGCGTTGTTACCAACCTCGACGGGTGCCTGGTGGCGTAACGACGTGCCTTACTTGTGTGGCGATGCAGCCATCCATGTGCATGACAATTACCGTTGATGGAGATAAGTATCACCGTTCTGGAAGCTCTCCTCAAGTAGTGCAGAGATCATGGGTGCAACACCACTCCCATATACTCGAACATGAACCGACAAAGACGCAAGATGCGAAGATCTGCCGCGCCATTGTTCGAATGTTCGGTGGTGCAGCACTCTCTGATACGGTGCGGGTATGACTGACACTCACATATGTCCATCATCGCATTACCAAAGCAGGTACAATCCAACCTACCGCTGGCTCACTGACGGCTACACCGCCTTCACTCGTGGAATGTAGCTTATCATGTCTGTATGGCTGGAAATGGGCCTTACCAGTCGTCAAATTGCCTAGCAGACCTATTCTACCTGGACCTCACCGCCGGCCACAAAGCTACACAGGAAAACAAGCTACGACGGTGGTTTCGCATGTCAGGACCACACCACTAGAGATTCCGCATTGTATAGGTGTCAATGCTTCGCCGAGAGGTATATCTTGCGAGGTAAGATTTAAAATCAGTCAAAGTCTCTCACAATTTCAGTTTCTCTTTCGCCCAAGCACTTCACCGCCCTCGTCCACTTGGACTACATTCTCAGATCATACCGTCATCTACCCCTCGATATTCTCGGACTTCTTCATCGGCAGTCTACAAGATGTGATCCCCGTGGATGATTTGGCCGTGTCCCGCAGAGATGGTGTGAGACGGGAATGTCCCCAGTGCTCTGGAAACTACATCTTCATTACGGGGTTGAGCCATACGGATTCTGTATCATGTCGATGGCCGAAAGGCTCGTTGCATCGCGCCGTGGCTACCCGCCAGCGTCCAGATGCAGTCCCGCATACTGGAGGCAGTTTCAACACGTACAGAAACAGTTGGCGGGGAAAATGGAGTTTGTCATTCTTCCTTCAGCATGGTACGATCTGTAGGATTGATGGATCTACACATTCCCACCATGTCTCGCCAACACCACCAAAATTTGGACTCGGTACCAAATCATTTGCCCTTTCCCAACTGACGTGAACTGTGACAGCCAATTAAGGCCTGTGGTCCCTCACCACCGTCCTAGAAATGGGCTGCTTTTCCCCTGCTCTGCCTGGAAGGGTCAATTCCAGCTTTCCACTACCCACTAACGGCCACGAGGAGACCAAGGGCCCAAGGAAACGGGAACTGGGTAAGTTTTGAAGCATAAAAGCTGCTTCAACTCATGTCTGTGTTATTACTCGACCCAATATCCTGGTTCTGCTCGACCGCGCCAGGCTTGAGAGACTGGAGCAAAGCGAGTCAAAGAATCCTGTCCTTCCTGGAACCGTCCGAAGGATTGCCAAAGCCCGGGCTTATCTTCGCTACCATTATCACGACCGTCGCAACATTCAACGTTAGCTACATCTTCCTCCGCCGAAGGCCTCCCATGATGCTGCTGTCTTCTTTCATCGGCGTCGCCTCAACAGCCATGCTCTTTCTCCCGCCAGCTTTCGCAGTGGACAAGACCGTGGATCCGCAGTTGGTGGCCAAGCTCAAGACCATGGCAACGATGAAAGACCGTCTGGACTTGCTTTCGGACAATCAACTTCTGTACAATTTCACGGCCAACCCAATGTACTCGTGGAAACCGGGAAGTGTTGCCAATGCCAACGCGGCTACGTGGCCGGTTCTATCCACCGTTCGGATGACGGTGGCCCAGCTGAATCTGGGGCCTTGCGCCATGTTAGCACCTCACATCCACCGCGCCACTAATCTCGTGGTTGCTGTGAGCGGGACAACCAACACGTACATGGTCCAAGAGAACGGGGCGCGGCTGGTAGAGCAAGTGCTCACACCGGGAATGATGACCATATTTCCACGAGCGAGTGTCCACTCAATGTATAATACAGGTAAGTCTTGATCCGTTTTCTCCCCGATCATATTTCCTTTCCCTCTCTTTCTATCTTGTAAGCTGACACAATACTGTCATTTCTAACAGGCTGCGATAACAACCAGCTATACTCATTCCTTGATGACAACGATCCGGGCACAGTGAACCTGGCTCAATCATTCTTCATGATGCCCCAGGAGATTGGGATGCAAGTTATGCCCTTCATCAACTTGACCAACGGAAGCTGGAATTCTACCGCGCAATCCATCCCCGCCATTGGCACCGGAAGCCAGGACGGCTTTGACGCGTGTCGAAGAAAATGCGGCCTCACTGGCGGCAATCAATACTAGTGCTGGAATAGTATGAGATAACGGCGCACGCATGCAATTGGAGTTGGGGGAGGGAGCAGAGGGTACCTTCTTTTTTGCTTCTCGAGAGGTGATGGTGTATGTTTTTCCCTTGCCATTTGCTGTCACTCTATCTACCATAGCATTCCATTCTCTATTTGTTTTCCACAACGGGCGCCACGGGGAAGGAACGGGTTATTGTGGCCATCGTCTAGGGTATCTTTTGGCCCTTGTCCTTGTCATCAGCTGGCTCACGGAGCTGTTTCGGGTTGTTTTTCTTCTTGCATTTCTCATTTCATTTCGGGCTTTGATTCCATTTGTTTCTTACCAGTATAGCTAGGCTCGGTAACCATATAGTCTAAATCAAAGCATGAAAAAAAAAATCCGAAATGGCATTTATTCCTATCTTTCGAGACGCCTCCCTAGCCCTTGCCCTTGCAAACCCCTGTTTCGGGGCTTCGTAGCATGTACACTCTCGTCTGATCTGACGAAATGCACTGAAAGGATATAAATTTCCGTTTGTACGTCGGGGCTTGCCATTGCAGAAAACCGACGCATAAGTTGCACGGGCATTCATTAAATTAGTAAGACAGCTCTCGAGAGTGCGGCCTTTGTTCCCAGAGCCTTTTTTGGGGGTTTGTTTGTAGTATCTTGATTTAAGCAGACTGGGGGAATTAAATTCTAGTTCTATCTTTGCATCTGACTCTCGCTAAAGTGAACGTCGGGCTTGCTTTGCTCCCTTCTTTTTGTCCTTCGAAGTCACTGCCCGCTCCTCAAGTCTGCAAGACTGTTCTCGGGAGTGCGGTCTTTATTCCCGGGGCCTTTTTTTTGGCAGGGTGGTTGTAGTATATTGATCCAATAGACCACGGGGGTTAAGCATATAGTTCTATGATTTGCATCTAGCTCTTCAGAAGGAAGGCTGGGTCCTTTCTTTCTGGTTCAATGAGCGCTCCTCAAGTCTGCAAGACTGCTCTCCGGCGTGCGATCTTTATTCGGGGTATTGAGCGCGCTCGGCGTGGCAGGACGACTCTTATCTGGGATGGCATGGAGACTGACATTTTCGCGAAAGGCGACATACTCGCTATCAGCGTAGCCAAGGACCTTTGCAATGTCGGAGCTCCGGAGGCCCTTGATGCGAGAGATTTCGGCGGAAGAGTAATTGACGACGGCGCGGCCGATTTCTTCGCCACGCGAGACGAGCTGCAGAACTGGTCCGCCTGCTCCTCCTTCGGCCGATGAGCCGGAGTCGACGGTGGCAGACTGTAGACTGCCGAGGGGCTGCTTGTCGACGACGACGAGGCGCACGGCTTCCTGTTGGGCAAATGACCCTTCCACGCCGACAACTCCAACAGGAAGCAGGCCGGCTTTGTTGGCCAGTGCGTTGCTGGCGCCGCGGTCGATGTAGACTGTGCCATGGGGTGCGAGGCCGTGTAGGATCCAGAAGGCGCGGTTGCCTATGGGAGTGCTGGAGGGGACGAAGCGGGTGTGTAAAGGAGGAAGAGACTCAGACTGCGTAGTAGTAGTAGGACTACTGTTGGTTGGGGGATGCAAATGTCGAATCACAGCGGCAATGTTGCCCGGTTTTGAAGACTTTGTAATGATAGTAGACGTCCCCGCGGCAGTGGCCAGGCGCGCCGCCACAATCTTGGTCGCCATGCCGCCTGTGCCCAGTGCCGACCCGGCAGACGACACGTCGGCCTGTAGGGCGTCGATGTCGTCGACGACCAAGATGGGCTTCGCGTCAGGGAACTTGCGCGGGTTCTTGTCGTATAGACAGTCCACATCAGTCATTAGGAACAAATAGTCTGCGTGTACCATGGCCGCCGCGATCGCTGATAGGGTGTCGTTGTCGCCGAATTTGATTTCCGAGACTGCTAGTGTGTCATTTTCGTTTACGATTGGAATCACGCCTAGCGAGAGGACTTCAGCCAATGTGTTCTGTGCGTTTAGGTACTGGGAGCGGTCGGCGATGTCGTTGCGTGTGATTAGGATTTGTGCCACGGGCTGGTTCATGTGGGCGAACAGGGAGTCCCAGATTGACATTAGGCGAGATTGTCCGATTGCTGCGAGGGCCTGAAGGTTGGTTCGAGGTCAGCGAAAAGGAACAACAAACAAAAGAAAAGCTCAAACTCGTAGGGATGAATGCTTTGCGCCTCATCACCGATCCAACCCGATCCCACAAGGCTGAAAGGTCTTAAACATGGAAAGAAAGAGGGGAAGTAAAGGGGAAAGCGGAAGAAGATTTTGGTATGACTTACCTGGATCTGTGCGAGGTGTTTCGGCCGCTTGGGGATATTCATTCTCTGCAAGCCGACGCCCACGGCCCCCGACGAGACAATGACTACCCGGTGGCCATCGCGGCGTAGTTTAATGGCCGTCTCGACAATCAGCGAGAGAATTGACAGAATCGGTTCATGCGTCGTCTCGTCCACGATCGAGGATGTCCCTGCACCGCCACGACAATCACATTGGTAAGTTGACTTCTCCCGCCTTGATTCATTTTTTCCCTATCATTAAAGGGTATGGACTCCAATTTGCAGCCATTGAAATTCTTGTACTTACCTATCTTGATGACAATCGTCAAGTGCTTGCCTGGCTTCATGTTGTGCGGTTGATCCATGTATACCGCCGTGTGTCTCCCTGGAGACTTGCTACCATTTTGAAGGGAATTCAGACCTGGAAAGCCAACGAGTCTCTCTGGCTCGGCACAGTAGAATCGACACGCCCTTAAATCACAATGATCATGTCAATGAGTAACAACTACTGCTACTAGTATTAGCAATAGGGCGTGGGGTTCAACTTTGATATCTCCAAAAGTCGGTCTACTTTTTTCCGACCTTACGATCCCGGGGACGGTCACGTGTCGGGAGTTCGCAGCCGATGGCATCACGTGGACTGCAGCTGCCCCGAGATTCCCTACAACTTGGGTATCTACTAATGAGCAGCTTTCCTTCTCCCAGGTCCCTTGCTACCAGGGAACACCATGTGGTCTGCGACTGGAAGCATTGGAACAGGATTATCACGGTGTGACGTTACCGAAGATCCGTTTGTCATATCGCAGGGCATGCCGGATCAAGGCTGCTTTCTCGTACTTTGGGACCTTGATAAAGGCCTATCAGCAATGTCGTAGGAAGAGGCACCCTCATGTCAATGAGCTGGCTGAGGTAAAAGATCGTGAACAGAGGATCGACAACTGAAGGCACGGAGAAGAAAAACGGCATCAATTCAAAGCCATCATTTCAAGGCGGTATTTCCAGCAACACTATGCACAGGATATCTCACACACGCCAGCCATCGCGCGATACTGGTATTCAAATTTACTTGCCGCCAAACCAGCTGCTAATTCCACTCTTTGCCTTTGCTGCTTTTTCTTCCACTGTCCTGTCAAACTTGTCCACGGCGCTGTTGAACTCTTTCTTCGTCTCCTGGCCCAGCTCTTTGGCTCGGGCTTCCGCCTCGGCGAGTTTAGCTTTAGCTTCTGCTTCGGCCTGCTGAGCCTTGGACTTGGCATCGGCAGACTGTGGCATTGATTAGTATCAACACGCCGCGCTTTACGCGCAAGAGAGATGTCTCTTACCGCTTTGTCAACTTTTTGCCCGGCTTGCGAGGCCCAAGCTTCAGCCGTCTTCTCGGCCTCCTTTTGCCGTCCTGGAAGTTCCTTTCTGATCTCGGCAGAGAGCTTGGCGGCATCGGCTGTATTGTAATCAGCACTCGTCCAGAACGCACCCGCTACGGTTATACACACCTTCGAATTGCTTCTCAGCCGTCTTAGGGCTACCTCCCGCCTTGTACAGGTAGTAGCCAGCTCCGCCGGCGATGGCTAGCCCGGCAACTTGAAGTCCTCGTCTCGACGACATGATGGATGTTTTCTTCTTGAAGTGGTTGAGAAACGGCGGTTGTCTGGAGCTGAATTGCTCAATGTTTGCAGAAATGGGGGCTTTGGTCGATGATCAGAGAGGTTGTAGGAGAGTTCTGCAAGTAGGAAATCCCGGTAGAGGATTTAAATTAGGCGCAGTAATCAGAGCTGTAGAAGCGAGAATGCTGTTTAGTGGTATGACGGATGGCCAGTTACAGAGGTGCCGGTGGTAGTTGTAGTGGTAGAGAGACGAGGGACCGGGGCATTGCAGTGACATCATCGGTGCTTGCACCAAGGTCATCATAGAACTATGACCTAGCGCGTACCAGTAATTGGCACGTATTGTACCTGCCTAGCTCAGCTGCAAGCTACCACACCTGGTGGCTACTACGCTGCAATTGGGGCTGGGGATTCGCAAGAGTGCCAGTGAAATTAACGATCTTTAGTGAGTTCCCCGCATTTGTTACCGTAATAGTATGGTAATTGAGTACCGCTCGCAGCTTTCGAAGGCGTCACCTCTAAGAAAGCCTGCCCACTAGTAACCAGCCTCGCTCCACCAACAACCACAGAAATCTTGCCTGCGCTCACTGTATGCGTCGACAATTCTTCAAGGCTGAGATTCAGACCAGCTACCTAGGTAGGCGGCAGCCAGCATTCCTCTACCATTTGTACCTTTCTCGCTTCCCTTCGGAAAAGTGTTAGGCACATTCTTTAGTTTGACTTCTCTCGTTGAGTCCTCGCGGGGAACGTCAGCTGGATAGCCTAGCTTGGAAGCTGCAGTATCAAGGGAGCCTAGCAATATCTTTGTGGATGCCATTTCGGCCGGGCGTATACGATTCAGTTGACTTGACCACGGCTATGCATTGTCATTAACCGTTACCCGTCGAGTTGTCCCACCACAGTACAGGTTCTCCGGAGGCATGTCACAAAATGTCTCCAAGCTTCCCATCCGCGTCCACACCGTTGATGGTGCTTCAGCAGACCCCTACGACCACGAGATCTCGTTAGTCGACACCACCGCTTCTACAGACCATGATGAGCCCCGCTCGGCTTCTCCAAGCCCGAGTTCGCAGAAACTCTTGAAGAAGACAACTAGTTCCTCGGTCAGGGAGCATTTAGCGAAACGGAAACATGCAAAGTACGCAAAGTGGCAGGAGGGGCGCTACCCTACCAAATCAGGCGGTGTCATCACAACCCAAGAGAATGCTTCGGGGTCTACATCGGTACGGCCCGATAGGCCTGAAGGGGAGACAGGGACAGACACTGTGGACTTTGCACCGACCCAAGGCGCAGACCGAGGAAGAATAAGCGCGCAGAAAAGAGTCCAGGAATCCAGGCATCTCAAAGAACAAGTTCATGAATATGACGTTCTCTATGAGAACCAGCGCGGATCCTTCTTCTGCGGCATACCTCTCTACTCGCACTCATCTCTCCTGCCAATCGATCCTGCCCCGTGGGTGAACAAGGAATTCCATGATTCACCCGTCAACATAACCAATGCCCAAGTCCCAGATCCAAGCTGGGAATGGGCCTGGAAAACATGGTACGTTGATATGAGTCATGACGTGGATGAAGAAGGTTGGCAATACTCTTTCGCCTTCGGGAAGACTTGGTCATGGCATGGCACCCATCCATGGTTTCATTCATTTGTCCGGCGGAGGCGATGGTTACGAAAACGGGTCAAGAAAAACCCCGATTCCCGTTGGGGCAAGCCGGGAAGTATGGGCGCTGCCCACCACCTTACGAAGGACTATTTTACCATTCACTCGAAACGAGACCGAAGCCCCGTCAGTGTTGTCGATGGTGCCGCGCAAACCGCTAGGCCATCGAGCTTCATTAGTTGTCCAAGCACCACTGACTTGGTGGAACCGCCTGAAGACATCAAGGACATTGGTACTCTACTCAAATCTCTCAAGTTTGCAGCTGTCGACCGGGAAAAGATTGATCTGGTGAAGAGATTCGTTGACCAAGGTGGAGACGAACTAGTTTATCTCAAGGACCATCTTCCGGACATCATGTCGTACTTTGTGTTCCAGAATTCAAGGAAACAGCTATTATCATATCTCAAAAAGACGGCCCATGAAGCGCGGCAACATCGACAGAAACATGACGATGATAAGCGGCCGGAGGGCGATGCTGAAAGCCGCAGGATCAATAATCTCCTCGCGGCAGTCGATGCTGCCAACGCTCAGATTGGGGCATTAGAGTTTTGGAGTGACCGAAAGCATGTCCTCAAAACTACAGACAACGATGGCACGAGAAGTGCCCCAATTTCCACCATTTTCGACGCCCCTGTGATCGAGCCGGAGGTTGAGGATGATCCTGTGCAAGAGATTAAAGGTATACCTGAGAAGGCCGACATTCCAGAAGAGACGACTTCAGTGGTGTTTAACACGCAGCGACAATCGTCTATCGAAAAGAGGGACGGCGAAGAAGCCGGAGAAAAGAGCGACGAACCCGAACAAAGAGAGGATAAGGGTAAAGGTAGAGCCAAAGAACATGACAGCGAGGATGATCAGGTGGAAGCGGCTTCAATACCGCGACTGGGCCCGGATGATGTCCTCGTTCCTGAGCAAGACTAGCAGCCTTCTGGGGGATACTGTGTAGTGACTTAGCGCAGGCGTTGGTGGGCTTTCTGAACAATGACATGAGTATAAGTCATGGCAATAATGAAGTGCATAGTGTATCTTGGATTGGGTAGTTAGTACTGGCACTCTAGGTGGCACTGGCAGCTGAAGCAAAGCTGGAATGCCCGGTGGCTGGAGCGGCGCAAGGCTGGAAAATCAATATAACCCAATCGCGTTAGTGCCTAGTTCGCGTATTTTGGACGCGTCGAGACGCGACTTGTGAGCATCGAATTGAACATTGACTCCAGCCGCCAGAATTCACAACATCGGAGTATACCTTTTCACTGCACTTTGGATGATTACTCTCTCTGCAGAAGGTTGCCCTTCCAGTTTGTCAACTTGCATAGGCCTCTAGAAGCCGAAGAAGTCTGAGTCAGGATCCGCGCAGCCAACGAGGTTTCGGCCGCACCTTCCATCTTGCAGTTGCACCATGGCACCTTCCGTCAAGGGAACGTCGAGTCGAGTCAGCAAAAGGCAGGCGGAACTGCGCAGCTATGCAAAAGTCACCAAGAACAGTATCGCGCGACTCCATCTCGAAGCAGGCCTGAAAGAGGCGGTCCTTAAACCGGTCGCCAATGTTAAAACTGCGCCCCAAGCAACATCCAAGCGTAAGCGCATCCAGGTGCAGGTCGAGAGCGAGAGCGAGACGGAACGGGATCAGGTGGATGGCGCTGCTGCACGCTCGAAGAAGGTCAGGATGATTGCATGCTTCTCGACGGACGCCTACTGACTTTTCTGCCAGCTAAAACTGCAGTTGCCTACACCACGATCATTACAAACAGAAAACGATGGCACTACTGAGACGCGGCTGTCTCCTCCTCTGGAATTCCGCCAACTCTCGCTAGAAAGCAAGTCATCGTCCTCCAGGCCATCATCTTCCCACGAACTCCCTCAGACCTTACAGGATCTGGTATCTTTACACGACGCGTTCATTAGGGCATTCACATTACACACTGTCCACCATGGGAAATCCGCGCCTGCAGACTTGGCTACGATAATGGCCTCCGTAACACGACTATGGAAGAAACGCACTGTTCGGAAAGAAGATATACAACGAATGCTGGCTATGTATGAGTTGGACGATGCCTCGGCCTCTGATCCGGTGGCTGGTCAATTATTGAAGCACAAGAATGGGCCCTTCCGGCTGACGCTCACACTCTCTGGAGGTGATGCTGTGCGGTATAATGTCGAATATCTGGGCAGTGCGAAATGTGGTAACGGGAACCGCGAGCTTGATCCGTCGTTTGATGGAAAGGGTCTTCAACAGTCCTACGAGGCGCAAGTCCGAGCAGTGTTCACGTCACAGTGCAGCCGTGAACAGGCAGACTGGCGTCTCCTTGACGATGGAGATATGAGCCAGGTCCCTCGGCTGGAGCTGACTATGGGGGTTCAGACGCAAGCACGGAAACTAAAAGCTGCCACAGCACGGAAGGAGATTCTGGGTCTATCATCGCAAGCGCAAACCCGATCAGGAGCGCAATTTCCAAGTGCAACAAGCACTTCGGCAAACACTGGAGGGATCGAAACGCCCGCGGTTGTGAAAGATCGAACCCTGTCCCTTTTGGAACGTGTCCGAGCGAAAGCCCTGGCCAGTTCTACCGTCACGCCTGACACTCCCGAAGCCATTGTTCGTCGATACGCCATGGGTCGGATCCAAGAAGTGGTTGAGATTCTGAGAATGTTGCAGCAGCGGAAACTGGCTTCGAATTTCAACTCGTCGGTACACTCTAGTCCTAGCAAAGTCCGGGGAAAAGTGTCGTTCAGCCTCCATCAACTTATCAATGACATCAAAGGAAGTCTTGCCGCGCCATTGGGAGAAGCGGAGATCAAGATGTGTATCACGATACTTGCCAATGATGTACCGGGCATGTGGGTGTCTGTTTTTACTGTTGGAAAGGTGCAGAGCGTCGTTCTGAATGGACCTGGGTTAAGTGGTATTGAGGTTAAGAAGATGCTGGACGAGCGAATATGATGGTAAAGAATGGTCGATGTAAATGGCCATTGGAATTGGGACTGTATGAGTGAGTTCAATGCTCACTGGACAAAAGCGTAGGCGTACTTGGGTAGAACCGAATGACTGATGAAACCCTGCTGTGATCAGAGGCCAACAACGAGCCTGAATCGCATTTTTAAATCTGTCCGACTCTGCGTTGCACAACAAGAATGATTTACCGAGACTTTCCCATAATGATGAGCACGGCATTCAATGTGGCACTAGACAACAACCAATCTAGACCTTCGGGCCATGGACACTCTCGTTGACGCCGTATACTAGTAATGATCAAGTTCGATCTTCAATACGGGGCGAAGTTAGCATGATGGCGGGAATCCCGCCCAGCACCAGATCAACAGCTTTTGGTGAGGAAACGGGCAAATGGCGAGCGGAAATGCCAGTACGAGCGCCTCCTCCACAGCGGCCCCGACCATCTCGAGCCACCCCCAGATTTCTGAGGTAAGCAACGGAGAACTCGGATTCATAACAACAAAGAATATCTAGCAGACTTAAGAAGCGCTCAGAAACACAAATAGCCGATCAGAAAGCCGGGTTATTGAGCCTCGGCCTGAAAAATAATATCAATCCAGGCGGTGGCGCATGGCCAGGAGCACCAATTGGACGGTTCAAGTTGGGAGGAGAAAATCTCAAGACGAAGGCTTCCAGACCAAAGTGACGGGGATGAGCGTGTTGACCACATAACCCACAGAGATAAAGATGGGACAATTGTGGTCTCCCCACCATGCGAATCAGTTCGCTTGGTGCCGTCCGTCGGTATATCTCCGTTTCTTTTCAAGCTCTTACTACTGTGTACAGGACCCGCCCACAAGACCGACGGCTCTTTATGAGTGGTCGGCACGGCACCTCTTCCGATCAGTCGAGTTCGTGAGTCTTGTTGGAAATCCTCCAGACCTCTTCTTGAGGGGCGAGGACCGTGATGCTCAGGTTTGACCGTTTTTGTTTTCCTTACGCCTATATTCGCTTTTCTCTCATCCCTTTGATTTTTTTTTCAGTGTCTATATGATCGATCTACGTACGGGGCGATTCCGCTGGAGAGTGATCCCCACCGTGAAGTCTCTGGGCTGTCGTTCCCATCCAACCGCCGTGTTGAGCGGGTCGAATTGAAGTCTTTCCAGAATGTCGGATCCCGAGAAGCCAAAGCCTACACCACCGGCGGTGGTGTCGCGATATATCCCTCAAGAACAAAGTAATTTGGAAAAAGAACCGTATTCAAGTGTCGAAGATGATCGCTCGCCTACTACCACTACATCGTCGGAATCCCGATCAGGATCCGTCCCCGACAACAACGACGAAGACGACCGAGCACTCACGTTGACTATAACGCAGGCGTCAAGACAATCAGCGACACGGACAGTGACGCGAATAACGACCCAAGGCACGACCTTCACCTCGGATCCCAGGTATGAAGTGGACTTTGGGGTCGGGGACCCAGGCGACCCGCGGAATTTCGGGTTCTGGTACAAAGCGCTAGGCATCTTCACCATTTCCTTTGGCACGTTAGGAGTGGTCATGTATTCGACGTCGTACACGGCGGCATTGGCAGCCATGAAGACCGAGTTCGGGCTTGACTCTGACACGATTGCCACGCTCGGCGTGACGACGTATATGCTCGGTCTGGCCATGGGATCGTTATTGCTCGCCCCGCTGGCCGAGACGTACGGTCGCAAACCGGCGTACACGATATGCATGGCGCTGTTTACGATTCTGGTGCTTCCCGCAGCATTGGCAAAGGACATCGAAACCATTATCATAGTCAGGTTCTTCGGGGCTGTCTTTGGAAGTGCCATGATCGCCAATGCGCCCGGATCCATTGCCGACCTGGTATCGGATGAACATCGAGCCACCGCTTTTTCCATCTGGAGTATCGGCCCCATGAACGGTCCTGTCGTGGGTCCCACCATTGGCGGGTTCGTCACGCAGTATCTAGGCTGGCGGTGGACGAATTGGCTCGTCATGATCTGGGGCGGCACGGCGTGGGTTTTGCTGTTGTTGTATAAGGAGACGTATGCGCCTGTGCTGCTGCAACAACGGGCCAAAAAGCTGCGTCGCGACGAAAACGACGATAGATACTGGAGCAGGTATGATGTCCGGGTCGGGTTCGTCGAGCTCATGAAGGTCAATTTGTCCCGGCCGTTCGTCATGGCCGTCAAGGAGCCGATTTGTATTTTTTGGAACGTTTACATTTCGTTGATTTATGGTGAGCCTTGCATTATCTCTTTCTTGTTGTTGTGTGCTGACACTTCGTCTCAGGCATTCTATACCTCTGCTTCGTGGCATATCCCATCGTCTTCCGCGAACAACGCGGCTGGTCGACCGGCCTCAGCGGTTTGTCATTTCTCGGAATCGGCATCGGCACCATGATCGTCATCTGCGGCGCAACCCCGATTCGCAAACTCATCAATTCGCACAATCCGGACCCTGCGACAGGCCAGATTCCGCCCGAGGCCATGATGAGCATCGTGTGTCTCGGGGCTGTCCTGGTTCCCATCGGAGAGCTTTGGTTCGCATGGACGTGTTACCCAAACAGCATCCACTGGGCGCTCCCGATCGCCGCGGGCATCCCGTTCGGGTTTGGGAATGGTACCGTTTTTATATATGCGGGAAACTATCTCGCTTACAGCTACGGCATCTACGCCGCCAGCGCTATGGCTGGCAATGCTGTCGTCCGCTCCTTACTGGGAGGCACACTCCCCCTTGCGGGCCCGCCCATGTATAGGGCCCTCGGCCCGAATTGGGCAGGCACCCTCTTGGGTCTCCTTGAGGTTGTTATCATTCCTATTCCGTTTCTGTTTTATCGCTACGGTGGCCGGATTCGTGAAAAATCGACCATGATTCGTGAAATGCGCGAGAACGAAGAGCGTCAGGAGCGGAAACGCAAAAAGGCACAGGAGAGGTTGCGCGTCAACGCTGGCCCCGGTGCGGGCGGCGATGATGATGAACTGGAGGTCCCTGTCGATGTGTCGCGTGTTCTTAGTCGTGTGACGGGCGTTGATGAGAAGGTTTGAGACTTGATCCCGACGGCGGTCTTGTCAAGAAACATGAACTTGATTTAGGATCTATGGATGCTCGGCAATCCCAATGCTCTCCCTCCGAAAAAAAAAAGGCACACGGCGCTTCCGATGTGCTCACGATATGCCACGATGCAACGATGCAAAGAGTTCGTCTGATGATGCATGAAAGAGAATCGCCGAACCATTAATAACCCGCCATTATCGAACAGGACAGACACTCACTGACGCCCTACACGGCGACGGCACGAGACTCGTTCTCTCCGCTTTTGACTGGATCTTCACGCACATTTCCGGACAATGGACCGGGGCAGAGAGTGACTTGGGCGGGTATCTATGTACCACTGCACCAGCTACGGATCCGAGCTCAGATCTGTCATCAGCACAGTGTGATCCAGGCAGCAATAGCAAAAGGGGATCAGACTTGCATTGAACAAACGATCCGTGCCACATATGAAGCGGGATGCAAAAGTCAGAACGCAGGCCACCTCGGCGGGGCCCTAAACACCGATTCTGGTCCCCATCAGAGAGACTCCACTCCCCTGACAACCAGACCAGGGAAAAATTCACCCAAGGCAGACCCTAGTTGGGCATCTACATCTTTTCCTTCAACTCGTCGTGCAAGTCCTCAAAACTGAGCGCAAAGACAGCCCGGACGAGGATGGACAACGAACCAGACTGCATATAATGGCAAAAGCGGTCCTATGATTTATTAGCACTACTATTACTATTTCCAGCTACAGTGCGCAGTTATTGCGAAGGTATGGTTTTGGTGACCGTCTTCGTCTTCACCATCATCATCAGCAGCAGCAGCAGCAGCAACAGCACAAGCACAAACACCGACACAAACACTGGCAAACACTACACCAGCATATTCGTGCATTTCATTCAGCATTCGGGATCGGATCTACAGTCCTCTAGATACGTAGCGAGGCGTTCAGGACATTTGTTGAATCTGGTACGGCGCGCAAATGTTTGGTTTCTCTGTATCTATCTATCCAGGGTTAATAGAAACATAGATAGGTGGAAAAAACATTTGCTGTGTCTTGAAATCGAGGTCAATCGAGGTCAATCGAGGTCAAAACGTTTGGTTGTCAGTAGTCTTTGGTTATAGTTTTGGGATGCATTAATTTGGTACTATTATGTATAGTGTCTAAATAGATACTCTTAATCGAGTTTCCGCGTCATCATATTATTAACATTATGTCCGTACTGTATATGTTCAAACGCGGTCCATCCATCTATCGTTGTAAGGTCTTGTAGCATATCTCGCAGTATCTCCCTCATTTCTAAACGTCGTCACGGGTGCAGGTCTTCGCGGGTGTATTGGGAAGATCAGGTCTGGTTGTTGAAGAGCCGGCTCTTCATAGTGGTGGAAGGAAGTAGTGGTTTCGGGAATTCAAGGTCGTCGAATACCTGGATTTCTGTTCCATGATATCCAGGAATCGCTATCGGCGGCGGACGGAGAACGTACGTGTGCGTTCAGTAGTTTGACCGTATCGGAGGGCGGAGAGGATTTGTAGGGCATAGACCTCCGCCGTAATGTCAGCAGGGGACAGGCGAGTCCACTCTCTTCGCTCGAGAAATGCGGCCCCGAGAAGTGGAGCCAAAAGGCCCCGGCGGAAAACACTCCAGCTCGCAGGAAATTGTAGAAGGGAGGAATGTGATCCCATGTTCGAGCGATTATTACACCACAGGTCGTTCGTCGCATATCAGGATCAAAGCGGTCATCCACGTTGACTTCAAGCTCAAGCGCGGTTGCAGTGTTTAGTAGAGAACGACCCTGCGGTCAATCGTAGTGCAGTCCCATGCTTGGCCATTGAGAAGTCAAGACGGGTAGGTGTGCAGGAACCCGCACGGCCGAGGTGTTAAATTGTTGCTGGTCAAGAAGTAAGTGCTGGATCACCTCTTCCAAACACCATTCTCGTCTTTCTGCCACCGCAGACCAATCGGTGTATGCCGTCGCAGTGGCTTTGGTCTGAATTTGGCATCATCGAGCTGAACCTCGGTCACGGGGGCTAGGGTATTGCTTTGAGCCTGGCCAGGAATTGGAGACGACCTTCCGCTCCGTAGTTCTCTGTCCTCTGGAGTTGCAGTACCGGAACTGTGACTGCTTTCGGGACCTCTATCGACGATCTGCAACATTCCAATATCAGGGAGTCTGGTCTGTTTCCACTCCTCGCGGGTTCGTTGCCACTCGTCCAGATCATCCACTTCGTCGCCGCTGATAATTCGAGTGAGTGTGCCAGCGTCGAGTCTGTCTTTCACGGGAGACAGTGTTGGTGGCCCTGAATGAGGGCGCCGCATAGCCTGTTGCTGTGCAGTCAAGTGTTGGCTATTTTGTGTCCCGACCATCTGCGGTACAACGTAAAGGCCCTTGTGCGCGTCCCTATACTTTGGATCTGAAGCCAACTTCGCCCTTACTGCCGCGGCGTGTCTCGAAGTGAGGAGGATAGGATCGTTGCTTCTTCGCTTCTTCTTGGGCTTTTCTGGTTTGCTCGCTTTCTTTTCTTTGTCTTCCTTGCTCTTGCTGAAGAGTCTGGCAAGGCTCGGACGCTTGGGAGATGCTTGGCTATCGCGAGAGCTGGTTCCACTATGCTCTCCGCCGGCTGGCGAGGTAACGAACCCTGGTTCCGATTTTATGGATGTCGAACTGTTGTGCCTCGAAACCATAGGCCTCGATTGTCGGACCTGGTCGCCAGAATGCCGTCGGTTCGGCAACGGCCGACTGTAGATATCGAACGAGTCGAACATTGAGCTGGTATGGCGGATGATGTTGCTTCGAGGAGCAGGAAGACAACGAGTTCGAGAAGTAGGCGAGGACGAGGAAGATAAGAGAATGGGAACGAAAAGATGACGACAAAAAGAGTTTCTCGGGTCTGAAGACCGACACGTAACCTACAACACCAACCCTTGTTGTTGAGACTCTTCGCCGGCTTAGCGACGTGTCCCTCCGCGCAAGCAAATATTACTGTGTAGAATTCCAAATGCAGTGGGAGAGAAGATACCACATGTGGCGGCCATCGAGGCTGTAGATAACCAAAGTGGGATGGTTGGGGTGAGTAAGGGCACAGTCCTCACCACAGCATCGCTTCACCGTAGCAGGCGATGAGCTGTTTTGCCTGATGTCACTCTGCGATCAGACCAAGAGACGGCGTCCCCGAGATAGACCGTCCGCTATCAGCGTGGAAAATTTGACGGGTTCAATAATGGACTGAACAGATAGACTTTTAGGTGGCGGGCGGGAGAAAAAGCCTCCTCCACCAAACTGCAAAACTGCGGCCCTGTTGCAACGTCTTTATTTTCCGTGCCAGTAAAAATTCACGCAGCCGCAGCCTGTGCTTCAACAACTTGAACGTTGGTCCGGTCTCTGTTTTCTGTGCCTCGCTCCTATCTCGGACTCTACCCTCCGGTTCATGACAATATTATTCATGGCTTATCAGCCTTGTCTCCTGCTTGTGGCTGTGATTGCTCTTCTGAACGGCGTCAATGCTAGATACGTGGTGTATCTAACAGGGTTTGCTGCCTCACGCTCTGTTGGCCATGTACTCAATGACAATGGAACAGGCAACACAATCATGTCCCCGAGCTGTCCCTTGTAAAAGACATCACTCATGTCACACTGGCATTCATGCGCTCGGAGGTCTTCAATGAGGACAACCCCTTTGAATGGCCTCTGTTCACCTCTGTCGATGCTGTCCGATCTGAGTTTGCTCCTGGCGCTGCTATCATGGTCGCTATTGGCGGCTGGGGTGATACTGAGGGCTTTTCCGTGGCTGCAGCGACTGACGCAAGTCGAAAGCGGTTTGCAGCAAATGTGAAAGCCATGGTTGACGCGAAAGGAGCCGACGGTGTTGATGTGGATTGGGAATATCCCGGCGGCAACGGAGATGACTACAAGCAAGTCCCGAACTCTGCTAAAGCCTGGGAGGTGGACGCATTTCCTAAACTGCTAGCTGAAATACGCTCGGCTTTGGGTCCAGACAAACTGATCTCGGCGGCTGTCCCTGGTCTTCGGAGAGACATGATTGCTTTCACAGCCGATACAGTTCCCCAGATTGATCAATCTTTGGACTTCTGGAATATCATGACTTATGACTTGATGAACCGAAGAGATAACGTTACAAAGCATCATGCCGGAGTTGTTGAAGCCTTGGACGCCATCGATGCATATCTCGAACGAGGTGTTCCCGTTGACAAGGCAAACCTGGGGTTTCCCTTCTACGTCAAATGGTTTAAGACTGACCCGAAGAGTAACTGCGATGTGCATCCCCTGGGGTGTCAGACAGTGCTTATGGAAGATCCTGTAACAGGTGCCGACTTGGGACAAGCAGGGGCATTCTGCTGGGCTGATGATGTGCCTCCGGAATTGGCAACCTCTTACGCCAGAGCTATGAAGTACGGCATGTATGATCTCGAACGTGGTGGCCACTACTACTGGGATGCAGACGAGGGTATTTTCTGGTCTTGGGATACTCCTGAATCGATAGCTCGCAAGATTACAGTCATGGATACGAGAAAGCTCAGCAGCGTCTTCGCCTGGGGTCTAGGTGAGGACTCGAGAGATTGGAGACACCTGAGAGCTCTGACTGCAATGTACCAGAATCACACGCGGCTCGAAGTCCACGTTCGCAAAAAGGGAAAAGATGAACTTTGAGCTTGCTGATATGCCTTGCATCCAGCGCTTCACAAGTCAACGCACATCCGACGCAGTATGTGTGGCTTGTGGTCTCGAAAGAACATGCACCTCGCTGCATCCAGAACCCTTTCGCGCCGCTGTACGTGCACAGCATGCACGATCGGGAACTTGATGGACAGACTTTTCACCCCAGCCGTATTGCCCTGAGCACCTGGCAGATGCTTCAGACTGCAGCATAGAAGCCGCTGGCGGCCCTACTTCCGGGTAAGCCTACAATCGAACACTTGCTTGCAACCGCACTTTCTGTGGTTAGTCTCTGTTTTCGGACCAGTGTGTCCGGCGGCCTTTTCAGGACTACCTTAGACACACCCTGGAATTTTCTTTCGCATCACAGTTCCGCAAGAACGGTCATTGGTATCTGCGTGTATGCGAACATGTGAAACGTACTAGTACGCAATCCGGGGAGGCGATGCCTGGGGCACTTCTGGCTAAGCGCCCAAACTAAGCGCCAACATCTGCGCCTTATGTCTCAGGCACACTCAACTCCCATCAGAGCCCAATCGGTAAAACATTGTAAACGACCTTGTTGGCGTTGCCGACCACCTGGATCAGCTGCTGCCTCCCATACACTTCACTGCTGCCACAAAGACCACCGTCTGGGGCCGTTACTCACTTGTACAAGAGGTGCGGCATTCCGCATGGCCAGACTAACGATGCCTTCGACTCAGGCTCAACATGAGATACCCCCGAAGCATCGGTTCACGCCATGGACAGACATACTCTGGGTAAAATCACTATTCCAGGCCGAGCTGCTCGAAAGTCGCAGAGGTTATCTTCGGTGGACTTCTGCCCTACATCTCAATATCACCAGATCGGAACGTTGAAGTTTGACGAGCTCAACTTCGAGAATACCTTGCCATTACCAGAGAAAAGCCATTATTTATCAAGAGAGCCATCCTTGGCTTCTTTAACAGCCACCAAACCTAGTCGGCGCTTTACAGGTATAGGGCTTCATTGGACGACAGCCATAGTTGGATTGCCGATATTCTGTTTCACGGTCGTCCTGATAGTGCTTGTCTTTGTGTATCGGGTATCTACCGACCCTACACATCCATTCGCAGCCAGCCCTTCGCACAAGGTTGATCACCGCTATATTCTTGTCGACTTCTCATCCACAAGATTGGTCTTCGTTGCATCATGGAGCAGCACACTCGCTCCTATGCTTCTGGGGAGCTTGATGGCGCTTTGGCACATTCCCACTGTGTGCAAGATGGCAGCCCATACCACCGAGGACAATATCAAGGAGCTTCCGACGCCGTATCAATTAAGCATGCTCATCGGTCTTTCGAGTGGTTCCTTCGACGAGCTACGAAAGTACGTCATGTACCTTTTCAGCAATGTGAAGGCAAGTCAGCCTCGCATCCTGAGCCGCTCGGCTTTGATCATGGTCGTGAGCTCCCTGTTGGCCGCCCTCGTATTTGGGGCAGATACCGCGATTCATGCCTTCACTTCGACGACGTCTGTAAGCATGGTATACGAAAATGCACAGGCACAGCTTTCCTCTGGGCGGGGACTGATCAGCGAGTGCATTGGCTTTAACCGGACTGCCAACCAAGGACTACCCTGCACTGTGGTTGCAGATTCGAGCCTGGGAGCGAATACCTTAGCTCGTGATACTGCAGAAATAATTTCTCTGGAACAAAATGTCTCGTTGAGAAACAGTATCTGGACGATTAAGGCCGATGACCTCACCCATGGAGATCTCGTCATCCTGATGCCTCAGACGAAAAGCACTCCGCCAAATGTCGACTATCACGCAACAACGGTTGGAGTTTCAACTCAATGCGTACCTTCTACGAGCAAATGCGACATGAGATTGTCCGATCAGACGGACGCGGACACCAGCTTTGTCATGTTCAACTGCACCGACAACTTCCGTGGTGTCCTTGGTGCTCCTCCCAGCATTTCGAACAACACTGTCTTATGGACACAGACCGACAGTACTACGCCGAATTTCAACGTCAAACTGGACAGAAACTTTCAGTATGCATACTTTTCCGACCCGGAGTTTACCAAGATATATAACTCGATCGGGGGAAATCTGACCAACAACGGTTCCTCAGCCGACTTGGCGCTACCAGATGGCTCACTCTTGAATCCAATCTATCTTGCGACGGCTGGTCTTATCCCCGTTCTGAACGGCCCAGCTGGAGAAAGTCTCAATCGTGATGAGGATGTCCTCTCTGTGGGTGGGTCGATGGTTGCATATTCGTTGAATTGCACTGTTACGTCGTATGATGTAGCATACGACTGGGTTAACGGTGCAATCAGTTCGTTCAATTATACGTTGACGCCAAATGGCAGCATCATCGAACTGTCGCATGGTATGCAAGCAGTTGGTATGCCTAGCCTTTCCCAAGGCCAAAGCCTCGCCAGCCTTTCGGAGAGTGCGGCAGGTCTGGCTCGAAGCTTTGCAAACGCACACTCCACGGATTCCCTGACGTTGATTGGGAGCGTGATGTCGCCTAGAACGAATCTCGCAGAGGCAACTCGCCGAGACGTACTTGTGGCCAAAGTGAACACTGCAGTCTTTGGGTTTCTGGTGGGCAGCAATCTACTCTTCGTCGTCTTTGGGCTCGTGCTTCTTATTCGAGCATGGAGGGTCCATTCGCCTTCCACGCTGGACATGGTTGCCCGAATGAGTGTCGAGGGGCTATCCGCGATGGCCTTTGAAGATACCGTCGAGAAAAGGGTGCGGCGAGTGGCTGATGTGCAAGACATGTTTGAAGAGAGTCGCATTGGGGATTCTAGTAGGAAGGTTGGGTTGAAAGCATACCCAGGCGGTGGTCATGTCATGTTTGTTGAGCAACCTCGACTTTGAAAAGTATAGTATGGATGAAGGATTTGAACATTATGACTTTGTACAGCAGGCGAATTGTTTTAAATATCTCTTTGTTTCTACCTGAGAAGATTGAAAGTTTCATGATATAGAACCTGGCTAACTCTAACAACTGCTTGTTCCAGAAGCATAGTCTGGGGTTTCGCAGTGCTAAGACGTCAAGCGTGGTTGCTGCACAGCTGCTTGCAAACGGCCAACCTCCTAACACCATCCATTCATGTCTTTAGATATTCTCCTAACCAGCCCGCATCACATAGAGGAAGTGTTATCTTTTATGCTCGAAATAGGTGTACGTGACCGGCGTTATTTATCCTCTTGGACGGCTATCCTGTCAAACTTCGCGGAAATTTCGAAAAATTTCATCCATGTCCCCAGAATATCTTCCTATGAACGACCATCCCCGAACACCAAGCACACGAAGTATTAAAGACAGAATACTTTTATTTCCACATCCATCATGACCGAATCCAACACCAAATTCACAATCCACCGCATACCAGCTGGCGAGGTGTCCCCAACAAGGATTCAACCCATACTAGATCTATCGAATCTCATCTTCGACACCGCGCGCTCACCGCCCACTCACCATTCGTCGATAGAAGTATGGCGGCAACGACTATCACCTCCCCCGCCACAATCTGGTCTTCCGGCTCCTATTCTGGTATATGCCACAGCAACAGAGGGTTTCAAGTCCGAATCTTCCTCTTCCACGACCAATAACGACCCAACTGGTCACGACGACCATGTTGGTTCACCAATTGGTCAAGACCAAGTCGGTTCACCACCAATTGGATTCATCTTCGCCATCCCCAGAACCGATTCTGATCCCTCCATCCCATCTCCGACACTGCACATCTGGCTGGCGGGCGTTTCGGAGCAAGCCCGTGGCACGGGCGTCTTTGCGGCCCTCATGGCAGAAGTGGAGCAGCATGCTCGACGGGACGAGAATGAAAGTCGAGTCAAGGTTATGAGCGTGTGTACTTATCCAAAAAGGTTCGGCAAGATGTTTGCCATTTTGCAGAGGCAGGGGTGGGAGATTAGGCAGTGGCTGGAAGATGGGGAGAAGGTGTTGTTTGTCAAGGGACTCGGAGTTTGAATTTGAATATGGTTATTACTGTACGAGATGTTGTGATGTAGTTTTGTTGCTTGCTCTAGTTGAGGATGGGTATGAAAAGTGTCTTGTATGGATAGAAGGTGAGGTGTTTATCGTTGTTCCGGAAAAGCTACTATAAGAGGAGGAGGGAGGGTGGTAATAGTATGGCATGGTATGGCATGATGGCTACATGTGTACTTTGGAAAGCAGTCTTGGGTCTCAAGGAGTTATAGGAAGAGTGGGTTACAGGATTGAGGTGTATGATGCTGTATCAGCAATGTGACTGATGGAGTGAGAAGAGTTGTGCCACCCGTCACAGCTAAGTCCGGCTGCGTTAGGAGGTCTGGCCCTAACATGAATGGGAAAAGACAACAGCCGCTTCGAGTCTACTGCCGGAGACGCCGTCTGGACTTCGTGTTATCGGCGGTGGTGAGGCCGGTTGTTGGCCCACTTCACGCCGGTGTGCACCGAAACAATAGAGCGAGCGATCGAGGATATGGTGCTGGGGCAGTGATGGCCGTCCATCCTCCACCGTTCCTCATGACCTTCAAGTTATACGTTGGTTTGAACGAGGAGAAGAACAATGAGCTGAGAGGGTGGTCTCCTCAAGAGGCTGCAACACCTACCGCTATCAAGAGATTCTGAGTCTGTCCGTCTAGGCTTGCACATCTTTCAAAGGTTCATCTTCTGGGACAGTGTACATATTATCCTCCCAGACCACAAGGGAGTCCGATGTCCAATTTCTGATTCCGTACAAACCAAGGAGCAACTTGGGGAGAGGCCTACCCACCAAGATACCTACAGTAGATGTGTCGGCTTATATTCTGAAGAGTAACAGAGGGAAAAGGGTTCAACGTTAGCATTTCAAAGGCAGACAAGCAGTAAGGCAACCTGGAGTCCTAGCATGTCAGCAGCGGCAGAGGTCTGACATTGAGGTACTACATGTAGGAGATAGAGAAGTAAGGGACACTCAAGTTGGAGACAACCTTGAACGATATAGCAGAAAAGTTTTGCCGAACATCAGCCGCCGCGCGCGACGAAATATCGAGCCAGAGGCACCTCAAGTTCAACTTCAAGTCGAACTACATAGTACGAGCCCGTTGTCGTCCGTTGCTATTCCAGCGCGTTTCTCGTCCCGCTATAGACTTCGACCTACACCATTACCGTTCTCCCGCTCACCACACTCATTTCGCGAGTCCATCCGTCCGTTTATTTCCAGTACAGCAATCCAGTCAATCAGACACTCAATCACCATGGCCGATCCCAAACCCTCCTCCACGACCACGACCAGCACCCAACCCAATACTCCTTCAACCTCCTCACCGACACCAACCAGTTCCAGTCCCAGTACTACAACCGACTTCCTCCCCAGCGACACCCTCTCGGCGCGCTTCAAAAACTTCTACCGCATGGCGACCGGCAAAATGTCCCCCGAAGGCGCCAAACAATACTGGGAAGACGCCGACCGGCGCTACAGGGAGCTGGACTGCAAGCGATGCGAACAGCAGCGCGATTACTTGTTAAAATTCTCCCCAATCATCAGATACCTAGGCGACAACATCCGCAAGCTAGGCGGCGACCTAGGGTCGCATAATATTCGTTGTCGAACCTGCAAGACAGGCCAGTTGGGCGGGTTTGATCACAAATACGGCATTTTGATCTGCGCCAATTGGGTGGAGAAACAGAATATGTTGGAAGATGTGTTGGCCCACGAGATGGTTCATGCTTATGACTATTTGAGGTTTAAAACAAACTTAAGTCCGGAGGATGATTTGCGCCATGCTGCTTGTTCGGAGGTATGTACACACGCCTTAGACACTACCCCATCCTTCTTCTCTCATCTATACTAATACTAATACTAATACCTGTATAGATCCGCGCAAGTAATCTCAGCGGCGAGTGTCGGTGGTCCAACGAGTTTTTCCGCAACAAGATCGTCTCTTTCACCAATCACCACCAGGATTGTGTGCGGCGACGGGCCATTCTGTCCGTCAAGTCCAGGCCCAACTGTAAGGATGACGTGCAGGCTGTCAAGGTCGTCAATGAAGTGTGGGACAGTTGTTTTAGAGATACGAGGCCTTTTGATGAGATTTATCGATGACCTACTACCGGCTTGAAGAACATCCTTTTGTTCATTTCCAGGGGACGGCTTAGATTGCTTTTGGGTCATTTCTAGCGAAGGTGTTGGGGGCGCAAGGAAAGCAAAAAACAAGACATATGTGGACGACGGTATGATTTATATACCTTTTCAAAACCGAACGAATCAAAAACTCCATTCCAATCCCAACCTATTTAGCCATGCTTCTGCTATGCTCTCCTTTCTGCCCAAACACCGTTCTCCATGATATGTTCGTCTAGTTGTGTACAGGCCAAAATCATAACCTTAATCCTTCCACCGATTCAAGAATTTCTGCATGGCGGCATCACTCGGTTGGCCAGCTGCAGCGACCTGGTCATTCCAACGTCAGTATCCACTGTTCAACTAAAAGGAGTGTAAGAACGACGTACCGTGGCCTCTCTGCTGTGGGTAGAGAATGTCAGAGTCTCGGTGTGCGTGGTAGCAGCATTTGGCGCGCCAGCAATGGTTTTATACACGGTGTATGCACTGGTCGGCCACTGGGCAGAGGCCTTCTTGGCCGTGATCTTGGTCTTAGCCAAAGGTGGCATCGGCGCATAGCGAATGCTTCCCGTCTGTAGTGTGTATGGCACATTGTACTCCGAGGCTCCGTTGGTCGGCACAGTGTCGACATCATCATCATCATCAGCCGCTGCAGCAGCCTTGATGTTGTTGACATCTGCAGGGCCCGCCGTACCAGTAACCGACTTTAAAGCTGTCGTGACGGCTGCCGGGAATGTGCCCGTCATACTCTTCAGACTGAACCGGTCCGAGTAGTTGATGACAGTGCCTCCTGTGGCGGCGGAGACAAACTTCAGGAAATAGGCATTGGTCACGTCCGCACCCAGGCCGGCGGTCAACGTCGCACTGACTGTATTGCCGTCGGTAAAGTCGCCATTCGTCACTAGCGTTGCCAGTTGCACCTTTATTGAATTGTCAGTCTGAAGGACTACTTAGTAGTTGTTGAGGGTTGGTGCACTCACAATGGTCGCCTCCGTGTTGCCCCCTGCACACAAGAACACTTGGTATGATGTTAGGTCCGCGAGTTTGGGCGTCGTCCCAGAGTCCTCCCATTCAATGTCCAGTGTAAGTCCAGTGATTGAATCCCCAGCGGCCGGCGCCGTGACTTTAACATCGGCCACGGCGAGGGAAAGGAGTCCGGCGATCAAAAAGTAAACGCTCCGCAAAATCATGGTTTCGGTGGTATATATTGTGGAAGAAGAAAATAAACAATTCAATCCAGCGGCAGAGATACCCAGGTACCAGAAGAAATGAAGTAGTAAAACGAATGTAAGGACTTCGGTCGCGGATGTTTAATGTGGTGATTGAATGGGAAGGCGCAGTTACTGAGGTACACAGCGTGGATTGTCCGCTAGGAAAGCCTATCACTGTAGGGGAGGACTACCAGGTGCCTGTGCTCCGCAAGCACCTATAGCAGCCTCGCAGCAGTTCAAAGTTGTGGTTCGGAGGCCAGAAATAAAACACGCTGCTGCAGAATTGCGCGTGATTCATTCTCCGCTCCGCCTTTATCGGCCGGTACGTGTCACGACCGACAATCTTCGCCCGCCCGCCTTCGCAGTCCCAGCCATAACCAGACAAACGATGCAAGCTCCCAACAAGTCTTCAGTCTCCTCGTAACAATGGGCTGGTCATCGCCCGACAGCTGGGTTACCAGGCTCTTCGCCGGCGATCCTCTTGTGTGCTTGCTCGCCTTTCTGGTGGTGTTAGCACTTCCGGCACTGTTGCATCTTTACTTCTATACGCAGTCGGCACGTACCAGAATCGTCCCGACCTTTTTGCTTTTGGGCCCTAGCAACGCAGGGAAGACTGCATTGGTCACTCTGGTGAGGAATCTGCCTGGTATTTGCTACCATGCTCGAGCTAATTCTATCTAGCTACAAAAGAGATCTGCCGAACTAGAAAACGCAGAGCCAGCCGTCACCCGAACTTCCCAAGTATCATGGCGAGCCCCCTTGCTACTTCCGCCCTCGGTCCCTCTGGGATCTGATAAATACCGTTCCGAAAACGATGTGTCCTTGAGGGAGAAGCAGCCCACTCGATATGTCATGATAGACACTCCTGGACACGGCAAACTGAGAACCGAACAGGCATTGCCTCAAATACAAAGCCCTTCGCTTCGTGGAGTGATTTTCGTTGTCGATGCCAGCGTCCTTGATTCGAGTGATTCTCCTGCTTCGCGCGACACGGCGGCGTATCTTCATGACACCTTACTCGTCCTACAAAAACGGAAAGCCGCGAAGACGTCAGCCAAGGCCGCAAAGACGGATATACCGATTCTGGTCGCAGCAAACAAGCAAGATCTGTTTACTGCGCTGCCTCCCGGGGCGGTAAAGGAACGGCTGCAGACAGAAATCGAAAGAGTCCGAGTGTCCAGGAGTAAGGGTCTTGCTACCGTAGGCCAGGAGCCGGATGTCGATGGGGAAGATGAAATTCTCGGTGGTGGGGGTGAAGAGAAGTTCAGCTTCAAGTTGATGGAGGAGGAGTACGGCATTCGTATCGACGTCGTTGGAGGAGCCGTAAAAGGTGAAGAAGCAGGCAAGGGAGTCGGAAGATGGGAGGAATGGATTGGCGGTTGTCTATAACCCTCTCCAAACCTGTTGAATTTGAGCCATTCCCAATAGTGGACGGATATGGATCCCTTGTCTTCGTGATGCCCTCTTCGGCTGGCTTGTAAGATGGCACTTCTTGGGATTTGGTCCATGCCTCAAGCGTAGCCGTCAGATATCATAGGCTGATAGGCCGCGGACCACCGTTGTTGAGCATAGATGCTCAGCAAGATCAACCAGACAGATTTCGATGACTGTATCTCATGCTGTGCTGTCCTTCGTAGACCAAAAGCTTGCTCAGACTATTCCCTGGCTGAAAATGTCCTCGAATCCTCGCTGCTGGTCCCTTGGTTCATCCTGACCATGGCCTGAAAAATCGCCATAATAGTCCTGTTCAGTCTGCATACTGGCCACCCCCTCTTTCAGATACAGCAGCAGTCGGTATGCGCTGTTCCCGTTCAAGTAGTACCGGTGCAGCTTTTTACTTCTCAAGAAACCTAACCGCTCATACAGCTTCATGGCTGCTGTGTTCGTTTCCTCGGTCTCAAGCGCAATCTCGTCCGCATCTTTCTCGATCATCAAATCAATGGCTTTGCTGACCAGTGTGGTAGCAATGCCTTTGCCGCGGAACTTATCTTTGGTGGCCAGCATTGCGATATATCCTCTTAAAGGGCCCCCTCGATGTGGTTCGAGTTTACAGATGACCACGCCAGCCAACTTATTGTTGTCAGTGGTGTCAACTGCCATGAAGCACAATTCGGCCCATTGGTAGAGAAAGTATCGGTACACATAGATGCTGTACGGTTCGGAAAGGTCTTTGGAGATCAACTCGCGGATCTGGGGGAGATACTCGGGCTCTTTGTCAAGCGAGTATTGGAGGTAGCTTATCCCGGGAACATTTTTTTGGAAATAGGCACTTGGCTTTTCGAAGTAGCTCTCGCGTCTCGGAGCAGACGAGGCATTGCTGCTCATTATTGTAGGAGGTGTAGGGTTCTATCGGAGACTCGAGGTTGCCATTGCGGAAATAATAACATGAACATGCGAACAAGCATCACGAGGCCGCAGGTGGAGTCGAACATTGGTGTTGGTTTGTGCCTGAAGATCTGTCTCGGCCGGGCAAATGCGAACTCTCCGGGCCCGCAATCAATACCGCGACTGTTATGACGAAGACACTGCACACTACCACATGTGAAACTCGGTATTTATTATCATTTCAGACTCGCGGGATCCGCGACGGGCCGTGGATACCTATATCTCAATGTGCACCCTGCAGTGCTGCAGTGTGCTTGATGCCTGATTTGGGTCTCTATAGGGCAGTGCCAGCAGCAGCATGTCTGCCCTCAGACGCCGCATCGGCCACGTCCTCGACGACTCGCCGTCTCCCTCCCCCAGTCGAGACAGCACCCCTGATTCGAACGATGAGGTGAAGGTGGTGTCGAAGAAGAAACTCGAGAAGTTGAAGAAGGGCAACAGCAGCAAAAGGAGATCGGGGCTCATATTCGGACTGGGCGGTCTTCTTGGCCTGCTGCTCGCGCTGCTCTTTGCTCAATCCCAGGATGTTATCAGACTAGAAGGACTGTTGGAAGTCAATCTCGACAGTTTGATGGATGTCATCCCCGCTGGCATAGTGAAAGATGTGAAAGACCTCTCCAAAGCGGAACGCGAGGCCGTCAACTATGATTCCTTCGCGGTCGGGTTGGCGTTACAGGCGCAGGGCATCACGGCGCATCATCCGGTGATCATGGTTCCTGGGGTCATTTCCACAGGGCTAGAATCCTGGTCTACGGGCGAGAAATCAAGACAGTACTTTCGCAAGAGACTGTGGGGATCATGGTCAATGATGAGAGCACTTGTACTGGACCAGGCGTTGTGGAAGACCCATATCATGCTGGACAAGGAGACGGGACTTGATCCTCCCGGAATCAAACTTCGGGCAGCTCAAGGCTTTGACGCCACCGACTTTTTCATCACCGGGTACTGGATCTGGAACAAGATCTTGGAGAATCTTGCCACGATCGGGTACGATCCAACGAACGCTTTCACAGCCGCTTACGATTGGCGGCTTTCGTATGCCAACCTGGAGTACCGGGATCAATATTTCACCCGGCTCAAGAACTATATCGAGGTTGCACACCAGACTTCCGGAAGGAAGGCCGTCCTGGTTTCACACTCGATGGGAAGTCAGGTGCTATTCTATTTCATGAAGTGGGTCGAGCACAAAAACCACGGCAATGGGGGACCGCGCTGGGTCAATGACCACATCGACTCGTGGATCAATATCTCCGGATGTATGCTTGGAACAGCGAAGGATATTCCTGCGGTTTTGTCTGGAGAAATGAAGGATACGGCCCAGTTGAATGCATTCGCTGTTTACGGTCTGGAGAAGTTTCTTTCCAAGGAGGACCGGGCGGAGCTGTTTCGAGCCATGCCGGGGATTTCTTCCATGTTGCCAAAGGGAGGCGAAGCGGTCTGGGGAAACAGTACATGGGCTCCAGACGACCTTCCATCCTCACAGCAGAACTCCAGCTTCGGTGTTTTTATCTCCTTCAGACCCGAGAACAATTCTACAAAAACACCACGGAAGAACCTCACGATGACGGAATCATTTGAGTATTTGATGAATACCACAGAACCATGGTATCACAGACAGATCGAAGGCTCATATTCCCATGGAGTGGCGCACACGAAGGCCGAAGTGGAGAAGAACGAAGACCGACCACAGACTTGGCTGAACCCTCTCGAAGCTAGACTTCCCATCGCTCCAGACATGAAGATCTTTTGTTTTTACGGCATCGGGAAGCCGACGGAAAGAGCTTACTTCTACAAGGACAATGAGAATCCATTGCAAGGAAACGTCAACATCACAATTGATACATCAATAAACTCGCCTAACAAGCAGTTACAGGATGTCGGCGCGGTAGACCATGGGGTGATTATGGGCGAAGGGGATGGGACGGTGAACCTCTTATCGACCGGTTATATGTGCGCCAAAGGCTGGAAGAAGATCAAACGATATAACCCTGCAAACATCAAAATCACGACTTACGAAATGCCGCATGAGCCCGATAGGTTTAATCCTCGAGGCGGGCCCAACACAGGCGACCACGTTGACATTCTGGGTAGAAGCAGCCTGAATGATTTGATTCTGCGGGTCGCCGGAGGCAGAGGGGACGAAATCGAAGAGAACTACAAAAGCCGCATATGGGAAATCAGTGACAGGGTACAGATTTCCGAGAAGGGCTGAAAATGAAGGCGGGCCCGAATGTTCCCCTTTTATTATTGCATGGTCGGGTGTCATGTCTGTGACCATCTTACCTGTTGTCCGTTTTGCGAGTATACGCCGCTACAATTGGAGCATGGCAGGACGCGGAGATACCCCGGACGCATTTACATCGACTTTTGTGGTTTGTTGTCGGGCGAAGCTGTATTGTAGAGGTCCATAGAGGGATACACGTTGGAAGGGGGGCATACGAGCAACCCATGCTCATCTGTACTGTACAAAGACTACACTTATACTTGAAAAGGGCGAAAATCCGCCTGGTCATGTCACAACCTCGTCCATTCACCGAGTTGATGCCACCCAGATGAGCACAGAATGTACAGTACTGTAGTGATATATCAAAGTACCACCTTGTGATCGGGTGCTGTCCCAATGGAAAAGTTGGAAGCCTGTACAACGTCTCGTTCAGTGTGGCCTCAAAAACTGAAGAGCGTTGATTATTGGCCTCAGGCCATTTGTAACTCTCATGGAAGCTGTTGTTCACTGCAAAATTCAAGTTTCGTAGCATCGTAAGATAGTACCTGATCTGTCGTGCTCGTAAAAGAACCTGGACCCTCCCGGCCGCGACTCGTAGAGTTGCAACAATAGCTGCGGCGCGTCACTAAACGCCGTTCGAATTGCGGCCTTTACATGAGCGATCCGGGGACATCATAACGAGGCAGACCGCTATAAGAGGTTCATAGCGCCACTCAGAAAAGGCACGAATTCACATACAAGACGGCGAGAGTCCAACTTGAAGCACATGCACTGCTGTGGGCTTCAAGTTCGCAACCCACATAAGTCCACCCTCACTACTGGCACGCAGCTTTCGTCAAGGCAGTATTACGTACTACTCCCACGACTGCGCTGGACCACAAGCCTAGAGTCGGCCAACCGAACAACGGACCTACGTACATACTTTTAAGTGACCAACACTTTGTCCTCTCAATTCGACGCACCCTGGCCACATCGTTGTTGTTTCGAGAACCTGTTTCTTTTGGTCTCCCTTCTCGAGTTACTTCGCTACAAAGGGCCATCCCGTCCTGTTCGCTCTCGACACAATGGCGCACCAGATCGTGTCCCTAATCATTCTCTTGGTGGTGGTCGGCGTGTTAGCCGCCATTGGGTTCGTGGCATATTCGATCGCGCACGACGTCGGACATCACACAAGACAAAAGCTGGAAAAGAAGAATGTCTCGTTCAGCCGCCAGGGAATGAAAGTCGGGGTCAAGGAGCGGACACTTGAGCAGCAAGAGGATGCGGCGCAGAGGTTGGCACATACCTACCTTATAACTACTACACTTCCCTTCTCTGAGGCCACGCTGACATCCGGTTCGTCTACTACAGTGTCATAACCAAGATCTGGAACAACTCGTCTTGGCCGGGTTACAAGTCGCGCCTGGGTTGGGGACAAGGAGGAGCCAAGTCTGAAAACTCGTGAGTACTGTACCAGCAGCCTGCAGTAGCATGAACTTTTGATAGCTTGCTAACCCCTGGTATGTTGCAATGTAGCACCTCAGCCGCGCGACCTTCCAACTCGTCTCGTCATAACTCGAGCCAGGCCAATACTTCGTCTGCACAGGTCCGTCCGCCGTCGCATTGAGCGTAAGCAAGAAAGGAAGGATGTGGAGGAAAACGTTACCTACTCTGTTCCTGCCGGAACTTGAATCGGACATAGCAAAACAAAGGGCACTGCAGTGGCTTGCTCTCTGCGAGCTACACATTGGACGACTGGACGAGACTAGACGTTTGGGAAAGATGCGTTTGCGCTTGACATGTGAGATGTATGCTACGAAATGAGACCACGACAACTTGAACCTAGACAGTTACGCTGCGGTCCGTTAGCCAGGCAAATGTGCCAGGATTGGCTGGTTTCCTGGGGGCCTCGAAAAGATAGAAACAGAGTATCATGATCTACTCGAAAACATCAGCAGAAGTTTTGTTCTTCAGGACTCGGAGTACTAGGCTCGCCAGCCTCGCTGTCCGAGTCGCTCAAAGCAATTTGTCACGCGACCATCCTGTCTAATCAAGAGTGCTGTGACAACGGATATGGACCCTGGCTAGTAGGAGTAGGGAGAGTCGGGCCGGGGTTCGATTGCAATCGCTGAGGAGTGTTCTTCAATCTCCAGTGCGGCCAACATTGAAGCACTCGCACCATTTATTCGGAGAATAATAATACCTGGTAGCACGCGGCCAACTGACAGAAGTCAGGCTGAAGCTGTCAGGGTGCGACTTACCAGCTGCAGATGCGAGCTGCAAGATGCAGGCTCGTCTGGCACAACCGTGCTTCCGATGCGAACTCGAAGTCGGTGACCGACTACAACGGCGACCCCTGAACTAGAATTCCGATGTCTCTAGGGGTTGAGTTCGCCTCGTCCAGTAGCGAACGAGACTGTTGGCTCTCGGGCTCGTTTGAATCCGAAAGGGCCGAGAGGGGCCGCGACGAGGAGAGTGGATACGCATCATTGGGTTCAAGTTCCGGAAGAAGCTCCAGAGATTGGCTGCGCTGTCAGAGAGACAGATGGGAGAGACTACGCGTGTGGTAGAGAGCTGCCGATGCGAAATTGAAGGGGAGACGCGAGAAACACGAAACAGACAAGGGGAAGAAGACGCGAATCGGATAAAAGAGTGGTTCCCAATTGAACCTCAAAGTTCTATACAATTACGAGGGGATCAAGATGGAGATGGTTGAAATTGCAGGCAATCATAACTATGTATACCAAGCATTTTATTGGGGGTAATTAATTGATTGTTACAATCCCACCTTATCAACGGCCCAGTTCTTCGAGAGGAGCAGCAGGTAATCAGTAGTAGAGGGCATACAACGTAGAGAGAAGGCAATGCTCCGTCAGTCACCCTTTCAGATTAGATTTCTCGCATCCTACCCGAAAAAAATCAGAAAAATTAGCATAATATAAGTGACCCATCGATCGCAAGGCTGATTTATATGGATAGTTCAAGTTTAACCTATGAGCTATCAACAATGAACCCCTGACAAGATCCGTCCAGTTCGCCTGTCATTCTGTGTGTCCATTGTCCGGTCGATCCTCTGATGAAGCCAGAGCACTGCATGATCCGTGTTTCATAGCAACAACCGACACGTGCGCAGTCTATGTCTGTGTCATTGTTACAACATTGTAGGTGCATATGTTATTGTTATTGTTGTTTGCACCCACGAGCCTGAGCTTCTGCAGGTTTGCGTCATGATCCATTGGAAGAGAAAAACTGTACCTGACTCCCAGCCCGGTTCGTGACATCTTCCAGCAGAAGAGACTTTCTGACCAGTACCGTTTTTTCTCGTCCGAAAGGCCCGTTAGAAGTGAAAAATTTAATCATGACAAGCATGATTTTCCAGGGGTGACTTTAAGCGATGGGATCAAGTGGGTCGGTGGCCTTAAGGGCCCAGCCTCTAACAAAGGCCCCTTAGGCCGCACTGGCACCCTTACTGTAGGCTGCCTCCAGGGCAGCAACTTACCTGTAGATTGCTGGAGCCAGCTACTGGCAGAGAATAGCACCGCCAATAATTAGCATTCGGCACAGTGGGAATTATGAGCATGGGCCATCGCTGGAGCAGCCCTGGAGCCTGGAGCCTCGAAAAAGCTGCGTTTTATTGGCCTGGCGGTGTGCCTGGAACTTTATTAAGTCACCCACTCGTCATGGGCGTGTTATTGACTGATCTCTCGCTGCCCACCGACTAGTACTATTTGGTGTGTAGCACCTCCAGCAATGCCGGTGCTGTGGTCCAGTCCAAGTTGTACCACTGTAGCAGTAGAGTGCCCGTCATCCACTGCTTAAGCCCCGGCTCCTTCGGGTTGTCGTGCAGCGAGCTCCGGGCATGTCGCTGCGCCCGAGGCGCCTATCACAGCATAATAACTCAGACCCGCGGCGGTACACTGCCAGTGTGTGCTGCACAACTTGACGGGGCTGAGAAACGTCGTACACTAGTACAACTGTAGCAGAGAGGCTGCACCTCTGCCGCCTATAGTTCTGCTCATCTTCTGGCGCCCAGCGACCACTACAGGATTAGCAGTGGCTTGTCCTGTGGCTGCTTGCATCAAAAGGCCTCAAGCTTCTAACGCCCCCGTCTATCCCATCCGCAGACTTCCACATCCGTCGGTTCCTTTACCACTTCTTCTTTTCGCTGTTGCTTACCACCTGAACGTCAACCGCTATTCTCAGTCGCTCACCTTTTCTCCTTCTATCTTCCATCCTCCCATCCTTACATGCAACCCTTCGGCACCGTTCTACCGACGACCTCTCCTCGCCGACTCTCCTCCATTGTCCTCCTAGCCTTTGTCGCCGCTGCCTATTATCGATTCACACCTCCCGACTACACTACTAGAACACACTCCTCGCGCGGCTGTGATTACACCTACTCCTAGTACGATCGCAATCACGTAAAAGCACCAACAGGTGCCATGCAGTCGTCACTTCCGTCCTGGAAGGACGCTGCAATCACCAAGAAGCATCTTCAACTACCATGGCGGTCAATACAGCTTCTGGTGCCACACCGGTTACGGCGCAAGTTGCGATCAAAGCTACGCAATCGACAGTCGCCCGCCTCGTCCATTTCATCCTTGCAAACGTCCTTCTCACCGGCTGATACTCTACACTCCTTGCAAAATCACAAGTGGACGGTCTACGATGCACAATGGCTATTCCTTGCGGTCCTCGGGATTTTCTCCCTGAGCATCATTGAGTCTCCAGGTCCGCTTGTTAAGACGACGGTCGCTACACTTCTGCTTGCCTCTCTGATTTTCCCAATAACGAGACAATTCTTCCGGCCCTTTATGCCTATAGCAGCATACTTGATCTGGTTCTACTCGTGCAGGTGAGTTTACGTGGGTGATGTAGGTTATTCAAGAAACTGACTCGGAGTCAACCCAGATTCATTCCGCCTGAATGGAGGCCTCCTATCTGGGTCAAAGTCCTTCCTGCCCTCGAGAATATACTTTACGGAGCCAATTTGAGCAACATCCTTTCGGCGCACAAGAACACGGCTCTGGATTTGCTGGCCTGGTTACCTTACGGTCTGGGCCATTTTGGGGCTCCATTTGTGTGCTCCGCAATCATGTTTATCTGGGGACCGCCAACCACAGTCACGGTCTTTGGATTCTCGTTCGGTTATATGAATCTCATCGGTGTTATCACCCAAGTCCTGTTTCCCTGTTCCCCGCCGTGGTACGAGAACATGTATGGACTGGCGCCAGCAAATTATTCCATGAAAGGTTCACCAGCCGGCCTGGCACGCATCGATGCATTGCTGGGGTTTGACATGTATACTTCGGGTTTCACAGCATCTCCGATGGTGTTCGGGGCGTTTCCGTCTTTGCACGCGGCTACCTCGACTCTGGAAGCACTGTTCATGAGCCACGTCTTTCCGAAACTCACCCCGCTGTTTGCCATTTATGTCGTGTGGCTGTGGTGGGCCACGATGTACCTTTCACATCACTATGCCGTCGATTTGGTGGCAGGCAGTATGTTGGCGGGAGTTGTTTTCTTTATTGCCAAATCCAAATTTCTTCCGCGCTTGCAACCGGACAAGAGGTATCGATGGGATTATGACTACATCGAGGTCGGCGACGGCTACAGCGACTACGAGTACAACCTGGCCAGCCTGGCAGAACCGAGCGGCGACAGCGACGAGTGGACTATCGGCTCCTCGTCTTCCATCTCTTCGGGTTCATTGAGCCCGATCGAGGAGAGCCAGAACATCTGGACCGGCGCGTATTCAAATCATGAAAGATGATGATATTTCAGCACCGTTTTGGAACCTAGTTCCATCTACCTTTCGTTGAGTTTCAGCATTGTCAGCAACGGCGTTCACTGCATGGCCCTTGTGACGCTTCACGGTCGATATCTGCATTTAAGCGAAACCTTTGAGTTTTCAAATAGACATGGCGACGACCCTTGTCATCACTGCCCCAGAAGGCCGCTTGTGGTCTGTCCAGAAAGTCCAGGCTGAGCCAGCACTCTGTCTGTTATGATCCTTTGAGGATATCAAAGGTCTCCCTGTGGGAATGACGGGCTGGACGCTGCTTGGGCTCTCCACTCGACCGGTGTCTCGGTTGTCGGGGCTGACTGGACTTTCATCAGACTTTCTCGCCGCAACAGCCACGGCTGTACAGCGAGATATTGTCTGGGGCAATGGTTCAACATTTTGTGTTCAATATGCCCGAATAGTGTTACTCGGGAATTTTTTTTTTTGTGGAAATTTTTTTGTCTGTGATTAGGCGGCTACCGTTTACCGTCTGGATGACGCCGTTACATTCGCTTCGTGTACAACAATATCGACATGGTTATGACCGATACGCCATTCGCTTATGTCAACATACATTGGTTTTCAGAGGATGTGGATTTTTGGCTTGCATATGTCCAGGGATAGGGCCTGGAGCACCGGAGGAATGGGGGCGGACGTGACAGGTTGTCCTGGGCGCAAAGAAACCGGAGTGATATTTCAAAAATCAAAGAACTGGCAGCTGGTGGAAGGAGCTCAGCCCAAGTCCAACCGGTCGGGGAACGAATTCGTTCGGACTAGGCACTGAAGTCGAGGGCATATTTCGGCCGGCGTCTCATACTCCCCGTTTCGATCAATTTACCCTAATCAACGTGCGTTGATTTGTCACAACACTACCGCGCAAGCCAGTCCACTGTTGAATTGGTCGGCCCATTATGTCACCTGGGCGTCCGTTTCGGCAGGCGCTTATGCTGTCAGACCTTGAGGCTTAGCACGAAAACCGGGATGGAGCGAGCATTGGACAAAGCGGGCGTTGCGAGGAGGAGTAAAGTGTGCGGTTATCTGTCACGTCTTGGATTGAACTGAACAGGACTGAAGTCAATGGGAGGACCGACACAGGCTGACTCGACACACCTAATCTGATAATACCATAATCATAATGAACCGTTAAACCTGGACAGCTTGAAGGTCTTCTCTGTGCATGCAACTTGAAACCTTTTGTCAGTACAACGTACCATTTATTTTCGTTACCTAGGACATATCCATCGTAGGTCATCCAGGGCTCATTTGCCGAGTTTTGGAGTGGTGTCAGATACTGATACTTGTGTCTCTATCAGCATGCTCGATGCGGCTCTGCTGATAGCCTCGTTGAGCATCCTTCATACTATATCTAGACCCCGTACTGTAGAAACGTGTCTAGCCAAATCTGCCGGTCCGAGTCGTTCAGCCTTGCAAGGCCTCGTTCAAGTTGTCGCGGCCACTACGTCATAGACTTTGACACACAACCTTGAACAAGACTCCGCGGACAAGCAAATATGTAGCAGAGGCATGCGCAAGCATCTTCGTCTACATTGTACATCCAGCAGCAACGTCAGAAGTGATTGCTTACCGAAGTAGCAATTTATCAGCCCCAAAAGATGCAAATCACAATAGTACTGGGAACATCCAGGTCTATTAGGAATATTATCAGAGGCAGCTGTGAAAGGCAGAGTAGCAGGTAGGTGGCAGGAAGAGAAAGTGTACCTTAAGTAAGCAATCTCGTTCTCTTGGATTAGTCATTCGTGTCTACCGGTGGTGGTACGTCATCACTCTCATTTTCCGCCGCTGCAGTGCCAGTGCTTCCCAGTCCTTCACGACAACGAACAACACTACAACTACCAGTACCTAGGTACCTACAACTGCAGTTGTCATTGACCGTACCTACTCAGATTGCAGTCTGCACGTATTGATTCTCTCATCCCGTATTCGTCCGCACCCAGTCAACAGCTCCTGCTAGCCTGAGCGTACGGAAGCTTGAAGAGCAGCAAGGATAAGATCACAGTTTCAATTTTTTCAAAGCCCACGGAGTCCAAGGCGGCTCATTGACTCATTCATTCAAACATGTCCCGTCCGGCTTCATCCACTGTAAGTACCTGATGCTGTTGTTGCTAAGTGGTCCCAAATGTGTATACTGTAGCTTGCTTGTCATCCATTGTGTGGAACTTGAACACAAGAGAGCTGGGTCGAGAACCAAAACGGAAAAAGATTAAGAGGACGGGATTGAGATAGGGAATGTTGACTTGGAGATGCTGCATTTGCGTTATCATCCAGTCGCTGAAGAAGAGCAAATGCTAACCGTGTGACCGTGTCCCTTTGGACCTGAACCAGAGCGATGTCCTCCTCTACTTTCTCGCCATTTTCCTCCCGCCTGCCGCGGTCTTTCTAAAGACCGGGTGTGATTCCAACTTTATCATTAATGTTCTTCTTACGATTCTGGGGTGGTTGCCGGGGTGTCTTCGTAAGTCCAACACAATCTTGATTCGAATTCTCTGCCCCCTTTTGGTTTGTCAGCGTTGGTCTTGGATGTTGTTGGTGGGGAGAAGGAAGGGCTGTCGAATCAGGGTATCGGCCTTGATGAGGAATCGTACGCAACCTCACATCAACTGGATACGGTCGTGCTAACCAAAATGTCCATATTCTAGATGCCTGGTATATTATCACTAAATACGAGACTCCGGCGGCAACCCCTATACGGACGTACTGAAAGGCACCTGCATAGGCCGAAACCTAAGTGACGGGGGACTTAGCAAGAAGGATAACTCGCATACGTCGAGCCAGTCAGACTTTAGTGATACCCAAACCGTGACTTGAGAGAGTCAAGAACATCAAATAGTCCTCTTTCAGAAACTCTGAAAGACACTCCTCGCTTCTGGCAATAAACACCGCTACCTGGTCCCGGTATATGTTGTAGACACTGTAGACAATGGCATTTAAACATGGCTGCTAGTCTCTGCATAACACGATACAATTGGTCGAAGGCTCTCTAAGCCCAACACTAGATGTTTTCTAACATCATGCAATAATGCCAGTGGCGGCGGAGGTTTTTTGGCGGAAGAGGTGGCGTCATGTGATCAGTCCCCCTGCTGCGGGCACTGCAGACTGAAGCAAATCGAGCTGATGAGAGGAGAATATTTCCCTGATTCATGTTCACCACCTCGACGTTAGCAGCTGGTCCACACATGCCACGGACCCATGGACAACTACCAGGGGTCCGGGTTAGGCAGCGCTGGGATTAGGTAGGTCTCTGAGCCTCCAGAGGTGCCAATCAGCCCACACGGCGCTCACCCACGCTGTCTCCCGCGCCGCCAGAGGTGATCGTCCCGTGTCTAGTGGGACTTTGGGGCAAGCCTCCGATGTCATCTTTGTCCTTGCCCAACTGCCAGAGTGCCCGGTCAGCGTCAAGCGGTAAGCCTGAGACCTGAGCAATCGAAGATTCGCCCACAACCTCCCTGGGATCTCAAAGCCCCAGGGCGGCCTGCCCCGGCTTGAAACCAACGGTTGAGAGGCCTAGGGATTCCCCTGATTGGACTTGTGCGTCGTTGGCGCGCTTTACCTTGACCTAAGCCAGTAGCCAACGTTGCAACTGAGCTCATTGTTTGTCTCTCCCTGGACAAGGGAGGCGAACAGGGCTCCTTGATAGCAAAATCATGGTAAATCGTCATGGCTCGGTTGCACGACCTCATCTGCCGTCCTACTGTTACTGTTAATGCCACGAGAGTACTTTGGATACAGTCTCTGGACAAGATCAAATTGTATCCATCAGTCTCATAACACTCGCATCGACCTACACAGGAGTACATTTCATAAGTGTACAGGATCACTACCGCCGTTCCATCTGCGCCACACTCGCCGCATGTGATATTGTATGGAGTGTCTCAGTTGCTAGGAAACGTCCCCAACGTTCACCGAATGGCCTCAGCCGACGTTCAATATCTTGACCCTGAGCCGCTTGCCACACCTGCGATCGCATCTTCTCAGTCGCCAGGTCGCCCTCGCCGTCGGAATACGGACAATGACAGTACGCGCTCATCTCGAGATGTCTCACCACGCAGCGATGCATCACAGCGACGGAATTCTGCTTTTCTAGAAGTTGGACTTGGCGGTGAAGACACGATTGTTGATGCCAAACTCAGAAAAGAGCCGCGACATGTTCGGTTTCGCAACGAAGTCGATTTTGTTGAACCTGAGCCCGTCGAACTCAGCGACGAAGCCTCCATGGGAAAGGGCCCCCGTGCCGCAATGCCGCTCTATTTTCCCACCTTACCAAGGCTACTATTTCTTGCCCTGGTGGTCGTCCTAGTTATCCCCAGTCTACACACGGCTCCTCTCTCGAAAGTGGATGCTAATCCGGTAGGGGCAAGAGGCGGGCAAAGAGAAGATACGAAGGCACTCCGAGGCACGAAACGAAGCGTATCCTCGGGCAATATTAAGAGAGACAATAGTCCGACCGAAGTTTGCAAAAGATGGTCACAACAAAGTGCAGTGGTCAATGGCACATTATATCTATATGGCGGAAGGGCTACCACGACTTCGGATCAGACCCAAAATACATGGAGTAGGTGTCTTTCGAGGAGAACTTCCTGGAAACTGGTACACTGACAATACATAGATAACGATTTCCTTGCGATCGATTTGACCAAGTCCTGGCAAATATCGTCGCCGTCACTAACGGGCCTTCCTGTCCCCAGTGGGCCACCTGCAGTGTCTTTGGGATACTTGTGGAACTCCTTTGACGCCCTGTACCTGTACGGTGGCGAGTTCTCCGACTCTCCTGTTGAGACCCCTGTGCCGTTTTCGACCTGGGCGTATGACATCTCCTCATCGACATGGTCAGAGTTACAGAACCCGAAGACGAGCGCTGGAACGAACTCAGAACCCGCCAATCAACCTGTCCAACGTGCTGCCGAAGGCGCAGGGGTTTCCATCCCAGGTCTGGGTCGAGGGTTCTATTTTGGCGGACATCTAGACGGGTACACGACTCCTGGATGGTCGCAGTCTATTGCACGAGTCTACATCAAAGGGCTTCTAGAGTACACGTTTCCGGGATACAGCAACGCGGCTGTCGACGGTAACCACGTCGCAGGGAATTCTGGTATCTATCGCAACGTCACCCAAGGCGGCACGCAGGATTCGGCTGGGTTCCCAGAACGTGCAGATGGTCTCCTCGTTTACGTGCCCGGCTATGGCAAGTCCGGCATCATTATCGGACTGGCCGGCGGCACGAACTCGACGTTCACTCAAATGAATGTGATCGACGTCTATGACATCGACACGTCCACATGGTACAAACAAGCAACAGCGGGGCCGACGCCCGGCATTCGAGTCAATCCCTGTGCGGTAGCAGTGTCCGCGGCAGACGGTAGTTCGACCCAGGTGTACATGTACGGAGGACAAAACCTGATCCCAGCGGGCCAGCAAACTCAATACGACGACATGTGGATTCTGACCATTCCATCGTTCACGTGGGTCCAAGTCAACACATCGAACCAAGCGACACCGCCCGCTCGAGCAGGTCACACATGCAACGTGTGGAATTCTCAAATGGTCGTGGTCGGCGGATACACAGGGCAAGAACTGTCGTGCGAGAGTCCCGGGATCTACGTGTTCAACACCAGCTCGCTCACATGGCAAAACGACTACTACGCCCTGCAGACCAAGGACGACCTGAACCGCCAAAAATCCCAACAAGACGACCCGTCGGCACTGCAGGGTTCGTACGGATACGCTGTTCCCCCAGCAGTTCAGTCCGTCATTGGCGGCAACGCCGTCGGCGCCGCGACCGTCACGGCCCCTGCCCAGACAGCAAGTCAAGGTCCGCTGGCGACAGGCAGTCCTATAACCTATACGGTCACGGGCGCCGACGGATCCGTTGCAACTGAAACTGCGGTGCCGGGCAGTGGAAGCAGTAGCAATGGTGGTGGTGGTAACAACAATAACAAAGGTGGCAGCGGTGGTAGTGGTACAAACATTGGCGCCATCGTCGCCGGCGTCATCGCAGGCTGTCTGGCCATCCTGGCCGCCTACCTCGGCTTCTGCGCCTGGCTGTACCGCAAACAACTGCAAATCTACAAGAACCACACCTCCATGGCTCAGCGGCAACAACTGTCCGGCGACCCGCGCTATATTGGGGCTGGCTTCGTGCCCGCCAAATACTCCGACAAGGACAAGAGTCAGACCACTGGCACGGGCACGGGCGGCGACTCCCGCAACAGCGCTGACAACAGAAGCGGCAATGGAAGCAGCAGGGGGGGAGCAGGAGGACAGCCGCATCTCGCCTCCAACAATCCTTACAGGAACGCCACCGCCGGCGGCTCGGCCACTGCCGCCAGCAGCACTGAAGATCTCATGGCTGGTCATGAACCTAGTTTCTTGGGTGTCGTGTTGAATCCGAGACGGAGCTTGAGGGTTGTGAATAGGGATTAATGAGTGCTTAATAGTTTGGATTGTTTCGGAGTCGAAAGTGCGTGCTTCTCGGACGAGAATCGACACCACACAAACAGCGCGAGGAGAATTGAGGTTTGGTTTATTATAGCGAAAACGGGATATGGAATTGGAATTGGAATTGGACATGGCGACGGGAGTCGGAAATGGAAACGGCCAGCTCTCATCCGCCTCTGTACCTACCTACCTATGCTTTTAACGAGTCTACTACTACTATTAGTAACTACTTACTACTCTATCCCAGCCACATACTCTCGTAAATATATACCTTGTGTACCCTCCTGGTATTTTATACTGTAATCGTACTTTGCTACCCACTGTCTCCACTGCAGTGAAGGCGACCGGATCTCGGTTGAGGTGCCTACTGCTCAACCGAGAGATCTAATCTAAGAAGTAGACAGAAAAGAAGAGACAGAAAAGAAGAGACAGAAAAGAAGAGACAGAAAAGAAGAGACAGAAAAGAAGAGACAGAAAAGAAGAGACAGAAAAGAAGAGACAGAAAAAGAAGAGACAGAAAGGAAGAGACAGAAAAGAAGAGCAAGTATCAAACCCATCACGCTTGCTATTGTATTATTATTGTCATCGTCAACGTTGTCCGTCGTCTCATGCTTCAAGTCCAATAGGGAGCAGACCCAAACCCATTGTAGGTAGCAAAACATACATAGACCAAAAATCAGATTCACACACGAACCAGCTCGTCCCAGAACGAACTCTTACTCTTGTCCGACTTGCCGTCGCCAGCAACATTGAAGACACCACTGGTCCCCTCGAACGGGGTGATGATCCCCGTCAAGCTTTTTGCATCGCCGTAATATTTGAGTCTGTACATGCCAGGTTCGGTGCCAGGCTCGATTTCCCATTCTACGCTGACCTCACTGGTGCCGAGGGCTGAGCTGGTCCTTTTCCATTTATACACCAGAAACCAGTCTCTGTCGTCGCGGACTTGGACCCAAGAGCCCGACGATTCGTACTTTTCAACAGCAGCAAAAGTGCCTTCGAGGCGGAAATTGTTGCGAGGATTTGCGCCTACGAATTCTGCGCGGACGGTCGTCCCGGGAGTAAAAGGCTTGGACGGGTCAGGGGAAGACAAAGTGTTGCCGAATTTGCGCAGGAGCCCGGCATGGTCGACCACGACGGGAGTGACGAATGACCATGAACTGTTGATATTGATGGGTGGGCTGGGACCGGACGGCAGTCGACGCAGACGGGACCTCTCGTCTGCAGAGCCTAGATATGGAAGATGCTGTAAAGTGAGATTGACGTATGCCTCTAAGGTGTGTGGGCCGTACAGGGTGCTGGCGCCTTCGTACCGCTGAACACGGTATTCTTCCTCTGTGGAAATGTAATGGGCATATGTGTTGGCAGGTCCGCCGAGCACGACGGTGGGAGTCTCGATGTTGAGAACCGATCGCGCGGCATTGTCCAGAGCATTGCGCCACCGTCGGCCTGCCATGGTGGTGGCTTCTCCCGGCGCCACGATGATGATGAGCGACCCGATTCGCAGGAGCTGGATGTCGACAATGTTGGGAGACCATGCATACGGTCGGTCGGCTTCGCCCACATCCAACAGAACGGGCTTCGGACTCTGACACCGTCTTTGTTCATCTGATGGCTCGTGGATGAACTTCCGCGCCAATTTCCATACTGGGTTCTTGAGTGATGGAGAGTCATCGCTGTCGTTGGTGCCCTGCGAGAAATCGAATGCGCCGGGTCCGTCGGTCGTGCCTCCGGCAAATCCATATCCCAAGGCTGCGGAGCATGTCTTCAGTCGTCGAGATTGGTTGAATGGCGACAGGAACTCGAAAGACGAAAGATTGACGTACGTGTGGAAAGAGGATACGGTCGACGTTGGTATTCGCTCTAGGACTTTCCTACCTAGGATATCTCGGGCAGCGGCCATTTGCCGGCTTCCGATTTCGAAGCACGATGCCGTTCCTTGGTCCAGGAACCCGAATAGTGGTCCGCGTCCGTGACAGGGTTGCGTCCGACCGCCACATGTACTGTCGTTAAAAGTACATCGAAGACCAGTATCCTCACAAAAAGCCCCAAGAGTGTTGGGCGACGTGTCACCAACATTAGCTTGGGAGAAGCCGCCAACAAACTCTGGATTGATCTCTTTCATATACTCTTCCAGTAGATAAGCAGCCACACCTTTGTTGTCACCCGTGACAAGGGTATTGTTTTGATAGAGCGATGTGCCGTGGACTGGAAACCAAGATAGAGCCCCTAGCGGGTGGCCATCTGAGGCTCTCTCAAACTTCAACAAGGTCATTGTCTTGTCTACATCCGACTCATATTGCTTTCTTTCACTAGCCGGGTTCTGTAAGTACGCATAGGGGCTTCGGTTGACATTTGCGTTCATGATGGTTTGCTGACCGAGTCCCAACCGCCCTGGCACCAGACTGGCATGTGCTCTTTTTATTGCAAGGACGGAACCGTTGACGATTGCCTCGTAACTTTCCTTGTTAAATCCCTTGCTTGTGATTTGTGGAAGAAGATAGTTCAGCCACGCTCCAGGCCCACTATGGCTGTGTGTGCCCGTGATAGCAACGCTGTTCTTGTTGTACATTTCATATTCGGGCCCCAACCTCTTGAGTCCCTCGAGAATACCGTGGCGAACGGCAGTGTCCCCAGACTGAGTGTCAAGGACGAGGTAGGCAACCCTGGAGGAGTTGTCTGAGAGGCTTCCGATGATGAATGCCCGGCAGTAGATTCGTTGTCGAAGACCTGTTCCCGATTGATCTGTATCTGCATAGCCCATCAGGTTGATCTCCACTACCGGTCTGCAATCATTAGCCATGCAAGTATGAATAGAGTAGCCTTATTACCCTGTAATGTCTGCCTTCCCAACGCCCAGTAGGAAGTCGCCCTGTGTAGAGACTGCATTGTGGTCGGCTACCTGATTCACCAGGCCGGCCGCAAGTAGCCGTACCCTCCTCACTGGGCTCTCAAGAATAAAGGAGGACAAGATAAACGCAGTAACCACAAGTAGAGACAGAATGTAGCAGACAATGGTGGCGGATCTCTGTGCCATCTTCAAGGCTTGCTGGACGTCAGTGTTCTGGCTGCTTATAATGCCGTCCGCAGGAATAAGCCTGGCCTCTTTGACAGAGGAGATGGACTCAGACCGAGATCGCTCATTTCCGAAAGCCCACTTTCCAGCGTAGTCATATATCACTGAAGCGGTCGGTAAACACGCTTTCAAGTATGAGGCCTACATCTCGGTAACATGTTCGAAGGTGCCTCGACACAAAGTTGAAGTTGAAGTCCGTATGCGGAAATGCGCGCGTCATACCCTGAAGTTTCAGATTCGAGTTCGAGCCGTGAATTTGATTCCGGGGTCCAGTTTGTCGCGTTTGCCGGTTTTGCGGGTTTTGCTGACACCTGGTATCGCTGACTAAGGCACCTGCAGGAAGTAGCCAATCCTGTCGAATCAGACATCGAGAGCCTCGTTTTGTATCTGTTGGCAGGTGCGCTAAAATTGTTGTATTTGCTCTCGCTCTATCCACTTGACAGTGTATAGAGTAGTCCTATATATACTATAGAAATCGGAGAGAACACCGTATCTCGTACGGTCTATAGATCATTCTAGAGAGTGGCAAACCTCGTCGTCGACGTCGTTATCGAGCGTTATTTAGGGTCGATAGCGAGGTTTAGAAAGCGTAGCTAACGTAAGTATTCCTTAGTAGTAGAGTATCGAAGCCGACTATATATAATATACCCCCTTTAGGCTATATCCGTCGCTTTATCGTCGAGTATAGCCTATACGTTAACTAGACGGAGATATATATAGACGAATCGTTTATAATTCTATATTATTAGTACTTTCGTAAAGCCGTCTACTCTTATATTAGCGATTACGATCTATTCTATTCGTATTTTACTAGCTTATATCTTCTATCTTAACTAATACTTATATATATTAACGTATTTTAGCTTTATAGATAGTTAAAAGTTATTCTTAGTTAGTAGACGAATAGTCTATATATTATTAGCTTTAATAGTAAGCGATTAGTTAAGTTTTAGATATATCGAGTTAAAGAAGCGACTCTACTAGAGTACTTTCTTAGCTATACGAGATAGAGCGAGTAGTTCTACCTCTATACTTAAAGTTATTACTATATTCTATCGAGAGACTTTCTAGTTAATAGAGCCTTCGAATAGTATAAAGAGATAGTCGTCGGAACTCTTCCGACTAGTATTATTAATAAATACTACGTCTAAGTATACCTTAAAGGTATTAACGCTCTCGTATTTATTATTATTTTAAGGAGTTATTTTAGGAGAAGTAGAGTATTTAAGAGTAAGAGTACGTATACGCTTTAAGTAGCCTAGTACTCTATTAGCGATAGCTATATATCCTAGTAATAGATTACGTAAGTATTATAAGAGTATAGAGTAAGCCCTTACGATATCCGGTCTCGTCGTTATAGCTACGAAATTAATAGACTCTATACGCTATTAATATACGTATATCTCTTATAGAGTAGCTTAACTATTATACGGTACGAGACTTTTAGTTAAAAGAGATATTAACGGTATCTTTCTACCGTACGTATTAATATTAAACTTAGCTAATAGTTTATCGATATATAAATCCTATACGAGCTATAACTTACGTAGTCTTCGGTCTCGTACGATTCGTATACCGAGAAACTAGTTAACTTCTAGTATAATACGTAGAGTAAATCGCTCTTATAGACTCTATAGAATTATATTAACTCTCTCCTTAAACTTACGCTTATAGTATAGGATAATATCGTCTACGTAGAATAGGATAATAAGAAACTCGTTATTAAGAATATAATTAACTCCTAGTACTTAAGAAAGACCTAGTACCTTAAGAGTATTACTAAAAGTATTATACTATAATAAAGAGCTTTACTTAAGGCCGTAGAGCGTCTTAAGTAAACGAAGTATTATATCTAGTACTTTAAAACCTTCTAGGAAACGTATATAGATTTTCTTATCGATTTTACTATTAAGGAATACGTTAATAGTATTAAGTTATATAAGATCTAGGTCGTAAGCGGCTATAATAGCCATAATAGTACGAAAGGTACTAAAAGTAAGAGTAGTCGTATAGATATCTTTAAAGATAAGTTATAAGTCTTCTTATATATATATATATATCTTAAATTTACTTAAGTAGCCGTTATTATCGAATTTATATTTAAATATCTAGATAAGAGAAAGAATATTACGTCTATTTATACTTTTAGTAGAGACTAGTACGAAGATTTACTTACGTTTAAGTTTCTCGTATTTAACTCTCGCGACTTTCTCGAATTTCTTTTAAAATAGATAATTAGTAAGCTATTTCTATAATTTTAGCTTAAAAGGAAGAGTATCTCTATATACTCGTTAGTAATCTTTTTCGATAGTAAAGACGGCGGCGAAGACTAAGTAGTACGTCGATAGACCTTCGTTAATACTATTATCTTTAAGCGTAGCGATATACGTCTATTTTCTCGATTTCGAACGTTATCTTATCGTAATAATATTTCTTTTATTAAAATCTACTAAAATATTAGTATATTAAGAGGCTTAGACTATCTTACCTTAGTCTAGAGACGTCTAGCGAGGTAAGTCTTCTATAGTAGCCTCCTTAAATATATATATTTATAGTTCTTCTTTCTAAATTTCTTCTCTTCTTTCTTATTCTCTTATTAAGAGGAGATCGGTCTCCGCTAGAGACTAGCTCTTTACGATAAATAAAGAAGAAGAATTTAACGATATCGATAGAGGTTCGGCGCCGCTAAAGATATTCTCTTATTTAGGCTCGCGTCTCTTCGAGAAGCCCTCTTAAGTAGGGGCGTCCTAGCGCGCGGCTTAGGCGATAGAGTCCTCTCGGCTAGTAGCGCGGCGAGAGCCCTCGATACTTTTAATTATAGATCGCGAGCCTCGTAAGTCTACGATTACTTTTATAGTAGCTATCGACTCTATAAATATCGCTAGTTAAGAAGAAAAAGAAGAAGATTTAGGCGTAGTATTAGAAGTAAGATATATATCTATAGAATTATATATAGTTAGCGCTTTACGTAATTTAACCTCCTCGATCTCTAATTAGCTAGGAATTAATATCGTCTAAGGCTTCTAAGCTCCTAATTAGTCGGAAGTAGTTTCCGAATAATTCGGCGCTAAGTCGTTTTTAGAATTAATTAGAATTATATCTATTTTAGGTATCGACTCGTATACTTCGATATCTAGCTAAATCGACTTAATCGATAATAACTTATTATCTTTATATAGAAGTAGTAAAAATATCTTATTATCGTTAAAGATAATATCTTATACTCGTATAATCTAGCCTTTATTAGATCGCTAGATTCGAAAGATATTTATTAAATTATACTCGACGAGATATCTAATCTACGCGCGTTATTAAAGTTTATCTTTCTATAGAATATTATACTATAATACGTAGGCTTTATAGCCGTATACGTATATATACGAGATATCGGGTCGTCGCCCGTATAGTATTTCGAATAGTATTTTCTAGCTAAGCGTACGAGACGATAATTAGTTTAAAATATATTCTATAGTTTTTACTATCTTAGGCTATAGATTCTTTAATAGATTTACGTATAGACGTATTATTCGAGCTATATTAATAAGTAATCGGCCTACTCGCTTCGTATAACCGTTTTAAGCGGAAGTATATAATATACTTTATTTAGTTATTAGATCTCTATCTCATACGTTATTATCGTAGATCTTCGATAGCGATCTTTCTCCGTCTATTCTAATAAACTTAACGTTATAGCTATATCTCGTATAAATTATATTTATAAACTCTTAAACTATTTAGAATAATTAATACTTTCGTAGATATATATAAACGAAATATATTCTCGTATAGTAATCTTTAAAATAGCTAATCTATTTATCTCCGTTATAGACTATATTAAGTAGTATTAAGTTATACGAGACTCTATTAAATAGTCTCGTCGCTAATTCTTCTTATAATAAGTCTCGGAAGATAATCTAGGTTACTTTTAATAATCGATAAGGTTTATATTAAATAAAAGTAATCTTCTTAATCTTCGGAAGTCCGATTACTACGTTTAGTAGATACCGGAGCGCTTTATATTCTATATAGCCTATAACGGCGTATAGTCTATCTAGAGAGTCCTTATAGGGAGGCTTACCCTCTTAAGCTACGGTAGCGGCAGTAACGGGAGTCTATCTTATCGGCGCTAACGCCACGCCGAGAGCCGCCCGTATATAGAGTATTACGAGAGGAGTTAGCGGCCCTATATTAAAAGCTTCTCTAACTAATCCCGACGCCGCGACGTTAGGAGTAGCCTTTAGGGTTATTAAAGGAGAAGAAGAGGATAGAGAGTCGGATATATATAGTTATCGAGACGCTAAGATAGGGTCGTTAAATAGTACCTAATAACCGTCTTTTCTTCGTACGTAGTATAGATACTCATTATTTAGTATTAAGACTTCGTCTAGTATATTCTAGTTAATATTCTTATTATATAAACGAGAGAGCGATACTAGGTTTATTATAAACTCTAGAATAAGAGCGACGTCGAGTAGTATAAGTCTCTTAACTCCGTTTTTAGTAGATACGCGTAGTTTAATACTTCTAAATACTTTAATAGAATATCGATTTATCCCTATAATAAGAATATCGATTTCGGTCGCTTCTCTAGTCCTTATAAAGTTCTCTAGCTTATTATATATATATATATTAGATCTAGAGTCGAGTATCTAGTAATTCTTTAACTTATAATCGGTTACGGTAGTATATAAATACGCGATAAATACTCCGAGTATTAGTTCTCCTTACTATTATTAATTATTCTTACTCTTTCTCTTATTCTTATTAATAAGTCGTTTAATACGCTTACGTAAGACCTTATCGTTATTTAACTTAATCTATACTTTATAATTAACTTTAGGGTTTAGAGTCTAATTATTCGGTTATTTTAAAGAGTTTAGATAATAGTACTCGTTATAGAAGTATTTATATTCGTAGATATACTTAGATTTCTTCTATTACTTCTTATTTTCTTTTAATATACTAAATACTAAGTATAATACTACTTTCGCTATTAATTTCTTCGAATTATAATATACGCTTCTAACTATATTAACGAGGTCGTATAATAATATATATTCTATTTCTCTTCGGTTATAGAACTTAGTAAGTTCTAGATCTACTATACTCGAATATAGAGATTATATAGTAGTAAGGAAGTCGATTTATACTACGTCTTCTATAGCTTCTATTATATATAGAGCCTTATACTACTTATATAGAGACTTCTATTAATAGAACTATATCTCTAAGTCTTTACTTTATAGTACTTATTTTAAAGTATACTACTTACTCGCGAGGCTTTATCTCTTTATCGCGTCTAAGGGTTCTAGACGGTCTCTTAGTATCTTTAGCCGACGATAGAGCGTAGACTTATCTTTATAATATAGGCGGTTAGATAGAGATATCGTTCTATTAAATCGATTATTAAGACGTTAGATTAGAGTAGTCTATTATCGATATAGCTCTAATTAACGTTAGTAGTCTCTATCTTTCCTATCTAGCGCCTATTTCTCCTCCTATATAAGTATATTCGATTCGATATAGGGAGGTAGTTTAGGCGGCTCTAGTAATAGAATTAATTCGGGTTAGGAGAGGTCGATATACTACTATAATCCGTTAGTCTATACTTTACTTTTAAAGACTCTATATTAGTTATTCTAGTTATTAAGAGTACTTAGAATAGGAGTAGTTCTAACGAAGATAGTAGAAGAGCGAGTCGACTCCTCGTAGTATACTACTATTATTTCGATTACGGTAGAGAATAATTCTATTAATACTATTAATTAGTTCTCGTATTAGAGTATAAGTATTACGAATAAATATATTCGGTTATTAGTCGTTCGTAGAGTAGTTAGTCGTAAACCGGACTTATAACTATTAGTAGATACGCTAAAATTATTATATTTACTCTCGCTCTATCTACTTAATAGTATATAGAGTAGTCCTATATATACTATAGAAATCGGAGAGAATACCGTATCTCGTACGGTCTATAGATTATTCTAGAGAGTGGTAAACCTCGTCGTCGACGTCGTTATCGAGCGTTATTTAGGGTCGATAGCGAGGTTTAGGAAGTGCAGCTGACGTAAGTGTTCCTTGGCAGTGGGGCATCGGAGCCGACTGTGTACAACAGTATCTTATATGACGCCTTACACGGACGCAGCAATGTACCTGGTACCTACTCCTACAACAGTCCTAGCCTCGGCCCTTGCGATGGTGACAGCACGGTAGGAACACCGCAACAACTGCAAAACTCACAACTGCAGCAGCAGCAGTAGTGGTTGCACTAATCAATGACAGCGACAGCGAGGTCCTCGACCGTGGCACTTGGTCGAACCCGACACCGCCTCTTTGCGACAATATCATTAGTCGACTCGAGTATTGCACCTTCACTCTAAGACTGTCTGCTAAAGAATATTAACCTATATATCGCCTAGGGTGTTCGAGTGACACTTCTGCTTTGTACAGTCTACTTCAGCACGGTATTTTAGTCTAGCTTGCGTCATTCCAGCCTTGACGAAAACAATCCCGATACTCCACGGTACTTTTGTACCCGGTCAACAGCCACTGGAGAATAGTCCATGGGGACTCCAAATTTCGTGGCGATCAGACAATGGCTACGATGCGAAGGGTTCAAATCCACCACTATCAACCGACCCTTGATCACACGGGATATGGCTGTGAGTTTACACATGATCCGACTCTGGACCAGCAAGAGCCCAGACATGGTCCAATATCCAGGATTCTGCTGAACTACTGCCCCCGTCGCCTCGCTCCAATGTTTTCCCGGTCGCGAAAAGACCCTTAAACCGAGGAGGGCCCGCTTGAAACTGGAGCTCGATACCCGCTCGAAAGCATGTTCGCCTCTTTCTCATGAGCAGATTGGCCCAGTGTTATGGATACTCTCGAAAATGCATTTATATAGCCCGTTTGGTACACGCACGCACGGAATGGCAGTCTACTTAGAGGTTATGGTGCAATCAGGTTTGTCTTTGGTGTGATGGTAAGAATTGAATATGTATAAGGTCGGTCTCAAAACCCGTCAGAATTACCATGATCACCCCTGTGCATTATTTTCGAACCTGGGGGCTGCAAATCTCATAGATACGTTCCCGTCACAGTCCTGTTTGAAGATTCCAATCCGGAGATCAAGATGTCGGAGAAGCAGAAACGTGGCTGGAAGCCGTTCGGATGGTGGTTCAAGGCCACAGATACTCCCGACGAACGGAGGCTTCTCACAAAGCTTGATCTGTTGATTGTACCATATGCTGTATTGGCATACTGGACGATGTTTTTCGATCAAGCCAACCTAAGTAAGTCTTGAGCCCTCTGAAAACACGCACCTTCTGCAAGATCTTGCTCTGACATAGCATCTCCACCAGACAATGCATATGTGTCAGGATTGAAAGAAGACCTGGGGTTCTACGGCAATGAATTAGTCCAACTACAGACTCTTTACAATCTTGGGGCCACACTGGGCCAAATCCCTTTCGCGTACATTTTCACGAGAGTGCCCATGTCCTGGGTCATCCCATTCCTGAACGTCGCCTGGGGGATATTTACGCTTACTCAATATCGCATAACGAGCTACGCGGAGTTGGCGGCTTACCGGTTCCTGGTCGGTGTATTTGAGGTACAAATTCACCCACGGAGCCAGTGTCCTAGATTGTCATACTGACCACCGACATAGGCCGTCTATTTCCCTGCAGTTCATTACGTGCTAGGAGCTTGGTACCGAGGCACCGAGATTGGGCGTCGTGGTGGCATGTTTTACTGTGGCCTTCCCACCGGTATCTTGACTGCCAGTTTCATTCAGTCCGCGGCCTCTGCCAGCTTGGACGGACGCGCCGGCCTGGCAGGCTGGAGATGGATGTTTATCATCTGCGGTGTTCTGACCATTCCAATCGGTATCCTCGGTTATTTTGTCCTCCCTGGCACTCCGGACAAGCCCAACAGGATTGTACTGAATGACAAGGACCTCGAGGTTTCCAAGGCTCGCCTTGCCCGCGACAACCATGGAATTGATCAGACATTCAAGTGGTCCAACCTGAAAAAGGCTTACCGCAACAAAAAGATCTGGGGGTTCATCATCCTCGATGTTCTCTTTTGGCAGGCCGGTCTCATGGTCACATCTGGTGCCTTCTTGTTGTGGCTCAAGAGCCTCGATCGATACTCGGACAGCAAACTGAATGCGCTGGGTGCCATACCTTCAGCTGTTGGAATCTTTTCTGTCTTGTTGATCTGCTTTTCGTCAGACTTGTTCTTAGGTCCAGTCTGGGCTATCACGGTATCTCACACTTGGAACATCGTCGGCACCATCATCATGGTCGTCTGGGATGTCAAGGAGGGGGCACTGTGGTTTTCGTTTTGTACCGTCTACTTTGCGATTGCCATGTCAAGTGCTCTCTACGGCTGGGTCAATACCGAGCTCAGGGCTAATGCGGTTGAACGATCCATCACACTCATCACCATCAACATCATCGCTCAGTCGACTACAGCATGGACTCCCCTGCTCGTTCAGAAGACGGTCGATGCGCCACGCTTCAAGATTGGGTATTCTTTTGTCTTGGGTTGCTCAATATGCTTGATCTTGTGGTCGCATGTGCTGAACACGGTGTTCAAGCGAGACGAGTAAGTGAAAAATCTGCGCACGGATATCTCAGATATATGCTAACAAACTTCTGTCAGGCGCAAGAGGTTGGCGCGCGAAGGACTCGAACATGGTGCGGTTGAGCTCGTCAATTCAGACACAGAGCCGGAGCAAATTCAAGTGCACCAGCACGGTCCAGAAAAGATCGCGTAATGCGCCCGAATCGCCCACAATCACGGTACGGTATTGGGAAGGACTAAGTCCTGAACCACCCCCTTTTTGTTCGTCACCTGCCGAGTACCCATCGTTATAGAATGTATAGAAGCTGGGGGAGGCCCAACCACGTCTAGCACAGCCCTTCGTCACCGGGGATAGATTGCTGGGTCTTTCGCTGCCTGGAGGGAGCTATATTTCAATATGAAGGAATGGAGTCGTGGGATAGAAAACAGAGGGCAAGTTTGTTAGATAGAACACTAGTCCTTGTTGAAAGAAGCCGATGATCGAGTCACTGTAGGAAACTTGAACACCTGTAACGTGTTACGAACTCTGGAGCACTGCAAACCGGCGAGAATTTCGCCTTCCCTGTAGCCGACTTGAACTGAGGGATGAGATCAATCTCTAGACTAGTCAGTAGAAGCTGCAAGAGTTTCCCGGACTTGCTCACTCGGTTCAAATTCTTTTCAAAGGCTCTTCCTCACCGTGACTAATTTTCAGGATCTCGGAGTCGATGAGAACCGACCGGGTCCACGCTCGCAGCCTCGTCGGCTTTAACTTCATTGGAGAACATGACCTGCCATATCCACAATAAACGCCGAGAACCTTGACTCAACGTATTCCTGCCAGTGGAGTACGGCGTTGTATGTACCTATTGTATATTGAACCGAACTCCCTCCTGTTACTAGAATGAATAGTCTGCTGGGACTCGGACTCGTAACGAGAATCTCTAGCTCTGCCACACATTGGGATGTCTATGCCATCGACGACGCGGATACGCCGAACAAGGACCCGAACCATTCATTCATGCGTGCCTTGTCATACGCGCAAGGTCAAATGCGACCGAGGCCATCCTTGCCGCAATTGCAGCGCTCGCCGACGGGAACACGAGTGCCGATATGTAACAACAACGAATTCCTTCTCGGCTTCTGCTTTTTCAGCCTTGAATGTGGTGGACTCTTCGCCCAAAACGAGTAACCTTAAGAGGAGCCAACAAATCCAAATTCGGTCATCGCCACGAAAGAATCTCGTCGTCCAAGGGACAGCGGATTCCCTCCATCAGGTACCCGGAGGACGTCATGATAGCCCCTCCGCTTCAGTGCCAGCCAGCGCACCAGATGCAGGAGGGGGTGGTGAAGGTGGTGGTCGTGAGGCCAGCGGCAAAGCTCCCAGGCAGCTGATGTTTGCGCGACACAACAAAGGGAAAGTCAGATTCAAGGGCCCGACGCACTGGTCCTTGTTGGCGGCTGAGTTATGTACGGATCCCTCAAAAAGAAGCACTGCTCTCCTCCCAATCAGGCTGACTGCAGTGGTGGACGAAAGCATGCTGACCAGACCATGACTATATGATCACATCACTGCAGTTTGAAGAACTGGCACCTTTCATGTTCGGCAAAGACAACGACAAACACCCAGGGTTCGAGTTCGACCAGCTAAGCCAAAAGTTACGAGCATTGAAACGCTTCTACCCTATCCGCGCAAACCGGAACTATCCATTTCGCAGTCTGTCGACGACAGAGTTGTGGACCAAAGAACACGTCCGTTCTATCGTGCCGCACCGTGACGTCGCTGACAGATATATCCAAAACTATCTCGACACGTTCGAAAATACACATCGAATGCTACACGTTCCAAGTCTGCGGGAAGAAATCAATCTCTTCTGGCGAATGCCCACGGCCTTAGGATATGAATGGCTCTCGCAGTTCCTGATGATGCTCGCTCTCGGATGTCCGCGTAGCCAAAGGCTGGCGCATCCCCAAGTGGTGAATTTGTTTCTCGAGGGCGCCGAGGCGTGTCTGATGCAAACGCAGTTCCTGGCCAAGCCGACGTTGACATCAATACGAGTCATGGTCATGATGACTCTGGCAAAACAGATCGACATGGTCGCCTTTGACGACTCGGGTGGCGTGTGGGCGTATTTGGGCCTAGTTGTCCGTCTGGCCATGTCGATGGGCTTGCATCGCCACTCGCGATGGTTTGTGTCTATGTCGCCCTTTGAGGCCGAGATGCGCAAACGCGTTTGGGTGACGCTGGTGTTTATAGACTTGCAGAATTCCCTCGAGGCCGGTCAGTCGCCTCTCCTGCATCCGGATGATTATGAGACTCTTTGTCCAACTGGATTTCAAGATGAAGACATGCCGGCGCCGCTGGAGGATGAAAATACTCCGCGCCCGGAAAGTGAAGCCCGTGTACACCATGGCATTGTGGCCGACGAATCTACTTTCCAAACATTCTTGGACAGTTCCTTGCAATCCATCTTGCGCATCATTCGTCTCGTACACCACCACCATCACCAGTCTCTGAACGAGCCTGACGATACAATATACGCTCGTGTCGTTGACGCCGATGTCCAAATCCAAGAAATGCGTCAAACTGCAAGCCGTCTGTACCCAAGCCACTGGCACACTGGCACCCTCACCCGCGTCGCTGCATGCAATGATGACGACGATGATGACAACCACAACCAGTTTTCCGGGGAAAACAAGAATGGAAAGACATTTCTCAGCACAGATTTGCAAGGTATATTGCTCGAAATATATTTCTGTCGCCTCCGCCTTGCGCTGCACCAACCGTATTTCATGGCCATGGCTGGGTCCGACTCCCTAGCCCAGGGATCTGAAGCAAGTGCAACGCCAACGAAGCGGTATCGCTATCCCGACTCGTGCAGGAGCGTGCTCGAGTCGGCCTTGTCCATCTTGGTCCTCCAAAGAACACTGTACGACGAGACCCAAACCCAGACCCAGACTGCTGTCACTGATTCGGCCCCCGACCCTGATGGGCCGATTTCGATTGAGTGGTTTGCCGAGTTATTCAAGGGCGACTTTTTCGTGGCGGCTCTCTTTGTCGCCATTGGTATTCGTCGCGGCAGCTTTGGTGTGGACCTGAATCAACACCACCACCAACACAGTCCTGACAGTCACCACGGACCACCTGCTGCTGTTGCTGCTGCTGCTTCTATCGCGGCCGACGAAATCAACATCGCTTCACGCACCCTCGACGCCTGCTGGCACATCTGGGCCTCCAAGGTCGGCATCTCCGTGCACCACTTTAAAGCGCATCTGGTGCTGGGAATCGTTATTGCTGCAACCAAGGCCAAGTTGAGTAGCTGCAGAGCAGAAGAGGAAATCAATGTTCAACGGGCCGCGGTGGAGACGACTATAGCGACGGTGGAGAAGGCCATGTCACGCTCACCATGCTCACACTCACACTCATGTAACAATGCAGTTGGCTCGCAGCAAACTACTCGACAATCTCACGGAATGGATTTGGATTTGGATTCGGGTTCGAACAATTTGAACTACTACTATCTGGCCGCCAGTGGCGGAGAACAGGTCAATGGGTTTGTACAGCCTCATTCTCAGCCTCAGCATGAACCGAATGCTGCGACCGCAGTAACGACGGACACGGAAACGGAACTAATGACCAGCACCAGCACTGCCTGTGCCACACACTTTGTGGGCGGACTCGGAAAGGACAGTATAGGACAGTCTTCATATCTGGTAAGTATGACTATGACTCGAGATGATGGGAGGAAACGCTCCGCTCCCCGAAGCGGGAATGATGAAATTCGAATCTTGAGCTAATCTAACTTAACTGTTGCTAATTAGATGCCTGGCGACTTCGACATGAGTGGGCCTGGACCTTGGCCGTTCTTATCGGGATCGTTTGTTGATGATTGTTTGTTCGAGCAATTCGGCATATGATCAAAACGTGACGTTGGCAGAAGGGAATTTGAGTGTGTGCTCGAAGTCCAAAACTTGAGTTTTGGAGTGGCTGTTAAACAATTCCTGAAAGCCAGCAAAGAGGTAGAGGTATCCGCCAACCAATCGAGACAAGTAATTTGGACTACTTTTCTGCCATCCAGTCCCTTGTTGGCTGTCAGTGTCACTTGTCTTGCCTGGTCTCGGCTCGGCTCACACTCGCCATCCGTGGCTTTTCGCAATAAGAGACCTTGCACAGAAAGTCAATGCCGTCCCGGCCATCAACACACTGCCACCGAAGATGATGGCTTCATCGTATCCACCAAAATGCGCGATCATGGCACCGGTGATTGGCGTGCCGGTAAGGCCTGCAATGCCATACAAGCCGAGCGCCATGCCCACATAGCTTCCAATCTCTGTCGGGTGGGTGCAGACTTCAGCAATGGTGGTTGGGAACAGCGCCACAACAAATCCTGAGAACATGCCGTACAGGACGGCGAAAACATAGATGGCCGCCGTGGAGACCACACGAAGCCAGCAGAAGACGAGGATCCCACAGACACAGTTTCCCATGACCAGGAGATTGAAGCGGCCAAATCTGGGTGCGGCGATTCCAGACAAAATCCGGCCGATAAGTGAGCCCGAGTTGAGGACTGCAAGTGTGTAGATGGACAGATCCATGTCGAGGCCCTTTGCCTCCGAGTATGCTGGTAAGAAGAAAAACGGCGTGAAGAGGCCCCACCAGACAAGGAACATTCCCGCGACCTGGATCGAATATACCGGATGCTTGAAAGCATGCAGGAGAAAATATTTGCCTTTCCTTGGTGGCATTCGGGGCACGACGGTGGCACACGCCGTCAGGCACAAGCCGAGGACCAGAAACCCGACGATGCGGACGGCCCACCCGAAACCCAGCGACGTGTGGTAAATGAGTCGGTTGAGCATCACGGGAAATATGATACCGCCCAGGCTTGACCCGGATGAGGCAATTCCCATGGCTAGCGCTCGTCGTTTGTGGAAGTACTGTCCGATCACTGCGATGGCCGGTGCGTATGCCAGCCCATTGGCAAGTCCACCAAGCAGACCTTGCGCAAGGATGAAATGCCAGTATTTCGTGCAGACACTGGTGAGCATGACCGCGGCGACGTAGATGATGGAAAAGGGCCATATGATAACCTGTTGCGCCAAGTTAGAAAGCGGTATTGCCTCGTTGGGGGAAGATGACTTGACCGTCAGCACGTACTCTTGGACCCCAAAGATCAGTAATCGGACCTGCAATGATACCTGCTGCGAATTGAAGAAAGACCTGCAGTGACCCAATCCACGAGATGGCCGAAGGTGTGTATTCATGAAGCAGCTCCTTTTGATAATATGTCTCGTACACGCTACAGCACATTTCAGCATCAGCACAGCTGTCATTTTGAAGACAGAAGGTGGGAAGTCGGTTCGGCCAACGATTATTGACGAACTTACCCAAAAGCATTAAGATATCCGAACGTGAAGAACATGACACAGAAGCAGCCTAGCACAACCAGCCATGCTCTGGCTCCTCCTTCTGGATAGGTTGTAGCAGAGGCCACGGGCTGGGAGCCTTCAATTTTTATTTCTTCCTCCGCATCTGTCATGGTGCTCACTGCTGTTTGAATGTAAGAGGAGATTCGACGGCTTCTTCAAGGGTCAAGGGGGACGATGGCTTTTGACAAGACATTTGTCCTTCGCCTTCCCACGTACTTACTTATATGCTGGCGCTACTTACCGTAGCCTCAACGTCGACTAGGGGCATGTCTTGTGAAGCTTTACCTGGGAAGGAGTTTCGGCGGTAATAGCGGACCTGGAGCCTCGATCGAACAACTCGGTGTTTATTATGGGCACGCCTCCCTGGACCCGCCGCTATTGCTGTTTTTCTCTTTCCTTGCCTTCGTCAAGCCTCCTGCCAGCAACATGCTGCCGTACTGGCGTGGATGACCTGTGGCCATGGCTGAGCCGGCCTAGGCTATCTCCCAAAAATGAGAGGAGAGTGTCTGACCCATATTCCGCTCCCTTATCAGTAGGGGTTCGAGTGCCATACCATGACCGTGGCTGGATAGCATACGTGCTGAGACCCTTTGCCACAACATGTGGGCATTCTCTGCAAGTAAGTTCATTAGATTTAATGCAATGATGGCATCTTCGGCAATCTCGGCCATGAGGCACGTTCAATTGCGCTGGAATGTGCCACGGAAACCTATTCCAAGGCTTGGAGATATGCTTGCTGATTGGTCACAATCACCGAACAGTTTCGGCGATAACAGAATCCAGCCCAAACGTAGAGTTCCATGGGCCGAGTCAGTGGGACTTGTTCTTCGTTGAATCGCGGTAATGCCGCAGCATGGCTCTCCCTCCCGCGACATGGACTCTGCAACATTGTATCAGCGGGAAAAAGGGAGTGAATTGAGAGTGGCGAAGGTGGAATTTCATCGAGCATTCGGACTACGGTACCAGACCGAGCGAGAGGTCTATGAGAGCTTCATCAAGTCTCCGATATGAAACCCCGGCGGATCCTCTTCTACTCACTCACTGTAACAAGCTATTGGTTGTATCGAACCCTGCCACATCCGACAGGCGTTTTATGTTAGATCTTTGCGAAGCATTTGGCTGATTCTTGTCCCTGTGCAATATCATTAGGATTTTGCGCGAACGCAGCTCCTTAGTTACCATCAACATGGATTGTGTTGTAGTACTTGCTGTAGCCTAGCCTGGCCTCCCAAGGGCCCGGACCAGATGTGCAACGATCGTTGAGGTCACAGGTCCTGTCGAGATGGATGACCACCAGTGTAGACACGAAGAGTCGTTCTCCAGACTATCTCTGTAAAGCTTTTTTGGGTTCCTTACTACCTTTGCCATTGATAGCTGGGACACCCGGTCCAATTTGTGGACGGCAGTAGGGCCGTGGGTCTCCTCACACTTGAGGCTCTCACTTAAGCATCGTGGTGACTCGCAGGCGTCGCAGAGAAGATAGGACCAGGGCTGCCAAAGTATGACCCTGAATCTGTGAGTAGCTTACATCTGTGAGCTTTCACCTTGAAGGGTATATCCTTCCCGCAGGGCGGACCACTGTGCACTGCGACATCGAACGATGTTTTCTTCGGTGGGCAGGAGTCGCCACGCAGACTGGAAAGGGAAGAAGTCATCAACAGCCCGAGGCCAAGGTGAAGGGCATTACGATAACATCGTCAAGAGTGACGGCAACGGCTAGAGGAGTGTCGAGAAGACCGGGGATGGTTCAGAACAGCCTGAGGATCACGACCGTCCGAATTGAGGCTGCAGTGGTAAATCTTGGCGGGAAAAGCGTTGTGAAAACTGCTCGCTGTTGGTAGGAGCAGAGAAGAGTGCATAGGTATTGGTTCATAGAGTACAGAGTGGGTTGTCTAGGTCTAAGAGAGGGAGTGTTCTAACAGATACAGATAAGTCTTGCCAACAACGCCAAGGCGCTAGGCCGCAAAGGCGCAACATCGCAGCTCACGTGCGAGTCACCCTGACCGCGCCGCTTTTATAGACACTGACCTCTTACCTGACCTTATACTCACCCTCTTACTCACTCTCCTTACATTCACCCTCGTTTGATTTGACAACCATACGGGAAGCTGAATGCAGCTTGCTCACGCCAATGACTCTTTCATACGCCATCGCGGACTTCTACCAAAAAGCTCCTCCCACCGATATGGTCATGAGATTGTTTTGAGTGACTAATTTTGTGTCATGGCTTTTGCTCATGTCGTGGTAGTACAGCCGGGCGGGCCACCTCTGCTGCTGTGCTTGCTTGCTCCCAGTTGCACTCGCTTGCCTGTATCATTTAGCCTGCCATGCCCCTGGTGCACTGCATGCAGCACCCGATCCTGCCGTCCATGGTTGCGTCTACTGACTTAATGCAAGGGCCCGAAGCTGCTTCATGGAATCACCACACGTGACACAGATCACGTGCTTATTCGATTGATGGCAGCCTCGTGGTAAGTGCCTGTTTCTTGCTGATCTCGCCGGAGCATATGATCTGGCTCGTTCCACGACGATGGTGAGACCAAGGATACCTCCAGCCACGGAGCGGCTTGGAGTGGTACACCTGCAGCCTTCCAGCAAGAGTCGACCACTGGCCACGAGCACAATATCCACCCATGGCAAGGTCATGTCCCGCCAGATACTTGTTGTATACTCTGTTGCGATTGGCAAGAGTGGAAGGCAGGTATTGGGATATCTTTGCAGATGGTTTACGGCCTTGATACTGCTACGGCTGGCAAGCCTAGCCGCGGCCTCAGGAGCTGCCTGTGTCCAGCTCCCTCTCGATTTCTCCTTTCCTGAAGCCTTGACAAATGCATATTCTCGTGGTCTTGATTCCAATATTCGAAATACATCGTGCTCATCACGAGAGCTTGACTATTTACATTGCTCTGTAAAGAAGTCGAGGCCGGCTTCTTTCCGAATCGTGCCATACATACTACTCGAATCGAGCGCTCGTCCACGAGTCTCGGGACTTGCTACCGCTGCCTCCATATGCTTCAGAGCAATCTCGCCAACCTCGAGCTTGGCACCTACTTCTTTCGCGCAGCTCAGGGCGTGGCGCAAATCCTTCATCGCGAGGCTGACATCAAAACCTGCCTTTCCAGCAGGTGGAGCATAAGCTCCCGTGGTCAGACGCTTGGAGTACGATTCCAATACTGGCCCGAACATATCGCCAATCATGGTCTCCAGCACCGGACTTCCTAAGCCAGTCTTCTCGGCGAATACATGCGCCTCTGAAATCACTTCCATGAATGAGATGACGCAGATGTTTCTGCATGTCGCGTCAGCATCAGCTTGAGGCCCTTATCACAACTTGATAGTTGATGCAGATACTCACCCAGCGATCTTCAGGAGGCTGGACTTTTGCACATCCTCACCCATCGGAATAATGGAGCGACCCATTGCCTTGAGATACGGAGCAATGCGCTGGACAGCACTCTCTGGTCCAGCCGTCACGAAAATCAGTTTGCCGGCTGCAGCCATGGGGCTTGCGCCAAACACTGGGGCTGTGGTGACGTTAGTCTGTTCTGTGGTTGTCACTGGGGAAATACAGATCGCCTGACGTACCAGCTATAAAGTAGCCGCCTGCCTCGGCAAACCTCGCCGCAACTTTGGCTGATGTGCTCGGGTGGACGGTAGAGCAGTCGACGTATATCTTGCCCTTGACGCTGCCCGAAGATAGGATCTCGCCGGCAGTGTCTTCAAGGACTTTGTCATTGCTGATCTACACGTATTCTCCCGATTAATGCTAGGCCATCGCCAGAACAATCGCACACTTACGCAGGAAAATATGATGTCGCTCTTGCTCGCCAGTTCTTTGACCGAGTCGATGGGCTTGGCACCCAACGCAGCTAAGGCTTCACCTCTTGAAAGCGTGCGGTTTGTGTACAGCAGAGGCGGTTCTGACGATGCCTGCAAGTATTTGTGCAGGTTCGTGGCCATGCCAATACCCATTGACCCCAGGCCAATCCATCCCAGTTGTGGTTGAGACATCCCGCTGGTAACAGAAAGGTACGAATTGTGCAAGTCTTGCGTTCACTTAAGTTGGTGTGTAGTACTTTAGAACACACTTCAGAACAATCTCATTCACAAATTACCACTCTCTGTCAACGTGGTGTCGTGAGCTCCAGGATAAACGGTCTTCTCCTGCACGTACGCGCTTCGAAGGCCGCTCCGAAGAAGACCGAGCTGGTGGAAGCACGTCCGCAAGGGGTCACTCTGCCACAGGGAGGAGCTCCACCACTAGCGGTATCCACCGAGGTGAAGCCAACTCTGTGGCCGCATATGCTCAATGTTCCATCAAAGTAAATACAAGCTGATATATATATCGTGGTTATGGATTGGCCGTCAGTGTTGAATGGCATTCTCTACGTCAAGCCCCTGGTCAACAAACCCTCATCATGTCTTTCGGCAAACTATACTATTATCCCAAAGCACCCAGGGCAACTATGTGCCTGTATGTGGCAGAATACAACAAGTGAGTGGGAACGACACAGATATCTCCTCTCCAAAGGAATAACCTTCTAATGTACGGTAGACTGGACGTCGAGTACGTCGAAGCGTGGCCAATCAAGGTGGACCCAAGCAAAGGAGGCGTGGGCGCCGACTTTCTGGCCAAATTCCCCACAGGCAAAGTCCCTGCATTGGAGAGACCAAATGGCTACTGCATATTCGAATGCATTGCCGTGGCTGTCTACCGTAAGTACATCTCTGGGCGACACAAGGCGGATTTGTCGCTGAAGCAATGAGCCACAGTTGCAAAACAAGACCCAAACACGAAATTACTGGGAAGCACGCTAGAAGAAGAAGCAGATATCCTCAAGTAAGCGGCTTTCAAGCATGGACGAGGATCTCAAGCTTACCTTGGCCGCAGATGGGCGTCCTTTGCAAACAGCGAGCTTCTGCCTCCGATCATGGCTTGGATTAACCCTGTGGTTGGGAAAGCAGCTTCTTCTCCCGAGATTCTGGCTGCTGCAGAGAAGAACAGTGAAGCCATGGTGCAGGTAGTCGAGAAGGCAGTCACAGGGCGTCAATACCTTGTGGGCGACGTTTTGACCCTGGCGGATCTGTTCGTCGTGGCCGCGATCGCAAGAGGTTACCAGTTTGTTTTTGCAAAGAAGTGGACTCTCGCTCATGCCGCCATCCATGAGTACTACATGCGGATTCGCAGTGACGAGGTTTACTGCAAGATTGATGGCAAGCCCACTGTGCTAGACGAAGTGGGCGGCAAGCCGTTGTGAAGGAGATTGATGTTGCACAAGGTTACGACCGCTCCTGAAATCCACAAAAGGACGGAATGCGTGCAGTCACGTGGAAGGCTGTGAGCCTCGGGGGTCATTTTTAAATCAAGTCTGTACCCGCATACTAGTAGAATTCGAAAAAGCCTTAATATGTAGCGAAGGGGACTCTGCAGCGTAGCAAGACCCTGTCATATGCAAAGCATATCGATCTTGAGGCAGCGAGAATGCAGACAGGCGATCTGCTCGTTATCATGTAGGCGGGGTGATAAGGGGTCGCCCTCTATGCCAGTCAGGATCGCGCATCATATCAGCGCTGAAAGCCGGAGCTCAGATCAACTTGGCATTTCCCCCAACCCCGGGGCTCTAAAGCGGCTATACGTTATTTAGTTATGACCTACCTCTCGAAGCCGTCCTCATCGGCTTATTCTCAGTCTAGACCTTGCCCCTCGTCGTCGAAGATGTCAAGATGTGATAGCTAATCTACGACGAGAGAGTCCTCTCAGACGTGCAATCAAATAATGGCAAAAACGCCGTCCGGTCAGGCTACAGCCAGGCCTTTCAGATGTTCCGGATGCTCGAAGAGCTTTACGCGGCAGGTATGAGCATGGTATCAGATGTTGTGACCGGGGAGACTAAGTGACGACGACGACCAGGAAAACCTAAAGAGACACATTCACACGCGTACGAGCGCCCTGAGAAGACGTCTCTTTCCTGGTTTTGCTAATTCAACGAAGACCATAAGGGATCGCAGGCCAGGAGCTTTCAGTGCTCGTTCTGTGACGCGCGGTTCGCTCGAAGGTAAGATCTTCAGAGCTTCTTGCATCTATCGAGACTCTAATACACCCCAGCGATTTGAGGAAACGACACACCTTGAACTTCCATTCTTCGTCCAGCCATCCAGAACAACAGAACCCCTCCAGCGCACCAAACAGTGGCTCCATTGTCAATGCCACAGCTGCGCTTCCCCAAGCCAGTCCTCCGGCAGCTGTGTCGCCTACATTAGAACCGCCTATCGGGCTAGCAACCCCGGTATGCTTCAGCGAAACATAAAAGTGAAGGAGGCATCCGCTGACTGAAATCAGGCTTTGAAAGTGGGAAGCTACGTGCCAGGCTCTGACACTCTTTCGTAAGTCGTGCGCGGGTTTCAAAGTACATCAATCCAGGCTTACAGTGAGCCAGGGATACGGCAAGCGATATTGCCTCTATCAATGCATTTTATACTGCGTTTCTTCCCAGCTTCCCAATCATCCATCGGGGAATGTTTGAGGCGCTTTCCGCATCAGGTTCTATGCAGAATGCGATCATCTGTATTGGGGCTCTATATTGCCAGCGAGGCACCGGCTCGCAACCCCGAATACCACTTTTTGAGAGCACTTGCGTGGCTATGCAAAAGTACGTTGAACAAAACCGATCCCGCTACCAACAGCTGTGGGTCCTGCAAACTTTCTTACTATTGGAGTTCTTTGGCCTGTTTGCCGGAGACCACGCCTCTTTCCAGAGGGCACGTCGGATCCACCGAGACTTGGTGGACGCCATCAGAATGCTACAAATGTCTCATGAGGGCACCAACCGGTCGTCAATCGACGACATGATTGACGAGGCAGAAGATGAAAGCGAGACCTCATTCCTCGCCAATTTGCAATCTCTAGAGACAAGATGGCAGGAGTTTGCAGAACGCGAATCACGGAAGAGGTAGGTCTTTCATCAATCTCGTACAATATTCACGCGATCGTGTTACCAATCCTGTGCTGGGAACCAAGCTGAACCTCAGTGAATAGATGTGTATATACACTCTACGTCCTGGACTCGCAAATCGCCATCATGTGTAATCACCGACCGATGCTTTCCCCACTGGAAATCAAGTACGACCTACCATGTGTGGAGGAAGCCTGGCTGGCGAGATCCGCGCATCTGTGGGCCATGTGCCAGCGGCGCCATTACGCCGAGAACAACGGTCAAGTCATAATCTTTGAGAGTCCACCATCTCAGGGCTTCTTCTACGACGCTTCGCAAACGCTACTGAACTCGGTGGATGAGATGAATCTGCCACCCAAGCTGCGATTACTCAAGGCGTCGCCTTTCAGCGCCATCGTTCTGGTCATGCAACTGCAGGTGCGCGCAATTCTCGTCTTCCATTGTGAAGTACCCAAAGCGGACATGAAAGTAACCATCTCACAGATCATGACTCGTGAGTTAGTTCATGCCAGTTGCCTCGTAGACCGCTCCAAAGCCACAAAACGCAACTGCTCGCTTCTTTCCGACACGCAATGCCGGCAAAAATTGCGTGCAATGAAGAGTATTGCTGAGGTATGCCACTACATGACCCAAACTCCCACGGCAACTGTGGACATATTCCCTCCTTCTGCTCTCCTGCCCTTACGATATGGTCTTCCTATGCTTACGACCGATGTTGCGTACAGATGGTGCCAAGCCAAGCATTCCAACCCTCCGATATCACATCGAAAAATACCTTGGACCTCCCGCCCGAAGAAGTACCCTTGTGGCACTTTTTCCGTGTGCTCTGGCACTATACCGCCATTACCTCGTGGTATCCGGATGCGCTGCTACTTGGCGGAATTGTCGAATCGAGCCTACCACGGGCAGTTGCGAGTATGTGGTCAATCCCAATTCCTTCTCCCGACGTCGATTCAAAAGGCAGATTGCTGACCTCAAATCAACGAACTAGCGGCACACCGGCTGGCAATGTCCAACAACCTCCCAGACAACGACGAAATTGAGCTAGGTTAGTAGGGATGGCCAGAACCCACACTTTGCAACTTAATCAGAAGTGGGCACACTAACTGACACTCTTGGTCTCCAGAAAACTACGCTTTTCATATCGTAAGTCCATTATCATCTCTCAATCGATTGACATCCGATTATGGAGGAAGCCGGGCAGATGACTGACTTGACATTTTTTCGCCGCAAAACAGTTGGACTATCTCAACGTAGCGCTGCAAGGTCTCTCTAAGCCGAGCTTGCAGCTCCCTCCTTTCCTCGAACACCCGTTCATAACCTTCCTCGGATTCAAGCTCGGGCTGCTCGGTCGATGCCTGCTGAGTGGGGGCATTAACGACATGGCGAAGAAACCTTCCCCCTTCGGCCTCGGGTTGAGACTGTGCCATAAGGCTATCATCGACAATATTATGAGCTGTGTGGATGGTTGGCCTAGCCAAAGCTCTCCGGCGAGGAGATGGAGCATTGTTGCGGAACAACATGATGCCACTCCTGGGATCGAGAAATGCGAGACGGCTTTCGTCGCATGGCTGATCGAGGCCTTGAAGTTGCGGTCGTGCTGGCCCGTGGGAAGGGTCGCTGCTGCTACCCTGGAAGCTGGGCAAGGGTAGCATCTAGCTAGGCTAGACCGGACAGGCACTTTCGACGTTGGTGTTCTATGCGATAAGCAAGCATGCCCGTTGATACATGTCACTTTGCGGATTTTACATGTGCAGTGGGAAGGCAAGAGATCAAAATGCATTCAGAATAAGACCGAACGTCCTCCGCTGTACTTTAACGTGATCAGGCAGTCATCATCGAACCGTGCATTTTCATCATCCACCCATAATCCTCAGTGTCCCCCTGCAATATGGACTGTACTTGAAACGCAGGCAAAAAGGCAAATAGTCCAGTTACACACTGTGCTGTCTTGAATCCGGTTCAGATGACCATTGACCTTCAATATACAGACACGTCACACGCCGGAGCAAGCAGCTTCCATCAAGCTATCTGGGCCGGCATCTGCAAGGCGCCTTTATGTTCGATGGCCTGGTCAATGACCGCGGCAATAGAGCCCGATCTCTCGCTCTCTTGGCCGACACCCTCGAGAACCTCCACCGTACCGGGGTGGAATCTCTTCATGCGCCGAAACGTGATCAGGATGACGGTGATCCAGATCAACAACAAGCTACAGATGACAATCATGCAGTACATGCCCCTCTGTTGAACAAGACAAGACACGAAGAGTTAGCGATTCGATCTTTTGTCACAAACTGTAGTTGAAGAGGGAAGAGGGAAGGAGGAGGAGTCGTTCAAGGTGGGGGTGTTTTTTTTTATATTTTTGTTTTCACTTACCCTGAACCAAGGAGCCATATCGGCCGCGTAGAACAACAGAGGCCAGAAAGCATTGAAGGTATTGCCGCCAAAGTTCATGATAGCAATGACGACTGCACGGAAGGCATGGTCCTCATGGCGCATAGTGTCGTTGGCCCAGGCAAAGAACGTGGCTTGACACGCATAAATGGAGCCCGCCCAGTAGTAGGCGCCGAAGATGCCGGCCACGGGCGTGCTCGGGATGAGGATGATGATGGCGGAGATCAAGCCCGTGAGAGCGATGTAATATCCCGCGATCCAGCGGCGGCCGAAGATGTCGGTGACGATGGACCAGAACAGCGTGGAAAAGATGCCCACGGCCTGCACGCCCGTCGGCCAGTTGTTCATCTGGTACACGGTGTATTTGGGGCCCGGGGATGATTTCATGTACAGCTGGAGAAGCGACGATGTGCTTTGCTGCTCTGAGCAGTTGGTCAGGATCCACAGGATGCCGAACGCCCACGTGTACCACGACGTGAGGATGCGGCGGACGAACGCTTTGGTCAAGACGGGCTGGCGTGGGATCTCGGGCACTCGAGAGAGCGCCAGGGCCTTCTCGGCCTCGGAGAAGTAGGGGGCCTGAGTGGTCCTAGGCGTATCTGGGAAGAGGAAGAAGCCGTATGCGGCGACGGGAAGAGTGATGATGCCGTCAATCTACACAATCCGGAGCGGTTAGTTTCCGACTCTCTTGTTGCCGCATAGTGAAACATACAAGTAGAAGAACAAAGAACAAGCGAGGAGCTATCACGTACGATGAACAGCCATCTCCACCCGGCAAACCCGGCCAGACCATCCATAGTGCGGTATATGGCACTCTGTAGCAGTCCACCGATGATGCCGCCCGCCAGACCTGAGGCTGTGAAGATGCCCGATCGCTTTCCCAGCTCATGTTCGGTGTACCAGGAGCCCAGGATGTAGTGGGTGCCGGCGAACGTGCAGGACTCAAAGTACCCCTGAAAGATGCGGATGGCCATGATGTGTTCGGGTTTGTGGACGCCCGCGGTGGCCATGGTCAGGCATGCCCACACCGTCATCATGAAAGGGAAGAATTTGCGGGGGTTGAAGTAGGTGAGCATGGCATTGTTGGGGACGATGCCGCTGTCATGTAGGAAGCAAAGTCAGCAAAAGGACTCGGACTGCCCCATGAAGGATTTCCTCCTCGACCCGGATTGGACTTACATCAAGTAGCCCACGGAATAGATGGTGTTGACAACCGTCAGCTGATTCCCCCGGAACCCGAGCTCTTCTTTCATCCCAGACACGTAGGCTTGCGAGAGATTCTGTCGGTCCAGGTAGTTCCTGTGACCCTGCTTGTCAGCCGAGCTCGATGGATTGTTTGACTCGCAAATGGATCCTGGTCCTCTACTCACATGAAATAGGCCAGACAGCAGAAGGTGAGAATGAAGAAGTCGAGTTTGAACACGAGCTTCCTCTCCTCCTTGCTGGTGGGGGGCCCGCGGAAGTACTCCACGACTTTGTGAGTCGCAGACTTTTTGTCGTTGGTAGCCATTTCTGTACGCGAGATCTGGATTCTGGCTAACACAGCTATGCAGGTTGCCTTGGGGTGGTTGGCAGGAGGGAATATAAATATTCAGCTGAACCAGACTAGTCGCGCCCAGGTGGTGGTGGTCTCGGTAACCTTGATATCTCTTTGCTCGGATAAAAGAGCCCTGGAGTGGCACTCATTCGTATCTGGATATCTTGACAGTGTCGACTAGCCAAGGCATCCTCCCCGGTCGTTGTGAAGTCCAGAGGCTGGCCCTTGATTTCTAACCTATGGTAAGGTGAATCTCATGCCTGGGCGGCGTGGCGAACAGGGCTGTACTGTGCTAGATGCGATAGAGGTGCCCTGCCCCTGGGGAGCTCCTCCTCAAATGTATGGTTGCATGGTGATTAACGTTGATAAAGCCACCGTGAGCTCCGCCCGACATCCCCCAGTGAAAGTACGAATAAATGGCCTGGGGAAAGGGAGAAGGGGAAGGCGGTCGGTGATAGGCTGGAGGCGTCTTTATCAGAGCGTGACGGGGACAGAGTTTCGGAAGATCCACACTCCACCTTGTTATCATGACTGCGTATGTAGTCGCCCGACACGACCCTCCTGGAGATTCCCACCTGCAACCATGCTCCGTGCAAATCCTGTGGAGTCTACCCGCAGGCGGACGGCGGGTTGCATACGTGGATGCTGGTGAGGATTGCAGGAAGAGCATGTAGAAAGTACTTTCTTGTCTGGGATGACCCGTCCACGGTGGGGCAATTCCCCGTACTACCAGCAAGTAACAACGTTGCGCGTGTCGAGGGATTAGAGACTCTGGTATCGAATCTCGACTCTGCGTCTAGCCATCACTGCATACACCTACGGGACAGAAAGGTCATCGTTTATATGGACACAGGCAGCTCAGAAGGGAGGTACAGTGGTTCATGTTTCAGAGCATACTCATTAACGTGAGAAATGTTAACTATCTGACCACCCCGTCTGTGCCGACACAAGGGCTAAACTTGGCCAAAATATTTCATGCCTTGATAGTCGGAATAACATATTTGGGACGAGGAACGTTATCGAACTTGCCCAAGCTCTTGTGGTCCTCCGGGTCGGGATACTCGCCATCAAAGAAGTCGGCATGTTTTCCCGGCTCCGCGGGTCGGTCAATATCAAACTCGATGCGTTTGTAGCCATGCTTGCGAGCATCCAAGTAGTCCGCCATGCAGAAAACGCGGTCATCGACAGGCTTGTCCGCGCCCAGTCGCTGGAGCAGGGGCGAGTTTTCGATGGGCACCAACTGCCGGTCATCACAAGGCCGGGCGAAATAGATGACTCCAATTCGGTTCAAATGTCGCTGGTCCTCACGAGGCTCAACCACGCGGTGGATGGTCGCTTTGAAGAGACCTCCAGTCAACAGTTCGAGAGCCTCGCCAAAATTGACAACGAGTGCCTTGGGCAGATGCTCGACGTACTTGTACTTCTGGTCCCGGTGGTCGAGCACCTGAAGGGCGGCAATAGGTTGCGAGAACAGGAAGGTCCACGTGCCCCAGTCAGTGTGGCCCGAGAGGAAGATGTCCCGGTATTTCGCACTCTCTTCCTTGGAGCGAGGCGCGCAGAGCATCTACAAGTCCCAATGTCAGCCGTTGTCTCCATACGCCGCCGCGTCAACTCACGTATCGGATGTATTCCGTCTTGGAGCCACCCTCGGCGTGTGTCGCCAACACCACCTCTTCGGGCACCTCAAGTATCATCGCAACCAATGTAAGCAGCTTCTTCAGGATCGAGGCCCGAATGAAGTGCATAACCTGGTAGATCTCTTCGAGGTGAGGACGAAGGACGGGAGGATGGGCTCTGTTCTTGGGGTCGTGGACCAGAATGTTGTAATGGTCAAGCTGCTTGGGGAATCCTCCTTTGTGGCCCAAGGGACCTGAAGGCTTGTAGCCTACATAGAGACCTCGTGCATCCTCTTGTGGTGTGACTAGCTTCTGGTCAGAGACAGTGTCCAGCCGTGGAGACGATTGATCTAAACCCACCCTCATACGGAGCCTTCTCTTCAGGAGGCAAGGTCATGGCAGCATTTGCCAAAGTCATCTGGCGCATATACACCTCATCTGAAATGCCATGATTGGTGAGAGTCAGGAAGCCGTGTCCAGTAGCAGCTTCGTAGAGATCACGGGCGAGCTCTTTTCTGCCCTCTGGGTCGTCAAATTTGGCGAGATCAATGTTCACAAGCTTGACATATTCCACTAAGGTGACCAGGTTAGTTCTGCATTCCGCAATCAGGATATGAGGCACCAACATTTCTCCTTCGTTGGAGGCGGGGGAGTCCACGGTGGAAGGTCGATGGGCTTCGACGTATCGATTTTAATGTCAGACATTTTCGATGGTATATTGTGGTCGACCTCGTTCCTGGTTGGTGGCAGAAAGGAGCTCGACTTGAAAAGAGCCCAAGCTGTCTTATATCAGAGGAAGTACCTTTGCTGGAATCCCAAATTTGACGAAGGGCGTCAAAAGAGCCTGTGGAGGGAGTGGAGCGTTCACTCCCAATACCTCGGGTGGACGTCTGGTCTATCGCCCAAGACCTCTTGGGGGATCGAGATGAGCAGTCACAATTTTGGAGCATGGACATGCTGCAGGAAAGCCATGCATGCCCTGAGCGCCTGGGGTCATGTAAGTGATCGCTTTCTGGGAGGAGCTCCGCCTGACTATCATCCTCTATCTCGAACAGTCGAGGGGACTGGCTGGCGGCAAGCTAACTGGGCCCTGGCTTCTGTGTGGCGAATGATCCATGATGGAAGCTTTGTTGGCCCTGAGTGACACGTCGTGGAGAGCCATGTCCGTCGCATATCTTGCATGCTCAGAGTTGGAGCCTGATCTTTACTTTGTGCTTCCATAAGCAAAAGCCGAAGCTCATCCTGGGCCAGCAGGTCCTGGCCAAAATTGCTGGAGAGTCTAGAAAGTGTGCTGCGAGACCACAACACCCGTGTTTCTAATCAATCAAAACGCCTGTACTTCTTAATGGCAATTGTGTATTGCATTCTATGTAGAGGGGCCAGCCATTCGATATGCCTGTTTCGTAAAGTCTACTACTGTCTCCTCGAATCGTCGGTAGGCCATATCAAAATCTTCATCTAGATTCTTGCGATCAACGTTGACATTTTCCAAGATCTTCTGCTTTTCCGCAGTCGCTGAGCTTGCTGCTGAAGGGAAATTTCGGGCTATGATTTCAGAAGCAAGCTGATAGTTAAACTTCTCGGGTGCCACAGGCAGATATCGCTTGCCTCCAGCTTGAGGAGTCAACAGAGCCTTCACATGTATTTCGGCCAGATCTCGAACATCAATCCAGAAATTGAATCGTGCTGGAGGCAACGGTGTGTTACCGTCACTGTTGGCTACCCTCCACAGCAGGGCATTCGACTCGTTCAGATTCTGCACCGAACTCACTGGATGGGCCACAGGCCCAAACACCATCGAGGGACACAATGTCACAAGGTCAAAGTCGGGAGTTTTGGTCTCCATGAACCGCCAGGCTTCTTGCTCAGCAAATTTCTTCGAGGCACGATAAGCGTCTTGCGGTGTGGCGTCAGGAGATATAGCTTCAGCGTAGGTGATGGGATTCCAATCCTTCTCTGAGTAAGTCCACTCAGATGTCAATGGCCGGTTCATATCGAGAACACCTCCAAACGAAGAAGTCATCACCACTCGCTTGGCCGGGCTTCTTGCGGCTGCTTCAAGAATTGAGCGGACACCCGTAATGGCTGGGATGATCAACTCTTTTTCCTTGTCTGCCACAGAATAGTTGAGAGGCTGTTGATGATGAATACATTAGTCCGCGCTCCTCAACGATCATGGATGTCTCACTTTCCGCTTAAGGAAATGCACACTCACACTGGCAACATGAATGATACCATCGATTCCGTCAAGAAGACCATTAAAAGCACCTTCTTGCGAAAGGTCTTGGATAAAGACAAACTTCAACTTTGAATCGTACGCCTTTCTGGCTTGCCTCATAAGATCGGCCTTCTGCTTCGATCGTGCCACGGCGCGGACATTGAAGCCCTTCTCTAGCAGATTATCCACAACATGGGCGCCGATGAAGCCCGTCGCACCCGTAACGAGCACATTTCTAACAAAGAACGGTAAGCATTTGCGCTGGGCTTTGCATGGTATGCGACGCACGAGAAGGTGTTGTCCATGTTGGAGATCATGTTTGCGACCGATGGGGGGTCGTTTTCGCTGGATCACAGCGGACAAGCTTGCACGACTATGAAGGACAGGCTAGTTACTGGTCGCTTACCTCAACGAATGGATTTTGAGGGCAGGGGAGTTCGGTCTGATTGATGCACAACGGACATATGAGTTCCAGTGTGGCCGACGGAAGGTCGTGTCGACCTGAGATACTGTAGGAGCGTCGTTCTTATCAGGAGGAGCTCCTCCCAGGAACGTGCTGTCGCCGGGGTTGGGCGCCAGCCAAGTGGAGTGAATTCCATAACCTCCCCCGGATCACAGAGGTGATCCAGATCGCGCTGCACAAGCTGAGGCCTGATCACCAGCATGGTGCTGGCCACACTGCCACTGCTGGGGCTGGGAGCTCCTCCCCTCGCTTGCTGTCAGGGGTGTTGTCGTGGGCCATGGCTTTGAGAGCGAAGGGAACAAGACCGCTGCCCGATTTGGAGTCAGCCTATCCTGATGGCCCGTTATCATCCTATAATTCGAGACTATGCGTCTGAGGAGAGCGTGAGCAACCGAGCCCTGCATAGAACACCACCGCCACACCAGTATCTACGACCTGGTTCTAGAGTCTTGCTTCGTGGCCAAGATGTCTTTCGGGAAAATCTACACATACCCCAAGGCTCCAAGATCGACGCCGACGTTGTATATCGCCTACTACAACAAGCTCGACGTCGAGATTGTCACCGCTCTACCAGGCAAGATCTATCTAGATCACGATGGCGTGGGTGAAGAGTACTTTTCCAAGTTTCATACTGGGAAGGTCCCTGCCGTGGAGACGGCGGACGGGTTCTGTGTCTACGAAAGCATCGCCACTTCATGGTTCTGTGAGTAGCTTTTAGCATGGCTCCCTGATGGACCCTGGTTGCCATGAGACATCTGGGGCTTCTGCTGGCACCTCGAGCTAAGGGTCGACCAAAGACTAACACACTTCCTTTACCCAGTGGCAAAGCAGGATCCCAACACGAAACTGCTGGGCTCGAATCTCCGAGAGGAGACGACTGTTCTGAGATGGGCCTCTTTCACCAACTATGAGCTGCTTCCACCCATCATGGCTTGGATCAACCCCATCATTGGCCGGGCTCCGTCAAGCCCAGAAATTCTCGACCAGTTAGAGCAAAATTGTGAGCTTACCGTCCGAGCCGTGGAGAAGGAAATCAAAGGCAAAAAGTTCCTGGTCGGCGACGTGCTGACCATGGCTGACCTTTTCGTCATCTCCGGCCTGGCTCGGGGATACCAATTCGTATGTACCCCCTGTCCCTGTTCACGTAACCTACATCTGTTGTCTCCGTGTGCAGTTGCAACAGGCTTTTCTGACGGGATACTCGAACGGACAGGTCTTCACCAAGAAGTGGGCGGCAAAGCATCCTATCGTGCACAAGTACTACGAAAGCATTCGAACGGATCCAATCTTCACCAAGATTCTGGGAGAACATGTCGTTCGTGATGAGCCTGGTGGGACGTACCCGGACTATGATGGGTTGAAATAAAATGATAGATAGTACCAGAGCAAGTCAAGCCTCGCTTTCACTGATTGAAGCGTCCTCCATGGACTCCTTGAGGACCGCGCTCATCCAGCTGCCAATCGGCCAAACATTCCGTGACGAGAAAGTTCTCTCAGCCCATTCGAGATACATGAATTCATAGTTTGGCTCAGCTGTGTTTTGCTTTGACATTCTGTCGGATGGTTGGCTTTGCTGTAGTCCGGCCGCCTTGGTGATTCGGCCCATCACCGACTTTATTGGAGCCGCGTAAAACGTTTGTCGGCCGGTCTCTTGCTCGCGCCTTTCGCTTAGACTCATGAGTCGGACAAGTCGCCAGCCCACCATACAGGCCTTGTAGCTCAGGATGGAGATAAAAGGGTCTTCAAAAGAACGGCCGCCGGTGCCTTGCCAGGTCGTCAGGGGTGGATTGTTGATCAGCTCTATAATCTTCTCGAGATTCGAAGCCTGCAGTATCGTCAGCTATGTCCTGATCCATACCTCTTGTTGTTTCTCGAACTCACCAATCGGAAGACGTCTCGGTCATCGTAGACATCTCTGTGTGTCTTCGCTCGTGGTTTTCCTAGTTCCCATGCCGCTTGACGAATTTAAGCCTATGTCCAGCGTTCAAAACATGTAGAGCACCTACTGGAAATCGCAGCTGGAAGATTGCACTCGACAATACCGGTGCATAGCAAGGCCTCCTGATGTGAAAGAGTCATGGCAGTGTAATACCATGTTGTCCACACGGAATGCCACAGAGTCTTGTTGGTGGGAAACTCATATATGCCATTGCTCAGCGCGGCGGGAAGGTCGGTGGCGGTGGCATTGCCTCGGGGGATAAGATCTGTTTTTTGCGTTAGTCGAGCAATAAGGTCTTGAGAGGGGTTCACCTGGTTCATACCAACGAGATTGTTCAGGGCATGCATGATGGGGCCGCGACTTTCTTCATCAATAATGGACCTGCTCAGAGTCAGTGAAGACCTTCACCCCCGAATGTTGGGTCCTTACAAGTTATGCCTCTCCTCCTTGGGCCGAAGGTTGGAGCACAAGAAAACACTGGCCAGCGTCAACTCCCGCGCCGTCATCAGGATCTGGACAACCAGCATCAAGGCGGCGAAGGGCGAAAACCAAAGCATCTTCAGCGATTTACCCTCGCCAGTCGGGTGAACCAGGTGGGTCATACTTTCGTACAAGAACCCTTGTGGCACCAGTGGTTCCGGGTTTCCTTTGAAGTCGTCCTCATCGTTGAAGGAGCACAACTCATCTTGACGGATCAGACTCCAGGTCTCCGCATCGGGCGCCGACCACAAATCGTCTCTGCACGGCAATTCGTACTTGAGCTCCATTGCAGAGAGCAGTGGTCGGTAATTGCAACAAGTCGCAAACTGGGCGTCGACGTAGAACAAGGCGTAAGCGGATCTGAAGGAATATTACATTGTCAGCTAGTTCTTTTGGGCGCACAGATGAGGTCAAACGACTGACCTCTTGCGGGCCTCATATTCGATAAAGGAGTGCCATCGAGTCTCCGCAGGTTCGGAGGGATAGTCGATATACCCAATTTCACTTAAGGCATGGGCCACTTCAACGGCCATTGTATCCTTGGCCGAATGGCTATACTCCAGCAGACGAAGCTCTCGGGCGCCGTCGACGAGATCGCGATGGATCTTTTGCGCCAGAAAGAACAGCTTGTCATTGCAACTGTATATACCAAAGATCTCCAATAGTATGAAGGCTTGCAAAACCCAGGTTTCTCGTAACCTGGATTGATTCTTGCCAATCTTTTGAGGCCGTCAGATCGTGCTGGAATAGCGAACTAGACGTACATACATAAGAGTAAAGGGCTTCGTAGGCAACTTCAAAAAGAACTCTGCTCGTCGGATGATCGGCCTCGGTGGACTCACACATAGCACCGAGACAAGCCATTGCTGCCAGTAATGGCTCGGGCGTTGTGGTTATGTCGAATGTCGGTTGATGCAACATTGGAATGATGGGGTGGAATTTCTCGAAAAAGCTTTCAATATGCTGAGGAGTCCTGGGACAAGTCGAGATCTTGGTCAGAAAAGCGGTCGCAGGGCCATCGACACACCTACAGGAGCCTTTTGCTACTCTTGGTCAGTGGCGGGGAGGACTCATGCTGCAACTAAGTCAATATCTGATATATCGACAGCTGGAGGCACAGACAGCCAAGCTTGGATCGACCAGCGACTCGCCAGCGGGCAGTGCCAGCAGAGTCTCCGGGTTAGAGGCCTTAGACGGCTCGTCCTCGACCGTATGGCATCTCTTGATGTGCCTTTTACGCAGGTCACTAATGGTGCAGGTGAGCAACCGGCCAAGTCGGATATTGTCCCGCAATTAGGATAGAACAATGGCCTTACTCTCTCGAGAAGAATAGAAAACATGTCTCGCATTGATACGATTTTGTGTAATTCTTCGAGTGGACTTAGACATCAGTCAGACACGCTCGGGAACAGGCCGAGAGGTCTCATACTTGTCCCAACATGGCGATTCAGATTCTCCTTGTAGTCGTCAGCCTTGCACCGGCCTAGTCTCCAGCGGGCGTCCACCAGGCAGCTTACCTGACGCGTGAAAGTCTTGAGGCATAAATGGCAGGAGAAGGGGCCTCGTCGGGTCTCATCCTCAGCAGGGTCGTCCATACAGGCAACAAAGCACGTAGGAGTGTTTACTTGGATGAAAGATCATGGCATTTCTTCCATTGTCGCTTGCCAGGACGTTGACGGCGCACCTCACCCTGGCTTATCTACCGCCAATAGGCTGAAAGGCTGGCCACTTTGGCGGCTACTACATAGTAGGGGATGGAGCCCCACAACCTCACAGCCTGGTCGCCTACAGCCTCGACGCAGCAACCATGCAACGTCTACTTTGTCCTAAAGGCTTTCTGTCTGCTCTACAGCTTTTGTTCTAGGTCAACCAGTTCTCGCAGCACCGTGTCAGCGTCGCCGTTGAACCGCGCCGCATCGACGTTGCCTAGAGGCCTCCGACTCCGGCCACCGCCGTAGCCGTAGTAGCGGTGCAATGCCCCTTTCAATCCGGCCACCCCAAGCTGGACCAGCACCCAGTCGGCGACGCTGAGTTTGGTCTGCAACTCCTCGGCCTTGGAGTAGTCCCTCGCATCATAAGCCGCCAGCAGCGCCAGATGCACCTTTGGGACGAAGTTGGCCGCCGCGGCAATCACTCCATGCGAGCCCGCAACGAGGCCGTGCAGGAAGAAATCGGATTTGCCCGCAAACGCGGCAAACGGTGTTGACAGGCGACGGTCATGAGCAATCCGATGCAACTTGCCGACATTACCACACGTCAGCTTGCAGCCCACGATCTTGGGATTGTCGATGGCCAGCGATGTGATGGTGTCCGAGTCCAGGTCGATTCCGGAGGTGACGGCGGGAAAGTTGTATAGCAAGATGGGGATCGGGGAGGCCTCGGCGACATCGTTGAAGAAGGCCTTGATGGTCGGTTTTCCCATGGCTGCAGCTGATGAACATGTCAACATAGATGGGTCAATGGCAGCGCCAAAGCGGCTGAGGTTGGCGCTCACTCCAGTAACTGGGACTCAACACCAGAGCAAAATCCGCCCCGGCATCCTTGGCCTCGCGACATAAAAGGATGGTCTCTTTCGTGCTTTGTGCACCACACCCTGCAATGATGGCAGCATCCTTGCGTCCATGCTTGTCCAGAACTCGTCGAGCCAAGGCGGTCACTTCGATCCTCTCCGAGTGCAGCAGATGGGGAGCTTCGCCATTTGATCCTTGCACGACGAGTCCCGCAACACCGGCCGTGGCCAGACGAGCAATATGTGCCTCGAGTGCGCCGGCGTCAATGTTTTCGTCTTCATCAAAAAAGCACACAACCGGGGCGTACACCCCGCGAGGAGGCACCGTAGCTACAGGACGTGACATTGTTATGGTTGCACCCTCCCACTGGCAGATCTATGTATCACGCTTTTATATAGAAGTCATTGTATTCGTGTATGGGACTTTTCATTGAGCACTCCCCGAGTGCTTCAGCTTTTCTGTGTGCTCGGAGACCATGTCAGGTGGAGCTCCCTTCGGCGCCCAACATGACAAGACGCTTGGTGGAGCGAGTGTGCGCGTACGCTACTTTTTCCCAGTTCACTCGGTTCGCGAACCCCTTCTCCTGACCCCAAGGCTTCAGTAGAGACTGACCTTTGCACCAGTGATCAGCATAAATCGAACTTCAGTTATGGGATCTTTCCAACCATCCTCTTTCTTCGAGGACGGCGTCTATGTCCCTCCCGACCCTATCTTCGAGGTGACTAAGAACTATCTGGCCGACCAGGACCCCAAAAAGGTCAATCTAGGTCAAGGAGCGTACCGCGATGAGAATGGCCAACCATGGGTGCTGCCTTGTGTACGACTCGCCAAGCAGGCGCTGAAGGATCAAGGGCACGAATATCTGCCTATTGCAGGTCTGCCCACCTTGAGGCAGAAAGCTGTTGAACTTGTATTTGAGCGCAGCAAGGCCCTAGCAGAGGGCAGGGTATGTGACCTCTCCGTGGACAAAGAGGTGTTTGCATCGAGAGGCTGACGATGCCAGATTGCATCGTGCCAGTCCCTGTCCGGGACTGGAGCTATTCACCTGACTGGACTCGCTCTGCGGCGCGCAAACCCAGCAGCAAGAACGGTGTATATCACCGATCCGACATGGTCAAATCATCGACTTCTCTTCAGCAACCTAGGCTACGAGGTCCAAGATCTGCCGTACTACCGAGATGGAGGGTTTGACTATGATGGCTACATCGCAGGGCTGCGCGAAGCAGAACCGAACTCCATCGTCGTCCTCCATGCTTGCGCCCACAATCCAACAGGCTATGATCCATCCAAGGAGCAATGGAAGGAGATCATCTCCGTGATTAATGAGAAACGGATCTTTCCAGTCCTCGACGCCGCCTACCTAGGGTTCAATTCTGGCTCGGTGGATGACGACGCCTGGGTCATTCGCTATATCGTGGACGAGCTCAACCTGGAGGCGGCGGTCTGTCTTTCATTTGCGAAGAACATGGGACTTTACGGTTGGCTCCCTTGCTCCTCTCTTCGGTCCATGCGCATATGCTGACTTTCCCATCATAGGTGAAAGAGTTGGCCTTGTGGCCCTGGTGGCAAAGACGCCTGAGTTGGCTGTGGTCATGGACTCGATTCTCGCGAACATGCAACGGGCCACTATCTCATCACCTCCAGTCTACGGAGCCCGGATCGCCGCGACGGTGCTGGGAACGCCAGAATTCAAGGCCCAATGGGCGTCGGATCTGAAGGTCATGTCTGGCCGTATACGGTCTATGCGGGAGAAACTTTATGACGAGCTTCTGCGCCTCCAAACCCCAGGTGACTGGAGCTTTATCGTCAAGCAGTCCGGCATGTTCGGCTACACAGGGTTAAACACGAATCAGATCAAATATCTCCAAGGTGAGCTCTTCGCTTTTCTACATAGGCGATCATGGTGCTGACTCGTGAGCAGACGCGCACCACATCTACATGGCGGATACCGGCAGGATATCCATCGCAGGTCTAAACGACAACAACGTAGGTCACTTTGCAGCAGCGGTAGACAAGGCTGTCCGATATATACATTAAGCATGCTCGCTGCATTTACGTAAAGGCTGAAACAACATTGAGAAATAATACAGTCGAAAGTTCATGAATGTACTGTAGGCATTCCCAGACCTTGATGCTCTCGCCTCCCCTGTGCGGCTGGGGTACCAGTAATGCCGGCGTCGGCTTTCTTGCGCTCCGGCCCCTCACATGCTCAGCCTTGCGGGCACATCGATCGGACATTTGCGTCGGCAACGCATCCATCTGCCGTGAAGCTGAAAAGCGATTGGACGAGATCCTTTCTCCTTCTCGCAATCACTCCCCCGCGATAGGCAGGTGGAGCTCCGCCGGCTCTCCCTCCCTCTCACACTTCGCATGTGGTGCTGTGGTCATCAGTCTCGCAATGGAGTGTCTGGTATGAGCACACGGTCGACATGCCCGTGATCGACGTGTCAGCTGTTGATGCGGTCCAGTGAGCCCGGGGTCCAAGAAGGCAGCAACAGCACTTCTGCCCGACATCCAGCCTGGCCGATGCAGCTCCACCTCCACGTCAAACAGGGCGTATATGCGTTCAAGTTTGACTGCAACACAGGTATATTCATTACATTTGCAATGGAAGATAATCGGACCATAATTCCCAAGCACCAGTCTTACTGTATATACGTATGTGTGGATGAATGCTGGACGACCCTTCCCTTCCTTGGATCCATTTTTCCAACATTCTCTTCGCTTCAATCTCTTCTTCATTCGCGGACTGGACTTGATCTTACTCAACCCTTCCTCTTCACTTTGACGGACCCGGCATAACTCCTCATCATGGGTTCGATCGAGGCGCCAGTCTCTGGCATCAGGATATCTATTGACCGAGGAGGCACTTTCACCGATTGTGTCGCAACCGTGCCTGGGCAGAGCGACATTGTCATCAAATTGCTCTCCGTGGACCCCGATCACTACCCCGATGCACCGGTCGAGGCGATCCGCCGGGTGTTGGAGCAAGCGACCAGGAAATCGTATCCTCCGGGTCAGAAGATCTCCCTGCGAGGAGTTGGTAAGGATCCCGGGGCCGACCAAAAATCATTTCGAAATGGACTGTCACTGATGAACGATAGAATCAATCAAAATGGGTACTACGGTGGCCACTAATGCACTTTTGGAAAGGAAAGGCCAACAGACCGCTTTTGTTGTCACCCAGGGGTTGAAGGTATGCGCTGACATCTCTTATCATCCGTGAGGACGGCGATGGGTTCGTGAGTACGCGTGTGCTGAGCGACTGACTGCCCACTTCATGTATAGGATCTTCTACACATTGGCAACCAGTCAAGACCGGACTTGTTTGACCTGACCATTAGTCGGCCAGAGGTTCTCTACAGCAAAGTGATCGAGATTGCCGAACGGGTGACTTTGGAAGACTGGACAGAAAGCAACCAGCCGCCACGGCAGCTTGATGTTGGCCACGACCCAGCCCTTGTCAAAGGAGTGACTGGCGAGGTCGTGCGGATCTTGGAGCCTATCGGTAAGTGATTTATACCCGCTGCTCTTCCGTGCCGCGTGCCGTCTAAACGAGAAGTTCAGATCTCTCGACAACACGGCGACTGCTCCAGCAGGTGTATGACGAGGGGTATCGATCAATAGCAGTCTGCCTGATGCACAGCTACACATTCCGCGACCACGAAAAGATGGTGGGCCAGATGGCATCCGAGATTGGGTTCACGCATATCTCATTGAGCGCCGACCTGTCCCCAGTCGTGAAAATCGTGCCGAGAGGAAACTCTTCCACTGCCGATGCGTACCTGACTCCGGAGATCCAGAAGTATATCGCCGGCTTCGTCTCCGGATTCGAAGACCTGTACGAAAGTGGATGTCGATGCGAGTTCATGCAGAGCGATGGCGGTCTCGTGGAATTTTCTCACCTTTCAGGATTACGAGCTATTCTGTCCGGACCGGCTGGAGGTGTTGTCGGATACGCCCGGACGTCTTACGATGAGGAGAAGAAAACTCCAATCATCGGATTCGATATGGGTGGTACCTCGACCGACGTGTCACGGTACGCTGGAGAGCTGGAGCAGATCTTCGAGACGACAACCGCCGGAGTTACTATCCAAAGCCCTCAACTGGACATCAATACCGTCGCGGCCGGTGGAGGTAGCATCTTGACGTGGCAAAGTGGAATGTTCAAAGTCGGCCCTGAGAGCGCTTCGGCCCATCCTGGACCAGCCTGTTATCGGAAAGGCGGTCCTTTGACAGTAACGGATGCCAACTTGATCCTAGGGAGAATCCGCCCCGAGTTCTTCCCGAGCATCTTTGGTCCAAACGAGGACTTGCCTCTGGACATCGAGGCCAGTAAAGCTCTCTTCGAAAAGTTGGCGGTCGAAATCAACAACTCGGTGGAAACTAAGCTGAGTGTCGAGGAGATAGCGGCAGGGTGAGCCCTAATGGCCTGTGTTTGGAGGTTTCTCCTCGTTTGCACATACTGACACATACCACAGATTCTTGGATGTTGCCAACGAAGCCATGTGTAGACCCATCCGGACACTCACAGAGGCGAAAGGATACGATGCAAGCCAACATCACCTTGCGGCTTTTGGTGGAGCTGGAGGCCAGCATGCAGCTGATATCGCGGAAAGACTGGACATCTCCCGGGTGTTGATTCACAAGTACTCTTCTCTGCTGTCTGCCTACGGCATGGCGCTGGCAGACGTGGTACAAGAAGAACGCAGTCCTTCGGCTCTGACATACTGTGAGGAAAATCTGCCCACGTTTGCTGCCGAGCTTGATCGCCTGCAAGTCAAGGCAGAAAAGGTTCTCCTCAGCCAAGGCATTAAACCCTCTCGTATCACTTCCGAGAGGTATCTGAATATGCGCTTCCACGGCAGTGACACCCCACTGATGGTTCACCAACCCAGTGATGGGGATTTCGTCAAGAAATTCAAGGAGATTCATCTCCAGCAGTTCGGTTTTCTGCCCTCGAATCGACGGATTATCGTTGACGACTATCGGGTTCGCTCTATTGGCCACAGCTTCCTTGATTTACCAACGCCATGGGCCAAGGAGCTGGCACAGTTCAGCACTTTTTCGACCCCCAAGGCAGATCTGACCAAGAAGGTCTACTTCAAGTCCACCGGCTGGTATGACACGCCTCTGTACAATCTCAAGCTCCTGCGGCCAGGCTCCCGAATTGCCGGACCCGCGTTGATAATCGACAACAACCAGACCATCATCATCACCCCTCAATCCGTCGCCACAATTTTATCAAACATGGTAGTCATAGATGTCGCCGCCAGCAAAAAGAATCCGATCTCCGAAACGACGGTCGATCCTATTCAACTCTCCATTTTCGGACATCGATTCATGGGTGTCGCCGAGCAGATGGGTCGGTCGCTCCAAAAGACTAGCGTCAGCACCAATATCAAGGAGAGGCTGGACTTTTCGTGCACCGTCTTCTCACCAGATGGAGGCTTGGTTGCAAATGCTCCTCATGTGCCCGCGATGATTGGCAGCATGGCATTCGCTGTGAAGTGGCAGATCGATCACTGGAAGGGAGATTTGCGGCCCGGAGACGTTATCTTGTCCAATTCGCCAAGTAAGTTGACAGTCGCATCATTCGTCGTGATTAATGGTGTCCCCGTGCCTGCGAGAAGATAGCTGACTGGGGTTTACAGTCTGTGGAGGCACTCATTTGCCTGATCTGACCGTCATCACCCCGATTTTCGATGAAGCAGGCGAGAAGATTATCTTCTGGACTGCCTCGAGAGGCCACCATGCAGATATTGGTGGTGTCTTACCAGGGTCGATGCCACCAAACTCGAAAGAACTGTGGGAAGAGGGTGCGGTCATCAAAGCATTCAAGGTCGTCGAGAATGGCGAATTCAAAGAAGAAGAACTCACTGCACTGCTGATGGAGCCACAAAAATATCCCAACTGCAGCGGCACTCGATGTCTTCGTGACAACATCTCAGATATCAAGGCCCAGGCGGCGGCCAACCACCGTGGGAGTCAGTTGATCCATTCGCTGATCAAAGACTACGGCCTGGAAATTGTTCAGTTTTACAGTAAGTCTCAAGCGTCCTCGAAAGCCGATCCAACTCCGGGACGTTTCCGTTGCTTTCTCGTCATTTTGTAAAGGGCCTGTGTTGACGTATGAACCTCCAGTGGAACAAATCCAAAGCGCGGCCGAGCTTGCCGTCCGTGATATGCTGCGGGCCATTTACAAAAAGACATCCGGCAAGCCCTTGTATGCGACCGACTACATGGACGACGGCACGCGGATTTGCTTAAAGGTGACCATCGACCCGGTTAGCGGCGGTGCGGTTTTCGACTTTGAAGGTACAGGGCCCGAGGCATATGGCAATTGGAACGCGCCCATCGCCATCTGTCATTCCGCAATCATCTTCGCGCTACGATGCATGGTCAACATGGATATTCCCCTGAACCAGGGCGCAATCCGTCCTGTCGAGGTCAAAATCCCCAAGGACTCGCTGCTCAACCCTGGCCCCACCGCTGCCGTGTGTGCAGGCAACGTGCTCACATCGCAGCGCATTGTGGATGTCATATTCCGTGCCTTCAACGCCGTGGCAGCCAGTCAGGGGTGCATGAACAACTTGACGTTTGGGTCAGACGATGCAGAGAATGGATTCGGATATTATGAGACCATCTGCGGCGGGTCTGGCGCCGGGCCTGGCTGGAAGGGCACCAGTGGCGTGCACACCAATATGACGAACACGCGCATCACTGACCCGGAGATCCTGGAGCGGCGGTATCCCGTTGTTTTACGGCAGTTCTCCCTGCGTGAAGGCAGTGGAGGCCGCGGCCTCTATCCAGGAGGCGATGGCATTGTTCGAGATATTGAAGTTTCCATCCCCATGAAAGTCTCCATTTTGAGCGAAAGAAGATCATTCGCACCATATGGCCTGATGGGTGGTGGTGACGGCGAAAGAGGGCAGAATCTCTGGATCAGGAGCGACGGCCATGTCATCAATCTCGGTGGGAAGAACACTGCGTCCATGAAGGCCGGCGATAGAATTGTCATTCTGTCACCGGGAGGAGGAGCTTGGGGAAGCGCTGAAGAGTCTCCACCGGCTGAACAGTGCTACACACCGGTTGTAGAAAAGACGAAGAAATTCCGACCGGCGGCAAATGGAAGCGTTGACATAATTCAGAGCATGGGAGAGTCGGCTTGATTGAGGCCAACTCACAGGTTTATGATTGCATGGAGCCAACGTTGCTTTGCGTTGTGAGCACCAGGTCAAGTACATGCTACATACTGCAGTGTCGTCGGCAACGGACGAGTGCCAAGCCGTCGATGATGTGCCCGATCACATGACGTGTCAAGTCACGTGCGAAGGGGACACGTAGTAAGCTGTATGCTGTCAAATTTAAATGAACTTCTACAATCATGTTAGACGTTTCATATCGGCGTCTCTATTCTCTTCTTCCAGAACGTGGCGTGACTGCAGACTACATCAGCATTGCAGGCGTAGGTGGTAGGCGGTTCCGCCAACCGTATAATGGTAGCTTGTCTATATACCTAGGTAAAGGCCGTCGCACAGGGCGTCCCCCGAAGTGCCGATATCGCGACGCCGCTTTTAAGGAGTCTTCCACGTCTATTGACGAATCTGGGACGGTCGGGGTCGCCACGTCGGCCGGCCTATATAGCTAATCATCGTCGGTACCGGGGGGCCCGCCGGGCTGAGCAGTGAACGTCGCACTATCGGCGCCACGGCGCGAAGGAAGTCGGCCCCCACGACGGGTGAGAGACGGGTGCCAGGCTCACCCGGCTCGCGCGAGCTTGGGGTGAGTACAGGGCGGCATCACCCTCGTCCTAAAGGGGGGTGAGCCCGGGCAGATTTTACTTGCATTGGCACTGGCTGCGGTTGACAAAGTTGAAAGTTTGACCGCATCACTTTGTCACGAGCGTTCATTACATTCGCCAAGTTGCGTTCACAGCGCTTCGACTCAAGATGCCATCTCTACTGGAGTCCTTGGAGTCCTTGCCCTGTAAGTGCCATGAGGTTACATCTGGACATGTCCTAACCTCCGGCAGACATCGACGGAGATATTACTGAGGCCGAACGTGCCAGAGCCAAAGCCTTGATCGCGCAACACCTCCCCTCCGACTATCGCACCACGCCGCATCCTGCGCTGCCCCCTCCTGCTCCAGTCCAGTTCTCCGACATCATCTCGCAAGAGATTGCCAGGGTTGGTGCAGGTCAGGCCCGCGAAGGAGGGATTGACCTGTCGCGGTATGAAGCGCCTGATGAACCGGCCAGTGACAGCGGTGAAGAAGCAAAGCGCGAGGCGCTACGGAATGCATACGTCTCGAGCACGTTCCTTTCAGGCAGACATACCAATCTCAAGCTGCTAGATCAGTTTGGGAAGAACGCTTGGCTTATCGGCAATTCCCAAGCGGAGGAGATCCTGCAGCATCTGGAGAAAGAACTCAGCAGGATCAAGTCTGAGACAGAATACATCAACAGAGCGAGAAAGCTGGCGCAGGAACAAGCCAAACCAGAACTCACTGGCCTCGAAGAGACGTGGAAGCGAGGAATTGGCCAAATTCTGGAGATCCAGGTTGCAACTGATGAGCTACGGCAACTCATTCTCGAACGACGACGTGTTGCTGCGGCTGCGGCAACGGTCTCTTGACCAACGACAGACCAACCATCCCCCTGATGCATGACAGGACCGGGGGTTACAACCTCACGCAGCCGCCGTGCCGAGAGCGGTAACATGAAGTATCTGCGGAGAATGCCCGCTTTCTCAATCTTCGGGTGATAAGCGGGCGAGCCAGGACTCCGCATCTACAACCCACCTTTCGACCGGTCACAGGAAGCCTCCCTAACCCCCCGATTCAGGCCAACCCCCCAAGAAACTGCAAACGACTGCAGTGGGAGAGCTCTTCTTTGCTGCCGTCAGCAAAATCTCACTCAAAGCAGAACACGGGGAACATGTTTGTGAAACTTTGCGGAGTAGCTCCAGATGAATACGAGGCCGGCCGCTGTCAGGATGTAGAAGACGCGTGGAAGCTCCCACACCATTGCTTGGTAGGGCTATCATTCAGATGGGCTCATTCGATGCAGCTCCGTCGCCAGGACTCTGCATAGCAACACCGACGTGCATTCAACCGAACCGTTTCAGCTGCAAACCCCTCAGCAAAGTGCATCCGATCTTTTCTGAAATGGAGGCCGTTCTCCAACCAATCCAACCAACTTACGTTGGTAGTCTTGCCCTTCCGGGGTTGATGCGGCCACTGTTGATATTATGCAAATTGCATAGCGCCCCGTCTGTCTATCATGATAGGCAGATCAACCTGAGGCATCCAGAAATAGGCCCCGGATCCGCCAGACACTAGAAGCATGCTTCCCCACAAACCAAGGACTACCCCGGCCGACTTGCTGATCCTCCACCTCTGGCCGCGCCGAACATCGCCTTTTGCGGCACATGGAGTTCGAGATAGCTGTGCGTCCTAGCTGTTGATCCCAGCCACTGCCGCGTCGCTTCAACGATCATGCGCGGCCTAGTGGCTCTTCCCCGCGTTTCCCGCATTGACCGCCCCAGGGTGCCTTTTACCCTGCCGCTCGCTGCCGGAGCAGGGAGGGGCTAGAGAGGGCCGCCGTCCTTGGCTGATGTTGTATTTTTCAACGTTCAGTCAACGCTCCCACGTACCTTATCTCAGCCAAGTGGGCTCTGAGAGTTTTGCCAATGCTTTACTCAATGTCTTTACTCGATCTCCTTAGCCAACGGCTTGCTCTGGCTCCGCAGTAACATGCTTGAACACATCAAACCTGCCAGAGAGGTCACGGGCCGGGCTGGTCGGGCGGCTACTCGTCCAGGCTACCTTGACGACAGCCCCATTCGTCCAAGCCAATTCGGGAGCATCCTGCTCGCTCTTGCTAGCCGGTTCGGGTCAAACATGGAGGAGATATGTTTACCCAGGTCGTCTATGTATGGTCAATTGGAGTCTGGGGTATCTTTGTCTCTCGAAAACAGTATCGATATACACTGAACTGGCACTAGCACCCAAACCAAGACGTCTCGAGTCCATACCTCCCTGGCCTACTATTTCGCTTCGATGCACGTTTGGCTTCATCTCAGCATTGTATTTCTGGTCCTCCTCGTCGGCGCGTCGTCTCCCTTCCTCACCCCGCATCTATCTTGGTTCCGTCTTCTGATACGGCCGATGCAACAGTGATGATCCTTGCAGGAGGAGCACAGCCCCGGACCTCCTCACTTCTGTATCCAACTGTGGACGCACCCGTGCGTGAAGCCCCTCAGTTCACTACCGAAAGGTGGGGGAACAGCGTCCCTAGAAGTTCATATATTGATCATGTTGTTCCCTGGCTTCGACTGTTCTCTCCCCCAGCCTGCTCCTGGTTGAGCAAAGCCTGTATCCTCTTATCCTTCTTTACCAGTTGACCTCAGCCCATCGCAACCATGACCGTGCCAGACGAGGTCGATATCATTGTCTGCGGAGGTGGCAGTTCAGGATGTGTTCCTGCTGGACGTGAGAACTGCTCCGCCTATGTCGCGGAATCCGCGCAAGAACAGACTAACATGTGCAGGTCTTGCCAACCTCGACCACAACCTCCAGGTCCTGTTGATTGAGGGAGGCGAAAGCAACCTCAACAACCCATGGGTCTACCGTCCCGGTATCTACCCTCGCAACATGAAGTTGGACTCCAAGACGGCCACCTTCTACTACTCCCGTCCCTCGGAGTGGCTTGATGGACGTCGAGCTGTGGTTCCATGTGCTCACGTCCTCGGAGGAGGTAGCTCCATCAATTTCATGATGTACACTCGCGCAAGCGCCAGTGATTACGACGACTTTCAAGCCAAGGGATGGACTACAAAGGAGCTGCTCCCGTTGATGAAGAAGCATGAAACATACCAACGTGCCTGCAACAACAGAGACCTTCATGGTTTCGATGGCCCCATCAAGGTCTCCTTTGGAAACTACACCTACCCGATCATGCAAGATTTCCTTCGGTCGGCCGAGAGTCTGGGGTTCCCGGTCACGGACGACCTCCAGGATCTCAAGACCGGCCATGGTGCTGAACATTGGCTGAAGTGGATCAACCGTGATACCGGTCGACGCTCTGACGCCGCCCATGCCTATATCCATGCCACTCGTGCCAAGTACCAAAACTTGCATCTCCAGTGCAACACCAAGGTTGACAAAGTTGTCATCGAGGATGGGGTTGCCGTGGGTGTCTTGACCGTGCCCACCAAGCCCGTTGGCGGAGCCAACCCTCCTCGCAAGTTCTGGAAGGCTCGCAAACTCGTCATTGTGAGCTGCGGCACCCTCAGCTCTCCTCTTGTCCTGCAGCGATCGGGCATCGGTGACCCTGAGAAACTCAAGAACGTCGGAGTCAAGCCTATTGTTGACCTTCCTGGTGTGGGTCTCAACTTCCAAGATCATTACCTTACCTTCGCCACCTATCGGGCCACGCCCGAGACCGAGTCCTTTGATGACTTTGTCCGGGGCGTACCCGAGGTGCAGAAGGCGGTGTTTGAGGAATGGAATCTCAAAGGTACCGGCCCTCTGGCGACCAACGGCATCGAAGCCGGCGTCAAGTCTCGACCGACTCAAGAAGAGCTTGAGGAGATGAAGACATGGCCCACACCGGACTTCAGCCCCAGCGGATGGGAGAGCTACTTCAAGAACAAGCCCGACAAGCCGGTCATGCACTACAGCGTGATTGCCGGATGGTTCGGTGACCACCTTGACATGCCCCCTGGCAAATTCTTCACCATGTTCCACTTCTTGGAGTATCCATTCTCCCGTGGCTTCACCCACATTGTCTCTCCAGACCCGTACGATGCTCCGGACTTTGATGCCGGCTTCATGAACGACAAGCGAGACATGGCCCCCATGGTCTGGGGTTACATCCAGTCTCGTGAAACCGCCCGACGTATGAACGCCTATGCTGGTGAGGTGACGGCCATGCACCCTCACTTCAGCTATGACTCGCCGGCCCGCGCCCGCGACTTGGATCTCAACACTCGTAACTTGTACGCCGGACCCAACCATATCACTGCCAACATCCAACACGGAAGCTGGACCGCGCCGCTCGAGGCAGACAAACCTGTCGAGGTTACCAAACTCAACTCGAACCGTGCTCCATACCGTGAGAAATTGAAGTACTCCAAGGAAGACAGTAAGTTGGACCATCACTATTTGTGGGCGTCACGCTCCTTATGGAGTGGAAGGAATCCATTCTTCGTTTTTCAATCCAGTCTACTAACTTTTGTCTTTCCAGTTGCCCACATTGAGAAATGGGTCCAGCGTCACGTCGAGACCACCTGGCACTCCCTTGGAACCTGTAGCATGGCTCCCAAGGAGGGCAACAGTATCGTCAAGCACGGCGTCCTGGACGAAAGACTCAATGTTCATGGCGTCAAGAACTTGAAGGTCTCGGATCTTAGTATCTGTCCTGATAATGTCGGTTGCAACACTTTCTCGGTAAGTGCGAATAGCACACTCTTGTTGCTCTCCTGGTTTGAGGTATAACTTGAGGCTAACGTGATCGATAGACTGCTCTCCTCATCGGTGAAAAGTGTGCTGTCCTCGCTGCCGAAGATCTCGGATACAGCGGCGCCGCTTTGGACATGAAGATCCCGCCTTACCATGCACCGGGCGAGTTGGTCGGTCTGGCTCGTTTGTAAAAGAACGAGATGGAACTGGACGGCACAAGATGACTTTCGGTCTGCGACTGCCAGCCACTGCACGCAGTGCAGTGTTGAAAGGCAATGTGACGCAATGCAAAAGGCAAGTCGTGTGACACGGGTACACGAGTACATCATGCTTGTGAGATAGGTACTTGTCTAGCTTAGGTGACTTGAGCTGGCTTGTGATTGACATAGGTCATGTTTCCAATGAAATGATGAAGTGAATGAGGATGAGATTGAGCAGTTATGAAATGAAGAAGTTGTTGTTCAAGGACCAAAATGTCCATGGGTATCATCGACTAATAGTCAACCTTGGCTCCTCACAAGCTCTGTCTGTAGATCATTATTTGCAAAGGCACCTAACAGGGTAGGGATGACCATGCGTCAGCTTACAGTATATCTCATGCGAAGACTAGTCTTGACTCTTCGCCGCCTTATGTTCAATCATGTTACATATCTATCCAGTCCAATCAAGTCATGCATGTCCAAGTAGGACATCCCATATCACAACCGATCGATCGACTCTTTTCTATTTTTTCCCCTTCGTTTCTTCGTTTCTTCGAGATTGCAATCAATCAATGAGCAAATCTAAAATCCAACCTCTTATTCCCCCTGTCGTCCGTCGTAGCAAGATACTCCAGCCTTTGAGAATCCGTCATGGCGCCCCATTTCCGGTCGCGCCGCTCATTGCGGAAGATATAGTATGCCTTGGTGAGGAGGTAGAGACAGATATTGATGAGGGCTGTGATCAGCAGAAAGCGGTTGCCGCGGTGGTAGTGGGGTGCGTCGTCTGGTTGGAGAGGAGAAAGGAAGTTAGTTAGTATACGAAAGAAAGTACAGAGAATTCCCTGTATCTCCCTTTTTATAAAACGTTCAAGACCGTATACTGCATGCATACCTTGTCGGTAAACATTGGACGAAACTATTCCCCCAGCCTGGACAAACATGTTATACATTGCCGCGGAGACGGTGCGGGAGTGGACGGCGTTGGAGTTGCGTGAGGTCCAGCCGACTTGGATTGGGTGGGCTGTAGTCGAGAATAGATATGTCAGTCTCGAGTCAGCCAGAGAAGAAATTCGATCTCCGGGTGAGGAGTGAGGACAAAAGCGAGAGTTTTCAAAAGATAAATGCGAGGGGAGGAGTTTGTTTCGATTCGTGTGTAAGTACATAAAGTATCGAAATTTAACCGGTGAAAGCGTGCCCGGGTTTGATATCTCTTTTTCCAGGTAACACTAAGAACGGAACACAAGAAGAAACGTGATACTACTCTGGACGACTGGAAAACGCTTTTTGGGGGTGTCATGTTTTGGCAGCCTACTCACCTGAAGGATAACTCAGCAAAACAGTTGTAACAGCCCAAATGACCCATTTGTTGGTCTGCGACGTGTCGACGGTGTTGAAATAGATCAAGAAAGGCAGGGCCCAAACCTGACCGAGGATGGCTATCAGTGTGATCTCTCGGAATACTTCGGCCAAGTATGTGACAAGCATCATGTTGCACACTATTGAACAAAGAGTTAGAACTCAGTCTCACAAATCACTTCTTCGTTGCTCTGACACATACTGTGAAAGGCAGTATATGGAATAGCCAGCAAGTTAGTCTGGAAAGTGTCGAATCCAAGTCCACGTAGCGACAAGGTGAGATATTGTTGTGGTGGAGTCATGGGTATTTGGAACGTCAGGCCGAGGACGTATAGTGGCCTAGAACCGAAGAACATGGTTAGCTCCAATACTCAGGGGCACGCCGTTGCAGGGAGTATGGAGATATACCAGAGGTCGAAATCTTTCAGACTCTGCCATAGCAGACTCGGGCTGATTGCTTGTCGGTTGTGCATGCCGCCTTTACTGGGGTCTTCGCGGATGACTCGGTTGACCATGATGATTTCCTCCCTGTACAAGTGACGGTCAGGAAACCCGGTTTGCCAGGTACTGTCGTGACGTGACTCGTCTTCTCACCTCTTTGTGAACCAGCCTTGTCTGCCTCGAAACCAGCTGGCAGTATGTGTGGGTGAGGCAGGCATCATTCCGAACGCCAAAATGCCAATAATCATTGTCAAGAGACCCTAAGGACTAGTAGTGAGCAACAATTAACTACGTCTGGACGGCGAAGAGAATGTTAAGCTTTTGTTACCTCGACGAGAAACAGCCAGCGCCAGCCAGATTGATGATGTACACCCCTCATGTGAAGAACACCGTAAGCGACGAAGCCGGAAACAATGTCAGCCAGACTCATGGCCGTCCAGAAGAAACCCAGCCGCAGCGACAGCTCATGATGCTTGTAAAAGTAGGAAAGATATAAGATCACCTGGATTGTGTTGGTGAGTAATGGGACCAGAGAACAGGATCACCACTCACGTCAGGGATGAAACCGCCCTGCAAAATACCCAACAAACACCGACATGCGAGAAACGAGGTCCGTCCAGCAAGTCGAAACTGCGAAACCGCCACCACGGACCACAGGACCATCTGCATCGGTATCCAGCGGTCTGGCCCCATCCATTTCGATACCAGTTGTGAAGGCACTTCAGCACAGAGAAAGGAGAACTTGAACAGCGTGTTGCCGAGGTTATAGTCTGTCTCATCGAGGGCCAGTCAGTCAGGCTGGTCGGACTTTCACAGCCGGTATTAGAGCTGGTATTACCGTTCGTTGTCAATCCGAGATCTTCCAGGAAATTGTCGGTCAATGCCTGCGTGATGTTGGCTCGGTCCAACTCAAGCGCCATGAACATGATGCAGGCAAATATCATGATCCGCACATCGATCTTGCGGATCAATGTGTGTTCTTCGCCCCATGTCCAACGAGCAGACGGGTCGAACCGGTGGATGTTTTCCCTGTGGGAGGTTTGGTCAATTTGGATTCAAGCCTGCCAGAACAGATCAAAACCGAGGGCAATCTGCGGACGCGCAGTTGGACTTGAGAAGTGGTTCAAGCTTTTTTTACTTACCAATCAGGCAAGGGCTGATATTCTTTCGCAGTATCTGGATCATCAAAGACACTGGGCTTGGTGCTATCAGCATGCTTTCCTGCCGGACAAAGAATGGAGGCGCCGGAGCCCTACCTGGGTTGCAACAGCAGAGGGATCATATGCTTGACCTCTTTGGAACCAGAACCGTTTCTCATGATGAGGCAGGCCTAGCGGCTCGATTTCATGGCTGTTCGCCAACGGGACCGCTGAACCTGAACCGTCGGGTTTCAAGAGCGCTTCGGCTTGTTCGTCGTCCAGCGAGATGGACGACGTATTGGGAAGCAATGCATCGTCAAGGCCGCGGTGCTTGCCCTTGCCTATGTGGAAAACGGTCGACATGCCGCCTCAAAACTCCGCCAGCATCCTCACGATATCCTTGACCGCAAAGGAGCATCACGGTAGAGGTAGTCAGTACATCAGGGTCGTCCATGGCGCGACTTTGAGATCAGTCGGTAGAGCAATGCCAGTGTCCTGTGGCCCATCACGCAAGAAAGCGGCTCAATGGTAGCATGCTGCCATACTCTCTTTTGACTGGACGATTTTCCAGGAAGACGACTATCCTACTTTGGTTCTTTTGCGCGTTCCAATCATCACTCGCTATCACTAGCCGATATGTCTGCTTTCAGTTTAGTTGGACTAACGTGCACGGCATCCGAAACATCACTATTTTTTGTGGCTTTCTATCAAGAAACCAACAGCTCCGCCAGCGGGTCGCCTTGCCATGTCTCCGGCATGGAATGTCTCAATATATCTCCCTTCATACCGACTGTAGGATGTTCGCCTCATGTCCAACTCGTCACCGACTTGCCACGGAAGAGGCTACCGTGCATGTGCAAGCCTCTCAGAGCCGTGGCCGTACTTTCGCGTTCTCAGCTTGTTCGGCCCACCATTGGGCCTTCTTCGCCAAAATAGCCAGCGCAGTATCAGTCCATTCCTGTCGCCACGCCGGTAATTCGTAGCCGTCCGAGTCCGGTGCTGGTTTGCCAGCAATTTCACGCAGTTTGTTCCAATACTGTTCAAAGTCGGGAACGATTTCGTGGAAGAGGATAGAATCTCCCTTTTTCTGAAGCCGTTCCCGCTCCCAGGCTTCCTGTTCGGCGACCGGGGGCAGGTGAGCTCGTCCTGCCAAAATCCGTGCAATGGCCACGGCTTGATACTCGAAAACACGAAAGCTAAGACCTCCCTTGACCTAGTAGATAAACAATAACGAAGCATGTAAGTAAGGATCTTGCTGGTCAAAGGGGAGTTGAAAAATGCCAGGTGGGAACAAATCGGCAACAATCTCGAACCCAGCGAAGCGGAGTCCAAAATGAAATGTCCGGTAGGAAGGAATGGAAAGGTTTCACATACCTGTCCAACAAACGTCAAAGTCGGGTCGCCAATCTTGACAATATGCTCATAAACTCCCGCCAGGCGATTCGTGGGAGTGACAGGGTTGGGAACCAAGTACGGATACGACACCTTGAAGCCGGTTGCAAAGATGATTTTGTCGAAGCCGACCACTGTACTTCCATCCTGGAATTCAACACCCACTCCATTCTCGTCGTGCGAGAAGATCCTTTTCACCTGGCCTTTAGATACAACTCCAGGAAGTTTCCACACTGACACCAGAGCTTCATTGACCCGTCTCTGGGCACTGTACAAAGGACCTTTGACGATGCCGTGGATGTCCGTGACGATATCGGCCGCCGATACACTCCCTCCGACCACGAGGACTTTCTACGTGATCCACATCAAATGTCAGTACATTTCCGTGCAGCATATTAGCGATTCATACACCAATATCCACTGACAAAATTCAAAACGGAGGTCCAAAGCAGCATCGATCCTAATGCAACTCGGGAAGCGAATTCGGCAGATGCAGCAGCACCCACCACGAAAATCAAGCAAAGCAAAGCAGCGATAGTAAAGTCAACTCACCTTCCCAACATAATCATCCGGTGTACGATACGACTTTGAATGTTCAAAATGATCCGGAGCCTTTCTATATGCCTCCGGTAGCCCAGCGATCTCAGGGATCCAGCCAATATTATAATGACCTGTGGCCGCGACAATGGCATCGAATTTCTCCTGCCACCAGAAATCCCTCGATTGTCCATTCCTCAGGTGGCCAGACTGCCTGAGGTCCAGAACCCATTCATTCCCCACCTTTTCCGCCCTTTCGACCGTCGTGTTGAACGATATCCAATGCCGGTACTCCTGAAACAAAGTCTCCAAGTACTGCTGGATGACTTGGAATGGCCGCGACGGATTGTCCGGACCTAATCTCAGGACCGAAGTGGCAGAGTTTTTGACCGGAAACGGGGCGTGCGAAAAGGCCATGACCGCCGCCCCGACGTTACTATCGAGCTTGTCGTAGATGGCCGTTCGCGCTGTCTTGTCTTCGGCTGCAGGTTCGGTGAATCCAGGCAATTGAGCTGGTGCCGTCACTTTTCGTGGCTTGTCGCTGGATGCTAATGGGAAGTCATCCGGTATGGGATCATAGTGCCTGAACATAGTAGGATAGTCAGCTCTGCCCAGACCGACTCAACTCACAGAATCTCCGAAGTCTGTTTTCTTTTCTTATTGGTTTTCCATTTTCTTTCTCGTGGTCGTCCTTCCCGTCTTTCAATGGTCGAGTCGAGTCGAGTCGACTCAGGCCAGGGATAAAGCGGGACAAACGTACCAAATGCCTCCAACACGGTCTCTTCGCTCAAACACGCGAATGACATCGAACTTCTTCTCCAATGCTAGCGCCCGAACAGCAGCATAACCAGATGGACCGGCACCAAGGACGGCCACACGCCGGACGGCGGGCTGGGATTCTTTCTGACTCATGGCAACCAGAGACACGCTGTATGACTGAGCAGTTGCCTACTTTTTACAGCCGGCCAAGAGCAGACGCTGAAACACTGACGTCCGTCCGAAATGAGACGATTGAAATACTGCAGATGAGAGTAGAAAGAACACGGGGCATCCACGCCATTTTGAATTCGGTGCGCCATTGAGACTAGAGACACTATGGTCCGCTAAATAAAAGACGATATGGTGCGTGATGGTGGCATAATGCGATGGGACGAATTATACAATCCTCCCAACGCCTTGCGTGATTGAAGATGTGGACATATTGTAGGCCAGGATAAGTTGCTGCCCACGCATTTCTGCACGGCAGTGGGCTGGAGATATGGCTCTATAGGTAGAAATAAAGACATCTAAGAACGACATATGGTGACATTGCAGTAGTGCAAGATAGAGAAGGTGGGTTGGTCCCGAGGTGGGCGGGTGTTGGAAGTTATACAGTGATTCTGGGTTGAAATCGTTGAAGCAGCCCGATAAGTCTACAAATGGACTAGCGTGATTGTCCTTAAATGGCTTGCTTATCTAAGCCTGTCCTCTATCAGGCAGTCTGCTGCCAGTGGATGAAACACCGTGCTACGATGTAGGGGGCCATTTATAACTCAAGGTCTAAGTTTCATGCTCGTATCCGCTCTATCCTCGACTGAACCTCTGCTCGATCTCGCCTGATCCCCTATTCTGTCTTCAACTTCCCCTCGACTACACCCGCCGCACCCCCTGGAGCATGATGGATCGTGACGACCTCAAGCCCAACGGAATCGAATAGGCGGTAGAAATCCTGCGCGGTCCTCTCTTTGCCGCCCATGACCATACACGCGACGTCGAGGGCGGCGGTATGGGCTTCGGCCTCAGTCATGATGTGGGGCAGGAGCATGTCTGCAACGAGCACACGCGAGTCCGGAGCCATGGCCGGAATGATTTGGCGTAGCGCTTTGGCGCACAGCTCGTCACTGTAGTCATGGAACACGCGGCGGAAATAGTATGCTTTGGCACCTGATTTGAGCCAGAAAAGGTCAGTAAGGACTTCATCATTGTTTTTGTGGTGACTGGCATCGTCAGCATGTTGCCTGGTGGGAGGTCACGTACCTTTGACAGGCTGTGGGGTCCAAAAATCGTGTTTCATCAGTCTGACTCCCTCCGGGACAATCTTCTCCTTCGCCGCCATGTCAATAACATTTTCCTGGTCTTGTAACACCACGTGCTTTGGATCCAGTTTCTTGTAGGCGTCCAAAATCCTCTTGACAGTGTTTCCCACTCCACCACCGATGTCGACAAGGCTGACACGCTCCGGATTGTGGCCCAGTTCTTCCTCGGTTAGCGCAAGCTGGTCGAAGTCGTAGTACCCCGTCACAGGGACCAAGGCGTCCCCGGTGGTTAGGCCGATCTGAAACGTCTTCAATTTTGCCGGGTCCTTGGACATGATTTCCCAGGTCGTCAACCCCGAGTCACTTGCGTTGTGGTAGTCGGAGTATGGATTCACGTAGAACGACGTTGGTTCCACGGGCCCATGTTTCTTGAGGTATTTTGGTAGGTCGGTCATGGGTTGTAGAAAGTGATCGAACATCAAGGTGAAGAATAGGCCGGGAAACGAGGTGTAAGCTTGCGAGAACTTTGTCGAGCCGTACGAGCCATCTGTGTACGACTGGGTGATGAATCTCGATGCCACGAGCGGACGGAGAAGTCGTTCTGTTCGGTCAGTCAAGTCAGACAATTCGAGGGTCAAGCTCCACGTGCGTGAACTCTCCTCGGCCTCGTATAGCCGCCAAGGTTTTGACATGCAGTAGGAAGAAACGTATCCAAAGGGGTACAGTTTCTCCTTGATATGATCGGTTTCTTTGAGCAGGGAAGTGGATCGAGTACTCACCAAGTAAAGCTTCTTGAACGCCTGACCTTTCGCTCAGCTCCTTCGCTGTGATTGTCTGGCCATGCTCTGTGGGCAAGTGCTCGAACACTTTCAGGTCCAATAGCGTTCGGATACAAACCAGTTCCGCCATCTGAAGCGAATGGGCTTGAACCATCATCCCTGGATCCATGACTTGGTGCATGATCCTCTTCGTGAGACTGATTAACGCCGCTTTGCTTGCAGAAGATGCGGCATCCTGTTCGGTTGAAGGGACGTATGTGTTGGCGTGTTTGGACAGCTCCGTGACGAGCGACAAGAGCTCTGGATCCGCCATTCTGTGTGCCTGGTGGACCAATGTTTTCTCGGGCCAGATATTCCTGCCGATTTGCTGGACAGTGTATCTTGGAAACAAGAAGATAAGAAGTTGTCAAGTTCAATGTGGTCACGATGGACCAATTTGCGTTTGCAGTGAAGTCAGTGAATGTTCGTGTCGCAGTGAACACGCTTGCTAGTATGGGCAAATTTGAGCAGAATAGTAATTATACTCAATCCGCCGCCGTGTTGTCTGCTGGCCTTGGTCTTTATGTACCCTACCTGCCCTACCTGCTATGCATGTCGCACCGCTTGCCGACTTGGCCCCTGATAGAGAGGCCGACCGCAGGGGCCAGCGGCCTTGTTTCTCATGCCGGAGATTCAATCAGGCAACGGCTTGTCAGAATGGAAACTTCCTGCTGTCGGCAAGTGTCATGCAGCGACGTGTTGGCAACTCCATTTGCCAGCGCACCGCGGGTCGAGGTGTCAGCGAGGACGCGGTCTTTGAGGTCGGCCATTGATGTGGGCAAGCTCGGTGCATCCCAAGTCCCACCTAAAGGGTAGTGGGTTTAGAGGTCTTCGCTAACGCATGCTAGTAGCAGTGGATCTAAGACGTGGCGTCCCTCTGGAGATCTGCGGTCTATCATCGTGGGCACATGGTCGAGGATGATCATTGAAGACTGAAGAAGAAAAGAAAGAGGAGAGGAAAGTATACTAGATACAAGATATACTTTCTGTATCCTTATCAACAACGGTTGAGCAGAGGCGGCTATATCAACAAAGGACAACACCCCGACGACACCAATGCTTGCCACACCATTCCGTGTCAACTCCATCTTACCCCTCCCTTGAGTCGAGGCTCTGCCCTGATGCTGCTGCAAATCGCGAACGACTGACTGCGTCCATAACCCAAGTACGCCGAATTACCACAAATCCTGTACGCCAGACATACTACCCCAATCCATTCGTTGTAACCTATTTCCAACCAGCACCCGGCTCCATACACGATGTTGCCCTTCCCGCAAAGGTGACTGCTCGCTCCACGCCTGACCCCTCTACCATTGATACGCTATAACGCCGCCGAGTGCACCGGTTACTCGGCCTGTGTCTTGTCGTGTGTTCGTAGCACGTCTGTCCCATGAGTCGTCGTCCCAGTGCTCATGGCATCATGGCCTCAGCTTCCTCGTCCGTGACGAATATTTCTGCAACAGGGCAATAGTCCTGCTCCCCAAAGTCCCCATCATATTGCTTTTTCCGACCCCGATCTCCGTAGCGACCGAGCATGTAGCTTGGCAAGAACAACTCGTCATTCCAAGTGAATCCTTGACTGTGCTTCGTGTAGGTTATCAGACGTGGAGGCTCGTCAGGATCGTCGAACCGCGAGTTTAGATTGATCGATTTGTAGGAACTGGATGAGAGCATGGAAGGACCGAGAGGTGAGGACGATTGGCTAAGAAGCATGGACATGCTGCTGGGCGGAGGACAGCCGGCCCTGTGTTTGTCCTTTCGTTGGAGACCTTCCGGCTCTTCTGGAGACATCGACGACACCGGGAATCGGCCGACTTTGGAGGAAGGGTATGCTACGGTCTGTAGAGAATCTTGGGTTTGTCCCGAGAGAGGGCTGTATGACCATGCTGATTCCTGGTCAGAACTCAGCGAGGAAGAGCCTGCGTCGGACGTCTCGGCTCGTTCAGCATCCTTGACATAGCGTTGGCTGCGTCGCGGGGTAGAATAGCCTGTAAGGTTCTTGTTGTACAGAGGAATCTTGATTGCCCGAGGGTTCGGAGGAGGGTTTTCCAATGGGTCCATCATGCTGGCAACCACTGCAGGGCAGGAGATAGAGGAAGTTAGTGACGCCGGCAACGGCACGATTAGTTCAATACAGAGTAAGCCCAACTGGCTATTGCAGGTACACGGGCCAAAGAGGAGAAGATGAAGAAGAGGGTTGAAGTGGCCTTTAAGCAAAGAACAACAGATACAAGGCGGGCAGTCAATCAATCAATCAGAGCAAGTGGTAACCCAATACTAGTATGGGATGGCAAGGAGAGACGAAGCGAGGACAGTCACGTTTCCCGGTTGAGTCATTGATAGTCATATGAACAGCCTGAGGAGTGAGGACCGACTAGGAATAAGAGGACCGAAACACACTCCACCACTGCCCTGCCAGTGCTGTGGCACTACTGCAGTGGTACTACTACTACCGGGACCCCGCACTGCAACGGCAGCCAGCGCCGTTGCGATAAGATAACAGCACCAGCACGTGATGAGGCTGCGGTCGCTGACATAAGCTGAAAATTAGCACATGACCTTTTCAGGTGCCAGGCTTGCAAGAGTGTCAGACTTGAGCAATCTACAATTTTGTTATGCTGCTCTGCTCATGCTGTGTACGACGCTTTTAGGCATAGTACCATGGCTCGTCAAATACATGGTATCGATGCCCGCGCACTCCTTCGCCACGGAATATCGTTGGGAACCTGCGGCCAGGCGGAACTTGATCCTCCGGTATACGCTCATCCGAGTATGAAACCGGTTCGCCCACGACGAATTTGCCGACCTGGATAACTATTAGCATCAAATCGGAAGAAATTATGAGCTCCGACACTTACCTGTATCTCAGTATCCGTGATAGTCCCTCTACTAACACGTGCATACCCGACACGCTTGATATCCTTATACAGGATGTACTCACACCATCTATCCCAATCGCGCACGTCGATGTCGTGCATGCCACTCTTTTCTCCCACATAGGTGTTGTAGTTGCCTTGTTCTGGTTTGATTACCAGATAGCTGAGGAGTATCGAGGGCCGAGGAGAAGCCTTCATGATCCGAGCCAGATACTCGGATTGCAAGCGGCGATCTTCAGGGTCCTCCTCCTGCCCGGAATGGAAGACAAACACATCAACCGGAGTGCCATACACATCCAGAGTAGCCTCAATTGCCGGTGCGAGCTCACCAACAGGCGATGGAAGGAGGTGATGAGTTGAGTTGAGGATGGGGAATTTGGAGAGCAGAGCTGCTCCCCAAGTGTGTTTGTTGGGACCTGGGCCATAGTCCACGTACATGCCCAGGTCTTCTGCGAGGTACTGCGTGGTATCTCGGTTGCCCATAATGATCCGTTGCAAGTCCGACTCTAAAAGCCCGACCACGTCAAGTTCCAACTCCTTGATTGCATCGCGCATTCTCCGCTCCGAAGACCACATGTCATTATCGAGAGAGAAGTGGATGGTCCAGATACCCGCGGTAATCAACTTCTCATCCTTGTGGTAAGGCTGATAGTCATTTGTTGGGAAGCGAAGATACGCAACTGATGCAGCCAAGAGCTGGAGTGCCAACAAAAGATGGAGATAATATGCGGACTGCTTCCTACCACGAGGGCTCGATTTGTTCTTCTGTTGATGTGGGGAGTTGGTGGTCAGTGCCGAGAAGACACCAGCCCCAATCATCAGCATCATTGTGATCATGATCCAGTCAGTGTGTTCCCGCACGAGAGGACCGCCTGGCACGAAAGCATACGCCACAACCCACACGTGGAACAGCACCATCAAGTTGTAAACGAAAAAGCCCAAACCGAAGGTAAGGGCCGGGTTGTGTTCCACCGCGGAGGAAATGAGCACCGGTGCCACTCCCATGATGTAGAAAGCGAGAACAAGTGCGCCATAATACCCCTTCCAGTTGCCGTAAAGAGTCAGGAAAGTCGCACCGAGAGCTCCCAGGCCGTATGCCGTCCACGACCCGAAGAAGCGAGGAACAGCAACACCCAGAAACAGCCCGGCACTCATGGCGAATATAGTGACGGCTCCGTGAGGGACTGCAAGAGGGCCCCGGACGGGGTAACCTTCCCACACCCACAATATCATGGTGCTCGAATCAGAGAGAAGGGAATGCATGGCAAAAACCAATCCGCCGAAACCGACGCCTGCCAATAGACCAGAGCCCTTTCTGGCATTCGGTGCAACGTAGTCGCCTCCACTGGTGGAAATGGGTCGTGTGGACCGCCAGATAGCAAGGATTCCAAGAAGTAGCCCGGTCTTGTTCCAGCCTCCAATGCCTGAATGCAAGATCGGCCACACGGGGTTGTTGGTATGGTTTGCAAATTTGGCGATGCTGGAAAGAACCAACCCGATGCACCAGGCCAGGATTCTGCTTTGAAGTCGAGCCGAGTTTCGTCGTTCAGCGTACCATTCAGCGGACCAAGCCAAGCAACCCATCCAGACGGCGAACCCCACGGTAAACAACCGATTTGCAGGATCTTTCACTAGCCAAGCGAGGAGCCCTACTAAGGATGACAGGTGGACCCATCTCAGATATTTGATCGTGAGGGATCTGATGAACGGGACGCCGAGCATCAGGGGTGAGATGGTTGACATCACCATGACTTCGTAGCCGGATATGCCCATGTGCCATAGCGGAAAATACCAGACAAGAACACCAAGTGAGGTCAGTATCGACCAGAAGATAAAACCATGGAAGATATCCGCTGCAGCGTCTAGCATGGCGGGCCAATAGTAAGGTCCTTCAAAGGTAGATGTCTGGATGAAGGGGCTGTCGCGTCTGATGTTGTGTTAGCACTGAAGGTAGAGGAAAAGCCGGATGTGACACATACTCTTTGTCCTTCACTGAGTCTTTGAGAAGTCTCGCGTCACTGCATACCGTCAGTCACTCCCCAAGTTATTGCCTACTGTGACCGTACTCTTGCATATTTCGGGAGCATCTGCACGTACCCTCTGCTCATGCCCTTCACGTCCTTCACGACAAGTTCAAACGTCTCGAAGTCGAATGCGGTAACGGCGTCGAAGGCCACGTCGAACAAGATCAAGGACCATTCGAAAAATGCATAGATCGTGTAGGCTAGGGCATACTTAGCAACTCCCTGAGTCAGAGGCCATGAAGACTTACCGCCAGCAACTCGGTGGACTTTATGCTGAATGAAAAAGTAGATTAAAGGTACAAGGGTACCGAAGAATAAGCCGGCGAGGATTTTTCGATATTTGATAGCTTTTGGGTTTGGGGGGCTTAAAGCCAGACACCCCAACGTCCATGGGAGGGTTGCCACAAGGTAAGAGATCATGAAGATATCATGCCAGTCATGGTCGTCGGTAGATGTTACGTATGTCCAACCTCCACAAGTAAATGTCCTAAACAATCCGACCGCTGCGATGATGCCGGGAAGATTGGAGTTCGGTCTTCTGGTGAGGAAATACCACAGCCCGACAAGGGCAAATCGAGGGCCCGCCGTCAGAGCAATGAAAACCATGAACACCGAGCGTTCAGGGTACCGGTCGCCAATGGTAGCAGAGACGGAGGGAAACCATTCATCTGGGTATCCGTAGTGTTCATTTTGTACAATCTTGTGGTAATGCAGTAGCACTCCAACAATCAACGCCCCGAGAAAAGCAGCATATGCAATGACTGTATGCGCCCACGAAACGTATTTTCCATTGAACTGCTGCAGGTTAGCTTGAGCATTGGAGAGAGACTGAGGACACGGACAGAGAACACCACGTCACCATCTTTCCTCGGCGCCATCGTGCTGTAGAGGAACACCCAGCCTAGCGCGGCATCAAAGTCATGCAAAAGGAGTGACGCGAAAGTAGTGAAAAGACCTGAACAGAAAATGATTACAACTGTTGATCAAGCTGCGCGTGAGAAAGCATGGTTGTGGAAGACGGGCGCGGGCCCCTGATCTTCGCAGGGGCTGCAGCCGCGTCGAGCCGAAAAACTACGGGCGACTGACTCGCGCATCCGTCACCATCACCGACTTCTCCGACTCGGATTCCACAAAAAAAGTTCCTGATCACTGCTCCACCTCGTCGCTTGCGCCGCAAACCCTCATCTAGTACCGCGTACAGTTTAAGGCCAGAGAGGGATCAGGACGCCAGTTGCAGTCCTTTGATTACGCAGAATGGCTGCAGCAAGCGACAAGGCCCGCTTCTTTCTGGAGCAGTCGGTGCCAGAGTTGAAAGAATACGAACGAAAGAACATCTTCAGCCGGGAGGAAATCGCAAACATCGCCCGCAAACGGTCGGACTTCGAACACAAGATCAACGCCAGAGGCTCTACACCGGCCGATTACGCTCGATATGCAGAATTCGAAATGAACGTCGACGCCCTAAGGCGAAAGAGGGTCAAGCGACTCGGCGTCAAGTCAACGGCGCACAATGGCAAGCGGCGCATATTCTTCATCTTTGACCGAGGGACACGGAAACATCCTGGAGATGTGGCGCTGTGGATGCAGGCGATCGAATTTGCCAGGAAGCAAAAAGCCTACAAAAAGCTGCAAGAGATGTTTGCGAGCGTCTTACGGTTGCACCCTACAAAGTCAGACCTGTGGATCTATGCTGCGCAGTTTGCCATGGAAGAGAACGGAGACATGACGGAAGCAAGAAGCTACATGCAGCGCGGCCTCCGATTTTGCAAGCGCTCGCGTCAAATTTGGCTGGAATATGCAAGACTCGAGCTCTCGTATATTGCCAAAATCCACGCGCGCAGAGAAATTTTGGGCATCGCCGACGGCAGACCAGAAGCCCCACAGGCATCGGAGGAGGACGAGGACATGATGCGGCTGCCAAAGCTGACAGCCATGGATATCAACCCCGATGTCGAAGGCCCTGAAGCTGATGAGGCTGCATTGCAAAACCTGGAGTCTACACCAGCGCTGAGTGGCGCCATTCCCATCGCCATATTCGACGCAGCAATGGATCACTTCAAAGACCCTGAAGTCGGATACGACTTTTTCAACATGATCGTGGCATATGACGAGCTGCCGCCGAGTCGGAGGATCGCAGACCATATTGCAACCAAATTGTCGAAAGACAACCCCGAGAGCTGGTGCAGCCAGATATGCCTCATACAACTTCCCCTTGTGGGGGTACCCCCTTCGTCACCGGGATTTCCTTCTGCTTTCAAACAGGCTTTGGTACGACTCAGGGAGGCGTGTCAGGCAAAGGGTGGCCTAGAGATTTCAGCGTGGGCAAAGACTTGGCTACAGAAGCTCACTGAAGCACCCGAGCTTGATCCAGCGATCAAGCAGGTGGCCACTTCAGTCTCGAGTACGCTGGACGCTCACTAGGTACTTGGTACAAAGTTGCGGAGATAGACTTGGTCATGATCACTCAATCCATATTACTCTTTGATCTCGATTGCTTCTTGCTTGAATGCAGTTTCTTTTTCTTCAGTCTTGCCTCGTTTTCGGCCTTCTGAAGCCCTTCCACCTTCTTTTTCTGGACATCAGTGGTCTCTCCTGGCACTGCACGCTTGTACTCGTCCATGATTAGCTGGGCGAGTTTGCGGAAGCAAGTCTCCTTGTTGGCTTGCTGTTTTCGACTCTCGTCTGCTTGGACCACAAGGCTGGACGAGCTCTCGGCATAATATCGGGAGGCAAGAATACCTTGATGTAGGATGGGAGGGATCAACGGTAAGAGGCGAGCGACAGGGACACGCAACTGTGCCTTTGAATTAACCCTGAGATGATGTGAGTTCAGGAACAGGAGTGGGATGAGATGTCTCCCATACTTGTTTACATTCTGTCCACCTGGGCCACTAGACCGACTGTAGCTGACTTCTCCTATATCGCGCAATGAGTCTACGGCATTGAACTTCTTCAACCATTCCCGAGCAGCAGCGTACTCCGATTCATGGGATTCCGCCTTTGACGAAAAGCTTTGAAGTAGGGGCCGCTGGGTCTGTATAAGGCCTGGACACAGTAGAGACTTGCTTCTGGCCCATGGCAGCGACTGCGCATTGACAAGGAAACATCTGGATTTCTGTACCATTACTTCCCTTCAAGTAAGGAATGTGACGCTGTACTATGTAGTACAACGTACAATGTTGTAGATGGCTCCAAGTCTGGACAAAGACCAACGGCGACTGCGCAGGCAGGGTCACGTGCACTGTCACAGGCTGCGCTAACCAATTCTCCCACCTTCTCTACCAGATACAACATAGTTTTGTCTTTTCATGCTGCTGTCTGTTTTGCTCGACGTCGTTCTCAATTGCCAGTCTTCTGCCGTTGGGCACTCTCTCCCCTTCTCTTCCTTCTCTCCTCCTCCCCTTTCCATATATTCCGACCACCCACCTCTTCTCCTTGTTTGTGCAGTGATCCACCTGGAATTGTCTCTGAATCATTCTCGGCGGTCGACCTACCCAACGTTCGCCAATCGCTGTGGAAAACGCGCGTTCCGTCGCCCTTCATGTATAGGGCAGCCTCAAAATGACTGAAACAAGCCCTCCGCCAGAAGCGCAACGCTTCGGCAGATCTCAGACACCCGAAAGTCCGCGGCCCGTTCATATTCCTGAGCCTTCCAACATTCCTGTCCTGCTGAACCAGATGGACCCGGTCTTTAATGACACTGCGACCTATAACATCCCACATAATCAGACTCTTTCTCCTTACTCAGACTCTGCTCGCGGCGTGCATGAACCCAATTCCGAAGAGCAAGATGCTGTGCAGAACTTCCTGCGAGGCGCCGAAGAGGAGAATGCCCGCTTAGAGCGTGGTGGCGCGCAGTTGCCAGACACAGGCGGCCAGACGGCGCAAAATGATGCGACCATAGCAAGCAATCTTCTTTCGGCCCTTGCCAGTCATTCCGCGCATCAAGCTCTTGAGTCACATGCAAACGCTTCCCAAGCTGCTCCTGGCCAGACCCATTCTGATGTCCCGCAGCCTGGCAATGAATCCTCAATCAGTGAAGCTAATGCCAACCCAAGCCATGGAGAATCCTCCCTTCAATCACATGGTGAACAAAATCCCGAACAAGAACCCAGCGTGAATCCCAATACTCAATCAAATACAGGTGGAGTAGATTATCAATCGCTACTGGACACTATTTCTCAAGCTGCTTCTACTGCTCCTCCCGCGGACTCTGTTTCTGCTCCAGCCACTGCTCCGCCGGCTGCCGACCATGGTTCTTCCCTTTCATTGCCTCCAATCCCAGGTCTGCCCCCAAAGCCGCCGGTGCAGGCGAGTCTTCCAGAATCTCCTGATTACTACACGCTTCCTAACTCCAAAAGCGACGTGCGGGAACAATATCAGTCTGTGAATCGCGATGCTCTCAAGACCAACGGCGCGGAGCCTGCCATGCCCACGCAGGTGCAATCCATGATCCAAAATTATCCTGCCCATGCCCCAGGGACCTGGGAACAGAACACTGCACTTGTGCCCCCCACCAATCCAGAAGCCGGCTTTGTTGGTCACCCGATCCAGCCGCCGGAGCCTTCAGGGTCGACGGAATCCACTGAACGCCCATGGAGCCCTAGAACTCAAACGTTGTATGACCAGTTCCTGGAGGATGAGAGGAGATATGTGACGGAAGGCATCTGGGACAGATTTCCTTTGGGTTCTCGCTTGTTTGTTGGGAACCTTGCTTCCGAAAAGGTGACTAAACGCGATCTTTTTCACGTTTTTCACAAGCATGGCCGCCTGGCCCAAATCTCCATCAAACAAGCTTATGGCTTTGTCCAGTATCTAGAGGCCTCATCATGTCAAGCCGCGCTCCAAGCGGAACAGGGTTCGGAAATCCGCGGACGGAAGATTCGTAAGTTTTTGGGTTTCGACAAGCTGACTTCAACTGACATGTTCTAGACCTGGAGGTTTCGAAGCCCCAGAAGAATACGCGAAACCAAGCCCAAGGAAATAAACGACGACGTTCGCGCTCGCCAGACCGCGGAACTGCGCGACAGCATGATCGCTATGGTCGGCATGACTTTCGTGACGACAGAAACAGACGCGACTATCGGTCAACTCGCTCTCCCTCGCCCAGGCATTTTCGTGGTCGAGATGATTACCGCGGAAACGCGCAAAGCCCCAGATTCGCCCCCGACGGAAGACAGGGTTCACCATATGCCAGTACATTTCCAGCAGCACCTCCTGTGGCGTACGATGATGAGGCTACCCTGCCACTGCCGCGCAGAGATCCACGAGAAGTGCCGGACGTACAGATCTTGGTCCTCGAGCCTTCGGTCGCGCAGAGTTTTATCAATTGGATAGAGCAAGGGTTTCGGGCCAAGGGGTTACGCGCATCAACCATCTGGCTCAGTCCGCGACTTCCGTTGGCTGCTGTTGTCAAAAGACAGATCATTGAAGGCGTCCAAGCCGTCGTGAAGCTGACCCAGAGCAACCAATACAACAGCAAGATTCCTTTGCAAGTATTTGACCGGACCACCGGGGCCTCGAATGTCAACTTCAACGAATACGTTGATCTTGATGTCCCCGTCGCCGCCGACATTGTGCTTCACGCACGACAGAAGGAGCGAGGCATGCTACCGCCTCCTCCTCAAAACTTCCCGCCTCCGCCAAACTATCCTCAGCTACCATACGGTAATCAGCCGCCGCCTCAATATCCACCTCAAGCACATCCGCCATACGGACCAGCACACCACAGCCCGCCTCAGCTCCAGTATGGACAGCAGCCTCACTATCAACCCCCGTTACAAACACCAGTACCTCCGGCCACTGCAGCACCCAATCTGCAGCAGCTGCTGGCGAATCTCCGTCAACCCGGAGACCCGCATGGCAGCACCACCGAAGCGGAGCGAAATACGGCTAATCTTGCATCCCTTCTCGGTCGTCAACCCGGACCGGGGCAAGCCGGGGCGTACCCTCCACCGGCCGCTGGCGCTCCGCAATATCCGGTCCCGCCACTGCAGCAGCAGCAGCAGCCGGCGCCAGCGTACGGCAGCGTTCCAGCTTATGGATCTGGACAGCCGCCACAGCAAAATGTGCAGAACATCATGGAGACCCTCGCCAGGTACAATAGGTGATGATGTTGTTGTTGAATGTTCACACTGTGTATGTTGCATCAGATGCAGCATACACTAGATCGATCGACAAAACTTCAAAGTGTTATGCATCGCCAGGCTCAACAGATGCAGACAGAGCCTTGAGGTCAATCATGCAGTGGCTTTGTGGGTCGGGCTTTCAAATCACGAGAGAGAGAGACCCCCCTGAAACTGAAAGAGTAATAGAAGACATGACCTTGTCCACCTGCAGTCAGTCAGCACTGGACGTTCGAATGTTCGGGGAAGCATGCCTGCAGGCGCTGTGGACACTCGGACAACACAGGCCCTGTGAACTTATGTAAGAGTCTAGACAGACGAAGATCAGCTATGTACCTAGGTAGCTAGGTAACTAGGTAGCTAGGTACCTTAGTCAGGAGATAGCTGGGTAAGGCACTGTAGCTAGACCTCATGCCAGGTAGTCCCAAAACCAGGAACGCTGAGCACTGGCACTGGCAGCCTCAAAAGTCGCATCTCTGGTGTACAAACAACTCAGTTACCTACCTAGGGTACTACCTATTAGATTGGTTCGAATGTCTCGTCTCCCAACCTGAGTGGTGTGGCCACGGCCTAAGCACTTGGACTATGTATCTAGACTGCAGTCCAGGGTAGTGCCGAATATGTCGTCGTCCTTTACGACTGAAGATACCTTATGTACAGTCCCCTCTCCACAGGACCGACGAAAAAGTGGACATAACATATACGTGTGTGCGTCTGATGTCTATTTGCATGGCGAATACTAGTATCCACATGTGCTCTGCTCTGCTGTGCTGTACTGTGTCGCGCAGTGCAATGGAAACCATCCCTCAAACTAATAACATGCCCTTCAAGTTCGAAGCGACCTGTTTGTACCAGAAAGATTGGTGAGTACCAAAGACTCTGGCAAACTCCCCGTCTCTCGCTCTCTCTGCCCGCTGAATGCTGCTGATGCTAACCTATACTGCTGCTGCTGCGGCTTCTGACTTGCCGTTTCTTCGTAAAATCATATCATATCCTTCATGACCCGGGGGTGTACATAAGCTGTGAATACATACATTCGAATACCTATTCATTGGTGGTGGTAGTAGGAGTAGTAGTGGTGGTATTTATAATGGCTGGGGCCAGTGGGGTTCTTGATGGCGTGGCTGACCTGGTCAGACCAAGCTCAGCTTTCTCAGCAGACTGGGAAAATGATTTTCGCCCTCGAGCTGCTTTTGGATGCCCGCGGCGACCTGACTTTGGAGCGTTTCGGTCTCAATATGTCCTAGGACCGTTTCGTCGTAGTATTTGTGCAGGGTGCCTCCTTCGGTCCAGATGCGGCGTAAGGTCACAACAGTAGCGAGAGGCGAATAGACCTGGTATTCTTCCTTTTCAATCTGCCGTAACCGTTCCAGCGAGGTATATGACTTTTCCCACGTGGAACCGGTCTGTGCTTCGTACTCGGCCAGAATCTCATGCGGCGTCGCGGTGAACGAGTGGACTATCAGGGTGGCATTTCTGGACGCATTGTTGTTGACGAGCGCGGCGACGACAAATTTGCCGACACTGCCACAGAGGTCAGCAAAAGGTAGTCACACTTAAGCCAGTCACGGTCGGCTCGTACTCTGCCATGGCGGTGAAGCTGACCGGCCCGTCGCCGTCGCCTAGTAACACGGCCTTTTTCGCCTTGACGTCAAACTCGCCCAATTCGGGCCGGGTTTTGAAGGTGCCGAAGTATAAGTCGCTGTAAGGACCCGTGACAAGATACGTGTGTTCGAGCCGCCGCATTGTCTTCATGTGAGCCCGCACTTTCAACTTGAGCTGGTGCGGCGGCTCTCGCGCCGACTCCGGCCAGTATTCAATGTCGGTGCCATATTCGGAGGCAAAGAACCGGCGCACACCTGCTTGCTCGGCCCAGGTGATGAGGTTGATCTGCTTCTCAATGCCTGCTCTGCCGACACACGACACGATGGTATCTATGCCTGTTGATGCAGACACATATGTCAGCGCTTGGCCTGACACTCACAACCACCATCTGCGAAATGAAGGTGTACAGCCCCGTCTCCCACGTATGGCATGAGGTGTTTTGCTTTCGCTCCTCATCCGGCAGACGCTGGATGTGAGACATACCTTCATAAGCTTTCTTAACCGCCCTCTCACTATCCAAACCCCCAGTAAATATTTCCACGCCCCATGCTTCCAGAGCCGCAATGTCTTGAACTTTTTCCACCAACGTCTTCTCACTGGTCAAAACACATATTCTGTCAAAGTTGTCTCTGGCATCGATAATCGCTCGTGTAATGTACGTTCCCACCGTCCCCGTAGAGCCAATGATCAGGATGTTCCGGGTCTCTTGCGCCGTTGTGTACGGCTGCATTGCCTCTCCACCCCCGTCCACGTCGACAGGCGCTCAAGTCGATCGGTCGGTCGGTTGACTTGCCACTATACCCAACAGGAACTCGAGACAGTAGTAGTGCTGACAGATAATGGTGGTAACGGTGGTCCACACCCGTCATAAAGCGGCCCGGGACAGATTGAATGACCAAACCACTACTTTGTAAGCCAGGCACAGGTCCCCAGATCTTCTGACTGGCTCCGGCAGGTGATTAGAGTGCTGACGGTGGACTCGGAGCGGGTGCTGACTTGATCGTCAGGAGGCTTCGGGAGCGGGTGGTAATTAAAGGAGGCAGGACATCAATTGGATCGTCGTAGATGGAGTAACGGCAGAAGGCAGGTACGGTATTAGGAGAAGGTCGTACTATTCAAAGGCGAGGTCATCTGGGCAGGAGACTCAGCGTAGGAGGCAGGCTTCACCGTGCTGTCAACGGTCGACTCAACTCGAGGGAACTCGCGCGGGGGATTGATCTGAAAACGAGCGTGGTGGGTTATGGCCGGTCTGATTAGGCTTTCGCAAGGCAGAGAGAAAGGAAAGATATCTGTACACCACTCATCGATCGAGATTTGTAGAGAAAATATAAATATACAAGAGCAAGGTGCCGGAATATGGGACTTGACGGAGGTCCCACAGGACAGTATTTTAAAGAAGCAGTCTTGCGGGTTGTTTGTATATCGACGAGTCAGTCAGTCGATCACTGCAGCGCATGGCATGGCGTCTGGCGTGTGCCATCATGATCCGCCATGGGGGGATGTCGTGCGATGGTCCGGGATCGAGACAAGGATTCTCCGACCAGGATCATCCACCAGCATCCGTGGCCTGGTCGTTCGCTCGTTGCTGGTCCAGGGCTCTGGAGGGCTGAACCTGAAGGAAAAGAAAATACCTAATATCTACAATGTTGTACCTCCAACTCGGTTGCGTCCAGTTGACGCATGGTCTTTCGAATGTACTGTGTCCCATTCAACTCTCCCAGATACAAAGACGACAAACGACGGGCATCCTCATCATTACGATCATCTAGAGTACCTAAGTCTTCGGGATACCAGCTGCATCATCCTCGCATGATGCAGACACCCGCTTCTGCACAGGCTTAGACTCCGCCCTACGCGCACCCCGTACCCGAGCCATGCATCACTGGGCTAAGGAGGCCGGTAGCTAATATTGATCAGCACATACCCATATCCGCATTAATGGCTACAGTGCGCTAGACACGTTGGACACGAGATGGAACGCTGGCACGTGTGCTTCATTCATACAACTGCCGACAGAGAATATACTAACTTCTCATTTGCTTCGTGGTTTGAGCTGAAGCCAGGGCCGGGCTTTGCGCCATGTCACAGTTTCATCGGGGTGAGAAGCACGAATCAAGCATCACAGTTGCTATAACGGCTGAGCATGTTCTGCTGCCATGAACAAAGTCCGTGAGATGTCTACCCAAACATAGTATGCAAAGAAGTATTCAGAGGTTCTTCAATCAGCCATGCCAACCAATCCGCCCGCCCTGAAACGACTGCATCAACCAAGCCACTCAGCTTGGATTCAGCTCGAGCGACTCGGACTCTTGCCCGAATCAGAATGCATATGCCCTCGTACCACCTCTTGTTCAAGTCGCTTCGTTCTGTACAGCCTGCACGCCGTCCAGTGAAGATCCCTTTGCCAAGGTTAACATTGGCCTTAGTGATAGCCGTGTCGTGCCCGATGTGTCGTCTAACAACCACCCTTCCAGCCGTCATCGTCCACGCCAGCCTTAATCGAGGCCCTGGTGAAGTCCCAATGCCTCTTGTGCATCAGCCCCATCGGTCAGCTGCTCCACGGCCATCGTGTCTCAGATGTGGTGCGCGGTGATGTGATAAAATCTCCTAAGTAACATTGCCAGTGGTATCGCCAACCTCTAGTGTTTCGTCATGAAGGACCTATTGTAGGTCATCGATGCAACGAATGACGGATATCACGATCTGGCCTCGAAGTATTTCAGCGCGGGCGGATGGGCGGCCGTCACTAGATACCTTTCTGTGATTGCAGCTGCCGTGTAAGTGTGCCTGCTTGACCCTAGCATGGCCTCAATAGATGATGACGCTGTGATAGTGGACCGAGGCAACCGAAAGACCCGTGCGACGGGTTCGTGTTCAAGCTTGCTCCAGGCATGCGTCAGCCGGGTGTTCAGGACCGGCATTGCGGTCGTGCTGTGAACACCACAGAGCCATGGCTGTTGAGAAACCAATAAGGAATCGACCATCCGCGAGTCGGCGAACCCTGAGACGTTAGGGGGCGCAGCGTGTGCGGGTCAACTTCGAGTCGGCAGAGATATGGCTCTCTGGTTCAACCAGGAAACCTCCTTAGACGTCTTTTCAAGTGCTCCGACTTCGTGAGAGATAGTCTCAGGGGCGTGTTCCGGCTGTTCTGGGTCTGCAGGAGAATATTGCTCTAAAAGAACATGCCGTTGACACACTCACTCGCTTTTGTTGCGTTTCGATAGCAAGTTCAAGGCGCTTCCAGCAAGGATAAACCCACATTGGTCTTTGCTCAGAGTATGCTTGACTGGAATAGTGAAGGTGTCTCCATTGGCCTTCGTAACTCGAAGCTTGACTTCACCTTTTCCGCCATTTTGCAACACGTCCCAAAGGCCTTCGGTGTCGACTTTGTCGCATGCATCGATTCGGTCGTAATCTTCTTTGTTCGCAAACGTCAACGGCACAACACCTTGCTTCTTCAGGTTGGTCTCGTGGATACGAGCAAAGCTCTTGGCCAAGATGATCTTGCCTCCCAGGTACCTTGGTTGTAGAGCCGCATGTTCTCGGGCAGACCCTTCGCCGTAATTGTCTTCAGCCACCACAAGCCAGGGTTGTCCATTTTCCTTCCACTTCTTCGCAAGGTCCGGGATGGATGACTTCGAGCCATCACTGTCGTAGGCTACATTGGTTTCTCCCGTCGCAGCATTGATGGCTCCAATCAGCGTATTTTCCGCGATATTAGGAAGGTGGCCTTTGTATTTCAACCAGGGACCGGCCGCTGAGATGGTATCGGTGGTGCATTGTCCCTTGACCTTGTACAGAACTTTTAATCCTTTCAATTCGCCTTCTGGGAAGGGCTCAAAGGGTTCCAGCAGAGCTAAACGGTCAGATTCAGGGTCCACAACAACTTGCACGCTCGGATCGGGCTCAGCAGACGACGGCAGGAATGCGGGATTCCCGTTCGCGAAGCCAGAACCCGGCAGTGCTGCACCTTTGGGTGGCTCGAATTTAAATTTCTCGCCAGAAGGTAGCGGGATCTCGTCGGTCATCGGGTTGAAGGAGGTAGACCCAGCATACGAGATGGCGGTGACGACTTCGGGAGAGGCCAGAAAACTCATTGTCTTGGGGTTCCCATCGTTTCGACCAGGAAAGTTGCGGTTGTAGGAGCAGATGATGGCATTTTCTTCGCCCTTTTTGACCCCGTCAGTGCGCTTCCACTGTCCGATACAGGGTCCGCAAGCATTGGCGAGTACAGTCCCCCCAGCCTTGGTGAAAGTCTCGAGAGTCTTGTTGTCCTCAAGCGTGGCCCGAACCTGCTCACTGCCAGGGGTGATGAAGAAGTCCGACTTCGGCTTCAATCCTGCAGCCTCGGCCTGCTTGACCAGGTCCTCTGCCCGTGTCATGTCTTCGTACGAACTGTTGGTACAGCTGCCAATAAGGCCAGCCGAAAAAGTGTCCGGCCATTTGTTCGTCTGCACGGCTTCCTTGAACTTGGACAGCGGTGTGGAGAGATCAGGGGTGAACGGGCCGTTGATATGAGGCTCAAGAATCGACAGGTTGATTGTAATCTCTCTATCATATTCGGCACCGCTATCCGCTCGCAGGAAGTTGTACTGTTCCGAGCCGTACGCGATGCCCTTGACGGCGTCGACAATTGCTGCTCGACCAGTAGCCTTTAAATACGGAATGTGGTTCTCGGAAAATGGAAAGATCGAGGTCGTGGCTCCCACCTCAGCTGGACAATCACCCGTTAGCCGGCCATACACAAGAATAGACAGAACATAACTCACCTCCCATGTTACAGGTCGTAGCCATGCCAGTGCAGCTCAGAGTGTCCACTCCAGGTCCGTGATACTCAATGATATAGCCGGTACCGCCGCGGACGGTAAGCAAACCTGCAAGGTGAAGGATCAAGTCTTTTGGCGAGGTCCATCCACTGAGCTGGCCCTCCAAGCGAACTCCTAGAATCTTGGGAGCTTTCAATTCCCAAGGAGCATCAACAAGCGCATCAACTGCGTCAGCACCACCGACGCCAATGGCAATTGCTCCCAACCCTCCAGCATTTGGTGTGTGACTGTCTGTACCCAACATCATCAAACCAGGGGCGGCATAATTCTCCAACACTGTTTGGTGTATGATACCGGCGCCCGGTGGCCAAAATTCGATTCCATATTTTTTTGCAGCAGATTCGAGGAAATCGAAAACTTCCTTGTTCCCAGCTATCGAATTGGGAAGGTCGGTGTCTGCGCCCTTTTCTCCAACAATCATATGGTCGCAGTGAATGCTCGCCGGCACCGCCGTCGAGGGGAGATTGCAGGTCATGAATTGCAAGATGGCCATTTGGGCAGAAGCATCCTGCATGGCAACTCGGTCAGGCTTGAGCTTCAGGTTGGCATTCCCGCGAATGTTTTTGCCATTGTCGGTGTTGGTCAACAGGGACTCTTCGGGGTTGTCAAGGTGGGCATAAAGAATCTTCTCGGCGAGGGTAAGCTTGCGAGGCCCAAGAATGGATCGGACCTCCTCGAAGTTCTTCAGGATCTTCTGGTAAGGAGGGACTGCTGCCTTTCTCTTCGGCGCGGTCGGGGTCTGAGCGTGGACTGCGTATCCCCGACACAACGCTCTGCGAGCAGAAGCGCAGCATCCAAGGTCAAGCGGACATCTCACTCGTGCAGGCGGTGCCCGCTGTAGTAAGACAGACATCTTTGGCGTCAATGCCGAGTAGAGGGGGGCGACACGGACAGAGAGATCCCCTTTGTTTTCGAGCAAACGAGCGACCGCGACAAGGTGAATGAATCACTGGACTAATTTTTTTCTGCTCCAGCTCGGGGTAAAAAGCGGGCCGAGGCTGCGCACCAGGGCGCCAATCATATGGTTCTGATTATGGATGGATCTACATTGTCGACACCAGTACTATGTACAACTGTACCGGCATTCATAAAAATCGTGATGAATCGTGATGACACTTCCTTCGCATCTGCAGCTTCGGAACAAAGTTGATCGAGGAGAATTTACAAAAGTCATTGATGCCAGTGCTTGCACAAAAAGAGCCGCCAGCTAAATCACCCCCAAGCTTTCCAGCCCTGCAGTCCCGGTACCAGTGGCAGAAGCATGTATAGCACCACCATCATGGGATACCTAAACCCTTTCGCCTCAATTTGAATACAACAACGTACAGGCATAAAGTTGACTTTGATTCCGCCTCCATGACGCCAATATCACCGCAGTCAACTCATGAGTCCTCTTGTTCCTCCTCAGCAGCCGTTCTCAATTCGTAGGCCAAATCATAACATTCCGCTAGCAGATCATTGACGCTCCCTTGCCCTTCAGGAATATCTTTGCCAATTTGGAACTTTCCGTCCACACGCATGTTATCGATGGAGTTGAGTTTCATGCTGTAGGGGTACAGTTCGCGGGGGTTGGACACGCCCCCAGCCTTCTTGACCTCGATCAGACATCTCCGTAGGGTCAAAAGTTGGTTATAGATGGGGAGAAGGGCCTCCGACACCGGTTCTGACGCGATCAGAAGCTGGTAAATATAGGCATAGCCTCGACGGATGAGATAGAGCAATGTCTGGGACAACCAGTTAGTACTACGTCTCAGAAGGAAGGACTAGAATTACCCTTTGAGCATGCAAATCCGCCGGATGACCCTCGGCATCGAAGAAGTTGCCGTCTCGCCTTGAATCATCGATCCGATCTAGTTTTCGTTGCCACATAAACAAATCGGTCTCGCGAAGCGACCACGCTTGTGTCATAGTTAAACGGTCCAGTTGGTTCCGGATCTCGATGAGTTGATCGTAGATATCTTGGAATCTTTCATCAATCTTGCCTTTCCTGTTCATAGGTCAGTAATGTCGCGCAGACGCAAAAACCTCGAGGCACATACCTTTCCTCAACCATATCCGCAAAACGGAGGCACCTCTCGAGTAAGGGAACCACAAGGTCCTGTCCAGGAGACGTATTACCCGACTCGTCCGGCAGCTTGCCATCTTTCATGGTGGATCGGATCTGAAGCAATTGGTTGCGTAGTTCGTCCAGGTCTTTCTGACTATACTGTAATTCTCGTAAGCAGATCGACACGCACATAATCCTAGACGTTCAAACCTTGCTTCTCGTGTTCAATGCTGCAATCGCCCGCAGAATGGAAACCAATTTCTCCCAAGTGGGAGTCATCTCTGGGGACAGTGTGGCGAGGAAATCCCGCAACTCTTTCAGCATGGCCTTACAGACCTCCAAACGATGTTGTATTCTCGTCAACAAGTGATGAGAGTATTTATCTTTCCCATTCTCCAAAGTCGCCTCCATCTTGGCGAGGGTGTTCTCCAGGCTCCCAAGGTCCTTTTGGCTGTAGAAAGCCGCCTCTTTCAAGTGGTGGCAGAGACGGGTGATGGTGCCTGTCATGGCATACAGTGCAGGCGCTTCATGGTTGCGCCCGATGGCCATGAAAAATAGCGAGATCAGCTGAAGGCAGTCATCAAGAACGGTATCGACGCGGTTCTGGACGAGGCGCTCCGAGCCGCGGATTTCATTGAGGATGGAGACCTGCTCGATGACCTGCTCGTACAGTGGAAGAACATCCGAGGACTTGATATACGTGCTTTTGTCCTGCTTCAGAAGGAGCAACTTGTCTCTTATCAAGAGCAGTTTGTCCAGGATGGGTTTCTCTTGCGGGCCCACGGGCGCATTCGTGATGGGAGAATCGGACATGGTGGGAATGACCATTCAAGGTGTGCAGGAAGATTGGAGGGCCGCGGGGAATTTGCAGTTACAGCACCACGGTAGTGTCGAGGATAATAGATGTCGCAGCGGTTCAGTGGGTGTGCAAGATGGACGGCGTGATGGTGTGCTCTTGATGGGTGGTAGTAGTAAGGTAGGCTGTTATCAGGGCAGGAACCGCGAACTTGAAATCCGGGGATTGTTCACCTGCAGTCTTGTGAGGTTCAGGCTGCGGTAGAAGCTGCTAGCTACAATACTAGTAGTATTCTGCTTCGTTTGCGGGCCGCAGTTACTGTAAATGAATAGTGGTTCAGCGGGGGAGGCAATGATTATTATGCCACTAGCATCCTAGGTACACAGCCGGCACTGCAGCACACAGCCTGAGTCAAATATGCACGAGAGCATCAATGCAGATGGTACCTGCGCACCAAGGCACCCGGTACTTTTCTCTCTATTAATCTATAGCTAAGCAGTCATCCTACAATTGATATGCCTACCTGGCAGTATGGCACTCACTGCATTGTTTCTGATTTCTGACGGGGATACTTTGCATCTGTTCGTTTGCATTGCGGTGAGTGCGAATACCTAGGTAGGTATCTGTGACCTGAAGCTTAGATGCCCCTCGCCTTGGCAGTACACTTCGATTCACCTGCTGGTGTCACTTTTACTGGCCAGAACCCCAACTACAACGTTGTACTATCGCTGGGCAACCTAATTGCTCCTTCGCGGGGGTGCCTGGGGCCTCGGGCTTCTTAGGCACCTGCCTAACCCCTATTTAGTACCGGCTGGGGGTTAAGGACTCCTTGGACCTAGGCCAAATGTGTCAGCCTTGTCTTCTACCTTATTTTATTGCTGCAATGTTGACGCCTCGGAGCATCCATGACATGGCCCTTCGTCGTTGGAAGCGACCAAGGCTGCCGTGCGCTGAGATGCTTGATTCCACTGGTGGAACCGCTTTGTCCCGAGGATATTCCAGAGTAAAGAGTGTCCTGTAAAGTCCAGAAAGGAGTCTCACAGAGTCTGGCAATACTAATACTAATCCAAATCGTAAATGGTCGGGACTACTGGAAGCAAGACGGCAACATAGAAACGATTTACAACCCAGCTCCGAGTCAGGTAGGACATTGGTCCCTACTAAACCTATAGCAGCAGCCTCGACCAGTGCACCATACCAGGTAGTCTGCATCAGGTTGGTTGTGTGCACTGTTAGAATCGGCCTACCACAAGTACCACAGTAGTCAAGGAGCCTCAAACGGTATGACCTGCAAGAACACGATTCGCACGCTTAATCCCGCTATTCGACGTGGCCAGAGTGTTGGTACGGCAAATATAGTGATACATAAACGTTGCACAGTTCTGCATAGTTGCCATCTGATGTTGATCAGCAACCGCACTGCACACGACACATGCAGTTGAGTGGAAGGCTTCCTTTGGTTGACCGACAGCTGTGAAGGTGCCTGCCACTCACTCTCCGCGTACCGCATTAGGATTGGCCCTTCCTCAGCTTTTCCTCCGTCCTCTACGAATCGGATACCAAACAATTCCCCCTACACTCAGCAGAGCATTTGCAATTCTATGAGTATATTGACTTCAGAGTTGCTGCAAGTCTCTGCGATCGGCACTTCACCAGTCAACCGAAAGCATCACCAACATGGGCCTATGGAGCCCTCATGGCCTCGTGGCAGCCATCACAACCCTAAGTTCACTGGCAGTGTGGGACGCCGGCTCGTCCGGGTCTCTAAACAGCGCCTAAGGAACCCCTTGCCCTACGGACCCAGTGCCGATATCCCAGGCTGTTCTCTCAATCCTCGCTTACAGCAGTGTAGGCGTGGGCAGGGGGCAAATTAGTGGTCCGGGTGGGCTCTACCCTACATATCGCCCTAAAACGGCGGCATGGTGACGCGTGACAAGGGTGACTGATTGGGCCTTGTGAACTATTAGGCTCTCGGACCAGAGGGTCTGGCAAGCGACCGATATCCTCTCCAGCGTTGTCGGTTCCTGCATTACAGACGACATGGTTTCAGACCGGCAAGAACAATGCGATTGACAGATCATTCATGTCAGGAAGCCTCGAGCACAATAATGATTAGACAAGTAAAGGAGTCGACCAAAAACTGGGGAATGCTACGTCGTATACTGATCTGATGGAGGCGCTGGATTTATTGGCGCCAGGGCCGAGGCGGCGCTACAGCCACCCCATCAATGAAGGCCGTTGCAAGACAGGAAAGGGATATGGTAGGACCACTCTTTGGCCCATCAGCTGTGGGCTCTCAGGATCGTCATTATTGGCTTACACCGATGTCCCTTGCTACTGCAACTTGCCAAACTTCGTTGTCGATCTGTGTTATTTTCTATGAGCTTGTCTCGACGTTGGAAAAAGACACTTCACCTTCGGCTTGTGTCTTGATAAGCCTTGCTTACTCCTCGGCCGGCGCTTCTTGGATACAGATTGAAGCGCGTAGGAAGACTGACGGGTAACTGGTCCAGAAAACTAGGACGCGCGTTCGCCGGGGAAATGCTCTTATCGATCGAATTTGTCGAAAAGTACACACCTAATCATTCATGAAGGAACATGAACATGACTTGACATATTACAATCCTCCTTCTATCGCGTCAATCCCCGCAGACAAGATCATGGGGGCATGTATACTCGAATCAACGCAACACGATCAAAAGTTCACCCTTCAAGAGTTAGGGATCTCGTCGTGTGTCGGCGTGGATGGAAAGCAGCAGTTCACCATCCAATTGGACCAAGACAAAAGCCCCGGTTCCAGAAGCTCTCGTGCCATCCTCGACAGGTCCACTGGCCGATGGTGTCTTTCACCGTCTGAGGCAACAAGTCATCCTCTTGACACGTTCTCTACACGACTCTCCCTCACCGACCCATCCTCGCGTTGGATTGACCTCCTCCCCAAGAACGAGGACTGTGAGTGGTTTCTGAGCGGAGTGGACTGGAGCCTTACAGGTCTGGGGCCCTTAGAGACATGGCCCGTCTCTCTTCGTACCGCTGTTAACCTATTATTGGCGGAGCCTGGCCCGGGGGTCATCTACTGGGGCCCCTCGCTCTGTGCTTGTTTTAACGCCAGGGCGTACGAGGACATCGCGACGAGGCTCAAGGCTCCATACGACATCCAAGGAAAGCCTTTCAAGGAGGTGTGGAATGAGGTTTGGCCGGACCTCGAGGTGTTTCACGACGCGATGCAAGAGTTGAAGCAGGGTATGAAGAATCTGAATGTCGCAATATTTCCAGAACAGGATGATGGACGCAGGGAAGAAACGTTTTGGGATGGAGCAGTTCTGCCAATTCGGGGCGAAGACGGTAAAGTGGCAGGATTCTACCACAGAGCGATGGAAACGACGATTGAAAGAGTCAAAGAAAGAAGAGCCAACACGCTCTATGCGATATCCGCCTTCCCAGACCATGTCAAAGACTCAGTCTGGCAACACGTGCTTCACGCCCTTGGGACGAACGAGCAAGACTTTCCCATGGCCTTCGCTTACTCGGCCGAAGATAGCGCTTCATCTTGCAATTTGACCTTGCAACAATCGCTCGGGCTGCCAGATGACGGCCATCCACTCGTTCCACAGCAAGTCGACATCTATGACGGATCCACGGGATTTCCTTACTATTATCGCAAGGTAAAAGCTACTCACAGACCTCTCGTTCTTCATCGCGCCGACGGATCCCTCCCTGAGACACTTCTCGACGGTTTTGCGTGGCGTGGTTATGGCGAGAGGCCGGTCAGTTTGGTCTTTGTTCCGGTGTCTGTTAGCAGTAGGCTACTTGGCATAATTGTCTTTGGCTGGAACCCACGAAGACAATATCGGCCGGAAGATGACGCCTTCATAAAAGCCCTCTGTCGACAAGTCTCAGCAACAATAGCGTTTGCAATTGATTGGAACGAAACACGTCAATGGGCCGAGAGGATGACGATGCAATTAGCAGATCGCGATAAGCAGATCCGAGAGATCGCAGAACACGGACCGGTGGGCATGGTCCGACTGACGCCTGCCGGGAACATCGTATGGGCCAACTCACAATTCTATGCCATCACTGACCACCCGGTTGAAGATCAATATGAATACTCCTTTACGGACGTACTTCACCCTGAAGATCGGGACGTCTGCATGGGCTACTGGTCCGCGTTGGTGGATCAGGGCCAATCTGTTGAGCAAGAATTCCGTCTGAACCGCAAGTGGCTCCCTCCACCTACTACAGGCAATCCCAACCCGCAGGAAGAGCACTGCTGGATTTTGTCGAATGCCTTCCCGGTCATGGAAAATGGCGTGGTCCAGAGCGTGGTTGGGTGCATCACCGACATCAGTCGTACCAAATGGGCAGAAGAGGTTCAAAGTCGCTTGGCAATAGAAGCGACAGAGGCTCGGAGACTTCAGGAGGCTTTCATCGACGTTGTCTCGCATGAAATGAGGAATCCGCTCTCTGCAATCACGCAACTCGCAGACGGGATCGCCGCATGCCTTGACGACTTCAAGCCCGACGTGGCCTCCAGAGACGATGCCATAAGCCTGCTTCGAGAAAAGGTGGAAAACGCGAAAACAATATTGCTCTGCGCGGCCCACCAGAAAAGAATCATTGATGATGTACTTACTCTGTCGAAACTTGACGCACAACTTCTGTCGATCACGCCAGTTGTGGTGCAACCGCATGTCGTCGTTGATTCTGCACTCACAATGTTCCGCGCCGAATTTGAAAGGAATGCTATCACTGTCGACAACATAGCGGATGAGACGTATTCAGACTTTGGAATCGACTGGGTTACACTGGACCCGTCACGACTCATGCAGATATTCATCAACCTCCTCACAAATGCCATCAAATTCACGAAACTAGAAGACAAGCGCAAGATTACTGTCCGACGTTCGGCTTTTGAGAGTTATCCTCCGCCGGAGCTAAAAGGCGTGCAATGGTTTCCCAGCGACCAAGGTAGGACAGACATCATTTCTTCGCCAGAATGGGGTGACGGTAAGCCCGTGTATCTTCTGTTTTCAGTCACGGATACTGGGAAGGGGATGGAACAGGAGGAGATGTCAAGATTGTTCCACCGCTTTCAGCAAGGCACGGAGAAGACGCATGTCAAATATGGCGGCTCGGGCCTCGGATTGTTTGTTTCTCGTGAGTTGACGGAAAACATGGGCGGCGAGATTGGCGTCGTTTCTGCTCCCGGCAAAGGAAGTACATTTGCCTTCTACGTCCGGGCGCGCAAAGCGGACGCTCCACAGGAGCTTACTCAAGTCAGTCAATCTCAATCACCCGCAGCCGCTTCCCCATCGACTCCAAGACGTGCGTCGCTGTCGCTGTCATCGGGGCGACAAAGGACGGCCTCCATCAAATCACCACCCCAGCAGCAACAGCAGCAGCAGGTGCACAGTGGTACCTCGTCGATCATGGAGACCGAACGCCCTCCCCGGCCTGTCCGTGTCCTCCTCGTCGAAGACAACACTATCAATGCGCAAGTCCTCACCAAACAGTTGGAGGGGGCCGGGTGTACAGTCTACACAGCGAACCATGGTGCCGAAGCACTGGATTTTCTCCCACGTCTCAAGGCGTGGGCCGGCCCCACGAAGGCCAGTTATATCCACCATAGTCAAGATACCAAGTCGACAAACCCAAGCTTCGACATGGACATCGATTGCATCTTGATGGATATTGAAATGCCCGTGCTTGACGGACTCAGCTGCACGCGCAGGATCCGCGAGATCGAACAGCAAGGTCTGCTTGGAACCAGTAGGAAGATCCCGATCATTGCCATCACCGCAAACGCCAGGGCCGGCCAGATCGATGCCGCATTCGAGGCTGGCGTCGATGCTGTACTGCCCAAACCGTTCCGTGCGGTCGATGTCTTGTGGAAAATGGATGCGCTGGTTCATCATGCCGACGACGGCGACAGCGACAACAACGGACGACGATGATTGGATAAAAATGGACACACAACAATGATGTATGAGGATTTTTGGATCGGGTCGTGTTAGGCGTTGAGGTGCTCAGCAGGGTCATCGTCATTGTTCTCATCCACCTCCGCCTCGTGGGATGATGCGGTATGGCGTTGATAGCCATTTGGCTTCTGGTTTGTTTGTTAGGGCAGGTTTCTTGTATATAACTGAATGGAAGTCGGCCCACGTTGGTTGAGGGCCTCTGGCAAAGCGCTTTTTGGCTTCAACGACAACGCGTATGAACACAGGTGCCAGACAAGACAAAGAGAAGAGGCGTCGGGGATATATGGCAAGTATTGGATATTGCAAGGTTACAAATAGACTCTTCTGGTGGGAATGAAATCGGTGGCAACGTGTTGAGGCGCACCTCGGGCAGGAGTATCATCATGATGATTGCCCGCTTTGAATTTCACTTTCTTCTTCTTTTTCTTTTGTCAATGTACTACACCTGGGGGAACTACAGGCGGAGATATTCGATTCTTGGGGATCAGTTAGTCTGTGCGGCCATGCATGGCAGGAAGAACGGCGGCGGTCTTTGAGCGCGCGGCAGGAATTGTACCATGGTAGGTACATCATGTATTATCACGAATATACCACTGTTTTATCTTGTAGCAATGGCGGCCATATCCTAATCCATTTTCACAACTGATCCTCGTCATCTGGGTCTGGCATTCCCGCCTCATGAGCCCAAGTATTTTTGTGGTCGTCGTAGTGTTCATCCTCAACTTCATCTTCATCTTCATCGTACTCTTCTTCTTCCGCGGCATGTTGTTCCCCACCATCTGGGTCCGCTTCGTTGTCTTCATGTCCCTCTTGTTCTTCCACTTCATCTTCAGTGATACTCACGTCCTCGGCCTCACTGCCAAGCTCTTCAGCGACAAGATCGCGATTCTGTCCACTATGATTGTTGGCTTTCTTCTTCCTTCCAGAGGCCCGCTGATCGTGACCGTCGTCATTATCGTCATCGGCATCACTCTCAGAGCTCCCACCACTACCATCACTCTCGCCCTCGCTGCCGGGATCATAATCCTCTTCAAGTTCATCCTCTTCGTCCTCGAGCTGTTGTTGGGCTTTTTCCAACTCGGTGCGGGTATCTTCTTCTTCTTCTCCTCCATCATCAACACCAGATGTAGCAGTGTTGACACCACCACCAGTGCTACCAGCGACACCACCACCACCACCAGCCTTTTTGGCAGCAGCAGCAGCGGCACGACGCGACTCAGCAAGACTGGCATCCTGCAACCCATGCCTCTTGACGTAGGCATCTATACCTGGAAAATCGGCCTGGTCGAGCATTGAGAATTCGATTTCTTGAACGTCCTCATCTCCATTTGGAATAGTTGTTGCAGCATCACCACTACTGCTCGGTCTATACGCGACATTCAAATTAAAGGTCCGCTGCAAAACCGAAGTATACGAAATGGACACGATATCATCAAACGCAAAAAACGCCAGTGGTTTCTTGAAGCCGAAAAAGATGCCGTTTTCCAAGAAAAACAAAAATCCGTCTTTGCTGCCTCGGAACGCTTTGACGTGGTATGCCTTGTCGCTTTTGCGGTGCGATTCTGGTTTTGCGCTTGCGAATTCCGTTTCGGTGGGGTATGTTAGAGACACATTGCCGCGAGTGGCGGTTTGGAGAATGTGGTTGAGTGCGATTGAGAAGGTTTGGTCGGGTTCGCTGTCGCTGTCGGATATGATTTTGGTGAGTTTTGGGTCGGAGATTTGTAGAGATTTCAAGGGGCCGTGGTTGACGGTCCAGATTATGGGTTCGACGGTACTGGTACTGCCGCTGTTGGTGTAGGTTGAGTTGGTGGAGGTTGAGTTGGAGGTTGATGTTGATGTTGATCGAGGCAAAAGGCAGAAATTGTATTGTTTCGTCGCCTTTTCGGGAACAGGCAGACGCAGCGCGTAGGCGAATTGGTTGAGGTCAACTTCGAACTCGATCGAACTGGTTGCTGGGTTTCGTGCGAATAGGGTATGTGTAGAAGGTGTTGTGTTGCCGGTGGCACTCTTGTTCTTGTCTTCTCCTCCTCCGGTATACTGTGCAATTCCGAGATGTAGTTTCTTCCGCTGCGGTATGGAGAATGAGACGTCTCTTGCTTCGAGGAGAACCTGGCGGTTTTGTTTTGACAACGTAGTAGAGGGGGGTTGACTCGTTGACACGGAGGACCCGTTCACCAGTTTGCGCTTCTTCGAGGCTGGTTCGCTGTCGTTATCGGTGGCATCACCTGTGCCGTTGCTCGTATGGGTGAGGTGGTATCGCGCGATATCTTCGAATAGAGGTGCATGTTGCGGACTCGTTTCTGTAATAGATAGATGGAAGAAAGGGTTTGTTAGAAAACGTGTCCGACAGAAGTATATCCATTTTGTCGTGCGTGGCTGATAACACCTGGGTTGGAGGATCGATTTCAACTTACGTATGGCATCAAAGACTCGTTTGCGCAGTTGTTTGTCCTGAGCAAATGCGCGGTCGATCACGCTTGAGTCCGACATCTTTGCTGAAGTGTGTACTCTGGAGTGTTCCGTACTGCTCGACAGATGATGCGAAGTGTAGCCACTGCTAAGGCTTGTAGGACTAGTTGGAGGTGTGCATCTGCTGCGACATGTTATAGCGGAATGTTGAAGTAAAGCAACGTCGTAAGGTAAGAGACACGCGCAGGGATCTATTCCCTGCTACCTAGGTACCTGCCAGCGGAAGTGTGTGATGCAATTGTATAGAACCACAATAGCACAAGGCGGCTCGATTATTAGTGTTGCCCCCTTTCGTGGCCCCTGACTCGCGGCGCCTTGTCTTGCGTCTCGCTACAGCACAACCAATCATTGACTTCAAGTTATGCGGCCTTCTTTCTTGTGTTCTCGCATACAATACCGTAGGCACGGCATGACCCGACGTCCTGAATCTCTTATTATTATCCAATGTTGCCAGGTACGTTTGGGCAGAATGGATCACGCTGTGTTCTGAGTTCTGATATTGACTTTTTTTTTTCGCCTACAGACTCAAGTCAAGCTTTTTGCTAGTCGTACTCTCCCAGGTCAAAACGCTCCTTCGGCCAGAACCTCGCTTTAATGGCGTTGCCGTTGAAGATGCGCCCTTCCAATGCATTGACGGCTCTCAATGCACTGAGCTGGCTCACAAAGTGCACAAACACCAGCGCCTCGCCCTCTTCACTCTCAGGGCGGTGGATGTAGACTCTCTGGACGCTGCCGTACTTTTCACCGCATTCTTCACCAATCTCTTGCATGATGCCGCCTTCTTCCTGATCCAGCTCCTCGTCCAGATCCAGGCCGTTAAGCATGCCCTCCAACCGGACGACTTCTGACATGGCGCCGAATTTGCCTTCTTCGTCTGCTTGAGCAGACTTGGGTTTGTGACCACCCAAAATCTTGCCCGTGCCAGCAGGAGTAGCATATCCCCCACCCTCGGCGTCGGATTTCTTTTTTCGTTTGTCAACCTTGGCGTACAGTGGATTGACAATTCCTGTTCCTTGAGCACCCAAGCCTTGGCCCTTGCTCCAGCCGTACTTTGACATCAAACGTTCCGCAAATCCCTTCTGTCCAGGACGCGTTGATTTCGGTTCATCCGAACCGTCATCGGCTGCTTGGTCTGATACGGCGAGCTTCTCGGCCAGCTCAGCTTCAGAAGCAGGAATCTCCTCAGGAGCAGAGGGCAGATTGTAACGAACGGGAGCTCGGGAGATCTGAGCAGGTGGAGGATTCTCGAGGGCTGGTGGAGGCGAAGGCGGGGGCGGTTGAGCTGGTTGCGTCTGGGTCAGCCGCATCCGGCGTAGATATGCATCCTCGCCTGTTGGATCGTCTGGTAGGTCAGCCGGCGGGGGAGGGGGAGGGGGGGAGGCCGCGGCGGGCGGTGCCGGAGGGCTCTCATCGTTCAAGTTCGGCGGCGGAGCAAAAGACATGCCCGGAGGAGCAAACTGTCCTACTCAGAATCAGCCACATGCGCAGAGGAGTTGTAATACCCGTTGTGTCCTTACTGTTCATGAGCCGGCGCGAGTCATCATTTTCTTCAGAATCACTTGTGCTCCGCCGCTTCATACGATGTCTGTAGAGAAGATCCTTCCATTCCCTTACCTCGCGAATCTTCTCCTCGCTGTGCTTGTACTCCTCGTAGTTGTTTGGCCGGCTTGGATCATATATATCATCCCAATTCTGATAGATTTCAGCATTGTCCTTGTTCTTCTTGCGCTTCTTTCGGTTTCCACGCGGCTGTGGGCGGTTGCTGGTGTAGAACTCATTCACGTCATCGTCGTCGGCGGTCGCGGTCCAGTCTGCGAGTGTGGTTTTTGGCGCACTCGGTTGAGGCACATGAGACTCTGTGGCTGCATTGTCGGCAGAGCCAGAAGGCACTGCTGCAGTGGTCGCAATAGAGGAGGACAGTGTCGCAAATTTGCCCGCAATGGCCTTTGCTTTGGCCTTTTGCGCCGCGAGTTGTGGTCTTTTGGTGGGCTGAAATCTCAAGGAGGCTGCATATCATCCCGATGCATGGCACATGTGAGCAAATCTATCCAGCAAACCGTAAGGTCCTTACGACTGTATATATACCGGCGAGTGCTTGCTGTCTCTTAACAGCGTCATCTTCTGGTGTGTTTTCGGCCGGCTTCGTGTACGTGACCGGAGCGCTCGAGATGGTGCCTGTGGTAGCACTGTTTGGGTTGAGCAGATTCGCATAGAGCGACAACCCTCCTCGCGCAGGCTTTGGAGCCTCGTTGGCCATGGCGAGGTGTCTCGGTTCTGCCTCAACCACCGAGCGCACCGAAGCACAGCCCAGAGGAATCTGGCTCGGCCACAAGATCTCGTGATATTCGACAGGCGGAGTGTTCTCGGGGAAAAGGTGGGATGCACCACGATGTCGTATCGCAATGGTGTACAAGGCTTGTTAAGGCGCAGACAGGGGGTGAAATCGGGATCTATATGTAGGCGCCCACCAATCGCTACGCTGGCAACACCGCAACGGGATGCCTGCGGGTGGTTGTTAACTTTTCGGGTGGATTTTGAAGTCGTAGAAGCATTACCAGCGATGCTCCCCAAAGTGTTATGATCGTGAGGTTCCGGAGAGACCTGTCAAAGCATGTCTGAAGATGCCGCGCACGATGATTCTGGGCCCCCACAGTCCGATAAGCACGGGAAAGACTGCGCTGAAGTCCCCGGCACGTCATTCACCGTTGAGTTTGTATCTCTTTTGTACTTCGCTACCATATACTACTGTTCTCTCCGGGAGAGTAGCTGTTTCTCCTGCCTTTCTACATCTCCTGTCTCTGCTCCCTGCCCTCAGTTTTGACTGCCGTTGCAAGCATGAGCACTTCCACCCTCTCCACGTCGTTTTCAGGCAGTTCGCCGGCCCCAGCAGTCATTGTACCCTCGAAGCCCAATGCTCTGACCATCTCCTACCAGCAATTGACACGAGACATTCTTGATTTTCAGGCGAAATTGGCTGGACTCGGAATCCGAACCGGCGATGCAGTGTCAATAGCATTGCCCAATAGCTACGAGTTCATTGTGTCCTTTCTCGCAACATCCTGGCAGCGAGCAATCGCCGCTCCTTTGAATCCAGCATATAAACAAGACGAGTTCGAGTTCTACATTGAAGACCTGTCTTCGGCAGTGGTTATACTACCACGGGGCTTGTACGCGAAGGAAGGGCCGGCAGTCCGGGCAGCGAGGAAATACAAAGCTGCCATTGCAGAATGCTATCTGGAGGGATCCCAGTTGGTTCTGGAGGTGAAAGAGCAAGGAAGGCTGGCCAATGCACAGTCCCAACGAGTGGCTCAAGCTCAACCAGAGGATGTGGCTTTGGTGTTGCATACGAGCGGTACTACCGGACGACCGAAAGCTGTTCCGCTCACCCACCGCAACCTCACAAGGACCATGTTGAACATACAAAACACATATGAACTCACCTCGAAAGATCGCACCATGCTCGTCATGCCTCTGTTCCATGTCCATGGTCTTTTGGCTGGATTTCTGGCCCCGTTGAAAGCTGGGGGCTCCGTCGTGGTGCCTCCCTCCTTTTCTGCTCGCTCATTCTGGGATGATTTTATTACCCATAAGGCGAACTGGTACACAGCTGTGCCTACCATCCATCAGATCTTGTTGAAGAACCCGCCGCCCAATCCCAAACCCAAAATTCGCTTCATCAGGTCATGTTCTTCCCCGCTATCTCCGAAGACGTTCCGGGAACTTGAAGAGGTCTATGGGGCACCTGTCCTCGAGGCCTACGCCATGACGGAAGCCGCACACCAGATGACTTCCAACCCGTTGCCGCACCGAGGCACTCGCAAGCCGGGAAGCGTGGGCATTGGTCAAGGCGTGGAGGTGAAGATCTTGGATGAGCAAGGTGACGAACTCCCTCAGGGCAAGGAAGGGGAGATCTGTATTAGAGGGGAGAACGTGACCAAGGGATATCTCAATAATGAAAAGGCGAACAAAGAAGCCTTCACCAAGGGAGGTTTCTTCCGCACAGGCGATCAGGGCAAGAAGGATGGGGATGGTTATGTCTATATTACTGGGAGAATCAAGGAGCTCATCAACCGAGGAGGTGAGAAGATCAGCCCGATCGAGCTGGACCATGTGATTGCTACACACCCTGGGGTATCGGAGGCCGTGAGCTTTGCTATTCCCTCGGAGCTTTACGGACAGGAAGTTGGAGTCGCAATTGTTCCAAAGCCAGGAAAGAATGTGACGGAGGAGGCCATTACCGAATATGTTGCCAGCAAAACAGCAAAGTTCAAAAAGCCGAGCAGGGTGAGTCTTGCGAGGGAGTCGTTTCACTGGAACCACTGCTAACCGATTTCTAGGTTTGGATCTTGAAAGAAATACCAAAGACAGCAACAGGGAAGATACAGCGGAGGAAAGTGGCCGAGTCTCTGTTGGCCAAAGATAAACCTAGACCGAAGCTGTAGACGGGTTGCAGTATTTGCAGATGTATATAAGAGACTATCTGCTGGATCTAAGACCCATTCTAGATTGGATAAAGGGTCCATAGTGCTGTGTACAATCATGTACAAAACTTCGCACCAATTACATGGATGAATATACCTATCATAAGCTGTTTCGTCGAGTTTCAAGTTGTATTCTTACGAGCATGTTTTCGGGGAGTTTGTCACCGTTCAAGTTGGCTGCCTTTACAGCCCCTCCGCCCAAACACGGCGTCTCCAAAGCCTGAGGGGCCCCACGATGAATGATGGATGCCCCGAGGACCACTCACCATCATCTCCCACACCTCGAAACACCCATGGTAAGCAGCAGCTAAATCTCATTTTGTCAAAATCTCTTCTGGTTCTTCATGTCGCTCGCACTTCGTAGCTGCACTGCTCGAGCATCTCGTCTACAAGGCAGCATCCGACCGATCTTGTGCCAGTCTTCATCACCTTCTCCAATCGCGCACCTGATCAGAATGTCGTCCTCCTCTTCCAGCCCTCCCACTGCCGAGTGGCTTGTCCACGTTCCCGACCTCCCAGGCGCTCTTGAGAAACGTCTCGCGGTCCGGCCTGAACATCTCTCTCAACTCAAGCCAAAGATCGATGCCGGCGTCGCCGTGTTCGGAGGAGCAACCATGTCCAAACAACCAGGACCAGGAGAGACACCACAGATGACGGGCAGCGTCATGCTCATCAAAGCTGAGAACGAGGAGAAAGTGCACGAGTTTCTGGAGAATGATCCATACACCAAGAACGGCGTGTGGGATGTGAAGAATGCAAAGATTTATCCGTTCAAGTGTGCCATCAGAACGGCGCTATGAGTGACAAGCGACACCAGACAACCGGAGTGCCGATACCGTGTGCAAACGGGAACGGAGTGATGTGTCCACTACAGGCATGTCAACAGGCATACATTGCAATTTTGTCAAGAAGCGCTCCGTGCCATTCCATCTGAGGCTGGGTTTCGTTGTATCCAGACAGGTTTCTCCTTTTCCCTCGGACGGCTGCCTGCATCAACCCTCTACTACCGGAAAGCCCGTGCTTCAGCCTCCTTTCTGAATGTCCCAGCCGCTCAGGCACAACATACCATCCTTTGAGGGAGGTGCACACTTCTCTTAGGAATTAACTGATCGAAACTTGTGGCTGGCGAGCTGAGCGTCGTTTTGTGTGGTAGGCTGGAGATATCGATGGCGGTGCCTAGAACCAGCAGCGTGCTCTATTCTATGCAGTGCAATCGGGACCATGCTTGCCAGATCGATCACTTGAGCAACCAGGTCACACAGAATAAAACGGAGTTCAACTTCTGCAAACGATTCCAGTGATTGCTTGTCGCTACAACTACAGTGAAGCTCCTTTCTTTTTTGACGAGATTACACCTGCTACGACACCAGCAAACTGCCAGTGTTGAGAAACCAACCGAAACCAGGAATTCAGTGACGCGCATTTCGTATATCGCTTCCCTCGCGCGCGGTACACACTCAGCGAATTGTCATCTCCATTCCTGCACGTTGCCGGGTGGCTTTGATCCTTCTGACGGTCCGTCACTTTTATTCTCTGCCCACTATTCTGATCTCGGTACTAGTAGATCTAGACTACTAGTATATCGGTACGTCTATTCGGCTTCACCAACACCGCGCCTGATCTGGCCCGTTGCTGAATCTGGTCTATATGACGATTTTGTTTCTTTCTCATCGTCCCGGCGATAGTTATCACTACTACTGTCACTACTACTGAGTGCATGTTTTGATCCCTCATCTCTTATTTCTCTCTCTGTGCTCAAGTTTTCTTCCCGTCAACCACACTTTCTGAACTACAGCCCTCACTTTTGAACCCTCTCCAAAAGAGACAGTCTCTATCTCATTCTTCTTGCCTCACAAGAACCAGCACTTCTTCTGAAGCCACGATGGCTCTGTTTACTGTCATGTTGTCTCTTCTTTTCCTCCCCATCTCGGTTCTCGCCCAAAATGCCCCCATCACCCAGAACAATCCCAAGATGGCCACCTTCCAAGCTGTTCTGCAAATCGACAAACCGGTCCAAGGTCAAATCACAGGCGTGTCCAACGGCAATGGCACCGGCGTCAATTTCAACATCAACTTTTATGCATTTCCAGTCGAGGCGTCAGCCGGTCCCTACAGTGAGTTCACCCAGTACCTACCACCCTGACCAATACGTGGTTTCCACGGATGTGAGAAATGAAGAGCAGATATCATCTCATCGCACACATGTTACTCTGGTCGATGGCAATGGCGAATCTGATCTGATCTGCCAATCTACGTCCCTCTTGTCCTCCTTTTTGTTCCTCTCTTGGAACCTCCTGGTAGGAACTGATATGGAAGTCATGCCGTTGTGCGGCGTACATTGGACTCATCCACACGATTGCCACTCTATTTTATTTTTCGGGTCTTTCTTCTCTAATATTCTACTGTATAGAATACCACATCCACGTCAACCCCGTCCCCTCCGACGGCAACTGCACCGGCACCGGCGGCCACTTGACCCCCTACGGCCGCAACGACACTCCCCCCTGCGACGCCTCTCAACCCTCCACCTGCCAGCCCGGCGACCTGAGCGGCGAACACGGCTCTATTGAACTTGCCGACCAGGCCAAGAACTTCCAAGTCACCTATCTTGACGCCTATGTCTCGACAGATCCAAATTCGCCTGCCTTTTTCGGTAATCGGAGCATTGTTGTTCATGCGGCCAATGGGACGAGATTGAACTGTGGCAATTTCACTCAGCAGCAGCCATCTACTAACAATAACAACGCGACATGGACTTCGTGTGCGACTCCAAGTGGAACTGCGACTGCGACGGGGACTGCGACGGGGACTGCGACTGGGTCAAAGTCGGCAGGGCCAAGTATTGCCAGTTCTACTGGAGCGGCGATGGCTTTGGAGGTTCCGCAAGGGGTCTGGTTGGGTTCTGTTGGTGGATTGGTCCTTGCTGCGGCGGTGATGGTGCTGGGTTGATTGACTATCTTGTCCTAGCCAGGAAGGCAGCCAGAACAAGTCAATCAGGCAAGCTGCCGGACTCCGGTTGGCATGGAACTGTGACACAGGGAACCAGCAGTGTCCTGATTAGGATCTGGTGGTCTGCGCTAGGGGAATGGAGAAGCAAATGGGTGGATGATATTACTGTATGATTAGAACAAAACTACCAGGTACGCGACTCCAGGAGACTGGAGTCTTTGTGACAGGCTCATGCGAAAAGCAAAAAAATAAGCTCAATTCAATGAAATGGTTTACCTTACCATCATCGCTTCATCGTTCGTAGCATCCCTGGATGTCATGTCATGTCGTGAGCTGACTGACTTGACTAGAGTGACTTAACCCTCGAACACAGCCTCGTAGTAGCCGCCTGATATATACTGTGCGACAAAGTGCCACTATCTACCCACGAAGATATACATCCATATACTGTATAACGGTACATGTCCACAGCAGTCATCAAGTACCTCTACCTGGGGAGACCGTCAGTGACGTGGATAAATGCCACTCTCGCATCGACTGCAGTGAGCGAGGACGGAACTCGAGAGCGTAATTGTTTCCTCTTCCCCTTTCATTGACACAGTCATATGGCCATCTGCCGTAGCACTGCCAGTTCACCATAATATACCATATCATACCCAAAGGAACCATAAGGTACTCCTGTCATCACCGCCCCTTCAATATGCATGACAGCCAAGTCAAGGCCGCCCTGTCGCATCTTATGTCTCGACATTTGAGCCATTAATAGACCGATGTCTCTCCTTTTTCTGGGCACCAATAAAGCATCAACTGATGCTCAATATCGACTCTGATCGTCCAAACCAGCTCATCAGATACCCAACCACTGCAGCCAGGAAACTAACGAGCCAGACTTACAGTCAGACCGCACGACAGATAAGTATACCCCAACTTGAGAGAGAGAGACGTGTATCTCCTTCCCCTCTCTTGCTCTTTGGATCATCCCTGCGTAACTCAACTCAACCTCTGCAAAAACCCCATCTGAATCAACCTCTCCACATCCCCCTGCCTCACATAAAACTGACTATTCTTCGTCAAATTTATCGCCCCATATTCCGTCTGTATCTCCCCTGCATCTTTCAGCACTCTCACATCAATGAACAAATCCCTCGGTGGTTCCAGTGGCCCTGTGAGATCGACGTCCGTCCATTGTCCTTTATATTGGGCGAGTAGATCGACGTATGACCGAAAATAGGATTCTTCTTCTGCACTCAGGGAGTCAGAATTGCCGGCACTCCCCGTTGTCGTTTCCTTTTTATTATCATGATGAGTTGCTTCTCCACCCTCGCTCCGCTCAGGAGCTTCGTTGTGTAATTCTTCAACCACATCCCTTCCCAACCACGCCATATTTTCCAACCGTTCCGCCCTCACCCGATGATAAGCCAACAAACACCGTTTATTCCTCCTCATGCTAAGATGATCAACTAGTAACGCACATGCCGTGGCCGGATGAGCCGCGGGATCAAATGTGCTTTGTGTGCTTTGGACTGTTTCGCCCGTCTCGTCGTCGACGATGGTGGTGATGGTGTTATACGGTTCCAAGATCCGCGTCACGTCGCGGTCGAGGTCGCGGACTTCGCGGACGATTTGGCGGACTAGTTCGGTTTGGTAGGCTGGTAAAGAGGGGAGGTGGAGGGTGCGTTTGGCATATTGGACCTGTGATGGATAGACAGAAGGGATATAGGTTAGTTGGTGGTTTGAGAGGGGTGGGATTAGGTTGTGAAATGAACGCTCTCGGAGATGAGATTATATGGTTCTTACAAGCTTGTTTCCTAATTCTCCGTGCATTGCATTGGATACTAGGATCAGACCAGACCAGACCAGACCAGATCAGATCAGATCACCATGGACCGTTGGGAGGAAAATCGTCGAGGTGAGCGATAGTATACCCCTGCACGTGGTTCAAGTTGTCGAGAGGCTTTTACTGTAGGTCTAGACCGAAAACTCAAGGTAGGTTATCTCGCGTGCGTATGGATGTACTGTACGTACCCCGCGGGTAGTCGGCTGGTTCAATGGAAAGATGTGCCGCGTGCCGCGCTTTTCGTGATTCCAAAGGTAGTGAGTGTGGCAGGCAGTATTAGCGGTAGTCGGAGGGAAATAAGGTGATTGATTGCTTTGGAGGAGAGCGACGATACGTGGACAGGATACTGTGGGCTTCAGGTATATGTATGTAGGTTCAAGTTCCGGTGGTGGTGGTCTTCCTGTTCCTGAACTTTGGAATGATGCGGCGCCGTCGCGCACGCGTCTCTGATACCGTCGCCGTTGCTATTCCGCCAATCAGGGGCCGCGAATCATGACTCGCATGCCGCATGCCGCATGCCGCAAACCGCGATTTTCAATTATTAGTAAGAGCCCCCGGCCTGCACTGGAGGCACAGAAATAGAATAATTTGTGGGTAGTACCCCTTGATTACATGTCCATCCATTTATCAACTTCATGCATCATCAAGCCTACTTCCGCCGTCTTAAATTGTGAAGGCGGCGTCGTTCCCATCTGACCCAGCAATGCGCAGGGTAAACAAGTCATGGTGTATACTTCGAGGTGAACTCCGCGGCCACTGATCGGCGCTTCTGTACGAAGGTATTCCGCCCCTGGATCCTCAGCCTTGCCGGGAAGGATCCTACCATTAACATCGAGCCGACATCCCCCATCAGATAGGTCAGCGTTTAGCGACCAGCAAGGGAAGGACAGAAAAAGTATCATCAGGTTCTCAATATTTCCCATTTGCAAAAAAAGAAAGGAAAAAGGAACAGAAGAAAGAACCAATTTCGCTCCCTTTTCCCAGACGAAAAAACATCTCGACAACACCATGTTTTGGATTACGATGTACAGTCAAGCCCAAGGTTTTCGCGGGCTAGAATCCAGAAACACAATGGTGATCTTAGGCCTCTGATCCAATGGCCACGAAGGATTCTCTTTCCTTTCTTCCCTTCTTTCGCTTGCTCTGCCAGTACTTGAAACCCAGATCAGCCGTGATCAGAAAACCACTAACCATGAAGCTGCGCTGCTAGTGTGCAGGACGCTCTGGTCCACCCGCCTCGCTTTATGGTAACGTACCACAGCACCTCCGTACCGTGGATGTCCAACCCGGCTTTCTTCTTCCCGAGAGGCAATTCTGCAACCGACCGTCCAATTCTTTTAACAGTCCCAAGTTCAAGTTGGTTGTTTCTGTGTGCCTAGCAAGCCTTGCAGGGCTCCGAAACGGGCTTCACTCCAAACTTGGACATAAAATCCCTGGCGAATGTTAGCCAGACAGACAGACAGCTGCTGTCTGCAGTCATGAGGTGCCTGCCTTATCCCGCAGTGGATGTTGCAGAAAGACATATTTGCAATATTCACCCATGGCGCGCAGATGCTTGTCGTGCAGCCGGCATGTGATTCGTGTAGTAGAGGAAGCTGAGGGATATGATTGATAGACAGCCAGTGTCGGAACAGAGTGGAGAGAGGACCTCAATCCGACTCCATTCAAAACGTTGCAACGACAACATGAAGCCATGCCACTGCACTGCATACTACCAAGAGATAGGGCGATTGCGCCCCATGGCCACGTCGAACAGACACTCACTTACACATGACGCTCCACTTCGTCCATATTGCGGCGCGCATGGCATGGGAGCATCACCGGAACCGTCTGGTTCGCGAGTTGCAAGCGGTACCGTGCTGTTACCATGGACCATTCGCAATGCTGGAATGTCAGAGCCCTTCATTGGCTGGAATTGCTGAGCTGTAGTTAAAGTTTGAGATACGGTATGAGGGGGACGAATAAACTGGAGAAGACCTTGTCTGTGGAGCAGAGCAGAACAGGGGTGAAAATATGGGGAACTGGCAAGGGTACACTAAAAAGCAACCAGTATTTGTCATGACCACCACAACTTGCACCTTTTTTGATGGTCCAACCAGCCAACTTCCGAGTCTATCGGCGCTGGCTGGTCAGAGGTACTTGAACTCTTGAAACACTTTGTTTCAATTGGTCGTGTACGCGATACTATCCTCTAGACATCCACTGAGGTAGACAAGGTACAAGGCAAGGTATATATATCCCTGCATTGATAGACAGTCCGGCTGAGAATGGGCCCAAAACCCTCAAAAGCCGTATGACTTGCATGAAACGAACCTTCGAAGAGCTTCCGAACCAACGGCCTGTCAGCGTTAGGTTCTGCAGTGATCGAGGCTCACCCTGAGTCCTGACCCGCAGATGCAAAATGTGGTCCTGTAATAAATGGCATGAAAAGAATTGCACGACTTATCCGTTCAATAGAGAACGGTACCGCAGCAACAGTTTACCCCTGGTAGGTACTAGGCTGGGAAGTAGTTGCTGAACCTCTGCGCTGCGGACCATCCCACAAGGAACCTTGAACCAGGGCACCAACGGCATTCAAGTTGCTAACAAGGCCCATGTAGTTAAATGTCATTCCAGGCTTGCGGTGACCGTCATTTGTGCTCCAAATTTGAGGCATTCACGCGGTAGCGCAGACCACCATAGTAATTTGAGCGGTACGGCGACTGGTATCATATATATTGATACTGAACTTGGAAGCCAGCTCATCGTGAGCAGACACAAAAAGTGAGAGGAAGTGGATCCTCTCTGGTTAGCGAGTGGGAAGAAAAGCCAAAGCATGCACGGGGGAAGAAGGAGTACTTATCCACCAAAGCCACGTTCCTGTCCCTACCGGCTTGAAAAAGCAATGATCTGCACCGAACGATCCCAGCAGTGGTAGAAACGCGTACTGGGATATCATCCATGGCATAGTTCGGTCTTATGGTCAACGTCCAATGCAAAGCCCCAAAGGAAAGCATCAACATAAAAACACAAATACACTGGGGGTGCCCCATCCACTTGAGAATCATACCTGGGATCTGTGGGATATGAAAATATGGCCAGACGTGATGTAACACTGGCTAGGTCCGATGTTGGACATGAGTGGGCTCGGTTGAAGCTCCCAAGGCTTATCCCTGGACGGACGTAAACTTTAATGCCGGATGTTGAACTGCGATAGCTCCTAGACGTACCAGGTAAATTGGTCGGCTAAAATGATCCGAAACCGTAGGCGATTGCATAGAAGTGGATGCTTATTCTAGCATGCTGTGACAAGTCTGGTGGAGTTGTTGATGCATCCGCGTGCGGTTCCGTAGAGGCTCAAATCATGAGCGAAGGAATGCGGGAGCGGGCCGAATACGGTCAACAGCACGGTCCATGCCAGTGCATGGCTGTTCCTGGAGAATCACCTCCGTTCTACCCTGTTGACATGTTTGCAGTATGCATATGGCGTAGACATGCCATGCTGACTGACCAAAAAGCAGTCATCGCGTGAATTCCTCCAACGTCAAAAACTGTTGGAGATAGCAATCTTTAGATATGCTGTCGAGGAAGTCGCTTGTAGCGTATCGGAGAATATGGAATGCTGCAGCCAGTTCCATGGCGATCATGTCTGTATCCGCCGTCATATGAGTGTTCGTTGTACAGAGAACCACTGGTAGCCAATCAGATGTCAGGAACACCCGGTCAATCACGGGTCGGTCAGGATCAAGACTCAGGCCAGATCCAATGCTTATGGTGCTCTCTGACAGCGTGATTGACCGGCAACGGTCCCTGCTTGAGGGAGAGCTTCCAAAGTCTTAGGAATGTGACTGGTGGCCCAAGCACCCGCGAAGGACAGGGGAGGGAAACGTTCACTCCTCGAGTGGAAACTCACCAAGAAGATCACCCAGGGTCATTCTATCTGACAACAAGTCCATCAAAACCCTTCCTTTTATCAAAACAGCTTCCACACGATGGCAGAGACCTGACATGGATGTTATAGCATGGTTCAACAGTATGGGGCTTACCGTTGCAGCGCCACGACTGAAAGAGCCCCTTCAGGATATTGCCCTCCTGGATGCATGGGGACCACAACAAGAGGGTTCCTATTGGGAACCCTCATGTGATGCCTGAATGCGATGCTTAACACAGCTGCTGTTGTCAGCAGAATCGCTCGCGGTGCCTTTTTGCTTTCATCAACCTGAAAACAAAAGAAGTTCTTTCAGAGAAAGCCGGATCTTGACCATGATTCCGGATCCGGAAACTCCCACTCGATGCATCCATCAACCGTAGCGAACACCACAAGGCCGAGACTCTTTCTAGAGATTGATATGTTCTCTTGTTCTGGTCTTTCTCTTCACGTTCTTCTTGCATTCAACAAAGGTGGTCAATCAGCCTGTGGTCTCAGATTCGAGATTGCTTTTCAACCTCTCACGGGTAATTGAGACAAAGCCCACCAATCTAGCGTCATCAGTTGCAGCATTAGGAGGCGACTACCTACTCACCGCAAGATTCGCACATCAGGCTGTCTGCAGTGGACCGACACTCATCCCAACGACACCCAAGGCTCTTGGTGTCCAGTTGCAAGATCCCATCGGGTTCCTGCAACAATACGATAAAAAGAGAGACCATCATCCAGAAGATAGTCCCTTCAAGAACAACGAGAACCTTTCATCAATTGTCCTTCCCATCAAAGCAAGACCACCACTGATCAAGCTTTGATCCATTGTGCGGCCAGTTCATACGGCGGAAGACAACATTGTGGCAACTTTCCACAATCCGGGTGTCAACGTTGCGGAGCACACTTCAACCGTCCCTTGAAGGAACGAGTGTCTGCAGGACGCAGGCTCAGAAGGTCTTCACCGCTTGCAAGACAGCAACAACAGCTCTGTATAAAGCTGAGAAGCCTCCTAACTCCAACAAGCGATCCATCAAAGAGCCGCTGAAAGGAAGAAGACATACTTTCTTGGTCGCGAAAGCTCATTCATCATCCCTTTTCCAAGAGTTCGCACCATACTCCAATGGCTCAGGACAGACCGTCAACTCCTCACTCGACCGACGGCAATTACATTGTAGGCGACGCCAGTCAACTCCGACAGGTCAAGCCAGAACCATACACACCGCCCATGCCGCCAACATCCATGGTGACAAGCATGCCTTCCCATTCAGCATTTGTAAGTATATCCAGTATAAGAACAAACCCAAACGAAACTGACCTTGACAAGGATCCATATGGCGAAACATCCCTCTACCCTGACCCAACTCCAGTCTACTACACCCCACAGCACGTAGGTAGACCCCAACTTGAAACCAGTTTGGAACTTGCTGACAGTCTTAGGCAATGATCACATCCGAGCCATCACAAACACCGCCCCAAGGCCGTAGTGGAGGTCGCGTATTTACTCGGAGTGGCAGAGCCATTGCAACTCCCTCCAGCCCCAGCAATACGGCATCCACTCGCGCATCGGCATCTCCGGCCCCACGAGCGCGAAGGAATTTAAAGAAGAAGCCCACGAAAAAAGGAGGACCCGTCATTGACAAACCACTGAGTGTCCTGACAAAAGACTTCCAGACACCGATCAAAGACATGAATGCATGGGTTCATCGCCCCGTTGAAGATAGGATGGCCGAGGTGGAAAAGAGAAAGGGGTACATCTCAAGACCAATGAACTCGTTCATGTTGTACCGAGCAGCTTATGCTGATCGGGTGAAGCAATACTGCAAAGAGAACAATCATCAGGTCGTGTCGCAGGTGACAGGTGCAAGCTGGCCCCTAGAGCCCAAAGAGATCCGGGACATGTATGAGAGGTATGCTCACATTGAGCGCGACAACCATCAAGCGGCTCATCCGAACTACAAGTTCGCACCAAACAAGTCGACCAAGAGAGCCAGACAAGATGATGATGATGCCAGTGACAGCGATCCTGACTGGGAAGGTTCAACCAGGAGCTCCAAACGCAGCCGGAGCGCTCGACGATTTGACAGCAGAAGCGCCTCATCCACTCCTCTGGAAGACAGACCTGTCCGGTATCATCAACCGATGCCCGCATTGAATTTGTCAGGGTACGAGATCAGTAACCCATATGGCCCGCCGCCGTTGATCATGGGTCCTGCTGGTATGGTAGGCGAGTATTATCAGCCGTCGACAGCCATGGCACCATACCAAGACCAGGTTTCTGACATCAAATTCGAGAAGATGAACAGCCCCTTTCCCTCATACCAGGCCACAATGGGTCTTCTGGGGTTGCCGCATGGCGGTCATCATGAGTTGTTGACATCGTACCCTGCACCACAGCAGGTGGAGTATCCGGTCCAGCATAATGTGCTTGATCCTCGCCTGGGGCAGCTCGATCCCAATTATCCAATGGTATACTATGGGGAGGACATGAGACATCCTCAGGAGATACCCCGGACAATCTCTTATGAGCCGGTGAACCAGCTCGAAATTGGCTATCAGCAAGAAGCGTATCATCCAGGACTGGCAACACTGACTGAGGAGCACGATGTCTGGGGAGACGCGGGACAGGCTGGTTCTGACTTCGACTCGGAGTTTCAGAAATTACGCTGAGTAAGGAGCAATTGGGTAAAAGAGAAAGGAGGGCATCGCGTTCACATATGCATAGCGGCGGAGTGCTCCTAGATTTTTGATTTTTAGTCTTTCGAACGCACGCTTCAAGTCCGGGTTGTACAACAAAGACAGCTTCTTGGATCCTTTGTCCAGAAAAGGAAATATGGATGCATGTGTACAGTGTCGAGTGCTGTTCTGGAACAGTCCCGGCCTTCGGATGGTCGGTGCCAAAATTAGATAATGAAAGACATTTCAAGGATGGCCATCTGCTGTACATGACAGTCACCTAGTCAAAACCAGGAGCACGAGTTGTGATTGTCGCAAAGTTGTAACCGACGTGGATGGCTTTCGAAGTGATTGAGTCGACGTTGCCGAAGATTGGCTGCTGTTCTAAGCCAGGTGTTCCACCGTACAGAACGGCGCATTCTGTTACCGCCAGACGCAACCCCGAGGTACAGGCTCAACAGGCTCAACAGGCGAAATGCACAGTAGTAAGACAGTGTCGGGTAAGCTATATATCTCAGAGTTGGTACGTGCTATTGGTCTTGCCGCTTGAGGTACCATATTCTTTTCATTCGCAGAGAGCAGAGCCTTCAGCCGAGTCTATAACAGAATGTTGCAGTTGGGTTTCAGCAGTTGCTCTGGGATCGCCTGGACAGATATCAAATCGCGCTCCTGATGCCCACCCCAGGTTTCTCACAACCTGTGGTGCAGAATGTATTTGTATGGGGACAAAGAAATACAGAATATAATGCTCGAAACATGCCATAGGGGTCAGAAACCGACTGTCTCATCTATCAACCCTGCACCGCTCACAAAGAATACACTAAGAGGAACTGGCCTGGCCTGTAAAGGACCACCCCCGGGCTTGCCTTTTCAGATCACAACTTGGCCTTGATTGTCTGATCTGACCCGTTTTGAGCAGTGGCCTCGCTGTTCACCACCACAGCACCAGTATTCTCACCCTCACCGAAGAAAATCACCTCGACCGTCAAGTCGTCTCTATACCGTCTACTGTATGGGCTCGGCAAGGTGAGCAGCGCACACAGCATGTCCTTATCCTTGCCACCGAGCGCGTTGCGGACCAGATGCGTGGCGGCGTTCTTGTCCTCCACCACAAATCGGTCAACCTTTTCGGCCTTGACGTCCCACTGCTGCTGACGGATAGGTTTCTCTCCTGCTTTGCCATTGTCCACACGTCCGGTCTTGTCCATGTTGCCACCTTTCTCCACAGGTAGAGCGGATGGAGCGGAGGACTTGAACCAAGATGTGAGCCAGGCCGTGCTCGAGTTCGAAGATGCCGAGGCTTGTTTGTTCTGCTGTTCAATCCATTGTCCTACTAGACCGACCGCTTCTTCGTTGGTCAGCATCTCCCACAACCCGTCAGTGGCTAAGATCAAGAAGTCACCCTTGGAGGGTTCGATTGGCGTGCTAGTCACCACGGGTTCGGCGGTAACATAGGGCGGGGTCTTGAGGAGAGGATGCGGCGTGCGGCCAAAGAAGTTCTTCTTGAGGCGCTCCTGAGTGTCACGGGACCACTTGTAAAAAGCATCGCCGAATGCGCGAGTAGGCTCCAGATTGCCCAGGACGCGACCTGCGCGGATGACATTTTCTTCTCCAGGATGTTCGGCACGCAATCGGGCAGCTTCATTGGGATTTGAGCCAGTCTGGTCCTCCGACAGAGGGGTTGCGAACCACTTTCCAGTCTGCATATTCCGGCGACCTAGTACCGCTCTGCTGTCACCTGTACAAGCCACGCGCAATGTCTTGCTTTGCGAGTCGTAGAAAGAAAGCAAAGCGCAGGAGCCTGAAAGGGCAGGAGCCAGTAGTTCGGCAGCAAGTCGTTTGCTAGGGTTCTTACTCAGCTTGCTCACGCTGTCCAAGCAGATCTCGTTGTCCAGCTTGACAAAGGCGGATTTCATGGCCTGGTCGATCTCTGCCGGTGACGGGAAAGGGGACTTGGGGTTTGACAGAGCGGCCTTGTAGGTGCTGTTGAGTTCCCGGGCGACAAAGGAAATCAAAACTTGACGAAGTTTTGCAGAAGTTGTCCACCCTGAGTGACCGTCAAAGACACCCCAGAACATCCAGTCCGAAGACGGTGCTCCGTCCGTGGCAGCAACGGTGTTTGGGACTTCGACAATCTTCTCGGCATGATCGTCCTCAATGGGGTCGTTGCTTGGTAATTGCACGACGTCGTATCTGACCACGCCGCCTCCACGCCCCACAAGAAACGACTGTTCATTCTTCCGTAACCTCTCCGTGGCTTGCTCTGGAGTCATCATCTCAAGGACCTTTCTGCCGTAGTCATCGGTATCCTTTGCCAAAGGGCCGTCGCCCACTATGGAGCCGGTGAAAAACTGATCGTTGTCCACCACCAACGCTTTCCGATTTTGCTCTTGCGCGGACGAAACAGGCGTCGCAGTGCCTGAACCAGAAGCGGGCTGAGGAGCCTCTGGAGTAGTACTCAGACTTCTGGCCGGCTGGACTGAGATGGGAGTGACCGGGTTACGAAGGAGATGCTGTGGTCCATCGCCTCTATACGCATACCACGCCCCAATGGCACCTAGGGTTCCAACGAACGCAATCGGCAACTTCGGTAGACGCATAGAAGACTGCAAAGGCTGCCGCGACGTACTGTATCTCCGCGTAACAACCGAGGACTGCGCAGCTACGACATGATCCGAAGGGCCAAAGGATGACTTGGAGGAGATGAGCTTGCGGAAGGGAGATCGTCGAGCCGTGCGAAGGGCGAAAACGGCGGCTCGACGCATGGAGGCTGTCAGGAGGATGGAGCGCGATGGAGCGCGGGCATGTAGACTCGGAACAGGAGAGGCTGTAGGAGACAATCGAATGACATTAGGCACCGCTAGAACATCATGTATGTTGTGAAGGAAAGGCAGTCGTCAATCCTGTTGTAGTTCTCACTGTTGAAATGACAGGCAGACTTGGGTTCGTGACAGGCGGAGCCAATCGGAGTAATTCTTCCGGGGCGATTGTCCAACTGCGGAAATGCGTCACCAGCCGGCAGCGCATGCAGTGATTCTGGACTCGACTCGACTCAGCCCAAATTCACTCTTGATGACTGTAACTGCTTCCGAGTTTCCGCCGTTCATTTTTGCTCAGCTTACTACAGTGCGCTGCTTTCTTCTCATCGACGTCTTCTACATACAAGATGGCCCCCCGAGCCCTACGGAAACTGCAGCGCGAGCAAGAACTGCAGAGGCAGGTCGCCGCAGCCCACAAAACATACGATGAGGATACCGAGGAATCGGAGGAGGAACAAGATGCTGAGGAAGGAATTTCCACGCCATCCCGGCCTACCAATGCTTTTGACATGTTGGAGCAAGTAGAAGATGAGGAACCTTCAGACACGGATGAGGGGGAGACGACGGCCCAACCAGCCCCAAGCGCACATTCTCCAGACGACATCCCCCGAGCCAGTGAAGTGACCGCGGTAAAGAGCAAAAGCAAAAAGAAGAAGAAGAAAGCCAAAGGCAAGAAGAAGGACAGCAGCAAAGGCCCCACACCTGCGGAACGAAAGGACGAGTCCGAAGATGAAATCGATCGGGCCTTGAAAGAGTTAGCCATCAAGGATGCCCAAGGGAGACCCGCCACAACCGACAGCCAACAGACCCCGGATTGGGAAGCCACAGCGACGAGGCTACTCGCTGTCGATTCACACAATTTCAATCCCACGAATGAGATGAAGAGCCTGTTCGGCAATATCGCTTTGGAAGGACAAGAGTCAAGGTCCGCCCCGCGCAACCAACGGCGACGTGAGCAGAATCTACAAGGAGGAGTCGACCTCGCTACAGCCCTAACTGGGAGGTATTGTGTAGCAAGTAAAGGCAAAGAACTTGGCTCCCTTGCGCATAGGCGCAATGTTTTCGTGCAGGGGAAGGAGGAGTGGCCCTTGGCGACCAGTGGTGGACTGAGCATGGAGCATGTCCCCGATCCGACGACCTTTGAGAAGCGCTATAACATCATGCACAACAACTTGTACCGAGAGGCGCAGATGCACTTCTTAATGGCGGTGGAGTCGATGGATCCACAGAAGATGGTTGGCTTGCTATCCATGTACCCCTATCATATCGCCACGCTGCTTCAAGTATCGGAAATCGCCAAACATCAGGGCGACCATGCAGTGTCCGGCGACTTGATCGAGCGAGCATTGTATACCTATGGCAAATCCGTTCACAGCTCTTTCCCTGCGTCCATGAGGAGCGGCGTTGCCCGCGTGCCCTTTGAAAAGCCAGCAAATCGCGAACTTTATCTGGCGATATGGCGATATATCAGAAACCTCGAAATGAGAGGCACGTGGCGGACGGCTTTTGAATGGGCCAAGCTACTTCTTCAGCTGAACACAAAAACGGATCCTTATGGGGTGACGTTGATGATCGACCAGCTCGCATTACGAGGTCGCCAACATGCACAGCTGATTGAACTATGTTCAGATGATGGGTATGGACCTTCGTGGGATTTTTTGCCCAACATCCAGATATCTCTGGCCCTAGCGTACCACAGGGCAGGCCGACCGAGAGATGCAAGGGAACAGCTTGCAGTTGCGATGCACAAATACCCCTATATCCTCTCTGCGCTGGCCACGGCTCTCGACATTTCCCCACTCCCAAAGGCCATTTGGGCGAAACTACCTTCCACCGATGCCGAAAAGTTGCACACGCAACTCTACGTCACCCGAGCCAAGGACCTTTGGAACACTCCCGAGACCATCAGCCTTCTCGTCGAGGTGGCCGAGACACTATCTCACTACAGAGCGGCGATAGCATCTGCACCGCCCGCGCCCACGTTGGAAATCTCGCTCGAAGAAGCCCGACATATCATGCTGCTGGAGATCCCGGCGCTCATTGCCCTCCTTCCCCGCCGATTCACGAGTATGCCAACCTCGTCATTTGACGTTCTGCCGCCGCCCGACTCATTATCGGACTTCGTCTTCCGAGCACCTGCAGCGGCTAGACGCGGCGACGGGACCATGCAAACCATCTTCAACGCCGCCGGCGCGACGGCAGGTGCGACAGGCAGTTTGTTACAACGCATCATGAGCTGGTTCCAGACACCTGCGGGGCCTGGCGATGTTGACGGCGAGTCCGAGGGCCAGGCGGCTCTGCGCAACTTGCAAGAACAGCTTGGTGGCGATGTGCCGCCCGAGATGATCGAGCAGCTCCTCCAGATCCATTTGGACGAGGCTACCGACCAGGACCAGCAGGGCGTCAATCCTGCTGGACTCGGAATGGCCGGAGGGTGGGACTACTACGAAGAAGCGGACCAGAACAATCCGACAGAGGACGATGACGCCGACAGCATGCCTGATCTCGAGCCCATTTCAGATGACGAAGAACAACCACAGCAGCCACAGCCGAGTGCGTCTCGAAACCCTCGTGCCGCTACTGTCGAAGAGGACGAAGCCGAAGACGAAGCAGAGCACGGCGCTGCACAGTCTTCACGCGGTACCCTTGGCCGCGCGGTGCTTCGCCATGTTGATTCTGATGATGAGGAAGATGGGGGGGAGCCAGCTGCCACCACCACGGGGGCTCAGCAACGGACGCAGCCTCAATCTGCTGCTGCACCAGACACTGCTAGTGCCGACCAGTCGACACAATTCAGCGACCCGCAGCGAGTGCAGCGCTGGCTGCTCACCGCCGGGCTGACGGATCTCCAGTCCAATCCGGACACGTTGGACACTTATGTCTCGCGACTCAAGTCCCTGCGTAAACCGCAGCAAGACTGGGTCGTGAATATGGTGCGCCAGCGCGCCGGTCCGGACCTGGAGGCCAGGCTGAGGCGAGCAATGGGCTGAATTTGAATTCTGCGGCACTGGCACTTCCAATTAGAGGATGGGATGATGAATTTTCATGAGGTAAAGCGGATATGGAATAATGATGACTCAAAAAGTAAAGGTTCCCAACGAAATCACCCCAGTTGAGACGAAGTGCGTTCCTAGAAGTGAGAGCGTTGGAAAACAGGACGGATCATTGGTTGCAGACAGTGACTCGCTGTCTGCTCACCTCACCTGATCAATACTGGAGGTAAAAGATGTTGGCCGCTGCCGCCTGCTTCTGCTTTCTGGAGAGGGTAGGCACTACTATACTGTACCGTAGCATTGGATAGAGAAGCATCGTCCCCCGGTTCGCTGGGCTTGCAGCCACATCTGAAGACCAGATTGCAATCAAAGGATTCCACAGTCCTACTATTGGCACTAGTCCTCTGTGAGCCTCGTTAATTGCAAATTCGCCTTGCGCATCAGCGTAAACTGCAGCCTCATAACACAACATTCATGTGCACATTCTGTGCTGTTGGTACTATTAGTAGGTGGTGTTCATAGCTGTTCCGCTCTTTATCCAAAGTTTTTGAAGCCCTGCTGGCTGATTGGGGAGAGCGGAGACATGATATAAAATTCGGGGAAAAAAGGGCACTGAGAATCGGACCAAGGATTTAAAAATCCAGTGTTTATCTTTTGTCTAAAACTTTTTGTATCAACTGGGGTGCACTAGTAATCGTACATACAAAAGGACTGGGAATCTGGTCTAGGAGCCACCTTCGTCCACCGACCCCGACTCTACTTCTTTGACGGTGTCTTGTTCCGCAGAGAAAAAAGGTAGGCGGTTGGTTGCTTTGATGCCAGGCCAGGAGGTTATTCAACTCTCGCAGCACTGCACAGCACCTCACTTTTCACCCACCCGCAGCAGAACCGAAAGATAGCGACCATGACTTCCCAAATGTCCCCTCTCCATTAGACCTGCTCATCCATGAACTTCGGGTATCGCGCAAACTGAAATTGACTTCTTCAACAATCATGCAAGCACAACGCTCGGTTTTCGAAAAAAAGAAAAAGAATTAACCTTTTTGGCCAGTGGTGGGCACTAAGCGCCGAAACACGTGTCGCTCGTCTTGCGTTCTGTTTCACAATTCCGAATCGTCCGAGTCATCGGCAGCGGACTGCCCATTATGCGTGAAGATCAGACCCGAAGGTGCCACGACTCCATAGGTTTCGGGACGCTTAGCAGCACTTTGCAAATCGACCAACAGCCGCTTGTATCCATCGCCGGGACCGTGGAATTTGCGGTCCATGCGCATCTTGTCTATCCTATCGGCCAGCGGCATTGTCGGCGGCTGCACAGGCTCATCATGTTCTTCTAGACCGGCATTGGCGAGAGCTCGTCGATTGCCAAATGCGCGATTGTCGCCGATCAGTGGCTTGGGAGACGTTGAGGTGCTGGTGATGATCTTTGGCATAGCAGCCGATGACGGAGCGACGAGGCTTGCAGTCTTTTCACCAAAAATCGACGGTGCACGGCGATGATCTGGATCTGCTGGATTCGGTGGCATCAGCGCAGGAGCGGTCAATGCCGATGCAGCGTTCGTCGTCGGTGCCGCTGAAGCCCATTTCGAAACAATGGTCTTTGAAGTCACGACTGATTTTGGTTTCGTGCTGGCCTTGGTATCGGCCGGTGACAAGCTTCGAGCCTCCACGGGAGGTTGTTTTGGCGCCGATGCGTTGACAGACATGTTCCAGTTGTTCCGCGCAGCCATAACCAAAGCCTCGTCAAATGTACGAGGTTTCGCTGGTAGTAGAAGCTCGGATGTGACTGCGGTCGATGACGGCACGACGGGGATCTTCTTATTCTCTGGAGCAATTGGCTCCCGAGGTTGGAACGGATTGGTCCTCAAAGTCGCTCGCGAGATGTTGTTTGAAGCAGCTGGTTCGGCCGCAGGCATCTGTTCAGGCTCGCTGATTGGGTCTGCATGAGCAGTTTTGTGGACGGTGATTTCTCGCGCCGCTGCTTCAGCTCCGTCGGCAGCTTTGTCAGGCTTCGCTACAGTCTCTGAGAGTGATTCTTTCAAGGCCAATACCTGGGCTTCAGGGACGTATCGAACACCGTTGATGAGAACAACCTTGTCCTTCCCGGCGACGAGGATATTGTTGCTCGTACCCTCAGGAATGGGCGAGTCCAAGAGACTGCCATTCTGCGAGACTGAGTCCGAGACTCCAACCTGGGGACTGACACCATTGTAATCCTGAAGTCCGACACCACCAGCTTCATCCTGGATTCCGAGACCGATGAGGTCTTCTGTGATATTGACTGAGGCCGGAAGCTGCTCTGTCTTTACTGACGAGGCGGAGAATCCAGACAATGCTGCCTGGCCTGATACTCCATCAGTATGTGTCGATAAGTCACGACGTGCCACAGTGGCATTGGTGGGAACGGCAGACAAGCTGAAGGGCACCTTTCGAACCCGTCCACCGCCACAATTTATCGTCAAATGTTGTTCAGGGGCAACCTGGTGGCCAGCCTGGGTAGGCTTTGCAGACGCTGGTATGTTGTTGTTCTCCTGCTGTCCCTGCAGATTGGGCTGTGGCAGCGAACCCGAATACTGGGTCGCCTGCGACAGAAACAGCGACGGATCCGCGGACAGGGCGCCGATGTATGACGGACGCGAGGGCAGGTTCTGGGCACGGGCATTTCCTGTGGCCGATCGTGCCTGCGCAGGCTTGCTGCTTGTGGTAGAAGACGCTTTTGACTGAGCATTGGCTTTCTTGCTCCTCAATGGGCTAACCGTGGAGGGAATTGCTCTGAGGGATGCAGCAGTAAGGCTAGCAGGGCCTGTCGGGAATGATTCAGTATCTTTCAGGGCTGCCGGTGGCCAGGGCCTATCTTGAATACCTCGGGTGGACTTCTTGTAGGAGCCTGGATTGGGACCAGCGGGCTTCCTACTATCCCCACTCTTCCGATTGCTGTGTCTATGGGTCAGGCATGTATCAAGGTGGGATGGATCCGTCTTACCCGAAGAGATTTTGTCCGCCACGGCCACCACCCGGTCGAAATGCACGGTCATCATACGTGTCGTTCAGGTCTATCGCACGGCCGAGTTCTTTCTCTTTCTCCAGCCTCTCCTGCTGTGTTCGATATCGATGGCTGTTCCCATCCGTGCCGCCGGCAAGAGGGTCGACCCCGGCAGAGGTGATCTTTGCCTCGTCGGTGTCGCCGAAAGCTGCAGCTTTGTCAGTGACCCAAAGCTAAACAATGAACTAGGTTTCTTACTACGCCACAAGTTTGCCTTCGAAGAATTTTGACTGGCAATTCTTGCTTCCTCGGTCCCTGCCCGTGCGGACTTCGGGATAATGGGCATGATGGGTGCTCGCCGTGGGCCATAATCGCTGGTTGTGATGTAGTCCGCAGTGGCCTGGCCTAAATCTTCCTAGGCGGAGGTCAGCCTGCGCAGTGTTGGTCTAGACAGAAGCGTGCTTACATCCATGATTCTCTTCAGGTCTTCCTTCTTCCGAGTGTTTGGAGACATTGGAGTTGGTCCATGATCTCGATCTGAATCGTCAAGATCCATTGCAGCCTGCCGCCGACGGGCCATGGCGGGCGGCCAAACGGCTTACTTCTCGTAGAAGTGACCGCAGAAGTGTGTACTGATGGTTGCGTCCTTGAGGCAAGATTGGAAAAGGGAATGTTTGCGGGCAGTTGGTGGCACAATAGGTGTATGCGCACAACAGAGAGGAGGCCAAGCAGTTGCTTCGATTTGAAGCTAACTACCAACGAAAGAAGCAGTTGAGGACTCCGGGCAGTTCAGGGTGAACGTTAGAGAGAACCAGAGGGAGAAGAAGAAAGAGGATGAGAAAGAGAAGAAGGAAACAGAGATGGCGCAGAGCGGACAGAAAAGGATGGTGCTGGTGAATTTGGCGTCCAATCCCACAATGAGCGTTGTGGAAACACGAGTGACTGAGACGGTACTCATATGCATGCTAACGTGCGTGTACAAAAGACATCGTCTGCGAGAATAAGAGACAGAGGGATATCCATGCGTAGGTGCGTTGGCAGGTATGCAAAGACAGATTCTGGTAAAGGAGGTTGTGGAGCGAGTTGACGCGAGTTGAGATCTGATAGTAGTAAACGCGAAAACAGCTAAAGGCAACATAACCATAACGCGAGATCTGCCACAGGATACACAACGCCGACTGTGCTTGGAATTAACTTAGGACAAGCAACAAGAACGAATATCGCCAGCGAAGTTGAACCGTCAAAGAAACCACAGGGCAAGTATTCCACAACGGCACGAACCAAACACTTTATCCCTGACTCAACATTGCCACTTCGCGTCCACCACAACATCCATCTCGAGTGTGAGCTTCAATGCAAAAAGTAGGTGCTGACCTAGCTTCGTGCTGCCACAGAGAATATCTCGTGGCCATCTGCAGATCAATGTTGGCCATTTGTTAAGCAGACTAGACCGAGATGCAGGAGCAGCCATGGTCATACGGCCTTGCTTTTGTTCTTTGAAAGGCTTGGTATTTCCATCAACGTCAATTCATTAACTCCTGTCCAGCTCGAGGCAGCCCTGCGCAGCCGGCGGCCAGCAACCGGCGAAAAATGGCCGGTAGAAGGCGCATACCATCATTGAGACCTGCAGTATCCAGTCACCTGAACCATGCCCTCAGTATCGGGCACTGCTGATAGCATGAACTGGGAGGGAAACGGATTTCCCAGCAGTGCATGGCAGAAACTCTCGCATTGGCACGATATATGAACACGGCGGAGGTTTAAAGAAAGCAGCATCTCGCCTTTTGGGGTCATCGGATACAAAGTTTGTTGGTTGTTGGATGACACCGGAAGCCTGGACCCGGGGCTAAGGACTCAGATGAATGGCTCCCCGCCAATTTTAGCATCTTCAGGGATACCAGTCCTCAGCCTCATGCTACGTTAGTATGAAGCAGGAAAGGAGGATTGGTAGCAGTGTGGACGGATACTTACTGAACGAGATACGAGATACGATTATCAAGGATCGTTTTTGTGCTCCGAGCGAGTCCACAACGTGCCTGAACACCGAGGACATTCATCATCAACACATCACCACTGCATTTCTACTATGATGGCCGGCCTTCTGTCCGTCTCTCCGGAGACTGCTTATGTTGAATAACAGCAAAAAAGGCTACTCAGGCTATGCTCATATAGTACTACATACGGCGGTCGGAATCGGACGAATGGCACGAGGGAGACCGAAGATACTACCTAGATACCAGGTACCCATCTGTGTGGTTCTGGTCACCCAAGTATTTTGGCAGTCGGCGAACAGGGCATTCCGGAGAAGTGAGCACTGTTCCCCCCTGCGTCCTACGATAGTATAATAATAATAATCACTACAAAAAGAATGCATACCAGATCCATGTAACTACAATATTGTACTTGTGCTAATAAAAGGACACCGCCTATTGAATGCTGCATTGGACAGCTTATCTGCAGTCTGACCCAGCAAATAATGCTACCTATAATTACCAGGTACGAACAAGCGAACCGGGGAGACAAGGGTTCCTCCCTAAAGTTCCAGGCCGGGCGCCCAACTGGAACCCGATAGTCAGCTGGGCGGGATCCGGAACTGGCCCAAGCTCCACTTGGTGCTTCCCCAACCTTCAAGCACCCGAGCCTGTGACTGGCTCCAACGGGTGCTAATGGAGAGTCCCCGGACACCGAGCTCGAGGGGCTGAGGTCAACTGTTCTCAGCTATACCGATGCCTGTGGAGGTGCCAGTGGTGTTGTAACTGCAGCCTGGGGCGAGAGTATGCGAGGGCGGCTTAAAAGGGACTCACGACAACGTGCTCTGGCCTGCTCGGAGCTGCATCTCAACCACTGGCACTGCACTGCACAACAGTCCCAGCAGCTTCTTGACACCTTACCTACTAGTATCACCATTCACCGTTCTTATCAGCCCACCCTCACACAGAGCTCCCTTCGTCCTGTCTACCGACACTATTCTTCCCGGTCACCGCCATTCTTCGTCTGTTTCATCCCGACTTCAGCCTTTATCTATCGTCTTCCCCCTCTTCGACGAGGCAGTCCGTCGTATGTACCCGCCGCAGGACTACATCGACCACAACATCTTTCACACCATTCATTGAAGTCGACACCACTCAATCTGCCACTCCCTGCCTTGCCAATCCTAAATCAATCTATCACCATGGCAGCTCCCCGGGCATCCTCGTTCAAGGCTTTACGCAACCTCCAACGCGCAGCCGGGTCGGGTCCGGCCAAACGCGGCCTTCACATTACAGGGGTCCACGCCTCGCCGAGGCCCATTGACCCAACACACAAGACAACCTACATGCCGTGGAATCTGCAAGATCTCCGTCAAGAATGCCAGAAGCGCGCGCTATCAGCCTCGGGCACAAAACATGAGTTGATCGACCGCCTTGCAGGCCATGACAGTCTGCAGGCAAGGGCTTTCTCCATAGCCATCAAACGGATTGCCATCGAGCAGACCAAGAAGCCTGTGTCGGGGTATGTAGCCTTCCACGTATTTTGACGACGACTTTTGACTGACATGGTGGTAGTCCATCGGAGACCGCTCCTCAGCGACACTTTAACACTTCCCGCGCACTAAAGGCGGTCCACGATAACTCAACGATTGATTTTGCTTACCTGCCCCGGTTGTATGACGAGCCGTACGGGCCTTCCCCAGCCGCCATTCGAGTTCCCATTCTGCCAGACATCAATTCGGAGAGCGCTGAAGCAGTATTGGACAAATACCCTGAGCTCGACGCTGCCGCGGGCGGATATCAAGACACCCAGGGCCACGATACGGTCATGAAGCCAGAGATTGTAGCAGTGGACGATGCATTGGGAAGTCCAGCAAGTGCTCTGAGCGATGTGCACGATGGCCATCATGCAACGGAAATGTCGGTCGAGCAGCTCACTGCATTGACTGAAACTGTAGGCAAGAGTGCTCGCCAATTCGTGGACATGGTCAAGGACAAAGATGAAGCGACCATTCGCAAGATCTGGACTGGTTTTCTCGATGACTTGTTTGGTGGACCACAGAAAGGAGCCAAAGCATGAACAGTGCAGTGCCACGCAAGCGCTATAACCAGCCCCCAGATGTGCTGCTAGAACAAATCCTCCTTGCACTCACGCTGTACGCAATGGTTGGGAGATGATTCGTACTCTATAGTTGTATTCCATCTTTAATTCCGTGCGCACAGCGCACTTTTTGAGCCATGAGATGGTGTGTTTATGCACTGGTGGAGCGGGTTTCAAATTGATGATGATTACCCAGAATCCTGCAAAGGGTTCGCGGCTCGCATGTGTCACCGTGGCGGAGGCTGCGGATGCCGTTGTCTCTGATCTCGCTCCACCACAACATCCACGTCAAGCCAACACCAGAGTCCTCGACCACTCCTGGTGCTGACATTGGGCGTCCGTACTTCTTTTGGCATCGCTTGGCGGTGGCTCGAATACGGGCAGCCTGAGGTACTCTACGCAGGAACCGCCAGACATCGAATTCCCCAGCCGCAGCTATGTCCACTGGCACGTCAGGCGAAACTCCATCTGTCTGTCCTCAAGCCGGGTCTGGTCACCGCCGCAATGCTGCCCCCGGACTGAGTCTGGCACAGGTCAATCATGCCTTTAGACATGCCTTTCGTACAAGAGTGTGGACACGACACTTCCATGCCCTCTGAAGGGATCTGGTAATCGAATCTATGTACGGCGTGGCATGCTTTGCGCAACACATTCTTTGAGGGCCAATCCGGGTGGCATGTGGCAGGTGATCGTCAGGTACGCGAGTAGGAACGTCTCCATCTCCCATTTTTGCGCTCCATCCAGCGTCCACTTTCGCTTGTGTGGCTTCAGCCCCCCTGGCGAGATGACCCGCCAAAACAGCCCAGCGGCCCAAGAGCCCTTGGCGATGGCGTCTCCAGCATTGGCAGGGACGCCAGAGACATCGAGGGTTCATGGAGCCGACACATCACTACTACTAGGTTGCCGCTGTCCCAGCACCGAGCCTCAGATCTCGACTCTCATTCTCTGCGCTCTACAAACATATGTCCATCCGCAGATCCTCATCTTCTGGCATCCTCCACGTTTATTATCGTCGTACTTCTACACCATTGTACAGCTCTGGGATCTCTTAATTGAGTATCTCCTCTTCTTTTATCACCTCGTCTACTCAAATCTTCTGCTATAGCATCTATGTTCCTTTCACTTTTGGGCTGGATACCGAATGGAAGCATCTGAAAACGTTATAATATAATCTTGGGCAGGCTCCTCTGGATTACACAACAATATAAAAGAGCGGGAAAGGACACACGCTAGTCACTTGATTCGAGCGCAAACACACCCCGAACCATGCATCGAAGATGGCTGTCATTACCGTTACTGTCAAGTTGCGTGTCCGCATTCTATCCTTACCAGAGCAGCGATGGAGGAGACTCCAAAAGCAAAAGATTCATTCCTCTGAATCTAGAATCTCCGTCATCAGATGACACGGGAGTGGTGACTGTTGACATACAAAAATTGCCCGTTAGTCATGCACCATTTGTCGAAGTCGAGCCGCGCTAACTTTTCCTCAGGTCAAGCGAGACAACAAGTTCTCCGTAGTGCTGTCGTCTGAGCCCAGCATGCCTAACGCTATGGCGATCAGCCAAGACGGTCAGGATTATACTTATTTCTCAACCATAAAAGTCGGTTCGAAAGGTCAAGAGATGTACATGCTGCTAGACACCGGATCAGCCAACACCTGGGTTATGGGGTCCAATTGCACTTCGAATGCTTGCAAGATTCATAACACTTTTGGCCCATCAGACTCCACGACGCTACAAACGACCACGCAAGCGTGGAGTATGAGTTATGGGACTGGCGAAGTACAAGGGTTGGTGGTCAAAGATACGATCAGTTTCGCCAATTACAGCCTCGAGATGGGATTTGGCCTCGCATCCAACGCGTCGGATGATTTTAACAGTTATCCTATGGACGGCATTTTAGGTCTTGGACGGGCTAGCTCCGATCAACTCGGCACCGAGACTGTGATGACGGTGTTGAGCAAGCAAGGTGATCTCGCCGACAACATTGTTGGCATTCACCTGCAGCGAAACTCGGATGGAGCGAAGGACGGCCAGATTACTTTTGGTGGAGTCGACAAGTCGAGGTTCACCAGCAAGATCGGCTACACCAAGACCGCCAACCAGGATAGCTGGGAGATTGCCGCCGACGATGCCGGGGTAGACGGCAAAGCAGCAGGCTTCAGCGGAAAGAGTGCCATCATCGACACCGGAACGTCTTACGTGCTCATGCCGCCTGCAGATGCCGCTACACTACATAACTTGATTCCCGGGAGCTCCAAGTCCGGTGAGATTTTTACTGTACCCTGCTCGACCACCGCAAACGTGTATTTCCGCTTTTCCGGCGTCAACTACACAATTTCTCCCAAGGACTATGTGGGCAAGCAAAGCGGGAGTGGGTGTCAGAGCAACATCATCGGCCATCAGGCCTTCGGTGCGGATGAGTGGATTCTGGGCGATGTTTTCCTCAAGAACGTCTATACCGTTTTCGACTATGGGAATAATCGCATAGGTTTCGGGACGAAATCGAGCACAGATGACTCGGCTTCTTCATCCACAACCGCTGCATCGTCGAGCGGAACTTCCTCGCCAACTTCGAAAGCTTCGAGCAGTGCGTCAGGGTCGGCGTCGCACACATCGGCTAAGTCATCGGAAACGATGACCACTACAGCAAGCGGAAGCAGTTCGACAGGGTCTGCAGACGCAACATCAACGAGCTCGGCTGGCGACAGCAGTCCGTTTGGCGACTCAAGCACAAGCAAAAATACCGGTGATCGGACAGCCGTCCCCCTCCTTTCAGTTTTGTTGCTTATTTCTGTGACGGGATTTATTATCTGAGCTATGATGCGCATATCAGCATGCTACTGTTGATAGACATAGACGATGGAGTACATATCTACCTAATATTGAATGATTGGTCTTACGCCAGGTGGCCGAATGAATGAATGCAACAGGCAAGAGTCACTTAAAGAGCCGGGATAGTTGGGCACGAGAAATGACAAAGCCGTTTAGAAACCCTTCATAATACTAGTACTTTCACCTGCTTGCATGAGAGAGCTCAGAGTTGTGTCACATCCAAGACGATAGATACTACCTAGGTACCCTAGGAGCATTGGGGGCAGTGTTCTATCATCCCTTGATGATTATGAGGTCCACGTTGATGGCGCCCCGGCCTTGGCAGCGCATGTCACTTTAGTCGGAGTGCTTAGCCCTGGACTCCAGAGATAACACGGAGTCCGTCTTGATCATCCTAAGGCTGACCTCTCTCGAACCACATGGGCGAGATGCACAAGGTGCGCGATGACAGCAGTTGACGATGGTTCCCATGAATCAGTCATACAAACTCCTAATGGCGACCTCGAGAGCTACGATCCCCTCCTTTCCAATTCCTCAGTCGAGGACACCTCTACCTTGACGCGCGATGAGGCCCCGCCCTCCAATGAGGCTCGCCCTCCTTACGAGCGACAGTCTTCATTATACCACCCTCGCCCCGACGGCACACCCAGAACTCCCAACCGGGTACGGTTCGATCTCGATGACCATGCTTCTGCCAATGAACATGAGCGAGAAGAATCCTTGGACGAGGAGGATTTCCTCCACTCGCCCGGTCAACAGGCGCCTCTCTTAACCGACATCACACCGCCGGCGGACTCGCCCTTTCGATCGGAAGCTTTCCAACCAGAAGAATATCTGCCAGATGCCAGGCCTAAGAGTGGAATGCCCAGTGCTTTCATGAACATGGCCAACTCTATTATCGGAGCGGGCATCATTGGGCAACCCTACGCGTTCCGCCAGGCAGGCTTGACAATGGGGATTTTGCTGCTTGTTGCCCTTACGGTCACAGTGGATTGGACAATCCGGTTGATTGTGATTAACAGCAAATTGTCTGGGGCGGACTCATTCCAAGCAACCATGCAACATTGCTTCGGGAAGAGCGGACTGGTTGCGATTTCCGTGGCGCAGTGGGCATTTGCCTTTGGTGGAATGATCGCTTTCTGCATCATTGTGGGAGATACCATTCCCCATGTGCTTGAAGCATTGTTTCCCGGGCTCAGTCAAGTTCCGTTCCTCTGGCTCCTCACTGACCGAAGGGCGGTTATTGTACTCTTCATCCTGGGCATCAGTTGGCCCTTGAGCTTGTACAGGGACATTGCCAAGGTAGGAGCCACTATCTTGACTCTGGTACGGTTTGTTCTGACTGTTACAGCTCTCCAAGGCCTCGACGCTGGCATTGATCAGCATGTTCATTATCATTCTGACGGTGGTCACCCAAGGAGCCATCGTGGACCCGGAGCTTCGAGGAAGTCTCAAAGGTCTTCTGTTCGTCAACGACGGCTTCTTTCAGGCAGTTGGGGTGATATCATTTGGTACGCTTATATATACTCAGGAGTAATAGTCGACTAACAGTGCCTGCAGCGTTCGTCTGCCACCACAACTCCTTACTGATCTACGGTTCTTTGAAAACACCCACGTTGGATCGTTTCTCGGCCGTTACGCATTACAGCACCTTCATCTCGCTAGTTGCGTGTCTCATTATGGCGGTCGTGGGGTTCCTCACGTTTGGCGACAAAACCAAGGGAAATGTACTCAACAATTTCCCTCCGCAAGGCCATCTTATGGTCCAAGTTGCCCGACTATGTTTTGGGCTGAATATGCTGACCACGCTGCCTCTGGAATGTTTCGTCTGTCGAGAGGTGATGAACAACTACTGGTTTCCAGAGGAGCCATATCAACCCAACAGGCATTTGATATTCAGCAGCGCTCTTGTTGTTTCGGCCATGGGCATCAGCCTGATCACCTGCGACCTTGGGGCGGTGTTTGAACTGATCGGCGCCACCAGTGCTTGTGCACTTGCATACATCCTTCCTCCGCTGTGCTATATCAAATTAAGCACCCGGAGTTGGAAGACCATACCTGCAGTGGCTTGTATTATATTTGGCTTTGCTGTCATGACGGTCAGTTTGGTGCTGGCCACGAAGAAAATGATTAGAAGTGAGTCTGGAACTGCAAATTTGGTCGTCGTGTTGGCTGTACTAACTTATTTTGCTTTAGATGAAGGCGAACCCCATCAGTGCTGAACTAGAAATTTATTAGAAGATGACCCTGTGGAGCACCTGAAACGGCCGCCGTTGAACGTCTACCATACCCTAGATATGAGCCTGGCCACGTAACCCTGCTAGACTATGACAATATCATTGCCATCAATTTTAAAGCAAGCTTGAACCGGGAATCACGATCCTTACGTACTCGACCACAGAGCTTGAACAGAATTTGGAGGACATTATTGTGCTTCTCGAGAGAACTTTTGAGCTACGTGGTTACCATGTGTTTGGGGCCTTCTATTCCCTCCACAAGCCAATCACCTTTGCGGGAAGTGGTCTGCATGAGGTATGTTGCACTGCAGTATGCTGTTGATTTTACAGGCAGACTGCCGATCGGACCCCTATGTCAGAAAGGAGCCTCTCCCTGTTAAATTATCATTCACCGGCAGATACTGGGCATGAGGCTGCGTCGTTCTACGAGACAAGGCTGGGGCCGTAGTGGTGGGAAATGAACCGGATCAACGGCTGAGAGAAAGTCTCCGTTAGGTAAGCTTGGATAGTCGGCACGGATGGTGCCGTGGATGTGTGACAGAGGTGAGATGATGAGATGCAGTGCTGCTACAGGTTGATATGTTGTATAGTAGCATGGTCGCAGGACCGCAGGACTGGTAGTGGAATATAGCTGAGTAGTAAACCATGCAAACCGGCCCTGATTGGGCATGATGCTTGATAGAGGCATTGGGAAGCCTTGATGATGTGGCGGTGGACTGGGTTTGATGACGCCGGATTGTGGGAGGTTCGAGGTGTGGTTCTGCCTCTCCTCCAATCGGCGCCCTGCCTGTGGTGCCTGCGGTGCTTCTTTACCCCTGAACGCCCGTTTCCATCCTCGTCAATCGTGCGACACCAGCTTGCTCCCTTTTCTGATTCTGCTGCTTCACCATCATCCATCCACTCTTGTCTCCTCCCGTGTCCCTTACCACCGTTTCATGCTGGATCTTGACTCTCTGCAGTCCACCCTGGGATATGGCCGGGTTGGGCCCTGCTCACTTCCAGACACCTCCATAGTCCCCTACAATTTCCTTGCCATCCAACCAGTCCAAGATGAATCAATTTAACTGTTGTGTCTGTTTTCCTCTTTACTTCTTCCTTTTGTCTTCTCTGCCATTGTTCTCTGTCTTGTTCATCTCGCCGTCATTCTTTCGAGCTCTGTTTCCATCGTCCCAGCGACGTCAGTCATTCCTTTCCATTGCTCCATTCAGTCCTTCATTATTAGACACATTTGACATTCTTTCCTTCTGCGGGTTGATTCCGCCACAGACAGACAAGAGACAGTTTGACAGGTCCCTGAAAAGGCAAACCCAAACAAGGACTAGCAGCTTTTGCCGGACAAGACAGGAAAAATGCAGTTGAAAACGCTGGCAGTTGTGGTGGCTTCGTTGACACTGGCGCAGGCTCGCCCTGGTGGCGTGCTCTATGGGCGTCAGTTCGGGAATGACACCACAACTACTACTACAACTACCACGGACTTGAGTGCCCCGGAGTCAGGAACAACAACGACGTCGACGACCCTGCCCGTTCTGGCCGTGGCTACCAGCAGCACCACTTCCGTTGACCCAACCACCAGCACCACCCCAAGTGCCGCTGACCCAACCACTACCACTACCTCTACCAGCGCCACAACGACTACCACCACGACTACTACCAGCAGCAGCACCACTACCACTACCAGTGCTGCTACAACCACATCGATCAGCATCCCTGTTGAGGTTGTGTCCAACAACAGCTCCACCACTGCTGCTACTACTACTGCTACCACCACTGATCCTTCCAGTCTGCCTGTCAACGCTATCTCAACGACCAGTTCGACGACGAACGCAACTTCAAACAGCGATTGGGCAGACTGGACCAGAACAGCAAGCAGTAGTACGTCGAGTGCTGCAAGCGGCACTACTACATCGACCTCGGCCACAACCACGTCCAGCGAGAACAAAGTGGCAGATGCAACGAGATCGTCGACCACAAGCTCGAGCAACATAACTAGTGAAACAGGGGTTAAAAATGCAGCAACCTCCACCACCAGCACGACCAGTGCCGCTTCGGCTGGATCGACAAGCACCACGTCGACCTCTGTCAAACCTGTGGTTAACGTAGGCCAAAGTACAACTACTGCCGAAGCAAGCCTGTCTGGGCCGGAAACACTCACGACATTCGTCACAGCTAGCGAAACCCCTGTGGTCAGCACGACCGTGGAGGAATCTACCATGACCTTGACGATGGGGGCTGGCAACTCGGCGTCAGTGGTGACCACGACCATTCGCATGACCAAGACATTCACCATGACGAGCACGGTATATGCCACCATCACCCGAGCATCAGGTCAACCCGGGGGCGCAGGAGGCTTCACCAACGTGGCTGCTGCCGAGAGCGGTGAGCGCACAATGACGCTGACGGTGGAAACTACCCCTACCTCGACTGTTAATGTTCAAGCGGTGTCGTCTGGCAAGGCTGGAGCTGGCACCGGTTCTGGATCAGGCTCAGGCTCAGGCTCAGGCTCAGGCTCAGGCTCAGGCTCGGGCTCTAGCTCTGGTTCCGGCTCAGGCTCAGGCTCAGGCTCGGGCTCTAGCTCTGGTTCCGGCTCCGGCTCTGGTTCTGGATCTGGATCGGGCTCTGGTTCTGGCAGTGCATGTGGTGTTGAATATGTTACTGTCACTCAACTGGTACAGAGCACCATTACCGTCACGGCTACTCCAAGCGAAGTCAAGTCTACCAAGCCTACAGCACCAGTGGCAGTTGCTGATGTTACGACAACCACGGTAGCTACAAGCACGTCAGCGAGCGCCTCAAGCATTCACACTGGTTATGGCTTTGGTAACGGAACGGGCGTTGACACCGGGAAGAATCAGATCGCCAGTTCCGGGTTCCTGACTGTGTCCAGCAAGGCTACCCCATCAGGATGGAAACCATGAACGGTGCAGTCGGTAGCAGCGGATGGTATGGAGCGGAGGTGACGCAGGAAGGTTGAACCTGCCGGGATATATATGTTCGATTCTCGTATAGCCCTTTTTCAAGTTCTTGTTCTCATCTATTCCTCCGGGACTTGTCCCAGACTAGAGATTTTGAAACTACATTGATCTTAGGAGAAAGCATGATCAGATGACCAAGATACAATGTGCAGTACCTTTTCCTGTCCATGAATTGTTGCTAATTTCGCCATAGGTCCAATACCACCGCCTCTCTACTTGTCCCCACCTTACCAGGTAATCCAGCACCGGAAAAGCAGGAAAAATGCCGTTCTCGTGACTGCTTGATGATGACGACGGAGCTCGCTTACTTGGTGCCGTTGAAGCGTGTGAGAACCAATCATGGTTCACCATGAACAATGCTTGCCTAGGCCCACAGCTTGTGGCGCTGTGGCGTCCTGCCCCTCCAACGTGTGGCGCAGGACCCCGCCATTTGTAGGGCGTTGACGTCGTTGTTCGCGCCGGTTGATGCTCTGCCTCGATGCTGCAATTGAATACGAGGTATAACAGTTGTAGAATCAAATACAGTTGCTGCATGTGTATAGCAGTGTAGCACTACAATGCTCCATAGATTCGACCAGTACTGGTTAACCTTATGGCCATGTGGTGTGACGGTCGCTGGCAGCTCGCTCGTCTAACGAGACCCTGAGATTAGGATGATATCAAGCCGCCGTCCTAAAATCGGTTTAGTCAAAGTACGTTCAAGTTGGAGGTCATGACGGAAATGCATCTTCACGTTCACAGGCCCCGCATTATGATGCTTAATCGCTCGCCTCAGAAAGCTTGGGATCGAACTTCGGAGCGCCAATGATGGGATTCACACTGCAGCGGCACCCACCAGGACCCTTTGTTCCAGTAGGAGTGGGCGGGCACTGGCTTCGCCTCGTATCCTCCAAGGAGAGCTCCTCCAGTTACGTAGTAGGTAGGTTCTCCCATCTACAATGTACAATCTTGTACTATGGCAGACTCGGACTGGGACATGTTGCCCACGGCCCTGCGTGATGACGCATGACTGCCTTAGAACCCATGGCGTCAGATCTTGCCATGCTCTCGACGATCTTCCTGAACCCAATCCTGTTCGCGGTCTTTATATTTCCCTGCCTCTTCCCTCTTCGCCTAACATGATCCTGGTACCATCGTGACCACTACAGCTTGTTATACCTATACGCATACCCGTTTTCATTATTACAGAACCACTACAGACTGATTAAACCTACACCATGGAATCTGCAAAGAAGGTCATCAGCAACATTGTCGGCTCCGGCAACGACAACGACCCGGTATGTCCGCTGCACTCCTGTCTGAAACTAGGGGTATTTGGGCGAGCTGACTTGAGATACAGGCAACAGGCACAACAACTCGTACGACCGGCACCGGTGCTACTGACACCGTTGGAACATCCCACAACACTGGTATCACCGGCACCCACCCTACTGAGTAAGTGCTGACCTGAACCGTACAAGTGGTCTATTTTCCTGGGACAGATGCTGACAGCCACGCTTCTCATCAGCACTCGAACTCACGACACCAACACCTCATCTCGCGGAACCGGAGCAGGTGCCTATGATGCTTCATCCTCGACCGCGGCCACTCACCACACCACCCCAAGCTCACTCACCGGCACCCATGGCGCGCCCACCGTCCACGACATAATCACCGAGAAGGGAGTTGAAAGCGGTCACTCCCACGAAGGAGGACTTCATCACGGCCACCAAGGCACTCAAGAGTTCGGAACTGGTCAATACCAGGGAGGCTCTCACCAAACTGTTGGAGGTGCCCAGACCTTCGTAGGCTCTCAAACAGTAGGAGGTACTCAGACCGTCGGAGGCACCACCCACCAACACCACCAGGGTCAGCACCACCATGAGGGAACTGGCAACCAGCAGTTTGGCACCACCACTGGTACCACTGGCACCACCCATCAGCACCATGAGGGTGCCCACCATCACGAAGGCACTCAACAGTTTGGAACTACTACTACCCAGCAACACCACGAGGGTGGCCATCACCGTGAAGGTGAGAGCACTTCGCATCATGAAGGCGGCAAGAAGCACCATGTTCCTATCCCCGGTCTTCACAAGGACCATTCCAAAGACAGAGAGTCCGGCGCATCGTCTGAGTCGGACCGCAACGTGCAGACTCCAGATCAAGGTCCGGATCCGGCTCTGGTCGGAGACCGATCCGGTGGTGTCAAACTGACCGGCACGGCCGAGCCAGGCTCACACAGCGCTGTTTTCGGCTTGACTCCCGACGGTCACAAGGAGACCAAGACATCTCACAAGTCGACTCCCCCAGTGCCCGCGGACCAGCTGGGCAAGCACGGCCACCACAAAGCGGAAAGGAACGATGACTCGTCCCGCGCCCCTACTGGACAGGGCGTCAGTGAGCAGTTGCACAGACCCGAGACGGGCGCGAAGGGCCTGGAGAGAACTGACCCGGCTCCTGCCGCTCCTGGCTCCGACCCCAAGCCCGGTGCTGGCACGGCTTCTTTTGCGTAAGAGCTGAGTTGATTTTATAAGAATGATCTTTGAGATACCTTGATAGGGATGATGATATGAGATAGTGTTCCAGAGACCAATTGGAAGTGCTCGAGCCTTGGATTGCTGAGTTCAAGTTGCGGTGCCAGTGACTGGCAGCCGCTGAGCTGTGGTCTTATTGCACTGCAAACTACAAATGTACATTACCTATACTGTTTCCATATTAAATGCAATCAAATGCTCTGGACCAATTGCCTGCACTTCCATATGTTGTCGCTTATGTCGATGACCAAATGGCAACGTAGATTTCCTTGACAAAATATTCATCGAGGTGTACTGTGTATTCAAATAGTATATTTATGTTATGTCCTATGACCTTGGTGATGGTGATGTTCAAGTATCGCTTTCGTTTCTGCTAGGTACTACTAGTAGTATACAACCCCCTCTGCACAATCCACTGAGCAACCTTATGTCCAACCAACATCTCAACCTCGTCCCATCTCCTCTGGCTCGCGGCCTCCCTCACCCTCGTCGAACTGACGCCCTGGGCCTCACCTGACTCGTCCACGACCAATTCGACGCGGTCGGCCCATTCCCTTTTCAGTCCGAGGTTCTCGAAGTCTCCGCGGGCGATTTGCGAGACGAGCGATAATTGGCCTTGGATTGTTGAGAAGTCGGCCGAAACCGGAGATTGTTGTTGTGACTGAGGTTGAGACTGTTGAGACTGGGGTTGAGGTTGCTGACCAAATCCCGACCCGTCAGCTTGGACATCTTTCAGATTCTGACTTGGTGAATCCGTGTCCACGCGCACCGTGGCCCGGAGGCGATGACGAGACAAGAACGGCTGCAAGGCCGATAGGGGCGGGTGGTAGTTGGGGTAGTATTTGGGCGTGAAGATGCGGACTAGGGTGTCGAAGCCGGTGAGGTGGATTTGTTCGATATATTGCCCAGTACTGGTAGTACTGGTATTGTTTTCGACGTGGTTGCGGTTTGGCGCTGCTACTGGTGGGTGGTAAATGTTGCTCTCGTCAATACATCTCGCTTTATCGGTGAAGTAGGGTTCTTTGGTGATTCCGATGTCGATGATCGGAAGGGGTGATGATGATGGATTTGTGGCGATGTTGGTGTTGGTAGAGTTGGTAGAGGCTTGAGTGTTGACGGTGGAATGGTTGCTAGTAGATGGATTATTGAAACTGGCCCTCAATTGCTCGGCCATCAAGGTCATCATGACCAGGCGGTCTTCGAAGTCCGCTGGTTTGGGTTTCTTGTCGGCGTTGACTGTGGCCAGGAGAAAAAGAACTCGTGGAGCACTAGTCGACGTGTGTTCTGCTGGTTGCGGTGCCTGAGCTTGACTTTGAGATGCTGTTGGAGAACTTGAGGCTTTCTTTAGTGCCGTCTTGACTAGGCTCATGTGCGCTCGTGAGGGAGGATTGAAGCTCGAGTCGAGGACGTAGAGTGTGCGGATGGACTGTGAGGATGGCGGATGGGATGGTGGGATTGTGTGTAAGACCTCAAATCTGCTTGATGACTCGGCGAAATATTTTAGACATTGGGAGAACCGAGATCGTAGTGTCTGTAAGGCTTGCATGTCGAGGCTTTCGGAGGACATTCTTTGTAACAAATGACTGTACCTAGGTAGACGGACGGCAGAACCGAGATGTACCTTGTTCGTAGAAAAAAGAATTTCTTCGGCAAATAGACAACGCCAACTAGACAACGCTTTGGTCGCTCGATATTTCTAACGCTTTGAAACGCTTCAAGATGGAGCTTCAGTGGTACTACCGTGTCTTTGGATTCAAGATGAGATGCGTGCTCCTCCACCAACAACTCGGGGAATAGACCGGATGACGAAAGCGGGCGAGTTTCAGCCTGATCACCTGACAAGGCTGGGCTATCTTATCTGCACGTGGGCTTGCACTGCAGTCCCATCAAGCCAAGCATAAATAAATCACGTGAAATAAAATCTTGGCACGCTACCGCTCCCACAACGAAATTGACGGCCTCCCCTCGCAGCTCATACAGATTCCCACTGTGCGCCAACTTCAACTCTTCGACAACACCACGCTTCCTCAACCCCTTCGACACCGTCAACCAGACAACAGCAAAAATGTCGAACGCCGAACTCGCCAGCGCGTACGCCGCTCTCATCCTTGCCGACGATGGCATTGATATCACTGTACGAAAGACCCCTCCACTGCTAAACATCCGGATTGGAGTTGCTCTCCCGAACTCGACGGGGAGATGCCCAAACTGCGCACCCTCTAAGCAAGTTTTCCTTTGACTGACATTATCTGCTTTGTGCTATTGTAGGCCGACAAGTTGAACACCCTTATCAAGGCCGCCGGTGTCGCCGATGTCGAACCCATCTGGGCTACTCTGTTCGCCAAGGCTCTTGAGGGCAAGGATGTGAAGGACCTGCTTTTGAACGTCGGCTCGGGCGGTGGTGCTGCTGCTGCCGCTCCTGCTGCCGGTGGCGCCGCTGCCGCTGGTGGTGCCGCTGAGGCTGCTCCTGCTGAGGAGGAGAAGAAGGAAGAGGGTACGTTGGACACCTTGAGTCTGCCTGGCAGGTGATTGTTTGACTAACTGTTCGTTTACAGAGAAGGAAGAGTCCGACGAAGACATGGGCTTCGGTCTTTTCGACTAAGCGTTGTCCGAATTCATCCTGTCCCGCCGCTGTTTTCTCCACCACGACAAATATTTTTCGAGGAGCGTGCATGTTCACACACAAAACAAGGCGACCGATTTACACCGAGAATCAAAATGCAAAGCAAAACATCCTCGATCCTGCGATGCGTTTTGTCTTGTCTTGCCTAGCCGAGCCTTGTTTTGAACCACCCCCAAAAAAGTCCTGGATCGCGTCTTTCTATCTTGTCACAAGACAAAGAGGCATCTGCAGTCTAGGCATTTTCGACATTTGTGGATAATCGAAACCAAAGGGAAGGAAAACGACTCGAGAAGAACGGTCCGGGACGAGCTGGGCATGCTAAGACTCATGCGGACTTAAAATCGAGCCATTTGAAACACTTGAGGATTGATCCACAATGTCAATAACTCGTGAACCTGGGTTTCCTTCCTGATCTTCATTTTTGTGCGGTTTTTCGTCCTGATATGCTCTTGTTCCCTTTGTTGTGTCCTTGAAGTTACCTTTCTAATCCCGCCCTCAGGGACAAGGCACCAATGATTGCCCAGATCGTTCGTATTTGGCTGGTGCTCTTGAGTCATGGAGACGACGTGGATTTCTCTCCCATAGGCCTACGCAGGAGTTCCACATGGTGGCGATTTTCTACGTTTTGACTTCCGTCGGCTGACTGTCATGTAGAGGAATTGCAGAAGCGAGGGCTGGACGTGACTTACTTGACCAGGCTGAACCGGCTTCGTATTTGAAAACTTGTCCCGGAGCAGTCGTGATGAACTGTCTGTTGCAGTGCCTTGTTTCATCTCGGCATGACGGGTGGGGTCTACCTAGGTACTGCTACCGTACTACTGCCGGGATGGACGATGCGCCACCTTTTCCCCGGTCATCTTCTCCACACCGGACAGGACCTCAGCCTCGTCTTCTACAATGCACCTCGCGGACCTTTGATATTCTAGCATGCCCGTACTGTCCACTACATATACATTTCAACTTAATCAAACACAAAATCTACGCAACCAGCCCTGAGTAGCTCCCATTGTCAGTGAGCATAATACAGTTGGACCTTTATAGACATACAGCTTCGTCCTAGGAGGGCTTCAACTACCCGGTCTATTCAACCCTCAGGATGAGCTTTGCGTACGGCATCGATCACCTGGAACCAGCCTTCTCCGACCGGGATATACCGTTTATAAGCTATGGGCTCCGCTTCGACGAAGCATGCGGCTATCACGTCGAGAACACGCTCCAAGCAAGCCGCGTGTACATTATAGCATCGAAATCACTGTCCACCAACACCCCCGCCCTGAAACGTCTACAACATGCCCTGGGAGACAAAGTCGTGGGTGTCCGAATCGGAATGGCCCCGCACACCCACTGGAACGAGGTTCTTGAGGTGGCGCAGGACGCGGCGCCCAAGAATCCCGACTGTATCGTGACTCTCGGGGCCGGGTCGCTCACGGACGCAGCCAAGGTGGTGGCATGGATGCTGGCCAACGACATCACCACGTCTGAAGGGATGGAGACGCTCGCGACATCAGGCAAGGACTTCAAGCCGCCTGTGATCAGACACGTCGCGATCCCCACCAGTCTGTCGGGTGGCGAGTATCAGGCAATGGCGGGCGTGACGCGAGATGACGGGAGTCAATTAAAGCAACCGTTTTTTGCGCCTCCACGCAACCCCAGCCTGGTGGTACTGGATCCCGAATTGAGCACGACGACTCCCGAACGGATCTGGCTCAGCACGGGTGTCCGGGCCGTTGACCACTGTGTCGAGACGCTGTGCAGTCTGCTTTCCAACGAGAGAGGCGACGCCGAGGCCGAAAAGGGTCTGTTGAAGTTGGTTCCGTCGCTGATTCGCACCCATCGCGACCCGCGTGATTTGACTGCCCGCTTCGAGTCCATGAGGCGCGTTATCGAGGCCATGAGCGCCGTGAGCAGTGGCGTGCCCTTGGGTGCGAGCCACGGTATTGGACACCAATTGGGTCCTTTGGGCGTGGGCCACGGCGAGACGAGCTGTATCTTACTGCCCGCGGTGTGTAAGTGGAATGCAAAGGCCGGGGCCAACATTGACCGGCAAAAGTACTGCAAGCAAGTGCTCCTTCGGTCGCCGGTGGTCCAAGAATTATTGAGGGCAAAATACGGCGCTGATCAGGACAAGATTGACCGTCTCGATTTGGGAGATGTTCTCGACGCCATCTTTAAAGATCTCGGCATGCCTCGTTCCCTCAAGGATGTCGGTGTCGGGAGAGATAAGTTGGATGGATTAGCCGAGAATAGTTTGAGAGATCATTGGTGCCAGACGAATGCGAAGCCTCTGGTCGAGAAGTCGCAAGTCATGGAGATCCTGGAAATGGTGGTGGAGTAACGGTAGGTATGGACCAAGTGTGTGCACCAGTGGAAGATGGAATCAACCTAGGTATAAGTCAAGTGCATTGAATATAGACGGAGCACGTCCATACCCAGGCAATCCTCTGCAGCCTTACCACAAGCCGCACAAACGCTGTCCAGACTGTAATACTCCGTCTTTCCCAATATAGGTGTTCTATTCTAAGCCATAATCCCGTTGTTGCATCTTTCCACGTATCTATTAGTGGTATGTATGCTGTGAAAGACAATTTAGACGTGGGGCACCTCCCACGATCTGCAGCCTCGTCGTTTCACCCACAACCGGTGTAACGCCGCACACTTTACCGAGTAGCTACCGTAAGCACGTCCCTATGGCCATATACTACACCGACAACAATGTTCATGGTAAGGATTGGCCCCCGAGCTTACAGTATTCCTCATGTTGAGAAGGGCTGTGTGACCATTGGCGAAGGAGACGTCGAATCTAAGACGGCAGGGTCATCATGGTCCAATGATACCGACACTTGAAAATACACGCGACGGCACGACCATTCAGCCAGCTCTCCACGGTGAGCAGGCACAGGTTCCATCTTGACCAGAAGCCCTAGCCACGGCAGGAATAAAACCGTCAGCCAACACTAACACGCTACAATGGATTGTGACCCTGGATCATCTTCGTCTCCTCCGCCGAACCCGAACCTGTACGATGGAGAAGTCTTGTGGACCATCAACAACGCACCTACAATAACATACTTCAAACGAGGCGACACGAACCGGCCGCTATGCGTGTTGATACCAGGAGCCGCTCATCTCGCTCGAATCTTCTACGGCGGACACAAGAGCCACGATCCTCGAGACTTTCTGGCCCACTGGCTTGTCACGAACCCGACATCAAACCCCAAGTCAGGCAGTAGCAAGCTGGACTCCATGACGGAAGGTGAAGCAGGCTACAACATCCTTGCAATCTCCTACCCACTTGAAACAACCCCTCCCCTTATGCCATCCACACGGCCGGACTTCACGGTGCGCGAATGGGGTGTGCAAGCAGCCGAAGCGACCAAGCGTGTCATGGACCGCGAAAGACTATCCTGTGACGTCGGGGTGATTCTACTGGTCTGGAGCATGGCTGGCAAAATCATTGCTCCGTTCGATCAGGCCGCAAGGGCACGTGGATTCGATGTACGGCTGGTTGTGTCGTTAAACTCCACGCCGCCCTTGCGCGGGCTCAGGGGGAACCCGCCGCGGCCGGCTGTGAGCCAGGCCGGTTATGTCCATGGTGGACATGTCTCGGATGAGTATTTTCTCCGACAGCTTCGTGAGCAGCGTGCCATCAATTCTTGTGCCAGTACCAGCACGAGCGGCTCAGAAAGTGTCGACGGTGGGAAGAACAGCAATAACGACTCCAAGAGCGGGAATAGTGGCAACAGTGACAATACCAACGGCAGTGGCAGCATCATCGTCCCCGACGACATCTTCATCAAGGAATATACCGGAAACTTTCCCGTCGGTCTGGCCGCATGGGGTCTACGATGGTCTCGACAGGATCAAGATGGCACAACTATCAACAATGGCAATAGCACCGTCCACAGCAGCAGTAATGGGGGCAAAATGATCGATGACCCTCATGCCGGCTACGAAGTCTTCGATGAAACCACAATCAAGGACCTTCCGCCCATGTGTGCCCTGTATGGCGACAGTCCCGCCGACCTTCGGCACTCGGCAGGCGATCGGTCCATGTGGGCGTTTCTCATATCACACAATCTTATGGGCGGGATCAATGCCAAGGAGAGCCGGTTTCTCGCGGAGAATCCAGAGGTAGGAAAAAGGGTGATCAAGTTGATCCACGCCGCACCGGATAGATTATGTGCTGAAGTAGAAGGGGGTCATCATTTCTTCTTGGGGGAGAAGGGCGCTAAGAGGACTGCGACCTGGGTGATAGAGATGGAAAAAAGGATGCAGGAAGTGAAGCGGGAGTTGGATATTCTCCTGGGACGGGATCAAACTCGATAGACATCAAGAAAGTCAAGACAAAAGGGGGAAACAAGGGCCGATGATTGTGGCCGTCTGTCGAGCCTAGATACACAAACCAGTGAGTGAGAGCTCAAGGCCTGGACCTCAGATGTCAGCTTGCTCGTTCTTTCTTGTCACAAAGCACCTGCCCTCGCCAGCCCTTTCGTTGTTGCCGGTCAAACGTCCACAATGCTCAGCTATCTCTCTTCTGTTTCTCCCAGCTCCAGCTCACACCTTTTGATTGCGGCGGCTCTCCTGACCAGGAAATACACCAATCAATGCTCATGATCGTGAGATTTGGGAGCAGAGAATGGTGCGCATATTCAACGTCATACAACTTTGTGCCAGCCTTGACCCCTGGAGGCCATTTCACTTTTCACCTGGTGAATGTCCCAGCTTTGTCCTTCCGCCTGGGTATTCATACAGTCAATGGATGCATCCGCATAGTACACAGGAACGGACCACCCGACATGTCCTTGCAGTGCTTTTCTTTCTCGCTCAGTTTGGACGACGTTAATCATTATCATCATCATCATCATCATTATTTTTATTTTTAACCAGTTCACAAGTCACAGACCGACCTCAACTCATACCACTCGCGCAATGTCTCCTCGGCCGGTTCGCAAATGGGGATATGTGTGCGTTGCTGGTCGGGTTCGTACACTTCTCTGCAAGGGAAATCCCCGGAAATGATGGAAAACGACCTGAAGTAAATCATTCGGACGCCGACATGGGCAAAGATACGCTGATACCAGAGGACGTCTCTGGCTTTTGGGCCGTCTGACATAATCCTCCAGGGAGAAGCAGCGCCTCGGGCTAGCTGCCACGGCAAGTCGCGTGGGTAGCAGTGGGCGTGTTCATCCTCGGCTTCCTTGAACATAACGGTGTTGAGATTGGGTAGTGAGAGGTCAGAGTCGCGTTTGGCCTGGATCAGACGGTCGGAGATGAATCCGCAGTAGTGGCGATTGAGTTCCAGCTCGTTGCTGCACAGCGATATACCCAGCCGCTCGAGGCTGGCCGGCAACAGGCTCGCAAGATCGGCGGGATGTCGGTAGTCGTCAGAGACGTGAGAATGGAAAGTGCGCCAGTACAGTAAGAGATGTGGTCCCGAGGCGTGGCCGATGAGCATGGTGGCGTCGATACGGAGCTCCTTCAAGTTCTCGAAGCCGCGCAGGGAGCCCGAGAACAGTCGTTTCCACCAGTAGCAGCAGTCGCGACGGTCGCGGGTGAGGACCAGGTTCTCCAGAGACGTACTGACTTTTGCGAAAGCGTCGTCGAACGTGGCATTGGGTGCTGGCAGCTCACCGCCCACGAAATGTCGAGCGCAAAGTCCCACTCCCCTCGCAATGGTCTCTCTGCCTGGAGTGCACCAGACGAACGTCTTGAGCGGAGAAGAGCATGCGTCGAACATCTGCTCGAGGTCCGATGGAGTCACATTGACGCCTGCTAGAATGATTGTCGTGCCGGCTCCAGTGGGAATCAAATCGTCATGTTGGCGCGGAGGTCCATGGTTGATCTGGAAGCTCTGGTAAAATTTGGGCCCGGGGATGATACCGTACATGGCATTGAGTTCGAGTCGTCGCATCATTGGCAGGCGCAACAGCCAGGTGAGGGACGATGTAGTCAGCCCTTCGCCGAAACAGGCGACAAGCGCACTCCGCAGAATTGGCCAGGGTTGCTCGGGCAGGACTTGGAGTGAGTCGCCGAGAAACTTGATATGCTGCAGGGTCTTAAAGCAGGACAACAGGTGTCTCAAAGTCGACAGTTCCGCGATCATCCAGTTTCGGTCGTCCTGCTCCAGCACTGAGGTTTTCAAATAGGCGATCGTCAGTTGTCGAACCTGCCTCCACAGCTCCGGTTCTTGTAGGAGCGTAAGGTATAGGCGGTTAATGTCTGGTGGTACCATCCATGCTTCTAGTGCCGGGTAGTCTATCGCGTTTTTTGGCACGGTGCCATAGATCTCGACTGTTCTATACAGCAGAGGACGAAACACTTCTCGCATCTCTTTATTCACGGCCGTCATGTTCGCCAGGCTCTGTCGGCTCAAAGGCAGCAACGTCAGGATTTCTGGTGGAAGATCGGTCAGGCGAGCCATGTTTGCAGAAACGAAAACAGTGTGATTATGCTGGCTTCGCGGCCGTCTTTTGTCTCGCTAGGAATTCAGGGGTACGGGAAGCAGAAAGGTATCCGCGACACTAAGTGACTGGAATTGGTAGCCTCAGGACAGAGATTCCTGCTGGTGATGTTGGCGTTCTGAGCTGGGTTGACAGCCACGGTTAGCAAGTGTCTATGTTCATACACTTCAAAGGGGTATAACTTACCAGGGTTTGTCAAGCAGGATAGGCTGGGTACCAGTCCCGCGTGCTCACAGAGACGGAGGCAGACCGAAAGGCGCAGACTGGATAGGGAAGAAGGTGCAAGGATTGTGACTAGGAGATGTTGCAACCAAGAGTAGAACTATGATATATTGGTATTGTGAATGGGATGAAAAGGAAAAGAAAAAGAAACTCACGCGTCATTTAAAGGTGCAGTGAGATGGGGGTAAACAATCAATCAAGCACAAACCTGGACAGAGACAACGTGACGACCGGCACCGCACGCTAGACATGCTCCTTTCTGGGAGGGCACTCTCAGCACAGGACCGCAGGCAGTTGGAACTTGACAAGAAGGGAACCGAAGGAAGTAGAACTCAAGGTCACGTTGTTTAAACATAATATGACATTTTCGCCGCTGGACACCCACACCCCACGTCCCTCTCGAATAGCAACCTGTACATATCATCATTTTCAGCATCTCAAAGGCCGTCCGTCATTCTCGCCGTCATCAAGGAAAAAGGAAAAAAGGAACATAAGTCAAAGGCTTTCCATCACGGAGAGTAGGAGTTTGAATTGAATTCGAATAGGAACAGAAAAAAGGGATGCCGCTATACCAACGCCGCCCGCACCGCATCAAACATGAATGCCTAGATATGCACATAGATGTCCCCGAACCCAACTCAAATATATGCTGTGGAAGGGTTGTTTCGAAATAGAGGAAAAGAAAAGAATAGGAGACAACATATGTTGTTTTGATTTGGTTTGCTTTACTGCTCCTCCCATTTGATAAACGTCCTCTCCTCCATCCACTTTCCAAACCAGACGACCTTGTTGTCGATGCGGGTAAAGTAGTCTGCGGCCCAGAGGACGACGACGGTAGTGAACAGGATTCCCGGCAGGCCGGACCAGTATCCATCGCCGAAATGTTGGTAGCACCACGGCTGGACGATGGCTTGGTACAGGGCCCAATTGATAGTATTGTGCATAGCGTAGATGCCAAAGGACAAATCGCCGAGATATTGCGAGAAGCCGAGCTCGAAGGGGATCTGGAGCATGCGGCAGTTGTCGAGGGCCAAGACGAGCAGAGTGGAGCCGATGCCGAGCCAGAAGTGCTCGGCCAGCTCAACGGGATACCAGAAGGGCACGACTTTGGCGAGCGTGGGCCACAGCCAAAAGCCTTCCCATTGCCCATTGGCGGGCTGGCCGAGAATAAACAGGGCGACAATGGTCACGAGACACCAGCCGATTTTGGCGGGGATGGATTGAGTGGGTTGAGTGGGCTTTTCGCTGCTTCCGTCGGCTGATTGTTGCTGGGGCAGTCGGACGGCATTGCGTTGGTAGCGTTCTGGATGGCGGTCGAACGAGTAGTCGGCGATCAACATGCCGAAGATGAACAGGGCGCCATAGACAACTCCCCACCAATAACAGAGCCCAATAACGACACAGGCGAAGATGCGGCGGCCACGCAGACTCAGGTACGCGGCGGCGGCGCAGAACCAGAACAGAATCATCGAGCCACGGAACTCGACGGGGATCGTCCACATCTGATCGAGATAGTGTGTGCGGAACACACCTCCGTACCACCAACCCTTGATGTCGCCCATCGGGTTGCTCGAGCCGATGAAATCCCAAAGCCAGTCCCAGAGTTGAAGCCAGATGGTCGGCTTGCGGTGTGCGGGCTGGCACCATCCCAGATACGACATGTATGCCGTGATCAACGAGGCGACACCACACGAAGCGTACAGACGGAACCAGCGGCGGAATGACGACGATGCCAGCGCCCGCAGCATACTGGGTTGCTGGTTCCGCATCATCTTGAGCAGTCGGTAACTGAGCACGTATCCGGAAATAACAAAGAAGATGTCCACCATGGCCCGACCGTTCAAGATGGCGTGGAACACGGGCTGTTCAAGAATCCATGTCTTGTTCTGGAAACAGTGATACCGGTACACGAACAGGGCAGCCCATCCTCGCAGCGCGTCCAGATACGCCGTCGGGTGTAGTTGTTTCTTGACCGACATGCCGCCCGGTTGCAGGAATCTGGGCAGCGCGGCCACGATGTAGCCGAGGACAATCCAGCCAAACGTTTTGGCGTCCGGCACCTTTTCCCATTTGGGCGTCACGTTCAGTGTCGACGACATGTCCATCTTCCACCGCGGGATTTGTTGGTACCATCTTGGTAATGGCTCGTCGGACGTCTTTTCCAAGTCAATGTCCGAGTATGGCATGTGTTCGGTCTCACTCGGCGTGCTGGGTTCGCCTTCGCTGACCAGCGGGATGTATGCTGCCGCCATGATAATCCCTTGGTCCCTTGGTCAGGAACACAAATGGATGGGAGTAACGAGCGTAGTAGGCAGCAAGATACAGGATGCAGAGAAGCAAAAGAGAGGGAATTGCAGCGCTATTGAGATGCTCATGAGATGGGGGAGATCGTTGCTTTTTGGAGCATTGTCGAAACTCGATAATGGGTCCGAGATCATTTCTCTAGCCCCCCTATCAACTATCAATAAGATGTGATTCCGTTTGACAGCAAACCCACACGGACTGACTTGCATGGTTGACGTTGAACCGTGCACTAGCGTTAGTACATTTGCCATCCAGCAGCTGCTGTATGCCGGATATGTTTGCCATGGCTCGTCTGTGCTGTACGAGGCCTTTCACAGACAGACTTGAGCTGCTGAGAACACAGTACATTATTCTGACCTGCCTTGTGGTTCATTCTTCCACGTTAATGGGAACAGAGATCTGCAACGTTGTTAACTCAACCCATGTAGCCAAGATCTCAACGGCGGTGGTTGTGTCCGATGACGGATATTGGAGGGAAGTGAGTGGGTGCCCCAGACGGCGGGAGGATCAATAGTGTACAATGCTGTACCTGAAGAACAGGGCCTAGTGCGGTGATGGACGGTTGATCAGGTCGCACTATCTGCTGGAGTGGAGTGAGCTCAGGGGAGAGTCGAGGAGAGACGGAGAGAGAGAGAGAGAGGGAGACGGGGAGAGACGAGGCTGTCAGCGAGAAAAACCATCGAGCGACCATTCCCAATCGGGGGTCTTGGCTCGCTAAATTGACGGCCTCAGTGTCTGTGCTTCATGTCCAACGGCAATAAACTGCGCTGCTCAGCGAAACAGAAGGCTTCTCAGGCTCCCTGGTATCCAGCCTCGGCCACTAGCTTCTGTGTCTCCAGACCCATCTCCCGCATCTGTTTACCTTACACAAAGTAAATCTCGCGGGTCTCACACTCAGTGGCGTCGATAGCTGTCGTGCAAGCAGGCCTTGCCCAATATGGTTTCTGACAACTGCCAGCCCCTTAGGCCTGGCACAAAAGTCCTTTGCCTACGAAGGAACATAATCTTATTGCGCTTGGAAAGGGAGGTCAATTATGATGGGCTTCGTGCTTTTGCCTGCCAGTGGGACATCTTGAGCCCTGAGATTTGGATGACTGACTGGTCCTGTCCGCATGGTGATTTGCCACCTACCTGTCACAATAACCGACGATTATAGGTCCGAACCATAGGAAGCTTTGACATCGTAGCAAAAGTGCAGTGCCCATTCAAGAGCTTTCCCATCATGTACCGGCAGTCCATTTGCACAGACACCACCACACACCTAAAGGGGCTTCGGGTGCAACGGGTGGTTCGAGCACCACGCTTGAAGGAATCTGTGGCGAGACGAGCGGCAGAGGCGAGAGAATCAGGAGCTGCTGGCTGTGGCTTGATTTCACTTGTCTAAGCTCTAAGCTCGAGCCTTGTCGTTAGACCACCGGCCCGCCTATCTCAGAGGCTTACATCCAGCGATAACACGGACAATCTGTTTCACGCCATGAGCCAGCCAGCCGGCAAATTCGGCATGGTTACTAACTGCCACTGAGCCCTCTCACGGGTAGAGTCGCTCCGAATGGTTGAACGGCACGAGGCGGCCTTAGCTTCTTTCTCCAGTTGACGTCTTGTTTTTGTGATCGGCAGGCGTTCGAGACTGGCCCCCAGGTCGATCTTGCTGAGCCGGTACTCTGTGAACACGGCGCAGATCGTACAGTATATCAGGGGTTCGGGAAGCTCGAAGATTTGCGGATGTCCCTTCCACAGAGCAACCGCTGGCTGGTGCACGCTGACAGAGGGAAGGAGTAGGAGCAGGGAGCAGCAACTTCAAGGCATCTTGGCTGGAAAAGGGATCGAAACAGGCACAAGCAATTCGCTCCTGAGCGGAGAGGAGGGCGCAGTCAACAGAAGCTTGTTGGCAATTTGGCCTCGGGCTCCTGACCTTCTTTCTCCATGCTCAAAGGTGGGCAGGTAGGTAGGTGCAAACTTGTCGGACAGATTATCAAGGGCTCGAGACTGTCTATGCCACAGTGATAGCGAGGGGCCAAGTTTGCCTGTTGCAGGGTAGCCATTCATCGTTCCAGATAACAAGAAGTAAGAGCATGTCGGATGGTACAAGATCATAAGGAGATACTGGTAGGACTATTACAGTCCTATAACACTACAGCAAACCCATCAACTACCACCTTACTACAGCGCAGTATAGCTACCCTATGTAGTACCTTCTACAGTACTATTAGCATGTCTACGTTCAGAGTATTGTTTACACCGACTTCCGTTAGTAGGTCTGGTTCAGGATCACAAGTTTAGCTTGGATGCTTTTTCCATTGTGAAACTCAAGATGCATATGCTGTTCAGTACAATCATGGAGAGAGAGAGAGCCAATCTCCTTCTCACTTTCGTATGGAGCCTGCGATTCTCTGGATGCCTTGAGCTGATCGATCCTTGCTCTCTCTGTGTGTGAGCCCGTCTTCGCTCTCAATTGCTCTTTGTAAAAACCTAACAATGTGGCTCTCTGGCTCGCTCTCGTTTGCTCTTTGTCTCTCGCATTCGCATTCGCACTCTCAACTCAACCAATCTGTTCGGTATCCATCGCATGGTATGGTCAATCTCAACTCTCGCCTAAACTCCAAGCACTGTAACCAATCGACCAACCCATCGTCACGCTCATGGTCCGTACATGTCGGAGGTCTCAGAATCGTTGCCGCCGTCGTACTGTTTGCCAGGTGCAGGTTCGGCCTTCTTCTTGCTAGGTCCGGCGACGGGAGGCTCTTCTTCCTTTTCGTTGTCGACTTCTGGTTCAGGGAGGGATTCATCTTTCGCTTTTCCCCTTCCCTTGTTCTTGCCCTTGCCTTTCTTACCCTTGGCTTTGGCCCCGAAGTATTCTTCCTTTCTTCGGAGGTAATCGCTGGCTTGGCTGGACTTGTCTTTGTCCTTGGCAACACAGGTTTGTCCTTCGGCCTCTTCATCACGGCAGTACTCTTTGGCTTTGCCCTTGCCTTTGTCTTTAGGGTCATTGGGGTTCTCTTTCTCAGCATCAGCAGCTTCCTTCAGCTCATAGCCATATTTGTCCCCGAAGGCCTTTCTGGTTGCATCTGCCATTTCCTTGTATTCTCCGTTCTTGACGAACGCCATTGCTTGCATGCGCTCCAGCTCGCCCAACCAACCACGGTCCATGCCAATCTGGAAATGAGTCGTCTGCAAAGTAGTGCGGTCGACATGATGGAGGGAGGGTCTGCGTCTGAGCTCTTTCTTCTTCTTGGGCTGTGCCTGCGCTGATGTAGATGCCGATGATGATCCACCTGGACCTGGAACAATACCTTGTTCAGCTCGAGCTGCGGCCAAAGTATCAGACTTGAGGATATCGTCACGTGCGCGTTCTAGGGCTTTGCGACGTTCGTGGATGCTGGGGTAGTCGATCTTGAGGAGTTCGGCAAGATGCTTGTGCAAGCGACGAGTGGCGTCACCGGGACCAGAGGGTTTCGCATTGTCCTTCTTCGCATCAATGAGGGCTGCGTGGAGTCAACAATGTTAGCTAGTAACTTATGAACAACGAAGGACTGGTTCTAAGAGAGTAAGAGGGGAATACGTACGAATTTGACCCTGAGTTGGCTTCTTGGGCCGACCACCTCCAGTGGTAGCCTTAGGCGCAGACGAAGAAGACGCAGTTGCATGATCTTGAAAGAGGAGAGAACCCCTAGGACGAGCGGTAGCAGATGCAGATGCAGAGCCAGCCATAGTACCAGTACCAGCACCAGTACCAGTGGAAGGGCCAGCAAGAGAACCGGGGGGGTTGTTGCCAGAAGTAGTACCACGGTAAGAAGCCTTCGCAGCCGATGCGCCGGATCGACAAGCAACCTGAGGACCTTGATTCGACGCAGACCAACGTCGAGGATCGTCACAAATAGAAGGATGGTGAACAGGATGATCATCGGTGGATTCCTCATCAAGCTCCCTAAACCCGAGCTTGTGATCAAGTCGAGGGACTTGGCCAGCCTCAGTGTAGGTGAAGATTTTCTCGGGGTTGATCGGATTTCCGTCGAGATTGGGCTGGTAAGGTTTGCCCGCCATCTTGCCGATGGCGTGGTAGATCTGGTCAACCTCTTCCTCAGTGAGCGCAGGTGTCTCGGGCACAAGAAGATTGTTTCGAGCCTCCATCTTGGGAAAGCGAAAGAAGGTAATGCCCACAAGGAGGAATTTGTCGGGTGTGATTGAAACGTCGAGGTGACGGCCAAAAGCAACCATGTGAATAAGTCCAAGTGCAATCATGGGCAGATAATCATACGGGTTTTTGCACGTGAAATCCTGCGATTTCAAATTCAGCGCCCAACGCATATTCAGATCCAAGATCAGGTCCACAATCAGACTGGCGGCGTCGTATTCTGTCAATGGCGCAGGCGCATGAATGACGATTTGGCTGGGTTGAAGACCTGTCTTTTCCGTCCCATTGATGAACAGGCCAAGCAACTTGCCCTCTGCGATGTTGTCGGCGACAAGGCTGATGATGTCGGTGTCGATGGCCCATACAATTTGCTTGCTACCCATATCATAGTATGAATAAGCGAGGACAAACATTGCGATAATCTCCTCGCGACGGAGCTCCTTGTCGGCAAGGTATTTTAGGTAGAGCTCTTTGCCCCTTGTAAACACCTAGAGAAGTCTCACATTAGTTATTGTTACGACCGCAACTGACAGTAGGGCAACACTCACATAATCGTATGCTTGTCTCATGCCTTCTGCATCACCTTTCTCGATGGCGCGATTCAGAGGGTGAAAACTTCTCGTGCCAGGGATGGTAGGGGGAGGCGGCGGCGGGCCAGCGACATCGGGCGGAGGAGGGGGAGGAGCGGCAGAGGAGGCAGAGACAGGAGGAGAGTCAACAGCAGACGGCGTGACAGCAAAGAAATCGCGAGTCGCCCGGGCCTCGCGTGCCGCCCTCTTGTTGTTCTTACGGCCCATTGTTGCTGGACCGCGAGGAGAAGAAAAACAAAGAAGAGAAGAAAGTTAAGGAGTGGTAGGAGGAGAGGGAAGAGAAAGAGGAAGAGTGGTGGTGGTGGTAGAGGAGGAAGAAGAGGAAGAAGAAGACAAAACGCGATGAAAGAATTGGGAGAGAAGGTTGATTGACCTTCCCTGCGATTATCCTGAAAAGGGACAAGTAAGAACGTCGCGACTTCACAGTGCGAGAAAAGTGAAGTATTAGTGAAGTACCAGTGAATTGTGTCGCAATCGAATATCACGTGGATCTCAGCCTTGTGTTCAGGGGGGTCGTTTTGATGTCTGGGGAACAATAGTATCGTTCAAGGGGCAGCCCACCTTGGGAAAGATATGGAAAGACATATACCAGCAGGGAGGCCGCTGGGTATACCAGAGGGCTGTCTGTATCGCTATAGGGAACTCACCATAAGCAAGCATAAGTGGACAGACTCTTATTGAGAGGGTGCTGAATATAGTCTATACTGGACCATATAGATTCGAGAGGCAACTGTATATATTAGAGAACCTACCTTCATCAAGCATAGTGGACGTCAGAATCAGATCATGACCTGTAAGCCTGTCAATTAGGAGCCCACAATATATGATAGAGAAATCAACATACCGTAATTGCTTTGCAGCTTGAGAGACCACTATGCATAATGAAGAGTCCAGGACTGTCAGTAACATGTAGATCAGGAAGACCTTATGCCGAATGAAGAATCAATCCAAAATGGTATCATTATGATGCGGGCAACCGTCGAGGCCATCCAAATACAGGTATCATAATCCAAACCATCGCAAAAGTGGTATTTAGTCCGCGCTTCCATCACATGGGGGAATCATCTGCCGTAACGTCATCGCCACCAGAGAAGCTCTATCAATAACGCCGGAAAAATCAAAAGTGTCCAGCGAACAGAAAAGAGAACCGAATCAGAGAGCAAACAGACCGTCCATCGTCCTGATCCGTCGTCCGGTCAACTTCCCAGGTACATCTGATGGGTCGGATTCGAAAAATCCATGCCAGTACCACTGACATAACCATCGCTGATATCTTCGTCATAATAATCCCCGCCACTGGAACCGTCGAAACTGGCCCTGCCCATGCCGCCCACGTCACTCAGGTCTCCTTGGTCATCTCCCGTTGAGATTTGAGACCAGTCAATGTTTTGAAGAGCCGGATATTGTTGAAGTAAGGCCGCGGGCAAAGCAAATCCGCCAGTTCCGGTAGTAGGATCCATGCCAATCATCAGCGGCTGAGATACTGGTTGCAGCGTGCCTTGAGCGAATTGCGCCTGTGCCTGCTGCTGTTGCTGCTCCATCATGGCCTTATTCTGCCGTTCCATTTTTTCTTCCTCGAGGAGTGGCTTGATGCATATTCGGCCCGCCTCCGAGCGAAAATGCCGGCCCAGAGCATCGGCCCGGGCGAACCTTCGCCCACAACCCCAATGTTGACCTGGGGACGATCGAAGTTCACCTCTGCAAACAAATTTCTTCTCGCCGCTGTGAAGGCCTTCATGCCGTTTGCGATCGTGTTGTCTAGCAAAGGCTTTCCCGCACACCGTACATACAAATGGCCGCTCATCAGTATGGGTTCGCAAATGTGACCGCAAATTATACGCCCGAGTGAAGCGTTTCGGGCAGAGGGTGCATTGAAAGGTGGCCGGATGTTTCTGCACTCTCGTGTTTGAACCCGCCGGAGTAGCGGTTGGTCTCGTAGGGTCTGCCAAATCCAAGATGTAATCCCGATTCTGGCCCACCGACGATGTTGACGCACGGCGATTCTTATCAATGCGACCAGAAGCCACGCCCGGTCCTGGTGATGACTCACGAGACAACGATCGACTGCCACGGTCCGGAGACCTCGCTTGAACGGAGAGACTGTTCGTAGATACAAGGCCAGGCGAGCCGGACCGCGACAAAGGCCGGGTGAAGGTAACGTCGGATTTGCTTCGGTTGCGTCCTCCTGTACAGCATGTTAGCCTCGACGATCAGTCACAAATCCACTCTAGTTACACACTGTTCAGGGTTGAAGGAGGGCTGAGCGCGCCCTCGGTACCCTCCGCTTGCGGACCGAAACTTTGCTGCCGTGAAACCGGCGCAGGTTCAATGTTGATCGTGGGAGGTTCAAACTGGTCAGCCTGGCCAATGTCCGAAACCACCGAGGTATTCCGTAGGTGATTGCTAGGCACGACCGGAGGATATGCGTTGGCGTGGACTGGGTAAATTTCAGGAACAGACATTCGCATTGGCTGGCTCAAAGTAAAATCCTGGTTTAACCCCAGACCTTGAAGGTTCGGGTCCATGTCGGGCATAAGCCTCGGAGAGCGGTAAGATGTCTGCTCCGCAAGACTGAAACTCTCCATGCCAAAGGCGTTACTGGTGTCGGGTTGGGCAGGCATGAATGGCGAGTGGTTGAGATCAACTGAACCCGAATCATGTATCTCTGCATGTGCCATGTAGGGGGAATGATTCGCTGAGGAAATCTCGGAGGATGGTGCGCGCCGGTGTTGTTGGAAATTGACTCCAGAGTAATTCTCCCCATAAGCAGATGAAGGGTCCAGCGATGCGTGCCGAGAATGCTGAGGTGTATAGAATTGCTGCCCGTTCGAAGAAGGTGAGCCTGGTTGAGAGGTGAGAGTCTCTGGTGGGAACAGACTGGGGGATTGGTGATCTTGTGGAGAAGGCGATTTGTTCAAGTCGGCAGGGTTGACGTTGTTGTTCTGAGGGTTGAGATCATAACTGTTGTTTAGAGAATATGTCTGGTTGTACTCGTTGGGCATGCCTTCGCCCTGTTGATACATGAAGAGCTGGTTGGAGTAGGACGAGTCCAGATTCTGCCCTCCAAACTGATTGTCGGAGAACATATCCTGGGGAAACTGGTTGTTGGAATAAAAGCTGGGGTCTGCAGGGTCCATGTGGAGGCCGGATTGTTGTTCAGGAGTGAGAAACGGGTTTTCGAAAACGTGCGATGTGGTAAACTTGCCAGAGGTAAGGGCTTGCTGTATCGACGGATCGACGCCTGGGACTGAAGTGGGATATTGGTTTGCGGAAGACTGAGGGCTTATGTGCTCTGCATTGCCTCTTGAAGATGACCTTCCACGCGTTGTATCCATCTTCTTGGTGCGGCACTCTGGTCCAAGACCAGAGGGTGCTGATGGGACTCTCTCCCCAGTGACCGGGGATGGTGCCTGGAAGCCGCAGGCTCCTGGACGTCGTTCACTTCGGTGAGCGGGCGAGAAACAGATAGTAGTGAGACTCAATTCAGCAGTCAGAAGACGTAGCAGAAGGAGGGTTCTCGGTGGACCTGTGGCGCATTGAGTCAGCATAACCGGCGTGCCATACATATTATTCGGACTGAGACGTAGGACCGTACCCGTGAACTCAATGAGGCAATGCGGGAGCGGGATGGTTTCAAATGGTCGCGCACACCCTCTGATTCAAGAATCGGGTCAGGGACAACTTTCAATCAACGACGTGACTTCCATCGATAAGATACAAGGCAATTGGCACGAGCGGTGTCGGAGCGCAGCGGTGGCTCGTCGAATGATGCGCTGGTCGGCTGCGCAGGCAGAATCGTAAATGCACGGTCGAGCCGAGACGATTGAAGGGAGCGTCTACTCGAATTGAAAAGGAGTCGTCAAGTAGATGCACAGAGGCAGAGAGAGCGCAGCGTCGATGAGGAAGAGTGGACAGGATATCTCGGAGCTGTCTGGGCTGGTGATGGTGACGGTGGTGGTGGTGATGAGGCACAGCAGTCAACTTCGAGTTTGGAGATGAATGAACCGCCGGTGCAATGTCAGTGTGTGTGAAGAGTGCGCCGGGCCTGCACTCGGAGCCTGAGATGAAACAAGATCCCACCCACAACCCACGGCAAACGACCCTTCACACTGGGTCCCTTTGGTCCCTTTTTACTGCTCGTATTCTGGTCCGAGTCCTGTACTAAGGTATACAACGCTGTACTGCTACTAGCACTAGTAGTAGTAGGTACTGTAAATAGCACTCGCCTTAGGTGTAGCAGTCGTAGTCTCAAGTCTCTGCGTGGTCGCCGTGTCACTACAACCACCGCATCTACAACATAGATAATACAGCTAACTCAAGTATCACTCGTTGACCTACAGTACCTTACATCTACTACAATATACCCAGATGCAGACAGTCTGTTCCGCCGTGTAATTGTCATCCAGAGAAGCGAGTCTCTGCGCACTTCTATCCGCCAATAATGGAGTCTTCTTTACGTAGGTGTGTCCCAAATCCACAGTTTCAGGCGCCTTTTTGCTGGTTCCGCGGCCAAGGCACGGTGAACAACGAATGACGCGGATGGAGAATCGGAAGAAAAAGAGAGCCGCAATCACCGCCGTTCTGCCTGGACTCGCTGTCCAGTAGTTGCTGCCCCTTGTGCCTGGAATCGTCAGGCTGCGAAAAAGGTACCAGTAGTACCGGTTGCTCACGTCCCAATTCCCCGTTGTTCTGCCCAAATGCACCAGAAGTTCGCCTTGTGGAGCATCTCGCACCGCGGATTTGGCGCCTCGAACGAGGCTGTGCACGCACGGCCAATTCGCCGCTAATGATCACTCGTACAACATACAACAATGTACAATGCTTTCTGTCAGTTGTAGTGCCGACTCTCGGTCGGATACAAAGGCAAAGCATAGTGGAGGTCTCCTCCTTCTGCTCTCAGCAATCAAAAACAGAAGCTGGCGCCGACCATGGTCTGTGGAATTTCATTGTTGCTCGTCTCGAAACAGTCTCGAACCCGGCCTTGTAGTCTGCGCCGGGATTTTCTATGTTACAAACCACAGTCTGGAGATGAGCCTGATATGCATCAACAATGACCCATTCTGAGTCCACTTCAGCCTGTTCAATGACCCTTTTGGGGGCCTCATGTTTGTGGCCTTTATTTTCATCCATACACACAGTCACAATCAAACGCCTTGCTCACCAGCGGTCCCTGCTTTCCTGGATAACACCCCGCTGTCACTTAGACAAAGAGAATAACCCCACAAACGTCTGTCGCAAAAGTGATCGTGATTCATCGAGGATTTCCACTCCCCGCGATGCCCAGTCTGACTGTTCTTGCTGCCGGCCCTCGGTGTGGAGAAGGTGATTAGATGATGCTTATTACCGTTGGGCGACCAGAGAGGACTGTCCTGCAGTGCCCGACATCTGAGAATTGTGGTAAGGGGGTTGGAGTCTGATTAGTTCGTCCACACAACATCCATCTCTTCAGCGTTGAAGGACGAAAGATACTGAACATAAGCGACATGCGTAGCCCGAGTTCAACCTGGAAAGGAAGATCAGTAGCTGTCGAACAATGGACTTTTGAAATACATACCACAACAAAGAACCTTCATCATCTTCTGGAAGAAACCGGGGTGTTGTTCTTGCTGCTGGTTGGGGCGACCCTGGTTGTTCTGCAATGCTCCAGTAGCTGGGCTGATCTTAGGTTGTTGACCCACCAGATTTGCGTTGCTGTTCTGGAACTGGGCTTGAGTGCTCGCTGGAGGGGTGTTCATGTCCAATTGTCCAGCCAATTGACTACTCCTCTTCGGAAGATTGCCCCCGGCGACGCCGTTTGTACGGTCGCGAGCGTTCTTCCCCATGGCTGCCACTCCTGGCTTTGCCGGTGACCCTGGGGGCGGGGGCTGCGCCGCGTTTAAACGGTCCGACGAGATTGCTCCGCGTTCGCGTGATGGCCGCTGGCCTTCTTGACCTCGGACGGCCGACGCTCCATGGAGAGCACGAGCCGAAGCATCGGGTGGGCCGTTGATGTTGTGCAGTGCGTGAGCGGACGGATGAGCTTTCATCGCCTCCCAGCCGCGGCCACCGTTCAGCTTCATCCAGTCATATTCTCCATCTTCCACCTCGCCCGTGTTTTTGAGCGCCTGAGTAAACAAGTCGCGGCAGAAGTCGTAGTCCGGAGTATCCTCGAATCCGAGATTTCGAACATAGCTGAGATACTTGTTGAATTCCTCTGGAAGAAAATTAGCATGACATTCAGTCCAGGGTACTGAAAGCATAGAAAACACGTACCAGGAAAGCCATCGCAAAGGTCCTTGATTGCTGTGGTTTGCTTCTTCTCGCCAATCTTTTCGTACTTCTGTTTGTTTGTGGCCGCCTTCAGCCCTTGCCATGGCAGACCACCTCTCAGGAAATACATGAAGACATGGCCCAGGGCTTCCAAATCATCTCGTCGCGACTGTTCACGGCCCAAGTGTGTGTTGATGCTCATGTACCGGGCAGTTCCGGACAAGGATTTTCGTTCTCGGTATGGGATATGTTGTTTCGTCTTCGGATCGCGATATTGCTTGGCCATGCCAAAGTCAACCACGTGAATAACATTTGCTGCTTTGGTACCGGGCCGGCCGATGAGAAAGTTGTCGGGTTTGATGTCGCGGTAGATCAGGTTCTTCTCGTGTATGGTTTGGACTCGAGAAAGCTGCAAGGGAGTTAGAATGGTCCGTCGTGTAGCCGCAGGAGGAGGGCAAGTACCATCTGTTTCGCGACCATGACCACTGTCTTTATCGAGAACCGTCGGCCGCAGTGGTCGAAGAGATCTTCCAAGCTTGGCCCAAGCAGATCGATGACGAGAATGTTATGTAGACCTTCTTGGCCGAAATAATACACATTGGGGATGCCGGCTAGAGCACGTCAGTTGTTTTCCACAAACAGTGAGCAATTGTGTCATATAACTCACGGCAGCCGGACAGGATCTTGTACGTTCTGTACTCATCACGAAGTTGTGGCGCGTCGCTTTTTCTCGGTTCCTATCCCCGTTCAATGAGTTGGTTGTCGACAGAGCCGCAAGGGGTTGCTCACAAATTTGATAGCAACCTGCTGGTTGTTCAGAAGGTTGACACCCTCAAAGATGACGCCAAAAGATCCCTCGCCAATTTTCTTTCCTACGCGATAATGAACGCCAACGACATTGGAGGACGAGGAAGCCATGATTTCTGCAAAATAACGTGTCGGCCAGATGCGGCTTTGAGGATACGACAAGGAGGTTGATGGTGGGAAGGGCGCCTTGAGGTCTGAGGCTGGGGCTGGCGAGGTGCTTCACCTCCGCAACCGCGCGGTGACTGTGTCTGTCTGTCAGTGGCCTGGAAAGAAACACACGCGCAAGCACAAATGCAGAATAACATACGCTGCTGAGCTATCAGGCACAGATGGATGTCATGCGCGGAGGATTGATTGTTGCAGACAGACGTCGACAGGATCACGACTGGCTTTGAGGTGTGCAGGGCAGTCGGTGCAGTGGTGGTGAGTCTGAAGACGACGGCTCGGGGAGGATTGGAGCTCCTGCCAAGGATCGATGAGGCTACGGGCGCTACTGATGCTAGTCACTGGCACCGTGACCCAAGTGCTAGTAGGTGCCTACCTAGGTAGTGGTACTGTACAGCGCAGCGCAGTGGTAGCAGTAGTGCCGTAATGAACATAAAGTGCTTGCAATTGCCAGTGCAGGCCGATCAGGTTCTCTTTCCGCAGAAAAGAATTGATTTTAACCTGGTACTACTGAGGGACAAATACTCAATGCAAAAAAGCTTAAAAAAGGAAAAAAGGGAGTCCTCGTACTACTACAGAAACTATAAAGTATCTCGGGAGCGGTGGCACTTGCACGGAGTCCCTGGGGTTGGACTGGACCGGGCTGGACTGCTCTGCAGTAGCACCACTACTTACTACAACGTAGCGGAGAGTCGACCGCTCTACACCGCAGCCAGGAACCCACACGATCAGACGGTGAGAGGCACAGTAGTGAGGCAGCTTCTCGACGCTCCTGCTTTCTTGATGCATTCTAGTTCATCGGATATGGCCTCTTGTGCTCCATCGCCAACTCATATACATATGCCTACTTATTGGTGCAGTCCACATGTTGGGCTCCAAAAACAAAAGGAAGTGATTCAGTATCGGTTAGCCGGAGCAGTAACCAGGCCGGGGCAGTCTACACACTACTACCATGGTACTGCTGTGACTACAGTACTGTACAATCTACTGTGTAGGGACCACGAGCTCTTCTCGCCGTCCTGCTGAACCTCTACCCATACTACAGTACCATACTGGGTTATCACAGTGGCTGTTCTGCATCCTCAGCCAGACTTCATGCAGTGGTGGCGGAGACCTCAGGCTGGCAACGGTTGGGTGCAACCTGTCAGAAACCATCAGCGGCGTGTCGGCGGCCAATTACTCTGCCCGGATCAATGTCCGAGCGCCATCAAACAACCCCTGAATGCGCCCTGGGTTTCAATTAATACACGCTTTAACAACGAGTTCTTCCTCGAGCTCAAATCACAAAGAGAATCCATCCAGCAACATAACGGCTCTGGATCAAATTGATTACCTAGGTAGCAGCGCTACCTGCGCTGGATAATTCGCCCATGCACCTTCGGCGTGGGCTGGGAATAGTACATGGTACAACACAATTTTCCTTTGTTCCGATATGCCATGCCTTCCTCTGGCACCCATGCAATTTGCAGCAACAACTCCCGTCTGCTTGAAACATTCTTGATACCGTGATCTCAACGCGCACGCTGTGGTCTGCCCATTAATTCACTGCAGTCGATTATCCGTTCGAGTATGCCCAGTAGTCGTTACTCGTCTGTTGGAGCTATCCTTCCGCTCTCCAACGCCCTTTTCTCAGCTTGAGTCCTACCACCTCCGTTCCGTGAGCTCTGAGCTCAGTTGTCATTGCCAGGTAATATTCTGCCCCCGTCTTGCTGATCTGCCCTTGCCACCAAGTTTCTTCATATCATTTCAGCGAGCGGAGGCCGAACGCCGATCGGGGGTACGTGATAGGACTTTGCCGTGACTCCCATGAGCTCGTGTGACATTGCGGAGTGGTGAAGGTGTTGCTGGTTGAAATGGCACACTCAGATCGCGTGGGATGGATGTCGCTAAATCAGATTCACTGGGTCTCTTGAAGAGACCCCCGAAGTGAAGACTCCGGCTCTTCTTCACCGTCCTACCGTCACCAGTGCTGACACCGCGATTGATATCTCGCTGGGACAAGGGGGATGGTGTAACTGGAGTGGCTGTGCCTGTGGTCCCAGCTCCTGCACTTTTGGGATGATGCCCTGTCAATATTTTGACTGACTTGGAGCGAGAGAACATTCCTATACCACTCCTACTCTTCTTTAAGACCCCAGAATGATGTCCTCCGATTGCTTGGCCTCTGGTGGGAGTAGGGTTTGGCGTGGTATGAGAGCTATGGAGGTAGCTCTCTGCTCCGCGTCGTTGATTCGCTTTTGAAGCAGGCGTGTCTCTCGCATACTGACTAAGATCCCCCAGCGACGGAGAATAGATCGGAGCATCTTCGAGAGAGAGGGATTCATTGTCGTCTTCATCCTGCCTGCTTGAGTTCTTGTCTTCTGCATCTTGTTGGGATGGTGTCGGACATTTCTCCAGGGTGGTTTGAACCGGACGCCCTTCCAGCAAGGGAGGAGAGCCCATGAGATGTGGTGGATGCATCCGCAAAGGATTCCAGGGCTCCTGTATTCCGTGCGTGGATTTTGATTGTACGGTTCCATTCTTGTTGTTTGCAGATAGAACGCTGGTGGATGGAGTGCTTTGAGGAGCAAGTTTGTCTCCTGGAGTACGAGCAGCTGGTGCGGGCGTGGACGGTCCATGTGAGACTGTCACAGGAGATGACGAGGATGGGAGCCTCGCAGCGGGAGATCGCAATGAATTAGAGGTTGTCAAGGCCTGTCGTCCTGCTTCACCTCGTTCCACAGCCTCTTTGTCCCTTCTGGAATTGAAAAAGGACGATCTAGATCTGAGAAAGGGGATGTTGTGTGGCCGCGAGGCGTGGAAGTCTAGTTTGTCAACGGCGCTGGCAAAGGACCTGGTCAACGATCCAAACGCAGAGTCATTGTCGCTTTGCTCAGCATTCTCATCTGGCACGACCTCGTCAATGATGTCGCCCAGGAGAGGCGGGTCTTCTTTGTTTCCGGACGCTTCTTTGCCGCTGTTGACTGGTTTGCGCCGAATATGGCCATTGCCTGTGAGTCCTTTGATTTTTCCTCTGTACAAATTCAAGGCTTCTGTCCGTCGACGTGCAATGCCCTGTTCAAACGAAACAATCTCCTGCCCACCCAATCCGTCAACTGTTCCATTCTGTGCATGCTGTTCATTCTGCCTACGCAAAGATGAGGACTTGAATTTGTTTTTGACAGCATCCCACGGTCTCAACATTCGTCCACGTCTTCCCACTGCATCAGCTGGGTTACTGTCATCTCTGGTACGGCTTGAGCTTGCCGGATGCCCACTGTTTTGCTGTTCATGAAGATTCGCACAGTTTTCCTGTGTACCCGTTGGAATGGCCGCCTGTCCAACATGTGAGTGCCATGTGGGCGAAGAGAGCTCGGCATCAGTCAATTCGGAACAGTGTACTCCTTCCACACGTGCAACTTTGACATTAGAGGTGCTGGTGAGTATTGGGGCCGATATTACACTTCGAGCAACGGTGGACGTGCTCGTGGCCTTGGGCAGTTGGACAGAACGACTTCGAGGGTGTCGCGATTGGGACGATGAACGTCTAAACGGCAGCCAGGAAAGTCGTCGTGTTCGTTGCACTCGGCGATGAGAGCCGCCTGCGTCTGGGAGCGCAGCTTCTCTGTTGCCCGAACTCATGTCAGTTGCAGTACCGTTCGCCTTTCTTTCTGGTGACGTTGAACCAAGGCCTCCTTCAGCGGCTTCGGTTTCAGAGGGATGACCAGGTGATGCCGGAGGCTGGTTCAGGGGGTCGCATCGATAAGAGAGTCTGGAATCCGATCGCTCATGCAAATCGGCCCTGGAAGGAACTCGGGCAGCTGGGGTTGAGTCAGCGGATAAGGAGCATCAAGGGTTGAACCTCGACTTACCTTGTCGTGAACCAGCACGGCTGATGGACCTAACGTGATCGAGTGAGAAAATCGAGAAAGAGCCTCTACTACGAGAATGTTCACGGGGAGCCATGGTGTCTAAGGCAGACAAAGCTCGAAGGATGCCTCACAACACCTGGATGAGCCGGGGGACCTCACGGAAGACGAACAGTGCGAGACGATGATTGAGCAGACAGGCAGATATGGGACCTTGGACTTCAACAAGGAACAGAGAATGAGTTGAGGATGCAGGTAAGTAGGGCGCCGACTGCAGTGCGAGTGCGAATCCACAGATGCAAGTATCAGATGCGGCAGGAACATATCGAAACGAGCAAACCTTGAACATACAGCCGCTGCCACTATCTTTCTCGACAGCATTGAATCCTGTTCTTCGAATCTCCTTTTCCTTCTTCATGATGCTGCAATCAATCCTCATCGCCAAACATGCTCTTGTCCGCCGGACCCTCCTTCAGGTACCGCTTTGGGGTCTAGTAAGCCCTGGTTCTTCGAGGACATTTCCATACATCACTGTTGTCCTGAAAGAGCACACGGCGTAAATGTAAAAGGACTCAGCTAATATTTGCATTCTAGTCCAATTTGCAGACCTTGCAAAACATCTACACTGAGTCTCATGCTAATGGAGTTGTAGTTGGTAAGCCAGCCGTCATTTAACCGCGGTTAAATCAGCCACATTGTCCTCCATCCGCTCGACAATGTGGGGAGACGACCCATCCACTCCTCGAATATAAACCTTTACATTGTACATCAACAGCCCGCGGCCCCACCAAGTTAGAATACAACATACACGCAGCAATAAACACGGACTGTGTCGACATAACGTGTCGCAAGAGGGAACCTGTCCTACGGTCGAGACGATGCCATATACATTGAAGGGACGGAATGTTTTGGTGACTGGTGGCTCGAGGCAAGCATTGACAACACCAAGATCAGCTACGACCTCTAATGAAGAATCTGTAGGGGACTGGGAGCTCTGATATGTGAGAAGTTCGCTGCGGAAGGTTCTAACCTTGTGGTCAACTACGTGAGCAGGAAGGATAGGGCCGACCAGGTGGCCGAGAAATGCCGCAAGGAATTCGGAGTCAAAGTCGTGGTTATTCAAGCAGTGAGCCCCATACAATTTCCAGACCAAAGGGTCCGCGGGTGCCGGCACTAATTCAAGCACGTAGGACATTGGTGTAGCTGAAGACAGCATCCGCCTCGTCAAGGAGACTGTTCAGCAACTCGGTGGGCTTGATATCATTATCAACAATGCTGGGTGGACGAGATTCGCCAACTTTGGTGATATCAACGACCTTAGCCACGATGAGTGGAACAAGGTACGACGAAACCAGCAATGGTCTCAGCCAATACTCACTGATCTAGTGTTGGTCCACGAATGTGATGTCCCAATTGGTCTTGATGCAGGAAGCTGCTCCCATCTTCAACGCCAATCCAGACGGTGGAGTCTTTCTCATTTCGTCCTCGATTGCTGTGAGTCCGCCTGGAGTTCATTCCTGGCACCTGCTCAGCTCCTGCAGGGGAAAGTGTGTAGTGGAAGCAGCATGGGCTATTCAGTTACCAAGGCTGCCGGCCTCCATCTCATGAAATGTCTTGCCTCCACACAGGGGCCAAAGGTCAGAGTCAACGCTGTCTTGCCAGGCCTGCTGTTGACCGAGTGGGTGAGTTCTTGCACACTAGACTGGAAGATTCGGCCCAGTCCTTCTGCGACTAACACCATTCGCAGGGTCTTCGATATAGTGAAGAAAGAATCCAAGCTGCTAAGAACGCTGCCGCGTTGAAGCATGAGGTCTGTCATATTTTCTTTTCCCCTGAGCCAAGCTGACGCCCAAAAGACCTATTTGGAGGATTGCGCAGATGCGTACATCTCCACGGCCAAGAACACGTCTATGACCGGCCAGCAAATTGTAGTTGGTATGTCTACTAGTCCGGGCCAAAGATGTATTGCTAACATAGACAGACGCCGGCATGGTCATTGCATAAGTCCGATGTCTGTCCCCTGACCTACGACTTCACGATGACTCCGGCACAAAAAGTGGTTGAGAGAATCGATGTAACTTTTGATTGCCAACGATGACCGGCTGGGAGAAGAACCCCGCGCGAGAAGCAGCTGCAGCTCCGTAGCTCTTCTTCAGGGAAGAAACGGTAATTGTTGGGAAGACAAGTCGCCGGTCAGGCCCCTCTCCGGGTGGAATGGTGTTGACAAGCAATGGCTTTGTACTCTGATCAACGGTTTCATGCAACTCGGTGATCGCATATGGTAGGCCAACAGGGATAGAGTCAACTTCCGCCCTCAAAACTTCTGGGACGTCTTCGTCGGTAAAAGCTCTCATATCTGTTCCGAAATTGATCCTGGACACGCGTTCCTGTGGTGCTGTATGCTTTGCAAAGGCGTACAGTGGCCTGATTGCCCTACCGCGTCTCAGGATCTCGGTTGCTGTGAGCGCACGGAAGTCGATCGCGCACATCTGCGGCCTAATTTTTGGTGCATAAGGAACTTGGTTCGGATTACTGCCCTGCGGTTTCTGAACTGGGTTATAAGGAGGAATGTAAAGCCGGTTCCGGATGGCATTGACCAGCATTCTCGCTCCCAGAGGCGCAAGCAGACTCGTTAATTCTGCAACGTTGATAGTGTCCGGATTGGGGATGGGCAGACCCGGTGCGGGCGTTTGGTCCAGGATAATCCCCTCGTCGAACTTCTTCGGATGCAAAGTCTGCAGCGTGATTCCGGTAGTCGTGCGGCCATGGATAATGGTCCACTGAATAGGAGCAGCGCCCCGCAAATCAGGGAGCATTGAAGGATGGACATTGAGACCCGAGTACTTTGCATTATTCAGAATCCTCGGTGGGATCAACAACCCGAACGAGACGGCTATCACCAGATTGATAGAGCTGACGTTGCTGGTACGATACTCCGGGGGGTTCCATCCTCTGAAAGTGTCGATTTGATGGACAGGAAGCCCCAACTCCAATGAGACAGGTTTGATAAATGGTGGCTTGAGCAGTTTCAGACCGCGGCCGGTCCTTTTGTCGGTCTTGGTCACGACATCGATGGAAAGGATATTGCTTTCCGGTGACTGGGAATAGTCATACAGAGCCTTCAAGGAGGCCGTGCTGAATGCATCGGAGCCGCAGAATAGGATCCGCAGCGGCTCGCCTGGGTCTTTCTTGTCGGAAGAAAAATAACGCTGGGAATGATAGCAGTAATTGAAGGGGCCGCCAGGGAACGTCCTTGGGCGTCTAGATCTTCCTGCGCGAAGGCATACAGATACTAAAGTCGAGGGAGGTCTCATGCCTCGATAGGGGCATTGGCGATCTCGAGTGGGATGTGGGATATTTACATATGTGCTGCCCAAGAATCCGTTCAAGGGGAGACAGATGCTGCGCAAGGCTGTGTTTTAGGTATGTCCGGTGAGTTAGAAAAGATACATCCTGTTTAGGCAAGAGACTGCGCTGTTAACCCACGTTCTAAAAGCTGTGTATTGGTTTAGGGCGGGAGGCAGCCGTCAGCCTCGGTTTGCGGGGATGTTTCTCAGTGGATAAGCAGCCCGGGCTGTCTCGTCGTTGACACACATCAGTCGGATTGCGATTGTGAGAGGTCGCGCAGGGCTAGCAGCAATATTGTGACTTCTCGCATGTGTGAGAGTTGTTTCTCCCACTGTACTACTCTTGCCGGCCTTTTACCGTTGGCAAACTACAACTACACTACGTTTTCATTGATACTCTGGAGTCCTCGTCCCATCTGCGCAGTGTAATCTCCCCAGATCGAACCACGACATTCTCGTCCACCACCCGCGATTACTTGTGACACACGATCCGGCTCACAATTCGATCTGCTGCAACATGGCCGAGCATTCAGAGCCGCCATCCACGCAAGGGCATGAGGAGACACCTCCTCCAACGGGGACAGCGCAGGACACAGATCGCGCCAGCCAGAAACAGCCTGGGGTGACGGCCGAAGATGCGGACTCAGACCCAGACTTTGACGACCTTGACGGTATGTACCAGCAGCCTACCTACCCTCCGCTATCACGAACACATGGAAACCAAAAAAAGAAGAAAGATGAGCGCAAACCAAGAGACTAACTTGTTACGAACTAGATGTGCTCGACCAATTCTCCGCGGCGACAGCAGCCCAGTCGTCCAAACCGCAATCGCTGTCCCAACCTAGTCCGTCCTCCTCAGGGCCAGGCAGACCAGCAGCAGCAGCAACGACGGTGGGCTCCTCAAGTACAGAGACGGCATTACCTCCCGACATCCCAATCCCGACGGGCCCTCATGCAAACGAGACCGAAGAAGAATTCATGGCGCGGCTGACGGCCGAGATGTCGAGCGTCATGTCCAAGATGTCACAGGACCCGGCAGCATCAGCGGCTACGCCCGAAGACATTGCCAAGATGGGCAAGGAGCTAGAGGAGTTCACGTACAAGATGGAAGCGGAGGGCGTGAAGCCCGAAGACCTACTAAAAGCCATTCTGGGCGAGGACACGGGCGCACGAGTAGGTGAGCTGGCCGAGGCAGAACGGGAACGGGAGCGGCGAGAAAGCGAATCGAAATCGAAACAAAAACCGGCACCGACAACATCCAGCAGCACTACTAAGGCTGGCGCGCCTACCATTGCAAACGCCGAAGGCCCCTCGTCCAAATCACAACCTGCATCCAAACCATCTTCATTCGAAGACACGATCCGCAGGACCATGGCGCGAATGGAATCGTCGTCCGCGGCCGCCGCAAGCGCCACAGCCCAGGCATCCGCCCCCAAGTCGGAAGAAGACATGCTAGCGGAACTTCTGCGCGCATTGGAATCCGAAGGCGGCGGCGCCGGCGGTGAAGGTGGTGACGCAGGCGACCTGTCCAAGATGTTTCTGGGCATGATGGAACAACTGACCAACAAGGACATGTTGTACGAGCCCATGAAGGAGTTGAGCGCCAAATACCCGGAATGGCTGGCGCAGAACCGTGCGACGCTGCCGAAAGCCGAGTTTGAACGTTTCTCGCGTCAGCGCGTCATTGTCGATGAGATTGTCGCGAAATTCGAAGAGTCGTCTTATAGTGATGCCAGTGCCCAGTGTCGCGAGTTTGTTTGGGAGAAAATGCAGGCCATGCAGGGCGAAGGCGCTCCGCCAGAAGATCTCATTGCTAACCCTTTGCCTGGGATGGGTATACCGGGACTGGGATCGGGCGAAGATGCTGAAAAGGTCCTGGAGGAGGGGTGTCCGACTCAATAGTAGTAGAGGGAGTAGTGGCAACGGTCAGTATAAGCTACTCGTCGGTGTATGTGGGTGACATGAGAAGGAATACGGCAGAAGAAAGCAACGAGCGTTCTGAACGAATCATCGGTCTGAGATTGTCGCTCGAGAAGTTGAATAGGCCTAACAGCAGACAGAACGGAATCCATCCACCAGTGAGACGGCTGTGCAGTGGTCGAGAGGAGACCCGTGTTATCGTTTCACGATACTGCATGTTCGATCTGATCTAAGGTATCTCATATACCCGGATACCTGTTACCTACAGTACTCCAATTAGGTACCTAGAGTAGGATATACATGTGATACTACTATGAGACGGAGAGCTCGCTACCTAGGTACCTACCTGCCTGTGTTGACAAGGTATTGAATTTCGGCACATTTTGACGATTTAGTATACTACGATGCCGGCAGAGTGCCAGATAGAATACTCGAGGATAGAAATTACATTGTGTACACGACGGTTATTCATTGATGGGGCGGGCCAAGCACACCCGTTTCTACAGGCATTGACAAGACAGCCACTGGGTCTAGTCTCTGGTATCATGCATTACTAAGGAACAACACTTCGCAGCCTGCCGACGGGCTCGTTCAAAACCAGAACCGCTCACAATGCAGTTCTCACAAAATAATCCTACCAGCCACAGATGATGACAATCCACAGGGAGCCCTCTACAGAGAGCCAGCTTGCCAGGAGAGAAAGAGTGCCGTGGTTTCCCACCTCCCTCCGGACAAATTTCAAGAAAGATCCATATTAGAATCATGATAGTCCCGCGCAACATTGGCGTCATGGGCATTCTGATCCGCTTGACGTTGCTGCTGCTGTTGCCGTTCTGTATCCGTCGGACTCGCCATCCACTGTGTCTGTGACATCCCACGCCGGTGCTGATTCTGAGCAACAAGCTCTTCGAATAGCTGATCATATTCCTCCATGTCGACCTCGTTGTCGTCAATCAAGAAGTCATCGTCGTCGCCATTGCCATTGCCACCGCTGTGTTCAAGGCGGTTGTCGCCCCTAGCTGCGTCTTGTACATCACCACCCATTTCGGCGATTCGCGCATAATACTCGACCAATGCATCGTCAACATCATGAATTTCAGTCGGAGACAAATCCGCTCCTCCATCCTCCTCTGCCTCTGGTACTGCTCGACCGGACAGACCATACAGTGGCACCATGGCAGGGTTATTATCATGCATAGCCGAGTCGATACCGTCTGCCTCATCTTCTTCTTCCGGCGGCGCCAGGACACCTTGCTCCAGCAAAGCCCGACGATTCATCTCTTCCTCCCACTGTCTTCGTTCGCGCACGAAATCCATTCGGAGGACTTGATCGCCGTAGATATCGGTGCGTGAATCGTCTCGCCGCCGTCGGATGCGGTCGAGAAACTGGGTTTTCTTCTTGTCTCTCCCTTGAGCCGCATGTCTGGCCAATGCTGCTGCGGCGCCTGCGTCTCGTGAACGCCGTTCCCAACTGCCAGTGTTGGGGAATCCGTGTGTTCCACTGCCCATGGACATTACAGGGCGGTTGTTGGCATTCGTTGCACTCGAGCCTGACTCAGGCGGCGTAATAAGTTTGACAGAAGCTTCTGAGCCACCGGTGCCATTGCCGTTTATATTTGTGTCTGACGTGTAGTTTGTTGTTGCCTTTCCCTCCGGCGTCTTTTGCAGCAGCCCTATACCGAAGCCGCATGCTTGTCCATCTCGCCTGTCTGGTCCCGTGGACTGTGTACCGAACTTGTTTCCGCCAACTTGGATAATTCCATTCTCATCCACGAATCCCCCGCCACGTGCAGGTCCACTAACCGGCGAAGAACTCAGCAAAGACGTCGAGTCATCGGTCTCATCGTCGACCGGCGCCGCATTGTTCAGGAAGGCTGTTGGCATATAGTTCAAATTCAAATTGGCATTCGCATTCGCATTCGCATTCCGAGATGACCGCAGCGGCGACGGCGTCGGCGGAGCGTGGGCATGGAACGGGACAAGGCGAGGTCGAATCCGATCTGCGGACTTGGCAGCGACGAAATAACTGCTGTACGGCTCTGCTGGCGGCGATGGTCGTGGCGGCGGCGGCGATGAAAGTGAGAACATTGTACGCTTGGGCCCCAGGCTCAGGCATACGCTCACTCACGTGCTTTGCCTCGTTCGGTGTGTGCCGTCGGTGCAAGAAGACCAAAGAACACAGGAACTCGTAGTAGACACAGGTTATGAACGAGTTGCAATCGGCGTTTGGGGTGATGGTGTTCGATCGAGAGGGTACAGCAGTCCGTCAACACTCTACGCGCTTCAAGCCAATGCAAGTGACGCGGGAGTTGCCAGCCCTGCTTTCGACACGACGTGCAGTGCAAATCATGGGCTGAACGCGAATCCAGGCTGCAGACGCGTCAGAGACCAGAGCTAGTCCTGTTTGGGTCTAATGGACCAGACTTTGCTTACTAAGGTACCTACCAACGTGCAAATCACCCGGGATGACCCTTATGAGTACCTCATAACTCGACCTTCACGTTGGTGCTGACATTGGTCTGCATCGTCAAGGCTGTGCTGACTTCCTCTGTCCCGAAAATCGCTCTTTGAATCGATCCATTAAGGTAGCACACATATATCTCGCATGCAGTTACCATGCACAGAACGAGAACGCCTTTACCGTGGCCAGTCTCGGCTTGGTAATCATTCAACATGACAATCAATTGATTTGTGTTCTACTTAGCCAATTCGCCATACTCCGATCACTTTCAATTAGCCCTTCTGTACACATCAAACAAGATGGGGACTCCTGAAGGAATGGTGCGCATAGCACAGATTAGGTCCGCTAACTAGCAAAGAAAAAAAACACCTCCCACGCCATGATATGCCCACTTCAAACCCTGAGTAAGCGCTGGCCGACGGATTTTTGACCGGGAAACACCACCTCCAACGGCTTTCCCGCGCTAAGTCCAGATAAAATTCGTGACAATCGTGACGGTCCAGTTGCTGGGTAACAAATTGGGATGGTTTGCCAGTTTAAAAGTTGGATGCTGTGTTGACTGGGCCCGGTTGATGATATTGATCCAAGGTCGAGCGGAAAGGCGTAGAATCCGATCCCGTATTTGCACTGAGTTTGTCTTGGTTCAAATTGGGGTCGTACAGATCATCATCATGGAGGTTCCTCTTCTTGCCCCAGATGCGCCAGGCAGTGTATGCCAGTCCAGCAAGAAGCAAGGCACCGCCGACACCACCAACCACGCCGCCAATTGTCTTTTTGGCTGTTGAGCTCAGGCCGGAGCTGCTGTGATGACCGCTGCCGCTAGTCAATGAGGCTGGGTCGACGCTTGTGGTGACCGGAACCACACTGCTGCCTGTGCTTGTAATGTGTACGGTACTACCGGCGCTGACGCTTGTGATTGTGGTGATGACTTCTTGAGTAGCACTTGTTGTTATCAATGTTCTCGACGGGGTCACTGTGCTAGTGGAGACGGTAGACACGGAAGCCTCAGTAGTGGTGGCAGAGCCCTCCGAATTGGTGGGAGTATAGGTGGATGTGCGGACGATCACGGTGGTGGAAGGAGACCATGTTGGCGTTTGCGTGACAGTGGAGGACTCGACGCTGATGCTACCGGAACTTGTTTGAGTGAGGCTGGAGGTCGTGTCATCGTCACTGCTGGAGGACGATGTTGGTACTGATGATGAAGTCTGGGTAGCGCTTGTGGTATCTGAACCGCCGGTAGACAGTTGGACGCTCTGGCGTTTGAAGAGGGCTATTGCGTCGTCTAAGGCGTCGGCGGACACCGCAGAGGCGAAGAGCGTGCCAAACAGAACGGCTGAGATCTTCATTGTGGTAGAGGAGGGAGGAATCGAACGGATTCGAAAACGTGGTTAATGAGAATTAGAGGGCGGGAAAACTCGGTTGTTCGAAGGACGGCTTTGAATGAAGACGTGCAGGGAAGTGAGCGTCCGGATTGTGTTGGTGTTGGAAAAGGGTGAGTGTCAATGGTGGATCAACAATGGCGGCTACAATCGAGCCAGGAATCGTGTGCTGCTGAAGGCGAACTGATAGAACGTGAGACAAAGAGAACAAAGAAAGAAGTGTGTGTCGAGTAGTAGTTGGTGGGAACTTGAAGAGAAGAAAAGTGTCAGTCCGAAGAAGGTAGGTAGTACTGCGGTAGCAGGATGATAATGCAAGGACCAAAATCCGGCGAGAGACTGGAAGCGCAGAAGTGTGTCAGTCTCAAGTGTCAGTAACAGTGGTGTGCCTGCGCTGGTGTCTGACCAACACGCAAAATAACCGAAGCGCTAATATTAGTACCACCTCTGCAGTTCCGCGTATGAGTGGGAAAGATAGTTGTACAACTGTACAGGCTTATGATTATACCAGTGGGGAGAGGACGACTCCCTAGCGCCACCGAGACTTTACCTGGGTGCTAAATATCTTCAACTGTAGCAACCACAGCCAGGGGCACCACAGGCAACGGTTTTAATCCCAAGTCCAGGCATTGAAGCCCCGAAGCTGCCCACTGGGACCGCAAAATGGCGGGTCTCAGGGTAAACTTGGTCCCTAACTTGCGCGCCAGATCAACGGCTCGGGCGGAACCCACTGCATGCAGTGCTGCGGGAAAATAACAGGCATGGTCACGTGGGAGCCACTTTCTTGCAGAGAATGTCTCACTTCTTGCTCCTGGTCATGCCAATCGCGACAGGTTTGTTTATGCGGGAGTGGCTTGAACAGATAAATATGACGCGCATACTGTGTAACGGAGCAGCAGACGAGCTGATTGATCCGTTCTCTACTCCAGCAGGACTACAATGTTGTATATAGTACTATGTGCTCCGACCTGAAAGAAGAGCCTAAGAGTAACTAGGATATAGGACAGTGTCCGCTGACACGATCTGTCACATTCTATCAGTCATTCTGGAACCTGGACTTGGCTGGCCGAAAGATCATTGATTCTGCTGCATCAACAGTACTTCAACACAGAAACACCTGCCCTAATTTCAGCGTCGTAGCAGTCCACCAGATGCTCGCATCATATCGGTTCACACAACTGTCATCCTGTTGAATTTGGACTTTCTGCTTAGCACGACTGGACTCCTCCCACATGGATAAATTCAAACTGTACAAAAATGGCACATGCTTTTTCAAAACACAGCTTCTCCACGCCTCGATTCTTCAGCCTCCCGGTCTCGATACATGTGAAACTGGGCAAAGATCATCACATCCTCCACCATGGTGCCGAGGCTACCAATAAGCCAGGGCAGGTTCTTTCTGATATAGGCGGCGTCGGTCGAATGGAACAAAATTCCCGCGCCGTACGTGACATTACCCAAGAGTGAAAGAATGAAGAACAGCAGCGAAAGACCTGTGAGGCATGTCAGCTACCTGAACAAATATTTCCAACATGACTAGTATACTCGGGAAGGTGCACCACAAGCACACAAACACATACCTTCACAGCTCTTCTCTCTAGCATTCTTGATGATTTGTGGGATTCGCGCTCCAAGGTACGCAACAGCACTCAGATACCCCAGGATTTGGGCACCAGGAGCCATATTCTCCTGACTTGTATCTTCGGAGGTCGACGACGGTTTCCAGGCACCCGACTCATACGCAAGAGCCCAGCCGGCTGCACCAACGATAATAATGGCCAACACACTCATGGCGTTCTTGAACCAGAGTCTTGTTCCCGACTCGTCGCTTTCCTCCAGTATCTTTGCAAGTTGATCATTTTGCACCGCGGCACTACTTCGTCTCCGTCGGGTACTGTGACTGCTGTGTCTTCGCTCCGCAGAGCCAGGGATAGTGATGCTGTTGGTTCGGTTGCGCTTCAGCAGCGGCTCCTCTTCGTCCGGACCGTCATCCTGCTGGCGATGTTGTGCTGCAGCCGAGCTAGACGACGGCGACGAGGCTTCGCCGTCCAGCAATGCCTTTCCTTCCCGCCTTTTGTTCACGATCCCGTAGTATAGACACTGCGAAATCAAGACCCCGTCCGCAATGCAGAAGTAGACGCCGATGGCGATCACCACCGGCACGAGCCCCGCCCACAGGGCTCCAGCGAGATTGCAGATATCACCGATAAACCACACGAATATGAAGGCCAGACTGATGGCTTCGGCGGAGCCATTGCGGTAGTTTTCGATCAGCTGCGGCACGAGGAGGAAGATCCAGCAGGCGAGCGAGATGGACCCAAAGATGCCGGAGAGCGCCTCGCGGGTGGTCAAGTGCACCTTGGAGGAGCTCGAGGAAAAGGTGGTGAGTGCGAGGGAGATGAGGTTTGCCATGCTGGCATCGAGGGGAAATCCAGCAAGAAGTCGTCTCACATTAGGTAGTTCTTTACAGAATCGAGAAGGTCAGCCCCAGAGAAGCAGTGACGAGGTAGCGATATACTCTTTCGGCTTTGACTTTTCGGGTGAGCAGTGCAGACTGCAGGCTTGGAGCTCGTGCTTCTCGGTGGAGGCCGCCGCAAAAGTCCCACCGCGATATCAGCATCGAATGATCTGCTCCCTTTATTTCTGCTACAACTGCCACTTCCGTCATTCGTCAACCATCCAAAATACATCGTAACCACTACTGCTACTACTGATGAGAACAACAGGATGTTCAGGTTATGGCATTTTATTGTCCCCTTTCTGTTGCAGGCTGTGTCGTGGCCATTATTACTCCTCTGTGGAATGAGTATACTCTTCCATCTACAGAATTTCCTTCTCTCTAAACCTCGAGTTCAACCAACCACTCTTTGACATATAGTCAACTCCAAGCCACCTTCTTAGGGCGAGTATACCTTCGTTGCAGAGTCTTGTCTTGGACACTTGCTGTGGTATATCCGTGCTTGCAGTACCCCTCCCACTAACAGAGCGGTTGAATTTCCCATGGATTATCCTCAGCCAACAACCTCCGCCTTGATTGCTTTGCCGTTACTCAGTGTGAACCGTAACCTGGTCCCACGTCTATATTCCCCGTCGGATGTGTGTTGGTTTGTTGGCGTTTGATGATGCCCTTGGTTTGCCTTATATATCCGTAAAGGAGGCAGAAATGGTCTCGGACTGTTCGGTGCAATCCGTAGGACGATACGCGGCCGAGGCGGTGATTGATATTGTGATCGAAGTGGCCGATGTGGCGACCGAGGCGGTGACATGTGGTAGGGTCTCTTTTGGCATCTGGACGACGACTTCTTCTGAATACAAGGAGATCCTGGCAAGAAAATGTCAGCATCGTTACCGAGTCTGGGATGATCTTGCTGGATATGAGCTTACTCGGTGATATGGTCTTTGCTTCCATCTTGATGTTCCTTTGAGGAGTTGTAGTGTTGCAGGACGTGTCCGCATTTTGTGATCCGATTTTGGATTTCACCATAGGGTTTTTTTGATGGGTTGTAGTATGGGTGGGGGTTGTAATATTGCTGGACGTGTCCTTATTTTGTGCTACAGTGTTGGACTCCATCGTGATAATCATTCGATGATTTGTAGTGTTGAGCGTTGGGATGCAAGCAAGCGCCCAGATTTGCCTTTGTTGATGTAGGGCCTTCCTGTTGATGATAGAATAATGGAGCGACATGAAGAAGAAGGACAAGAACAGCACGGGGGTGTCGCGTTATAATAGCTTTATTTTGACTTTCTCACAACACGGAACGCGTACAATTCTCTGGAAAAAAGACACGCCTCGTGATGACATCCTCTGCTGGACTGATAACAAGCAAGGACGTGTTTGTCGTTCAGCAATCCTTTGAGGTCTTTGGCTTCTTGATGACTGTGTCTCAACTAGAGCGTTGCTGTTTGTTAGACCCGCTTGCTTTGAGGGTCTTTGTTTGTTGTCTCAGATGCTGGAAATGCACCCTAAGCATGGCAATATTTACCTGCACCGTAGACAATGCTGAAGCAGTCAGACACCTTGAATGTGTTAGTATCTTAAGCTCCCGTTGGACCAAACCATTGTCGATAGAGCAGCCTGTGCCAGGTTGACGGTGCACAAACTACCCACAGATTCACCTACAGTTCCGGTTGTCGTCTGATTCGTCTCAACCCAAACCACTGCGCATCATGGTAGGCAACACTCTAGCCTGGAGGCTCTTGAAAATGTCCAAGACACCTACCATCCCAGCCCATTTTTTAGACAAGGTATTCAGGAGAATCAAACATGTGCCTGTTATTTCATGAATGCCGCTGAAATCAACAGGCCCTTCCACATCGCCGCTGAGTTCACGTGAAAAGGTCACAACAGGAAGCCTGCCATCAATCGCTAATAGACAATGAGCCATAATGGTGATTGCAGCTTGGTGGATGTAGTGGGCCGAATTGACAGTGATTGGATACATCCCCCAGGGTGTCCCTTCGGCACCACGAAAGATTTTGTCGTAGAATTCAACCACCCGCACCGCTGAGTGGTAGCTCTCCCGGGGGATCACCTCGGTAACCTCAGGGCCTAGCATAGGCTCCTTGGCACTAGCCAGTGCCCGCAGCAACAGTGGCTGGAAAAGAAAGCATACGGATGTGTCGAATCCCATGTCACAGGTCATGCTACCCATGCCAAGATTGTTGTCAATAAAGTGCAGCTCCCGCCTCCATGATAATATCTGTTCAAGGCTCTGTTCGTACCACATACGTGGCAAGTTGGGCGCCACTGCAGGAAGGTATAATTCACGGAAGATCTCGGAGCGCAGGTACGTCAGCCGGTAGTAGTGAGACGTGAGGACGAGTTGCAAGGTTTCGGCATCGGCCAGCGTGGCATCAGTCAATAAAGCCGGATACTCGGTAGTTATGATCTCTTCAGGTAGGTCCGAGGGTCGACCAAGGTGCTGGCCTATGGTACGTTCGATGCAATAGAGTCCCCAGAATATTGAGCGGCGTTTTCTGCGGCTCTTGTCGTCTTCGTACTCGTCGTTGGTTTCGCTATGGTAGTTGAGTTCAACACTAAGACGGCAAGCAAAATCGAGCAATTTCCAAAGGTCACCCTTTCTGGGGTGGAAGAGAGCAAAGACGATGAGCAATAGAAGAGCTTGAAGGGCGTCGGGAGACACGTCTGATGTCACCTCCTCGACGCACTGCAAGCCTTCTGCATAATAGGCCATCGACTCGGAGTCATAGACCGAGTGGTGTCGGGCCTTGTTGGCAGCAGCAATGGCACAAATCAGGGCCACGCGGAAGAACTGATGCGCCTCCCTCCCGGTGAGGTACTTCACATTGGTGCCGTGATGCCGTAGGTATGTGTCAATCTCTACTGCAATGTCCTCAGGGTCGAAAAAGGCCGTCAAGTGATTTGTGGTCGACATGAACAGATTGACAAGCATCTCGATCTCTGCACGAGATGGGGTGGCTCTAGGTTGCAGAGGTTCCCCGACTTCGGTGTTCTGGGCGTTCAACCAGAACTCAGGCCCAGCATAATCTGGATGATGAACCATGGACCCAAGCTTGGCTTGAGCATGGACCAAAACCTCGACAATAAGAGCATAGGGCGAGCTGCTGCCGAAAAACTGCCAGCAGGTGGGGTTGGCATGCTCAATGATGAAGTGCTTGTCGAAGGAGAGCTCGCTGGTATAAGTGCCCCATTGATTGTGAGGCTGCTCAAGGTGAGAAGATGCTATGGAAGTGGTTCGTTCGTGCTGAGCGGCAGGTAGCGGCGGCAAGGGCTCATTGGATCCATTGATCGTTGCCTGAACAGACCGAAGCCGGCTCAGTCGAGTCAACAACGAATGGACATAACTGGAATGATCAGCACAAGGCTGCATGTAACACTATTTTGCGGCTCACCTTCGTGGCAGAGTCTGTTGCAAGGCGTGATCAAAGAAGGTACATTCAGCCTTTCCTTTTTGACATAACCGACAAGCTGGGAGGTTCGTGTCACACTTGCGGCGTAGACGACGGCATCGTTGACAGGTGGGCAGCAAACGGGTGAGTTCTGCTTCGGAGATGGTCGCGTGCTCGAAGTCCATATTGCCTTTTATAAACAGACCAAGTCCGATCTGGGGAAACGGCCACGATGGAGGATCAAGGACATGTGCGCTCGGTGCGTTCAGCCTTGTATCGAAGCCGACCGCGGGGCGTTGGCGGGATGCAATCTGTCTCTCTACAGCTCCGGCCAGGCCCGACCATCTCAGTTGACGCCCGCGACGAATATGTGATCAGAGGACCGGCTAAACAATCAAGTGGGAGAGAGAAATTGAGAGAGGAGAAGAAAACGGCGGGTGACACTGGACACTGCGCACACTCAGGCGGGCAGTTGCGCATGCAGACGAAAGGCGCAGGAACGCGGGTTAGTCAGACTATAGTCCTAGTGCCGGGCTAAAACACGAGTGGCGGGGTTTCGCATGATAAAGGACGCGATTAAAGATTGCGCACCCTGCCATTTACTGCCATTCTGACACTTGGTTCGTGTTCCTGCCAATCATAATGCGCGATAAACTGCAACCCTACGACGAATCGAGGCTAGTTATTGCGGGCCATGAACAGCCGCTTTTCCCTATTCTGCAGCTCGACGAGAACCCACGACTATCAAATCATCGCTGGCTCATTTCGCCGCCGACTCTCTGCCATTTCATTCTCCGAAAGCATGTTCCATGCTGTCCATCTCTGGGTTTATACACGAGGTTTCAATATTCTACACTCCCGACAGTACAATGTCTATCTAGCATACACATCAGCACGGTCGAGAGCCATCTGTACGACCCACATAGTTCATCATTGGCTTGGGCGTCCAACCAAACGCCGAGGCATTCCACACCCACAACTTTGATGGCGTGAAGCGCTGAATCACAATCATGACCGAATGTCGTCGCTCTGTTTTGTCCTGCGCGCGATGTCGTCGGCGGAAGATCAAATGTGACCGCGCAATCCCTTGTGGCCAGTGTATTGCCGCCAGATCAGAATGCACCGGGTTTAGTTCCAAAGACCAGGACCCTAACATTCCCCGGAGCATCGTGCAGCATCTTGAGACCGAAATCGCCAAAGTCGAGGGAGAACTCGCCCGCAATGGCCATCTTGAAGAACTCAACGCCTCCGACATCCTGGCAGGTATGCCAACGAATGATGGCATTCCAACGCCGAATCCAGCGCTGCCGATCGTGGATATCCCCAAAATGGACGAACCTCATCAAGTCCCTCTAGCCGTCGACACCAGTGCCCAGGTGGCAAGGGACACAATTCGGGACGAGGTGATGAGCTGTGGTGAAATCCAAGCCATGATCTTCGCCATCCTACCCACCGGCCCAGGCATCACCGACTTGATAGCACGAGTAAGGATGAGCCTCACGCCGTCGACGGCTATAGCAACCGGCAGCCCACGGGAGGCGCGCAGGAGATCCTTTTCGCGGAACGCCAACGAGGTCAGCTGTGCCATGTTGAAAAGCATCCCCAGTCCAATTCTGCGGAGTTTGGTCAAAAAGTACATGACCAGAGTGTATCCTATTTTCCCCATCCTCCACGCGCCAACTCTGTGGCAGCAGCTCGAGCGAGTGGTAAGAACGGTACAAGAACTTCCCGAAAGACAACGGACCGTACCGCCATCCTTCGACTTCTTGATCATCTACCTCATGCTTTCTATATCTGCAACTCTGGGCAGCGCGAAGACAGGCCACGAAGCAAAACATATGGTTTTCTCAGGTTCACTTTTCGAGGAAGGCATTCAACACTTATCTGACAAGGCCAAGATCCCATCAGATCTGGCAGGCATCCAAGTGACGCTTATGGTTCTTCAATACGCGTCAATCAACCCTCGACTGGCAAACGTGTGGATGCTGACGGGCGCCGCCATGCGCGCTTGTCTCGAATTAGGACTACATCGAGAACCTCCCGAGGCTTTGAAATTTGACCATCTCACACTAGATCTGCGCAGGCGCATCTTTTGGTCGGCGTACAACTTCGACCGGGCCATCTGCTCAGCGCTGCAACGCCCACTCTCGATACCAGACCAGACCATCGACGCACATTTCCCCTCGGTGCTGGACGACCGGCACATCCACCCACACGGCATTGACCCAACCGGACACGAGACCAAACTGCACATGATGCGGTGGATTCATTTCCGACGATTGCAATCGGCCATGACCGAGGTGCACTTCCAGGGCAAGCCTCTGGAGCCCGGACAGACTTGGGACGACTGGCTCGTGACCATGGAAAGACGGTTACAGGCATGGTACGACGATTACAATGACGGCCACGAGTTGACGGAATTCACGTTAGCCCACGGGCTCACGAACCTGCACCGCCCATCTCCGCGCGTGCCCATGCCTGGACCTAGGAGTCTGATGGTGGCATTTGAAGCGGCGTGTTCCAGCGCGAAGTCACTGCGCGACCATATCCTGACCGGCTTCTATCGGCGCTCGTGGCTGATTGCCCACCACGTCCTGGAAAACAGCATGGTGGTTCTCTTCTGTCTCCGCCACGGCTTCGACACCATCTCGGCCCGCTTCACCGCGCAGCAGATTTTCGAAATGACCAAAGTTTTTACGGCTAATTTCCTGGCCCTTGCCGCCCAGGGATGGAACGAAGTCTCCAACTACGCGGGTGTCTATGAGCGATTGTTGGGTCCCCTCTTGGAGGCTGTCTTCTCCAACCGTCCGCCTTCGTTGTCGTCGTTCGGCCCCGCCCAAGACGCCGAACTCACGCGTCTCCTGTATCCCGGCCCAGCTCAGCTGGATAAACTGCGTTTCGGCGGTCGCTCGGGCTTTGAAGGCGATGGACTGCCTACCTTCGACGTCGGTACCCTGAACTGGGATGACTTTAGTGTTAGCGATGCCCGTTCCGCCTCGGCTGAGGGAGGCTTCGTTGCCGGCTGGGACCTGTTGGACCCCAACGCAGTGGCTGCTGCGTCGGCTCAGGACCTGGTCTTTGGAATGGCTTGAAACGGCACCTGTTTTTGCGGTAACAAGAAAATGGAGCGGGCTTTTGGGCTGCCTATGCAGCGAGTGGTATGGTTCCTAGAAAAAGAGAACTCGAACTCGAACCGGTCTCGACACCCGGTCACAGTTCTGGAACCGTATCGGTTATAGAGTACGTCCTTTCAATGTGCGGGTGACGGCAGACAAATTCGGCCACAGCTCATTGCAAGAGCGACCCTGTTTGAGTCGAGTTGCTTTCGACGCATGTCATACATTGATGGCGAGCTCATCCTGCCCGCTCGCTCGCCCGATACTGTCAACTACAATAGCGATCCGCGACTGGAGACGCTTGAACTCCGGACTGGAGGAAACCAACTGAAAAGCCCAGGCGACGCCAGACGAGGCTTGGTGAGACAAGGCTCCATGAGACGAGGCCTATTGATGGACGAAAACAAGGACAAGGACGAGATATATGATATATGCCCGCGGGGGAAATGCGTAACTTTGGCCCCGATCGACGATTTCTATGCGCTCCAAGCAAAACCGCCCACCTAGCGGTACCTCAGGTAGGAGGTCCTGATGGGAGTGTACGGCCGCGAATGAATACCGGTAAGAGTATGACGAAGGTCTGTGGAGTGTTGGTAACTAGGTCAGTAAGCAACCCGCCTTAGGATGCCCTGCAGCTCGCACACTGTCTTGTATCTGTTGATTTGAGTGACTACCTGACAATTGGATCGAAAGGCGATGGTCTGCAGGGAGCCTTGTTGTTGTTTGTACATACAGTATATATGTGGCCATCAATGGATACTATCTATACAATTTACAAGTAGAAGATGAAGATGGATTCGAACGAGGAGGGGGCGAAAAGTCAACAGGGTAATACAGGTACCCATTTAGCTAGGTATGCATGTATGTATTAACTAGACCTACACTGGCAGTACGCCTATACATACATATAGTCACACGTACAGTACGTCTGTCATTCGAAACTGCGCCATCTGGGGAAGACAGCCTCGATTCGCCTGACTAGCGAATCCGGGACCCGGACATTTCTGGACGAAGAATCCGCGTTGCGGTGCGACGGAGACGACATGGACTGGCACGCTCGGGCTTTTGCTTTGTCTTCTCCTTCTTGATCTTCGCCTAGTTCTTGCTGTGCCGGTTCAACGGCCAAAAGCTCCCTCCAGCTCGCAACGTCGCTTAGTCTAACCTCATCAGGTGGTTGATGACCAAGACCATCACCTTCGTGTTCGGTACCACTCTGACGTTTTTGCCTATGTATCAAGGCGCCGCCGTTCGCATCCCGGAGCGTCAAATGTTCCAAAACGCCATGATTCGCCTGGAACCCGACGCTCATTCCGTCCAGGACCCCACTGTCAAAATCGAAGCGAGGAGTCTGACCGAACCGCCAAGCGTCCGAGTCAAGCTCAGAAACGCCGGCAGCGACTTCGGGAGTTTGGTAGACTTCGGCGTCTCCGAGACTGATTTCATTCATACCCGGTTGACGCGGTTGACCGGCGCCGTACATGTCCCAGAACTCGCGGACCACCGCTTCCATGATGGATTTTCGCACTTGGTCTCTGTGGTGGGCGTCGGGAGTGAAAACCAGATTGGCGACCTTGCTGCGTACACTTTCGACGCCTTTGGCACGGATATACTCCCGGCCAGGGCTGCGAAGTAGATCGGAGATTTTGTCGATGTGGGGGCTCGAGTAGAGTAATGTGCCATGATGGAGAGCGCGACCTCGGGTCAATTTGAAAGCGCTACCGCTAATCTTGAGCCACGGAAGTTCGTTTCCATTTCCATCTGCGTTGCTCCGGCGCATGACGATGTCGTTGCGGTCGTTGACGCGGATGTCCAAGTTGTTGATATCAAACAACCTATTACCCTCACCGCGTTCAGATATGCTGTTCAATGCCTGTTTCATTTCCGAAGACAGGAGAGCCCGCACGACCATTTCGGCATGTGTGCTCCGCTTGAATGCAAATGACTGAGAGTTCGGCACGATCACGGAATAATTCAGATTCCCAGAGTCATGGAACACGGTGCCGCCTCCGCTACGACGGCGGACCAGGTCAATCGGCACAGAGCGCTGCGAGAAATTTGTGATTGAGCTGCCAGTCTCGACTGTCGCCATTTCTTGTTCATGTTCTTGTTCCGGCGCAAGCCCATCGCGCAACCGCTTCAAGTCCGTCTCGAGCCATGGATTCTGATTGCGTCCAAAGACAACACATGGTCTGTTGGTGTAGAACAATAAAATCCGTGAACTCGGGTGCGACCGTCTGAGAACATAGTGTTCGAGTGAAAGGTTATGGTACGGATTGTCCGAGGTCAGGTATATGATCAATGGAGACGTCTCCTCCGAACCTCGCGATAGATCTTCAAGCCTCCATGAGGGAGCGTAGGTGGAAGTGGAAGTGGAAGTGAAGGTGCTCAGATATCTGGACGCATGAACATGCTGGCGGCCAAGGGTTCGTGCCGTTGGCGTCAATCGGCCGATGCTATAGCCAAGGCATCTCGAGGCTGTCAGACACGGCCAGAAGGCCGTCCGCATTAAGTAAAGACGGTGAAGAAAGGAATAAAGTGAGGCAACAGCATAGTAAGGAAGGGGAGTTGTTGGTGTTGAACCGAAGGCCAGGCCAATGATGCAGGTCACAACGGGCAAGTTAAGCGAAGGTATTGCACAAGAGTTACAGTTAGGTGCCCGAAGTCCACGCATCGCTAGCGCGTTTTTTTACAAAACGCGCACGCGTCTCCTACCTTCTTCCTCTTCAACACGCAACCATACCTCAACGAGTGCCTCTAGGGCTAATCGACGCAACGCAGGCGCGGACACGAGCTTTCTCCCTATTTACGATCTAAAATCGAAGGTGCACGCGACGTGGGCGCCTTATAGAAGGTTATAAGCGATATATATAACGTACCGATCCGTACGGCGCGTACAATAGTTCAATTAAGCGAGACTCGAATCGGATTAGCGTTACGCCTACGCTCTAGGCGCCCTCCTCTTTTATCTAAACGCGATAAGAGAATACTTCTTCGTCTAGTAAGACTAAATCCGCGGTAGACGTACTATCGTCTTATTCGTAAATCCGGCGTTAGTATAAAGCGCCGTACGATCTCGCGCTTTCTTAATTAATTCGGAATAAAGAAGTAGCTAGCTAAGAAAAGGCCTCTTCTATAGAAGATATACGCGCTTAAGCGTAAGAACTTTACGAAAAGATATAAAAATTAGACTATAGACGCCGAGGGCGAGTAGAGTAAGGTTTAATTCTCCGATAAGTATTCTATCGAAAGAGGGTCTAGCGGGGTATCTATCTTTATATTCCGTACGCTAACGTAGAAGTAGAAGAAGAAGATAATAGACTCTTAACCTAAAGGTAAGGACGTCTTTATTATAGTTTAGGGCGCTATTTAGCTCGATAGTAGGTTAGATCTCGTGGTAATAAAGCGAGACGAGGAGGCGCCTAATTAGGAGTATATCGTACGCTTATACGTAGCTATACTAAACGATTAACTATCGAGGATTTAGTCTTCGGGTAATATCTTTATATAGGATAACGTACCTATTTATATAGCTAGTCGAGTTAATAAATAGTTCGAAACTTATAGTATATCGCGGCTCGAATAGCCTCTCTATTCGCCAGATCTCAATCCAATCGAATACGTCTAGGCGATCCTTAAATAGCGCCTAAAGGAATACTACCTATATCTACTCGAGCTCGATAACTCGCAAGAGGCTCTCGATAAATTCGCAAAGGTAATAGTAGAGGAGTGGAACGCTATACCGTAGGAGCAAATCGACGAAATAATAAGGTCGATTTATACGCGCGTAAATAGCGTGCTGGACGCTGATGGCTGGTATACACGCTTTTGAGAAGCACTAGGCTCTATAAATAGCGCTATTTATAGAGCACTAGGATAAGCATAGTCGATAGCAGTTGAGAGCGTTAAAATCGAGCAAGTCTGTGGCGAGTAAATAGCTGTTGAATAGGAGGGTATTCGATGCGGGTGGGGTGCGGAAATGACCCGCTGCGTAGACTTCGGGCATAGGACTGTAGAAAAGGAATAGCTCAGCCTTAATAAAGGGGGTATAAGAGGGACCGCCTGGCAAATAGGGGTCCATCAAGACCCAGAAGGCAACCTCTTCAGTATTGCTATCAGCGGCTCCCTTTGTAAAATGTTCAATTTGCCTAATGTTCTACCCAGGGTAAGCAGGCCTATCGTCTTAAGGGCGAGCCTTGTTCTTTCTCAACCACCACCAGTCATCCTTATCCGTGATCAGCCCGTCGCTTTCCAGCAGCAATGGAAGTTGAATGCTCGGGCTCACCATGTTCTCCCAGCCCCTCTGGTCCAACCTCGCCCTGTATATTGCCACTAGCCTGGTCTTCCAGGACCGGTTCTCTCCAACTACATCCTGTCGGTGAGAAGAAACCCTTCAGGTAATCCGTCTGACGATGGGCTTGCCCTGACATTACCTCCTGGTGTAACTTACCGGAGAAGAGGAATCGTCTCAAAGTCTTTCTTGTACCATCCCAGCTCTCTAGACCAGTATCTGCAGCGTGGCTGTGGAACTCGCCTGCAAACCAGCCTTCCTCCTCCGCTTCCACCGGATGCACCCTCTCCGCCAGAGACCCCACATACAAAGCCCACAACCGTAGTCCGCGGTATTGGTGTTGATTGTCATCCTCTGCGTCGACTTCCGCTCGGCTTTCTTGCATCTTCGAGCGAAGTCCGGCTATAAGCTTGAGGCCGAAACGTACCGGTTCAGGCGAGCCCAGCATCATGTTTGTCATCAGCGCCATAGCCATACATGTATATGCCTGAGTGAGAGGGCGTTGGAACAAATGTGGATATATTGTAAGATTGACGTGGTGATCCGCGATCCTCGAGATACAGTCGAATTTGCGCAACTGTTGCCATCGTAGCAACTGATCGTCTGCTGCTATTTGATGCATCTGTGTATACTCGTGCACTCTGAACAATTCACGCAAATCAGCCACTACCGCTTTCATAACGGCATCCTCAACCTGTGAGTCAACACCAGTGGCATGGTCTTCAGCAACACCTGATGCGAGCAAACGTGCTTTCCACGGCTGATTGAGCGGGCCTGGCGTCCATTGCCGAACAGGGAAGAGTGGGCGAGTGTCATATCTCAAGGCGAAATAACAATCGCAGGACAAAAGGTCTTCGCGGAACCATGTATCCATCATGATGACGCCGCCAGCTCCATTGACAAGTTTTCGTAGCATTTTCAGATGCGTCCGTGCCACCGATGTGTTGTCGACGAGAGTCTCTGATGAAAAGAGCTTAAGAATGGCCTTGAAAGTGATCGGATCCTGGGGCCCCAACCGAGCCACTCGCTGGCGTAGCTCTGTGACAGCTTGCCCTTGGAAAAATCGTGAGCGGTACGCTAGATCATCATCTTCCGTCACGACCGCTAGAGCGGCGGCAAGAAGACTTAAATATGCGTTTGCATAACACCTGTCTTGGTAAATCATTATAGTATCGTCCCAACACCTGGAAACCTCGTAAGTATATCTTTGCGTTTCGTGTCTTGTTTCTTTGGGCCAGGTATGAGGGATGAAAAAATCAAATGCGAAGCTGAACAGCTTGTCTACAAGCTGTTGCGTTGACGGCCCCAAAGGTTCGGAGAGGTTGTCAGGAATATCCATGGGAGTGACGGTGTGACCGACCGAGCTCGACGGGGCAGCATCACCTTCAAAAAGACTGGACTGAGTCGAAGGTGTCGAGTCAGACGATACTGGAATCTCACTGCCTGATGCGGGATCCCCGGTGATGCCAGGATAGCCAATCTGGAGTTTCTGTTCGCTCATCCAAGGATTGAATCCATAGGGGAGGACTGTTGGCGTAGCACTTGTCGATATAGGACTCGCGTCGGACAAGGTGACCCTTTTGGGTATCTTGTACGAGACTTGCCGTGCCGATCTTTGCCGTGACCCTTGAGCAACAGATGACTCTCCTTGCTCCTGCTCCGGTCGTCTCATAAATGAACCCATTGGCACCTGGGCAGATTCTCGGAGCCTTTTAGCCTGCTCTTGTTTCTTCCATTGCTCATAACGATTCATGACATGCCACGAAACCGCAGCGTTATGGTCTTTCGAATCGATATTACCGGCATCTTTATTCACGAAAGAAAACTCGCCACGAAAGGACGCCGGTTGATTGTTTCCTTGCTGGTCGCCTTTTGACATTGAGGAGGGGTTGAAATGCGTGCAGACTTCCTTGTCCCCAGAGTGGTGTTCGGTGGCCAAAATATAAGCAAACGAGAGCAACATTTGGTAGTAGCCATCTTTAAGAGACACACATTCCGTGGGCTTGGAACAATGTTCCATCGAAGCAATAACATAACGACGAGGTTGCTAGGACTTTCTTTCACCTACTGTATTGCTCATCCTTACCTGAGCATTTGAAAGTCGATCGAGAGCCGTCGTTCCTAAGCCTGACCTAGCCTGTCGAAGACAACGGCAAGGCCTGGCCAGCCACGAGGCGCACACCCTTGGATACCATTGCCGAACGATGTGATGTACTGCCAGCTGTCTACCAAGAGCTTACTTCAAGACTAGATTTGGCAAAGACAAATCAGCATGAGGACATCCAAAGGCCCTTCTCGGATCGTATTGCATTCAGGTAGATAAGCGACATCGATATGGTTGCAATCGGCGCCACAAACACGAAGAAGATACTGTGTATGGTCCAGGTTGCTGGCCAGAATGAACCCTGTGGTGCCGTATTAATAATGAGAAGTTATTCTTGCTCATCATCGACTCTGACACTGGACTGCAGTCAATAGAATCAAGAATGGTAATGCGAATGTGAGCTGAACGGGATGATGCGGCATGACGAGCGTCGTGAGAGGTTCCAAGACATGTTAAGGCAGAAAGGTTGTCTTGCTTAGGTCAGAAGTCCAGGGTAAGAGACCTTGGGCGTCATCATTTTGGCAGCGTTCGGCCGGTTTCCGCAATTCCTTGCTCTGCGTCAACGAGTACTAAGGTAGTCAGTAATAGATACGGTTTACTTTGTTGTACAGCACATGCGATTTCAAAGCCAAGATATCTCTTCTGACGCGCTTTTTGGGGTGCACGTAGTATGCCATTTCAGTTCTGCTACTCCCCTGTCGCCTGCTCACTGTTCCTAGTTATGTTAAAAGCAGTTAGTTATTGACGATCAAGGCCCGTGACTGACCAAGAGAAACCAAAAACGTCCAGGTAGGAATAGCCAGCTAGGTACGTAGTCTCCAAGTAGGTAGCAAACTGAGGAATACCATTCTTTGAGGACCCGGCCCGCCAGAATGTACTGCCAGTGTTCGAAGGATGGGGTCGCCCGTTAGTTAAACCTGAAGTACCAGGTATACGGTGCTTCAAGTTTGGGTTACATTTGGGTCGGTGATGTGGGGCACTTATTGGGGCGCCAAGCAAAACTAAGTGTTACATAAATTCTTGTTTCTTATTTTCTAGCTTCCAAAATTTCTCAACAAGTAGCAGCAAGCTACAACCAAAACTTGACACTATGGCCGAGTGGTTAAGGCGTGTGACTAGAATCGGTCTCCGATCAGCAATCACATGGGTTCGCCCGGTTAGTACATCTCCTCTCCATCCGACAACAACTATCAACTAACAAGTCAAATAGCACAGGTTCAAGTCCTGTTGGTGTCGATTTCTTTTTGCCTTTTTGCCGTTTCGGCCAGATGATATTGTCTTGACTCGGCCTTATCAAATTGCAAAATTACACGTATATTTTTGTTGCAGTTGTGCCGCGACAGACTGTTCTCTTCGTCAGCAATGCGAAATTTGAGGCGAGTTCGACTACCAAGGTCGTCTTTTTGGTTGTTTCTCAAGTGTTCAGCCTTGTTCAACGCGAATCTGACCATTCTTACACGTGATCGAAATCTTGGCCCAGGTCTTGGCGAATTGGTGGTTCGCAGCGCAAAATTGTTAGGTAAAGCTGGCGCGAGTCTTTGTAACAAAGCCTCAAATCAATAAAACCACCATAAACCAATTCCGACCTTCGCAGATATCTCGAGCACTGTGTAGCTCGAGTCTGCGACTGTAATTTGTCAACACCACGGTCTCCCTCACTCCCTTTAGGAGCGTGTTCATTTCTCCACTCCGCGTTTCCATCTTCGCAGCCGGACCTGCATTTGAGCCTTGCTCGAAGCCGATATTCCGTAGCAGCGGTACAGTCCTCTTTACCTACACCTGCCAGACCCGCGGATACGCCAAGAGGAAGATGCCGCCTAAAAAAGCCGTCAAGGAAGAGAAGATCCTGCTAGGCAGGCCGGGGAATAACCTGAAGAGCGGTATCGTATGTAGGCAATGTCCACAGATACAAAGCTCTGCCAGAGCCCAATGCAAATATGGCTGACCGCGTAATCCGAACTCCAGGTTGGTCTGGCCAATGTCGGCAAATCTACACTCTTCCAAGCCATTACAAAATGCTCGCTGGGTAACCCTGCAAACTTCCCCTACGCCACGATCGATCCTGAAGAGGCGCGAGTTATTGTGCCCGACGCCCGATATGACTGGCTGTGCGAACACTATAAACCCAAATCCCAGGTTCCGGCAAACCTGACGGTCTACGATATTGCCGGGCTGACTAGAGGCTCTTCTACGGGCGCCGGTCTCGGTAACGCTTTCTTGTCACATATCAGAGCCGTCGACGCCATCTTCCAAGTGGTACGGTGTTTCGACGATGCCGAGATCATACACGTGGAAGGCGACGTCAACCCGACACGAGACTTGGACATCATCTCCGAAGAGCTGCGATTAAAGGACATCGAATTTGTCGAGAAGGCCAAGGAGAATTTGTCCAAACAGACGAGAAGAGGTGGCCAAAGTCTGGAAATGAAGAAATTGAAGGAGGAAGAGGCCACCGTGGACAAGATCCTTCAGTTCTTGAAGGATGGCAAGGAAGTCCGAAAGGGCGAGTGGACTCCGAAAGAGGTACGTTTCTGCTTTTCGTCGTCATTGCCTTTTTCTCTGTTGTTTCTTTTATCATGATGAACAAGAGCTATAAGCTCGAATAATCCCAGCTCGTCGACAGCAGCCTCGCCATAAATCTCACGTTTAGAGGCTGTAATGAGAGGAAGTCCAACCCTGAACACACGAAAAGAGACAATCTTTGCTCAGATCTTCTACGATTTATTGTTGTCCGGACGATGAAACTGACCATGCACATCGTCATCATCACAGGTCGAGGTCATCAACCCTCTGTTCCTCCTTACTGCCAAACCCGTGGTTTACCTCATCAATCTGTCGGAGCGAGATTACCTCCGCCAGAAGAACAAGCATCTACCCAAGGTCATGGAGTGGATCAAGACCAACGCGACTGGCGACCCGGTGATCCCGATTTCCGTGTCCTTTGAAGAGAGGCTCGCGGCCATGTCGGACGAGGAGGCGGCCGAAGAGTGCAAGAAGCTCGGCACGAAATCCGCCCTGCCAAAGGTCGTCATTACCATGCGTCAAGCGCTCAACCTCATCAGCTTTTTCACCACCGGCACCGACGAGGTTAGGCAGTGGACTATTCGCAAGGGTACCAAGGCTCCCCAGGCCGCCGGGGTGATCCACACCGATTTCGAAAAGACTTTTATTCAATGTATCGTGTACAATTTCGAGACGCTCAAGGAGTACGGCGATGAAAATGCCGTCAGAGCTGCCGGAAAGGTCATGACAAAGGGCAAGGATTATGGTAAGCATATCATCTCTGAACAGTTCCTTCTGTCGATGGGTATATTGACTTGTTTGATCTCTTCCAGTTGTCGAAGATGGCGATATCCTCCTCATCAAAGCTGGCGCAGCCAAGGCTTGAGAGACAACAGATCCTGGGCCTGCTCCTGCTCGCTTCTCCCTTCTCGGTAATGGACAAGTCAGCCAGTCAGCCAGTCAGCCAGACACGGCATCTCTCAGCGGCACTCTACCTATGTCGACGACTTCTACACGGCATCGATCCAATTGCGATCCTCGTGAACATAAGCAAAAGTTGTGTTGCCGAAACAAAGCATGATGATGCCCTACGAAGCGGTTCTCCGGCCAATGTAGCTATGACTACTACTAGTAGTACCAGTAACACTAGTAAATCCCGGCGCGGTGCTCACGAGCAGTTCAAACAGTCTGCACATGAGACAACACGCGGTCGCCTTTTCTTCAAAAAGAATTGTTGATGAAATGATGGATTCATTGATTCATGTTGCCCAATAATTGAAATGAAATGAACTTGACTCAACCGCTCATGTCTGATATTATCGCTTCGCTTCTGGAGCTCTCTGCCGCAGATAGACAAAAATTGAGTCAGGTCAGCAGTCTACCTAGTCCTTAGATCGGAATCGATGGATTCGGTCGGCGTGTAGGTAAACTGTGCTGTGTAAGTGCCTTGCAGGAAGCGCATAACCCAGATGAGCCAACCAGCTCACACACGGTACACACAGTACGTAGAGTACATGTAGTACCTGTACCTCGATGGTACCTCACATGTAGTACCCGAGAGAGCTCATCTTATCTCACCCCATTGCACTCCGACGGATCACGTTCCCTTCACTCCCTGTGTTACCATGACACACCAAATCCTCATTATCAGAGAAGACAGGGCAAAAAGAAGAACCTCGGGCACCCTTTTTGGTATTGTTTGGTTCAAGTCATCAAAGAGCCATTTCGTCAGGATTACTGCCGTTGGTCCCACTAGCACCACCATCTGCATCGACGATGCGGAGCATCCTTGCGTATGGCACGGTAATCCTTTGAAGATCGCGATGTTTGCCTGTTGCAGAAGAAAAAGCTGTTAGTGAAATGATTCAATGTAGTGGTAGTCAAGTCGGCTCTGCAGACCAATGGTCCGCACCGGGAAAGACCGCAAGAAAACCAAAAGCAACAAGCGGACCACATACCTAGAAGTAAGACGACGTCTTTGAGAAGTTCTTCCCTCGGCCATCCACAGATTGTCTTTGATTCTTCGTGCCAATTGCGTCCAGGGACGGCATTCGGGTTCGAATTCTTCATGACCGCAACGGCAGCACTGTTTTCCCCACCATTCTCGGTGTCATCATCTTCCTCCTCGACAATACCACCAACAAGTGTGCGCAAAAGCTCCTCCACCTTCAACCGAAGGCCCTCTGCACCCAATCGTTTGGCGTACATCAACAAATAAATCCGGAACTCGTCCTTTGCGCCGAGCATGAGGGCCGCGGCGATCCGGTTCTCCAAATGCGCAATGGACACGCCGGACTCGAAACTCTCAAAGCCCTCACGCGACAAAAGAACTTTTACTAGTCGTTGGAGGAAATAGGCGCGGCCTCGTAACAAAGTTTCCGAGGTTGTGTTTCTCTCCAGCCAGGGGATGATGCCGGATGAGACATTAATAGCAGTAGTAGAAGGCTGCTGCTGCTGTTGTTCTAAAGCTCCGCCAGCAGCAGAACCTTTTGAAGACTGAACATTTCCAACCGAAGAGTCGGTGGTATTCCAGTATTGACTGCCAACGGCCCACCAGACTTCGGACAAGCGTTGCCAGCAGTACATTTGAGGCGAGTACGCGTAGCCTTCGCCATTGGACAAAGTCACAATGATGCGACCTTCCGAGTTCAAGCGGGCGTGTGTGATGGCCGGGGCTCCCGTGGGATGCGCCGCAAGGGAATGTGTGGCCGTGTCGAGCACGGGTGCAAGCGACACTGGCGGATGGGGAGATGACATGGTCTTGACGTTCCAGACATAACACATGCCCACACTCGTGATGCACAGCAGCCAGGACTCGTATGCGGCCAAGATCACCGGCTGGGATTCCAGAACAATGGCACTGTTGAGCCGTCGACCATGCGGTGTCCACATGTACAGCGAACCAGCTTCGTCTGCTGCCGCCCAGAATTTATGGTTGCCTGTAACTAACAGCACCGGCCGGGGAATAAAATCCTGCCACAACGGTTGATCTTTCCGTGTCAGTGTGATCCGACAAGGCTCCCGGTCCTGTGCTCGTGGCGTCAGTGATGGGCCGGAGGGATTGCGAGCTTCCAAAACAAACTCCGCCCTTATTTTGTTGTTGCTAGCACTAGCACCCGCTGCATCATTAGACACTTCGGCTGGTTTGCCGGCCGAGTCGATTCCTTGCACAATATGTGCTCGGACTTTCGGTACCGCCAGCCGCAGCTGGCTTACACTAATTGCCGGATTGATCACAGCTGGCCGGATCCATTCCGGCGTCACATCCTGTCCGCTGGTAGGCGGCTGATGTTGTGCTGGAAGAAGGCCGTCGGGGGCGTTTGTGAGGATCGGCACCGCTCCTTTCTGACTAGCAGCCTGTATGCGTTTTTCAGTGGTGCCTTCTTCTTCGCCCTCGATTTGGGCGTACTTCCGCTTGTTGCCAAGCAGCAGAGTCGCAATTCCACCCTTGGGCAGACCATCAAATGGCTTCGAGAGATCGAGGACCGATTGAGGCGTATCCACTGTTTGAACGTTGTTTGCACTGGCGCTGACGAGCTTCGTCTGCGGTAAAGAAGATTCGGCGCCACCCGCTCCGGAAACTAGCAGAGGGCGTATTCGCTTTTTGCCGTCTTTGGTAATTTCAACGCGGTTTTTCAGCCGTTCAAGCTTCGCCTGATTTAGGTCGTCTTGTGCTTTTGCCGTCGCTTGTGCAGTCGGTCGAGCTTCAGTCCCGTTCTGCAGGTTTTCTGTTGTGGTCGTGTTGGTGGTCGTCGATGTAGTTGTCGCCCCATTTGTCGTAGCAGTTGTGCTTGCGGCGCCGGATTGAGAGGAATGATGGTCGCCCATGAGAGCTCCCATCCTGCCTTCCACGCCTTTTAACTCGCCCGCCTTGCTCAGCTCTTCCAGACGCAAGGCCTCGGTCGTCTCCGGAAATCCCAGTCCTTTTCGCGAAGTGCCAAACTTACTAAGTGACCGGTCGTTCTCCTCGATAGGCCTGGGGTAGCCTAGTTCCCCCGGCTCAAACATGACTGTCAGGATGGTGCCGTCTAATGCTGTGGCGAACAGTGTCTGGCCGTCCGGGCTCCATGCGATATCAGAGATGGGCTTTCCAGCGACATCCTGCTGCACCACCAGCGGCCGTGGGTTGTTGGTCGTCCAGATACTCAGACACTTATCGGCGCCACCACATGCGATGACGGTATTATGAGGGGCGAGATGGCCTTCCGGCGTAGGTCGGGTAACCTGTTCTGGTCCGTACAGTCTCGGCGAAAAGGCGCAAACTTCCACCGGTCCTTCATGTCCAATCAACGAGGTGTCACCATCCCAGGTCCCGCGGTTGATGATGACAATCGCACTGACGGGGCCATTGACGGCATTGGCAGCGGCAATGTGTTGGCCATCTGGAGCCCAAGAGCACCGACGGAAATAAGTGGTGAGCGGAGAGTTGATGAATGGCTGACTGATGGTTGTTTCGAGGATGAAGTTGTTAACTGCATCGTGGCTTGTATAGTTTTGGGTGGGGGAGGTGAAGCGGAAAATTCGTATCGTACGGTCGTCGCTAGCGGTCGCAAAGTACTTGTTGGCCGGGTCAAAAGTGATGCCTTTGACATGGCTCGAGTGGTTCGACAGTGTCTTCAACTTTTCAAACGTGTATCCCGACCAGACCACGACTTTCGAGTCCAATCCAACAGATACCAGTATTGTGCCATCGTACGACCAGCCCAGGTCCTGCACATCATTGTCGTGGCCGATCAATCTGCGGAAGATGCGCCAGTTTTCCACCGGGGGTGCCTCGTTGGAACCTAGACCGTCTGTAAGCTGGAAATGTCATGTTGCGCAGGAAACGGGATGCTCACCGAACGCTGCGTGGCTCGGCGGGCTTGGGTCGAGTGTGTATATGCAAACAATCTTGTCATCCGCTCCTGAGGCCAGGTATTTCCCGCCGGGTGAGAACCGCACCGCGTGGATTGTGCCAGAGTGGTAGCTCATGGACGCCAACTGCTTGGGCTTGTCGTATTTTCCATTTGTGGCGTTGTAGATCGCTTCCGTCGACCATATTCGGACGTAGCCATCTGTGCGACTGATCAACTAACAGGGACACTCCCAGAGCACGGTAGGCTCGACGTGGTGTTGGGGGTAGACCTACCACCGGCCGCTGTGACCAGCCGTTGGCCGTCCGGAGAGACATGGCAGCTGTAGACCTCAAAGTCCTTCTTTTCCCCTATGCGACGGCATTGTTAGCCTCCGAACCGACTCTATAACCATCCGCCACCATGTTAACGCGCTTTTACCACGCGCATGGCACGTCGCCAACCCAAGACGTACGTACCCCCATGTGTAAGCCAGATCGGCTTGATAATATGCATCACGAACTATCTTGTCGGCGGTATGAGGACATTGCGCTTGTAGAAAGTGAGGTTGAGGAAGACGGATATACTCGCTCGTTAAGCACGAGCCTTCACGGGAGGGCAGGCGTGTGTTGCGTTGCGTTGCGCGGTTTGAATTGTGGTGGAATGAAGTCGGACTGCTTCGTCCGCAAGCGAAGTGCGATGCATGTGTTCAACAGACGTCCGCCTACAAATTCTTGTCATTTGAACAGAAAGAATGACGCGCCCCCAGGAGAGCATTTTCGGCCATAATTCCGTGTCAGCCAGTGCGTATATATGTTGCATTCCACAGCATGGATACTCATTTCATCCTCATTCTTTTGCTCTACATTTAAATTCAAGGGTTTAGAGGTTGTCCAGCTCTAAATCCGTCTAGGGGTATTTCAGTGCTTGTCCTCCGAGCTGCTGAAGCTTGGTGGTAGTCGTTTCAGAGACCCACCATGGCGAACCGCCCTTTCGTCTATAATCCTCGAAACGTAAATATATATTCATGTTTATTAGTCGTACTCTGAAATCCATCCAAACACCTGTCGACATTAGCACTACTGCTCACGCCCCATGTAACGGGCTTGCTTATCATCTGGACTTAAATCTGATGTTCAAGCACGGCGACTCGGCGCATTGTAGAGTATCCAACGACTTCAGAAATCGTATTATGTAGCTACACGCTGACTTGTTATACACCCTGCTTTACTTTTCTGCCCGTTTCCTATGGGTAACAGTAACACACTGCACGTAGTGGCGCCGTCGCTGCATTGTAGAAGGAGAGATTTTGATCATCCACTTTTTTCCCGCCCAGAGCTGAGAGCAGAACAATCCAACTTTTTCACTTCCGCGAATCCCTGGTCCTCTCAAACCCCTCGAGCACGGTCCGCGCGACATCTTTTGAGTCTCCATGTTGCGCGACTTCGATGACCTCTTGGTCAACATCCTTGGCGGGCTTCTTTGAGGATTCATCCGGAGAAGAGTGTGAGGCAGACTTGGAGGTCAGGTTCTTGATCTGACCTTCGTTGACCTTGCCATAGACAGCCATTGCACTGGCAATCATGCTGCCGATATCACCAACATTGCCAGGCACAACCACCGCAGTGCCTTCCTTGGCCAAGTTTCCGAACGCCTCGACATATTTCTCTGCCACACTGAGGCTGACGGCTCCTCGGGCGCTGTCCTCGCCTTGCCTGATGGCATTGGCGACGGCATCGATACCACGAGCAGTGGCCTGGGCTTTGAGAAGAATGGCCTCGGCCTCACCGGAAGCCATGTTGATCTGCTCGGCCTTCAAAGCCTCCGAAGCCAGAATGACTGACTGTTTCCGCCCCTCGGCAATGTTGATCGCGCTCTGTCTTTGACCTTCTGACTCCAGAATCTCCGCCCGCTTCGATCGTTCAGCCGTCACTTGTCGGTGCATGGCGGCCACCACGCCTTCCGGCGCATGGATATCTCGAATTTCGTAACGTAGACACACCACTCCCCACTCTTGCGCGGCTTCGTTGATGGCTTGTGTGATGTTTGCGTTCAGGTTCGCTCGTTCTTTCAGGACGTGGTCTAATGTCAGTTGACCGATTTCGGATCGCATCGTCGTCTGGGCCAGTTGGGAAATGGCATATTCTGCATCCTCGACACCGTAGCTGCGTAAAGTCTTAGCCAACGCTGCATCCTGTGCACTCACCACTAGTCATCCGAAACACACCTTGCTTTATACGCGTCGAAGACCCTCGTGTACAGGACTCCATCCAACTCTAACGTGACGTTGTCCGCTGTGATGGCGCTCTGACTAGGAATCTCCAGGGCGGATTCTTTCAAGGACTGGACGTATGTGATACGCTTCACGACAAGTTAGTCTCCCGACCATGGAACACTCCGGGTCCTTACATCAATGATCGGTAGTAGAATTGCAAGACCAGGTTGCAATATCCGGTGAAATTTCCCCATGCGCTCCACAATCCATGCCGTTTGTTGCGGTACGAATCGGATAATGGTGTTTGCGGGCAAGCTCGATTGTCGCTGAAAGTATGAGGTCGGCGTTGATGGACTACCCAGCCCGAAGCCGGCAGAACCGGGGAACGACAAATTCGTGTTTGACGAGAATTGTCTCCGGCTCCATATGGCCATAGGCGAGCATGCTATGGCGGAGGGCGGTAGGTGACCATGTCGAAGGGCGGTGGTTAAGCGCTGCGTCCGCCGCGGAATTCGTCGAATCACTGTTCTGGTCACCTCCATCACGGCGGCCGGTGCAGTGAACTGCGAGTGTGAGAAGGAAGTGAGTGCGAGCAGGCCGGAGAGATCAAGAACTTGAACAGGCAGGCAACTGAAGACACGCAGATGGAATGATGATTCGCCCTCCAGCGGAGGCTCGATGGCGGTTTGGAGGCGGCCAATCAGCGAAGACTGTCCCGGAGCGGGACTGAATTATTCCCGTCCATTACAACTTCACCGTCTGAATATTACCGTGGCTCTACAGTAAATAATACGTCCAGCACAGTAGCCTGGCAGGAGATATATGCCCGTCTGCTAGTATCGCGTTGTTCCTTTCTCGTAATTAAAAAGAGCTTTCATCTCCATTCGCTTGCCGACCATAGCAACGGGCCATAGGAAGCATATAGCGCTCACAACTTCAACAGCATGGCACGGCCCAGCAGAAAAAGACAGCGGAGGCGCAACACGAGTAGGGTTGCACACTAAGGATGGCAGAGATATATGATTCCCTCGGAGTTGGGCAATCGAGCCTGATCGAATTAACGAGCGGCTGAGCCCGAGCGTGGCCAACACACAAACCAAGCAACAACCCAGACACCATGTGTTATGCGTACCGGATGCGGGGGTTGGCATTGCAGACAAAAGAATCAAGGCGAATGCCCATTGTCATTCTGTACATGTCTCATGAAGATACTAAGCACAGGTTCAAGTTCAGGGCTGATACAGCAGCCCACGTCAAAACGCCACCACGACCAGCGAATGCTGTATTGGAAAACATCAAACGAATTTCGATTTTGCCCAGTTTACTTCCTGTACCACAGTCTCGTGATGCGGGTATGTCGCACTGCAGGGCAAAGTTAGCTTCTTCTTCTCGGATCATCTGAACTGGACATGACAAAACTCACTCTTCTTCTGTAGCTGGAAAATGCCATACATCAGCGCCTCGCTGGTTGGCGGACATCCAGGCACGTAGATGTCGACAGGGACAATCCGGTCGCAGCCCCGGACGACACTGTAACTGTAGTGGTAGTAGCCACCGCCGTTGGCACAGCTGCCCATGCTGATGACCCATCTGGGATCTGGCATCTGATCGTAAACTTGTCTCAAAGCCGGCGCCATTTTGTTCGTGAGGGTTCCAGCCACAATCATCACATCGCTCTGTCGGGGAGAGGCACGAAAGATAATTCCCAGTCTGTCCTGGTCGTAGCGGGGTGTGGAAAGATGCATCATTTCGACGGCGCAGCAGGCCAAACCGAACGTCAGCGGCCACAACGAGCCTTGCCGCGCCCAGTTGGCAATCTGATCGAGAGTGGTGAGCGCATATTGCATCGCGCCTTGTTTCTTCTCTTGAGATGGCAGAGGCACTTCGCGACGGATCCCGCCCGTCACAGGTAACCGCGAGGCATCGTTTGACGTCGTAGCTGGGGTGACTGAGGTGGCGGATTTCGTCGCGGATGATGAGATGGACGCTGCCGGCGCAGCACGTATCAATGAGAACGGGACAGCGGTGGAAGCTGTATCATATGGTCAACTTTAACTCCAAAGACGCCCTTTTCAATCATCGTGGCGAAGAAGCTTTTGCTTCGAACTGGCTGGGTTTCATACCTCGTAGGGCTCGAGGAGCCACTGTCCTTGACAAGGACATCATCTTGCCTGAAATGACAGATGCCTCTCAAAGTGAAAGATGACTGCTGGGGGCCCGAAGGAAGACGGTGTCAAGGAAAGGCGGGCGGCGACACGGGAGGTGTAACTTGAACGCAGTGTGGACAGAATTGGAAGTTCGAGGTTCGATTCGGTCATGTCTCTTGTCGTCCAAGTGAAATCGGCTTTGGAAGCTCTGTCATTGGTTGGGCTGTTCTCCGCCTCTCCGCCGCCTCCAAAACAGCGAGATTTCTCCAATAATCACCACTGCATGCAATGATTGCGCGGAACGGCGTGTACAGCATAACCGCAGGCATTATGAAATGCATCGCATCGTTGTATACATTCGACCCAAGGACCAGAGGGTCCTCAAATAACGATATTGATGGCTCTGAATGCAACGCCGGCCATTGCTTGCATTGGCATCATTGGCAGACATGTAGGTATCTCCCGGCCCAGACACTAACCCAGCCTGACATTGTCCAGGACAACCCTCTACACATGTCGCTGTTCCCACCCCATCAAGACGAAGACCTCGACATGACATTCCTCCTCAACTCCTGCCTGGACATATTCGATCTACGCGCGCGAGCAAAGACGTTAGATCAAGATCTCGGTCTATTGCAGGCCATTGACGAACGCCTCGCCGCCTACGGATGGCTCACCAACACCGGCATCAAGTTCATCATCGTGGTCGACATGATGGGTCGCCCGCCTCCTCCGGACCAAGACAAGAGGAGATTCCCTCCTGTCGTGGGCTTGCGGGATGCCGACTTGAAGCCCGCGTTTCGCGCCGTACAAACTGCATATATCCAGCTGATGCTCAACCCTTTTTATTCGCCTGACGACCGGACTCCGCTACAGATTGCCAACTATGGGAGCAAAAGCCCGGAGATCACCAGCAAGAGATTCATCAACGAGCTACAACGGATAGGAAAGATATGGACTCCAGGAATCGCAAGCATATGAATACAGTAACGCCGAGAACGACCCCGAACTGGAAGTGTGTACATTTTCTGGACCGAGTGGCCGGTAAAGGATGTCGGCACTAGTAGGCCTGCTTTCTGGCATCATGCTACAGTACCTTCAAGACCAGGGACTCTGAATTCTAGTTCAGAGCTGAAGCGTCCATCTTGAAACAGTCTCGTTCACCTCTTTTGACCGACACCGGGTCCTTCTCTCACAGAGTACCGGTGGAACGGGATGTTGTCGAGACGCTGCCCACTGCACTGCACGCCGACTCATTCCTTGAGTTCTCCCACAGCAGCATCAATCTTCGCGGCAGTCTCACCGACCTCGGCCGCAGTGGTTGCGGCCTCTTGCTCCTCCCGGGACGGAGTTTTGATCAAGGGAACCTCGTCCATCTTGGTGTCTGGATCCGCCAGCTTGGTGGTAGTTTCCTTGGAATCCACCGGCTCTTGTATCACTGGGACAACTTTGTCCGTGGCTGCCGACTCTTGTATCGCTGGGGGCTCCTTGTCTGTAGCTGCGGGCTCTTCATGGGATTCTTTCTCGGTACTAGTATCACCCAAAGTCTTAATGTGCTCGAGCACGGCATCCAAAGTCTTTGCTGCGCCGGCTTGCTCCCAGACGGTGATTCGTTCGCCATCGGCCTTCTCGATGACAACGACGCCCCTTGCGGTCGACTTACCCGGTCCAGGCTTCTTCATACCGATTGCAGTTGTCAAAGTGGCACCCGGATCGCACTGAGTGGGAGGAATTGGGTATCAGCATAAAGACTCTCAAAGAGACCAACAACGACGATGCACCACGGCCGGGCGATGTCATTGTGGGAGTTAACTAACAAAGGACTTACCAAAAGTTGATAAGGCAGTTTCTGCTTCGTTGCAAAAGTCGTATTGGCCTTGGGACTGTCGGTGCTCAGGCCAAAGACCGAGAAGCCTGCAGTTCTGATAGTGTCGTAGTTGTCGCGGAAGAGACATACTTGAGTTGTGCCTAGCGAACGCATTGAACATAAGTTTCCGAATCAAAACGAAGAACTTGAAATCCGATTCCGAAATAGTAAAAACTTACATCCAGGCGTACTCGCCCTCGGATAGGTAAACAAGACAACGCCCTTCTCGCTCTTGTCGAGCAACTGCCTCAAAGTCGTTTCGGTGCCATCGTGAAGATGGATATTCCCACCAAAAGCGCTATCGATGTTGACAGGCCCGGTTCCTTCAATGGCCACCGAGGTCTTTTTGTCAGCGGTACTGGTAGCAGCACTGCCCTCGGCACCTTCAGTAGTAGTAGTCTTGTCCTCCGACACCGCAGCTGTTGCTGTTTCGGTGACTGACGAGACAACTTCTTTGGCTTTGTCGGCCAGGTTCTTGACGGCGCTGGCACTGCCGCTGCTGCTGCCGCCTCCTCGTTTCGCTTTGGCGGCTGGCGCAGGGGTGGCCGGTTCCTTCGGAGGAGGCCGTTTGCGCAATTCAACCATTTCTGTGGACCGTTAACGACAACTAGTACTTTCCGTGGAAGGTAATGTCAAGTGACCGCTGTGCCGCAAAACCGATGGAAAGCTGTAGTGATAGCCGGGTTCTGAAGTCACAAGGGCAAAGAGGGTACGCGCTGATATACCCTTTTTAGCGATCGTGATGTCTCGGTACAATGTGCGTTTGTGCGAGCCTGGAATTGACAGAAAAGACGTTAGTATGTCTGCCTGTGCGTCTGTCTGGCTGGCCGCCTTGGTTCCTTGGTCGTAACCGGGTTTCATGAAGCGAGAAAGTGTGAGGCGAACAGCCGTGGTTATCAAGGTAGAAATGACGAAGGACAACAAAGCACTGAATCACACGTCTTATCCCGACTAGTACCAACAGGGTGCAATAGCATTTTGGGGGTTCTCAATCCTGCCCAAATCCCCGGGCGATGGTTTGAGAGACGATTGGTCGTTGTAAGTAGGTAGTCGTAGTAACACCGGCGGCTGGCTGACGATCTGTTGTGGGATCGTCGATAGCTTCTTTCGGCCTCCCTTCTTCCCTTCTTTCTTACCCAGGCATGACATTGGCCCATAGCATCAGAGGATGCATTACAGCACGAATGCCACATCATCCTTCCCATCTTACCACATCTCAACACAGTCACACGGCGTGGCTGCCTAGGCTGAGCTTGTCCTCTTTCCCTCAAGGTAAAAGCAATTGATTGAGAGGTAATGCAATGCGAGACAATGTGATACGATGCGAATGCCCCAACAGATCAAACCAAATAACGAACACTCCCTATCTCTTCCTTGACAAGACATGTTTTTCGAAAATAATGAATACAACATGGGCAGGCATGCAGGCAGCAGGGAAACCAGACGTGACGTAACATAATGTACTTACTCGACTGAATTCGATGGGCGCGCTGTTCCCCTGATATCCTTCTGCCAGTGATCCTCAATCACCTCGTCTAGACAGAGGGGTTGGACAATGCTCCTCGCTGAACTGAACCAATACTAAGGCCTCGGGAGAGAGAATGGACGGCTGATAGAGCTGCGGTGAATCCAACAATCACCTTAAAAGAGAGGACGCAAGATTCCAAAAAGCCCTGAGTATTGCCAGTACTACAGTAAGGTAGGTAGGTGGTATTGGTAATAGAAGGAAGTTGGTCGCAACTCGACGTGAGGTAGGTAAGGTACGGTAGGGAGCTACCCCAGGCTACTAGTATTGGTAGGTGGTAGGTGGTAGGTGGTAGGTGGTAGGTGGCTACACCACTGTCCATCCGGTACTACGACCCCTCCGCTCTGCCGCGTGCGAGATCCTATGTTGTTGGTGGCTGGCTGCTACTAGGATTGCTAGTAACAAGTTGGACATCAGGCCAGTCGCTGTCATCGCACCTGATGATGTACTCCGACTAGAAACGGTACCGCACGCAATACTGCAGTACTAGTAGTGGTAAGTGGATGGCTGGATGGGCCGACCTTCGGAACCGGATGCTTGGTAAGCGAGGCTAGCAACAGTCGAGGTCCATCACCAGACGGACCGTGATCGGATAGCTTCCTATCCTCCACCTCAACCCCTACCATCCATACCTCGTATACGACTAGTAGTTGCAGCCAAGTCCTCCAAAACACCGCTTCTACAATGCAAACAGTTTTGAGCACATTGATATTATTCTTGGACTAGCTAGTCGAGTTCTTTCAACAGACCTGTTCTGTCTGTCGCTCGGTAATTATGCCGTCTTCAAGCTGAGATACTGGCCATAAACCTCCCCGGACGCGGCCCCTGACAGATCCTCCGCCAACGTCCCTGAACTTGAACTCTGGATGGTGCACACGGGCCCGCTAGAGGTGGAAACACCATATCCATCCTCGGCTTCTTGACCTGGGGGCGAGCTATTCATCATCCAGCCCGTGCTTGTTTCCTGATGAACCAGTACTCTGATAATTCGCGTATGCATAGAAACCATTCTAAAGACAATGAAAACGTGCTGAGATTGACGGGGGAAGGTCGGGGTGTGATTCAACAATGAATGCCAGGATGATCTGGATGGACCATCGTGGTCAAGAGCGGAGTAACCCAGTCGACCGATGGTCGGGTCGTTTCCCGCAGTCATGGGCCAGCAATGATGATGATGATGCTGTACAGCCGTACGTCGCTAAACTTCGTGGATGTCTGAGGTCGCATGCAAAACGTTCGGTGCTCCGATAAAGAGTCGCCTGAATCCCAGAAATCGTTGGGTAATCGTAGGATATTGCAGGATACGATTTGAAGCAGTGTACCCGCTCACATAAGTTTTGCGTTTTCACGTAATATTCCGTCCGGATTTGCCATGTGCTAGAGCAAACCCCGCGCCGGATCCGACATACCCATTTGAGTTGGTGTGAAAGACCAAGGACAGGTCTACACAAAGGTTGGAAGGTAATGAGATTCAGTGCCGAGGACACCAAGTCGTCACTCTGTTCAGCGGTAGTCGCCATTGCCAGTGGTTACCCTCGTAGTGGAACGAAGCCTAACGTCGAAGGCTGGAGTATTAGTCAGATGCCATTGATAAACCTCCACGCAAACCGAAGCAAAACGCAGAGGAGATCCCTTACACGGAACCAAAGGTTTCAGTACTCACATCCTGTCACTTCCTCCCTGGTCGTTGCCGCTCGCGCCGCGTTCGATGACCTTGCGTCGGGAGCTGGAAATGGCGGCTGGTTTGCCAGCGGTCGAGTTGTGCTGAGGAGTTGGGGCGCCAGTAGCGGCTGCGGTACCGTTGTGTGCACGTCGTGGCTTCTCTTCTTCCTCCTGGTTCTGCTGGTGGCCTGCGGCTTGGGCGATTGCCTGAGCGTTCTTCTGGTATTTGTAGACAGTCCAGTCGAAGACGTAGTCATACTGGAACGATTCGCGGACGAAGAGGTCTCGGAAGATCTTCCTCAAGTACGAGTAGTCGGGCTTGTCGTCGAAGCGGAGGGATCGAGTGTAATTGAGGTAGATGGCGAACTCGTTTGGGAAACCACGGCAGAGTACCTCGGTAGGAGTGGTCATCTTCTTCTCCATGATGCGGTCGTACTTTTGTTTCTTGGTGGCAGCCTTAAGGCCTTGCCATGGGAGCGAGCCGCGGCAGAAGTAGAGCATCACGTAGCCCAACGATTCCATGTCGTCACGACGAGATTGCTCCACGCCCAAGTGGGTGTTGATCGAGGCATATCGAGCCGTGCCGGTCAAGTTCTTGTTCTCACGGTACGGAATGTGGAAATGAGTCTTGGGGTCGCGATACTTCTTGGCCAGACCGAAATCAATAACGTTGACCTGGTTGCCTCGCTTGCCAATACCCATGAGGAAGTTGTCGGGCTTGATGTCACGGTGGATGAAGGACTTGGCGTGGATGTACTCGATTCGGGAGATAAGTTGGTCGGCCAGGAGGAGAACCGTCTTGAGGGAGAACTTTCGGTTGCAGAAGTTGAACAGATCTTCCAAGCTGGGACCGAGGAGATCAAGGACCATGGCGTTGTAGTCACATTCTGTGCCGAACCAGCGGACGAAAGGAATCCCAACACCGCCGGCCAGAGACTTGTAGACGCGAGCTTCGTACTCAAGTTGAGGATGCTTGGCCTTGACCGACTCGAGCTTGATGGCGATCTCTTCTCCCGAGATGATGTTTGTGCCCAAATAAATATCACCAAAACTACCACTTCCAATCTTTCGTCCGATACGGTACTTATTGCCGACACGCAGATCCTGAGAGCTGATGTTAGTGACCATTATGCGTTCTGGGGTTTTTGAGGTCGTCGTGTGCATTCCAGCTCTTTGCTCTCCCGGTTCGAGCCCGAAGCACTGCAACGGCCCAAAATGTTACATACCATGGTCGTCATTTTGACGGAGGGTTGACAGCAACGAGGCTGTGATAACGCGGAAACGGAGTGGCAAGGTGTCGTTCAAGTGCGGATATTGTCGTGGAGCGGGTGTGCGAGAAGGGAGGAAATTATCTCGATCTCAGCCTGTTCTCACTGGAGATTAGCAGAGAACTTGAAACACGGACGCAGATAACGTGCATGAGACACAAACGAAGCTGTGAGCAACCGAAGCTGCCACGATTGGTTCACGTCAGGATCCTTTGAGATGGAAACGAGCAGACGAAAATGATGGAATGCGGGAGTGCAAGGAATGCGAAGGTGTGAGGGAGTAGGCCAGACGGTGAGGTGAGGACCACTACAGTGGAGGGATGTGGGCTTGGAGATCAGTAGGGGACCAGTGTACAGCAAAGTACCCTTAGGCAGATGGGCAGGTGACTAACCGGACCTAGGATCAGAGTGACGGTCAAAGCCGATGCAGTGGCTGATGACAGGTGAGTCGATGCACTCACACGCCGTCAAGCTGGTCTCGTCGACAGCTTGAAGATCGGATACTGATTGAGATGGCAAAGGAAGAGGGGAGGGCGAGGGATGAAAAGAACCGTAAGAGGAGGAGATTAGGATGCAAGGTGCAGGAAGGAGAGGAAGCGGACGGCGGATGGCGCAGGGTGAAGCTGGTTCAGGTGCTTGGGGCCGCCGGTTGTTTTAGAGGAGAAAAGGGAGCAGGAGGGCGTTAGTGGTAAGGGAGCGTCAGTGACAGCAGAAAGGCGCGTCTTAGTGCCGCTTTCGCCTTTTCTTCACCGTCAGTCGCAGTTGTTCATTCACGGCACTGTACGTTGTGCCATCCAGATCCTGCAGTTGGGGCCGCAGGGTCTCGTTCAGGCTTGGCCTGGCTGAATTTAGGCTTGCCAGTGACCGGTCGGGCTGCCCAGGTGCCCTTTGGGCGGCCATGCGCACTATGATTGCATTATCAGGGTGACGCTATACGTGCTCTAGGCTGATTCCAGGCCCCCTCGGCCTCAACCGCTCAACCAGGGTTCACCTCCAGGCATGAAAATGGAGCACTTTTGCCCCCCGGGAAGACCTGTGCCCTCGCCTACTACCTTATCTTTCCAGAGCCTGCCACTTCAAGATTGTAACAGATTTTTATCTTTCCGGTGGCATCATGATTCGACTTTGATTGTTCACAAAGTTGGCCTGCGCTTCACATATCGATTGAGCTGCATCAGCTTCTCCATCTAGTCGTCATTCTGTGACCTTCCCATATGACTGCACAGCTTCATTCACCTCCCAACTTGAATGCTTCACCGGTTGGGCAGCAGTTCTGTTCCCCAAATCCCGCCGGCTGTACCTTACTGGGCCACGGTGGTCTGTCTGACATGTCACTCGGGAACAACTGGCAGGGCCCGAGCATGGCCACCTGCTCGTGGGAGGTCACACTCGGATGTGACGAGAAGGCGTCCTTTGACCTGTACTCTGACTACCTTCTCAAGATGGATATTCCCAGCGAGACACCTAACCGAGAGACCCGATACAACAAAGACAGATTGATTAGCCAGACGACGTTGGTCCCCTGCGAATGACCTATAATCCAACCATGCCAACGAATGAAAATTCAGCGAGCTCTATATATTAAAAGTGTCTTTCCTGGTCCAGCCGCCCGGATCGTCGTCATTTCAAGCATGGACAGCTGGTCCAGAACCCGATGCCCTCATCCATCCGCGCACCGAGCATTGTAGATCCACGAATCTGACCTTCCTGATCCGCAAAGGCCGACAAGAGAAGACGCAGTCTCCGCGGAACCTTACCTACTCATTAACCTCTTTAGACTTCCACCCAACCGAAATTCACGAGATGAAACACGGAGAGGAGAGTGAAAAGAGAGGCACCGAGCCGAGGGACAGGCTTCTACGCCCCTTGCCGTAACTACGCCCGTATTACCTTCCAGGTCATTGATGGCCCGAAACGAGAGCATCAAAAATGCGCCGCTGCGGTCTTGCTATTGGACGGTTATTTCCCTGGCGAACTTCCGCTTTCTTGTTTCTTGTGACTTCATAATATGTGATCACACATCGACGCATCATCGCGAACGTCGGTACTTATAATAATGAAAATAAATTGGCACCTGCCTCCTAGCAAAGTGGCGGAATATAAATGCGAGCGTCCGATGCCTCCGCGCCTTTCAGACAACATGGGCGTCTTAATATAGAGCCGCCAGTGTGCGAGATTCTGCAATAGACATAGACCAGAGAGACACGACCAGCTTCAGAAGACACCACTGGCATGGCGTGGCCCCAGATAGAACCCAGTCCACCGCATCTGACAATTCTCCTACTCTCTCTCTTCCTGATCCTCTATGCCTTGTTCTCGGACTTGATCCGTAATCGACTTCACCTCTCCGAACCACCTCTGGCAACTTTCACTGGCGTCGCCTTCGGTCCTCATGGTGCAACGGTGCTGGATCCCACCAACAAATGGGGGTGGGAAGACAACATCACTCAAGAACTCACCCGAGTCATCACCGGGGTTCAATGTTTCGCTGTGGGCATTGACTTACCTGCAGCATACGTGAAGCGACACTGGAAGAGTATCGCTCTCTTACTTGGTCCTGTCATGACAGCAAGCTGGATGATCGCCGCAGCCGCCGTCTACTATGTCCTCGACACGACCTGGATCACAGCCATGATAATCGGAGCATGTCTCACTCCTACAGACCCCGTCCTTTCGGCCAGTGTCATTGCTGAAGCGAGATTTTCCCAGCGAGTACCGAAACGAGTGCGTCATTTGCTTGCTGCCGAGTCGGGCTGCAACGACGGGACCGCATTCCCATTCCTCTACGCAGCCTTGTACGCTACGATGGCCAGTTCCGCCGCCCAGGGGATCCGCAAGTGGCTGACAGATGTGCTGCTGTGGCAGTGTTTGGCAGGAATAGTGGTTGGGGTTGTGATCGGGTTGGCTGCCAACAAAGCCTTGCGGTTCAGTGAGGACAAAGGCTATGTCCAAGAGTCGACATTGTTCGTGTTCTACTTCCTTCTTGCGCTTTTCTGCATCGGAGTAGGAAGTTCTTTAGGGCTTGACGACTTTCTGGTGTGTTTCTGCGCAGGCGCGGCATTCTGTTGGGACGGTTGGTTCTCGGTTCGGACCAAAAACATGAAGTTGCCTAGCATCCTTGATCTGATGCTGAACTCAACCATGTTTGTCTACTTCGGGTCCATGATACCTTGGGAGCTGTACAGGGACAACCTTTCTGTGGCAAAAATGACCCTTTGCGTGGTCCTGATCCTCGTGTTTCGAAGACTACCGGCGATCCTGGCGATGAAGGCCTTGATTCCTGATATTCACACATACCACGAGGCTTTGTTCATTGGGCACTTTGGTCCGATGGGAGTCGGGGCACTGTTTCTCGCCATTGAATCTCGAGCCCGCTTGGAAACCGGGACGTCAGAACCGTTGCCACATCCGCCCGAACATTCGCATCATCAAGAGGCCTTGGAGACGGTCTGGCCGGTGGTCTGTTTTGTGGTGTTATGTTCGATCGTGATTCATGGGTTTTCGCCCTTTGTTATGAGCATAGCGGGCCATTTTTCGCGACATCCAAAGGAAAGGGCACCTCTGCTTGGGGCGGAGGAAGAGCGACTTTACGGAATGGGTGGAGGAGAGAACGGACCAGTAGAAGAGAATGAGTCTGGAGACGACGACACGGAGTTGTGAGAACAGACGAGTCAAGAGGACATTGTACCTTAGTCAACTGATAACGGTACATTGACCTGTGTTGCACCATCATAGTACCGTAGGTGGTACAATAGCACTGTACCTACCTGAGGTACCCCCTAGGTATGGCTATGGCATTTTCACGTTTCTCAACCTCGGTTGATGTTGGTACGAGTTGAAGTGTCTATTGCTTATCTTCTCCACGGAATCTCCGCCTTCAGCGGGAATACATGAATTGCCGATGGACTTCGGCGACAGTACAAACTAGCCGACCTCAATGATAACCCCATTCTCAGCTACTCTACAACAACCCGACGAGCCTGGTCTGGGCACGAGAACAAGTATCTCCCATCAATTGACTGACCGGATTGGCGAGAGCCGAGCACAAACAAGCACTTCCATCCGTTAGGGGCCTCTATATCTACGACCCCCAACTGGTCCCCCTCGTCAGCTCGGGACGTTTTCGCCTATTACTCCAGTGCGATCAGTGGACTTACTCGCATTCCCAAGCATATCAAACAAGATCTCGAAGCAGGCAGCCCAGGGGAGCCATCCACAATGAAGCCAACACAGTCGACATCACACCCATACATCCTGCACACTCCACGAGGCAGTCTCCGGGGCGTGGAGCACCGCGACGCCTCGACCAAGACTCCGATCTTATACCGCTTCACCAAAGTGCCATATGCATTGCCTCCGGTTGGACCACTACGCTGGCGACGGCCGCAATCATTGCCAGCGGACTTTACATTCAACACTACGAACGACGAGCCAGGCAACTACACTGAATTCGGGCCCGTGTGCCCTCAACCGCATTACGCGCACGACCTGGCGTACGTGGACCCGCCACCTCCTGGAGCAGCGCAACCGATCGAAAACGCCCAGGACGAAGACTGTCTGTACCTGAACATCTGGGTCCCGGCGGACGGATGCCCAGGGTCCGAACTGAAACCGGCGACCGGGTGGCCGGTGCAGTTCTTCATTCATGGCGGATGGCTCCAGATTGGCAACGCGATGCAGTCGCACGACCACGACCCGTTTGACCTGTTGGCCAACACGGCGCCGCGGATCGTGGTGTCGCCCACGTACCGCCTGAATGTGTTTGGGTTCTTGGCCGGGGAGGACCTGGCGTCCCTGCACGAAGACCCGGCGCCGTCCAACTACGGTTTCTGGGACCAGCGCCGCGCTCTGGAATGGACGGCCGAGCATATTGGTCTGTTTGGCGGCGACCCGAACAACATCACCGTTGGGGGCTTGTCGGCCGGTGCGAATTCGAGTTTCTTTCAATTGAACTATGACAGTCAATTAGGACAATCACAATCAGGACAACAATCAGCAGTGGCACATGATGGCGCACCAACAGCACCAGCACCAGCATCTGCATCTGCAACCACCACCACCTCCTCGACATCCTTTTCTAACCGGCGCTTAATCCGCCGCATATTTCTCTGGTCCAACGCCGTAGCAATCCAACCCAACGCCAGCACCTCGCCCATCCTAACAGCCCAATTCAACGAACTATGTTCCGTCCTCGGGATCGACATATCCTCCTCCTCAACTCCAGCCCAAAAGATGGCCGCTTTGCGCGCAATTCCCGCCAGTGATCTCGTGGCCGCCCTGTCCAAACTAAAAATGCACACCTTCCGCGCCAGCACGGACGGCGAGTTCATCCGACCGACATTTTTGTCCTCCTTGCACAGCGGCGCATTCGCGACACGCTTGTCCCGTAACAACACTTCTGTGTTACTAGGCGAAGTCAGCGACGAAAAGGAACTCTACAAACTCGTCAATCCGCCTCGGAACCACGCTGAACTTTTGACTCAGCTGGCAAACTACTATCCTCCAGCTGTGGTTGAGGCTTTATTGCCCCTTTATAAGCTCCCCTCCACAAACGACGGAGATGAAGCTGGTTCTGCTTGGGCCGAGGTGTTTAGTCAAATGGTCGCCGATGCGCAGGTCCACGCTTCGCAGAGGGGTCTGGTTCATGTTTTGGTGAATCCGGACGAGAAGAAATCGGGAGTACTGCCTCTTCCTTTGTCAAAAGTCCATCGCTACCGCATCGCGTGGCGCGCCCAAGCCCTAGACAACTGGCTCAAACCAGAAGTCAAAGTGTGCCATTCGGCAGATATTCCCATCTGGTGGGCGAGTGGGTGGCGATACGATTTCAGTGAGCAGGACAAAACCGTCATCAAGAAGTTTCTCGAACCGTTTGCTCAGTTCTTGTATGGTGAGGATCGGGTCTCTTGGCCGTGTAGTGCGGAAAATCGACTGAGGTTGTTGGATCAGGATGGGACGATTCATGAAGATGTCGAGGATGAGTTGTGGGAGCGGGGGCTGGAGATTTGGAATGCTGTCTGGAAGGCGCAGAAGCCGATTGTTGCCAGTGAGTGATAAAATGTACTGCTAGACTACTAGGAGTAACAGGGACGGTTGGAATATAAATGAAGATTCGGGAAAGAAAAAAAAAGAATTGAATTACAATCAGGCCGTGTTTGGTTTGTTGCGTTGTATGGAAGAAGAGTGGTCTCGAGGGGAGACACGGCAAGGCTAGACCAGGTTACAGTATTTACCTGGAGGTTACCGTTCAAGAAATAGGCTACATATATAGGTATCCAGGTAAGTATTTCAATGAGATCACCCAGGAGTGATTGATATGCTGCGAAAGAGTCTCAGTTTATTCGAGTGAACTGTATTCTATCTGCCGACACGAGATGATGGCCGTGGTGGAGGTTGTTCATATGAATCCATCTGGAAGTGTCAACAGCGATAGGCACTTACACATGAAAGCTCTTCTAAATGACATCCATCAACCTCAGCCATTGGCTTTGCTCCTCAAATGGAAACTCTCTCAACCATCCTGACTCTGTGGAATGTTTTCGCTGTTTCGATTCCACAGGCTCACGGAAGATCCTGCACCCTTGAGGAGCCCACTTCGGTGTGATACTGCCGCTTTTACGGTCCTCGAGAGCGAAATATCCTACACGTCGAAACTCTGCGGCTGTCGTGGTCGTTGCTTTGGTGTGCCCTTCGGCAGCAGCATCTCCATCATCTCCCGTGGGTGCAACGATGGGTCTGGTAGGCAAAAGCACAATCCCCTGCGCTGCGAGAAGAATTTTCTTGGTAGAGCCATTGCCATCACCCGTCACGACGTCAGTCAGCCGATATGCCGTGGTTCGGATGATGGCCCCAACAAGACTGCAGCTGCCAACCCCCGCGGCGGACAGGTCTTCTGTGCTGTCGATTCGTACAATGAGTTGGGGAACGGGGATAAAGCGAGATGCAGATACAGTCCTGCCCGCAGTCCATTCACTCCGGGCGTCAATGAACATGGCCAAGCAGGGGGCTTGTAGTCTCAGCCTCGCGGATACAAGCATGCCAAAATCCTCTCCATCCTCGGGTTGACACTTTGCATCAACGACCTGGGCCACGGTCCATGAGAAATTGAAGGGCTCGGCGTGCATAACATATCCTTCATTTGACGCCCATGACCATGAAGGAGCGCGGTACTCGACGGGACGGTTTGTGATTGTGTGTGGCCGGATATACCACAAGAGGCCGGTCATAATGTGCTGGCGCCAGAGACCCGCCAGGAATTCGTCGTGCATGACTCCTCCGAACAACTTGCAGATACCTGCTATAGCAAGAAGCTTGTCCGCAGGAAACGTTAGTTTGCGAAGTGAATAGTGCGCAACGAACTGCGTCCACGCTCCAAAGAGCAGATCTCCGTTGTCAGGAGACACTGGCTCGGGATCAAAATTTTGTATCGAGGTTTTCGCAACCTGAAGCATAGCAGCGATGGGACCGAGTTCCTCGTCGTGGAGGAACTGTTGCTTGTCGTCAGTAGCTTGTATAGATCTCTTTGTGTGCATTTGGGGATAGGTTTCACAAGCGCGAAAGTCGGTGCAAGCCCACAGCACCTGCCGAGAGCCAAAGTAGATGGTACGAGCGGCCAGTAGTTCTTCTTGAAGTACCCATCCTCGTGTAGTCAAGGGCATATGGAGCAACTCACCCCGCCACAGTTGCAGGTCGTTCAAGAAATACGACTGCTTGAGGTCGTAGTTTTCAGCATTCAAGATAACACAGTCGCTATTGACTAATTCCGGGGCACGGGTGCAAAATAGGCCGTCCTGCCTCCCAGAAAGAGCAGATATGTTGCACAAGGCGTTGCCGAAGATCTCGGCCATTCTGATGGCCTCTGTTTGGATATCGAGCCGCTCGTCTTGAAAGATACCTGGTAAGCTGATCAGCGAAATGATAGGAAACCCTGGAGGTTTCCACAAATACATAGAGAATCCACCCAGAGATAACGGACATCCAGCCGCCGGACAATTCGAATGGCATCCTGGTACGTTCCAGGGAGAGCCGCGAGAGACATACCACGAAGCATGTCTGCATGGGTGGCTCGCTCCAGTTTGAAGGCCTCAGAAGCCCATCGGTGACTGAGAGTCATATACGCGCCTGTAACATCGTGAGTCTCATCAACCTCCACCAGTCTCCAGGTGTCGGCTGTTGTGTTGTCGGGTCGGACGTCGATCAAGCGACTAGGGTATGAAGCAAACTGAAGAGAACGATTGCAATTGGAATGACTGGGTGAAGACCTGCAAGTCTCCAGCCAGTGGTGAACCAGATCAAGCACGCGGGGGTCTGACGTTGAAGGTGCACCCTTGGCCGCAATGACAACGGCTTGCAGATGAGTTGGACTTATGCAGATTCCTATTAGAGAATATCCCAAAAGATGGACGTCGCAGGTCTAGGCCAAGTAGGGAGCGATAGTAACGAACGAAATGTAGCCCACCTCAGACTGGGAGGTCCTGGCAAAAGAGCCACTTGGATGTACCCGTACGAGTAGCTGCTACCGAGCAATGGCATTCCCTCTTGACCTTGGTTCAATATGGGAGTGAGCCGACAACCCAGCCTTACGAGGATCATGGAGGGAGGATGGCAGGACGCAGCCTTGTCGAAATCCACCAGGTTTGTCTTGGGGAGAGACGACACAACATGTTGCCATTTGAAATCCCCTAATTGAAGTCGTAACCTCATACAGAGGTAGCATTTGTCGCGAATGGCGGCTTCAAATTCGGCGGTGCTGACCTCCGTTTTCACGGTCATCTGGATCTCGCAGGAGCAAAGGACATCATCAGCCTGCCGGATTAGCGCACGACAGTCGTGGCAGAGCATCTTGCCTGGATTGAGTACCTAGGTACATCAAGGCATCATGGCAGGAAGACACAGTCAGATCAGGTCGCGGCAGGAAGAATGCAATTTTACGGACAGAATCGGGATGTTCGTGTTTGGACATGCCAGTGGTTGCCTACGCAGTAACTTTGCCATGTTTGCGGCATATGCTCGATTTGGCCCCTTTTCATCGTTTGCCGCTCACCGCTGTATCACGCAATTCGAGTCTGGGTTGTTGTCGACTCGACCCCAGACATATAGAAGCCTCACTGGCAGCATCAGGCCCCTACTCATAGTAAAGTGTCGTTGAGCACATTCAAGAAACGAGCATCGTAAACAGGGGCAACTTGAGCACGTTTCAACAGTCCCGCAGCATTAGTAAACATCCCTATTAATAAAAGCCTCCCCGCTTAGTACTATAGTTGTAGTACAACAGTATCCTATGTAGTAACCGCCGCGTACCTGACAAAGAGACATTGCGCATCTTCCATCTTCCTCTTTCTCTCTCCCTTCCTCTCAGCCCACTGCAGTCGAGTCCTTCATTTCACCGTACTTTGAAGACTTCGGTATATCACGCCGGGATCAAAACGTCATACTACCTTGGTACCAAGTACAGTCCAACGATCGCCCGCCGCCCGCCACAATGTCCGAACACCACTACAAGTTCAATGTCAAAATGACCTGCAGCGGCTGCTCCGGCGCCGTGGAGCGCGTGCTCAAGAAACTCGACGGTACAGTACCCAGTACCCTCCTTGCTGAACTCTTGTCACAGTGTCCATTATTTGCACTGCATCTCTTGCCTCCGCCCCGTCCAAAGGAAATGGATCGAACCTCCGGCTAACAGTTGGAAATTACAGGGGTCAAGTCATACAATGTCTCCCTCGACACCCAGACCGCCGACGTCACCACGGAAGACTCGGTCTCTTACGAAACCGTCCTCGAGAAGATCAAGAAGACTGGCAAGGCCGTGAACTCGGGAGAAGCAGATGGCGTGCCTATGGCCGTGTAAGCCGCGCAGCATGGGACACTGCGAATATTGTTGCCAATGCTTGGACGGGGCGCATCATTAGACAAAACATTTGCTATGGCGCACTGGTTCTATGGAATGGCAACGGCAACGGCAATCATGGGAGGCGGGCATACAATGGTTTGGTTGATATAACATGTAGTCACGAACGGCGAAGATCAGCATTTTGATACCTTACACGGGATCAATCATCACCCTACTGTACTGGTCAGATGGCACGGTGCGCCTGCAGCAACAGGACATTGCGGATCACTCCTTTTGCATCTCATTGTGTTTATTTCTTCTGATCTGCTGCTGACATCCCCCATGCCCTCGAAGGCATTGGAACTATGGACAGCCCTGTGGTCCTTTCAACCAGAGTCTACATAAGGCCATTAAGGACCCCCTCTCCCCCATGGTTGCCCATCTGACCACTCTCAAAATGCAGCACTCTTCCATAGCCGTCAACAAGATACCCAGTACGTGAGCCTAGACTCCGCCTATCGCCGAATGGGTATCTCAAAGGATTGCGTTACACATAAACATGACAACACCGCCCATGCAGGCGCTTCATGCCTTGTGGCGTCGCTGATGAAAACAGAAACGCATATTCGCTCCGCCCGCTCCTGATGCAATCATCTCTTCGTTTTTGGACTGACAGACAAGGTCCTGAAAAAGAACACAACATCGTTGTCGATTTGTACAGCAGGAAATGCTCATGTTAAACACTCATGATCTGTGCCGCCCTATACGTCATGTCAGCTCGGTAGACTCATAAAAGCAAGGGGATATGATCAGCATTGCGCAGCAATATATCATTTCAATCTTACCGAAGTCCCCACAGGCCTGTCAAAGAGGCGATTCACAAAGGCTATGCCGAAAGATAACAAAATGGAACAATGCATCTGCGGTCACCGGCGAGACTGACCATACTGGCCTGCCGTAGTAGCTTGCCGGTGATCATACTCGTGCTGACCCGGTACCTCTACCACTGGTTCACGAACAGTGGACATGCTTTGGTATGTGCAACGTGGGCGAGTTTGTCTGGGATTGGGATCTGCATAATGCGCCATGACAGTCGTAGTGCGCTCCGTAGCATGTTGGTTTTCATAGCCACGGGAGTCAAACCTGGGTTCATACACGAGGCGCTCAGAAGTAGAAAAGTGTTGATCCAACCGCCTTGGCGTATTGGTCTCAAACTCATCTGAGCGCCTTAAGCCGTTGCTCTGCACAGGATAATGGGATTGCTTGTTTGCGGTGTCGTATCTGTCATGCACAGCAGGGAAGGCTCGGAGACTGGGTTGTTCATGGGGCGGGGCATTACGAGTATCATAGACAGACTGATGCTCAACATAACCAAGGGGTTCTCGCGCAGAGGCTGGCTGGCGATACCGTGGGCTTGAGCGAGGCTCACCGTAGTCAATGACACGAGCTTCGGCACGCGCATACCCTGGCTGACGAGACTGCGTAAAATACAGGCGGTCACGCTGACCATCAAGAGGGCCCGGCATGGAAGTCCGGTACTCTGACGACATTGGAATTTCTTCCAGTCGACGTCGCTTCGAAGATTGCTCCAGACTGGCTGGAAGGTCAATAAGAGCGGCTTCTCGGCGATTGCAGCTGTCTTCTCTTGGTATGTTAGTCTCACGGGCTTCTGGGCGGCGTTCGAGCCGGTCGAACGGATTCTGGCGTTCGTGTGGAGAGAGGTATGATCCATCAGTTCCCTCGATTGACGGGAGAACTGTAGCGTCTGCACCTTGAGGATCCAGATGGCGGTGATCGCGATATGGGTAGCCCTCGGGCGAGGAGGGGCGCGTCTTCGCCACCAGCAAAGGCCGCGGCATAGCTGTCAATGCGTAGTCATCGTGTCTTGTCGGGGGTTCTGTAGCCACGCCACGGGACCGTGTAGTAACTCGCTCATACAAGGTTCCATCTGCGCCTCTGATGTAGGTGGGTGGACTTGGCCGACGGATTTGACGCGGCTAAGATGAATTAGTCAAGGGAACGATGTCTAGGCTCATCGATTTTCGCGGAAACATAGATCCGGAAGATCAACTTGAAGAGCAGCTCTTACCTCATAGTCGTCTCTGCCCGTGGGCAGAGGGGGCTCCTGGGACCTGACGGGATATGAAGGGGGGTCCAGCGGGACAAGGATGCGCGAGGCCGAGCTCTCAGGCTCATAAATCCTCTCCACAACGGTGACAGGTTGTTGCGCAGCCCTAGCCCGGTAGTCTCGCCTTGCTTGATCCCATACAGCGTACCTACTACGATTTCTTTGGGCAATCTCGTCTTCGGTGAGCTGGTAGCGACGTACCACCCGGGGTAGGTCATGGTAGTCCTGATTTGTATCTTCGCGACGTGCGGATTGCAGTAGAGGTGACCGAGGTCGACCGGAACCTGGGCCGTAAGTAGCGCTGGGAAGCTCCTCGAGTTGCACATTGTCGTGAGCGACTTGCTGGCCATCATCGGACTCGGTCTCGCCGGCTTCCTCATCGGAGATGACGATGACTTCTCTCAGAAGATCGTCGGCGGCTCGTTGCGTGGCTTCATCCGTACTATCTTCATCGCCACGCCATTCAATTATCTTTTTCAGGGTATCTTGCTCGACCATGTGCCTGGCGTCGTTGTACGGCACTTTCCTCAACAACTTGTCATATTGGGTATACATATGTCGAATATGCGCAACAACAGAGAGCTGTGCTCTACGCACAAGAGGGATCTCATCAGCGGTACCCACTCTGTTGTCGCCCTTCTGAAAGGCGGTCTTGATGATCTGGAACAGATCCTTGTCCGGGATGTTCGGGAAAAGGTCCTTGATAGTCTGTTTTGCTTCGGTATTGATGGTAATTTGATCTTTTTCTTCCTCAACGGGACGGCGACCATTCTGATAGACTTGAGTGAAGAGTTTGTCATCCTTGGACTCATCGATGACCTTGCCTCCACTGGTAAGACGGATGCCATAATGCGCACAAACTTGGGCGACTACACTGGTGGGGAAATGAAATCCAACACGATGTACTTCCCTTGACAGTTCATGGCGATCAGCGTGCGGCGTGGTCTAAAGGGTTAGTGGACATCCCGGAGCAGAGCAGCAACTTGGCTTACCGTGACAGCAAAAATTTTGTGGTCGCCTCTCCGGGCAAACTCCTTGAGCGCCGCTGTAAGCTCAGGGTTTCCAGCAGGTATGAAGGTATAGCCTGGAGGCGGGTCCGCGCGGAAGGTGACCTGGGAATCCCGGTGAGTCGTACCTCGAGCACATCGTTTCGTCCTTCTTACCACGCTCCGCAGTTTGTTCTTCTCTTGGGAAGTGTTTTCCACAACCACTTTGTGTTTGTTTCTTTGCTTTACAGCTTGCCTTGCTTGGGTGGAAGCACCTCCAGCCGCAAGCTTTCCAGTCTTTTGTTTGACTCTAGCCATGACAACCTCAGACAACACTACACAGAGAGAACTGGGCACTGATAGGAGAACATGGATAGGGGGATCAGAAACAGGGTCTCTAAACACTGGAGGTTAGTAGAGCAGACACTGGTCGTACAATACTGGACTGAACTCCGGCCTTGTCGGCAGTGGCTACTGCAGGGAAGAGAAGACGAAATCAACCCCAATGCAGCGAAGGAAACTGCATGTGACTCGAAGTCAGGTTTGAGCCTGGAAGAAGGTGTCGTATGAATCGGGCACAGTCATCCAGTATGCTGTTCTCTATGAACAGCAAATGCGTACTTCTCACAAAGTGTGAGCGGACGGGGATGATGGAGGATGAGGAAGGGAGAGCGAAAGGAGGAATGAAGTGCCTGCGCGGACGATGGAAAATGAGGATCTTCAAGTTCGGGACTTGACGACGCGCAGTGGGAAAGCTTGGCGGCGCTTACACCCGCCGACGTAGTACATTGTCCACTACTACGTCGAGTCTGGGGTCTAACTTTTGGCTCATTGAGTCTGCGGTGTTGCATTTTACACAGTGTGCTTCAATTCAACTCCTTTACAATCAGAGACTGACGAATGTCCTGTCTTGTATTCTGACTCCAGTCGCCCTGGTTTGGTGCAAATTGGTGTGGACCTAGACACGTTGTATTACTTTTGTTAGTCTGGGAGATAGGACACAACACCGCTCGCCTGTCCTACCCATGAGCGTTCAGGACCGCCTCCACGCGTATCGTCATCTCTATCGAACCGCTCTGCAAGCTGTATGCTACTCCCGTCCAGCACGCTACGAGATTCGGGACATACTTCGCGAGTCATTCCGTTCTCCGGCCGCCACGGACTTCAATCCGCGCAGGGTCGAGAATACGCTGCGATTTCTAAAAAATGCCGGCACATACAATGGCTACGAGCATAGAATTCTCAAGAACCTGCTGCACCTGAAATTTTATTATGGAAGGAGGTTCGACAAACGACTGTACGTCCTTGGTCTTGCATTGATGCATTTGAAGCACTGGACAGCTTATAGGGAAAGGTCAAGACGCTGACTATGTGCACAGATTGAGGACAGCGAACAACCACTATGCTATTCAGGCACGTCAGCAAATCTGGCACCAGTATCGGGCGACTCTGGCAATGCTAAACGAAAGTATGGACATGTGTTTGGCTTTCTAGCATCCAAAAAAAGGAATCCAATCCCGCTATCCCATATGGCAGGTTGGCTACCGACACACCACTAGCCTTCTGTGCATAAATGTTTCTACCACCTCTTCGTGGTGGTGAGAATGCGTGGTACGGCAAATGCTAAGGATGCCTGGGGCCAACCTACCGCCGTTGTCTACACTATCTGAGCCAGGCCCTTGCTGTGTTATTTGCTCAAATGAGGCGTGTCCAAAGGTGTCCAAATCTCCGCATCTCCGTGCTCATGGAAGTCCAGCGGCAGGAGAGTTGAAACGCACCTGCCGGTGAAGGAGCCGAGACCGCATGTTGTTGGCTCTCAGGCGTGCCCTTCAACCCTGGAGCTGGTTGAGTTCTATGCTCAACAACGGCAATGGGATGATCTCGACACTGCCGCTGGCGAGTTTCTAGTCAAATCCTGCCATGTCCAAGCACGAGGTGTCTGGGCCACCTTCGGCACTCAACTTCCCAGTATGCCTGCTGCAGGAGTCGGCGTATGAGAGCCTGACAGACTGCTCGGTGTAGGAGGCCCGGAGGAGTACTCCACTGACACGCATTTTGATCCGTAACTTCTGCCTATGACTACCTGGACCGAATGTGTGCACCTAGGACACAAGGCCGTGTCCGCGGGAACAGGTCGGCGTACAGGAAACCGGTAAGTGCTGAACGCAGGGTAATGCACTTTTCACAATGAATATATGTATAACAAACGTTCAAAACTCGACTCCGGTTGTCCTTGTATTATCTCAGCACCAAGACTTGGCCAAATTGCCCCCTGGCATGTTTGAGAACCATGGCCGAATTGATACAATGCTTAACCCCGTATAAGCCCACTGATTTCCACAGATACGCGAACTTCCAATGGATGACCGTTAAACTGCCTATCTACTGAACACGGCATGCAAATTTTGAGAAGCGCCACATATGAGGCTGGTGCATATCTCTGTAATGAGGTTGCACAATCTCGAATGGTGAGTCAGTACAGGGTCATGATATCATGGACTCAACCCCCTGCCACCTGCCATGTAAACAACCCAGCAATATGGATGGTATGAAACATACCGTCAGCAGCATAGGGCCTCATCGGCTGGCCACATATTGTTGCCTGTGCTGTGGTCACCAACAAGTTCATGGTGTATTTCCAGCAAAAAGTCATTTTGACACGGATTTGTTGAAAAGTCTTCCAATTGTTAAGCATGCCGGAACAAGTAACAGAGCTGCAACAACCCCCTGCCGCTCCCAGCCTTGCTCAAAACCGGTCGAGACTGAAGGACTTTGTTGCAGTAAGTCTGTTCAATCTGTACGGGCACAACCTGTGGAGGATCATGGACAATCCGACGCCATACATCACAGTGCATCTGCCCACATGCTGCTGTCGTTTGAACTCTGTTAAGTCAAAGTGATGTTGTGGTCTGGAACCTAACTCGTTGTCGTCCGTGAGCAGTCCGTCGCAGTCATCCGCGGCGATCTTTCCAACATCACAGCACCTCCTTTCGTGCTCGACACGAAATCTGCAGTCGAGCTCCCGGCGTTCTGGGCCGAGCGGCCGGCAGTCTTTGTTGCTCCTGCTTCCTCTGATGATCCAGCTGAACGCGCCGTGCTCGTACTGAAATGGTTCCTGGCATCCCTACGCAACCAGCAATATGCAGGTCGCAGAGCGGACGAGGGTGTCAAGAAACCGCTCAACGCGTTCTTGGGAGAATTATTCCTGGCTACATGGAACAGCGACGCCGCAGCTCGCTCCGGGCCAACCAGGTTAGGGACCACTAGGCTGGTCAGCGAGCAGGTCAGGTAAGTCGAAGAAATCCGGGTCAACTGCTGTTCTGTGTGTGCTGTTGCTTGTCCGGATTGTCTTGAGATGATCTGCATCCTTGCCGCTGTTATTTATTGTGACATTTGCGGCAACAATCGCGAAGGTTTCGCAGCCTTGCTCAAATGCATGCTGACATTTGACCTTGTCCGCAAAAGCCACCATCCGCCAGTGACAGCGTGTCGAGTATGGAACGAGGAGCATGGTGTTTCGGTAAGTCCACAATAGCCTTCCTATTGCCGGTGACCGCAATGATTCTTTTCGAGCCTGGCGCCATCGCCTCAAGCTTACATGTTTCTCGACAGGCCGAGGGATACACCCGCCAGGAGATCACGTTCAGCACCACCATGAACATCCGGCAATTTGGACACGCCACGTTCCATCTCGCCAAGCACAACGAAACATACTTGATTCCGCTCCCAGATGTCAAGATCAAGGGTGTCTTCAGTGGCAGCCCGTACCCGGAGCTGCAAGGCACGTACCGCATCCCGAGCACAAGCGGGATCACATCCTCCATCCAATTTGGCGGGACAGGTTTTTTGTCTGGCTTCGATAAGAGCAAGCATGCCTTCGAAGCCAAAGTATATCGTGATGACGACGGTAACAGCGACGACGAGGCAGACAACAAACTACTATACACAGTCAGGGGCAACTGGGACAGGGCATTTACCATCCACGACACCCGTAAGGGCGTCGACGTCGCAACATTCGACGTTCGAACTGCAGCGACCACTCCTCTCACGGTAGACCCTCTGAGTGAGCAGGATCCATGGGAGTCGCGGCGAGCCTGGCGTGATGTTCGGGAGGCATTGGAACGAGGAAACATGCATGGCGCCGCAGATGCCAAGTCAAAGCTCGAAAAAGGCCAGCGAGACATGCGGAACCATGAGGCGGCGGGCAGTCAGTGGAAGAGTCTATTCTATGAGAAGCAGGAGACCAATGACCCAGTCACGCAACAGCTGGCACGCAAGATAGGCAAGACGCTCGATCCGGCTGATACACTAGGAGTGTGGAAGTTTAGGCTGAAAGAGTGGCAGGACGGGAAGTTCAAGAAACCTTACCACGGAGCCCTGACTCCTGATTGTACTAATGTTTCGGGGATTGAGAGAACGGCACAGTAATCTGACATTGCGCGACATGTACACGTCAAGGATAAAGAGCGGTCGAGACAGTCCGACACTGACGCCGTCAATGGTGTCTCGGTATCATCAGCAACTCGAGGAAACAATCAGGGAGGCGAGGTGTCAAACGCAGGCAAGCAACCGGAGAACAAGTCTGCTGACACCGCCGACGCTTCTCCTGCCTCGAGTCAACGAAGTGATCAACCTGCTGCCCGACTTGACAAAGTCGACAGAGACGTATCGGACGACAACCACGGCATAGCGAACAGCACAAACAGCACCAGCAGCGGCCCCAGCATGTCGGCAACAGAGAAGACCCAAGTGGAGGCGTTTTTGAGGCACAAGTATTCGAGTTTGAGATAGTTACCATCGTCTAAGGGATTCATCAATCGTAATATTTTTTTTCTTCCTTATCCCGCATCCAACTGCCACCAATCGTAGACCTCTGGTGGCCATTTAAGTACTAAATACAGTATTTGCCAATCCAAATCACATGTTTCGTGTGTCACGGCGCGGTTATCTATCTCACTCAAACTTCACTTTCTCTTCTCTTTTTAATTAGGTTAATAGATTAAAGTCACGGAATTCCTCCCAACATTCCCCAGTTGGATAGGAGCTCCTCCCCTGTGGCCTAGTTGGTGCGCCCAATTAGTACTGATCTTACCTTACGGTGAGATCCCACTGTAAGCGGCCCATAGTGTACGATGCCATCGAAGAATGTTGAAAAGAACCGGATTCACTCATACGCAAGTTGATGATTCCACTAAAGGTTTCCCCCCCTACTAGGCACTTCTTCCTGAAATCAGGTTGTCGGGTCGAGTGGCAGGGTTTTTGGTTCCGAAGCAGAAGTCAAGTTTTTGTTTTTGCACATCGCACAAACCATTCATTCGCTTGCTGAACGCGCACTGTATGTAAACAAACGACAACGAAATCAAGAGACGACGTTAATCGATCGACACCTGCTAGACCAACACCAGCAGCAGCAGCAGTCAGACCGTTGACTGCAAATCCTCGGCGAAAACAACCTTGTCAACGAGCCTCAAGCGACTCTTTTAGCTGTTTATCGAAACTAGTTGTATACCGCTCGAACGCTAGAAGTCAAATCAAGATGACGACCTCGACCTCCGCGACGTTGACGACTCTGGCCCACCACCCTCGACTTGGACGATTTCTCTACACATATCGAGAAACCTGCCACGATACTCCGGAGCCGTGGTGGTGATGCTCATGGGACCCTTTCGATCGATGAGATTCCAGGCGTCCACGAGCAGCGTCATAAGTTTCGCCCGGACCTTGTGCTTTGCCCAGAAAAAGTCGAGGATCAGAGCGCGATACAGCCATTTGCCGTCCTGGGACGGAACCCCTGTTCGCCAGTCCAGGGGCTCAGGGTCGCGAAATGGATCATCACTACTCGCAGGTATTGTGGATGGTCTTGGAATTCGCACCAGCATCAGACTGTAGTCGACTGCATTGTGGCGTGCAAGCAGCTCGGTGTCAGCTTGTAGGGCTTCCAGAAACGCGTCGGCCTGTGATTGACTCAAGCGCATTTTGTCGTTGAATTCATCGGCAAGTTTCGACTTGGTCGCCTGCGACGCAAGCTTACCGCCGGCGATGTCCCGCTCGGGAAAGAAGTAGGACATGGGCTTCAGGTCAAAGGTCTGCCAGTTGGAGTCCTCGTCCTGGCCGTGCAACAGATTCTCCATGACAAGATGGTAGTTCGGTGCCAGGCCCAACAGACCGCCGAGACTGTGGTACTTCCAACCCAAGAAGTCGGTGATGCGCACCAGCAGCGATTGCGGGTGTGATTCCATGTGCGCGACGTACGGTTCCAGTAAGTCGTCGCGGAAGAATGTATGCTCGAACCGCCGTGGAACCGACTTGATCAGGTACTTGTTGTCCCTGGTTGTGAAGAACGTCTGCATGGAGAGGCCATATATCAGCCCCGGAGTTTTCACATTCTTCTATAGGTGGGGGGCTCTCTGCCGTCCGGGGTTGCAAGCAATAAGTTACAAACTTACCGATCCTGAATACCCCATGTCGCCTTTGGGTATGAGCGGATTCTCGCCCTGGAAGCTGGCTTTGTAGTCATCTTCGGATATCTTCCATGTTTGGTTCCGTAGTCTTTGGAAGAGGTCCGGTCGGAACCGGGTCAGGACGAGCGCATATAGCGCGAAGATCTTGCGGAGCCAATGCCAGAATCGGAAACCGCTGTCAGCCCTGTCCCCTTGGAGGACGGCGAGTGCTATGGACCGCGAGATGTACTCATCGCGGCTTCCCATGATATCTGGAGAGAACCCGGCTGCATATGCTAGAAAGGACGAGAAACAATAGATCAAAAATCGTGAACGGCCGACGGGGAAAGGGACAGGAGAGAATCGTTGGGTTTGTGTGCAATTTTGTTGTCAATTTCATGGAAACTTTGACACGATCCCTGCCTGTTGAAGCCACGCGAGCAAGTCAACAATGTGACGTCAAGGCCACTTCAGCCTTGTCGCCCCTGGAACGTGACGAGGCTGCGCTCCTACTGGGCCCCTGCCACTCAGGCTGCAGTCGACCATGGTCAAGCTTCAACATCGACGAGTTCTTACGAGTGTATTTTGACGCCTCGTGATTATGCATACTAGCAAGTACTGCAGGATGCAGACCGGAAGTCAATTTCTACATTTCGTAACTTGACCCTTATTGCAGCGGCCCGCCCCGGGAGTGACTGGTCTGCCCTCCTGCACGATACAGTCACGCCCTCCGAGTCTATCGCCAAGTTCATGGAGGATACATCGGATCGAGGCATTGTGATGCGGTGCTTTTCATGCCACATGTCACATAAGAGGGTCACATCTTGACTAGGACAGCAGGAAAGCCTTCAATTTCAAGATGTCCAGTCTGATCGGGTCCAGGCCCGCCTGATTGAGCACTATCCGAACTGTGAGCGATACTTCACAATGAAACGTCCGACTGCCAGTGTAAGTTAGGTACCTACATATGTATCTGGTATACAGCATTCAAGAAATCCAACATATGCTACTGTCTCCAGAACGATTCAACTTGAAGTTGAAGTCGGGATGCACAGCGAGTCAGAAGACACGCCTAACTTGATGCAGTAATTATCGGGGATTATCCACCTCGTAAATTTCGGCCACTAATCACTCTATTGCGGAGTACTACAATTGTATGTCTTGAACGGATCTCAATGACATTTCCATCTTCACAGTCTTGAAGCCCATTGCCAGCATCTGCTTTGTCCCTCCGCTTCCCGACTGCACAAAAACCAAAGCAGCTTTACGATAGTTTTTACGATAGTTTTCTTGCACCAGTCCATATCCTTTCCACCAACGCAGGGCCCTTCTTCCGACTCCAAAAGCTCAAGAGACCATCCTCGGTGTCTTCGCGATGAACACTAGAAATCCATTCGCAGTCTGCTCTTTACAGCGCTCAGTGCGCCATGCCCTCCTACACATACCTAGGGGCCCATCCTCCTCATCCCAGGCCAGTGGGATCCTCAGGAAAAGCATCCAATCCAGCATTCCCACCAGAACGTTAGGGACAAGCACATCCAAATCTACACAAACACCACTACGCAGCTCTAGATACCCAACATCCTCCACATCCAGGTCCATTTCCTCCTCAGTTCGAAGACACACTTCCACCGCAGCCGACTCCCCAGCATCCACCTCCAACCCCTCAAGAATCGTTCGCCCACTCGTCCCTCCGCCCAAAGAAGGCAGCGGCCCTCTCCTGTCCCGACGACCCGACCGCGCCCTCCCCGAACTCCCCCGCCGCAGCACATGGACCTATACACTACCCATCTTCCTGTTCCTAGTCGGCTTCTCCAGCGTCGCCATTTTCAACTACCAAAAATCATCCAGTTCGACCGTCAACGCGATCCTGTACGCCTTGCGGACCAACGAGCAGGCGCGGGCCTTGCTCGGCGACGAGGTCTACTTTGCTAGCAAAGTGCCCTGGATCCGGGGTGAATTGGCGCCCCTACAGGGCACGATCGACATTACTTTCTGGGTCAAGGGCACGAAGAACGAGGCGCAGGTGAAATTTGTTTCGATCCGCAAGAGGCGTGACGGCTACTTTGAGACGCTGGAGTGGAGTCTCAGAACGAAGGATGGGAAGGTGATTCATTTGTTGGATAAGGAGGGGTCGAATGATCCGATGGCGGGGACGAAGATATGATGATGAAGGCCCCTAAAAGGTGAAAGTCGGATGCAGCGGAGGGTTGCATTTTGCGTTTGTACAAAAGTGTAAGAAATGTCTGGATGCTACAGGTGTGCCGGTGATGGGGAGAGATTACAGTAGAAAAGAGGTGATTCGAAGGATATGAGAGGATAGTAGGGAAAACAAAAGCTGATCTGAGCCGAGCCGAGCAGAGCAGAAGCTGACCGGAGCATACATACGGGCACAGCTGGGCAGATCAGAATCCGCCGCACACTCCTCGACTACAGACACAGACTGTGAGACGCCCCTCGTGTCCTGCTTATACGGTATGGGAAAAAATTGCAGGGTTGATGCATAACATACCGTCTATGGCTGGGAGGCAATCTTTCTCCTGCGCTGCTTCTCCACCGAAGGCACCCCACAAAGCTGAATCTGATAAACCTCTGGAAGACATGGTCATGCCCAACATTGGAACGCTCATCCGTCGGCTACGACAGTTCTGGGCAATGCTGATTAGGATGCACATGTGCACTCGACGGACCGGAGAAAGGACACCCTAGAGTCAGAAATCGAGGAGTATATAAGACAGAATCTCCACATTGTATCAACACACAAAGTAAGACAAAGTTCCTATGCCCATCCTGCCCGCCGAAAGCGAGATGATATGAGATGAGACGTGCCCCAGTTTGGACAGTTCCTGTATTTTCTTTATATTATAGCCTCCTGATCAGCCATATAATTTATGCTCTTCTCTCGGCACAGCGTTCCAAGAAACCTATGTAGCAATGCCGCTTTTTGGAGATTCATGCTTAGTCTTCTGGCCTCACTTTCGAGCCTTTCGTATTGACACCAACGGATTGAGAAGAAGGCGACGAAACAGCTTTGCTGCCGCTGCCGCTACTCTTGGGCCTTTTGCCAATATTCCAACCCCAAGACCGAAGCGTCTTTACCACCTTCGGAGTAATCGCCGCGGTCAAAGGGACCCGAATAAAAATAAAGGACTTGTGAATGGCGTACGCAAGAGCCAATTGAGTCCATATACCTGTAGAGTAGAAAAATGGTCAGTCAACATTCATCATTTCTTCTTGATCGGCGCAGTCGAGGCGTGGGGAAAAGAAAGTCAAGTCAATACATACTCGCATTAGCCCCCGAATTCGCCTTTTCCGCCTCCTTGTAACCATGATCACTGACACCATCTAGACTCTGTTTCTCTTCCTCGAGGACTTTTTTATTTGTCGCCTTTTCAACAGCCTCTTTGTCCGCCTTTTCAACGGCATCATCAATCTCGGCCTGTGACGCCACCGGCCACTTCAGCAGCCCCTTGACGTAGGATACTACCACGTGTTCCCAATGGCCGATGCGGTCGGTTCCCAGCCAGCGCACGGCAAGAAAGCAAAATGGGAAATCGAGTGCCGTTAGCATCAAGTAGACACCTAGTGCGGACCAGCCGTATTCGCGGGACAATTTTTTCATGCGTTGGGAGAAGCTGAGTTTCTCTTCGGAGGCAGATCCAGATCCGCTGCTGGACGATGAGGAGTAGGACCGACGACTGTTGCCATTCCCATTGCTGCCACGAGATCCGCCGCTCTTGTTGGTCGAAGTAGGTGTTCGGCGCCGTTGTCGAAGAACTTGTGAAAAGGGACTTGTGGTGGAAGAGGATGTGAATTGTCGAGTTTGAGAGCGGCCGGAATAGGCTCGGAGAGAATTGGAATTAGAATTGGTCGAAGTAGACACCCTCTGAGAGGACTGGCATATCGATCTCGTGGCAGGTGTGCTAGTAGTTGTCCGAAGCGTTCTCTGCTGGCGCGACAGGTTTGCTCGGTGGGATTGGAGCTGCTGATGCAATGCTCGCCGTGCGTGCACTGGCAACGATGACATGCCACGAGGAGAGTGAAAAAGCTGCTCGAGAGCAGCAGCTAGAGTCTGGATGTGTGTTTGCGCACTGCGCGCCGGTAGGGACTGCATGCTATGTACTGTGCGCTTCTCCTGCAGTGCAATGCTGTATTGTTGCGGGTTGTGTTTTGAAGCGGACACAACACACTTCTGCTCAGGTTGCTTTGATTGAGCTGGAGCCGCGGGGAGCACTGCAGTCGGTGTCCAGAGCAGGTAGAGGATGCTAGTACAGTCGTGCCCTTCGCTCTGGACTACTATGTAGGAGTTATGTTCAAAGAAGTGTCAGACAACAGTGTTCGACAAAGTTCGATTTGGCAGGCTGCGCTGTATGGAGCCAGAAACATCACGGCCGATGTCATGGCTCATGGCCGGCCGGACTTTGCGCTTCCGGAGGCTCCGTGGATCCGGGCAATTAATTCCGTAGCCTTGTCATCATGCACTGCAGCCTTGCAACCCAGAGCCTTGTATTGTCAACAGGCTGCAGGTTGGCGCGGTAGCTACCTACTAGTACTGCCAGAAAATACCTGTTTGAAGAGAAATGCTTGTTCGAAGGGAATGGGCACAGGTCCGCAACCCGAAATATGATTCTTCATTCGGCGAAGAGCAGCAAAACGGTGAAGCTCATGCTTTGTAGACGATCGCAGTGCAGTACGTTCCTTACACAATAGTACTCGCCGACGTGGGTATAGTCGTCCCAACTATGAGCAGCTCTCTGGAGCTTCTCATTCCTTTCAACTGTGAAAACATACAACCTTCATAGTCCAGCGCCCATGCACAACAGCAAATGAATAGTGTTACCACTGTTCAACCCAGGACTGAATGCCAACATCAAATGCCACCCCAGTAAGCGTACTTCGGCGGTCTGCCAGGCCCCCTACCCCTACCCCTACCCCATACCCTTGCCTCTACCTCGTCCAGCACCACGGCCGACACTAGCACTTCCGCCATTGACAGCCGCCCAGCTCTGGCCGTGACCGTTACTCTGATGCGGAGCCGGTGCCGGTGCCCTTCTTGGCGGCGGTTCGTCGTCTGAATCGCTATCGACCCAAGCATCGGCCGACACCTTGACCGGTAGCGGTACCTTCGGGGTTACTCGGGTCGAATCGGGAGTTGACTGAGGACCGTTGTGCTGCTTCTGAATGGTGACCGAAATGACAGGCTTCGAAGCAGATGTTGATGCTGGGGCTGCCTTGGGAGCTGGCGGAGGAGAAGAAGATTGCCGAGCAGGTGCACCGTCATCATCTAAGAATGAGTCCTGAGACCATGCATCGTCCAGATCATCACTGCCATTTTCCATCCATTCGATGGCTGCCATTTTTGCCTTGCGGTTCGCCTGAGCCTCAGAAAGCGACTTCGGATCTGAGGTAGTAACTTGGGGAGGTTTCGCAGGCTGAGTCTTCCGCGGGGGTGGAGATTCCGAGGAGGGTGATGCAGGCCTTTTCGGGCCCTTCTCGCTTGCGGAATCTCGTGTCGTAGGGGCAGGCTTCTGTGTAACAGTCAAACTGGCGGTAGGTGCTGCCTGTGTTATTTCCAGTGCTGGATCCGGGCCAATCTCGACGGGTGGACTAGATGCTGAAACATTGTTCTCTGTTTCGTTGATAAAGTCCGACTCGCCCTCTGCGTCATCAGTGTCCATTTCCACATCAACCAAACGAACAACCTGCTGCTTCTCAACTTGCTTCTTCTGCGCTGGTTGCTCAGGTTCAACAACTTCATCAAACTCCTCTTCCGAAGGTTCTTCGTAATGCACATTTTGCAACCGAGTTTGTCGTCTGGTAATTTCGGCATCGGGAGGCGGTCGCGGAGCACCGTCCGCTCCTAGTCTGCGGCGGTCACGATAACGTCCTGGGGTAAAGTCGTCATCTTCATCCTGGTCCACAACATCCTCCTCAACGGTACGGCTTCTCTTAGGCGCCCCCTGAGGATTTCCTTCGGCCATGTTGAGAGCTTGAAGGTCAGAGCCGATGACCGGCGCCGGCGCATCCACTCCATTCAGAGCCTGCCGCGCTATACTGGCCATCTTCTCCATCTCTGCAAGTTTCTCTGGATTGACGGGTAATTTGACAATAAGCGACTTTTGTTGCTTCTTGGGTTTTGCTTTCTTGTACCCGTAAGGACGATCTCCTTCATCGACTTTGGTGCGCTTTCGCTTTCTTTCCACCATTTCTATCTCTCCTGCATCACCTTGAACAGCAGGAGCGTAACCCGACGGCAGAGGAGCCTCTTCTTCGACGGCAGGGACGATAGCCCGGTCGCTCTCGGGATCGGGATAATCGTATGTAATGGCTTCGGTCGGGTCGTATGCGTGGGCCTGGTCTCGAAGGACACCACCCGCTGGCACCACAAACTGCGGCTCCAGAGTATTTACCATGACCAGGTCCTCTGGTATCTTTGCTCCTTCTGGGTTTTCGTCAAATTCATCATCATCATCCTCATCAGCGGCGGAACCGTTAGTCATGAGCGACATGTCGCCCAAGGCTGGGTCAATGGGGATGCCCTCGTGTTCAGCCAAGCGAAGAATACCATCTTCTATTCCGTCGTCTCTCTCCGTTTCGCCATCGACATAATCATCGCCCAATTCGAGATTACTGTCTTTTGCAGCAGCGGCCTCCTTCCTGCGTTGGTTCAGGCGGCGAGTATCGGCCCCATTATCATCGCCAGCCTTTTGGATCCATCCCAGATTAGAATAACTGAAGTCGACCAAGCTCTCCACGGATCGAGGATCAGCCACTGCCTTGGTATTGTGACCGACGAAAGTCGAGGATGGGGTGTATGGCTTGTACGCGTCACCTAGCCTCGAGCGGCAAGGCCGACACCCACAGATGTTCCGACAGCTTGGGCATTGCCACTCCGGGTCGGCCAGGATATCTTGTGGCATCATGTCATATGCCCGGAACAGAGTGCCATAGCAGTAATTCTTGCCGCAGTTGGTGCATGTGGCCTGTTTCCATTTGGGTTCGAAATGGAAATCGATGTGGCATCGCGCATGCTCCCGTTCAAACTTCTCGGATCTCGTTACCCGTTTGCGTGTCTGTCCCTTTGCATCGACAAAAGTTTCATAGCGTTTTTCTTCTTGAACAGGCGGCTGAGGATTATGAATATCGTGGAACGGCCGACGTGTCAGCTCCAGCTGACAAATTTGTGCAAGTGTTCGCCGCTTACCCAGTCGGTTGAGCTCTGTTTTGAGTGACACAGGTGACCGCTCAGTCACTTTGCCCTCGTACTGGAGGATCTGATGGCGCCATTGTTCATGCTTCTGGACCAGATCGCTCCATGACCATTGTTCAACCCATCTCAAGTGGGAGATGCATGCGCAGCTTCGGCCCATGGCATAACATTCCAAACAGACATCGTAGGTATCTTCCTCACCATTGGGCAAGGTCTCCACGCAGTTTGGGCAAGTGAGAAACCTGTTAAAGATGTTGCATCGACAATACGAACAGGTAATGTTGCTGTCATAAGTCAACTTCTCCACATCCTTCTCCGGACGATCAGGCAGGAAGCTTTCAGAAACCAAGATCTCCGTGAACAGATGGTGCAATCTCCGGAAATCCTTTTCCAATTGGCGAACTTTCGTGTCACTCTGCGGCTTGCGCTCCGATCTTGCGGCTCTCTGTCTGAACTTCTCGGCCAACTTGAGAAGTTTGGAGTATTTCTGCATCGTGTAGTAGACGATGGCTTTGTTCTTGTACTGTTCGTCGCGACAAACCAATCTTGCCCGAGGTAGTGCTTCATGTAACGCCAACTCGAGTGTTTCCACAGTGGTCCGGTTCCAGGCCACCTTCATCGTTCTAGTGCCTCGATTCCAGACCTGATGTGGGGCGAGCGGCGGGATGAGGATGAAATCACCAGGCTTTTGTTCAACGACATATGTCTTGAATGGCGCGTTCTTCCACGCATTGATCTGGGCGAAATGGTTCTCGAGTTCGATGTCATGGCCCAGCCGAGAGAGCCAGTATTCGGAAACGACTTCCCTTTCTTTGCTTTCTGTCATGAACCAAATCGAGGACCCGGGCTTCGTTGGTTTTCCGTCCTCCACTTTTCCAGTGGAGGCTTCCACCATGATGTTCTGACCCAGGCTGGCACACATTTCACGATGTGCAGGGGTATACGTTCCCTCATGGCCGATATAGCACATCAAGTTCTCGGCGCGCATCTCCTTTGGTAAACTGCTCATCAAGTCACCCGCTTTGGCGATTCCCCTACCCTTCCTCATGCCCGGCCGGATCGGATCGTTTTCTTCTACGGCACCAAACCCGCCAATATCTCCCGTAGACTCATTGAGATAGAACAGGGCCGGGGGGATAATTTCCGAAAGTTTGTCGTGCCATAATTGCGGACAATCAATGTCTTTCAAGTACATTCTCTGACGATTAGGATCTTTGTAGTTCTGGGGCGTCCACTGATTTGTGAGGAGGGCCATATTGTTCAAGTAGTGAGCGATGGACAGAGGTACGTTGGTCTTCTTCGTAAGATCTCGCGCATGTTCGACTACATTCATCATCAGTGAAAGCCTTTAAGATCCAAGAGCCTGCCTTCCTACCTTTTGTCCCACAATTGTCCCGCAACCATTGAAGCGCAAAAGTCCAGCGATCCAGACGGGATTCGTAGCCTTCAATCACGAGCGGCTTCCCACCGAGAATGACATGAATCAAGACCAACTTCTCAAAATTCTCCAAGCCTTGATGATCTATCATGTCGCAGTGTATGCGCACCACCCATTCGAAGTTCGGCGTCGATTCGACAAGCGCTTTCAGATCGAAATCGGGCGAAATCGGCTCAAAGGCCGCGCGAGGGCGCGCTGACGGCATGATGGACGATCACAGCAGCCCTGCTCTCTCCTCAGTCGTCGCACGAAATCCTCTTTCTTAGATGTGTCCTTGAGAAGTGTCTCATCCTTGGTAAGGTAATGGCGGGTTACAGGCGAGTGCGGACGAGTGCTTTGGAAGGAATTGCGGGAGAGCTGCGACACCTTCGCAAGTTGATGTGGAAGGAGGAGCGGAGACTACGGAGAAGGCTGAGCGGGCGTCGGTCGTGGTGAATACAACAGACGTGGCGGAGACTGGAGACTCAAGTAAAGGCGCAAAGATCGCAAGTGAAAGTGAAATGCAGTTTCGCGACGCGATCTCGACTTGAGCGGAGCCGAGCCAGTCTAGTCCCAGAGTGGAAATCTCGGGGTTGGCGGAAAATGTTTGACGGGGAATTGAATCGGTTTGAATGTACATACAGTATCTCTTATGTATGATGCTTCACTGCCAGGCCAGCTGGTACAGCTAATATACCAAAAAGTGCAATAAAAGACAAAGACTCGAAGTTGTGCATCGGGCGTTGAATCAAGTCGCCGCAATGCACAAGCTGTGAGGCTACAAGTTCCCTAACAACTCCTGACCACCTCAGCCTTGCCGATTACAGCCACACCCGAGTTGGGTGCACACCTCTCCGATCCATGAAGATGAATTACAACTCAAGAGCTCTATGGAGCAGATATCGTCATGTCAGTGACTACATCTCATGTTCCAAAAGCCCCAAAACGATACAATGGAGGCGGATGACCAATCATACGTCGAAATATACCCGGTCATGTCAGCCTCCTCAACGCGCTCTTCAAGCGAACACATATCTTCCAGCGTCAGCGCGGTATCTAGCAACATCATCAACAGCTACAGCAACGTTAACGTCGACTCAATCACAGCAGGATCTACCTGCCGTGTACAAGCCTCCCACCACCGGCATCATCTCACGGCTGCCTTCTTCATGGATCCCCTACGCTGAGCTAATCCGCCTGGATAAACCTGCCGGCACATACTATTTGTTCTTCCCATGCATGTTCTCGACACTACTAGCCGCGCCAATGGCAGTACCAATGGCGACACCGCTCGAAGTGGTATCTACAACAACTCTATTCTTCGCCGGCGCCCTGATCATGCGCGGAGCCGGCTGCACTATTAACGACCTATGGGACCGCAACCTAGATCCTTTCGTTGAACGGACACGTCTACGACCGATTGCCCGGAAAGCCGTATCTGTCCAGAATGCAGTGATTTATCTGGGCGCCCAGTTGGTTGCCGGGTTGGCTATTTTACTACAATTTCCCCTGCCATGTTTATACTATGGCGTGCCCAGTCTGCTGCTGGTCACCACATACCCTCTGGCGAAACGAGTGACGCACTATCCGCAGTTCGTCCTCGGGTTGACTTTCTCCTGGGGTGCCATCATGGGTTTTCCCGCACTAGGAATAGATCTCTTGTCCGACCCTTCGGCACTGGCGGCCGCTACCGCGCTGTATTCCAGCTGCGTGGCTTGGACGCTGGTGTACGATATGATATATGCGTACATGGACATCAAGGACGACGCCAAAGTAGGCATCAAATCCATCGCGCAAGCACACGAGCACAACGCAAAGACTGCGCTCTCCGTCTTTTCGGCGGTCCAGGTAGGGCTGCTCGCGACGGCAGGATATTTCGCTGGTGCCGGTCCCATCTTCTTCGTTGGGAGTTGCGGGGGCGCGGTATTGACGTTGGGCACCATGATCCGGCGGGTGAACCTCAAAGACGTCAAGGATTGTTGGTGGTGGTTCAGGAACGGCGCCTGGCTGACTGGAGGAACCATCTCTCTCGGCCTGCTGGGTGACTATCTCTACCGTCGTTCTAACAAGGACGAATAGCAGGTCTGACCCCCTGTGTACCATTATAATACGCATCCGCGGCGCTCTCCAAGGGATGTAGAACTGAACGGCAATCGCTGGACCATTTGTTCTCTTTCAGGTTGTGTTTTGTGCAGGAGTCCGAAGCTCCAAATAACTCTCAATATATTCAACAATCAATTTCCAATCCATCATAGCACCATCACCTACGTCGCCACAAGCCAGCTCTTTCTCCATAGGCCTTAGAACCGTGACCCATCCTTCGTCTCCGGACCCCCAGTCCTGTTCGAGAACTTTGATCTGTCTCTTGGTTATGGGATGCCTCCACATGGCGGTATTCATGGCCGGGGCCACGAAGATCCTTTTCTTCTGCATGTCCACAAGCCCAGTCGTATCCCACGCCCTGATGACGCTGAGTAGTAACCCATCACTGAGCCCGTTGACCATTTTGGCCAGCGAGTTGGCCGACATGGGCGCCACAAGCAATACATGCGCCCACCGCCTCAGCTCGATATGTAGGATCTTGTCCCCGCGGACCCAGGGCTTAGACCATTCCTCATCATCGTGATGTATCCCGTCAACATGTGGTAGATCCAACAAAGTCTGGAGAGGAGGCTGCTCGGCCGATTGGCCCTGGAGGAACTCTTCCGCCGAACGAGTCAGGACAATGCGAATCGAAACGTTCTCGTGCCGGGACAATGCAGCCGCGATCTGGGGGATTTTGATCGTCGCCACAGACCCGCTGGCTGCGAGGAGGATGTGATGTTTCCCGTCGTTTGCGTGCGCGGCGGCGGAGAATCTCTGTGTCGAGGCCATAGTGTTCGGTTGCTGTCTTTGTGGTGCGAAGAACCCAAGTCGTTCACGTCTTGCTTGTCACAGTCCGAGAGGTGTCTCTTGAAACTATGGAGTCACCTCCATCACGCATTGAGAAAGGACACGAAGGGACAGTAAGCCATATACTAGTACATGTACTTACAAATCGCTGGCTTGAGTCCGTACGTGGGGAAGTATGTATATACCTCGTATCTTCATGTGTAAGCCGAAAGGCGAAAGCGAAACAGCGAACGGCAATTTGTCAACATTTTGACATCATCTCGGCGGATTATTTTGCTGCCACTGGCATTCCATTATTGCATCTCCGCCACCGATTCTGTGTAAAGATCATCATCGACTACACTCACACACCACTATAACCACTCGCATCCGACTCCCACTTCCCTCGCTCAGTTTTCAGTGGTCTCCTTTGATCCTAATACTCAGACATGTTCCAAAGGACACTACGGGCTCCTGTAAGTCTCTCGGAGACACTCTCAAACACACCGGCTGACAATGCTCCCACCAGGCCTTCCGCGGAGCCCTCGCCGCCCTCCGCCCAACCTCGACCTCATACACACTCCTGCCTCGGATCGGCGCATCTCTATCACAGACGAGACTGCTATCCGATGAAGTGCGCCATGCGATAGACCGAGCCGTGGCCTCGGCGCCCGTCGTGCTGTTCATGAAAGGCACGCCCGAGACACCACAGTGTGGATTCAGTCGGACATCGATCCAGATTTTGGGTCTGCAGGGAGTCGACCCGAGGAAGTTTACGGCCTTTAATGTTCTAGAGGATGAAGAGCTGAGAAGTGGTACGTGGGCACACAAACAATACACAAAATCTATGATCCAACCCGCCTTACATTCTACTAACACCATGGACTGCAGGAATCAAAGAATACTCCGACTGGCCCACGATTCCACAACTCTACGTCGACGGCGAGTTCGTTGGCGGCTGCGACATCCTCATCAACATGCACAAGGACGGCAGTCTGGCGAAATTGTTGTCCGAGAAGAAAGTCTTGGTCGAAGAGGAAGGAGAAGAAGCAGGAGACGCCGAACCCGCAACTCAAGATGTAGAGGGCCAAAAGGCCGAGGAGGTCCGCGCAACTACGGAGCAAAGTACCGGCGGAAGATCGAAGGATGCAAAGGGCGAGAGTTCGTGAACGTGGAAGTGAAAGATGTCCAAGTGTCATACTATTTCAATGTCACACACTGCTACCGTGACCTACCGATTCGGAACGGTTGTAGTAAAGTAAAAATTGACGAGGCAAGAAAGAATTGGGCTCAGCGTTGCCCGTTCAGGTTCGACGGCGCAACTGAAAGGGGCCCTGGAGAGAGAGTCACAGCATACACTACAGGGTCTGTCAAGATCTCTCTGAGCCATATCATTGTGAAACCGAATGTACCAGAAAGGGCGGTCTTAGAACAGGACTGCCGAATGTACAAAAAGACGATTTGATGCTTGATATGACTGTATAGGTACTTTCATCCGAACCATCATTTCCTTTTCCCGCTGCATTTCCATAAGCGTCTCAATCCATACATATATCCATTCCTCACGTCGAAGCATATATGTACAGTAGTACACCACCCTTAACCTCTCATCCCCTCTTCTTCCTCGACAACCACCCCCCACTCATGACTCACTCTACCATACATGATATCCTTCAAAGCATTCTTAATCCCCAAAGCAAACTCCGCCTCGACCCCTTTTCCCAAAGGCAAAACGAGATCGACGCCTCTGAAATGGATATCCGAGCAGGGAGCAATGAAAAACGCTGTGCCCGCACCAAATGCCTCCAACAATCTGCCCTCGCGATCCGCCTCCAGGAGGTCATGCATGGTGAACTTGCGCTCGACGACCTCAATGTCCGGTCTAGTCTGGCGGACGAGATCCAGCACGCTTGCACGCGTGACGCCTTCCAAGATGACGCCGTCGCCCAGCGGAGCCGTCACAAGTTGTAGACGCCCGTCGTTGGGCGCTTTCATCAGCACAAAGAAATTACTCCCACCGGCTTCGGTGACGAAACATTCTTCGCCAAACAACCACAGGATCTGGTCGTAGCCGCGCGAGCGGGCTTCACCCTGGGCAGCCAGTGAAGGTCCGTAGTTGGCTCCGACTTTGGCGTTGCCGAAGCCGCCGGGCCAGGCGCGGATCATGTCGTGGCGAGAGGCGAGGAGTCGCATTCCTGCTTTCTTTTGTGCTTCTGGCTTCTCATTCTCTGGTGCTGCTATATCCAAACCTTTCGAGGGCGACGGAACGTTCACAGAAGGCTCGTCGAGAGGCGGGAACATGACCATCATAATGTACAAAAGTGCTTCACGCGGCTTTTGTACCCCCAGCGCGGGCGCGGTGGCGATCATCGTAGGCCGGATGTAGATGAATTGTCCTGGCTCAGCGATCCATTTGGGCGCTTCCACCCCAACAAACTTTTTGAGTAACTTCAAAAATTCGGCCGGTGGGAATCCAGGAAGTGAGATTCGAGTTGCTGACTGTAGGAACCGGCGGGCGTTACGGTCTGGACGGAACAATCGGACCTTGCCGTCAACGCCTCTGTACGCTTTCATGCCTTCGAAACATTCGGTGGCGTAGTGCAACACCGACGCGGTGGGCATGATGGAAAGCGGGCCATAAGGCCGAATCTCAGGGGCTTCCCAACCCGATTGTTCGGTCCATCGAGCTGTCAACATGTGATCTGTCGTGTAGTTCTGACTCCATACTTCCGGCGAGTTTGGGGCCGGGACGCTCTTGGGGTTCAAATTGGGAGTGAAAGTGAGTCTCGAGGCATCAAGATCGGCAACCGCTGGTGACTCGTTTGAGATGGTCTTGGATAGAATGGATTCAACGCCAGCCTTCGTCAAATTGGATGTCACATCCAGGATTGGCGAAGGGGGAGAGACAGGAGTGACGGCGACGGGAGCCATTGAGCAAACAGGCAAAGAGATCTTGGGTAACTGCTATGTAAAATCAATCGATTCCAGGCACGAGCAGCAGGATACAACAAGAAATAATGGAAGTCAAGATCAGGAGGTCAATCCTCAAAACATGGCCCACCCACCTACCGTGACTCATTTGTAGTTCATGAAGGAAACCCCAAAGCAACTGATGGCGGTCCGTGGACTCCATCAACAACGGCTGAGGGTTACCTCGAAGGAGTCCGAAGGATCGCCTGTGGGACAAAGCTTGTACCCTTTGCAGGCCAGTTGCCAAGTACTCCTTGGCCAGTAAGCAAGGGTCTCGACGGCTGGAGCCCGGGAATCCGACTCAAATATGCGCGCCTTTCCATGTACATGATCATATCAGCCTGCATAGGTGGGTTGGCACCGGCGGCAGCGAAAGGCAAACAGAATTTGCGAGGAATGACGTGTCGTAGGGATGTTTGGAGCGTCTCGAAAGAGCATGTTTTGGTCTTTCGACGGATAACAGAGTAAAGACCATAGCAAATGTTGATGTTCGAATCAAAAGACAGTCGCAGAGGGAAGGCTTTGCGGAAAGAAAAAGGCTGAAGCGTGGCGTTGATAGGAGCGGTTGTTGACGGCTGAACACGGTTATTGACCAGGTGTTGGTAAACAGCAGTCATATTTTCTCCGCCTTCATCTTGAACCACTTTCAAGATTCTCTTGTCTCGCAACGAACTCGGCGCTCGCACAGTGTATCATTGGCCATGGACACCGCGGCTGAGCACTCACTATGGCCCTGAACGTCCGCCTTGATCCAGCTGGATCGGCCAAGATTTGACTCCCTCAGAGCGCGGCCAGCATTTCGATGTGCAGGGTAAGGCTCTTGAAGAGCTTGTTCTTCTGGATATTATATTGCTGTGAACAGAACTTAGGATCCCTGGCTCTAGCAGAAAGCACACAGTCACTTACCTGTTGCAGCTCTGTCATTAAATTCTTCGTTTTGGAGGTGATTTCGGCCATATTCGCTTCACACCCTTTCAGACCCTCTTCTAGCAATGCGTACTCGTCGGATGCTGTATTTCCATGAGCACCATGGACATGATTGAGCGCTTTTTGCAGCCTTTCCTTCTGGCCTGGCTTCAAATCTTCATCTCGAGTTTGAGCAAAGCTAATGGAGTCTTGACCATAAACGTCTGCTGCTAAAGTGATGAGCTGAAACTGCACGTCTTCCCACTCTTCCCAAAGTTTGCACAGCGTCGCCTCCTTCTCTACGCGGCATTTTCGAAACTCTTCGATGCGATCGAGGAGTAGAACTTCCTCTGCCACACTATGTCCTACATTCTCAGGGTTGGGGCTTCGCTGTACTTTCAAGATCTCTGCGTCAAATGGCCTCTGTAGAGGCTCCTCAATGGAAGTAAGGCGTCTCAAGTGATCTTCAAACTTTTTGGTAAGGTCTTCCACGCCCGCTGTCAAGTCTTTTTGAACGTCTTCGAGATCGCGATGGACTTGCCCGTGGACTGTTTCTCGATAATGCTCAAGGCTTGCTGCGGATGGTTAGATCTAGCCGAAGCATCACACCGTGGAAGGTCTTGCCATAGAAATTGTCAGCAAGAATCGAGCCCGCTGTCGGGTCTTTGGCCATGCTCTCCCTGTTCTTGGGTGCTTGAGTTGTGGACCGGCCGCCAGCGTCACGAGTATGTCGTGCTTTGGTGATGGACGTTCGTTCGGGCGTAACGGTGTGGCCAGTATCTCCACGAGAGCGAAGGAAATGGGTTCTGCTCAAGGGGAGGCGGTACTCTGGGCCTGTCCTATCCATGGGGGCAGCGTTGGGGGATAGACAAATTTCAAGCCACAGAGAGAAATTGGGGTTCCTTGTCTGCGGCAGTGGGTGCACAGTGTGTTGGTGTAGGAAACAAGCAGATAGTGGCAGGACCTGAGGCAAGCGCTGCATTTCCATCAACTACTATTACTGCTACCGTACACCCGTTCTTCAACGCGCACAGAGGAAATGAAAGACATTGACATTCAGCGTGGAAGCCGCTTGTACTGCATTCATCTCATTACTAGCAGCTCAGAGATCAATGCTCTCGCTCTTGATCTCTCAAGGACTATAGCCGTGAGCCCAGTCTCAACGCACGTTGACTTCCTCAAATAATGGCTGTGCCTTTGCAGCCTCAGGGAATGAGCCTCTGGGCCTGATCCGACCGCTCTAAGCAAGTTAGCAATCTAGTGATGGAGCTCGACAGATGCAAATTAAGGGCAATACCGTCGTTGACAATAGTACTGCCCTTTCTTTGTGATCACAAGCTGGAGTTGGGTTGACTTTATGTACCACTAGTACTGCTGTACCTGCGTAGGGAGCCTTAAAGCAGCATGCTCTGTAGGCTCGGAAATTCCCCCGGAGCATGCTTAGCGGCGCGAGGTGTTTCTTGACGTGCAGTAATTGATAGTGAGCCTCGCACGTGCACTGCTCTTCCCTGCAGTCACAGCTCGAGGCTGCAGCTCGCTTCCGTCGTCGACGCGCAGCTCCATCATCGACTCGATGCGGGGACCATTTTATGATCTTGACGGATCAACACCAACATCGACCTGCTTTCCGCCTCACCACGCACCGCACTGGGGATCGTCTACCCCCTGATCTCATTCCTTCCCTTTCCCCTATGACTTAGCACCGGTGTCTTATTCTTTGCAATGGCAAGGTTGTCCAATCCCTTCGCATTCACTCGCTGGCCGGTCACCATCATCGTCAGCATCGTCTACCTTGCCGTGCTTGCTACTCTCCTCGTCATACACACAGGTGTTCCATCTCCTCCCAGATCAGCAGCCCCCATCCATGGCGTCAACCTAACAGAGGCGTGGCACGATCTGCAGCTGCTCACCTCATCCTACCACCCCTACAACAGCCACCGCAATGATCGAGTCCATGCATGGCTGCTTGAGCGCATCACAGCCATCTTGAAAGACAATTCAGTTGCTCCGGTCGACGCTACCGACACCCCTGCGGCATACGTCTTCGACGATACCACCTCGAATTTGACGTACTCTTCAGGCGGTGGGGCAGTCTCTTCCGCAGGGATCAGTGTCTATTTCGAGGGCAGCAATCTTATCGTATACATCCCAGGCACAGAAGATGATACAAAGAAATGGTGGGAGGATTCCAATGGAAAACCATCCAAGAGAAACGCCGTCTTGGTCAACGCCCATTATGATAGTGTCTCTACTGGTTTCGGCGCAACCGACGATGGCGTCGGCGTCATTTCCATTCTGCAGCTGATCAAATATTTCAGCACCCCTGGGAACAAACCACAGAATGGAGTGGTACTCCTCCTGAACAATGGGGAAGAAGACTTCTTGAACGGCGCCAGTGTGTTCGGTCAACACCCTATCTCCCGCGTGGTCAGCACATTCTTAAACCTCGAGGGTGCCGGTGCTGGCGGTCGAGCAGCCTTGTTCAGGAGTACAGACGATGCTGTAACGAGGGCATATGCCCATTCAAAGTATCCTTTTGGATCATCTGCCTCTGCCGATGGGTTCAACAAAGGCCTCGTTCGCAGTCAAACGGACTACGTCATATTCAACGGCAAGCTGGGCTACCGTGGATTGGACGTTGCTTTTATCGGACCGAGGGCGCGCTACCACACCGACCAGGACGATGCGAGACATACGGGCAAAGCTTCATTGTGGCACATGCTTTCTGCAGCCGTCGCTACGACCGAGGCCTTGACTACCGCCTCTTTGACGACAAATCTGCAACCAGGCAACACACCAGGAAGCCCTGCCTTGTGGTTCGACGTCTTTGGTCGCGCTTTTGCCGTATTGAAGGCACACACCTTTTTCGCCCTGTCTGTTACTCTCCTGGTGGTTGGACCTATACTGCTACTTGCTACCCTAGCGTTGTTATACCGGGTGGACAAGTTCTATCTTTGGTCAGCGTCCCGGCCTTATCATACGCCCGACAATGACGACGAGATACGGCTGTATGGTTGGCGTGGATTCTTCCGGTTTCCCTTGATTTTTCTGGTGGCTTGTGCCACTCCAATCGCCCTTGCATTTCTCCTGGCCAAGGAAAACCAATACATTGCGCATAGTAGTGAATGGGCAGTGTGGAGCATGATGATTTCGTCGTTCGTCTTTGTGGCATGGTTCTTTTGCCGCGCAGCCGACTTCAGCCGCCCTTCCTCGCTCACTCGGGCCTATGGTCTCTCCTGGATGTGGGCTGGCTGGTGGTCGCTCTTGGTGGTTGCCACCGTCTTTGAGGAACAGTTCCACTTGGTTGGTACATATTTCGTCCTCATCTACGCAGCCTCTGTATGGCTTGCCACGTGGCTTTCCTACCTAGAGCTTTTCTCTCTTCCGAAAAAGTCCACTTACTGCCGCGGCAAGTTTGGAGACGACTATCTATCATCGCGGTCGCGAAGTAATTCGAGGCCCCCGGCACAAGCGTCCGCTTCCGGGCAGGAAGATAATGGCGAGGAGGCCGCAGATGAAGACGATGAGCCTACGGAAAGATCCAGTCTTCTGCGAAGTCGCGGCCGCTCAACATTCAAGGGATATCAAGCAGAGTCAGATCAGCAGAGCACTGTTGTTTCTGTCAAAGATGAAAAAGACACCAGTTATGAAGAGCAAGAATGGAGTAAGTCGCAGTGGACCTGGTTGTGGATCATCCAGATGATTATTCTGGTGCCCATCAACCTCATTATCGTGGCCCAGTTCGCGCTCCTGATGACGGAGGCCTTACACCAGACGGGCCAAGACGGCAGTTCGATGTTGATGGTGTACGCCATGATTGCTGCCTGTACGATATTGCTTTTCAGCCCGATGGTGCCGATTCTACACCGATTCACCTGGCACATACCGATCTTCCTCCTTTTGGTCCTGGTCGCGACCACCATTTACAACTTGATCGCCTTCCCCTTCAGCCCTGAGAATCGAGTGAAACTGTTTTTCCAGCAACAGGTTGATCTCGAGGGCGGTAACAACACGGTGTCATTGCAAGGCGTCACGCCTTACTTGCGACAGGCTATTGCCAGCCTACCCAGTAGTGCGGGACAAGAGCTGGCATGCGTCAAGACTGAGTTGTCGGACCGGTTAGAGAAATGCTCATGGACGGGAATCCCGCCCAACGTTGGCAACCCATTCTCCAGAACACCGCCGGAGCAACAATACAAAGGCTGGCTGAGCTTCAACGTCACCCGTCTCAATGGCAGTGACAGTGAGAATAAGGCGCGCTTTGTGCTGTACGGCAAGAACACCAGAGCATGCAGAATCTACTTCGATTCTCCCATTAGTGCCTTCCAAGTCGAGGGCCAGGCACCGCGGGACAAACGCTTTATTCCTGTGCCGGACGGCGGAAGTCGGGAAATCCGTCTGTGGTCGAGAACATGGGATCGCGCTTGGACGGTCGATGTTTCATGGGATGATCCTTCTGCAGGAGACGATTCGGAGGAAGAGATGGATGCCAGCCCGAAGAAACATTCAATCACCCCTCTGCATGGCAAGGTCGCGTGTGAATGGAGCGATGCCAATCAGGTTGGCGTGATCCCCGCCTTCGATGAGGCTATGCATTATGTTCCGGACTGGGTGGCTATTTCGAAGATGGCAGATGGCTTGGTGGAAGGATACAAGAAATTCCAGATTTGATGACGCGGAAGAGGGAGATTCTCAGAAGCAAAACACAAATGGGGATCTAATGGACGAACGCGTTTAATTGGCACACTTGTATTGGAGTCATGCATTTCATCGGCCTAGGCATGTTCCTCGATTAGAGGACGAGGTTCTTGGAGCAGTCGTGTGTTCGGCAGTGCGTATTGTATTGAGCACACGCACGCGCGTACTAATATCGTGACTCGTGGTTGTCAGGAGTTAGAGAGAGAATGAATGCGGCACGATACCTGCCTTGCCTTGCCTAACCTACATGCATGTTACTGGTACTCACTCGTACACGACCAAAACTATTCGTTCTTCCAATCCGCCCCTGTCTCAATAGGCGGGATTACGTCCGCTCCCTGTCTACAACACCAGGACTCCTTATGTGTTGGTTGCAACGTGGAGGTTCTTGAAGAGCCCAGAGGACGTAGGTAGATACCTGAGTGCCTATCAGTACCCACTGTAGGTATGTATTTGTCCAACTGACAGGCCGCCAAACAAGAGCGATCGGGAGCACCCAACGACTGGTACTATTCCAAAGCCTATAGTAGGACCACAGCGAGCGGGATGATTGGTATGGACTGGACGGATGATTCCATCACCATCACCATCACCATAACCATCATCACCGACTCAATCAATGAATGGCCGCATCTTCCTCGCGCTTGTTGGAAGTTTTGAAAAACGACTTTCCAAAACGACTTTTTCTCTTCTTTGAATCTGTACCAGCAGCAAAAAAAGGATCATCGCTCTGCTTCTGCTTCTGCTCCTGCTGCTCCTGCTCCTCCCAGACAGCCTGAGGCTCTTTGGGGTTCGAAGAAGAAGATGATATCTCGTTCTTCCAATCACCCACTCCTGCTCCTTCTCCATCTCGATGGTTACGACGGAACTTGACCAAATCGTCTCCGTGCAAAATACAATCTTTGGCCGGTTCTTCGGAGCCGATATACCGTCCCGCTTCATCCTTCGCATAGTGCGCGAGATACTCACGTCGTGGGATGCGACGCATGATGAAATTGTCGCTGCTGCTGGAGGAGTTATGTGATTTGCGACGGAAAAAGGAACGCCTCCCAGTAGTCATGGTCTTGGTTTCAGCTCCTCCCCCAGGGGGGCTGCCTCCTTCTCCCGAGGCCACTCCTACTTGGTGGTGGCGACCGACATCTTCTGGTCTTAGGACGGGAACCGAGATGAGCGAGTCATCGGTAAACTTCATCGGTAACAAGTTCGCGGGGCCGGCGCCATATGACTCGACGGATGCCATTGCGTCCATGGCAGACCCTGACTTTCCAGGCTTGTTGTGTGACGGTGAGTAAGGCTGGCCAGTTGCCGTCGTGAACGACTGCATCGCTGGTGGGGGAACGTCTGGAAAGGAGGCCATGGTCTCAGTTAGATTTTCCAAAGGTGGTTTGGTTACTGTGTAGTAATGTTGTTCGCTAATCAGCCCTCATGGTGAAGTGCGACGTGTTTGTTATATGATATGCCTCTCTTCACCAGGCATGTGCAGTAGTATGTGGCTGTGTCGAGGGACGGTCCCTTAGCCTGATTGTAAATTTCGAGAGCCTGAGGTCAGGAGGTACGACCCCAGAGACGTGACCCATTTTTAGATCTCGCTTGAGCTTCCAGAAGCCGAAGCTGGGGGCATCGAAAGTCCCGTCGATCGCGGTGGTTTCTTTTTTTGGGGTCGTCGCGGGGAAGTGGGATTGACCAACCAAAACTGCCGTCGAGCAAGTTATTAAACTTCCACGCCGACCTCACTGGTGCTTGCGCCGACCAGAATTGAGGTATTATTGCCCCAGACCTTGGTTATAACGAGTCGCGGGTTGAGGGTCCGCACGATCGTCCTCGCCAGGTGCCGCGCAGTGGCGGAGATCGGTATCCTGTGCGGTATGACGTGCGCGCTCGAGTCTGTACGAATTATGATTCGTGTTACAGTTCTCTGATAGATGGCCACTTGGCATGACTTCGCGGCGCTTTCGTGAGTAAACCGCAGTAAGCCGCTCCTCGTGGACGTGGGAGATCGTCGATGCCAGGAACAAAACACATTGGCAGTTGGTGCAGCATGTGCTGGTTCAACCCTGCTCGCGCAATTTGGCCAGTGCAGCCATGACGCCCTCGCTCAGCTCCGGCTCTTTTCTGGTCACAGCCTGAGCAGCTTTTGGTTTCTCAGCATCGGTCATCTTGGTTTCTTCCTCGGCAAGTGCCAGCAATGCGGCCTCTTCGTCGGTTTCGAAATTATCAACGTGCACAGCCTCTAGACGGGGCCGTTTTTGGCTTGGCCCAGCTTCTTCAGCTGCATCCTTGGAGGTGACTACAACGTTTGAGCCTTGCCTGCTGACGGTAGAGACTCTGCCGATTGGGATGGGCGTATGCGCACCACCGTCCGACCTCTCCGCAGGGGTGTTCGTGCCACTGCCATCCGAACCGCCCAAGGTGCTTTCTTCTCTTAACAGGGCGGCGCTTGATTTTGCAGCCCTTCTCACACGGAATGGTTCACGGACTGTAGTCACCCAGGCCCTTATCTTCTTTTCACCCCAACCAGGCACCAGAGCCAGCTCTTCTGGTTGGGCATTGATCGCGTTTCGGAGCGAACCGAAATTGGAGATCAAACTCGCGGCATCCGTCTTGTTGATGTTCCGAGGCGTCGTGACGAATTCGGTCAAACTCTCTTGATACGTTTCGGCCTGGTGGGCCCGGATCGAGGCGGCCGACGCATGCTCGTACGACTTGTAGAGTTCTAGATAGCGACCCGCTTCCTGGGACGACCAACACAGGATAAGCGTGAGATTGTTGATCATGGACGTCTTTGACAACTCCTTGAGAGCCTCTTCATGGTTCGTGATGTCGACCATGGTCAGCAGAATCCGGAGGTTGTAAAGTTTGCCCAGCTGCCGGATTCGACCGTAGATGTACTCCGGGTGCAGACGATGGTACTTTAGTGAAAGGAAAAGCGCGCACGTCGTGGCTCCCAAGACATAGTCGCAAGGTATCTCAGCCCATTCCCACGGGACTGAAGTGACATGTTTGAGAATCGGATTGCCCTTTTGCCGCGTGGAGACCAGGATGGCTGAAGGGCCCTGTCTTTGAGGCAACGCCTGCGGCCGCGGCTGTACTACTTTGGACGCGCCGCCAGTTGCAGTACTTGTATTCGGGGTGGCTGCTCGCGTAGGCTGCGCCGGCCGTTGAGCAGCTGCCTCCGCTGCGAAGAAGTCCGCCTCGTCGAACTCATCCGCCATGGCCGCAGGGCGGATTTGAGGGCAGCGTCATGAAATGATCTCGTTGGAGGTCAATCAAGATCACCATGTTGTCTGACTGCTCTACCGTACTAACATTGGGTAAGACTAGTGTCTCACCGTATTCAAGCCACGTGATATCTCTGGTTGATTACTACCTAGGTATGTACATCATCCTGTCGCAGGAATACCCTTACAATGGTACTGTGGAACAAGTGGATGCCTGTATACAACTACGCCTGGGCAGCTTATCATGCACGGAATGTAGTCTCTACTTGCACTGCTTGCTCCACGACTCCCTCGGCCGTAATATGTGTGAATGCTGCCGCCGGAGTAATCAATAGCCGCAGCCGAGAATTCGGGTCGGGGAAAAGTTGAGAATTGGAGCCGATATCATTTGACCGCCCACTCCGAGTCAAGGATACTATTCTCTATACGGCAGGAGCTCCTTAGCCGTTACTGGGTCCAGCAGGTCGTTTCAGAAGGCTCTAAGTGGGTCCCGCGGCGTCCGCAAGGCTGCCGCTTTTGACTAATAATAAAAGAGACGAGTAGTACTAGTAGGCGTGCATAATTACACGCTGCACAACAGGCTGGCGGATGCCAACTCGTCCAGCGAACCGAAACGCCGCTTTTCTCGAACGGGCAAAACCTCGTGTGATGACTCAAGTCCGTGAACACCGACGACAGCGGCGACGGAAGTCTCCGAAGAGGTTGCATAAATCCCTTGAGGGAAGTGACGCTCCGCCAGTATTCTCACAGTTGTAGTACAAAATTTTCGGGCGCGGATGCGAGAGTAGAATAGACATTAGAAAATTTTGCTATACAACATGGCTCAAAGATTTCGCTCGTCTAGGAGTAAGGGATCTGATTCCGGCTCAGACTCCATATCCCTCCTTGCATACCTGTGCATCAGACGGGCTCTGAGAGCAGAAATATTCGGAAAACGTAGTGGACGTGACCGAAGTGGGAGTTGCGCAAGTCCACGGGATTTTCGGTATAGAAAAAAGATAGCCAAGACGCTGAACGTAATAACGATCAAGAGTGCCCGTAGGACAGAGCCCTAGACAATGTTAGCCTGCATTCTGGAGGAAACTATGCGGATTTAGTATGGCACTTACCGTTGAAGAGGAATGAGTCCGGACCACGGTCGAATATGCCAGCACCTCTCTCGCGGCGTCCAAAGCCGCAACCCTCACATACCGGTTGGCCTTGTCCAGGGGCAAGCTCGTCTCGAATCCGTCACGCTCCAATTGGTGAATTGTTGCAAATTCGTGACCCTCGGCGTCCGAGGCATGAGCGGTCTCTAATCTCCATTCTCTCACCTCGGTCGCTCCATTCCAACTCACGTAGACTTTCTGATTCTTGATTTTCACGTCCGGGACCGTCTTTGGCCTTCCGACCCACGGACTCTTGAACACTCGGTACGACTTCACGAATCCGAAGTCGAGAATCTCGAAGATGAGGTGGAGTGCGAAGTGTGCATCGCAAAGGACCTCGCCGTCCGCCGAATACTCGATGTAGGTTGGGGAATTGCCAAATCCGACCAGCACATTCCCGCTTTCGGGAAGCAGTTGCACAGAGCCTTGGGATACATTGAGGATCTCGTCGGGGTGGACGTACTTCTGGACGAGACTCGCAGTCATGTTTTCCATGTCGAGCCGAATAATCATGCCCTTGCTGTGCGAGGATGGGCTATGGAAGACGTTGTTGGCATGGTTGTCAAAGACCGACATTGTGTTGTTGCCCAGCCATGTTGCATGATGTTGCCAGGCAAAGTCGGTGGCGCCGTTGAGATCTTGAAAGCTATTGCTCTTGCCTCCCAGTTGCCATAGGACTTCACCTGTCTTCCCACTGATGCACACCACAGCATGCATGTAACGGGCAGAGATGATATAATCTCCAGATTCAATCTTGTCGACACTGTTGATGTGGAAGAAATCAAAGGCGTCCTTTTTCGATTTTCCATGTCCATCCTTTCTTGAAGGACTGCTAAACACATGGCTCATGGGGATGTGGTCTGTTGCTCTCCATTCAAAGAGTAAATCGCCGGTCTCGATGTCGATTTCTTGGAAAATACCATCTTGGATCCAGCAGCTTTTGCCCAATTTCAAATCGGTACAGTCCGCTTTCCGTTTATGGTATATCGTTATAAGGGCAGTACCTTGTGGGGTGATGCGAAACTCATGAGAATCTCCTTTGAGGCCTTTCCCATGCGGATATATCCTATAGGCAACTTCGTACGAAGCGTCAAGCTGAAAGGTCAGTTTTTGTTGTGCAGCAGCCACGAGCCGAAAAAAGGGGGAATTCTCACCATCACATATGACTTTTTGGGCCGGCCAGGGTGGCGCCCTTTCTTGCTCTTGGTCCAAAAGGTCAAATAGTCCTGACCCTTATACTTCTGCACATTAAAGTTCAGGGCCTGCATGAACTCTTGGTTGTCCATCCAGATAAGGTTACCCTTCGGATCAAGCATGACAGGACCACGTGCCTGCCCAGTCACGAAGGGACCCCGCGGAGTGAGAAGAAGGTTTCCCGGGTCGCATCGGGAATCCCATTGCTTTATCACGGGAGCAGGCGGCCGATAATCAACAGAATGAAACTTTTGACGCGGGTACAGGCCATGAAAGCCCAAATCGTAGGCATTGAAGGAGAAGGCAGTCACCCATGACAGGGGGAGGGTCGCGTAGAGCAGCAAAGATTTCATGACCAGGAATGCCAATGAGAATATCAATATGAGAAGCAAAAACAGACCTTGTATACGCCCATCTGATTAATTTATCATGCAAACCTGACTTACTCAGGAGGTCGCCGGAAGGATCGGGACCTAACCAACTTCTGTCGCTTATGATCGGCCGGTCCCTGGGACGCCTCGTGAACAGAAGCCAACTGTACTGGTGATTTCGATCCACAAGGCATATGACACGAAGAATGGGACGAAGGTTGCGGCACTATAACCAACTGCAAAGGTACCTACGATCCGGGTTGCATAACTTGGTCAATAAAAATGGAATCATTCGGATGCGGTGGGGAACGATCCAGGCTCGGAGGCAGCACTGAGCCAGTACTAGCATGATGGTACATAGTAAGCAATAACCAAGCATCCGACCACTCCACCTACTAGTAGTAGAACTACTGCTGTACACAGTAAAAGTTCGTGTCAGAATCATCGGCACACATGCAGCCGAGGCTGCAAGGCAGAAGACCTATAATTGGCATTCCGCGAAGCGAACTGGTCTGGCGCATGGCGTTTCATGACGGATGCGTGACAGAGGATAATTTCGCTACGGCCACCGTGCCCACTCATATAGCAAAGTGGCAAGGCAGGACTTGAAATGTCGTATGCTTAATAAGAGAACCGAAGTCGTAATCAGATAAAAAGGTCCTGTCATACTATCTGATCCTGCAGGTACTGTACAAGTTGTTGTACTAGTAGGAGCCTGCCAGTGGCTGCTGGTAAGGCTGGCGGACTTTATGAGTGTTCTTTTCTAGACTTGGCATCGTTTTTCCCCGAAACTCTATTATTCAACTTTAATGCAGCACTGGCACTCAGCTGCACTCCAGTCACGGCGTCCTGCACAGCACTCGTCCTACTCCACCGCGCAGGGACAAATGACCGCTACCAGATCTGTTCTACTAGGTAGGTAGTATGGTGGGAAAGAGATTATATGTTATTTACTGCCAGCGTGTGAGCATTATTATCATGTTTGCTTTGCTCGAAATCCAAAATAAGGCAGCTTGCAGCCTTCCAAGCCCTCCTTGCTGCAACGCTTTTTCATGGCTCGCCTACCTAGGTATACATGTTCATCAAGCTGGCTTGGCTTGGGACAACCACTCAGCCGATGAAAAGGCGTCAGACTTCGAGTTCGCCTAATAACCCAGAACTCCTGGCTCCCTCAGGCAGGTATCCTTTTGATCATTGGTGCCGCACCCCCTGCGTGCGGTGACATGGGCAACGGGCACACTCTTGGTCAGTGATTACTTGTAGGTGCAGAATTGCATCCATCCAGTCTCGCTGTTTCAGTTCTTTGCTGTATTTTCATGTTGAGCTTGCAAGGTTCGACGAGTCTGAAGTTGGTGTCTTGTCGGAACCCCCGTGGGCCAGAGTTCTGCGGTTGCAATCAAGTTCTCTGCAGTCCTTTCGCTCGTGGCCCTGTCTTTGATGTGTGCTCCGTGCTCTTCCGGCTCGAGAGATCTGCCAGATCCAAGTTCTACTCGTTTAATATATTTGTTTCATTACTGGCCTGCTTGTTTATTTAGTGTGCGTTTTGTTTCATTTATTGTCCAAGGTCAGGTAGCCACCAACTCCTACCACGACAGGAGAGTTGCTTCTGTGCCTCTCGAAAAACATCCTTCCCAGCGGCGAGCTCTGCGAGAATATAATCTCTTCTCCACCGCTGGCTGCCACCAGTCATCTTGGCCGTCCGAACACAGATCTTGAGTTGGAAGTTCTTTGCCTCATGGATCATCAATTCAGCCACTAGACTCAGCTCCTCTCACCATCCACTGCTTGGTGTATTACATTTGCTTTTCATACGTACCTTCTCCTCTTCTTTTTTCAGAACTCTTCCTGTAGCCCTCAAGGTAGCTGTTCTCCTTGCTAGTTAACCTGGTTTCCACCCTCAACAATCCAAGTACTGGATACCGATGTAGGCCACGTCTGAGGCTCAACTCAACCCAAGGACAACTAGCGTTTCATGTCTCTATTTCCGTCAGCACTGTGAGGTCCTCATCCACCTTTCCACCATCTTGTAAGCCTCCATCGACTGTGCTTTCCTCAGAATAACTTTGTACAAGGGTTTAACATCCCTGCCCATTGTAATAACGTCCCTTCTCGGGCCATGATCGTACCTAGGTAGTAGGTAGGTATCTGATGCTTCCAGAGGCACTACTGCTTCTACTAGTATAGTAGTATCAGCTCCGTCTTCGTATAGAGCGACTCGTGCCTCTCTTGAGACTCTTCCTGCGTATCTTCCTCTCGCTGTGGCTCTCTGGGCGTCTTGTCTGTATCTCTCCTTTGTGGGCGTCTCTGTGTGTCTCTCGGTCTCTCTAACCAGTCTGAAGAATGATAAGCCATCCTTCTAAAACCATGACTCTACTTCGTCGTCTCAGTGCCACGCACCGCCCTCAAGACCTCTCTACCTATTTCATTGACCATCTGATAGTTGTAATCGCGGGCGTAGCCAGCAATGGTAGTCAGTAATCATCTCGTCGAGCGATTTCTTTCCCCTTGGAAGTGAGCTCTTAGACTGTCTCTCCGCTGCTGTTGGCGTTGGGTGGCTGTCCTTGTTGCTGCCACTCTCCCTGTTGCTGTGCCTTCTGCTGTTGCCGCTGCCGTTGAAACCTAGCAGTCGCAGCCTCCGCCCAATCTATGGACTACCTTATTCTACAGCCTGAGTCGATCTCATGGAGGAATAGACGTCTGACTACCATCGTAAATTAGTAGATACTATCCAGTGCCCCCTCTACAATGTCGTTCCTCCATCTAAGCGTCGAGGACCGTCGTGAACGCACTGTTGTATGATCTCTTTCCCTGAGCTCTCTCCCTTCCTTCTACTCTCTTTCTCTCCCTCTCTGTGCAGGCTGTGCGTATCTGTAATACCAGCGGTGACTCCAATTGACTCTTACTGTCGATGACCACAGTTCTGGGAGGCCTGAGACGCTCACTAGAGGACTTCCGTACTTCAGAGCCCGTTCGGTTACGAAGAACAGCCAATTTCTTCGGCCATATACATGGTATACCCTCAGAAGGCCATGGATGCGGATGACGACATCGTTCGTCCTTGAGATGTATTTTACAGCCGCAATTACTTGAGAAGCAGTGAATGTAGGCTGAAGCTTGAGATGGATGAGATTGAAGCTGCTTGGTTGATGCTCAATCTTCCTGCTCAATGCTCAATAGCGGTGATACACTCATGTAGCAGCTCCCATAGAAAACACGTCAAAGAGTTCCCTGGAAGCTCGTCGTCGTCGATACATGTCTCTACATCAGTCTGAGTGCGATTGCTACATCCTCTCCTGCTCAGGTCCAACTTCCTCTCGTTTTCACCGTTCCAGGTGTCTTCAGCCTCGGGAAAAAGCCTCCTGTGCCCAGGAAAACGTCCTACAGCCATCAACGCTCACTCCTTCCTCGCCCATATACTGCGCCGCCTGCTTTCCCGGCTTCTATGCAGCCATCTCATCTCTCACGGCTCGCGACTTCTGTGCTGACTCAGCAGGCCAGCACTCTCCTGCCTTCCATTTCGGCCACTCAGAGCCCGAATGCCTCAGGGCGAATCAGAATTTCAGACTGACAAAGCTGGCTTGCTGGCCATTCACAGGCAAGAATTGCAGGTTGATCTGATGTTGAGCGACTTTTTGCTCTGATTCTCTGATCCTGAACGTTGATTCGATGTGATCTGAGGGATTTCTTCTGATCTTGCGCGCTGATTGAACAGAAGTTGAAACCAGGTGGCCAGAAGCAAATGAGATCAAGAAGTGTTGGACGGGTGAAGATCGACGTTCCATACTGTGAAGTGGAGCGGTCATTTGGTGAATAGACTTCGCGTGGCGAGTCGTGTGTCCAATTGAGAGAAAACCAATGGCTTGTCCTTTTGACCCCGTACATTAAGGTGTGGAGCCAAGAGGACAGGTATACTGGTCATCCACTGAGAAGCTGGGGATGGTGGGAACATTCGTCGTGCGGCCAATTGCAGGGCCAGAACTCTCACCAGAACGTTCAACTTCGCTGTCTGTCATATTCCTAACTTGGCAATATGTTGATGCTGGTATCCCAATGATACACCAGCACTGCCTCACCAACATCACCAATGCGATCTGATGATTTTGACGATCCTGAAATGGAAGGGACACGTCTTCGAACTCTGATCTCGTTTTCAAACTCTGATCTTTTGAACACATGGCCAGAAAGATCAGACATTAGACTTTCTGGGCAATTCTGAAAGGTATAAGTACCTCTTCCTCCCTCCTCGATTTCAACTTCTCTTTCTCTTTTCTTTTCTTCAGATCCCATCTAACTCGCCACAGAAACATACACATTGAAAGCTATTACAGTCAAAATGGGTTGTGTCTGCAGCAAAAGATATCGTGAGGATGACGAGCCGGCTCCTCGCCCGGTAAGTCCATCTTCCCCTGTTGTCCGCTCGCCGTCCCCAGAAACCACTGTTGCTGGTCCCGACGGCGCCCTTGAGGTTGAACTCGAGGCTGTCGTCGTCGGGCCTGCACCGGTGGCGCCGAGGGAACGGACCCCGTCCGAGAAACTCCGCAACCTGCGTCGGCTTTGCGGATTCTCCAGCGAGCCCACGCCAGAACCGGTGCCTGTGAAGCCCGAATTCGTCGGCCCTCTGCAGGACCCCCGTCGTTGGTGTATATCATCGACGGAGTCTGCGCTAGAGGAGGTGATTCGGCGCCGAACACATCCGATCAACTGGGGGGCTCGCCGAGATCTGAACCCCTTCGTCAAGAAGGCAAGCCCAGCCGCAGGTCGGGGCTCTCGCGCACGGGGTTCTTCCCAGAGCAACTGAGGATGGTAGAGAGACTTCATGGAAGGGTGGACGAGCAGGGTGTTGGGCTTGGTGTTTGCGTCCGCTCGTTTCTTCAGTGCGCCGGCGTTGGGATCTCACCTTGTGTTTTTTTGCTGCGTTTGGGTGGTGTTTTGATCTCGTCTTGCGTTTGGGTGGTGCTCTGCTTTCTTGCTGCGTTTGGGTGGTGTTTTGATTTCGTCTTGCGTTTGGGTGGTGTTCTGATTTCTTGCTGCGTTTGGGTGGTGTTCTGATTTCTTGCTGCATTTGGGGGGTGTTCTGATTTCTTGCTGCGTTTGGGTGGTGTTTTGCTTTTCCATCATTCATCAGCCTGGAGCTGGGTTTGGAGGAGGAGATGTAGTTGTAGTCCATCACTGTCCATCATTCTCGGCCTGGAGCTGGGTTTGGGGGACAATGTGTAGTTGTAGATCGTTGTCGTCGCCTTGCCGTCGTCGTACCTTACCGTCGCTGCCTTGCCATCCTTTCCCTTTGTGTCCTTACCCTGCTGCCCTTACCTTGCTGCCACCTACCACGCTGTCCTCAGCTAACCTCGTTGCCGCTTAACTTGCCACCCCTCACCCTGTTGCCCTCCCATAACACCCCGCCGCTCCTACCTTGCTGTCCTTACCTCGCCGTTCTGACCTTGTTGCCCCTCACCCCGTTGCCCCCTACTACTCGTTGCCACCGCCCCCACCACGCTATCCTTATCCTGCTGTCCTTACCTCGCCGTCCTTACCTCGCCGTCCTTACCTCGCCGTCCTTACCTCGCCGTCCTTACCTCGCCGTCCTTACCTGCCGTCCTTACCTCGCCGTCCTTACCTCGCCGTCGTCACCTCGTTGCCGTTATCACCTCATTGCTCCTTAACTTGCTGCCCCTCACCCGGTAGCCCCCCAACTACTAGCACCCCGCCGTTCCCACCTCACCATTGCATTCCTACCTCGCTGTCCTTACCTGCTGTCCTTACCTTGCTGTCCCTCCTCGTCGCCCTTACCTCGCTGCCGCTTGATTTCCCACCCCCCACCCTGCTGCCCCCGCTGGCACCTCGCCACTCCTACGTTGCTGTCCCTACCATCTGCCCTTACATCATCACCTTGCCTTTATCACAAGGCATCCCCTTCAACTCCGAGCCAAGCTCAAGCATTGTTGCAGTTGCCCTGCATGTCATATTTCCCATTATAGCTATTGTTTAGTAGGCGTGCATTATGCTACCGCCCACTTCCAAGCCATATTACCTGAAAATTGCACACATTGTTAGCAGCTATATTGCAACATTACTGTCGCCATATTAGTTAGATGCTTCTGACTGGCGATGCCTTAATCCCACCGTATCTTTGTCTGCCCACGTCAGGCGGGCCCCAAACACTTCTTGTAGGGCAAGCGTGAATAATTTGTCGGCACCTCTTGGTGATCAAGGACACCTATCGTTAGGTAGCAGTGGCAAGTAGATACTTACCAAGTCTGCAAACTCCGTCCTAGGCAGCCCCAACCGTCAAAGACAGTAAACATGAAGTCTCAGTAAGGTGGCATTCCGCCCATTCCCAAACTGGTCTGGCAGATTGGACAATGCATACAGCCCTTGGCAAGACTGGGGTGGGCAGCCTCAACTGACTAATACTGTCAGAGGCTGGCGGACTGCGGTGGGCACTGTTATGGAACTGGCATTTGTCTGTACCGCATCAAACCGCGAGGGACCCTTCACCACTACAACTATACGTCGTGGCTTCAGAGCCTTACTATTGTCATCTACAGTATAATACACATGAGAATCTGGGCGTCATTCACCTTTGCGCCCATTCATCTACTTTTCACCCGTTTGTCAACTCAGACCCGATTGTCACCCTAATTCCTCCCTGTTTCCACCACCGCATATATCTCTTCCTCTTCTCCCCTACGTCTGCCGCATCCTCCGATCGAAACACTTGCCTCTCTTCGAGCCCTACACGGAAACAAACACACAAGGCATCATGCCAGAAGAACTCGAGGTGAAAGATGAGCGCCATGAAAGCCAGGAAGATGGCGGCGAGGAAGAAGTAAGATTCTCAGTCTGCCTGCCCTCGAGGCCCCTCCTCGTTGCAGCCGACAGTTTTTGTATGGAATGACTTTAGCTAACAACGCGGCACAGGAAGAAATCGCAGCGATGAAGAGACGCGTTGCCGAGATGGAGTCCGAAGCCGCCAAACTACGAGAAATGCAAAGTCAACTCGAGCAACAGTCCGAGGGTGGTCGCAGAGAAGATCGAGAGGACGTCGACGCGCGCAGCATCTTCGTCGGCAACGTCGACTATGGCGCGACGCCAGAAGAGATTCAAGCACATTTTGCCAGTGGACCAGGATCGATAAACCGCGTCACCATCCTGCTGGACAAGTTCACTGGTCATCCCAAGGGGTGGGTTTAAATATCCAAGCACTATCTTGCATAAGGCTTGTTCAAGAGCTGGATGCAATGCATTTTCCGTTCTATTCAAAAATCATTTCATGCTGCCTGGCAAGAGATGGGTTACTAATAGGATTTCGCGCAGGTATGCATACGTGGAGTTCTCAGACCCGGCATTGGTGGCACAGGCCTTGGTCCTCAACGAGAGTGTTTTCCGTGGTCGTAATCTCAAGGTTGGTGGGACTTGCTCGAGGTGATGTTCGTGTACTAATCAAACGCATAGGTCGTCCCGAAGCGAACCAATCTTCCCGGCATGACTAGAGGTCGAGGCGGTCGAGGCGGTCCAATGCGTGGTCCTCGAGGAGGGTTTGGCGGCCGTGGTGGTTACGCAGGAGGCTTCGGAGGTCACGGTGGTGGCTATGGCGCTCCACGAGGCGGCCCGCGAGGTGGCTTTCGAGGTCGCGGTCGTGGATATGCCCCTTATTGAGAGGACACCGACCTCCTTGACGACTTGACACTCAAGCCTACACGTGCTATGAGACACTCGGAGACTACATTGAGACCTGTTTGCACGGCAACTATGCGTTGCTGTCGCGCGAGTCCCAAGCCATTGCTGCATACCACGCCCTCTGGTTTTGGAGACACATATCGACGGCAGACTCAAATCACATTTGAGAGTAGCCTGGCGGACAGACTGCCTATGCGCACGGTTTGACGAAGCTTATGGAATGCAACCCCAATGGGCTTCTGAGAGCTGCAGAAGTACTAGTACCTCGAGGACGCGAAGAGCATATCTCGCAGACTGGCCGGCACGGCAACAGCTAGAACACGAGGTGTCCAGGTTCCTCCATCAATGCGCATTGTCAAAATTCGTGCTACATATTTCCAATGCTGCTCATTGATTGCTGTTTGTAGCTCCGGTGGTCGTAGTTGTTGTGGTCGCGCCCGTACTTTTGATCCTCGTGAGTTGCCACTATTAGTATTACTATTGTTTCTACTGCTAGGATTTATTGTTGTGTTGCTGGTCACGACAGGTCATTTTCATATAGCCGTGAAGAGGTTGTGAGTGTAAGCGTCGATATGATGTAAGATCTTCCCGAGTCTGCGCGGCAGCGGTGCAGCGAAACTTGGAAGGGGGAGTCCTGTCTCTACTTGGTGGCTTCCGAACGACCGACCGACTCAATAGGTGAATGAAAGAGCTTGCAGCACTGGGTAGAAGGCTCTTAAGACGACACCACCGTGACCATGACGCCGTTGGTAGTAACAGCTGCACCGCGCGGTAGAGGTACAGCGGTGGTAATAGTGGACACGGTGCAAAGCCTGAGGTGCTGATAGTTTTAATTCAGGTACCTTGACCACGTCTAGAGTCGAGCAACTCCGGGGGCCCGGGCAGGCAAATAATGACAGTGGCACCTACTACGGTACTACCCTACCCTACTACTAAGATACTAAGTAGCACATTCGTACTCTTCCTGCTAGGAGACATCTATCGTCAACCTCAACCCACGACAGTCTCTTCACTTGATGGTGGTATCGTCAATTTTGTCTCTCTTATTATGCAATCATGACATGAGCGTCGTTCCCTTATTCTTGCGCCAGGCCGACTCGAACCCTTGTCCCATACCGTGCCCTTCCGCAAAGTTCTTAGCGCCTACAGTCACTCGAGCTGCGCCTCGTCCAGCGGGACTCCCACTGACCTGTTTTGCGAATACGCTCCATTACTGAGCCGCGTTGCCAATACGCTTGACACCCGATCCCGAGAATTCCTGTAAACATCAGGATACCGTCGTCGAAATCGCCAGATCTCCTCTACTCGTTCGACGGAGATATTGGCTTGTCCATCCTCAAGTCTTCTCTCTTGTCACAGTACCCCGCCGATCCATTGTCAGTGGCCTGGACCGTGGACCGCTACCTCGCGGTCAAGAGCACAAGATGCCCGAAGCCAATCTGCCTGCGTATGTGTTCTTGCAGATCAAGAATTGGTATCAATACTGACGGTGACATTATAGAGAGCCCAATCTGCGAGTTACGAGTGCGTTCCTGCCCCCATCGCGGAGCCGTGCGTGCCTCGAGACTAACCTTCTTCCTCAGTCATCGCGGCTGACGGCCTATACAAAAGAGATGTCTTCAGTGAGTTAATCAGGCTGAGAACGAGTAAGAGAGACGGTTATTGAGATCTTTATAGGATTTCCAGACCCTTTCGCGGTAGCGACCATCGGAGGGGAACAGACAAAAACAACCTCTGTGATCAGGAAAACGTTGAATCCCTATTGGAACGAATCCTTCGATATGTGGGTTGCTTTTCCATGCTGTCAAGTCGCACGTTCACTGACTATTCTGTAGGCGAGTTACGGAAGACAGTATTCTAGCCATCCAGATTTTCGACCAGAAGAAATTCAAGAAGAAGGATCAGGGCTTCCTTGGAGTCATCAACGTTCGCATTGGCGATGTCATCGATTTGGACGTGGGCGGAGATGGTGAATCCCTCCCTCACTGCCTTGCTACTTCTGGTGCTAACGAAATCAGAAATGCTCACTCGGGATCTTAAGAAGTCCACCGATAACTTGGTCGTTCATGGAAAACTAATCGTGAACTTATCCACCAACCTCTCCGCTCCCCCTCCCAATCAACCAAATCGGCCATCCGCGAGCGCTGCGCCCAGTGTTAATGGCTCGAATCCGCACTTGAGCAGCACCACAGTCAACCAGACCCTGCCGGTCCGAGCACGAAGTCCTGCGCCATCACGAACAACCACCTCCGGTTCGGGCGAGGCGAGAGCCTCTACAACAGCCGTCAACGGCACTGCCTCACAATCAGCGTCTACCAACGCTGGCAGATCAGGAGGCTTTAGCTCTTTCGAAGATAGCCAAGGACGGTTGCCCGCTGGATGGGAACGCCGCGAAGATAATCTGGGTAGGACATACTACGTCGATCACAACACGAGAACTACCACCTGGACAAGACCTTCGAATCACCTCAGCGAGACTGAGGCTCGAAGCCGGCTCGAGGCCAATATGCAGGTTGAGCGCCAACGCCATCAGAACCGCATGTTGCCTGAAGACCGCACGGGTGCCAATTCCCCGAGTTTGCAAGAATCCCGAGGGGGATCTCCTTCTCAACACAACGCTGTGCAAATGATGGCTACCGGGGCCACCACTCCTGGAACCGGAGAACTTCCAGCTGGATGGGAAATGAGGCACACCCCCGAAGGCCGAGCCTACTTCGTTGACCATAATACACGGACCACCACTTGGGTTGATCCACGGAGACAGCAGTACATAAGGATGTATGGCAACAACCCGTCGGGCAACAACACCACTATACAGCAACAGCCGGTGTCACAATTAGGGCCACTGCCTAGTGGCTGGGAAATGAGACTCACCAACACTGCTCGCGTCTACTTTGTGGACCACAACACCAAGACAACGACCTGGGATGACCCACGACTACCGTCTTCTCTGGACCAGGGTGTGCCGCAGTACAAGCGTGATTTCCGACGAAAGCTGATATATTTCCGTTCGCAACCCGCTTTGCGCATTTTGTCTGGACAGTGCCATATCAAAGTGCGACGTGGCGCTATCTTCGAGGACTCCTACGCCGAGATCATGCGGCAGAGCGCAACCGATTTGAAGAAACGCTTAATGATCAAGTTTGACGGAGAAGATGGTCTGGACTATGGTGGTCTTTCTCGGTAAGTTGAGATTTTATTGCATGTTGACTTGTTCTAACCTCCAACAGGGAGTTCTTTTTCCTGCTGTCGCACGAAATGTTCAACCCGTTCTATTGTCTGTTCGAGTACTCGGCTCACGACAACTACACTCTCCAAATCAATCCTCACTCTGGTATCAATCCAGAACATCTCAACTACTTCAAATTCATTGGTCGAGTGGTGGGACTGGCCATCTTTCACCGTCGGTTTTTGGATTCGTTCTTCATCGGTGCCTTCTACAAGATGATGCTTCGAAAGAAGGTCACCATCAATGACATGGAGGGTGTCGATGAAGAATACCACAAGAACTTGACCTGGTGCTTGGAGAACGATATCACGGATGTTCTTGATCAAACCTTCTCGATCGAAGACGAGCAATTCGGAGAAACCAAGACGATAGATTTGAAGCCGAATGGGCGTAACATCCCCGTCACCAACGAGAACAAGAGAGAATATGTCGAGTAAGTCTTGTCGCCGAAACAGCCGATAATTGTGGCAAAAAGATCTAACTTGGTATCAGACTTGTGACGGAGTGGAAGATCGTGAAGAGGGTGGAAGAGCAATTCAACGCTTTCATCACCGGTTTCAACGAACTTATTCCCCAAGATCTCGTCAATGTCTTTGACGAAAGAGAACTAGAGCTGTTGATCGGCGGTATCGCCGACATTGACGTTGACGATTGGAAGAAACACACGGATTACCGTGGCTACCAGGAGTCGGACGAAGTCATTCAGAATTTCTGGAAAATCGTTCGGTCCTGGGACGCTGAACAGAAGAGTCGTCTCTTGCAATTCGCAACCGGCACCAGCAGAATCCCAGTCAATGGATTCAAAGATCTGCAAGGTAGTGACGGGCCCAGAAGATTTACCATTGAAAAGGCGGGCGAGATCAATGCTTTGCCGAAGAGTCATACTTGGTATGTTGTGCCCTTTGCCGGCATGATATGGTCGTGGCGACGAAATCTTTCGTGGGGTATTTTCTTCGTGGCTAACTTAATTTCTCAACAGTTTCAATCGTCTTGACCTGCCACCTTACAAATCTTACGAGGTTCTCCAACAAAAGCTCTCAATCGCCGTGGAAGAGACACTGGGCTTCGGGCAAGAATAGAGTCCGGCCAATTTCGCGTCGGTCGTGAACTGGTTACACCGTTTGATCGCTGTCAATATTTCGGTTCGCCGCTCATTGAGGCGACCCAGGAGGAGTTCGACTAGGCGTCGGCTCAGATCCCGGTGGCATCGACTTTTGATACCGCTCTCGACTGTGGAAGAAACAAGTGAGGGAAAATCTGTATAGACAGTCGTGAAACGGGGCTTGTTGTCGTGCAGGACTCATACCACGTACTTGGTCAGGTGATGTGCTTTGGTCCCAACATGGGCTTGCTGGGTTGATAAGTCCTTTATGCTCGCCTTTGATCATTTGAGAAGTGCTCGCGAGGAGGGCCATATGATTGGGCCGACTTACTTTCCCTCGGATTGTTCGTGGCGGTCATACTCGTGTTCAGCACATTGCGTTCAACTGACCGGTCTAGCCGTGTGGGCGAGGCAAATCCTGTCGATATTGTTAACAGAGCATGCATGATGACTAGGTAGTTGAGAGTGGACAGATGACTGAGGGAGGATACAGCCGCTGCCAGTAACTAAGTGACTACTTGTACCTGGTAGTACTAGTAGTTGGGCGGTGTCTGCAATGCGGTGCATAAGGTGCTTTACATGACTAAATTACACTACATATTTATTATTGCCCTGGAGTTTTGTGTGTGTGGACTGCAATAACGAGCTTTGATTTTTTGTCCTTTTTTATTATTGGTCTTGTTCGATCTTGATTGATGAATTGAACTGAGTGTGTCACGTATAAGTAGTCCACAAGACTGTAAAGCATTAGGTTGTTGTTGTGGTGGTATGTCATGGTGCCTACCAGGGGTATATTTATCATGGTGTATATATTGTTTTATTCGTTCGAGTTGCCCAATCATAAATTCGCTTCTTTAATTATTAGATTGAAAATCAATTCGGAATTGCATCAATGCAATAAATCGGGTTGGGATCTGCAGTGGCGTCACTCAGTTGCATGCATCTGTGCAACTTCCTCACACACAACCCACCACTGCAACAACCTTGCATGCGCACTGCGACCAGTGTATACTGCTAGTGCGGGTATTGTCAGCCGAGGCCCGTATACTACATATGTTCAGAATGCCACAGAAGAATCATCCCACAGTAACAGAGTTCATTCTTTCCATTAGGCGAGCAGTCGTACCTGGGTAATTTTGTCCAGCTATTGATTCTATTGATTTAATTCCGCAATTCAAAATTATCAGGTTCATTTCATTACATATCATTCATTCATCATTTTGTCATTATGGTTCTGCCGTGGTGCTTGCCAGGCGTTTCCTGATCAAACAGGCGGGTTGGGTCCATTTGAGACGAATTTGCGTGATCTGCTGCTTGCGTTGATGCTTGCTCCGCTCGTCGAGCAAGTCGATCACAGAGACTCGACTCGACAATCGACCCCTTGATCATGCCTCGGCAGTATATGGGGGCGGATTTTCGTCGTTGTCGTCGATTTCTCCTTGATGTTCTTCTTCTGGTTCACCAGGATGAGCTGGACCTGGCTCTGAGTCGGCAATTGTGTGCGGCGCAGCAGCAGCAGCAGCAGCACCAGGAAGCCAGGAAGAGGTCGCTTCTCCGTCTTCTTCTTTTCGACCATGATGCAGGTCGCTGCATCTGTCGAGTTGGAGGTCTGGGATAGTGCCAGTCTTCACGGGGATGACAGCGATATCATCGTCTTGGTCTTCGGGGTCCGGGGCTTCCAGGTCGAGTGCATCACTGTCAGGCGAGGGGGGAATGCGTAGAGTCTCTGAGACTGAATAAGAAGCGTCGTTTCGTTCCACCGTAACATTGCCTTCGGCGCTGTGTAGAGGCCCGAGGCTGCTGCTGCTGCCATGTTCAACATCAACAGCTTCCTGCTCTACCAGAGACGGCCTTCTGTACTCCAGCTCCTTGACAGGCAGTTGGATATACCATTGATGTAATGCCTGGCGATACTCCTTGACCGGGGCAGAGAAGCCGTACTCTTCTTGAAGAAGACGCTGGGCTTCCTTGTACCCTAGTTTCTGCACGAGTAGGAGTTCCAGAACCACAGCCTTGAGTCGGTACCACTGTTTCAGACGAGTTTCTTCGACTTTGGATCCGTTAATGGGCGTTAGCAGCAGCATCTCTTCCGACAGTTGACCATTCGTTCGAGCAAACGTCAACGCACTGGCACAAAAAGCTTTAATCTGCGGCGGCGGCGGAAGCCGAGCACAGCGACACCGGGTTCCCATCTCGAGAAGAAACTCCCGCGTATATCTCCAGTAGCCCCTCTTAGAGTCGTAGATGGCGTCTCCACTGGGGGCCGCGGCGTCAGACATGTAACTGCGATAATTGAGTGTGTCGAGATGTCGAACGAACTGTGGGACGTCGGCGTCCGGGTCGTCCTTGACAGCCTCGTCGCCTCGCATTTCTCTTCGAGACATCCTCATCAGCTTCAAGCGTCTTTTATTGTATTCCTCGAGATCTGCTTGACGAGAAGCTGCATTCCGCGCCCGCGCCTCGACCATCTTCTGGTTCCAGTGATACCGAGTCGTGCCGCCAATTTGTCGCGGAAGAGCCTTGTTGCACCACAGACAGATCCTCCTCCTCTCCTTGTCGGCTTCAAGTGGTTCCCTGCAATCTTTTCCATGGCAGTGAGTAATGGACAGAGCTTCCTGGTTTTGCAAATCCTTGCAGTCGAGGCAGAGCCATCCGTCATCCTTTAAAGTGCAGGTGCAGTAGTCCTTGGTACTCCCGTCGGGATCATACCATTTTCTTTTGGGAGGATTAGGATCAGGACTTGATGTGTTGTTGTTCAGTAGTGGGAAGCGTTCGCTTTGGCTCGAGTTTCCGGTTTCCCAACACTTGGAACATAAATACCGTGTCCGATTTTGGAAAGTGTTCTCGTGGCCTCGGGCGAATGACGATCGCACAATGCACGCGTCACATATCGGTTTGGAACAATACCGGCATGGCTTGGGGGTAGGTCCTTTGGTATGCGTGCGAGAAGAACATTCGAAGGGTGCTTGGTCTTTCAGTTGCTGCCAGTAGATAGTGCCGTGTTGGCCAATGTGCAGCTCGTCACGGACAGTCCCTGGATCAGATGGTACTAGTTCTTCACGGTCTTGAGGCGGTAGTCTTGGTGTTTCGAATCCATGAAGCACCGCGCGGAGGGTAACGCTCGATCTTGAAAGACTGATTAAATCTCCCACGGGAAGCCATTGACTCAGGTTCCTGGCTATGGGCCATATTGACAATAATGTTTCCAGCTTCAAGTCTGGCGACGGTATCGATGTAGCGTCCATTGTTTATTTATATCTCGAACCAAAAATCGTCCAGTAATATCGATCATATCAGCCCAGGTCGTTGCCTGGGTGTTGTGGTCCAAAAAGACACGCGAGCAGTGTTGCCTGGCGAGAACTGTGTCGAGCAAGGAGCGAGTGGGATTCCTTTTTCTGAGGCCACTGCAGTCTCGTGGCATGCGGACCTGTTGTGAACGTCGGATCGGACTGGAGAAGCAGTGAAGAATAAGAATCAGATTGGTCCGAAGACCGCATGACTCGGACTATCAATGCAATAATGTCGGTCGACCAAGTCCGCCCCGGTTCCAGTTCTGATGAGGCTGAGGCCGAAAGTCACTGGCAGCAAATCATCGGTGGATCCCAAGAGCCCGCCGGCGGTTTTTGTAGCTGCCGCAGCCTTTTCGTTCCACTCAGTCAATGACTGACCTCAAAGGCATGGAATTCTTACGTGTTGACGAGTTGTGCAATTCCTTGAGCCCGTGAAACTTTGAACTACTGGTGCTTCGATGTCTTGGTCCGAGACCTAGGTTGTCCCGTCTTGCGAGTGCAGTAGAGAAGACACAGAAGCCTTCCGCGCTCCTCGTTGTTGACATTGATTGACCTGAGGCTCACCGTCACATCTCGTCTCGTCGTGTCCCCCATCTGAGTGAGGCTGCGGTTGGGCCGCAATGTCTTTACAAACCTACATCGACAGTACGCGCTCGAACCCAACCCTGACATCTCATCAAGTCACATAACTAACTGGACATGCTGTGCTTGCAGAAAAGGTGCTAGTCATCACAGTTGACGGTCGCACACTTGTCGGCACCCTCCTCTCCTGCGACCAAGTCACCAACATCGTCCTAAACGACACCGTCGAGCGCATCATCCGTCCCACCGATGACCCAGAACCCAGCTCGCAAGTCAGCCATGGCCTGTACCTTGTAAGAGGTGACAATATCACCATTGTGGGACTGGTGGATGAAGAGTTGGACAACAGCATCGATTGGGAAAAAGTCAGAGGAGAGGTCATTGGAACGACGAAGCATGTGTGAACACGTACAGTCGAAGCTGGGAACACAACTGGTCGAAGCAAACGGAGTCGAAGCTGGTACCTCGACCTTGGAAGGACACTGGAAAGGCTACCTCGGTTACCGAAAAATCATGACTACTGCTACAAGCTGAACGAGCACTGCGCTGAGCGGTGAAAGCTTCGAACGGACGAACCACCGGCGCCATGTTCGCAGCGCAGTCAGACACACAAGGGGCGAAGAAAATGAGCTTGAGCTTGAGCTTGACCTAGTGCCACTGCAATGCAGCGCGAGATCAAGACCATCGACAGCTGAGGTGCTTGTACGCGCTACACTCGGAGATTGAGATGACCAAAGGAGCAGGCACAGGCCTGGGCAAAGGAAGAATCCGTCTCTTCGGATCCAGCCCCAACTCAGTGGCAGCCACTGTTCACAGCACGGCATTCTTGGAGGGTTGAGTTGGTGGTCGCAAGCCCGAGGCCCATTGTTTGTCATAGGAATCGAAGGATGCTACTGTACTTGCAGACGAGGAAGCCGAGTCCCTGATTCCCTGCTGTTGTTGCGGTAGTGGTTGGACAAACAACGATTGGAGCTTCGGTCATCCCTCTCTTGCAAATGCCTCTCTTACTTTGCGCTTCTTGGCCACCGACTCGAGATGCAGCCGCGCAAACAACAGATGAGGTTTTACGACAGACGTCACGCCAAGTGGTCGCCAGACAGGTCATGTCACTTAAAGCTCGATACATCTAGAATAGATATCCCCGTGTAGAGAAGAGAAGAATATGGCTTGCATTGTTCGGCCGATCAGACGGGTTCAAGACGATTCTTCAAGATTTCTATTTTTGTCAACCGCAAATCTAATTAATTCTATTCCAACTGCAGTAGCTCATAGTTGATGTGACCACGGCCAGATCAGTTCTAGTACGTGAAGCGGAAAACAGGGTGATCATCCCCCAGGTTCCTCTTCTCCTCCTCGGGCAAGTTGTACCTGTGGTCCCGACGCCCCTGTTCTCTCAATTTGTTCTCACGCCTGACATAGAAGAGGTAAACGGTCGAGGAGATGACGCACACCCAGATCAAGGCCAACCCGAGACCGAAACCCAACGGGTACTCGGGCGCCTGGCTCGTGATGAACATGTTACTAAGGAAAAAGAGTCAGTCCCTATCATTTCATTTTTGCTTTCTTCTGAACTCGACTTACGATGCAACGATGCCTCCGGTGTTACCCCAGCCAATCATCATGGCGGAACTGATTGAGCGCTTGTAGTGGCCCGAGACGTTGTTTTGCACCCACACCAACGTGGCCGGCTGGGCCGTGAATCCGCCGCCGATGATGGCAAACAGGGCAAAGTACCGGGCGCCCACGACGACTTTGTGCATATTGAGCAAGATGACATAGCCGATCGTGGCCAGGAGGCAGCCGAAAACGACGAAGCCGAAGCGATGGCGGAGTCGGTCGCTCAGGATGGCCGAGGAGATGGTGCAAATCATGGCAAACACATAGATGGGAATCGACATGACTTGAGCACGGATCGAGGTCCAGCCGAGCTGTTTGAGAATGGTGGGTGTGAAGAATGCGCCTGCATAGCCTGTGGTGACTACGCCCAGATACATGAGGATACTGAAGGAGAAATGTTTGTCAGCACCGCGTGGTTGCGTCTTTGTCCACCTGGAAAGGGTCAGTTGTTCGACTTACCCCAGATACATCTTGACATCTGAAAAGATCCGCTTTGCCGTCTTCTTGTCCCAGTGGTTCATGGTGGCTTCCTCCACGTCCATTCTGAGCCGGCGAAGGAGAAGATCGCGCTCGTCGTTTTTCAAAAATTTGGCGTTCTCGGGCCAATCCGGTACGACGAACAAAGCAATTACAGCAGCAACGACGGTGAAAATGCCCTCGATGATGAAAATCCAGGCCCAGCCTCCATACCCGGCTATGCCGTCCATGTGGGCAATGCCATATGCGAGGAGACCGCTGAAAGCGCCCGCGATAACCGAGGCAGAAAAGAAGAGGTTGAATCTCCATTGGAGCTCGTGGCGGCGGTAGTACATGGACAGTAAGTATAGACAGCCAGGGAAGAAACCGGCTTCCAAGGCACCGATGATGACTCGACAGATGACCAGACCCGCGAACGACTTGGTGAGCCCCTGGCAGATGGTGAGGATGCCCCAGAGAATCATGATGCATGGCAGGAAGATGGACGGTCGGATTCTCTTCAGGATCATGTTGGAGGGCACTTCGAGCAGAATGTATGGGACGAAAAACATAAACAGAGCAATGTTGTAGTCGACTCCAGACATGTGAAGATCTTTTTCAAGTCCTTGGATGCGTGCATTTCCGATATTGATCCTGAACAACACATGAGCGAGCTGGATAGGCGATAAAATTGAGGAATGCTGTGGTGTGAACTTACCGATCGATAAAGGCGCACAGAAAGAGGATAAACAGCATAGGCACAAGGTGCAGATCACATTTGCGCAACAATTTCTTCTCGAGGACCGGGTCGATCTCTTGAGCTTCGAGCTTCACGTCGATGCTCACGCCATCGTTGCTGCCGCCGAGAGGAAGATCCTCGATCTCAGACCGGTCCACGACCTTGCCTTTCTCCGCCATGGTCGAAGGTCGGATGGTGGTAACAGCCCGGGCCTTGTGGAAAAAAACACCGGCAAAAAGGAATGGTTTCGAATAAAAAGGCCACAGAGCGGAAAAGCAATGAGACAAAAGAGGCCGAGATGAAACTTCAGAAGATAGGGCACTCACTTGCCCATGGGGTAAGAGGTCGAATTTATTTCTCCCTGACAACACGCTCGCGCTTGTCCTCACAAATGGAAGAGTCAGAGACTATGGAGAACCCCGAACCAGAGCATGGGAGCCGGCCTCTTGTCAAAAGACCCGAGTCCAGATTCCGCTCATGGTGGCGGCGTCTAGTGGATCTTGGAACATTACCTCGGACACATCATATTGGTTCTTCGCCCATCTTACTGGAGACGTCGGCTTGAGCCCGAGATCTAAGTTCCTTGGCTGGACAGGGGACGTGGATTAAGACGGGACCATGCATTATAGACGGCGTCACATACCTCAGACGCCCATGGCTAGCAGAGTCCTCGGGGGGAAAGCCCGAAAGCCTGTGGTATAGACGGACCAGTATTGATATTGGCGATGTGTCAGTAACGTGGTTTGTCATTGTTCCGGCTGTATATCAAAGTCCAAGTCCAAGTCCGTGGTCGTTTGGATAGTGTTGGAACGCACAATGCATGTATGCACGACATACACCAACTCATGAGGCAAGACACCCGAAGGGACCATTGGGGGAAACCACTGAGGGCCAGCATTATTGCAATCCGGAGCATCCCACAACCAGTGGCACCTGGGGCAAACTTTGGGGGAAAATGTCCATCATCTCCATCTCCAGCTTCCCGAACACGAGGCGACCAGGATTTCACTCCGGGGCACCACATACAAGCAAAGCCCACTCGGGGTTGCAAATGCAATCAACGATGCCGACCCGTGCCCTCCGCGTACGGTAAGTTGTAGTAGCTCAGGGGGTATACCCGTCTATCCAATCATATCGTCCAGATTTCACCGAGGCGTAGGCTATTGGCAAACGGGCGGTTGATTTGGCCAATAGCAAGTTATCCAGAGGAACATGCGGAATTGTGCATTCTGTTGGGACGGAACTAGACCGCCCCTTTCTGAGTATCTGGTTGGCTGCACACACCGCCCATTCCGAGTCCTGCCAGTGCCTATAACAATCTGCAATCCGACTCGTTGAGGCGTGGGCAAAAAGTGCTTGATTGGTGGCGAATTGACTGGCCGTGCCGTCCGTGAGCCCACGCCCTCGACCCATGGGTATGGACAGGATACAAAGTAGTCCCGGACTTTCATTCGTACAGCATGAGCGAGCATCAATACGGGGAATGTGAAGATAATATCCTCCTCTCACTACTACTCGACTTGAGCTTGCGCTTGTTGTGGAGATACATCATATCCGCCGGAAAGTTGAAGACACGTGGTGGGTCAGTTTGGGAATCCTGGAGTTTGGCGCCGAGCTGCCAGTGAAAGAAGAAGCCCATATGCTGTACTACAGTTGTATACCCACTGTATGTCCCCGCGTGGGGTGAATTCAAGGTTGATGGAGGCCATACGAGTCAGTCCACGGTGTCCGCGGGGCCCGGCCGTCGCTATCACTTGCTTTCTCTACTTGAAGGAGAAGGATTTTCAGCAGAACCTGGGGACGCCGGGTCGGAAAGTTGCAAACGACTCCTTGACCTTGATTGCTTACATGTGCGAGTACCATGGAGAATGCTAAGAGTATTCTTGGGCCGTTATGGAAATGTGAGCTCTTTGATACCAGCACAGTCCTGTACAAACAGACATGGGAGACGACATACAGGACTACCAACGTCTAACTTGGCCTGCTTCCCTGCACGTCTCCATTGGGCATCCCGGTTCGCCATCCATGCGAATGGTGCTGTAGACTATCGAGGGACATCGAAGGTAGCATACCAGGGAGAGAAGGTTTACTGTTTAGCTAACATTGTATATCAGGTCCTATGTTCATTTTACCTTCTTCGGGACCCACTAATATTAAATCTGACCTTTTTTTTGTCTTGGCCACACCACTGTTATACAGTCAAAGATGCCATGCACTGCAGCTCTACAAGGTACTCTCTACACAGGATTCCGACAACTTGAACACTGTACAACTCATTCAGCGGACCGGATCCTGTGGACAGTCATATGTGCCGGGAACTTCATCTGTTCAATAATGTCTGCCTTTTTGACCGCATAACTTCACCTCTCTCGAGATCTACCAGCCACATAATCAACAGCTCTACAGAGCTGTGCTGTCATAGTCTATCTGTTTTCCTAGTCTAAAAATAAGTCTAAAAATAAGCCACCACGCCACGGCCATGCATAATAATAAGTGACAGAGACTAAAAATGCAAAAACAAACCCCAAAATGTGACGACGGCAGGGGTCGAACCTGCAATCTCTTGATCCCAACGAATCGTAGTCAAGCGCCTTGCCATTGGGCCACGCCGCCGAGGAGGTGAAAGCTTGAGAAACCCAGAAGGGAAGTGGGCGAATTGAGGGCGGATTTTGGCGAATAGGCAAGATTAGAATTTTTAAAAAAAAAACTCTCTGCTTACTCCACAATGATCTTGCCCAACAAACCCTCCCATGGCTTGAGTGAAATCTTGCCCTTGACTGGCTTGTCCGGCTGGGCTCGTTGGTAGTTGCTGCAATCCCAGAAGTCCACCTTCAGCGACTCTGGGAGAGACCAGTCGACATCTTTGCCGGAGAAGTTCATGACAACCAGCCAGCGCTCGGCGCCATTGGCACTGGTGCGGAGGTAGGCAAAGACGTCCGGGTCTTCATGGACGACCTCCTCGTAGTCACCATAAACAAAAACGTCGGCGTGCTTCTTGCGATGTTGGATGCTCCGCTGCCAGAACTGCAAGGTCGACAGCTCGTTGGGGTTGTTCGCATTCAGCTGGTCTTCGACATTGATGCCTTCCTTGTAGTCGTCCATGACGCGCATCCAGGGCTGGACGCCCGGCGGACAGAAACCGGCATTCTCGGACCGGTTCCACTGCATCGGTGTACGGGCATGGTCGCGGGCCTTCATCTGGATGATGCGCTTGGCATGGTCGAGCTGCTTGGAGTCGTCGCCGTGCAGTTGCTGCACCTTCTTCCAGTAATTCTGGGTCTCAATATCTTTGTACTCGCCGACGTCCCACTCGAGCGGTGCATTGCGCATGCCGATTTCTTCACCCTGATACACAAACAAAGTGCCGCCCAGGGTGGTCAGCATCAGAGCCAACAGTTTGGCGCCTTTGTCGCGCACTGGTTTGGCGTCGTCGACGTATCGGCTCACGCTGCGTGGGTTGTCGTGGTTCTCAATGAACACCGAGTTCCAACCATCCCGGTCAATCATCGTCCGCTGCCATCGGCTCACGATCGATTTCAGTTCCTTGACGTCCCACGGTTTCAGCGCCATGCGCACGTTCGGCTTGTCAATATCCACGACGTCAAAGATGAAAATCATGTTCAATTCCCCGGCGTGTGAGCCTACTGTGCGCAAGATCTCGTCCGGATCCGAGATGCCAGGCATCTCACCGACCGTGATCGTCTCGTAATGCGATAGCACTTTTTGATTCATTTCGTGGAGGTACTCATGCATCCTTGGTCCATTCACGAAGAATTGCGATCCGGGCTGGTACTTGTGACTGATCGGATCCAACGTCGGCGGAGCATCAGGGTAAGTGGGTACTTTCGAGATCATGTTGATCACGTCCATGCGGAAACCAGCCACGCCACGGTCAAGCCAGAACCGCATCACGTCCCAAACGGCTTCGCGGACTTCAGGATTCTCCCAATTCAAGTCTGGCTGATCGGGTGTGAACAACGACAGGTAGTACTCGCCGGTCGTGTTATCGTACGTCCAGGCCGAGTTGGCTTCGCCTAGAATCTGAGCCCAGTTGTTAGGTGGTTCGGGCACACCACTCTCGCTGACGGACCTGGGTGGTTTCCAGATGTACCAGTGTCGCTTCGGGTTGTCCTTGGACGATCTGCTCTCTAGGAACCAAGGGTGTTGATTCGAGGTGTGGTTGACAACCAAGTCCATCATCAGCTTCATGTCTCGCTTCTTCAGCTCGGCAATGAGCTCGTCCACGTCTTCTAGCGTGCCATACATCGGGTCAATGGCCTTGTAGTCGGAGATGTCGTACCCCATGTCCGCCTGGGGCGACTTGTAGATAGGGCTTGTCCATATCACATCAACTCCAAGGCTCTTCAGATAGTCCAGCCTCGAAGTGATACCCTTGACATCTCCCCAGCCATCACCGTTGGAGTCTTGGAACGAGGATGGATACACTTGGTACACGACCGACTCTTTCCACCATTTTGGCTGCGCGTAGTGGTAGTCGAACTTTTCGGTCTTCTCGGACAGGGTCGTGGCTGTAGACGTAGGTGTGGATGCGGCAGGAGTTGCAGAGGAGGAGGACATTGGATTGGAGGGAACGAGGATTGAAGGTTGAGGGTGATTAGAAACGAACTTAGCGCCCTATGTGTTCTGTCGTAGTAACTCACCGGTGAAAATTAAGCAACAGGAGCTTGGGAGATGGCATTTATTCTTGTTCTGGCGTCGTGAAAGTGACGGTGAGCGAATGTCTCCGTCGTCCACGAAATCGAAGTCGAGTTTCTTTGCGTTTCGGCGAGAGATTCGCCGACGTGTCGTCATTGCTCAATGCGGAAGTCTAGCCGACACTCACGTGATTTGAGTTTTTCTGGCGGTTTCTCGCATCGTGAAGAAACTTGCACCGTTCAACATTTTGTAAACAACAAGGTATCTGGGTATGTGCACTGCAGTGGTCTACAATGTACTGGTGACAAGCGCTCAGTACCATCTGGATGGTGCAGTGTCCGGGCGTGTTGGGTCCTGTATCGTCATGGCCTTGAAGGTGCAATGCCAGGCACGAGGGCAACTTGATTGCCGACACGCTGGACCCGGACCCTTTGCCGGCCTGAATGACGGCCTGCACCCTGTATTCCACCTCTGTACATTGTATGTTGTATATCCTTGTCAACAACAGAGTATCCCGTGGACAAGGACAATCAAGACTCTCGCCTGGAGCCAGCTGAACCGATATTTATCCCACCAAACTCGTCTGTCGTTGATTGGCAAATCAGATGGCGCATTTCTCGATACCCCGCGACCCCCCTCGCCTTCGGAAAACCCAGGTGGACACAACGGAATTGCTCCGAACAGCCTCTGTGTCAACTGTGATGTACGCTGGTGTTTGAATTCATTTCCTAGTTGGTAGATTTTGAGCAGGAATCAATATATCAGATCGTTTACTCGCATTGAGACGGCGCCTTCATTATTCAAAGAAGCAAGAAAACAATTCACCATGGCGCCTCTGAAGTCCTGGTTTCCCATCCCAAAGTCCAGCCATTTCTCACTGGCAAATCTGCCTTTCGGCATCATCTCAACAGCAGGGAAACCTACGCCTCGAGCAGCCGTAGCTATTGGTGACCATTGCCTGGACCTTCAAGAGTTCTCATCCTCAGGAGCCTTTCAGCCTCTGGGTTTCGATGCGTCTGTGTTTTCAAAGCCTACGCTGAACGACTTTGCCGCCTTGGGCAGACCGGTCCATCGGGCCGTGAGGAAGTATCTGCAGGATGTTTTTGCGGAGAACACATCAATCCCGGAAGTCTTGCAGCGCAACAAGGAGTTGCAGGAGAGGTCATTGATCCGACGTGACCAAGTCACAATGCACATGCCTATGCATATTGGCGACTACACCGACTTCTACGCCGGCAAGAACCACGCCTTTAATGTGGGCTGTCTGTTCAGAGGGCCTGACAATGCCCTACAACCCAACTACACGCATTTGCCTGTGGGTTACCATGGTCGAGCATCATCTGTGGTGGTCTCGGGCACGCCTATCACCAGACCCAATGGTCAAATCCTGGAGAACCCGGCCGCTACTCCCAAAGCGCCGACCTTCAGCCCTTGCAGACGTCTGGATATCGAGTTAGAACTCGGAGCCTTTGTCTGCAAAGGAAATGCCATGGGCACCAACATCCCCATTTCTGAAGCTGCCGACCACATCTTCGGCTTCGTCCTGCTCAATGACTGGTCTGCACGAGACATTCAAGCTTGGGAATATGTGCCGCTGGGCCCGTTCCTGGCCAAGAACTTCGGATCGACCATCAGCCCCTGGGTGGTGCTGACCGACGCATTGGAGCCATTCCGAACCACCGGAATTCCCAACGAGACGAAACTCCTGCCTTATCTTCAGGAGAAAGAGGAAAAGAATGTCTATGATATCCGCCTGCAGGTGGACATTATACGTAAGTTGATATGATCAGTTTTAAGCATTCGGGAACTAATATAGAGCAACAACAGCCGAGGGCAAAGAGCCAACTACCATCTTGAACTCCAATGGGCGACACTTGCTCTTCTCGTTTGCCCAGATGCTTGCCCACCATACGATTGGCGGTTGCCCAATGGCGCCGGGCGACTTGTTAGGGTCTGGCACCATCAGTGGAAAGGAGCCAGGCACGGAGGGCAGCATGCTAGAAATCACCCAGGGCGGAAAGCAAGCCATCAAGCTGAACGGCGGAGTCGAGCGGAAATTCTTGGAGGATGGAGACACCATCACTTTCTACGGCGTTGCCGGCACGGAAGAGACTGGTCTGGTGGGCTTCGGTGAATGCTCGGGCAAGATTCTGCCAGCACCCAAGATATGAACGGAATTATGATGCCAGGAGCAGCTGCCATGTACTAGAGCTCAGCCCTGGCCCGGCACCACGGGTGCCTGAAATCGGGATTGATAGATTGACGAGAGGATCCATACGCACAAAAGCTAGATTGACTTGGGCAGTACCAACAGGATGGGTCCGGAGACGGCCCGATGTATGGAGATTGAGTCCTGGGTATCCTGTGTACCTACAACGTACATTGTACATTGTAGATTCAGCAGTAGTAGGAGTAGGTAGCGGTGGTGTGGAGGAGAATGTGAGAGCCATGCTGAGCCTCGTCAATTCCGCCATGGACCCCGGTGGATGCCCCCCTGGTCCTCTCGCCTTCATACACGAGCCAATCACACGATTTCTATTATCCTCCAGGACAGGCTGATCTTCCCCAGACTCACCAAACCCCTTGCCTGGACTTTGCCTCGTCTTCGCCCCATCCACGCCCGTCAACGTAGCTCTTGGCTGGTAGCCCTGCCACGGGCATATTTCCGCCGTCTAGACGTCGCACTGGCCAGTGCTACAGCGGTGTCCAACGTCTCCCCGCCTTTCGTGTCTATCTGCGGGATGCTCGGTTACCCCTCCAGAAAATCATGGCACGAATGGGCAGTCACCAAAGAGTATCTAGCCCATCAGATGGTGCCGAAGGTAAGCGACAGGTTGCAAGGTCTCAGCGTGATCCCACCTTCATCACCGAGTTTCGTCCAGCATGACATCGACTAGATGAATCGAGGTGAGTGAAAAGATGAGGATATATTGAGACCCTCCCTTCACGCCTCATCGGTATCTGGTAATACCATCCATCATTTTTCGTTCCTGCTTCATTATCATCACTACTTCAGGAACTTAGTGACTCAGGAGTGCTTTTTTTCTCGAGACCTGCAGCCTCGTTAGGCAACACTCGAAGAAGCAGATCACCCAAGCACATATATACCCGGTTCAATAGTGGGCGAGCGGAATCTTCCATCAGGACATCTTATCTACTATACCCCTTTCAACCAATAAGTCCAGCCTATCAATATTCCAAAATGTTCGTGACGCTGTCGCCCACGACACTCTCATTCATCCTCCTCACCCTCGGATACTTCCTCATCAAGTACCTCAACTCCACCGACCAACCAAAGATCAAAGGTCTTCCTGAAATCCCCGGCGTGCCCTTGTTCGGAAACCTGCTCCAGCTGGGTCAGGACCATGCGAGAGTGACGGCAAAATGGGCCAAGGAGTACGGCTGGCCTGTGTTCCAGACCAGACTGGGCAACCGCCGCATTGTCTGGGCCAACACATTTGACTCTGTCAAGCACCTCTGGATCACGAACCAATCGGCCTTGATCTCTCGACCTACATTGTATACTTTCCACAATGTCGTCTCGAGCAGCCAGGGATTCACCATCGGCACGTCTCCCTGGGACGAGTCATGCAAGCGGCGCCGCAAGGTGGCGGCCACGGCCTTGAACAAGCCAGCCGTCCAGAGCTACATGCCTTTCATCGACTTGGAAAGCTGCGTCGCCATCCGGGACATGTACAAGGACTGCAAGGATGGAACGGTTGATCTGGACCCGCGAAAGTACTTCCACCGCTTTGCGCTGAACACCAGTCTGACGCTTAACTATGGTATCCGGATCGACGGAGGCATTGACCAGGAATTACTCCGAGAAGGTTAGTTTGTTATCCCCTCGTCTATATCCGTTTCCATGATGGAACTGTTCGAATCGATTCGGGCTTTTGAGTTGCATTGCTAACATGATGGTGAAATAACGCAGTGGTGCACGTTGAACGGGTGGTGTCGAATTTCCGCAGCACCTCCAACAACTGGCAAGACTACATTCCACTGCTGCGACTGCCGTTCATATCACGGCAGAACAAATCGGCAGTCGAGTACCGCGAACGACGGGACCGGTACCTGACGATATTCCTGAACATGCTCAAGGAACGCATCGCCAACGGCACGGACAAGCCGTGCATCACGGGCAACATCATCAAAGACCCCGAGGAGACGCTGAACGAGGCAGAACTGAAGAGTATCTGTCTGACCATGGTGTCGGCAGGCATCGACACCGTGCCTGGAAACATGATCATGGGTCTTGGTTATCTGGCGTCGCCGCAGGGCCAGCAGATCCAGAAAAAGGCCTACGAGGAGATCATGAAAGTGTATCCCAACGACGGCGAGGCGTGGGAGAAGTGTCTGCTCGAGGAGAAGGTGCCGTACATCACGGCACTGACTAAGGAGATTTTGCGGTTTTTCACCGTCATTCCCGTGTGTCTGCCACGCACCAGCATCAAGGACATCAAGTATAATGATACCGTCATCCCCGCCGGCACCACTTTCTACATGAACGCCTGGGCGGCCGACTACGACGAGAAACACTTCAAGGATCCAGCACAGTTCATCCCGGAGCGATACCTGCATGATCAGGAGGGCAGCGGCACCCCGCATTACGCCTACGGTGCCGGCAGCAGAATGTGTGTCGGCTCGCATTTGGCCAACCGTGAGATCTATACTGCCTTCTTGCGCATGATTGTCGCCTTCGAGTTCGTCCCCGCGAAGGACCCCAAGGACTGGCCCATCCTCGACGCCCTCGAGTGCAATTCCATCCCCACCGCCTTGACCACCGAGCCCAAACCGTTTAAGGTCGGCTTCAGGATTAGGGATAAGGCTGCCTTGGATCGCTGGATCAAAGCTTCCGAGGAGAGGACCAAGGATTTGTAAGGAGAAGCAACCAACCAAAAAAAAGATGAAAGGTATCAGTGCACCAGTCGTTTGCGATATGGATGGGGAGCAGATTGGATGGTGCTGCATTGTGGCGTGTTTGATTTCGTTCGAAAACTATCTCAGCCGCACAATTTGCCGGCGGTGGATTGCATGAAGTCCATGAGTGACCATACTAGTACCTACAGCAGGTGGCATGCGCGTTCCTCTATCGCAAAAATGGAATCAACTCTAATTTCAATGTCATGATTGCTGTTATAAAGACTGTGGTCGTACAAACAGATAGTAGAGTCATATCCGAGCCTTATGATCGGACTTTCCTGGCAGCTGACATGCTAGGTACCTGTTCGGCCCTGCAATGGCGAGCAAGTGCCAACTCATTGCACTGTTGTTGCGTTGCGTGTAGCCAGCGACTGTCGTCACGATATTGTCCGTGTACCTGAGGTATCTACTACTGGTAGCAGTAGTATGGGTGACAGCACTGTTATTCCAAACGGCGCAGCCGGCTGTAGTAGTAAGTACCATCGGTACGCTCACCCTCACATCTCTTCAACTTGGTCCATGACACCTAACTATACAACGATGATGATACAGATATTCTTTTCCAACTCTTCCTCATGACCTGACTTCCGCCCATCAGTACAGTATCCCCTCCATTCGACCTACCTGCCTACCTTATCCCCCGACCTAGACATACCGACCAACCTCCCGCTCGTCCTGGTCTGCTTCCACTATCGCTCCCCACAGTGCCTGGTTGCAGCTCGACTCGTCTGTACGTCGTATGAGTCCAGCCATTCGCGTCACTGCGGGTGGCGACCATAACTTCGACACCTAACAGTGTGGCTCGCACTGTACCTCACCCCACTATGTCAAGTCGACCAAGGTGTTACTCAACGCAGCCGGTCAGCTGGTGGCACCGTAACGAAGTCATCCAAGTCACAGTGGACTCATTGGAAGAACGGACAAGAAGGCGGAAAATGAGTAGCGCGTATGGTGAGTGTACCCGAGCACAAGCAAAAAGCCAACATTTCACCATACCATGCCCTGGGATTATGAAGCCTGCTCGATCACCTCGTCCTCCCTGCGGTGTAGTGCTTGTTCAGTGCATTTCTGGACCTTTGGGTTAAGCATCATTAGCTTATCCATCACAACGTGGCCCAGATGCACCTCGCTGTCTTCCTGTGTGCCATCTCTGTTCCGCATTGTCTAGCAATGGTGTGGCCTGCCTGTGTACGCCGAGAGCAGCAGACCGTGGCAAGCGGGAACCTACCGTTGACTGCTGGAAAGCAATAGCAAAAGCAAATGAAAACACGAACCAAAATCCATACACTGCCGGTGTACAGTCGCAAGAGTCGGTTGGCCATATCGGCAGCTCTGGACCACTGAGAATTGCTGTTAGCCACCAGGGCCCGTTGGTACTACGCGCTGGTTGCATGATTTCCCCGGATCTTGAGAGCTAGCAGATTTGCCACCGTCTGATACAGGAATGGGCAGGATCTTTCGCGATAACGAGCACCACAAGGTTTGATAGAGCGTGTGTGCAAGGGTTGGATCCCCGACAAGGGAGCGTGTTCAACGCTTTTTGGCTTTCCCACGATCGACCATCAAACGGACAGCTCCGAGGCGACATCGTGGTGTCGAAGACTGATTTCAAGCTCTTCTAGAACTCGGACAACCCATGAATTGGATCTTGGCGTCATTGATATCTGCGACCGGGAGAGATATGGCAGACCCTGTGACGGGAGCATGCCGCCAGTTCCATCGGCTTGCGCAATGCCCGCGAAATAATGCAGTTTGTGGGTGTGGACTTCAACGCTGCCACTGCAGCGGCTGCCAGTGTTGAGGCCGTCCAAGCTCGCTGCAACCCTCCCATTTGTCGACGCTACATGGATGCTCAAAGACTACAACGCCGTACAATGCTAAGCCCTCCACGGACTATCCGGGCGTCTCATGTCGACCTTCAGGCATACCGTCACCCTCCATTTCAGGCTTGCCCAGTGCGAGTTGTGCCCTGCGTGGCCCCTGGGCACCCGGCCGAAGCAAGCGTCAACCAAGTAGAACGAAGTCGACAGCCCCCGAGTGATGCCCCGTATTGTCGGCCTGTGTTTATTTTTGAAACCGGACAGTTGATCTTTCGACCAGGCGCTCAAACACAGCCGTAACATGTCAGAAGCAAGACAGGATTTCGGACATGTTGGCATGCTGCGGCAGCTGCAGCATTCAGCCTCAATCATGCCTCACCACCACCGCGAGCTCAGGGTTGAGGGATGCGCTGAGGCGCCAGCAATCAGACTGGCCTGCCGTCTGCCGAAGTGTAATAATAATGCTGTGTTGAGCGCTTTTTGGGGAGTGGCAGGTTCGCGGGAGAGTCGGCACGGAGTCGGTGGACAGCCTGAATCGGCGCCTCGGGGTCTGCTGCTGGGCTAGGGAGGCACTCTGGGCACGCCTAACAGCCTGGAACTTGAACGCCCGCAACTGGCTCTGCCCAGCTGCAATCCTGCCGCTGGCGTCACTCCCGTGATATTGCGACCCTTATTGGCCCTGGCTTCCCTAGCCACCCACTGCAAACGTCCCGCTTCATGGCAACTCGAAAGTTCGCCCACCTGCGATCTCTCTGCTGTCTGGTTGTGGGAAAAAGCTACGCCTTATTCCGCCATCCATGCCATCGTCGGCCCGTCCTCGATCGTCGTTGAACCATTCACATCGCTTGTCTGCCGCTCCATCCATCCATCTCCATCCCACCCACCCTTTTCCCTTCCGTGTCATGTACGGCGTTTCGTCGCATTTGTTCGCTCTTTCGGAGGCCGTCCGCCCCATCCTGGAGAGTGGATGGATGGATCCCTCTGATGCCCATCTTTCGCTTCTGGCGGCACCTGCGTAGGCCCAGGACCCTTTCGGATTTCCTTCATATTGCTGCCCACGGAATCAATCCTCACTTACCTCAACCCATTCCGCACTCTCCCCTCTTCTGAGATCAGTCGATGAATTTACGCGTTTGTACCAGGTGACCCAGCGACAATACCGCCCTTCATGCAGGGCCTCAAACGTTTGCAGGAAGCCATCGAGCGGCACCGTGAGAACAAGGACATCAACATCAAGTACAAAACTCCCCTCACTGGTAAGTTTGGTTCTGCAGCTGCTCCTCTTCAACCCCCAAAGTCCAACTGCAACCTCGGACACCTTACGACTCCACCTCGTCTGCCACTATTATATGGTATACTGACGTCCCTCTGCGCCATTCCAGTTCGCAACGTAAGCACCTTTACCGACGAACAAGCCATCGACGATGCCTGTAACCCAGTTCGCTGTGACCGATACGTACGAATATCTGAATGGGTTCGGGGGATACAAAGAGTAAAGCTCATCGGGCCGCCGTTCTCTTGCGTATCTATACTAATGGTTTTCACAGGAGTGAGGCTATAAAGGGTGCATTGCCGCTGGCGGCTAATTCGCCTCAAAAATGCCCCTACGGGTTGTATAATGAGAAGTTCTCGGGAACCGCCTTTACTGCGCCGAGAGACGAGAACCAGCAGACATGGCTCTATCGCATCCTGCCATCGGCTAGCCACCAGAACTTCGAACCCGTGCCATCCACCTCGAACGAGTCGTTGTCCACTCCCACTCCCAGCTTCGGTACCCACTTCCACGCCATTCCCAACCAGTTGCGATGGGACCCCTTTGATTTCGACAAGGAGGTGTCGTGGATCCATTCCCTGCACCTGGTGGCCGGCGCAGGTGATCCGACCATGAAACAAGGGATTGGCATCTACATCTATGCGGCTGGCGCCAGCATGCCCGAGAAGACGGCCTTCTACAGCGCAGACGGAGACTTCTTGATTGTTCCACAACATGGGGTCCTCGACATCCGCACTGAATTTGGCAAGATCCTGGTGCGACCCAATGAAATCTGCGTCATTCCGCGGGGTGTGCGGTATCACGTTACACTGAAAGATGGGGAACCCGTACGAGGATACATTCTGGAACTCTACGAGGGCCACTTCAAGTTACCCGAGTTGGGTCCGATTGGGTCAAACGGGCTGGCCAACGCACGAGACTTCCAGTCACCCGTGGCCGACTTCATCGAGGACTACGAAAACACCGAATGGACGCTGTACGGCAAGTTTGCAGGCAACCTGTTTGCGGCCAAGCAGTCACACACTCCCTTTGACGTGGTGGCCTGGCACGGCACATACTACCCGTACAAGTACGACCTTGGCCGCTTCAACGCCGTCGGTAGCATCTCCTACGATCACCCTGACCCGTCCATTTTTACCGTTCTTTCCGCGCCATCGCATGCCCAAGGCCCCGGCACAGCGGTGGCCGACTTTGTCATATTCCCTCCTCGGTGGCTGGTCGCCGAAAAGACTTTCCGACCCCCGTGGTACCATCGTAACACCATGTCTGAGTTCATGGGGCTCATCATGGGCAATTATGATGCCAAGGGTGCTGGAAAGGGAGGGTTCCAGCCGGCTGGAGCTAGTTTACATAATACCATGAGTGGTCATGGACCAGACATGCAGACCTTTGAAAAGGCGTCAACAATGGATTTGCCGCCACAAAAGGTGGGCGAGGGGAGCATGGCGTTCATGTTTGAGAGTTGTTTGATGGTTGGCGTTACAGAATGGGGCTTGAAGACATGTCAAAAGGTGCAAAAGGTGAGCTTACCCCAGCGACAGCGACTTGGGAACCGAACATACACTAACGTCATTGTGCAGGAATATAATGCTCACTCGTGGGAACCCTTGAAGGTGCATTTCAAGCGACCGGAGTCGTCTGAGGTGGTGGCCAATGGCCACGAGAAGGAGAAGAAGTGAGGGAACCAGTCACTTAGCAGTTGGGAGAGATAGTGTCAGATACCAGTATACCTTGGTTATTGGTATAAAAATGTCATATCGCCCTGAGCAACAGACACATGTCTTTATCCTGGACCGTGAGCCGTTATTGTACGCTCAAACGCGGAATGTCCGTGTTCTTCCCACTCTCTTGCGAAATCCCGGTGCACATGCACGAGTTGAAGGCGACAGTGAAAGTCATTCAACGGCCAGGTGTTGCAATTCGGTAATCCTTCTCTTTTGACTAGAAGTGGCAGGCTACTAGACTTCGAATTCCAGCATGAACCACTAGCCGTTGCTGCCAGCGGCGCGGTGCTAGCGTTGGATGTGTGAGTGTATCCCGAGGTTGTAACTGGGCGCTGGAGACATAAACTCGTGCTAGTCTAATCAGGGGTCTCTAAATCATGACACGAGGCCCTACACCATGTTGGGACGTGAGTTTCACCCGCAGAGTGCCAATCACATCCATCACGCTCTACACGTGTGATTCTGTCGCGGCGGGATGTTCTTGCACCTCGACACTGGCCTCGTCCACGAGAATGTCGAGTTCAGGGTGCTCCTCCAGATCCTGCTGCTCCATCCTATCATGGACCACCCACTGCACACGAGGGCCGTTGGCTCGAATGGCGAGTGTCGTGTGCTCCTACACGTGCCCATATCCTCCCGCCTGGACGACTTGTCTGTTCGACTACAACCATGGGGGTTGTCTTTCCTGAGACCGGCCTATTTACTGCCTTGAATCTCTGCCTTTGCACTGTTTCTCTCCTTTGTTCCTGTTGTCCCTCAGAATGTGTGTTAGCAGTCACATTCCCCAGTCCGCTTCTCCTTTGGCCTGTATCTTGCTCTATTAGACCGTCTCCCAAATTATAACAGAAGAACCACCCCCCTGCTTCCTCCGCAGGACCAACTCTCGCTTGTTGCCCTACCACGAAACGGCCCCAATTGACCAAAGAAAGCTGTCCAGCGGACGGCTGCTGCCTGCGAAAAGCTGCCCGTCTGTTGTTCGCGAAGTAAAACCTGACACAGTCTGATTTCGTTGCGTTCCGTTCCTGTTCGGGCCATTTGGCGTTCTCTGTTGCCCAGGATGCCTCGACCACGTCCTCCACCAACCCCGACCAGCTCGACCGACCTGAAGGCGGTGGAAAAGACCAGCCAAAACTCGGACATGGAGGCAGTGTTTGCTCTACCTCCTCCAGCATTGCGTTCGGCGGCCGAGAGTGAATACCTGCGCCGTGACTCCAAGTCCTCAACCACGGGAGCAGCGAGTACTGGTACCGGCATCGGCGTGCCGCCCTTTCAGACCACTCCTCCCATTTCACCGCAGGAAAAGCCGCTCAGTTCGAGTCCTCGGCATAAACGAACGGCCTCTGGCGCCATCAAATCCCAATCCATCGCTGCTGCCAGTCAACAACAGCCAAAATCCAACAACACACAGACAAATGGATCGTCCTACTCGCTTCCTCCACCCCCCAGTCGCGCCCGGAAGATCATCCAGATGAAGCCCAAGTCGACAAAGACGAGCGCTGCCTCCGAGACCAGCGATTCAAGCTACCATCTTCCAGCGTCGACCACGGCTGCTACCGCTGCTGCTTCGAATCCGTCAACTGCCAAATCTTCCGGCGCTGCGGCCAACTCGAAAAAGGGCGGCAAGCAGCCTTCGGCCACCAGTGCCGCAGGGCGAAAGATTGCCCGAAAGACCGCACACAGCATCATCGAGCGACGTCGCCGGAGTAAAATGAATGAAGAGTTTGGAGTCCTCAAAGACATGATCCCGGCCTGTGAAGGCGTCGAAATGCACAAGCTGGCCATCCTCCAGGCGGGCATCGAATACGTCCGATATCTGGAAGGATGTGTGGCACAACTCAAAGCCGAGAATGAAAACAAGAGCCGGCTGGAACTGGCTCCTCCGAGGCACCAGCAGCAGCAACAAATTGACATGGCTGAGGATCAGCCCAGTGAAGATGATGACGAGGACGACGCTGGTGACGGACCCCAGTCTGTTTCTTCATTTGGGAGACGGCAGAGCAGCCGGCAGCAGAGCAGTCACTGGGCCGGTAAAGATGAATGGTCTCTCCGAGACTCGCGCAAATCATCGGCTGCGTCACGCGGCAGTACCAGCACCAGCACCAGCTCGTCGTATCCGTCGCCATATACGCAGCCACAGGGAAGTAGCAAACGCCGCATTCTCCCGGCCTCTGCCTCTGGCACAACCTCCATTGCCGCCTCGCCGCTTCAGATGCCGATGAATTCTCAGTCCGGTGCTACCAGCTCCGGAACTCCAACGCCTACGCTGTTAAGTCCAGCGTTGAACGCCATCCACTTCAGCCCTGAAGACCAACAAGGTCGTCACGGTTCTGCTCAGATGAAACCCAGTTCAGGCATCATGACCACACCAGCAGATGCTGTAGGGTCATTGCCATCGACATCCAGCTCATGGGCAACCGTCAACCATCAGTCTTTGTCTTCAGAACCAAGTCCCAATATGCAACCTCTTCCATCGCCCAAGGCAGCAGTGCATGTGCCTCTGTCTCAATCTCATTCTCATTCTGCCGCTGCTGCACGCCACTCCGTGTCCGGGACGTTACAGCTCCCTCAAACAGACGCCGCCGATGCTAGGGGTCGATCTCCCGGCGCGGTGAGCGATGTGTCGGCCACTGCCGAGGCTACCGCCAGCGCTGCATTGATGATGCTCACCAATGAGTGGAGGGGCGGTGGCAGAAATGCTTCTGTCAGCGTCAGCACCGTTCATCCTGGTGCTGACAGTCGAGATAGATCAAAAGGCATGAGCGTGAGGGATCTGTTGAGTTCTTGAAATAGACACAAAGTTGACATGCGGCACCTTGTATTGGACACATGTTTTGTTTGATGTTGAGATGATGAAGATCCAGAAAACAGACTGCCTATGGATTTTGTAGATATACTGACTGGGTTCGGGGTTGGCAACAAGGACATTCATGCAATGCATTGGGGACTTATTATACTCAGTACGATTCTAAAAGTGTATTTATTTTGATGATATAGATCTGCGACAGAGCAATCTGGGAAAGAATGTCAAGCCTCGATCCAGTCTAATCGTTTATGAGGTGACTGCCTAATTACAAGGCCGAGTGACCAAGGACATTGTCGTGTAGTTTGTGCAACTAGGTCCTGTACAAACGTTTCACGTATGTCCTTGTTCGCGTGAACAGCACCTAGGTGAAAGCTTGCTGGCTACTGGCCGAGTCAGCAAGGCTGTGTGCCGTTGAAGTCACAGTACTGTACCTCGTAGTCTTGAACTAAGGTACGGTAGATGTGAAATTGCAGACTGCAGTAGGTCAATGGCCCAACTTGGTTGCAGGGATGGCTGGAGGGATGTAATAACTAACATACTATTAGGTAGTATATTTGCATCTCGACATGTAAATCTGCCGTCACTGTCTCCCCTTCCTAGTTCGTAGAGAGCGTACCTATATGTATCATCCATCTATCTTCTACCTGATAAACCTGTCTAATGAATAGTCCTTGCAATTGCGCCAGTTTCTAGCCGCCCCCATCCAATGTATTAATTCGATCCCTCAGACCATGGCTCTGGCATACCGACACTGTAACCCTCACGCCGCTGACGTTCTAGCCAATAATGCCTGAAGAAGTAGAGAAGTTCTCTAATCAAATAGTACAAACCCATGTGCACCTTGTATTTGCTGCCCTTTCCATTCAGTCCATGGCTTTCTTGCTCTGCTTCGTCCTCAACTTCATCAACAGATAGACGAGAGCATATGAACTGAAAACAAAAATGACAACAATCGCAGCATCCCGCCATCCATCATACTTGTGTTTCAGATTCAAAGTGTACAGATAATCCGCGCCGGTCTTGAACTCGCACACGCGACATCCACCTGTGTCATCCGGATTGACCAGATTGGCGAGCAGACCCCTCGGACTGGACAGATAGTCACCCAGATACTCGCGGCAAGTCATATTGCCGGGAGTGTCGAAGCGGGCGAATTCCCTCTCTTTACATTTGACATCGGTGTCCCAGACATCGAAAACCAACAACGAGCCCATCAAGTAATTGAACGGGTTAAGCCAGTACATCCAGTACCGCCAGAAGGCCTGGATTTGTTCGTAGGGCACCAAAGTACCGCAGAAGGAAACCAAAGTGCCAATGATGAGCGGGTTGACCAGCGAGGCAAAGACGGCGTTGGGGGCATATGCGGCGATGAACTGGCCGATGCCCGTGTACAGAAACTCGTAGAAGAGCATGACGAAGAAAGTACTTCCGGCGCTCCAGCTGTTGTTGGGAAACCCCACAGTATAGTACCAGCAGACAAAGTACAAGACGGCACAGACGACCAAATAGGGCAACTCGGACACAATCAGGGCAGTGACAAATGCCTTCCAGTCGTACATTTTGGCCTTCTTCTCGCGCGTCTCGAAGATGTCGCGGCGCTCGATGAACAGTGGCTGCAACTGGTTGATGACCCCGGGTGCCACGAAGATGAATTGGAAGATGGTGAATAGCTTCAGCTGCAGCTCGCCCACGCCAGAGCCGATCATCCAGAATGAAAACCCGTTGAACAGAGCCGACGAAATGTGCAGCGCGAACTTGTTGTTGGTGTAGTCGACGTTGCGGTACAAGGCCAGGTTCAGCCGGTGCGTCACGATCTTGATCTGTGACCATAACGGCATGGCGAATTCGTACCCGTCATCCTGTGTCCCGGGAGGTTTGGCCGCCGCCTCGCGTATAATGTTGTCCAGCTCCTGCGTCACGGCCGCGTGTTCCGCTGACTCGAGCCAGACTTGAGCCCAGTCTCGCCCTTGCGATAAGTGGCCTGAGACGACGTCGATCATGTGTTCGGCGGGATTCGCGTGTGGCGGGCACGGAGCGCCGTATCGTCCGAAATAGTCCTTGACCGTGGCTGCGTTGTCGCCAATGTCGCCGAAATAGACGGTTTTGCCGCCCTTGGCTAGGAGAAGTAGTGTGTCGAACTGTGCGAAGAGCTGCGCCGATGGTTGATGGATCGTCACCAATACGGCTTGTCCCACGTCGGCTAGCTTGCGGAGGAATCTGACCGTGTTGTATGCAGACTGGCCGTCTAGACCGGAAGTCGGCTCGTCCAGGAAAATCAGAATGCTGGGTTTGGCCACGAGCTCCACGCCAATGGTGACTCGCTTTCTTTGCTCAATGGAAAGTCCTGCGCCGGGAAACCCAATCATGGTGTTTTCAATGTCCTGTAGCTCCAGCAGGTCGATGATGGTGTCGACGTATTTGAGCTTATCCTCCCGTGGCGTTAGTCTCGATTGACGGAGTAGCGCTGAGAATTCCAATGCTTCCCGCACCGTGGCGTAGGGTTCGTGTACGTCCAGTTGTTCACAGTACCCTGCGGAGCGTTGGAATGAGACTGGTAGAGGTCTCCCATCGACCAAGATCGAACCGTGTATGGTGCCCTCCGTCTTGCGTTGAGCCAGGACGTCCAATAGTGTTGTCTTGCCAGCCCCTGAAGAGCCCATCAGGGCACCCAGCATTCCTGGCTTGACCCAACCCTGGACATTGTCAAGAAGCTGTCGGTCTCCGTGAGGCGTTTTGACTGTGTATGACAGGTTCTTCCACGTAAAAACGGAACTGTTTTGTATCAGATTATCTCCACCAGTCTGGGCCGTGGGCTGTTGTTCTTTGAGTGAAGAGTCGGAGCTTATGACTTGTTTCTCCTGGGCCTGAGACTCAACGTCCCCGACGAGATGACGAGTCAAATGGACATTCTCTCGTGGGATCAGTAGTTTGCTTCCCCTTTCTGAATCAGACTTCCACCTGGTTGTGAAGACAACAGTTATCGCCACGAACAGTGCCCACCAGGCCCATATGATGCCGAAGTTCCGCCAGACATGTGAATGGTGGTAGGACAGAGAAGCTAGGTAAGCATCTCCCGTGACGTATGTTTGACCAACCACGGCACCTCCGACACCAGCACAGGACTGGTATTGAGCATCGGTGTATCCGGCTCCGCTCGGTACCAAATTCGTCCCAACACATGGGATGATGGTATTGTGGAATTCGGTGCCCATGATTGCCTCAAATGCGTAGGCCAGGGGATCGATCCAATAGATCCAGACAAACCAGGGATGCATATCCGGTTTCGCAATCATGTAACCAATGTACGTGATGACGACCATGATGATGAGCCCAGAAATCTTGGACGCAGCATCGAAAGTCGTGAAGGCCGCACCAATCGCACGGAAACAGGCGGTCATACACTGAATAATAATGTTAGCGGTTGCCAGAAAGTCACGCGATATGGTGGACAACTCACCATCGTAGCAGCGAAGACCACTACCCAGAATGTGAAGAACTGGGCGGCCGTAGCACCCAAACCGACCATCCAATACAGGACCACCGAAAATGCGGAGATTTGAACGATCAATTGAGGAATATCTGCTGCAATCTGCGCAAGACAAAAAGCGGCAGGATGATAAAAGGCAAATGACTTGTGCTTGGCCAGGATAGGGCGGCCAAGGAAGGAATCCGTCACTTCGGACATGGCCAATAGAGAATTAAACAACAGACCGAAGAAGAGTGCACCACCCTTGATGAAGAGACCTGCAGAGTTGTCGGGGGCATTGTAGAATAGAGAGCCGGCAATCAGCGCTTGGGCAATGGTGGAGGCTTGTTTGATGATGAATGTGGCCTTGTCACCCCAGATGATTTGGTACTGACGGATCACACACGCCTTGATCTGAGTGAGGAATCCTGTCGTCAATGGACTGTTCTGATTGAGTTGCTTGTCCTTCTCAAAGGCCACCGCCTCCTGAAAGGCTTTGGTGTTCTCTTCAGCTTCCGGTGAACTAGGATATTCGTATTCTGCTGTCATCCTTTCGTACATGTGAGATTTCTCGTAGTAGTGGAGGAGTTCATCAGCATTCCTTGGGAATCTGTTCTCGTATCCTGGCCGAATCTGCCTCTCTGTGGGCACTGTGACACCCGTGAGAAAGTCGGCGATATTCGCCCCTTCAGCACACAAAAACCCGAGGCCTTCCATGAAGGGCCTTGCCTCCTCCAAGGGTCCATAATAGACCTGTTTCCCAGCATCCAGTACTAGAACCTTGTCAAAGAGGTTGTAGATCGCATTGCCTGCTTGGTACAGTGTAACGATGGAGGTCAAGCCGAGAACGTCTGTCATGACCCGAATGGCCTTCGTGTACTCTAGGGCAGTACTCGCATCGAGACCTCTTGTGCTGTTGTCCCAGCAGAAAACGGAGGCACGGGTGGCGAGACATTCGATGATTGATACACGCTTTCGCTCTCCTCCCGAGACACCCCGAACGTATTCATTCCCAACCTTGGTATCCCACGTGTGAGATATAGACATTGACTGAAGAAGAAACTCTTTCATTTGTTGTCGATATTCTTCTTTCGAGTTGACACCCTCCGGTAGATGGAAGGGAACCTTTAACCGTGTGGCGAAGTCGATGGTCTGGCCGACAGTCAAGGTAGGGAAGAAGAGCTCCTCTTCTGTATTCATGACGATCTGTCCCCGATACTGTTTTGCTTCCTCGTGGCTCATACTGCCGTATCGTACATCGCCTTCGACGGACAAGTATCCACCTCGTCTGTTTGCCAGCATCTTCAACAGCGTCGTACACCCAGACCCGGGGCGGCCCAGCACCAGCAGCATCTCCCCTGGTTTGACGCAGCCATGAGAGCCATGTAGGATAGTCTTCAACGGCGGTTTCTGACGCGATTCTTTGATAATCTTGGGTAGATTGAATTGCGAGAGGGTGTTTTCGTGGATGCTAGCTTCTGCGCTGATTACCTTGACGGTGAGATTGCTCCAAGTCACCCCCAACTTCCTCTCCTTTGCAAGGGTAGCAAGGTCCCGTTGATGCTGTGCTTTGACTTGTTCAGTCAATGCCCAATCTTCGCCACGGGCAGGACTCGACTTCGGTTCATGAGCCTGGGCTTGGACCGGGTCATCTTGATTGTTCCTCCCTTTCTCGTCGGTCACAAGCTCGTGCACACCAACGGGAGGCTGTGAGCTATCAGAGGAGGAATTTCCTCGTCCATCCATGACGGGCATTGCAAGGTCGAAGATCCTAGAAACTGAGACTGCCCTCTATGAGGGGTTGCGGTCTGTCCATCATATTTGTAGTATTGTTAGGCGGAGCCTGATGAGGATAACCGACCCACTAGGACTGTGTCTGAGGGCACAATGCGAAACATTGTTCTGGAGGTAAACATTTGATCGAGTCGGACCCATAAGGGGGCTTGAGGCCGACGAGGTCCATAGATCCTGAACGGTCGGCTTCCCGGACGGCTCACCGGGCGGGTCCTCACGGCCACAGACGGTTGACAAGGCTACGAACTCGGCGGTGATTTGACCCGATTCCAGCCATCACAGTCACGCAGAATGGGTTTGACCACAGTGGTTCAGCTGCCGGCGGGTCGTCCTCGTAGCAATCTGACGAACTTAGGTTGCGGGACTTATGAATGCCAGCGCAAAACGCGATAGAGTGTGGATCAGATCCCACAGAAGGAGTATATCGGGCATGGGCTGTGACAGCCTTTTCTGATTGATGCTGACAATATCATCGCAGGCAGAATCCGGAAGTGGATCTCGGCGTGTCTGCATCTTCCGCTGACTAAGCGGCCCAACTTTGTCCGAACCCCCTTTAAGTCCAGGCCACTCCCAACACTCGACAGCAATGTCCATTCGCAAGAGTTAAAAGGCGATTGACTGATGATCCCACCCTCGCTTGACCATGCCAATCGTGGACCAGGTCCGTCAAATGCATATTCGGACCTGTCCTGCCGGCGAGTGTAAGCCGAAGCCGCGCCACTGCCGTTGCCAATAGCCCCTACCACAACTGACACCTTCACAACAATGTCCGAGACGCCTGTGTCAGTGTCCTCGGATTCGCCAAGCACATCCACTCTTGTTAGCTCGAGAATATCGCGTGCTTGTGATTCTTGTCACAGGAAGAAGGTAAAGGCCCCCAGGCTCCATTCCATTCCCGTCCTACCGCACTATCCATCCGCGGACGTCTTCTTCTGACCGTGGCCTAGATCAAATGCGACGGCGTCCGGCCTCGATGCGACTATTGCCAGCACCATGGTCTCGAATGTACATTCACCAGAGCACCAAGGGGCCCGAAGAGGGCTAGTCGGTCCAGGTTAGTCATCACATGAAACTCCTTCATTGCGCGGCTTTTCTGACGCTCGCCCGCAAAGGAGATTGAAGGAGAGTGATCTCGTCCGGCGAATGGAACGTATAGAGCAGTTGATTACCGAAAACATCAAAAGACGCAATGGTTGGCTAAACCATGACTGAATTTGGACCACTGGACCTGAAAAGCTTATCCGTTTGTAGGGCAAAGCAATCCGATAGTGCGTGACCGTGATGCCAAAGCCGTCACCAACGATCCCCGGCCCCATGGTCCAGTCAGAAATGATTCTCCAAGTGTTGCGAACGTTGGACGAATCTATTGTGCCGGTTACCAACTTGGAGATATTAACCTCTTTCATGGCGTGCCATTTTTGTCGCGGGAAGGCCAGAAATGGATTGGGTTTCGCACGGAAGAGACCGACGTCAACCCTGATATGGGAGCACAAGGCCCTCTGTGGCAGAATCACGGTCCTGCATGGCCCACCATTCCTTGGCCTGGGAACATGAGTGCAACAAATGGTAAGTCTCCCCAGTTACCCCCACGCGCGGTGGCGGAAAAGTGTTTCGAGCTTTACTTGAGGTCCGAAGTATCGAGCGTCTTCCCAATTGCAGACCCTGTGCTGTTCCCACAGATTCTCGAGAAGGCATACAATGCTGGTCTTGCAAACGCTCATGAAGTTCTTCCGGCAAAGGCGTGTGTCCTATCTTTTTCGGCACTCGCAGCAACCCTTCTGGGCAATACCGCGTCAGAGCCGTTGCCGCCAATTGATGTATCAGGATATGGAAATGCAGCGGCTTTTTTATTTGCTGATGTCGTCAACGCCCGTCCCAGCACTGAAGCCGTGGGCGCCTTGATGATGCTGGTAAGTCACACCCGCCCGATTCACTTCCTGTTCACATGTGGGTCTATGCGCTCTTGTCGACTGTATGCTGGTTGCTAACATGGACTCACCCCCCGAGAAAAGGCTGTATACCAGTTCGCATGTGGACATATCCAACCATTGGACATCACCTTGTCGACAGCATCACGATTTTTGTTCATGCTGGGTGCTCACCTCTACCCTGGAGAGGATGTGGATGTCCTTCCATCCGAGCCACAGAGCATAGAGACTAGGACGATACTCCACCGGCGAGATTTGTTCTGGATGTCTTATAATCTCGACAAAGAGATCACCTTCCGCACCGGCCGGCCACCCATCTGGAATGACACATCGTGCGATCTAACATTCCCGAAATGGTATTCGAAGCAAACGGCGCCCGACTTCACGGGCAACTTTCGTCTCCCGGGAGACCTCGGACTGAGCCTGGTAAAGTCGAAAGCATACGAGAAGCTCTACTCACCACATTCACTAAAGAAATCCGATGCCGAAATCCTCAGAGACATTCGCGAGCTGGACGAACTGCTAGAGAACTGGAGACTTTCTCAACCAACCGTCTCGAGGCCCAAGTTGTCCTTCTCCCAGGAGCCCCCCGGATGGTTGTATTCCGTTGACCTCCAACACATGAGGATACATTCGTTCTTCTTAAGACTCGAGTACTACCATTGTATGACCACAATCCACCAAGCAAGCAGCCGTTGCAAGAATTGGACCCACAACCACCGAATCCAACAGGGGCTCAGCTCAAGTCTAGACCTGGCTTTGGAGTCTAGCAGGTCCTTGCTGTCATGTCTGCATGCCGGTGATTCGGTTCTACTTCTGGCCCCGAACCTTTTCTGGGTTGTGCTGTTTTATCCGTTGTCGGCCACATTGATCCTCTTCTGCAACGTTCTTCTCAACCCTGCAAGTCCAGTGGCCGCCTCTGACACTAGGCTTCTGCGCAGTTGTCTCGATTACATTAACAACAAGTTGGGCAGCATCTCTAGTCTCTCCGAGAGTCAGCTACTTCATCTTCAGAGCGTTCAGGCATTTGCCGCCGAAGTGGTGAGATCGGCCGAAAGCCTTGTCTCGCAGAATATGAAAGCAGCATGAAATTCACAGCATCGAGAAATGATCATTCGACTAGAAAGTCGGCGCACTGCGTCAATGGATCTCCATGACGAACGGATCTTGCTTCACGTCCGTGATGGAAACCCCAGGCCCAATTCCCTCTTTTGTACGGGAGTGGTTGCCGAACAGGCACGAAGATTGGACCAGCTGCCCCTTCATCCAGGCAAGACCGGCCTGAATTCGGACAGACCAACGTCATCCAACTGGCCGGCCATTCGGAAATGGAGTGTAATCTCTATCAATCCCTGTGACCGCCTCGATCGGGCAGGGCAGCCAGCCGGCAACATTTCAGAAAGTAAGAACTGCGTGGAACCGAAAGTGAACCTCCAACCAGCCCGCCCACCCGCCTACAGTACCATTTGGGGCGGAAACTCCGCGAGAGTCCGACGATGAAGAAGAAGAAAACAGACAGCCTACACGAGGCGCCGATTATGATGATGATATGTTCGCTCGTGAACAAACCATTATTATCAGGGCGGTCAGACTGAACACTGCATCGGTTTCTCGCGACCCCCTTTTCTTTTGTGGTCGCAGGAATCGTGAGGTAGTAAACTATCACAGGCTTTCATCGAAGAGGCGCGGAAGGAGTTCTGGCCGCTCTCTGCACCATTCCTCGCGGGGAGAAAAAAAGGACAAGAGAATTGGATCGGCTTGCTGTTGAGGCTGATCTCGGCCGGCCAAAAATGATACATCTCTATGTACAACCACAGCAGCAGCAGCAATCATGGACAGAAAATCTCATCTCCCATTGTTGTGACAATATAGTAGTATTGTGACTTTAAGTCGGTCCACAGTATGGGAAATCAATGGCCAACATGCTTGATCTAGCCCTGGCTATGCATTTTGATTTTATCTATCACTATCCAACCGAGGTCTTATTTTGGGTCTGTAATGTGCACTGTAGACCGTCCCCTGCGCTATCTCATTGTCTATTGGGTTATTCGAGAGACAGAAATATTGCTTCCAAGGGAGTCCAATCCAAGGCTCATTAAGGGCCTAGGTACATACCGGCGATGGAACTGGTACAGCCCAACGGCCGTCCGAGCTCATGCTTTTAGATCTGTTCGCTCTACTGCTTAGCCTTCTGAACTTCGGCCAGGCCGGATTTCAGAGCCTCAAGAGCCTTGTCAATCTCTCCTCTCGATTCGTCCATTGCGCTCACGCCCATGTGTCCGAAACGGATATACCTGGCGGCGATTTCGCGATGCAAGCCACCAGCAAAGATAACACCCTTGGCCATGAGCTTCGGCAAGATCTCTGGAGGAGTCAGGCCTTCAGGCAGATAGATGGCCGTCATGGTGTTGGCCGCATTGGCGGGATCTGTAGGAAGTTGCTTCAGGCCCATCTTGGTGAGTTCCGACTTGACATATTGGCTGATCTTGCGATGTTGGGCGAAGCGAGCCTCGATGGGTTGAGAAAGAAGCTGCTTCAGAGCGGTGTTGAGAGCGTTGACCAGTTGCGTGGGTGGGGTTGCGAAATACGAGGGTTTCTTGGCCTCATAGTTCTGCATGATTCGAAGCCAGTTCTTGAAGCTGGCATAGTAGCTGCCTGGAGGGGTCTTGCGGGATTTGTACACGTTCATTGCTTTTTCCGAGACCATCACGATAGACAAACCAGGAGGGCAGCCAATGGCCTTCTGGGATGCGGTCAGAGCAACGTCAACGGACCATTTGTCGAAGTAGAGCTCTTCTCCTCCCACCGAGCAGACACCATCCACCACCAACAGTGTATCCGGGGAAACACGACGAATGAGTTCGGACAGAGGCTGGATGTGAGACAGCACACCGGTGGAGGTATCGACATGAGTCACGGTGACAGCCTTGTATTTCTTCTCTTTCAAGGCGGCCTCGATCTCGGGCAATTGCGGTCGGTCGCCAATGGGGGCCTTGAGCTGCTTGGGCTTGGCTCCATATGTTGCAAGACAGTCGGCGAACGAGTCGGCGAAATAACCGCTGTGTAGTACCAGTACATCCTCGCCTGGCTCGATCAAGTTGGCCGACACCAAGTCCCAACCAAGAGTGCCACTGCCTGCGATAATAAAAGGTTGCGACGCTGGGTTGGTGGTTTGGAAGAGGTCGCGGAGAAGCGTCAAGGTCTCGCCGAAGGTGTTGACGAAAGGTTGTCCCACGTGAGATTGCGCATAGTGTCCCATGGACTGCGAGACCTCATCTGAGATCTCAATAGGCCCCGGGATCAACAGGGTCGGGTGAGGTGGTTGTGTCGACATTTTGGCGGAAGACGAGGTGGACAATTGACGTTTCTGCACAGGAGACGGTGGTGATCGTGGCAGCGGTGTATATGGGAGATCGTCCGACGAGGCAGGCAACGAATCTCGTTCGGCCGTGTAGGGAGTGTTAATCGGAGGGTAGGAGGACTGATGGTGTTCCTGCAGATGCCGTGAAATCAGACTCAGGCGAGTCGTGGCTGCAGAATAAGGGCGTGAGGGAGCCAGGTTGGCGACGGTGGGGGGGTATAAGCGGGTGGTGGTGGTGACACGGATGCCTGTACGGTGCCCAACGTGAACTGCGCGGTGGTGAAGTGGCCGATGCAGCAAACGTGCGGGGGAATGACCGATCGAGGAGAAAGACGAGATAACACCGCGACCGTGATTCGCAACAGAATTGAGATGCGACAAGGGCGAGAGGGAAGAAGCTGCCGAGGACATTTTATTATGGAGAGACGCTGCCCGGGACGCCATTCTGGCCAGCGAGCGAAATTTCTGATCCGGTTAGGGATCAATTCCTGTATAGTAATAGCAACTTGAACGGATCTATAATATGCCGCCACGCGTCGTTCTTTGGTCTCGCTGATGGGATTGAACATTCATATTATGCTATGAGGAGCGAGTAGTCTCGAGTATCTAGTAGGCTGCTTCCCTCCCTGGCATTCAACTCTGGGGATTCAGCCCAGAAATATCTTAGCCCAAAGATCTCCCCAACCTTCGATAGAGCAGGGTCCAGGGGTTTCAGGGCGAGAAAAGCGGATGGACAACTCGGCGGCCCGGTCAAGCCCCAAGCTCGCTCTCACAGCCGCTGCCAGTGCTCATCATCACACAAATAGACACCCGATTGGGCTTCTCCGGCAAAAAGTACAAGCGAAGAAGCCGATATCACGTGGATAGTAGAGAGCAGCTGAACATCACGTGCATCGTTGGCCTCTTCTGCCACGTGATCGGGCTGAGACCCCTTTTTCTCGTCATTATTGTTAGGCTTTGTTTGTTTGTAGCACAAGAGACAACAGTCGTTGAGTAGCAGATATGTCTCTCCAGACCTTGTCAATGACCAAGAACAAGACGCCTCCTCCTTGATTGCTTCAGAGCTCCTCACTCTCCCCGCTCAAGTGCCATTCAGGCGCTGCACCAGGTTCTTGATCTCCTCGCTCTCCTCGAGCTTCTTGGCCTTCTCGTGCTCCCCGAGCTTGATGAGTCTTTCCCTCTCCTCTAGGTATTCCCAATACTCCAGAAACTCCTTGACTTCTATCTCGGACGGGGTCGGGGATGCAGCGTCGGTCATGTCCACATCGCCATCGTGATCGGCTTCTTCCTTCTTGATCTGTTGCTTGACCTCCTCAGGTAGGTGCTTCCGAAGGTATCGATGGATCATGAGCTGCACGTTTTCTGGCAAGGAACTGGGCTTCATCTGTGCTCCCTTAGGATTGAGCGCAATTCTCGGGACCACGGAGCTGATAAGGCCTTGCAACTCAGCAGACTTGGCCTCTGTTAGCTTCACAATGTAGGTATCGTTGAAATCCATCATCTTCTGTGTCATTTGCTCCTGGGGCACATCAAGTTGGACGTCTTTGGCGGTATCATGTCTGTAGACGATTTGGCTGATAGCTCGGACGGTCTCATCTGACAAATCTTGTGGGCCGTATGGCACGTTGTCTCGGATCTTTCGCCAGATCGCAGGATCTCGGTCCTGAAGATACCTAAGGAGATCATCTTGTCGTTCCGCGTCGTTGTTCAGAAAATACTGCATGGAGTCGTACATCGCCACACGCTCACTCTCGGCCACGGGTTCTGGAAGGCCGTACATGGCGGATTGAGGCTTCAGGATCGGGGTTCTGGCAGATCGTCGATGTCCTTTTGGCTGCGAGGCTTCTTCGTTGGCTGTTTGTTTGGGTCTTTGGGCTTCCTTTGCGTTGGCTGCTTCGTTGACTCGCCGCTGGACCAAACTCGATGGATGGGATTCGGGAAAGGAGGGTTGTGTGAGGGCTTCTTGTCTTGTCAGGGTGCAAGCTGGTTTGCGCAGCCGCACTGGATAGGATTGCGGGTGAGAGAAGGAGCGCAAACCAGGACTACCGTTGTCGACACCTGATATAAACAATCCCCAGCCGCATCCTTATGGTGCGGTGCTCATTGTTCAGCCTCGTCGGCAGGACGATCCAAGCCGCACCAGCCGCACCCCAAGACAGCATCTTACCTCACGAATAAGATCCATACAGACTCGGTTCTTGCATTCACAAACCCTTTCAGCACTGGGACAATCAACAGACTATTGTGTTCCCGAAGAATCGACTCGGTTGATTAAGAGCCTCGATCTTGAAGCGTGTTCCTCCATCTCTGTTTCTAATCCCACCCTGCTTACCACACGCCGTCCGATCTGCCGCTTGCTCCTTCCTCATCCACCCGATCTGAAAGGTATATGATCTCTCAAATGGTTTAATATCAAGTCTAACACCTGGTATAGCTCGCCGGCGACCCATACCCTGCATACTACGACGCCAGCATATGCTACAGAAGTTGGATAGTTTCGCATCGTCAGGCTTGTATCTCGACTCAACTGGCCTCAATCCTCCTCAACGCACCTGTGCTCACTCTCCTCTAATCCGCTGGCCGGGTTCTCACATCCTGTACTCCAGTAAACGCCGTCTTTTCCTACCTGATACTTGACCCGATCTCAAACAACATGGACATGCACGCAGAAGACATCGAGATGGACGACTACAGCGAGCAGAACGAGGCTTTTCTACAGAGCACAGCAACCTGGACTCGTCCTGTTCGTGCATCCTCTGCCCCAGTCAATGGCCTCGCCGTCTACATGGTAAGCCGAGCCGGTGTTCTAACCCGCTCCTCTACCAACACTGCCCCCCAATTTCATTACCTAGCTATACCAAATACTAACAGATTGATCCCCTTCTAGAAGACAAAATACAACCGTCTCTGCCGTCGTCTGGCCCGCTCCTCGTTCGGCACCTCCATCTACTGGATCATAATGATCCTCGGCTTCTTGGTTTTTGCTCTCTTTGTCTCTGCCCTGGTGTTCCTCACAGTCTACATCTGGATCCACAGCATTGAATTGATTCGTGTCCACACTTCTCCAGCAATCACTTGCCCTCCTTGTCCTACTACCAGCAGAGTCTTCACGCCTTCTCTTCCATACACAGCCCCAGCATCCCACAAATCTGCGCCATTGGGCATGCTCCACCCTGCAAATCGGCCATTTCTCCCTGAAAATCCACACTACCACGACGACGGCTCGTCTGCGCCTTCTCGCCCTGTCTACAATGCGTCCGACCATGAGGGAAACCTCGCCAGATGTGCCAGCAACCTCAACCAGCGACTGTGGGGTGGTCCGAACACGTTCAAGGCCACAAAGGACATGGAATTTGTGCTTCTGCTCTGCCAATATGCCGTTTACAAGGCTTTGGAAGACCTTTTCCCGCCTCCTGCTGCTCCTGGACAGGGAAGAAAGCCCTGGAAAGTGTTCTTGGTCGCTGTTTCCGCTTTGCTTGGTGTTTGGTTGCTGTGGGAATTGGGCCGGTGTTGTTGGAGACGCAGCAGAGGATGGAGAAGAAGCAGAAACAGAAGAGGATGCTAGGAAGCATCTGCTGCTGCGAGGCTGGCCGAACAAAGGGGCAACAGGGCTGCTGCGAATAAGGGTAGAATAGTGGTTATGCAGCCAATCAGGCATAGGCACCCAAGTGTGCGTTGTTAGGTTGCGGAATGAACACGAGTTGTGCATGATATGTCCTGTCGTCCGCCTGTGTCAGGGACTGGTTTTAATGTGGCCCTCAGATGTTGCTTTGTCGCCCGCTCTGCTTCTAAGATGGTCCTAGACTGTAGTCTTGTCGCCCACTGTGCATAGTGAGCCTTTAAGCTGGTCCATAAGGTGTGGTCTTGTCGCCCGCTATGCCTAGTAAGCCTCTTAGATAGCCGCTAAGTGTAGCCTGGTCGCCTACTATGCTCATAGAACTAACTCCAAGTAAAAAGCCATTATTCCAGGTTATTTCCTATGATCTAAGAAAAGGATATAGTATATAGCTTTGTCGCCCACTACGGCCATAGAAGGAAGAAGTAGTTGTGTTAGGTGGTCACCATCACTACAATATTGTGCTAAGCGATATAGTTTTGTTACCTACTGTGCCTATAGAAAGAGAAGCCAATTGTACAAGATAGCCTCCCTGTCACCATACCATAAGGCGACAGATATGGCTTGGTCACCCACCAGATATACTGACACCTCTTCTGATAGATAGCTATATAGCCATGGTGGACGACAAGCTGGTATGTGGAACTTTTCATTTTCTGACTAAGTACCTAGGTATGCATATTGCTGCTTTCAAGAATCAACAGGTCGGCCAAAGATAGCATCGAGCAAATACTGTGCCGCAACATCACGACCCGGACTATCAAGCATTCTGTAGATACGATTTCCCGAGCGATTGCCCAACCAGTTGCCTCTGTCATGGGGCACCTCGCCATCGCTGTTTCTGCGTTTTCTGGCCCGTTTATCACCAACAGTCATGCCACGGGTCCATTGACCGACGGTTTCGACACGAATGTCCTCGGGACTGCGGGGACTGGGTTTCCAGCCTGGATGGTCGTTTGTCAAAACGTACCAGATGCACAAGGGGTCGTGAAGAGCTAAGGCGGCAGTATCGCCCTCGTGGCCGATGTGCAGACGTTCCATCTTGTCGAGCATGGGATCCATGAATGCGGAAACCCACTGGGCGAGCGGAGATCCTTTGTTCGCGAGATCCGCAGCATGGGCCTTGAAGTTACGCCGACTGAGCATGTGGTGTTCCGTGATGTCGAGAGACATGAGAGTCAACTTGAGGCGTTTGGACAAGGCAGCCGGGTAAGGAGGCATATTGCACGAGCGCTCGCCCTCGACGGGGACGGGCATGGTGGACGACGGAATGGCCGATGTGAGCGCGTACACGCGGGCCGCGGCGTACGGGTCGGCGTAGACGTTGAATTCCGCCACGGGCGTCACATTGCCGATTCCGTCGACCGTGCCGCCCATGGTGACGACTTCTTTGCAGCGCAGAAACGTTTCGGGATCCTCGGCTGCGGCCAGGGCCAGGTTGGTCAGTGGACCGATGGAAATCAAAGTGATTGTGTCGGGCTCGTTTTCTCGCAGTAAACGCAATATCTCCTTGTGCGCGGGCACGATGGATGGGATGAATGACGTTGTGGTCGTCGGTTCGTCTTCGACCTCCATTGTGCCTTGTTGCGCCTTGGCCGCTTCCGTCAGGTACGGGTCCGGAGGTGGCTGTTCAAACAGACGCTGCCAGCTCTCCTCGGGCGAAAAGTGCGGGTGCGTCGTGTGCGTCCCTGCCAGTCCGTCCACGCCGTGAAAGTAGTCGGCGCTCTCGATTCGGTCTTGAAGTGGCTCTTCGGCCCCGATCGCAATGATCGGCTTGTACTTGGTGATTCCTTCAAAGCCGACTGGCAGACCATGTTCTTTTCGCCATGCCAGTTCTTTCTCCAGAATGTGGAACACCGCCACCGCGTTGCGAAGACAGCTGCGCACATCCACGTTGCCGAATGTTAGTGATATCATGAGCACTTCGAGGTCTTCTGCTTTGGCCGAGAGCGCCAGCAAAATCGCCAATACATCGTCCACGCCGGGATCGGTGTCGATGATGATTCGATTTTTCGGTGCCATGATTAGCTGAACAGGTTGTAATTGTCCAAATCACTTGAAAATGGCTTCTTCAATCCGATTCCTCTCCAGCTGAGGTCGATTGCTGTCAATCCTCCTATCGAATGCAAGGCCAGTTCAGTGGCAAACGACAACTTGAATCCTTGCAGTAGAGAGACGGAGACAGATAAGCGACAAAAGCGGCCGGGCACGTAATTCGTTGACCCAAGATATGTGAAGCCTGAAGACACTGGCGGAGATCGAAGCGAGAAGTACCCTTGTCGAGAATAACAAAATTGTAGTCGTCCCAGGGATGTCACAATCGACACTACTGTTGACGATTGCTAGCAGTATGTGACCACGGGGAATTGTTGTTACGAAATACGTGTCTCGCGTGTAGCGCTGACCCGTCGATGATCGATGGGCAACTCAAATTCCATCGGCCGCATCCGATCCGCCTCCAAATCATAAATTCCACTGACTTCGTGCCTTATTACTTGAAAGCGGCCCGCATATGACCTCAGTTGTCGGCCGGTGTAGGCTTGAACTTGAAGCTCTCAATGCTTCTCAATTACACTGTGACGTGCACGGGAAATGGTTGCATCTTCAAGCACTACTTTGTTGTACACAGCGCTGCTGACACCCGTGGACCGCATGGTCCTGGTAACCCACTAACCGAGACTCTTGTATTTTTTGCTCATCATACTTCGTGGTACTTTTTTCCTTCTATATCTGGGCCTCCTCCTACACAAAAAGAGTCCTATTCGAGAGTAGCGCACAATCTGCTCGCTCGCTCGACAGTCCTTGGTAAACGCTGAGATATGCAAGCCTGGCCTTTTCAATGAATCCACCACTCCCCAGAGCTACGACAACTGCCATGCACATAGGCTGGCAGATCTCGCAAAGCCGCCATGCTCGTGTCCCATAGTCTCATGCTCATCGTTGTACTGTTGCTTGTAGTCTCCGCCATCCTCAATGTGAGGGCACGATTGAGCACACCTAGTAAACCTTCTTCTTCTCGTCCACGCTCAGTTGGCCTGGTCCCATATTGACCAACAGCAGCAGACCGCCCATAATGGACAGGATCTGGAAGAAGTCGTACTTGGCAAAGTCCTTGTGGGGATGGTTCTTGTGGAGCTGCAGTCACAGTTAGAATGATGGTCCAAGAGGATGCAGGCTAATGAGGCTTACCGTCCAGAAATTGTTGACAAGCACATTGAACACACTGAGCAGAAGGACCAAGATAATGGCACTGAGCTTGGCCTTGAACCCAACCACCACCATCACGCATGCCACAAAGCCGATCAAGCTGACCAGCACTCTCCAGATGCTCCATTCGCCGGCAAAGACGAAACCGATGAACAGGAAGATGAGCAAAACTCTGCCACCGAGTTGGATGTACATCTTCTTGTCCTTCTCGTCGATTGTGGGCAACCCAGCAAACACCCGGCTCTTCTTGACAAAGCTGTCTCCCAGCACCATCAACAGACCGCCAATGACCGATAGGTTCCGGAGGAAGAAGTTGAGATCGAAGATGAGCCCGTATCCGAGAGCCTGCACGACCACGACAGAGAGAAGTCCGCCAACCGCGTATTCGCCGTAGCGTCGCATGATAACCAACGTAGAGCACACCGTCATGGTAATGACGTTGAAGATCAAGAAAAGATGTGTGATGCCCCAAGGAACTGCTCACCCGTCAGCTGCTGTTCATACTATATCCTTGACATCTCACTCACTGTGTCTGAAATCTCTCAAGTAGGTGAGCTGATCGCCCCATTGAGTGATTATTCTGACCGCATCTTCCAGGAACGTAACCACGATGAGGAACCGTCCGATGGCAGGGAGGTAACTGTATGCATTCCCCGTTAGACCACCGTTTTCCACGGCCAGACGAGGGGGTATGGAAGGAAGGGCAGGAGAAAGACTCACGGCTTCAGGGGTTCGCCCACGGAACCCAACCAATCCTCGATCTTGCTTGTTTGCTCCCTGATCTGGTCCAGAGGACTCGGATCGCTGGTCGCTTCAGCACTCCGCTGCGAAGCGAACTGATTGTTCATCCCCAGGTTATACCCGGCTGTTCCTCGTATTTGCGCCATTGTGACACTGCTTCGATGGTTTCCCTTCGCAGGCGACCGGAAGTAGGAGAAGACTGGGTGATCGGTCGAATAGAGGGCGAGGGCAAGCGAAGACGGCCGGACGCGATTGTCAGCTGGCAACAAGGGGGAGAGGCACCACAGGAACAATAAATAGAGGAAGAAGGTAGAGAAATTGCGTGGGGCAGGATTGTGGTTTTGGTCGGAGTTGAATGCTGTCAAGTTTCCGCAGGTGTAAGATTGTAATTATCGACCTGCAACCAAACTACCAGCGTGGCCTTGCGAACAATACTAGTAAATATGGTGATCTGTCGAGGAGCTCTCCGCGGGCAACGAGACAAAATGAACGGCGTTTTCGCTGTAACGGTGGTGAGGGCAGGCGTATTCGAGGAATTGAAGTGTGCTGCCAATGCCAATGTGGCTCTGCGAAGTGATATTCCTTTTACTAGTAGGTACAAGGATGATTGAAGCTTATTATTAGAGTGCTTGAGGTAGGTTACTGCTAGTACTATGATGTAGTAGTAGGGGGCTGATACTAGTAATGCTGCGGTTGTGGCTCGTAGTTAACACGCTGGCCCGACCAGACTCGACTGTGAACTTCACACTACCAGAGGACGTAGCACATCAAGGTCCTCTCTTCTCACCTGTCAGCTTACCTACCTAGGGAGCAAGGACAGACACCACATCTCAGCCTCTGTCCTCTACGTCCTCTTTATTAAATACTAGTAGTATCGGCATGTGTTGCTGCTGCTCGATTCCCCTGAACAGGTACCCGTCGGCAGGACAAGATTTCTCGATGCTGACGTAGATATTGCTGCCCGAATGTAGTAATTGTGTAGAATCACTTTACCATTTTCTCAAACACATTGCTTTGTCTACGCGAACACTGTGATCTAACACAAAGTCGAAAGCATTGAGTCCTTGTTCTGACACCTTGCTTTCCTGCCCTGAACTTGAACCTGGTGGATTGATGGATATCCCAGCCGTCCCATTAAGAATACAAATGCCGAACATGTCCTGATCTGAATCAAGCGCAGCACAGCTCTGTCATATAGAGATGCGTCTGGAAGACGGCGGTGCCGGTTCCAGACATCCTTCCATCTGATGAACGCGTTCAACTGACGCCACACGTGTGTGCCCATGACGGTTTTGCTAAGCTTCCCATTCGGCATCCTGGAATGACGGATCGGTAACCGGTTCGATGTACTGAAACCGGTTCACGTTCTCTCTTCGTGGGTTTGCTCCATTTTCCTTGCTGCCGTTCGTTACTGGCTTACTGACTGGTGCCGGTGGTCGAGCAAATGTAGAGCTGGCCTCACTGCTGGTATCATTGTCCTTCCTGCCTTTCTTTTTCCCTTTCTTCGAAGTGACCGACTCCCACCTTTCTTCTTGGGCAAGTTCGCTTACCCACCTATCCTGCTCTTCCTCGTTGACCTCATCGGCCCAGCTCGGTTGAGCTTGTAATGCGGGTCGGGATGCCTTGTCCATATTCGATGCGGCCGGACCAATGGCTTTGTGCTCGTCACCTGCACGTTGGCCAGCATTTGTAGTGGCTGCTTCCGGCGTCGAAGTAGTAGCATCCGGTTGCGGATCAGAAGTGACTGCTTCGTGAACACTGGGTTTGCTGGCACCCGTAGCTCCTGCATCGAAGGTGTCCAGAAGTGGCGCTGGCCCTGTACGTGGCTGCTCATGCACTGGAGCGGGTGATTTTGTCGGGCCAGTCTGCCATGCGTTTTGTTTTGCTGCAAAAGAACTAGCTTTCGTCTGGTTGGATGTACCATCTGCTAGTCTCGCCGTTCGAAGTTGTTGTTGCTTTTTAGCCTCGTGCACACGGTCGGCTTCTTCCCTCATCGCCTTCTGTTCAGCTGCCTTGGCTTGTCGTTGCCTCTGTTTCTTGGACAAGACCGGTTCGAATGCTTTTTGGACCGATTTGAGAGCATTCTTGGTTTTGCTTTCCTTGACATCTGTCAACCTCAAGGTGGTAGGTTTGGCAGCAGGTGCCTCCAACATGTCCGTCACATCGCCTGCGCGGGCAGCAGGTCCCGTCGAGACAGAACCGGTCGCAGGAGACCCAGCTGGGGCAGTGTCATGGTCTGCATCATGTTCGGCAGCGGAGGACTCATCCTGAGAAGGACCAGAAACTCCCAGGTCGGGTTGTTTTCCTTGTTGCCTTGATTGAGCAGCGCGTCGTTCTTTTTTGTTTGGCCCTTGGGAGTGTGAGGCCTCCAACTTTGTGCCAGTTTGGGCTTTGGCCAGTTGTTGAGCGAACTCCTTGTTACTCATCCCACCATCTTCGTCTCGGGGCAGACTGACGTGATCACCCTGTGCAGTCTGAGCAACGACTGTGTCATCGACTGGTGAAGAGACCAGTTTCCTTCTCTTGATGGCTTTTCCTTCTGTGGCACTTGTGGGGGTCGAAGTACCGCTGTTGGTGGAGTCGAGCCGACTGGTATGCAGCCGCTTGGTTTTCTGGCGTTTGGCAGCCGGTTTCTGTGCGACGTCTTTTGCGTCTGATTTGGTGTGTGACTGTCCTGTAAGCTTGTTGAACAGTTCTGGGTTATAGTATCTTGTAAGAGCAGCAGTCAGCGCAAGGAGCGCAACCCAAGAAGCGGCGGTGGACCACATCTTGGGTGATGCCAGCTTGTCGACGATAGAAACGATTGTGACAGAGAGACAAGGTAGCCAGACGAATGAGGCCCTGTCCAAACGACTGTGTCTTCAATAAAAGAACAGAACCCGCCAAGCCAAGAGAGGGACGACAAGCAGCCAAGCAAGGGATGCGCTGCTGGTGGTGGCCGGAGTAGGGAGCCAAACGGGCTTGATAAAGAAGAGGATTCGTGGGCAGCTCGGTGCAGGGGAACTTGGAGGGATCGAAGCTGAAAGAACGAGAGTGTGAAGCAATGGATGAAGAGGCTGTGTGGTGGAAGCAGCAGCTGGTTGAATGTCTGATGTGATGCGAATGTCTCAGGAGTACAGGTGTAGTCAGGTAGTAGCACGTCGGAGTTGCTTGCGTTGATGCTACTAGTATGCGGCGGGATTTCCAACAAGACTCGCGGAGGCCAAGGCAGAGAGCACCGCACTGCACTGGCACGGCACGCCGGTGGGGGCTTAGGAGGCACCAAATTGACCCACGGGCAGTCCTTCACTGGAGGACACTCAGCTGGCAACCTGTATTTCGCAGATGGGGTGCTTATTTCGCAGAAACGCTATACCGTATGAGGCAATTGCAGGATCCACTGTGCGTTGATTGGTCGTTTGGCGTACCCTAGGTGCTTATTTCGTAGAAAACTTGGCACTCGTCTATGATTGGCCGGATATTTGAGCCGAGTCGCGCTAAGCCGGATTAGGAGAGATATTCAAAAAATATTAATAAACACGTTTTAGCTAATCACAGCGCGTCGTTTATGCTGTACGATTTACGCTTAATTCGAAGTCGATTTGCGAGCTGTTTTGGATACAGTAGGGTATAAAAGTGATGTTTTTATAGCTATCTAGTATGGCGGGAGCCACTGAATTGTTGGAGCCTTAAGCTTTATACTATGTATTTCCCTAGTAAACGAGCTCTTGCCTTGAATAGCTAGTTAAGCCGAAATACACTTATCCCAGGTATCGAACCTCTTCCTGGTCCTCTTATCGAGCCGTTTATCGAGCCGTTTATTGCTCTTGTTGGCGCCGTTATAGAGCCTCCTCGTTCTGCGCCTCCTAGCGCCGTTATAGCCGTTGTAGGTCCTCCTCTTCCTGCGCTAAATTGTGTTCCTGGAGACGCTGAGCGCTCTCGTCGGGGGGGTTCTCGCTAGGAGGGTCCTAGGGTAGGAGGAAGTCGCCTAGTAGGCAATTGGAAGACGTTTAGCCTATTCCGTGGGTCTAGTTCGCGCTTAACGTGTTTAAACTAAGATAATTCGCGTCGAGACGTATTATTAAAGCCTCGAGTACGAGGAATAACGATCGGTGGCTATATTACGTCAGCGAGATTCATATTATCGAGGTTTTCTGTCCTATTAAGTCTCCAGTGAAGCGCGAAATGCTCGATTCTGAGAACCTTATCCTATTGTAGTAGTTGCGTAACTAGATAAGGATACGGTAGGCCGTAAATACGCGTAAAAACGCCCGTATAGGCTCGGAAGTTTCTAGGCGGCGCTGAGGTAGGCGTAACCTTATCGACGCCTGTTTTAAGTATGGCTTTGCGGACGAGAGATAGAGAATGAAAGGAGACGTGACCGACGACTTGAGATTATAATCGAGCGCTAAACTGAGGGCGCCGAGTAACTCGATCTATATCTAAATTGTGTCGACTTTTGACGTAGCTATCTCGAATAGACCGCTCGAGGGCGTCGACTACGCTAGAGACGTTAGATTGCGTCGATTTTAGACGTCTCTTGAGCGCTCGGTATATTGCCTCGAGGCGCGAAGTTGCTACGTTACCGAAATACTGAAATCTATCGATATAGGCTTTGATAAATAGCTCCTTTCTTAGATACTATGTGCCGAAGAGGTATCCGGTAAGAGCGCTATCTTCCTCGTCGTACTCTCGATATATCGCCCGCCAAGCGGATTCGTAGGCTCGAGGTGTCGTTGTAAAAACTAAGGCGTGCTATAGGGGTTGAAATTTGTGCTATTTTTCTTGTATCCGATCTCTTTTAGCCCTAATCTCGTCTCGCGACTGCCAGCGTAGGTAGGGGCCTCGAAAATGACGCTTTACCTATGCTTGGACTGCCTTATTGATATACTAGATATATAGAAAATAACGAGACTGTAGATAGACCGATTTTAACGTAGAGGCGAGGGCGATATCGTCGTCGGTGATCATAATCGAGGGTCCGCTTTCGATTCCTACGGCTTAATAAATAAGTATTAACTTTTTAAGTATATATGCGAATGCCGCAGTCCTTTTATAGTCGAGGAAAGCCGCGCCGATAAAAAACGACTTATTGTTGGCTGTTACGCTAGTTATGTTAATAAGCGGTATTCTAAATCGATTCGTCTTATGAGTTGCGTCGATTAGAATAACCTTAGGATAACGCCGCTACTGATCTAGCGACTTATGGTGGAATAGGACGAGCCGGCGTAACCTTAGTTACTCGTCAATATTAACGTGAGAAACGAAACGATCTCTGACGCGTTCGATAAGCGCCTAAGTCGATGTTCTGCCTCCGAGGTCTATTATAAGAAGCCTCCTTCGCTCGTTTATTACGTCCTGCTTAGTTATAGGAATATAGATATAATGGTGGTTTATTATCGATACGGTGTCCTGAACGCTAAAACCTTTCTCGAAATGGCCTTGAATTAGTCTATTTAGGCCTCTCTAACGCTCTCTCCTTCTTATAGACGGATGACTCGAGCCTTTATTAGGAAGATGGTTGTGAGCGATACTTCTAGGCGTTTTAATGAAGTATTCGCCCTCGATATTCCTTATTATTGTGAGTTTAAACTGATACCCTGTCGATAGCTTCCCTTTAAACCTCTGTCGATCTACTCGAGTCCTTTTTATATACGAGTTACGAGTGTCGGCGCGATCACACTCGAGATATATAGCCTTAACGTTGCCTGCGCTATCCTTTTATCGCTTATAAACACGTATACCGTACCCCCGCGGGATAGACCACCTATCGAGCGCCTTAAAATACGCTTACTCGCTCGAATAGGTAATAGAAGGAGGAGGATCGAACGTACGCGTCTCGTGCCATTGTGGCGGCTATAAATCGTTATCTAAATCTTCTTCGTCGGTCAAAAAACCGACGTTATATAGGTGCGTCTCGAGTGCCTCATAGTCGGCTATAAGGTCGTCGGATGCGTCCGGGGCTGGCGTTTCAAAGACAGTGTATTAATCTATGGTATTTATAGCGAAAAAACAGTGATTCCTACACAATTGAATATCTACAGTTCGAGGCGAGGCGAGTAACAACATCACTAGCACTTAACGCGTCTATACGCGCCATTCTACGAAATAAGCACCTTAAATTACTTGAATAGGTAACAGCGACGATCACGCCTGGATTGGGGATAGCGTTTCTGCGAAATAAGCACCCCATTCTGCGAAATACAGGTTGCCCACTCAGCTCCGCTAATAATTACTTTAGATGGTGGTGCACTGGCATAGACAGTGCCGCGTACGAGTCTACTAGGTATGCTGCAGTGCCCGTCGCCCTGATCAGGTTATGGCTGGGGTGAGCGGCAATCGAGCGCAGTGAAGCGGCGTCTTTTATGGTACACTGCAGAGCAGGGCAGTTGTTTGGAAGAAAATATCAGAGCCTAGAGAGCTCAGAGTGGCTTCTACAGTATCAGACAAGTATGAAGAGGGCAGAAGGACGACACCACTACTACTAGTACTGCTAGTACCTGTAGTACCGCCGGGCACCTGCAAGTTGACAGAGTGGTCCTTTTGCATCTCGTCAAGCAAAGACGAGAGTGCCTGACGGCAGTCTCTCCCTATTTGAACGACGGTACTACCAACCCTACCTCTATTTTTGCTAGTATTTTATTATTGTGGTACCCCGGTGCCCCTGACTGTCCTTCTGCGCGCCCCTTCCGGGGACATGTCTATGCTCAAGACCGCAGCGCCATTTCTACAGAGTACAAGAAGGGGCCATGGCCAGAACGGTTTCATAGCTCATATCCCCACAAGGCGAAGGTTCTACGGTGCTACGGGAGATTGAAAAATTAGAAACTCGAGCGGATGGTTTTCATGTCTTCATTGTGCGTTTCCTCCATCGGAGAGATTATTCATCAGGCCCGTAGGCATGATGTCTCCCATGATCTGTAGTAAACTCCAAAACTCCAACCAAAAAATCAGATTCCGCCAGAAACGCCTTGCAGTCGAACCAGCATAACTCCGTGCTGTATGGTGTTGTGACTTGTGTCCCCAAACCCATCCATAAACGCTTTTCAATGCGCGACCCAAAACTCCATGCTGAAAGGTCTTGTGATTTCAAGTCTCGCATCTTTTCCATGATCAAAAGCAGAATTCGTAAAATTGATGTAGACACCCGCCAGCGGGAGGTTGCACGCCAAGCATGATTGTCTCAAGCCTGAAAGGACAGGCGTCATGGATTTTCGATAGTTTAACATGCTCAACACTGATGAGCTGGTGAAGTGATGATATGCATTCATTCCCGGCATCAATGGATGCGTATATGTATTTGTATGGGACAAGGATTCGGTTTGTGAAGTGCGAATGATAGGGTAAGCATAATGGAGGATTTGAGGTAGGAGGATTCTTAGGTGTTGTCGGGGGTGTTGTCTCGTAAATATAGAGTGTTCACAAGGGGAAAGATAGAGGAGTGTAATGATATTTCTTGTGGCAGAGGAATGATATGATCGGGCTGGTGCTCTTTAGGTGGGTAGAAGATAGTATGCAACTGAGAGCAGCCCAGATGCCTCGTGGTTGAAGTGATGTTAAGTGTTCAGGGATTGAATAGGAGGCCGTGCTCAGGCATTTCTGGCATGCTGGCGATGATGAGATAGGTGCTGGAAGGGCTCTTAGGTATTGCCGCCGGCAGTGTCGTCTTCAGGTGTATATAGATAAGTTGTAGGTGAGTTCATAGGAGAGCGGGAAAGGTGCTTAGGTGGAGGAGGAGTCATCATCTTCAAGTGGAGGGGATGATGTAGTGGAACTGCCACGAATCACTGCTCTTGGTGTCGAACATTTCTCCTCGCAGAGGTCTTCGTGGGTATGTGGGAGCTGGTTTGGTAGGCTCCGCGTTGTCCTTGCTTTGCTGGGGGGTCTCCGGCTCAACCTCGCTGAGGTTGCTGCCCCCTTCGGTGTTGTCGTTGGTGCTGCCACTGAGCACCACAGTTTCGGAGGAGTGGGCCGGCACCAGTACCGGTGCCGGCCTTGGTTGGCACTTTGGCCCTCCGAGAACAGCCAGAGGCCACCGGGGTTCTGTCTCGGCGGCAGGCCTCTTCTTCCCTGCCATCACCGCCGCGCTGGGAGGGGGCAGCAGCATCCAGGCGGCCTCTGCCCTCGTTGCGGGCAAACCGGTGACTATTGGGGCGTAAATGTCATTGGCTGGCGGCCGTGGTGGTCTGGCGTAGTCCTGGCTGCCCTTGGTGTCTTGTCGGCCCCCCGTTGGAGTGTTGCCACTCTTGGGTTGTTGCCCGGGGGCCTCTTCGTGCGAGCCAGATGTGGCTCGGTTCCACATCTGCTTCATTCTCCGGGTGTACCCCCAGAGGACCTCGTCCTCCCTGTGGTAGCGTTGAAAATTCCACTTGGGAGGGTGCAATGTTGTTCGCCAGGCCTCCTTGACAATGTCGATGGTGTTGGAGCCTTTCTGCTCCGATTGGTCGCCCGGAGGCACGATATCCGGCTGGCGGTTGCCGGATGCATTTTCGTCAGGGACCTTTGTTGGCCCTGGCAAGTTGGTAGCGGTGTTCAGGATTTCTATTCCTTCGGCCACTTTCTTCTGCATCCGTTTGAGGAGAGTGTCTTTCTTCCAGCCTTTGGGTGGGCCTGGACCAAGCAGCAAATCTTCTGCCCATTCTGGATTTGTTTGGAAAGCCATTGGTCTGACAAGTCCTGGCTGAGTCGATGCCAACTCTTGTTCTCGTGCCTGTTGAGCTTTGGCTTCGTTTCTCCGCTTTTGCTTGTACTTGTATTCCAGGCAAGGTGTGCAGGAAACATAGTAGAAAATTGCGGATTGAACACCACGAAGGAGCCAATGTCCGTTCTCAGCAGCAGGTGTGGTAGTAGAAGCCATGGTGAGTTTACAGATCAAGTGTCAAAAGCTTGGTGGTTGATGAGCTGAGGAGTTGATGTGATGGCAAAGAAACTCAGGTTTCGGCCTCTCTGGTAGCTTTGGTAGCTCTGATGGGTGACAATGGAGATTCTGGTACTGGCAGTCTACAGTGTCTGCCTGTGTGGTGAATTTCCAAGTTGATGACTTTGAGAGAGGCGGTATTTGTGACTGAGTTTGGTTGTTTTGGTAGAGAGGCAAAAGTAACCTCTTCTGTTCGGTAGTAGTGTTGTAGTGCAATGACCTATCAAGATCAAGGCGGAAGTGTATGAGTAGAAGAAGGTGCGTAGCCGTTCTTCCTGTGTCTGGTTCCTCGTAGGTAGCAGGTAGAGTCTCCTGTTCTGCGAGCTTGTGGTGTTTCAGTGTTCTCTTGAGGGCAATGTTTGAGTGTCAGGGAAGATATGTGATGGTCCTTCCTATTGCTGGCTTCTTGATTTGGGAGAAAGGTAGTCTCCGCTCTTCTGGCGAGTTTGTAATGGTGCAGTGCTGAGAATCCCTGTTGAGATCAGGGTGTGAGTATGTGAAAAGAAGATGTGTAGTTGATCTTTGTGCTGCTGGCTCTCAACAAATGGGAAATACGTGGTCTCTGCTGTTGTGCCGAGATTGTAATGTAGCTCAGATCAAGCTACAAGAGTCAAGGGGAAGATGTGTAGCTGTTCTCCTCGTTGCTGGTTTGTTGATTGAAGGAAGAGGTAAAACCTCTCCGGTTGCACCCAGATTGTGATAATGTTCAGAGTCAAGGTACGGGTGTGAAGGAGGAAGATGTGTAGTTGTTCTTCCCGTTGCTGGTTTCTTGATTGCTGGCAGAGTGGTCTCTCCTGTTGCTGGTTTCTTGATTGAGAGAAGAGCTGAAACTTCTCCAGTACCACTGAGATTGTGATATTGCTCAGACTCAAAGTACAGGTGTCAAAGAGGAAGATGTGTAGTTGTTCTTCCCGTTGCTGGTTTCTTGATTGCTGGGAGAAGTAGTCTCTCCTGTCTCTCGCGAGATTGTGATGTTGCAGTGCCGACAATCTCTCAGGATCAAGATCAATGTACAAGAGTCAAAGAAGATGAAGTGTGCTTGGTCTCGCTTATAGCTGATGCTGCTGGTAAACGAGGAAAGGCAGTTCTGTCCTTGTTCGAGTATTTTGTGGTGAAGGAGAAGCCATGATTTCGAGGGGGAGGGAGCAGGTCTTTATAGCTCAGAGATTTGATCTGCAAGCCCCCAGGGCTTCTCTGACTGGTCATGAAGTTGCTGAATTGTTGGGAAGTAAGATAACAGTTGTTCTTAACAACAAGACGAGCCGGCCAGCAGTTCGTGGTTGTGGTGGATGTCAATGGATATCAAGTCGGTCGTCCAAGTGGCCCGCCAAAGGAGAATCAACGGTCGAGGTCACGTGCAAAGTCACTTTATCGAGGGGCGCAGTGATCGACCACCAAAAGCACCAAAACTTGAGAGTGGAAAGGCAACGTATATGAACCTTCTTCAAACGATCTACATGGTCGAGTACTACGCACCCAATGCTATTGAAAACTTATTGTCCTTGAGGCATTGTGTTCAGTTGCTATTCGGCCCAACAGATGGCTACAGTTTTTTCCCTTCTGACTATTCCAAGTTGCCTGGACAATCGCGGACATCCAAGAGGGTGATTCTTCCAGCCTACAGTGGCAAAGGAGAGCAATCGGCCGCCGGTTGCAGCATATTGCATTCGGGTGGTTGTGCAGACCCATGAGATATTTGCATACTGAATCGGCGTGCGCGCACCGATATGATGACGGCACCTCGACCAAATCGCTCTAGGAGCTGGTGCTTCCTCTCCATTATCCGACTATTCTGAGTAAGGCAACGATTGCGGCCTCGGTCGTCACATGGGATTCTGGCAGAAGCACAGAATGAAGGATTGGGGGGTTCATTTTCAGGTCCCGTGCCCCTCTAGCGGACACGATCATGAGTTCCGCCTTCTGAGGAGAGCCTCGGATTGCAGTGTTCAACTTCGCCCCATGCTAGGCTGAGTGCGTCAGTCCGCCGGCTGACAGCGTAGGCATATAAGGTTGTGGCTATCACTGCTCCATAGACGTTTTGTGGGCTTACGGTGGTGAGCCCTCCCTATGAGTTCAGCCGTGACTCCTTTGTGCCCTTCAGTTTGGGGGCTTTGCGCTCAAGCGGCTCAATTGCAGACTTTTTCGGATCACCTAACAAGTAACTAACCAGCGGTCGTTGAATCAGCTGCGTCCCTACGCTGCCGATGAGATACAGGACAACAGCAGTGGGCGTTTCAGATCGGATGACGAACATTGGGAAGAGGAAAGATGCGGAGACAATGAACTGAGAGACAGATAGGAAAAATATATCTCTCTGTCTCGCCAGACCAGGTTCCATAGTTGCTATCCTCTCCTGCTGTTTCGCCATCCCTCTCCCTGCCGCCATCCATGCACTGGCTACTGACAGGGCCCCGAAAGTCAGCGGCAGAATCCAGAGATGATCCGGAGAGACCAGGTCGGGAATCCACCAGAGACTTTCAGCCTGCAGGCCCGGTTCCGGTGGGACGATACTCGTGTCCACTTTGCTATCGTTGGTTTTGAGGAATAGAGACAAAAGTGTTCTATCGTCGCCTGCCATCCGCCTGATGACGTCGGCATTGAGGATCCAGATGGGGAAGAACGATAGTTGTAGACCGAATACCGACAGTGGGCTCAGATAGTTACTGTGCTGTCGGATGGCCTTTCGCCGGGCTTGCAGTTGTTTGCTCACCCATCGTTCTGCTGCTTCTGCACTCTGCTGCGTCTGGTCTCTAAACTTGACAACTGCGATATCTTGGTAGGCCTTCCGCCATCCTTTGAGAAGAGGGCCCTCGATCTGCCTGCGTTTCAGGCTTATAGTTGATATTATCTGCACGGGGATCCATGCAAGTCGAAAAAGTGACGCGGTCAAAGGTATCGACAGGGCCCAGGGCAGTCCGGTCACGGTATGAATTTCCTGGAACACGCTATGCGAAAGTTGTAGCGCTTCTGCTATGATCCGGTTCGGTCTTGAGGAGTGGAAGTCTCGTCCATAGCGATGCCGAAAAAGGGCAGACCTGGCCCTGAACTGCGCTTCAAGGCACGGAGAGGCTGCTCGTATGGTACCACGTCCTGACTGCCGCAGCAACATTGGCTATAGCTGTGCAATGCGGCAGTGGTAATGGGGACAAGATTGTTCTTAGGAAGCCCTTGAGGGCTCTTGGGCGGTTGCGCGGGGGCTGTTCGGAGGAAACAGCATGCGATTGTAGCTGTGAAGGTAAATATAGATAATAACTATTGCAATCGTGCCGATTTCTCGAAGAGTAGTTGTAGTACAATTGTAGTATTTCGTTAGTACTGTATTGATTATTTAATTCTCCTGACACACGCGCATGTGGAAAAGATGCGTCATTGTTGGCTGGCGCCAGAAACAGGACACGACGGCACGCCCACGCCCAACTAACACTGTAGGTACCTTAGATTATTAGGAACACCGGCAGCATCCTAGCACGGGATATCTTTATCCATCTCACATACTGCGCGCTCCCAGCTGTCACTGCAGCGCTTACCGTCCATCCTTCCTCCGCTCTCGAAAGCATGTCCCTCGCTGAGCTTCGCATTGTGCTTCAGCAATGGCTGTCTCCAGCGTTGTGGCTCTCCTCGCGTTAGGGCCGCTTTTGCCGGTCATTTTCCTGTTGTTTATGCGGCTGGCCCTGCGAGGGCTGGGCTGGTTTTTGGAAGAGAAGACTAAGGAGAGGAGAGCGGCAATCGCTGCAAGAATCGCGCGAGAGAGGGCTGCGGTACATGAGAGACAGGAAATATCCCGTGAGGTTGAAGATGGATGGCAGAATATCGAGAAGACAGGCACTGCTGAAAATGGGAAATCCCCCCAAGATGAATTCAATGGCGTCGTAGGCTTTTTTCACCCTTTCTGGTGAGTCTTGCTTCTGCCTCTACGAATATTGATTTTGGCGGCTGCTGACTGTATGCAGTAATGCTGGAGGTGGCGGGGAAAGAGTGCTGTGGGCGGCTATCGCGGCGACCCAAAGACGCTGGCCCAATGCTATATGTGCAGTCTATACCGGTGACCACGACATTGACCGAAGCGTTGTAGTGGCAACGGTGAGAGACCGCTTCGGAATCACCCTCCAAGAGCATTCTCTGCTCTTCCTATATCTATCTCGACGCCATTTCGTTCTAGCGAGTACCTACCCTCACTTCACGTTGCTCGGACAGTCTCTCGGCTCTCTGATTCTGGCTTATGATGCTTTCCAATTGCTGGTCCCCGACATTTTCGTCGACACCATGGGCTATGCTTTTGCAGTGGCCTTCTGCACGTATCTGTTTCCACGGGTACGTACAGCTGCGTATGTACATTATCCCACCATCTCCATCGATATGCTTGACAGCCTGGACGATACAACAGGTCAACGCGGGATTCATTCTGGGGCGGGCGCTGGGTGGAAGGGAAAGTTGAAGAGATACTACTGGACCGCCTTCGCATGGCTCTACGGCTGGGTTGGGAGTCAGATCGATGTCGTTATGTGTAACTCAACCTGGACCCAAGGACATATTCGGCAATTGTGGAAGCCGAAGAAGACATCTTCGAAGGCTCGCTTTGCAGCAGTCGTCTACCCTCCTTGTCCGGTGGAAGAACTGGAATCCAAGATTCGGGTCACCGAGGAAAGCGAGAAACGACGGGAAAACATCGTGCTATATATTGCACAATTCCGGCCTGAAAAGAACCACTCACTCATTCTCCGCGCGTTTGCGCAATACTACCATGCAGCAAGAGACAAGCCGCGCCTTGTACTCATTGGTTCCGTCCGCAGCAACACCCCGGACGAGAAACACATTTACAACCTCCGCCTTGAAGCTCGTGAACTGAAGGTCAAAGATGCCACTGCCTTCATTTGCGATGCGCCTTTCTCGGTCATTCTAGACTATCTTCAGAAGTCGAGTATTACCACCAACGGCATGTACTCAGAGCACTTTGGAATTGGTAATGTGGAAGGGCTGGCAGCAGGACTGATCCCGGTCGTGCACAATAGCGGCGGCCCCAAGTTGGACATAGTCGTCCCTTACGAGGGTCAGCCTATTGGCTTCCTTGCAGAAACTGACGAAGAGTTCGCTGCCGGCTACCAGCGTGTGGCGGCCATGAGTCCCCAAGAGCGGTTCGCCATGAGGCTGAGAGGACGTAAAAGCGCCTTTCGTTTTACTGAAGAGTCTTTCGCCAGCAAATGGATTGAGAATATGGAGACGCTGGTCAACATGCAGACCCCCTGATAGCCGTCCTCTGGTGCCATACAGGGAATTGAATAAGCCGGTGTGTCATGTCAGCTAGAAAGAATACAATGATACCCCTTTGTCTTGTCCCGCTTCTTTATACTCGTGTCTGTGAGACGGGCTCACAGCCGCCGTAACCGATGCCATGATGTACAATCGCTCGCATTGTCACGTTGGTACCTAGGTAGCCACAGTATCAGCACGTGATCTGGAGACTTTTATCCTGCCGCAGTTTTGCCGCAGCCTTGCGCCTCTCGCAACATGAAGTCCGGATTCATTATTCTGCGGCACTCACCATTCTTTGACTTACTCCTCGGTGCGCTCTTTGAGACAAATTTGCCTCTCAGGCTCATTTAGCAGGCATAAATATACCCATATCAGCCTCCTGAACCTCCCTACCTCCCCATCTACACACAGCCGGCTTTCTCACCATGTCCTTGTGTCTAAACCGCCTCCAAGAGGAGAGGTACGAGAGAGACAACCTCAATCCTATTTGCAGTCACTAATGTGTTACACAGGAAACAGTGGCGTCGGGATCACCCGTTCGGCTTCTACGCGCGACCTGTACGGGGGGCAAATGGCGTACTGGACCTCAAGAACTGGGAAGTGGGCATTCCAGGAAGAGACAACACCATCTGGCAAGGTGGATTGTTCAAGTTGACGCTTACCTTCCCTGACGAGTATCCTACCAAGCCGCCTAAGTGTCAGTGAATCGTGTTGACATCAGCGAACTTTGCGCTGACTTTCACAGGTCGTTTCGTGCCTCCACTGTTCCACCCCAACGTCTATCCCTCCGGCACAGTCTGTCTCTCGATCCTCAATGAAGAAGAAGGGTGGAAGCCGGCTATTACCATTAAGCAGATTCTGCTCGGCATCCAAGACTTACTCAACGATCCCAACCCAGAATCGCCCGCCCAAGCAGAGGCGTACAATCTGTTCAAGAAAGATAAAGCTGCATACGAGCGGAAGATCAAGAGCATAGTCAAGGAGAATCCGGCACCCTGAGGGAACGGCAATCCGCGGAAGGCGAATAAACAAATCTCAGGCTGTGTATGGGCATGAGCGCAACCAGCAACGAACACGTGAATTACGAGCGTAGGCGTTTTTTCGGCGGGACAAAGGATGGGATTCTAGTACTACTACACTACCTCTGCAGCTGCCACTCGAGTGCACTGCACTGCAGCTGTCCAGCTGGCAATATGACGGCGAGGTCCACAAAGTGCTCTCGTGTACTTTTGGAAGCGAGACTCCCAGGACCTGCTCTTCCTATTACAAGTCAAGTTGAAGGTATTGCCTCCTCCGCAATGCAACAAGCGCAAAATGGCCAGAAAGCGAAGCGTGGGGGTTAGGCGGCCATGATCTGAGGAGTTGCCGGGGGATTCAAGTTTTTGCCAATAATAGCCCACGCGAGGAGACGTCGACAATGATGCGACCAGGGTTCAGATAATGGCATTTTAATACCCCGGGGATGGTTTGGTGTTTTGATAGCCAGCTGGCCTTGCAACCCCCCGGCCACCACTCAGCTTGAAGCGTGTGTAATTTTTGCGACAAAGAGAGTCGCGTGCCACTGCACGCCGTTGCTCTCGCATGCCTGTCGCTTATTCCAGCGGGGCGATCAGGAACCAAATCCAATCCATTCCGAGCTCTTGAGTTCTTTTCATCGTTGCCATCGTTGCCATTGTTTCTCGCAGTACAGTGTGATTTGCGCGAGTAGATGAATGATACTACTAGTACTACTAGACCCGTATTACTTCATGAGTCCCACGCGCGAAGACGAGAGGCGACAAGGAGGGGCCGTGGTCGGAGATCAGAATCCACTGGCAGCACCGTGGTGGTCCGTACCTTTTATCTTTTATCTCCCGGCGACAGGGAATCAGAGTGGGCGGAAGCCCTGGACCTGGGCCGGAACAAAAAGGCCCCTCCCCGAGATACTGCCCGAGATACTGCTGCGAGAGCCATCTGGACTGCCTGTGACGACTCTGCGCGGTGGGCTGTCGCTGCAAGCCTGCAGTGAGCTTGATGGTGAATAATGGGCCATGCTATGACTGGAGGGTTGAGAAGCATTGAATCAAGCACTGGCACACGCCGTGGCGGCCGCCAGCGGCGCGGGAGAAGTGCGTTCGCCATCAAGAAATGCGCCTTCACCTCAGCTTGAGCCTTGACTCACTGCATGCTCCAATTTTTTTTGGGTCTGCGTGGGCTTTTTATTTCCTCTCTCTCCCACGCTCGTCTCACTGCGCCGCCACACTTCTTACATCTCCTGCATACATTCCCCTCCCTTTATCAAGTGGTAGAGAAAGTCGCAGTTTCCTGGGCAGCCATGTGTGGGATTTTCGCGTGCCATAAGTGAGTCTTGCTCGTCAATCCCGCTGCCGCTCGAGGCCTTTCTTGCTGACCGGCCTTCATAGCCATCCGTCGATAGGGACCTTCAAGACCACTGCTCTGCAGTGTGTCAAGTGCCTTCGACACCGCGGTCCTGACTGGTCGGGCAACTGGACCGGCAACAACACCATCCTCTGCCACGAACGCCTTAGTATTGTGGGCGTGGACAGCGGCGCACAGCCTCTGGTCAACGATGAAGGAACAATTGCCCTGGCCGTGAACGGCGAAATCTACAACCACCGTATCCTGCGCAAGCACCTCAAGACTGCGTACAACTTCAAGACTCACAGTGACTGCGAGGTCATCATTCCCCTCTACCAAGACTTTGACATTGACGCCCCGAAGCACCTCGATGGCATGTTCTCTTTTGTCCTCTATGACAAGAAACAAGACCGAACAATCGCTGCCCGGGACCCCATCGGTATTACCTCTTTCTATCTTGGTCGGTCTAGCAAGACACCTGGCGCTGTCTACTTTGCTTCAGAGTTGAAGGCTTTGGCTCCTGTCTGCGACGAGGTCCAGGCTTTTCCCCCGGGCCATGTCTATGACTCGAAGACCGATAAGCTCACACGGTACTTTGAGCCCTCTTGGTGGGATGAGAACAGAATTCCGGATACGCCCGTGGACTACAAGCTGCTCAGAAAAACATTGGAGAAGTCTGTCCTCAAGCGTCTCATGGCTGAAGTGCCCTATGGCGTTCTTCTTTCCGGAGGTCTTGACTCGAGCTTGACTGCTTCAATCGCACAAAGGGAATCTCTCCGTCAACGAGCACTGATCAACTCCCAGGCCAACGGCACGGTCAACGGCGACGGGCCTGAGACAGGCACCAAGCTGGTTGGTATTGACGACGACGACGAATTGTCAACTGTGACCTTTCTTCCTCAGCTCCATTCCTTCTCCATCGGTCTTCCCGACGCTCCAGACACCAAGGCGGCTATCGAAGTTGCCAACTTCCTGGGCACGAAGCATCATGCCTTCACCTTCACCATCCAGGAGGGCTTGGACGCTCTGTCAGATGTCATCTATCATCTTGAAACATACGACGTTACAACCATTCGTGCGTCGACACCTATGTATCTGCTGAGCCGGAAGATCAAGGCTATGGGTGTTAAAATGGTTTTAAGTGGGGAGGGAAGTGATGAAATCTTCGGTGGTTACCTCTACTTCCACGCCGCTCCAAACAGGGAAGAGTTCCACAGGGAGACCGTCAGGAGAGTCAAGAACCTTCATCTGGCCGATTGCTTGCGCGCCAACAAGTCAACATCGGCCTGGGGTCTAGAGGCTCGTGTGCCGTTCTTGGACAAGCAATTCCTCGAGGTCGCCATGAACATTGATCCCGCCGAGAAGATGATCACGAAAGACAGAATAGAGAAGTACATTCTGCGAAAAGCTTTCGACACCAGCGATGAGCCCGATGTCAAACCCTACCTACCCGATCACATCTTGTGGCGTCAGAAGGAGCAATTTAGCGACGGTGTTGGATATGGCTGGATTGATGCCTTGAAGGACCACGCTGAACTCAACGTGACGGACGAAATGATGGCTAACCCGAAACCTGAGTGGGGCAACGACATTCCTACTACCAAGGAAGCTTACTGGTATCGCACCATGTTCGACCAGCATTTCCCTCCATACTGCGCATCTACTGTGATGCGGTGGACGCCGACCTGGTCGAAACAGACCGATCCCAGTGGTCGCGCCATTGGCATCCATGTCGCCAGATACGAAGACGCGAAGAAATCTTGATCTCGGTCGACTATTTGAGCTGTTTTCAGGCCTAGGGTATCATCAGCGAGACAATGGCTTGACGTTTATGGCTGTTATGTGTGTGACCACGAAGCAACTATCTTCTGACTGGGAGGGACTTTTGCTGGACTACTGCGTCTTCTGTCGGCTTTGGCCGAGAAAAGCAGACTGTGTAATAGCTTGCGAGCTCCTAGGGACATGCTTCTAGACCAACCCTTGTAAACTTATCTCTATAGCAGCAGTCAGCTGCCGTGTCTTATATTAGTTGTTTGAGGTTGTTTGGAGCGGTGGCCCATAGGGGGAAGTCGGCCGATTCACACTCTCTTATCCCGCCGGTGATTGGCCAATTGGCAGCTCCTACGCAAAACAGCTCCGAACCATTTTCTTGAGCTTCCGCCGTCACTTGTTGCCCGTGACCACCGTGTTCCTCCATCTCACTCCTTTGATCTTCTAATCCACGGTTCTGATCGCGTATATCTTCTCTCGTCCTCAGCCGCCATCATGTCTGGTATTCCAGTTCCCTTCAGCGATATCGCTAAGCCAGCGAACGACGTGAGAGACCAACCGACATCCGTATCCGCATCGTACTAACCCTGACTCCTCCAGCTCCTCAACAAGGACTTCTACCACACCACTGCTGCCAATCTCGAGGTCAAGTCCAAGGCACCAAACGGCGTTGTGTAGGTCACTTCCAACCTTGGACGAGGAAACCTCTGCTAACGCCGCCCTCATCAGCTTCAACGTCAAGGGAAAGTCTGCCCACGATGGCCCAATCTCTGGATCGGTGAGCACAGCGATAGTCAAGGAAAACTTCAGAATATATCATGTTAACGGCAGGGGAAAGATTGAAGGGAAATACTCGGACAAGGCGACTGGTACGTGGCACAATTTGGTTTCCCACTGTTGCGCGGGAGAGATAGGCAATGGCATCATCTGGCTATGAGCCGCTTCCGCGACCAGCATGCGGACTCGCTGCTAACCTGGTGTGGTGCAGGTCTTACCCTCACCCAGACATGGACGACCTCGAACAGCCTCGACACCAAACTCGAGCTTGAGGACAACCTTACCAAGGGCTTGAAGGCCGAGGTTTTGACCAACTACTTGCCTGCGCAGAGCGCCTACGGCGGCAAGCTGAACCTCTTCTACAAGCAACCCAACATCCACACCCGCCTGTTCACCGATGTCTTCAAGGGACCGACTGCCACCTTCGACGTGACCCTCGGCCACGAAGGTTTCCTCATTGGTGCCGAAGGTGGATACGATGTCGGCAAGGCCGCAATCACCAAATACGCCCTTGCAGCTGGATACAGCCAGGGTTCGTATGCCGCCGCCGTCACTGCCTCCAACAACTTGACCGTCTTCTCCGCGAGCTACTACCACAAGGTCAACGCTGAGGTCGAGGCCGGTGCCAAGGCTACTTGGGATTCAACTGCTGGAAGCAACGTTGGTCTGGAAGTTGCCTCCAAGTACAAGCTGGACCCCAGCTCTTTCGCTAAGGTCAGTTATCCACATATCCTGAAGCATGGAGATGCAATGCTGACTCAGAAATAGGCCAAGATCAACGACCGTGGTATCGCCGCCCTGGCCTACAACGTCAAGCTCGGAACTGGTGTGACTCTGGGTCTGGGGGCCTCTTTCGACACCCAGAACCTGAACCAGGCCGCCCACAAGGTCGGCGCTTCCTTCACCTTCGAGGGTTAGATGCAGCCGCGCCTCCATGTAACCAAGACAGGGACATAACTCAGATTGTACAAAGGATCAATTCAAAGAATAGTGGCAATCTTTCCCAATGGTCTCCCGGATCAATGCGATATGATCAATCCAAGCTTTGAGCCTTCATCTGAAGAGATTGAGAAATGCAAATGTCGCTATTGGATCTATCAATACAGCGAGGAGTCCTCGAGAAAGCAAGGACCGCTTATCCTTTAGTCCATTCGTTCCGGGCGCCGTCTCTCCGACTTCCATCTGCTCGTGTAAGCCCGCCCCGCGGGGTATCGGCCATGCCTATAATAAGTGTACCCAATGCAACGCTCAGTGCGATTGCTGCCGACACGACAATGAACCTACCCCAGAAATTGTCCACCTCTATCTGTGCTTGAGCAGCCGCCATCTCCGCCGCTCGCCTATTGGCCCGTCTATAGTCTTCCAATGTCTGTGTTTTGTACGTGCTTCGGGCATCGAAATGGGGGTCCCATTTGCCATCTTCCGCGAAAGCGCTGGCATTGAATGTTCCGGCCTGACTTGCTCGGGCCTGATTGCTCGTATTGGGAGATGGCTTCCCGTGACTATAGAAGGACGGTGGCGGGCCCTTGAAGACACTTCGTCGTTTACTCAGCCCGCTCGGAGGGCGATGGCCTGCGTGCGTGCCCCGATGATGTCCCGAGTGCGTCGCGTGACGATGGCCATGATGATGGTGTGCCCGCATCACATCCCGATCATAGCGCTTCCTCTTTTCCGGGTCGGCCAGAATGCTGTAGGACTGGCTTATCTCCGCGAAACGTTTGCCGGCATCGGGGTTGCTGCGATTGACGTCCGGGTGCGTCTCTTTGGAAAGTGCATAAAACTGCTTCTTCAGTTCGGCCTGCGTGACATGCTGGCCGACTCCGAGCACTTCGTAGTGGTTCGGGGCATGGCCGTGGGCGTTAAAGGCGGTTGAGGTCTGTGAGAAGCAGCGACAGCGGCCGCGTGCCTGATCGGCCAAGAATCTGGTCGCCCGCGGATTGGGGAGAAGAGTCGAGAGCGTGGCCGGGCGCAGGTTCATGCCTCATGCTTAGTGAATATGTTGACTCTCTCAGCTGTTGTTGCCCGGAGAATGACACTGAGGCCGGTGCCCGGAATGGGCTATAGATACGAAGGTCGAATGGAAGAATGATTGTCACAATTAATGGATGCGTGACGTCTTGCTAAGTTGATGCTGTTTGACAAGCCCGAGTCAGACCCTTAGGTACTAGTACGGCGCCTAGCACTGGCACCGCACCGCCTGTCGACACGGCAAAACTGCCCGCAGTTTCCTCCGGTCCCGCTTGCGTCTTTTGTGGCGCTCCACCACAGTGCACTACTCCCAGTACTAGTACACCGAGAAAATCAGGCCAAGGGTCTTGTCACTCGACATTCCTTCGACTTTGTCCTCTTTTCTCTCTCGACACAACTACTATCCGCTTGTAGTCCGGGCGGTCGGTAGTGACGAGAAAATGGCGGCGAAGACGGCAGATGAGCTGTCCAAGCTCGACTTGAATGGCACTGCTGCCAAAACCAACCCGCAAGCCAATGGCACAAATGGAGTGAATGGCCATGTATCAGATCAGGACGACTCCGATGATGACAAGGACGACGAGGTCGCTGCCAACGGCGGTGCAAACGGCAACACTGCCAGTGGTGCCGCCAAGAAGAAGAAAAAGAAGAAGCCCAAGAAGAAGAAGGCCGGGGGCGCCAAAATTCAATCTGACCCGCCACGAGTACCTCTCAGCCAGCTGTTCCCTAACAACACATATCCGGTCGGTGAAGAGGTGGAATATAAGAACGACAATGCGTACCGGACCACCAGCGAAGAGAAGCGGCACCTTGACCGCATGAACAACGATTTCCTGCAGGAATACCGCCAAGCCGCTGAAACGCACCGGCAAGTGCGGAAATGGGCCCAGGCCAACATCAAACCCGGCATGACTCTAACAGAGATTGCTGAGGGAATCGAGGACGGCACACGCGCTCTCACCGGCCACCCTGGTCTCGAAGAGGGTGATAACATCAAAGGCGGAGTGGGGTTTCCCACTGGATTAAGCATCAACCATATCGCCGCTCACTATACCCCCAATGCAGGCAACAAATGGGTGTTGGGTGAGCAGGATGTCATGAAAGTCGACTTTGGGGTCCATATCAATGGACGGATTGTGGATTCGGCGTTCACCATGTCATTCGATCCGAAATACGATAACCTCCTGGCCGCGGTCAAGGACGCTACCAATACCGGTATCCGCGAGGCCGGTATTGATGTGCGAGTCTGCGACATTGGGGCTGCGATTCAGGAGACGATGGAGTCTTACGAAGTCGAGCTAGACGGCAAAACATACCCGGTCAAGGCGATCCGAAATCTCAATGGCCACGATATTGTACAGCACAGCATCCATGGCGGCAAGTCGGTGCCGATCGTCAAGGGCGGCGATCAAACAAAGATGGAGGAAGGCGAGATTTTTGCCATTGAGACCTTTGGTTCGACTGGACGTGGTTATGTGGTGGATGATCTCGAAGTCTCCCATTACGCACTTAAACCGGATGCCCCCAATGTCGCCCTACGGGTGCAGTCCGCCCGCTCACTACTGAATGTAATCAAGAAGAACTTTGGTACATTGCCTTTCTGCCGACGTTACCTCGACCGGCTTGGACAAGAAAAGTACTTGTTGGGGCTGAACAACCTTGTCAGCCAGGGCATTGTTGAGGCATATCCACCGCTTGTGGATACCAAGGGCAGCTACACTGCCCAGTTTGAACATACCATCCTCCTCCGCCCTACGGTTAAGGAGGTGGTTAGCCGCGGAGATGACTACTGAGTCTGGCTCTCAAGATTTTTCTGGTGTACATGCTGGTAAATCCGCACACGTTTGGTTGTGTTTCTCACGAAAAGAGATCCTGAAACGAAGGGATACACCGCGATAAATGGAAATGGGAGTATCAAGGTTGCGGCAACTAGTCATGAAATCCAATCTTGGGGGTTGCGTCGTTTGTTATAGGGCTATGTCCAAACCAGCCAGTTGTTTCCACTCATTCATGTCCTTAGGTGCAGAGGCACCGTACAGTAGTCACTGACACCAGCTCAATGTGGGTGTATCATGATGTTTGCATTTCCACTATACATTATCGTACTATGGGCAATCATGGACCGGGCATACGGCGACCCGAGCACGTGACATGAGTATACAGCGTGTGGCCTCGGTCCACCTTCCTCCTGAATTATTTCTCCAAGAAAGGCCTCATTCAGCAAATATTTCACCAGCTCTGGACGGGAGGATTGTAGTTGAACGTGCATGAAGGACCTTGAGGACTTGGAAGATCAATCCCTAAAGTGCTCGCCAATACTGGTGATTCCTCGATTCTGTCCGCGGTCAAATCTTTTGAAGGTGGAACCACCTTCTGCGAATTTGAGTGGTCTGTCCATTGAGTCATCCTTGTTTTAATTATTTTATATCACCATTGATCAACCGCCTGTACAACTTTCCGAGACCTTTTATTTACGGCAATTTAGCCAGTCAATATGTCAACTTGGGGAAAGTACTTTCGGGTGACGACTTATGGCGAGTCTCACTGTCGGTCAGTCGGCTGTATTGTCGACGGCTGCCCTCCAGGGATGCATTTGACCGAACAAGATATCCAGCCTCAGATGACTCGCCGGAGACCGGGACAATCCGCTCTGACCACACCGAGAAACGAGAAGGACAGAGTAGAGATTCAATCTGGGACAGAGTTTGGCGTCACTCTCGGCACGCCAATCGGCCTGATCGTGCGCAACGAAGACCAAAGACCCAAGGACTATGGCGGGAATACCATGGACCTCTACCCGCGACCTAGCCACGCAGATTTCACTTATCTAGAAAAATATGGCGTCAAAGCCAGCAGTGGTGGAGGTCGAAGCAGTGCTCGTGAGACCATTGGTAAGTGCCGTGCTTTGTCCTCGTGTGATCGACATGAACATATACGTCGATGAAACCCGTACAATGTGAAAAGTGATGCTGACAGTATCGGTCAACCCAGGACGTGTGGCAGCGGGCGCCATTGCAGAGAAATATCTCTCGTTGGCGCATGGAGTGGAGATTGTAGCCTTTGTGTCTTCGGTCGGCTCTGAGCACCTCTTTCCACCCACGGCTCAGCACCCGTCTCCCTCGACAAACCCGGACTTTTTGGCTTTGCTATCCAAGATCACCAGAAAGGAAGTCGACTCTTTCATCCCTGTCAGATGTCCCGATGCGGATGCCATGGAGCGGATGACCAAGGTGATCGAGAAGTTCCGCGACGCCCAAGACAGCATCGGTGGCACAGTCACATGTGTGATTCGAAACTGCCCTATCGGGCTGGGGGAACCGTGCTTCGACAAACTCGAGGCGGAACTGGCACATGCTATGCTCAGCATACCCGCCACGAAAGGATTCGAGATCGGATCGGGTTTCGGTGGTTGTGAGGTTCCTGGATCGATCCATAACGATCCGTTCGTCGCAGCACCAGCGGATCAGAGCCAGAAGCGGAAACTGACGACCAAGACGAACAATTCTGGCGGTATCCAGGGAGGCATTTCCAACGGTCAGGATATCTACTTCAGAGTCGCGTTCAAGCCGCCTGCTACCATTGGCCAAGCGCAGCACACGGCTACATACGATGCGGAAGAGGGTGTTCTGGAGGCAAAGGGCAGACATGATCCGTGTGTGGTTCCTAGAGCCGTGCCGATTGTCGAGGCCATGTCCGCTTTGGTGCTTATCGATGCCCTCATGGCGCAGAAGGCCCGAGAAAGTGCGAGGAGTCTACTGCCGCCGCTGAAGACGACTTTGCCTGTTAAAGAAAGTGGCACCTCTGCTACTTCGGAAAAGGTCGCTGAGCACCTGAATGGGTTGAAGTGAGCGAAGAACTGGCGCCTGAAGATGCTCTGGGGATGGGTTCAAGAAAGCTCTTCGGCATGATGCCATGGCTTACTCGGCACGCTACCTACTGGATCTGGACCCGGTTTATCATACCGATCAGAGAGGTGCGCGGCGCTCAGCTGCTACTGCAGTCTGTGGCCAAGCTGCCTCGCTCTGCCCTGGACCTTCAATCACGAGGATCCTCGATGCAGCTAAGCTGCTTCAAAAGCAATTTTCAAAGGCAGCACAGTTACCGCTGTGGGAACAACACACCGTGTTTCTATGTTTCTATTGGGTTGAGGACAAGCCGGTGCAATGTCAGCTGACCAGATTGGCAAAGCTCGGTCGACAAGGGCTTGCATGATATCTTGGTATGTTGCAATCACGGGAGTACATAGTAGCAGTCCGGTTGGTAAGGCTAGGGATTGAGGCGTAGCTCCATGGTGGTAGACTCGTACTAGATGGCACTACTGTTCGGGGTAGATGCATGCATGAATTGCGGCTCGTTGAAAATAGAAGTCTGTACATGATTTGGCCATGGCACTTGAAGTACACCAACTCGATCGCGAACATTTGTTAGCACATTGTACTAACCAACGACGATGTTTTAGATGTACGTACAGTGCTAGTAGGGCTAGTATAGTAGTGGTAGTCGTGGTGTTGGTGAATCGCTTGTGTTGCGCCTCTCGCTTATCTGGTGACTCGGTTGTCGGAGCAACAAGAGCGTCCAAACAATCGCGGGTTCGTCTTCGCCTGCAACACGCCGACAATCCTGGCCGGCTCGACAATGGCGCAAGCCTCCTTGCATCCTGGGAGAGTCGTCGATTGGGCGCCATAGAATCAGGGATCTGACCTGTTTGACCATCTGCCCTTGTCCGGCAACCACGAGACCCTTGAGACCAAATCTGACCTGCAGCGTGGCTGGAGATAGTCTGCATCTGTTTACACCCGCGCCGACGACTCTCGTTTAACTTCGCCCCACGATAACTGATTGCGACTGCATGGCCAACCTCCCCGATCGTTTACTAGGTGCTTGTCGAAATACCCCTCGGACTCTATAACGGCTGTCACTCCCTTGGTCAGGGACTGGGTTCGACAGAAAGAAAAAAAGGTCAATTTCGATCGCGAGCACGGAAGGCCGCAGATGGGTTGATTCACCACCACACAGTCCAATTCCAAAACCCGAACAAAGATGACCTGAAACCAAGCCTTGCGAGACATGTTGCGACAACTTTCCCTCCCCTCCCTCATTTCCGCCGGTATTGTGGCATTGGTTACACCTGTGCTTGCGCTACTGCCATACAATCCGACGCGCATCGTTCCGGCGAAAGATGGCTCGGTGGCCTACCTATTCAGCCCGCAACCTTCGTCCACCCAGTTCTCCTTGTATGCGCTCAACACATCGGACAATGTGACAGCCACGTCTTCCAAGACCCCAATATCCGATACGCTCCCGTTCCTCTCTAAGACCGAGTCGAGGGCGTTCATAACGATTTCCGGCGATGAAGGGATCACCGTCCTGGCGGGCAACTGCCAGGATCCTCAGAAAGATCCACAACTGTGGAAGTTCGTCCCCAGTCAAGAAGAAAACAACGGCACTTGGTCACAATTGGAACTGACGGCCGGCGACGGCTCCCTCGGCTGCAACTATCTGTCTGCTGGGTTTGCGTTTTCACCTACCGCCTCGATTGGAGATGCTGCACTGTACGTCTTTGGTGGAATGTGTCCCAACAGCACAACTACAGACACGGCCTCCTGGATCTCCAATGCGAACTTTTCAAACACGATGCTCACCTTCGCTCCGGAGTCATCGTCAAGCAATAGCTCCCCTTACCAATTATCGCTGACCGGAGCGCGAGCCCCTCCGATTGCAGAAGCAGGACTGACCATCACACCCTTGACCCCCACGTTCTCGAACACTTCCCATACCAATGTGTCGCAACAACAGAACTTTGTCCTCTTGGGTGGCCATACTCAGACCGCATTTATCAATATGTCGCAGCTGGCAATATTCTCACTGCCACAAGAGTCTTGGGCTTTCGTTGCGGTTTCACAGCCAGCAAGCTCTGGCACCGGAAAGCTGAGGACAAGAGATACGTCGGAAGTCGAGCCTCGATCAGGACATACAGCGATCTTGACCGAGGACGGCTCTCGCATTGTGGTATTTGGCGGTTGGGTCGGGGATGTCAACACTCCAGCACAGCCTCAGTTGGCCATACTTGAGGTTGGTCAGGGATATGGTGGACAGGCAGACTGGTCATGGACGATCCCAACCTCAACCTCCAACCCCTTCCCGTCTGACTCCGGCTCTGGTATCTACGGTCACGGAGTGGCTATGCTCCCGGGAGGTATAATGATGGTGAGCGGGGGCTACACCATCGGTACAACTGCTACAAAGGCCCGGCGCCAAGTGTCTTCTGATACTCTCCTGTTCTTGAACACGACCAGTCTCGAATGGGCCAGCACCTACACAAATCCTTATCCGTCAGGCTTACCTCAAGCCTCGTCGTCTGCAGATTCGTCGACTACGGGCCTCAAACCGTCCGAAAGGGCGGGCCTGGGAGCTGGTCTAGGTCTAGGTCTGGCGGCAGCAGCTGGCGTGGCAATTGTATGGCTACTATACTCCCGCAAACTTCGGGAAAGGCGCGCTCTCCGCGAGAAGGAGATCAGAGAGCTTGCACTTGGTGCTGAACGCTTTCGCTCACCCACACCTGCTGGCCAAGTCAGTGAAAAGACCGATACAATGAGGAGCGCCAGCTGGGGTGGCATTCAGGAACGTCAGCTCGAGAGTTCCGGTGATCCATTTCCGTGGGCACCAATGGCTCTAGCAGACAACAACGGAAAAGTGCGTTTGGCTGTTGGGGCTGGTGGAGACAGCAATGACTCCCGATATGCTGAGCGTACCGGGGTTCTAATGGAAATACCAAGTCCTACCCAAGGACTCAGAAAGAATCTGATATCCAAGGCACCAATTGCGCCCGGACCGTTTAACCAACACCCTCCCAGTACTATGGGCCCAGGTGCCGTGTTTCGCATTGACGAAGAAGAGGAAGGCAGTCAAGCCGGGTCATCGAGAAGGGTCAGGCCATCTCAGAATATGGCTGACACCAGCTCGATGGCAAGCGACCCATTCAAGGACCCGTCTCCAATGATGGAGACATCAATGCCAAATGACGCCGCAACACAACGCAAGAAAGAAGTCGAAGGCTGGGTCGAGGACTGGCAATCAGCTGCCGAGACCATGAGTTTGTCACGCAGCACGAGTCAAGGATACAGCCGAACGTATTCCAATCTTTCCCAGTTCCGGCCGGCTGGAAGCGGCGGCCCAGGACGAGGGTCGCGCGAGAAATCGGATCGGACTGGTAGCAATCTTTCAGACAACAGTATGACGACGAGCTCCTCTTCGATGCAGAAGTCTGCCGCCGGCACGCTGTCGCGCAATATATCTCAGAGGAGTGCTAGCGTAGGCTATACAGGATATTCACTCTTTTCCGGGGCCGCGGCTGCCATGAGCCGGTTTGGAAATATGAACGCCAGCAACACTGGTCCTACTAGAACGCCCTCTAACCGCAGTGTTTCCCTCAACATTGACACATCTAGACGGATGAATCCGGACAACACATTCTCGTCAGCTCGCAGTGCCTGGGGTCGCACGACCACCATCGGGGAAGATCAAGCGCTCCTCAATCGAGCTCGTCAACGTCAAGAAAACCGCGCCCGGGATTACAACACGCTGGCTGACAGTTCTCCCAGCAAGGATAAATACGCGCGAGCTGGTAGCCTTACCGCAGGGTCAGGCCGGAGAGCATTGAACCTCCTTGGCAGCATGAAGAGAGTGTTTACTGGAAGTGGACCTGGACCTGGTGACGTCCACCACGACCGGTTCGAAGCAGCCCAAAGTAGCAGCCAATCTAGCCCGACGAAACACTCGGCGCAGCATGCAGACATGTTGGCAACAGATGCGGGCCTCAACCGAGCCGTGAGCGCAGGTGCATCATTTTGGCAGAGGAAACGTGGAGCCAAGGACTGGGATGATGATGACGAAGGAGGAAACGCCTCCTCCTCGGCGGCAGCAGTACGAAGAAAACCCGTGCCCGGCGGAACAGGCGGGAAGCACAATTCTTCGTTAGAGGACGAGGAAGATGATGATGACTGGGATGTGGAGACGGCCGTGCAAAAGCGCGTCGTTCAGGTCATGTTCACGGTGCCGAAAGAAAAGCTGCGCGTGGTCAATGCCGATGCGTTGAGTTTGCTGAGTAGTAATCGAAGCGAGGCGGATCAGGAAGAAGATTGGCATAGGCAAGGGGATCAGGTTAAGAGGATGAGTAGTGTCAAGGAAGGGGATGAGAGTCATGATCATGATAACAAGGGCGACAACCGCGACCGCGACCACCAGGCTGACAACGACGATACGACCACGGACAAGGGCAAAGGCAAAGAGCGAGAGGGTTGAAAACAGACTCGGAGTGGACTACTACTGTACGTTGGTAGGTAGGACAGGAGCTAACCATCGTAGACGGTGCTGTTTTTTGGACATCACGGCCGTGGCATATAGCATTGGGGTCCATGCATGGCATGGCATGGGCTTGGGATGGGGGCATGGCGAGGCTGAACCCCTGGAAACGTTATTTCTTCCATGTCGGTCATGGTGTGTTTATATGTGAAGATACAGTCGGATCTCGCGGTCAATGCGGGAAAAGGGGGTGATCTTTGGGCTGTTCTGCTTGGATGCTGATTACCCTGGGCACTGGGTATCTATTGGTATCTACCTAGGTACTGATAGAAACTGCTAGGTAGTGAGGCAACGTTGTTCTAATTGTTGTATACCTACACACAGTGGTCATAAACAACAGTCCAGACGCGTCAACGCGTATCGCATCATCAACATCATCATCATTATAAATCCTCAAGAAGATAACCCCGTGAAATGTGGAGCGGAATGATTCAGATTCTGGGTTCAGTTTGTCAGCCTGATCCAGTTCCGGCACCGGCACCTGCACCGGCTTCGGCTGGTCCTACAGTAGTAGTAGGTAGTAAACAGTGATTCAACTTGAAATTAAATGTTGATATTGTTGCACCAGACAACAGGCACCAGAGTCTATAATGTGGTTTCCGATCACGGCGGTGCTAGGCAGATGCGACATTTTTTGTTTTTGGCGCTGCATGGCAGGCAATGAATGGCATGTTGTGGATGGATGGAGTCCGATCGACTGGGACAATCGTCACGCGTCAAGTGGTGTCGTAGTTTTAACAATGCTAGACTCTGACTAGTATTGTACTACTGTCATAGTACAGTATAGATGGTATTATGGTGGTTTGTGGGGAATTGCATCAGGTAGGGCTGGGTCTTTCGAATCAAGGTCCGGAGTGCTCGATTTACAATGTAATCAGAGGCTAGATCAGAGGCAGGAAGGGATGGAGGGAGGGAGGAATGTGCCAGCGATCTGGGTAAAAGGAGCAATACAGTCAGTCAGTCAGTGGCAGGGAGACAAGAGGCATGAATTTGACTTGACTGATTGACATTTTGACTGTGGCGGGCAACCGCTGGCATGGGAAAAGGGTGTCTGTACATTGTACGCTGTAAGAGGCTGCGCATCCATTATTGCAAAAATGCACGAGACTGGGAGGCGGGGCAGTGTACAGTAACAATTGTTAAGGGGCCGCTAAAAGCCTAGGACATTTTAGCGGCAAGGAATTAATTAATCCATCACCCCTGCAAAGCTCTTCCAACACGTCCAACGCGACCACGAGCACTGCACGAGAAAACGCGTCGGGCAGCGCGTAGGCGTATATATGTGATCCACGCTGGTTGTTGTCCTGTCTTCTCCCTCTCTACACTCCCTTCCTCGACTTCACTACGCCCTTCTTCAATTGCCTGCATATCTTGGTACTTTAGAAGTACTGGTCAGTCCAGCAGAGCAGGCTCTCTCATCTCCTATATCCATCTCGTTTTCGAGTTGCCACCAATTTTCAATCACATTGAGCACGACTCGGTAGTCGATTCAGTCCGGCAAGATGTTTGTTTTCAAGCGAGGTATGCAATGCTCCCTTGTCTGGGGTCTTGCCTAGCAGAGTCTGGCAGCAGCCCTCACTGAAACGTCGAGACTCGAATTTGAACCCGTCGACTCCCGCTGACAAAGTTCTCTTTTTCTAGATGGACGCAAGGAACGCGTACAGTTCGACAAGATCACTGCCCGCGTCTCGAGACTGTGCTACGGTCTTGACCCGGAGCATGTCGACGCAGCAGCCATCACACAGAAGGTCATCTCTGGTGTATACCAGGGCGTGACCACAATTGAGCTAGACAACCTGGTCAGTCAAACTGTGGCAGCCAATGCGGCCGAATGAAGAATTCATTATGCTTACTTTTTGTCTACTCTAGGCCGCAGAGACTGCTGCGTATATGACGGTCACCCACCCTGACTATGCCATCCTCGCGGCTCGTATTGCCGTTTCCAACCTCCACAAACAGACCAAGAAGCAATTTTCTTCGGTGATTTCAGATCTCTACCACTACGTCAACCCCAAGAACGGGAAACCCTCTCCCATGATCTCGACAGAGACATACGAATGCGTGATGAGACATCAAGACGAGCTCAACTCGGCCATCGTGTACGACCGGGATTTCAACTACCAATACTTCGGGTTCAAGACGCTGGAAAGATCATACCTCTTGAAGATTGGCAAGCAAGTTGCTGAACGGCCACAGCACATGCTCATGAGAGTTGCTGTGGGCATTCACGGAGACGACGTTGAGAAGGCCATTGAGACATACAACCTCATGTCGCAGAAATGCTTCACCCATGCATCTCCCACCCTCTTCAATGCCGGTACACCTCAGCCCCAGCTCTCGTCGTGCTTTTTGATCGACATGAAAGAGGACAGCATTGAGGGCATCTACGACACTCTGAAAACGTGTGCACTGATCTCCAAGACTGCCGGCGGTATTGGCCTCAATGTCCATTGCATTCGTGCCACCGGTTCATACATTGCTGGCACGAACGGCACGTCCAACGGTTTGATCCCTATGCTGCGAGTTTTCAACAACACCGCTCGCTATGTTGACCAAGGTGGCAACAAGCGTCCCGGTGCCTTCGCCATCTACCTGGAGCCATGGCACGCCGATGTCTTCGAGTGGCTGAACCTGAGGAAAAACCACGGCAAGGAAGAAGTCCGTGCACGTGACTTGTTTTACGCTTTGTGGACCCCGGATCTCTTCATGAAGCGTGTCGAGAAGAACCAGGACTGGACCCTGTTCTGTCCGCACGAGGCCCCGGGTCTTGCTGACGTGTACGGCGACGAGTTTGAGGCCCTGTATGAGAAGTACGAAAAGGAAGGCCGTGGTCGTCAGACCATCAAGGCCCAGAAGCTGTGGTACGCCATTCTCGAAGCCCAGACCGAGACCGGCAACCCTTTCATGCTGTACAAAGATGCCTGCAACAAGAAGAGCAACCAAAAGAATCTCGGCACGATCCGAAGCTCCAATCTCTGCACCGAAATCGTCGAGTATACCGCTCCAGACGAGGTGGCCGTGTGCAATCTTGCCTCTCTGGCCCTTCCTACTTTTGTCGATCAAGCCCGTGGTGAGTATGACTTTGGACGTCTCCACGAGGTCGTCCAGGTCGTCACCCGTAACTTGAACAAGATCATCGACATCAACTACTACCCTGTTCCCGAGGCAAAGAACAGCAACATGAGACATCGACCAATTGGTCTTGGTGTCCAGGGTCTCGCAGATGCGTTCCTTGCTCTGCGTCTCCCCTTCGACTCGCCTGAGGCTCGGCAGTTGAACATCCAAATCTTTGAAACCATCTACCACGCCGCCTTGACCGCATCTTGCGAACTCGCCAAAGAGCAAGGCCCTTACTCGACGTATGAAGGTAGCCCTGTTTCGCAAGGCATTCTTCAGTACGACATGTGGAATGTCACCCCGACTGACCTATGGGACTGGGATGCTCTGAAGGCCGAGATCGCCAAGCATGGAGTGCGCAACTCTCTACTCGTTGCGCCCATGCCTACTGCTTCCACGTCGCAGATTTTGGGCAACAATGAATGCTTTGAGCCGTACACATCCAACATCTATTCTCGTCGCGTGCTGGCCGGCGAGTTCCAGGTCGTCAACCCTTGGCTGTTGAAGGATTTGGTCGATCTCGGCCTGTGGTCGGACAACATGAAGAACCGCATCATCGCCGAAGGTGGTTCGATCCAAAACATCCCCAACATCCCCGCAGACATCAAGGCTCTGTACAAGACCGTATGGGAGATCAGTCAACGGACGGTTCTTCAGATGGCCGCCGACCGTGGCGCCTTCATCGACCAGTCTCAATCACTCAACATCCATCTCAAGGAGCCTACCATGGGCAAGATCACCTCGATGCATTTTGCCGGCTGGAAGATGGGCCTGAAGACCGGAATGTACTACCTCCGCACCATGGCTGCCAGTGCCCCCATCCAGTTCACCGTCGACCAAGAGCAGCTCAAGGTCGCCGACACCAACATTGCCCGTGAACGAAGCCAGCCCAAGAAACGCACGTCGCTGGGCTTTGGACCAGGTCACAACTCTGTTCCCCGTCCAATGTACGCGTCCAAATTGTCGCAGCAGGGGCAGCAATTTGGTGATTCCACGTCGACTTCTTTGAGCAACGGCATTCCTACACCTACTTCGACCCCTCCTCCTTCTTCCATTGGTGAAGAGAAAAACCTCGATGTCGTCAGCAAGCTGGCCAAGACGCGTCTGAGCGAAGGCTCCAGCAGTGAAGAACCCAGCCCCAAAGTCCTACCCACGGACCCAGTGGGTGCTCCTCCTGTCGAGGAAAGTCTCGAGAATAGAGAACAGGTCAAGAGATCCCAGGTCGAAGATAAGGAGAGCGACTCGGAAGAGCGCGAGGGCGACATCTATTCCCAGAAGGTCATTGCTTGTATGTTGTCCCCCTTGACTCCTCCCTTTTGTCTTGAGTTGGACCCCCGATTTACTGACTCTTTCTCTGTGTTTGATTAGGCTCGATTGAAAACGGCGATGCTTGCCTGATGTGCAGTGGTTAGAAGTGCTTTTGCTTTTCTAGCTTACTGTCCTCACTTTAGTCATGTCGGAGAAGACCCCTGTTCCACTTGTCGTGCTATATGGTTGCCAGCCCCTGTGCTGAGGTCACTCAAGACTGGGGCGTGCGTGGGACGGGTCTTCCAAAGTCACGGTGTACACACACAATCTACCCTGTCCGTTCATCCCGGGGTGGATGATATGTTTCATAGTTTTGGCGGTACTAGTGGCTTATCGTCTAAGTCGCCTACATGTTTATGGTTATGGTTTATGGGTTCAAGGGGCGTCTGGGTTGGAAATGCTTGCTTTGCATGTTTCTGCAGTGGATGCAGCGCCGCACTGTACTGATTGATGGTCTAAATTTTTTGGACTGTGTAGTAGTCCCAATTGAAATCGTGAAATAATTCAGATTGCTCGGTTGTACTCCTTACAGTGTTGTTTGTATATTCCAATGCCAGGAATTGAAGGGAAGATATACTGGGCGTGTTCACAGGGGATTAAGAACTCATAGAGTCAAATCGATCTCTCATTTCATGTTCAAGTTGATTCGTCGGGGGCGGAGGCTCTTTCTTTCTTTGTGCTATGCCAGTGTCGGCGCTTGATGGCCATTGTTATCACCAGACTAGTACCGCCCTCATGCACTTTTCTCGCCAGGTTAGAATAGCCAGCCACAGGGGAGCCAGACATCCCCGTCCCCGTCCGTTTCTTCCAGCCACAGACCAAATTCCATCGCTGTATCTGAACTCTCTTGTAAGCATGTCTGAGATTATCTTCTATCCGGCCACTGGACTTTGCAATGCACTGCGCTGTTGGCCACCGGGACGACAGGGTGAATCTGAGAATTTATGACCGGACCACGTAGGAGAACTCTCCTTGAACAGGATGAACATGGCAGGTTCCACACATTGTACGAAGCAGGTCGATCCTGGTTCCTGACTTTGGCCGGACTTTCTCGATGGATGGCAGACTCCTTCTTTCTCCTTCTCTCTCTCTCTCTTTTGGACAACAAAAAGGGAAAAAGAAAGAGGGAGCCTGGAAGTAGATGATCCAAGAAATACAATTCGTGCTGGCCAAGTTGTCCTTGGTCCGGGCCTCCCTCCATCACCTGCAGTGGAAACGGGGCTTGTGGCCAACAAGTAAGCAAGCAAATAGCTGGATCCATGGCTCCCGTTCTCTGCGTCTGCCCGATATCCGGTGACAAAGTGGACATGAACCTGCCATATGATCTCAATGCTCAGCTATCCGTCGAGGGGCGTCTTATCTAGTAGCGCAGATGCAGGAGAAAGTGCAGACTCGGAGGACCCCATCAATCTCAGATGCACCACGCCTTGGAACAGCGCTCAAGCATTCATATGTCTGAAACTCGTGGGCAAGGACGTCATCGCTGCGCCAGGCAAGAAAGTCACGGTTGTAAGCCCGGCGCGCCCAGTAGTAAATCAATGCAACCTTTGATAACGTCGCCTGTGGATGTTCGGGACGCAAATCCAGTCGAACAAGTCAAGTGTCAAAGTGAAATCATACACCACCAACGCCTTGCAAATGGGGTCGAGTTCATCTTGTAGGAAAGAGGGATAGAAGATTCATGTCGGATAAGCTTCGGCGGGTCGTTTCAATTCTTCACCTTTAGCTTGAGCTTCCTGGATAAGCTTTTGTAACCATTCGTAGGTCAACATGGTGGTCATTGCGGCGGGCACGGCACGAATTAGGTTTGTGCCAATGCCGGCATAAAAGGCACGCCAGCCTTCTTCTTGGAGGATGACTTTGCACATATGTAAAATGCCCGTGTATCGTGCTTTGACGGCCATACCGTCAGACGAGGATAGACCGGACGTTCGTTGTTGGGTTTGGAGACGCGTTCGAAGGACTTCGTGAGGATATGTCGCTGTGCTCGCGCAAATTTTACTCAAGAATGTGGCAGCAGTGATACCAACCCAATTTGCACCACTGTCTTCCGCTGGATGCTCGCCCATGCCATAACCAGTGAACTTCATTTTGAAATACTCGTATAGTGGAAACTGCACCGCGACGTGAGTCAGACCAAGGAGTGCTGGCGTGAGGCCGGAATAGAAGGATTGAACGCCTTCGGTTTGATACATTTTCTTGGCAGCATCCAAAGTCGATGTGTAGTGCCATGGGGCGCGCATGCCGTCGCTAGCAGCTTTGGTGCTCTGTGACATCAAACGGGTTTTGATGACCCATATCGGATTCGTCAGGATCGTCGAACACGCGCCCGCCGTGAGCGAAGAGTAGCACCGTGCCACCCACCAGCTGCCACATTGCTCATAGTAGAACTCGCGCGTCTTCTCATAGACTGTTAGGTACACCGCCCAGGTGGGCAAGTAGCCTAGCAACATGGGCCCAAGGCCTCGATACATCCCCCGCAGCCCTTCTTCTTTCCAGATGACTCGGGTGGTACCGAGAAGACCTCTGTACAGCTGGTTTGTTTGTGCCATTGGTCCTTTGCCATGGTTGCTAGCAAAGCCGCCTTGAGCCTGCAATTTCGTCTTGATCACGTCGAGAGGGCAGGTCACTATGCCGGATGCGAAACCAGCCCCGGCGCCGCATATGGGACTGATCCACGCCTTCGGAATTTGTGTCGACTGTATCTGTATTCGGGAGATAATGGAGTCTTTAGGGCCAGTGGGAGGCATTGTATTGCGGTTTGTGGAGGTGGATGGATTGTCGCTCGGCGTATCATATTGGGACGACAGGATAGCGGGTGTTTGTTCAGGGTCTCGCTCGAAGGACATGTCTTGATGTCCCTTTCACAAATGTTCAGGTAGCTGAAATAGCGTGATCATGGCGGTGAGAAGCTTTGACAAGAGGGATGTCTTGGTTCCAAGGCGGTACAAGAGCGCATGTAGTTGGGACGGGTGTCGTCTCCGTTGCACCGTCCTTTCGGGTGCCCTGGAAAACTGCGGGGTCTGGCCGAAGCCGACGCAGTACCCTGTCAGCGTGGGACAAAGGCCATGTGAGAAGGGCGACACAAAGGGAAGAGAAGGGAGCGGCAAGAAGGGGTGGCCGGCCGTGCGGTTATAAGGTGATTGACTGCACGAATGAATTAGAAAATACTGTTGATCGAGGAGACGACCGTCATACTGGAGAATGATGAAAGTGGGCGAGCGAAGCATTTGGGAGAGAGCGTGTCGGTCAAGCTTCCTAGCTTGAAAGCCTGCGCAATTAGCACTGCGCAGCACAGTGCAGTAGTACACCATGTGCTCCGCCGTCCACGATTATGTCAGCCAGCTACAAATGCGGGTCTGCGCCAAGCACCAGTCAGAGTGCTCGTATTCTTGCTCTGCTTGCGCTTCATGTTCGACGACAAAGCTCAAGGAGTGCACTCAATTGACCTACGCCGCGTCCCATCAGCATCTAAGTTCTGACAGCATACTCTGAGCCACGATGTCTGCTCCTTCGCTAGCTCCGTATATCCTGAAACGGCCCTGGTTGAAGAGATGGATGGTCCCGTTCGCCAACTGGTACGCCGATGCGGCCGGATACAGAAGACTAGGTTCGACATTACGACGTGTCTCTCCGGGGACCCAATACTGACTTCTGCATAGGCCTCAGACACGATGACCTGATCCCCGAAGAGAACGATATCGTCCAGCTTGCGCTGAAGAGACTGTCTCCCAAAGAATCATACGACCGAATCTTCCGCCTGAGAAGAGCTTTCCAAGTATGAGTTTAGCTTGAAAGATGGTATATCCAGGGACTAACAGTTGGCTGTAGTGTTCGCTGTCCCATCAGCTATTGCCCGCTGAGGAGCAGACGAAGCCCGAGGAGGTGAGATGGTTTGCACAGGTTCCGGTGGCCGTCTGTCACTAACTTGCCCTCTAGGATGTTAGATACCTGAGCCCCATTATCGAGGAAATCGAGGCGGAACTGAAAGAGCGGGCCGATCTCGAGTCAATGATTGTGGAGAGGAAGAAGTAAATGTCAAAGAGCTAGATCTGATAACAGAGTCAAAACACGGAGACCGACATGGTCAAGATGTGGATGGCCCTACAAACAACTGTGTATATACCGCAAGGGTTCATGAGTCTCTAATGTTACATGCTATTCTGCATGACATCGATATCCACATCCTCCACCCTCCACATATACCACATGAACAAACTTCGGTACGGTGCGAACGGTGCAGACTTGTCCAGCATGTCCTGCTCCGACATATATTTCCATTTCCCGCCGCCTTTTGCCTTGAGTTTCTTGACATCTTTGCCAAAGAATGCAGCCATGCCTCGTTGGACGCCAAGATCGCCCGTTGAGAGAATGTCCAATCGCTTCAGGCCAAAACAGGCAAACATTTCAACGCTCCACTTGCCCAGGCCCCTGACGGCAATCAACTTCTCCATGACTTCCTCATCCGTAGCTCGCATAAGCAAATCGGCCGTCAGTTCTCCCGTGGCAAACTTTTGTGCCAGACCTTGGATATACTCGGCTTTGCGCTGAGAAAGACCTGCGAGTCGCAGACGAGCAATGTCAGTGGCAGCAACTTGAGCCGGCGTAGGAAATCTTGCTTGGTCTGTGCCTTCTTCATTGAACAAGGCGATGAACTTGTTCCTAATGGATTTCGCGGCCGCGCCGGACACTTGTTGGCCCATGATACTGCTTGCCAAGGATCGAAAGGGATCGATTTGCTCGGCGAGACCTTTTGCGGAAAAGAGGTGGCAAGGATGCTTCTCTATCAAAGTCTTGAACCGGGGATCAACGCTGATAAGGTGATTGCATGCTTCTTCCAGGATTGTGGTGCTTGTAGCAGTCGGTGGAGGCAGTCCTGTTTTGGACGGCGAAGAGTTCGCCATCCTATCATGATATGCTACCTTCTGCGTACCTCCCGGCGTTACCAATGTAGCATTAGTGACATGAGGCTCAACAGGGCGCTCTGGCGGCGGTGTCGAATCATCAACATCCCCCGAGCCATAGGGTGCTCGAATAACGTTGACGAGACTGGGCGTGGGCGTCAAGGGCGGCTTTTTAGGTGACTTTGCCGATCCCCGCCCTGTGCCTTTCATTGGTGTCACTGGGACTTTGAACTCCGGCTCTCCTTCTTTTCCAGTCGTGAGGCTTTGCTCGCTTCCATGCTTCGTCTTTTTGGTCTTGTTTCCATTTGCTTGCTCGCTTGTGGCACGTTTCTTCGAAACACTGCTCAATGGGTTTGACAATTCTGCTTCAGAAGGAATGACAATGGAGGCGATTCTGTTAGATCTGCGGAGTGACATGGCTAACCAGGGACGAGCCAACATTCAACCCTTCCTCGAATTTTCAGGTTCTGACCATGCGCAAAAGACCACACTTCCCAAGAACGAGCGACAGATGTTTTCTTGTATAGGGTGCAAAGTCTCCAACGAAAACACACACGCAGACAACTAACTTCCAAAAGATCATTACTGACTTTCGCTTTCACGATGGATGATGTCTGGCTGTCCTTTTGCTATTCCCAATAGGGCACTACTGCCTGATTGGCAAAGACGTAAACGCTGAGGTAATCATGTCACGTGAGCTGGCGAGAGGGTTGTGCGTCTCCTCAGCATGAGCGACATCAGTCAGCAAGGTGCTTCAAATGTTCTGCATTCATCAACTTGGAGTTCTGCGAGGTTTGCACATTTGTGAGCTACACTCGAAGTTGAACAACGTATGCAGAGCAAACGTGTCATGTTGTGCAATTATGGCGACCTTCCGTGGTTACTTGGTGCTCATTCCGAGTTTTTGGTACATGAGGGTTACGCGGCCTCGGCGGACAGAAACACACCTTTCGGCGAATTGTCTTCCCCACTCGAATACATGTGGTGATACATGGGGACAGAATAATAATATCAACCCGCTCGCGTTCAAGGTAAACACACCTGGTACATATCTACACAGTCTTTAGCTGCAGCAAGCCGACCATTGCGCATTCTCGCTCTGCTCGACGATCAAACAAATATTTGGATCTGTTTGCTGTTGGCGGAGTTCATGGAAATTGCTCGCTTTCATATCGAAAGTGGACATCCAGAAAGAGTATAGCCCTATCTCTGCTGGGATGTGAACCTGCTTACCTAGACAGCGGTGGGTGGAACAAGTGCTTCGGACCTTACTTGCCCCATATTTTTTTATTATTGTGAGCGATGTGGACGACGAGGCATTGCCTTTTCCACAATTTTGTGATGATGATGATTCTCCAATCCTGCTGATGTTGCTGATGATGATGCTACAATGATAAAGATCGGCCTGCAGTTGTCCGGAATGAATAATTGGAAACATTATTCGTCACGACGATCTGACTGGGGTTCAGCATAGTTCAAGTTTGGAGTTTCGAGCTTCGGGCTTCGGGCGCGAGCGTACCACTGTAGGCCGTAGCGGCTTACATGAACACGTACCATTTATTCCTTACAGAAGGCATTGGCCTGTCAATTGTGTCCGGGGCTTATGTGTTGTTGCATGCCTGCTGCAAATCATTTCTTATTAATGCTCATATTCCTCCAAGCTCCCAATCATTGCCGCGATTCTCAATTTGCTACAACTGTACAATGTAGTTCCTCTGTTGATTGTTCCTCACGGCGAACAGCACAACTGTCAACGGTGTTTCGGCGGGGGTGGTTGACGGCGTGCACTGCTGGAATCTCTCGGATGTAGTGTGGGACCCTTCGACAGGACCATCAACGATTATAATTAAGCCATCGAACATGTGGATCTGTGGCTGGCAATTGCAATCGAACAAGCGAAATATGATAGTGGTGGCACAATCTGTATACGGATTGCTTGCGTGGGATCGGTTCAAAGGTTATCTGCAGGCGGGCAAGGATCTCAGTTGTTGGTAGATACGTCTTGTTGAGCGAGATGGATGTTGAAGGTGGCAAGTGCCCGCGCGTCAAATGTCTCAGATGAGGATGCTTGCGTGATGGATTCCGCCGTCGACGGGCTGGACTTTGCTGACGGTGGCTGAAGCAAAGCTTGAGCGATGGGGGTTGGCAGACACTCGGATAGCTTGGAGCAGGTGGAGTTGGGTCTAGTATAGAGGAGGCCGGAGGAGAAGAATGGGAGCCTTTGCAGCTTTGGGTGGTTGCGTTGATGCCGGTGAGTGGCTGCGGACAACGTACATGGACACAGCCTGAGGTGCACAACGCGCACCCTGGACTGGACGTGACGGGTGACAATACCATTACCACCATCTCCTTTTCGTCTAGTGCCAGTCTGCCGTGGCTAGAGTGTCAATCATGCTCCACCATAACATTCGCCTGCGACAGCCTGTGCAGCCAACGCTCCAGGAAGCCCACTCAGTCGAGTCCACCCTGGTGCAAGCCTACCTTGCTTGCGGGACGAAACCGTCGCCAGAGGGCCAAGTGAAGCGGCGTAGTGCCGCAGCTTGCCGCTAGGTGCAGGCCCAAGAGACCTGCGGATAGCCTGATGGGCCTACAACATTGTACTGTAGGCCCTCTGCTGGCGTTTCGCGGCCTCGCCCTCGCCAAACTTCAACAGCGTACCTAGGTTCCTAGGTAGGTAGAATAGTCAATACCTAGGTACTGTATAATTCCTGCCGTGTACTAGTTGTAGGCGGGTAGAGCACCCGTGGATCCAAGGCGCTGCAAGGTTGGTTTGGTAGGGTTGGCATCAAGCAATATGCACTATTATGGTATGCCCTGCCAGTGCAGGCCAGTGCCAGTGTTGCTGCGCAGTGGCCTCCTTGCTGCCAATCACTACCGCCGACCACTCGGACCACTGCAGGCCAAATCCACTCATTTCTTCTTCCTCTCCAGTTCCCAATTCCAATCCTATTTTCCTGCCGTCCCCCCTTCTTCCCATAACCAACTTTACAACTACTCCAGCATAGACAACCCACAACACAAGTCTGTCGTTGCTGCTCTTTGTCTCTCTTCTTCTCTTCACCTCGAGCCAGCCACGCGTCGATACCTATCCTCTTCATATAGAAGAAGAAAAAGGGTCGTCCCTGCCGCCGGCCTCGCTGTCTTAACAGTTCGAGCAATCAACATTCAGCTTCTCCCTCGCTGAAGCTTTTTTTATCGCACCGTGTTGTGTGTTCATTGAGAACCCAACGGTTAATTCGCACTCTCAGACAAAAGTTCTTACGAGTTGCTTCATAACCAGCTCATTCGCCCTCACCTTCTATCTTGTTTAGTATTGCATTGCAGGTGAGTTGAAGTTGAGGTGCCAAGTCAGCTTCCTGCCCTTTTCACCACTTCACCACCTCCCCTTTCTACCGCGTCACTGTCGGCTTGTCCTCACCTAAGCTTTGAGACACCTTCGCCATCACTTTTTCTTTGCGCTGTCGAACCAGAGAGCCAGTACTGATATCGCTTGCAGCTTTCCGCTGTTCCTTAGACTCATAATGGCCTTCCAAAAGTTCATCCTCCCGGCCTTCGCCCTAGCCAGCTCCGTTCTCGGTACGTTTCTTCCCCCATCAAATATCTTGGAGATCAAGAGGGAAAGACAAGAGCTGGACACAAAACACGATGCCAGAAGTACAACCTCCCGTGGAAGTCTTGAACTAACGTCGAGAGTAGCTGCGACATCCGCCGACGTCTGCGACGGTCCTTCAGTCACAATCGCCAGCACTGCCGATGCCACACAGATCGCCTCCTGCGAAAAGTATGACGGAGACGTTATCATCGATCCGAGTGCATCTGGAACCCTTGCAATCAATGGTGTGCAACAGATCAGTGGTGACTTGATTTGCAACAATGCTACCCAGTTGACTGCTATTACCTCCGACCAGCTCAACTCCATCGGCGGAACCTTCAACCTGACCGGTTTGACCATTTTGTCGACCCTTCAGTTTGATTCTCTGACCGCGGTTAACAAAATCAACTGGGTTGGTCTTCCTGCCTTGCAGAGTTTGAACTTCAACCAGGGCGTCTCGAAATCCAACACCGTCTACATTTCCAACACCCAGCTCAACAATGTCGACGGCATCGAGTTGACCGCGGTTTCAAGCATTGATATCAACAACAACCCATACCTTACCACCGTGAATGTCAACGACCTGACCAACGTCACCACTGCGCTGTCTTTCTCGGCCAACGGTCGTGACCTGGAAATCAGCTTCCCCAATTTGCAGGATGCCGCGAACTTGACCTTCCGAAACGTGAGCAAAGTTGACATGCCGTCTCTTGCCAACGTTGGAGGTTCCATGGGCTTCTATTCCGACTCTTTCGAGACCTTCTCCGCCCCCAACCTCACCAAGACTGGCGGTACTTTGGCTTTCGTGGACAGCCCTAACCTGAGCAACCTTTCGTTCCCTTCGCTCACCCAGATCGGCGGTGGTTTCTTGATCGCGAACAACACCAACCTCAAGGCAATCTCCGGTTTCCCCAAGCTCAAGACCATTGTTGGTGCTCTTGATTTCGCTGGTACTTTCAGCAGGTAAGTCTTTTGAGTCCAAATCCTATACTGAAGCCACTTCTCACATTCTGCTTAGTGTATCGCTTTCCGTCACCGATGTCCGCGGTGGATCCAATGTTCAGACTACTTCCACCAACTCCACGATCTGTGATCTGTTCAAGCAAGCTCATGATAAGGGTGTCATCAAGGGTGTCAATACCTGCATCACTGGAAAGGCCAAGCCAGAAACCAACCCATCCGCTACTGGAGGCGGTTCCTCTGCCTCGTCAACCAGCAAGTCCCACAACGCTGGTGTTACTTTCGGCGTTAGCACGCCTTTGACGGGTCTCGGTGCTCTCCTCTCCGCCATCTTGTTCATCTAAGACATGGGTCCTGGCGTTTTTTTCCTTCGAGTTACTTAGACTAGCTTAATACGCGATGGGTAATGTCCCCCGGCCGTGTTCTCATCCGGTTGTGAACAATTTCGCTCCCGATTAAGAACGCAAGAAAGGGAAGGGTGGCACATGGTCCGATCTTTCCAAAGCTCCAGACTACACGAAGCGCTTGTGCAGCTGGGTTGGCATGGTCAGACTTTCGGTTGGGAACATCTACTGGGGAGATTGACAAATGGAGCGAACAGCGCTCCCAGGGGCTTGCGTGTGGATAGGCAATAACAGACAAACGAACATGTTTCTTCCTTTACAATTTGCAGTATGAACATCCCTGGATTAGCATTTTACTATGTATTCTATTTCTGCGGCCTTAGCACTGGCAGGCAACACTGGGCACCATCATGCTAGGTTACGGGGCTGGATTCATTGCTTTGACTCTTTTGAAAGTCGATGGACAGCGTTTGCGGCAACATGCTTTCATTGCAGAAGCAAGCTGGTGTTTCAGCCACGCCACTTAGTAGTACTAATAATATATACCTTATCTTTACAAACTTGAAAGCGTAGGCGTAGCTACCCAGGGTGCCTGAGGTCAGGAAGACGCTTTTCCAAGGTGTCCATAGTCACTTGCTTCAAGAGTCGGAAGTCTTGTGGCACCAGCAACACAATGGTCGTCTATCAGGAGTTTGTTTGCCTTGATCATGCTCGAAACAGCATGTCTTAGAACAACTGGCGGACATCGGTCTGTTATTCGCCACGGAATGCAGCCCGAGGAGAAACAGTGTCTTCTGCATATCTCCCACATGATACCACTATCTACCATGGATATATGCCATCCTCGTGAATGAATTTGCCTTCATCCGCATCCCGCTGTCCACGGATAATGCTCAACATGGTCTCACCGGCAGTACGAGGATCCTTAGCAAGGCCCCAACCGCTGACGAGGTCTGGGCTCGTGCCACGAAGGTTTGAGCGAACAAAGCCAGGGCACACGATGAATACCTTGAGCCCTTGTTCGTGATAATCAGCACGCTCCTGCAACGCGATCATGTTCAAAGCAGCTTTGCTTGCTTGATAGGCATCTGTGCTTCCGGGGATTGGGAGTTTCGAGGTCATCAGGTTGGCAGTCCTGGTCAAAGATCCAGAGCCACTGCTCACATAGATTGAAGTCGGTTTGGAGGACTTGAGTAATAATGGTCGGAAGGCAGCAGTGACCAACGCTGTTCCAATCACATTGGTGGTCAAGCACGTCCGGAACCTAGTCAAGACGTCTTGGTCGATGCTTGCAACGCCAGCATTGTTTACCAAGACGTCTACTTTGCCGAACTCCTGGCCCACCCTGTCGGCAGCCTTTCCGACCGAGTCTGGATCTGTGACGTCCATTTGCACAGTTGAAAGACGGCCTTCGATGCCTGATGCCTCGATCTCGGCTTTCGCCTTCGTTGCTCTTTCGAGTGACCGGCTCGCCATGATTACATGGAATTTCTCCGAAGCACTGGCTAGCACCTGGGTCACTCCGTAGCCAACTCCACTGTTGGCACCTGCGTCATTGTTACCAAGAGGCAATCATAGCCCTCAATGGCAGGTAACTCTTACCAGTAATTAGAACGACTCTTGAGGCCATCGTGACCTCTGTTGCCAATCCAGGGTGTCTTACAGTTTATGATCGGAATGATGGCGCGTTTGGGTACAATGAGGGTTTGTATGGTAGGGCAGGTGCTGGGATAACAGGAAGAGTATTTACCCAATGTGCCTCCTCCCGGTACCTCTCTGTCGAAGAGCAAGACGAAAGCCCCCAAGGTAGTGGCTTATGTGTACACCCATTGTCTGCCGACTTCTGGATGAGACATCCGCTGGGCTTCCGCACCGGTCCGTAGGGCTGACTGCCACTTGAAGAACTATGGTAAACTTACCAGACCGGTTCCGGACAGACCATACCGGGCCGGAACAGGGCCGGTCAGTTGCTTGGAATTCGAAGGTTATAGGTTGCACAACATTCGTTCGACTCCGGTGGCCGCGGTTGCCGCAAAGGCAAACCCATCAAGGACAACAAATCTGCAAAATATGCCAAGCCCAAATCACATGATCCCAACTTTAACGCAACTCCATACTCCACAGCCTCCCCACAACTTGAAGGATACCTAGGTAGTCATTGCCTTCCGTCGACGTTACACCATGTCTTCAGAGCCAAGAGCCCTTCTCAAACCCTGTTGTGTCCACCAGAGACACCTTGCCCATATTACCAAATAGCTTCGCAATGGTTTGCAAGGGAAAACTCTTTGCGCCAGAGGGGATTTGACAGGGAGGTCGTGGCGGGCCATGGCGCCCTCCCAGTACAGGATCCACACTTTTCAACTAGAGGCCAAGAATCAATGCGACCAGCTCCTCCGCATATAATAAATGGACCTATGGCCAATGTTCCATAATGGACGGAAGCGGACGAATCCCCTTGAAAGTAACGGTTTCTCCTTCGGTTCTTCTGACAATTTGCCCTGTTTTCGAGTAGGCATCTACCAAAATAGGTTATTCCCAGGACCGGTGGACAACCATGTCTTCAAGGCGCAGGCCAGTATACTTCTCACAAGAGCCTGCCTCGACGAAGCTTCCAGGTGTTGATGGGGGCAAGATAAAGCGGTTCCACCAGAATTTACCAGGTTACGCACCGTCACGCCTTGTCCCGTTACCTGACCTCGCGAAAGAGCTCGGTATCAAAGGCGTCTTCCTCAAAGATGAGAGTGTCCGTCTGGGACTTCCATCCTTCAAAATCCTCGGGGCCTCCTGGGGAACCTTCAAAGCCCTAACGTCAAAACTCAGGCTTCCTGACGACGTATCCTTTGATAAACTGGCTGTGGAATCGATGAAGCAGCAGGTCAAGCTATTCGCAGCCACCGATGGCAACCACGGTCGGGCAGTGGCACGTGTCGCGAACCTGCTCTCGATCCAGGCATTTATTTACGTTCCTGCCAGCTTGGATGACCACACCAAGGAGAAGATCAGCCGAGAAGGCGCGCAGATTGTCGTCTTCGAAGGAGACTATGATGAAGCCGTGCTGGCGGCAGGTCGGGCGGCGAACCATGTTCCGGGTGGCATGCTCATCCAAGACACTGCATTCACGGGTTATGAAGATATCCCCGCTGCCATTGTCGAGGGCTACTCGACAATGTTTACAGAAATCGACGAGGATTTGGAACGCCAGGGGCTGCAAGCCACTGCCGTTGTCACGCCAGTGGGCGTCGGGTCGCTAGCCTCGGCTGTTGTCCGACATTATGCAGCCATCAACAGGCCTGATGCAAAGATCATTGCTGTTGAGCCGGATACCGCCGCTTGCCTGTACAAAAGCCTTCAGAACAAGACGCCCACCAAGATCCAGACTTCGCATACAATCATGACTGGCATGAACTGCGGTACGGTTTCCAGCACCGCATGGCAGTGTTTGTCTGATCACGTCGCTGCAAGCATGACGGTTTCAGATTTCGAAGCCCATCAAGCAGTGCAATATCTCCGATCACAAGGAGTGAGCTCGGGCCCCTGTGGTGCCTCAGGTCTCGCTGCCATTCGGCGTCTTTCGCCCAGTGATCGGGCGAGGCTGGGTTTAGATGTGAACTCAATACTTGTGCTGCTCAATACAGAAGGAGAACGGGCGTATGACATTCCTGTGGATGTATCTACCGACGACCCTGTAGAGCTTACTCGCCTGCTTACCCAGATTGAATCAACCAATCCAACTTTATCGTCCTCAAACGGCACTGGCGAAACGCGCATTGCGGATTATATTGAGGCATGGCTACAACACAGGGGCATTGATAGCCGCCGTCTTGAGTCGGTTCCGGGACGGCCCTCTGTTTTGGGTTTTGTTCCAGGTAAAAGGGAGGGTCGAAACATCATGCTGAATGGTCACATAGACACGGTCAGTATTTCGAATTACACGGCAGATCCGTTGAGTGGCGAGTTGAGCACCCGAGATGGCAAAGCAGTCGTCCTCGGCCGAGGCAGTTTGGATATGAAGGCCGGCCTGGCCGCAGCAATGACGGTGTTATCGAGTGCTGCTTCCTCCGACCTCGACGGTGGCGTCATTCTCGCTGCCGTGGCCGATGAGGAAGACCGTTCAAAGGGCACTGAAGATGTCCTCGGCGAAGGTCTGCGCGTCGACGCCGCGGTCGTGACCGAGCCCACGATGCTGACCCTCGGGACTGGTCACAAGGGCTTTTTGTGGCTTGAAATTGAAGTCCTCGGAGTCGCCGCGCATGGCTCGGATGCATCTTCTGGTGTGGATGCCATCCTTAATACAGGCCTCGTCCTAAATAGCCTACGCGAGTATGGACGGACCCTACCGACTGACGAATTTCTGGGTCAAGCTACTCTTCACTGTGGGTTCATCTCCGGAGGCGAGGAGCTCTCCACGTATCCCGCATCCTGCAACCTCAAGATCGAGCTTCGCACTGTTCCAAGCCAAGAGCCCGAGCTAGTCCTAGGCGAGATCTCTCAGATCCTCGCCGCCATCGCGGCAAAAGATCCTCAATTTCGATACAAACAGCCGCGCATCCTCCTCCATAGGGCAGCGTACAAACTCGAAGCCGACCATCCATTCGAACGGTTGGCAAAGGGAGCAGCCGAGGACGCATGCAACACTCCGGTCAAGCCAACGGGACTGAAGTTCTGGTGCGACGCTGCATTGCTATCCACGAAAGGGATACCGACCGTTGTTTTCGGTCCGAAAGGTCAAGGCTTGCACGCCGATGAGGAATGGGTCGAAGTCGAAAGCATTCGACAAACGGAGCAGATGCTGACATCCTTGGTAAATGCGTTCTGTGTCACCTAGCTTTGCAAAAGCATGGGAATCCTGGGTATCTCCTGTGCAAGTATGATCAGGGATTCATTTTCAGTTTAGTCAACTCAATCTATCTCCTCTTGGCGCCCTGGTTGCCGTTGACGTCTACATAAATCTGAGATACTATAGGTGGCTCCTCGGATCTCGACACGGCAGCCGAGTTCTACCAAGGCCCGGATGCTGTTTCATCTTTGCAACGGGAACCCAAGGTGCTACTTCAAAACTCCAACCCATTGCAAGATATCAAGCGATCCAACGCCAGATTTTCTCGACAATGTTTTTCGGGGGCTGTTCCTGCCACATATAGTCTTGAGCATCGATCTCGGCCTTCCCAGTGAAAATATCCCTCTCCGAGACGGAGCGATATTTTGTCCTCTTTACGATTTTCCAAAAGAGATAAAAGACGACGAAGATGGGGATTCCGATGTAGGCGGTAACGAAGTCATAGGTGGCCCAGTTGCCGCGGATGAAGACGGCGAAGCCGTTGAAGATGATGATGATGAGGAAGAAGGCCAGAGCGATCCAGGTGCCGTAGGGCTGGAAGGGGGCACGAAAGACGAGAACCGACGAATAGCGGTCGACGGCGTGGTGTTTCAAGGCCCCGTAAAAGTGCAGGTAGGCGATGCAGATGGACATCCAGGTGAGCAGGGTTGCCATGGTGGTCAGCGACTGGAACCACAGGAAGATCTGGTTGGGACCCGACGAGACAGAGAGGTAGGTGAGCGGTGAAAACAAGGCGGTGAACAGCACGCAATACAGCGGCAGGCCGGATTTGGCGGTGGTGCGCAGAAAGATGCGCGGTGCTTGCCGGTTCTCCGCCAGGGCGTACAGATAGCGCGCGCCGGCGAAGAGAAATGCGTTCCCGGACGACGTGGCAGAGGTCAAGATGACGGCGTTGATGATGGATGGAAGAGCCGGGATGCCGGCTCTCTGGATGGCAATGACCCAGGGAGAGGCGGCGGCCGTGTGAATGCTCGCGCTCTGCGCCGACAAGAGGTTCTCATCGTCGTAGGGCACCAGCACCCCGACTGCCAGGGCGCCCAGGGAATAGAAAAACAAGATGCGCCAGAAGATGCGTCGGACTGCCTTTGGGATGTTTTTGCGCGGGTTCCTCGACTCGCCCGCGGCCACGGCGACAAACTCGACTCCGGCATATGAGAAGGCGGCATTGACAAAGACGGAAAACAAGCCCAGAAACCGCCCCGTGGACCCTTTGGACTGGTACTCCTTCATGGCGCCCGGGTGTTTCCAGAACCGGAACCCTAAACGATCATGATTTGGCCCGCCGCCAAGGTCCAGAATCAGAGCCAAGATGATGAGTCCGACAATGGTGATGATCTTCAGTGACGCAAAGATGAACTCGGCTTCTCCATAGATGGCGACGCCGAACACATTGAGAAAGATGATCAGACCAAGAATGAGCGTGATCCACGCCGCTGGACTGATGCTGTCGTTCCAGTACCCGATCAGGATGGCCGCCGCCGAGACCTCGACAGGCACTGCAATGGCACAGAAGTACCAGTTCTAAGGTTTGTATTCATGTCAGTGGCATGGCAGGGCAGCAAGCACTTTCCGGGGGCGGGGGTAGGCGAGGTGACACTAAGAACGCAAAATTGCTATTGAGGCCGGCAGAGGTGGTATTACTGTACAGTAAATAAGGTACTTACATTCCAGCCGACGGCAAATCCCAGCGCTGGGTCAACGAAGCGGGCGGCAAATTGTGGAATCGCCCCAGGCAGAGGGAGCCAGGTCGTCATCTCCCCCAGGGCCTGCATCATCATCCAAATGAAGGTGCCTGTGATGGTATATCCGAGGAAAATCGACAGCGGCCCTGCTCGAGTCAAGGCCGACCCGATCCCCAGGAAGAGACCGGTGCCGATCGTGCCGCCCAGCGCAATGAACTGGATGTGGCGGGACTTGAGTCTGCAAAGAGAAAAAAAGAATAGGAAATCAGCCTCTCTCTCCTCTGTTGTAAGCATCCCGTCCCCCTTTTTTGCAAAACAACATACCCTCGAACTACCCCGGTGGTAGTAGTACGACTGCGGTTTGGACCTTGGTCATCGTGGTACTGAACGCCCACTTCCTCATCCACATCCACATCCACAGCCTGAAGCGGGATCTCACCACCACCACCACCATCTTGCTTGGTGTCCGCCGCAATGCCGAGATTGTGCATCTTGCGTTTGTGTCTCTGAGTATGCCAGGCACCGCCGATACGGAGAGTCAACTGTTACCAGGCAGGGAGGCACAGATGGCAGTCCATCCATGGTTTGTGAATTCTCTTCTCTTCCCTTGCCCTGCCCCAGAACTTATAATATTATTCTGGAAGCTGGGAACGCTCGCCAATCTCCGCTGTCATCAGAAGGTGCACAACACCTGTCGGTGCCTTGGAAAGATAACCGCACTGCATCGCTGGACTGATCCATGCTTCCCTGTTCAGAGAGGGCGCGCGCCCGGGCCTGTCTTTAGAGGGCGCACACTAATTAATACTGCTGTGGATTTTGTCTGCGGGCCTTCCCACCGCCCTTGTCCAATCACAAGGCAAGGAACCGCCCCGATCCCTCGAGGCGGGTACCAGATACAATAGAGGTACATAAGGTAGTACAATGTTGTACTCTAGTGGTTGGTCAACGGTACCAAGTCCTTTGCATTATTCTAAAGCATTTGGCTTTTCAAGCCTTCTTTCAGACAAGGCTTAGGACTTCTTCCACGTCATCCCGCCACCAGGCCGACGGAATGACTAGTTGTACACAACTACACACTCACTGGCCTCTCCAGACCAACCCGTATGGCTGCCGGGCTCTCATGGTACTAGATCCCCCTTCAAGATTTTCTACAATTGAGGCCTCCCATGAATACCGTGTTCCTAGACATCGAAGAGGTTGTGGTAGCAGTGGCGTTTGGCTGCCTTGCGGATCGAGCTTCTCTCCGCTGTCCTAATCTTCTGGAATACTGAAAATTGTTGGGCAGGATGGAAGGAGATGAATTTGATGATAAGCGAGAGGGCTAGAAGGTTGCATATCATTATGGGTTCGATATTACTCCGCTCCAGCCAGAATTGCACCTTAACCCTGTTTGGCGCCGCCTGAAACTCACATGATAAGCGTTGAGAGTTGGCGGGCGGACAGGATTGAAGTGACACTTGTTTGACCTGGAGCCGGTAAGCAGCCAACCTCGTCCTGTCCAAAGGTTGTGAACGCTTCTTCGATCAATGACTTGACAGGGGCACTTTCCGGGTTACCGGCAGGCTGGTTGTGATCTCCTGATCATTCTGCATAGTAGGAGTACCTATGAATGTGGCTGTTCTTGCTCAGAGTCATCCAATGATAGCGGCGCCTGGGATCCGTCCCACACTGTGGGCAGTAGTTGATCACTCTCATGAAGTCTGACTTACTGTAGCTTGGCCCCTGTCGTCGGGGTTTGGCTCGTAACGGGGCAGTCCCCAATCGACTGCTTACCTCCTGTGAGGCATCTGAGGATGGGGAAAAGGATCCGCCGAATATTTAGTGACTATCCTTCCTTTTCAGAGCTACTAAAGGCTCAGCCAATCATGCAATAGAGTTGACTGATCCTTCTCAAGGACCGCTCTGGCCCAGAATCAGGAGTCGTTGAGAGGCGGCGACCTCGGATTTTGAGCGAATCGTCCACTGCAGATGCTGACTCGTTGTCACCAGAGCACTAGGTGAGAATGTTGTAACTATTGAAGTTCCGATCCTGGGGCAATGTTGCACGGTTAAGGAGCAAGGAGGTTTCTGCGTCGAAGCCCCAATCTCCAATCCATTGGCTCATCTGCCAGCCTTCTCTGAAGTGACAAGATAGGTGATTCTCGCGCTCACACCACGTGGCGAAGACGGCGTTACAGAACCCGCATCGGCTTGCAACTGTTGTACGGCGACACCTTCCAATCTGCAAATCTTGGCCGGGCCAAGTGCGGCAGCCGTGAAACTTCTGCAGATGCTGCCATAGATGATCTTTGCGACGAAAGGTCCGGTCAGTAAATTGTCTCTCTGCACAGGCTTGAAAATCGTGTGAATCGGTATGCGTTTGTGACGGATGCTCTACCCCACAGTAATTGCACTGTGGTCGCTGTTGACCAACTTGCCAGATCACAGGCTCTGGTTGTTGACAGATCCACAGCGACAGTTGTATGTGCACAGAAGTCTCATGCCGAGACCAGTCAGACTTCTTCTTGAAGGACAAGTCGCAGAAAGTACATTGATACTTGAGTGTGGTAGTGGCCATGATCGATTTTCCAATGCTTGACGTGCCTGGTTCCAAACCCCAGCTCGAGCAATGACTTGATGCGTAGCTGTTCAGAGATGCGAAAGACTCGAACGACGATACAGAATCAGACGAAACCGAGTTCGGACCCGACGAATGGTCAGAGAAACCCCCGTAATGATCAGGTAGGCCTGCTAGGTGGTGACCCGAATGTTCGAGAGACGGCAGCCCATTTCCAAGTTGCGAGTTGCTGGCCAGTCTCACCACCTCAGGTGGAACGTGGTCGTCTTCTGGAGGCGAATTACGCCAACGCTGAAACGGTGTCATGTCTGAGAAGGCGGATTGTGGCATTGGAGAACCCAGCGGGTAGAACTGACGCCTCTGGGCTTGACGAGAAGCCTTTTGTCTTCTCCTAGCGTTGGTAAACCAGTCTTGAACTTGTGTCCTAGTCATGCCAGTTTCCTGCTGCAGCTCCAGCTTCTCTTCCTCGGACGGGAACGGATTGTCAATATGCCGGAAAAACCACTGTCGTAATGGCTTTGTGCGCCCCGTCATCCGCGAACTAGCTCTTTTCGAATGCGCCAGACTTCTCTCTCTTGATACGCTGCCGGAGGTGGAATACACGTCTTGCGAATGATTAGCCAGCACGGAAAGCTCCTGGATCGTGTCATAGCCGCTCGTCATGGCGGCCATTTCATTGATGCCGTGAAGATTGCCGATCACGGGAAAAACAGTCTCGTATTGGGACGGATGTCTCTTTGGCTTCTCAGCTAGACTGCAGTCTCGGAAAAGGGCGACGCAACTGGAACAGGCCGTTCTTGGATTTGGATTCGCGGTCGTGGTCCGAATGACCAGACACTGCAAGCGACGTGTTCTGCAATAGTTACATGGTACTGGAGGCCTGTAGGAGTCGGTTCCGGGGTCTTTAATGTGTCCTACCAGGGCTTCGCCATCTTCCAACGCTTGCGCATTGTAGATGTGGCTGCCACCCTCGGTGGTCTGCAACTGGTCCCATTCAAAATATGGGGTGCACAGTGGTATCTCTTCTTCCCCTCCGACATCATTCGTGAGGCCTGCAAAGATGGCCGGATCGCTGGCGATCGATGGAGACGCGCTTGGGATAGAAGGGGCAATCGAGCCGTACGTTGCGAAAGGGTAGAGCTGCTGTTCAGGAGTGGTTGCAGGCCTGGATGCGTCCTCGAATTGTCCGGGCTGTATTGAACAACATTCGGTCGGGTCGGTTTCAATAGCGTACTGTCTGTCCGACCAAGGCATGTCGTGCGATGCAAAGTGCAGGGCTGATGCTTGGGTTACGAGCAGCGCCGACACTGGCAGTAGGACACATGGTCCAGCGAGAGTGCAATACCAGTGCCAGTGGCTCTCGTGGAGACAAAATCTACAAGACAAACGGAAGTTGCAGGGAACTCGAAAGTTCGTGCCGAATGCGGCGGTATGGTACTGTATGAATAAATAATATGCATATAATACGCCGCCCGGGCGACTTTGGGGGGTCACCTGCTCTCCTCCACGATTACTTGTCACATACTTCACCTGAGCGCTGCTGGCCGCTACGTCGATAAGTGTCCTTGAGGACCTTGACCAGGGAGAAATGTCGGTGTATGGATCAACTCCATTGGGCCATATCACTGCTTTGCGGATTGGATTCATGGCTGGTGGGATGGCCGGATTTGTGCTTACCGACTCGGGCACACTGCACAGTCAATGAATGGGTGGTGAGTATATAACCTTCAGTTCACTTCGAACAGTAAAAGTCCCGCTCACGCCAGTCCGCCCGCCCCAGATGGACTACAATGAGCTCTATCATGACCCCCTGTGAGAGTATGGCCTAATTACGTAGCATCTCGACATCTTGAATACCAGTCTATCTGGCTTTAATCTAACAACCGTGACCACTGGCTAGCATTGTCCTGCCTTGCCTTGCTTTGTCCAGCCTGGTCGTGCCTTGCGATGCCTCGTCGTCGTCACAGAACCCCCGGAACATCCTACATTGCTGATCCCAGTCTCATTGAATGCTTCAGTCCTCTTCTAAGTCGACCATGTCGTCCGCAAAGTACGGCGATTCGATAGGAGCCCATGATTGATCCACCCGATCGATAACGTACAGAGAGCCCTGCGAGCCGTACTCTTGGACAAGACGCTGGAGAACAGGCGAGCGCGACTGGTAGATGTGCTCTTTCGTAAGCATCAAATAGTACCCGTACCTAGCACGAGTCATGGCCACGTTGGGCCGGGAGAGATTCTGCAAGAAACCTCCTCGGCCAGCCACGGGCATGTCGCCAATGACGAAATCACATTCGTAGCCTTGGATCCGGTCAACCTTGTCCACATAGATGACATCGTACTTTCCATCCGTAGCAACCAGGCGCTCCAGGGCAGACATGTAGAGACGGTACTGGGCTCCGTAGTACGCGAAGATACTGATGGATTTACCAGGAAATCGGTTGACGAGTTCTTTGGCCAGGTTGATGCCGTACTTGACATAAGTAACGTTGTATCTCGACATGGATGGCGATGTTTCTGTCTCGGTGGCCTCGATGTCGATGACGATTGCAGCGCAAGCCTTGCCAAACTTGAGCTGATTGAAGTTGCGCACCTCTTTGGCAAAAGGCCTGCTGGTTTCCAGAACCGACTCATGGTCTTGCAGTCTTCCATCGTACGACATTCGGTTGGGTGGGCGTGCGATAGCCGGATCCATGCGGTGCTGTACATTCAAAAACGCCGACGGCGAGCCATTGGCCTGCATACGCATCATCAGGGATGTTCCAAGCTGAGAAATGAAGTGTCCGTCATCGGGTCGAGCTGCCACAAATGGCGGAAGTTGGCAAATGTCACCAATCTGAATGTATCCTGCAATGCTTCGATACTGCGCAAGGATACCCAAGGCTTCAGTCTCCTGTAGGCGCGCAGCTTCGTCAATGATAGCGAGCTTGACATTCTCGCGAATGATGTTGGCAAATTGTGGCCGGATTGCATTTGTTATTGTGGAGCAGACAACAGCAGCATTGGAAAGCACATGCCTTCGAATCCCTGCGATGGCATTTGCAAATCCTCTAAAACTTTCGTCCTCAATTTCTTCCCCTTTGGAAAGCTGCAGCCAGAACTTGTGGAAGTCTTCAAACTTTCCAGGGTTTGCCTGAGGGGAGCCGTGACCACCGGGCATCTCTCCAAGGACTTGAAGAATGCGATATCCCACTGAAAACTTGAGACACTCCGCAGTTACTCGCCGGTCCTGAACTTGGCCATCTGCCGGTCCATGCTCACGTGCATATTGTTCCTGAACCGCCACTGCAAACTGCATAGATTGGAAGGTCGCGCGACCAATCTCGTCAAGGTGTTGGACGCACGACGGTACCTGAGCATGCCTAAACCTATGTTTTTCTGCACCTGACTTGCCCTCACGGAGCGCAATGTCTCGCTCAGTGCTTGTACTGTAGGCTCTGACAAGATATGCATTCTCGTTGCTTTCGGACATGATGACAGAATGGAGTCGTATCGCAAGGGCATCCACGGCCTTGTTCGCTGCGGAACACGCGAGGACCGTGACTTTCGGGACTTTGGCAGCGATGAACGGACGCACCACCTCTCCGCCGACGAATGTCTTTCCGGTACCGGGCGGTCCTTGTATGAGGGCCATCCCGGCAGGAGCGGCGCGGATATGCTCGATGGCCGACTTTTGACCTGGGTTGAGTGGTTTCATCACAGACATGGGCTCCGGGACCTGTTCGAGAATGGGTGCAAAAATGTCGTATGGACGGACATCATCGAACTTACTTCCGATGACGACGCGTCGCGTATCTGTTGCCCGTTCTGAAGCCTCCTTGAACCATTCGTCGAGCTCAAACATGGCAGTAACCTTGTTGTCATAACCATCATCTTCTCTCACCAAATGTACCTCGACCTGGAAGTGCTTCTGTCGCCGAAGCCTCGCGATATTAGAAACTAGCGCGCTTTGTTCGTGGCATGGGATCGGGTCGATCGGCCAGGTCGCATGTCCAAACGTGTATGTTCTCTGGTCGTAATGATTCCTCAGGTAGATGGGTATCAGGGAGGCAGGGAAGCCGGGTATTGGATCAGCAACGCTGGCCTCAAGGGTAGGCTCATCCTCGACCTCGGTGTTGGCAATCAACAAGGTCTCGCCCGGCTGGAGACGCAGAGCATCACTGTTTAACTTCTCAATGAGCCCCAAGAAAGCGTGATCTCCACCGTTGAGAAGCTCAAAAATCCACATCGAATGTGTCTCTTTTTCAAAAGAGATTGCCTTTTGCGCCACAGACTCATACTCCTGCAGATCGCCAATGCATCTTTGGATCAGAAACTCGTCATAATTGAAGTACGAGTTTTTCGACTGGACAATGTATTTTGCAGGACGAGACAGCTCAGGAATGAATTTGTTGCGCCGAATCAAGAAGACAGGGCTTCCTGGTGGTAACCATTTCCTAAGCGGATCCCTGGACGAATCTTGAACAAATTGCCGGTACAGGGCTAAGAATGAGGAGGGTGATCCGTAGACATGGATGACAAGGGGTGCATGGCTGTTGAGATAGTCCTTGATCCTGGAGACTTGCTTTGGAGGATCTGGGATGAAAAGCTGTTCGGAGCTGACCTGATCCAGTTGAAAGCGGACAATCAATCGAAAGGAATCAGGGCCAAGATCGGTTGGTCGCTCTTCATCATTCTCAACTGGTTCAAATGCCAGATCCCTCTTTGACTTGAAAGCACGCTGCGGGATGCGCAGCACAGATCTGAATTTTGCAACGTCGCCGCGCTTGGATTGAAGCAAGATCTGGATATGGCTGATGTGCAAGTCGCAAACAAAGGAAATGAATACACTGATGTCGGAGGTATGAAGCGCGGCACCTTCTGTATCGAACAGACTGCAGCTGAGCGCGCAGTTTGAGGGCAGCGCCTCTACGCCCTCATAACTGGCAGGATCGATGATGACCATGGTGTTCGATTGTAGAAGGGAATAGCGTGGAGGAAGTGAGGAAGGGTGAAGTTGTTGAGGTGATCAAAACAAAGGTTCCTGGGGAAAGAACAGGGCCAGGTAGGATGTGGATGAGATGAGGTCGAAAGGTGAGGTCCAAGTGAAGCGAACCTGTGAAGACCGCAGTTGATCCTTCCAGAGCAGAAAACAAACTCACGCGTCCATACGCGTGCCATCTGATACAAACAGCGGCCGCCCGGGTGTTGAAATGCGTCCAAAGCAGCCTCGTTTGGTGCATCTTAAAGCACTTCCTTAGTGAGCATGGACTTTGTACACTTACACAGATCTGCGGAGTGAGCGACATCTCGTGAAACCCCAGGCCGACTTGTGTGATCAGTTGAAGATACTGGCTTAATCACGGTCCAGCAGACACAACGTGAGAAGGCTTTCCTTGTCAACGGCGGGTCGTGGTGGGAGATATAAGTCTCTGAACGTGTGATCCTGCGGATGTCCAGTCTTCCTATACCAACCTGAGCAGAGATGGTGCAAGACACCAGCGAATTCGTCCCATTATCACAAGAGAAGTCTTTGACTTTCCATTAACAGAGGCGCGACGCATCGCCCTGTTTGCAAGGCTCCCATTCTCTTCAACGAAACTTCTCCTGAGACCATAATGTCGGATGGCTTGCCAAAACTCTACGTTTTCCAGCATACTTAGACATTTGACAGCTGAGAAAATGGTCAAACACGACCAGCATCATTCTGAGCTTGTGATCTCGGGATGGCCACGCTGTAGGCCCGTCATCAGCTTTTCAAGGCGAGTACCAACAGTTGCATCGTGGTTTGATCCAGTGCACTGCCTGCCCGTTGTCCGACGGCAGCAGGCCAAAACCCCCCAAAACCCCGTACAGACCGAGGTCCGATAGTGTCTGTGGTCTTCACTTTTATTGCCTCTTCTATGTAGATTGTCTCTGCAAGAGCAGCTTTTGTTGACGGGCTTGTTGCAGCGATAAATCAACTGTTAACTGCAACGTATCCCCCAGCTCATATCACATGTCGACCGTTTCGTTGAAGCGCAAAATGCCATTTGGCTTCATGATCCCATTCACGCCCTCGGGCATCATTGTCCAACCCGTCGCAGATGGAGGCGGCTGTCTTGACGCAGTTTCAGAAGCGTCCGACACCAAAACCAGCCCTGCTTGTCTAATAGTCTCAATGAGCGCAGGCACCATCTGCAGGATCCGCGCCGAGCACGTCATGCCCATAAAGTTGTTAGTCTGTGCGAGGCGGGCGGACTCTTTGATTGAGGTGCCATGACATGGGCCCGGCCGTCCATGTGCGCTGCCGAGGTCGTTGCAGAGCAAAATAGGGAAGTTGGGCTGCTTCCAGTTCAGGGCCGTGCAGATGTTAGGGTTGACCGAACTAAACACAATGGAGCGTGACAGATCGGGTGACTGGGCGCGAAGAGAGCGAGCATGGTCAAAGACTTCGGTGAGAATGGCATCCGCAAAAGTGTTGATATCGATGCTTGCGTTGACGCCCAGATCGACGTCCTCCCCTACCGTCGGATAGAGGATGTGGAGGTTAAAGCTGATCTGCGGCGGAACCGCGGCGAGAATATCGCGCAGGGGGAAAATCGATCCAGACACTCGATCGCGCCAGTCCATTATGTCTATGCTGTTCAGTGTAGACACTCCGTTGCCGTCTAGCAGCTTGCCGCACAATCCAAGTTTCTCCAGCACATCAAATTTCACTCGGCAGATAGAGACGTCAAGGTTGTTGTAGGGAACGAAATAAGATGGGTATATGACGGGAACGCCGTCCCTTGTAAGCTGTACGGTGAGACGCAAGTAGTCTCCCGAGAGACTTGAGCCAGTCACCAGCCCGCCATGGTCGTCCAATGCACTTGTAGCTTTCCAATACGTTGCAAATTGAGTGATTTCCAACGGCGTGCCCGGGTATGGTTTGATGACCTGGAAACTGAATTGAATCTGGCCGACACATCGCAGCCGGGGGTCAAACATTGGAAGACAGCATGTGCCGGCGCTGCTATCGATCGCACGGAACAGGTCAGGAAGAGCGACGGATTTCGCGATGACTTTGGAACCAAAGGTCGGGAAAATCTCAAAATCCACCGCAAAGCTACTGAGGTTGTCAACCTGGAAGTAGACAGATCGAGAGTCTTCCTGTATGGGCAACATCAAGTTGCGCGGGATGAGATCAGAGGTTTTTGAAGAAATCGTCAGGCGTGCAGCAGGATACCGAGCTTCATTAAAGAATTGTATTGCTTGTTCCCCGCGGTCAAAATTGATCGCAATGAATGTTTTCGTGTCAAGGAAGTTGTGGCCATAGCGACGCATCGGGATGATTGGTGGTGGGAGCGACAGATCGGGAATACCATCGCCTTCGGCAGGGGCTGGTTCCTCGGGAGTAATCTCCATTGCGTTCATCTGGCTGTTCGGAGGCAGGACTGCACCAAGTCTGGAGGAGGCCCGTCTGTCAGCCTGGCGGCGGCTGCTTCGTTCCCACAGTAGATCCATGCATTCAAGGTGTCCCTCCCATGTAGCGTAATACATCGCGGTCAAGCCCTTCTCATCAAGGGCGTCGGGGTCTGCGCCGTTTTCCAAGAGGACACGCAAGCAATGTACCCGACCTTCACTGGCGGCGTGAAACAACGGCGTCCATTGGTAAAGCTTGTCCCGCTGATTGAGGTCGGCGCCGTGCTGCCTGAGAATTAGAAGCAGCTCGGCCTCCTGACTGGATCTGGCGACTAGATGTTGCGGGAAAAGGCCCTCGGCGTCTGCAAGCAATCTCGCGTTCCTCTCCAATAACATCCTGGCAATCTCCACACACCCGTGCTGGCATGCTAAATTTAGCGGGATATGGTCTGCATCTGTGTCGGGATCAATCCTGGCGTTGTGCTCAAGCAGCAGGCGGACGCAGTCGACTCGCCGACGGACAATACTGTGGATCAAGGGGGTAAAGTTGTCGTGGTCTTTCATGTCTATGGTGTTGGGCCCGTACTCAAGCAATCGCCGAACCATGGCCAATCTTCCTCTGATGCATGCATAATGCAGTGGAACCCTCCCATAGACATCCGATCTTGTTAGGTCGACGCCGTGTGTCAGGCCATACTCTAGGACCACGTCCTTTCCGTATATCGTCGCCTCGTGTAGGCAATTGCGCTCGTTGATGTCGTCCTCGGCATGAATGTCAACAAGTCCAGAATCGAGGAAGAGCCGCAAAGATTCGTCCGGGGCCTCGCTAATGGTCGCAAGGAAGATGCGGGTGAACCGCTCCCCTGCGTCAGGAGATGCACTCAATCGTGCGATCCATTCGCGCAGCGCACCAATGTTGCCCGCAGCAGACGCTTGGAGAATTTGAAGATCGGTGTCGCTTTCTTCAGTTCCAACCCGCTGGCCGATCATTCGATCCGTCGATCTGGGCACCTCATATTGAATGTTTTCCCCTTCTGCCCAAGCCTCAAGGTCGAGCCGAGCTGTTGTGGCACGGTCAGAAAGATCTCGAAGTACATCACGGTTGAAACAAGGTTGAATTTCGACTGCACGCTGCAGATAGATCTCTTTCGTTCTCGACTATACAAAGTCAGCGTGCCTTATGATGGTGATGGGAAAGGGTGTGCACCTTTGACGTTTTGTCCCACTATGATACATCAGCGCTGTTCAAGAAATAAGTGAAAGGCCAGACAGACCTTTTTCAGAATTTTGGAGATGGCGGTTTCATTGACTTCAACGAATTGCTAATACACGTCAGCAGCGGTCAGATGCGGCAGTGAGATGGCGGCTGCGCACTTGAAGCTTGTTGAGATCATTGTCGAACTGTTGGAATCCCTCGACTAACGTGGCGAAGCTGGCCGATAGTCTGGGGTTGGCAGCTATTCTTGCTTGTATAACACGCTTTTTGTCGAGGAGGGTTTTAAGCCGCAGCGAAAACTGGTCGATGTTAGACGCAGAACCCTATTGTAGCTCATCCAACATACCTCTGCCTCTTTCTGCAGGTAAAAGACATTGACCTTTTCTATTTCACGCTCCTGGAGATTCATGAGCGCAGGTTGGCGACTAGTAACAGTCGACGACCTACCAGACGAAAGAAGAAAACTTCCTTGTTTGCACGTAGAGCCGATTGCGTATCTACAGCCGTGGAGCCTTGCGCCGCGATCGTGGGAGTAGCGCTGAGCTGCTTGATGAGCTTGAAAATGTGTAAGTCAAACCCCTCAATGTTGGCACAAGATTACGCTACCTTTTTCAACGCCTTATAATTGAGAAAACTAGCAGCATATTCAGGAAGATCCAATTGCTGGCGCTGGATCTGTTTCCCAAACTTCCTGCGTTGAAATTAGAGACATTGTCTATAAGAAGGACGGCCACGTACATGGTGCGGGTATTTGGCAGCAATCGCGGGTGAAATCCCGGTCACGGCAAAAATAGCAACCCGACAAGGCTCTGGCAGGGCTCTACTTCAGCACGCCGTAGGGCTGACTGGGCGAGCGGAAGAGCCGACTGGGGTTTGTCGAAGCGGTGATATGATGTGCATCTGGCTATCGATAGCAGTAGAAGAGAGGCCCGGTCGATGCAGGCCGCCGTATCCCAAACTTGCGGTGGGAAGAATGGTGGTTTAATGGAAGCTCACTGCATCCGTCAAAATTTTCGATACTCTGATGGAGCGTGTGTTGACCGAGGCGAGGAAACGGTAGAACGCAGCCAGGTTGATGAGTTGATATGCCAAGTTGGGACGCAGACGATGGGCTACACCAATCAAAGCAACGGACTCCAGCACGCGGTCTGCTCTGCAGTTCGAGTGCGACGCTGCCCTTGCGGGTCGAGATGTAGATCGCACCGCGAACGGCTCCGAGCCCGAGATCAGTCTAGGGTTTCTGTAGAAATGATACAGCAGATGAAGCCTGAGGAGGAGTATATAGAAGCCAGCATCTATTATTGCTGGGGAAGACGCACGAGTTCCGGCTGGCGGTGGCAGACCTCAGCTTTGACGGTGCTTGGGGCCTTTTTTCTGCCCGGGCCTCATCGCGGATGTGACGCCAATCGGAAATACGATCTTCCGATATTTTTTGCGGACGTCAGTTAATGGCCTTGGCATGAGTGACTTGACTCATGCAGCGGCGATCACGTGACATTGTCATTACAGTAGTAGACGTCCAAGCTCAACCTGCGCCACATTGCACCAGCCTCGACGTCCCTGTGGAGTGCTTACGTCGCCGCACGCAGGACACACCCGCCTTCCTGCGCCTCATATAGTACTGAGGTACCTGCGTTGATACAATTTACGCCTTCGTCGCATTTAGGGACCAATTCAATCGTTATTGATGCCATTCGGTTGCAAACCCAACCTTCTGGACCTTAACAAAGGCTCATTGTCCAAATCGTCTATACCGCACTCACTGCACCACAAGCGTGAGATCAGGATATTCCGGCTGCTGTTCTGACAGCCCCCTTTTATAGTCCTTCCCTTGATGACGCGCAACTGCTCTACGTTTTCTATCCCTTGAGGCAAACGCACGGGCAGCACTGTGCCTTTTCCCTGCCTCAGGACCGAGTATATACAGTACCACTCCTACTACATCTCTTCTTTATCTTTTATTTTCCTTGAATCTTTCTCGGTGACCCAGTGAAGCCACCATCCACCGTGAAAGTGTAGAGAAGTCAAGTCGCGCTTGAGGAAGCCATGGCTCCAATTCCACTTCACACCGCCTCGCCCATCAACACCAACATTCCTTCCCACCCCCAGGCTGTTTCGCCCAGTACTGCAGCAGCACGATACACCCCTGTGGATGCTCCGGCCACTACCACAGCGACGCCTACCGGGTCTGCCCACGGAGCGGCTCCTTCATCACAACCAGCGCGGCCCGGTGCTCCTGCGGTGCCACAGCCCACAAATACTGTGTCGAGCACCTGCAATCGCAGATTCGAACCGACAGCTACTGTGCCTGCGGACGGCAGTAGCAGCAGCAGAGTGACCGACAGCCCTCCTCCACCACAACCTGGTGCGGTGCCGTCTCCGCCGCAGTCGACGTCCAGAGACCACTCTCCCAAGCTTTCGATTCCACCTGCACCACGCCCTGGCGATGTTCCTCAATGGACACCCTCGAGTGCCTCTCCGATCCGCCATGCTGTGCCATCCCCTACGCCCACTCATTCACGCCCTGTGCCCCTCCCTAATCACCAGCAATCGCCCTCCCTCTACACTCCTACGCGCTCCATTCCTCCGGCCGGCATGACGTCGAACTATCCTCAAGACCTGTCCCATCCGCCAGGCTACATGCAGGACTCACGGGCCTCGTTCGATGACAAGCCGGTCGAGTTCTGCCAGCCCTACGAGAACAGGGCTAGTCCCACGTCCTCGAATAGAGGCGGGATATTGGACGCCGAACCGACATTCGACCGTGGCTCGGACAACGAGTCCGGGGTCCTGACCACTGCTATAGCATGGGCAAAGGCTGCAGGCAAGAAATTGTCAAAAACGGAAGAGCAGATATGGAGACAAATCAACGGCGACGGGAAGACCTAGGCCGATTAGCGCAGGGAAACCCGCTAAACAGATGGCGAAGGCTTGATCGGTGAGAACGTACAGCAAGAATGATGCGAAGACTTCTATTGGGCAAAGACATTAGAACAAAATGTTGGCAGGGTCTGCTACATGTTGGCATGTGGGAAGCTCACGTTGTCCCCCGAAATCCCTCGCAGTCACCTAGGTGGCAGTGGTAGTACTGTAACTAGAGTCTCCATGGATCGTACCACTAGAGGAGAATCAGGAAGTACCAGTGCCTTAGAGATTGCCCTCACCAGACGGTCACATGAGCCTGAAGTGCACAGGAAATTCAGAACGAACACATTGAGTGGAGCAAATGAGATAGGTAATAAAGTACAATCGGGATTGAAGAGTAGCAACGCAGAAGTTCGGCTAGAAGAAAACAATGAACCCCATGTGTCACAACCCATCGAGGGTCAACGCTATCAAACCGAGCATGCGCTGGCTGCGGCCAATTTTTGCCCTTATGTCCGCTTGCTGATTGTCTTTTCTCGCGCCCGTCGCCCGGTTGTGGTTGACCTTGTCTATTTGCACAACCATGTCGCTCGTTCATCAACCCCAGATCTTCACATCCTCAATCCCCCAGGAGACCTTGAAAACTTGATCAGCAGGCCCCAGGCAACACCATTAACCTGTGCTCCTTTCCTTACTCGGCAAGCTCCTACGCAGCAAGAGTTGCCGCGCAGAAGCCATCATGGAAGCCGTTGGCGAATGTGGGCGAGGCGTTTAGCCGGAACCACCCTTGTAGGCCTTGCCGAACATGAGGAGTTGGACCTCTGTAATCAGGTTAGTATATTGAAGAAACCAATGTCAAGCGGAGAATACATACGGTCGTAGATGGAGAGCACACCAGCACCAGCAACACCACGGAGGATGTTGGCACCGGCACCCTTGAAGAAGGATCGGATACCCTCAGCAGCCATGATCTGTCGGGCAGCGTCGAAGGAGCTCTTGTACTTGACGGCCTACACGATTGGTCAGATATGGTCTGTAACATGTCATGGGATCTTGTAAATACGTACCTCACCAGAAGTCATCATCATGCGACGACGGATGGTGTCCAGAGGGTAGGAAGCGATACCGGCACCGGTGGTGACACCCCAGCCGAGCAAGAAGGAAGCCAAGAAGTTACCCTCAAGAGGACCGACCAGGAGAACAGGCTTGATGGAGTCGTACATGCCGAAGTACAGACCACGGTAGACGATTATACCAAGGACCGAAGGACCGAAACCACGGTAGAGACCAGCGATACCATCAGAAGCCAGAGTCTTGCGGTAGACGTCGACGAGACCGTTGAATTGACGCTCACCACCCTTGGAGGCAGACTTGGCATCGTTGGCAAGACGGGTACTGGTATGAATGTTAGGACAAATCATATGTAAGTGCGCCTAAGTGTCCCACGTACCGAGCATAGTCGAGGGAGTAGACGAAGAGAAGAGAAGTGGCACCAGCAGCACCACCAGAGGCCAAGTTACCGGCCATCCACTTCCAGTAACCATCACGCTCCTTCTTGAAGGCGAACATCGACTTGTAGGTGTCGCGGAACGCAAAGTTGAGAGCCTGGGTAGGGAAGTATCGGATAACGTTGGCAGTGTTACCTCTCCACAGAGACATGACACCCTCGTTCTTGATGGTACGGCTGAAGCACTCAACGATACCATTGTATCTGCGGTCAAGACGACCAGCCTTGATCATTTCATCCTGTCGGGTTGTGAGCTGATGTCCCAATATTCTTCTAGTGTTTGGATGACGGTTGAAGATTATGGTGTTTTCAAAATGCGACAGAGGGAGTCTGCAGTTTGCGCCTTCTTTACACATTCGGTCGAAAACGCCCATCTACAAGAAGGCCCGACAAAATGTTCTCTCTTTCGCAAACACATATGCAAATACTGATAACGGGGAAGTGATGACGGCGGGATGAGGCGTGCGTACCTGGTTCTGGATCAAGAGCTTGACACGCTCAATGGGGGCAGCGGCAGTTTTCTGTCGCCTGTTAGCTTCCGCATTCTTCACAAGAACTGGAAGAACCCGAACTCACCGAGACGGCGGCGGAAACACCACCCATCACTGCAAACTGTTAGAAATCATGCGTGACCACCTCAAGTAGACTTGTACTGACAGAAATCAATCACGAAGGGCGGCTATAACGTAGAAACAGTTAGCTATATGATCCAAATGCGGTTTGAGATGCATGCCAGATGATGTTCAGGCTCCAGGTGAGCTGAAGAAAACCATCTGCTGCGGGAGACGCGAGGCGCAACTCACAATGCCCATGACATTCTTTCTGGCCTGAGGAACTTCGCCCGACATCTTGACGGCAGAACAATGAACTGACGACTGAAGACTGAGTGGAGAGAAGGGTTGTTGATGAAGCAAAGATGCGAGGGAAGATACGAAGAGAAGATGAAGTTGGAGCGGACGGACAGGTATTTTTTCAAAGGGATTGAAGCTCCAGCGCTGCTAAACCGGAAACGGACTAGGGGCTTATGGGCGCAGTGCGTTGCACCGCAGTCCAAACATCATCCACCTTTTTTTTGCGCTCGCCGTCGTTGGAAAGCGCAATAATAATAATCCTGCTGCCGAGCGACCGAGCCTCATCGGTTTTTGCTCCCGGGCAATTATCGTCGTCCGCCAGAATTTTGCCGCAACTTCTACGGATTCTACACTGGCACTGCAGTCCACGGTACTAGAGTGTAGTACTGCTGCAACTTCGTACTCTCCGCCACCGCACCATACAGCAACCGCCCGTCCGTAACTTGAATCTAGATCCCGCACTCGGTCTCCAAGCACCGAACTCTGTCTTGACGGCGTGCTAAGCATGTTCAAACAGTCTCCCGGGCCTTGTCCGGGGTGGGATCCACCGACCAGGTGGTCCTCAGAAAGAATGTAAGAAGTTGGCTCTGCGGCTACCCTACTGTCCTTTGGGATATTCTTGCAGCCTTACATAATACTCAGCACGCGGTTTACATTGAAACGTGCTAGAAGCCGAATTTTCTACCGCCTGTCGTCCATGTAGGTGGATTCATCCCGACGACAAGCAAATACGTATACTCCTTGCCGACACCGCGAGATCAATCTATCTCGTAGATGGGTTTAACATGAGGTGCCAAAGGAATAATACATTGTCGATATTCTCCTAGTCGATATTCTTTTGGTTGATATTCTTACTGATGTTATACTACATCGGCATCAAAACAAGCGTCCAACAAAAGTTCTTCATCTATCCGAATGATACAACCTCTACAGCATCCTCTTGACAGCTCAGATGTGTTTGGCCTGCTCGAAAACTGTGCATTTCGATGCTCCCGACGTTTTTCGCCTTTGGATCTGTTCTAGGTATCGCCCGCCGCACTCGTTCGTCTTTCTACCAATGGGTTTGACCCCGCCAACGTCGATTTCGCAATGCATCAGTTCGTCCGCGGACTACATCCAGATCCTGTCCCTCCTCTGCGCCAGCCTGATTGGTCTTGGTAGCAGCATTGCCGACGGTACTGCTTCTGCCTGGTATGGCGCGGTCACACTCCCAGCGTAAGATATAAAAAGTCGAAGCAGGTTACCTGGCATAAGTCCTTGAAAGCCCAAGTATTCTTAGGTCGCTTATGACGGACCGTGGTACTGTACCTACAGGTAGGTATGTTATGACTACTAAAAAGGCCCGTACCTACACACCGCACTGCAGTACTGCTGTAGCGACGAAAGGCACCCCAGAAGTTTGCAAGTCCTCCGCCCACCCATTTGAACCGGGGCACAGCTTGAATGTGTCAATATCGTCATGCGCACTGAAACCACAGAGTGCCACAAGCCCTGTCGACGGAGTCTACCTACTAGTAGGTAGGCAGATACAATTTTGAAAAGGCTTTTGGACAAGGCTTTTTATTAGGAGTTCGAGCGTTTGACCAGGGTTTTTCGAGATACAGGGTCTCTCGAAAAACCCTGGTTGAACGCCTAATATGACTGCGACTGGTATCATCCGTGACCCCCGGATGCGCGAAAGTTGTAGTGGTCCCATCTCTCCGCATTCCAGCTAATAGAACCCGTTCGGCCCTGTTCGCACCTCAGCATCGCCCTGGTACTATTTGGACCACCAATGTACCACGCATGCGCGCTGCACCAATTACCATCTGTGAGCGATGGCCTCAAAAACGCCTTCAACACCTTCAACACCTTCAAACCACCACTTTTCGAAGAGTTCAGGGCCGGGGTTGTTCGATATGGACAGCGGGTTTCAGTTCCATGGACTGCGGCTCGACGACATATTTGTGCTCAGCCTTTCTGGCAGGTCCATGTGTTTATTCCGTTCCTTTCGCTGGCATATAAGCCCGTCTCCCATTCGGCCACGAGATTCGAACCCTACTCACCCCTCCCACACGGTTGCTTGAGTACATCACGCCTCCCAGCTCGCTGGCCTCCTCAAGACCAATCTCCCCTTCTTCCTCTTCTTGCCGTCCCCATCAACTATTGACTTTCGTTCCTCGACCACCAGCAAAACCTCTGGCTCTGTTCTTGTATCACACCTCCTCTACCTCTAGCCTCTTCGTGCCCGATTCTCCTTCATCCACTTGTTGCTGACCCCACGCGGGTGTTGCACTTTGCCCTTGGGCCAGCAAAGCACCCGCTCCACCCACCGATGTTTCCAAAAGACTCCGCAGATTCACCTGAAATCGCATCAATGTCGTCCTCGCACAATCTTCATACGCCCACTATTCCTTGTCTGACAATGCCACCTCCAAACTCCGTCACTTCTCCTGCTGTGCCCTCCTTCCCCATGGACAACAGGACCTCATCCATCAACTTCCATTTTCCTTGGCTGGCAGGTGCTATTGCTCCTGTGAGTGATAGCCATGAGCTAGGTGTCACATCAGTCCGCAGTCAGCAGTCGACGGCATATACCAAGTCCACTGCTCCACCGGGTTTGAAGTGGCTTTGCCCTGCAACGAAATGCAAGAGGCTCTTCACCCGTCAAGGCGATCTCATGAACCATCTCAAGGCCAAACATGAGGACAGCGCACTAGACTTGTTTCTGGAGAATCGAAATGCCTACCTTCGACCTAAGGGTGATGGCGGTCTTTCGGGTCGAGGTACACATCAGAACAGCCAAATTGGCGCGGCAGAGCTGGAAAACACATATCTGACCTCTGTCCAATTCCCAATCACCTCGACTTCCAACCTGCACACTGCAGCCCAGAACGTCGTGGTAATTCCTTCGTATGCAGATACTTGTATGTTCGACATCACGAACGGCGTGGGCCTAGCCATGCCAATCGCCATGCCAAGCCCCAACAACATCTACTCGGTCGACCGAGTGGAATGGGCTATGCAGACCGTGGTACCAGACCTCGACGACAATCAACTTGCTGACCGGGTGGGGTGGGCCATGCCACTCGTTGTAGCAGACCACGTGGACATCCAGGTTGTCGGCAACACCCAATTCAGGCCAGGTCATTGGGTGTGAACACCACTGCGTTCCCAGCCCCGGCTCGTTTGCTCCCCTATTCGGGTTCTCAGCATCTATGTACCCAACCCGTACATGGCATGGCATGGCAAGGAGGAGGGACCCTGCCGCAGGCGGATCTTTCACAATACCACTCTCAGAGGATTGTGTCAGAGCACAGACATTCAAGCGCCTTCGTATTCCTGTGCGCAACGGGTTTGAATTTCATTGCTTGTTCTTGGCTTACCTGGACATCGTTTGGCCGATACTCGGGTATCCGCTCTGCACATACTGCAGTACAATTTCCTTACAATGCGCTTGTCTCCCCCCTTTTTTCTTGCGCTCATGTAGTGTCGCGGACAATCAGCAATATTCTGGATCGGAGCGAAACGGATATGATATGTATGTGGGCTGGTTTGAGTATTACTGAGATGTCTGTACCTAAAACACTTGCGCATTCAAGATGCATTTGAACCACAGGTGACTTTCCGAGCTACTGTTGATATCGCAAGCTGATGCCTGGATATCGACGTATGTACCTACTAGCACTTAGAAGGCCTTTATGTTAAGCTACCTAGCTGTCTAGGTATAGTAGGCGACTGTGGTCCTGTAGTTGGACTCCAGTCATGCATATGCCTCGGTTCAAGTGAATGGCGGTGGGGTGAATACAACACCTCTGGGCAATCTTTCGTTAGTAGCACACTAGTACATAAGTAGAGTAGCGGTAATCATTTCCCACCTTTCCCAGTTGGTACTAACGTATTACACATTTCTTGCGCTTTAGTGTGGCCGTTGTTGTTGAAACAGGTACTGTACTGTCATTTTACTGATCCTGACTAAGCTGGTGGCCAATTCGGGAAAGTCTAGCGAGAGCGCACTAACGAAAGATACCCCCGGCGTCGTTGTAATACGGAGGTGCGGGGGGAGGCAGCCTTGTCGAGTACACCTCTATCGGGTACGGTACTAGTAGTAGGTACACGGGACCTGGTCAGAGGCGAACTGGCATGTATAGTAATAATACCATCTCTCCGCTCCAGCCTCTCGCCGAGGCAACAATATCCAGCGTCAGGAACAACCGACGGGCCGGGGCGATACATTAATTGTACTGTTCACTCCTTATATACGATCCTGCAAGAGTTGTACTTGACATCTCCACGATCTTGACTCTGGGTTGCCTCCATATACAAAATCAATATTGTTCATCAAACTTGGGAGTACGCTACTGAGCCCCCTACACCTAGCTGCCCAACCTACTAGGTATTTATCTATATTAAAGTCTCCCCTGGACTGCGAAGCCTTACAGAGGCCGTACCAACCACTATCTGGTGACAAGTCTGTCCGGCATCGCAAAACAAGACTCATCCTCAATCTGTCAAACCGTCTTAGCAGCATATATACATATAACCGACAACCATGTCATCATCCCAGAACAACGCCTACGTGCTCGGCGTCGGGCTGACCGAGTTCATCAAGCCACGCCGACTGCGGCCATACCCGGAACTGGGGTTCGAGGCAGGCGCCAAAGCAATGCTGGACGCACACATCACGTACGACGACGTGCAGGCGGGTGTGGCATGCTACTGCTACGGCGACACGTGCTGCGGCCAGAGGGTGTTCTACCAGTTCGGCATGACGGGGATTCCAATCTACAACACGACCAACGCCTGCGCGACGGGCTCGACGGGCCTGCAGCTGGCGCGAACCCTGGTCCGCGGCGGCACAGTCGACGTCGTCCTGGTCATCGGCTTCGAGACCATGATGCCTGGCTCTCTCAAGAGCATGTGGCCCGACCGTCCGAGTCCGATGGGCTTGGCTACCAAGATCATGAACGAGACCAGAGGCAAGTTCGACTCGCCCAGGAATGCTCAGCTATTTGCCAATGCTGGCAGAGAATACATGGAGAAGTAAGTCAAGAACCGCTCCCAAAAAAAGGAAAGCAAGACAAGGCTGCCAACCCCTTAATCACATATCACATTTCCCTAGCCAACACACTGTCTTTGCCGCCTACACCAGAAACCCTGTTCTCTCTTTTGTTCCTGTCAACCCGCGTCACATAGCACCAACCCCTCGCGTCATGATGGTCCACACAGTTTTGGCAAGGAGGGAACCGAACCGGCATTGATCACTCTCGCTGACATGTCATCCTTTGCAGATACGGCGCCGAAGCACGCGACTTTGCCGAAATCGCACGCGTGTCGCACGAGCACTCGTCGCGCAATCCATACGCACAGTTCAAGAACGTATACACGCTCGAGGAGATTGAAAAGTCGCCCATGATTCACTACCCCCTGACCAAGCTGCAGTGCAGCCCGACGTCGGACGGATCAGGGGCCGCCGTCATCGTATCTCAGCGGTTCCTCGATTCGCGGCCAGACCTAAAGTCGCACGCGATCCTGATGGCCGGACAGTCGCTGATGACCGACTCGCCGGCCATCTACGACCACAAGAGCTCGATGAACCTGGTCGGCTTCGACATGACTCGGCGCGCGGCCAAGGCGGCGCTGGCCGAGGCCCGCGTCGACCCGCGTACCGTCAAGGTGTGCGAACTGCACGACTGCTTCTCGGCCAACGAGCTCATCACGCTCGAAGGTCTGGGCTTCTGCGACGAGGGTAAAGCCCATCTCATGGTCCGCAACGGCGACATCACCTACGGCGGCAAAGGTCCCGTCATCAACCCGTCCGGTGGCCTCATTTCCAAGGGCCACCCGCTTGGCGCCACGGGTCTGGCCCAGTGTGCCGAACTCACCTGGCAGTTGCGCGGCTGGGCCAACAACGGCCGCCTCGTCAAGGACATCGATGTCGCCCTTCAGCATAACTTGGGTCTCGGCGGCGCCATCGTCATCACCGTCTACAAGCGTGCCGATGGCCGTAAAAATACCGATGCCGCTCTCTCCGATGCAGAAATCGCAAAGAAATCCGGTCTCGGGTATAACCCTGCTGTCGAGGCCAGGAAGATCACTCTCGACGTCGCTGATAAGGTTAGAAGTAAGACTGCTCGTTGTGACTATGCCCTCGGTGAAACGGCTGAGAAGTTGGGTGCACCACAAGCTAGGTTGTAATCGGTCGCCTTTAATTTCTCCATTCCCCGGCCATGAGGGAATGAGTGAACGTATATAGCTTGGTCTGATATGGTGGCAGAGCCATTTCAAAATTTCAATGAACTAGTCCATTTTCCTTGAACAGATCGTAAAGAGGCGATTGATTCATGTCTTCGTGTTCTCGAGTACTGCCTCGTAAGAGCAGCGTGATAGCATAAGAAGACTGCGGAATGTTAAAATCTGCTGATAAGCGCATCATTATTATGCCCCAGACTTCAGACTGAGCTGGGGCCCAACCGGGCGCAGAACCCTACCTAGGTATGTACAATGGCACAATGCCTCAGGATTTCCCGACTCGACTCAGTACTTGGGGCAATTGTCCCATTAATTGTTTGAACAACCACTTCACGGGCCTGCCTGTTCACATCAGAGACTTGTTTCTTTTCACGGCCAAAAAGGTCAAACTCCACAGCTGCCTCACGTCGCTCTCAGTGCCGGCACTGACTCCTGGCGGCGGGGGCAGGGCACCGAGCGGCGTGGTCACAAAGCCCGTAGAGTTGCTGTAGGTCCAGCTCCACACTTCACCCTGTAGCTGGGCCGAGTTGGCTTCAATGCTGTCCCATAGAACATTGTATGCGTTGAGTACGTTGTCACGCACAGCGGCGATACCACACCATTGCGGAGTTTGCTGAGCGCTCGAACTAGCGTTGCAGCGAGCGAGTTGTCTTTCTAGACCCTTTGCCATCATGGAAAGCTGGAATGACCACACCACTGTGCCGTGGTACGCCGAGTTGGTGAAGTTAGCAATCAACACTTTGGAGCCCGACAGAGCAGGGTTTGCGACCACCATGCTCTGTGGCGTCATCAGTCCTGCAGGGAATGAGCGCACGATGCTGTCGGCGGTCGCATTGATGAATCGGGTCTCTTGAGCCGCCGCTTCCGGAGTCGACTCTGACGCGTTCACAAAGAACAGCCGGAACCCAGTGTCGCTGTGCAACACGTCCACTGTGCTCAGATTGTTATACCCTTGCAGTGCAATCGAGTATGTCGTCACATTGCCCGAGGAAGGTAGTGAAGAATCGTTTATAAGGCCGTCGTAGAAGGTTGCCGTGCTGACAAAGTCATGCAGTCGAGACCGGGCTGTCGAGGCCGTTATGTTGGACTCGAAGAACTGCAGGGTCTTTTCTTCCCAGATCTGCGCGCGCGAATCGGCCAACGTGGCCCAAGATGTTGTGTTGATGCGGGTGTTGTTGGGATATACGCCAGGAGTACGTGCCAACTGCGCAATCGCTCGAAGGGCCGCGGGCACAAGTGCTGTGTTGACGTCAAAAGGGATTCGTCCGCCCCCGAGGCCATAGGTAGAGTCTCGCCATTGCCCGACTATCTCGTCTGGTTTGAGGTGGATCAGGTTTGAGACGGTCTGATTCTGAGCAAATGCTGCTGTGATGTTCATGATCTTCTCTGCATTGATGAGTGTGAGGTTCCCGTACGTTAGGTTACCGTTCTGTAGGTCGACTGATCCGGCCTTGCGACTTAATAGCGACGTGATCCGGTCAGGACTGCTGTTGAAGTATTGCGCCATCAGCACTGGCAGGTAATAATCCGTGTCAATCATGGGATATGTAAACCCAGGTGCTGTACTTGATATATTCTTCTGTAGGTTGAGATAAGTGGCATAGTCCCCAATAGTCTCTTCATGGCACACCGACCCATCGGTGCGGTTGATGCGCTCCAGAACGGCTCCAATCACGGCCTCCGTGGCTGACCCGTTGCCTCGACTAAGGACCGGCTCAAGCAGTAAAGCACTGATCATGCTATCACGGCCGAAATATGTCAGGAATCGCCAGGCTCCCGCCAGCAGTTTTTCAGTGTAGGATAGGAAGGAAAGCGAGGTGGTCTGGTCTGGTTCTTGTTGGATTAAGTTCTGCGACGCGTTGTTCAATACCCGACTCGGAGGCAACTGGGTCAGCTGAGGATAGTTGAAGCTGGCGGAAAATGCGTAAAACCCGGCCCCAAAGCTGATTGTCTTGTTCCGTGAATCAACTGTGATGTTAGAGTCCGGATTCTCATACGGAACCATGGTAAATGTCGTCGTGGTGACATTGTCAAGCCACAGCCGCGAGATTGTCGCCCCAGTCCCGTTAGTCCTGGTGACATTGATCGCGTCTTGTATAACAGGCTGGAGAAGACTTGGGCCTTCGGTGAAGTCCCGGATAGTCCTCACGCTGCCCAGAATTGGGATTGTAAGTGTGGCCGAGCTGTTGAAGGATATCACTCCTTGCACTCCTACGGATGGATATCCAGAACCTCGAGCAGGTCTGTAAACGGGACCCAAGGGAGCCCCCAGGGTAGAGTTGACTAATTCAATGGCCAGCGAACCGTTCGGGCCATTCTGCGGCTGGAAAAAGGTACAGATGCCACTATTTCCAGCAGGCCAGGCAATTACAAGCCGTGGACCTATGATGGAGAGATTGGAATCGGGCAGCGGACTGGTGACCACGGCCTGAGTATCACCATGGCAGTCTGAATAGAAATAGTTCTCGTAGGGTGGGTCACTCAAGTGTTGCGTCACAGCCTGGCAGGAACCGGAGCTTTGTCCCAAGCTCAACTTGAGCCATAGGGCAAAAATTGTGATGATGCAAGCCAACATATTGAGGAGGGAGATACCTACATGTATAAAAAAGCACAGGATATGATACCCCTGCGTGCTACAAGGTGTTTGAGGAACAAAAAGACGAAAGAGCAAAAAAGACATCGAGATATGAACCCCACCTGATTTGACTGAGGAGACGGATTAGCGGAAGTCAGAGTTGCTGGAAGCGATCAACACATACACAGATAACCTTTCGATCTGGAGTCGAACGCGCTACCGTTGCGCCAGGGGTCCTGATCAGCTCCCCATTTGATTTGGGTGCTGATTTGTGGTGGAAAATTTGATGTTGTGATTCAATAGACTAAATTTTACATCCATAACGCCATGTCTTGGCTCGCCGGGATCACCAGCAAACGATCGGTTGTGTATATGTACATGTGCGGTACCGTACATAGATTCACCACATGGCAAGGCTGCCATATCGCACGACGCACAGGAACTGACCCTGGCTCAAACCATTCCATCCCATCATGAGACCATGTTAAGTTCTGTCAGGGCCGATATTGTCTTTAGAGTGCTTGTCTGCGGCGGTGTGAGTGCATGAAACGAAGATTCCATTCAGTCAGACATTCGCCATGGACACCAGCGGCGTGAGTTCTCGGGCAGCTGCCCGCCTACGACGGACGTTTAAATACCCGGCTGAAGACGACGGAGAGGCGGATCTATCGCCTGATGAAATGGACGAAGAAGGTAAGTTAGCAAGAACATGTTCGACCGACATAACAAGCATCTTCGACCTTCCACCAGTATCACCTATATCGTCGACTCCTGGCCTGCATTGTTTGACATTGCGCATGTCCTTCTTTAGGACAATTTCATATCTACCTACCTCTGTTTCCGTCATACTTTCTCTGTCCTGACCTCGACACTGACTTAGAAGCATAATTCTGACCATACGCCCCGTACAGAACAAGAACACCTACTCAGCAAACTCCAGGCATCCGAATCCGCCTCAAACAGACAATATACACTGATCCTGACCGGCCTACCACTTATCGTGGTCCTTTTGTTTTTGCGATACTTGTTCGCCTCAACGACTGCGTCCATGGCCATGCTGTGCCTACTGAGTATCACGTCGCTCCTAGCGAGCTCATATATCATGTACTTTATTCCCATCATCACCAGTGCCGATACCGATACCAACACCAACTCCGCGCCATCAAGCAGGAGGACCCCATCTTCTGTGTTTGCAACTGCAAACAACGACAACGGCATTGGGAAAGCTTCGTCGTTCAGCCTCAGCAGCATCGGTCGGAATTTACGGCAACGACAGCTCCCTGCGGGGCCGCTCTTGACCTTCGCCAACGGGGACATGGGCGGCCCGATCGAGCGCTATTTACCAACTCTCAACGCGGCCATCAGTCTTCTTTTGTTCTTCTCCGCGATGGCGTACCGCTCGAAAGGCCGGAACAGGGACGGGGCACCATCCGCCACTACTAGTGTGCCTGAAGGCCTGTGGATGTTTTTGTTGCTGCCAGGTCTTGTTTTCGTCATGGTTTACGTCGCCAAGAGAAGTATGGGCGACATCCAAAGCGGGTTGCGCGAGCTACAGGGGTTGAGATATGAATATAAGGGCGCATAAAACATTCTGGACGATAAAACAGGTCGTATTATGAATGTGCGGATTCTATTGAGGGCTTGCGTGAGCTGAAACGGCGAGAGCAAGGGACCAGACGATCGTCTGGGAGATCCCACGGCCGCTTCATGGGCCAGAGAACACCAGGGCACATGCGTGAAAGAAGTCTTTAATTTTATGCTCCTCTGAGCCTTTGAGCCTTTGGCTAAGAAGGATGGCGCACCGCCCTCGTGGAAACCTTCCACCTGACCATGGCATCCTCGAAATATCCCTCAGTCGTCTGTTGATGGCTCAATCTTCCAGGCGGCAACCAGTGGGCGACGTGCTTTGGTCTCATACACACCCCCAGTTTATCTTAGGGTCAATCCTCTGCGCCCTCCGAGCATTCAATGATTTCTGGGAGGGACCGAGTCCGTCACCACAACACTTGACAAGGCCTAGCAGCTGAGGCTAAGGTCGCCTGGGCACCACTTCGCAACTCTAGCCTGGCGTTGAACAGATGTCGCTCAACAGACGACGACTCTGCGGCCTTGCGGCCCCTTCTCCCCAGGACCTTGGGGTATCATGGTCCTCCAATAGTGCCAGCAAATCTTCCCGTAATGATACAGCATTTGTATAATCAAATAGTGACTGCAATTCATGCTGGAACTTTCGCCCCGACAGCCTTTTTCAATCCTGCATCAATCTCGGACGGTTTCGGCGGATCAGGCACTTGAGGCCAGGGTTTCTTTAGGGCGTCTTGAATCATGACCAAACAGCCCTTGGGACCACTGACGGCGCCTAGAAATCGAACAGTCAGTCCTGTTACGTGCCTTCAAGAACATCCAAATCAAGAGAGACTTACCGTTGACAATCACAATCCCGTTCTCCGGATCTGACTGCAGCACTTTCAGATTTTGCACGGTGTTTTGCTGTCCTCCCATGTTTCCTGCCATTTTCTTGCCGGGATACACACGACTACCACCGCCTTGACCCTGACCCAGCGTACCGTGAGATCTGTGACTGAGGGAGTGACCGTGAGATCGATCTTGACCATGGAAGCCCCACCTCTTCATAGGCCCAGCGAAGCCCTTTCCTTTGCAATTCGACCGGGTGTCTACGAACTGTCCGGCCTCGAACCAGTTTGCTCGGATCTCTTCCCCAATGGGCAACAGTCCATCACGGTTCCGCACCCGGAACTCTCGTAGATAGCGTTTGGGACTGACGCCCTGAACGGAAAAATGGCCCAGCATTGGCTTGGTTACGTTTTTGGGGTTCACCAACCCGCTGCCCACACAGACAGCATAGTATCCATGTCGCTTGCGCGTCTTGTGGCTGACCACCTCGTTCCGGTCGAGCTGAAGTACCGTACAAGGTATTCTCTTTCCGCTTTCAACATCATAGATGGCGGTCATTCCTTTTTTAATGGCTAAAGCTCCGGTCCTTAAGGGTAGAGTGTCGGATTTGATTCTGCGCTCAAAAGCTGCGGCTTGGCTGGACAAGAGAGGTTTGATGCCAGACACCACATTGTACGGGTTCGGTCTAGGTTGTGCACCTTCTATTGATCTGATGCCGAATGCTCGTCTCTGGGAGGCATTGAGAGGTTTTCGGAGGAGAGAGCGAGGGAGGAGGAAAGGAGGTGGGAGAGGAACGGCGAGGAACTTCGTCGCAGTTGGGGGCATCTTGCCAGTATAGACGCACGCAACGTCTACCGGGGTTGAATGCCTTTCAATTGATCGATATGGAGGCGTCGTCGAACCCGAATGCCTCGTTAAGTTGTTCGGCTTCAACTCGAACTGCGGATTGAAAGTTCGCGACTTGGCGGCCTCCATGATTGCTAAGAGCTGAGTCATCATGCCAGCCAATCGACATCTGGACACTGCAACACGCGGTTCAAGTCACGGTCCAGTCTACTTCTACTTCAAGTTTGGCTTTTGTTGCTTCGCAAGCTGAGCGCAGGCATCATGTTCGAGGCAAACTTTGCTCGACCGCAATTGGAAATGGAGGTCACCCCAGCTCTGCACATGAACGTCTTCGTGACCTCAGAGGAATCGCCTACACAAAAGCTTCCTTGTGGTCATGGTTCGTACTGTGCACTACTGCGGTCATTGCACATCCACAGTTGTCTCGCCGCCAGTCCATACTGATGAGAACACATGGACTCCTCAGCTCTAGCAATCGCTCTGTCTTCGCCTCGTATTATGATGTGCATCCGGAATGAGCCGACTGGTAGCTCAAACGAGAAGCAAGCGGGCATCTTTATCATTCGCCCAACTCCTGACCCAGAGCCACCGACGGCCGCAAGGTTTGAATGGGAAAGCCAGACATTTTGATGAAGTGGTAGCAGAAGTTACCTACCCCTCTCTGTCACGAGCACATGGTCAAGAATCTGTCTGAGACTAATATGTAGGAAGATACAGCTGTACGACGAACTGATGATATTGCAGCCTTTCTCATCCATGTACAGACACTGTCGCATGACGAGAAAGATCTATCTTGACATCCCACGGTCTCCATATTGTGGTCGTTCCTAACATGCAGCGCCGGCCATCGCTTGTGCCTGATCTTTTCCATGTCAAGCGGACGATTGTGAGCAGATCTCCGCCGTCCATCCACACCGAAGTCTGCGCGACATATACCGACCTCGACTCGGCCCAAGCGGCTGCTTTACATCGCCTAGAAGATGAAGGTTACTCCCGAGACTCGTTCAATGAGTACGTCGAGCATGAGTTGACCGGTGTTCCATCCACCTCATGGCAGTTTGGCGACAACGTACTTGTGCATGCCCGGAAAGGCGACGAAGTGCATGATGTCGAGATTGAAACGACGCCAAATTCTCTTGGGGTCCGCTCAAAACCACTCGATAGCAGAGTTACAGATAATTTGTTTTATGTCTTGCGGACAGTGCAGGACAAATCGGGCTCGGTTCATACGGAGATCAGAGGTATTCACCTTTCAAAGCAGGGGGCGGTGGCGGCAGCCAGGCATGAATTAGTGAGTGGTGAGCGCAAGCAGGATTGGTACCGCGAGTACGATGAGGCGCCGGTATCAAGCTATGACGAGGATGCAGCAAGTCAGTTCGTGGTGAGTGCCCTGGGGCAAGATGGTGTCAGGTACGTGGTGAGTGTGACACATGAGACTTGAGCTTGCAAGATTGCTCGTTATGTTGTGGTCTTCTCAGAATGCTCTTGCATCGGAGCGCTTCAATTGCTTGCTCGATAGGCCTGGGGCGGGAGAGGGTGGCCAGATGGCCACAAAGCGTGGAGTTGAGCAACACGTGAAGTTGTGTAGTTGTTGGTGCAGACGGCTGCCGTTCATGCTATGCGATCTCCGAGCTATACCGACAGGTATGAAATTCAATCGGTCGTAATGCCATCCTCCTCCTGTTTTCAGATGTTATAGGCAACCTGCGAAGACTACCTAGGTAGTAGTAGCAACCTACCATACCTACGCAAGGTGCTGACCGGTAGCCACGGGCGTGCGGTACATCGTATTCGTATTCGCATTCCAGCGGGAGCTTCAACTGCAACCCCAGATGGACCTTACAATTTGAACCGAACAAGGATATCAGAACGCTGCCTTTGTGCGAACGAGGTAGAGGAACTTGGACACCATCTCCCGTTGACCATCCTTTGGTTCAAGTTGTCTGGTATTTACTAGTAGCGACCACTAGCATTGCATTGTATCCCAAACTGACCAACATCGGTTCCATTCCACAATGGACCTGTCTCCCTCTACATGGCGGCTTCTGGGCCTATTCGTCTCCGCAAGCTACATCGCCCTAGGCACCTTCAGCATCAGCTGCCCTGCTCTTGCGGCGAAATGTTTCGGCATCTATCCTGACGACAATGACAACGACAACAGCACTGGGACTAGTACCTCTTCCAATCCTACACGGGAAGCCGATACGTCTGGCCATATTCCGCTGGCAACCGCCAGAGAAAAACATGTCGCGGCCGTGTCCACGTCAATGCTTCTTCTGGGCGGCCGAGACCTCAGCATCGGCATAGCACTGGCCTGGTTGGGGTTGGACAGGCAGCAGGACCCGCGGGCCATGGGCGCCGTGATCCTGAGTGGATCTTTGTTGAGTGTGGTTGACGTCTATGAGATCTGGAGGCTGCGTGGGTCCGGATGGGCTGCTTTGTTCGCGGCGGGTGCTGGAGTCTGGATGGGTGTTGGGTATGGATTGATTCAGTGATCGATTGACCTACTTTGCGATGTACCCGACTTTCAGCAAATGAGATTCGGTCTACATTGACTCTCTAGACATTGTGGACCGGAACAGGACTGTAGCATCTCAAGCTGAGGCCTTCAGCAGGTGTCGTTCTCAGGTTAATACTTGGATCTCTTCCAAATGAAGGCGTCGCTGCGGTGTTCGGCGCCATGTTCCAGTCTTCGGTGCCCAAGTTTATTATTTTCCGAGTCCGGTGCACTTTCGACATTCAACTTATGTCAGCGACCCAGGCATTATCCATAATGACGATGAACTTCAGATCGTCCAAACTTCTTCCTCGGCGTAGGTATCAATTCGATGCTTCATTGAATGAGCGCGCACGTGGATCTGCAGTAATTAGTTGTACTGGACCCCCAGTGGACTATCACTCGATACCTACAACTGTAGGTATGGCACCCCCCACTCGATCCCAACTCCTCGACACCAGCACCAGATTCATCCACGCCTACAACGCCTGGACGACCGAGTCCATTCTATCAGTCCGCAGTCCACGCTGTATTCACCGCACACTCCCCGCCTCGCGAGGGAGACGGCCCAAAACCAACGACGAGTTCAGACAATTCATTGAACCGCTCTTACCCGTCTACCGAGGTTTTAGGTTGAGTTTTGTCAATGACGACTCCGACTCCGACTCGGACAACTCGGAGACCGTGGTGGATGTCGAGAAGCGCAAAGTGGTATTGCATTTGAAAAGCCACGCGGACACGGATGCGGGCCCTTATGAGAACGAGTACTATTTCGTCTTGTCGATGAATGAGGCTGGGGATCTCGTGGATGAGGTGGTTGAGTATTTGGATAGCGGGTATACTGACGCTTTTATGCGGCGGCTTGAGAAATGTCAAGATGAGGCCTGAGGTAGGGCATCGACGGGATGGGCTGGTACTGTACTTACCTGGTAGGTAGCAATATTCCCCAAGCCAAACCGTTCTAACATGAGGATTCCTTGATCTCTGAAGAACACTTGGACCGATCCTCCGATTTGTGGACAACTTGAACAGAAGATAATGTGATGACCGTCGGAAGACGAGATGCCCTTTTCCCCGTAGAATACCTACAGGTACCTTACTACCTGGCGGACAGTCCCACTTGTTGAGTCCCAGTGAATTCCATCACGGATTCTGGAAGAAGGTTTCTTCACCAGCGCCCCACTTGCATACCTGGGTACTTTACAATGTTGTACAACTTAAGCGTCCACCTGTATCAACCCTCCAACTACTACAATGCAGTAGTAACCCATCAAGGTGTAACACCAGTGTGAGGGACATATCCTTGTCGCTGGATCACGAGGTACAAATCCTCACAACGAACATGTCAACCAGAGGAGCCCCTTAACCATATCGCGCTCGCACTCAACCCTTGGCGGCAACCTTCCAACCCACAAGCCTAGCACGCAGCCAAATGATAAAGACAAGTGCGATGAAGTAGTTCAGGCCACTGAACACACAGGCGTAGTCGTAGTCACCGTTCTTGGTGGCATCGGCAATGGCGCCGCCGATCGGAGGACCAGTCAAGCAGCCAATACCGGCAATGGCGAAGATGGTGCCCATCCGGTAGCCCACTTCATGCATGGGCGAAATGCTCATGATAAGGACAGGACCAAGACCAATGCAAGCTCCCGAGCCGATGCCGAAGAAGACGGCAAACACGATTGAAGTGGCATCGCTGCGGCCCGGAAGCCACACGCCGAGAACGAAGACGATGCACATGATGGCCATGAGGATCATTATGTTGAAGCGCCCATACTTGTCGGCCAGTATATTGGGCACGGTTCGACCGATGAAACTGCAATGGAATATCACGACACATTAGTTTTCTCGAACGTGTGTGCAACTTCACGCGGACTAAGGGTCTCTGTCTCACCTTGCTCCGTTCAAAATGGGAATCAGATTGAATGCATCCATTGGGCTCATGCCATAGTGCATAGCAGCCGAGACAATGTAGTTGAATGGCACGAACATGCCCCCTGTAGAAACGGTATGAGGTAAGTTCTTAGACCAAAGCAAAGAGTGAGGAAACAAAACGTACAATACAAGAAGAAACTCGCCAGACACATGATGATGTAGTTGGCCTCCAGCAACGGACGCAGGAAGTTGGAGATCTGGAACGGTTTTCTCCGATGCTGCAAGTTCGAGGAGATGGTCATGTTGGTGATGACGAGTAGGAAAAGGATGAGGAAGGCGCAGATCCGGATGGCCCAGGCGAAGCCGACCTGAGGCATCAGGTGGAGAGCCATAAGTGGGAAGATGACTCCTCCAAGAGACGAGCCGGCAATTGTCAGTCCGCCTGCAATGGCTCGCTTCTTCCTGAAGTATGTCATGGGCTAGAAGCCATATAACCAGAGGTATATATATCAGTCCAGGTTCTTTCTGTTGACTTGAGAGGAAGCCTCCGCGGACGGTGGGTCTGGGGATGTGGATCGTGCTTCGTAACATACCGCAGTCATGGCCGGGGTGAAGATGAGGGATGAGCCGATTCCTGAACAGACCGACTGGCTCAGCATGAACTGGTAGTATTCTTTGGAGATGCTGCTCATCATGAGGCCGAGGACATGGAGGATCGTGCCGATGAGGATTGGCGGCCGAGGGCCATAGTTGTCGAACATCCAGCCGGCCAAGGGAGACATGAAGAGCATGAAGAAGACTTTCAACAGTTAGCTGGTCACGTTCGACTTCGGATAGACATAGGCACTGTATCATCGGCGGCAACTCAACTCACATTCCATAGAAGTGATCCAGGAGACGGTCGATTTGCTGTACTGCTTGAGCTGGTTCGTCTCGTACTCGGCTTGGAACAGAGCAATGCAATTGACAAAGCCAAATGACACAAACATGGCACATGAAGCGCCGAGCAGGCTCAACCATGCCGCTGTGCCGCCCTCTGGGGCTTCGGGGGCGGCGTCGGGCTTGATATTCTCGTCTGGTGGTACTGTGAGGCCTCCCTTCAGTTCAGGATCGGGCCCGGCTTCAAAGCCCGACTCTGGGACTGTGCCACTTTTTTCCAGGGACATTCCGATGCGGAGGATGGCAGTTATCCAAGCAAATGAAGTGGATCGAGCTTTTTATCGGGTTCTTGTCGCTCAGAAGCCACGACAGGGGGTAGACGGGGGTAGACGGGGACCGATGAGGTCGAAGACTGATGCGGGAATGAGATGGCCTACCAGCAGACAATGAAGAGCAAGGGAAACCCATATTGAGAGCAAAGCAAGCAGAGGACCATAGCTTGCTATTTACATAGGACAGATTCCCCAGGTGTGTAAGGTCAAGATACTAAACACCAGACCGATTCCAGACCCACCGCGGACCACTCCACGGAGGCCTCCGCGGAGCACACCGCGGATAGCCCCGTGCGGTAACAGCATTCATGGATGGCGGTCAGCTTCAGCATCAACACTCCCTTATCTTTCCCGGACTGGCAGTGTTCGTCCGGATTGTTGAAAATGTATTCGACCGATCTGGCGGCACTGCAGGCTTCCACCTCCGGCAACAATGACAATGGGTGACACGCTCGAGTTTTACGGCAAAGCCCTGCGAGCGATGCTCGGACTCACCATTGCCCGCACTATCCAACAAATCCAAGCTGCGAGCCATCGCTGGACATACCGCGAGACGCCGAATCCCAAGACGGTGGTCATCTTAGGAGGCTCATATGCCGGCACCTGGCTAGCCCGGCGGCTCAGTGAGACGTTGCCCACGGGCTACAAAGCCGTACTGATCGAGCGTAACAGCCACTTCAACCATCTGTTTGCATTCCCGCGGTACAGTGTCGTTCCGGGCAGGGAACACCAGGCCTTCATCCCGTACGATGGCATATCCGCCTATGGACCCCCGGGAATTCTGCAGCATATCCGCGCTTCTGCCGTCGGCATCACTCCGACCCAGGTGAAGCTCTCCTCGGGCGAGTCGCTCGACTACGAGTACCTTGCCATCGCGACGGGTTCGTGGCAACCACCGCCGTCGAAGGCGAGCTCGACCGAGAAGGCCGAGGCGTGCGTCGAGCTCCAGGGCTCGCAGAGGCGGATCCATGATGCAAACAGCATTGCCGTCGTTGGAGGTGGGCCCGTGGGCGTTCAAATCGCCACTGACATTGCGGCTTATTTCCCAGACAAAAATGTGACTCTGGTTCATTCCAGACCGCAGTTGCTGTCCAACTTTGGACCAAAACTACACGGGAATGTTGTCGAAGCACTAAAGCGGCTCAATGTCGACATCATCTTGGGCGAGAGACCTCAACTCCGTGAGAAAAGCACACTGTCATATTCGGACGGCCGAAATGTGCAATACGATCTTGTGGTGAGTGGAGGGCCTTCAAATCAGAAACCGTAAATCAGAGAGAGGAGAAGAGAGACGGAGAGACTTTTGAGAAGGACGCAAGACAAAACTAACAGTCGTTATTCATACAGATCCCATGTACGGGACAACGTCCCAACTCGGCCATCCTCAAGACCCTGGCACCGGCTGCCATCTGCCCCTCAACCAAGCAGATCCTCGTCCAGCCGACATTGCAGATCCAAGACTCGGACCCGAAGACGCGGATCTTCGCCCTTGGGGACGTAGCCAAGACGAACGGGCCTCGCATGGCGCGTGCGGCTCGCGCCCAAGCAGACGTGGTCACTCTCAACATACTATCCATGATAAACCAACAGAAACCGTCGAACGTGTATCGCCCGCAGATCTATGAGGGTGCAATCAAGCTGACATTGGGCAAGGTAAGCAATCCCTCTGCCCTATCCTCAGCATGAGCTTGCTTGTTCTGGGCGACTAAACATCCTTGTGTCTTATCTCTAGTGTAACTACATATATTATGGCAAAGACCAAAACGGCAAAGAGATTTACGTCAATGGAACAGAGAAGAGCGGTGACCTCAACATTAGCCATGCGTGGGAGAACCTCAACGCCCATATGCCTCGGTAACTCGTTCCCAACTTCAGAATAAAGGGTGTTGCCTTGATAATATGATGGCCGTGGACTTTGGCAGTCACAGCGCCGAGATAGATGGATAAAGAGAAATCGATCTGTGTTTTTGGGTATATACGCTGCACGAATTAGCCTTAGGAAAGCGCAGATCTCCCCAGCTTGCATAAGGTTAAAGGCGGTGGCTCAGTTCATCCCATGTTAGCTCCTACATCAGAAAAGAATGCATCCCAGTCCGTTTCGTTCAAGGTAGACCCAACGGTGAAGAAGTCATCCCAGAGCTCGTCCACCAAGAACGGCTCACTCGCCTCATCCGCTCTCGTAATGTCATCATTTCTGGCAGGCAGATTTTGCATCTGCTCTGACTGCTCATGTGTCACCTGCGAAGCCATGCTCTGCATGTTCCTGCTGTCTTCGTCCTCACGAGGCTGAGGCCTGTAGATATCAGCTGTGCCAAACACCTGCTCGGCCGGGTCTCTATGGATCACAAATCGACTGAAGTTATGTGTCAAGGGCAAGGCGTCTCTAACGGACGAGGATGAAGCGCCATCAGGCTCTTCTTCACGCGGCATATGCTTCCTGAGTGTGTCACGTAGATTTCGCACAGCGTTCTGGAAAGAGCGAAGCATAAGTTGGCCGCTAGATATGTCCTCAGCCCCCGGTCCGCTCGATGGGACAACCTTGGCGTTCAGTTCTTCTTCCATGGCCCGACAAGCGCGCATCACTTGCTGCTTACGGCGCGGTGCCTGATCCCGGTCCGGATTGAAGCAGACATCCATGGCCAAGATGATGGCAGCGGTCAGAAAATGCTGCAGCACGTAGGTGAATGACCCAGGACTCTGGTCGCTCATGGCTCGGTTTCGTATCTCAATCACGGTCTCGGCGGAGCGGATGCATTGAAGGCGCGAGTGTTCGTACTTGGCTTCTCGGGAACCTCGTATCAAGAACGGTCGGTGAAGCCGTGCCAATTGCGTATGGAGCAAAAGATTGATCAAATAACGCTGCCATTCTAGATACGGCTGTGCTCTCAGAAGCGCTTGGTAAGAGGCCGTCTCCTTGATGGTAAGCTGGAAAAATGGAGGTAGAGATTCAATGTGTTGTTGGTATTTGCGATCCAGGCTCAATATGTTGTCATAGATCTCGTCAGAGCTCTCTTTCCCTGGGGAGGCAAAATATGAAGGAGGCAGGCAGTCAACAACCTCACGGACCAATGTTGCCGATTCAATTCGATGAAGGAAGTAACTCATAGAGGTGGGACTATCGATGGGTGAACTGTAGGACTCTTCGGTGACATGTGCCACGTCTTGGGGTATATCGAGGTCTTGGACATTGCTTGGGCGAAACGTTTCCATTTGTCGAGGATGGAGCATGTATGTCCCCTCGTTTGGACCGCCGACGAACGAAAGAAGCCTTTGGGAAGTCAGGGACAGATGGGGAAGGGCGATATGGGGTACGTACCAATCAGATGCGACCATATGCCACCAGATTCGCCTCTTTGTTTCTAGTTCGACCATATCAGCCCCGTTCTTGCGACGATGCTCGCGGTTAGGTTGTGTATCCAGACGGTGTATGTTCATGGCTCTTGCCATTTGTAAGCTAAGCATGGCCAGAGCTCCGAAACTGCCGCGGAGGCCTTCGATTTGAGTGCACAAATGCATCAGGCCTACACTTGTTTGCAATGCTTCCACCGATGGAGGAGCAGGCGGCTCGGTCAGCAGCGACACGGCTCGTCGTACCCACAATTCGGCGAGAGTAACTTGCGAATGGCCCTGTAGGGAAGGTGATTCGAAGTTGAGCTTTTTCCTCGAGACATACGCGCTCCCAGCGAAGATGCACAGGAAGAAGGAAACCTGCGTGGCTGAAGGAAGGCGGTTTGCTTCTAGGTCATCGTATAGCACTCGCAGTAGATGCCATGCAGTAGGATGGTGCAGCATTCGATACGTTGCATCGACCGTCTGGATGTAGTGGTAAAGCAGTGCCATTGCATCATTGTAGGATGGGAACTCCTGCAGTATGGTTGATACTTCCGATCTGACTGGCGAAAGGGCTGGGCTCCCTCCAGACGTATCCTTGTCGTAAGTCAGCCAGGAGGGACGATAGTTGGGTCTGGCTTACTCCGGCTTACAGCAGTCAAGAGCCCCTCGAGCCATCGAGAAGTTTTCAGTTGCTCCTCGTCGTGACTAGCCAGCCGCGACCTGGGGGTTTTCGGTCGACTGGTTGCTTTCCCATAAGAGCTGTTCAAGGTGTGCGTGGTGAACACTGCTCGCTCCAACCGCTCCACCCGCCGAGCGAGATCAACATTGTTACCACTGATGATAGATTGGGTAAGTAAAAATCTTCACCACCGAGCATCCTTTGCGTACTTTGTACTTGGGTTATTATCACCCGGTTGGGGCAATGAAGCCAAAGTCTGAGCTGCAAGGGTGGACGGTTCTCTTCGGTCTATGCATTTCAGAACGTTAAACCTGCCAGCAGCAGCACATTTTTTCCCGGGCTTGATCCACCTACCTGCTTCGTAAATGCACTCACGGTTACGCGAGTGGCAGTTGAAGCATGAAGGACGGCCTCTGTCGCATTTCAGTTTGCGCGAGCGGCAGAATCGACACGAAACCGGCTGCTGAATATATGGTCTGTCCGCAGGCTCGATCGATGGAGCAGCTCGTTTCATATCAACGCAAAATCAACCTGCACTTGACGCGAGAGGCAACAGTACTTGAAAGAACATAACACCAAGTCAGTGCCAGGCAGCTGCAGTGGGCGATGAGCGTCCCAGTTGGTGGTAAGTAATAGGTTACTTACGGGATGCACTTCGATGGATGTCGAGATCTCTTGCCTAGATGCGTTAGAGTAGAAAACTACTAGCGACCAGCCTGAGCTTCAGGGCCACCATAGCAAGACTATATACTATAGCACGAGACTAGTGAACACTAAAACCCCTTTTAGACACGGAGGGTAATTCCCAAGGAAATCAGAAACGAGTAGTCACTCCTGTGCCATTTGGCTTGCCAGGTATCTTTTTCTGGCTCGGAACAAACTTGTCAACATCAGATCGTTCTGCGCTCGGGCCGGTTCTTGATAATCGACCCGGACTATGATATCGGCGCATCTACAACGTACTTCCAGGTAGCCGCGTCTATCATCCCAATGATTCTGGCCGTCAGAGTTGACGCTGTTTGCAAGGTAATCCGGCGTGGCCAAGGTGCCAGCAAAAATGTGACCTCTGAGGCATCCAACATGCGTGGTGCCCTTGAGTCTAACTTCTTTGACTACTCAAGTCCTTTGTTTAAGGCTTCAGGACTTCTTCCACGTTCCACAAGGAGCTCGGCGTAGGCGATGTGATGCATCGACCACGCCGACTGAGGCATTACAAACGCCACGGTCCCCACCGCGCTTGTTCTACCGTCAAAGCCACATGCAGTCTTCCTTGAGCCGAATATCTCACTTGGTTGAGGACCCTGTATCGCCCCAGTCCATTCCCTAGCCGGAGAAGGCCCAAAATGTTAGCAAGAAACGAGTTCGGGCAATGTACAAAGCCGCAGTTTTGGGAGGCGGCGCCGCCCATGGTAAAGCAAGAGCATCCAACATGGTAGGAGACGTCACATGCTAGCACTCATTGCTCTCAGGACCTCCCGACAACTGCATATCGGATTTTGCCGACTGCCGTGGCATAGAAACTGGACGAACTCGGGCGTCCGTTGCATCCTCAGGCGCTGTGACTGACAACACACGAGTCCACCGACATTGAGACCGAAGAAGTCTCTCGGCTCCTGCAGAGCAGATCGAACACAGCAAAGCAGGCCGAATCTCAATTCGGGAGACCGCGGGGAAAAAGAATCATAATACTAGAGGACTTACCAATCCGAGAATCACCTGTCCTTCGTTCAACTCACGACTATTCTTCTCACCCAGCCACACCGGCTCCGTGCGGTTCAGGCCCTCCTCGATATCGACCGCGGTGCCGCCCGTCACGAAAAGAGCTTTGCCATGCGTGCGTTCGTCCGCCGCGACCTGAATGATGTACCGTGCCACATCGGAGGGAGTGTTCATCGGCATTTTGTGTTGAACCCAGGCCTGGCGAACGCCGGAGAGAAGTTGTGTGTCGGTAGCCCAGGGGCCTATATGTTCCGTGCCAGGCTGTGGTTAGCGAGGAGTCCCGTTGAAAGTGAGCAATCAACCATGCGACACAGTTCTACATGTGAAAGGTCCAGGCGAGGTAATCAGTCGAGAACCTGGAGACGATGAGAGACGTACAGATGGCATTAACTCTCAATCCATACAGCGGCGCACAGAAAGGCCTCAGGGCTCGCATCAACCCCAAAACACCGTGTTTGGCAGCGGAGTAAGCGAAAAGGCCCGGGGACTCTTTGAAGCCTGCCACAGACGATACCAAGGTGATTGATTTGGACGAGACGATGGATTCCGCCGTGGTTTTCTCCTGGTCGAAATGGTGGCCCTCCTTGAGGTACGCTACGGCCAAGCGGGCAAAGTATAACGTGCCGTTCAAGTTAATGTCGACCACATCAAAGATGCCGGTCGGCGTCTACCCCAGAAGTGATTTGTTAGCCGCGGCTCGCCAGACTGGTGCTTGATCTTATGTATGCGCCTCAGATGGCATGACTTTGGTGGTTTGAGGATTGCCCTCCTCCAACATAGCCTAAGGAGACCGCACAGTACCGGGTGGAACGCGAGGTCAACAGCTCTAGGAAACCCCAGATGACTCCTGACCTGCTATTGATGACTTACCTCCCTTGCACTCTGGAGATTTAACCTGTCGGGTTCCCAGTACCCCTGCCGTTCCGTTACCGCTGCACAGCATATTGCCATGTCTATCTGCTTGTGTTTGTCGTACGCCGCATCAAAGAGCGATAGGAGAGACTGGTAATCCCGGACATTGACCTTGAGATATGTCACGCTGCCTCCGGAAGATTGGGGGAAACTGCGAAGGTCCTCTGCAAGCTTGGAACCCTGTGCCTCGCTCCAGTCGCCAAAGAATACTTGGGCTCCTGACTGGTACAGTTGAGTGACTGTCGCGGCGCCGATCCCTTGGGCGCCACCTGTAGAATGTGCGAATTGAGCATGAGCCTTGAACTTTAGAGGACAACAAACACGACAGGTATGTCGCAAAGCCCTACAGCAGCGCATTGAGTTAAGTCACTGACCTGCAATAACCACAACTTTCCCTTTGGCGGATTGGAGAGTTGTCTGATCGATGGTGATCTCAGCCATTTTGCGGTTTGCAACTCTTGACCTCAAGGCTTCTCTGTAGAGCTTCAGATCAAGTGCGTATGCTCTTGAAGTGAGGACAGCGTATAAGAGGAATGGTTTGTGTTGGAATTGGCAAAGCTACGCTGCCGTGGCAAGATATGCTTCAGGTGCTGTGGTTGTGCGGCGCATCTCGATGCGAATGGGCATATCTGAAAAGTGGATAAGCCACCCACACTCCCCATACAACCTAGGTACTGATGTGCCATATCCGCGCTTCTGCTCGGCAATTGGAAGCTGTTGGCGTGCGTGGAGAGCGCGCACATGGCCGAATACGGGGGCGCCCGCCACTGGGAAAGGACGGTTTCCGGTTGTCGAGGCTGAGCCCCACATGGGAAAGTGCCCGGGTCTCCAATGCGGTTGAGGGGCACTTCCGATCATAATGGCTCCCTTTCTTGCGGCGCCGATGATGCACAAAGCCTCAGCGCACGGGTGTGAGTGGCAGCATGATTGTTGATTTCTGGAATCAGTAACTGTTTTGCGTCAAATATCAAAAAGCCAAACCAGCATCTGCTCTTGCGAAACACTGAAATTTCGGGCTCGGTCTCTCAAGACTTTCGGCTATAGTCCTCAAAATACCATGGCGGCCCCGAAGAAAAGCGTCGTCGTAACAGGTTGAGTCTGTCCTATTTTTCGAAGGCCATTATGCTTGGGGTCAACAGGACAGAAGTACTAACTCTGTGCCGAGTCAACAGGAGGTGCATCAGGGATTGGACTTGCAATCTCACGCTCCTTCGCCGAACAAGGAGCACACGTTTCGGTGCTGGACGTGAACCCGGACGGTGCAGAGATTGTGCAGCAACTAACATCCGAAATCCAAAATGGGAGTTTCACGTTCAAAAAGGCCGATGTCTCCAACTGGGACGAGCTGGCCTCGGCTTTCGAGCAGGTTCACCAGGAACAAGGGCGGATTGATGTGGTGATGGCCAATGCGGGCATTTCCAGAGAGGGATCGCTCATTGTCGACGAAGAGAAACCGTCCAAGCCATCCTTGAAGACCCTGGATGTCAACTTGACTGGGACTATATATAGTGAGAAAGAAGTCCCCCTTGTTTTGGTTCCCGTCGTTGAAGTTGTTCATACTGACACGTGTGTGCCTCGACAGCTGTGAAGTTGGCGATTCATTACATCAGAAAGAATGCCGTGTCGGGGAATGGTGCGACGGCATCTAGAGGATCAATCGTCTGCACAGCCTCGAATGCCGGCTTATATCCATTTCCTGTGGCACCGCTTTATGCCGCTTCCAAGTTTGGAGTTGTCGGGTTTGTTCGGTCGCTCGCTCGACCGCTTCTCAAAGAGTCTATCCAGATCAATGCGCTGGCGCCCGCTGTTCTTGGTATGTGGTGTCAGACCCTCGTTGACAAGGATGTATTAGTTGCTTATATACTTTTTGCAGAAACCAACATTGCTCCCAGCAAAGACCTCTTCAAACCGATGATCATCACGCCCATGTCCACCCTGACGAGAGGAGTGGCACAGCTGGTGTCTGACCCGTCGCTGACGGGACAAATTGCCGAGATCCATGGTCAAAACGTCACGTTGAGGGAGGCATTGCCCTACATTGATGAGGACACGGGCAAGAACATCGAGACGTTCTGGTCTTTGGGCTATGCTTGAGGCGCAGTCGGAATCACAAATATCCCTTGGACTGACTGGGCTTGCGGGTAATGCATTTTTGATCCAGGCCCAGGATGCAGTGCTAGATTGGAATATGCCCTTTCTTCTAGAAGAAGCAAGCTCACTAGTCATGCTGAAAGACACAGTAAGACATGCACCTTCACGGTAGGTAGCCTTGCATTTCGAGCACACAATCTCAGACTTTAAGGTACCTACCTACCTACAAGGTACCTATGCACGAGAGGCCTCAGCCGAAGGGTGGATTATGTAAGCTATCGTTCTTTCATCGTCACCTAAGTTTCTCGGCCGATTTGCACAGTGGTCGATGCACTGTAACAACGCAAAGCACTTTTGAACTCCTTCCTTGATCACGCTGACGGCGAGGCTGAGAGGACACAGTTTGCAATATGTGACAATTTTTCGTATAAGCCAACGAGGGTGCGCTTCGACGAATGGTGAGAAACAGTCCAGTCCATGCTTTCAAGTCCATGATGTCTTCCCCGCGCTGGGCGATTTCTCGGCGGAAGGGCAGAACAACCGAGCTACATCGACAGCTGAGCGGCGCTCAAAAGCTGAGCACGACATATTAACCGCTGGGGACCATGAGCTGAGAAAGCAGTCCAGGTAAGGCGCATCTCGTACCTGTCAATCACTTCCAAACTCTGCATTGCTATATCTTTCTTCCCTGCATCCTGCGCGGACATTTTTCTCGTTTCTTTCTCTGCCTTCCAGCCTGGGGAAACGGCCCTCCGCATAATCTCTCCTCTCCAGCTCTGCGTCTCCAGTTCTCTCCGCATCAACTACTGGTCGTTTCATCGGGCCCCAGGCGTGTACCATCACACGTCCGGTGCGTTACCCAGAGGCCTGAAGGTACCTTCAACAGATACCTGGGCTATCTTACACCCCTTGTAGGACCATGTCCTCCCCCAGAGCTCGGTTGAGCAATCTCGCCAACCACTTCCTCCACCCCGGCTCCACGACCTCGAGCCCTTCTACAAATCAAAGCAAGAGCATCGATGACCTGACCATTGATGGACACAAAGTCGGCACGCCGTCCTGGTTCAACAACCATACGTTGTCGCCTGCCTTCTTCCTGCCCCGTGCTGCCGCCATCGAACCGGCCGCCCCGGCCATCTATCACCGCACCGCCAACAACAAGATCCTGCGCCGAACCTATATCGAATTTGCCGATAGAGCCCGCGGTTTTGCTTACTATCTGAAGAAGAAGGGGTACAAAAGAGTGGGCATATTATGCACCAACACACCGGCCTTTCTTGAGGCCGTCTTTGGCATTGGCGCGGCGGGTGCGGTCAATATCGCCATCAATTATCGTCTGAAGCAAGACGACATAGCATATATATTTGACCATGCTGACGCCGATGCCATTGTCGTCGACGCTGAGTTCTTGCACCTGTTGGATGACTTCAAGGCAAAGCATCCCAACGTGCCCCTCATTGTGGATACGGACACGGATGCGATCGAAGGCCAGTTGTGTGGTCCCTTCGACGAAGCTGTTCTTGAAGGGTTGCAGTATGACATCTCGCAGGGTGCGCGCGGTTGGGAGGGCCTCGAGGCCCAAACCGCTGATGAATTTGCTGTCACGGCCTTGGCCTATACCTCGGGCACCACCGCCCGGCCCAAAGGCGTCGAGTACACTCATCGAGGTGGCTATCTGGCCGCTCTAGCCAATGTCGTCGAATCCGGTCTCTCCTACCACGACGGCGAGCGTTGTAAATACTTGTGGACACTGCCCATGTTCCACGCCATGGGGTGGACCTTCCCCTGGGCCGTTACCGCCGTGCGAGGCACACATTACTGCTTGCGCAAGATCGACTACCCGGAGATTTGGCGCTTGCTGAAGGAAGAGGGCATCACCCACTACTGCGCAGCTCCGACGGTCAACACTCTCCTCTGCGCAGACTCCAACGCCGCTAAGCTTGCCCAGCCAGTCCGGGTGACAGTGGCCGCCAGCCCGCCCACGGCACACTTGTTCGAGCAGATGACCAACCTCAATCTGCGTCCCGTCCATGTGTACGGGTTGACAGAGACGTATGGCCCCATCACCAAAGGTTACATTTTGCCAGAATGGGACAACCTGCCTAATGTCAAGGATAAATATGCCAAGATGGCCCGTCAGGGTCACGGCATTGTCACCTCCCTGCCCGTTCGAGTTATCAAGACCGACTTACCCGAAGGGACGATTGTGGATGTCGAGAAGAACGGTAAGGAGATTGGCGAGATTGTCTTCGTTGGGAACCTTTGCGCTCGGGGGTACTATAAGGACGAGGCCGCTACGAGGAAGCTATTCGCAGGCGGCGTCCTGCACTCAGGCGACCTGGCTGTCTGGCATCCGGATGGGGCTATACAGATCCTCGACAGAGCCAAAGACATTATTATTTCTGGTAGGGCGACTTACTTTTCCCCCTCCTGGCGCATTGCTGACTTTGCTTCCCAGGTGGCGAAAACATTTCCTCTGTTGCTCTAGAATCCATCTTCGTCACACACCCCGATATCCTTGAATGTGGTGTTGCGGCTGTTAGCGATAGCCACTGGGGTGAGAGGCCCAAGGCGTTTATCACCATCAAGCCGGGGTCCAAAGTGACTGGCGAGGATGTCATCAAGTGGGCGAAGGACCATCCAGGAATAAGCCGGTTCATGGTACCCCGCGAAGTAGAGATTGTTCCCGAACTGCCCAAGACGAGCACAGGGAAGATCCGAAAGAACATTCTGCGGGATTGGGCCAAAGGGAAAAGAGGAGAAGATTAAATACTTACGAACCAGGGCGGTGTGCTGAAGTTGTCGTGGTACCAAACAGCCATGTTGTACGATGCCAATTGTCCCACATCAGCAAGGTTGCCATATATGTTTTTGGCAAATCCAGATTTCCAATGATTCCAGATTTCCAAATACGCCCTGCAGAACATGTCGGAGAGAGGTTGCCAATGTGCTTTGAAGCACTCCTCCAGCCAAGCATCCATGCATATTGGCGAGGCAGAGACAATCTTGACTTGGGCGAGCCTCCAAGCTCGAATGCTGGGTAGTTAATTCCACGTGCGACTGTCTAAATGTGAAGAGGTGGAGCTGCCGCCGCGATGACGAACGTACTGTGTGTTGACTTCAATAATGCTAGACCTTTCACAACAGGTTACATGCCTGCCACCTGGGTCCCTGCAGAAGAAACTTTGTTTTACGATGAATTGCATTTCGGATGATGAATGGCAACTTTCCATGAACGTGAATCGGAGCAACCGTGATGTAAGAGCCTGTGCCGTGTAATCTGTGCAATGTTTTGCCATACAATTCGTAGTAGGTCGTTCGGTTATGCGACCTCCTTCGCTTAAAGTGCCAGCGGAGGAATAATGAGTGAGGACGTCGCGAGTTCAAGTTCGGCGCGTCGCGAGGAGGCGACGCACTGCCGAGATGGCAGATGCAGCCTATCAAGGTGGATGATCGATAGTTCAGGTAGACGACCCTAAAGCTGCAGGATGTCGGCGAGGCGGAGGTTAAGTCGCCGCGGTCTCTAATCCCTGCACGTCACTGTCCCCAGTAGTGTATGGGATCCCTCAATAGTGGTATGGATGTTGTCCGAGTATGGCATTCTGCGTTTACTGTGTGGATAGCGAGTGGACGGGTAGGATGTGAACCGAAGGCAGGACGTGATCGGGCAGGACTAACAGTCGTTCTTCTTGGACAATTGAAACTGAATTTGCAATCAGCCGGAGTTGGGATATGGATATGGCCTTTCTCGAAGAAAGCTTGGTGATCCGAAGTCAAGACTGCAGCTGGTCAGTCCGCCATCAAGGACAATGGATGTCTCCTGGGCCCCCGGCCCTGGCATAGGCCCACGCGGTCCTACATACCTCCCCGTAACGAGTTTAACGCTGTTGTCCACCAAGGAGCAAGAGCATGGACCGCGCCGGTGGAAGACGGGCCATCGACAATAATATACCCGCGTGAAAAACACTTCGATGGAGTAGTGTGGGAGAGCAGCTCAAAGCCAATATCCTCGCCTCCTATCCGTCATGTCGTGGTCCACATCTTTCGAGTCCTCTCATATTCGATGCCCTTCTCGTTGATCAAGGCCGTGCGGCCACCGTTGAGCAAGATCGGTGGATCGAGACGATGATCGTGAAGTGAGGTCTTTTCTTGCTAGCTGCAAACATAGGCTCGAACTTCCTACACTGGCATTCAAGTTCTGCATGGCTTCGCCGTAAGCACAGCCTGATCCTAGTCTCGACAATGACGTTGGACTTCTACTGGTAGAGGGTCGATGTAATTGCAACGGGATTGCAGCAGCAACGGAGGAAGGGATGAAGGAGCATAATTTGTGCTGCCATTAACATTCAGTTCATTTACATCGTCAAAGGGCAGGAAGGGGCGAGGAACAGAAGGTATTGTATGTCCCGGTGGACTCAATGATGGCCAGTGCAGGTAGTAGTTGAGTACTAGTCGTAATTGGCTTCCTAGTGATTGTAGGGGTCGTGTTGGTGTTGGTGATCGTGATGGTTGAGGTTGAGTTTGACGGATGCAGTGATGCCAGTGGGACAGACATCATTATTAGCCTCTGCCGGTGCTGGAGGCTGACGCAGTTGCTGGGACTTGCAGCCGGAAGCAGCCCCCTTCGGCCCTAGAGGCACCCAGAGAACAGTCGAACAGCGCCCCAAAGGACACCTGAAATCCATCCGGCAGCCCCAGGCAGACTTCGAGGTTAGCCGCGAGCGACTGTCCACCATCACGATCTCACTCGTTATTCAAGTTTCTGATTATCATTGTCCTCGCCCGTCACTACCATTCCAGGTTACTATCATCACCAATCCTCCATCCCTAACCTCCTACAGTACAACCTCAAAAGTACCTTTAGTACGAGTGACCTAGTACCTACTTTGCTCTTGACATTCGAGTCACACACATAGTACACACACCCACGCCCCGTCGCCTGCACCTTCTAACGCAATCAATGAACCTTTTCTGACCTGCAGTTAATAAAGTCTTCACTTCTACCTAATCTGAAACTTCACTGCAGGGTGCCGTTGGACTCGCTCGCCTGTTTGTGCCTGCGCCTCCTGGAGAGTGCCAGTGGTGGACTATTCCTCGAAAGGATCACATTATTCGGCCGCTGTCTTCCCCTGCCGCGCAGTCTCCATCTGTCACCGCCGTCCGCCTCCTGGCCTACTTCTCATCTCTTCCTTACTCCTCCAGTCCGCCGATTGACCCCTCAAGCACGCCTGTAGATGCAGAAGATTGCCGAATAGTGCTGTCGCCAAAGGACGTACGGTGCAAGACTGTTTGCAGCCACCTGTGCCACAGGCGGCATCCTTGTCTCCTCACCACCGCAACCGGATCTGCCATACACAAACAGACGGGTTCGACAAACTCTCCATCCACGAGGCGATGAATGGCACTCTTTGCCTGTCTGCGTTTCTAGCTTGTCACTAAAGAGACTTCGTCTATGCAACAATAGCGGAACACACAATCCTCCGACGCGAATACACGATCGGAACCACATCACGCCGAAGGCGTGGTCTCGCAACTATGGCCGAAGATCCTCGGTCTCGACTTCCAGCGCTTCACACGAGAGACATCAGCACTGCAACAGTGGAGTCAGATAGCTCAGAGAGCAGCCCAGGGCCATGCGATGATGAAGACACCGACTACTTCATGGCGCATGCCAATGATTCACAGTCATCTCTTGGGGCAGTGACAGCCATCCGCGACTGCGATGACGAAGTCGACATCGAACAAGTCCACCGCCTGTCTCCCATATCCAAACTCCCTCCAGAAATTCTGATTGCCATTCTTTCAAAATTAAGCACAACGGCAGACCTTCGCAATTGCATGTTGGTGTCATATCATTGGGCATTGTATACGGTGGGGATTCTCTGGCATAGACCACTGTGCAACAAATGGACAAACCTGCTCAGCGTCGTGGCTACCTTGAGCAAAGGAGAGAAGAGCTATTTCCCATACCATGAGATGGTCAAAAGACTAAATCTATCAGCGATTGCCGACACGATCAACGATGGTACGGTACAACCGTTCATGACGTGCAAAAGCATCGAGCGACTTACCCTGACCAACTGCGTGAAATTGACTGATTTCGGCGTGGCCGGGCTTGTTGAAGGAAGCCGAAAGTTACAGGCTCTAGATGTGACGGATGTGGATGCTCTGACGGATCGAACGTTACATGTGGTGGCCGAGAACTGCGCCAAACTGCAAGGCCTTAACATCACAAACTGTTCAAACATCACGGACGAATCGCTGATTGATATCGCTGAGCATTGCCGGCAACTCAAGCGGCTCAAACTCAATGGTGTGGTACGGGCAACAGACCTTTCTATCACCGCCGTGGCACGAAACTGCCGCTCCATCCTGGAGATCGATTTGGCAGGTTGCCATTCTATCACATCGGAATCCGTCACTGCGCTCTTGACGAATTTGTCCCACCTTCGTGAGCTACGCCTGGCTCATTGCATTGATCTCAATGACTCGGCATTCACGAATCTACCCGCTCGGCTTACCTTTGATGCTCTTAGGATTTTGGATCTCACAGCCTGCGAGCAGATTCGAGATGAGGCCATTGCCAGGATCATTCCAGCCGCTCCCCGACTACGGAACCTCGTTCTGGCCAAGTGCAGGCATATCACGGATCGAGCGGTAACTTCCATCTGCAGACTGGGCAAAAACTTGCACTACATCCACCTTGGACACTGTGTCAATCTGACTGACAACGCAGTTATCCAGCTGGTCAAGTCTTGCAATCGCATCAGATACATTGACCTTGCATGCTGTTCACGTTTGACCGACGCCAGCGTTCGCCATTTGGCGCAACTGCCCAAGCTTCGACGGATCGGCCTGGTGAAGTGTCAAAATCTGACCGATTCCAGCATTATGGCTTTGGCTCATGGGCCACTCTTGTTCAGTCCTACGGGCAAAGCTGGCCTCCCCTCCCAGTTCGTGTCGCTGGAACGTGTCCATCTCAGTTATTGTGTCAACCTGACCCTCAAGGTATGATTGCTTTCCCGATGTGTTTTTGGCTCGTTTTCTGACGTCTTAAAAGGGCATTACCGCGCTTCTACATAACTGTCCTAGACTAACCCATCTTTCTTTGACTGGAGTCCAAGCATTTCTCCGGGAGGATCTGACCCGATTCTGTCGCGATGCACCGGCCGAATTCACCCATCCCCAGCGAGATGTCTTCTGTGTCTTCTCTGGGGAGGGGGTCTCGCGCCTGCGAGAATATTTAATGCGTCTGGCCATGGAGGAAGCACAGCGTGAAGGCCGAGAGGCTATTGACGACAGCTTGCTGGACGGGGTCGATAGTCCCGGCGCTGATACTATGTCAGACGACGGCACATTGGATGGGAATGACCAGGTGACGGATCCCGTGCTCGGTCAACATCGTCACGGAGTATCGTTTGCGAGTACTCCTCGTTCCAGACCTCGGCCCCGCAGCCTCCATGAGCTCCCGAGCTACCATGTCGAGATGCCGCTGTTACCATTTGACCAAGTTCAACACGTTGGGCCATGGACACCGGGTGTGCCTTTGACCCCAGAAGCCCGAGCGGCGATGTCCACTCCACACCTGAACTTGACGAACTCTGCCGGCTTCCCTCAGCATGAGGGTTATGAGCATCGGTCACGAAGTCCGGCTTTTGCTGCCACGGCAGAGTACGGCGAACGCGCTAGAAGCTCGTCCCGAACTCCATCGCGACGGCACACTCTTGAATCAACGTCATCGAGCATCTTTGGCCCTCCGCCAGTGCCAACGCATGGGTATGGGGAAAGCAGCTCAAGACCTATTGAATTTGCTCATTATGACCCCCGAGCCAATTACTTTGGGGTAGATGAGATGAGGCGGTATGTGGGATGGGGAGCTCCTCATCCTTTCACATCGGAGTCTCTCCGGAGACCGCTACCCGGAATGTCTCTTCGGACCCCTTCTGAGATACGACAATCATTCCTGAGACCTGAGCCCGGATTCAGTACATTTGATGCCAACCATGAGGCGATCATGGCCACCATCCCCGGAAGTCGGTCAGGAAGCCGACATGCCTCCAGATCGAATAGCCCTCATGTATCCAGGGTCAGCAGTGGGACGAGATTGGGAAGCCTTCTAGCCCCTCCCACTCGGACCTATTCATCCACTTCACTCAGTCAAACCTCCTTCAGCCAAGGAGAGAGTGCAGGACGGGTCAGCCGCAGTGAGCGAAGCCGAGAAAGACTACTGATGGAGGAGGAAGCACACCGAGAAGCCATGCGGCAAGTGCTAGCGGAATCCGACGCTACCGCACATTCACCGCCTGGCCTTTCGCATTTTCAATCAGATCGGCAAATCGAGTTGCCGTTGCTGCCGCCCGAGCTGATGGAGCGCGTGGTCCGGAGTTCGGTGACTCGGTCGGAAGGCATGCCCAGTGCACGTTTTGAGACTGTGGCTCAGACGCCAGCTCACGATCCTGACCAGGATGTTACCATGACACAGTGAAGGACAAGGTTCCATTACGAAACAACAGCTCTAGATGACATGATGATGACACTGGCATATTTCGGCACGACGAGGAATATGCGACATGGGTCGGAGGAAGAGGGGCTTACTGTTTACGACTCCTGAGCGCTACGATACCAAAGCATTTACAGCGCTTACCGGCAGAATTTCAACCAAGCAAGCGAGGAGTTTTTGGGACGGTTTTCTCGGTTTGGGATGTGGTTTTCAACCGTTGGGCATCTGGAAGCAGAGGCCGGGGTTTTAGGGATTGTCTGGGTTATTTGCCTGTATTGTGAGAGTCCAATCAAGCAAGCACAGCAAACTGACAAGCTGTGTACCGGAGCACCCTTCGTCCCCACGCGGTGGCGGTGCCAGGAGTGCGAGGCTGCCAGGACGGGCAGGGGCATGACACGCATTGACCTGGCGTGAATGTGCACGGCGCTTAGTACATAGCGTGGCATTGAAGTACCTACCCTTAGCTATTCATCCTCATCAGTTTCAGTCAGCATCGGATATGTACCTAGGTCCAACCAAAGTATTTTGCCCTGGGTACCATTGATGCGTGTCTAGTAAGTCGTAGTCACATATGGACCCGCACGAAGTGGTTGTCACTAGTGAATGGCTGATTGATTATTTTTCTTGATACGATGACTGCATGTTCCTTGTTGCTCGTCCTGCCTGGTTAGGTACAGTGGTAGATGGTAGACACAATATTTGATGATATATGACATAATTTTTCTGTATGTATACAGTTAGTACCTGCGTGCTGAGGAGGTATCGCAGGTAGATAATAGTAAGGTAGTGCAAGTCTGGCTAGAATTATTAATTTATATTGGTGTAAAATATATACGACCAAAACCCGACGAGCGAGGGGGCTTTTCCTGCAATTCATTATGCCACTTCCTCAAGCTCACAAACGTCAGTCATTGTAGGCTATGCTATGCTATGCTATGCCATGCGCAATCCAAGCAGCTTTAGAATTCCACAAAAGATATCGTCCATGGAAGCAAAACGCCATAAAGCGCCGAGCTGGAAGGTCCTCAAAGACTCTTCTTTTCAGAAATATTCACAAGACAGATCCACGGATCGGTCGATTCAGGGTGTGGGCCCTTCTTTGATGACGACCTTTCGCATCCTCATGAGAGGCGCCAGAGTATCTCGAAGTTTTGGCTTCGTTTGATGGTTTCGTGACAGTGTCACACTGGCTCGTGTCCCACGTGGCGTTAGTAGGGAGTATGGGGAATCGTTGTTTAATTCCCTTTCATGGTACCAAAAGTGCTTGAACGACGCGTGGAGATGACACAGCCTCCCTGCTTTGTTCCAGTGGCACGGCTGCTTCGATTGGTATTATCAAGCTCCAGAGCACATAATCTCTCAGCTTGGTCTATCCACTCAATTTCTTAAGATGTTCAGTCCTTGTTGAGCTTGGCTCGGACGCGAGCACCAAAGACGTAGAAACTGAACGGGATCAAAACCATGCCCAGGCCGAGGAAAGCCAACAACCATGACGCCCATTGTAGACCCAGGGTGTGATACATCTGGGTGGTGAACAATGGGAAAGCGGCACCACCGCCGGACCGCAGGAACACTTTGGCAGCCAGCGCAGACGCGGCGTACTTTTGGTACGAGTCGATGATGTAGTTGTTGACCGAGTAGTAGCAGAGAACCATGCCGAAGCCAAAAGCGATACCTGCTGAGGCAGGGCCAACCCAGATGATGTGGTGGTACGACGTGGCGCCCAGAATGAACAATGCGATCGGGATAAATGGAGCGCCCCACATGGCACCGATCAACCGGTCCTCAGGGGTAGGATTGCGGGCGAGACAGATCCGACGGAACTGTTTCTCCAGAGTGGGTGTTGCCACAAGGGCGAATCCGGCGCCAATCAGGATGGGGATGAACATCAGACCGATTTGCCCGTCGTTGTAGTGGTACAATTCACCAAAGATGACTGGGTAGGCGAAGAAGAAGGCGTACAGCATGGCGTAGATGAGCACAATGTACATGCACATCAGGTCCAAGACAGGCTCGGTAAGAATCATGGTGATAGGCCGGATCAAGCTGGTCCGAACGACCTCCTTGAACGTCAACTTGACCTTTTCTTGTTCGGTGATGATGTTCGGGTCGCCTGTCTCTTTCCGCAATTTGGCCGCACGTCGTTTCAAGATCACTGGTGCGTACGTCTCTGGAATCAAGCCAACGAGGATCATGATCACGCCAGAGAATGCCATGTTCGTCCAGAAGAACAGATCAAGCCTGCCGCTGCCGACGTTGATCCAGCCGCACACAATTGGGCCGATGACGGGCCCGCAGTAGGGGGCTGCTGCGAAGAATGCGATGGCCATGCCACGCTCCTCGATGTTCCAGATATCAGCGATCGTGCCGCCGGCCAGCGAAAGGCCGGAGCTGGAGAAAACGCCGCACAGGAACCGAGAGACGAGAAGCCCGCCAATATTGGGAGATAGAGCGCAGGGGATGTTGAATATGGTGTATAACCCCAGAGAGATGATGTACACCGGTCGTCGACCGATGATCTCCGACAGTGGGGACCACAGGAGAGGACCGACGGCGAACCCGCATACCATGATGGAGCAGGTCAGAGTCGCGACTTCGAGAGACACGTGGTATTTGTCCTCGATCAGTCCCAGGCCTCCCGTGACTATGGCTGAGCCGTAAGCGACGCACACCACGAGTAAGGATGCAATCATGGTGATGTACCATCGGAAAGCGCGACCCCAGTTGTGTGGATTCTCTGGGTCGCCGATCTTGAAGGTGACGAATTCGGCTTCTGCTTCTTCGGTTCGTCGTTTTTCCAAGTCAGGCTCGGAAACGAAGCTCAGTCGTCGTCCTCTCCGTGACGGTACTGTCGACACTCTACTTCGGATCTCTTGTAACGTCTGGACTGGCACAAGACCGGTCTCAGTTTCGAGTGTATATTCTTCGGGAAACACCGGATTCTCGGCACGACCCAATTCGGGGTAATTGACATCGGGCGGAGGCGGAGTTGGCGACAGTCCCAATTCTTGAAGAGTTTGACGGGTTTCCGTCCTGTGAAGCCGTAGCTGATTGAATTCTGAATGTTGAACAGGCCGCTGAGGACTTGTACTCCGCAAGGAGTCTGATGATGAAGACTCCGGCATTGCGGTGTTATGATTGGATATATGTGATGGAGAGAGTGGTCTGAGGTGATTGTGCAGAGTGATGTCGATGGCAATACGACACACTCAGCGAGTGTAGGTGTTCAAGGTATGTAAATATGAGGTCTGTATAATGTATGTAGTTTCTGATCGAAACTCTTGAGACTGGAAACTGGGGAAGAAGACATGCAGAGAACAGTGCTGCTCCCTATATTAATATATTGGAAATGGTTCCCTTGTCACTCGCTTCTGCAAGGCTGGCGGCCCCTGCTCGAGCTGCCATTGGCCATTGTTGGTCTAGGCCGGACACACCGACCTTTCTCCGACCTCTCGCCGCGTGAATTTATTGACTCAGGTCCACTGTTTTCTACGGCGGTCCGCGACGTCACTTTGCAGTCATGGCCGTGTTCGAGGACAAGCGGATCACTGTTGATACAGTACGGTAGCTGGCTGGAGCCGTCGGAGGGCTTGCCGGACAAGCCCTCTTTTCGCAATTGTTTACCCGGACGACGCCGCGATTGGCCTGTTTGTTGTCATCTTGTTGTACACAGTCGGCTCCGATGCCCCACTGCCAAGGAACACTTACGTCAGCTGCACTTCCTAAACCTCGCTATCGACCCTAAATAAAGCTCGATAACGACGTCGACGACGAGGTTTACCACTCTCTAGAATAATTTATAGACCGTACGAGATACGGTATTCTCTCCGATTTCTATAGTATATATAGAACTACTCTATATACTATTAAGTAGATAGAGCGAGAGTAAATATAATAATTTTAGCGTACCTACTAATAGTTATAAGCCCGGTTTATAACTAACTACCCTACGAATAACTAATAACCGAATATATTTATTCGTAATACTTATACTCTAATACGAGAACTAATTAATAGTATTAATAGAATTATCCTCTACCGTAATCGAAATAATAGTAGTATACTACGAGAAGTCGACTCGCTCTTCTACTATCTCCGTTAGGACTACTTCTATACTAAGTACTCCCGATAACTAGAATAACTAGTATAGAGTCTTTAAAAGTAAAGTATAGACTAACGGATTATAGTAGTATATCGACCTCTCCTAACTCGAACCGATTCTATTACTAGGGCCGCCTAAACTACCTCTCTATATCGAATCGAATATACTTATATAGAAGGAGAAATAGGCGCTAGATAGGAAAGATAGAGACTACTAACGTTAATTAGAGCTATATTAATAATAGACTACTCTAATCTAACGCCTTAATAATCGATTTAATAGAACGATATTTCTATCTAACCGCCTATATTACGAAGATAAGTCTACGCTTTATCGTCGGCTAAAGATACTAAGAGACCGTCTAGAACCCTTAGACGCGATAAAGAGGTAAAGCCTCGCGAGTAAGTAGTATACTTTAAAATAAGTACTACGAAGTAAAGATTTAGAGATATAGTTCTATTAATAGGAGTCCCTATATAAGTAGTATAAGGCTCTATATATAATAAAAGCTATAGAAGACGTAGTATAAATCGACTTCCTTATCGCTATATAATCTCTATATCCGAGTATAGCTAGTCTAGAACTTACTAGGTTCTATAATCGAAGAGAAATAGAATATATATTATTATACGACCTCGTTAATATAGTTAGAGATATATATCGTAATTTAAAGAAATTAATAGCGAAAGTAGTATTATACTTAGCGTTTAGTATATTAAAAGAAGATAAGAAGTAATAGAAGAAATCTAAGTATATCTACGGATATAAATACTTCTATAACGAGTACTATTATCTAAACTCTTTAAAACGACCGGATAATTAGGCTCTAAACCCTAAAGTTAATTATAAAGTATAGACTAAGTTAAATAACGATAAGGCCTTACGTAAGCGTATTAAACGACTTATTAATAAGAATAAGAGAAAGAGTAAGGATAATTAATAATAGTAAGGAGAACTAATACTCGGAGTATTTACCGCGTATTTATATACTACCGTAACCGATTATAAGTTAAAGAATTACTAGATACTCGACTCCGGATCCGATATATATATATATATAATAAGCTAGAGAACTTTACGAGGACTAGAGAAGTAACCGAAACCGATATTCTTATTATAGGGATAAATCGATATTCTATTAAAGTATTTAGAAGCGTTAAACTACGTATATCTACTAAAAACGGAGTTAAGAGACTTATACTACTCGATATCGCTCTTATTCTAGGGTTTATAACGAATCTAGTATCGCTCTCTCGCTTATATAATAAGAATATTAACTAGAATATACTAGATAAAGCCTTAATACTAAATAACGAGTATCTATACTACGTACGAAGAAAAGACGGTTATTAAGTACTATTCGACTACCCTATCTTAGCGTCTCGATAACTATATATATTCGACTCTATATCTATTTCTTCTTCTTCTCCTTTAATAACCCTAAAGGCTACTTCTAACGTCGCGGCGTCGAGATTAGTTAGAGAAGCTTTTATTATAAGGCCGCTAGCTCCTCTCGTAATACTCTATATACGGGCGGCTCTCGGCGTAGCGTTAGCGCCGATAAGATAGACTCCCGTTACTACCGCTACCGTAGCTTAAGGGGGTAAGCCTCCCTATGAGGACTCTCTAGATAGACTATACGCCGTTATAGAGTATATAGAATATAATACGCTTCGGCACCTACTAGACGTAGTAATCGGACTTCCGAAGATTAAGAAGATTACTTCTATTTAATACGAGCCTTATCGATTATTAAAAGTAACCTAGATTATCTTTCGAGACTTATTATAAGAAGAATTAGCGACGAGACTATTTAATAGAGTCTCGTACGACTTAATACTACTTAATATTATCTATAATGGAGACGAATAGATTAGCTATTTTAGAGATTACTATATAAGGATATATTTTGTCTATATATATCTACGAAAGTATTAATTATTCTAAATAGTTTAAGACTTTATAAATATAATTTATACGAGATATAGCTATAACGTTAAGTTTATTAGAATAGACGGAGAAAGATCGCTATCGAAGATCTATAATAACGACGTACGAGATAGAGGTCTAATAACTAAACGAAGTATATCGTATACTCTCGCTTAAAATAGCTATACGGAGCGAGTAGACCGATTACTAATTAATATAGCTTAAATAATATATTTATACGTAAACTTACTAAAGAATCTATAGTCTAAGATAGTAAAAATCGTAGAATATATTCTAAATCGATTACTATCTTATACGCTTAGCTAGAAAACGCTATTCGAAATACTATACGGGCGACGACCCGATATCTTATATATATACGTATATGGCTATAAAGTCTACGTATTATAGTATAATATTTTATAGAAAGATAAACTTTAATAACGCGCGTAGATTAGATATCTTATCGAGTACGATTTAATAAATATCTTTCGAATCTAGCGATCCGATAAAGGCTAGATTATACGAGTACGAGACGTTATCTTTAACGATAATAAGACGTTTTTACTACTTTTATATAAAGATAATAAGTTACTATCGATTAAGTTAATTTAGCTAGATATCGAAGTATATAAGTCGATATCTAAAATAGATATAATTCTAATTAATTCTAAAAACGGCTTAGTATCGAATTATTTAGAAACTACTTCCGACTAATTAGAAGCTTAGGAGTCTTAGACGACGTTAATTTCTAGCTAATTAGAGGCCGAGAAAGCTAAATTACGTAATACGCTAACTATACGTAATTCTATAGATATATATCTTACTTCTAACGCTATATCTAAATCTTCTTCTTCTTCTTCTTAACTAGCGATATCTATAGGGCCGATAGCTACTATAGAAGTAATCGTAGGCTTACGAAGCTCGCGGTCTATAACCGAAAGTATCGAGGGCTCTCGCCGCGCTACTAGTCGAGAGGACTCTATCGCTCGAGCCGCGCGCTAGGACGCCTCTACTTAAGAGGACTTCTCGAAGAGACGCGAGCCTAAACGAGAGAATATCTCTAGCGACGCCGAATCTCTATCGATATCGTTAAATTCTTCTTCTTTATTTATCGTAGAGAACTAGTCTCTAGCGGAGGCCGGTCTCCTCTTAATAAGAGAATAAGAAAGAAGAGAAGAAATTTAGAAAAAAGAACTATAAATATATATACTTAAGGAGACTACTATAGAAGGCTTATCTCGCTAGGTATCTCTAGACTAAGATAAGATAGTCTAAGTCCCTCGATATACTAATATCTTAGTAGATTTTAATAAAAGAAATATTATTACGATAAGACGATGTCCGAAACCGAGAAAATAGATATACGTCGCTACGCTTAAAGATAATAGTATTAACGAAGGTTTATCGATATACTACTTAGCCTTCGCCGTCGTCTTTACTATCGAAAAAGATTACTAACGAGTATATAGAGATACTCTTCCTTTTAAGCTAAAATTATAGAAATAGCTCGCTAATTATCTATTTCGAAAGAAATTCGAGAAAGTCGCGAGAGTTAAATACGAGAAACTTAAATATAAGTAAACCTTCGTACTAGTCTCTACTAAAGATATAAATAGACGTAATATTCTTTCTCTTATCTAGGTATTTAAGTATAAATTCGATAATAACGGCTACTTAAGTAAATTTAAGGCGCGTATATATATACGAGAAGACTTATAACTTACCTTTAAAGATATCTATATAGCTACTCTTACTTTTAGTACCTTTCGTACTATTATGGCTATTACGGCCGCTTACGACCTAGATCTTATATAACTTAATACTATTAACGTATTCCTTAATAGTAAAATTAACGAGGAAATCTATATACGTTTCCTAGAAGGTTTTAAAGTACTAGGTATAATACTTCGTCTACTTAAGGCGCTTTATAGTCTTAAGTAAAGCTCTTTATTATAGTATAATACTCTTAGTAATACTCTTAAGGCACTAGGTCTTTCTTAAGTACTAGGAGTTAATTATATACTTAATAATAAGTTTCTTATCGTCCTATTCTACGTAGACGATATTATTCTATACTATAAGCGTAAGTCTAAGAAGAGAGTTAATATAATTCTATAGAGTCTATAAGAGCGATTTACTCTACGTATTATACTAGAAGTTAACTAGTTTCTCGGTATACGAATCGTACGAGACCGAAGGCTATATAAGTTATAGCTCGTGTAGGATTTATATATCGATAAATTATTAGCTAAGTTTAATATTAATATATACGGTAGGAAGATACTATTAATACCTCTTTTAACTAAAAGTCTCGTGCCGTATAATAGCTAGGCTACTCTATAAAAGATATACGTATATTAATAGCGTATAGGGTCTATTAATTTCGTAGCTATAACGACGAGACCGGATATCGTAAGGGCTTACTCTATACTCTTATAATACTTATATAATTTATTACTAGAATATATAGCTATCGTTAATAGAGTACTAGACTACCTAAGGCGTACGCGTACTCTTACTCTTAAATACTCTACTCCTCCTAAAATAACTCCTTAAAATAATATTAAATACGAGAGCGTTAATACCTTTAAGGTATATTTAGACGTAGTATTTGCTAATAATACTAGCTAGAAGAGTTCCGATAGCTATCTCTTTATACTATTCGGAGGCTCTATTAACTAGAAAGCCTCTCGATAGAATATAGTAATAACTTTAAGTATAGAGGTAGAACTACTCGCTCTATCTCGTATAGCTAAGGAAGTACTCTAGTAGAGTCGCTTCTTTAACTCGATATATCTAAAACTCGACTAATCGCTTACTATTAAAGCTAATAATATATAGACTATTCGTCTACTAACTAAGGATAACTTTTAACTATTTATAAAGCTAAAATACGTTAATATATATAAGTATTAGTTAAGATAGGAGGTATAAGCTAGTAAAATACGGATAGAATAGGTTATAACCGCTAATATAAGGGTAGACGGCTTTATAAAAGTACTAATAATATAGAATTATAAGCGATTCGTCTATATATATCTCCGCCTAGTCGACGTATAGGCTATACTCGACGGTAAAGCGATAGGTATAGCCTAAAGGGGGTATACTATATATAGTCGGCTCCGATACCCTACTACTAAGGAATACTTACGTTAGCTATACTTCCTAAATCTCGCTATCGACTCTAAATAAAGCTCGATAACGACGTCGACGACGAGGTTTGCCACTCTCTAGAATGATCTATAGATCGTACGAGATATAGTGTTCTCTCCGATTTCTATAGTATATATAGGACTACTCTATACACTGTCAAGTGGATAGAGCGAGAGCAAATACAACAATTTTAGCGCACCTGCCAACACATCTCGACTGCGACGAGCCTTATCTGGCCATCTGCGTCTTCGATTTTCATTCTAGTAATTTCCTTACTTTCGTCTCAGCGAAGGAGTGATAGCCGACTGCTTGAATGGATGTAGGTAGGAGTCTGCAAGCGAGAGAGAGGCCTAAGCGAGAGCCCAACTGCCAATGCTATCGAGGCGCTAGGAAAGACTCGTAGTTCAGTAGTGAGGGAGCTTGCAGAAACAACATGCGATCAGTTTGCAGGAAGGCTATGGAACACTGTCGAGGCACAGCCCTACGGTGTCTGATGGGCGGTGGTGGTTGTCGATAGTCGTGTCAATCGTCTTGGCTATGGTTGCCCGACGGGAAGTACACGGCTGAAGGGAGATCTGGACCCAACAAGTGGTCTGTTGTGGATAGGAGTAACGAAGGGGTTTGAGCAATAAAGAGCGACGAGGCCTTTCAAGTTGAGGGACAAAAAAGGAGAGGAAACAAAAGCCGAGACTCGGATGGAGCTGCACGTGATGGAGCTCCAGATGATGACATAATGACGCGGCATTTCCCAGTATTTGTGGTTCGCAGTACATATTGCACTTGCCCGCTGAATACTCCGCGGCGCTGACATCCCTCGCTTCAAGTTCCAGACTCGCCGACGTTCAAAGTTGTCGTTAAGCGCCCGGCAGGCCTCCAAAGCCATTTCGTGCTCTCCACCCTCCCACGTCGCCTACAAATGATAAGCGAGACCATCCCAGCAATATAAAAATACTTCGCGCCAGGGGAGCGCTGACTGGTCAGCAGCTGCATTGCTAATTATAACGACCCGTGTCTGCTGTCAACCTCGAAGTATTGTCAGATACTTTTGCTAGCCAGGTAGGTAGGTGGTGGTGCTTCTGGACCACATTGCACATAAAGTCTTCGATTGTCTGTTCGTGCCGGCAAGGTCGAGAAAATGGTCTTGTCTGGTCTACGGGTCCCGATTGCTGGGCACAATGTCGCTGCTGTCAGGCCAAGGTCATTATTGCCGTGACTTGCTGCTGCTCTTGTGTCTAGCGTTCACGTTAGCAGATACTGTTTCTTCACAACTAGTGGGATGTGATGTCCTTGGATGTCAAACCGACAGCGGCTGCACGCTGGGCAACATCACCAGCTCGTACATCGGCACGACGTCTGTCAACTCAACCGTCTCCCCGAATGCTCCTCTAACATGGACGGTCGGAGCATCAACCCAGGGTAACTCGAGCAGCTCGGCGCAGGTCCACTTTATCAAAAACTTCTATCTTGGATACCCGCCGTCGTTAGATCTTGCCAATACTTCCGACTTCGCTGGATGTACACTCTTCTTCGAAGGCATCGCCAGAAGCATCGTTCTCAACGGCACAAGTGAATACGGCTCTGTCACCTGTGGTCAGACACTCGGAGACGGCTGTGTTAGCGATCTACAGGCGCAAGCACAACAGAAAACCCAAGAGCTGTATAATGCACGCAATGGAGATAGTTCATCCGTCTGTGCGGGTTTGCAGTCCGCTCTCCAAACACAACCACCGGCATCGTGCCAGTCCACAGCCACGGTGACTTGGGGCAACGTCGTTGCGAAAGGTTGGTAGTATTGGTCAAGAATAAGCTTGCTTTGACTGACCTCCCCCCAGAGATCACTGGCCCCAATGCGCCGCTCACACCCATCAAGCAGACGGCCTGCCATCCGTCGACTGGGGGAGCTGGCTATCAGGTTGCTTTGATTGAAACACAAAATGTGGCATCCGAGGAAGTGTCAAGTGACAATGTGCCCTTTTTCTTCAGCATGACACCAGTCATGACCATTTTCTACAAGAGCCCTGGAGCAGGCTTTAAACTTGAATCTCAGCCGGAAGCACATCTTTCTTGTCTTAAAGTCGTGGAAGATTCCACGGTTAGCCCGTCGGCACAGAACGCTGCGACTATGTTGTTACCACGTCTGTCTTTTCGAACAGCGCTATTCGTGCTCGGCTTGAGTGCTATAGCATTGGGCTGAGTACCTGCCTATACCTCGCCTTGACGCACAACATTTACTTTACGACGATCCGAAGTCTGTCCAAGGGAACAGCACTATATAAGGGGATATGACCAACGACCGTGTCATACAACGCCACCCTTGTTATGACTTCCATCTCCACCTCAAGACCCCAAAAGCCAGGGGCGTAAGCTGCCCACCTTGGCCACATCGGCCCCTGCTGCGCTGGCAACTCTATGCAGCATAAGGCCACCCAGTCTATTATGGCATGCGGATAACGAGGCAGACTGGGCCACTTCAAAGTTGGGACAACCAAAGTTCGGAGAGAAGACGCCGTTGGCCATCGTTTGTCCGCCCACATACAGGATATGCACTGGGTCGGCATGAGGCGCAGAGTGGGAGTATCATCTTGGTTCCACCAGCAATGTGTACATGGTCTTCACCGGAAATGGCTCGCGACACATATAACAATATAGAATCGTAACCGTTCAATCCTGCATTTGCCCGCTTGTTTTGACCGGCCGGACTTTTATCTCTGAATTGCTCATTACGAGAGTGCGCCCAATTACAGCCCTTCGTTACCCTCGGGTAGACCCTTGATACTTAGGTACAGTTGAGCGGAGGTAGGAGAAATCATGCAACCTCATGTCCTGGTGTCCATGACCCACCCGGGCGAGGGCAGCTTTCCATGGTAGAGGTGCTTCACCGTAAGCATCTGCATACTGGCTCTAGATGCTCCGTCGTATCCACACCTCCACTGGCATGATCATCAGCGCAGGAAACCACCATACAACTTGAAGGTCCTGTAGTCGTGCGCCAGCTTTTCCAGTAGTCTCTAGTACACCATCGACACAAGTCTCTGTCTGTCGTCCGCTCGGGCGTGACGCCGAGCGAGAACGGTCTTTCGCAATGTCGAGACCGGCTTCTGCGCTCTTCACGCGTCGCACGCTGCGAAGCCTCTGTCGGAATCCTGCCATTGATTTCTTCTATTCCAAATCCCCGCCCTCGAGGTCCTTCACTCATAAAGCGTCGCTACTACTCGTCGCCCGCCCGATCCCGCGACCTCAACTGCCCTTCTTACATCCCATCTCGCGAGCGCACAATGCACAAACGCAACTGGGACGATTCATCTCGACCGAACGAAAGCAACGGTGGAAAGAGCAACTATGGCGCCAACTACGATTCCACGCTTACCTGTGGCCGTCGGTTCTGCTAGCAGTAATACTGATGTTGGGGGTACAACACACGAAACTGGAGCGGGACTACCCGACACCGCGAGAATGGACGTTTTGGAGTCGCTGGATATTACGGGATGCGAAACACACCGAGTTCGGCGAGGGCGCCAAGGTTCAGCGTGTGCTGACGGATTGGGAAAAGGCCGGCTACTTGTACACGGAAGTGATCAAACGGCTCGAGAGCGAAAAGTACGACGGGCAGAACCTGCTTCTAAGCGAAGCAAGCGGCTCGTACGCGGACAGCCTGGGAATCGTGGGGTTCGACATCAGCGCCAAGAGTGAACAGTGGCGACGAGGGTATCATGAGGCTCTAATGGGCGCCGGCCGCGCCGCCGAGCATTTGGACGGTATGTGCAAGAGGAAAGGCCAGGTTCGAGGACGAGTGTATCCTCGCGAGAGTATTCCAGGCCCGGATAACCCGCGGCCCAAACCGCTTCCATGGGACAAGAACAAAGGACACGAAAATGTCCCCCACGCCGATGAAGTGGAAGATGCATTCCCACCACCGGAGACGTTCTATCTTAAGGTTTTGACCACCAACGGCTTCGACACTCGGCAACGACTCGAAGCTGCGATGGCGTATGCCGACTGGTGTGACTTCAAGGGACTGACTCAGACCGCCGAGGAGGCGTATCGATGGGCTCTCGATATCGCCCAATCAGGCGTACCCGGGGGCGTGTCGGATGTGGTAGATACCAGAACCGGCGTCATCAATAAGGACAAAGAAACCGCCGTGACCGAGAACATTCTCAAGGCGTGTACAGCTCTCGGCGTCCACTATGCTCAAACAGGGGACGTCAGACAAGCCCTCCCGGTGTTTCTTAGCGTGTTACGAGCCAGGAAAAGCTTGCCTCCCCCACCTTCCGGGCCGCTGAAGGAATTGACGGGATCGGGATCTGGATTTGGAAAGAGATCTCAACAGAAAGATGAACAAGAAGGACCCCACGGCATCTGGCCGTACCTGGATGCTCTCAAAGATCTGGTCATCGAGCGACCGTACCCTCCTCCGCCACCGAGCGGCAATGAACGGCCCTTCCACAGCCTAAAGGAGGCATGCGAAGAGGTCGGCCTGATGACGTACATTGGCGAGATCCTGTTTGCCACCAGCGAGGGCGAGCGCGAAAAGGGCCTCAGCTGGACCAGAGACAGCGTCGAGGCCGCCGAGGCCGTCATGTGGGTCATGGAGGAGCGCAAGGAAGAGGATGGCAAGGACCGCTGTCGCGAGTGTCTCGAGACGGGCCTTCAGAATTGGAAAACCATGGCTCGCCATATGAGCCGTCTTGCGGCCCAAAGGGAGCAGGAAATCGCAAACAGCTCCGGTCTGCTCGGATTGGGCATCGGCAAGGCGAAACAGTTGGAAAGAGCGCGCCAGGAAAAACAGCGCTGGCAGGAGGAAGATCTCCAAATTGAACTGCGAAAGGAGAAGACTATGCCTCTGAGACAGCCCTTGAAACCCTTGTCCGGAGGCTTGATGTCGACTTATCTGTGAGAAATTTTATTTGTCACATATGTGTATTAACTTTATATGTCACGATTGTATGAAGAGACTCAAAAGCCAAAAGGAAGTCAGCTAATTTAATTTTTTTTCTTGTTCAATTCAATCCAATCTCTATGGGATGTTTCCGAACTGTATATTACAGTGGGATATCGTATTGGGCTGGAATGGTGGTATGTGACCTATATTTTTCATCCTACTGGCAGCAAGCCGACTTGCCAAGTTACGTTGGGAAATGACAAGAGGATGCCTAAACAAGAAGCGTATCAAGAGCTGGCGGATCCAGAGCCGGTCCATTATTTGCCTCGTTGGAGGAATTCTCACAGTCGATCTAGATGATCGACAAGCCTTCCACCGCTCTGATAGTCTTAGACACTTCTAGCAGCTTCAGATACCCAGTACACAACACAGCCTGGACGACTCAGGAGCCTCTTTCGACTCTGAACCCATGGACCTCGGGTAGTCAGGGGTTCTGTGGCAATCTAGGAGCATTTGATTATGTTCCAACTCCCGGGATCATATTGTACAGCTGGGGCGCGTCCCTGCACATGGCGCAGAACCCGGGGTTTGTGCGCCATATCAACCCAAGTTGTCGGGGTTGAGTCATATCTTCTGGTCGTCAATGGGACGGTTCATCATTCGTCCTTTTCCGGCTCATCCCAACAGGACACGGCGTGAGCAATTGCGCGTATAGCCAACAGTGGGGCTATGGTGCGATGCATTGGTTGTTTTCTAGGCATAACAGGAATGCCCAGTTGAAGGATTCGACAGGACAAATGGTACTGTGCTGTCAAAGACTTGGGCTCGGATTGCGGGCACAACCCTTGGTGGGACACCGTTGATGTCAAGAAAGCACAACCCCTTAGACTGGTACGTCGTGGGGGCGATCGGTTCATCCATCGAAGCTGGGCAGGCAGGCAGGCATCTGAGTCATGGAGGGAACTCCGAGAAGCTCTCTTTCCTTCATGTCAGATCCATCTTGTCGTCCAGATATTCCTCGTCACTCTCGGCATCAAGGGCTTCTTTCTGCTTTTGCCATTTCTTCATGGCTGCTTCGCCATCCTTTCCCTTTTTCACGGCTTCAAAGTACGCTTCCCTCATTTTGGCATCGATGTTGTCTCTCTTGATCATCCGCTTCAATCTCTTCTCTTTTCGCTTTTCCTCCACTTTTCCAATGGCTGCAATCTGTTGCTTCAACTTGGCGACCTCTTCCTCCAGACTTTGGACCTTGAAATTTGATGCGGTGCTGTCACTCTCAGGTGCCGGTGCCCGAGCCGGAGCCGATGGCTGATTTGTGGGGATCCCAGTCTCAGAGACAAGCGCACGTAAAGCACCGTCAAGAAGAGCAGATGAAATCCCGTGGCTGGTAATGGCATGGTCGATGTCACCCATCGACGGCGCTGGCCTTTGTGTAGAAACCATCACATTAAGATTATACTTTGCCGGAACACAGCAAGTGCCGTTATCGGTCGACGAGGTCAGCTCTAGGTTTGGTTTGACAACATTGATGACTTTGTATCCTGCTGTCTCTTGGGTGGGGAAGCCAGTAGGCTTAAGCATTTCGATGTTGGTGACCGGTTGGCCAAGATTTGCAATTTCGTTCAAGACACGATGTTTCGCAACATCCCATTGGATAATGGCGCCATTAAAATGCCCTGATAGAAGCGAGGTGCCATCATAGGACAAGGTTAGGCAGTTTGCAGCACCGACATCCTTGGTTGGAGCGGCCCAGGCATCTCTGGCCGTCAGCTGCACTGGAGCGATGTCCTTCAGGTCAACTTTGGAGATGGCCTTTTTCTCAGCATGTGCATGCCGGAACATGTCCCACGAGAATATCTGCCCGTCTTTGCAGCCAAAGTAGATCACTCTGTCAGCAGGATCGAGTGTGACGCTCGTAAGTGGCGTCGGAAGGAGCAGAGTCCGAAGAATCTGACAAGTCTCCACGTGCCATAGGTAACATGTCCCATCCTCAGAGGCGGTCAACACAAAGTTCGTCGTACTTTCAGCGTGACCACAAGCGGCCGCAGTGATAGCCGTTCTATGGCCCGAGAAGGTTTGGACTGGTGCCTTGGACGTCTCCTCGGTACCAAAATCTCTCCCCTGTTGCGCGAACGAAAGCAATTGTGTCAAAGACCATACATAAACACTTGTGTCAGCTGAAGCAGAAATGATATATTCGTCATTGGGAGTGATGCATAGAGAAGACACCGGTTGCAGGTGGGCAGAAGTAGTGGTCGTAAGTCTTCCTGTGGCCACCTCCCACAGCATCAATTTCCCTTCCTCTGTTCCAAGAATCAAGGTTGCTGCTCGTCTAGCGAAAGCGAGACTGTGGACTCGTTCTGGAAAGGGGACAGTTGCTTCCTGAATGCCCCGATCTCGGCTGTAGACGTTGACCACGGCTTTGTCAGCTTGTGCTGCAAAGATGTGGGAGTCGCTGACAGCAACGCAACCGGGTTGACTGGAACTCTTCTTGTATCCATGTCGAAATGTGCTCTGCGGCTGGAACTCGTGGAGAAAGATGCCTACATCCTTCAAGGCCGCGCTCGTGTGAGCAGCAGCTTTATTTGCAGTCAATGTGGCTGCGATAAAGCTTTCCGTAAGCATGTTCGAAGTCACAGACACAACCGCTTCATGTTTGATTTTCAACCTTCCTGGGACAGCAGTTGACAACCAATGCTTCGCATGGTACGGTAGTTGTATGTAGACACAGCAGAAACTTTTTGACTGGATGTTGGAGAAGTGCCATCATAGAAGTCGTGTTAGTAAGCATCTACAACTGCGTCGGATCGTAGTACTCGACAGTCTGACAAAGCGACCCGCGCTTTAATCGTTCAGTGCTCCCTGATAATTGTAGTGGTCAGACAAACTAATAATTCCACGTCAGGGTCTGGAATGGTTGTCGAAAGTGCCGGTTCCACCACGTGATCAGCAGTTCTGTTGCCAAGAGCGCTAATTGCATCGGCCTTGGCGCGGCGCTCGCACACTGCGCCGCACGAAATCAGGACCGACAAGACAAGTCAGTCTTAAGATTTCTATAACCCCGACGACACAACAACTTCAACGCCCTCGCCCAACTTTGCGATCCCTTTTTCCCACATCGACTCTTTGCAGGAGATTACGGGAAAAGATGTCGACCTTCGAGCCAGTGGTACGTCCTGACCGGTTTAGCTTCGAGACTGCAGTTGCGCGGTGCAATTGAAGCATGTGTTTCGGGGGAACGAGAACGGGCTGACATGAAATTCTTGTTTCTTTCAGGTTGTCATTGATGGCAAGGGACACTTGCTCGGTCGTCTTGCCAGCACGGTCGCGAAGCAGCTCCTGAACGGCCAGAAGATCGTCGTTGTCCGATGCGAGGCGCTCAACATCTCGGGCGAGTTCTTCCGTGCTAAGCGTACGTTTATTCCCACCACGAAGAAAGGCGAAGGAGAATCCTGTATGGAAGGAGAAGACACAAACTAACAAACCGTTCGGCCATCTACAGTCAAGTACCATGCCTACCTCCGAAAGATCACCCGATTCAACCCAACCCGAGGCGGTCCCTTCCATTTCCGTGCGCCCGCGCGTATCTTCTACAAGACCGTCCGCGGCATGATCCCACACAAGACCGCCCGCGGCGCCGCTGCCCTGGAGAGACTGAAGGTCTTTGAGGGTGTTCCCCCGCCATACGACAAGAAGCAGCGCATGGTTGTGCCCCAGGCTCTGCGTGTCCTCAGATTAAAGCCCGGCCGGAAGTACTGCACAGTGGGCCGATTGGCTCACGAGGTTGGCTGGAAATACCAGGATGTTGTTGCAAGGTATGTCTTGGATGGATGGGACCCAATATCGGCGGTTCCGGATTTGCTGACTCGTGGTGGAACAGACTGGAGGAGCGGAGAAAGGTCAAGGGTGCTGCGTACTACGAGCGGAAGAAGGTTGCACGACGACAACTCGCCGAGGCCCAGAAGACTTCTGCCGACGCGAAGACCAAGGAGAAGTTGGCCGCTCTCGGCTACTAGACTCACCATACTCCTATCAACTTGTTACCCGTTCACCGTCGGTCTTCGTTCGCTGTTCGATTCTTTTCTCGACATGGGAGGATGTGGTATGCAGGTGGCGTACCACCGCACGGAGACACGAAGAATACCGGTAGTGGATGCAATGCGTGACAGTGGAAGGTCGGAACCGGATTGACTTTGTGGCGTCGGATCTATCCCGGCTGCCATACCCTGACGAAATGTCATCCGCCCGTAGGATTGCAGGGCCTGGTGAGCTATTTTTTGATGTTGACGTTTGCTGGCAGTCTGTCATCAAGGCGGCATGGCTGTTTGTCAACCTAGCATGGGGTTATGCACGAGGAGTGATCGTTCAGAAAAACAAAAATGCCATAGGACGGCCATTCTGCTTTTCAGCCTAGACTCTGCGTGGCTTTGAAAGTGCTTCAGCTACGGAAACCATGAGCAGGGAAACAAAATAAAATGATGAAAACTGCCAAGTGATGGTTGCTGGTGTTCATTGCTTTCTAGTTGTATTGCTAAACTAATCTATCTCCATCAGACATGGACCGATGCAACTCTAGGTCTGAAAATGTGCAAATCCGCGTGTTGTATAGCATATCCCTCGTTGGGCATCAGGTATCACATGCCAGCGCCCACCACTATGTTGCTCGGTCGAAAACAAAGTCATTGGCCAAGAAGGTAGTGCACTCAAGCGGTCGGTTTCTTCTCGAATCTGCTATCCATCGCCAGAGTGCTGTCCATGGCAGCGCAACGGCCACATACCGTGAGGCCGTGCATTGGATAGAGGTGGGCGGGCAAATGGCAGGACATACATTTTGGCGGTTCCGGAGTCTGGGCCGTTGATGATTGTGAACCCGGGGACGTCAACGTAGGGCTCTTGATTGGGATTGGTGGCGGAGGTGGTGGAGGAATTTGGCTATGTGGTGCACCAGCGGTCAGGAGTGCGTTTCGATTGTCTTTGTCAAGAGCCAGGAACTTCTCGTAATTCATGGTTGTCTCCACACCGCGAATGTTGGTAGTGATCTGCCCCTCGAAAATCCTCATCCGCCCATCATCCATGCTACAGTTCGGTGGGAGGTTGTACGTCCATTGACCGTGGGCGAGACTGGTCTGAGGGATCCAGGGGGTGACTTGTTGCACAGATTTGTATGATGCATTATATGGAGGTGGCGGCTGACCCATTCCGGAATGGTATTGTTGGACGTTGCCAAAATGCAGAACACCGGGTTGCTCTTGCACAGTGCCAGGGGGTGGCGGCGGTTCTGGTGGACGAGACGATGTTAGTGCTGCACTCTGGGAGTTCGTTTTGAAGCGAAGTCTTCTCGAGGCGCTCGAGCGGCCGGACAACGTACCAACGTCTGACTTCCCATTGTCGGATACAGCACTTGATGAAATATGTGACTTCGCTGAAGACATCGTTGAGAAATTCTGGTTAAAGGTATTCCGTAAATTGGACCGGGTCAGTCGAGAAGTAAACTCAAGACACGGGATATCCAGCCACACTTTATACCGTCGATTGCTCGTCAAACAACCTTGACTGGTGACTCAACTCATGTCACGGGGAATATCATATCTTGAAACCTCGAGTGAAGATGAAACGGGTTCTCGCCAGCCATAAGTGAGGCCATCAAGGCAGTGGCAGCCAGAGTGAACGAGCTTGTATCATTTTGACTTCTTGACTTCGCCATCCGATTGGCCTTCAACATAAGGATGCTTGATTGTCAAGCACCAGATGTCCAAGTAGTCACAGATGGTTGTGATCACGTCGTGCACGAAACTTCCATAAACCCCAAAGGCAAGTCCCAATGCCATGAACATGAATGCCACCTGGTAGATGTCATCGCCAAGAGCACTCGGCCACAGACCCAGGCGTGGACCCAAGCTGTCAAGCACAGCCCAAGCTAATGGGACCACCAAAACGTTTTGGTAGGGGAATTTGTCCTTGACCAGATGTGCCACAATCATTTGCCCAACGGAGTAGGCGTTGACGAGACCCGCGAACACGATGAAGGGAACAAGGTGGTAGTGAAGAATCACTGGGTTCTCCCACAGATACGCAGGGATAAGGATCCAGGTAACGGTAATGGGGAGCAGTCCAAGGAGCGGCTTGAAAGGGTCCTCGCCTCTTTCACGCCGAGCCCTTATGACATTTAGGATACTGCTGGTAGTGTTGAAGACTAGAACCAGCCCGCCCCAAACCATATACCACTCGTTCCAAGCTAGCTGGTACAGTGACTCTGGAAGGAAGTCACTTTTTGGCAAGTCCAAGCTGGGAAGCATGGGTTGTTGCCAGTAACTGGCCCCTCCCTTCAGGAAGGTGAGCAAGTACACCCCGACCAGGATCAAAACACCCTCGACGGGACCATTGACGATACCCAACGTCAAGGTATGAGTATGGTATTCTTCCCATGTCTGAATGTAGAATGTGAGTATCGTACCGAAAAGTGTAAGGACTGTTTTCCAGGATTGGCCGAGGTTGGTGGCAGCAGCAAAGATAATGACTTCCAGGCTAGTGTTGCAGGCATCGACTCCTAACCCTTGTGTTAGCGATTCTCGCGGACATTGAAGAATGCGGACTGACCATGGTCGAAGAGTTCACCCAGAGGACCACTTTGATGTGTCCTCCTGGCCTGCGTTCCATCCACTGCGTCAAAAGTCTGGTATAGGAAGAGACCGATCGCCCACGACAGGTACACCCATGGAGGGCAATCCGTATCAAGAGCAGGATTGTACCACAACAGTGTGAGAAAGTTGACCACAACGAAACTAAACCCGGTCAGGGTGATCTATGCACCAGTCAGTATTGGGTAGGAGGGACACGGGACGCGTTGCGTACAAGATTCGGCCTGGCTTAAGTTAGAGCTGGACTCGAGTTTGCTGGAACGGAGAACTTACGCCATTGACATGGGGAAAAATTTGATGACCACATTGGTGTAGAACGGCTTCAGTATGTATTTCGACGTGAGGGACTTGTCCACGCCCGAGTATTTGTACTCGTGGAGTTTGGGCAGGTTGCGCTGGCGAATGTAGACCATCCTGTAAGACCCTTGGACTGGGAGAGACGCGTTGAGAACGACAGAAGGAGGAGATCCTCCGCAAAGGGCTGAAGCAAAGGCTGTTGTCAGGTAGAAACAGGTGTGGAACAGGCGACGTTGAGCAGAGGAAAGCGTGAGGAAGTTGGCGGATTGGGACAGAAAGGGTGTGTTTCCTTTTTCCCTGTTCCTTGATCCGCATTATTTTTGGCTTTCAAGTTCCGGCGCAGTCCAACGTCATATTCATGCGATGCTAGCATTATGTAAACCGTGTCCACCACTCACAGACTCGCTACTGTACCTGCCATTCATACGCCTGGACACAGTCACGTGCAGCACGTGATCTGCAACTGACCTCAAGCTACCTACCTAGGTACCTAGTTTCAACGTCGCACTTTCCTTGAGAAGTGGTGAACAAAGTCCTCTCAGGTCTCCAGACGATCTCTTTCTTGAGTGCTCAATGGGAAAAGTTGGCACTGACAGCATGTAGCGGCTCATCCACATTGTGGGTATTCAACCTGATGTTTGATGCTAGAGCGGGAGCACATTCTTCCAGATAGGAGTTCAGCCTCGTCTACCGGTAAGCATGGCGTGAGTGCAACAGGATGAGTATCTGAGCTTATGCGGTGCTGTGATGGAGGAACATGATCAGCTCCATAAAAGCCTAACAATACAGGCATTAGTGATACTCACATTCATAGCTGAACTCATCTCAAGGCAATATTCTCCTCAATGCGAAACGAGAGGCTTCACAGGTAGGTGCCGGAAGTGGGCGCTTCTAGATTGATCACACTCACTTGCGGAATTTATAGAGTGATTGCTCTTTACTCCTGTAGTGATGCTACATTTGTGTGTTTAATGTGTCTGGACAATGGGTATGTTACCGTTTGCTATTGTGTCTCTATTGACTACCTTAGCTTTATTCACTTTTAGTCCACTTCTTTTTTAGGCTATCACCCTCTATATGATCTTTCTCCGCAGATCACTTGTTCATGACTGAACAGCTATATATAAATCCTGTTATCCCTCGGCTGCATGTCGCAAACTTCTAAACTTTCTCTCTCCTAACAGGACTCTCAGTGTCGCCTACTTCCTTGCGCTATCTCTTAAATACACCCTCGCAGCTTCAAAGGCCTTGTGGCCAGCATTCTGCAGCTACCGCGGGAAGTCTCAAATTCTTTACCGCGGATCCTGAGCAAGATGTCGAACTCGCCCCCCAAGCCGTTTGACCCAGCCTTGATGACTAGCGACGAGCTCAAATTTCTGATTAGGAACAGCCGGGTTCAAAATATCACCATGGACGTGCAGGAGCTCAGACGGCGAGTGTACCTACGCCATCCCTCAGTATGGAAGGTCGCCAAATCCCCAAGAGCAAGCTTGGGTGACTGGGACAAACTTCCACCTGAATTGCAGATCGAGATTTTCGCCGTGACCTCGTTTTGTGACCTGATCCATCTCAGGGCGACAAATTCGCAGCTAAAATCCCAGCTGGAACACTGGGAACCGTTTAGATGTCCCATGGAATATGGCAGAGACCTGGTCCGAGCCCTGATCGCGAGCAAAGCCGGCTTCTACTGGACGGCAGAGGAGGTTATGCATGTGCTTTTTACTTCAAGGTGCGAGATCTGTGGTACCCATGGAGAACTCATTCAACTTTTGCGGCGCAAGCGATGTTGTCTTCGGTGCCTCTCACAGGAACGGGAACTCTTGGCCGTCAACTACGAATATGTCACACAAGTCATGCACCTTACCGCTGCCGACCTGGAGCCAGTGCCTGCCCTACAAAGCATCCCACAAAAAAGCTTCTGGGGCCTCCCGGGTAGCTGGGGCCTCGCATTTGACTACCAAAGCGCCCTTGAAGTCGCTCGCGAACGTGGACACAGCCTGGCTATGAACAGTACTACCACAACACCAACACGGCATCCTGAGCAACACTTGATGGGAGCATTCGGGTCTGGTGCGCTGTTACAACCTTTACCCTTTCCCGGAGAGCGCCTTTCTGAAGAATTGCGAAGCATCCAGCCGCGATACAAGAGATCACTCCAAACGCGACGCGGCCAACCTATGCTGTCGGTGCCGCAATATGAGATTTCACCACCGGAGACAAGCTATGCCCAGCACGCTTGTGCGGTTCGCATGGCCGGCCTGGGCTTCAAGAATACGCGCCTTCGAGACGGAACCGAGAAGTCCGTCTCGAGCGCCAACATGGTATACGTTTCAGGGGTACATTGTGCGGGATGTGCGGCTTACTGGAATTTCCATTCACCGATGCCATGGCAATATCACCGATTATATGCGCATGACAAATCAAGTAGGAGGGACTCGGAGTTCAAGCAACACCTACGGGGATGCGTGTACGCCAGACTACAATGGACGTTGCTGCACAGCAACTGGGGCTCGGTTCACGAGGAAACCGTTGCGTTTATCCTCAGTGGTGGCCGCGTACACTTCTCACGTCAAGCCACTGGAGATTCCCACATGTATGACAACCATGTATTCGAGCAGCTATCGTGGCGCGTCTGCTTCTTCATGGAGCAGCATGAGGATGACTCTGATGCCTTTCAGCTGCCGTATAAGTGGCCTATCGTAGATGAGCCAGATGAGATCAGCAAACCCGTTGCCGTCGCTGGTGCTGGTGGTGGTGCTTTCGGCGGATCGAATATCCCAGAGATTGACTATTACTGGGATAGCCTCGTCAGTCAGGAAGCAATTAGCCAGAGCAATTGGGCTTGTGCAAACATGGGAAACGGCGGCCTTTGTCTCTTTAGGGGGCCATACACGTTACTGGCAGAGCGTCGGGAGCTATATCTGGAGCATAACTTTCCCGACGGAGCCTACACGCACGATCAGAGAGCCACTGAATGGGGGTTCGACAGATTCTGAAAGGAGGGGATGAACCTCAACCTACCCGAAAAAGAGAGGCAGACAGCTATTGGAGGCGAGCAGCTATTGGCCATGGTCCACGCCGTCCATCCGATTTGAAGTCAGTTATAGGGGGATTTGGTTGTGTCGGTCTAAGTTGGCAATATGGATCGTCCAGCAGAAACGAGTTTCTATGATACCAATTCTAAGAGGGCATCTCGGACAAGTTTAACGGTCAGTTTTTTGCCGAACAAAGTCTTTAGCTTAATGGACAGAATAATTATTTCAATTGAGCACTCTTCTGTATCGAGCTGTTCTTTTTGCGAGTGTGCGCAGCCATGGCTCTCCTCGTTTCCTGCAACTACAGTACTACCCACGAATACCTTTGCCTGGCCCAGCAAATGCACGCTATTTAGGCTGCTCAGTTGAAGAATGGCACCCCGATAAGAACAAGGGAGTTCAAGGAGTGGCAGGCTGATAGCATTCACACAAAATATCCATCAACTAGAAACCGTGGCGCTGGCCTGGCTGACTTCGCACATAAATCCATCCATCGCCGTAGACCTTCGAGGTAGAGAACATCCCGGATGCCTCTGTTTCAAGAAACCAGGAAATGACTCGCGGTCTTCATTCACCATTAGTGGCATGGGTACAGGGCCAAACCCAAAATCACTGAAACTTGTGTAAGTAGTGTACAGAGGAACCATGGGTATAGTTCATCAGAAGTCCAGGCTGTGCCTGTGAAATAGAGGGCACTTTGGCTGGATTACAGTCTGCCCGCGAGATACTTTTTGTGGCATTGGAATCATGCCGCCGCTGCCTGGCAATAGTCACAGCGTACTGAAAGTCTGAGGGAGTGCCGCGTTTGACGGTTTGATGTTCGAGATGACTGGTCAAGAGTTTGGCCCTCTCCTTATCCGGGCGCGAGAACTGGGTGGAAGGGATTCTCCACAATGCTCTGGTACTGAGGGCAACGTCCAGACAGAAACAGCGATGACAATTTCGTTCGAGAAGAGCGAGTACGCTTGGCCATGTGAGTTCTGGTGCTTCAGTGCCTAGTCTCTCTTAGAATAAATGGCTTCTGCTTTGGGGCAATGCTGCCAACTTGAACACCAACAAAAGCAGTTCAGGGTCCCAGAGTCTGGCTTCTTCTTCTTATTCTTCGATTCGATTCAGTATTGAGGAAGATAGGAACAAAAAAAATTCTTTTTTTTTTCTTCTCCTGATCCATAGAACTCCCAAACACCAGACGGGTATCGTGACGCATGAAGGTAAAGGGGTTAGAAACCTCCGAACCATGAGTTGAAATTCAAAGTGCACGACATACACGCACTCAATCCAGGTCCATTTCCTCCTCGGTGCCGCCACCGACGAGCATCTTCCTCTTCCTCTTCTGTCGGACCCGTTCCTCTCCCACGACTCTCGAAATGTCCATTTCCACCTCCAACTTGACTTGTTCGGCCATAGGATCCGTCTCGGCTCTCGCGGCCTCGAGGTCGGCGAGTTCCTTGCGGATGAGGTGTTCGCCTTGTGCAATGGCCTTGAGATCCTGTCTCTTCCTGGCCTCGCGCGCGGCCTTGCCACTGAGTCTCCTCCTCGTGTAAACACGCTCGCGTCTCGCTCTGATCTCTTCGATTCTCTCCATCGCCTTCATCGTTGCAGCCACCAGGTTCCGGTCGTATTTCACGGGCACATTGCGTCGTTTGGCGAACTGTGACAGGAGGAGGTTCTGGTCGACAATCATCTCCTTGCCGCGCAGGGCACGCGATGTCTTGGTCCACTTCAATTTACGGGGTTGTCGCTTCATCTTGAAGTTCTTGTGGCATTTGGAGCGGCAGAACCGAAAAACTTTGGCGTCGTTGCGCACAAACGTTATACCCTTGGATGGGTACACCGGCCGGGAACAGAGATGGCATGTTTCAATTCTGCACAGGAAGAATATTTCTTGTTAGTCCTGATTTGTCTCATTCACAACATGACACCGCCACATAGAGGTTCACAGATTGGAAATGCCTGGGACGAACTAACCTCATGGTGGCGGTTTTGCTCTAACGAGTGGTGACACTGCAAACGTAGAGAGCGAAAGGAAATGGTGTAGATCAGAGGCTCTGGCTGCGACAGGACAGTCGAAGACGGTGAGTGAGGCGACACAGAACGGGACAATTCTTTCGTAGAAATTGTGTTGAAAGGACGTCGCGGCGTTTCCTTTCCTTTCGGATCCTGAACCAAACGCCTCTGCAGACTCTTTTCAAACCCCGGGAACCGTTGTGTGGGCTGTTAAGGTACCTCGCCAGCCTGACGACCAAAGTGCAGTCGTGCCGCCCGCCTCCAAACTTGAAGTTTCTCGTTCTCGAAAATTCTTGCCAAGATTTTCCGCCTAACACCGGAACCTCCCGAAGCGGCAACAGACCCGACCGACACTGGAACTGCACTTCAAGGTTCCATCTCCAGTTTCTGCGATTCGATCCCTGCAACGACTGAACACCAAACTCATTGAAACCTACAACTGCTTGTACTTGAACTGCCCAGCCAGTTGAAGATCGAAAAACTTGACTTCCTACAGCTAACAGGCAATTCAATCGCAAAGTCGCATCGCTACACTCCTTGAGCACCAACATCCGTCACTTTAATACTCCGGCACCCAGTCAGAATTTCAAACTTGCCACAAGAAAGCCTACGAGGCATACACCCAACTTCACCAGATTGTCATAGTTTATCGCGCCATATCCAGCTCCCAAACTAATATCTTCACTTCCATGGCGTCGACAGTCGCAGCTGGTGTCGGCATCGCCGCAGCTGCTTTCCTTGTAAGTTATCCTTGCTCGTCTTGCTTCATTTCGTCTTGCGAAGGCGGCCACCCCCCCACTGCATGTTCAAAGCTCCAAGTGGTGCGCGAACAACATCAAACTAACGTTCCTGTCTAGGGCCGTGCTGGACTTGTCGCCTTCCGAAGATGGCGCAACCCGAATGGACTTAATGCGCTCGGCCGGCCCTTCTACAAAGGCGGCTTTGAGCCGAAGATGAACAAGCGCGAGGCCGCGTTGATTCTGGACCTGAGCGAGCGGACACTCACCAAAGAAAAGATCCGAAAAAACCACCGATTACTCATGCTTGCGAACCACCCCGATCGAGGCGGAAGTCCTTATCTTGCCAGTAAGGTCAATGAAGCAAAGGAGTTTCTGGAGCGAAATGGCTGAGAAACGAGGATCGAAGAATCCTCACTATAAAAATCTAGAATATGGAGGCAGGAAATATGTTGCAAGGTCATCAGATGAGCTCGATATAATGACGCTGGCCGGGCCCGGCTTGCCTCTGCTAAACTCTACTGTCGTGGCGAGCCTTTAAGGACGGCTTCTGGTCACGGTCGGCTTGGGGCAGATCAGGGATCGAATTGGTGTTTTCTGCTGGGGCAATCAGCGTAGGCGTTTAGATGGGCTGGATTTCGATGGTATCTCCTGAGCCGGTGGTGAGGCTAGGGTATCTGCTTATTTTGGGGATTGTCCCCTCTGGCTATTGGACCCAGGGTCGTTGGCTGTATGTTTGTTTTGATGGGTCGGTCAGTGTACAGAAGATATCTCCACTCGAGAAAGATAGTGGGCACGAACGAACTTGAACTTGTACAATCAGAAAGGAAGAGGAAGAGCCGAAGGCAATGTATGAACACACAAGTTGTTGTAGTCTATACTCCTCCTTGTTTGTTGGTTATTTATAGCCTCGACAACACCATGCAATAGTGGCAACCTATGAAAACTCCTAGTCTGCCTCATACAAGTCCATGCATTCCAGTCATTCCGAATAAAGCAGCTGTACAACATTCTAGTCACCGATCTCACACAGGCATACGAGCACGAATTCGCTCGTTTCCCTCATCTCCTACCATTTACCTATCTTGCTCGGCAATTCAGATGACGACGTACTGGGTGGTGGCTGACGATATGATCCAAACCAGCAGCCCTCTTAGCTATATATTTCCCAAGCCACTTCTTCCTTATTTCTCAATATCAACGTTTATCCAACCTCTCACAGCGCTCAAAAAACTCTTCGAGGAACTTGTTAAAAGTATGTTCCTCCTCCCAGAGCAAAACATGACCCTTCCCCTCCCAAATACGAACAGTAACACCAGGGCCCAACTCATTTCTAAGCAGATTCGCATGATGGAACGTGATCATCCGATCCTCTGTTCCGTGCAAGAGAGCAATACGGTCTCTTCCCACTCGATCGGCGAGTTCCTTTATCTGTTCGGCGGATTTATGATGCCACCCAGCCGCAATGGCCTGAAGCACGAACCCCTTCTTCGTAAACCCTTCCTTATCCATCCGTTTGGACAATTCATTAGCACAGAACCGGTCCCGCATCGAGGGATACTGAAGACCCGACTCGGGCGTCTGTTCGGTATCCGGACCCTCGAGGAACTCGTTGGAAAATAACCGGTGCGACACCTCTTCGAGTTGCACGTCAATGTCGCGCGGGATGAACATGTTCATTCGTTCCCGGAGGTTTTGAATAAATGGAATGGTGCGCACCAGCCGCGGCGCCGTCGACACCAGACTCAGCGATGCGATTGATTCGGGAATCAGAAGGCCGAGTTCTTGCGCGATCATGCCGCCCATACTAACGCCGACAACGTGGAGGGTGCGATGATATGATGAAGACGGCGTCGACGGAGATGGAGATGTGGATTTGTTGGTTGTTGATGGTAACCACCCAATATGCACAAGAAGATCAATCGTGTCTTTGGCCATTTCCGACGTCGTATACCGACATAGTGGCTTGTCGCTGAGTCCCATGCCTCGGTTGTCAAAGACGAGACACGAGTATCGCTGCGCCCGGTCGTGTCCAAAGTATTTTGTCTGTCGTTTCCATGCTGTTCGGTAGGCTCCTAGACCCATGATCCACTAGAGACCAAGATAATAGATAAGTAAATTGTCTTAGCTGAACTCAATGAAGGACAAGCAAAAATGGCATTGATTCGGAAGAAAATATCAATACCGCCAGCGTCTCGACTGATCTCTCCCTCCATGACTTTGTATCAGAGGATCCATCAGGGAAGGTCTCGAGTGGGAACGACAACCCCTGGAGATGGGGAGACGAGACCAAGCATCTTCGGCAAAATTCTGAAGCAAGCGAGGACGCAAGGAAGCGAGACATCCATCGGCTTCTCCGCTTGAACCCAAACCACGGCGGCTGTCCCTTCTCCAACTCTCCTCTTTCATAGGGGTTCAAGATCAAAAATCCCGAAGCCAGGGGGAAGGCCCCGTTGAGTATAAGAGCATATAACGAACGAACAGACAGACAAACAGCAGCAAACGGTTTACATACCACCAATTTGACAGGTCCAGTCCCGTGGACCTCATAGTATAGCTTAAACGGGCCTCCTGGCCGCCCTTTGGCGACTTCGCAGTTCCCTTGCTTTGTTGGTGGTAGGTCCCATTCTACCGTTTTGAATCCCGGGTGGGCGATTATTTGCTTTGCCGTGAGCGGCATGCCTGCCAGAGTAGGGCGTGAGACGGGCAAGTAATAGACGGGGAATTACTGCTTGCAGCGGAGGCGCTGTACAGGTATATCGAGCTGTCTCAGGCAGATGTTCAGATAGGTCCCCACAGCGTATACTTGGGTGGCTAGATTAAAGCATGTACTTGGACACTGTTGTATGCCCTTCAAGTTGCACAAGACACTGACATCCAAGTTGGAGGAGCCGTAATGGTAGTATTACGCAGTTACAATGTAGTTGGCATAGCACACTATACCTTCAAAGGTAGGTTTCTTCTCATCACTAAACGCCTTTGAGTAATGGTGCGTCCAAATAATCTCTATTGAAAGGCCGGCTATCCGATGTTCCTTGACCGAATCTCCGCCAGGCTGCTATACCATGCCAGGGTACAGGCTGACCAAGGTACCTAAGTCAATCATCATTCAAGTTGCAATGTGTCAGGAGATGCTGCATCTACAGTACTCACCTCAGTTATGTAGGTGCCGGGTAGCTAAGGTAGCTAACCTAAGAGGCACCATCAGGTACATTGTCTCAGGCATACAGGTATCTACATCGATACCTACCTAAGAAACTAAGGATATACAACGCAAGGCGATCGATTTAAGCAAGGAATATTGTACAGAAAAGAAAGGGATACAGACATACACTGGGATACTAGTATTCCTCCGCAGTATACAAACTTATCCTTCCCATTTCAAGATGTGGCATCAGTGTAGATGGACATATCAAACGCGAATGGCAGCTTACCTACCAGTAGGTTAGATAAAACATTACAGCCTTGCAGTGCGCGAGTGTGCATACTTACCTACTAGGTACTGTACATGCCCATCACGAGAGACCACGGTTCGCGGGTGTAGTAGCATTGACCAGACATACTGTACCTGGTAGGATGGGATGGCGATCATCACCATTATTGCAAGTCAACATCGGAAGCACGGTCTTCATCTCCTGTCCAAGGTAGGTTTAATCCCACCCCAGCCTGACATATGCATGGACAGTAATTACCACCACCACGCTTCGGAACAATCATCCCCTGATCGGCGCGCCGCAAGTGAAGCGGAAGCGGAGCTCGCGGAGACAGGCTAACTTAGCATCATCGTCAATCCCTCAACTAGTACACAGGACATTCCTGTCGATCGGAATGGCGGGGGAGTTTAAGACGATCACAAAACATTCGGCGGCGCGGGGATGCCAGCGATAAGAAACACAAAACAAAGTTCAAAGCGTTGAAATGTTGGCGCATGAATAGAATGGCCAACTTCGCAAGCGGTTTAGCTGGCGGTCGATCCATGATGAAGAACCAGTATAAATTCCTTACAGTGGGCGCTGCCTTATGGCCGGGTGAAACCAGATGGACCCGTCAGTCATGAATTGTCCGTCCCATCATTCAGAACTAGAACACTTAAGATAATGTGAAGTGCATCTTGCTCGCTCAACGCAAGATCCGGACATGCCCACTCGCTTTAACCTCGTCGACTTCAAAATGCAAATGAGTCAACTCCTCGGTGCTTTCAGGCTCTGTCCGCGGAGCACGGAAACTTGTATAGGTTTGTTTTCTTTTTTGCTTCCCTGTGATTTCCAATGGAATATTGTGGCCATGTTCGCCTGGTGCTAATGACCTTTCTGAGGGGTAGATAGACACCCTGCTCGTACGTGCCAGCTGCGACGACGCTGGACGACCTGTTGAGCCATCGGCGGTGCTAAGCGTTGGCCTGCCGCTGCGGCTGGCTGGAGTGGCCAATCAACACAGGCTTCTGTTTTCTGTTTTCCTTGTGATCCAGGGGTAGATACAATAAAAGTGCAACGCCGCCCCAAAAGTGTTGCCAAACGAGTGTAGGAAGCCATGTCTCCATAAGGGACTGGACCGTCAAACCCGAAGACCGGTCCACTTGTTTCGGTAGGTGTAACCCTATTCTTCCATGCGGAACATCTCTTCATCATCCATCTGCATTTCCTTGGTATCGTCGCTCTCGCGGTAGTTTCGTTCGTCCGAGAGGTTTTGGGTCAAGGTAGGAGGCTGCATCTGCAATACCGGATTATACACGGTGGTCAACGTACTCTGAGAGGACCTGCTATTAAAGGACTGGTACTGTTGTGGCAGGGGTGGAACAGGAGGCACGTCGATGCCCAGAAAAGTGGGTTTGGTGCGAGGGGTGCCACTGTTGAAAGTGAGGCCAGCTGCCGCAGCTGCCAGCGTGCCATCATCCGTGCCAGATGTGCTGGGGCGGAAGTCCACGCCAGAAAGCCTATGGGGCGGTAATCCTGGTGACATGACGCTCTCAGCATATGAACTGGACGGAATGGATCGGTAGGAACGGGAAAAGCCATTGTTGCTACTGATGCTGAATCGCTTCGAATCCGGGACGGGATAGGCGGCTTCGCTCATGGGAGGCGGCGTGGTTTCGACCGAGCTAAGCTCATCTTGCAACTCGGACGAGGAGAACCCTGGAGATGCAGATGAACCTTCACTGGCATCGTTGCCGGATGCTTCGGTCTCGGATTGACCCGTGGCCATGTTCTCCGCAGTCATGTTACACAGAACGGATGCGGCTTCCAGAAGCTGCACCTGCTGATGTTTGGAAATGAGCAGTTTGGAGGTGATGGCCCAAGCCGGGTCATGCTCCCACCTAAAAAGCATCAGTACAAGAATGTAGCGATTTATCCTGACTGGATCAGGACATACAAATGCTTGGTGAGGCAGCTACTATGCTTGTAACCTTTCCCGCAAGTGTCACACCGCAGTTCCGAGCCCGACTTTTTACCTTCGCCCTTGCTGAGGTATGAGCCCTCGCTTGCCCGTCTGTTCCGATTTTTGTTGCCCAGTCTCTTGGATGAGGGGAGATCGTCGTCGTTGGAGTTATCTTCGAGGGCATCGTTGTCCTGCCCGGAGGCAGCACTTGGGGGCCCATTGAAGTAGGAGTGCATGCTTGGCCGGGAACTCATTGATTGTGATTCTGTAAGCTTTCTCGCACCCATACTTCGCCGACGCCCTTGTAGAGACATGACCGACGCGCTGCCTTGTTCCCTAAGAGCGGCCACGATGGCAGCCTGGGCGGTCGAGGACGACGCGGCGGCGTTGACGCTTTTACGACGATTGACCCGATGGCTTGGGTTGGAGGGCGCCAAGGAGATTGAATGGGAATGCTGTCTCGAAGACGATGCAGGAGGTCTCGAAAAGCTGCCCGACATGGGACGGGAACTGGGTTGTTCCTTTGTTTAGAAATACGAGTCAGCACGGGCTTCGAAGTCGGGAATGGATCGGAGCCTGGACCTGACTCACCTTCGACGACGCCATGGTGGAAGATTTGTACAGATATTCAGACGACTCTCGAGTTCAAAACTGGCGGCAGCCTTGAGACTTGAGAGCCGTCAGGAGATGAATGGCGGCAATGGGGGAGGGTGTGGTGTGGAGGAGTCCCAGGCTTCCGAGCGAGTGTGATTGAAGTAGGCGAGTCGCGCAGAGACAACCCGGTACAACCGCTTGATTGAGAGCCGACGTAGACGGTCGATCCAAACAATCTGCTGCGGCCGAGAAGGATTGATGACACCGTCTGATCTGGAAACACGTTGTAGCAGGTGTAGCACGATCAGACAGTAGTAGCGATGGGCAAGGAAGAAGGAAGTTGGGGGGATTGTGCGCGGTTGTTAGTTGTGGGAGTTGCACTGTGGGCGTGTGGAATGGCGGAATTGAGTGGGTTTGGTGTGTGAGTTGTATGGAGTGTCGACGCCGTTGAGAAGCGCAAGTCGCTGGCTGCAGTGCCCGGGCGCTGTGGAGATGCCAGTCACGCTGCCGCCGCTGATGGCGAACTGGAAGAGGAGACAGGCGAGACAGAGCAAGACAGACAGCTGCTGGGTTCGAGTCTGGCAGCAGCCGCGACAGCTCTAATGTGCACGATTGTACTAGTCCTAGGCGACCCTTAACTGCCCACCTGCCTTATAAGTTATTAGACAGGTAGGCACCGTCCAAGCCTGCTGAGGGTCTTGTTTAAGCATCTGCTGATCGTTCCCGGTGGCAGTCCCCGGCACTGAGTCGCGGCCATCGGGGCGGCATTCAAGTTCTGGTTTCTAATTATTCCTTCCTGCCTGGATAGTACTATTAATTAACATATTGTACAGTACTAACAACTGCGCATGTTCAAGCTTTGGTGGTTCTACATTCTTACTACCACCACCCTTCCTCTGGCTATCTGTCCCTCCCATGTTCACCTTCGAAGCTCACCCCTACCTGCAGTAGTATTAGGTACAGGAGGCTTCATGTTGACTGGTGCGTTGCTTCTGGTGGCTGCGGGGTTGCCCGTGCCTGGCCTAAGGGTCAGTGACAAAAAGATTGGCGGGTTATCTCGTAGTGGTTACCTCTCTTCACACCCAACTGTCTCAGCTTCTAAGAGGATTCAGAGTCTCTAAGCTGGCATAGTTATTCTTAAAGGTCTATATAGTACTCTTATTGAATTTGGAAGATATTAGACTCCTATAACTTGAGTTTTGGTGGTTTTTGCAAGAGGTGTTTTTAGAGAATAACCCGCCAATCTTTTTGTCACTGACCCTTAGCCCCTACGATCGGCTAAGAAATTGGAGGAAATTAATTTTTTTGGGACTGGACTCGATATGCTCGCAGCTCTAGGCCGATTGCAGTGACTGGCAGCGGTCTCGACGGGACAGGCGGCTGTGAAGGTCAACTTGTCCTCATACACGCGCATTTCTCCAAGCCACGAATCGATGCATGAACCAGAGATGCAATAGGCCGAAACAAGCATGAGAAATGGTCAGGGTCATGGAGAAAAAAGCGAACTTGAACGCCAGAAAGAATAACGCCATACTACAACTAGTCGTAAACATGCTTGGGCCAATTCTGGTCATGAGCCAAGTGCCATGGAGCGGGATGGTTCGTGGTGGGATCGATCACGGTCCAGGGCCAGGGTGGCTGAAGTGTGTTTGAGCATGGACTACGACTAACCACTACTACCACACTCAGACATGGTCATGGGTCAGGCGGACCAGGCCAAACATGTCCCAGTCAGCGCCGCCCCCGAAGTACCCCATCTGCCATCAATCAGGACGCCAGGCCAGTCCATGGCTGTACCTGACTAAAGCCCACTACTGGCTCGATGCGCCGAGCGATTCACTCCCATGTGTACCTGGAACTCCGCAAACCACAGTCACCACCTCAGCTCAAGAGGCCAAATGCTGGGATCATGAACTGTACCAACCGGAGCTGAGACAGTCATGAGCGAACGGGCCTCATATGGGAGTGTGAGAACAGGCGTGCATCCCTGGTACCTGGTCGCTGGGCGCGATTCACTCGGTCCAGTCGCAACCCGCAGATCGATCATCTCCAGCTCCGAATGGTACCAAATCCAGAGGGGTCGCTGCTACTACTGACTCTCCAGGTAAAGATGTGCGCTTTGGCAAGTCGGGCATAAGTCCGCAAATCAAACAAGGCACGCCGTCAGCCACAGCGATCTAGACGTGGAATGGTATAGCTTGCGTCCAACAAGTACCCTGGTTGATTGGTTAGGTAGGAGGAGTGTAGGAGCCTCCTACTACGGCCGCCCATGCCTTATCTGTCGCTGCGGCATCACGACCCTCCTCAGTCGCATGTGGAGCAACGCGGCATTGAGACCGTCGAACCAACATCGGCGCCAGACGGTTCGTCGGAGGAGGCTGCTGCACAGCCAACGCTACCAAACTGCTTTCTGAAAGTTCCCCATACGAAGATATGCAGCACGTACGTAGTCGAACTGACTACTAGGAACCTCTGACCTGCTAGGTCGTCTGATGATTGCGCGAGACAACCAGATCACGCGCCGCTTGCGCCCACACCACAATGCCGTCATTGCTCACTTGATAGTGCGCAGAGTGGACTGTATAGGTACAGACGTAATGCCAGTGTACGTACGGCCTTGTCCAACTTCCTGGCGGAGCTCGGGTCACTTCAAATTGGGCTCTCTGCAGTGCTGTTCAAGGCCAGCACCGCGGCCTCATTCATGGTTCGTCATCGGCTGAGACCAGCAAGATCGTGAAATCCAGACTACACTATCACTAATTCTGGCATGGCCACGAGGGCCTTCCCGGACTCAGGACTACCGTAGGATTTATGCTCGAGGGTGCGCAACAGTCTGGTCGATCTCGCGAGGCGAGCCAGGTACCAGGGTCCGTGTCAATTATTTATTTTTTTTTTGGCACCTCCATCCGCGTGGCACCGATACCACTGACAATCATGCTGATCCCCCAGGATGATCTGTTCTGATCTTCGCACTTCAACTTTTCAGAAGAAATATCATGCCTTCTGTCAGAAGCATGCGAAAAATGTAGTTGATACGGCAATGGAGACGAATTTCTCTCGAGTTTCTGCTTTTTGGTCTCGGCTCTCCTCAGGACCCTGATCCTCGAGCTAAAAGTGACAAGTTCAATGTCGAAGTCCAGCTAAACCGCGGGGTTTCAGGTGACCCTCGGCTGGATCAGAATCCCCAGCTTTCACAGGTGGCTTGCCACATGTTGGCACAATGATGATGGAGCGTTGAGGCCAGCTGCCCACATCGCAAAGGAGCTATACTCTATGCTCTCTGTTGTCTCGCTGTTGTGGGCCAAGGTGTATTTCCGCACTCAGGCTATCATCGAACGTGAAGCGATGGCGCAAGCACGAATGCCAGACGAAAGGACTAATTAAGCAGCCGCACAGTTATGGCGGTCTGTCTATCAACCGAAGCCGGCCAGGTTTATAGAGGACCTGAAGCCACTGCATGCGACTCGTGCTATCAGCAGTGGATAGATACTACTGTACAATGTACATCTTGATGAGTATTAGAGGCTTTACTTATCAGGCGGTATGCCCACCTTGGTATGCCAGAAGGACTGCTTATCGTGAGCTAAATGCTATATCGGGCACGCCTTTCCCGCTTTTCCGGCTGACGAGGCAAGGGAGAACAATGGTTGATATCAAATCCTCGGCATCTATGTGTCGATATCAGGCTGCTCGCCTTATCTGAACCTGACCTTTTGTCAGAACTGACAAAAAGATAATCCTCAAGTGCCAGACAGGTTGTCGGTAGACAGGTCACGGACTTCTTGAGGGTCTTCCGGTATTCTCCTCCACAGCAGTGCCAGACAAGTCGGTTGCGTCAAACTTGAAGCGTGCTCATCACGGAAGGCAACGAGTAGGCCAGCCATTGCAGTTGGGGCCGAAAGCCCCTGGCGATGGAGTTTGGACTACTAGTGCTGATCTTCCACGATTTGCACAGTTTGCGCACCGGGCCTGGGTTACTGAGGTATCTGAACGCCTCCCAGTTCGACCACGGGATCAATTGGTGACAGAATTTGGGGGAGTTGAACCTATAAACCTGAATATTCCAACGAGGCTCCGTGCTCCCGGGGGAGAAGGAAGCCGGGCAGGAGTTAGGAGTCAGGAGCACGCCCGGTATATAGGATATATGCCTACATAGACCCGAGAGGGACTAGATTTAAGTATCCAGAGGCACTCACTTGCTTACTAAACCCAGCTCGAGCACTACACTGTGCTGCACTTGAATCATAGCAATCCAGCGCCAGCACACGATGGAATATTACAGCCTTTCAGTAACTTGGGAAGATGCCGTGATTTGCAAAAGAATGAACATCTTCATACCTCTGCCTGATCGGGCTGCTGCTTAACAAGCCAAGCTCCTCCTACGGGGTCGGCGACGGTTACGATTGGAAGAAGAGTCCGAAAGCTAGCAGCGCCTCTCAATTAAATTATTCATTATTGATTGCATGGCGTTTGACCTCGCGGTCCGAATCGATGAGGCTGCTTGTTGCTCTGGCCGCGCCGGCGATGACTATGCTGCGTTGAACCGCAAACGGGCCGTGGGTCAAATGCCAATCAATTACCTTCCGGCCCTCCCTCTATGTTGGTAGGTATGTAAATGTAGGTATATCTATCTTCCTGTCCTTCCGGTGCCACGGATCTGGGACGGATCCCTGACTACACGGGCCTCACCTCACTCAGCTCGTTCCAAGAGCTGTTCATCTTTGGTCTCGACATCATCAGTCGCAGCAGCGGTGAAGGCATTGGCCTGGCCATACTGTATGATCATACTGTACAACTACATGTGTGTACCTCACGGCGCCGCCAAAAAGAAAAAGGATTGGCTCGATGATTGTCAATCCCACATGCTCGCTGTCGCTGTCACTGTGATCGCTCCATAAACTGCACCAGCCACAACGCACGAACAAAAACACGACATGTCAATTCCAAGATACTGACACGACAGGACACGGCAAGACGATTTTGAAAGCCCAGCGTCAAGAGGCCCAGGATGAGCTCGCAACAATCCTGGGCTGCGTGGCTGCTTGACTCGTATGCATCGTCCGTGTCTCCCGTGACGTCCGAGTCTCCATATCGTCAGCACCAGGAGTCGGACAGTCCATCCACGACCGAAGATGCCTCGTCCAGCAACAGCAGCACCACCACCACCTCGACCAGAGGCACAAGTACAGTCCCAAGCCCGATGTCTCCTTCTTCGCTCGTTTCCCCTTCACCCGGCTACGGGCCCTACGTGCGCACCGGTCGAGGCGGAGCCGGCAAGTTGATCAGACAAACCGAGCTGCGGCCAGCACCCACAAAGTCATCGTCGTCGTCGTCCTCCTCCTCCTCTTCCTCGGACCAAGCCCGAGTCGATCTCGAGTCTCACCACCACCTTCCCGCATTAGCATTGCCGCAAACGTCGTCGCTGAGTGAGCGTCGAGAAGCGGCGGCTCGGTTGGACCAGATCAATACGCAAGAGAACTTGGGACACGTGCGACGAAACTCCTCCTCGACCACTACTAGTACACAGCAGCAATATGTATCCGTCGGCCGGGGTGGCGCAGGCAACTACCACTACTATGCGAACGAAAAGAGAAGTCCCGGATTGCCTTTGACTGCCACCTCGACGTCAAAATCGGGACGCAAGGCCAGCGGCAGCTTGTCGCCGACCCTAGACACCACTGCTCAGTATCCAATTCATCCTGGAAGAGGGGGTGCAGGCAACTATGCGGCTGCTGTTGAGGCCGGAGGACGGAGGAAGGCCGAGGCCGAACAAGAAGAGCGACGGGCCGCCGAACAGCGAAGAGAGCAGATTGTCGAGGAAGTCGACGGCTTGCTTCAGCCCCCTCCGGGTGCGTGGTTAGGCACCGCCAGGAGAAGGAGCGCCGCCATATACGATGACCCTGTGTGAGAGAGCAGACGGATCCGAAACTTCTATCTACTACGAAAGATATAGCAAGGAGTACGTGCCAGTTATGCGACGACCACTGCAAAAGTCACAAGCATGGGTGGGAACGAGCAGCAGCAGCAGCAGCAGCAGCATTAAAGCAACAGACTGGATGGGCAGCTTCATTCCGAACCCCACCCCTTCGAGTATCTGCGCCGTCATCCGCTCCAGAAGCAGGAGCTACATTTTGAGGTCGTTTCCGTCTCTTCGTGAGGAGACGCACTGGACCCGGAACAATCAAAGAGAAGGAGCAGCTCAGCTTAATGATGGGATGGAACCTGTGACCATTGGCGTTGGCAATGATCCAGTCCCAAAACTAGAACCTTTCTTGGCCACGCTGGCCAGGGGCACTGCAGGCTCTACTATCTCAAATTTTATACCTAGGCTACGCTGTCCAGGTTCATTTTCCAGCGTGTGGTGCTGTACTGATATGTCTACACCTGAGCAGAGGGGCCTACCAGCCGGCGTGTTCCATAACACCGTGCAAGCAAGGAACGGAATATATGGACAGACCATGGCCCTATCTGCACCTAGGTGCATTCTTGCGAATCCGCTCTCGCTCGCAATCTCGTCGAAGAACGAAAAGCAGCATGAGCGTCATCGGGAAGTGGTCAGTGGCTCCCAATTAGGCCCGGCGGGTTTGTTGGTATATCTACATATAAGTACTTACACATGTAGATTTATGCGTTTCGGAGCCAAACTTGGCTAGAGCAGGACCGGGGAAAGAAAAAGAAAAGGCCATGGCATAATTGTATGAACATCGAAAATTGGCCATTGAGTTGCCGATCGCATCTCAAGCAGCACAGTATGATGAATGCATTTTTGAATTGATTTTACCGATATCCGGTATTTCTTATAGTCTAATCTGTACCAAGTGTAGATGAGGACACGCGACTTTTCCACTCTGCAGATGTCCCGTCTGGCTTTTCGAAGTCTGCCATTTTGAAATTTGAACCTAGCTGAAGAGTTTATCAAAATATTTGACAAAAGCGTTCCTAGCGAAAGAAAAAGAGTTAGTCCAGCATAAGGTAGTTGGTTATTTTAATGGGTGGGATTTGGATTTTCAACCCGATCTGAGAAGGAGTGCAATAGGTGGAAAGGGACAGCAAAGGAACAGATAGGTAAAACCAGTTTGTTGAGGGCAAGCAACTTCAACCTCCATTGGAACTCACCTCGGCTCCCTAGGCACATAGGTCCTTTCATACTCTTCGATATCATCCAAGTCCTTGCGCAGATCGACTTCCTCGGGCTTCAACCATTTTGTCTTCTTGTACAGTTTCCAGCCGACAAATAATATGGGAAACACAGCGACCGAGGTATAACTGAACAAGAAAGTCGGGACGTCCCAGTTCCCGGGCAGGAAGACCGGGTAGCCGCCGACAAAGGCCATGACGGAACACCCGACCAAGGCGTAATATGCGGAAAAGGGTTGCCACCACGACTTGTAGGGCAGGGTGTTGCGGTCCACCCTCTGGACATCGAGGGCCCGTTTGAATTTGATGTATGTGAATGACATGACGGCGAAGTTGATGAGTTGCGATGCGGTTACCTAGGGTAGTTGCAACAGTTAGATTTTGATGAGGCTGTAGGTAGAGAAGTAGTGTGGGTTTGCTGCTTTATGATCCAAGCCATGATACACTCAAAGCGTGTCGACTTACCAGATTGACAAACCAGTTCAGAACCACGGCGGCGTCATTGCTAACTTGCAAGAAGCTCAACAGACTGATCAGCAGAACCAACAGGACACAGTAAATGGGCACTCCGTTCCTAGTACAGCGAGTAAAGATTTGCGGGGCTTTGCCTTCGAGCGCCAGGCCGAACAGACTTCGACTAGCGCAGTAGACGTAGCTGTTTCCGGCGGAAAAGGCAGCACCCAGGACCATGGCGTTGACAATGTGTGGAAGGATAGGGATGTGAAGGCGGTTCATCGACACGACGTAAGGGGAGGCGGCGGCGCCGGGCTTGCCGGTTGAGAAGGCCTCTTTGAGCTCGGCGTCGTTGTAAGGCACCAAAATGCCCACGCACAGCGAGCCGAGCATGAAAAACGCTGTGAGCCGGTAAAACACGGCCTTGTAGGCCTTGGGGAGCACTCGGCGTGGGTTCTCTGCCTCTCCTGCAGCCATTGACACGTAATCCGGTCCGGCGATGGTGAAGGACGCCTGGATCAAGCACTGTAGAAACCCGAGCCACCGACCGAGCGAGCCTTCGTAGTACAACTCGGTGAAGGAACCCGGGTTCTTCCAGTACCGAAATCCAAAACGGTCGCCAAGCGGGTTGCCGCCGAGCATGACGATAAATGTGTAAATGATCAGCCCGACAATCAAAAGCACTTTGCCCAGTGCCAGCCAAAACTCGGATTCTCCGTACCATTGCACCGCAAACAAGTTCACCACTGCATAGACCACAATGACTATGGCGATGATGCCGCCCGCGGGCACAATGTCGCTCCAGTAGTGGATGATGACATTGCACGCCACGATTTCGAACGGCACCAATGCCGCTTCAAACACAAAAAAATTGTACCCGGCTGCCATGCCAAATGCTTCGTCCACGTACCGTCCCGCAAATCGTATGAATGGCGATGATATCGGGAGATATGTCACCATTTCGGCCATGCAGTTGGTCACGCATAAAATGAAAGTGCACCTGGGAAAGAGCGTGTTAGTCCTGTAAGGAATGTTGCTATGGGCCAAATATTGCTGCAACGGTCCACGAGGAATGAGAAGAATCCAACAGAGCAAGATGGGTCCTAGGATTCTCGATTTGCGATGAGAGCTCTCTCCGGAAGACATACTGACCTACTTACGGTGCGTGGCGCATGGAGCAATACCAGAGAGAATAAAGCGAGGATAGTTCAAATTACCATGACTTACCAAAAGGAGAAGGCGATAAACAAGCTTCCAGGACCACCGTTGAGCAAGCCACGTCCAATCTGGACGTACAAGGCTGTGCCAATGGTCCCACCAATACCGATGAGCTGGATATGTCTAGGCTTCAGTTTCCGGTGAGTTGAATCATAGCCAACTTTGATACTATCGGAGTCTGAAGGGACGTCGGCGAGCTGGTAGTTCGTCTTGAGAGCGGCAACGACGGAGGCTTTGCGTGAGCTGCGAGATTCTCGCCGAATCTCTTCCTCATCGTGCGAGCGAGTACGGACGCCTCGTGCTATAGGAGTCTCGTCCATTATGTGGGGAGGTAGCCGCTTCTCACCATGGCCATGGTCACGGCCAGAGGTGGACATGGTGGAGGAGGCGTTCTGTGATTATTCCGTTTCAAATGTGCCAAAACACGGATCATGAAGCAACAGCATGGATCGGGAATTCCAACGTTGAGAACCTCGAAGTCATATAAGATAGAGGATAGAGTTTTGTAGAGCGCCCAGGATTTGGTAACAGAATCCAATTTGCTGTATGAACCTCTTGCGCGGCATGCTTGTCAAGTGCTGTTCGCCAGTCGACGTTGGAAAAGATAGCCAAGCGGGTGGGACATATCGCAGACGGGGGCACGGCAGACAAAAGCAAGTTTTTTCCTTCTAGAACCGGGGCTTAAGTTTTAGTTTGTCTGGGCAACTAAAAAGGCCGACCTGAGCGTCCTGGATGTTATGGTAAATGGTGGCACGACTGGTCAATGGACTTGATAGACAATTGGATTTCTTTTTCCTGCATAGGCTCGTCTTGGCCAGTATCTGCGAGTGCACTCTTCACCTACCTGGCGCCGGAGGATATCTCATCAGTCGGAGAGCGATCATGGACCAAACCAGCAGCATGATAAAAGGCCACTTTGACGCGGCGTGTTTCTGGTCAGTGGTGAGTGGTGAGAGCAAAGGACGAGTGGGTGCAGAAAAATGATGGCAGTGCGAAGGAGCCAATCACGCAGCTCTTTTTCGGGCCAATCAGGCTGGGCATCGGGCGCTAGTCCATATTGGGCTCTTGGCACAATCATCGCCCACAGCACTGCAGCTTGAGCGTGGCCGGTCGCCCGCGGGGCACGGCCGGGGCCCGATGGATGAGCTGGAGGAGCACTGGCAGGGGAGCGAAGACTGGAGACGGGCGATTAGTAGGCAGCGTTCTGAGAGGTGATCGCACGACACAAACCGGCAACGCTGGAGAGGCGGAACTGGACAGTATGATGCTGGAGGTGGCTGCTGTCTAATTTGCCCCTCCTACTAAATATTTCAGCTTGCCTACCTACAGTACATCATTCGCCCAAAAGGATAGACCAGTAGGTAATCACCGAAGCCCAAGTCTTTCGAGCTGCTAAAACGATACCACAGTATATGGTACTAAGGTTGTATGTGCATGAGATGATAATCAAACCCACCAACTCCCTCACCGGGGCGCCGTTAGTTCGGACCCTCATCGCGCCCCGAATCCTTATCGTCATGGGCGAGGAGTTCACCGCGACTGGTGCCGACCCTGTCCTTTCGCATACTAACTGTAGCTCTCCTACCAACTATCGACGTGACTGCACCCTAGCGAGCTCACTGAACACTGCACAGCAGGGAATTAGAGATCTTGAAGGCTTCCGTCATGTTGTGCCAGCAAGCTTCCCTTGCTTCTGCAGTGTTTTTGGCCCTGCTGCCTCCATGTCTGGTGGCTCGGAACATTGTTTTTCCTCCCGTCGCTCCGGTACAGGCCAACCTGAACGACGTTGACAGCCCCAACCACTCCCAGTCCTATCAGTCGTCCCTCGGCCTCAACAAGGACCAATTCTTGAGCTACAACAAATTCGCAGGGTTGACCACATTTGCGAACCTGCCTTGGGTGCACTGCCTTTCCAAGGATGGAGACGTGGAAAAGTACGACATCGCCTTCTTAGGGGCTCCGTTCGACACAGGGACGACGGGGAGGCCTGGGGCACGGTTTGGCCCAGCGGGGATTCGATTGTGAGTAACAGAGCGTAAACAGACAGATTCATCCAAACGTGCCTGAATGGGTCATTCCACCTCTTCACACACCTGGTTCGGCAGGGGCGAGGCCATTCATAAGAGTGATCCTTGCTAACGGACCTTTTGGCAACCATAGGGGTTCCCGACGGATTTCGGCCGAAGCTGCCTGGAGTGCTTACACGCACAACAATACGTTCTTGTCATGGGCCAAGATCGTCGATTGCGGCGATGCTCCGTTGACATTCCTCGACAACACCGTAGCTTTGCAGCAGCTCGGGGAAGCGCACAAGGCTGTGTCTGCTCGCACAGCCAATACGACCGAGGTGGCCGGTGCGCCTCGCATCATCACCTTAGGTGGCGACCATACCACCACACTGGCCGCATTGAGATCGACTTTCGACCATTGGGGTCCAGTCAGTGTGATCCATTTCGACAGTCATCTTGACACTTGGGTAAGTTTACCACATTGATGTTCTCCGACATGAGCCTACCTTAGCATGATGTACTGGATTCAAGATGATTTACCTTTGTCTACGCAGGACCCCAAAGTATTGGGCGGAGGGATTTCGCACTATGCCGGAGTAAACCATGGGACGTTTCTTCACATCGCCCACGAAGAAGGTCTGATCCTGAACTCCTCGGCCCACGCAGGAATCCGCGCTCCAGCTATCAATAAGAAGTATGACTGGAAAAACGACAAACGATGTGGCTTCGAGATTATCACGGCTCGGGATATTGACAGGATCGGTGTGATGGGCATCATTGACAGATTGAAAGCCCGCGTCGGGGACACTCCGGTATACATCTCGGTCGACATCGACGTTCTGGACCCTGCCTTTGCGCCTGCCACCGGCACGGCGGAAGTCGGCGGGTGGACAACCCGAGAGCTCTTGAGCATTCTTGACGGCTTGGAGGGTCTCAAGGTCATTGGTGCTGATGTGGTCGAGGTAGCTCCGGTATACGACACGGCCGGCGAGACAACGGGTCTTGCGGCTGCCGAAGTGGCCCATTCGCTTATGAGCTTGATGGTGGAAACGCCTGTAAAGCCGCTCAAAGAACGCAGTTAAGGCCGGTGGAATATGGCTGTACATACAATAGGACGAAGACGGTATATACTAGATAGTTGGATGAGGAAGCAGGGATCGAGCAAAAGCATGGGCTCATCAACAATACTTGCTGCTGGAATATACCGAAGTGCGCGATGAGCGGGCGTCGGGCATTGCTGATGTGCTAGGAGTGCTAGTAGCAAGTTCCTTCAACTTAGCAACAACTAGTAGCGAATAGCACGAGCACCGACTCCTCCACGTCATTCCAAGTCCAGGACTCAACTTCCGGTTTCCCTCCGCTGCCCCTGTGTTGTACACTTTGTGCAACGTCTGTGCTACCTCTTCAGCGCTGCCCCGCGATCCATCCTTCCAAGACTCCCAAGAACTCCGAATCGAACGCCGCGCAGTCTTAGTGACCCTTACGACTTACATCGCCTGATCTGATTCGATCCCTTGCCGACGACTCTCACGCATCCATTCTACACCATCGGCATTGACATCGGGCAGTCGGTGCAGGGAACGTAGCGAGCGCCAAGTGCAGTGGTGACATCGGGTCCAGAACCAGGTCCGTGGAAGAGAGTATGTACCACGTAATCAGCCCTTGTCGCAACACTACAGGTTCAGCTGAGGCCCTCAAGTGGGCAGTGCAACGAGTGTAGCTCTGCTTCTCCCCTCCATTTGGAACAACGCCGTCGCCGGACGGGGCCGTCTTGTGCTCTGTTCTACAGCCGACTAGGTAGTTGTAGCTCACATCTGCACACCTTATGTTACAATCTCCTACTACTGACGTCGCTGATTTGTCTCTACTTCTCCAATAACAGTGTCTGAAACCGGTCGAGGTTTGTTTCGCACCTGAATTCACATTGCCGCCTCATCTACTGTAGCATACCTTTATCACACGCTCCAAGTTCACCATGACGGACGCAACCTCACCGAGTCCATATACAGAGAACAAGCGGTTCGAACCCAAGACCAAAGTCGAGCTCGATCCTCCAAAAGACGACCCGATTCCCCCGGAAGAGTTGGCGCAATGTGACGGTACGATAAGCTGAATCCCAGAAGAGAGACGGGGAGACCGCCGCAGCATAATAGCACAGTTCAGGCTGACGAGAGACGGCGGTGCGCGTTCGGTCGAATGTAGGAACAAATCCAGACAAGCCAACGTTGGTCGCCATCAAGGGCACCGTGTTCGATGTGTCCAAGAACCCGGCATATTCGGAAAAGGGACAATATCATGGTACGGCCTTTTCCGCCCTCGACTCGGTCGCGCACTTCCTTCCCCGTCCTGCTTGACTCGTCCGCCGCTTGCAAGGGTGCCCGACAATCAAAGTGACTCGGGCCGTCCTGTACGGTTTTACACAATCCGGCACAATTACGAAAAGGGCGTCGTGTGGGGCTGCAATATGGAAGTCGCGGAAATGAGACCGTGAGATGTGTTTGATGTATTGGAGCTGACGGTGGCTTTTGTGTACAGTCTTCGCCGGGAAGGATCCCTCCCGCGCCCTCGCATTGTCGAGTTTGAAACCAGAGGACTGCGTGCCCGACTGGGACGATCTCGACGACAAGTACAAGACCGTACTGGACGAGTGGTATACTTTCTTCAGCAAGCGGTATAATATCGTCGGCAAGGTCAGTGTCATCAGTGCTTCAGTTGCGTATAAGTTGTGAAACCACGTGTGGAAAAGGAAAAACCAGCCCGTGCTAGTGAGTGCATATTGCACCATCGTACTATGGTTCAAGTGCCTCCTTTACTCTGTCCGAGCTGCACCACGCTTCTGCGCAGAAACATCAGTAAGGTACGCAGCGTGGTGAAGCTCGTGACGAGATAAGGTGGCCGGTCGTGGGACATGAATACAGACGAACGCTTGCACGTCCGCAAAGTGGACCAAAGAAAGGTGGTGGAAGAAGCGCAGGATGGGTGCCATTGGTGGAACACCTAATAAGACATCGCTCCTCTTTGCTCGGACTCCGGGAAGGCAACGTCCCATCTACTTTTTGCCCGTTATGATGCAGAAAGCTGATTTTCTTGTCTCTTGCTACAGGTCGCCGGCGCCGCCAACACGGGGAGCCGTTGAAAAAGTGGAAAATGCAAGGTCATCTGCGAACTTATAAGATGCTGAGATACATTTTGAATATATATTGACATGGAAACTGCCAAAAAACGTCCTAGGATGGTCGGCGATGTACAGAAACATTGCCTTTTCTCCCATTGACTATATACTCGGTTTTGCTGCTATCGTTTTGGCCTGATAATGGCTAGACGAGCACAAGGCCCCCGGTGACAGTCAAGACCGGTGAAACGCGTCAATCAACCTTTGCGGGCTTTCCTGGCTTGGCGCTTCTTCGCAATGATGCGGTTGCGTTTCGCAATCCGATTCTTCTCCTCGTCGTCCACATCTTTCGATGCCTCTGCAGATGCTGCGGCCCCAGCTCCGGCTCCGGCGGGCGTGGCCTGAGTCTTTCCATTACTCTTGCCGTCCCTCTTTCGCTTCAAGTTCCTGTCCTTGCGTTCGGACGCGGACCTGCCGACTCCGCCGGCGTGCTCCTTGTCCGGGCCGTCTTTGGGTTTGGGTCCCAGTTCCTTGAATTTCCGCTCTCGCTCATTCCTCCGCTGGACCACTTGAGTGTTCTCGATGGCAAACTCGACAATCAGGCGCTTTCCTTTCTCACCGCCGGAGTTGGGGGCTTTCACATAATGACCGTTGAGCCAGCGCAAGCCGGCCAGCGCGTTGCGATGTGTGACATACTCGATGAACCCGTAGCCACGGCTTCTGCCGGCGCCTTCCTTGACCTTGCTGCCCTCCTTGTTTTCGAACACCACCTTGGCTTGTTTGACGATACCTTTCCCGGCGAGTTTGCGTCGCCGTTCGGCCTCTCGCATCTCCTCTCCACCCCGCTTTAGTTCCTCCTTGCTCAAGGGCTGCCGGAGCCCTTCTTTGACGTCCTTGGCGAACCCGACCACGGCTTCTCGCGCAAGGGCCTTGAGTTCCTTGCTGCCAATGCCGCGAGGGATGTTTCGTACGCTCAGACGGGTCAGACTGAGACACAGGTTGGGATTGCTCTTGATCAACCGCTGCCGTTGGCGCTGGCTGGTCTCGCGTATGTCAATCTCGGCTTTGCCCAGCAGCTCGTACAGCTTGGACGACTTGGAGATGGAACCCTCGGACAGCAAATACAAGCGCCGCTTGTCGCGGTCGCGAATGTCTCTCTTCTCACTGGCTTCGCTGGCTCTTTGGTTGGCGTCTTCGCGGCTCAGCGCACGCGAGACTTGCAAGACACGGCCGTCCAGGGTGTATTTGCCGGACGGGTCGGACGCCTCGTTCTGCAGGATCGAATGTTTGAGCGTCTCGGCCTTGCGTTTCTTGCTGTTGTTGTCCGCGGCCTTGTCCCCGGGAGACTCGTGCTTGGGTGCATTCTTGACACACTCTTTCGCATCCTCCTGGTTGAAGAAACATACAAAGGCGGTGCCCCTTGATCGCTCTATTTCTGGGTCATAGACCACGCGTGCGTATCGCACGGGCCCAAAGTGCTGTGAAAAGTGTTCTTTCAGTATGTCGTCGTCCGCTGTGAACGGCAGGTTCCTGATGAAAACGGTGCTGTCGTTCCTCGTATCTCGATTGCGGTCGCCCTCATCGGACTCTGCTTCGGATAGATCTTCATCATTTTCTTCTTCAGCGTCTAACTCGTCAGATACATCTTCATCGGAGCCGTCGTCGCTTGCATCCGTGTCATCATCGTCGTGGATGTGCTCCTCCTCTTGTAGATCTTCCTCATCCGAGTCGGCTCCTTCAGAAGCCGTGATACCGTCCGCCTTGGCATTGTCCTGCACTTTATTGCCCTCTTCTGCTTCAGAAGCTTGTCTAGTGTCAGTCGTTCCCCCCTGCTGCTGTTGCTGTTGTTGCTGCAGTTCTTCCCAAGTTTGCTTATCAACAGCCCAATCAACAGCAAGAGTTCGCCCATCGACAACCTTGCCATTAACGCCGGCAATAGCCTTCTCGGCATTCTTCTTCCCGCGAAGAACGACAATCCCAAACCCATACTGGACCCGAGGCCCCTTTTTCGGCACGACAGCATGCTTGACTTTGCCATAGCTGCGAAACAGAGCAGCCAGGTCATCTCCATCCTTGATACTCCAAGGGAGGTTTCGCACAATCAACCTCGGCGGCTGCACCTCAGCCCGGCTCTTTTGGATCTGTTCGCGTATCTTTTCGGCCGTGATGTTTTTCCCGCCCTTCTTTTTGGTACCTTCTGCTCCGGCCACGGCTGCGTCTTCAGTATCCCTGTGTCGTGCCTCGGCGATCTCGACTTTGATTTTCCGTCCGTCCAGCACGGCGTTGTTGAACTGTGCCAATGCAGCCTGTGTATCTTCTGCGTCGACGAATGTCACGAACCCGAACCCTCGCGACACTTTTGTCTGCGGGTCAAGAACCACTGTGGCGTGTTTGATTGGGAACAATTCCGAGAAGAACTCAGTCAGTCGCTCAGTCGTCACTGAAGCTGGCAGGGACCGCACGAAGAGGGATCTTCTATGGTCCTTTGTGGGTTGTTGATCCTCCGCCGACAACGCAGCCGCCTGCGCTGTAGTATTTGTATTGCTGACCGCGGGAGAGACGGCTTCATAGCTCCCGCTGGAGAGCTTTCTCCTTTTTGTGCCTTGCTCCATTGGAGGTTCTTGCGGATGCCCGAGTTTTACGGCAAGACAAGAAGGCAGAAGTTGAAAAAGAATTGTTTCTGTATTACAAGTAGTAGTAGTGCCGGTGTCTTTGGGCGGACATGGACAACACCAAAAATTTCTCCAACAGAGACTGCGAGCGCTAGTGAGAGTACACTGTAATAATTGCCCCCACTGCAGTTCACTGTACAGTGGTAGTTTCCCACCAGCCACGGAGAAATAGCTACTCCGTTCTCCGACATTGAGCGACCGACTCTGGTTAAATAAATCTAAACACCACACTACAAAGTCACTGGCACAGTTGTATACCTTGAATTTCTGCCTGCTAATCGGAGACAACTGGGAACTTTTCTGAGCATGTCAAAGACATCTATCTCAGGCATATTCTAGCGCCTGCTTCAAACTAAACACCTACGGCACAAGTGTTTTCGGCTTGGGCCCTTCCTCCGATCCTTTGATGGAGAACGAGGAACCTTGCGTGTCTCGTATTTTCACCAGATGTAAGGAGTTTACTAAAGAACTCTTCTAGGCGCCTCTGATCCCAAACCTGGTCTTCAAATGTATTGTACTAGTACAGTACGTCCAATGTTCAAGTTGTTGAGAGACGGCTCCTACGACCCCTGACTCCCGACTCTAACAACCACAGTAGTACCACCTGATAGTTGAAGAATTGACTATGAGTCGACTATTTCTTTAATCGACACCCAATCTAGCCAGGTATAGGTACCCAAGTATACAGCCAGTACGGTCCGGAATAATAACGTATAGGTATGTATTCGTGTATAAGTCTTGTCTTGTCTCATCATAACATCGTCAATCTTTGAAACCCTGACCAGCCATGCATCTAAAAATCTATGCAACATGAAGTGATGCCGTGCTCGTACAAATAACCTGAATGCCATCAGTATCGAACGTACAATACTAAACCTTCGCCATCCAGCGCCAACGCCAATCCAAGCATGCCCAGCGACTCAGAACGAAGACAAAGATAGAGATCCCCAGAACAGCGCACATGAAGCCAACCATGACCTGTGGGCCGACCGTATCAACCAGCTCACCACTGATAGGGACGCAAACCAAGGTAGCCAGCGAAGCAATAAAGTACAGCGTACCATAATATCTGCCAAAGTGCTCAGCCTCACACAGCTGACCAATACATGCCGGGACCAAGGCCATCCAAGCACCAGTCCCGAATCCAAAGGTTGCCGAAAAGGCATATAGCGCACCCAAACTTTCAGTCCCAAAGGGCAACCAGAGAGCAAGCATGAACACTAGGGTAAACACCAACATGATCAACAGCGTATTAAACCGACCGATGAAATCTGACGCGTAACCGGGAATAATGCGACCGATACAAGAAACACCGTTCAACACGGCAATGACATAGAACCCCGTATCAGCAGGATATCTACCGCTATAAGTTGTATAAGTGGGCAAAATCCCCAATGCGCCAAACAGGACGATTTCAAAGCCGAAGACGCTGATGGTGAGAAAAGTGAACTTGAGGTCTCCGAATAGAGTCAACGAGATGATTTTTTGTTGTTTTGCAGCAGGTGAGGGAGGCAGTCGTGGCTTTAATAGATAATTGCCGAGACATAAACAGCCCAGAATGACGAACCCGACGATCCGCATCGACCATGCGTAGCCGTACAGAGGCAAGGTCCGACGCAGGATCAAGGGGTACGCCACGCCCCCGAAACTCGATCCGACCATTGCGATGCCTGTCGCCAGACCTCGTTTGCGTTTGAACCAGTGGCTGACTACGCCCAGTGCGGTTGTGGTTAATGTTGCTCCAGATGGTCCGCCCAGGACACCCAGACACAATAAAAATTGCCAGTAGGACTTGCATTCGGCGAGGAGGAATATCATGACAATGTAGCAGATGCTCCCGATCAATGAGATCCATCGGGGCCCGTACCGGTCGAAGATGGGGCCAACCCAGATTCCGAGCGCGAGGGCCAGGTACACAAAGACGCTGGGGATCCAGCCTACGTCGCGGGCTGAGTAGGATGATAGTTGGTGTTTTTGAAGGTATTCTTGGATCGGGCCGATTGAGACCATGAATCCAAATGAGGCGAATAAGGCTAGAAATGCCCCTGTTAGGACGAGCCATGCTTCTCGCCCGCCTTCGGGGAAGTCATCGTTTGGAGGGGTTGTGTTCGACCCTGAAATATTGACTGGTGCCCCGCGCTGTTCGTCGATGATCGCATCAGCGGCCTGCTTTTCAATGTCGTGCGAAATTGGGGTTGAGCCTGGGGCTGTTCGCTGGCACTCTGGGCTTCTGACATTGCATGGTCCTTTGGTTCCAGCTTCTCGGCTCGTTCCGGTCACAGTGTGAGCGGCCGAGACCGGCTGCTCAGGATTATAATGGTCACAATTTTCATGCTTGACTGCTGTGGACGTGGTGTTGTCCATTGAAGGCCGCAGGGTGGTATGGACGGCGGAAGCTGAAGGTCGAGACAAGAAAAAATCGTGGCATTATAAAGTGTATAAAAAAGATTCCCGGAAGTCCTGTGCGACTCGGACTTCTAGTAGCAATCGTCATGCTGCGCGCCCTGTGAGTGGGTGACTAATAGAAAACCGGACCCATTAGCCTTTGTCTTTCTTCCTCCGCCTCAATCATGGGGGAGAATCTCAGACCCACACAGCCGCTGTTCTCCGCCGACAACCGGAACTTGAACTTCCTTATTTCTGACCTGCAAACATCGGACTCGGAGAGGTGGAAAAGCGAGGACCATGGCCGAATAGCCATAGGCAGACTGTTGCTGCAGTTCTTTTTCAGATCTCCAGACGCGCATGCAATCATTGATGCGGTGCTCGCGCTCCAACATGGCCCGGCTTCATGGACTCTTGGCCCGAACCGGCTCAGACTTGCCTTTGCACTTCATGGGTCGACCCGGCGGTTGCAGCTTCATTTGGAATGAACACTACATCCAGCCCGCAGGTCTTCTGTGCCTCAGAAGTATCTGTAAGATTGTCATCATAGCCGATAGTCCATTGCCCGTTCCTGTTGAACAAGCAAGTCCCAAAATTAGCATTCCGCAACCAGAATGTCCGTCCCCTTGGTTCTCCCTTTCCCAACATGCATTTTGGCGGTTCGGGCGCCGAATTGGATGGCCCTCTTCCTCTCTGTAGCCGTCCTTCTCATGCCTTTCTGCCACATAGCAAGTCTCAACAACATTTTGGCCGGTTCCAGAGACTCTTCCGTACCTGCAAATAAAGAGTCTTCATAATGCTTCGGGATGTTCTTGCCAGGTCTGAAACCTGTCTTTTCCCAGACTGGAAGGCTCAACGAGAAACGAACAAAGTCTTCATCCAAGTACGGGTATCTCACTTCTTTGCCCCAATGGCTCATAACCCGATCGTCGCGACCCAGGTTGCGAGAGCCGATGCGATTAAAATCCATCTCGAGCTCATCCGCCAGGGCAGGATAGCCTCCACGAGCGAAAGCGGCGGAGTGCCGCGAGTATCCACCATACAATTCATCCGCGCCCAACCCCGAGAGGAGCACCCGGGCTGTTGAGGTATATACTGTGACGGAAGCATTCGAAGACTGCTCGTCTGATGATGTACCCCGACCGCGGGCGGCGAAATAGAGTGCCATTGCGATAGACAAATCCATTTCGGTGTTGTGCGGGCTCATCAACTTTATTATGGTCGGTCGGTGAGCGAGCGCTTCCGAGTAAGGGATATCAACAGCCACAAATCTCCATTTCCTGCCTGGACAAACCTGACACAATTCGGTGAAGCTGGAGCGGCCTGTCAGCCGATCCGGACAAAGTTCGTATGGTGACTCGATTTGGCCGGCCTTTGCGGCAATAGAGCGTGGATTCTCGAAAGCCACGTTTAACAGGTCAATCGGCTCGTTGGTCGGCAAGATATCATGTGCCAGCCGTGCCAGAAGGGTGCAATCCAGCCCACCTGAGAACAGTATTGCCACTTTCGCGTCATGTGGAAGCACTTGCGAGTGTGAATGGTCGGGGATATCAACAACCCTAACCTCCAATGCCGCTTTGAGCTGGTTCAGAAATCGATCCACGCTGTTAGCAGAAGGCATCGGATCTGGCACTTGAGAAGGCATGTATTTGTTGATGGCAGGCGACGCATTTCCCCAAGGTATCTCGCCGAACTTGATAGTCTCGTCGCCAATGGTAGCGTAGTGAATAGTTTCGGGACCGACTTCAACCAGCGGCGTTGGCTGGTTGAACAGGCCAATACTAGACAGGGTCAGCGATTGATCAGTAGACCGATCGACAAGTAAAGAGCGACGGCCTAGTCTGTCCCGGCCAAAATAGACAGTAGACGTAGGAGCATGGTAGAAAACGAAGGCGAACGGCCCTGAAATGCGTGCAAGAGCGTCGCAGATCCGTTGATCAACAAGTCCTTCGGCGCACTGAGAGGCACTCAGTAGGAGATCGAACACTCGCGCAGAATCATTTCCTTGCACGATGTCTCCATCTATTCTCCAGGCTTCGCCGTTCCAGCAGAGCATGGACCCAGTGGACTGGTCATGCAGAGGCTGTTGCTGTATGACATCCCCGCGCAGTGCTAAGACTGAAGAGACAAATGTCAAATAGAATGTCGGGGAGGAATGTGACGGCACATTGGCATTTGAGGCTCGATAACTGTCGGGCCCTCGTGCTTGCAAGGCGACTACAGTCTCGGAGTCCGGGAAAGACGGGCCATCTCTTGCGATGGAAAAGAAGATGCCGCACATCAAAATCAATGTGCTCTACCAGGGCCACAGCACACCAGGAGGATGGGATGAGCCACCGGCTGAACAGTTCCACAACGCGATAAAAGAGGATGTCGAAACTTGAACTCGAAAGTTGCTGGTGAACTTCAACAGCGTTTGATGCCAAGCGAAGCCTGGCGGAGGAACAATGATTGGAGAGCTTTTTTTGGCAAGCGAACGGCTATAACCGTATCTGGAGGGGCAGCCAAATTGGTCTAATACTTCCGTAGCGATGGAACGCTAGTCCGTGGTTAGTTCGGGCCCCAACTTGCACGCCGCTGAGGTGTCAGCCTTGTGTCTTGCCCTGTCACTGCGAGTCTGGGTTGCTTCATGCTACGGCGCAGTTGCCAGTCGGAGCCTTGCAGGTCCTAACTCCGAACTATCCTCCAACACCCTGTTGTGCCATGTTCACAACTCTCGCGAGATTCAACGTCTACCGTCCCAAAACCCGACGGTCTTCAACAGCAGTCATAGTGTCCTAGACCATCCTTGTTCTCGGAAGGACTAAGACATGACAGCAAACAATTGATCAAGCCTTTGCGCGCCTGAAATTAGCCCTGTCAACAAGTCAGATGATGCGGCAACAATAGAGTGCGACCACAGCCACCACCGCGACAACCTTGTGTCTGTCACTGCTCAAGCATGCACAACAGGATTCAGTCATTATAAATACACCTAATTAATGTCTTCAATGTCTCCCGACGGCGACCATGCAACTATGGATGCCAGCAACGAAGCCCTTCCGCCGGAAGCCTCTGCACCGGACCTGATTGACCTTGGAGGAGAGGAGCCAGGCGATAAGGGCCGGCAGGGGACCCCAGAAGACAGACACTCCGTGAAGGACGATCAACACGTTGTGGAAACGGAGGAACAGATCCAAACCCTGCGTATTGACGAACCCCCGACCGTTTCTAACACGCCCTCCACACCAAAGGCGCTCCCTTCAGTCCCGCCTCCACCAAAACCTCCTGCTGCGAGTGAGAAACCTTACCAAGATCCGACCCCTAAAACTCCAGCTGTGTCAAGACATCCATCAGTGAGAGGACCAGGAACAGAATACAACGAGAAAGATGAAGATGCCCATGATCAAGATGGTCGAGATATGCCGGAAGACGGCCAAAATCTCCAGTCAGCTGTTGACAATGACGTCGAATCCAGGTCGGAAATTCAGAGCATTATGGACCAGTTTGAGGACGCCACAGTCGCCCCATCGAGGGAGGAAATCATGTCTCCAAGGCATGAATTAGCAGGACCTCTTCTCGGGGTAGGCGCTGTCTATCCTCCACGAAGATCGAGCCTGGAACACTTGCGGTCAAGGGATATGGATTCAATCGCAACTTCACCGGTAGTGCCTCATTCCGAGAAGCCGTTGCCGTCACCGCCTTCGGGTGATGTCAATGAGGATGCCGGGGGGCTGAGAAGTCCGTCCCTAAAAGGTGTAGCTGCGGCCTCGTCATCTTCTCTACCCATGCATTTACCTCCCCCAGAGCCAGAACCAGAGCTGCCTTTTGATTTTCATCGATTCCTGGAACAGCTTCGACACAAATCTGCTGATCCAGTCGCCAAATTTCTTCGTTCGTTCCTTACGGAGTTTGGCAAGAAGCAGTGGATGGTACATGAGCAAGTCAAGATCATAAGCGATTTTCTCGCATTCATTACAAACAAGATGGCGATGTGCGACGTCTGGCGCGAAGTGTCGGAGAACGAATTCGACAACGCTAAGGAGGGGATGGAAAAGCTTGTGATGAACAGACTCTACTCGCAAACATTTTCGCCTGCAATACCACCACCTCCTGCACAACCGGCTCGGTCGAGATCACGAGGTCGGCGGAAGGAGCTGGAGAGAAACGCCCTACCTGGTCGACGTGGCCAGCATCAAGAAGACGTCGAACGAGATGAAATCCTTGCTCAGAAGATTCGGATCTACAGCTGGGTGAGGGAACAGCACCTTGATCTTGAGCCAGTGGGGCCCAACGGAGAAAGGTTTCTCAAATTGGCCCAACAGGAACTGCTGAAAATCAAAGGATATCGTGCTCCTCGAGACAAAGTCATCTGCGTTTTGAATTGCTGCAAAGTCATCTTTGGGTTGCTGAAAAACACAAAGAGTGCGGATACCTCGGCAGACGCCTTCGTGCCACTTCTGATATACGTTGTGCTTCAGGCTAATCCAGAGCACCTTGTTTCCAACGTACAGTATATCCTCCGATTTCGGAACCAGGATAAGCTCGGCGGCGAGGCAGGATACTACCTGTCTTCTCTATCTGGAGCAATCCAGTTCATTGAAAACCTGGATCGCACGAGCTTGACCGTGAGCGACGAGGAGTTTGAACGAAACGTCGAGATTGCGGTGTCCCAAATTGCCGCCCAGAACAGAGAGGCTGAAGTGGTCAACCCGCCTGTGACATTTCGAGAAAAGTCGAGCATCGCTGAGCCCGAGCTCACTCCGAGGAACTCCTTGGATGTGACGTCCAGCAGCCCTACTCGAAGGGGTCTAAATCGACTCAGCAGCAGCGCAGAAGGGAATTCGGAAGACAGTGTTACAGGGTTGCTGCGTACCATTCAGCGACCTCTTTCAACCATTGGGAAGATATTCTCGGAACAAGAGACATCTCAAGAGCGCAGGTCGTCGCCGTCCAACGTGCCAGTGCCATCGCAGAATGCTGGTCGATTGAGTCCGGCCGTGTTCCAACCTCCGCGTGAAGCAGGCGTGGCTACCTACAATGCCCAAGAAGCGGCTGCAAGACAAGCAAGCGCCGAGGCTGCCGAAGCCCGGCGGATACAACTAGCAGAGCATAGGACGGTAGTGGAGACCTTGTGTGGCATGTTTCCCAACCTTGATAAAGAGGTGATCGATGATGTGGTGCGGCAGAAGGAAGGCAGGGTGGGTTTGGCTGTCGACGCTTGCCTTGCCCTGACGGCTGGCACTTGATGTCACTGCCAATACTATAAGAAGACCAAACAGGACAGTTCCTACTTGTGGTTTTGACGCCGCATGGACGGCAGATACGGCAAGGAGTTCACAAAACGCTGCAACATTTGCAGCCAGGCCACAGGAGACGCAGACAGCGAAGGCAGCCCTCTTCCCAGTGTGCCAGTGAATAGCAATATCTGCAGCATGGTCAGAGACAAGGCCGTGTCGCGTGTCGTGCAACAGGGGTGAGGAGGCATATTGCAGCTAACCTGTGCTCAGCGGTATGGCAATGCAGTGGCGCTGCCGCCGCTCTGGCTTTGGGAGCCAGCCAGGGCGCGACTGGACAGATTCAGCTTGCCAGGATCGATATCTTGCTCTGAGTGCCCCTGGTATTCTGAAACCCATGTAAGCCGTGACAGGCGTCGCAGCATGCCAGGAAGTGCCTAATAATAATAAGGGACGGAATAGTCCCCATATATCAAGTGCGTGAGCGAGCCTGGTGTATCCGATAGTGATCGTGGCCATTGTATAGTCCCCTATGATGCAGGGATGCCGGTGGACAAAGAGCTTTACGGATGGATGGACTATTAGTAATGCAGGATGACCAGAAACTTGCCGGACATATTGTATTTTTCAATGACTTTTCTTTTTCGGGTTCAAGCTCTTTTCGTCCACTGTAAAATCCACCCATTCATCCAATCCAATCCATCCCGGCGCCGGCGCCCACACGCTGTATAAGATATACAATGTACAAGTTGTACTGTACTATACTGTACAGTAGGTATCTGCCTATAGGTAGGTACCTATAGGCAGGTATGGCAGGTAGTGTAGGTATCAACTCATCATTCCATCCAATGAACGAAACGACAGAAAGTACCTATGGTAAGACACCCTGCCAGTGGGTATCATCGTCATCTCTCGTCTTCTATGGTCCCCCACGACTCGGCGCTTTGGTAGCAGAATGGTGTATTTCTGCGATGCGAAGCAGTCACTCGCTCCCCGTCCATCTCGGTTTGGCATTCCGTTCCACGTCGTTTCGCCTGCTTTTCAACAGAGAAAAACCAAAGGTCCAGCCTTTGTAAGGTTCACTTCTGAAAAGCCGAAGTTCTCCTTGAAGCCCTCACGACCAAAAGGCCTGGCGTGCCACTGCAGCAGATCGCCCCAAGACATCGAGCAATTCCTTGACAAATTTCACTCATGTATACAGACAGGCCTGAGAAGATCTCTCTAGACCCCAGAAGTGCAAGGTATACCTCCCGTGTGCTGGCCAAAGCCTGTCTGCCTGCCCGCCTTTTTGGCTCTGATCGACAAGACGACACACGTTTCTGATATAGAAAATGTACTGGTAGTCGAGACACTTTTCTCCTCGGAAGAATTGGACGGATGAACGTGTCTCAGGACCAAAACAAGACTTCCTCTGAAGTCGGGGGCGATTCTCGATGGAGAGTGCCCCAAGTCTGGCCAACGAGTAGCAGACGACGCCTTGTTCATGTTGTAGAAGGTAACCAAGTGTGCGTCTCCCGGGCTAACTATTCTCTTTCTCGTCACATTCCGACTTGATGACAGCGTTTGGCTCAGTTGGCACACGTATCGGCGGCCAACATGGATTTATAGCGCACTTCAAGCACTGCCCCGAACGACGTCCGGAGAAAGTCCCACGGCAGCCCACCATTCCTCAGGGATATCCTCTCTCCGCTGCATGCGATCCAAAATGACGCTGAACACTTCCAACTCGAGGATTCTGTCGTTACCACCGCCACGAGACACATTCCGGTTGTTGATGGCGTCGTGAACAGACTCGTCCGAGCGGGACGGCGGCTCCCTCCGTAATCTGCCATGGCGGGCTCGGATTTCGCGCACATCTGCCTCGGTGATGCCGGACGGGAGATCAAGGTCACAAGAATCATCGGCCGCAATCTCGCCGAAGCTGGTAGCGGCGCTAGTGGCTTGGGACGAGCGATTCGAGCCGGACCGTGAATCCGAATTTGACGACATAAAAGACGCTGCGGCGGTCGATCGTCCAGGATCCATGGTCGTCAAAAGTGTCGTCCAGTTCTCCTCTTCAGGGTTATCCGATGCCGGACTCGGACTGCGCATGCGGTCACCAAGGCCGTCGATTCTCGAGCCAGCTCCTATAACTGGGCGAGGAGATGCGTGATTGACACGTCGAAGCGGTGGGTATAAGGCGTCGTGGCCGTCCGCTGGCGACACGTCCAAATCCATGAACCCGTCCAACGTTCCGTACTCTGCTCTTCTAGCCCGATCGTCTCCTAGGTTTTCTGCGCTCGAATGAGCGGCGCCCTGGGCAGGGGCAAACCCAGGAGTTAGCGTAGCAGCAGCGACTCCGTAATCGTCGAGGTCGTTGTCCAAGCTGGCCGCTCGGCTGGCATGCATCAGCGTGGACCTGATTCGTCTCAGAGCAGAGGGACTGGGAACTCGCGTAGTGCGGCCGGAGTATAGTCGTGGTTGGCGCGACGTTTCCGTTTCTGACTGTGACGATGCTGCGACTTCAAATCTCAGGCCGGATTCTCGCGAAGGACGAGGGAGATGCTGCGCAATCAGTTCATCGGGGCTGGGAAACGAAGGGCCTAGGGCGCTTTCAAGACTCGGGTCGACTGGTGGCGATAAATCAAGGCTCGCATCATGCCGGAACATAGGGTCGGCGAGGCGGACGCGGTCACTACGCCTGTTTATATCGCGCTCGAGTTGGTTTGCGCGGGCGCGCTGTCTCATGCGCAGAGAGCGCAGACGGCCGAGATCCGCGTCGAGATCGTAAATGTCGCGTTCGGAGTCGCGCTGTGAGCGCGCCGATGGTTGCAGGGACGAAGTATTTCTTTGTTCATTGGTGGCTTCACGACGGGTTTCTCTAATGCGATCAAGCAGGGAGCGTGAGGAGGTTATGCGACCCGGCCGCACACTGGATTCGCGCCGAATAGTAGAGCGCCTAGTGGCTGCGATTTGATCGAGTTTCAGAGCGGCTTCTTCTGCTGCAGCCTCTTCAGGCTCTCGAAACATGCTATAAACCCCAGAAGAGTTAGTAAAAGAAGAATGCTGATAATGAGCTTTGAAAATATTGCGAACCCCTTCTAGCATCGGTCATGCGCAGGCCAGGCGCGGGGTCCAGGGCGCAGAAAGGCGTGAAGGAGGGCGCGAGGGCGGGAAGAAAAGCGTGCAAAACGTACGGCAAACCCATGATGTCCGACTGCAAAGGGATGGCGGGAGGAATTAATAGGGATTAGGCGTATAGTTTTGAGAGGAGATTCGAAGCCGGACAATACCAAGAACACAAACGCGACGCAATGCGTGAAAAGGAGTGGAGAGCAGGATGGAGGATTGTTGATGAGTTGTTGCTTGCTGGATGGCGAAGGAGAAATAAAATGCCGGGTCAAGAGCGAGAGCAATTCTGGGGGAGGAGCGAGAAGGGGACTTGGGAGGCCAGACAACGAGGGACAAGGAGCTGGGCTTCAAGTTGGAGGCACCAGCGGCTGCGGAATTGGCCGAATCAAGGGTGGCTGGCTGTAGTATGACTAAGCGAGTCAGACGTTATCACGTGATTGAAAGGCACGTGATATCACCGCCTCCCTCCTTACACCTCACATGGACTCCAGCTTCAGCCTGGTAAACTGCCATAGATTCCACTGTGTACCATTGTACAACTATACAATCGCCTCACGCCTTAGTTTGGTGACAGACTCTTGTCAATTGTTACCATGATAGTTCTTGTACAATGTAGTTGATGTGGGGAGCAAGGCTGTCCAACGGTTCCTGCTGGCAGCGCCTCTTGCTTTGACCTGTTCTGCGCCACATTGTCACTTTCAGACACGGAGGAAAGAGACAGCATCGCACTCGATTATCTACGCTCTGTGGCCTGTATGTCGCTGGACGTCGATCCAACTCCAAGAACTACAACCAGATTAGCGGTGAAGCAAGACACCGTACATACAGTAAAGCAGCTTACTTGCATGCATTGACCACCAGTCGGCTACTACAGCGAGAGGTAAGTGGAGGGCGCCAGGTCGCGTGTGGCTACGCGTATCAGGTACCAACACATACAGTCCCTGAACCTGGACGGATGTAGATGGGCAGAGGAGCAACCTGCATAGATTAAGCGAACCTGCTTGTCCCAAGCCCATGTTTACAGGTATAATTAGTACCTGCTCTGCGCGTTGCTGCACGACTCAAGCAAACTCCGTAATTCCTGCGTCCAAGTTGTGGTTGTGGCTAGGGACGTGCTGGCTCTGTGTACATTGTCCTGGATTAGTACTGACAGGGCCGAGGGGGGCGACCTCCGCCTACAACGTACACCTGGGAAATGCGTGTAATGGCACAGTACTGCGTAACTGCGTAACTGCGGCTGCAACACCTCCCTCGCTGCAGTCTCGTGCGTTGTAGACCACCGGTACCCAGGCACTTCACTTCCATTCATGCTGTTTGTTTGTTTCATGTCCAATGCCTCTGTCGGCCAATGCATCCCGCCCATTATTGTACAGAAGACCTGAACTTGAACCGCCTCCCACTGGCTACACCTTGTTGTCTCGACCGAATCCACCGCCCTGTCAATCCAATCCCCTCCACTCCCTTGATGCGCAAAAACCGTTACACTTTATCGCCCCTCCAGCAAGCTTCAAATATCCTGACTTTCGAGGAAACCTCAGCCTAGGTACAGATGACTGCCGAATAAGGGCGGCGTCTGATCTCTAATCTGTGCCCTTCGCCGCCTGCAAAATGCCTGCTCGCACCGCGGATCCTTCAGACGATGTCCCCACCGCGAAACCAACCGAGGGCCTGGCTCTCAGATCCAGAGGGACGAAGAATCCTTCGAGCCCTACCAAAAGAGATGAGAAGACCAAGGCACAGGATGTGGCCGAATTGAAGGACTATCAATTGGGCGATTGCCTAGGCAAAGGTGCCTTTGGTTCTGTATACAGAGCCTTGAATTGGGGCACTGGTGAGACCGTTGCCGTGAAGCAGATCAAGCTGGCGGATTTGCCCAAGAGCGAACTCAGAGTGATCATGCTGGAGATCGACTTGCTCAAGAATCTCGATCATCCCAATATCGTCAAGTACCATGGATTCGTCAAGACTCCCGAGACCCTCAACATCATCCTCGAATACTGCGAAAACGGTTCTCTACATTCTATCTCGAAGAATTTCGGCCGATTCCCGGAGAATCTGGTGGCTCTATACATGTCTCAAGTGCTTCAAGGTTTAGTATATCTGCACGAACAGGGTGTGATCCACCGCGACATCAAAGGAGCCAATATCTTGACTACCAAGCAAGGACTGGTCAAGCTGGCCGATTTTGGAGTCGCAAGCCGTACAACTGGTCTACACGAGTCAAGTGTTGTTGGAACTCCGTATTGGATGGCCCCCGAGGTGATTGAGTTGACCGGCGCGACGACTGCTTCGGATATTTGGAGTTTGGGTTGTACAGTGATCGAGCTGCTGGATGGCAAACCTCCCTACCATACTTTACAACCAATGCCGGCATTGTTTCGGATCGTGAATGACGACCACCCTCCTCTGCCGCAGGGTGCCTCTCCTGGTGTCCTCGACTTTCTCATGCAATGTTTCCAGAAAGACCCGAATCTGCGAGTTTCGGCCAAGAAGCTGTTGAAACATCCTTGGATCGTCAACGCGAGAAGGTCCGATGCGGTCAAACCGAAGAACCCCACCGAATATACCGAGGCAGTCAAGAGCGTTCAGGAATGGAACGAAGCGTTGAAGGATTCGCCAAATGGCAATTCACTAAGAAAGAACTCGAACGCCTCCACCGTCAGTCCGACACCCCAGACGAAGGACTTACTGCGTCCTTCCAAGTCTCAGGTGAAGTCACCCATCCCATTCCTCAGCAAAGAGGACACCACGAGCCGGTTTCGGTCATTGGAAGATGACGACAACTGGGACGATGACTTCGCCACGACTATATCCCCGAGTACATTCCAGCTACCTCATTTGCGGCCTCACGATAACTTTGGCGGAATGCTATCTTCGGAGAGACTGAAAGCATTGGCGGCAGTGGAGAATGCGATGGGGAAGGAGAATGAAGCTACGGAGGACCAGGACTCGACTTTGAAGGCTACCCCGGTCACTGACACAGACTCTCTGAAGACGGTTCGTCTGGCACCAAAGAGGCCTGAAGGCCGTCATGTTCGACACAAATCCGAAGCTCCGCCAAAATCAAGAAACAAGTCCTCCCAATCTCCTCGAAAGGCTTCACTGCCGTCTTCAGGACAGACCACCAACCTTGCCAAAAGCAGACCTCCGCCGCCCAAAGTTCCTCAGGATGAACCACCGACTCGAAGGTATCGAGAAAGTTCCGTCGAGGACTTCTCCGACATCATTGAAGGCAATGAGATGACACTTGACACCAAACTGGGAATGATGCGGCTAGAAAATGAGGGACCATCTAGGATTCTGAATTCGCCGAGTGTGACAGACCTGATGCAAAGCATGCGCCCTCCGAAAGCTGGAGGTAGTCTTAAGAGAGCCGCTACGCCGCGAAACAAGTTGTCAATGCGGAGGACAAGGTCATCCATCGAAATTCAACGCTTTGCGGAGAATGAGGAGGACGAGGATTTCTCTGATGTTCTGGCACAGACTGCGGCAGTCTTTCAGAAACCTGACAGCGAAGATGGCTCTGAGCTGATGCTAAATTCCAAGATTTCAAACATGTCATGGCTTCCTGATGGGGAGGACGAGGATGATCCCTTTGCCCAGCTTGAAGAAGGACTGCCGGAAGTAGACTTGGAATCCAACATAGCCCGTGACAAGCATGCTCGATTAAGAAGCGAAGTGGAGGTCTTGGTGGGTCGCCTCAAAGTCATGCAAGACGATGAGGCCCTGTTACAAATCTCTGAAGAGCTGATGAATTTTTTCGACATTTTTTCCGAGACCAAAAGTGTCATAATCAGCGCCCATGGTGTTCTTCCAATCCTGGAGATTCTGGAGGACTGCATGCGCCTTGATATCGTTCTCAACCTGTTGAAGATTGTCAATGCTATCATTTTCAATGACGAAGAAGTACAGGAGAACCTCTGCTTTGTTGGCGGTATACCAAAGATCAACAAATTCGCGTCGAAGAAGTTTCCTCGGGAGATACGACTGGAGGCGGCTGCCTTTGTCCGTCAGATGTACCAGACGTCAACCCTGATACTTCAAATGTTTGTGAGTGCCGGTGGCTTGACGGTACTTGTTGATTTCTTGGAAGACGATTACGACGATGACCGAGAATTGGTTCTTATTGGGGTCAACGGCATTTGGAGCGTGTTTGAACTACAGGGTTCCACACCCAAAAATGACTTTTGCAGGATTCTGTCCCGCAATTCGGTGTTGGAACCGTTGTCTCTTGTATTGAACCGGGTATTGAATGAGCCCTCGGATTCCGGAGACCAGAAAGAACTGGCCGATTTGTGCGAGGGGCGCATAGCCAGCATTTTCTTCGTCTTTTCGCAGGCCGAAAACTATGTCAAAGAACTTGTGGCAGAAAGAACAGTCCTCCATCGTGTCTTGAAGAATCTGAAGAAGATGACACCGGCGCATCAGGTCACCATGCTCAAGTTTATCAAAAACCTGTCTATGTTATCAACGACTCTGGACGCCCTGCATAATTCCAATGCCATTGACGTTCTGGCAGAACTTCTCAGCAACAGCATGAACAAACCACATTTTAGGGAGATGTCAAACCAGATTTTGAACACAATTTACAACCTCTGCCGGTTATCGAAGCGACGGCAGGAGGATGCGGCACTTGTCGGTATCATTCCGATCCTGATCAAGATTGTCAAACAGGAGAAGACTCCTGTGAAAGAGTTTGCTTTGCCGATTCTGTGTGATATGGCACATTCAACAAGGGCTGCCCGTCGTGAGCTCTGGCAGAACAAAGGTCTCGCTTTCTATGTGTCACTGTTGTCCGACCCTTACTGGCAAGTGACAGCACTCGATGCAATCTTTACATGGCTCCAAGAAGAGACTGCTCGTGTGGAGGACCATCTGTTGGAAAACCACAACTTCACATCGGCCATCGTGGCCGCTTTGACCGGCAGCAAGTCGAGCTCGTTCGAAAACCTCTTGGAGCCTCTGCAGAAACTGCTCAGACTCTCTCCGCCTCTTGCCGCGTCGATGGCAAGAAGCCCACAGCTCTTCGAAACCCTGGGTCAAAGGCTGAGTCACCCCAAGCCCGCCATCCGCTTGAACTTGCTCCGCATTATTGGCAGTATCTGTGATTCAACTGAGGATGGCAGCTTCCTGTTGGAACAATGCGGACTTTACGATGTGATTCAAGAACTGTCCTTCTCCGATTCGGCGGTCCTTGTTCGTAGTATGGCCGGAGAGCTCATACGGTCGTGCGAAGAATCGGACAATGTCAGTATCAAGAGTGGCCAGGGAGGCGGCACGGCGGCCGCAAGCGGCAGACGCAAACATCCCGGATTCCAACGCCGCACAAGTTCCACAACCCCACCTCATCTACTGGATCGTCAGATGAGCATGCCCACTTCTCCCCAGCTCGGCCGGTCCGAGCGAGCCAGCCTTACCATGTACGACGCTCCGGTTGCGCAGACGCCACGCAGGCAGCAGCGAAACGGTGTCTATGTCAACGGGGGTAATGTGATGCGGCCTGCTAGTCGGGATGGCTCGACATACGTGCGCGAAAGCTCACCGGCTCTGGCAATGCCGAGTCTTACACGAGCGAACACAGCCAGTTCCGTGACCGAGATGACGGTCAACAAAAGCAGACTGCCACGACAGTCGAACGCAGCCACGGCCATTGGGGGACAGCATAGACTCTCGAGGCAAAGTACCCGCGAGAGTATGGTTGGATCCTCGAGAGGATCCGGAGCCGGCTCAGGAGATAAAGAGAACAACTTGCGAGGCGAACAGTCGTCTTACAGCCATAGCAGTGGACGAAACACCCCGGCAACTCTGACCCCGGTTACGGAGGGGAGGTTCCACCGGCACGGTCATTCGTCCAGCATGAGCAACAACCAAAGTCAAAGACTGGGCAATAGCAACTATGGCCGGGGGAATCCAAGTCATCAAAAATCACATCTGCACTCCGACAAGGGTCAAGGACCAGTCGAGGTCACAGTTGGTAGACGAACCACTGCCAGGAAACAAGGACCTGGAGATGAACGATGGGGTTAATGTCTTTTGTATATTCTGGACCGTTTGATTTATTGTCTCCAGAATATTCTTGTCCGGGAGCCTGAGGAGAAGCGAAAATGACACCAAGAAGAAAAGTCCCTGGATGATGAACTTTGTGATGCTCATGACTGTGACGATTGTGTGCAAATGTACACGCCCACGCACACACTTAAGAGCGATCAGTCAAGGCAGTATGACACAGAATGTCCCGTCTGCAGTCTACCGCCGCACGGGGGTTAGATGATATACACTTGTTCTTTTCATCACAATACTTTAGGATCGACTGGTCGTGACATTGTTCCGCCCTGCTTCCCATTACCTTGCGTAGGCATCAGGGCAACTGATGACTGAAGAACATTGATTGAGCAATTTGAGCCGTGTATAGTTACTGCTGTATGTGCATCATAACAGTACCAGGCAATGTACAGTAGTAGGACCCAATATTCATATTATGTATCATGGCCTTGGTGCCGCTCTCCGAAACCAGCAAACGAGGCAGCCAGCCTTGTCCGACCTCGATCTACCAATCGGACCGAGCTCCCCACCAAAACTGAACCAAGTGCATCATCCCCAAGAAAATTTCCCCTCGGTGCGCCATTTCAGCACAAAAGGAGTCAGAAGCCCAAGCCCCCACCAACAGCACCGGGGAGGACAATTCTTGACCGAGAGCCTGAGCCGGTCATTCTTTGTGACTAACACTTCAGCGTGAGTTGTAAGCCGGTGCTTCATCTTGCGCGATGATACAGCGGCTATCGAATTGAGCTCAACTTACCTACACATTTCTTCTTCAAGCTCGCGCAGCAAGCCGCATTGGGATTCTTCAGCTCAGGGTCCTGGTCCTCTAATCAAAGCCAGCAAACCCACTTTCTTCACATCACACAAACACCCTACTAGTACAGCTACACGATGCCGGTGACACTTGTGCTAGGGGCGCAATGGGGCGACGAAGGCAAAGGCAAGCTGGTTGACATTCTAGCGTCGTCCGCGAACCTGGTGTGCCGGGCGGCCGGGGGCAACAACGCGGGGCACACGATCGTGGTCAACGACGTAACATACGACTTCCACATCCTGCCGTCGGGCCTGATCAATCCATCATGCCAGATCAACCTGATCGGGACGGGGTGCGTGGTTCACATTCCGAGCTTTTTTAAAGAGCTTAAAGCGCTGGAAGAGAAAGGGCTACAAGGAGTACGGGAACGGATTCTGGTCAGCGACCGGGCGCATGTCTGTTTCGACCTACATGGCGTGGTGGACGGCGTGGCCGAGGACAAGAGCAAGACAGTCGAGGGCGGCAAGGGCATGATTGGCACGACGCGCAAGGGCATCGGCCCCTGCTACAGCGACAAGGTGGCCCGACGCGGCGTGACGTTTTGGATGCTGGTCAACGAGCAGCAGCGCTGGATCGACCGTCTGCGCGCCCTTGAGGCAAACTACCGGCGTCTTTACGGCGATGCCGCCCTCCAAGGCTACGACGTCGAGGCCGAGATTGAGAAACTCAAGGGTTTCCGTGCCGAGCTGCAAAACTATGTCGTTGACCAGACCCCCTTGCTCGCCCAGGCCGTCGGCACGAAGGGTGCTGCAACGACGAACAACCCGAAACAGCCAAACATTCTCATCGAGGGCGCCAATGCTCTTCTGCTCGACATCGACCATGGAACCTACCCGTTCGTCACGTCCAGCAACACCGGTCTCGGCGGCGTCTTTACGGGTCTGGCCGGCCTGTCTCCTCAATCGCTGTCGGCGCCTGGAAGCAACATTGTCGGCGTCGTCAAGGCATACACCACCCGTGTTGGTTCGGGTCCTTTCCCCACCGAACTCGACGCCGCTATTTCTTCTGTCGATGCCGACTACGGCGAACGTCTGCAGCGCGTGGGCCGCGAGTTCGGCGTCACCACGGGCCGCAAACGTCGCTGTGGCTGGTTTGATCTAGTTCTCGTCAAGTACTCGGCCGCCGTCAACTGCTATACTCAGCTCAACCTGACCAAACTTGATGTCTTGGACGACTTCGATGTCATCCGTGTCGCCACCCATTACAAGATCGATGGCAAGCTTCTCGACAGCTTCCCCGCCGACCTGGATGCCCTTGAGCGCCTCGAAATCGAGTACAAGACTTTCAAGGGCTGGCAGACAAAGACTACTGGCTGCAAGACCTTTGAAGAGTTACCCGCTGCTGCCCGGGAATATGTCGAGTACATTGAGAACGAGGTCGGCGTGCCCATCAAGTGGATCGGCACTGGCCCTCGAAGAGAAGACATGATTGTTAGATAAAAGGGTCATTTCCATTGCTAGACGGTGGTGGTGGTCAAGTTCATGGACTCGTGGCGTTACCAAAACTAAGACACTTTCAACACAGCGTTCTTCGCACGGAAAGTAGGGCAAGTCTATACATGCGCCTAGGGCTAACAGTGGCCTTTTTCTCTCACGATCTGCCGATGGGGGTTGGGCAAAATGCTAGATGTGCCATGCTTCATGAAATAGAGCCCGATTGGCACTGCTCTATTTATCTTATGCTTGTACATACACTTTGGGTGGCCCAGCTCGATTCTAGAAGGAAGAGCAAAATTAAGAGTTTCTCCAGGCAACGAAAATATCAGGCCATGTCCCGCAAGCCCCGGTTGAGAACCAATCCGTTGGCTGGATAGAAGTGTGTCTGGGGAAATCATATTATGCCATCCATGGCCCCATGTGACCTTTCATGCAGCTCAGCTGGCCGGCGTAGGATATGCCCACTCATAATACCTAGACGCTATTGTTTTGCTCCTTCAGTCGGCCACAAAGTCATAATTCGGATTAGCCTTGACCGGCACCTTTTTGCTTGAATTGCTGAGTTACATTCACAAGACAGCGACGACTCCTGCGAGTGCAATAGCAGCAGCGCCAAAGCTGCCCGCATGCTTTGCGTCTGCGGCTACGGCGGCGTTCCCTGTTGCTGAAGTGCTAGTGACCGAAATGGTAGCGGTAGAAGAAGCAGCGGTGCTGGCCACGGAGACAGAGCCAGTGATCAAGCCGCCGGTGAAAGAGGAAGTAGCCGTGGTCAAGGAGGACGTCGGGGTAGAACCGTAGGGAGCTGTGATACCCAACGAAAGAATCGCATTTGTTAGCCTTGCCTTGCGAGTGAACTCCTCTCTTTCTGTGACCGAGTCTGCCTCCCGGTGATTTTGCTTTTGTGTGCTATGACATGAGGGGTTGTGTCTTTCTTTCTTTCACTCACCGACAGTGGAACCGGCAGCGGAGCAAGTTGCAATGAAAGCAGACTGTGCAACAGACTGGCTGGAACCGCATACGCTAGCAATTGCCTTCTGAACGTCGGTGGCCTCTCTGCCGCAAATGGCTGCGAGATCGCTTGGGTCGTCTTGAGTGTTCACGGCAGCGAGGAGACAAGCGGGCGGAACAACGGCGGGGACTCGGCCTGTCAAGGCAAGCAATGGGAGTATCATAAACGCCTTCATCGTGACAAATCGGTTGGAACAGGGTATCACTTTGTGATGAAACTGAAGAGAAAGTAAGGTTGACTTGCTGGAAAATAGAATAGAAGGATGGAAGCGTGTGAAATGGTCTTGTCGGCCCTGTGAAACAATTGCAATGAATGAAGGGTGAACTTGGAAACACTGCAGTCGAGGCGAGACGTGGAAAGAACTGAATGAGCGAACAAACAGAAGAGCAGACGCAGGCTTGCTAAAGACGAAAAGAAGTGTACTCCGTAGCAACAAAACGCCGTGCAGTGCAAGAAAGTGAATGTCGGGAAGGCTTCGAGGTGTTCAAGTTTTGTTCAACGATGGAAGCAGACGGCCGCCTGCGCTCCAGATGAAGCAGGATGCAATGGCAGTGGAAGATCGCCCGCTAGCAGTACTACTAGTCTAGTAAGGTACTTTGGCTGCGCGTACTTGGGACCTGCCTACCTTACCTAAGTAGTGCTAGCCTGCAACCCCAGAGCTCCGCCCCCAGGAGATGATATCACGGAGAAATATCGTTCCGAATCCTGCAATGTCCTACCACGTACTACTACTACAATGCTAGTGTTAAGCAGCCGACGACGTCAGATCGAGTTACACCGCTCACTCGTTCGTTTGTATCCCTCCTTGCAACTTGAACTATTGGCAGTGCCTTCTGATACGCGGGTCCCTTATCTCGCATAAGGAAAAAGCAATATCTCCAACCTAGTACCGTTCCAGTTGGATAGAATCCGTTATCTGTGTTGTGTATAACGTTGCTGTTCTCTCCCGCGTCCATCGATCACACCTGCAGAACTCTGAACGATATGTCTGTGCAGCAAGTATGACGGCGGAAATCAGTACCATATATCGAGATATCTATACCCAATAACACCATCTCACAACGAACGTGTGGCAGCCCCCCCCAGGTGGGCGTGAAACACCTCGACTTGTATCCGTCAAAAAGCATCAGGGCTCTTCTGTCCGTCAATTCAAACCTACCTCTACCACGATCAACTCAACACGGCGGAGTCGAGACGAAGGGAAGGAAACCTGATCGTTCTGACACATGGAATCCCACGTCCAGCGTCTGGTGGACCAGACATGGGGTAATAGACAGCCCCTTCTTGCTCTGTTGCACTATGACTGACGCTAGACGACAGAAAAGTTCTCCAATTGCGATCACTCGCAACGCCTACTGATCGCGATATCCGGCATCCCTGGCAGCGGGAAGACAACACTAGCCGCCGCGGTGGTCCACGGATTGAACAAGAAGCACCATGAATCAATGCATAGAAAGTACCCCAACCGACCGGTGGCACCGGACCCATCAAACCCGGACATTGCATTCGTGATCCCGCTCGACGGCTACCACCTGACTCGTAAGCAACTGGCGGAGATGCCCAACGCCGAGGAAGCCATATTCCGACGCGGAGCGGCCTTCACCTTTGATGCGCAAAGCTACCTGAAGCTGGTGGAGGAGTTGCGCAAGCCCATTTCGCCCGAGACACCGACCATCTACGCGCCCAGCTTCGACCACGCCATCAAGGACCCCGTGGCCAACGACATTGCGATCCCGCCCACGGCGCGCATTGTGGTCTTTGAAGGCCTGTACACGGCACTGGATGCCGACGGCTGGCGTGATGCTCATGCGCTCATGGACGAGACGTGGTTCGTCGATGTCGACATTGACACCGCCACGCAGCGGGTGGCTAAGCGCAACTTCGCCGCCGGAATCACAAAGACGTTTGACGAGTCTCTGGCACGCACCAAGGAGAGCGATATGCGGAATGCTCGTGATATCTTGGACCATCGACTGCCTGTGCAAGAGGTCATCTCGAGCATAGAAGACGAGAGCTGGCGCAGCGAGGAGGTTCTGAGGGTTGACGACGAATTGGAGGCCCGGGACAGTCGAGACGAGGAAGACGAGAAGAGGATGAGGCGTGAGAAAATGTTACGCATGGACAGTATTGCTGCTCTGGCTGCAGACGGCGTTGGTATGTGATGTATTGATGAATGGATCAGGAAGGACTCTTCACCATGCAAACGCAGATCGATTGAAGCTCGATGGGACTGCTGCTGCTGCTGGTGCTGCTGCGGTAGTAGTAGATCATCTACAGTACGTACTACTTGAAGTCTGCAATGACACGCATCACCATACTACTGCACTACCCGATATCTTCTACTCGATATCCACTACTCTCATCGACGATACTCACATTCCAATATATTTGTTTACAGTAGTTGCATGCATAACCCTTTCTACCTCCGACCACTGCAAGGGGCGATTAGTAATGATGGATTCAAGTTATAGTGGGACCGGGTTTACATCGAATCCAGTTTAGGCAAATCAGTGCCTTCTCCGGACATCGCGGAACGGCACAAGCACAACTATACTGTACTACTAGTAGTACTAGTAGAACTCTAGCGATGAGGGCAAGCAACTCCGTGCCAGCCTGAGTGCAGTCCCGACTTGAAAGGCAGGTCGACCGGCGGCACAACTGGCGAATCGGATCCATCAACAATAGCCGGCGGAAGTCCTGATGAGGATTGAGGTTCAAGTTTGTGCACTGCATTTGCACCGCCATGATTTATGTGTTACAATCGCGGTTGGCATTCGGACTGAGTGGGGCGGGCTACACGGGACGTTTTCCGATCACGTGAAAAGACATGTTGACGCCGATGCCCGTGCCAATTTCTTTGGGGTGCTTCATCCGGGGACACGTTTTTTTTCGCGGGGTTGAATGATGCTGTAGCACATCGGACAGGCATGTATTCACAGATCATACATTTGTATCTTGCATACAATTATTGCTTAGGGACATGATCATGGAATCTCTAAGGGTTCAGTCTCTCATCACATTCGTCAAAAGTTTCTTGAGACAATAAGGTTTCTGCCATCCGCAGGTCTTCAGGCCGGGGATCGAGAACTGGACGGCAGATAGATCCTGCAGTGTGTGACATAATAGCGACAACATTTCATGTCGAAATCAAAGACGGCGCTGAAGCTTTTTCAAAGTCGAATAACTCCCCCTCGTCGTCATCACTCAATCCACCGTAGTCATACATGACAATTCCTGCTGGACTCTTGTGTTCCTGTGGCTCCTCGTCCTTCTTCTCCTGTGGCTCCTCTCCTTCCTCCGCACCAGGACTGAGCCCGGAAGAATGCACGTCATTATCCCTGTCTTCGTTGGTTACCGCATGTACTTTGGTGTGCTCATCCAGTTGCAAGGCAGATGGAGGGATGCTGAAGCTGAATGGCTTATGCAGAAACCCTTTGCTGGTCGGGTCAGGGTCATCCAAAGCTTCTGTTTGCTCGTTGTCCAAATCCGGCTTCTTGTCAAACGACATATCTGAGCCGAACTCCAGCGGCCCGCGGGGGAAGAGTAGATCGTTCACCATGTTCCTTTCGTGCTCGGTGAATCGCAAGCCATCGATCAGATGACTGAATGGAGAAGCGTGCAGTTGCTCGTAGATACCCGCTGATGGACTTGGGCAGCCGTCGCACGAAGGCGCAGGAGAGGACGTGTCGTTGGTCAGAGAACCCGGGGATGATGCATTATCCTGGTTATTTGGCTGCCGAGAATGCAAGAAGAAGGTATCATCATGACTGCGGGACTCGGGGCCACGGTTGGCAACGTCGGATAACGAGTAGCGTGAGCGGTCCTTGGGATGTAGATGTTGCAGGTAGTTCTGGAGGATGCTCGGCTCGATAAAGCTGGGCAGACATGAAGTGGTCGTGGGAGCAGTAGTGCTTGTCATGGCACTCGCAGTTATGCAAGCGTTGCTTGCTGTGTTGGTGGATGAAGCCCTGGAGTCGGAAATGGACTGCTTTGCGATGCTAACATAGGACTTGGTCGACCATCGTCTGCGCTGGTGCGTCGTCGTGAAGAGACGATGGCGTCCTGCATCCAAGGCCGATTCGCTGTTCAGTCGACGAGGAGCTGCTCGTGCTGCAGGTACATCCTCTTCTTGACATTGCCGTCGTTGCGGTCCGGTTTCCTGATCGAGCCTCCTCTTCTTGCTGGGAGGTTCATACCACTTGTTTCCAAGAGCCTCCAGCTCCGCCTGGGGGAAGAGGCGCTCTACCAAGGACATGCTGAATCAGTATGTTCTCAGGATTTAAACAAGGAGCTGTGTCCCGTGGTGATGTTGCTATAGGTGCAATGTAAGACTGAACGCACTCAAGGCCCGGAAAACGGAAATGGTAGAAGCAAAAACAAATGGGAGGGGCGGAAAGGATTTATACAACATCTGGCATAGTCACAACCATGACTGGAAACTGGGGACCCCGTTCCATGCCCGGGGCTCTGGAGGGGACCCCGTCACTGGTTGCTTGGTCTTCAATCTGCGTGTTTACGGCCGCTGAGATTGATGGCCTACAATTTTCGGCCCGCCTCGGACATAGATCCAGCCCTTCTCCAGTCATGTGAAAAGAAATGGCCTATGGTAGCGTGCGGACGGGCTGCTTGGGGATCCATTGAGGATTGGCGAAACCTGTGGGCTCCCGCGTCAGACTAAGCTGACGAACCACCTGAACCAGGGTGTGGGTAGCGGCAACATGACAAGGCTAACAACTTGAAAAGCCCAGAAGCAGAAAAAAGTATCGCGGCAATGGTTCGGGACTAGTGATGTTGGTGGGAGAAGTGGTCCTCAGATGCCTCCCGTGGAGTCTCCGTAAAACCCCGTATGTATTGGCTGGTGTTCCAATTAAAAAGCCCACCTGTTGGTTGGTCTCTTGATGGACTCTCTGCGCTTCTGAGCTCTCCGTCCGGGGGTGGCAATACACCCTTTCTGGAGAGATGCAGACCGTACAAATCGAACACGAGCGGCCAAAGGGGACTGCCCGTTGGGGCATTCGCTTCGACGCCGTGTGCGAGTAAGATACCTGTTAACAGTGACGCTTTGCCAAGGCAGTCAACAGGACTGGCCGAGCTCGCGCGACATGCCAATCGACAAGATGATCCTTCCCACTACTCTGGGATCGAAGCTGCCACTGAGTTCGATTAAAGGGTCCAATGACAGTGTTGTTGTTCAGGCCGCTAGGCGGATGGTCAGCCTAAAGGACGAGCTAGGAGGCGGCTTGAAGGGATAACTTCTCGACTACTAGGATCAATGCCGTCCCCACCCAAGATGGGGCACCCTAGGCCGTGAATCGGTTCCGAATAAGGTGCACGTGTGCTTTGAGTTCAGTTGCTGGCTATGAGCCGCCGGAGATGCAGAGCCTGACTGGCAGGTTGGAGCCGACTATCTCCTTTTGTCCTCGACCACTGTAAGCAATCCACTTGCCCAGCTGTCAGAGGTGTCCGCTCTGCTCAAGTATGCGCATGTCACGCTCGTCACGGTCCTCTCAGAGCCCCTTTGATGTAGTTATGGCTTAACGGCATGCTCGCCGGTGGTATAGGGGCGGCGATATGAACACGATATTCGAAGTCGGATGCCTTTGAGGCGGTACTGGAATATATCGTCCCTCGTGTGGTGGTTGACCCTTGACTATGAAGCCATGCTCTTTTCGATTCTCCTTATTATTTGTAAATGGTGCCACGTTATTCTTGATTTCAGTCTTTTCATGCCGCTGCAATGCGTGTTTCGTCGAGGAACACGACAACATATGTGGGCACGGACTAGCGCAAACGTACGGTTGGATTCTGGGGCTCGACCGGGTTGCAGGCTCGATCGGGTTTGAGGACGTGAGAGATCTGCCTACATATCCATGGCAGAGTTGAAGGCCGAATGAGAATACCGAACAATGCGAAAAGCAGAAACATGCAGTGCAGTGCAGTGTGGAAGCTGAGGCTGGTCCTCTTTGCTACAGTACAATGCAGGTAAGTACCTTACGCCAGACGAAATACAGGTACCGCCTAATCAGGGCCGTGGTCAGCTGCGTTACTGGCGCCTGGTTGGCACGTTGAAACTTGGAGGAAACAATCGTACACTGGGTACCTATTATTGCACTGCTCGACAGGCCGGATCTATGTCAATCATCCCTGGCAGCTGGCTTAACGTACAGACTGCCACAGCGGAGAGGCCAGGGAGACAATGGATTTCATGTGTGCTGAGACCTTCTAATTCCTCTGAGCCTACTATCCCTCTATATCGACGCCCGCCATCACCTCAGAAGCAACACCCATGCCCCATCACATCGTTGTCTCACTGCAAATGCTTCTCATTGACCAAGACATAGCGATACCTGGCCTTGCCATCGACCATGTCAAGGACAGCCTTGTTGGCATCCGCCATCGGAACATTATTGTTCCAGGTATGCACGCCCTTTTCGGCAAAGAGCTCCAGCATCTTCGTGATCTCCTCAGGAGACCCGATCAAGCTGCCAGTGACCTTGACCCGCTTGAGGATGAGGGCAAACATATTGAACCCAGGGACGACGTCCTCGGGAGCTCCGACCTGGACATAGACGCCGTTGAGCCTCAACAGCTGGAGATACTTTTGGAATGGCATCTTGGGAGATGAAACTGCAACCACCGGAATGTCAGTATCCAGTCACCATTTTCTTTCATGGAAGATTCCTTACCTGTCGACACGATCAGATCCAAAGTTCCCGCATGTTTGGTTGCCCAATCCTCCTCCTCGTCGGTGGCGATGAAATCAGTTGCTCCCATCTTTAGGGCGTCCTCCTTCTTAGACGATGTCCGGGAGATGGCGACGATTTTGTCGCAGCCCAGAGCTTTTGCGCCCATGATGCCGAAATGGCCCAGACCACCGATCCCGATGATACCGACCTTCTTGCCCGGTCCCGCGCCATGCTGTGTCAGAGGACTGAAGGCCGTGATCCCCCCGCAGAGCATGGGCGCGGCCTCGTCCGACGGGATGGCGTCCGGGATCTTTATCACAAAGTCACCACTCCCGCGCCAGTAGTCGGCATACCCGCCGTACGCCTTGCTCCCGTCCGGCCATCGGCTGTTATACGTGCCGACCATCTTGGGGCAGTGCTGTTGGTTCCCGTCGGCGCAAGCCTCGCAATCACCATGCTGGTTCATGCAAGCACCGGACTGCGCTCCCACACCGACTCGGTCGCCAACCTTGACGTGCTTCACCTTGGATCCCACGCGCACCGCATAGCCCACGATCTCGTGGCCGACGCATACCGGATAGTCCGTTGGCGCCCAGCCCGACCGCAACGTGTGGATGTCAGATCCGCAGATTCCGCAGTGTGTGATCTTGATGTCGACATCGTTCTCCTCGAATGGCTTGGGCTCGTACTCCTTCCACACCATCTTGCCATTGACCGAGTCCGGGTCAAGGCCCAGCCAACCTTGGAACTTGTAATCCGTCGACATGGCGTTGAGCTTTGGTCAAAAAGCCAATGAAAGTCTAATCGATGTTTCCAAAGGTCCTGCAAAGCAAGGGCAAGCCAGATGCTACAGTTGTCTTGAAGAAGACAGCGATATGCGATATGAGAGCAGATTTTCCGTTATTGTCCAACTACTATGCGTGGCAGTAGGAGGCGGCGGTATCTTTGTATTTAACTATCTGTCCTTCTACTCGATTCTACCCAGCCAACACCTGGTGGATTTATAATGAACGCTGATACTTTCGGTCGCCGCCGAATCGATGACATCTACCTTCTCCATTCTACTTTATGCGTCTTCGGTGGAGATTGATTCGTTATCGCCGATAGATAATTTCGGCCAGTGAGGCTGACCTTTGATCTTCTGCGGAACCTTGCCACGGATTAATTTCTACTACTGTACAATGTACATTGTTGTACAGAACGTGAAAATGACCTTTGCGTTGGTACCTAGGTACAGTAATTGTACGTTCACCGCCACGCTGCGATCGATGCACAGATCCCTCCACAGCTCAAAACTTCAACGGCCCATGGATCCAGCCAGGTCCACCTTTGTCGTCATTGTTTTATTTTTTTTCTTCTTTTCCTCGGCACAGTACAACGTACAACAGTTTTACTGTACCTGCCTGGTAGGTGTAGGACCTACAGGAGGGAGCCACGTATGATCGATCGCAGTGCGGCAAAAGATTGGAAATTCAATGCACTCCTGTAGCTACATTGTACGTCTTCTGTTCTGCCTCCAGGGGGAAAAGGGGAACTCATCGGCCGAAATTCCGAGCTCAAGTTCTTCGACATGTTTCTACAGTTCAACCGCAGGTTGCAGGGAAATTTCCCGCCGAATTGGGCGGTTGCTACCGCTGCTTTTGGGGGTAGCTCTCTTCTTGCCAAAGAAACTGCCACCCCGATGTCACCCAACCCATTTCAGCATTACTAGTAAACAAACACGCGCCCTCATCACAACCACCACCACCACCTCTACCTCCGCCACCAGGGCCACCTCTTCAGCTTATTACAATGGCTGATAATCTAAATCCATTCGGCCGGCAGCCGAATCTCGCCATCCTCGCTCAAGGCGTTTAAGCTGCTGCGGATGAAGCCCAAAAACTCCCAAAATCTTCCCACCTTGAGAGGTGGCGAAGCAATCGTAGCTGCAATCGAACACCTTAGCCAACAATTCCGGACTCAATTCCAGAATCTCAACCAACGATTCGATCGGTTTGAGACCAGGGTTGAGATCAAGTTTGATAGACTTCAGACCCAGATGCGGGCAAGGCATGCATCGCTATTAAATTTCCCAGTATTATCCTAACTAACTTTACAGCGAAACCAACAATCTGGCTCGAATTCAGAATTCACACCTTTCAACCCCATTATCTGATATCACACTACTCGTTTATATCTCGACTACTGCTGAAGTTCTCGGTTTCCCCGCTACATCAAGATACATTACTCGGATGGAGGAGCCAGAATTAGATGCCGTTATACAAGGGTTGGGTGTAGCACCTGCTACGGGAAGTCTGGCCTCAAAGAGGAGCAAATCGTATTGGGCCCGGCGCCTAAACCGCAGGCAGATTTCCCAGCAACAACTTTACAGTATATGGGCCCGGGCTGTACAAGAGTAGCATTGCGGCCGGCACTCGAAGGGCTAGGTTTCAGTTCAAGGTCGGCGCATTTACCCATTTCTGAAACCCAGGTCCGGCCGGTCGATCGCGGATCAAAAACCGGTCGGATTGGAACTTCCATAGAGCAAGATCAAGATCAATGTCTGAGACCTCAGGGCTTCCTCTCTGCCGCACTGTACAATAATTTACCTTAGGTACGATATGCTTTAGGTTCAGTTTCACTTTCTTATTGGGTGAAGCTGAGGTACTTGCAGTAGTGGGGATGATGGTTTGTAACCTCATCGTTCGGTGTGTTCGTTCAAGGCTTTGGAGGTACCGGGTATCTTTCTCATCGGCCGAAATCTCAAATTGTTTACTAGGTAGTAAGCGGTACTACTTCGGCCGAAATGCCAGACACGCTCACTGCACTCCGAGCCACTACAGTGGATTGATGCGGGTAAGTATACAGGACTAGTACTGGAGCAAGGAGGTTCTTAGCACTGGCGTGTATTTGGTCAGCCCATATGCATCTTTCTCCTGACAGACTGCGAGAAGCAGGTCTCATCTTCCGATATACAGCATTGTATATTGGGACAGGTTCCGTCTGCGCCATACTCCCGGGCCTTCAAGTTTTGCTTTCTCAGTTCTAGTCCCCATTCAAGCATAAGTCAGTCTATCTCATCTATGTATTTCGAAAGCTGGGCGCCACGCGGTTTGCTTAGATATTCCATCTATCCCTCTAACTTTCGGTCCTTGGGAGTGTGTCTATGGTACCTTTAGCCTCGGCCCACGGAAAGACTTTGTCCATGTCGGCCTTCCCTGCTCTAACTCAAATTAAAAATACTAAAAGGCAAGTAATGACCGTTTGCCACCTGAATTTGGACCATCCTCTTTCTGTGGGAGGTGCGTTGGATGAGTGTCTCTCATGACTGAGCTGGATTGTCCACAATGAACCCGATCAAGTGGTCTCGTCAGGGTCGGCTTAATCGCGCCGCCGATGCCCGCGAAGCCCGCGGTAGGCGGCTTCGAGTTCTGCGGGAAATTGGACCGGCGGCAGAAGTGGAAGCGGAGGCAAAGTCGATGTTGAAGGTGAGGGTCGCGCAGGATCGTACTTCGGCTGAGACTGGGAGTTCACTGGCGAGTGGACAAACGACGATGGGTTGTCCTGCTGCGGGCGTCGTTGATGTTTCGAAAAGCTTTTCGGTCTGGAAGAGGCGTCCTTAGTCAGTCTGCGTCGTGGTGATGGTGGAGGAGGAGTAGTGGCGTTGGGCATGGCGTTGGGATTGAGCGTGACGGTGCTGTTGTTGAGGGTGTTGTATGTAGGAGTCGCCCGCGGCGTCGAAGGCCTGGGCGGCGAGGGCGGGGACGTGTCAAAGTTGAATGACTTGTACAGCTCGATGTCGCTTTGTTGAGGGCTCACGGATCCCGAACTGTCGGGAACCATGGTCGTCGCTCCGCTGGAGACAGTCGTGCTGCGGGGTTTCAGTTCGTCGGCAGGTTGTTGAGGCGGCGCAAACGTCAGCTTTGTATCTGAATCATCTGGATCGTTGCGGGCGTTTGGGGTGGTAACCCCGTTACCAAGAGCTTGATCTACTGCCCCTGGTCCCTTTGGATCGCTAGGAACTGGATAGAAGATGGACTTGATGACAAAGGCAACACATATGATTATTCCTAACCCGCCCAGGCCGACACCCATTAACCAGCCGCCGCGGATGCCTGCCATCGGGTCACGGCCCTCGCTGTTGACATGAACCTCGACAGTCGATGCCAGACCGAGTCCCAATGAGATGGAATAGTTGACCACGGTACTGATGAGGCTTCCCGCGACGCCCTGTTGTTGAGGAGGGAAAAAATTGGACATGATAAACGTAGCCGCCGGGAACGACATGTCCATCCCAAAAGGCATGATGAGCAAGCTGACGAAAGTCCAGGTCCAGTAAGGCGTCCCACGAACGTCTGGATCAATGGCAAGCAGCAGTGGACCGAGTGTGAATGCCACCAAGGCCCAGAATAGAGTCCATGAAGGCCGACATTTCCGCATCATCCAAGCGGTCAAAATTGAGGCAATGAACGCAACAGGCACAATTGGCACAACCCGGACAGCGGCGTCCAGTGGCGTCTCTCGCTTAACCCCAAGAAGGTATCTCCAGAGAAACCACGTCCAAATGCCAAAGGTCGCCCAACCGCATGCGACCGCGCCCAGCACGAAGCCGACTTCAGCTTTCAGCATTTTGAACGGAACAAGGGGCTGGCTCGCAATCTTGAGTTCGGTGATGATGAAGAAGGCCATCAGCAGAACACCAATGATAAGGAGCATGAAAATGTATTGGGTGTTCCAGCCCGAGGCCGGCGCTGACACGAGAGCCACTTGCACACAGATCAGGCCGCCAACCCCAGTAATGGCTCCAAGCCAGTCCATATCTCCGAGTTTCTCTTTGACCGGCCGCAGCTGTTTTGGTGTTGGCGGCGGAGAAGGCAACACGAGGTGCGCACAAGCGGCCAGAAGACAGCTGACAATGGCAAGGGTGTAAAAGCTCCACCACCAGTATGCAAACTTGGTGAAAAGGGCGCCGAATATCATTCCCAGGTACGCACCAACGGGTGCGCAGAGTCCAAATATGGTGAAGGAGAAGATCTTCTTTTTCGAGCCAGGCGGATATGTTCGACCCAACACGGCAAGTCCATTCGGCACCATGAGACTGGCACCAATTCCCTGAAATCCCCGGGCCACAAAGAACAGCTCATAGCCTACATAGTGGCTCAGGCCTGCAACCACACTCCAGCAGCTGAGAAAGCAATACCCAAGCACTACCAGCGTTTTGTGGCCAAAGATATCCCCCAGTCGTCCGCCAACAAGTATGAAGGTCCCAAACGACAAGGCATATGCTGCGACGAGCCACGGAAGCACCGAAGGATTGCGTATCGAAAACGACCTCGCAATGTCGCGGCTGACAGGAAAAACTGTTGTCAGGGTCGATTGGGGGATCAGTTGAAGGAACGCCACCATGATATTGAATATGATCTCTTGATGCCATGTCATCTTCTGACAAAGCCACCCACCAGGAGGCCCGAGTGCACCACCCGGTGGACCCATGGGCGTCTGTCCACCCATAACTGGCTTTTCTGTGATGGACATCTTGTCGCCAGTGATCTGGGGGGCGTTACGTTGGGGGTGACGGGGAGGAATAGTCAGCTGCAATCCGTCCATGCCTTGAGTAGGCATCATTATCCAGAGGATGTTCGCATGTATGCAGACCCGTCAATGACCCTTCAAGAAAAGGTCAGGAGGAGGATATCGGCGACAAGCAAGGCATATATGGCTACTCAAGGGAAAAGTTGGGAGAACGAACAGACGCCGATGATCATATACCAGAGGAACGCGCCTGGAAACGGCCGAAGGCTTACCCCGGGCTTCGACGAAAGTAAGGAAATCCCAATAAGCATCCTGCAGTATGCGCATCGGCGCCGACTTACCGTTGTTGGTATTGTTAGAACGACTTCGGCCCACGTTCGTGGTTCGCCAGAGCCTCCTTCTGCTTGGATTGGCATCCTACCAAAGTCCGAGCCGGGAGGCTTGTGCAATGGTAGGTACAGGTGGGATCCTTCAGGGAACTCAGATAAAGACAGGGTATGACATCCCAGCAAGCCACCTCATTTTCAAGCTCAAGCCAATATGCAGGAGTCAAAATAGACCCCCGGCTAGACAAAGAGTTCGGAGCGGTAGATTCCTTCGGGACTGACTGCTGGAGGTCTTGCTTTGAAACCACATACAACATTGGAGTTCTCCATGGCAGTGAGGATGCTGTTACACCCAGGCCAGACACCGCTGGGGTGCTAGCCTTAGCCGGGGCAGGAAGATCATCCATTCATGGCTCGCCCCAACCAACCAATCGACCATGAGATTCAGCAAAACAATATGATCGTCCTGTAGATCGTCGAGGACAATCACTGCCTGAAACCTTGTGTCTTGCAGACACCAATCACTGGCCAGGGATCGTTTGCATCGCTTATCGAACCTTAAGTCGTGTAAGGCCCAAACACCGCAAGCGAGGCAGACTGATAGTGTACCCGGGCCGTCATCTGGTGGCTTCCTCGACGACAGGAGTGCGAGCTGGACGAAACGTGGGTACGGGACGTCCAAAGACATCGATAAGAGGGTCGGCAGGGGCCATGTCTCCCCCTACTACTGCCTATCTCGAGGCTCACCTGAGCTTTCATGCGAGAAGGTCGGAGGATCGGAGGTTGAGGAGATTTGAATAGGTACAGTGGCAGTACTGTAGCTCCAGTCAAGAACTTGAAGTGGACGCAGGCTTGCAGTGATGCCCGGAGATTGAGCCACTAGTCCCATACGAGCCTAGTTCGAGATCGCAGCCAAATGTCAAATTGTGTCCGGATCTATTTCTCCCCTCGCCTTCTCGTTCGTTCTCCGGCTGACAGCAGCAGATACTGTCCTACTCATCCTGTGGCACAGTAGTACGCTGTAGTAGCAGTTGTACCAGCGGTGGATTCCTGCTGTGTTCTTTGCTGGCGTTCACCCCGTGCCAATATGTGTCTTTCCCTCCTCTACCTCCTGCCTTTGACCTCGATATAGATGCTCTGTCAGATGTCGCCACGCTTCTTCTTCCAATCGCGCCTTCTCAAAAGACTAACACCAGTATCAGGCGTCCCGCCTGCGCGTAAGTATATTGGTGTGAAACTGGTACCAAGCAAGACCCCCTGTTGTGCCACTTCCAGTGCCCTTGGGCACTGCAGGTTACTTCTTAGAGTTCAGCCTGGTGCGTGTCCAATGCGGTAGGGTACATACCCAGTCGCCAGCAGCCGGGGCCAGCGGGTCGATGTGCTGAATCATTGATTATGTGCCTATGAGGGATACGGCAGAGAGCACGCAAGAGTCAGCCACATTAAACAGCCCAGCAATCATAGGATCTGGTGAAGGGTAAGTAGATCCACCGCGCGGATATGCCATATCAGCTACCAGCTACTTTGCAAGGCTGTGCCTGGTCTCTTTCTAACGACAGCACCAAGGACAGGGCAAATACGGGGTCCGACCCATGAACAAATGATAATGCTCGGTCGCCTCAGGTGAGCTCATCTCAATTACCGTGAAAAATGGGACCGGTGCCTGGGATGACTTGTAGTTGTTGACGCTGTGCAATGCTTTCATTATCGACCCAGTCTAGTGCAGCAAATAGCATCATTGCATGACTCCATAATGTTCGAAATGTACATCCGGGTACCGTCACATGCCAATGGTGTACTTCTCCCTCGACGGCACGCAATCTCTTTACAGCCTTGGGACTCGACGAAACCCTTCTTACATTCCTGGAAAGTTTCTTTGGGGGCCGCAGACGTTCCCGACTCACCTACGTTACGTGTATGACAGACCTTTGAGCACCTGTCACCCCTTCGGGCCTCATCCAAGGCGATGCCTTGCCCTTAATCGCGTGGCTGGAAACTTTGTGTTCTATGTACAGCAGAACGTACCGTGACCTGGGGGTTATCAGGTTGCGCTGCAGGCAATTCCGCCGGCTGTCTCACATGCCAGGTTTGAGCTGGCCCGCCCAATTTCGAACCCAACGGTCTGGCTTCTTGTTGGTGAATGGGTTGGCTCGCCGAAGTAAGACACGTGTCGGCCTTTTACCCAGGTCGCTACGAACTGTACACAAAGTGACATAGTGTCCCCATTTCGGAACATCTGTTCAGGCTCGTCTGACTGGACCCTGGGCACTTCGTGTGCCCATCAGACTGTGTCTTCCGCTGCTTTGAAAAGTCTCTGCACCGAGCTGAACGCCTTCTTTGCAAAAGGCCCCAGTTCGTCCCCATACTTTTGTGGCCCTTTGGAATCGAAAATTTCTACCGACACCCAGCTCCGGAACCCTGTATTGAAGACTGCTCTCGTGAAGTCTTCGATAGGCAGGTAACCTCCGTCATAGGGAAGAGGACGGTAGTCATGGCTCCATTGACCTCGAGGCCTCAAGCCACTCTCGTCCGGTTTGTCTGCCAAGGGTGGTTCGACTTTGTATGCGTCAGAAATCTGCAGGAAGAATATCTTCTCTGGCGGCACGGTCCTGGAGAGCTCCTCGCAACTGGTTTTCCACCTTCTGTCCAACTCGGCCTTCTCTATACTCTCGATCAAGCCTGATTTGGTGGTTGGGTTGCCCCACTCGCCGCCAGCACTTTGGAACGTATCCAGGCATAGACCAAGGTTCGGCCGGTTGGCTCTCTTGACAATTTCCCAGACGTCTTTCCATGAGGCAGCATAGGTGGCCCAGCACCAGTTTTCGTATGCAATCTTGAACCCCTTTTCCGCGAAGATATCTGCCAGCTCGGCCAGGTCAGAAGCCATAACATCGAAACTGGAAGATATCTCTTCGGCATCAGATGATCCAATCTATTGTTTGCCGTCAGCATATTGGTTTTCGCTTCCCTCCCACAACATTGGGTCCTACGCGAGTCATGACTGTCACTTACCTGAAGCATATCTGTTCCAACGGCCTCCATGATTGACATCCAGCCCCTGGCTCTTTCAAATGCGTCCTTTCTCTCATCGCTTCCTTTCGGCCAGCCCTCAAAGTTGGCAAAAGGTTGCAAAATCAAGATTTTAAGGCCATGTTCTTGGCAGAGTTTTCGTATCTCTCGGCCCACGGACTGGAGTGTTTCGTAGTCCTTCGGATCGATTTCTGACTTGGTTTCCGAAATCTGTTGACCATAGGTCAAGATATCGGGCATGGAAAGTTCGATGGCGTCGAATCCTGCATCAGCGATGGCTTTGAGCTTCGCCGGGAGGGTGTGCTTGGAATCATTATGGCCTATTGAACATGAGGCATAGCACACTGGAATCTTTTCTCCCTTGAACTCCGCCATCTTCTTGGGGCAAGAGCGGCTGCTGTTGAATAGGTAAGTTTGTCGCTCAGTCTGTTTATTGTGTTTTATATCTTCCCTAGGATACGCGCTGCGACAATCCGAATATTGATGTCTTCGTTATGGTTTCATCGAAGGGACCGTCAACTTCAAGTTGAAATGCAACGTTGTACTAGGTATTTTACTGCACTGGTCTGATCGGATGTCTGATGTCGTCGCCGCTTGACGTGGAATCTTCTCTCCACATGCTTTGCGCTGTTTCCAGATACGGAATGACGTCATGCCGGCGTCAACACCGGAATAGAAAGTGCAACTTGAAGGCAAGAGCCAACGGCAATTCAAGATGCAAAGGATGGAGCACATCTTGAAGTCAAGCGCGACCCGTCCAACGGCGGATCTGCGGACCATGTACTGTACGGCCCATAGTACTACTTCATACTGACGCAGTCATTCGGATATCGACCTCCGATAGAATCTGATTACCACTAACTTTCAAGTCGATACAGTCTTGAGGAGATAGACTTGAATCATCCAAGTCCATACTGCAGTGCTTGAAAGTGTCGTGCCTCTCCAGTTTTTCACCACTACATTGACCTTCAGAACCGCAGCATAAAAGACTAGGACCAACAATATATCAACCGCCAAAATGGGTGAAGACAGCGGCCCCGAATTCAAAAAGGTAAGCCACTGTGACAGTTCGGAGTGGCTTCGAAGATCATCAGGCACAAAGACCCCAACGGCTGACTCTATTCTGACAACATAGCTTGGCATGGTTGGGGTGGGCAGCATGGGAGGCATGATGTCTCTCCTATATGCCGAGCACGGAGTTGAGGTTCATTATTATGACCCGAGTGAGTGCCCTCGTCTTGCGGTGGTGGAAAGCGTCGAGTATTCGTATATTTTAACGAGAAACAACGAACAGAGGAAGAGAATACCCAAAAGCTAGAGGAGGAGGCAAAGGCTATCCATCTTGAACATCGTGTCGTCAAGCAGAAAGACTATAAAGACCTCTCTGAGAGTCTGTCTTCACCCGGAGAACCCAAACTCTTTGTTTTCAGTACCCCACATGGCTCGGTAGGCGATAAGATCGTCGAGGGCCTTCGCCCGTACTTGAACAAGGGCGATATCATCCTTGATTGCGCCAATGAGCACTGGGAGAACACTGAACGACGGCAGAAACAACTGGAACCGGACGGCATCCACTACATCGGCTGTGGTGTAAGCGGAGGATACCAGAGCGCCCGATCCGGCCCGTCGATGTCACCTGGAGGCAACTTTGAAGCATTGAAGAAAGTCCTACCGTTCTTGCAACGAGTTGCGGCGAAGGACAGGGAAGGACGGCCGTGTGTCACGGCGATCGGCCCTGGTGGAAGTGGCCATTACGTGAAAATGGTCCATAACGGAATCGAACAGGGCATGATGTCGGCCATTGCAGAGGTTTGGTTCATCATGAACCATTGCCTGAAAATGAAGTACGAGTGGGTTGCGGATGTGTTCGAGTCGTGGAACAAGGACGGCCCACTGCGAGACAACTTTCTCGTCTCCATCGGAGTCGACATCAATCGCACCAAAGATAAGGATGGAAACGTTGTTCTCGCCAATGTTCTGGACAAAGTTGTCCAAGATGTCGACAACTCGGAAGGAACAGGAGTGTGGACCTGCGAAGAGACCATCCGTCTCCATGTACCATCGCCGACCATTGTTTCCGCCCATCTTTTCCGCCTTGCATCAGCCGATGCGGCGCGGCGGCTTGCAGTGAACAAGTCCTTCAACGGCGGGGTTGAGCCAGGAGTAATCAAGCTGGAAGTGCCGCATGAAAAAGCCATGCCCTCATTCCTCGAGGATCTGAGACTGGCGCTGTACGCGGCATTCTTGTGCTCGTTCGTGCAAGGCCTACAAGTGATCAAGGCTATGGACCGCGAGAAGGGCTGGAACCTCGACTATCGTGCCACCCTGCAGATCTGGCGTAGTGGCTGTATCATCACGAGCGACTACATCGCGGATCTGTTGGACTCGGTTCTTGCGCGGCCTGATCACGACGACGACAACCTGCTGGCCAACAAAGAGCTCGGCGACGAGTTGACCAGATGCTTTCCGGCGTTGAAGAATGTCGTTATCAAGAGTTTGGAAGCAGACGCATACATCCCCTCGTTGAGTGCCACGCTCGAATACCTCAAATACTCCGGGTCGACTGAGCTGCCCACGCAATTCATGGAGGCAGAGCTCGATTACTTTGGAGAGCATAACTTTGATCTCAAGTCCGAAGGGCCTGGCGAGCCAGTCAAGGGTAAGCATCATTATGAATGGAAGCCGGCCAAGGGCATCGCCGACAAAAGGCAACCAAACAAATTATGAGACGATGAATTATGAGCGTTGGTTAACCTCAACTTGAGTTGGCCGTGTCCAACGGCAAGTCCTTTGTTGGACTATGGTATATAATACAAGGTTTCAAATTTGATCCGTCTACACGCTTTCGTCTATTTGGTTTTAAGCTGAGAACGATAGGAATCATAGAGCTTCTACGCTCTACATACACCAACAGCACAAACATGTCCCTATACAATAAAAAGTCATCACCACCAACATTGGATCATGGCGTCTGGCGGCTAGGGTCCCCTAGGTTAATGTCATGCGACGGTATAAGAAACGCGACTCGTGCCTTTATTCCGACTGATTTTCTTAACACCGACCTTTCCACACAAATCAGTAGAATCGACATGAGTCCCACCACAAGGATAGACCTCTGCACCCACGATCTTGACGACGCGATACTTTTCGCCGGGCGCAAGTCTGAGGCCGCCGGCCTCTGGAGAAGGGATCAAGCGTTCCAATCCCCGATCACGGAAATCTTCTTCGGTCCAAAAGTCCACTTGGACAGGCAATGCGCGCGCAACGTACTCGTCGACACGGGTCTGGATGTCGGCTTTCCATTTCCCCTCGATCAGACCCTTGAACTCGCAGGCTGCGCTGTCGGGAAAGTGGCTGGCTTTGAGTTCGTCGAAGTCGGCGATATGCGGTTCCAACAGGTGGCGGACTGCTGCGCCTAGGACGTGCCCTGCCGTGTGGAGACGGGAGTAGAGGATGCGTTTGTCGATGTCGAGGTGTTGTGTGATGGTTTGGCCGGTGGTGAAAAGTGATGATGGAGGAGGAGAAGTGGTGGCGGTGTTATTGTTGGTGGTGGTGTTGTTGTTGTCGTTGTCAAAACGCCCAAGATGCAATACCTGTCCATCGTGCACGCAGTCCATGCGCACTGCTGATACGCAAAACGTCGTTTTGTCGTCGAGGGACTTCATTGTTCCCGTATCCGAGGGTTGCCCGCCGCCCTGGGGGTGGAAGATGGTTTCTCGCGTCATCACGACATAGTCGGCTTCTGTGGTGGAAGTTTTGAAAAGTTGTTGGTTCGCTTCGATGAGGGACTTGAAGGGTGTTATGGACACCACGGTGGTGGGGAGGGCGTAGAGTTTGGCATCGTGCTGGAAAGCCAGGACGGTTCGGGGAATTTGGGTTCGTGTTGACATTTTCTTCTCGAGTCTGAGGTTTATTCGCTTCTTTCTTGCCGGGTCCTTCGTGACAGAAGTCGGCTAGGGTAGGAACTCGAGTGATTCAGGTTGATTCTTCTTGGGCAAAATCGTCAAGATTGAATTGATTGGATATCATCCTCATGATAGGTGGGCATGTTTTAAATGTCTTTCGTTTCCAAGGCGGACAGTCTGCACCGACCGGACTTACTTTATAGAAAGAGACTTTTGCTGAAAATACATACTGTACACTGCCGGTTCTACCACCAAGGATTATGCGTGTACAACGTTGTACTCCCGCTTGCAGTGTACCTGATCAAAAGGCGCTGCCAGGGCGGGACGTTGTCACCTTCTATTTTGGGTAAGCTAGGACGAATCCAGTTGGTGTACGTAAGTTCTCTAATAATGAGACGCGAACACGTTTAGCGCGTTCCAAGCTATTCTAGCAGGCAGGTTTGACGAGCTTCACCCTGCGCAACATGCAGTGCAGTGAAGTTTGTAGATGTACGTTTTGACACCTCACCAAAGCCCCATCCATCACCATGACATTTGAATAGAAACTGCATCCTCATTCATTATTGTCATTGTCACAACCACAGTGACCATCTCTCCGCCGCCAGGAGTCCCTGCCTGCCATGGAGGCGGACATAGACAGCCCCAATTCGGGGTCGCCATTGTCAGACATGGACTCTGACGACTTCCCTGAAGATGTTAAATTCAACGACCCTCCGCGCTCAAGAGCTTCTACGATTTCCGCCTCAGATGATGATCTAGCATCACACTCCAGCGTGACAGCGTCGCGAGTCTTCGACATGCCTCCTGCGAAACGCCGCAAGACAGGCCTATCAAGCTATGACCATGCCACACCTCAGTCAGGATCTACTGCTGCGGGAGGTCGATCTCGTTCACGGTCGCCTACAGGCTCGATCTCGAGCGATAGTTCGGGCTCTGTGCCTACCTCACCGTCTCACGCCAATCTCGGTCCTACTCACCCGCTTTCGACCGCGTATGCCGCGGCGCAAGCCAATCCAGAGAATCCTGAAATGGCCGACTACGTTCAAGTGACGAGGTGTCTCTGGGACGGCTGCACCGACCGAGAGCAAGGAAACATGGACAATCTCGTGACACATATCAATGATGTGCACATTGTCCCGCGTCAGAAAAAGTACTACTGTGAATGGGAGGGATGTCCTCGCAAAGGTCAGCCACATACTAGCGCCTACGCGTTGAAAGCCCATATGCGAAGCCACACAAAGGAAAAGCCATTCATGTGTTCCTTACCCGAGTGTGACCGCAGCTTCACCCGGTCGGACGCACTGGCCAAACATATGCGGACTGTGCATGAAACAGAGGCGTTGCGGCCAAGTGACCCCGTTCCTAGAGGGCACACGGGAGGCATTTCCAATGGAGGTCCCACTTCCAACACCATCAAGAGACTCAAGTTGACGATGGGTGGCAAGGCAAATGGAGACAAGAAAGCTGCCCTGATGGGCGATCTGCCGGAGTTGCCAACCCGCTACACTGTGGCCATGATGGGCATCAATCCGGATGACGTTGAAATGGCCGATCCGGATGCCTCAGACGAGCTGGCAGATGCGGTTGATGTTGACAGCGTCCCGTCGACTTTACCTCTCCCTGCCGACTACTGGCCTGCCGAGATTTGGGAAGGCATGGATGAATATGAGCGCAGTCTCCCTCCTTCTCAATATTTCCGATTGCTGCGTCGACAAATCTGCTGGGCGGAAGAGGAAGGCCGGGAACTGCAACGTGAGCTTGAGGATTTACGATCCAGATTCGAGGACAGCCAAGGTAACATCATCAAGCGAGGAGCAGGTGATGAGAAAGGAGCGGATGAGAACCGTCGATTGGAGTGGCAGCAGGTGGAAGAGTTGTTAGATACGATTCTACGGGCCGAATGTGCAAAGGTCTTTGAGTCGCTCGGGGCAGAGAAACCGCCTGGGGTTGAGGAGATGGATCCCTGGGATTTGCTTAAGTCGCTGCCTCGGACCCTGCCGCAGTTGACGGCGAACGATAACTAGAAAACGAGTGGCGACCGTGGCCGACGGGGCGAGGAGCAGAGTTATTGAACGTGTACCAATTGGTCCAGAATCAGCTCCCAGGGATGTTGTTTGTTTGAGCCATATCATTCCACGAGGGGTTGTTTTGGGCTTGCAGTGGCATGGCCGATATTGTATGAACATGAGAGAAAGGGCTGAGAGGCCGAGCCATCATCACCGGCCTCGCGGAGATGATTGAATGAAAACGTCAGAAAATACCATACGTCGAAGTTTTGTTCCCTCGTCTTCCAAGGCCTGTCTGCGAGTTGAACTATTAGCGGCCTCCCCATGCGACAAAGAGCCTCAACTCTTCTGCCAGTCGACATCCTTGTAATGTAACAATATGCAGCTCACCTCTGACTCATACGTCTCGCCAGGAGAACCGTTGTTTCCAACCCTGGTCTTAGTTCAGTGGCTGCCTGGGCTACAAAGAATGCAAGATGGTGGGATATCCCGTGACGTTGGTGACAATGGGACACAGCATGTCAGCAATCTGGCAACATTCAACATTCAGCACATTATGATAGGACAAGAAAAGTCGCGCAACTGGGGAACGCGGCATGGACATGGAAACATAGTATGGAGTCCTATTACTACTGCACGGCGTATGAGGTCCCGTCTTCCCGCGCGGTGAGTGAGACCCGGATTTGTACAATGTTGTATGTACTGTACGATTGGGACTGGGATTGGAATGGGAATGGGAATGGGATTCTGATGCAGTGGGATGGGATAGGAGCCGGAAAACCACATCCAGTGTGGGTGGGTTTCCAGGCTGCCAGTGGTTCCGTGCCAGTAGCAAAGAAAGTGGGCTTTGACGTTGATTGCTTCACAGGGCACAGTGGATGCAGTAGTGGCATGCAGTGCACAGGTGGAAAGGCGCACAGCCTACACACACACACACTCTCTCTCTCTCTTCCCTTCTTTCGATCTTTCTTTGCTACTCGCCTTCTTTTGGCCCCCGTGGGATGACCTTTGGAAACGACAGCACAAGCGACAGTAGTGGTATTGTACTGATGCGAAATTCAATCGCGCTGTAGAAACCACCTGCATGTGTCGGCAGAGTTGTGGAGAGAAGCTGTAGTAATTGTTCAGTTCTGTAGCAACGTATCTTGAACGGGTTTAGGGCTTCGAGGCTGTGACTCACAACTCGAAAACGCCCGGGGAGTCGGAGCCAGTGGATGGCAGGGGGGTTCAATTATTGGAGCCGATGCGAGGATTGGCAACCGGTTGAGCCGCCATGCGGTGCAGCTGAACCAATCGATTCGATGGATCGGGGGGGGCACTACTATCTCACTTGCATGCTTAGTGGGTGTACCTTCTGAACAGCAGGTACGGTAAGTACGGGTAATGCGCAGACTGCCAGAGTAATACCTAGGTACCTAGGTAGCAATGCTCAGAACAGATCAAGTACGTTGTACTGCATGGTGTCGAGAGAGGTCTGAAGTATGAGTTGAGAGCAGTGACGAAAACCGCGACGACGCAAAGCAATCGAAAAAAGCAGGTAGATACGGGATCGAGAGTGGGAGAAAATGGAGCCTTGAATGCCAGTGACGGTGGAAACTGAATGCCCCAGCACTGGCACTGCAGTCTTGTGTGACGACGCGTAGTAGGGCGTCCAGTCTCCCCAGAGAAACCTGGAAGGGTACTCTTCCGTAACCGTGCCTTTCCTGATCCATGCGGTGGTGGCCTCCGGGACAACTGGATGGTCAATTCGGCTGCCGCGGACTCCACCATTTATGAGTCAACAACTCAAACTTGAACACAGCCCATGGACTGGCCATGCAATGAAATGCGTTTCAAGTGCAACAGCAACCATAACCGCAGCCTACCATTTGGTCCTTTTGCCCTGGTCGACTGCAGTGTAGCTAGTAACATCATTGCGGTACGGAACTTGCAGGCATCAAGTGTAAGGTAATGGCAATGTGGCTATATCGCTTGTAATGCTGGTGAGAATGGAGGCAGGACTGCCATTGTTGCGTGGATCTGGGAACTCAGAAATAAAGTTACGGCGGGTACAGTATATGTTCGTGCCAGTTGTGTCTGCCTTATTCGCGGAGATTGAGAGACACTCTCCGACAGATGAAACCGCCTGCTCAGTCGCAGCATGTACTTCGCATTCCTCCCTCATTTTGAATCCAGTAACGCAACTGTTACCACGGGAGTCGCATGTGCGCTTCCACACCGGCGCAGGCGAACATCACTTTTGTTGGTTTGAGAGATGTCACTCGAGCTGTAACTACCTAGTAGGTCGGTAGGTACAGTACCTGTGTTGCAGGGCAGTGTCATCTGCGGTATCAAGCCGTCACGCTGGGTAAACGGCGGGTTCCTGTATCAGGACTAGTTAGCCAGGGTTGTACTATGTAGGCGACAGCTACGCATCGGCCAATCACAACTCGTCAATAGCGAGCCCTGGAGCCCTAAACCCAGACTAGTTCTCCCGCGTCTGACCCGCCGTGCCAAGGCTGACTGGCGTTCGCACACTGGGCCTGCGCTCCTCTGCACCCGCTGCTGCCCTCGAATTCCCAACTGGCGGCACTCGCACCGCATCCTTTTCCCACTTAAACTTCTCTTGTCCCCGTGCCTGCTGCCTGATTTTCTCTTCCCTCTCTTCTCTCCATCATCACACAACCCTTCCAAGAAAACATCACCAGGACTTCATCAAACAATGGAGTCATTCTGATTTCTCTCGTCACCCTTCTATCTCGCTCACTGGCAAGATAGACTCTGTCATCAGCTTCTATGCTCACAACCACCCGACTCTAACCTCACCCCTCGTCCACAGTCTCCACCCGGAGTTTCTGTGAACAAAGACTTCGTTGCGTCTCCTGCCTCGAGCTCTTCACTCACAACCGCAACCATTCACGCGTTGGATTTCACATCCTTCACCACGGATCAACAGCAAACATGGCGTTCCCCAACCCCAAGATCAACCGCTGCAGTGCCGCAGAACCAACACAGCTTCAGCCAGGACTTTCAGCTCTTCGCCGCTCCGGAGACCCTTCCTCGCGTCTCTCCAACAGCCTTGCGTGCGCAGGGGATATCGAGTACAGCCCCTAAGACCCAAACCCAACGGCTGCAACAGCTCAGGCATCTCTCAGTCTCTAGCAGAGTGTCTCCAGTACAATCTTGTCAGTCACCGTCTCAAGGGTCTTTCCACTCAGTAAACCACCGGTCTTTCTCAAGCCCAGCATTGCCAAACCCTAGTCTGCAGAAACAGAGCTTGCGCTATCTCGCTCACCTGCAACGACTTCCCCAAGTTCCTCCATTTGACTCAACCACGTCTGTTCCTCATCGAAACAACTCCGCACCAGGTGTTCCACAAGGTATGAAGATCCCGCCAGTCGTTGCTCAAGCCAAGCAGCCACTAACTTTTTCATCAGTCGACATGTCGACCCTCTTTGACACCACGTTTCTTCCTGGGGGCGATTTATTCGCTTCCCAGGATGAATTCCTGGATTTCGGCACCAACTTCCAGCCAACAGGCTATACCGCAGCTACCGACGCTGCCCTAACGCCAAATGATGGCACTGTTTCTCCCACCGATTTGTTCAGGGATGATTCGATCATCATGTCTGCTCCACCCTCCACTGCCTTCCCTAACCTCAGCACTCCGGAGTCGGGCTACCTAGAGTCTCCGGCTATGGCCAGCAGTGGCCTGAACACTTCTCCTTTGGAGGATGGCCTTCTCGATGGCCAGTTGAACTTTGCCGAACTTGACAGCATGGCACCTTTGTTCCCGCAGGATGGCTGTGATCAGTTTGCTCAACAGCCCGTCCAAACTGAGCCCATGCCACCCAAATCGAGCTTCAGCAGCGTGAACAGTCAGTCTGCCTCAAAGACTGCTTCGCCTATGGTCAGGCAGAAGTCTTCTCCTGGCCGACCGCCGTCGATCCCTTTCACTCATGGCCGCAAGCACTCTGAGACCCACGGTATCAGCAAATCCTCCAAGCCGCGCAAGTCCTTGCCAGAAATCACCATCGACAGTGAGGATGACAAGGAGACTGCCAAGCGAAAGAAGAACACTGCTGCCGCTCGAAAGTCTCGACAGAGGAAGCAGGAGGCGGCCGAGGCCGCCGAGGCAGAGATCCAGCGCCTCAGGGCCATCATCTATCGCCTCGGAGCGGACCCCGACGCCGGAATCTAAATGTTTTTCAGTGATGGAGTTGTTTGTTTGATGACGGTGACGAAGGGAACTACATCGGCCGTAGCATTTCACTGTGCTCAGTTTCGATTGCAATGCATGGGACATAATTACGCTGTGGCTGCCTTTGGTGGTAGCACCACAACACGCAGCAGCATGACGCTTGGGGTTGGAGGAATCGATCCGTCGACCCGACAGGGCTGACATCATCCTCCTTCCGCCACGTCACCCCAGCTTTTCGGCTTTTCATATCCTTTTCCTTCATGCCGGTCAAGGCGATATCATCGAGGTTGATGAGCTTTCCCCGTCAGGGCTTGCTCAGGCTACCTCTTGCACATGGAGTTCATCCACACATCGCAACGGCACCTGTTTGTTCTCCCGCGAGCTGACGTCCGAGTTCGTTCCTTTCGGCCCACGTAACAGTGGGCTCCGGAAGCAGTCGACTCGATGTCGACGTCCTCGGCTGCGGCCCTCGCATGGGTTATTGTGTTTGTTTTGTGTTTGGCCGGTTCTGACTGTCTCCCTTCCTCCTGCAAAGACACGGGGTGTTCCCCGGTTCTTCAAGGGCGAGGGATCGACTCGTGGCCTGTAGCGTGTGTTTTATTTTCCTTTGCAGGATACATCCCCATCTACCAGCCGGAACTCGAGAGGGTCACGGTGGGAGGGAAACTGTATCCAACAAAAGTCAGTCCAGTCTCTACCTGTTTACATAGCTACCACTTTGCTAGCACCGAGCGCGCAGGACAAGCAAGCCTATCTTCTTGATCCCCGTGTCTCCCTCTCCATGCTCTACTTGTCCAGTTGGAGTCATGAATGCAATGCAATACAATGCAATTCAACTTTGTCTGTCCATTCCTCTCAAGTGTGCTTATCCAGTCTGTTTGTATCTCTATTCTGTGATTGTAGAAATTTGACTGTGCTCATGCCAGTCTGTATTTTGCACTCTATATTCTTTCTTGTACCACTCAAAATCTGCATTCAAACATCAGAGATAGTGCTAGAACTACCTCCATAGGTCCTCATGACATTGTAGAGACGTGTTGTTTCATACATCTTGCATTATTACTCGAGGTTTGCCAGCAGCCTTACCTAGGTAGCCTACTAGTTTCACGGTCCCTATTGACGTCGACAGGCGCCCCTCCTGTTCTCTGTTTTATCCATCGATATGATGCTACGGCACAGTAACTTCAGCAGACAAATTTTGGCTGTTGTTGCCGCTCAACTCTGCACAGGCATGGCTTTTGGCATCGCGGATGCATGGAATAGTACTGTAGTAGCGGTGCATTCTTGGTGTCTAGGGCTGTTGTTCCGTTGTCGAGTTGGTCATGCCCAACCCTGCATCTAATGCTAGAAGTCACACACAGGCAACTGCAAGAACAAGAAGCAAGAGAGAAGAACAGGCACCAGAAAACAAACGCAAAACTCTGTATTGAGGGGTTATTATTAGCTATTACTTATCCTAACTTGCTATGCTATGCTATGTGCTTGTGTTGTGCTGTGCTTGCTGTTCCAGTACCAACTGAAAGGAGCCTCAATCCATTTCCTCGGCCACAATAGGGACCGTGAGTCAAAGATTTGGCACTCCTTTCTCCAAGGAATAAAAGAGAGGAAGAAAGAGGACTAATAAGCCCTTTCCTTGTTCCCTTTTCCTTTTCTCCAGATCCAACGTTACATCCTGGTTCTTCTTCTGCCCATTTCCTTCCAGTCGGTAGCAAAAAGCAGTGGCTTTCAAGCGGGTATCTCTTTTCTCATAAAGGACCAGACTTGCATAAGCGGGGTATCTGTAATTGAAAAAGTCGCACAATCGATCAATCCAAACAAAAAAGACAAAATTTCGATCTAGTAGTGGTGATTGGTTTTGGGGTATCCTGGGAAGAAAGCACACATTCGGAAAATCGACGCGCAGATGCTGAGTGAGTGTTGTTCGAGTTTGTCGTCAGTCCTGGTTGGAAAGATGAGACTTGCAAAGCTGGCAACGGGACAAAAAGAAAAAGCAAGCCATGATCTGGGTCTGTTGTCGGGTCCAACCATGGATCGGGCTACCTTTCACTGCCGAGGCCAGAGAGACGAGAAGGGCTGCGAGGAGGTAGCGAGGGAGTGCTATAATTCTTCTCGTCCCACCACTTCTCAAACTCAACTGGACTGGCCGCTCGAGACAGTCGAGATGGATGTGACAGAGACGTGCGTGGAGTCTTGACTCTGGCCTCGTTCGACCTTCAAGCCGTCGCCTTGACCTCCGGAGCGGCCGCGGTCGCAGACTCGGGCTTGGCCACAAGATCTTCCGGCACGACATCACCCTTGATCTGAGTCGACTCGGTTGCCTCGGTGGGCTCGGAGGTTGTGGCGGCAGGAGCAGGTGTCTCGGAGATGGTGGTAGCTTGGTGAGCGCTCGTCTCGGTGGTGGCGGTTTCGGCGGCGGGCTCGGCATCGGCGGTGGCAGACGCAGGTTTGTCCTTTGGTTCTTCAGACTTCACCGCTTTACTAGCGCGGCGAACAAGGTTGCCAAACAGTTTGCCTGGGATAGGGGACTTTTCACGCTTGTGGTCATTGGTAGCCTCTTCAGTGTTTTCATTGTTCTCGGTTCTCTTCTTGTTGAAGAAGAGAGAAGTCCGGCGCTTGTTGTCCCGGGTAGGACGTTCTTCCTTGGTCTCGGTAGGGGCGTCGACAACGGCAGATTCGGGCGCTGCGTCAGTGCTAGCGGCAGCAACAGGGTCTTGAGCAATCGCTTCAGCGGCCTTGTCTTCCCTGGTCTCTTCCTTGTGCTCCTCCTTGTGTTCCTTCTTGCCCTCTAGCTTGGCCTCGGTCTTCTTGATGAAACCCATGAAGCCACCCTTCTTCTCGGTCTTAGGGGTGGTAGCGGTTTCAGTGGCAGCAGGCGTGGCATCCTTGGCAGGCTCTTCGACAGCAGGAGCGGCGGAGGTCTCGGCATCGACAGGAGCAGTGACATCAGCGGTGTTGATAGGCTTGGTATCAATGGGCTCGTCAAGCTTAGGAGCGGTCTCAGAGACAGGAGGGACGTCCGAGGCAGTGGTGGCTTCCTTCTCCGTCTTCTCGGTGGTCGGGCTGGTCACACGATGCTTGAAGAGGTTACCAAAGACAGAGCCACGCTTGGCCTTCCTGTCAGTGGTGGCGGTGGCCTCTTCTTGGTTCTCTTTCTTGTCGGCAGTGCCAGCGGTAGCGGGAACTAAACCATGTTAGCTGGGTGCGCCTTTTGGCGAAGTTGAACAGAAACTTACCAGTAGCGGCAGTGACGGCAACAGCAGCGGCCTCAGCAGGTCCACCAGCCGTGACGGTTGTCGGTTCTTCGCCGGCCTTTGCTTCCTCTTTCTTGTCCTCGGACTCGGCCTTCTTCTCCTCCTTCACCTCCTTCTTGGCCTCAGCCTTCTCTTCCTTCTTCTCGACAAGCTCATCCTTCTTGCCACGGAGGTTGCCGAAGATGCTGCCACGCTTGCGGGATTGGGAGCGCTCTTTCTGAGCTTTGGCCGCCTCGTCAGAGCTGCTAGACGCGCTGGCGTTGTCGGCAGCTGGAGCAGCAGTAGTAGCGGCGGCAGTGGCAGTTGTGGCATCGAGGGACTTCTTGGGTTCCTTGGACTTTGAGCGCGGGGTCTTGACAGCCGCTGGAGCAAAGGTGGGTGGTTTTGCTAGAGCTGCATTAGCCGACGATCATTGGTGGAACACATAGTTCATCCCAAAAGAGTGACCATGATGTAACTCACAATATTCCTCGACGTTCTTCTTGTAGCTTTCACGTCCAGTAATTTCCTCCTTCAGACCTTTGGCCTCCTCGATGGCCTTCTCAATGGCCACGACCCAGCCGTCGCGCTCGGTGGGCTTGGAGGCCTCGAAGCGGTGCTGGTGACCACCTGCCTTGAAAGAGAATTGATCGTAGCCATCCTTGATCACGTTCGAAGCATCGGCCTGCAATTGCATTCGTCAGCCTCCCTCGTCTACGCAAACTCGACGAACATGAGACAAAATTGTGCTTACCAGATTGATGATACCGACGGGGCTGGCCTTGTCCTCGACACGCTTGGCGAAGAAAAGTAGACCCTTGCCGGTCTCGCGAGCCCAAGCGGCGGTGGAGTGCTTTCCCTCAGGCTTCTCGGAGCGCAAAAAGGAGGCCAACGATTCCGAGGTCAATGGCTCATCGGACAACCAGAAGTAGTGCTTGGTGAAGAAGAACTTCCTACAAAACACGGGCAAGTCAGCTTTTTGATTTCCAACGCAGGGCCATAATCGCAAACACACGAGGAACATACTTGAACAGAGTGGGCTCCTTGTATCCCAAGACACCCTCCGAAATAGGTGTGGCTGCCGCAGCTGTTTCCTCCTTCTTCACCTCTTCCGTGGCCTGAGTGGCAGGCTGCTCGGTGACAGCTGCCTCAGCAGGGGCGGACACCGTCGTCTCATCATGAACTGACGTCTCAGCCGGAGCTGTGGACGCCTCAGATGGCTGTTCAGGAAGAACCTTAGGGGTCTCCGCGACGGGAGCGTCCTCGACTGGTTTGGACGCTTCGACAGACATTGTGTGGGATGGAGTTGGGTATGCGTTAATTACGGTATGTGTTGAAGTGCCCAATGTCTCTCCAAATCTTGGTGTTCAAAGCGAATACGCGGCTGAACAGATGTTATGAAGTTTGATGTGTTGAATAATGATGAGGACAATAGTACTTGGGAGGAGCACAAGTCAAGTCTCGTCCTTGAGGGAGTGTATGAAGATATGAAGGATGGCACGAGATGCAGAGGGGAAGAAGCGAAGACGCTGGATCAGGGTAGAAGGGTTGGATTGAGGAAGAAGAAGACAGGATTGGACCAGCGAAGGGAGCGAGATTGACGCGCAGGCAGCGTGTGCAGTGTGAGACGATTAGTAGAGTCTGCGAGGCATCCTTAAGATTTTTTGTCGTATGCCAGGCTCATGGCTGGGGACCCCCTCGGGCTTCTTTGTTTTGGGTTGCCTGGGGCCTGTCCGGCATTATCCAGTCGGGGGTCGGTAGTGGCCTGTAGCGGCCAGTCAGTGCACGGCTGGGCAGCTAAGGAGAGATTTGGAGGCGGCACTAGACTTCTGCTAGAGACCCAGTGGGCAGGGGCCCGGGAATGCCTAACAGGCCTAGGGCAGCCCACTACCACCGCCGCGCCCTTTAACTGGAGCGCCAGCCTCCAACGGCCCAGAGCCCGATCCACCTCCTGAAGCCTGTCTCTATCTTGCTCCACCAGCTACCAAGACGACCGCCGACCGACTCTCCTGCAGTTTGATTCGAATCACCACTGCCCATCTCGGTTGCCCGCTCGGTGCGACCACTAAACTACTGCGACTCGACGCTGGTTTCCTGCGAGTTCAAGTTGGCAAACATGCGAACAACTGATGAGTTGTTTCATAGCGCATCGAAGTAACACCACAAGGTTGAAGTAATCCCGGAATCATTGCGCCTTGAGATATTACTGTTTACACTATAGATGTGCAACGCTCTCCAGGACCAGGCGCGCTCAGAGTCAGCGTTAACCTCTAACCATACACTGGACATATTAGAACCGAGCCTAAGGGGTTCTTGCGACGGACGACGCGTTGTCCACAGTCTTACCTAACTCCATCGGGCCAAGAGCATCGGCACGTCGAATTGATGGGCCTACCTACAAGTTCCAGGATAGATAGAGTATCGTAGTACCAGATGTACTCTTCTGCTACAAGGTAGCCGGGTCCCGAAGGTGTGCTGCAAACTGCATCTGCAAAGTTCAACTTGAACAGCTGAAGAGTTTCACCCCTCTTTCTCCGCTGATATTCCCTCTTCCCTTCGCGAAGATCACTGCAATGAGAAACTTCAGCGGTTGCTGCAATGGTCATGCGACCATCACTCGGTCCTCTACAGAAATGACGTGCCTTCTGCATCCATCACATGCTGGAGGCCGCGCCATCCAACAGTCGCGAATCAGAGCATCCATGACCCCGTTAGTATCCATGAGATAACGGTCAACATGGCAGCCGGGAATCATCAGCTCATATCGAGGAAGGCCTGCAGTTGGAGTCTTGCGAAGAACCTTGAAGGAACACCGCTTCATGATGCGCTACTACATTGTATACCAGAGTAAACTTTGTCGTAGGTTCCTTGCCGCCCGGTCCGTTCACATCCTGTTACCAGAACCATGCGCTCCTTTCCCAAGGGAGTAGTCGACCACCATCTCCTCCTTCCCAAGGCTCTAGCAGCTCAAGGTTGGAACTCGAATGTCATGTCCTCGTATTTTCGTTAGTAGTGCACCGCGCCCGCCGACATCCATCATTATTGGTCTTGTCACCGTAATAGTAGACATGCAGTCAGTGTAGGCCCGCAATCCCACTCTTGGTGACCGGCGTCGATCCCTAGTCGTAGGGCGGACACAGACGGACGCTTGCTTTCTTTTTCTCCGATTCGAGTTCGTGCTCGTGTCCACAACCCCAGTAGGAATTGATCATCTGACCTGCCAGTGACTAACAACTGTATCTTCTTCGAAGACCTTTCCTTCCCTCCTCGGGATAAAGGCGCTGGCGCTGACAGAATAATGCTGACACGGATAGACAGATGACATTCTGGTCGGTCCAAGCCGGATCTGATTCCAGGTCTCAAAAAAAAAAAAGAAAAATTCCCTACCCTTCCTTTTCCACTACTATACTACTAGTATCCATTTTAAGAAGTAGTAGTGGCAGTGAGGAGCAAAAAGAGACCCGCTTAAGGAGGTGACGCCGTCAACACTTAGGGTACTGCACTGGAAAAGGTGAAACGCGACTCGAGGGCAAATGCAAAACTTGAACTGCAGTTGTGGTCTACCTACCTAAGGTAGGATGCAGTGCAGCGGTCCGGAACTGACCTGCCTGACTCAAGTCACTACAGGCCATGGCGCAACACTTCGCTTCATAGGAGTAGAAAGGGCGCAGCGCACTGGCAGTCCCTGTTTTCCTTCTTCCGACTTTTCCTATACTGCAATAGTAAAGTGGGCGACGATTGGATAAGACGAAAGAACGACGAACCTATTGGGAACGGGGATCAGTGGTATTTAGCCCACTACCTTACTGCACCCTTGTGTACCTAGGTAGTCAGTCCTTGGGCAGATGTTGGCTGTGGACAGACAGACTGCGTTCTTCCGAGGAGATCATGGCCGTGCTTATTGCTGGGATCAATTACAGTATGTTAATATCTACATTGCAAGGTAGTATGTACTGCACACTGATGCCAGATGTACGCGTGGGCGTCATGCAATCCTATATCCAAACATTTGCCAACGACAGCCTGCCCGTATTGTGACAGAGTTACCTATACAAATGCGACCCCTTAGCTCGCCGTTGTCAGAACATAAGACGTGATGGCATCCATTCTCTCCTTGGTCAACTTCAAACTGATGATCAGGAATTCCCGAGCCAGATCTGGGTCGTTTTCTTGCATTTCCTGCCACCTCTTGCCGTCCAGCTGCCAGGTAACACAATCCTTCTCGGCCACCATGGTTGCGGTGCGCGGAGTCTGTGAGAAGAAGGGCAACTCGCCACACGGTCTGCCAGCGACGATGAGCTCGGAGAGCTTGCCTTGTGGCATATCATAATCCGCACGCAGGATGCCTTCCTCGAGGATATAGAACCCGTTGGGCCGGTCACCAACGTTGAACAGGATCGATCCTTGGGGATAGTTGAATTTTTCAAAGTACTTTGTGGCGCGGTACCAGAAGTCTTCGTTCTTGTCCGTCAAGTCTTCGAAAATCTGAAGCAACAGAGGCAATGGCTGCGCAAAAGATTGCCATTTGCTTGTGATAGACGAGTCTTCGTCAAGCGTGGTCTCGGCCACGTGATGGAGGAATGTCTGTCGTGGCGAGCTGCCCATGAATTCGGCCTTGTATGACTGTGGAAGGTCATGGTTGTGGTTGCGGCTGCGTGGGACGTCAAGGTGCCCCGATGTCCGCTTTTTCTTGCGGTGTTCTTGTTGGCGGTAAAGTGCCGTCAACAATTTGTTCTCACAATGTTCTAGCGCGACATTGAGATCGGGAAAGAGGGACACATTTGACTCGTCTGCAAAGAGACCCACGTTTTGAAGAGCTTGACCAATTTCGCCTTCGACGTCCAGACTGCTTATGATGAGCTCAACTCCACGCTGCTGGAGCAAGCGATTGATCCTTGTAAATGCTTCGGCAGCCGAGTAGTCGATTCCATTGATCTGGGTCATGTCCAAGATCAGAAATCGAAGTGGTCGGTCCCGGAAGGAATCGTCCGCAAGCAGAGCCCGGATTCGGTTTTCTACTCCGACAATAGTCCCGAAAAACAAGTAGCCTGCCAACTTCAGCAAGTAGATCTGTTGGCCAGTCTCTTTCAAGAATTTGATCTGAACTGGCGGCCGGCGGACCAACGACCTAGCAACCGTCCCGGAGTACTCAGCTCGGATGGCTGTTCTGCGGGAAGCCTGAACCACGAAACTCAGAGCGGCCAGGATGATGCCGACCAGAATGCCAATCACAAAGTCCCACACTCCCATTGTAACAACAATGATGACGATGGTGGCATACTCAAGCTTGTGGACTTTGCCCAGAGTCCCAATGAGTGCCTCCTCGAGCAACTCAATTCCGAGCAAGAAAATAAGGGCGCCAACAACCATGATAGGTATATAGCCTATAATGACCGGTCCGACCAACAGGATGCCAAACGTGGCCGCTGCAAGCATCAAGCCTGCAAGACGGTCGTTACCTCCACTGTCCATGAAGAGAAGACTGTTCGTATAGACAAGGTAGTTTTGGACACTGCCAAATAATCCGCTCAAACAGTTCGACACCCCATGAGCTATCAACTCGCGATCCACATTCAGGGTATCTTCGCCGGTCGAAATTCCGAGTGCGGGAACGTTGATAGGGACGTGCAGGACACCAAAAAATGTCAAGGCAAACATGGCCGGAATGGTGTCCGCCAATGCTCCCCAGTGAACGGCCTTGAAGTCGTACAAAGTATAGAAATGGTACCATGGGCTCCCTGCAGGTGGTGGATCAAACACCCAGCCTTTGGAGTGAAATGTGTCCATGGGGATGTCCAAGGCGAACTTGAAAAAATAGAAAATTGCGCCAACCGATATAAAATATCCTCCGACTAGGAAGTTAGATTTCACAAACCGCTGCACAATGATAAGAATGATAGCAAGCACCAAGGGGATGAGCCACAGTGCAACGGTGTCTCCCCGAAACAGCTGCTTCAGAGTATCAAGGTTATACTCGAGATTTCCCGGAAGGCGGGCAGAGACCTCGATGCCAGTTGCAACAAGAAACCATCCTACACCACCAATGCAGCCAAGCAGTATATGCCGTGGGAAGAAGCCGATAAGGGAGCCTAATCCACAGGCTCCCATCAGGAAGAAAACCAATCCCGTAAGAACAGCGCTGACAGCAAATGATAGGATAGTGGTTGCTAGAACGGACTTGGGGTTGTCCTCGCCGACTTTGTGGAGGATTGTGAAAGCCATTTTGTGGAAGAAGGGGACAACCTCGATCATCTCAGATCCAATACCACCGCGGAAGACCGACCCTCCAGAAGAATAAACAATCTGAGCCACAATTGTACTGACATAGAACATAGCTATACCGTCTGAGCCTAGATTGTCGAAGAGCTCATTGCCCAAAGGGAACAGGATCATTCCGTAGGATAGAGCATCCAGGATGTTCAGAAGCAGACCTAAGAAAACAGCCGGGAGCAGACTGGCTGGGTGCACAATGACTTCTTGGTAGATAGCACGAGGGCTCCAGGTCTTTGGATGCGACACTATATAAGCACACGATCGCGCTTTTCCAGCTGTCGTCCTCAACCTCTGCCGAATGCCATCGACTTTGCTCGAAAACTGTCGCTCGATATCATTCAATGCTCCAAACTGACCAGACGACTTGCGGTCTCCCAATAGTGCCGTCCGTTCATTTACATGAGCAGATCTAGCGGGACCTGATGAGGTTTGATGATCGCTTGTGACTTTTCCCCCGTGTCCGTTCTCATTAGCCACCTCTTGCCGCGGAAACTGCTCAATCACCATGCTCAGACCAGATACAGGACGCTCGGGATCATGGGGTGAGTCGTGCTCGGAACCGTCTCGTGACACAGGCTCCGAAACCTCTGGTATAGCATCAGGATGGCCGTCATCGGAAGTTAAGGAGTCACTGTCTGGAGGGCTTCCATGGTGAGGAACATTGTCAGACAGAGCGAACGAAGCGAGTTCGGCGGTCTGATCTCGCAGTTCTGCCGAAGAAGAATATTGAGCAGGATCCAGCTGACCAAGGAAGGAACGGTGGTAGAAAGATCTCGCCGGAGTTCTTGCTGCTGGTTGACTGGAGGTGGAACTGGCTCGAGATCGACGCGTGGAATGAGAACGGTCAACAACAGGTACAGGACTGGTTTCGCCTGTAGTACTAGTACTGCGTTCACCCTGAGACTTTCTCCGGGAAGGAGATCCAGACATTACACCGGACCTCCTCGACAAGCCAGAGCTATGGCGCGCATGTTGCTTCGCCGCAGCTGTCGACATTTTCCCAGCTTATGAGGTTATCATGCTGGCCCGCACGCACATGTTACTCGCGGCTGCGATCAACACTAAGCTCTCAAACCTGCCGGTGACGGCACACGAGCGAATCTTCCAGCAAGAGGAGATGTCTGAACCAAAGATATGTCAGAGATCAAGAATATTGACCTGGCAGGCCAGCAATTGGTTTTGGACGGCGATTAAGCTTCTTGCTTTGGTCAACTTGCTGGCCAACCGGTTTGCTTCGTGGGGAGGAGAAGGACGGGTTTTCGGATGGAATGGTCGAACCAGCGGACGAGGTTCGGCCTTTGGGGATTGAGGACAGGGTATTCTGGTAGGGGCCGTGCCTGTAGCAGACTTCGAAAGCTTTAAGTTCTGCAGAAGAATTGACTCTCGCACCTGAATGCTGGCAGAAAACGGGCTCCGGGTCTCTCTCTCCCAGTGGACGAGAGGCTGGAGGCCGGTCGCCCAATGACGGCGGCGGGAGCGATAAGAACAAAAGTCGGACTTGGATCGAATCATGCAGATAAGAAACTTGGACACAGATAAGAGAATAAGAGACTAAAATCCTTAGTAATAATTGAGGTCTCTGGCCCACCAAGATACAAGGCTCCATGGTTGCCTCGTCTGGATGTTGGAGCTACTACTTGAGCTGAAGGTTCTTTCTTTATTCATCCTTCCAAGTTGCGAGCAATCGATACTTAGGTTTTTCGTCGGCCTTATCACTCGTCTGCACGCTGGTGTTGTTCCACGACAGTTCCAGTATTTGTGAATGTGCAACTGTCCAAAAATGAGGCGCCACGTTCACTATGCCCTCAATCCACAAGGTACACATGGGTTCCAAAGGGTCTCTATCCTCACGGACCTGCAAAGTACAATATCTGCGGAAAATCAAAAGGTTGCACCCGGATAGCGAAGGCAAACATACACACGTATGGCCATTTTTCATGAACAGAGCCTGCTGGAATTGCGCCCTGCCTTAAGTACAAGTATCTCTCTGCGCCGTCAATTGGTAATGCCGGTTGTTCCCTGTATCCCCCAATCAGTATCTCTTCAACCTCACTGCAACTGACCTAGACCTGAGCCCTTCAGTTTGCTATCTTGCCCTCCTAGCTTCTGGAGCGTCCCAATAACCAGAATCGTCTCGTTGACAATTCACTGCGGTCCTGCTTGGTGGCAGTCTCCGACGACCATGGCAACTGAATCTTGCTACAACTTTGCCAAATTGCAAGAACTGGCTCGGCTGGAGTGCGTTTCAGAACTCAGCTTGAGACCAGCACTCGGCAGGTTGACTTCCGCAGATGTCCCAAGCTTCGCAACGGCCGAACATGAACATCAGGCAAGTGAATTACTCGCTCGCGGTAAGATCTCCAATTCACTACTTCGAACCGTGAGGCGACTCGACAGCCGCACTTACACCAGTATCACCGAGCTTCTCCCCTCAGCGATAGAACAGGATGAGACTGCAGGCCTCGCTCAAGCTTTATTACGCCTATCGCCTGGCCCTGAAGCTATAAAGAAGGCAGAAAAAAGGGAGGACCAAATCAGACGACGCGAGGCACTATTGGATGAAGCGGTTCAGAAGAACAATATCGCTGCTGTCTGGTTGCTCGCCCCGGCATGTTCTCAATCGGGACGGGACCGCGCCCTAACTATTGCTGTTCGGGGCAGGAAGAGCAAGAAAATCATCCTAAAGCTCCTTCAATATGGGGCGGATCCCGGTCGATGTAAAGAGGAATTTTTGGAGGCCTGCCAAACAGGCGATCATGATCTCGTCGCCACTCTTCTTCAAGGCCCCAGCTCGATCAGTCCTATGGTCCTGTTCGATGCCCTAACCACGGCAACAAGGAGCGGAGATATACAAATTCTATCATTGCTCACCCAAGCTGCTGACCTGAGCAGTGCCCGAGACTTGGAGGCTGTCTCTGAAGCAGTCCGTAGCGCCAGACTCGATATGCTACTCCGCCTCCTTCTTTCTGCGAAGGCCCGCGACCCACGTGTCCTAGACCATTTGATCGGCGTGGTGTTCAGGATGTCTGGAACTGAGGCCGCCGTCAGACTCCGTATGCTGGATGCCCTGTTCTATGCTGGGCCCTCTGGTGAGACAGCGGCTTCCTGCCTTGCTGACGCTGTCTCTCAGGAGTTGATGGCCTTTGTCCATATATTCATCAAGCATCGCGTGGACATCAACTGGTCTGATGGTAAAGCAGCCGTTAATGCAGCTCAAACAGGCCGCAGTGCAGTTCTGAAAACGGTTCTAGCCGGCAGAGGCCTATTGGCAGAGAATGCTTCTCGAGCTTTGGGGTCTCTTCCAGCCTATGTTCCACCAGAAGAGAGGAGAGTTATTACCGAATTACTCCTGGACGCCGGGGCACATGGCAGTGCAGTCGATCATGAGCTTATTCTTGCCGTCAAGCGCAATGACGAAACGGCCGTTGATATGTTGCTCCAACGGGGCGCATCAGTCGACCGTGGTGGTGGCAAAGCCTTGATTGAAGCCATTAAACAGGAGCGTGTCGCACTTGTGCATCGTGTCCTCAGTTGTCCTATGAATAACGAGTCTCTAAGCAAAGCATTTCCATCCACCCGCGCCATCCAAAAGGCGCCTCGACTGGATATAACGAAGCTAATGCTTAAGGCTGGAGCATCAGGCGAGGCTGTTGATGCAGCTCTGAGAGATGCAGTATGTGATATGAGCGAGGACAGAGATGACATCCTGATCGCTGCGCTCATACAAGGAGGAGCGGATCCTGCATTTCGCAATGCTCAAAGTTTACGACATGCTGTTACGACACATGACGTGAAACTGCTGCGAGATCTTATGAGATGTCCAGTGAATGTGTCTGAGGGACTGGCATCTGCGCTGCTTGATGACATTATGAAGCTAGGTGAACGTGATATACGTTACAGCATGATCCAAGAGGCCATCAGGGGCCGTGCCAATATCAGCAGCGTGTCTAATGCGCTCATTGCCGAGCTATCGAGATGTACTTGCGATTCTGGGATAATCAAACTACTCCTCGGGCGAGGCAGAGCCGATGTTGGTCACGACGGAGGGAAGGCATTGGTCCTTGCAGCCCTACAAGCCCACACCGACAATTTGATGCTGGTCCTCTCTTCATCGACGGTCTCCTGTCAGAGTGTTGAAAAAGGTCTCTGTGCCATGTTGGAAAGCAGGAAGCTTGACGATGGCCAGAAGGCTGCAAGGGCTGAGATCATACTTGAAAGAACGAAGCCTTCGGAGACCAGTGCCAATGCCGGATTCTCTAGCTATGTCAAGTTCTGCAAAAGTGCGGTGTCCAAGGGCCGGGAGTGGCCACTCGAGACTTTCAAGGTCCTTGTCCGATTCGGAGCTGATATAAACACTGACAATGGCTCCACTTTCGCTTCCATCGTTGAACCTGCGGCAATCCCCCTGATGACTTACATTTTATCATCCGCTACCCTACGAAAAGATAACGCAGACAGGGCCCTTCTATGTTGCGTGGGTCTACCAGACACATGTGACAGATCTGAGGCGCTTCGTACGTTGCTTGGATGCCGTCCCACAAACGAGGGAGCTTCCATAGCTCTGATTGAAGCCACCAGAAGAGGATTTGTTGAGGTAGTGCAACCGCTGCTTCAGTATGGAGCCATGGCCGATTTCCAGGACGACGCTCCGATACGAGAAGCAGCCTCCAGAGGGAATGCAACGTTGTTGTCTTTGTTCCTAGAGGCGAAAGTGGCCAGAAGGTCCCTTCGAGCAGCATTCCAAGTGGCTGCTCAGTTGGTCCATCCTGAGTCAAGGTTCGAGTGTATTAAAACTATCCTCTCCGCGGGCTTGCGTGGTGATGTCGTTGATCTATACCTGGTCGGCCTGGTACGTGCCCCCGCGACGTCAATACAGGAGATCAAACTTCTCCTGGACCACGAGGCATCGGTCCACGCGCACGAAAGCCAGAGCCTCATTGTGGCAGCAACCTCGAAATCCGTTCATCTTTTGCGACTGCTGTTCACTAAAGCAGTCGCTCCCGAGAGTGCCAGCCTTTGCTTCCAGGCTTGCTTGGCGGGTCAGTTGATCCAGAGCAGCAAGGCGCCGATTCTTGAATTCCTCTTAGAGAAGGGAGTGGACCAGCACCTGAAAGATGCCGCATTACTACAGGCGGTGGAGGGTTTCCTCTCCACCTCAAGTGCTTGCCTCTCCTTGATGAGAATGCTTGTGCAGCACGGGGCTAAGGCAGACCTAGCTGATGGTCAGGCTTTGTGTCGGGCGTGTGAGGCCGGCAGCATTGACGCAGTCGTGGCCATCCTTCAAGCCAGCCCCTCAGTAAGGTCAAGGTCACGAGCCTTGCACTCCCTCCTCAAATCCGCTGTTTCATCGGCGGCTTTCTGCCACATTCTCGATCTGTTGATGTCTATGCCGCCGACGACAGGCTCATCCACTCCAAACTTTGCGGACCACCGCAATTCTTTCGTTTCACCGATCCGAGTTCTCTTGAAGCACAGACCGGGAGATGCGCTTGCACTGCAAAGGGTTATCAGTTGTGGATGCAACGTAAATGTTCTGACCCTTCCTCTCATGCTATTCTGACCTTGAACCCAGCTGACCGGCCGGACGGAAAATGATATCTTATGTTGGGCTATGTCTCAAAGTGATCCTCGAATCAAGACCGAATGCCTGCAAGTACTGATTCAGCATGGGGGTAGGACGCTCCATTGCGGCAGGGTTCAAATCTGCTAACCAATTGGATATAGCCAATGTCAATTACAGGGATCCGAACACCAAGGAGACGTTGCTGTTACTGGCTATGCGGACCGGGCGGATAGCTCTCATGAAAAGCCTGGTGGCGGCCGGAGTTGACGTCTCTGCTGCTAATGATAGAGGACACTCTCCGTTACTTATCGCCATTGAGCTGGGTAGCGATGTCATCGCAGAGACTCTCATCGAAGCTGGAGCGAACCCGAACGACGGAAGCTTACACCAGGCCGCGCGGGCTCTACAGCCGAAGCTTCTAAAAGCTCTACTCCGACATGGTGCCAACCCAAACTATCACTCCCGAGTGCACGGCGGTAGAACACCCCTGGCTGAAGTTTGTGTCTCGGCCAAGGTAACATCATCTTCCTACCAGGACGCAATAGTGGTCTTCACCGAACTTGTCAAGAGCGGAGCAGACATTGAGAAACGTGTGGACAGAAAACCACTCATCTGCATTGCGCTCGACAACCCTGACCCTGTCATGGCTGTTCAGGCACTCATTTCCACATGTCTTTCCGAAAAACGTATCGATGATGATTTCAACCTCTATGAACAGGGAGGCATGATGTACTCACCGACATATTATGTCTTCAAAGGGGTATTTCAAGGACAGCAAACACAAGCCGGTGAACTTGTGGAGCTTTTACTGCGGTACGGTGCAAACCGTGACGTTTACTATAGTCTCCGCGGACCGCAGCCTCCGGACGCTGTTGGTATGCCAGCACCCATTGCTGAAAAGGAAGCGAAGAGATTGGCAAGGGCAGAACGTATTGCCGAAGAGGAGGCTGACCATCGACGGAAGATGCAGCGCGCCGACGAGGAGGAAGCGCGACTGCGGAGGATTGAACAACAGCAACACGCCCTTAGGTACGAACGCAACGAAGAACTTGCCACCCAGACGCTCCAGCATGCTCGCCTCATGAACCTAGTCGAACAGGAACGAAAAGCAGGCGACATTGCACACGAGCAATCACTTCGCAAGATCCGATGGCAAAGGGGCCAGGACCGCCTCCAGCTACAACAAAGCGAATACGAGGAGGTCGAAACACACCGGGAGAGACTGTGTATCATGGATATGCTTGCGATCCAGCAGCGAAGGGCTCTCGAGTTGCAGAACCGCCGAGACTTCGACGAGGTGGAACGAGAGGCGATTAAGTACAAGGCCAGTATCGTGGAGGAGCTTGCAGAGAGGGAACATGGGCGGAAGACGGAGCTGTTGGCGCTCATGTCAACGGGACAACTTGGGCTGGAGGAGCCTGATGGCGGAGGGTATATCGAAGGGTTAGAAGAATCAGAATCAGAATCAGAATGAGGTGATGTTGCCGTAGACAAGATGAGACAAGTGGAGCCACGAGGCTGTGAGGCTGGGCAGAATAGTAACAGCGAGGACAATGTACGACTTACTAGTAACCGAACGAAAAGGGGAAGCGCCGAGGCTGGAGTCAACATACATACTACAATGATAGAGACCGCCTTAGTCAGCCGATTGAGCTGAGCCTCCACTGGCCACAAACCGGGGGATCTGGGGTGAACCGGATGACCCGTCACCGCCATCTGAGTCGGCTCTAATCTCGCCCAGTCCCCCGCTCCGAGGCATCTTTCGGCATCAGCTGGTGTCTGCACATTGTCGACTGTGACACCCTGTAAAGGGGCCGACATGAGATGAATTTATAACAAATATGTACTCAGGTTGGTATCTGTTTTCATGCTGACCTAGAGATTCCAGCCCGTGAGATCAGACCGTGGCGTTGTCATTCTGTACCTAGACCACCATTGTTTGTGCAGTGATTAAGATGTCCTCCTCCACGCCCATTCCCTTCTCCGAACCAGCCTGGCTCGCTGGCCTTCCCTCACCCTACTACAAAGAGACACACCGAAAATGGCAGAAGAAGTGTCGGGCCTTTGTCGAGGAGCATCTTCTTCCGTACGCCATAGAATGGGAGCGCGAGGAAACCGTACCGGAGCATTTGTACCAGACGTTCGCGAAACACAACATGTTGATCCCCAACATGGGCGCACCGCTTCCTGTGGAGTGGTTGAAGAGACTGGGGATCCATGACATCTTGGGCACGCTGGTCGAAGAGTGGGATTACCTGCACACGGGGATCTATCTGGATGAGATGAGCCGATCCGGCCTCGGTGGACCTGGAGGATCCATGACGGCAGGGCATTCGTTTGGTGAGTTTACAAAGCCTCTTTCTTCCTGGTTTGGGTGTCGACATTTCGGCTAATGCGTTTGTTTGTCTAAAACAGCCATTCCTCCGATCCTGAAATTCGGAAACAAGGCACTCCACGAGAAGTTCCTACCAGACCTGATTCCAGGCAAGAAACGATGCTGCATTGCAATCACGGAGCCAGGCGCAGGCAGCGACGTGGCCAATATTGCAACGACGGCGACCAAGACTCCGGACGGCAAGTTTTACGTTATCAATGGAGAAAAGAAATGGATCACCAATGGTGTCTGGTCAGACTATGCGGCCATGGCGGTGCGGACAGGCGGCCCCGGTGCGTCTGGACTAAGCATGATCGTGTGTCCTCTCAAGGGCCACCCTGGTGTGAGGATGCGACGGCTCAAAGTGGCCGGGCAAATCAGTGCGGGGACGACATACATTGAACTCGACGAGGTCAAAGTGCCCGTGGAAAACCTCATCGGCGAAGAAGGCCTGGGCATGCGCTACATCATGACCAACTTCAACCACGAGCGGTTACTGATTGCAGTGGGCGTGGCGCGTCAGGCGCGCGTTGCTCTCTCCGCGGCCTTTGAATATGTCATGAAGCGCGAGGCTTTCGGCAAGACTCTTATCGAGCAGCCCGTCGTGCGTCATCGGTTGGCTAAGGCCGGCGCCGAACTCGAATCCCTTCAGGCCTGGGTTGAGCAGTTCCTCTACCAGATGACGCAGCTGCCCAAGGCAGAGGCCGACGCCAAACTTGGTGGCTTGACGGCTTTGGTCAAGGCTCGTGCCGGAATTGTGTTTAATGAGTGCGCTCAGACTGCTGTCCTCTTGTTCGGAGGAAATGGATATACTCGTACGGGACAGGGTGAGATCGCGGAGAAGATTTACAGAGAGGTGCCTGGTGCAAGGATTCCCGGTGGCTCCGAGGATGTCATGCTTGATCTAGCGATCAGGCAACTCGTCAAGAATTATCGAAACGCTACTAAGTCCTTGGAAAGGCCGAGGGGGAGCAGCAGGCTATAAGTGCGTGGAAGTTGGCCGTTTTGCTGGGTATTTGTAGATTTGGGCTGTAAATCAAATCTCCGTCGCCAACCTAGGTTTTTTATGAGTACTTCCTATCTTATTAGATGCTCGGTTCATGTGTAGCCCTGGTCGATCGGACTGTCGCCGTAATGAGGTCTCCAGCCCATGGCTGTTCAGAAGCTTTATACTTGTTCCCAGATATATATATCACCTAGACCTGGTGGATGTACCCAGGGACTTATATATCTCCCTAGGTACTATATGTATCTACTACTCAAGCTGTCTCGTACGGACTGCAGTAGCACACTGGGTACATTGTTCTACTACCTATGATGACTGAGATGACTACGCCCTTTCGGCGTCAATTAAGCCGACCGGAGCCTCCCCGAACCCCCACGCTCCTGCCAGTTTGCCGCGTTCAATGGAACTTCGTTTCGGCCGACTCTACCCCGCGCCCAATGTTTGAGGACTTGGACGAACATCCCCGTCGGTACTCGGTATGCCTACCGTAGGTAGGTCCAGGTAGAAACACTGCCTCTATTTTATTTTTCTTTGCTTTACTCTATTACTCACATCCCCTACGACGACAGCTGAGCTTACTGCCGTCCCAGCAGAGTCAGCAAGAAGGCAATTGGACCTGGTCTGTCTGTCTCAGTCTCTCTCGTTGTCCGAACCGACCCTCCTCCGACCCTCCTCCGACCCTCGAGAAAACCGGCGCACTGCAGTCGACTCGACTCGCTACAAAGATGGCGACCGTCATGAAAAACGCAAACACGCTCCGCAAAGCCCTAAACACGGGTTCGGGCCTCTCGTTCGGGGCCTGGCAGATGCTTCCGGGGTCACATCTGTCGCGGACGATTGCGCGGGCAGGATATGATTGGATCTGTATTGATTGCGAACATGGGAATATTGCAGGTGAGATTCAGTCCCAAAAAAGACATATAATAATACCTACTCCACTACACTCCGTATGTTATTAGCGATTCTAATGCTGATACTGATGGACTGCTAGACAACGAAATGCACGAGTCCGTCCACGCCATTGCCGCCTGCAACGTCAGCCCGATTGTGCGGATCCCCGCCAACGAAGGGTGGATGGTCAAGCGAGCCCTGGATGCCGGAGCGCACGGAATCATTGTTCCGTTGTTATATAGCGTCGAAGATGCGAAGAGACTGGTTCAGACGGCCAAGTTTCCTCCGGCCGGCAAGAGAGGGTTTGGCAGTCCGTTTTCTATGGGCGCGTTCGATGTCAAGGGCGACTTGTCTGGTTATGAGTATATGAAGAATGCGAATGAGAATCTTTTGACTGTTGTTCAGATTGAGACTAAGGAGGCTTTGGAGTCGGTGCGTATAAAACACCTCTCTTTCATGCTTGTGATCAAACATGCTTGAGGGCTTCGCTTGACTGACTGTTGGTGGGTTGTCTAGGTCGAGGAAATTGCCAAGGTTGATGGCATCGATGTCCTTTTCATCGGACCCTGGGATCTGGGTAACAATATCGGATACCCAGTCACCGGAGATTTTGCTCCAGAACTTAAGGCAGCTATTGAGAGGATCCTGAAGGCCGCTCAGGCTGCAGGTAAAAAGTCCGGGATTTACTGCCCCTCTGGCGAATTTGCCAGACGATATGCCGATATGGGATTCCAAATGGTGAGTTTCTGGTCAACTGCCGCCACATTAGATTTCGCAATAGTTGTGGAGCTGCTGCTGACAGGATATCAACTTTAGATCTCCGTCGTCAACGATATGACTGCCATCCCCACGTTCATGGCAGAATCGCTGTCAAAGGCCAAGGGCTCATATGGCCATGCGGCCGCCCAAGCTGTCAAGGGAGCAGCATATGGAGCAGTCAACTTGGTGTCCCAGGATCAGAAGAAATGAATAAAAATTCATTGTCTCTTTCCGAGCGTCTACCAATAAAATATACCTACCCCACAAACTGGGTAGTACGTCACTCATATAAAAAATCAATGTTGTTCGACCTCGTCCACTGCCTTCTCCACTTCTTCCACGGTAAAGCGATGCATGAGTTTTTTTGCGGTGTCCAAGGTTGGGCCAGGCGGGCTGGTAGTTGCTTTATCCACGTGTAACACGGGCACGTCGAAGTCGTAGACGTCCTTCCATTTCTCGTGGCCTGGACTCATAATATCTACCTCCTGGTAGTCGATGCTCCGTTTCTTTTGCACTTCGGCAATGCGTGACTTGGCCACGTCGCACAGTCCACAATTTGCACGTGTGAAAAGTGTCAATCGGACCGCAGCCGTGCGGAGGACAAGTGATGGACGCATGCTGAGAAAGCCGAGTAAGATAGCTGAACGATTTTGAAATAGAGTCTGAAATAGAGAAGATCGGGGGATCGTAGGTCTCAATCGACAAGCTAAAGCAGAGTTTCACGAATGGGCAGTGTACTACTTCGGGAGGTTGTATGCCGCTGCTTTATGCATGCCGTTGCTCTGGTCTATCTCTTTCAGGAATGTTTCTCGCCGCTCTAAATGCTTATTTCCACCGCGTGAATCAACCTTGACCTGTATTTGTTGTACATTGTAGTTTCCATCAGCAGTTAACACTCCTGCAAGCCGCGCCTTCTCGTTGTTCTCCTGTAAAGGTGAGGAGATCTTGTCCAGGAAGGTCATGGCGAAACCACCCTATATGATTCCCAGCTATATGCCAGTGTCCTCAGGTTCTTTAACTAACAAGATATTCATGGTCGGACATCCTCACATCGCATTCGCGGCACGACCTGCGCTCTGTCCAAAGAAACTCCTTGACCTGGTCTGCACAGAGTAGGTGCATTTATCATGGCGCGTACTAACACACGTATGCGAGATGAGACAAGTTCTGCCACAGCCTCCAAGTAGGCTCAGTGTCTGCGGCTTGCTTGCTCAGACCGCAACTGTTCAAATCTTCTCCGCCTCAAATTGCTTCCGGATTACAGCCTTGGTAGCTAGGTAAGGATGGAAAGTACATTCTCTGGTACTAGGACAGCGTTGTGTGCCACGTCCATTCCAACGCACCCTCAGGTGACCACAAAGGTCCGTTATGGACCGTCCAATTCCGTGGGCGGAGCCATGAGCCAAGCCAACGCCTTCAAAGACGACCGCAGAACAGGTGATCTCTTGTTGTGATAAACGCCTATCTAGGCCACACTTCACTCGACGGCCGCACTTCACTCAACCTCTTTACTTTCTCACTCCAATCCATTCAAAATGTCAGATCACCAGAGTTTGCCCCTTTCAGCTGAAAGTAGGGCCCTTCTCACAGCTCTCCTGGCAGCTACGGTGAAAGCCGAAGAAGATTTACGAGTATCGTCCTCGTCAGCGCGGTCCTCCAGAGGTGGTTTGTCCAACAAGCGATGTGTGAATCGAAGTGCTAACCCGAGCAAAGTCAACAATTCCCGTATTACCAACAGAGTTCCTCGACGCCGACCCATTTCGTCTTCAAGCTCAATGGCTGCTGACCGTGAGAGCAGCTCACATGAAGCCACTCTTCCTGTTGTACAGGATGACAGTACCCATTCTGGTTCGCCCCTTTGCCAATTCGGAAGTGGAAGTCTGCCCGCGCCTTGTGAGCAGTTCGACTTCAGCTTAGAGCCGCTGACGGACGTCAATATGATTCCTGAAGAGCTCCCAAACGCGTCGATCTTTACGGTTGATATACAAACTGCGAGTCAGATCGGCCGGCAGATCGCTTCAGAGACTGCTTCTGTGCTTGAGCTGGTCCGCCCCGGCTGCAAGCGTTCTGGTCTTGATATGCTTTTGGCAGAAGCTAAACGCCTAAGTAAAGATCAATCTGCTCCTCCATTGAAGACGATCGCTGTTGTTGGTGGATCGGGTGAGGGTATCATACACATAATGAACAGCTTGTTAATCCTGTGATCTGACGGACTCTAGGCAAAAGCAGCGTCGTCAATTCGCTCCTTGATTTTCCGGAACTGGCCAAGACAGTAAGTCGTTGGAAACTATCCTGCGGTGCCTTGAAGCTCATCTTGTAATCTAGGGAGATGTCGGAGAGGTCTGCACAACTGTCATTACAGAATACCGCCAGAAGACAGAGGACCAGCATGGCGCGATCACAATTGAAGTGGAGTACCTTTCAAAAGAAGCGGTCAAGCACCATATTGAAGAGCTGTTGTGGAGCTATCGAAACCAACATTACCTTGACACGGCTGATGAAAAGGGTTCTCTGAGGGATGCCAAAGGCCAATCCCGTCTAAGCAATAGAGACCATGAGTACATCGAACTAGAAGCCGAACGCGCGTGGTCGGCTCTGAAAGCCGCATTTGGCCACCACTCCGGCTTTGGACGAGAAATGCTTACTAGTCAGACGCGCAAGACTTCGTCGATCGTTGCACAATTGGTGCAGTGGTCTCAAGAGCTGGAGTGGGCAAAGGGCATCGTGAACGGAAAGTGGCAAACAACAGCTAATGATGCTGATGAGTGTTGCGAGAAAGTCAGCACGTTCATGCATGACAAATTCTGGCCGTTCACAAATATCATCAGGTGGGTTACGAATCCAACTATCGGTGTTCGCGGCACTGACAGCACTCTCAGAATCTTCATTGATGCTCCGGTTCTTAGGAGTGGAGTCATCATTGCAGACTTGCCAGGTAGGTTGTGAAAGAAACCTACAAACTGACAAGTTCAACTTACACGGCTGTAGATCTATATGACACAAACCTTGCCCGGCGTCGTCTGACGCAGAAATATCTTCTCCAAGTTGACCATGTCCTGCTTGTCACCAACATCATGCGAGCTAAGACAGATGCATCGTTGAGCTCCTCGCTCTACCAGGATCTTCTCCAGCACATCCCTATGGAGGAGGTATCAGCTGGGCTGATTTTAAAAATGGCTATCGTCTGCACCAAGATTGATGTAAGGAGGATCAATATCAGGGGCCAGAACAGAGGAACGCTAACCAGTCTCAGGACATCAATATGACCGCCAATCGACGAGCATTCTGCGGCGAGAACAAACCCATCTCATTGCGAGATATGGCTCGTCTCGAGGAGGAGCTGAAAAATGCCAAGGCGATGGACAATGAAACGCTTGCCAAAGCCTTGAAGAGACAGTATGTTCACATCGCTATGAGGATCCCCTATCTAGAACTAAACTCGCGGTGTCCAGACAGAAAACCATGCTCATCCGCGCCCGGAACAACCATGTCACTACCGCTTTGCAAGCTGCTTACGCTTCGGAAGTGCGTGGTGGGAAGCTGGACGTGTTTTGTGTTTCAAACAAGCTGTACGACAAGTATCGGGGCTCCCATGACGCCGACCTGCTTCAAATTAGCGGCATTGCAGACCTTCGGCAATTCTGCACTTCCACCACGAAAGATGCAAGACTGTTACGGGTTCAGAACTTCCTTCGCTCTGAACTGGCCGGCCTGTTAACTTCTGTTGATTTGTGGGCCACCCGTCCGTTGCGTACTGGTACCAGTTCGCAGATGCACGGTGCGCTGCGCGGCGCCGTGGCGGGACTGAAGTGGCAAGCATTGAACGAAGTGGTAATGTTCTCCTGCTGCATTCGAATGTTCGACACTGACCCACTCAGACCGCTACCGGCATCATGGAAGGTCGTAACAGTCTGCACCAGGACTTCGTCCAGAATCTTTTCAAATTTTTCGGTGGGTGGACACGTTCTCACTGGGCTTAGGCACATGTGCTAACAGAGACGTAGAACGAAGAAACGATGAATGGGAACGCGAGGCCGCGCAGCGAAGCCGGGTATGGACAGGCTGGCAATGGAGTAGGTCTCCGTCAGAGCACGGCTATTTGAAGCACACTGCTGACCAATACCTCTACAAAAGGCCGACTTAAAGCATGGGTGCTCCGATACGGCAGTCATACCACAGTCAAAGGAGACAAAATCGACTGGAATGCAGAGTTGATCTGGAAGTCGAGAACGGAACTCGATTTCCAGTGGAGTTTATTGCTCGAGGATTGCATACCCGAAGCATTCGAAAAGCTCTCTGAGAAGATCAAGGGCCACACCCAGCGTTTGACGAAGTCTGTCGAAGGTAAGTTGCCTCTCGTGTGCCTGTTTGGAAATATCTCTGTTGCACTGAGTGCTGACCTTGGCCAACCTGTGATAAGGCGACGTACCAGTCTTCGCGCACAGCCTCGATCTAAAACTGCGGGCCATTGAATATGAGTTGACTCAAGCTCGACAACTTTTGCTCCAGAAATTGAGGTTCGTACCCCGTCTCCTATTTTCGATACGTCATGATAAGCTCTTGTGCGCCCTGGCTTACATCGACTGCTACCAAACAGGTCAATTCGCCGAAACAGTTTCGAGCCGAACGCGGGCTCGTACGTTCTTGCAGAGATGATTCCAACGTACAGATCGGCTGCAGAGAAGTATTATGGTTAGTACTAGCTTTGTGTTGCGGCAATTTTTGTTCGTTTCCATTACTACCAAAAACCATCTACTGACAAAATCGATCCACCCAGGTCATGAACAAGCATCCCGACAGAATGATATCGTACAAGGTCGAATCATCCTCGACGGTACCTTGTTTCCCAACATCAGCAGCCGAATTGTTCACGACATCACCTCTGCGCGGCAACAAATCTTCAATGAGCTGAGCCGCTCTCTGGAGAAATTGTTTCGCCTCGATTGCGACAATCTGGAGTACGCTTTAGATTCTGACAACAAAGCCGTGTTGCATATCAACCAAGATAGGGTTCTCATGGAGCTGCTGAGTGGAAGGATCCAACGACTTCAGCTGCAGCATCAGAACCTGCTCGAGAGGTTTCCGCAGCTCTGATGACGGATTCTCGGGGCATGAATAGAAGCTGGGCACGGATAGAAGGCTGCGTGGGGAAGAAAGGATGGCATATGGATAGAGGAACGTTAAATCGTTGATAGAGGAACGGCCAGGTCGGTCTGGGATCGTCACTCTCAGTCAAGAGAGTGTGGCACTGTGTGCAGCCATCAGCTGAGATCCAGACGAAGACAACTCACAGCCCGGCCTAGGAAGGATACCTAGGTATTTGTCTGAAGTACACAATCCCTACTCAATTGTACGATTACTACCTTTTTTTATTCATGATATGCTTGTTTCTCAACTCAGTAGCTCCCATCCATGTCGTTCTTACCATGCTTGAGAAGTAAACACAGGCAGTCGCCCTGATATGTTACCATGAGACACATTAGGCATACATCATGGTCTGTCTGAAATCCGTTTGATCCTGACTTATTATGCTGGTGGTACACTTGTTCTAATGCCTATCTTTCTTCTCATACTTGACTGCAGTGGTACAAATACATTGGCAGCCCAACTCTTCGATTCATGCATGTGATATGTTAATAAATCATACCCACGGGCTATATGATCATTAGGAGGCCCTGCAGCCCTTTGATAGTGGCTTCCATGCTGTTAGTACATGTGTTTCGACAAGGGTTTACTTGATATCCTAGAGGCAGTAATACTATTATACTGCTAGTGAGCGAGCAGCTTGTTCCTCAAGATCGCCGAGTCTATCGTTGCACAGCTGTCATACCTATCGATCTCTTACTTTGCTCAAGTAAGGAGTTGCAAGATACACAAAGGAGCCGCCCAGTTGAGTTGGCAGCGACCTGAGCTCACATCCTATCACGAGATATATCATACACTGAAAGGCCGTCGACAGGACGCTTCTTGAAAGTGACTTTTCATGTTGCTGGTACACGTGTTGCCGCGTCTGTCTGTCTTACTATGCTCAAGTGACAGTGGTAAAAAATACATTCGGCTGCCGCCCTCAATCCGATCATGAGATAGCGCATTAAATTATACACGGTGGCCCGTCAGATAGCCTCCGAACCCGATTGAACATCCTGTTGGTACATGTGTAGCCACAAGCCTTTGTTTGGTATTCTAGTGGCGGTGAAAGTGGCAGTGGAAGGAGTAAACGGAGCCTTGCTTCTCTCTTTCAATGATATTACCCTTCTGGCGTCCGGACTTGGGAACCAATTCCCTGTTCCCCTCTGGTTCATGTCACAACTCTGGTGCGTCTGCATCCGGATGTAAATAGATGTGGATGACAAGAAAAAAGACAATTGTTCAACTGTCATGGCCCGTCTTTGGTCGATTTTCCCGTCTTCAAATGATCTTTCGGTTCCTTTTACCTTTTATCGCGTTCTTTTCAAGATCTGTAGCGTGGCGGAGCTCTCATCTCATCTCCATCTCAGTTCTTCGTTTGGTCTCTGTTATACACTCAATACGGCCCTCTGTAGGAATCGCCACGGACACCCCTCCCCATGGGCTGATGATGTTGGCTCGACATAATAGGGACATGAGGCAGATCGGAATCTGAGCTACGCTCCGCGTTGGCAGACACACTTTCTCTCTGCTCGGTGTTGCCCAGCCCAGCTTCTCTGGTCTTTGTGATATCTCGAGCACCAGTATTGAGACGCAGCTTGTCGGCGGTGATAAGATCTTCGTTTTTGGGCGGAGTCCACTTGCTGCTCTTCCAGGGCTTGACTTCGAGTAGGAACATGGTGTCGATTTCCTCGAGCGACCGCCCTGAGGTCTCGGGGAGAAAGAAGTAGACAAAGAATACGGCGAACAGGTTGCAGCCCGCGAACACGTAGCCGTAGGCGTAATTGATGTTGCCGGTAATGAAGGGCGTAAAAAAGGCGATGAGGCTGATAGGAGAAAGTTAGCGCAGAGTCAGCAAAACAGGGGGTAGCCTCGAAAAAGTGGAAATAGTCGGCACCCACAAGTTAAACAGCCAGTTGCTTGCGGCACAGAGGGCGATACACTGCGAACGGTAACGAGATGGATATATCTCTGCGGTAATTGCCCAAGCCATACAACCCCAAGTACTCGCGAAGGCGGCGATGAAAAGACACGAGAAGATGATCATAACGTAGCCGATCGTTTGGTTGTGGCTGCCGTCCGGGTTCTCGAGTTTAAACTGACCGAGAGAGGCGAAGATAAGGAAACACATAAACATCCAGGCTGCACCAATCATCAGGCACCGGCGTCGGCCGAACTTTTCCACGAAATAAAGTCCCGGGAAAGTGGTTCCAACATTCACTGCGCCGAGAATGATTTGGGTCACGTAGGAGTTGGATAGCCCCACGCTGGCAAAGACGGTTGTGCCGTAGTAGAAAAAGTAGTTGGCGCCCGTCAGCTGCTGCAGTGCTTGTATAGTTACGCCCAGAAGTGTGCGGTATAACATCCGGGGCCCAGTGACGACTTCGTACCATGGGTGCCTACCGCCCTCGAGTTCGATCTGGAGCTTCTCTTGCATTTCCACCAGTTGGTCCCTGACCACTCGATGGCGCTCCGACACACCGTGGAATTTGGCGATGCTTCTCGTGGCGGTATCGATATCACCGTGGCGGTACTGATGACGGGGGGTTTCGGGAAAGAACAGAATCCCTAGACCGAGCACAATGGCAAACAGGAATCCGATGCCCATGGGAATCCGCCATGATGCAGTGCTACTGATGCTCTCTGTGCCGAAGTTAATCAGGTTGGCGATCAGGATGCCGATAGTGATGAAAAGCTAGAGCGCGCGTGGTAAGTAAAAGTACTGGCGATCCGACAGAACTGTGGAAGAGATCTCTGGGGAAAGATCGACTCACCTGGTAGCAGCACACAATCGCACCTCGAACATGTCGAGGACTAGATTCACCCTGATACGCCGGAACCATGACTGATAGACCTCCGATAGCCAGGCCGGCTATAATACGACCTATCATGACTTGATACCAGCGCGGCCTCAGTGCACCCATCTGCACGGCAACACCAGCGCAGAACACTACTGACCAGATGCAGATCGAGTATTTGCGGCCAATAGTCCTGTTGTTTGCAAGTGGACCCGCGATGAGAGCACCGATAAGGGTGCCGATGGAGAGCTAACGACGTACATCCCTGGTCAGCCATACTTGTTCAAATGCACAGTACTACAAACCCAGGGTCTGGACTCACCATGCCCACGATCAAGCCTGATCGGATATTACCAAATTTCAGAGGGTCTCTCTTATCCGCAAAATTCTCCAGGAAATTGTCCATTTCCAAAAACCCGGAAATCTGGCCTCTGTGGCAGGAGTCAGTACTATCTCATGCAACGAGAACAACGCTGCTTTGCTCCCAGCGATATTTTTCAACACCACATCAAAGACATGGATACTCACGTGTCATATCCGAAACACAGACCGCCCATGGAGACGAGGACGGCCATGAAGAAGGTTCGGAGCGTGAGGAAGGGCATCTTTGAGTCATCGTCAAAAGGACCCTTTTCAGTCTCGACGTCGGCAACCTCTCCTGTGGCTGTGAACGACGACCGCACCGAGTCTCCTCGGCGGGCGGTAGGAGGCTTTGGATGAACCATGTCTATTTAGGATACTACTTGATTGGTCGAACACAAAGGTTTCAGATGTCACTTGAGCTGGATGAACCTCGAAACATGGGCTCGAGCAGGCGATGAGAGGGTTTTCAGGTCGGATTATGCGAGGAGGAGATCCTCTTGTTTGTATGTATACTGTAACCCACATGGAGTTGCAAGCGGGGCGTCGTTAGAAACGCCTTGGACGTCATTCATGTTGCTGAAGGCCGGGCTTAACACCTCGTTAAGATCTGTACCCCGGCCTTGACAAGAAAATGGATCCAGTGGTTGCGGCAAGATCCATCCTCAACGGGCCCTTGTAGACGTCATAAAGGGGCCAAAGCCTTACGTTGTACATTACCACAGACCAAGGCTCCCACGTGACGGACAGTCTTTTCTTCGCTGCCAAGCTGGTCAGGGTCTCGTTGCGACCATTGCGAGGCCGCCGATTGCACAATGAGCGAGGATCTGGGGTAGCCCATGCCGTTGATCTCTGCTCATCAGCCCAGTTCAGGTTGGCCATCCCGCCTCCAGGACGGGTTGGCATTGCCGAATACTAGCACATAGCGAATGGACGACAGCCGGGAAATGCGTGCCAACGTAGTATCACAGGTGGACTTGAAATGGATGCGGCAACTCCATCCTGTGAAAGCTGCGACCCTTGTCAGTTTGCAGACTTTGTCGCGTGAACGGGAAATGACGTGGTCCCGGTGCCTTCTGAAGCGAGTGGCGCTCCACTCAACAAAGTTACACCCTGGGCGAAGTTCGGCTTCTCGAAGCCTGCAGTGGAACATTGCCAAATGACAGGTAGCAACAGATGCTCGTCAATCAATACCTAGGTCCTTAGTAGGTATAGGGATCAATATAGAGATGGATATAGGTTACCATGGAAGCAGTACGGTATTGACAAAGAATCAATATAGGACTGGCCCACGCGCCGTTTTCCCATAGCGCTGCTTTCACCATCGAGCGCTCGTGTTCTCCTTGGAGACGATTGTTACGCAAGGTACGTTCATAGATCCTTGATCTCTTTTAGGATCCACTGTAGGCAAATTAAGATCTACCATTGTGGCACGAGTCGTCCGCCTAGAAAAGTCAAAGACAGGCTCGGTGGACTCTTTTTCCAGTCCAGAATGACTAGGGTGGCGGCCGCGAAGCGTGGGAATATCTGGTTTAAGGATCGCTGTGGGTTTTGGAGGGTACGGAGTACTGTATATGGATTCTTCATCCCTGCATTGCCGGTCCAGTCTCAGCCTGATCCATGCTGGGGACCACGGGCCCCCGGTTGGATACTTTTAGCCTCGTTGTGTAAGAGGTTGATGCCACCCCGTGGATATACTGCAGCACGACTGGAGGTTTCGTGGGAGGGGTCGATCATTTGCCCAGCCCATCCTGCTCCGGTTGTTTGCTTTCAGATTCCTTTGATGCCGACCAGCTGGAACTGGAGTTAGGGCTTTGCCAGCAACGCCATCAATGTCGACCGTGACATTGTGCAAGGTCCATCATCAACCACAGTACCTTTCAGCGACAGGATAATGGCTTTCGTTGTCAAACATATGCCAAAAATCATTCTTGCTGGCATTTCATTCCCTCCCCTCATCCTCGGGAGCCGCACGTATTCGACGCTTTTGCACAATCGGGGGATGCTTTTAATTCTGCGAGCATCGTGGGACTCGCAGGCACAAGTGGTCACTTCTCTTGATCGCTCACAGAGACTCCGGACCTAGGTGGTTTCTTGAGAAGGCCTTCTCCGGTACCCGGATGGTCGTCGACAGAGGTGTGGTAGAGGCTTGGCTTCTGGTGGCATCTGCACACTGACCAGATGGCTGACTAGTCTCGCGGCATGTCTTCTTTGAGCTTTTGCAGGCCTCGACGGCCTCGATAGGCGTCGAGGACTCCCTCATTCTGCGTACGGGGCGCCCCTGCTTCTTCCTCCTGCACGGAGCCCAGAGGTTTTGCTTGTTTTTCGGTCAAAAATTTCGACTCTTTTTTCTCGTCCGCTCTCGCATCCCTGAAGAGCTCCACGCCTTTTGTGCCTTCAACTGGATCTAACACACCGTGTCTGCGCAGGCTTTCCCGTCGCATGTCTAGCTGTCCGCCATCTGCTTCGCGGTGCAGTCTCGCGTTTCTCTTGGCTGCTCGTATAGAGGTGACCGAGTAGGTGTAGAGGAGCCCGGCCATTACAATGGCGGCAATGGGGGCAGTGAGAGTCTGCAGCATGTCAGCTTACGCCTGGAGGCACCGCGCTTCTGTTTGCTTACCCGAGCATTCCACACGGTGCTTTTGTGTCGAGCCATTGTTCTCCAGGCTGTCCCGCAGGACGATTCTTAGTATCTTAGAATTATCTTAGCACAGCACAGACTATGCAATCGGAGCATCATAGAGAGATGCAGCAAAGAATGTCTGCAATACTACAGTTGTAGAAAAGTTGAAACTGAAGCGTGTGATGGCATGATCCGAGAGATTTACGGGCCGTATGATTGGGCTCCAAACGCAGGCAGCGTCCGAACCCGTTTCTCCGCAATTTTGGCGACTGACGCTGTTTAGCACTGGCAGTCCGGGTAGAAACCGCCTCAATTACAAGGAGAGCAGCACAAATCTTCGAGTTAACGAGCTCGTAGGTACGCTGCAGCTGTCGGCTGACGAGGCAGCCTCCGTCTTAAGCATGTGCAGCAACCTACCTGGTGTACAGCTTCCAGCAGACGAGAGCCCGCATGATTTTCAGAGCATTTCCCGGTATTGCAGCCTCTGGTACTCAGATTTTATATGTTCTCCCCTTGAGACAGGCTTGAAACAAGGGCAGGCCAAGTAGCAATTCCAAGGAAAACACTTCGCGGAAACCATACTGTACCTGTACCTGGCAATCGCCTGCCTCGATACCCGTTGCTGCAAATCTGAGCTGAGATGCTTGTTGACATCATGGCGCACCCTCGATGGCTGCATCATGATCCGCACAAAGCGGATCGGCCAACAAATGATCAGGGCAGATGCGGTGACAAGCAGCAGCCCGGGACAACCAAGCAACCGCCGACCATGCACAATTCTACTATCCACAACGACGACATTCATCCTGGCACGGTTGTTGTAGTAGTTGTATACTATATGTTGTAGATATCTAGACGGCCAGCTTCCTTCAAGCCAAACAGAGCAGGCCGACTACACCAGAACTTCGGCAACCATAAGCCTGAAGCCGGAGACTCAAAAGACGCAACACACCTCGGCGACTCACCCGGGCGTGCGCAGTTTCTTATCGTGGCTCTAGTAGAATCTACCTGCTGCTAGTACTAGTCGCTGTCGCCGTCGCCATCGCGGCCTCAAAAAGAGACCCTTTTGGAGGCTAGCGCATTTGCTCCGTTTGGAGCATTCGCCTGGCAGCTGTTTATCATCCAGACGCTTGCCAACGACATCGGACTGATATCCTCCATCCCATCCGCCCTCCGCCTTTTTCACTTTCTACCATCTAGAGGCTACATTCCAAATTCTGCCTCCGTTATTATATCTCGCTGACAGGCGCCCACCATATCCGGCCATACTAGTTAGTACCTGGTATTTTCTCGCCTTGGAAAACCATCGCAATCTGACGCAGTGCCTTGCCGCCCCACAACCAAATCACAAACAGTTCTGCCTACGACAACGGCGACCGGCTACCCTCCTATATCAAGTCGAAGATTCTGCGAGGCCCCGGCAGTCTCCCAATAGCTATTCTTGGGCCACACTACTCGCCGCCAATATTAAGACCAAAGGGCTCCTTTCCTGCCGCATCCGGAGTCCGCCTTTCGCATCTGCGGCCCGCGGTCATTCTCGAGATATCCCGAGACCAAAGCCAAGATGACCTCCTTAATATTCGGAACAATATGGCTAGGCCACAAAGGCTTTGTCAAGCATAAGCGCGACAAACAACGTCAGAAAAACTACGAGCGTTGGGAAGGTCTGCGTGACGAGTATGATGAGCAGAGAAAGATCACCAGAGAATCGAGATCTCTTGACATTCAACGAACCGGGTCAGAGTACGCTGCGGATCCAGATGCCGACCGTCCAATCCTCACTCTACGAGACCAACAAGAGGCGAACGACGCCCGTACCGGATGGCGACCTCAAGAGGCGTGGGATGGGCCAGTTTCGCGCCGGACCAGTGTGGAAGTCATTGCGGGTTCGGGCCTGAGGCCTGTCGCACGTCACAAGACAGGATCGACGTGGGATGAAGATTTACCGCCACCGCCCCGAGTGAGCCGGCGCAATTGGGATGACTATCAAGCGTCGAACCAGAGCGGCAGTCTCAGCAGGAGTGGAAGTGTCAGGGTTGAAAGTCATGTCGCCAGTGGAACACATACGCCTCGAGACGAACGTAGCAGAAGCAGAACGCCGTCTGCATTTTCGCGGACGGCATCTCCTCGACCGGAAAGGTCTGGGCCGACGACAGCCGCGCATCATTCCAGGAGTGTCAGTGCTCCCGTTGACCTCGATCTTCTTCAGGAAGCCGTGGAACCGATCGAGAACCCGGTTCCTGGTGGGAAAATGGCCGAGTTGATAGAGATGGGAGGTACCGAACCAGTACAACCACAACCGACACAACCTGTCCACTTGACCAACAGTCCACCACTGGTTCCATATGCCACTGGATTTCCGCCGCCAGTCTCTAATCCTAGTTCCAATCCATTTGTATCTCAAGCTGCTCCTGTCCTGCAGCCTTTGGCTACCGGCAGTGTCACACAGCCTCCTCCAATTCAGCCGGTCGACAGTCAACCACCTCTATCACAAACTCTCTCGCCGATCACCGAAGGCTTCACAACGAGCCAACCCTTTTCTGCACCTTACTCGCAACCGTTCTCGCAGCCATTGGCTCAATCCATGGCGCAGCCTACCATGTCTCCTATGTCTCCTACCTTCCCGCCTACCACGTCACAGGCCCCGTCTCAACCTTTTGCCCAGCCTCAGTCCCAGCCTTTCGGCCAGGCTAGTCCGGGAACTATGGACGAATGGTGGAACAGACCTTGAAGAGAAAACCTTCTCATATGTTTTACGGCCTGGTGCCCACAAGTGTGGTTTCGACGCATACAATGCGATCCAACAGTTGACAGGGAACGACTAATGATCCTGACGGCAAAGCCACTTCGCAAGCTATATGGCGTCGAACAACCCTCCACGAGATCATGCTTCCGTGATCCATTAAATCCTTGCCTGCGCCTCAAGAGCCATTGAGAGGGGATTGTCGGATTTCTCCTGACTCCTCTGTCTGGACGAGCGGGTGCCGAGACGGATCTTCCGCTGATCTTGACAGAAGAAGGCGATTCAACGACTCTGACCTATGCGACTCGAGCAAGGATCCAGGGAGAAGATGAGGGAAGAAGCGCGCAGAGCCATGATATATAGCGATTGTGGATTCATGAACATGCAGGAATGTACATTATTTGAAGGCGATATCTAACGTACATCAACATTGAAGTCAAATACTTGCACCTACACACACACACACACACACACACACACACACACACACACACACACACACACACACACACACACACACACACACACACACACACACACACTTAAAGTATGCTTCTCACTCTCATTCTTGCGTCCTTCTACGGAAGCCCGACCAATCCGTTGATTTCTACGCACAGTGCATGCTGGGTAGTCGTGAGTACTGATCGATTGATTCATCCGTTCATCTATAGATTTCATATTCTACTCGCAGATGGACATGGGGAGCCAGTTTATGGACTCGTATTCGTTCCACTCCATTTGGATCCTATCCAATCCAATTTTAGTCTCGTCCCTACGGCATTAAAAGTTGACTTTGCACTTTCGGTGGTAGACGAGAACCCAGTTCACCTCCTGCCTCTTGTGACATTGATTACCGGTGCATTGATATGTCTCAGTCCAAAGGTTTCAAACCGCAGCAAAATCAATCAAATCGTTCCTGAGTTCCGAGTTTGCTTGTCTCGCTGGGAGAGTGGGTAGGACGCCGAAGATGGGTCCCTGGGAAGGGTGTGAGATTGAGATTGTCTCGTCTCAGAAGCGCCATGGAAGCAGCAGTCCGGCTCCTAGGCACCCTCAGGGTAGACAAGAAACCGAGGCTGTTGAACAGTACGTAGGTTGCGATGGAGTTGACTTTCGATCCTGATACTGCTTGCGTTGCGCTGTGTTCCGCTCTGAGACTGCTCCTCACAGTGTACTGCCTTGCGCCGAATTCCTTCGCCAAACAAATGATGGCGTGCAACACCAACATTGTAAGAACATGGTCCTGGGCGCACTTATTCGCTTGACCGGCCATGTGTTATCGGCGTGGCAGTGCCTCGCCTTGCTCGGTCTCGACGCCGGGTTGGAACGTGACAAAATGACTGCGATTGCCATCCAGCCCGGTTGATAGTGTCGTCGATGGCCCGATGTGTTGTTCAATCCAGCCCACACCGACTCGTCATCTGTCCTGCCCACACTCATGGACAGGGTGCTGGATCGAATTCCACTTTGATCCATGTGCAGGATTGAACTGACACGACTCATAATACATAAACCACACATGGGACAGTAGGTACTTCTCGAGCAAGGCAAGGCCTAACCCGAATGAACTTTGTCCCTGCTTGACTGGTCGTATCAGCACCAACCCTGACCCACAAACACACAAACCACCAGCGCAGCCAGAAGAACACATGCCCTCAAGCCTCCCGAGGTAGGCACTGTAGGTTCACAGGAATGAAATGTATCCTCAGTTGCCGTTATCGTCGTCGTGTTGCGTCTTCTCCCCCTTCTTCTCCATAACCCAACCGAAATATCCAAACGAACCACCTTGTTCATCATTAAGTTCTTCCAAATGCAAACTCCAAGTCTGCTCGCGCGTGAGGAGCGGTCTCATGAAATGTGGTTGGCGAAATGTAACGTAGAGAAAGACGCCTCCTGGTCGAAGGACTCGGGCGACCTAGTATGAAATGTAAGGCGACAATTCAACAAACTGGCGTCTAGATTGGATGGCATTGGGTGCATTTCAAAATTGGACAAAGAAACAGACAACGCAAAACGGCACCGCATAGATCACCTCGCAGCCTTCGGATCATTCCATCATCACGAATGGACTGCCCGAAAGGTGGACGGAGCACATAGAGAGGTATGAAGAGAGAGGCACATACCTCATCAAGATACCGCCCAACATTCTCCCTGACAACCTTCGGTGGATCCCAAGGACTCCCCGAGATCATAGCATCCAGAGTCCCCTTGTCGAACGCCACATCAACCGAGTCATCTGGGATCTGAGACTTCATATCTCGCACGTCGCCATGAACCCATTGGATACCGTCCTTGTCGGCATGCTGCGCGGCCATTTTGGAAATCACCACGGATGAAAAGTCGATGCAGGTTTGAGATTTGTAGCCGAGTGCAAGTAATTCGATTGGGACGGTCTAGAGATAAACATTAGAATCCATTCCATGTCATGCTCTCATACCGCGCGCAATCAGAGTAGATGATGAACGACCCCATAAACCGACCAGAGAAAAACTCAAGGTCTAGTCTGTACACCTGAGACAGGTAGAGAAGACGACAACATCACCGACAGACACAGACACCGAGCCATCCACCCACCACCAAACCAAATCCTGACTGGAACCGAAATGGAATTGGAACAAAACTTACACTATCACCACTCCCCAAATGCAGAATCCTCAAATCCGAATACTTCTCCGGCGGCCACCGCCCAATCAGGTATTTATCCAGGAACGGCTGCTTGAGACTGTCGAAGCCTTTGAACCATTCGTGCGTTGGACCGGCATTGTCATTGCTGTTGCTGTGGTCGCCGCCTTCGCAGCCGGCGTTGTTAGTCTGTGCTTGCGCGTATCGCTCGTCCCAGTAGGATGCTTTGCAGAGGTCTTCGTCTTTCATTGTTATAAAACTTTTTTTTTTCGGTGGTCTGTCTTTCGGCGGCCTGCAAGTTATGTTCTTCCGCGGGGATCACCTGTCTCCTTGATGTGAGATCGCTTCGATTTGATGGAAAATATGGATATAAAAGATCTGCTTAAACTGAGAACTTCAAGGTAGGTACATTATATACCAACCTACCTTATGTAGTGTGATTGCTCGTTGCAATACCTAGGTAGTGCTGTGGGAAGTGTACCTATGTAGCTCGAGAAAAATATGACGAAACTACTGTAATAATAATTTCTGTCGAAACTGAACTGCACCAACCCTGGTTGGAACTTTCGAAGCAGCAGCAACACCCGCTACAACTAGTACATACCTTACCTACATACTACCAGGTAGGTACTTCATGTCCTTGCGTTTTGATATTACAGCCTCCTGCTCTAGTTGCGGGAATGCACTGGTTAGCGGTAGACACAGAAATGAAGGCAGCTCAGCCAGACAACAGCCTGATGACGGACATAAACACGTTTCTTTTGACATGCGTACTGTGGACCGTAATACGCATGTGAGCGGTGTAGGTGTATATACAAAGACGAGCACGTAGAGCATCTCTTTCCCGAACAAAATATGTTCACGAATACCCATTAGGTCCCACCATCCAGACCAAACTCCTGAAAAACAAGGCATACCGAGACCAGTCCAGATAATACCCAACCTGACGTTGCAAAGCCAGCAGCGGTGGGCTAGAACCGGCTTCCATGGCACATCACACCACGTCAACAGACAGACGCCTGTTGAGACGAAGACATCAAGATATACACATGCACACCTTCACGGCCACCGAACAGAGGCCCGGCCGAGACACCCACTGCATTTCTTGAGGCCCCCTACCGAACACTTTGCAGTACGTAACTCACGGCCCTGACTGATGGCGCTAGGGCGTTGCACCGAGTTTATGTTGCATTCTCTCGGTTGCGAAAAAGGATAATGAGAGAATTTAGGATGTTGTCCCTCCGACCGTACAGAAAGGTGGACGTTGAGAATTCGGCTTGGGAGAAGACGCACAAAAGGGTTCATTATACGCGCGTGTCCACACGACCACTTGTCCAGTATATGCTTCCGAGTATGTCCAGAAACCACCATATCTGGAACCTGGGGTATGTAGACGCAGACGTTTGGCAAAGGGAGAACAACCGGCGGAAAGCTGCATAATTCCAGCTTCTTTGCATTATCCGGCATTGCCGGGCTTTTCTTCTGTATCGATGTGCTATAGATCATAGTCAGTTGATTGCCAATATCGTAGGAGAGCAACAAAAAACATACCCAAACAACATAATTTGGCAGGCCCACAACTTGGTAGCCGGCTCGTTTGGCCATTTTGGCGAAGCCTTCGGTCTCGGCCTGGTTTTCAAAGGCATAGCAGGGAAAATTGATACCTGTGAGAGCGAAAAATCGTCAGCAATGACCTTTCTACCTTTCAGTCAAGCAATCCAACTCACCAGATCTATGCACATCAGCCTTGACAAGAATATTGACGCCACCAATGCCGTCCAATTCGATCTCTTCGTCTTTGTTGTTCCTCCAATCACCCATGCGAGCCATGTATGTCCGTCCGGTATCATACTCCTTGTACCCCTCGGCAAGGACGACATCCTTGTCCAGCGTGGAGGTAAGCCGTCGACCCTTGTCGGACTCAATCCATGAGTTGTAATCGAAACGACCCTCAATGTCGCGACCGTTTTCGTAGCGATGGAACCAGATGTCTACGCAAAACAAATCAGTATACACCCACTCAATCTTCAACTCCGGCCTCACTTACTCGGTACCAGAATGTCCCTGTCATGCGCAACAAAATCCTCAATGATTTTCTTGGGACTGTCCACAATATCCACGTCACGCCAGTACACCCATGAATGTTCGGGCTTCAAGGCGGCAGAAAGCAGATAATTTCTTGCTCTTCCCATTGCTTTCCTCCGCGGTCCCTGTGCAGCCAGTTTGTGTCGGGACTCAACATCCATGTTCATGGTCATGCCAAAGTCTTTTTGCACAATGGTGGCGCTGTGAAACGGTATCTTATCTGTCCGAGACTGGATTCTGTTGAGTTCCGAGGCAAGAACGGCAAGAGTATCATCGGTGGAGTCGCCCACGAGGAACGCAAGGTCGATCAGCTCATGAGGGTATGTGAGCTCGGAAAGAAGATCAAAGTATTTGATGAGATAGGGGGCCGCGTCCCGTAACGGCGTCAGGATAAGAACCCGCTCTCGGTTGCTCACTGCTCTCGGCGTTGATACGATAGGGTTGAGGTCTATGTGCTGGATCGTGCTCGAATTGACCTCGAGCGGCTCGTGGTGGTTGAAGAGCACCGGAGTTTGTAGATGCTGATTCCAAGCGACCATCTCATTGATCGACATTTGCGTCGGAGGCTTCGACGGGCCAAAGCAATAATAACTGCGTCAAAAGTCAATTAGCATTTTCTCACAAGATGTGGGTGCTGTTATCATCGCCAAAGAAGCGTTGGGCTGGGCCATGCATACTTTGACATCTCTCGAGTTGATACAGAAATCCCCCTCCATAATAACACAATCAAGCCCGTCAGTGCGACGACCACCAGGAATCGCGTCCTGGTCAAAAACATTAATATGGCCCTCCATGGCGGTAGTCTGGCTTTGGCGGACTTCCAGTTCACGCCGCCTTTGGGGAGAAGCATCGCGACAGGGGCCGGATGAAGCGATCCGGAGTTCGACAGAGAAGGCGCAGCAGCAGCTTAGCACGCAAGCTCAGTTACGGCCTCGCTGGAAGAATTTTGGGGATCGTCGTGGCCAGGTTAGGTTCGAGAAGAGGAAACGAACGGAATGGCCTGCGCTGAGGCCAAAAGGAGGAAGAAACGGCGCAGTCGGCGGAGAAACCTGGGGCTGCAGTGGATGTGATCTCGGCCCAGTGCGACCGCGATAGAGGAGCTAAATGTCGCTGTCGGGGTTCGAGAGAATCATCAGAAGAGAACCGATGTGGGAGTTCTTCACAGGTGGCCCGAAGGTGAACCAAGTGATAATGTGATGATTGGTATCTTCTCATGCCGTGGCTGCTTCGTTTCGTTCGTTGCCATTCAGTTTCGCCCGACTCGATGCTTAACTCCTAGAACGGTTTAGCTCGCCCAGCCTTCGCCGCCTCCCAAGACTCGAACTTCAACAAACTGCAACGATACACGTAAACCTCGAGTCCAGGCTACTATGCACGGTTGTGGCGATTTGACACCGCGGCCATCATTCTTCTACGGTAGCCATGCTGAGATACAATGCTGAAGAATTGTAGTAGGGGCTAAGCTACCTTCAGCCGCCAGGTTCAAATTGGCTCTTAAGATAACCAACGTCTTGCGAGCTGGTTTGAAGAGTATACACTACAATTCTTGGACCTTTGTCTTCTTATCCTCCTGGATCCTCCATATGCTTCAGGAAAACTGTGCACATCCTTCCGACACACATGGTAGCATGGCGTGCAAGTAGCCGGTCAAAGTGACACTGTACCAAGACCCGGCATCATGGACCCGATGAGATTGAACACACATTACAAGATCTGTCATACGAGTTGTGCCTCGTGTTGTACTGGATGCTGTTTTTGATTTGCTACTAGTAAATACCACAAGCAGCTCTCAGCCATCAACTGACTTGATGTGAATTACCTATCAGAAACATACGGAAGGGGGTATATAAGCGAAGCCAAAAGCCCAAGAATGCCTCTCTTCCTTTACATCGCATCCTTCACATTACGAGTCTGTATGGGTGTCAGAATGTATAAACACTCATCTCCACAGACCTTCCCAGATCCGTCCAGATGAGACCAAGCTCAGCTCCCAAAGTGGGCGTAAAAGAACCAAAGAAAAAGTCAATCAGATCCCGCTACCAGGGCCGATTTACACCCCAGAAAATCGCTTGCTGCTGAACGCACAAATCTTGGAAAAAAGCGAAAAAGGTACCATTCCACAACCGCCAACCACCAAAAGATAGCCGTCCGATTGTGCGTTGGAAAACAAGGCAAAGGAGCAGGGAGAGCGACGAGTTTTCGCTTCTTGTCTTTCTTCCTATTCCGTCGCATGACCCTCTAATAAATTCCTTGCTTCATCCAGTCTTCTGCGCAAGACTTTGACGGCCCGTACTTCATGACTCCTTTCCGCGCGGAGGATCTCATTGCACACGCCTCCCACGGCCCGCAGCAAATCAAGAACTAGACCCTTGTCGACATCCGAAAAGGTTACCGTAGACCTGCCCTGGTCCTGGGCGGCCCCGATCTTGAAATCCGGATCTACGAGCTTCACCAAGCTTTCCATGAGAATCTCGGTGTTCGCAGGATGGTCGACTGCACCTTCGTCAGTTGTGGAGTTATGAAGGTGTGTAAGGTGGATTGAGGAGCTGTGAAACTGCGCAGCTCCATGCGCTGATGGAAAACGCCCACCCGAGCCTGGCGACTGAACGGGAGGAGGTGTGGGCATTCCGTTGGACACGACAGAAGAGACGGACGTATGCACAAGATGCGGGGTTCTGTTAGGACCCTGATGAAGGCGTCCGTTCCACGCAGGAGTTGTCGTGTTCGACCAGGTCGGGGGCGCTTTTTCATGTTTAGGACTTGCCGGCGGTGGTGGAAACCCCAGCCCTTGCCTGCTAGTACCCCAGTGGAGTATCTCAGTTGGCATTTCATCGTTTTCTTCGTCACCATCGCCCTCTCCGTGGCCGCCTCCTTCCGTTGCAGTAGCAAACGTGGCCACAGTCGATACCGAGTCCATACTGTTGCTGCGCATTGCTTTCATCCACGGTTTGGTGGGGGACGCAAGGGGAGTCAACTCTTGCGACGGACGATCGGGTGACCTTGGGAAAGTCTGTTGAACCGGTGTCGATGCTTCATCTGTACTGACATTCTCGACCACGCCGGCCTCCTCTGTGTCTTCTTCGTCGCCCACGGCGGGTGAGTGTGCGTCCATGCGAGTGGTGATAATGCTGCTGGCGTCGCTTTCACTAGGTGTCTCACTCCTAGTGCCTGTACCGGTGTAGTTGCCCAAAGCACTGTGGAGGTACATATTCTCATAGTCGAAAGCGTCAACTCGATCCTCGTGCCGCGCCGCCGGAGCCTCGACAGAGAGCAGCTGTTCGGACAGATCCGGCAAATCAGGCTCGGCTTCTTGAAGACTTTCCTCTAGAACTTCGTTGAGGTAGATCTGCTCTTCTTCTGAGGCCGCTATTGGTTCATCGCCGTCGTCCAACTCTTGTGCTGCGTCCTCATATAGGGATTCCTGGATAACTGACATTGTCTCATCTTGCCCGATATGTTTCAGATTGACCGCCTTGTGTAGACTGGGGGTGTTTTTGTCCGTCCTGACCTCGCTTAACAGTCTGGATTCGTTCGTTGCCGGCTGTTCTACATCGTCAATCCTTTGTGCTTGAGGCGTGACCGGCGTGATTTGGATTTCTACTGGCTTCTGAGTTCTTAATGGGCTCCAACCCTGGCCGGCATTTGTGTTTAGCGGACTTCCAGCTCCTGTGTACTCCGGTGCACTGGCATACCACTGTTCTGGCGATTGTGCATTAGTAAAGGGGCTTTGGCTTCGGTTGCTTTGTAAGCTTCGTCTCTTTATGCTGTCGGCTTGGGCTTTTCCTTTGAGTTCGGTGATACGCGCTCGCAAATCGGACATCTGCTCTTTAAGTTCCTTCGAACGAGTTGACATTGCCGAAGAGGAACGGGCAATGGCCGTGGTAGGGCTGCTGGAGACCATAGAAATATCTTCTTTCGAGATAGCGGCTAACGTATTGATGCCTAGACCCCTCGGAATGGAAGATTCGGGAGACGTCTTGGTTGTACTTGGGGTACCTTGTTCTTCTCGAAGCACACGTAAGGGTGAATTGAAGCTGCGAATACTCGCTGGTGAATTTCCTTCGACACGTATCGAGGGAGAACTTTGAACTTGTGGCGATTCTTGCCTTCGCCCGTACTCCTGAGCGCTGGCAGACCTAATCTCAGGGACCATGGAGAGGCGTTTCAACCCCGAAGTGGTCGTTACATCGCTGCCACCTCTAGTGTGCGCCGATGAATTTGCCCTTGTCACAGGATAAAGTTGTCGAGGTCTGCGTTGGCTTGCCCCTGCGGCAGAAATGGATCGGTAGAGCCCGCCAGCAGGCCGATGGTGATCCGAAATACTGGGTGACGACGTAGTCGACATCAAAATGCTATGGCGAGCTTTGGTAAGGTGGTCTTCCATATGCGTCAGCCGCTTCCTAGCATTTGCCAAAATCCTTTCAGCCCGTTCGTTGGGCAGAGCCATTTCGTCCTCTGGGCTTGCGGCCACAGTGGAGTCCCTTTTGCTGTCGACTTCCTCAATCTCTTCATCCGGCACTTTCGCTACATCTGCAGCCAGCCTTTCATTCATGATTTTGGATGTGTCAAAGTTCTCCCAATCTCCTAAATCCGAACTGTTGCTTGAAGATGAGCGGTCACTGAGTCTTCGTACCTCAAGCGACGGCCGCCCAGCAGGCGTGGGTGAAACGGTCTCGGACCTTCTGGGACTGTCCGTCCTTCGGCTTTTCCTGGACTTTGGGGTTTCCTCCTCCCAGATGTCGCTCAAAGGTGCCCCATGCTCATAGCCGGTATACTCGACGTTGGGAGCATGGGTTGACATCCTCACGGTAGTCGCAATACCCACTTCCATTGGAGCGTCATGGTCAAGTTGAGAGGAATTATGGGAGACGGCGGAGGAGGGTCGCAGAGGCATAGACATTTGTAGGACGGGAGATGAGGTCAACGGCGCCTCACCCGGAGTCGCATCAGGTTGGTATGGGAGGATCATGTCCGGGTTCGTCAACGTTGGCGACGGAGGGATTTCTTGCGTAAAGAGGTCGTGAGGAATTGGATTTGCAGGCGCATGAGCCATGGCTGCCGTTCAATGCTGGCTTGCGGCTATAAGAATTTGTTGATATGCAACCAGTGTGAGGCCGTGCGGCTGGGGGTGGAGCGAACCGGTGTCATCGATCGCGCGATCGAACACAGACCACAGCTTGTATGTTCGTAGACGCCGCGACACCGTCTGCTGAAGGTAGGGTATCAAGCGATAACTGTTGAAAGGCCGAGAGGACTTTGATCTTACGATATGTGTCGAATGAGAGCTTGATGCTGCCAGTCATGCACCATGGTCGACGTTGTTGCGCCGTGGAAAACCAACATGACAGGAGGAACTGGCCTCTGGACGCACAGCACTAGGTAGCAAAGCAGCTCTCCTTCGCGGCAGCCGGAACTCGCGCGGTCGCTTTAGACTGCTCGCTCAGGCTGCCTTTGGCGCTTTAGACGACTTTTTTCATTGATCATGATTACTGGCTCGCTAAACTCGAACAAGAGACGAGTTGTGATATAGCGGGATGCATTGGCACCATAAGAAACTTCGACATTCCCGGAGCAGGGTCCAGGGGACGAGATTGGCAGTAGGTACGCGCCTATCAGATGCCCCCGGAGCGCATTTTAGGCCATGGGACCTGCTTAGGGAGCAAGGTATCCCCTGCAAATGTACGGTGCTAGATCCTTACGACACCCAGTACTACAATGTTGATACAGGACTGTCAATGAGGTACTCGAAAATATCAGATCTGTTGGCATGAACTTGAACGGCCTACGCCGAACTGCTTTATGACCTCAAGTAAACTGCAACGTTTAACCTTTGACCCCTGATAGCTCAATCCGCCTCCTGGTTAAGTAGGACTTGGTTCCTCCGCTGTGTTCGTCATCTGCTACTACTGTAAGTAACCGGGAATAGACCGTCACACAACAATGGAGCAGCATTGCCGGACTATGGCCACGAAATATTAGTTTTCATTTTTATGTTCACTTCGTTCGCATCAAGGTAGCCTCGGTGGCCACAATGAGAGACTCAGGCATTGACTGGGATCAAGGATTTTTCCTCGAGAGACTGGGGAATACCTAAGTAGTTGTTGTACAGCTTGAATAGCAATGATTTGGGCATATTGAATACTCCTCCGGGGTGATAACGGGCTTCCAGTTTTCCTGTTGAGACTGTGTCAAGGGCTCGGAGTTTAGCATAGCCTTGACCAAGATGGGTTCGAATAAGCATTCATAGGTCGACAGCAAGCAAAGTAAGAATCAGAAAAGAAGTTGGTTTTTGGGGGATTTGATTGAGTATTTGCTACTCCTACATACTGAGCCGTCCTACCTCCCTCCCACCCACGGACGACTCCTCCTCCACCCCCCTATCTACTGCTCCGCGGGGACGAACCCAAAGTCATTGTGCACCATCTTCATATGGCGCACCAGGCTGCTCTTGTGCATGACACCACGATGCCTGATGCACACATGGCAGACCCAGGGTCTGGGTCCGCCCGTGGCCGTGGCACGGGTGTCAGCACCGTCCTCACCGCCTGCACTGACTGAGGGTTCGTCCTGCGACCCCTCCCTCTCCGAGGCGGTCTCCCCCTCCTCCTCCGCCTCCTCCACCACCTCCCCCTCTCCCTCACTCCCCTCCTCACCCTCCACCGGCTCCTCTTGACCAGGGTCATTCCCCTGATCGGCCATCGGCCAAGAGCCACCGCCGCTGTGCCTCACGAAGAGACCTTCACCACTCTCGTACAGCTCTATGGTACGGCCAGCCGCCTCGAGACGCCAAATTTGGCGGAGGTCGGCCTGGCAATTGTCAAGCGTGCCAAGCAAGAGCCGCAGGGAGTCGGCATTGAATTGGGTCAAAGACCCCCACCCGGCTCCAGCAAGCCGCAGCGCGCCCGTAACTCGACGACGGATCTCGGCCTCGAATTCGAGGCTCCGAACGTCGTCGAGCACGTTCGCCTGCTCGGCCTGCTGGAGGTAGGCGCCGACCCCCGCTCTGTACGCCGCCAGCATTTCTGGCGCTCCCAGGGCTGCGCTGATCGTGGCCTCGACGGCCAGATCACGCGCATTTGACGATTCCCTGTTGATGGAGGCCATCTTGAAATGCGTGGTCGGTACTTGTCTGGGTAACTGTCCAAAGGTGAGGTTAGCATCAAAGGTCAAGTATGGTTGAGGTTAAGGTACGATATGATGAAGGATGATGATGAAGGATAGTGAGCAAGGGCGATAGTGAAGGATGTTGATGAAGGTTGATGATGGATGGTGATGAAATAAACAAGAGGTGAAGGGCTCAAGTCAAGGCGAGGTGTGCGCAGGGGAGGTTGGCGCAGGTGAAATGGGCGCAGGTGAGGTTGAGACCCGAGTCCAAGTTCAACTTGAATTCGGGTTTCCCAAAGTGATGTTTGTGATGAGGGCAACAAGTCAAAGCAGTTTCACTTACACGTCTCTGTGAGGATGCGCTCTTTTCTTTCCTCCTCTCAATCGATCAATCGACAAGTTTGTCGATTGAGATTGTTTGAGAAGGTTTGGATCGATCGGAGTTTTGATCGATGAGAGGAGGAAAGAAAAGGAAGTCAAGTGCAGTGCACGCTGCACCGACTTAAATATCTTGAGATTCTGCTGAATCTGTAAATTCTCGCCTTGGCGGTTGGCGCTCCCGTGAAGGCCAGATAGCGTTGTTAGTTGCATTCTGTGATGTTGTGTTGCGCATGGTGCACTCCGCAAGGCTTGTGCCTCCGGCAGGGCAGGCAAAAGAAACATGCTATACCCTCCACCACCAACAAAATAGTCAACAACCACAAGAATTGGAACGCTTTTTGCTGAAGTTTGAAGACAGCTGGAATGCCATGAGAAGCCTTTGTGTTTGTGTGTCATGGTGTATGAGAAGATGTCACAAGTGTTGTGAAAGGTAGGAGACTTTCTAACCCAAGGATGTTTTGGGTATGTGGTAGATTTGTGACGAGAAAAAGAAGAAGAGGAATAGGAAGAGAGTTCTGAAAATTGAGAGAGTTTAAATAGACAGAGGCTTCCCAATTCGGCGGTGCCAAGGGAAAAAGGATGGGCGTTCAGACGGAGCGGCAATTAATGGTGAGGATCGTTCACGCTCAAACGGCGGGAACGTACTGAAGAGCGTTATATATATAACGGCAATCCATCCTGAGGAGCGTTGATCTGGAGCGGCGATAGGGACGCCGGTGAGGAGTCGTCACCAGAGAGCCTGGACGCAGCAGCCATGCTGCTTGAGTCCTCTCCAAGGAGTAAGAGGAACAAGGCTGAGGAAAGACAGGAGACAGCGTTATGAAGTCTCTCAAACAAAGCAGGCAGACAAGCACAAACATTTTTACGCTATGCCCCGAGCATGAGACAATGCCACATCCTTGCCTTGAATACCAACCACATCAGTTCAAAGGAGACCAGGAATGGGGCCTCAAAGCCAGCGATGGGACCATTGTCCATCAACCATACCCCATTTCTGGGGACCAAGAAGATGGATGAAAATCGGCAAACTCATGGAGAAAAATTGTGGCATTCTCAAGTCTCATCCTCATCGCTTCTTCCACCGTACCCGACCCACCCATTCTGCCCATTTCTCAACGTCTTCCCTCGAACAAATCAGCTCGACGGTGTACCACTTGCGAGCTAGCTCCTCGTTCGAGGCCATCTGGTGGACGAAACTGTGGCAGGCACGGCATAACCATGCAACACTGTTCAGGTGGCGTTCTTCATGCCAGCCTCTTTTCAGAACTTTGGCATGTACCTGTTTGGGTATCAGATGATGGTAAGTCAACGGTACCCAGTCCCGGTCGCAGATCTCGCACGCATTTGTCCTGGTTTCGACCCATTTGGGGGGCTGTGTTGTAACGGCAGCGATGTACGCAGACAGAACTGGGGCAATGAAGGACTGGAGGTCCGTTTTGGGTGGCTCAATCAGCCCATATGCCGTCAGGCTATCGTTGACCTCCCCAGGCATGCGTGCTGCGACTTCCTCCAGCACAGACAAGGTCAGGGGCAAAGACCATTCGTCCGACAGGGCAACATCGTTCTGTATGGCATGGTGGGAAAGGCTCTGAAGCTCGTCCGGGAGGCTCTCAAAGACTTCAGCTGCCAGATAATCTGCAAATTCGACCAGCTCAGAGGGCTCAGAGCCTGTTAACGAGGTCTCAGGAGCGGTGTTCTTTTTCCGGAGAGAGCTGCGTCTGGAGCTTTTGCGGGCATGGGCGCCGCCCGAGGATTTCTCTACAATGGCTGAGAATAGACAATCACGAAAGACATCAAAATTGGCGTTTTCTGAGTCATGCATTGGTGCTTTCATGGACTCAGCAGGCCAGGGGGAGCAGGATGGAAGTTGATGTTGGGTAAATATAAGCTCGAACCTGTGGGGACCCCATATTCAATCACGTGCACGATATTTCAGCGGGGAACAGTGGATGTAAGCGACTGACAAATCGGGCTTATTTTAAACATCTCCATCTCGTCATTATGTGCCAGTGGGCTTATCCGAGGCTGATGTCCATGACAGCGCTTTGGGCTCTGATTGTGCTGAAGGCCCTGACTCAACACGGAGCCATAGCTTTATCACAAAATCGCGGTGTATCCGGCCATTAGTTTAGGGTCAATATTGCAGTGATGGCTAAGACCGTGATCGCCTTTGATCTCTACGGCACTCTTTTGTCTACCGAAAGTATTGCCAAAGAACTAGCGGTGCATTTTGGGCAAGACCGGGCTGGCTCGATCGCTGCCGTGTGGAGGAAGTACCAGCTAGAATACACATGGAGACTGAATAGCATGAGTACGTCCGACAGATCATTACATTTACCCATGCATATGTGGCTGAGACATTGAATTCAAGAGCGCTATGAGCATTTCTCCGAGGTCACTCAGAAGTCTCTTCATCATGCTTTGGCGGAACATGGCGTAAGCCTCTCCGAAAGCGACACCAACAAACTGATGGAAGCATATGATTCTCTGTCCACATTTCCCGATGTCGACCCATGCCTGAAACGTTTGGCAGATAATCCGGCCATTCAATGTGTCGTCTTCTCCAACGGCACCAAGACCATGGTTTCTAACTCGGTTAGCGGATCCGAGGATCTGAACTCATCTGTCTTTAAAGACATCATCACTGTGGACTCTGTCAGAACTTTCAAACCTGCGCCTGAAGTGTACAAGTTTCTTGCACAGAAGGTTGGCAAAGTCGGCCAGGAGAATACTATGTGGCTTGTGTCTGGGAACCCGTTCGATGTCACAGGTGCGAGGGCCATGGGCATGCAAGCAGCCTGGGTCGACCGAGCAGGAAATGGCTGGCAGGATCGACTCGGAGAGAAACCCACGGCCGTGGTCAGAAGTCTAGAAGAAGTAGCCGATGTCGTTGAAAAGTATACAGCGGGAGCAAGCTCGGTATGAAATGCTTGAATTAGACTGGATTATCTTGATACGGCTCAGCTGCTGGAGCAGCGACCTGTTCACGGACCCGCCGCGCCTTTTCCATCTTGGCCGCCCATAAAGCACTCCCAGCTGCCGTAGTCATGAGGAAAAACATGCTTAGTACCGGCACAAGTTGGAGTGTCAACGCCACAACCCCAAACCATGTATACTTCAGCTGTCGTTTTCTTACATAATCCTTGCGGTCCCGTTTAGCCAAGCCTCGAAGGGTGAAGTACCTCCAATGATGAAACGGACCAGCTCTGTATCCCGTAAGGAGCAGGAAGATAGGTACGCCGACGAAAGGGATGAAGTTGACTGGGAGGAGGACGACAAACTCTAAGATCTGCCGCAGACTGAACGGACTGTAGATGGAGGATACTGTCGGTTTGCCAAGCATCTGAACCGAGTTTTCGGCCTCGAGATCAAGCAGACGGCCTTGGCCGACCAGATCGGTGAGCCCCTGGTCAATCAAGACTGCATCAAAGATGTCCACAAGCGTTTCATCGACAAAGAAAGCCTCGAAAAGCAGGGCAACAATTGCAGCTCCTTCCCCCAGCACAAGAAATGTTGCATTCAGCCACGCTCCCGCTCCTTGGAATATGGCGAGAAAAGCCACTTGAGGGAGGAAGGTCCATATAAAAAGGTTGGCGTAGATGAACGCGGACAGCAGTAAGATAGGAATCAGGCGAGCCTTGAACAGAGGGTAGAAGTACGGACGAAGGACGAGGTAAATGACGCCCTGGCAGACAGGTTAGCAGTGATATATCGACGTCGAGAGGGAGGTACAATACGCACCTTCAGAGGGTAGAGCCAGACGGCATTCCAGCCGTTAAGAACCATGTTGAACCATACACAACTTGAAATGTGCCTTTCGCCGTACAAATACTGTTACTGCCAATCTCAGGCAGCACATCTAGAGGCTGGATACTGATATTGTCGACCGGCAGATGCCACCGTACCTACCAGGCACCTACCTAATGCTCACCGCAGGCTACCAGGTAGACACCACTGCAGTCCCATGTCCTACTACGTCAAGAACAGAATTTACGGCACGGCAAAACGACCAACTGTGCAGCGTATCACGTAAGCCAGAACGACTTCAAAGTTCCGAGAGTTCCAGGACTCGGACTGCATGTTCATGTTGCCAAGGCATTGTCTTGGCAGGCAGAATCAGCATCAAAATCAATCCGCCAGCATCCTGCGGCATTCCTTCCTCCTTTCTTCTCTTCAAAACTGAAACATCCTCTGTATTCACTCTGTCAATGTGCTGCGGTCTTCCGTGGTGGGAATCGTTGCCGGAGGGGAAATCAGAAGGATAGAGGGAGATCTGCCCACTTACCCCAGGACCTTCTGCTGCTCTCCTCAGTGTTTGCTAGATTGTGGAGGTCTATGGAAATATTTGCGGCTGTACAAATAAACACCTGAACGAATGCGCATTACCTGCTGCTACTGCATGTCGCGAGATTGCGAGACATGCCCGCCCATCTAAGGCGCTTCGAGCGTACGTGGTGTTGTGGCGCTCGAGGTTGACAGCTTAACAATCCGTCTGCTGATCATGATATTGATTCACAACCCTCTGCTGGACGGAATGGCTAATAATGGCCCCAACAATAGGTACAGGGTTGGGCGACCGGCCACATCAGGTGTTGGCAGACACTGGCCAGGTCTAAGAACCATCATTTCGCGTGCTCACTCTCGTTTGTAGCATTAGGCAGTAATGAACTCGGCCAGTCCTTTGCTCGAGGACGAATCATGGCCGGGGCCAACCGTCACACCCTGGGCAGCAATCACTTTAGCTAGACTTGCGCGAAGAGGCTGCGAGCAGGGATTAATGCACAGAAGCCGACGAGGATCACCATTCATTGACCTCCAATGGTCTCCAACGGCCTCCAACGGCCCTGCACCTAACAAGCCCCTTGATTTTCGTACAGAAATGCTACACTACGAGAGGTTCGAGTCTAGGTTGAGGTGAGTGAGTACCTGGGGCCCCGCCACTAATAAGACAGCGACAAATGGTGGTGGCCTGGGGCTTGTGGCAAGAAGCAGCAGTAGCAGTAGTGCCAGGACAAGGTAGTAGTAGCAGTGGCTGTTGAGCACACAGCGCAGACAAGATCAGAGCAGACGAGGCAAGACCAGAGAGCAGAGGCGACATCAATCAAGAACGGCTTCAACTGCTAAACCTGGCGAAGTTCCTCTTCGATCCCCACATTCGTTGCGTCCCTAACAGTGATAATAAAATCATGCCACCCACACGCAGCCTGGCCTCTCGTTTCTTCACGGCAACAGAGACTTGACTTAACCAGACCAACACCGACACTGACGACTGATCTCCTCCAGCATCGTGATGGGCTCGCCTCGGCAGCGCAAGCGGTGAAGATTCAAACATCGGCAGAGGCGACACCTCTCGCCTTGTACCCACAGAAGAAAAACCTGGTGCTGCAAGTCGACTTGACGAGTTCACGAGAGTTCGCCGTTCACCGTGGGTTTCGCATCTGCCTCCACACTCTGCGCCCCGGATCTCGTGCGTCTGGCGCAACCCTCCGGATTCACCACTAAAACGGTTATGTGCCGACGTTCACCCGTGGCCCTCGATTGTTGTAGCCAGCGTCAGGAATCGTAACGACGTCGACCGAGTGACCCTACAATGTCGTCTATCTCGCCCGTTGGGTCCTACGCGTCTACCCATCCCCAAGATCCAGGCGGTGCGTACAAGTATGAGGATCATTCAGATTTCCACCTCCAACCCACGTATGGCAATCAGTTCGAGATCCCGTTACCGGTGCCGCGCTCGGATCCAGGACCTCCCCAGTCGAAATCCAGCCGACCGCAGTCGACCGGCTCGTCAGAGCCTAAAGTACGGTTGAGAAAGGCTTGTGATAGCTGCAGTGTGCGAAAGGTCAAGGTGAGTCAATGTCTTACAAACGGCGCCGGCGCATTGACTGACGCGTAATGAAAGTGTGATGAGACGGGACCTCCTTGCAAATCATGCGCCGCGCTTGATATCCCCTGCACTTTTGACCGACCGAGTCGACGCAGAGGCCCTCCCAATAGACATGCAGAGGCAATCAAGAGACAGAAGCTGGAAGGCACAGCATACGAAGCATCTCGAGCCTCGCCAACCCACGATGCCGCCTATAGCCTGGCCGCTCTCTCAGGCCCTGCCCCGCTGTCGGCCGAGTCCATCTGCGATTTGCTCACGGTGAACATTCTTCTCGATGACTACTTTACCTACATCCATCCGTTAATTCCCATACCGCACGAGTACACGTTCCGCCGGTTGTTCGAGGCTAGGGAGGACAGGACCAACCGGAGCTTCTTGGCCCTGACTGCTGCCATGATCGAATGCCTAGTGGCATCGTTCCCTCGAAGGCCGCGGCAACTTTTCAACTCGGAGGCAGGTCGGGCACAGTTCCCGAATGCCGGCGCATTGATCGATAGATGTCGCCAAGTCTTTCACGAAGCCCGGGGTGTGGGCTATCAGGACAGATCCATGAGCCTCAATGACGGGATTGCCAGCTATCTCACAGCGATTGCCGCTGCTTATACATGGAACCTCCCGCGGCTGCGCCTATACCTGGGCGAATGTACCATTATCACGCGGGAACTGGGCTTTCACCGACCAGAAGGCCGCCCTCCTTTGGGGAATACCGGAGTCACGTTCTCTCCGGTCGAGGCCAACCATCCTCCTCCCGTTGATTACGTCTACCAGGAATCGGGACGACGTCTCTTCTGGCTGCTTTTCGTGGGGGCCATGTCCGCTCGACAGCTTGATGAGGCGGAAGGCGATCTGCTGATGCCCCCAGTGTCGCACGCCGAGATGCTTCCCCCTCTTCCGCTAGAGGTGGACGATGAGTACATCACAGAGTCACAGGTGTTTCCACAGCCTCGCGGCGTTGTCTCAGAGTTGGTGGGCTTCAACCTGAATGTTAAGGTCTTCAGGGCGTTTCACTTCCTTGCCGCCTTAGAGATGGCGTTCGGTGCTAATACGGTCTACGACTGGGATCGGCAGCGTCAAATCATCCGGCGCGCATTACAGAACGTGAAGGATGCTACCCGCGATGCCCCAAAGGAGCTTCAGCTAAACCCAGCCAATGGATTTGGCGAATGGCCACCTAGCCAGACCGACATCTCAGCATATTCTCATCTGTTCAACGGACGCGAAGGGACAGAGTCCGACACCAATCTGACGCCCGGCAGCGGCCGAGGCTCGCTGTCAGTCCCGCCACACTCGAAAAGAGCCATTCAGTTCGAAATTCAGAAGGCTAATATTTACGCCACTCAGCTGTCATCGAGATCGTACCTCGTTGAGCGGTTTTGGAATTTGTATGAGATTGTGGACCGTGACAAGTTAGTTTTCGCTTCGGATAAATCGGGGGCTACTAGTAGTGCCTCTCCCACCGCTGGAATCTTGACCGCCGGGATGGAGCACAGCTACGCCAAACAAGTGGCCGGACGGACTCCAAGTGACAGCTTGATGGATTCGGGCGAACAAATGATGGCTGTGGAGCGTGAGGATATTGTGCGCGACATGGCATTGCTGCTGAAAAGCATCAACCAGGTCAACATGGAACCCAATGGGATGAGTTTTGTAAGTGAGATTGAAGAATCCTGTCCGCACAATTCTAACTGTATACAGTGCAACAAAATCCGAACCGTCGCCTCCACATTGCTCGAAACTAAGCGTTCTCGAATGAGTGTGATGCCGACGCTCGACTCGGAAAGCGTCAACGCGTATCTTCACACGTTCCTGGAGATTTTGGCGAAGCTAGAAAGGTTGGGCCCTCTGCGTTATCGAGGCATGCCCGATAATGCCAACGGGGGCTTCCTGAGAACACCGGAGGAGATCGAAGAGGACGAGCTGGTGCACTGGGCCAGTCTAAAGGAGCATCAAGAAATGTTTGCTCGTTCCAATGGTGTTTGGCAATAACCAGCCTCGTCGAATATCAAACAATAATGAGAGATGACCATTGACGGGAGGACGACTTTGATGACTCTGATAAAGTTATGGGGGCCTGTTGAAATGTTTCTCCCGTGCCAGCTTGCCTGCAACGGTTTTTGGATACTACAAGCACACAGATAATACCCGTGTACGAATGAATCAAACATATGAGCTGAAGCAGATTGAGGGGTTCAAGATAAGCCGTGTCGTAAACATACAACGTACAGTATGTGATTCCAGTTGTGCCTGTTGACTTGGACGCCACCGACTCAATAATGCAGTGGCAAGGCTGCGTGAAGGCGGTCTTGGCAACTGGTTACGCATCAACTTGAAACTTTGGTTCGATGGCAATTTATCGACCTCATAACTTGAAGTATTTGTTAAGCAAAAGGCAAAGATTATGACCATATACGCAGGCAGCTCCCTTTGACCAGAGTCGAAGTCCGAACGGCGACTTTTCGTTTATTGCAACCTTCCAGGTCTCAGGAAATAACAATGGAAAAGGAATCTCTCCTGGCTATGACCAAGCTGCTCAGGTCCGGTTGAGACCTCAACTTGCAGATTTGAGCGCATGCTTGAAAACATTGTGAGACAGTGGCATGGATAGACTACTAGAGAAAAAGCCACACGCAATGAAGGCATCCAAATCTGGTCCCCATTGGCGGCCGCAGCACGCTCAGAAACAAAGGCTGTCATCATTGCCACCCAAGCCCACAATTGAACGAAAATACGACCCAGATTCAGGACAGGTTTACTCAGAGACCGAAGTTCGTTTCACTAGAAAGCCGTATTCCGACTGGATTGGCGAGCCAAGGACTCCGGCATTGACGAAAAAGTCACGTCCGCACGCCTATGGAGCCCGTTCACTGGCGGACATGGCAAAGATCAAGGTTGCGACGCAATTTCAAGGTCTGGGTCCAGATCACTTTGGCAGTGTGCCGTGGTCGATGGCCGAAAGGATTTGGAAACAATTGCTGTCCATGTAAGGAGCTGAAACCCCCGTGAATTTCCCTCTCGCACGACTGACACGTTCCCAATAGGAGGGGCGAAAGCTTCCACGCTTGGAGGACTCTGGCTGCTTCATACCCTGGCGAGGGCGAGTTTGGACAGCCCGAATACAGATACTTGCTAGACATCAAGCAATTGTCGCTGCCGTTGTCTGACTACCTCACGGGCATCACATCACCCCAGGTGAACTGGTTAACATGTATCCGCGTGTCACCGAAGCGATTGAGTATTGCTGACTTGGTTTCCATCCACACCGTTGTCAATCTGGCCGTCCTTGACCTTTCGGACGGACAAGTCACCATCGACAACAACGTGTCCAAGTTCGACGAACGGGTTATGAGGTCGTGGGCGGAGCTCGCAGCGTCCGGACAGGCCTTCCAACACCTACGTGTCATCCTGCTCGGGTGGCAGGAACATGTGTCGGACTGGCTCTTCAAATACACCGACTCGTTCCCGTCGTTGTGTCATGTCATCGTGACGGACTGTCCGCAGCTACATCAGCGCAATCGAGCGGACTGGGAGGGCGTTTCGCAAGCGGTTGGCTGGGAAGCACGACACGCAAAGAGAAGTGCCAAAAGCCTACGTCCAATTATTGGGAATCATGATTTCTACTACGGTTCTGTGTCTGGCTGCTATTATGATAGCTTGGAGCTGTTTGCCAACCTCGCGCACCCTCGACGACCGAATCTGCTGGAGAGATTGCCAGTGTTGGAGGTATGGCTGGGCTCGCCGCGTCAGTGGTCACATATTGTCGACGATTTTCCTTCGACACGAACGATATTTTTCGAAAACGCCAGGGTGCAAGCAAGTGCCGGGCAACGAATCGACCAGCCTGATGCTAGTGCGACAGGTCGGGACCACACGAAAAGGATGAGGAACCAGGAAATGGCATCAAAGGGGGCAGCGTCTCCCCCGGCCAAAAGAGGGTCCCAGGGCACTGGCAGGGCAATGGCGAGAACGAAAGCTCCAAGCGTTGCGGACTTGCTCAAGGGGTTCCATGGTAGCTAGATGATAGTGTTGTGCTATCACGGCAGCAGGGCCAGATAACCATGAATGCACGATGACCATACAACGTACCTAGGTACAATGTAATGAATGGATAGAAGATCGTGGAGTGATGTGAGTGGTCATGGGACACTGGCAGCGAACCCTGGGACATGGTAGATTCTAGATGGAGCAGAGAAGCTGGAGTGTCTTTAGATCTGTAAACGGTTGGGGTCCAGCTATGGGCCAATAGATGCGCAACTCTTGTGCAAGGGGCAGCAAACGACGCTCAATCTACCACTGTATAATAATCGGTCAGCAGACCAAAACTTGAAGATCCCTACAGACATACGACTCATACTAGAATAGCAGGGTACTTGACTACATGTACCTGATAGGTAGAGTATCTACAACTGTATTGTATAGTACTACTAGTAGTCTGAGTGCAGGGGCGAGGAACTACAATGGTAGAAGGGACGCTGGCAGTGCTACTGTACATACAACGCTGTAGTACCTATGCTGCCAGTGGTACCTATCACTCCAGGCCTGCAACCGGTGGTGCCCTGGACCCTTGCGCCTATCACAGGCTCCCTAAGTAGGCCTCTGGAGGCTCACAGGCGTAGCAGCTCCCCCACGACGTCAGCTCCCACTCCAACTTCCGCCGAAAGTGTGACCAGGGGGTCGAAGTGTGTCGTACAGTTCCGTCAGATAACACTCCAACTCCACGAGAATAATATGGCTCACTTCAACTGAGCTCGTGATACTTGCATTTTTGCAAGCAACTTACCGTGTACACATCCCGAAATCCCAACAGTAGGACGAGATATCTTTCTGCTTCCCGGAGGATTGTTATTCAAGACCGCCATCCGCCTGTCATTCTCCTCCACCGACGTAACAGATGCGCCCCGCGGTTGGCTGAAGCGCTGCTGCTTTGCCGTAATTCTACCCAAATATCGCAAGACCATCACATCACTTTATTGCCAATCTTTGAGCCAGAAACAAGCCCAGCACCGCTTCGCCATCTCACCACCGAAGCTCCTTTAAGACCTCCCCTACCATGTCGACGCCCAATAGGGATCCTCCTCCCGTCCAGTCTCCTCCATCCACCGCCGCCTCCTCCAGTCGATCAAGTCTGGACGCACAATCACCCACCGGCCCTGGCACTGGCACTGGCACCGCGCGGACCCCTTCTCTACGCATCCCCTCCAGCGCCGCCGCCCAACATCGCCAGACTTTTAACGAACTACGAGGCCACCCTCCCTCGCCACGATCGCAGCGACAACCTTCCATTTCGCAGCTCGCCGTCCAAGAACTCATTGACAACCCTCCAATGCAGAACCCCGACCCCAAGTTCGCCGGCCGCGACTGGACCACGATCAAGGTCAAAGAACTGATAGATCCAGCCGACCTGCGGTTTGTGGATATTGACAGTGCCGTGGAAACGGCCACAAAGGTACATATGGACACCTATGTGTCTGTTCCTCTGTACTAACTTAGGTCACAGGTCCTTGTCGACTCAGGAGCACCCGCGATTCTTGTCCGAGAAAATGATGGCTCCAAGGTGGTGGGGACGTTCGACTACCGGGACCTCAATGCATACCTTTTGCTGGTTGTGGGATTGATCAAGCCGGACGACGATGACAAGGCAGAAGAGCTGGAGAGGCTGGCGCAACAGGCACGAGAAGGAAAAGCCATGCATCTGCGCGACATCAAAGACCTCAGCAAGAAAGAGCCCTTGACGTTCCTGAGCGAGGAATCCGACCTCATCAAAGCGGTGGAAACGTTTGGCAAAGGTGTCCATCGTGTCGTCGTGATCAACGAAACCACCAAAGAGACAACGGGGGTTCTCAGTCAAGTCCGACTGATCAAATTTCTCTGGGATTATGGGAGGAGCTTCCCGGTGTTGGATCAGCTGTATACGCAGCATCTCCGCGATCTCAAGATTGGTTCCAAAGATGTGGTTGCGATCAAGTGAGTATTTTGTCTCTCACTCTGTCTCTTGAACCTCAAGCAACTAACACTGTTCCTTACTAGTGGCGACCGACCTCTTGCAGAAGCCCTCATCCTGCTATGGACCGAAGGCGTCTCGTCTCTACCCGTCGTCGACCACAACTACAACGTCATTGGCAACATCTCCAACTTCGACGTCAAATTGTTGACCAAATCCACGTCTCTGCCTCTGCTGCGCAACACATGCATCCACTTCATCACCGTCATCCTATCCACACGAGGCATGCACGAAGGCAAAGACTCGTTCCCCGTGTTCCACGTCACCCCGCTGTCGACGCTGGCATACACCGTTGCAAAACTCGTGGCCACCAGATCGCACCGTCTTTGGATCACGGATCCCACGTCACCGCTCTCCTCGGGCCCGCCTACACCCTCGATCCATTCTTCCACGCTGGCACCGACTTCAAGCCATTCATCTTCCATTTCGGCGGCCAGCGGAGTCCCCGCTGCAGCTGCTGTGTCCTCTCCTTCCGATCAGTCACCGTTCATTACGCCCAGCGGACCCAGCATTTCGGCCTCTTCTTTACCCGGTGCACGGATTTCCGGCCGTCTGGTCGGCGTCGTCAGTCTCACCGACATTCTGATCCTCTTCGCCCGTGCAAGCGGCATGGGCGAGGTCGCCGACCCCAACGAAATTCGCATGAGGCGTCGTCGCAGCAGTTCGAGCAGTGTGAGGAAGAGTTTTGACCTGGGCCCACGTCCATCCTTGTCTGGAGCAGGCGGCGTCGGTATCCCGCGCCGCGGGTCGGGTGAGTATTCCAGGTCGAGGAGGAGCAGTTTGGCCTCGGCCTCGGCCACGTCGCCACGGGTCGCCTCGCCGAACAATAACAATACCAATCCCAATACTACCGGCAATGGTGCGGGAAAGTGATAAGTGACAAGTGATAAAGTGATAAAATACTAGGCGTTGCACGCATGGTGTCGTTGTTTTTAAACCAAGTCTAGAAAGGGTGGATGGGAAAAGAAAAGAAATGGAACGCTTTGGACGAGATAGGCAGGCCCGCACGACAGAGACAGAGAGTGAGCCAGAGCGAGGAGTGACGGAGTGAAGGACCCAGGAAACGTATGACCAAAAAGCGCACCCTGACCAGGGGACGTACTCGTAGGGTGAGGATGATGGAGAGCACTGAGGCTGCTAGCACTATCTCGGAGTTCAAGTTGTATGATTCGGGTTTGCATTACTTAGGTAGTCCATAAACGGAGTGAACCGAGCCAGTCCTAGGTACCTAGACATACAGGGACGAAATACACTGATGAACAAGATACCATCAGTAGCAAAACTTCCAACTCCGTTCCTTTCCAGTCTCGTTGGCTTTTTATTGCTTACCATTAGAATTTATGTACCTAAGGTATTATTTCAAGAGTGGACAATAGTAGCAGTAATAGACCCAGGAAGATAAAATGTCGCCATAACGCCGCGCAAATTTTCTTTTTGTTCGTTCTCCTGGACATTATCCACAAAATCAGGCAGATAAGAGATTAAACACCCTCACCCTCACCTCCGCTACCACCACCAACGTCGACTTCAATATCACCACCATCATCCCAACTCCCATCCATTACAAAGTGGTCCCAGAACCCCTCGGCCGCAGGGGTAATTTGACCAGATGTGACAGCGCTCATACCACCAACCCCGGCACCGCTGCCCGCACCAAACTCAAGACCTTTCGAGAGCGCCATGGTCTCCTGACTGAAATTGAAATCTAACCCGGCGGTCGGGAGAGGCAACGACAAGGAAAGCGAGGTGGTGGTGGTGGCATCACTAGCCGCTGAAATGGACGACTTGCCGTGTGTGAGATTTGTAGTAGTCGTCGGGGTGGATTCTGCACCACTGCTGGTACTGCTGTGGCTGTCATTCCTGGTGGTAGAACTACCGTTGGGATTCTGTTGTTCAAGAACCGAGGGCGCCAGGGTCGCCGACATGCCGAATCCAGTAGCTTGGTACGCTGAAGTGTGGTCATGAACAGGCATGCCTTTGAGCGGGTTGCCAGAATTGTCGTGACCGTTGCCGTGCCATGGATAGTACCGATTGTTCGAAATGTACTGATCTGACCCGTGCATGAGCATGGCGTAGCTGGGGTCACTGGGGTCCAAACCTGGTGCATGAGCGAGCATCTGCTGAGCCTCGGGCGGTAACGACGTGGTGGTAAAACCCCCCAGTTGGTCTTGCCATGGTGACGAAAATACAAGACCACCTCCACCGGCACCTCCACCTCCTGCGTGCGACAAGGGCGGTGATAATTGAGCTTGTCTCAGGTACTCTGGTTCCGCCTTGATGCCACTGCCACTATCAGTGGTATCGATCTGCTGCTGCTGCTGTTGCTGTTGTGATTCTCCCATTCGTGGTATTGACCCTGGTGTAGACATTCGTCTATGGTGGTCAAGCGAAGGGGCCTGCTGCGGGTCCGCCGAGGAGGATGAGTTGGCTGAAGGAGGAGACTGCCGTCCTTGGTTGTTCAAGTCATGGGTTGGTATCGAGGCCATGGAGAAGGCTCTGCCGTGGCCGGAGCGAAAATTAGGTTGATGGGGGGACGGATATGGGGCGGTCCGGTAGGATCCGCCGGCGCCTGACGGCGGCACCATACTGCTCATATTGGGGTGTGATAACATGGGAGATGGGAACATGTTCGGTCTCGAAGATGATGGTGCTGTTGCTGTTGCAAACCCTGACTGAGAAGGGTAATGTGCATATCCATTTGCCATCATTTGTTCCATCGCGCTTCTCATGGCCACTTGGTTGGTGAGGTACGCGGCTAGTCGTCGGTTGAAATCCGCGGAGCCCGTCTGCAGATGCGCTGTAAGACGGCGGTACTGGAGCGGCAGATCGTCATCCTCCTCTTCATACATCTCCTCGTTGATAACATCTTGTTCCGTCACCCGGAGTGACCGGCCAGTGCGGCGTTTGTGGATTTCAGAGGCTCGTCGTGCCGATTCGACACGAGCCTCCAGGCTTCGATCACTTCTTCTTGAGGCCGCGATATAAGCTCTTGCAGACACAACCAGGTCAGCATGATGGAAGAACAGACACGTGGAGTTATAGCTGTACCTCTCTTGGTTCTCCTCGTGAGTCCGCTCGGTCTTGATCGCCTTTGCCGGCGGTGTGGTCCTCATAGGAGGCATTTTGAAACAAAACAAACTTGACTTGCACGACAATGAGGGCGACTGTTCAACGACAACCGAACCACGGCAATGTCTCTTTCCAATGCTGGGGTAAGTGACGACTTGGACGTAGGCGGTATGAACTGGGCTTGTTCTTGCCACCAGTAAACTTTCACAGATAGATAGCACGGATACTGCTAGCAACAGTAATAGGTGCACAAGACAAAGGTATCTCTGTCGAACGACAGTGACCTTATAATTGAAATGGCTGAGAAATCAATCTCTCATAGGAGTACACATAAGTGGCAGCTCGGTACACACACAAAGAAAGGAAGCAACACAGGGAGAACAGATACACAAAGTGGCGAAACGGCAGAAGTAATTCTATCAAGACGAACTTGAAGCGAACTGGCCTGAGACCGGGATGATGCTGGCCAAGAGCCGCTGCTTACACGTAGCGTAGAGTTCAACCCAAGCTATTGTACCTAAGAAGACGAGTGTTAGCTGCAGAATTGGGGCTCGTACAACGTCGGTCATCATGAAAGGAAGTTGTTTTGACCGAGTGGATACGAACGGGCGGGAGATAACTCCCAACATGAGGTATGTGTAGATGGGTAGCGTCGATACCCAGGGCGGAGGCGGAGGCGATTGTCGAGGCGAGGATCGTGCGCGAGGGATACGGTGCTAATACGACCGACCAGGATATTTGTGGCTGTGAAAGAAAAGGCATGATCTGATCAATGCCAATGCCAGTGTGCAAGTGGATTGCGGAAGAGCTTCCAAGCTCTCAACCGGCCGAGGAATACCTGCTGGCAAACCATTGCTGGTTGGCTGACTGACGCATTTCCATGAGCAACAGGGAGGCGTGAAATGCCAGAGATGGCATGATGGCGGCACACTGGCAGTCGGTAGTGGTAGTTGGGAGTGGACATTTTGAAGGGAATGGTGTTGCTGCGGATCGGCCATTCGCCCTTCCCAGGTGCCAGGGATCGTCCCTGGGTCCAAGTACTGCTTTACCCACGCCAGCCCAGCGAGGAGGCGGCAGGCCCTGGCCATCAAGACACCATGCTCGATACGGAAGGTCAGTCTGAGATAGAGTTGAACCAGGCCGCTAAGCCAGCGATCATGGAGGAGGATTGGTCGATCCAGCTCCTCCCGTAAACCATCTCCGGCGGCCCATTCATCCGCTCATCGAGGGTCTGAATCGGAGCTAATAACACGCCCTCACTGTGACCATATGAGATGCCAGTGTCCATTATCCCAGATTTGTGTCGGCGGTATCGCCAGGGGTCACCCTGGTTCGTCATCTGATGCCGCTTGCTTTGTGCTTTTGGTTGCTTGCCTGCATTGGCGGAAATTGCAACCACTGCATGGGCTTGCTCCAGCACGAGAGTACTGAAGCTGCATTCCACACGCTTCGTGTCAGAGCATATCTTAAGTGTTTTCCTGTCACACAAGGCCTGATTTTGCGCGCGCGCCCACCCTTTCTTGACCCTATCGGTCGTAGTTCCAGATCTTAGCGCGCCATCGGCAATCGAACTGTCTTAACGATTTACCATGTCAGGCAATGCGGGTTTGATTGACGTTGATGGCAGCGGAATAGGAATCCTTTGCGAGGTGCCATGGTTTCCGATCGGATCTGAGAATGTGTCTTGTGCTGCCAGCTACCCAGTACCACACAATCTGCGAGGTCGATGCAAGGTGGACGTCTCCGGAAAAGCTATGTGCAGGCTCAACCCTGGACGCACTCGCAAAGAATAACCAACTCAGGCTGGGGATTGATTGCTGCTAGTTGCTCCCCATCCCGGCTAATTTCATGCCTAAAGTCAGCGCGAGACTTTCCTTCTGTTCCAAAATTGGTCTGTGCAGATACCTAATTCTCAAATTCCCATTATCTTGTCGGTAGTCGCGCTTTCACCTTACCACTAGACAGCCCCTGAGTGTGGTTCTTACAACTTACTATGCTCGGTCCGTTGGCGGATGCTGTGGGTTTGGGTCAGACCACCCCATCCCCAGTCTGGTGGACCAGCAGGGCGATCGGTCACTCTGCAGAGAGCCACGGTTGACAAGGCAGGTTAGCAATGCGCCGATGCCACGGCCACTGGCAGTAGTACTAGTAGTAGTGGTCGTGGTGACCCAGACCAGTGGTCCATTGTGGTGGGCGGTGAAAAAGGATCGCTCGGCCGACAAGAGATGGCAGTGGTCCATTCGGGAAGGAAAATTGGATTCTGGGAAAGCTTCATTCCAATTGCGGCGATGGTTTCCCAACGCTGGAGAAGTTGAAAGGGACTCAGGCTGTGGAGGCGTAAAAGTGAGACTACAGTATGTGCTATAGCACTAGTAGGTACAATGTATCCGGCTCAAACACTTCCGACAGCTGTATTTGAAATTGCTGGAGTTAATGTGAAACTCTGAAGTTCCGCGTGCCATGAATGCAGTTGCAGTGCCCGCTTTTGCAGTTGCAGCCTGCGCCAGAGTTTTCGTACAACACAAACGCACCAGGATCCAGGATCGACGAGTTGAATACTAACTAGTAGCAGTCATGCTTTCAACTTCAATTCTTGCTCATACTGCAAGTTGCATCCAGGTTGCCCTCCTTTCCTTCCTTTCCTCGCGTTCTCTTGCCGTTCAGTGAGCTCCAGAGCCTCAGGCTCTCCAGGCACCCCCAGAATCACAATTTTCCGTGCTTCAAGTTCAGGGATCTAAGCCACACGATACACTGGCAATCTCCATCATACAAGATCTCGCTCGCTCCCTGTCAGATATGCCAGATGCCAGTGGCACAGCCGTGATCAGTACTACTACTACTTCGCTTCCCCGTCCCCTCTTTTACACGGCCATTCTCGAATCCCTCTCGGTCTGTGGGTCCCTGTCATCTCGCTGGCATCTGCAAGATCTGATCTCGTCCTGGATCTATTAACCGGTGCTCGATCGATTGATCGCTGCCAATCGCTCCCTTTGCCACCGATCGGTTGCTTTCCGGAGGCCATCTGGCAGCATGGCTCGTATCACTGCTTGCCACGCCCCCATGAGAGAGTCATGCCCCGTTCTTTGAGCTATGACGATGTCTCCCCCAGTGAGAGTGTCGCCAAAATTGGCATCGATGAGCTGCCAAGGAGGAAAATGGAATACGAAAGATTTATTAGGGATAGAAAGTCAACGAGGATAAAAAAGTGACCGGTCCAGTAGCGACGGAGGACCAAGCTTCGCTTTACTAGTAGATACCCAAACGGCCCCAGTGAACTGAGTTACGACAATGGGCCTCGCGCGTCATGTTCCCGTTTGCTGCTTTTTGCTACAATATGTACCACTGGCAGGTAGGTTCTCGACTTGGAATCGGTTGAGGGATAGTGAACCCCACCATGCCTAACTAATCCCCAATGACGGTACATTGCCCTGTTCCTCCCGCGGCTGGCCGTTCAGTTCATAGGTCACTTTGTATCTCATCTTGACCGAATTACCTTTTCCAAGAGGGACTCCCTTCAGGAGTATTTCTTGTTGGACTGCATTCCGTGCTTGGGGCTGCATCTCGCGCCCACTTTGTGGTTTCACCTCCAGCGAGTAAGCTTTCTCCACGGCCACAAAGAATTGCAAACCCGTGATGCGTTGATTCGTGGTGTTGGAGAAACGCGCCGTTATGTGAATCGTGGACTCTCCTGGTTGCCGACGTGGTTCAAACAGTATCTCCACCGAGGATGAGAGTACTTTCACTACACTCGTCTCGGGCAATGACGACTCAAACGTCGTCCACTCCTCTTCACCTTGTTGAGGAGCAGGTTGTTTAGGCGCTGAGGGGAATTGCGACATAGGCTGCGATTTGTTGGCATTTTGTGGTGTTGACGGGCGAGAACTTGAAGTCGAGGCAATAAGAGCTGCGAAAGGATCGTTATGTGCTTGACTGGGAGCCCGTGTCTGCTGGACAGCAGGTACTGGCGTCGTAGGCTTCGAGGACGGTAAGGCGCTGGTGAGTGATGCAAAGGCATCATAGTTAGGTTTTGGTGATGCCGCATGTTCAGGCGGTGGAGGCTGGGTCGGTGAGAATAGCTGTGGACTCGGCTGACTGAAGCTGCTGAATGCTCCAGTCGTACTGCTTGGTCCGAGAGAAATCATTCCTAAAGGTGAAGGGCTGGGATCAGACAGTGAGAGCCCCAGCAAATCGTCTTCTACTGTGTGCGGCTTGGAGGGCTGTGTCGAGGGAGCACTGGCCGTGCCGGCGTCGAGGAGGGAACCGTTTGTATCTGATGCTGCCGGCCCAGCTGGCGGCTCCGGGTCGAAATCGATCAAGGACAACTCGTTCGCGGCGTTCTTTCCCACTCCTGTTGTTGTTCCCAATGTACCCTTTGCGATTTTGTTGGCAGCCTCCAGATTGCCAGCCTTCATCAATTTGTACCTCTCTATTGTCCGATGGATGCTGTCATTGATCTCGAGGAGTTTGGCAACCGCCTCGGCATCGTCGGACTCTTCTTCGCACATCTTCTGAATCTTGGGGTGGGCACTTTGCAGCGCTGCGGCTAGTTCCTGTACCTAATCAGTGCCTGGTTTGCCCATGTTTTGCTCAAGAGACATACTTCGTAGACGTCGCCATCACCAAACTTTTCACCTTCTTTATGGCCCTGCAGCATCTCTTCCAGAAGCCTGGCCTTCTGTTGAACTTTGGCGACCTCTTCCGCCGCCTTTGCGCGATAATCCGTCTTGTGCCTCGTGTCATAGCCAGCCATCACTTTCATCAGTCGATTAGCTTCTTGGAGGTCCTGAGGCCGTCCACGCCGTATCAGTTCTTGCAGTTTCGCAGACTGTGCTGCTCGTTCTTCCTCCTCCATCTCTTCCGCGGACTGTAGATTCTGCAGGCAATAGTTATTAGTAGGGACATCTTAAACTCCAGGGGACAAGTTCTCACATCGCTCGGATTGAGTACGGCGGCATCTTCTTTGCGTATCTCTGGAAACATATAGCCTTTGTACAACAACAGTCGATGCATGTCTCTTATGAAGCCCAAATCTTCCTTGTACCGCGACGTCTGACATATGGTTTGTCGCCATTCTTCAATCGCTTCCAGGATCTTGGACTGAACACGACTAGGCCGCATAGGAGGTCGTTCGGGAAACCGCCGCACGAGTTCATTGAGGAATTCTTTTGTGCTTATCTGCAAATGGAAGGGATAGCCACAATTCTTCACGCAGATATCCAACAAGGCCAGCGCCAACAGGGCGACGTTAGGGTTTCGGTGGTTGATAAGTTGGACAATGGTCATGGCAGCCTCGCGAGGTGCATTTCCCTTCTTGGAATTGATCAGGTCAACGATCTCGAGGTTCAACGCCAGATTGGGCTCGAGGTTGGTTATAGGATCGCAGGCATTGTAAATGTATCGCTGGAGCGTCGACCGCGGCGGCGCGAAACCGTCGAATTGGTTTCTTGACGCCATCCTCGCCGAAGCGGCTTCCATCCTGACATGAGATAGTTGTAGTCCCTTTGATTCCGGACAAAGACCCCGTGTAAAAGCAGGATGTTCTGGCTAAGACGACGCGGAACTGCAGTGCCAGTTGGAAGGCACAGTATCGGATGCCTCAGGTCAGTAAGGCCACTCGCTGCCATGCCAGTGCAGTGGCAGGCCACAGTATTACCGAACTGCACATGATTAGTCAGCACCGGCTGCGGCCAACCTTGCCCGGTTCAAGTTCCTCAAGAGGCTGCCTCAGACAATCACTAGTGTATATCGCCATTCAGGAGTTGCTACTGGAAAAAAAGCCTCTATAGATTTCCGATCAATTGCCAGAATCGTTGCAGAACGGGCGACGCGCTACCGGTGTGACCAGGTCGATTCAACCGCGTCTCGGAAGTGCACAGTCTCTTGTATAGATCTGAATTTTTGGGAACAATCTACAAAACATCGCTGACTTGCTCCATAATGGTGACGCCTGAGTAAATGCGGGACCAGATTCAGCCGCCTCGACCTGCCTACATATGCCGCGCTCATAGACCCAAATAATCTCAAACGACAGATATGTCAAGAACCATCACCTCAAGCGCCTCGGACTAGTTATTCCCGCACTGTGCGATATTGGAGGTGGGGGCAGGTCCTTCATCGGAGGAGCCGGAAGCGGCCCTGTCGGCGGCGGCTGCCGCAAGGAAAGCGGTGGACTTGCCAGATGGCTTCTGCTGCTGATGATAGACCCGTTGCTGCTTGTCCTAGGAGGGAACGAGGGTCTCTGGGAGGATTCGATGGCCGAAGCAGGTTCAGGGATATTGTCCCGTTCGTTGTACCCTAGGCGATATGCCCGAGACCCAGAGCCGTTAGGCGTATCTCGCGTCTCCAAGGATAGATGCTGTAAAGACAAGGGCGGCGGAGGTGATTTTTCCACAATTCCAGTGGGCGTGTGCTGAGCAGAATATTGAGGACCCGCTACAGGAATATGCCCAGATACTGCACCTTTGTTTTGTCTTGCAGTGATAGGGGTGCCTCGGCTGTCGCTTGTGAAGGATGCCGTTGAAGTGGCCGAGGTCGTGCCAGTGTAGGACGCGTCTGAGCTTGTGCCGTCGCTTTTGAGCGACTTTGGAGCTGGAGGTGCGAGGTATGATTTCCGATTGTGTCTCTCCATCATCGAAACAGCCCACTCCTGCAAATCGACAGGGGTTCTCTTGGCCGCTTGCAGAAAATTGTCCCTGTCGTAGAGCTCCCTCGGTGTAGGTCTTTCGTCGGGGTTCTTGAGTAGGCACTTAGCCACGAAGTCCTCCAAGATGGCCGGAAACGCTTCGCTCTTGGGTAGTTTCGGTGCTGGCTCGTGGACGATCGTTTGCAACAGATCGAGGATCCCCATGGGCCCAGCACTAGCTCTGTCGCCTGCGGCAGAGTCATTGGCGTCGAATGGAAATCTTCCAATAGCCAGTTCCATCACCGTAAGACCAACACTCCAAACATCGGACTTGATAGAGTACGCACCACCTTGAATTCGTTCTGGTGCCATATATGTCGAGGTTCCAACAAATGTGTTGGCAACCGAGTTAACAGTTTCCGTTGCAACGCCGAAATCACACAGCTTGATCATGCCCCTAGAATTCACCAGGACGTTGGAAGGCTTGATGTCTCGGTGCATGATGCGATGTGCCTCGTATAGGTAGACTAGACCACCTAGGATGGATTCGGTGATTTTCCCAAGCACATCGACTCGGATGGGTCCGAAGTCTTTCGATATACGATCCATCGATCTGCATTGATCAGAATTTGCAGGTCCCAAATGCCATCACAGAACTCACCCGCAGTCCATGTACTCCATACACAGCACGATGTCACGAGCTTCGTTCTGGAAAGCGCCGTAATATGTGATAACATAGGGCGAACTACAGTCATGGCCCACCTGCAGTTCCCTCACTATTTGCTTGCGGACATTTTCTTTTGCATCGACCCTGATGACCTGTCCTCTTTAGTGTTTGATCCCAATTGCTAAAGACAGTTCCGCTCACCTTTCTAGCCATGATGACTTTGGTCGAGGCATGCATGACTTTACTGACAGTTCCGCCATTGCCAGCACCCAATTCTTTGAGAACAATCAGATCTTCGCTTTTCAGATCTAACTTGAACTCTAGACCGATTTCCAGTGTGTCCGTCCGATCACTGTCGGAGTTTCCCAAAGCACCTGGTATTTGGGAGTCTCCTTCAGAAGGATTCGCTGTCCGGGGAGGGGGAGCATTCAAAGCCAGGCCCTTAACATTCTTCCTCTTGAGCGTCCGCGTCTTGAACGAGTCCGACATTTTGGCAAATGATTTCGGTTGTCACGATATAATGGGTCGTGAATCTCGCAATGGTTCGGGAGTGGAGTGAGGCCGATGTCAGATGTTCGACCCAATTGTACCGGTAAGTACGATTTTATGCAGAGTGCTGAACCGAGTGACCACCTTAGACCTTGTAGAAAGTGACAACCGCACCATGAGCACTTGAGCAACGGGGGGTAGGCCGTAGGGAAACGTGTCGTGGTGATAGCGGTGGTTTCGGCGGGGTCCGACTATGTTCGCGCCGAGTCAACACAGCCAGAGGTTCAACAACGAGTATTGAAGGCTACAGCCCGTCAGAGATCACGAAGAAGGTCGGACTGTGAGGAACAAAAGGTATGATTTCGAGGAAGAAGGGAAATGGTGACTTCGGCGTCTGTACAAAGGGGCAAAGACGGGTCGAACCGCCTTTGACGAGAGAAGGCGTCTACTTTGCAGGCCAGGGGAGATCCTGTCAAGATTTCACTGCATAGGAAGATGATAGTCTGATGAGTTCACCAATAACATAGTTGTGGTTCAGACGAAGGCGCCTATTCGGGGGCTCCCAGTTACTAGGTACGCAGTTTGAGACGTAGACTGTCGACAACCTGAGGAGAGGCTATGAGAGGCTAGTCTCAACTGCGCGTCGCCAGCACCAGCGACGCATCTGGAACTTGGACGTCTCCACCAATCGCCTCATTCCGCGGAGGAAAGGCGAGCCAGATGCTCCCCCGTAACCCTGATTGACTAATATTACTACGGTGGCGCTTGCCGCGCATCTGGCTGTTTGCTTTGTTTGCACTCCATTCCTGCGCGGGAAACTCTGGCGACTCGTAGCCTTTTTGCGCGGCAACATTCAACTACCAGCATCCTAAAAAGGGTGTTAAAAGTGACTGCGACTGGTAGCCCAGAATAAAAGTGCAGCGGGCAGAGTTCGCGGGCTGCGGCAATACACCTTCATCTTTCCGCTTTCCTTGTTTTCTATCACTCTTCTGTATCGCCTGACTTAACGTGGCTTCAACATGGATCTCATCGACGACCGCGCAGTACTCGACAATGAGGAAGACGACGAATCCTTCGATGAAGAAACGGGTGAGGTGAGGGCGAAGGAGAACGGAACTACTGGTGGCTTTGATGATTCCTCGGAGGAAGAAGAGGACGATGACGATGAAGAAGCTGCCGCAGAAGTGAGCTCCACAAGACGCAGCCTTGCTAGGTCAACGCTGACATTGATTCCAGGTTGCTAAGGACTTTATTGTGGATGAAGATGAAGAGGACGAGGAGACACGCCGAGAAAGACGCCGCGAACGGAAGAAACGCCGCCGCGAGGAACGCGAAGAGGAAGGCTTGGACGAAGAAGATCTCGAGCTGATCGGCCTGAAACCAGCAGAGGATGCCCCCGAGCCCAAATTCAAGCGCCTTAAACGTGGTCCGCGCGAAGACCGTGATGTGCAACAACCCTCTGGCGTCACCGACATATTTGGTCAATCGGACGAGGAGGAGGACACCGTTGACTATACACGTCGGAGCCGACCAGATCGACGGGGTTTACAGGATGAGTTCGATGACTTCATTGAAGAGGATGTCTTCTCCGATGAGGAGCAACAGCGACAACGCGAAGATGAGGAAGTGGCCCGGCCAAATCGAAGAGGTCTTCCAGATCTGGGTATCGCTGATGCAGCAGGTCTCGACGAGCAAGCTCTAGAAGATTTCAGGGCAGCGTTTGGAGACGGGACCGACTATGATTTCGCTCTGGAGAAGGAGGACGAGGCAGACGAAGAAGAAGCCGAGAAGGATAAACATCTTGACCTCAAGGACGTCTTCGAACCCTCACAACTAGCGGAGAAAATGTTGACAGAAGAAGACAATGCAATCCGCTTCACCGACGAACCGGAACGGCATCAGCTTGCCCGAAAGCCATATCGCCACGTGGAACTGACCGAGGATGAGTTCAAGGACGAGGCTAGCTGGATAGCCAATCTCATGCTTCCTGGGAAACAGTTCAATCCCGATCTTCACGAGCCTTTTCGACGGGCAATCGCACAGGTGCTGGAGTTCATGGTCCGGGATGACTATGAAGTCCCCTTCATATTCCAGAACCGCAAAGACTATCTCCTCCATGTCGTACAGAAGGTTGTTGGCAAGGATGAGGATGGCAACGATCGAATAGTTGCAGATGCCACTCGGTTACTGGTACAACGTGACCTCTGGCAAATTTTCGAGCACGATCTAAAGTATCGAGCTTTGATCGAAAAGCGACAAGCGTTGCAAAAGACATACCAGGATCTGAAGTCCACGAACATCCCCGACGATCCTGTGTTCCAGGAGATGCTCCCGCTGGCAGCTACTATGGAAGAACTTCAAGATCTCCAGGACTATCTCTATTTCCAATACGCATCACAGCTTAAGGATTTGGCTCTGACGTCCAACGGGGAGCCCAACGGCATCAATATGTCCCAAAAGAAGGCTGCCACCAGAACTGTGTATGAGGAGATCCGGGCTTCGAAGGCATTTGGTCTTGTTCGAGCATTCGGTATCACTGCAGATGGATTTGCTCAAAACGCATCCCGACAAGGCGTACGGACGTATGCAGAAGATCCCAGTGACAGTCCAGAGAATCTTGCCGACACAATGATCGATGAAGAGTTCCCTACAGGCTCGAAAGTATTGAAGGCAGCAAGGTCGATGTTCGTTGAAGAGCTTACAAACAATCCGAGATTCAGAGGTCTTGTTAGGAAAACCGTCTACATTGAAGGTGTCATTGACTGTCACCGCACCGAGAAGGGGCTCAAAAAGATCGACGAGCAGCACCCTTACTATGAGTTCAAATATCTCAGAAATCAGGATTTCCGCTCATTTTTTGAGAGACCTGATTTGTTTTTGAAGATGCTCAAGGCCGAAGAAGAAGGCCTGATTGAGGTCAAGGTCCGACTGCGGAATTTGGAAGGCTTCAAGAAACAGTTGTATAAGCACATCGAAACGGACAACTATTCCACCATCGCGGATGCTTGGAACGCCGAGCGGCGTGATGTTGTCTCTGCTGCGGTTGACAAAGTGATGAGGCTTATGGGGAGACTGGTCAAGGAGAATCTCAAGGAGCAGTGTGAGAATGCCATTGGAATCGAGTGCCGGGAAGAGTTCAATCAGAGACTGGACCAAGCACCGTATCAACCACGTGGCATGAAGAAAGGCACTACTCCTCGTGTCCTAACACTATCTGCTGGCGGCGGGACTATTGGTCGTGACCCTATTTTCTGGGCCTATGTCAACGACGACGGAAGAGTTCTTGAGCATGGTCGGTTTAAGGAACTTGGCCCTGGTGATCAAGAGCGCAGTATTCCCGATGGCAAGGACGTTGAGGCTCTCTTGGAAGTGATCCGACGCAGGGAACCAGAAGTTATCGGAGTGTCAGGGTGGTCGCCCGAAGCGCGCAAACTACAGGCCAACCTCGCGACACTTGTCCAAAACCATGACCTTCGTGGTCCCGTGTTTTCGGACGAGGACGACAGGGACAGGAGCGAACTACTGGAGGTGATCATGGTCAACGACGAAGTTGCTCGGATGTACCAGACCAGTGACCGGGCAAAACACGATCACCCCGGATTCCCGCAACTGGCTCTTTACTGCGTCGCTCTTGCGAGATATATGCAGGACCCATTGAAAGAGTACGCCGCGCTAGGGCGAGACATTGTTTCGATCAGCTTCCATCCCGCACAGAACCTACTTCCCCAGGAGAAGCTTTTGAAGAAGCTAGAAATGGCCCTGGTCGACACTGTTAACATGGTTGGGGTGGACATCAACGAAGCTACAAGCGATAGCGCCGTCGCAAACCTTCTGCCTTATGTGGCCGGCCTAGGGCCGCGAAAAGCCTCGCATCTTCTCAAGGTGATGAATCTGAACGGTGGATTCATCACGACTCGTGAAGACCTCTTAGGCCTTAATGAGAAACATTCGGCGATGGGCTTCAAGGTTTGGAGCAATGCTGCGGCCACGCTGTATATACCTTTCGAGCAGTCCGAGCCCACGTCCGAGTATCTGGACGGCACCCGAGTCCACCCTGAAGACTATGACATTGCTCGCAAGATGGCCGCCGACGCCCTCGAACTTGACGAGGAAGACATTGAAGCCGAACGGCAAGAAGGAGGCTCTGCGGCTATCGTGCGCCGACTGATTCGGGAAGATGCTCAGGAGCGCGTGAACGACCTCGTCCTTGAAGAATATGCTGAGCAATTGGAGAAGAACCTGAACGCGAAGAAGCGCACCACGCTTGAAAATATCCGCGCCGAACTCAACGAACCGTATGAGGAGCTCAGAAATCCCTTCCGCAGCAATCTGGGAGAGTCGGAAATATTTACAATGCTTACGGGCGAGACGCGAGAGTCACTCCAACGAGGTATGAATGTTCCTATATCGCTGAAAAAGATTACGGATTCCTACGTCGAGGGCAAACTGGACTGCGGACTGGATGCAATCGTTGAGGATGGTCAATGGTCCGAAACTGGAATGTCACCCAAGCAGTTATACACGCTGCACCAGACCGTACCAGCTCACATCACCTCTATCAACCGAAAAGACTTTTTAGTCACTGTCAGTTTGAGGGATGACCAGCTCAAGAAGCCGTTTAAGCGCTTCAATCACAATGACCGCCACTATGACGAATGGGACGACCGAGAAGAAGCCCAAGACAAGAAGCTTTTGGAGGAAAAGACCGACTCTGGAAGCCGTGCCACCCGTGTGGTCAAACATCCTCTATTCCGGCCGTTCAATGCCAAACAGGCCGAGGAGTATCTCGCCAACCAAAACCGCGGTGACGTCGTGATACGACCTTCATCTAAGGGGACGGACCATCTGGCGGTAACTTGGAAAGTTGCAGATGGCATCTTTCAACATATCGATGTGCTTGAACTTGACAAGGAGAACGAGTTCGCCTTGGGGAGAACTCTGCGAATTGGTGGGAAATACAACTACTCTGACCTGGACGAATTGATCGTGCTGCACGTGAAGGCCATGGCAAGGAAAGTCGATGAAATGTGCGGCAACGAGAAATTCCAGGACAAGTCCAAGGCGGCACTAGGTAAGTTGACTCCCTCATTACACTATATGGACGACTACTAACAGGTTGATTAGAGGAGTGGTTGACGACCTACACCAACGCGAATCCCAAGCGGTCTATGTACCAGTTCTGTATCAATCGAGAGCGACCAGGACAATTCCATCTGGTATTCAAGGCTGGTCAGAATGCCAAGCTCATGGACTGGAGTGTCCGTGTGATTCCGCAAGGGTTTGAGCTCATGAAAACGCCATATCCCACCATGAGAGATTTGTGCAATGGGTTCAAGCTCATCTTCCAGAACATGCAACAAGCGGCGGCTATGGGAAGAGGGCCGCGGAGATGATTACGTAGGATGCAAGTTCAGGTGCACACGGGATACTAAAATGGTGGGTTGGGGGCTCCTGGGGCCTTCTGCTTTTGCAACATGATTGCTGCCGGGGAAATAAAGGTCATTGTATTTTACTTATGAACCCAGTTCACACGGCTGGGGAACCGACTAGGTGGGACATCAAATTACTTCCATATTCCAGCGAGAAGTATAGGAGTCTTTCAAGGAAGGCCGCTTTTCTTTTGAGTGTTCCGGGTAATCTTCTCAGTCAACGTCTCTCCAAGAATATTTCTCTGTTCGCTGTCTCAGGACTCAAGTCGGTCTGCGCCGGTACAGTACGATGCGCATAGAGGCAGAATTGTCTTTGGTGATCTCGTCAGGCTGGCGTATCGCTCGAACCGAAGGGAACCTTTCAAATGGTGATGAACGGACAGAATGTGGAGTGGAAAAATGGTGCGGTGGACGGGGTTTACTAGTAGGCCGTTGATGGACCTTGGATCTGATTAGACTTTGCAGCAGCTCACCACTGTAGCAGCAGCAGCAGTACAGAAGTGGCATGCTGGAGCCTGCAACTGTTCTGGTGCGCAGACTGCGCTCCATAATCAATCATCCCTGGTGACTTTGAGGCCTCCTCTTGTCTGCCAGTGCCAGGTAATGAAATGTACAGCAACTACTCCCTAAGACGATGGTGGGACTGTGATTGTCCAGCTGTCGCACTTGTTGTCATACTCAATGCTACATACCTACAAGGGTCAAATCCTTGTAGTTAGAGTACAAGGTATGCAAAGGTATGTGCTGTCTTCTCTCCGCCAGTTCTGTTCAAATCTTCAAATCAAGGAGTTTAGACGAAGGAATAAGGCCCGAAGCGGTGTTCACTCCACGATCTACGCGACGCTACCAAAGAAGCCGGCTCGTTGATGGTGCCTCATGGACCCCGGGTCCTTCGCGCGACCTTTCATCACAAGCTATGCTGTGAGATGCCGCTCGGATTCGGTTCGAGGACACCCGAGTGCGCAAGCCTTCGATGATCGCGTCCAAGTCCTAATTGCACATCCACGCTCTGGCCTAAAGGCCAATTTTACTTGATGCTGTTTGGATACCATGCCTCTCTAGTCGCAACGGGTCTCGTCTTCGAAGCCTTTAGTATCTGCTTACAATATGGTCTTGAATAAAGCCTGTCATCACGAGGGAAAGGTGAGAGACATCTTGCTTATGCGCCTGTCGCACACGGTTCCGGTGCAGGCGAGATTTGTTGAGCAACACCATTGAGACCAATTTCAATAAGACCTCCTCTCTCTCCTCCGTCCAGCGCTCGTCTTTGTACGTCAGAGTCTGTTACACTCGCTGAACCTCTCCACCTGTTGGCTCAGTGGTTAAGCTAGTTCAAGATGGTGTCGTTCTTATCAAAGGTTTCGGTCATTGTGCTGGCAGCCACTGTATCTGCGAACGCGACAAGTGGCAGCGCAACGAGCACAGACGCCACTCCTTCTGTTGCGACTGACGTTGTCGCTTCCGCCAGTTCTTTGATCTCCACAGCGTCCAATTTTCGAGGAAAGGATCCTTGTAGATGCGTGCGTTGCTGACTGCATTTGAGAAGTATTGCACTGACGGCTATTCAGGTACCCGGTGACAGATGCTGGCCGTCGGACTTGATATGGAGGATCTTCAATGTCACGGTTGGCGGAAAGTTGATCAAGACGACACCGGTGGCCGTGTCATGCTATCCCGGTCCTGACCAAAACCCGGCCCAGTGTGCTTATGTGGACGCAAACTGGGCGGACGCGACATTTCAAGCCAACAATGTCGTTGGGCTCTCGTACCCGACCAACATCACTTGTCCTCCAGTCAATGTTACCGCAGGAGAAACAACAACTGGTTCATGCACTCTGGATGTCAGCCCGAGCTATGCAGTTGACGCTACAAATCCTTTGCAGGTTGCTCTGACCATTGCCTTTGCCAAGCTATTCAACATCCGGCTGGTCGTCAAGAATACTGGCCACGATTTGCTTGGGAGATCTGAAGGCCACGGCGGTCTCGAAGTCTGGATTAGACATCTGCGCAACGGCATCACTTATCAACCCGCGTATCAATCAAGCACCAAGTGCAGCAAAAGCTGCTGGGGTGGCAGTGCTATCAAGGTTGCTGGCGCGTACACCTGGGGTGATGTCTACGCCGTTGCCAAAGCCAACAATGTCGTGGTTGTTGGAGGAGGGACACCTTCTGTGGGAGCCATCGGAGGCTGGATGCAAGGAGGTGGCCACGGACCACCGTCCCGACAGTTTGGACTGGGAGCACACCAAGTCCTAGAACTGGATGTTGTCCTCGCGAGTGGTGCCTTGGTCACTGCCAATGCTTGCCAGAACAGCGACCTATTCTTTGCTCTTCGTGGTGGTGGCGGCGGCACTTACGGCGTCGTCGTCTCAAGCACGATCAAGGCCTACCACATGGTCAGCGTTGCCGTGCAACATCTGGCGATAGGTGCTCTGAGTTCAAACACGTCGGGCTTGCTCGACGTCGTGGCTATCCTGTATTCTGAGTACCCAGATTTGGATGATGCAGGATATGCTGGTTATGGGCAATGGGGAATCAACAGCCCGACCCCTTTCTTTGCTACCTTCACAGCCGGTTACATCCACGGGTTTTATATATTCAACAAGACCGTTGCTGAAGCGCAAGCAGCTTTTGATGCCACGAGGGCAAAACTGGCTCCATACAACATGACAAGTGTCTTTATTTCCGAGACCTATGCAAGTTATCCCGATTATTGGACTTTCTACAACACCGAGTCAGGCGTTGAGCCTCCAGTTGGAACTCCCAGTGCCCTTGGATCACGCCTGTTTGACCGGACTTCAGTGACTTCGAGCTTTTCTGCCCTTCGGTCCCTGATTGGTATTGTTGCTGGAACACCCGATCAGTATACAGTCAACAACTTCGAGCTTGTTTCAGGTGGCCAGGTTTTCCAGGACAAGTCAGACCCTAACTCGGGCGTACTTCCTGCGTGGCGGACCTCGTACTTCAGCAATATCGTTGCCAGAGGTTTTCCCATTGGAACACCCGAGTCTGTCGCCGCATCGATTCACCAGGATATCACCTATGTCAAGACAGCTGCAATGAAGGCATTGGCTCCCAACACGGGGTCATACATGAACGAAGCGGATCGATTAGACCCCGACTGGAAAATCGATTTCTATGGCAGCAACTACGACAAACTGCTGTCGATCAAGCAAAAGTACGACCCGTCGTCCGTGTTTTACTGCCCGACCTGCGTTGGCAGTGACGCCTTTGGTGAAGATGCTGCCGGCCGCCTATGCAGAGTTTAGCTTCTGCAACAGTCTAGTACATACTATACATAATCTTAATTCCTGGCTACCCGCACAACGGTGGCTTTTTGCAAAAGAGGAAATGCATTATCAACCATCCTTGAGCAGCGAAAAACATCCTTGGGGCAGAAAACGGCTTGCCGGGTCTTCGCGAGAGGGGGAAATCTACAAACTCACCACGGCCATATCCGGTGGTGAGAGTGGTGGTGCCGGCGCTGGACGTCACTCGGGCAAACTGCAAAGCGGCAACCGACCAAGGAGTCCGTTCGCTTGGCCGTGTCCAAGTCCGGAGGGGGGTCGCGCGTCAGATCCGAGTCCATCCCCCAGGAAGATAACCCCGGAGGTGGGAACGCTATGACTGCCTTGAACAGCGGTCAGATTGTTGTCCCAGAGGACTTTGGGTGGTCGTCGTCGCAGGCTAGTCATGGAGGTGGAGCCGGGAGTTTGGGGACTGACATTGACAACACCGAAACATTCCATTCGGGCGAGCAAAACTTTGATGATGCTAAAACTCGGATGGTAGGTGCCATGAAGGCTGGAGAGGCGATGGAATTGGTCTCGCTGTGAGCTGCAACAGAGGACCGCAACCGAGGCCGCAACAGCAGTCGCAGAGAAGCCAAGGCGCCGTGTCAATGAGACCGGGTTATGGTGTTGGCAATGATGGCTCAAGAGTCACGACGAGCTGAGTTACAATGATGCCATTACGTGATGTACGAATCAGTACGATACACAAACTGTATCTACAGGAGACATGCTTTGGGATGGGATATGTATGCCGAGGATGTTTTGAATGACATAACATGAACAAAGACCTAAGGTTACCATTTTACTTTCTTACTAGTAGGATGACTCCTGAACTACCCTCCGAATATAAATGCATAGATGTAGTCGTTTACATGATCGCCACAAGCGGGCCTGGACTTATCAGTGGACCAGGTGTGGTAACGTAGTGCCGTAGTGGAGTTCAAGTTCCTTGCGATATACAAAATACAAGGTACAAGATATGCATGTATGGACTCAGTAGTACACATGTTTTCCCTTTTATTACTGTAGATATCTACATGGGGAACCACTATACACTAATTCCATCTCATTGCCGTCATTGTATGTGTTCATCTCTCAACCATCTTAAGACATCGCCTACAAGATACAAGCTGCCCGCAATACAGACTGTTCCAGTTGTGCTAGTCTTTTGTAACCCCAGTGTCGTTGATTGCGATTCAACACGCTGCGATTCAACACGCTGCGATTCAACACGCTGCTCTTGGTCTTCGTTTTGACCTGATTCACTCTCATTCCCTCGGGCAGCAATCTCAACAGCTTTCTGAACGGCATCCCCCACGCTCTCCGCAACAACCACATTCCCATCAGTAATAAAGTCGCTTACCAACTTCGCCAGCTCCGACGCATCCATACTCTTGACCCACGGCATGCCGGCGACAGGGCCGAAGGAACAAGTTACGACGGTGTCGGATGGACCGTTGGCGAGTAGGATGGAAAGGATGGAGCGGATGTCTTTGTCGGATTTGGCGGCTAGGATCCAGGTTAGGGGGTTGGGTTTGGGAATAGGATTGCTGGAGGAGGGATTGGTGGGAGTGGAAGACTCGTTTCGTCGGACATGACTATCAATATACTCGGCCAAGGCTTGTGCTGATTGCGGATTATGAGCGCCGTCGAGGAGGATCTTGAATGTGTTATTGGCGGTGGTATCGGTTGCGTCTCCACGACTGATAGGAAGTTCAATCCATTGTAGACGACCAGGGAGGGACGATTGAGCCGCAGAGATCAGATGTGGTAGATTTTGCGTCGTGGTGATGATTTGTTTGGACAAGAGTTTCGAAGGACTTGACCTTGACTCTGCGGGTATCGATACCGTTGATGGAGGACTTGTCGTTGTACTAGCCCTGGTAGTGGTCGTTGTTGTATTTAGTCCTGTTGTTTCTGGAGTAGTTGGGTTGCTTTCCCGTGTTGTGGGTGGTGTAGATGCAGACTCTGGCTCTGATGCTGCGGTGTCGGTGCCAGTTTTCAACTTCAAAAGCCTCTCTTCAGCGACATAATACGCCGTGAACGCAGCAACCAAATTCTGAACCTGATGTGCCGCCAGCCCGAGCTGCGCGACTCTTCGATCATGCAGCAACTGCGCACGCAATGTCTCGGGCAAGACGAAAATGCCACTCTCGTCGTCATCAACCGTCGTTGTTTCGCTTTTCACTCCTGGGATTCCAGCACCATCACCATCATCACGCTGCTGCTGTCCCTGTTGCCTGTGCACCTCTTTCTCCCTCACTTTCCGCCTCACCACATCCAACACATTCTCTGCATTACTCTCGTCCACGACAACCGGCACTCCCGGCTTGAAAATCCCCGCCTTCTCCTCTGTAATCCGCTCGATCGTCTCACCCAGAAAGTCCGTATGATCGAGCCCGACCTTTGTCAACACACTAACCAACACATCCTGCGGTCTTAGGACATTAGTGGCGTCCAGCCGTCCACCAAGCCCGCACTCGACAACCGCGACATCCATGCCTTGACTTGTAAATAGTTCAAACGCCGTGGCTGTGAGGATTTCGAATTCCGAAGGCTTGTCATCTGTGGTGGTGGCGTCACTACTACCAGCTTGACTTTGACTCTGAGATAAACTCCTTTTCTGGACTCTTTCTTCAGCAGCCAGAAACACATCTCGGTCCACGACCTTCTGGTCCAGCGTGATACAGTCCCATCGATCAATCAAGTGGGGCGACGTGAATCGCCCGACGCGGTACCCAGACGCGGAGAGGAATGTGGAAATCAAAGCCGCGACGCTGCCTTTGCCGTTGGTGCCGGTGATGTGGATTGCTTTCCAGGGCAGGCCGGCTGGGTATTTGGCGAAGAGGGGTGCGAGGAGGCGAGAGATGCGTTGGAGACCGAGTGTGATCATTTTGGTCGGCAGAGACGAGTTAACTGACTGACCGACCGTGTGAATGACCGGAGGGCCAAGCCAGACCGGAATAGAATGGTTCACTCGGAGAGAATGTCCCGAGCCGGCAGTGATAGTGATAATATCGTTGCTGGATGGGCCGACCCTTCAAACTCGCTCGTCTTAGGTCTGCGTCATGATAGAATCCGTAGTATATCCGATTCCCGATCCACTCATTCAGTGCTCACCGGAGCCATTATGTGAGGAAGAAAGCCTGGCCGGGAAGGACAGTGTTGGAACACAGGTTTATCGGGCCATGGGTATGCTAGGCGACCTTTTTGATTTCACCTGGTCCGCTTTGCACACAACAGAAGCAGATGTGTATGTGATTGAGAAACTGCAGTCAGGGTAACTGGAGATTAGGTTGGTACCTAGGTAGTGGTTCAGTCTCCAGTCCACTGCGTCGCAAAATCTTCGATGTCAAGTCAAGTCAAGTTGTTTGAGTTGTATAAGTCATATGAAGGTGAAATACAGTGCACAACGCGGTAGTGGTAGAAATACGAAATAGTAAAGCTTAAAATGCTGTCCAATCAGATGGCCATTTGCCGCCTGACGAGGCTGACGAGGCTGACGAGGCTGGACGGGTACGAATTAAGCAGCCAGGTACATCTCTTGTCTCCGGAGCTACAATGTTATGGTAACAGAATGGTAACAATTAATATTAATACAATATATTATATTCATGCACGACATACTAGTCAAATCTACGCCATCGCTAAACCGCTTTTCTGATCCTACCGGCACCCGCCGCCATCGCCTTCAAAATGCGTCCACCACGCTAGTTGTCGAATCCCAAATGCCGTCGGAGGGACAAATAACGCTCATAACTAAACAACTTGAACTCAATCTTCATATGGCTGAGCCAGGCGCGGAACAGCATCCAGACGTTTCTGGGATACAACAGCCCGCCCTGCTGAAGAATCTTCTCTTTTTCCTCCTGCCATACGGCAAGGCTGGCATACCGCGCCAGAATCAGCATGGGTCTCATGGGCTGTTTGGAGCCCAACGACTCGTCCAAGCTACGAGTCAGATCATTAGTTTTCAAAATGAGCAAAATAATCCGCGGCACATGACCAAGCAACTGGACGAGCTGCTGGAGCAGATCCTCGCCAAAGACCTCGTTGATGGCTTCCTTCTCATGGGCATCGCGCGTGGACGTGGCGACCTTTTTGCTGGTCAGCACGCGATAGTCGCGGCCCGTGATGGCCGATGCAAACAAGGGGAACTGCTCATCGTTGATTCCCGCCAGTTCATAGGCATACTTGCGCATCTGTGCCTCGTCAGCGTTGATGACGGCCAGCCATAACTTTGCATAATCTTGCCGCAGCTTCTTGTCCGGCACACGGTACAAGCCGTGGTCGTATAGGATGACGTCGAAATTGTAGGGATATCTTCTTTTTGGGTTATGCCGGATGGCCAAGTTGCCCCCGTGCGGGTCGCAATGTAGAGGTGCATTGTCCTGGAAGATCATGGCATTGAAGATCCTGGCCAGCGCGGCCGACACTTCATCCCGAGAAATGTTGTGCTGGTCAAAGTAGGCCCAATTGTCCACTCTTGCTCCCGTCACATAGTCCATGACCAAGATGCGTCGATGGGCCGATATCACGTTCGGGATGATCACTGGCAGATTGGTGTTTTGGTTGAAAAATTCCTTCGCTCGCATGGCGTTGGCTCCCTCAAGACTGAAATCCAACTCTTGCGGCAAGGAAAAGTCCATCTCATTACTCAGCCACTCCATGTCATATTCGGGAAATGCTCTTTTCAAGGTCCGAAAGGTAAATCTCGTCAAGGCCAGGTCGAGCGGAACCCATTCTTCTAGGCTGGGATGTTGGACTTTGACCGCCACCTTTTGGTCCGAGTTTTTCAGTCGGGCAATGTGCACTTGCGCCAACGACGCCGCTCCAATGGGTTCCTTGGAGAACTCGTCAAACTCGTCTTCTATCCGATGTCCGGTGTCACGGAGAAACATTTCTTCCACCGATTCGAATGAGGAAACTGGGCATTTGTCCTGCAAAGGAACAAATGTTTCGGTCCATTCTGTAGGCAACAAATATCCCATCGACGACAAATGTTGGCCGAGCTTGATGAATATCGAGCCATTTTTCTCCAGTACTTTCAATGTTCGTTCGGCGCAGCGCTTGTGGCAGGCTTTGAGGATGGCGGATTCTTGTTCGGGGTCGTCGAGCTGTTGTTTGAGCGTGACTCGGTAGCTGTCCGACGTTAGTACTAGTAGTACCTCTTTTCTTTGGCTATTCGTACTCATTGATACACACGGCCAACGTGGTCACCACCCTGCCCGTCCTTTCCGCCGCAAGCCAGCCATGTCTGATGTCGTCGCCGAAGAACAGCAAACTTGCCCCCAGGCCGCCACCGGCAGCGGCCCATATTACTGTTTTGCGCGGTCGCGGTCGCGGTCGCACAACCTTGATCGGTCTCCTCTGGGAGCTGAAGTCCCGCCGGGGGTTGTGTGGATATGTTTGTGTCTGTGAATTTTTACAGCGGGCGCATGTCCAGGTGGTGGTGGCGCCTCCACGCCGGAAGGCGCTGGGATCGAGTCGCATGAGCGGGGATTTGTTACAGAAGTGACATGGACGAAGAAAGAGAAACTGAAAAGTCAATCAACAATTTGGCAATTGGGAAGCCAAATTACGAGAATCCAAGGCTGTGGACTGATGGAGCCGAATCGATCAGCGGATCGGACATGATCGCGTGGAACAAAATGGATGAACGGAGTCAGTGCAAGTTGGAGACAATCTTTGTCCATGGTGCGGAATTTTCCACTGCGCGCGCATACAAGGTACAGTATTCTCCGGATGATGTCGACCGCTCTCTGTGTGATACCTACAACATTGTACAATGGCACCTCTGCCAGTGTTGTTACACAGTATTCAACCATCTATCCATCGAGGTCATCCGTCTCCCGATCCACCTTCTCCCTAACCAGCGTCCTCCCATCCTCACCAAGTCTCACACGATCCACCATCGCCGGCCTCCGCATGTGCAAATACTCACTGACAAAGCTCGCCGTCTCGATCCTGACCCTTTCACGTCCCTCGTATCCCATTTTTTTGTATAGCGGTTCACCTTCAGGACTCGCCTCAATCCAACAAGGCAACATGAGCGAATCCGCAACATCATTCCCCCATTGCATCATCATCCTCCCGCATCCTTTGCCCTGGTATTCCTGGACAGTAAACAAAATGAAACACAGGACATGGCCCTCGCGACACTCGCGGCGTCGGCGACTGAGAAAATCTTCGACCAGAACTGCAGCATCGATGCGTTCCTGTTCGGTCTCGAGATATGAAAATGCCGCGGCTTCAGCCTCTTTTCGCTCCGCAGATTCGGAACCCGCGCCAGCTTTGGCGTTTTTCTGCTCCTGCTCCTCCAACTCCCTCGGAGTCACATAGGTAGGATATATTTTCCAATTACTCGCACAGACAATCCTGTTCCTCTCTTCCGTTCGCAAGACGTTTCCTTTGTCATCAAGAACATCAACGTCGACTTGGGGGGCATCGAGATCTTCAATCTTGAGAAAGACATCGGCCGGGTCGTTTTGCAGACCCTCGAGAAGTTTGCGTTTGGCGTAGGCGTAGGATGCGGGTGATGGTCGGCCCCAGAAGACGTGGCAGAGGTCGACTTTGTGGAAGGCCGCGAACATGAGGGGGACGATGGCGTCGAGGTCTTGAGGCTCGATTCGGGAGAGGACGAGATGCATAATTGGTGACAAGACGGTAGGTTGAGTTAGGTCGACACTGTTGTTGGCCCGGAGAGCAAAGTAGAGATATATGGCTCTCTCTCTCTCTCTCTCTCTCTCTCTCTCTTCTGCCACAGCGGGTGATTTGGAATGCAACAATCTAGTTCAAGTCAAGACTATTCAAAGCGAGCAGTCGATGTACTACGGTACTGGTTGTAGTATGCAGATCGCCCAACGCGCAAGTATCAGTAGTAGTAGCAATACTAATTAGTCGAATCCCATATCCTTCGTCTTGAAGAACCTTGAGATAGAGATATATAGTTACTATTATAGTACGCGTGTACTTTTGCTGCCAGAGTGTGGCTGTGGTTTATTATTATATGGCATCCACTATCCGTGTGCTAGCTCCGCTCCAAAAAAGGGGTACAGCACAGCGTACTAGTAAATGGATTGATGGACCAAGCCGGACGAAGCCCATCACCACTACCTACCCCTGATGCCAATGCAGGAGTTAAGTAAGGTCCATCATGATTGTATACTACTGTAGCTCCCTTTAACAAAACTACAGCCTGTGTTTGCAGATTTCCCGGAGGGCTCCGCTGACCGATCTGAAACAGCCCGCCCATTTAGGTACTCTAATCTCGCTACATGTACAGGACCATAAAGAGCACAATCACAAGGTGTCTAGTTAATCACTATCACTGTCACAATCACAGTCACGATCCCCTCCTGATATGATCACAGTACTCTCCAAACAAGCAGTTTCCTACATAATTTGCACAGTACTGTACTGTATGCACTCCTATGCAGGTCTCTATGCGCGTGGGAAAGATACACCACTGGATGCCCCTGGCTAACAGGAGCCTCGTGTGGTCTTAAAGAGGCACATACAGTATCCATGGCGGATACAAAAAAGTCTCACTTGAAGTTGAATGAGTTCAAGTTGCATGCAGTATATTCCATTCCATTGTATATGCAACCCAGAACCTGGATCTGCTTGCTTTCTATCTATCTTCCTTATTTCCATCGTAAATTTCGTCAAACCGACCATAGAAGCACTGGTCGGCATGTGATTTGTCATTCTTGTTCCCATTCCCTTTTCCCATGTGATTCTATCATCCAAGGATTTGGTCAGGATTTGGCCAAGTGTGCTTCCCAGAAGCATTTAACTTGGTTTGTTTCGAGTCCAATCCACCGTTCCATTCCATCGACTTGTCAGAAGTCGCATGAGACATAAAGTCCGCTGATCAAATCCCCGAATGTAAAACGTTTTGTAATTGGTCGACCTAGATCTAGTTCAACCACCATTGAATGCCACTGACACGACCATCACCAGTCCCATCCGTGATGGAAGTAAACAAGGCATCAGTACAATCGATGGCACGGCCCACACAGCCCATGCACTTGTCGCCGACCTTGGCTTGGACGGTGGTGCCGGAAGTCGGGTTGTACAGGGTGATGGAGCGGCCGCAGTACGGGTTGCCGTTGGACTGGCTGCCCATAAAACCAACAGGCAGGGCAACCTGGAGCTCGCTGGCGGTGTCGACGTTCCAGCCGCAGGCGCCTAGACCACCGTCCCAGTGAGTGACATCCCCGACGCAGGCGTCGCCTTCACCCTCGCATGTGTTGCTGGCGGAGGCGCTAGTCGATCCACTGCCAGAACTAGAGCCGGACGATGCGGAAGTAGTCGCAGAAGCCTGAGGAGCAGCAGCCACGGTGGCGGACGAAGAAGAAGCCACTGGGGCTGCCTCGGTTGTAGCTGGCGCGGCGGCGGCGACGGTCGCCAAAGTCGTTGGAGAAGAAGCCGGAGCAGCAACGGTCTGAGGAGCAAAGACGGCGGCGGCAGGCTGTTCACTGCTGCTCGTGCTGCTGCTGCTGGGAGCAGGTGCAGGGGCAACGGCAGTGGCAGAATCAACAGCCAGAGTCGGGGTCACGACAGGAACTTCGGTCGTGGTGGTCGTTGGGGTGACTTCAGCAGGCGCCGGAGCGGCGGTGGTGGTAACAGCGACGACTTCGGCAGGGGCGGCGGAAGTGGCTGTCGAAACAGGTGCACCATCGGTGGGATCGACCCAGACCGTGGCGGTTTCTTCAACAGTCACCCAGAAAGTTTCGGTGTGAGTGTGCAAGGCGCGCTCGTCAAGCAAAGGAGCGGCCAGTGCCAAAGGAGCGAGCAGCGAAGCCGCAAGGACAACGTTCTTGAGGACAGCCATTGTGTTTGTTTGGTAGTTTGCTCAGAGAAAGTGTGAGAGCTTATTGTTGATCTTGTTTTAGTTTCGTAAGGACTGGAGATCTGGCTCAACAGCAGTGACGGTATCTGATCCAAACTCGAGGTGAATCGATCACCGAAGGAACGTGTATAGAGCGAGTTGTTTGTCGCGATGACAAGCCTGTGTCTGGTCTGGAGGGAGAGAGAAGGGACGTCAAGTCCACGAGCCGAAGAGCAGCAAAAAGGAAGGGAATGAGAGGTGGTTGAAGGAAGAGAACGAGCCTTCACTATCACCGACGGGGGACAAAGAGAGAGCAGTTGATATAATAAAAAAAGGAATGAATGAGTGGCCAAGAGCAGACAGACAGATAGATAGACAAGCAAGCAAGCGTAGGAAAAGGAACGGGGAGGAGGTTTTGCTCGAAGAAAGGGTAACAAAGGAAGAATCGAAATCGGACGGCGACACCCCCGGTCGTCCAGGTCCAACTTGCAGTGGTCGTGGTCCTCTCCCCATCACTGCTGCATTCGATCGAGACCAACCATCCGCCTCACTGAGTAAAGCCTGGAAGGGGGATGTGGATTTTCATTGACAGGTGGACCGACCGACAAGCAGCTGGTAGTGGCCGTGGCCATTCCGCAGCCTGGTCTATTGCTGTCAAAGTCTGGGAGAAGCCACTGGCATGCCCCTTGCGGACTGCGCACTCTGTGGTATAAGCCATCACCGCTACTGCGGCGGCGCGTGGGTAGGGAGTGCAACTCTGGCCCCAGGGGGAAAAATGCCAACGGGCCAAACAGATCGGCGCTGGTGGAAATTCGGGAGAGACAGGAGGATCCGGATGGCAGACAAAGGATCATGTCACCGGCTGGAAGCCCCCGGGCATCCGTTTTGTCCAGGAACAAACCAATCGAAGCAACAGCTCCGATGGCCACCGCAATGGCACCCAGGAACCACTGTAAAGGATTCCCAGGGTCCGGGAATGGCGCTGGCAGGCACCAGGTACCCAGCGACGGCGGTTGGCCGGCTCGTCAATAGTCTCGGACAGAGAAAAATGGCGTCGTCGGTGGCTTTAGGTCTTGCCGAGCGTCGTGGCGCCCGCCGAAACGTAAATCCAGCGCACACAGTTCAAAGGAATACGTTGTAGTGGTGGCACTGACACTTCTCTCCCCAGACGGACTCCGGCCCGATTGGTGAGCGTTGAGAGAGCTTGAAAAACTGACAATTGAAAACTCGCCCCCTAAGGCGCCAGGCTGGTCCGAACCGCATCCATTTCTCCCGCTTGATTCGCCTGCCTGGTCGCAACGTGGACATCTGTCGACCTTCAGGCACCGCGGCCCCTAAACTTTGTCTGGTCAAGTGGTGATCAGGTTTGCTCCTGTGCCTGAAGGTCCGACCAAACAACCACTGACCTTTTGCCGTTGGGTATAACAGAATGTTGTATGTGCAGTAGTGCACAGTAGTGCCATGGACAACAAACTCGACCCGGCCAGGGCAGAACTTGAACTTTTCGCCTGTTCAAGTGGCGTCTCTATTCTGCAGGTCGGGCAGCTGTGCCTGACTACTACCATATGGTAGCCCTACTACTCTACTAGTCCCATAGGTTTGGCCATGAAAAAAAAGAGGAATGCGATAGTCGGCAGTCGTACCGAAAATGTTGTATTAGTGTCTTGTCAGTTCAATCCACGTTCCACCAGCCTCGACACCGCAGGCTGCATCTGTATGTGGTAGTCGGTCAACTTCCGGTGTGCATCGTACCGTGTACAGTATATCACGCAGTAGTAGCAGCAGCAAGGGACCACAGATGTTTGTTGTCAGATGAAAGTCCTGATGTCAACTCTTTTTTTTCAACCTGCATGCATGCATGCATCGGCCGAGTCTCTTCCCACGGCCTGCACGACAGAGAGTAGTGACATCCATCTGCCGTGCCCAAGTCTTCGCAGAGTCACTAGTGCTGGCGTCTCACGAGTCGGAGTTGTTTGCCTGACTGGCAGACTGCTAATTGTTTGAACGACGGTGAGATGATGCGATTTCATACCGGCGAATTCTCGATTCGCCATGTCCACGATTCGGATCCTTCATCCACCAGGCCATCGAATATTCATTCGTCCATCACAGATAACCGTAGTAGTGGTGACAAAACGAATGGTCCATGTATCGTTGTGCACACCGCCTCGTACACTATAACATCCAATCTTTTCATGCCTCTTTGGGTCGTCGTCGAAGATTTCCGTCAACGCGCACAGCAAGGCAGATTTCGACGATTCGATCATACAACCTCTACTGCATTTGATCACACAACTTCAAGTCCCAAGTCCCATCCGACCAACGCACTACGACGTACTGACATCCGAACGGTTACGGTTCTTTTAGCCGCACTGCAGTCAAGTCCCACATTTGCTAAAGGGCCGGGTGTCTACCGCGGCCAACCGTCGTACCGTAGTCTTTTTGGCCACATGGATATCCGGCCGGGACTGACAGACATAGACATGGACATGGATATCACTACTGCACGATCTAGAATATCCAGTATCTTAGCATCATGCAACATGCAACCACTTTAGTTTTTTTCCCGTCTCGTCGGTCCTCAACGATCGGACTGCCAGAGGCTGTTCTGCAACCTACGCAGCATGAAGACCAAGACCAGAACAACCGCAGGCAAAGTAGAGAGAACAGACAACAGGAGCCTAGGGACCACCGAGTGCCAGCTGGTATGTACAAGGGTCAACTCAACTCTTAGAGACCGAAACTAGACTCATGCCTATATCTTCCTCATGATGGCATGATAGTCATCATCTCGGTCGAACTCGCGCTTCAGTGCCGGCCCATCAGGCCCGGAGGGATGTCGATGCCGAGTAGACATATCAGTGTCTGAGACGGTCCTCTCGTCAGTACCGACGTCGTCGAATTTGGTCATTGTCTGCTGCTGATTGTTGTTGCTCTCGTTATCATTGCCACTGCCACTTCCATCTCCATCTCCGCTGCTGTCGGACGAGTCCTCGGCAGTCCAAGAAGTAAGGTCTTCTCCAGCATATTTTGTAGGACATTGTCGCTCCTTGCTCATCTCACGTTCACCGGCAAAGTCCTTTGTGAGAATGGGCGATGAGGGAGCGGGAGCACCATTCCGACTGCGACTCTTCGCCAATCGTTGTTCAACGTGTTCTACCGACGGAGTTGGCGTCGCAGCTTGGGTCCTCTTCGTTATTCTCTCTTTTCGTGCAGAACCGTCTCCCGCATGAGTTGTAGGCGACTTCATGCCTTTCGCATCGTCGTAGCTGGGGGCGGGATCGCTGGTGAAACCCTGCAAAATCTTCCGCTTCTGACTATGCGTGTGGTTGCCATAGACGGGATCGACTTGAACCCTAGCCTCGGCGACCAGATTCAAGTATATCGGAAACAGCATACCGAAAGCAGCAACGGCCAAAGGCACACAATACGAATATCTCAAGCCACGAGCGTTCGAAACTCCCCATTGAATAGGAGGAAACACTGCTCCACCAGATATTGCAGCTGCCATCAGAGCAGATCCAGTCTTGGTATGAACGCCCAACCCGCGCATTGCGATGGCATAGATGTTGGAGAATATTCCCGCCTCAAACACAAAAGTCAAAACACCCAGCGCGGCACCAGCATCTCCATTCAGATTCATGTTGAGAGCCAGACACACAATCAGCCCGGCATAAAGCAGAAGCAATACCCATCTTGGTTTGAACATATAATTGAGCAGTGCTGTCAGGAACCGCCCGAACGAAAACACGGTATGTCCCAGGGTCAGGAAATCGAAAGGACTCAAACTGGAGCCCGGGATGAGCAGAGAAATCAGCGGCTGCAGGTAGCTGCCGACACATTCTTGCAATCCGACGTAACACCATTGGCTGAACACACCCAACCCCAAAGTTATGTAGACGACCTTCCAACGACCATAGGGGGTTGCGCAATAAGCCGAACTTCGTTTCTCCGCCTGCTCTTCCAGTTGTTCATCAGTGGCCTCCGGCAGTGGAATATAGTAGAAAAGCACGGCCAGCGCAAAAACGAATATGGCAATCCCCAAATATGTCCATTGCACATCTACCAGGGACTGGGCTTTCAACACTCTCTTGAAAAGAACCTTGGTCGCCAGTAACGGGGAACATACAGTGCCGATGGCTTGAAATGCTTGCGACACATTCAGTCGGACCTCGGCATATTCCAGTGGTCCACAGAGCGCAATATAAGGGTTGGCGGCAATCTCGAGACAGGAAAGTCCAAACCCAACGATGAAATTTGACACAATGAACGCGCCGTACGACGTGAGGACCGCCGACGGCCAAAAGACCAATGTCCCGCAACCGTATACACAAAGTCCCGATATCATGGCCGCTTTAAACCCATATCTCTTGATGATGAACACGCCTAGCGTGAGCGGGCCCACTGCATACCCTGCATAATAGGCAGCGTGTAGACCCAGCACTTCACCCGTGGAGAGGCCTGCCACAGTTTGAAACTTTGAGTTTAGCGTGTCCAGGAGTCCATATGCAAATCCCCACAGAAAGAAAACCACAGTCACGACGGCGTTGGGCCAGATACTCTGTAAATTGGTCAATCTGAGCATGTTCTTACTTCGCGACATTTTGACAAAGCCAAAGTCCGATGTCGTGGTTCTGGCGGTGGATCTCCTCGTAAGTCTGGTGGAAGTTCTTGCCAGTGACAAACCGTCATCTCTGCCAGGAGGAGCAGCAAGCATATTCAAAAAGCCCATTTGATCGCCGTCGTCGTCTCCGCAATACTCTTGTACACTCGGCTGTCTGAACGCGGCTGGATTGGTGAGTATGGAAATACTGCCTTGATGGACGCTGTTGATGGTTGGGGATCTTGCAATGGACATTCCATGGTCGATACTGCCATTGGTTGGTGTCAGGGTGTCTCCAGGGTCCCGAATAAAGCTCGGCAAGAAGCGCAAGAAAAGAGGCTTCAGGCTAGGCACGCATGCGCAGATGATGCCAATGCACACCTCAACCGCCGACCACATGAAACTCAGGCTTGCATACCAGGAAAAGTCATTCTGCTCGACCAACCGAGTACCGCTGGCTTTGAAACGGTTCAGGGCAGCATTCTGCAGGTATGCAATCCGTATCACATCGACCACTGCGACAAAGGCACCAAAGCTGAAGGTGACGACCAAGATGACCTTTTGCTTGCGAGGCAAACGCATTCTAGTCAGGATGGGCATCGGGAGGAAGAGAATAGCTATGTCCGTAATGATGTTGATCGGAGCCGACGACAGGTACAATGTGACGATATCGGTGCATTTGGCATGATTGGGCGTTGGATATTGGTAGCCAGCTGCAATAGGACGACATTGAAAAATGTTGTAGAAGGTCAGAGCGGCGCCCACCAAGTTGACCAACGCCAGCGTCAGCCAATTGCACCACTTAAATACGGGGTCGACGTCCTTGCTCATGACTGATAGATAGAAGACGACAATGGATGTTTTGGTCAGCATCAGAGCTGGGTTGTAGAGAATCGAGAAGCCATATTCGGCCTTGCGCAAAGTGGTGAATGAGCTGTCCGGTATGTCGGCTTTGTGCTTGCCCAACCCGTACTTGACCGCAATGCATATCGAAGTGGAAAACCCAACAGCAAGGATCCAGGCTGCCAGTATCCACCAGTCATCTTGTTTGATAGACCTTACCAACCAGACTCTGGTGTAAAAACGAGCCGCAACGAAGACAGTGGCCAGGACCGTGATGGCAATAGTCACTGCCGAGGTGGCCGGGCCTCTATCTGGTACCATGGAGGATGTTCTTTGCATTCGCCTGTCGAGGCATAGCTTATTGCATTCTCAGCCTGCAACAAAAGCTGTATGCGTCATCGTCACCATGCAGCTACGAGGGCCTATCCCTCAGCAATGCTGCGGATGAGCGGACCCTGTCTCGTAGAAGTGTAGCAACTCTGACGAACGGGCAAGGTGCCAGAACTGGTCGTAACATCAATTGTAGATGAAATACTTGGAACGAAACAAACGACTTGCGAGTTCTTCCCCCGATTCCTTCAGTTCACCATTTGCCCCATGACAGGCGAGGTGCGCTCAGAAGCCGGCTCTCACCAAAAGGGTTCGAAGGTTCATCGGTCCATCATTTTCGGCGGAATGACATGCGTGCCGGGGAGGGGAATCTGCCAGCTGACCTACCGAGGCCTCACCTTGTGCCTTGGCTTGCAATCGTTGGGCAAATGGCAGTAGTAGAGGAGGGAGGGGATTCGACGCGAGCACGCGGGATTCGGCGAGCCATCCTGTCGGACCGGGGTATGCTAAGCATAAACTCGCGAGATCTGGCATTGATAGGCGCGAGGCACGCCGTGGATGGTGGCATGCGTGGTTGTAGGTACCGTGGTGGCTAGATGGATTTGTGATGGTGGCAGGGCGAAGAGCCGCGTTTATTTGCTGTGAGATGCCACGGCAGACAAGCACGCAGCCAGTTCAACCATTCGCTCATCTCAAACCTCAACCCCTGACCGCATACAATGGACACCCACGACCTTGCCGCGCTCCCGTCGAAATACGCAAAGATTTTTCTTTTTTGACAGTCCTCGTTTTCAAGTCCCACGCTGAGCCAATGCTGGCGATCGAGGGTATCCGGCCATCCTCATGGACTACTCAAGCTAGCCTGGTGGACGTATAAGACCTGGAGTCGGTAGAAGGCTCGACCAGACCCTGACAAGGGTCGTACAACATCTATACTCACACAACGAAGATGCATTTGGCAAAGAGCGTGATATGATAATGACGTGACACATTTGCATGTCTACTCTGTGTGTGTACCTATGTACGATGGTACACAATCCACCAAGCCATCGACGAGGAACTTATGAGTATACTCGGTCGTCAGTCAGCTCTGCTCTCAATATTAGCTTTTTTTTTGGACATGTTGAATTCTCCCTTTGGGCCACCCATTGACAGCGACAGCGAGCGGCTCCTATATCATTCCGGTCAATGTGGCAGTGTTTAAACTCCGCGGCCTCTCTCAAACCAAAGTTTATTTCTCGGCCAATTCAGTTTTCAGCCCATCTTCGTTCTCGAAGGGGCATTTCAGAGCCTTCCTTGGCCCGGTGGCCGTCCTGTTCTGCCCTCCAGGCAAAGTATTCACCAAGCCGGACTTCGGCGTACGAGGCGTAATCGAAATCGATCTGAGAAATCGTCGCTTGGATCAGTGCCCAGATGCCCCAGTAGAGTCCGGGCATACCGCGGTATCGGTCAACTTCATCATGTAATACATCAAGCATATCGTTGGGCACAAGGATGTCGCTGTGGGCTTTGTACGACTCGAGATAGTCTTGAAGGAACTGCCGGCGGACGGACCTGGTCGGCAGCATGTTGTAGTCACAATCATAGCCGCCCCATTCGGCAAAGTGGTTGGCAATGTCGAATGCGGCAGGACATGGTGTTGCGTACTCATAGTCGATGAAAGAGACCTCGATCGTGCCATCACCCGAAATACTACTGGAGGAATTCTTATCTTTGGGTGGGAGCATTATAACGTTTGCACTTAGCAAGTCGCAATGTCCAAACACAAGCCCATTAGTCCCCGGTCCTCGGCCACTGTCCAGATCTCTGATGGACCGATTCAGCTCGTTTTGAAGGAGCTCCTTCCGGGCTCTCTGCTTGGGTGTGTCGCATGGGAGCGCGTCGGTCCATTTCTGCATGACCTCCCAGATGTTCTGGGCAGTTTTTCTCGCCGCCGGATGTGAGCAGTGTTGCGGCTCGGACCCGGGAGCAGGCTCACTGGCACCATCCACACCGTCAACGGCACCATTGGCATCTCGATCCGGGACCATGGAGGTCACCGGCAGCCGCGCATGCCACTCACCCAGCCGTTTAGCAACTGCACGCCATACAGGCTCAGAGATGAGATCTTGTGGACTGCAAACCTGGCCGATAATGTATCTGTACAGCAGTCCGTTCTTGAATCTTGCCAACAGAGGCGGTGCTAAATTGCGGTCGGCTGCCAGAGCGTGCGATCTCGCCTCTCGATCTCGGTCAATAAGAATCTCGGTATGGTTTCCATAGGCACGTAGGAGGATAGAGTCTCGGTCCACTTCGGCCTGGGACTGCCCGGGAAGATATTTGGCCACTTTGAGTAACTAGATACGGACAATCAGTTGGGGCACGTGCCTGGATGAAGACGGACCGTTCTCACCGTATTTGTGATGCCGTCGGTGAACTTGACAATTTCCAACTGCCCCGGCGCATCCCGCCATTTCGGCTGTATTCTGTAAACCAAGGCGCGGGCGGACTCGTCGACGTTTTTATTGTCAAACTCGAGATCAATGTAAGGAAGCGGTGGAGTTTCTCCGTTCGTAATACCGTTGGGCGCACCCATCACCGAGCAGTTTGCGGTTGGAGAAAAGGCAGGGCAGCGCGGGATGACAGACCGGATAACGCAGTTGCTAAGACAGTAAGGACAGGCTCAGGTCATGGACCACTGGAGTTATGGACTTTCTTGGAGTGTGTCGTTGAAGACCGGGATGTTGGGTTGGGAGGAGTTGCGAGAATTGAACGCTTCGATTCAAGTTCGGCACTGGCACATGCCTTTATTTATTCGGTTTGTGCGAACCGCGTCACTAGTAAATAATGTGCCAACAAGGACCAAACTGTGATATACAAACAGCAAGCCGTTCTTTGTCTTTTGCAGCCAGGTACCATGGACAAAGCCTACCTTAAGTACAGAGATATCCCATCATCTCAGGAGCGAGTGACTTGGAGGGCGCTTCGAGCCGCGCCCGTTGCGGAAACCCTCTGACGCTCCCCGGCAGTGCCAGTGCCTATCGGTTGACTGCCAGTGGGAACCACCCACCAACCCCTGTGGATTACGCTCGTGCAGCCATCCTCATCCGTCTATGTTCTGTGTTACAGGATGTGCATAGCCGATACGTCAGGCGTCCGGCATGTCAGACTGAAAGAGGATGCCCTCCTGATGTAGGTAGGTATGGCTACTTTGGCTACTTCGATACCTAGGTACACAGCATTGTGCAATCAGCAAACCGAGGCAACGGTCGGGCTTGATGATCCTATACAAATTTTCACGAAGCAGACAAAGTTTGGAACTCAGCAATATTGGTAAAAAGAACAATCAATAGGTAGTCTTCATCGTGGTCATGACAGCCGGCCTGCCAAATAGCAGGGCAGGGCCAAAAAATACGTCTATTTGCTTTTCGACTTTTTATCCTTCTTGCTCTTCTTCTCCTGACCACTCTTCTTCTCTTTGCTATCCTTCACCTCATTATCATCACCCTTGGCCGGTCGCTTTCCAACCTTCTCCAAAATAATGCGCGCACCAGCGTTATCCTCATCGAGGGACGATGCATTCTTCTTGATGATAGCTTTCAGCTCATCGGCATGACTGAAATCCTCGGCCTCGAGCATAGCCACTATCACAAATGAGTTGGGTCCGGTCGCCCATTTGACAATCTCGCCTGCTCCATCGTCATCCTCACTTTGATTCTTGATCCGCTCGTAAAGCAGCTCGTGGAATTTCAGTGGTGGTTCGACTTGCTTGACTGTCTTGGTACTTGCGTCGAAACGCCCGCCTTGCACCAGTCCCTTGAGCAATCGACCAAACGGTGGCGAGGAGAGAAGTGCAGTCATTGCCTCTGATTCATCACGGGAGGTGGCAAGATCGGCGATGGCAGTGAGCGCAGCCTCTTTCTCCCCGATAGCTCCCAACAATGTCTCCAGCATGTACTTGCAGCCAAATGTGGACTTTGCAAGAGCCTCAGTTTGCGAGGCTATCAGATCCAGGAGGGTTTGCGAAATGGCCTTCATCAATTCCGTTCGGCGGACTTCTGGGTCCTTCTTGGATGTTTGGGTTCGGATCTCGCGCACTTCCTTAATGATGGCAGCGGACTCGTCCGGCAGCAGCCATTTTGGAGCATCCTGAAACATGAGATACAAGAGCGGTATGCGCGCTGTTAGGTGGTCAACCTGGGCAAGCAACTCTTGTTCTCGGGCTTCTTGGTCGAGGTCCTTGCTGAGCAACTCCGGAAAAATAGCCTTCGCCGTCATGACAGTGTCATCGATGCACTCATATGCTGTCAGCAATACTCTGTGCGCGTAGACATCAGATGCCATGAGCTTGATGTGCGTCTTGAAGAATTTGAGGATCCCTCGTCTGTCTTTGGAGTTGCCGTAAGCAAGCGCCAGGCACACCAACCGAGACCCAGACTTGGTGAAGGCCAGATTCTTGTAGACATCGCCCTCTTCGTCGTCACGCAGCATAGCCAAGAACTCTTCGACTTCTGGACTTCCAGGTTTGCAGTTCAGGAAATATTGCAGCAACGCATCGTGAAGCATGGTAAATGCTGTAGTCTTCTTCTGCACGAGCTGGTTGGTCATTTCTTTGAGATGTTGCATGAAGGGACCTCTTTTCTCCGGGTTCTGCTTCAAGATCTCTGACAGGTCCGCCGTAACCTCTTCACCAGAGGTAGTACCGTTTGATTTTGCAAAGACTGCAAATTCTGGACCATACCACTCTCTCAGCATAATGGCTTTCTGTTGCTTCGTGGCGATGCCTCTGTAAATGTCGTCGAGGATCCAGCTCGCCTCAGGGTGTCGGATAAGTCTTTTGACATGACCATAGAACTCTTCCACAACAGCATCTCTACTTTCATCGTCCTTGACAACCATCTTGGCGATGAGGAATTTGGCGTACTTGGACTCGGCCAGCTCCCTGTAGGTCCCTTTCAGGTCCCTTGTGATCTGCCTCCTCTGCTCCGGTGTTGCATATTTCAATGCGCACTGGATCACTCGCACGGCATCATGCTTGAAGACAAAATCCTTAACCCGACCCGAGATTATCTCGAATAGTTCTTTGACCAATTCGTCTCGTTCTTCCTTCGGCACATGAGACTTGCGGCGGAGCCGCTCCCAGATTTTCTTCGACCGTGCGATCGAGTCTGCATTAGGCTTTGCGGATTTTCGGTCTTGAGTAAGCGCCTTCTGCTTTGCGTGCGCTTCTCGAGATGTAGTGGTCCCTGCAAGGATGGACAGATTAGCGACGGTGGTCCAAGGGGGGCAATCCAACAGCAGAGTAAGGGCATGAACGCACCATTCAGATATGGCTCAGGCTTTTTCGGTGCCTTGTATACTTGAGGCCTATACTTTTCTTTCTGCTTTTTGGCCTTGCCATCTGACACAGCTAGAGCAGTACCGTTGTCGGCATCATCGAAAGGAACAAAGTCATCCTCAAGAGAGGCCGACTTTGCCTGCTTGGGGAGTTCTGAAGCGACCTTTGCCTTTTTGGAGGCTTTAGCCTCGGTGTTATCGTGTGTACGTTTTGTCCCAGCCATCTTGGACATTTTTCAGCTCGAATGTCAGTGAAGGCCTGCGAACTGATGGTCGATACCTTCGTCCAGAAACTTTTTTTGAGCCAGGAAAAATGAGGAGCAAACCCGACAAACTCCAGGTCCACCCTTCGGTTCCACTTGGCAGGTGCTTGGCATGTTTGCTATAGAATCAGCCTTGCACCAATAACCACTTCACTGCTAAGCTGCAGTGAGCGGCATTGGAAGGGCTCCTTCCTGCAGTGGTAAAGTCAAGGCTGCCGCAAGGGCAACGGTCAAGTGGACCGTCGTCAAGTACGAGCTCTCCTATTAAAACATGGTAGACTGTATCTGATGTCGTTACTAATCTACAGAAATGAGCAAGAAGCTCTTCAAGATCCTCTAGCCCCTGAGCAGCTTCCTACCTAGGTAGTATCTGCGCGACCCATCGCGACACAAATGGCTGGAATGACGGTTTCAGCCGAACAGGAACATGCAACCTCAGATCGATGTTGAGGGAGACCATTCTACGCCTGAATGAAAAAAATGCCACGAGATCGCCGCCGAATACGGTTGCATTCATCATCCTCCCGGCTGCCGCGAACGGTGTTCATCCCTGCGGCTACATAGTCCGCGGCCGTATTATGCGCTGCATCTACTCCTGCATTTGCTGTTGTGGCGAAGCGACGGGTTCGCTTTGACTGGCTGCAACTTCCGCTGGACTTGGAACGAAACCGTACATCGGTGCGGCAGGTTGCGGCGGAGGTTGACTCGAGGCGGGCGTAGGCGTAGGTACCGGTCCAGGGGTAGATGCCGGAGCGGGGCCCTGTGTAGGCGTATTTACGGTTGTTGATGGGCCTCCAGATGCTGGGCTAGTCGCCACTATCGGCGGCGCTCCGGGAGAAGGTGTTGGTACAATTGTGGGTGGCGCGCCCAGCGGCACTGCCGGTAATGGTGATGCAGATGATGGCGCAACAGGCACTGGGGCATGTGCATTGGGATGGGGGCCAGGTGGTGTGAGCGCCGGGCCTGGCCGAGGAGGCATTGACTGTGGAGGAGGCCACGTCGGCGCCATAAATCGTGGAGGGTGAGGCCCCTGCGGAGGAGGCATGTGCTGGAGAGGAGGAGGATAATAGAATTGAGGTGGAGGATATGAATATTGTGGTGGTGGAGGGTAATATGGCTGGGCCGCTCCTGGATGAGGAGGTGGTGGTAATGGTGCTGGACCTGGATGTTGGGGTGGTGTCCATGCTACAGGTGCAGGACCACTTCCCCTCCTTCTCTCCGCTTCAAGGTCTTGGATTTTGCGCTCGGCCTCTTGTAGCTTGGCCTTTAGAAGGTCGACTTCTGATGCTGGAGGAGCTGGCGGAGGTTGCGCTGCTGGACCAGTCGCAGGAGGAGGCTCTGAGGTAGAATTGGCCGTAGTCGCTTCTCCAGAGACAACTGCCGCTCCTCGAGATTGCCGCCGACGGGCCGCCTTGGCTCCTCTACGGCCCCATGTAATCTCTTCCCCAAATACATAACCGGACATCATGCCAGGAAAGTTGGTTTTGCTCTTGCGCTGTTTCGGCGTCTTGGACAGCGTCCCATCCGCAGATTGAGTTGTGTTGTCTTCGCCAGCTCCGACTGGTGCATTCTCTGCCCCAGTTTCTGCCGACTCTGATGGGCCGTTTGCAGGGCGTTCTTCCTCAAGCCTGCCGGCGGAGCCTAGAAAATCAAACAGTGGTTGCAGGCTGCTTTCCCGTGCATTTTGCGGCCGCGCCCCCGTCTCGTTTTCAGGTAGCGGCGCGGTAGCGCGTCTCTTTTTTTTCGGCTGCTTAGGGGTTGGTGGTGTCGATTTCCTTTTCTTCTCTTGCGGCTTCGGCAATTTCTCCGGATGGAAGATTTCCAATAACTTCCTTCGTCGACTGTCTTTGCGTGGAATAGGAGCTCGTTCTTCGAATGTGGGATGAAGCGGAACGTGCTTGTAGTGTAGCTCCAGACTGTTTTTCGTTACCGAAAACTTGATCGAAATGAGGCCCTGGCACTCGTAGACAGGCTTTCGGATCTTGACCCCCAATCTGATCTTGGCCGCACCAGCATTGGCCGCTCTGCCTTTGTTCAATACAGAATCGTTGCAATAATATGAAAATCTGCTGGCTTGATCTTCTCGACTGATCCAGTGGTTGTGAAAGCTGTAACGAAAACCGTCGGCCTGCTGAACTGTTTCAACCAGACTTTTCGAGATTTGTTTTTGCATGAGCATTTGTTCCTTGGGATCCGTCGTGGCATGAAGAGCGTCAACAACACTGACGGCGGTCTTGTTGAATGCACTGTACAAATACGGGGTCTTCTCCCCAGCAGCACCAGACCCTATGGGCTCTCGAGCGGAGACCATAAATGCGGCGGTGGTAGGGAAGGAGAATTCCAGCGTGGTATGTTCGGGGTCTCCAGTCGGATTTGCAAGATACTCACGGAGTTGCTTTTCCATATCTTCAGCCCTCTGGACTTTGAAGAAGATCGACTGGCCTAGGGGATCTTTGGCCTGGCGCCCACGGCGACGCGGTTTCCTGGCCGGAGTTGCGTTCGCTTCATCCCCGCCGTTGGGCGTGTCACTTGCCCCATTGTCGGCATTACTCTGAGCAGTAGAGGCCTGTTCTGGAGGTTCCGTTGGATCACCAGCGTCCCTTGACACGTCATTGGACTTGGGTGATTCCATCGGCGAATAATGTTGTTGTTTGGATGATAGTATTAGCCTTCTTTCGCATGGTTGTAATAGAGCAAACTTGAGATGGAAAAAGCAGAAAGATCGCGTCCCTGCCAAGACATGTCTCGTACAGCGCTCCTATTGGCTAGTCCTGCACCGCTCTTTAACAATTCAATGTTCAAGTTGCTCCTGCAGCGCGAGCGACCTCTACAAGACGTTCTCTATATGTTCAGACGGGGGATCCTACGAGCTGTGCGTCCGGTCGATCCTCACAGTTCTTTGGCGTCAAAATATCCACGAGAATACCGGAAATTCGCACGGGGCTTTACCATGGCGCCAACACCAATTCCTGCCGACGCGCCTCGACCGATTGTCCTCTCTGGCCCATCTGGGACTGGCAAGTCCACGTTGATCAAAAGACTTTTCGCAAAGCATCCCGACCTCTTCGGCTTCAGTGTCTCGCACACGACGCGAAACCCTCGTCCGGGTGAGCAAGATGGCGTGCACTACCACTTTACAACTACCGAAAACTTTGAAAAGATGATCGCAGAGAATGCGTTTGTGGAACACGCAAAATTCGGTGGAAACTATTATGGCTCTTCGAAGATGGCAGTCCAAGATGTCGCAGAGGGGAGAGGCAAGACTATCGAGGGGACACCTGCCGAAGGAAAGAGGATATGCATTTTCGACATTGAGATGGAAGGAGTCAAGCAATTGAGGAGGAGCCCCTTGAATCCCAGAATATGCTTCATTCAGCCGCCTAGTCTCGAGGTCCTGGAACAGAGGTTGCGTGGCCGAGGTGATACAAGTGAGGATGCCATCCAGAAGCGACTGGCTCAAGCCAAAAAAGAAATGGAATACTGCCAAACTGAGGGCAAAGGCGAGAAAGTCATTATCAATGATGACCTCGACACTGCTTTCAAGGAGTTGGACGAATGGGTGATGCAAGGGATATAGCGCAGGACTGGACTGAACACTGTTACTTGGATGACACACTTGTGGGACGGCGTTCGGCATGAGGAGAAAAGCAACGATAGAAGGCGGACACAGAGTGGATGAAGTGCTTTCAGGATTATTGTATCCGACCGAAGAAAAAAGAGACGCTCTCAATAGACGCTAACAAGAAAAGTGAACCTGACAAGAAGGATATGGCAGTCACTCAAGGTCAACCTTCGCCCCTCGAAATCGGACCCTTCCAAACCTAGTATGTGCCACTTTTTTAATATCCATTCATGGTCATGCGTTGCGAACCTCTGCTCAGCTCGCGGTCTGCAGCCGGGCTGATGGGTCGACTGCCGCCCATGCCACTTGCAGCACTGCTCTCCTTCAAGGCCAGCAACTGCTTGGCTCTGAATGTCTCGTAGTGAATCTGGCTGGTGGTTTCGATAAGGTCCTGGAGGTGGGTTCTCGTAAGGAAGTTACGGAGGTAGACGAACTCGCAATGGTTCTCGTCCTCGACGTTGATAACCCCCCACTTGGTTTGCCGCCCGCGAACTTGTTTGCCATTAACAATGATTGATTTCTCACTGCCCACAACAGCAAAAGGAATGATGTCCTTGATGGTAGCATTGGTGGCACGCTCTTCGTCGTCCAGCTCATCATTGTCGTAGGGATACATCTTCAGGTTGTGGAAGGCAAATTCCTCCTTGATGCGCTCTTTGAAAGCCCGGCGTTCCTCGAGTGTCAGAGAATCAGCCTTAGCGATGACCGGCACGACGTTGACGACATCTGACAGTTTCTTCAAGACCACTATGTCCAAAGGCTTGAGCGCATGGCCGGAAGGTTGGATGAAGAACAGACAGCAGTGGATGCGGGTGTCTTGGATGTAGCGTTCTCGTTGCGCGGTGAGTTCTTTTCGCAGGTAGGCAGAGTGTTGATCTTTGATGTACTTCACAATCGGGTCCCAACTGGACATCATATGTTAGCTTTTGTCAAAAGGCAAGAATCAATGCACACACCATCTGTCATTGTTGACCAAGTCCCCATAGCCGGGAGTATCCACGATGTTGAGCCGCAGCCGCACGCCATTTTCCTCAATAACTGCGTCCTTGTTAGTCCGGGGCAATTTCCCATCCAGAAAGTGTTCACTGACTGTGAGAGACTGTCTGGATCTCGGTCGTGGCGCGAACGGGTTCATCCGGTCGCAGACGGCCTTTGGAATCGATGAGATGCGAGGCGAAGATAGTGTTGATTAAAGTGGACTTTCCCAGACCGGTTTGACCTAGAGAGTGTGAGACTTAATCACAATAGAGACGGTATTAACATACCGACGCATATGATGTTGAACTGGAAACCACGCTTCAACAGCTTCTTCTCAATCTGTTGGGTGATGCTGTCAAAGCCGACGTGGCTCCGCGGGAATACCGCGTCCCCCTGAGGCATTGCCATGGTCATGCTAGTTGGGAGACTGTTGCACGTTCAGATTTCGGCCACTGCAAGACTGGTACTGATGTGATCGGTGCTGACACTCCCGTGAGTCAGGCTGTCAATGGTCATGCAATGGCAGAGCAGTTGCGACCGCGACAAATTTCCCCGGATCTTTTTGAGATGCAGTGTCCCCTATTCTGTCTCCAGGACGCCAAGGTGCAAGGTACGGTTCGCCGTAGTAATAGGTACTACCTAGTATTGAGTTACTACCCCTGTCTAAGCCGCTTTCGGTAACTGCGTGCTGCCGCTCTATTATAGGCCGATTTGCAGATCAATCCAAAAGTTCCGAAAAGCTCATTACAACCATTGTATTGACTTGGGATTTGATCGCAATCTCGACCCAATCCCTCGGCGGCTAGAAGAACCGTACTTGACATGGCGTTGGCGGCTGCTGCTGGCCGTCGCCAGCTATCCTCCGTGTTTTTCAGACAGCCGTCCTTCGCATTTTCTCCTGCGCTTCGAATATGGTCTTCAAGGTCCCTCCTCTCCTCGTCCATCGCAATCCCCGCGATCACCGTCAACATTCCCGGGCTCTTGTCGGATATTTGGGAAGGCATACTCAATGCTGTCCCCAAGAAGAAAACATCGCATTCGAAGAAAAGACACCGGCAGTTGGCCGGAAAGGCTTTGAAGGATGTGAAGGCTATCAATGAATGCCCCGGTTGTGGAAGACCTAAGAGAGCTCACAACCTCTGTCCATACTGTGTCGCAGGTCAGTCCAGTTTACAAGACTAAGTTTGGCAGCTCTGATCGATTCTAGAAATTTACGAAAGCTGGAAGCAAAGAGATGCGGAAGCGAGGGAAATGACAAAAACATAATGGGATCGCCCCGGTACAAAGGAATGGTCGGAAAAGACAAACATCATACACTTCTCCGAACCTAGACCCGATTCCAGCGATCTATCAGACGGCTTCAAGTCAATGCGACCCAGGATTCGGTGGTGTGTCTGTCTCGGCGCCGCTCATGACGGATTACACATATTGGACGTACCCAAACGAAGCAGCCGGATCCCTTGATGCTGAGTTTGGTTGAACGCCATTAGCATTGACGGGCCACGAACCTTTGGACGAAGAGCCAACAAGAGGCAACAGTGAAGTGCATGTGTGGCCTTGATGGCCATTTTTACCGCATCAGATGAACTATGTTCATAGAATGTCTCTTGAGGTGATGACTGAGTATTTGGACGCTCAGCGAGCCGCATCAGCAGAAGCGGGATTGTAAGATAGAGCCTTGCGAAGTATTCCAGGCTCAGGTGGATTTCTTCCGCATGTGAGTGCGGAAGTACCAGGTACCTGCTAGATAGTCGTGTAAAATTACGTCACATATACAGTAATTTTACAGATATTGTACAGCATATTGACATTCGACTGCACCATATCAAGTTGAACGATGCCAACAATCAATGCGGTTTCTACAATGAAGGCAGATTAGACCCAAGTACGGTAACTTCGTGGGCGGTGGAACTCGACGGACGCAGTACTGTTCAGTACTGATAGAATGCAACCGGAGCGATAAAATGGTCAGTAACCCCGCGGAGGAATCATGATCTGTACCACGACAGCCGTCCTAACAGTTGCTCCAGTCGAAGCAGTATCTCTCGCAGCACGCGATAGAGGAAGGTCAGTACAACAGTCTGAGTCTCTCCAGGGGGGCCCGGTCTGACATAGACTGCAGCCCATGCCACGGATATCTTCGCAGTAGCAGCCACGCCGACCCAAATCCTCAGCGGCTCCGGCGAGTCCTCGATCAAGGTCTATTCGACGACCGACGACAACTTCCCGATCGTGCAAGCCCTGAAGGACGCGCACAAACTCGGCTGTCACCACATCGCCACAGATCAGACGGGGACAAAAGCGGCCAGTGCGGGATTCGAGGGCAAAGTCAAGCTATGGAAGTACGAGGAGGGCATCTGGAAAGAAGACGGCGAGATCCTCAGCGGGGACGGTGGACCCAAGAAAGCCGGTGAGGTGTGGGCAGTGGCATTCTCGCAAGATGGGCAGTATCTAGCTGGAACGACGCACGACGGTCGAGTACACGTGTGGGATCTGGCAAATGGGAAGCAAAAGATCCGCGAGTTTGAGACCAAAGGAAGTTTCGGCATGTGTGTTGATGTGGTAAGCCTTCTCGTTGGTTCATGAAGGAAAAAGATGACTGACAATGAATGTTTTGTCACTGCAGTCACCGGATGTTCGTTTCATTGCCAGTGGCCATGAATCTGGCAACATCTACCTTTTTTCGACAGCAACGTCCCGACTGCTACATTCTCTGCCAGGGCTCATCAAGCCGGTCCGTGCCGTCAAATTCTCGCCTGGGAGTACCCTCCTCGCTGCGGCGGGTGACGCACGTATCATTTCCCTCTACGACCCCAATTCCGGCGAGCAAGTGGCCAATCTCAGCGGACATGCTGCTTGGATCACCAGTCTCGACTGGAGCCATACCGGCCAGTATTTGCTCAGTGGCAGCCTGGATGGCAAGGTCAAAGTGTGGGACATTGAACGGAGGGTCTGTGTGGCGACACACAACGAAAGTGACAAGGGTCTTTGGTGTGTTAGATGGCTGCCCAAGGGCGAGGGTGCTGCCAAACAGAAGGCCGAGAGATTTGCTACTGCCGGAAGCAGTAGGTCAATCGCCATCTATCGAGAGGCTGCTGGAGGATGAACGGCGTCGATGCAACTGGGGTCGATGACAACGATACCTTAGTCCTTGCCCCCGACCACAAAGTGATCAGCAGGTACAAGGACTTGCTTCCAGCTTTCCAGATGCTACTCTACCAGCACCACCAACAGGCTATTGAGAGACGCTGACGGGAGACATGGCTTCCACCAGTCCAGAATTGGGATCAAGAACAAAAGATTCGGATGGTAGACCGGGCCTAACGCAAGAGGCAAAGCTGGGATAGAATTAAAAGGCGAGCGTAGACTCAGTGGCCTTTTACATTTGAGCTGAGATACATGCTCGGCGACAGACTAAGAGAGCTACACCAGCACCGGAGTCCGGTTGTACGAATAACACAGAATCCTCCCTGCGAGGTAGCAACTGCTTTTGATGGAACCCATTGACTTGCCACATTAAATAGACGGTCTTATGACAATATCAAAACATCATTTACTCGTTTTTCTTTGGCATTCATTTTTATTTATACCATGAATTGTATCTCCTCAGAGAGGACCCACGCCCACGCAGTCTTCATGCGAAGACCAGAGCAAGGGTGAAACACGATAGAGACAAAGGTTATTCTCGTACCTTTTTCTAAAATAGATTTTGATCTCGGCATGATTTTGACAACATCAATCATGGCGCAATGGATTGATGAAGCTTCGAAAGTGCCTTGGGACAAATTCTACCCACATTAACCACGTGACGAATGCACTAAAACCACAGAACGAAAAGAAGACACAATGGGCAAAATGAGAACGAAGAAGGGTGATTGTGAAACAAGTTATATCGCATAATAACTAGATGACTTTTTTTCTTTTTCTTTTTCTGTAAAGAGATGTGAGCCACAAGCGAACCGGCACCACCACGAATCCCGACCGAAGTCGAAGACACTGCAGGATCCAAGTGGGACGGATTAGAAGGGCTGCTTGGATCGATCTCGGCGACTCGGGAATGTGTCAACGCAACTTATAAAATGCATTCAACAAGGGTATGTAGAGCGCCTTGACAATAAATGTGAAGAAGAGGAAAACCAAGTCGCAGAGGTGCTGGGACGAAGATTTATGCTCTTTGCGAAATGTTTGCGGAGCTTGGCATGTTTTGCACAAGTTACGCAGCCTTGTGTATTTAAGCCGGAGCCTTGCCGTCTAGTCCTCCCTAAGTAGTAGTACTGCTTTACTACTGTCAGCAAGAGAGCGTCAAGTTGGTCTGGCTGATTGCGGGCAGATACATTTTGTCAAACCACGCTTACTCGTCTGCAAAGAAAAGATGATGCGACTGGTAGAAATTCCCAGCTTGACACCTGGACTAGAGAGCAGTCCTCACTCCCCTTCAACCCATCTCTCTTCCAGCGACAAGTGACCAAGCTGGCCAAGGTTCAAGCAGGAGAAACATCCCCAAACTCCATGCGCTTTGGCTGCACATAACTGCAAAGACAGGCCATCTCATCCGCCTGCGATCGGATGGTGACCGCCTTGTTTGTGGTTGAGTTTCTCCTCCGTGAAATATCAGAAACCATCCCTCAACACTGAGAAACTGGCGTCCTTAGCCCATGGCTATTTTGACCCTCCCAACGCTAGATTTGGCTCTGTGCCAGGTCTGGTCCATCCGATTCAGGGACTGGCTCCAGACGCAAGACCCGACTGGTGTTGTTGCGTGCTTTCGTCGAAGTGGCGCAATCGTAGAGATAGCCGTCAATAGATATACAACAGCGGCATTATAAGCCTCTCTCTTCATCCTCCTTTGATCTCCTACCAAATCCATAGGCGAGACCGCCGCCAACTAGGTTGACCAGGCAGAGGCCAATGGTCGCGCCTCGAACGATGCCTCGGGCACCGAATTTGTTCATGAAGCCGACCCTCCTTCTGCCAGCGAGGATCAGATATGTCCCACTAAGGGCAGCCGTAGTCCCTGCGCTATCAATCTTATAGCCTTGAAGGTTCAAATACGTCGAGAATAGGAGCAATGGCGGAAACACCATTGGAAGTGGTTGGAAAGGCCGGGCATGCTGCGCAAAAACTAGGGTAGCAAGGAGAGCTGGAGGAACAGGATTTTCTGTCAAGAGCGTAAGTAAGTAGACTGCAAACAGTCAATGTAATGCAAAATGCACACAACTGGCATCGACGGACCTCCCCATCTTTTGGCAGTGTGAAAGAGGGATTCTTTAGCCTGCTCTTGTTTACGCGGATCAGCCATCGCGATGTATGGGTGCGCAGTTGTATGGGCCGCAGAATCAGGATGTGATCATGCGGGTAGAGCAGACGTCTGTCTCAAGGACGTTGGTGATTACTCGTGCAGAACTTGAGGCTGTAAGGACTTGATCTTGTAGCTGGAAAACAAGGCCATCAAAGTTACCGGCGTTGAGGTACTACCAGCAGCACCGTGAGCCTGCTGCGTCATGGTCAGACTGAGCCTAACGAGTCCAGTTGCCGGCACCGCTGCAGCGTCCCCATTATTATTATTTCTGACGAGACTCTTTGGCAGCGGCTGCGGGCGCCCGAACCCAACCCACCAGCACCTTACAATGCTGCTAGTAGTATTGCGGCGCTGCATGCGATTTCTCTTCCTTTGACCACCTTTCCCACACGCGCAGAACCGCAACCGTCAAGCAACAGTCACCAAACCGCTTTTTCAACTGCCTCCCGCAAGATTCGTCGTCATTAATTAGCATCCCGGCGGTCACAAACCCTCGTTTTTGAAGTGCCTCAGCGCACTCCGGCCGCGGCATGTCCGCATCCGCTTCTGGTTCGGACGCCAGAGCGAACGGCTCAGCGACTTCGCGAGAACACAAGCAGGGCAACCAAGAACGAAAATATACCCCCCAACAAAAAGCTGAAGTGATTCGGATACGAAGATGTAGCCCAACGGCGTTTTACGAGATTCTGGCCGTTGAGAAGACAGCAAGTGATGGCGAGATCAAAAAGGCCTATAGAAAATTGAGTCTCTTGACCCATCCCGATAAGAATGGGTACGAAGGAGCCGACGAGGCATTCAAAAGTCAGTATATTGAACGATTGCTTGGTGGTTGGCACTAACAAGAACAGTGGTCTCCCGAGCGTTCCAAATATTATCCGATGCGGACAAGAAGTCAAGATATGATAAATTTGGCGGCGATCCAGATAACCGCTTTTCAAGCAGCGGCAGCGCCGCTGCGGGCGGGCCGAGTCCTTTCAGTGGATTTGCCAGGTCTCCTGGACGTGGCCCGATGTACGAAGATGAGATCTCGCCGGAGGAATTGTTCAACCGATTCTTTGGTGGAGGTATGGGGCCTGGCTTCAACTTTGGTAAGACATCTCCGTTATATCCTGTTATTTGTACACACGACTGACTATGGTAGGAGGCGGAGGATTTGGTGGCCCTCAGTTTGTGTTCAATATGGGTGGAGGTCCAGGTTTTACTGTTCACCGCATGGGTGGCACGACCCCGAGACGAAGACCGAGGGATGCGAGCGCAGAAACTGCCGGTAGCGGTCTGTCTGCGTTGACTCAGCTTCTGCCACTGTTGTTGCTTTTTATTCTCCCGTTACTTTCCTCTCTATTTTCCTCAACGCCAAACCCTGGCCCCCAAGTCCGCTATGACTCCCCTGTCCCGCCGCACACCATGCATCGAGTCACGCCGAGATACAAGGTCGACTATTTTGTCAATCCTGCGGAGGTGCAGGGCTTTACGTCCAGGCAGCTCAGCTCTTTGGATCAAAGGGCGGAAGTCGAGTATGTTTCCAGCTTGAAGTACCAGTGTGAAAATGAAGTGCACCGGAAACGACAGGAGATTAACGATGCCACTGGTTTCTTTTTCACGGATGAAGATCGGTTGAGGAGGGCAAGAAATATGCCTATGCCTGGGTGCCAACGACTGGAAGAGCTAAAAATAAGTATACAGCACTGAGCAGATCATGAACGATCCAATTGCGGCCATGTTCGATTGCATCATTGTTTGGTGTTGGCGGCGTTAAGCAGGCAAAGCGGTGCATTTGACGAAGGCGCCTCGCTTGTCCAGAGATGTAATTCTACATTGTATAAGATGGATGACTGAATGGGTTCACTACCTTTGCCTAGTACAATTCCATTGTAACTAGATGCACTGTGTCTCGAATAAAGCTTTGATGACAAAGCTGGACCTCCGGTCTGATAATGGCCGTTAATAGTACAGAGTAATAGCAGTGGCGTCTTAACAGGCAGCACGCTAATTAGTAAGACGGCGGCCAGGCTGCGTATCTCCGCTCGAACCCCAAACCATCATCTTCCATCCACTACGTACCTTTACAGACTCCGGCCGTCCAAACACCCGTCTTCTTACAACCCGTGAAAATGTCGGAGCCATCGCTAGACGCTGAAAAGGTGCGTAAGGCAATCAACAATCAGGACCTGATGGTCGCTAATTGAAACAAGATCCGCAACAAGAGACTGGCAAAGTTGCAACAGTCGCAGCCCCCGCCATCACCGTCGCCATCGCAGGATCCTTCAGCGTCAGACCAAGATGGCTCACGTTCGAATCCGACTGCTCAGGATGGCACAGTCCAGGCAGACTCCGAACAGAATGGGAGTACGGCAACATCATCACGGCCACCTAACACTCCCCAAGAGAGTACTCCGCCGACGCCTCCCCGGATAGAGTCGCCGTTGCCAACAGCCGACAACCTCTCCAAGGTCCCTTCAAACTCAGCTTCGACTCTAGCGACGTCCGACTCAACGGTGCCGTCAGCCGAACCCTCACACGCCCCTTCTCCTGCGCCATCAACCCGAATAACGATTCAGCCCGCCGACGGGACGGCTCAAAAGCGAGATGCCAGTACTATGGAGCGGCCGAGTTCTCGGCAGGGCGAGACTATCGAACAGTGGGAAGATCGAACATTACGAAGTATATTCCGGTTCAGCTTTGATACCGGTCAGACGAAAGACATGAATGGGCAGACTCTCTATCCCCTCCCGCAGTTAAAAGAAGAACTGGAAGCTGAAGACAAGCCCATCTTATTGAATACGGATCTGCTTGAGCAAGCCATAATGGAGGCTGGCGCGAACCTAGGGAAAGTTAGTCCGCATGACTGGCTCTTTGGGTGTTGGAAGCGCATTACAAGGCTGGCCAAAGCTATCAAAGATCACTCACCTGAAAATAAGAAATGGACGATAGTATCCGAGGCAAGAAGATTGTGTATGAATTGGTGTCTGCTGTCTGTGACGACCCCAGACATCTTCGGCGCAGAATATGACGGTGTCGCTGCGCTGGCCGACCACCTCCTGTTTGATCCTGATGAGGATCGAGGAGTCTGTCACGATTTCCTCACCGAGATTGTGGCACGATTTGAGGAGGACGACAGCATACGGAAAATTTTTGTCGGAGCAGTCGAGACTCTTAGTCGAAGATTGGCAAAGTTGACGATGGACAGCGACTATCGACGGTATACCGCTATGCTGCGGCATCTGATTAGGTACAAACCGCTGGCAGTCGCAATCACCAAGTCTCCGATGTTCGTCAACCCTGTGCCGGCCGCACAGCTTGAAGTCGCCACATTGCTTGGGCCATACTTCCAAATCTCGCCTCTACAAGCAGAAGTGACGAAGCAGTACTTCTCGGGACCGAAGACCATGGATCCAGGCAGAATAAGAACTGCTCAGCAATCTCTGCAGATGGCTTTGCGCGCTCATCAGACTGAACTGTTTGACATCGTCAACACTTTGGTACGGGCATCCCCCGAGGCGCGAGAACGAGTCCTCGACTGGTTTGCCCTGGTGGTGAATTCTAACCACAAACGACGAGCCATGCGCATCGACAAGACGACTGTATCGAGCGATGGATTCATGATTAACGTCAACACATGCCTAGACCAATTGTGCGAACCTTTCTTAGATGCACAATTTTCAAAAATTGACCGCGTTGATATTGACTATCTGCGACGACATCCACGGGTGGACATCAAGGACGAAACCAAAATAAATGCAGACCAAGATCATTCCGACGCTTATTACAAGAATCAACTTGAAGGCACCAACAACTTTATCTCGGAGCTGTTCTTCCTCACGGTGGCCGCTCACTACTATGGCAGTGAAGCTGCACGGAACATGTTGAAGGATATGGACCGAGAGCTGAAACACATGGCCAAGCAAATCGAACAATTCGAGACTGAGAGGCACAAGTATGTGAATAATCCGATGCAGCTACAGATGTTCGAGAATGCGCTCAAGAAGTACAAAGATCAGCATGACAAAGGGTTGTCTTACAAATACGCCGTCCAGGGGGTGCTACTCGATGAGCTTGCTCAGACCCGGTCGATGCAGTTTATGCGATTTGTGACTGTTTGGTTGCTTCGACAAGTGTCGCCTCATCGCCAGTTTCCCAAGGAGCCATTGACTCTGCCTCTGCCTGCTGAACAGCCCGAAGCTTTCATGTGTCTTCCAGAGTATTTCCTGGATGTGATCAGCGGCAATTTTGGCTTCATCATGTACAACATGCCACAAGTGATCTCAGCAACTCAATCGGATGAGTTGATCATGCTTTGCATAACCTTTCTCCGGAATTCAGAATATATCAAGAATCCGTACCTCAAGGCCTCCCTGGTTACGATTCTATTCAGAGGAACATGGACCTGGCGTCAAGGAGGCCGGGGGATTCTTGTGGACCAATACAACAGCCTGCCTTTTGCAACACAATATCTATTGCATTCATTGATGAAATTCTACATTGAAGCAGAATTTATGGGCGGCCATGGTCAGTTCTTCGACAAATTCAACGTTCGATACGAGATTTTCCAAATCATCGAGTGCATCTGGCCGAATACGGTGTACAGGGACAACCTGCTAAAGGAGGCAAAAGTGAACATGGAGTTTTTCGTCAGATTCGTCAACCTGCTGCTGAACGATGTGACGTTTGTTTTGGACGAGTCATTCACGGCTTTCCACACGATTTATGACCTCACCAAGGAGCTGTCACTGGCTGGCACAACCCTAAACGAGCAGCAACGCCAGGAGAAAGAAGAAGCTTTGGAAGCGGCCAAAGGAAAGGCGAAGTCATACATGCAATTAACCAATCAGACAGTTGATATGCTCAAGTTGTTCACCGAGACTCTCGCGGACGCCTTCACCATGCCGGAAATTGTACAACGTCTGGCGGACATGCTCGACTACAATCTAGACGCCATGGTTGGGACCAAGAGCTCGTCCCTCAGAGTGGGCAACCTGCAAGAATACAACTTCAACCCAAGGACGCTGCTGAGCGAGATTGTCGACGTCTATCTCAACCTCAGCGACAAAGATAACTTTATCCTTGCAGTTGCTCGTGACGGGCGCTCGTACAAACCGGACAATTTTGTGGCAGCCGGGAATATTCTGCGCAAATTCGGCCTGAAGTCTCCGGAGGAGCTCGCCAAATGGGAAAAATTCATTGAGAAAGTTGCCAAGGCCAAACAAGAGGATGAAGCTGCGGACGCAGACCTCGGCGAAATCCCCGACGAATTCCTTGATCCGTTGATGTACACACTTATGGAAGATCCGGTGCGGTTACCTGTCAGCAAGATCGTCATCGATCGCAGCACCATCCGCAGTCATCTGCTGAGTGACCCTCACGACCCTTTCAATCGGATGCCACTCAAGATTGAGGATGTCATTCCAGGTAAGTTTTGGTCTCTCTTCACTAGGGCATGTTGGGTCAATATACTAACATGGTATTTCTCTTATCAGCCACGGACGTCAAAGAGGCTATCGAAAAGTTCAAGGAAGAGAGGATCGGTAATCGACGAAAGGATTTTGTGGAAACTGTGAAGACGGAAGCGGGTGGGAATGCTGATGGTGAGCCTATGGACCTCAGCCAGTGATCGAGATGATGCAAAGCGGGGACTTGACGACCTAGGGGTAGAGATCCATGGATAGAGGTCTATTGCCCATCCCTTGATGATTACGGCGTGGTTATGTGATTGGCCTGCCAGTGACCGAATGGCAAGCATAATGAATGACCATGAGTGTCGTACCAAAGCTTTCTACTGCCTGCAGGGCCATGACATAACTTTACCGTAGTTTGACAAAGCACATTCCACGCTGGAGATGAAACTTCGTGTCCTTTACACTGCCAAGTATGAGGTGGTACTCCGTCTCGACTGGTCAGATCTTGCAGTCAGGAGAATTGATAGCATAACCATACCCTGGCAACCTTACGCATGCATCATCGGGGCTCTGATCTCTTGCTGCTATCTCTGGCAGTGACTGCACAGTTGTGGACAAGCCAGCTGACTTTTCTTTCTGTTCAACTCCAAGATGGTTTGTCTGAAACGGACAAAGATGGGATTCATCCATGAAGGTTCGCTTGCAACTTCCTCAGTGCATTGTGCTCACCCGTGCCGGGAGCTCTTTCTTCCTAGTATGCCAACCCTTCGTGACCACCTCACAAATATCATTCTCAGCTCTTAAATCACGGATGCCATTCACCACAGCTGTTTCTCCCAATCATCCATCAAATTCTTATCGTGTAGGATGTGTCGTCTGAGGATAGGGGATGTTCAGCCTCGTCGGGTTTGGACCCATTTTTGTCTTTCCTAAAAGCGTTAGCGTGTTTCCCAATGAGGAAGGGAACGAAGCATTGCTGGTCATGCAATTCTATCCACACACATCTGTCTGTGAATCCTGATGTCAATGATACAGTAATGCCTGTCAGTTTGATACTGCTCGATGCAAGGCAATGCCTGTTACTGCCTCTCATTCATGTACCGTGTGCATATCACCGACAATACAACTTCCTGCCGATAGAACAAGCCGTAAGAATGCTCAACGCACATCCTTCCAGCTCACAATAGGACAATCAGCCTCATAGGCCAATCACTCCATCCCGCGTGTATAGAAGAACCAGAACGCACCTCGGCGCCCTAAGTGAACAACCAGACGCAGCGTTGAGGTCTTGGCCGGTGACTAGGCACAATCCACCCCTGCACCTCAAGAATCCTATTTCCTTTCGAATCCTCGAAGTCGCACTCTTCTTTTCTTTTGTTTTGATCTCTCGACCAACCTTTGAACAACCAACTCACCTTGGCCCGTGCCCTCGATCTTGTCAAGAAACCTCAAGGACAAGAACCTCGAGTAAGTTCCTCACGCTCATGTCCTCCTTGAAGGAGTTCACCCTAGAGCGAGTCTGCTTTCCTCAACGGGCGGTACGTTGACTGACTTCTCTTCTTCAGAGTCGCAGATCTTAAACAACATACCTCCATCGACTCCAACCTTCTTGTCTTTCAGGACTTTCAAGAACAAGAACATCGAGTAAGTCCCCATCACTGAAGTCCTCCTCGATGGAGTTCATCCTCGAGCGAGTCTGTTCTCCTCGACGAGTGGCGCTGACTGACATCTTCCTCCCAGTCGCAGGTCTTTTAGACAACATAGATCCATCGACCTCAGCCTTTCGTGTCTTGCCTTGACCCACCTTCTGCACCATTCTGACGATATGGATTCCTTCAACAACGCCAATCTTCCTCTAGCGGGGTTTGACTTCCAACAGGCTCTGAATGACGCGGAAGTGGAAGCGGCCAATGACACGACGGCAGAACAACAGGTATTTGCTGACAATGTCAATACAAACCCTGAACCCGGACTTGGGAACACACACCGCGGGTACCAGAACATGCCTGCTGCCGATAATACGACCATTGCTCAGCGGTCGTTTGGCCACACAAACATGAGTCCTGCCCCCCAGCTCGGGAATACTCAAACCGCACAATATCAGAATATGCCGGATGCCAGTAACACGATAATCCCACAAGAGCCAGCTGATAACATCAACACAGACGTCGTTCCCCGGCTTGGGTATACCATGCCCGGATACCAGACCAGAGCTGCTGCCAATAATGCCATCGTCAATCAACAGTCATCTGTTAGCACCAACATGAACGTCGGCCCAAGACTAGGATATACCCAGTCCGGATACCAGCAGACACACCGTGTACATGACATTCCCCTGTATGAACAGCCACTCGTCGACATCATGGGACAGATTGAAGCCCAAGGGTTTTCGATCTATGGAAGACCATGCAATGTAATCCATGCTCTTGCTTTGCACGCCTGCCGCCGAGGTCCAACCGGAATCGCCGAGCTTCGAGTAACTCTCCAACGTGTGGTTGCGGCAGCCCCAGTCTCCTTCACTGCAGATCCTGGAAACTGGACCTGGGATCAAATGATGAATGTGATCAATAGCACAATTCAATATCACAATCAGCAACCTCACCATCCTATCCCTGGGACCGCATCTCAAGTGACTCACTGCATGAACCAGCCACATGCTGTCCAGATGATCAATCAGCCAAGTGCTTTTCAACAGACCAATCAGCCAAGTGACATTCACGGTAGCAATCAGCCAGGTGCTTTTCAGCAGAGCAATCACCCAAGTGCTTTTCAACAGGTCAATCAACCAGCTGGTATTCACGCATATAACCAACCAAGTGCTGTTCCCACGACCAATCAACCAGGTGTCATTCACGGTATGAATCACCCAAGTGCTGTTCACCAGACCAACCAGCCATACCAAAATCAAAGCCAGTCACTTCACAACCCTGCCCTTAGCGCCCCTCAACACCAACATCTTGGAGTATATAATCCTCCTCTTCTTTTCCAGCAACCTCCTTCTCTCCCTTCCCAAGGCCCAGCCCAGCAGATGGCAGGAGTCGGGGCCACGACCGGGGCTCAGCCCACCCCGGAGTGGAACCCCAAGGACTACCTGTACATCTGCGACAGGTGCGGGAAGGGAGAGAGGGCGGGAAGGGACTTTGGCCGCCACGCCCGGAATGGCACCGGGCGTGCTGGCTTCAGGGCCCTCCGTCGGGTGCCTGAGGACGGGCCTCCCCAGACCTGGAGGGCGGATGGCAACAATGGAGAGGTGTACACCGGGCCGATGCGGTATCACCCTGGCAGCGACGATTTCCCAGTGCCACATTCAGACGTTTGTGTCCGCAACAAGAAGGCCTGGGAGAAGCAGAGAGAGCAGGGCGGGCATCGGCCAAAGACAGTGGGCAGGCGTGGCGGCCAGGCAGGAGGCGCAAGCCAACAACAGCAGGCAATGGCGTCATGATACGCCTGGCCGCCCGGCTCACAGTGTCGACGATGAATGCCAGTCGGGCCATGTTTATATTGTTGACGATACAACGCTGACGCCTGCCCGCCAATCCGAAAAGACAAATTGGACGCCGATGAGAATCAAACGGCCACGGTGTCTATCAAGCTGGTTGTCCTTGTCCTCTTTTGTTCTTGCCGCTTGCGTGGTCAACAAGTTCATCGTTCAAGTGCTCCGAAGACGTTGCGGCGGGCACGGTTGCCATCAAAGAATGAATTCGGATGATGAGAGCAAGCTTCATTCAGAACAAAGAATGGCATGGTTGCTGCGAGGAGTGCGTGCACAGTGCCCATGACATCAAATGTGATGGCTTGCTTTTTGGTCTTCTCTCGTTTTCCTGTCTCAACGTGCCTTCAAGAAATCAGGTGCGGCGGGCGACAGCATGCATTTTTTTTTATCAGTCTTGCAACGTCTGGTCATGGCATGCTAAGACTCTTTGCATTGAAACAATGGTACTCCATGCATGGTTCGGGGACAGAAATGAAATGTGTTGTTGAGTACAGCTGAGACTGGTATGCTAGAAGTCAGAAAAAGTGGCTTGAAATTGCTGACATAGGATGGGGGCAATGGTGCCAGGCCATCACTCTCCCCAGGATCGTGTCATACAGTTGAAGTTGGCCCGTGATGGTAGCAGCATAAAAAGTGTATTCTGAGACTGGTATAGCATGGTGCAACACTTTATTTCAACTGCTCCCAAAACTCCTCGCTTGTAAATTGCATTGATGGATTTATAAAAATGATTCATTAAACATGTCTGGAGAGAGTTGACCTCGGTGTAGGTAACTCTAAAGCCAAATCGTTGGGTGCCATTTCTGGCGTACCGGGGCCGAATTTCGGACCAACCCTCTCGCGACTACCGTAGACGTCGCACATGTACAGGCAGTTCTGAGGTCGCTCTGAATGGATCCCGATGGAGCATGCGTGTCTCAGTGGTAGAACGTCGACTGGGATATTTGTGCGCGTTGCTAAACGACTCCGCTCCGGCCAGATATGCTGCACGGTCTGCATGGCTAGGCCCAGCCCAGCCTGACGTTGGTGGAAAAGGAGATATATTCTTCTGAAACACAATGACTGGTACGTATTTGAGCCTGTGTTCAAGGATTCGTGTACAGTCTCTCCGCTTGGGAGGGGAACTTTGTAATTGGGTTCTTCGGACGTCATAAAACTGTTGGAAGTTCGGGCAAGGCCAACGTACCCCATCCCATAACATCCAATCGTCAGATCCATTTAGTATGAATATATAGTTGCTCATTGTGGCTCGACATGGTTTCAAGCAATGCTGGGAGAGTCGGTAATAGTCTTGTCTTCCATGCGCCGCATCCGGGCCGAATGCGATTTTGGGCCGTAGATCTCAAGGTGACGATAATATAGCCACATGACAACACAGCTAGATCCAGCCATGTTAGCTTCTCCTTTGTATATGTGCACCAGCGCACCAAAGTTCCGAAAGATCGAAGATAAACTCACCTAGCAATCGTCCCACACAACCCAATCCAAACAAACACCACGCTGGCGACAGCGCGGCCATTATGACGATAAACCAGCGGAGGGTTGATCCTCTCTTGTGCAATCAGTCGTGCGTCTTCGCTGTCTGCGGCGATCCAGGCGTTGCCCGTGGCCACAATCACGGTCAAAGCCAATGCATCGGCCAAAGTCATTATCGTGACCACCAGCGCACTGATCCTCCATGCCCACCGGATGTTTCGAGGTTCGTAACGTTCAGGGAAGAACAGATCGAAGAAGAAGGCCGCTCCGAAGATCGTGGCTACCGCAATGCCAACAAAGATATTGTACGAGGCAATGCCGACGAAGTCGTCGTTGTGCACGCTCGCGGATGAATGAAGGCTTTCGATCGTCGACTGCTGCTTGACATAGTCTGCACCAGCATGCAGCACCTTGGTCAGCGACATTGGCTCTTCATGGTGCTCTTCGAGCGCAGGAAGAAGAGACTTACCTGATAGGGCGGCAGTTCCAACAGACTCGGACACGACGCAGAAAATCATGGCGATTTGGTAGACGACGAACTTGGTCCGCCGGAGATGGTAGTCTTTGTTGCCGAACATGTATGAACTCTTGAATTTGCTCCATTGTATATCGTGCAGATCAAGACCCCATATCACTGCCATTGTTGCCTGTAGGTGGGTAGATATACGCGACAGGGAAACTTAATGGGAAGGATAGGCGGTTATGAACAGGGGCTCTTGTCAACGAGCGGTTGACTCTGGACACAAGAACCGGCTTGAAAATGTTGAGATCTGATAATACCAGGCCCAAAGAATGAAAGCGCGAGGAATGAAAGGGAGAGGGCTTGCTTTTTGAAGAAAGAAAGTAATTAATTAGTGGCAACTTACCAATCCACAGTAAATCAATCAATGCGTGCGTGGACATAAAACAGATACCTAGCATTTACGCTGCCACCCAACCTCGTCACGAAAATCGCAAACCAATCGTTTCCTGTTCACTCCATGCATCCGTCACAGTGATGATGCTGCCCTGTAGGATGAAGAGGGGCCTGGTCACGGTTCTCCGGGTGATCCGCTGAGCCAGTGGGCTCACAGAGGCGGATGACGCCTGAGACCATTGATGCGGGAGGGATACGCGGAAGCGGGCTGAGCCAGCTTGATTTTAAGGCTTAAGCCGCGCCAGCTGGTTCGCGCAGGGATACGGAGACTTGAACAGGGATCTTGAGATTCCCATTGCGCTGTGTGTGGCTTTAAGAGGAATTGGAAAAACAATCAAAGTTTCCCCGGTAGAGTTATCGCCCGTTGTTGTCGTGGCCCAAGCCGTTGGATCGCTCAAGCTTGAGAATGTTTTGACAACGCTATATGACGCAGCTGGCGTGGATTTTGGCTTCGGGTTGTGGAGCGATTTGGCGTGACTGGCCTAAACAAGGCCCAAACAACCGGCTTTGAGCCCAAGCCTTTTGGGACACACGGGGCGTCCCGCTAGCCAAGTGTTGAAGATCGTTTTTCAAGCTTTCGGTTGATGGACCCCTTTACAGATCTAGCTGTGAGCTTGGCCATGTTGACGCGCGAAACCAACTCGCTTCAGGAAAGGCTTGCTAGCTTGGCGAGCTTAGAACTGGCAGCGCTCATGGCCTGCATCCTGAATGTGCGGGTCGGGCATTGATCCAGGCCTGCTCGTCATAAGGTCAGGTTGGCGCATACTGCCTGGCAATTCGTGTCCAGAGGAATCGGATGGTCACAAGGTCTGCGACCAATGAAGTAGGTCCTTTCAGGGTTGAATCCTCGCTCGGGATCTGTGGACTATTACCGCAACCTTGAGTATTCTATGCCCGGTCTGGTGCCCCAGCTCCAGCTAGGATCTGGGCTCGAGTAACCTGATATATCCTCCTAGGAGTATCTCCATTTTACTAGGATTCGATGACGGTGCCAACGTGCACTCGAGCCACTCCTTTTACCGGCGCACGAAGGTAGGGTTTGAGCAGGCCTTACACAAAGCCTATATAGATATATGTATATGTTTATGTCTTATGATCAGTTTACCTGGGATATACGTGTGTGAACAGGTGCCGGGACGAGACCAACCCCTAAACGAATGCGCAATTGACCCTGGCGCTATCATGGAGAGAATGGGTAGCAAGACACGTAACACAGGGTCATTATGCTCAAGCAAGGCTGTGATGGTTGGTAGATAGTGGTACAGACAGATCACGGCGACTGAAGGGGAAGAATATCGTGTTCGGTTGACTTGCCTCTTACGTCAAGCCATCATGTTATGTAAGCGGATTATGTAATTTTGGCGGAGTTTCACTTCTGCAGTTGGAGAAAAATTTGGGACAAGTCGAGTCTCGATTGAAATGTAGCAAACATTCATCTCAAGTACTTGAGTGTCAACGTGACATTCTATCTTCTATTCTGCACTGTCCACACTCGTCTTGAATATTGGTTTGTACAAAATGGGTGAAAAGAAAAGAAAAGGTGAGTACTGTCGACAATCTCGCATTTTTCTAAACTGATTCAGTCGTTCCAGGATCGTCCGGTGCGACCGACCTTCCTCCAAAGAAGACCAAGAAGTCGAAGAGCGCCGATGTTGTTGCGGACAAGCCAGCTGCCTCCGCCCCTAAAGACGAGCCCGTCCCTGCTGACAATGCTTCGGCGGTGGCCTCGAAAAAATCCCGCAAGCGCGCCGCAGATTTCATGAACGAGGAAGAGTCGACAAAGGCCGTTGCCCCTACAACCGCTTCTACTGCTGTCGAAGAGCCTGCTGTCAAGAAATCCAAGAAGTCGAAGAAGAACAAGAAGGGTAAGGAGGATCAGATCCTTACTGCCGATGGTGTCAATGGTGTCGTTGAACACCCTGGAGATGAGGACCTTGAGACGGCCACCGCCCAGAAGCCGGCCGACATCTCGATGCAAGCTGAAGCCGAGAGGACACTCGATCAAGAACTCGAAAATGACTTCAGGGCTGTGGCCAGTGAGGATGAGGCTGGCTATGTCGACGAGGTCGAGGTGGAGGACAATGCGGCTGCCCTCCTCAAGGGCTTTGACAGTGACACCGATGACAAGCAAGAAGATACCGGCCTGGATCTGAGCACCACTCCTGCTCTGCCCAAGTCGAAGAAGGTTCAGAAGAAGTTGGACAAGATCAAGGCTGAAGGCAAAGATGATGGTCCTGGCGCCGTCTACGTCGGTCGGATTCCGCACGGTTTCTACGAAAAGCAAATGAGAGAATACTTCTCCCAGTTCGGTGACATTACGAGACTAAGACTCTCCCGGAACAAACGCACTGGAGCGTCAAAGCACTTTGCCTTCATTGAGTTTGCTTCCAACGAAGTTGCCAAGATTGTCGCGGAGACTATGGACAACTATCTGCTTTTCGGCCATATTCTCAAGTGCAAGTATGCGCCGCCTGACTCTTTGCATCCGGATGTATGGAAGGGAGCGAACAAGAAATACCGGAAGTCCCCACATGAGAAGCTCGAACGGGAGAAACTCGCCGCACCGAAGACTGCCGACAAGTGGCAGAAGAAGGTTGAGAAGGAGCAGCGTAAACGCGAGGAGAAGGCGAAGAAACTCAAGGCCATTGGAGTGGACATGCCGGCATCAACATTGGCCAACCCTTCAGACGTGGTTAAAGACAAATTGATAACTGCCGAAGAGCCCAAGAAGGCCATCGAGGCGTCGAAACCAGAAACCGCAGAGAAGGAAGCCAAAGAGTCGAAGAAGGAGAAGAAAGATAAGAAGAAGGACAAGAAGAATCAGGACAAGAAGGCGGAGAATGCCGAAGAAGAGAAGGCGGCTGCCGTTAGTGTTGAACCTGAAGCCGCCAAGGATGTAGAGTCTGCTTCTGCCGAGAAGGAGGCAGAGCCGGAGGCTTCGGCAGAAACAAAGGCCGACAAGTCTGCGCCAGGGGTCCCATTGTCCAAGAAAGAGAGAAAGGCTTTGAACAAGGCCGAAACAACCCCCGAATCCGAAATGACCAAGGAAGAGAGGAAGGCTTTGAGGAACGCGCGAAGCAAGCTTGCCCAGGCTCAGGCTCAGGCGAAGACACCAAAGGCAGGATCGGATGCCAAATCCCCCGCAAAGCCAACACAGGCAGCAGAGCAGCCTTCGGTAGAGGAAGAAAAGGTTGCTGATGCACCTGTGGACAAGAAGAACGACACCGCGCCAGAGCCCGTGACGTCCAAGGATGACAGCAAGAAGGCCAAGAAGTCCAAGAAGGAGAAGAAGGAGAAAATGGAGAAGAAGAAGGCCAAAGGCTCCAAAGACGAGACAGTCGCACGAGGTGAAGAAGAACAACCCGTCAAGGCTGATACATCCGCTGACGCATCGAAGCCAACTGAAACCGAAGAGCAGTCAGCGTTCGCCACTGACGCCGATTTCGTCTCCTTCGGCGACATCAATGATGAGAAGGCCGAAGATGAATCCGAATCGGACGCTGATGCCCCAGACGGCAAAAGCACACGTGCGACCCTGTCCAATGCCAGCCGGGGCCCCTCGGTCCCCAAGGGCAAAGCCGCCTTGAAGGCGTACAAGAAAGAAAAGAAAGAAAAGAAAGCACTGAAGAAGAAGGAACGCAAAAACCTCGTCAAGGCTCGGGGGCCCAAGTCGGGACTTGTCGCCACTAATCCCAAGCCTGCTCCTCTTACTGTCCCTGGCAAGATCCCGGGCGTGCCGCTGCTGGGTAAAGGCAAGTATGACAAGGCCAAACGTCAAGCTTACAAGGAGTTGAAGAAGAATGTCCTCAAGAGGAATATTTTGAGAAAGAGCAAGGCCGGGCAGCCAGCAACTGATGCTTAGTCGACGAGCGCTCAGCTTGCCCTGTCCACGTTCAATGGCTTCGCTCCGCAAAAGGACTCAGGTTCCTTCGAGTGACTACGCACACCGGAGGCGTCGTGTTCTATCAACGACTCTTCGGTTGATTTCGGGCTATGTTTAATTTATCAAGAATGTCACCATGTCAATAAAACTCCGGCTCTCGCAGCCAAGGCGTGCTTTGCTGCTGCTCATTTTTCTTGCGTAAAAATGGTCCGCGTTGGTTCTGGCGTCTCACGCTGTATTCAGCCTGGTGCTACGCTAGAGCTGTGAACGGTGCCACCTTGTCGCGGGAACCAGAAGTCAATACCCATCTACACATTGGTCTGCACAGTACGATGTCTCTATAGCATTGTATCACACAAGTCATACGTATTTTGCCATGTTTTTATTTCGTTGATTTCGTCTTTCGGTCACGATGCTCGCGAGCCCACATCACCCCTGACCCCTGTCTTTTTAGAACATGCCTGGATCTCATTGCTTTGCTGTCGCTTTGCAAAATGCCAAACAACCCCGTAGAAAATGCCGTTCTATGCTGCTCAACTCAGACGTCGCGTTCGAAATAACTCTTGACCATCCCCTCGATGGTTGGCTCGTACTCGACCAACTTTACTTCTCCGGTGTTCTCATCCAACACCGTATTAGCCTGGACAAACACTTTTCTAGGAGTCTTCTTCTTGAGCACGATTGGTCTCGCCTTCCCGGCCCACCATTCATCGACGCTCGTGATGTCATCATACAACTTCTTGCCGGCCTCAAAATCCGCCGTGGCCTTGTAGATGTGCAGTTTCTGCAGATACGCCTCGACTGCGGGACGGCCGTGCGACAGGATCTTGCTGCGGTCCAAGAATATCTCGAGGTCATCGGGGTTATTCAGATCTCCGTTTGGAGCTTTGATTCGACAAAAATTCCCGCCGGCATCCAAGAAAGTCCGTAAGATTGAATACCGCGCCTGCATATGGGCCTGGCCCCACTTGCGGCTCTTGGGGTCCCAGTACTCGAGAGCTGCGACGCCAGCGCGAGCCATTTGAAGATACGCGACGTACAAGACGTCGCCGGCCTCATTGTTGAGGTCTTCTGTGCCGTCCCCGAACCCAAAAATCTTGAGAATGTCGAAGTCGCACGACAGAGCCATGGCGACACACTCGGCGCGACATTCTTCGTACGACGAAGCAATCGACCCAAACACACTCGACCAGGTCTGGCCGGGCTTGTACCAGGAGGTGATGGGCTTTTTGGTAACGGGACTTACTGGTGGGTTTTTGCTGTCGAAGTTGTACTCGCCAGGAGCCGTTTCTTGAAGGAGCTTGCCGCAGCCGTGGCCGAGCAGTTCGTGGATGCCGACTTGGACCTCGAATGCCGGGTCCCGGTATTTGCGGTAGACTTGGTCGTCTTCTTTGCGGATGAACGGGATAGGTTCGTTGGGGGCTTTTGCACTCAACACGTTGCCCAGACTGACGTTCTTGAACCCCTCGTTCTGTCTGATGAAATCGTAGTTGGGAATGTTGATACCCGCCGGTATGCCACTTCCCGCAAAGGTCAAGACTTCCAGGGAAGTAAAGTCCGGACTGAGGAACTTGTCTTTCTCAAAGTCTTTGCTCCATGGCAGTTTGGGAATCATGCTCGGCGCTGCTTCGACCAATTTACCAAAGGCCCGCGTTCTCTCCTGGTTGACGAATGCAACGAACCCTTCCCATTCGCCGCGCACTCCGTGAGGGTCACGGTATGTTTCGATGAATCCGATGTCTGTCTCCACCGTAGGCTTCTTGTTTTTGATCCAGTAGCGCTGGGACTCCACAAACGCTTGGATGCTGCCAGTCCCGAAATGCCTGGCGTACTCGTCAAGCATCTTCTCTTCGGTTTGGTTGGCAGCCTCCTTGCGGGCCTTCTTGATTTCAACCGCGATTTTGGCCATTTCATTTTGATGGTCACCGAAAACGAGGTTCAGCTTCTTTCCTGCAAGCTTGCCCGTCAAGGGAATAGAGGATACATCGCCCAAGTCCCGCTCTTCCGGTGGAGGATTCGAGATGCCCGATGCAATGAGCAGGTCGAAGTCTCCAGACGGCAGCTTTCGTAAACGAGTGTTCTCTATGAGTAGCTTTTTCTCCTCCAACACGTCACCCACGATCGAGATCTCTTCTTTGGTGATATTCGGCGAATCTGGGTAATACGTCGTCATGTGTCCTGCCTCGGGATATCCTAGATGCATCAAAGCAACATCTTTGGTCTCGTAGATGCCTCCTCCTGTCTGGACCGCTTTGTCATGTAGACTCTTGCATTCCTGGTTCACACCACAGAGTTGCTTCAGCGTTTCAGGTGAAATCCGGGGAATGAATTTGGAATCGCCAAACCCCTTGTAATTGCCACAATTGCCGAGAAACTGCGCGGAATACTCCAGCCAGAGCGTCACGTCGGAGGAGGGGACGGAAGTAGTCTCGGACAGTTTCTTATAGTCGCCGCCGCAGGCACGATGCAGGGCCATGATAAGGTCGTAGATGATGGGAGACTCTGGGGATACCTGGGCCAAAGTCACACGAGTGCCATGGAATGCGGCCCGACTAAGGTGGTGTGCATATCTTTTCTGTTTGGGTGTCAGGGCAGAGAAATGGGGAGCGATCTCCAACTGAACCACTGTAGGAGGGTTGTCTGCGAGGTAGTGGGATCGAAGGGCTGGATCCATGGTGAACGGAGAAGGCTGTGTTGTGGAAAGCTGAGAGGTGAGTTGTGAGAATCTGCGAAGGAGCCGATTGAGGGATGGGCCCAGAGTCAATCTGGAAGGGAAGGTCATGAAGCGGTGTGCCAGTCGAAGATGGACTTCAGGAATGCGGCGACGAGGCTGAGGGTCGTTGGAGTGATGAGCATCAGGCTGCGGGGAATCAATGAACACATCGTATAGTCCGCCGTAATGCTGCATTTTACTCAGGCTCACTCTACCGTACACTTTATAGCACGTGACCGCTTCTGAACTTCCACGTAGGTAAGATCTGTTTTGGGAGCCTCATCAAACACCCCGTATCAAGCCGGCGAGAAAGTCAAACGGAGCCCATTCCTAGGTGTCTGGCGATTACGGGCCTTGCCGAGGTGAGAAAGTATATGTCTCACTCATGTCACCAGCCAACACCGGTAACAGGCGACCATGTTTTCATCCGCCTTCAAGTCCTTCTCGTCCAACATCACATCGAACTATGAGATCTCTAAACAACCCTCGGCCACTGTGGGAGTCTGGACTGTCTTTGACGCGAAGAAGAAAAGCACTGGTATCCGAGCGTCAGTCTTCGTTTTTGAGCGGAAATCTTTGGAAGCTGGCAGCAGTGGATTTGGTACACGCGCTACTAGCGCCACGTCCCTGAGAAAGGCCCAAGATGAAGTTGTTGAACGGCTGAAGAAGGAGGCTAGCAGCCTTGCTCGGCTCCGCCATCCGTCCATTCTGCAGCTGGTCGAACCGGTTGAAGAGACTCGAAATGGCGGGCTCATGTTTGCGACCGAACCAGTTTTATGTTCACTATCTGCCGCTTTAGCACAAAAAGATGCAGCCGGCAGCAGAGCTGGTAGAGGCATCTCGAGGTCCCTGTCAGACGATGGTGTTGCCTCTCGAGCACTTCAAGATGTTGAAGTTGATGAACTTGAGATCCAAAAGGGCCTCCTTCAGGTTGCTAAAGGCCTTGAATTCTTGCACGACTCTGCCAAACTGGTCCATGGAAACCTGACTCCTGATGCTATCATGATCAATGCCAAATCAGACTGGAAACTGTCAGGCCTCAGTTTTGCGGGGCCTCCAGACGGCGCCGAAGGACATCAGTCTGTCCCGCAAATCTCACTCTCTGAAGCACTCTACCACGACCCGAGGCTGCCACGAGCGGTACAATTGAATCTTGACTATGCGTCACCCGATTTTGTGCTTGATTCAAACATAAATTACTCCGCCGATATATTCTCACTCGGCCTTGTCATTCTGGCTTGCTATAGGCGTCCTCACCGCTCGCCGATCGAGACCCATGGCAATCAATCCACCTACAAGAAGATCTTTAGCAGTTCTTCAACTGTGCCATCCAGTAGCAACAACTATCTTTCTGACAAGCCTCTTCCACGCGAGCTGAACGTGACCCTGCCACGAATGCTTGCTAGACGACCTGCTCAGCGTTTGACAGCCAGCGAGTTCCAACAATCGGAATACTTTGACAATATTCTCGTCAATACCATCCGGTTTCTAGACGCCTTGCCAGCAAAGACCCCTGCGGAGAAGTCACAGTTCATGAAAGGACTCGGTAGAGTCATGCCCCAGTTTCCGCCTTCTGTGTTAGAGAAGAAAATTCTGGGAGTTCTCCTGGATGAAATGAAAGACCGAGAACTACTGCCATTGATCATGCAAAACATCTTCCAGATCATCAAGGCCATTCCCTCGGGCAAGGACGTTGTCTCAGACAAAGTGCTTCCTCGTATGAGAGACATATTCCTCACAAAATCAAAGTCGGAGGAAAGGGACAGCAGCAAGGAGGCCGCTCTACTTACAGTGCTCAATAACATTCAGCTACTTGCCGATAATTGTTCTGCAAAACAATTCAAGGACGATGTCCTGCCAATTATTCACGTCGCCATGGAGTCTTCTACCCACTCTCTCACTGATGCTGCCCTTCAGAGCCTGCCGGCGGTATTGCCGCTCATCGACTTTTCCACAGTCAAACATGACCTGTTTCCGGTCGTGGCAAACGTGTTCAGCAAGACAAATAGTCTGAGTATCAAGATCCGCGGACTGGAGGCGCTTGGCGTGCTCTGTGGCGTGCCCACTGGTCAGACAGAGACAGGTGCAGAAGATTTCTCTGGCTCCAACCAGCAGGAGAGAAAAGATAAGGTTGTGTCGAGCCTGGACAAGTTCACCATGCAGGAAAAGGTCGTCCCACTTTTGAAAGCAATCAAGACCAAGGAGCCTGCAGTCATGATGGCAGCTCTCAGAGTGTTCCGCCAGATCGGAACTGTTGCCGACACTGAATTCTTAGCTCTTGAAGTCATGCCTATACTATGGAACTTCGGCCTGGGACCTTTGCTGGATTTGACACAGTTCAAGGCATTCATGGACGTCATCAGGTCTTTCTCGGCTAGGATAGAGAAGGAACAGATTCGGAAATTACAAGAGCTATCCTCGACCCGACCTGCAGACATTCGAACGTCGACGACAGCCCTGCCTTCAATCAGCAACGGTATGCCGCGTGGTGCTTCCCCCGCTGGCCCAGAGGACGACTTTGAGAAGCTCGTGCTGGGCAACAAGAATAATGAAAGGAACGACGTGTTTGCTGGTGCTTTGTCGGAAGGAGAAAAATTAACTCCAAATCCTCCATCCTTCTCGTGGTCTCCAGTCGCTGGAAGCAACAGGAATGCGGCTTCAGCTCCAGGTCTGGCGTCTTTGCCAGCGCTTCAGCCTCACCCAGCCTCACGTTCGATAACTCCTGATGTCAGCATGTCAACGTTTCCAACTCTGCAACCTGCGCAGCATTCTTCTGCATCGGTCTGGGCATCGTCTTCTCCGCCTGCTAAGCCTGTACACAACCAGAGCCATGTATTTCCACCGCCGACTTACGTCTCCAGTCCTCCGCCCGTAAGCTCACCTCCTCCAGCACCAGCCAATCCATGGGCGCTTCCTCCACCTCCGAACTCGCAGAGTCGTAACGCAGGTTTCGCTGCGAGCATCGCTCCACCTCCTCAAAATAACGTAACAGGCAACGTATGGCAACAGTCGAACCACAGCTTTGGAATGGCCTCGACCGCCGGAGTCGGCGGCTCGATGAACGTCCTGCAGCCCCAAACCAAATTGCAACAACAGCCGCCTCCACAGCAGAAGACCGGGTTAGATAAGTACGAATCTCTGCTGTGAGAGCTCGACCACTCACACTCCTCAATAATAGCGGGCATGGATCTTTCTTCCACCTTAGACAAGATCCTTGGGGCTATATCCCGGGAAGATGTTGGCGACCTGCCTTTACCATTGGGTCGCCTCTTCAAGCACACCACTGCTGAAGGCAAAAATTTAGGCATCACGATCTTGTGTTACTGATCGGGAGGACCGGCAGATTGTGCCTGGAAATCAATGGCGTCGTTGTTCCTTGTGCCTGTCCATCATTACAGGGACTTGTGTGCAGGATTCATTCAACACCAATCATTCGGCCACGACCTCGAGGGTAGATGCTGACTAACCCTTTTAGGCATCTCGATATCCCACTCTCCAGGTCCTCGCAACGACAACCATCCAATCTTCTGCACGACTGTAAGCACTCCCCGTGCTACCGCAAGTCTTCGCATGGCTTGGCAGAATCTTCGGTTTTCGATAGACTGTATGACGGAGTCTGGAAGAAACGTGCTCGTCCTAGATTCGGCTATGGAGCTTGAACCTTAAAAGCTCGGTGTCAGTCCGAGCTTGTTCTCACCTCTCTTCTTATCACCAGCCAGCTTCATCACATCTAATCAATCTCGACAGCGGCCTGACACTCGTTTGACGGCGTTTCACCATGCGCTTCTCCATTCTGTCCGCCACACTGGCGGCCTCGTGTTTCTTTGCCAGCAGCTCTGCCATTTCCATCCTGTTGGGCAATGACGATGGCTTCGCCGCTGCCCAGGTTCGAGAATTCTACCGCCTGTTGAAGGCTGATGGTCACGATGTCGTTCTCGTGGCCCCTGCCGACAACGAGAGTGGTCAAGGTGGCCGTGCGGTGTTCACCACTTCGAAGAACTTGACTGTCCCTTCGGAGTTCAACATCATCCCCGCCGGTGCCCCGTCCCTTGGCCGCGATCCCACCGACCCAGACGTCTGGTACTACAACGGCACTCCTGCCGCCTGCACGTACGTTGCTCTGGACTATGTCATCCCGAACTTCTACGACAACCGGACCATTGATCTGTACCTCGGCGGTCCCAACTTTGGATTGAACCCCGGACCGTTCTACTATACTTTGAGTGGAACAATTGGTACGTTTTGCATGACTCGAGCAGACTTATTTTGCAGGTAAATCTTTGTCACCAGTTTACTGACCCTTTTTCCGACTCTCAGGTGGCACATATGCTGCTATTCAACGTAACATCCCAGCTATTGCGTTTTCTGGGGCCAATTCCGAGCAGCGGTCGTACACTTGGATCAACAAGACCACTGCATCTGGCCACCCTGATCCTGCGACCATCCATGCCCAGCTGGCCTTGGATGTCGTCACCGCATTGGTCAAGGGCTCGAAGCCTGGGGAGCGCCTGCTGCCGCTAGGCTACGGTATAAAGTAAGCAATGCCCCACATCCCTTCCGCAATCTCGTTCAGCCTTGCCTCTGAGGCTGTCCAACCCATCCCTGCCAACACTACCCTACCGACCACACAGTATCCTCAAGCATAGAGACTGACAAACCAACCATCTTAACAGCGTCAATGCCCCCTTCATCACTTCTTTGACCAATGACACCTGCGTGTCGCCATCCTTTTACCAGACCCGCATTACCGGTGGAGCCATGACCGACCGCGCCATCTACAACAAGACCACCGGCCTGTTCACCTACGGCAACGCCATGACCGAAGGCCTAAACACCTGCATCAACGGCGACTGCTCCTTGCCCGGTGAAACCGACGTGGTTGATGATGGCTGCTCTGTTGCCGTCTCCGTCTTCTCCATCGACTACACCGCCCCGCTTGGTGCTGCCAACACTGGCATCCGCGACGCCCTGTCGCCCCTCGTCCAGTTCCCCAACAAGAACGGCAAGATGATGATCAAGGCCCGCGACACTCTGACCAGTAAGTTTTGACAGACTTCTTTCCCGCCAGGACCTTATGCTAACGACATTCTTTGTAGGAGAGGAGAAGGAGGCTAGACACCCTCTGCGCCAGGCATAAGAAGCGCAAAATTGAGCCCTGCGGCTGGCTTTTCATATCTTTGGGCGATTTATGACAATGTCCCAAGATCTAATCTGAGCTGATGGGGTGAAATGGGCCCCCTTGGCGCTAATACCAGTCAGCCTTGCAGGATCGGCCGTATCGCTCGCCTGACAGATGTCACATGCTACTTACGCTGGAGACGAGCGATGCAGTCAAAAGATTATAGTGTCAGGCATAATCGTGATTAATGGATAATTACTTACTCTCTATACCGTTTCATCCTTTCATCTTGAGTCCTCTTGTCGTTGAATACGGCCTCGTAGTACTCAATTACCACCGAGTAACTCGAGGTACAGAGGTCGAGGTTGCCTTGGTATGGACGGCTTGAGCCTTCTGGTCCTGTCTCTTCTCGCTGCATCTCTGACTCGAGGCGTAACCGGTACCGAGTTTCAACTTTCAAGAATAGGCTGAATACATTTGTCCTAGAGCTTCGCTGTGTCCAACTCGTTGTGATGGCCTACCTGGCTTGCTCATCAGACAACCACCTATTGGTAGTATATCCACCCTGTGGTCGTCGTCCTCGGTCTGATTTGGCTCGCTGAATCTGGCGGGTCTCCAATCCCCCATGATCCTGGGCGCTTGATAAATAAGACAGCTAGGTAGTCAGCCTTGTCAAGCGGTGTAGAGCAGGCCTGGGTGGATAAATACCTCGCCAGCCTCATCTACCATTGCAAACCAGTCTCATCAACGGTGGATGGGCTGGGTAGTGAAGCGGGGCCAACATTGATATCTCTTGGAAGGCCAGTTTATCGTTGCTGCTATAGTCGCGCCATGGAAAGAAATCGAGTCTTGGACCTGGCGACCACGGAGGGAAGTGATTCTCAATTCTCGAGACAAAACTGTTGCCCGACCAGTGCAGTATGGTTCTGGAGATGTAGATTTTGACCCAGTCCATCTTTCGTTCCGCTCCCGCCTCACCTGCTGCACTTGACCACCCGGAGCCCTCCCCGGGAGTCTTCACTCACCGGCACTTCACAATTTAATTCACCGCATATAGATTTTGAAAACCAAATTTCTGTCAACATACGCAAAGACCCCCAGCACCGAATGGTCCAGGTCAAACCACTTGGCTTAATCGGCAAGCCCGTCTGTGTCACACAGACAAAATTGGAAGGCAGCCATTCGACTGGGCGAATCCTCCGCAAATCCGAAACTTCAGGTCTCGAGTTCAAATCCCGCAAGGGACAAATAATTCGACGACTTTTCGGTCCAAGATTCTCTTAACCCTGCGAACCCGGGTTTACACCAACGAGCGGAACGAACGAAATTCAAACCCTGGACCCCGGGTTGACACCAACCAGCGAAACGAGTCGGAAAAACCCTGCTAACCCGGGTTTCACTTACCACAACCCCCTAACAAAGGGGTTTGTGGAAAAGTTTTTGCTCTTCTTCAAGAAAAGACCCGACGGAGATTGTTTTTTTTGTGGGTTTGTCAGACTTACTGAGTAGTGAAACTACAGTGCCAGCATACCGATATCTTGCTTGAAGTTCACACCCTCGGTTTCTCGCCTTTTTCCTTGCAAGCTGCACAGATATCGTGTTCTGCAGCAGTCTCGGCCTCGGAAGCTGGGTAAAATCGTGTTCATTGAAATCATAGCCAGGCTTGATGTCGAACTCGACTCCTCCCGGTGCATGACCTCAGTTCACAAAACGACCTCGTTCACGCTATCACGGCAGAACGGAAGCATGCGAGACATGGTGGATGCTCCTTTCCCATAAATCTGGACATGTATGAACCTATGAGCCTGACCTGGCCCATGAGAGTATCCGATGATCTTGACAACGGTCTTACATGACTCGGAACATATTCAATACTGACTCATGTGCTGTGGATTGTTCTCTCATGATGATGTTGGCAGTGCCCACTGCCCAGATGTCCCCGAAGGCCAACAGTCAACTAGGCCATTGCGAGCAAACGCAAGAGTGGCCAGATCCTCCAAGAAGAGGGTACAGTGTATGTCCCACGCAGCTGAACAGAGGCGGTGGGTAGATGAGGCTACCTTTAAATTGCTGGACACGGAGGCCGGGCTCGATATAGAGGCTATCGGCATTCTGATACAGTACGCAAGGGGTGACGGCAGAAGATTGAATCCCGTTGTAAAGGCACGACCCAGGAAGGCGAAGGCAAGGGAAAGAGTCATAAATGCGTCTGTAGTATCCCGATGCCGCGAGCCCGGGGATCGATGAAGGACTCCGAGATGCCAGCGATGAAATGAAAGATAAGTAACAAGAGGTTGGAAGCGGAAGATGAGTCGCAGGCGGCTATCCGCGGCACCATATAACAAGCCACTAGCGGTGACTAGCAGTCTTAACTACCACAGGATGTGCTTTAGAGCACATAGTCGGTTATAGCGGCTGCTAGCAGCCGTGGCCAAGCATCGAGCTCCGATCTCCGGCCCTGAAAATTGTACGGCCTCGTTTCCATCGGCGAAGTTGACGGCGGGACCCATCGATCTTTCACTCGGAACCGTTCAAGACTCGGGGATTCGCCATGACAAGCAGTCAAATCACGGACCTGGACTAGACTGATATGGAGCCCCAGGGTTGACTCGAACTCGACGTCTTGCTTTTATATCGCTTTAACCGACACTCACCTCACAGTCACACCGTTCTCCAACACAGCTCTTGTCTTTCGACGCCCTTGTTCACTCACCCTCTTCCTGCCCTCACCTTCTCTCCTGCGGCCCTGGCACTGTATGATCTGATCAGACAAAAGAGCACACGAGCAGAGAGATAAAAAAACATACAGCAACAATGTCACTGCTTCGGCTATTCCGCGCACCTTGCGCAACACGCGCTCTCACGCAATCCGCATTGAAGAAACCGGAATCGTCACTACGGCTACTGCTGCCCACACAGAGACAACACTCCTCCTCTTTCTCGACCTACACCTCCCGAAGAAGACAGGAGAGCCTATCGCTGGACGATGACCCAGCCAAATCCCTGCCGGGCATTGACCCGAGCAAACTGGAGGTGACCAAGACGATTACTCCGAAAGAGCTGGTTCCCAACAAGGATCTCGTGTTTGGACGGACATTCACCGGTAGGTACCAGCACCAACACCAACACCAGGCATTCCTCACTACCTTTTTCTTCCTGCATATCACTAACCTTACCGTGGCATGACAGATCACATGCTCTCAATCGAATGGACAGCATCTCAAGGCTGGCTAGCACCCCGAATCACGCCGTACCAAAACCTCTCCCTCGACCCGGCAACCTGTGTATTTCACTACGCATTCGAATGTTTCGAGGGCATGAAAGCATACAAGAGCCAACAAGATGGCTCACTACGACTATTCCGCCCAGACAAGAACATGGCACGCCTGAACAAATCCGCAGCGCGCATCGCTTTGCCCACATTCGAAGGCGACAAGCTGATCGACCTGATCGGCAAATTCTGCAAGCTGGATGAACGATTCATCCCGTCTGAAAAGGGATACTCGTTATACATTCGCCCGACGCTGATCGGCACGCAGCGCACTTTGGGCGTCGGTCCACCGGGTTCGGCTTTGTTGTTCGTCATCGCCTCACCCGTCGGCCCGTACTATCCCACGGGATTCAAGGCGATTTCGCTCGAAGCCACCGACTACGCTGTGCGCGCGTGGCCCGGCGGTGTGGGCGACAAGAAACTCGGAGCCAATTACGCGCCCTGTATTGTGCCGCAGCTCAAGGCCGCGAAAAAGGGCCTGCACCAGAATCTATGGCTGTTTGGACCAGAAGAGTATATTACTGAGGTTGGCACGATGAACTTGTTTGTGTGTATCAAGAACAAGGAGACTGGTCAGAAGGAGCTGTTGACCGCTCCGCTCGATGGAACTATCCTTGAGGGTGTCACGCGCGATTCTGTCCTTGCCCTCGCCCGTGAGCGATTGGTGCCCCAAGGGTGGAAGGTTGAGGAAAGATATGTCAAGATGCAGGAGCTTGCTGATGCCGAGAGTGAGGGTCGTCTCGTCGAGGTGTTTGGTGCTGGTACCGCGGCGATCGTCGCACCTGTGAGGAATATCCTCTGGAAGGATCGCATGATTGACTGCGGCTTGAAGAAGACGGAAGAGGCGGGCGAGGTGGCGCTCAAGATGAAGAACTGGATCGAGGGAATCCAGTATGGTGAAGAGCAGCATCCTTGGAGTGTCAAGATTCCGTGAACGGAACTGAATACTACTATTCAGACTTGAACAAGAAAAGAGAGTTCGGGGGGCAGGAGCAGTTGCCTTTCACCCTCGTGAGTCTTCTTTGTGTTCAATTGAAAAGAAACCTGCAGTGGGAGCCGCCGAGTGTATAAAGAAAGTTGCAGCCTGGATGTTGCTTGCTTATTATAAAGGAGTAGAGTGTTGGAGTGTAGAGAAAGCATTGCATTGCCGTGTGAAGAAAGTGTTTCTATGTTTCGACAGTAGTACGACGAGTGTAGCAAGCAGTGCGTTCTCTCAATCTTCATGATGTATTGCTTCAAGTTGTCTTTGATTCCTCATGCAGTGGCCGACGCCAATCTTGAAGGTCACCACCGTAGCTCCTTTTCCTGCACTGCACACCAGCAGCCACTACAGCAATATTGTACGCTTGCTGGGTAGGTGCCCTGTGCAGCAGCAATGCCGTATAAGCAATATGGGGGGACCTTTGCTGTATCGGTCTAGGTAGGCAGATACAGTAAACAACAGCTAAGGGAACCTCCCGATCAACAATCAGCAACAATCTTGATGGCGGGGGCCTCCGGGGTACCTCAAAGGTGTTTGGTGGCTGGCCCGAGCCCCCAAACGGCTGTCTTTGTATTTATTTCAGGTATACGGCGGCCGCTTGGTAAACAGATCTATCGGATCCTCTCCTGCCTCGATCAGCTCCGAACCAAGGTCTTGATCATAGTGGCCTCCTGGGTACCTCAAGAAATGTTTGGCGGCTAGCCCGAGCCCCCAAACAGCTACCTTGAATTGATTTCAGGTATACGGCGGTCTCCCGCAAGGCAATGAACGGTCCTCGAAACTTGAACAACAACAGACAAGACAAACAGAGCGTAAGGTACATACCTGCTGTATCATGCACACCACCCGCTGCACAGATCAAACTGCTGTTGAGGCTGGGCTGCCACTAGATGATGGAAATCATTTCCGTGCTTGAAGTCGCGCGCTTATCCATGGTCGTCTGGCATGCTGCTTCGTATACCTTTACCAGTCTACCTTGGCGTCAAGGCATCCTTTTCTCTTCCCTGAGCCGAGCCCGCTTCTGCTCTTGAACTCGGCTCGGGCTCGAGCTTGAGCTTGAGCTTCGACGATGCAAGGACAGGACGTTACGCTGGGATCTCGCTCCTCAACTCCAGCTGGTACTGGTGCTGGGTCTGTCCATGGACATGAACTGTAGGTACTGGACATCATAAGCACCTCATCTCAAGACTGCGCTTCTCCGGTGCTGTTTGGCGTGGTGTCGTTCGAAATCTTGTGACAGGAGATCGGAATGTGGGCAGGCATTTTGATAGTCTCTTTCTCGTGATATTCGCCCGGCTCTTCAACAACCTGAAGGTGATCCAGGAACGATCCAGGAATTATTTGAGCCTGGAAAGGATTGTAAATGGTATCCTTTCCGCCACAAAGACGTCACGCTCAGAGGTCACTGTATTTGTTTCTCCGGCTTAGCAGGGCAATGTCAATCTGAATCACATCCTATTGCTAGGAATAGTTATGCTCGGGACTCGGAAACCAGTATACTCAAGGAGCAAAGATTGCGGTAGAATAGGAGTATCTCTCAAGCCGAGGCTCTGGAAAGCTGTACCCTTACCTGGCATGTTTTCATAGACTCTAGCTGGCGAACTTCGCTCAGCCTGGCCGGGCAGTGCTGCACAGGATGGATGAGCCTTCCACGCGCACCGCGGATCTGGCAGCCGGCGGATTATTTCGTCGTATAGTAGCTCCTTGATCTGTCTTCGGCTTGCGGCCTAACAAATCTCTCCGGGACTCTCGGTCAGCGCATGGACAGAGGAAGACTTCGGACTGACTCTTCCCGTCGGCCTCGGGCAACCTATCGCCCGCGAACGGAATAGGTGGACCGTCGTGACTCCTTTGTTCGTGGCAGATGGTCGGTCGGATGTATGTTCGGCCGAGACATCCTCCAGTCCAGAAGGACTGACAAGGCTGAACGGTGTACTCGGCCCGTAATTCCGCCAGAACTGGGGGATACTAGTAGTGGCCAGTAACCTCAAAGACACTTGTCCGCTTCAAGAAAATGCTCGCCTTGTCAGTCTAAATACGTGCATATATGCGACCAGACCAGTGATCTTGAGTGTTCTTCGACGTGGTGTTCATGGTGGGTTTGCTCCGCCCTGTAATTGTACACGACATCAAGGAGTAAAATATGTTGAACCAGGGCCTCCTAGAACTGTGCATTAAGCTTGTGCCACGATCCTAGCGATCCCGTGTTGACGAATATTTTCCAATGTTGCTGTTCTTCTACCAAAATAGGAAGTCTGAGTGGAACCTGCTGCTTTAGACATGCATGACGCTTGATGACAAACGTTGCTTTCGACACTCGAACAGCTATTGCTTAACCCCGGATAGTTCCATGCAGTTGCACGAAAGATTTTGGGGCCTCCTAGGCCTCCCGCAATGACGTCGGGGAGCCTGATCTTGTTGCATTCTTGCGTGCAGCCGGTCTTGTGATGAACAAGCAGGCCTCCACGACAGTGGTCCCGGCGGTCTCGGCAGCTCAAAAGAGCAGTATACCGGTTGTGACGAGGGCACAGTGATCCATATACGCGCAAGCAATACTCGAACATAATGGCTGAGGTGTTTGTAATCATCTTCGCAGATCGTGGTGGCCGGAGTTCCGAGGCAGGGGTTGATGGCCTTCACCAAGTCTCGGTTAGGTACGCATAATGCGCCATGGTCGACTTTTGAGTATATGGGTAGTAATGCCTGCTCGGAACAAGCTGGAAGCCAGCGGCTCCGCGGATCCATATCGACGCCAACGTGGCGCTCCTGTCTTCTTGTTTAACGCATGCCAGATAGGCCCTCAACTTGAAGACCTGCGAGAGCCCTGAGGCTATCGAAGGACCACGCGTCAAAGAAGGAGATACATGCCAGTGTATGGCTGATGATCCTTGTCATGTCGTATGGTTCCGTATGGTAATGCTTCTAACACTGTTTCGGTTTCCAGAACCTTTCCACCAAGATCTACATCGCAGGCTTTCACTAAGCCTTTGATATCACTACTGCCTGGAGCTTGCGTGGGCGATGTGTCATAGTTCAGTCTGTCCCTTAGAAACATTGTTGGATTGCTGGCGAGGAACAAAAGTCCCATGTTTTGCACATGTTTGATTTGTCTTGAGGGCTATGAGGCATTAACAGAGCCTTTCCGGCCATATAGGTGCCTGCCAAGGGTATGGGTTCGTTTACTGCTTCGAAGGCTTGTGCTAGTGTTGTAGGGGGCTTTGGTGAGTGTTCTCGTTATCTTGTATGCGTCCGGGCTGGGTCCAGGATTCATGACAAATAATAAAGGAGGCGAAGCTTGATATCTTAGATCATTTTCCAGCTGAATGTGAGCAGCCACGGTGGCCAGGAGACCTCTGGTGGCGCAGAATTATTCATGTAGGAGGCGCGGCGAGCTGCTTCCAGTGGTGATGCGAACCGCGATGGTCGTAGAAGGCTGTTTGCTGCAAGGCTGAGCCACGCATGTAGCTGGTAGGGACATGTTAGGTGCTAAGCGTCGGTGCACAGAATAAGCATTCCAGCTCTGGATACGCGATTCCAATCACGTAGTGCTGGGCCAAGCTGTGCTTTCACCCTCATGGCATTTGAGGCAGGTCTTTGTAAAGCGAGTCAGCTATTGCCCGGTCCAGAAGATGGTGAGCTCAATCATGGACAGATGCGTCACGGATCGAAGCTCGACTCTTGAGGTAGCTGGCGCAGGACTGAGGATCCAAGCGGAGGACTCTGAAGTTGTGACAAGCTCAGGGAAAGCCTTTCGGGTAAAGGTATTGGCCGTTCAATGTTGTATAGGACACAATTGAACGCAGCGAGGGTGCCCACATCGCCTCTTCAAATGCCTTCATCTCGGGCGAAAAGAAAGGTCCAGTCTCAGAGAAAGCAGGCGGATATTTCTCCTTCTCACCTGATTTGTTTGGAACTGTCACTACTCCCAAAGAGTCCAGATAGTTTCTTGTGCCCTGGAGTGTAGCTCTAACCCTGGATTTGATACATATTCGGGAAGTAGTTCTCCGCCCTTTGTATTAAGTTCATTGGTTTGATGGTTCCCGAAGATGTGGTGCCGAACATGCAGTGAGAGAATGTATCCTCAAACGAAACTCCCCCTGTTGAGAGCCGAAAAAACTGCCAATTTGTAAGATCATAGGAGTGTATAAGTGGATCCTTGCAACGTACCTCCTGATCATGATACTAACTCGCCTGATGTCGCTCACATCTAGGGGCTTCGAGGAGCGGTAGGATTTGCCACGGTAGGTGGGCCTGAAACGGCCCCAAGGAATGAAAAGTGAGCGGTAGGTTGTATCATCATCACCAGCTGGGACACTGTCGGCGGTAGAGAAATCAAACTCCCAAGACATGGTAGATTGTTCGCGACCGTTGTCGCGATTGGGAGGAAGAAGGTGGTCTTTAAGGATCAAGGTATAGACATGGTTGTCAGAGTGCGATGGATCGATCGAGACCTCGACACCTGCAAAAGAATCCAACTTCAAGTGCCAATCGTCGCGGACCGTACGTTGGGATGCAAAGCCCGCCCCACCGAGGGTCCCGATATCAAGTCGGCCATGGAAGCATGCGGCTGGGCCGCTGCAATCCAAGTAGGACTGTCAGATGAATCCTTCGTGTCAGTTCTTGGACAAATCGTAGCACGGAAGTGCCTCTCACGCTCTGCAGCCCTACCGCGGACCGGGGGATGCCCAAGCCCACTGTATGGGGCTCAGAGGAAGGAAAACGGACAAGAACTGCCGACGTACCTGTGAGCTTCCTCCACGAACTCGGTCATCACTGGCTGTCCACTGTTCCGGATACCAGCCCCTATTAGCCCGTTGGTGGCATGTTGTCAGTGAACCAGGGCATTCGAGGGGAGCGTGACCCAGAAGGAACAGCAGAAGTCGACTCGAACATCACTGGACACCTTGCTCACCCATTTGACCCAAATAACACCTGACGGTGGGAACGAGATTCCATTCTTTGCACCGGGAGAGGGATACGAAGAGCTGAGGAGAGGATCTGCAGCCTGGCCTGGCAAGGGATATTGTACGTGGGCGTGCGCACCGGAGTCGCAGTCTTGAGGGACTCGGAGGTGGTTCACGTCGATTGCTTCGCTAAACCCAACCCCCCGCCTAAGCCGCATCCACAGCCAACAGCCACCACAGGCGCAGGCACTGGCACTGCATGCACTGCACTGCACCACCAACACATGATGGTTGTCACTGCCACTGCCAATGCCGCTGCCCGTCGCAGTCTCAGAATGTCGTGTCTGGCTCAGCCCGAGCCCTACTAGGCTCAGCTCCTCCTGCTGAGCAGCACTTTCGTATTCAGCTCTGCCGGCATACCAAAGGCAACTCGCTTCCCTGCTTACTACTACAGTGCGTACACAGTTCCATCGCGCCACAGAAAGTGAAGAAAGTTGCTGTATGGAGAGGAATTGGAATTTCGAATAGACACCAGCTAGATAGATGCCCTGTATCGGCAAAGCTGCTGGCAGTTGCCCTCCTGTGCAACTCTTGACATCTTCCAAAGAAGCCCTTCCGCTTGCCCTACCCGGTATCTATGGTATCAAAACCTATATTGACTCACATGCAGCCGATAAGAGCCCTTCCTAGACCCTCGTGTGCCGGCACATTAGAATCAATGTAGATGTACAACAGCTGATGCTTTTGTCCGAATTGTGGTTCCTCGCGTGAATGGTAATGGTAATAAATGCTTCCAAGCCCCGTGCCCTGATCTTGCCCACGCAAAGGTAATGCCGCTAATTTCCGGAAAAGTCGTGAAATTCATTCACCCCGCTGAGAGAGTGATACTGACACCCCTGCTAGGAGACACTCCTTCAGGACGTCCAACGGTAGCCAAGGTCGATCAACTGGATATTGGGACTCGCTGCCCGAGAGACCGGTGTCAGCGGTACTTCGAAGTAAGTGGGTGAGTTATGTGGTGAGTCCACAGAATAACAGTCTGTGAGCGGCGGTGTCTGGCCAGATGAAGTCAGCTTTTGAGCTGCAGACAATGGCACCGGGCTTGATAAATGCGAGCTGGCAAAGCCATCACCTCGTGCTGCTCAAGAGTACGGGCTTGAATATGAACGCGACAAGAAACTGGTGGGATTTACATGAGAAGGGCCCCCCTGATAGGTCTGATTGGAGGGCATTTCGAGGCCAGCCAAAGACGCGTAATTCATATTGAAGGGACTCAAAAACTCGTCATCGCCGAAGAGATGATCTTGCTTGCTGTATGATGAGGGAAGCATTGCCGGTAACGTGGGAGGTAAGCTAGAAGATGTGACGCCCGGGTAGTACGAACTCGTGTAGTAGCCGGGGTGGTTTTCGTAGGCTGCTAGTTGCTGCTGCTCGTATTGAAGATGTGCTGTTGTGGGTGGATAAGTCGAAAAGGAAAACTCTGGGGGCGAGTTCAGTGAGGCATGTTGGGCAGTGGGAGTATCAAAAAGTGAGGTATGATCATCTAGAGGGAGGATCTCTGGGGATGCCCGCTGTATCTCGTGCGATTTCGCTGGATCCGAGGCTTGACGTGAGATGCGCTGAGGTGATCTGCTTGATGTGTCTCTGGATGTCGTCGATACGAGTTCTGAATGTGATTGTTCGGGAGAGGCAGAAGAAGAACCGGCGCGACGCTCCAAGTCCTCAAGCCTTCTCTTGAGCTTCTTGCGATAATTTCGCTGCCCAGAATGTCAGTTGCAACATGATCCCGCTGATAGTGACATGCCCATACCTGAGCGATCCGGTTTTGTATCCGACGTCTCTCCGCAAGGTCCGAGATCTTGGTCCAGTCTTCGTTTGGGTTTGCGGACGCGCTGAAAGCCGAACTGCTGGCATGCGTCGCAGAGTATCTCGATTGTCCAACCATGGTCCCGGAAGGGTAAGAGTAGCTTTGACTCCTTTGCATGGCGTCCACGCCGGTCCTGCTATGAGATGTCGTTATGTATACAATATTGTACAGAGCTGCTGGTAGTCGAGTACAACCGTTTGTCCGGTCTGTCAGGTGCAAAGAATCTGGGAGAAACAAGAGGGAATAGTCGGGGGCTTAATAGTCGTGTGTACAGAAGTCTGGTTGACCAGAGATGCATGAACAAATGCACTGCATGGGACGCCCGAACTGAACTGTTCCCCGATATATAACCAACGTTTGTCAACAGGCGGAAACAGCCAATACAACGCTTACCCTGAACAGTCCTAGAGCGTGGCTTTTGGGAGGTTGAGTAATCCACTGTAACAGGACGCAACAAAAGTCCAACCGGGGTCATAACGAGACCATGGGCAGCAGGCCACATGTCCACACACCTCTAGCATCGGTCGACACGCACGAGAGGGATTTCTATCCATGCTCGCGACCTGCCTGCGCCCTACGGCTGCCCTGCCTGACAGGGCGTCAAACGGGGCTCCTCAGAGCGAGCAGCACGGGCATGCGTCAACCTCAGTTGACCGCCTGGGACCGGGACAAGGGGGTTCTTAGCGTGTCCCACGTCGGTGGAAAGAGAGGACCCGAAATGCAGAGGAAACCGGGGGCCGTGGAGGCACTGGCGGCGAACAGCAAGCCGGGCTGGCACGGAAATAGGACTGCAGAGATGCATTTTGGGCCGCTTGCCAGAGACGAGGGTGACGGGCAGTGAAGACGAGTGGTTGAGCGGGCGAAATGGCACGAATTGGCTGCCACTGCAACGTCGTAAACAGGCTGCGCCCCGGTCGCTGCTTTAGCCCGATCCGATCTAGCCTGTCGCTGCCCTGAGCAGAAGGGGCGGTCTGCGCAGTCTCTCCCGCAGCCACGGCCACGCTTTGCACCTGAGCGCATCCGCCTTTTCCCACTGCCAGTGCACGTCCATGCAACCACCTTCGTCCGTAAACTGCATGTTGCCTGCCTGCGCTACACCACCACAACCACCACAACCACCACCACCACCACCATTACCTTACCACTGCATCCGACGCGGCCGCCATCACCGCCATCAACCGTCATGGCCTGCTGCATACCATCCCTTAGCCCTTGACAGCGAATCAGGTACGCCCGGCGGTATATCACGGGGAGCGACGTATTCTCCACATCACCGGTTCGGGTTTATGTCTTCGAAACTCCGCCACGATCAAATCGTAGACGATCCATGCCTGGTGGTTCTTCCGGTCAATCCCCGTTCTACTCTCCAGGCTCCAATCATTCTGACTACCCTCATTTGTCTCAAGATTTGATTTCTTTGATACTGCACTAGGCTTGATATGTGCTCAGGATGCGAGGAAAGGGGCCAACGGCGTCGACCAATCGATCTCCTCTTCGATCTCTCTGTCTGTCGACAGCCGATGTCTGCTGTCAAAGTAACGTTAGCTAGCGTTTTGGCCAACCGTGGCGTCGTCTTTGTCGATCGCTCGAACTCCGCCAACTCAAAAAGTCTCACCGTTCAACTGTACTTGACTATGAAGTAAAATCAATGGTAGTCATACCATACAGTTCTTGATAACAGACCGAATCCCTGCAGGATGAGGGCAAATCCCAGGGTTGAATCCGCCCAGGAAACCCGGCACCTGCGGGCCTACTCGGCCAGGCATCGCACCGGTAAGTCGCTACAACTGCTTACGCGCTTTGGATACTTCCCACAGCATACCTCACGGCGTATACACGGACCCCGGTTTGTATCAAAAGATAAGACATCAAGTTGAGAAAGAGAAATAAAGGCGCACACAAGTGTTCGCAAGGGCCGTAACATCCTTCAGACCCGCGGCTCGAACACTGCTCATCGGAGTTATCTATAAGGTGATCAGATTGCAATGGTCGAAGCCAGTCTCCTGAAACACCATCGTATGTCAGTTCTGGGTGAGGCTGTGTGGTCCTGTTCCACTCGATTTTTCCCCACAACCATGTCAGTTGAGCAGTCCGGAAGAATAATCAACCATCGCGTTTGGGGACACTGGAGAATGCCCAAAGCGGTTATGCTCTGTGCAGGGGCTGTGGTACCTAAAGGACCTCTGCATACCCCTGCGGACACTTTATGTTGCGCAGTAGACATAAGGCTGCAGCAGCACAATCCTGGCCGGCAGGGCTGGACCTGCATAGGAAATTCTGCTATTCCAAACAAAGAGTGTGTCTGGGTATGTTTTTTCTGCTGGTCTGCTTCCATCGCCTTCCCGGCCCTTTCGAAGCGAAAAGGCTGCCGCTTCCAGACAAGGTAGGTTGTCTTTACCGTTGGGCAAAATGGAAGTTCTGACTGTGGCTGCAATTGGCTCCCAGGACCCAGGAGGCATCTGTAATCGCTCCGGGTCAGCACAAGCCCGGTCTAGTCTCATCAAAAGGACATCCCTCAAGGTTACATGCATGGTGCTGCATAGGACAATATCCTTATTGAGGTATGGTGGAAAGCACGAAGTCTTGCAGAAGCTCACCGCCCCGACGGCCTTTGTGCTGGTGCAGATAGTCTCCACACGCATGGAGCGAGATATGCCTCCAAAGCCTAGCTGGAAGGTCTACCATAGTGGAGAAATGGCTGTACATTTTCAGTGTATCCCATGCAAATTGCATATTTTTGAAGGATACTAGCCATGCTTCAAAGCAGGTCATGTAAGGGGAGCCCAGCAACATACAGAACACTCCTAAATTAGAAGTCACAAATACCGCTTCGTCCTGACCCCTACTAGTATTCCTGATAGCTTGTCTGGCGACGACATCAGCGAGGGCCTGGGGGCTTTTCTTCCCACCAATCGTCTCCCACGTTTCCCGTTCAGCCCTACCGCCATCTCCACTTCCCAAAGGAGGCATTCAGATTAGCAGGATCATTAAGCGTCGGTTGGGGCCCCGAGGACCGTGACTGGCCTAGTCGACTCGGTCTCGGACAGTGCCACTGGAGGATGGGGCCTGACCGCGCCAATATGATTCCGGAAGTTTCGCAGCGAGCCTCCAGCCGGGATCTCCCCGACAGCGGCCAGTGCGACTCTGAGCTTTTCAGCTCAAGCCAACTCTAGCGCATCGGTTCTACAACTGGCTGAAGACTGATATGGCTGGCAGACGCACCGCTAAAAATATCAGCTTCCCCATACAATGGCACTCCACCAGTTTCGGAATGTACCTATTTACAGTTACAGACTAGGACCGCATCACCTCGCGACCGAGCTCGACACTTCTCACTGGATATGTGCTCGCGCTGCCGCTATTTGAGCATGACAGTTTTCTGTGCAGTCAATGTGACTCTACGACAGTTATCTAATCATTAGAATACTTGCAGATGGACAATGAGTCCAGTCGCATTGCCTTCATCGCTTGTTGTTCAGATGGCTAGGCCTCTTGCAATAGGGATTCTCTGTCCGGTCACCTACATCGTCGGCGGCATTTGGAACGTCTCCTCCCACCAGGGTCACTGCGTCAGTCAAGGGATTCGAGACATCTCCCCATCGTGCTCCAAGAGGTGCTGGCAGCCCTCTCCCCGGGCAAAGCTCGCCCATGGGGGTAGGCAGTGAGATCAACGTCGAAACGAGGAGACAAGCGTTGCGAAAGACGGGTAGTGGTGATCTAAGCCACTTTCGCAGTACACCCACCAGTGCGGTTGGCAACGACGAGGGAACCTACGAAGGACCTTTTCGACGAAGCTGATGAGTTCATTATCGTTTTGTTCTCTGTACCATCATTCTCCGCGCACCTAAGTAGTGTGTATGAGACTACTGGGACCTTTCAATGGGGCGTGCACAGTACCAAGTATATCCGCTGCGCCGCCCAAAGGAAATGACGTAGTAATCCCTCCGCTTCCTCCTCTTCCTCTTCTCTCCGCATTCTGCATCTCCCCGATCTGCTTCGGACAAAAGTGGTAGGAAGACTCTTGCTTTCATCCTCCTCTGACCCAAGAGACGACACCACATCCCCTTTTAGCGAAAATGGCGTCTCAATCCACAATCCAATTCCCGTCCATCAAAAAAACCGCCCTCAACGCTCTCTTGTCGCCTTTCATAACGGGCCCATTGCTGCTGTACATCCAACGCAATCCCCATATATTGGACAAAGTTCCATGGTTCCCGGACCTCACGCTCGCCCCTCCCTTCCGACTGCCCTTCAATCTACGCAACAGCATCACCTTGCACGCCGACCCGCCCCTGAGAGCGCTTAAGAAGTTGTTTTGGATCGGGCTGGCGCTGCACGTCAACCGCTTGTTGAACCGACTTGCCCTCAACTACTGGCACTTAACCAGGCAAGGGGAGCCATGGGACTTCGCCGCGGAGGGGAGAGAAGTTATTGTCATCACCGGAGGTTGTTCAGGGTTTGGCAGGGAGATGGTCAAGCTGTTCGCGGCGAAGACGAGGGCGAGGATTGTGGTTCTTGACATTCAGGATCTGCCGGCCGACATGAAGGATAGTAAGTATATCTGTCATGGTCTCTCCCGGGTTATGTCGTATTCTCATACACTCCCTCTTTCTCCATCATTGTCCCTTGCCATTTCGTTTCCTGGACCAGCTCATTGGGCAGACTAACATCTACCCCAGTCCCGCGTTTAAGCTACCACAAGATCGACCTGTCCGACTTCGACTCGATCCGGACAACAGTGACCGAATTCCTCAAGACAACCACACCCACCGTGCTGATTAACAACGCCGGCATAGCCCAGGCGCACACCATTCTCAACACCTCGGACGCATTCCTCGACAAGATTTTTCGCATCAACGTCCTCTCGCATTTCAGCTTGTTGCGGCTCATCCTGCCGAAGATGCTCGCCGCCAAGAAGGGCCACATCGTCACGCTTGCCAGCATGGCCAGTTACACGGGACAACCCAACCTGGGCGACTACACGGCCACCAAAGCCGCGGTGCTTGGTCTGCATGAAAGTCTAGTCCAGGAGCTTCAACATCGGTACGAGAACGGGCACTGTATTCAGGCATCCATCATACACCCGATGTGGGCGAGGACCCCACTTGTCGCATCCTGGGAATCCGAGCTGGACCGGACCAAGCGGACTGTCCTCTCGGCCGAGGACGTCGCGAGTAGGGTCGTAGCGCAGGTGCTCAGTGGGAGGAGTGGAAGTGTTTTTGTCCCCGAAAATATGGTTACTGGGACGGCGTTCCGTGTCGTGCCAGACTGGCTGGCGCTGTTGCTCAGAGCGAGTATCCAATCGGCGACCAATAATGAGGGGCGCGGTTCGCAGGGGACAGCTGGTGGTGCCTAGGGGTCGATGAGAGGGTCACGAGAAAGCATGCAACGATGTTGGAAAGCATAAGTGTCTCCCAGAGGCAGCGCCGTTTCGTTTGTGTCTAGCCGGGGCCCAGACATTTATCTAAGGAGCACAAGACTGCTTTATCCTACCAAGGGGACGTGTCTGGAAGAATCTTGCAGCGATCGTCAAATTGGCACTTTCGGGCTTTTTTCATCTATCATTTCATGCCAGTCTGCAGAAGTGGTCCAGAGTCACCATGCTTCCATGTACAAAAGCAGCCAAAGAACCATCTCTACTTCTTTAAACCAAGGCTACCGGAGATTCGATCGTCCACGCCAACGATCGAAAGTCAATAGACTCCAACAACTCGCACTCATGGCAGACTCGGGATGTTCATCCCGTATGGGTCCTTTTCGAGACGCATAATCCTCAAGCCACGTTTCTTTCTGTCGCCATGTCACAGCATCGACTGCAGGTACTCTGATCTTTGTGGCCGCAGAGTAAATTCATCCAAAGCGACGGTCGGGGTCTTACCCTGCAGCACCTCTGCCAGGACGAAACCCGTGGCCAGAGACAAAGTGATACCCCAAGGACCATGGCCACTGGCCACATACAGGCCGCCGCCGGCGGCGGTGGCGATGTTGTCCACACGAGATATGATGGGTTTGCCGCTGTCGGAAACGGGCCTGAAGCAGAGAGCTTCTCTGACCACGTGGAGATCATCGATGGGTGGTGACTGACCCTGGCCTTGGATCTTGCCTGCCAAATTGACGGCGGTCCTTTTGAGATGGTCCATCAGGGGTTTCTCCATGAGACGCTTCGACTGGCCGGCCAGTTCCGGCAGACGATGGCTCTCATTGTTGAGGCCCGCCACGTACACCTCGGGGATTCCATCCTTGGTTTGCCTCGCCATGGCTTCGGGGGAATAGTCCCAATCGCGGCCCGGAGGACAGAAGATGGAGTGGCTGGTCTCGACCTTCCGGCCGGTGCCGGTCTCGTCATGTTCGAGGATTGGACGACGATACCGTGGCGAGCGGACGGTGATACTGTAACCGGGCAGCGGTCGGATGCCGATCTGCATCTTTTTTCCGGTCAATGTTTCGAAGACGCGCGGCGTCCAGCAGCCGGCCGCGATGACGACGTCTTTGCACAGAATGCGAGCGTTTTGCATTTGCGTCTGCGTCTGCGTCTGCACGCCCACGTCCACACCCACGCCGGCGCCAGCAATATCAGATTCATTTGCAGCGCGTCTCTGGACTTGAACACCAACCACCTTCCCCGCGGCGTTGCGCACGAAGCCGACAGGTTTCGTTGAAAGAGACAGCTGGACGCCACGGTCCCGGCAGCGTTGCAAGAGCCACTCACACAGCTCGCGTGGCTCGACCTGCGCGCACCCAGCCGGACTCGAGATCTTCTCTAACACGCCTCCCGCTGGTATGTTGGCCCACAGCGGAGAGCCGTCCGGTCGAAGGTTGGCATCGCGATCACGGCAGGCGTTGTTCGAGTCCGACTCTGACCCTGTAGACTCTAGGTCTGGGCCTGAATTCGTCGGGGACAACGAAGCACCGGCGTATTTCCGCGCCACTTCGGCCCGACTCGTGCCAGTCAGCAGCCAATCTTCGCCTCGCACTTGCTGTCCAGATCCCTGATCCTGCGTGACCAGACTGTATCCGATGCTGGGCGTGTATCCCCATTGACGTCGTCCGTCGTGGGCATCGGCCAGGTCCCGATGCAGACGGAACGACAGCTCGGCGAGAGGCAGGACGGCCGCGCCGAACCAGTCGCGCACGATGAACCCGCCCGAAAACCCAGACGCTGACAGGAACAGGCTCTGCTCCGAGTCGAGGATGATGACTTTTCTGCTCGGGTCGGACGACGTCACGAAATATGCGATGGCCAGGCCGATTATGCCCCCGCCAACGATCACGAGGGACATTTCTTGTGGTCCTATCGTTTGTTGCGGTCGGTCAAAATAGCACTTGGGACAAAAATCGGCACCAGGGTAGGGGACAGCTGGCCTCAGTGTTGGCAGAGCGTATAACAATGGATCAGATAGACAGTTGCCTCGATCTGGGTGCAATTACTACCACAAGTCTCACGACAAATTGGCGTCTCAAGTATACTTATCAGCCCATCACTTGCTCGCCAATCTCGTTTCTGCGATACATGCCGAAGGGCGTTGCCGAAACATTGGTAATATTATCGTGCAGGGCAACACGTTTGAGTTGGAAAAGGACACATCGAGTTCGTCGGTCGCGGCGAGGAACTGCGGTCGGACATGGCAGCGCAGCGCAGCATGGTGGAGTCTCCTTGGTTTCTGGACCCTGGTTTCTGCTCTGACATATTTGACTTTTGGGGATTTGGGTGGTCATTGTCATGCATGGCTCTTGGCAAGGTCCCTCCAAGAAGGATCAGCTTCTCACGGCTTCATCTCATGCTCGGCGGTTTGGCGCGAATCACAGATGAGCATCACTACCGGCGAGGCGGAGATGTGCACTACGAGTCTACTACTGGTAGTCGCAAGGGAGGCAGGGACCGAGGCATTATGTGCAGAAAGCAAGCCCCATTTCCAGCGAAGAGCAAACGATAGAGGAAGGCGAAGGATAACGGCCATTGAGGACCTTCGTGACTGACGTTGGGAGGTCCACAGACGTGCCGGCAGTCGGCTAACTACCACACTCCTAACGAGGAGCGGCAAACTTGGACTTGGTCGGAAGCTGGCTCTGGCCCACAGGGAAACGTCTATGGGATGGAATGGGATGGATGGGAAGTGGCAGGACCAGTCACCCGGGTGGTGGCGTGGTCGCGTTTCAGGGGTTCCGCTTCCGGCACGAGTATACAAAGTTTACAGTACACTTGGGATCATCAGTCTGGGCACAGGACAGACACGTGGCGTGGGGGCGCCGAACAGAATCTGGGTCTCGTTGACAAGGCTGCCTGCGTCTGCGTCCAAAAGGGGCTATTGTGACGGGACCACCTCAAAGGACGGGACCTGGTCGAACGGTCTGTCTCAGGGCCCTGAATCACACATTGGGTGAAAGGGCTCTGTCTTGCACGGAATCAGACCGTACATATCACAGCCCTCAGAGGAAAGTAAAGACACTGGGCTCTGCACAGTACTTTGCTCCTACAAAGCACCGGCATTTCTTCTTGTGAAGTGAAGCAGCACATATGGTCAGTTCTACTCCCACTCCGCCTGTTCGGTTGTTTTCGAAGATGGGCCCCTAGTACCTTCTGCTAGCATGGCTGTACGTCAACGAATCTGACTATCTGGTAGCAACCAGGCTGTGGAGACACTGCACAGTCAGACACACCCAAATCAATTGTTCGCAAAGACAATGCTGACAAGTCCAACGGCCAGGCTCGACTAACACAGCGGCACCCCTTATGAAGTCCACTTGAGTCGAGTCTGGCAGAGTTAGCAGTGAATGAAGGGAACAATTCCAGACACGAGGTCTCTAGGTATCAACACCTGATGCAGCCATCTTCTCACACCATTCCGACCTGGACGCAGCAAGAAGCTCATTGTCGGTCAAAACATCCCACCCCACGAGTGCAAGGGCCTTCCCGACCACCACCGTGATCTCATGCGCCTCTTTTGTGCCCGCGGCGCTCGTGAATGTGGGATGATGTGGTGAAGCGCCTTCCGGGGCCGGGATTGTGAAAATGGCGTGCATTGCTGGCATGGCGTAGCTGACGTTTCCTAAGTGCAAGAAAGAGAGACGGTGTGTCAGACCTACGCATACTTCAACGAGCAACCGAGTGCCGAAACACAAACAAAAAAAAAGGAGATTCTCTGCTCCGGTGCAGAGGGAGAAGACGCAAAGCAACTTACCAAAATCCGAGGAGGCGGACAGCGGCTCTGCAACGCTGACGAGAACGTCTTGTCCATACTCTGCCATCCTTGCCTGCCAGCGACGGCACAGAGCGTCGTTGATAACAATGTCTGCGTATGATTCCTCACTGTCGAGTAAGTGGGCGTTAGCCAAGTCGATCCCACTTGAAGTGATTTACATGGGAGAAGCACAACGAAATGTGCGATATCTCATACTTTTCGACGGAGACTTCACAACCCGTGGCTAAGGCGCCCGCCTTGATGCAGGCGGTGACCTTGTCCGACAGGACCTTGAGACCTTGAAGAGTCTCGCTCCTCGTCGCAAAGGTGGCTTTTGTCGTGGCTGCTATGATATTGGGGGCTTTGGGAGACTCGGTGATTGCAGCATGGATCCGGTCGGTGTCGTGGATCTGCTGTCGAAGCAGCGAGACGTTGTTGTACGCCGCTACAAAGGCGTCGAGCGCATTGGTGCCGTCCCACGGGTTCGCGCCGGCGTGGGCATTCTTGCCTGTGAATTCGCAAAAGAACTGCTCCCGGGCCACCGTACGCACACCGCCGATGCCCTTATGTTGCGGACCAAAGTTGCGTAGATTGTTGGTCCCTCCATGCCTGCGTGTTGCATGTGAGTCTTTGGGCTTCGTGGCCACTCAGAGGATCGAGAACATACGCCATCAATGTGACATCTACACCCTCGTACGCTCCTGCTTGCAGAAGCTTGATCTTCCCACCACCGCCTTCCTCGGCTGGCGTCCCCAACAATCGCGTTCTGCCGGGACCATTATTCCGTGCTCTCAAGATGTGCGATAATGCTAGGAAGCCAGCCACACCCGCGGTGGCAATCAGGTTGTGTCCGCAGGCATGGCCGATGTTGGGAAGGGCGTCATATTCGGCGTTGAAGCATACAAGGCGGCCGCCGTGCCCACTCTGGGCCTCAAAGGCCGTCGGGATGCCGTACGCGTGCCGAGTCACGCTGAAGCCTTGCTTCTCGAGGAAGTCGCAGATGGTGTCGTGGGCAATGTGCTCTTGGTAACCCAATTCCGGGTTGGACCAGATCTGGATCACGGTCATACAGTCAGTCATAGATCTCGCTCTTTGCTCTTTTTGTCTTTTTTGTGTGGTGTATGCTTACCTGATGATTGACTTCCCAGAGTGCTTGGGCTACACCTTCCAGCGACTCGTCTGCGAGGGTTTTCGCCTCGGTCTTGGTCGACACGGGCAAAGTGGTGGTGGTGATGGTGCTTGTCGCCATGGTGCCGACAGGTGCTGAGAGGACCTGACGGGAACGGGGTGGCCAGAGGAGAATAAAGCTTTGGTATGTCTAATCTACAGGAAGGGCTTTATTGCGGGGGTATCCATGCTTTCACTGCTATCACTATCGGAAAGTACGGCCTGTCTTTGCACTGTAGAGCCTAAGACTGAGCTGGTATCATGATGGAGGAATTGGTTATCTCGCTAGGCCGATGCACACTGGCTGCGTGGACCTGCTTGTGCGCATCTCGCCTGATGAACCCGCATTACCTCAACGGGGGTTTTCAGGGGACTGCGACTGGGAATGGTTGGATTCCCCCTTGTATAGCTAGGTGGCGAGCGCATAGACATGCAGTACGCACGGAGTGTACGAAACTATCTCGGATACTGTCCAGATGTCCACATGCCGTGCCCACTTTAGCCGATGCAGCCAATCATCGTGGCCATCTGGTAGCCGACGTGCAGAGCCTTGCCGAGATATCAAACGGACAATCAACCCCACAGACCACCAACCTGGGGAGTGGGAAGAGTGGCTTTAGTTCAGATGGTCCAAGAAACAATGTCTTATCATCACACAGGCGCCAGGACGCTCTTCCCCGTTGTGACCTCTAGCTAAGGGCGAAAGATAAGGTAACACATTTGATGAAGACAACCAAGAACTCCCCTGTGTCCGTCTAGATAGATGGAGGAGTTTACCCACGTTCGCTCGCGCCATAAAGTCTGGACCAGTGTCCGTGTCTCAAAGACGACGGCAGTCACACCTCTGTTCAATAGTCTTCACGAGTCTTCGGTGCCACCAACGAACCCTTCTCACACATCTCTCTGCTTCCCTCCAGCCTCAACCTACCTGCCATTCACGTCGACCACCAACTCCAAAATCCCAGTAGCATTATGGATACCAGAAAGGATGTCATCCTTGCCGACCTCAAGGACACACACAATCCGTTGATGCCCACTCAAACGACGGAGGAAGGGCATATATCGCCTCTGTCCTTGGCCGAATCCAAACGGGTGCTCAGAAAGATCGATATGTGGTTAGTGCCAACCCGCTCCTCCACCCGACAGTGTCCTTCATCCAGACCGCGCAAAAATCCCCCCAGTTGCTGATTGACCACATTGTCTACAGCATCATTCCGGTGATGGGTTTCTGTTACATGCTGCAATACGTGGATAAGTTGACCCTCAGCTATTCAACGCTGCTGGGTTTGCTCAAGGATCTGGCAAGGAAATCCCTGAGAAGGATCGATTCTGCAACGAATCAGTATTGGTCCCTCGTGTCATTGGAGCATGGACGCGCTGACCTTGGGCTGTAACAGCATCTGACCGGATCCCAATACTCCTGGTGCTCGGCGGTCTTTTACTTCGGCTACCTGGCCTGGAGTTGGCCCAGTTCATATCTCATTGTCCGACTTCCTTTGGGGAAATACCTGGCTCTCACAGTGTGAGTGACCCTTGTTCTACTTTCATTGTCCCAGCTCTTTGTGCCCACTTGACTTCTGCACCCATCAATACAACGGCAAGGCAGCATATTGACCAAGTCAACAGCTTTATATGGGGCGGCATTCTGATGTGCCACGGTGCCTGCCAAGGCTTTGCCAGCCTCATGGCTGCACGGTTCTTTCTTGGTGTGGCTGAGGCGGCTCTCGCCCCAGGATTTGCCCTTATCACGGGCATGTTCTACACGCGTAAAGAACAACCAATACGGTAAGTGCTCGAACTGCCCAGAGTCAGAGAGTCTGGACCAGCCTGCTCAGGAGGCCACGGGCCAGGTGTTGTTGCCCGGCTCCCGTCAGCTGCTGCTGGCACCTCCTGCCTGGCCTGGCCATGGTTTTGCCAATGCGTCTCCGGTGCGACCTCGAGAACACTTTTGCTGACTCTCTTGCCCGGTGCAGACAGGGTGCTTGGTGGCTGGGCAATGCGGTTGCCAACGTCATCGGCGGCGTGGTCGCGCACGGCATCGGCCAGATCACGACGTCGCCACTCCAGCACTGGCGCTTGCTTTTCTTGATCCTCGGGGCCGTCACCTCAGCCTATGCTTTTGTTCTGTACCTGGTGCTGCCGGATTCACCCACAAAGGCCATCTTCCTGGATGAAAGGCAGCGCCAGGTGGCATTGCAGCGGACTATCCACAACAAGACGGGCCTTATGGACAATGACACCTTTGTGACAAGCCAGGTCATGGATGCCTTGCGTGATCCACAGATCTGGCTTCTGGTCCTCTACACCGTGTCAGTCAATCTAGCAAACGGCGGACTAACCAGCGTAAGTTCGAGTCTTCCTCCTTTCTCGACTCTCTTAGCCTTGAAGTGGAAATTCGACTTCCATTGATATTGCATTGTTTGTCGTTACTGGCCGCTGGGTCGCGAGAACGTACGCTGACAGCAGAGATATCTTCTGTGGCATTTAGTTCAGCTCGATCGTCGTGGCAGGATTTGGCTTCACAGACCTCAAGGCCCTCCTGATTCAGATGCCTGTGGGCGCAGCTCAGCTGGTCTTCCTCCTCCTCACTTCAGGCTTAGCCAGTATCATCCCGTCATCCCGGCTGGTCCTTATGATCTTCAACACAATCAGCTCCATGGTGGGCATGATCATGGTGTACGAGCTGAAAGGTCGCGCTGGCCGCATGGGCGGCTTGTGCTTGGCTGCCGTCTTTGCTTGTAACATCCCCCTCTCTTTAAGTTTGATCAGTTCCAACGTCGGCGGCTTTACCAAGCGATCTGTCGCAAGCGCAACTCTGTTTGTCGCGTACTGTGTTGGGAATATCATTGGCCCACAGTTCTTCCTGGCCAGCCAGAAACCAAGATATACGGTATGTTATGGTGTTGCGCCTCTCCCCGTCTAAAATACCGTGCCAGGTGACATTGCCTGGTTTTCTTCCTACTCCTTTGCTTTCCTCACACCATCCAAAAAGGTATTGGATCATCCTTTATGACACTCGAGAATGCCACGCGTCCGTAGCGGATGGAACTTCGAATTGCTGACATGTTTTCCGTTGACATAGACTGGTCTCAGAGCCTCTCTTTCGGGGCTCGCCTTGGGAGCCGCCTTCCTCATCTGTCTTCTGGTGTACTACATCAGCGAAAACAGACGAAGGAACAGGCTGTATGGTGCAAGCCCACCACTGAGCCTGGATGAAGAGCTGCGAGAAGATTTGTCAGGCAAGACTGATCGGGAGCTGACCGATTTCCGCTATGTGATCTGAGGCTGTGCTTGCAAGGGGAGCCCTCGGTAGCGGCCACTGCCAATAGAGCCAGCCCCTTGATAAGCATGATAAGAGGGATTTCTTGATTTCAATAACCGGTGTGATTGCTCAGCGTCAGGCCGCCAGCTCCTCTCTGCGACGTTCCAACGTCCCCGGCGCAGACCTTGTTCATGCTATCTTTCTTCTGCGTCGTATGACTCTTCTGGAGCGTAGCGAAGCACCTTTTGTCTTGCAGCTGATCCTTGCTTCCTACTTGTACCATGAAGACACCTTGCCATCAAACAGGGTTGCTAGCCGTGGCAGGTCCGGACAAGTCAAAGGTATTTGGCCAATTCTCAATCAACGCCGATGTGCCCGCTATGGTCATATTCATCTCGTGATTGTTGCCGCCCTCGAGCAACCGGGATGGTAGCCCGCCAGGGTCAGGGAAAAGGACATGAGCCCGCAACAGTTGGCTGCGTATCCATTCACGATGTATGGCATCCTTAGTCTTGAGCAGTGCGACCGCTAGAGGTGCGGTGTATCTGTAGACCAGGGATGGATCTTCAGCCAACGCCTTGTGCGCGATTTCCAGAAGGTCGCTCATTGAGGTGTCAGGTACGTCTGCCGCGGGCATCGAGGAACAACCACTATTAGGACCAACCAATTGAGGTTGACGACAAGTGTCGTGCACACATCCTCGACCGGAGAGGACGTCCGAGAAATAGGACCGACGACAAGAAGCTGGCTCGACAAGGCAGCAATACAGCACTTTGACAGCGTGATACTCGAGCACCGCGTGGAAGATGCTGAAAACAACTCGTCGGCCGCCGGAACTCTGGATGACCCGCGCCATGGCAATAAGGTCATAGAACTCCTAGTGAACCCTGACGTTAGCATATGAACAGGTTTGTAATAAACATGACGGAGAAAAGCAAACAAGCTGGCAACATGGAATACACATACTTGGCCGACGGATTGAATTTGATTGCCCATTCGCCTCAGAGTCCTTTCGTCCACTGGATTCTCCATTGAAGCCATCCCCAACTTCAACACGTTCAGCTTGAGCTTCAAGGCTCTATGGAGCAGGCTTAGCGCGCGGTAGTTTTCTATATCATCCATGAACTCCTGAACTGGATATGCAGACCCGTAGATCTTGGGCAGGCACACTCTCGCCTCTTCGAAGAGGCGGCCCATCGAAATAGAAGTGTTCGCTGGTGCAGAGTACAGGTCTTGAGATAGTTTGCCTGCTTCGGCGTTTCGCGGGATGAGTTGGGTATCGTGAAAGCTAAAGAAGTAACGAGTCAGGCCGAGGTCACCTTATTGTATCGCAAAGGTGGGAAGGGGACACGAACACTGTCAGCAGCAACAGCTGCTGTGACGCAGGCGGCAACTGCGGCTCTTTCCCCCCAGGTCCCTTGCTGGCAAAAGCTTTGGACAAGAAGGAGCGTATGCCATTGAGGTGCACATGTGACACCGAGAAGAGATCTTCGTGAGAGCTTTCGAATGCCAAAATCAAATACCACAAGGCAAATAGCGCATCAAGATCGGCGGGGCTTCGGTCGACGCTGGCCGCTCTTTCAACAACCGAGGCAAGGTCCTTGAGTGAGTGACGGTAGTGTACCATGCTTAATTGTCGAAGCTCCCGAGTCCTTGCCTGCGATGTGCTGTCTCCAGAGTGAAGACGCAACCTTTCTGTGGAAGCTGTCGCGATAAAGGCCCTCATGACCCCGGGTTCCCAGGTGGCGATATTCGAGTGGATATAGGCGAACATACTCCAGGTCCATGGCTTTCCGATGTTATGGACTAGCACGGAGCTCGGTATGTAGTTGAAGCATTCCCAGGCCTGTTGATCCAGCACCAATGAGTTGCGTAACGGAAGGTGGTTTGTAGATAACGTGGGTCGCAGTGGAGTTATTATCGGGCTGCCGCGACGAAGTTGAGCCAGCCATTGTGCAATGCCATCGAGACTCGGAGACACATTAGATGCCGTGACAGATTGCTCGCCTACTTCGGCCGGTGTGTCCACATTGCGATTGAGAAGACCGCCGGCCTCTTCTTCGTTGGGAGGACTGTCTCTGGGAGTCAATTGCACGTATAGAGGGCGAGTTCGTTTTGACTGGTCCCATTCGCATTTGAGCCTTGTTTTGGCACATCTCATGCAAAATGGCCGTCGCTCATCGCATTTCAGCTTGCGTCCACGACAAGTTAAGCACCCATGCCGGGACCGAGGCCCGTTGCGACCAAATCGTGGCCGGACTGTGGATTCACTAGGGAGTTCGTGATGCTGCATCTGTCCGGGATGACCTTGGGCAGGTCGTGTAGAAAAGTGCCCCTTTTCATCACGTCTGCTGGGTAAAGGCACGTGGAAGACAAGGGGGCTGCAAGACCGACGGCGCCTCTTGCTGCAATAATGTTGTCAGTGACTACAATTTGGGTGGCTGAAGGTGCCGTGACGGGACGGAGGGTAAGTTGTTGAACAGTTGTTGAAATAGAGTGGAATTTGGATGGCGTCACGTGGCGTCTCTGCGCGGTTTGAGATAAGATGACAAGGTCGGTGATAATAGTCTGATATGATAAGATTTGATGATATGATAAGATCTTGGATGATACCGAGGAAGCACACATGTAAATAACATTGTCAGGTGTAGGTAGGTATCTGCGCTGGCATTATGGTAACAAATGTTCGACAGTAGTTAGTAGTTGTAGTCCCTGGCGCAGGCTGCTGCTACTGCAGTGCAGTGGCCAATACGTGCAGGTGAGGGCGCTCCCCCGCCTGCTCTCCGCAAAGAGGCGAAGCTTCCTCGTGTGCTCCCACACCATCACTGCAGCGCCCACAATTGAACTTGGTAAGGGCACCGGATGAAATTGTCATTGGCTGTGTTCTCCCGGTAGTAGCCTGAAATACCCTAAGGTACCAATCGCCTGCCTTCAAGTTCACCTCTCACCTGCGCTCCCTTAATAATACTTCAGCAGTGGCCCCCTACGTCCCCCGCCCACTGGCAACTGGCACTGGTAATTCCGCCTCCTTTGCTTCCCTCGCACTGCGGAAATATTCCTCCTCCACGCGCTCTGTCACTCCACCCTCCCGGATCAAGGTCGATATCAGCTGGAATCAGACAATATCATCATGGCCTCCAGTGTCACGCCCTCGGACGCCTCGCCCCCAGTCAATGGTCATGGCGAGAAGCGGAAAGCCGAGGGAGAGGCCCCGGGTGACAAGCAGCAACACACCAGGTCGAAGAGAAACAGATACATCTCAATAGCATGGTGAGCCCAGATGGCAGGACATTCTACAAGATAAATGAGATCGGTACTTATACAGTCACGTCAACAGCAACGAATGCAAGCGCCGCAAGATCAAGTGCAATGGCCAGACGCCATGCCAGCGGTGCGGCAACCTTTCGCTCGACTGTATCTACGCGCCAAACTGCTGCACCAATTCTCTCAAGGACTCGGCGTACGTACAGAGCCGCCTATCCGTATGGACCTGCACTGACGGACATCTAGGGAGTTCAATCAGATGCGCGAACATATCACTGCTCTGCAGGAACAAGTCAATGAGCTTTACGCCAGCTTGAACGAGCTTCGCAGCCGATCAGATGCCGCATATTCAGGTCCCATCGATCCTCACTTCTCAAATGATGGACGCCATCGCTCCTTGTCAATGTCGGTGTCGCGCACACTCCCTCCGCTTGTTTCGCCGAAGAGGCCGCCTCCAAAAGCCCTGCCGCAGTTTCATGGCCCAACCAGTACGTTATACGGCTTGGATGTTGCAAGATCTTCCCTGCAAACCATGGGTATTACACACAATGTACCAGAAGACGGCATGGTGTCCCGTGAACGGAGCCGTGCCGCTTCACCAGCAAACGGACTGCCCCCGCATCCGACAAAAGATCCCTTATGGTTGATCGACATTGCGGAGGTCACTCGCTTACTGCGTGTTTATGACGATGAAATTGGTATCATGTATCCTGCGGTAGACACACAGCGGCTACTCAAGCACGCCACTTCGTTGTACAAGTTTATTGCAGCTTCATTACGAACAGGATTTGGGCAACCAGGTCTCCCGGGTGCTGATACATTCGACGACGAGGAGACAACGGTTTTGAAGATGGTCCTTGCCATTACTTTGACTGTTGAAGGTCATGGCCGCAGTGATATGGGCCAGAGGTTTTTCGATGCCGCCAAGCCGGCCACTGATCTGAAACTCGTCACCGCTTTGGATATCAAGTCGGTGATTTTGACAGTCCTGACGGTTGGTGCCAGACTTTGTGTGTCTCGAACAAAGTTGATGTTGACGTTTGTGTAGGCTACCTTTTATTTCCAGAAAGATGAAGAAGCGCAAGCCTGGCGATTTATCGGAATCGCTGCACGCATGTGCATTGAGATGGGTCTCCACAGAAAAGATTCTCTGTTGCGATCCTTCACCAACGAGGCCGAATATCAGCAAGCCATTCGGATATTTTGGACCGTGTACGCCCTCGATCGTCGTTGGAGTTTCGGCACAGGGATGCCGTTTGCTTTGCAAGACGCCGACATCGATCCGGCATTGCCCGAACCGGTGAGCATAGTTCTAGTTTTATGTCTTTTAGTTTCCAGAGCTAATTTCCTGCTAGGATGAGAGTCACCCTTATCTCAGGCATATCACCAAATACAACCAGATCGCCACCAAGGTTTGGTATCACAACCTGTCCTACGAGGCCGGGCAGAACACCAAAAAGGACGAGATTGGCTTCCTCGACTATCAAATCCTACAATGGTACCAGCAGCTTCCAGAATCGTTACAGCTCAAGCCCGGCGACCTGGCCAAGGAGAACGACATGTCTGGGCGTGGTCTACGACGACTCCGCCTGCTTATGTTACTGCGCAGGAACCAAGCCCGCATCTCCATATATCGACCCATTTTACACTCAGCAACTAGTATCATGGAGAATCGTCACTATGCACAAAATGTTATTGATGTCGCCAAAGACACCATCAACACGCTTACTGCGGTCAACCAAGTTTCCGATATCTACCAGACACAGCAGATCCTATACAACTACTTCCTCGTTCAAGCCTTGGCTGTCCTCTTCCTCTCGGTAGCCCATGCTCCTGCCATATTCTGCAATCAGACCAGACAGGAATTCTATGCTGCCATCGAGATTGTGAAGGGCTTCAGCACCAAGTCTCATGTATCGAAGCGACTCTGGAGGACCATCCGCGGGTTGAAAGACATGGGTGACAAGATCGGTTTGCTGGCTCGAGGACCGAATGCGATCAATGACCCAGAGCAGGACGCACACTCGGATGCAGCAGTGGCGATGGCTGGTTTGGCAGGGCACAAAGTCGATTATAGCGCCTACGGGAATTCGACGCACACCAACGGGAATCAAGAGCTAGGTGTCAGCCCGAATGATGCGCTTCAAATCACGAATGAGCTGTCAAGCCTCTTTGAACTTGCGGGAGGATATGGGAACACTACCCCTGGCCCGGAGACATATAATTTCGTCGGAGCCCCTGGGGATGTTGGCCTAGGAGAGGGTTTCAACGTCTTTGGAAACGAACCAGAATTGACGAGGATTATGAATGAATTATTTTAGGGAGGATGATCTGGCATTCGACGCATAGTATCGGCGGCAGCTATCTGCGAGAAATGAATATATGATATGATACAGCTGGCTCAGTTTGTTGTAGTAGTGGGATAAAATACCATATGTACTGCAACCACGGGCATAAGGCGAATAGCTGGTGAACACTCGTCACGTGATATCGCGCCAAGGCTTCCGCCGATTGCGCATCGCTTCAAAGTTGCGGCTGGCAACTTCAACTTGAATTGCCTGACGCCGACTAACTTCGCAGCCAAAAAGGCTTCCAATTGTCGTTGGAATAAAGTACTTATTGCAACGACTCCACACCAGCAGAGACCTTCTTTCTTTTGTATCAGTGCGCACAAAGCAGGGAGCCTTACCGTTGTCCTGATCCTGTCGATGCCGGTGAAAGTGCCCTGCGATACGAGACCAAATAGCCTCCTGGTTGTGCGCAATCGCGATTGCTTCAACACCACTTTAGTCGGACAGTCGCCTTGATCGACCAACGTTTCGTGGCTCTACTTTTCGAGACTGCCTGCCGAACAGATTATGCCAATGTTATTTTAGCCATCCGAAGTTGACCGCCTTCCTGCCCCTCGGCGGTGTCTTCACTCACTTCTCCCTGACGCGGCGAGATAGACACCACGTCAACAAGGCCCTAACGAGTATAGCCTCCGCCTCCGCAGCCCTTCCTCAATCTGTCGGCACAGCAAGCCTCCGTTCTGGCCGCGGGCCTGGACAGGCTCGACATTCGATCTGACAATTCCGAATCTCTCTACTACCAGCAATTCACCAGCTCATCTGCCACGATTTCCGACGAAATGTCCCAAACCTCTTCCCAGGCCCCAGACAGCTGGATAGGCACGTTCTGCAATCTGGTGGGCCACGAGTACTTTGCCGAAGTCAGTGAGGATTTCATTGAAGATGATTTCAACCTCACGGGGTTGCAAGCACAAGTGCCTATGTACAAAGAGGCTTTGGAGATGATCCTTGATGTCGAGCCCTCGGAGACGAATTCGTCAGCCCTCTCGGAGGAAGAGGAAGAAGAAGAGGAGGAAGAAGACGATGGCATATTGGGAGACGAACTGGACGACCCGGCAGACCAGAACGGCGCTGCGCGGCGACAGTCGGGAGTGTCTTCGACTGGTCGACGACATGGCCGGACATCATCTGATGCTTCAGTCATTGAATCCTCGGCCGAGCTTCTCTATGGGTTGATCCACGCTCGATACATCACCTCCCGACCGGGTATACAGCAGATGATGGAAAAATACGAGTTGTCGCACTTTGGCTTCTGTCCGCGGGTGTACTGTTCTGGCACCAAGGTACTGCCGGTAGGATTGACCGACACTCCAGGCCAGCAGACGGTCAAACTGTTTTGTCCCAGTTGCCTTGATGTGTACACTCCTCCCAATTCTCGCTTTCAAGCAGTCGACGGAGCTTTTTTCGGCACGACATTCCCCTGCCTGTTCTTCCTAACATACCCAGATCTGGATGTGGCTCCCTTGAAGAGACGTGCAACTAGAGACTCCACGCAGGGAAATGATGACGGCGAAAGTACCTTGAGCCCCACCGAAACAAATACGACACAGACCGGGATGACTGCCAGCAGGAGTTCGAGCTTGACATTACCACAACCACCGTCAATCCCAGGAGTTAACCAGGGTAAAGATGACAAGTCATCCACAACCCTTGCAAGCCTGCCACCTCAGCCGCCTACAATTAACGGGATAGCAACCCACAATCTTGCTCCTGGTCTGGGCAAAGGTAAAATCTACGAGCCTAAGATCTACGGATTCAGAGTGTCGGAACGAGCAAAGAGCGGACCGAGGATGAAATGGCTCAGGTCGAAACCATTGGACATTAATGAGTTGGACGAGGCAAGAATTTGGCACGAACGGTATGGTGGAACCGTTGATGGTGATGATGAGCCGCCTGTTGCTGATACCGATGAAGAACAAGACAACGAAGACGTCGATGAGGTAGAGGCCGATCCGGATGGAGATGCCGTCATGGCTAGTCAGAGCCAAATCCTCAAGAATGACAACCAACCCAGAACGAGATCGAAACGACAGCCCGAAGCTGATGGAGATGCGACCATGACGACGACCACCACACAAGCTCAAGGACAGAAGCGTGGTAAGGCCAGACTTAAGTCTGCGAATGTCGCGAGCCAAGGGCAACAAGGTGGTAATGGCGGTTGGATATGAGAGAATGAGGCAAGAAGACAAGGGTCTAACAAGCTTATGATGAAAGCGCCGGTATTTCAGGATGTGAACGACTTGAGAAATATGCCACCATCAGTGGCTGTATGCGGAAAATCACTCCCGGGCATGGTTAACCGCTTCTTCGTCACGACTGTCAGTTACAGCGGGAAGCAGGGGTCGAGGTTGAATGGATATTGTTCAACCGAAGCACGGAAAAGATGGCGTTCGAGTTCAAAAAGGAGACCGGGTGATTCTGCTCCCTACCATTCTATCCTATGATTTCGGAGCAGGAAAGAAGTTTGAATGACCGCCGTCCGTGTTTTTTAACACTGCACCCACGCCATTCCATACCTTGTCACGCATGCAACTCACAGATCACAATCGCAGCATCCGAAGGAGAGGTGTCAGGGGTTCAATGCCATCTGTTCACTGCAAATGAACGGTTAGCCCAGTTCGTTCCCAAGGGGATCTTACCATCCAATGAAATGGAAAGAAGGAACAAAAAAACTCGAAGTTCGCATCATCAGATCTATCATGTCGGCTAAGCATCTCTTCCTCTTCTCGGTACCGAAGGCATTTCGAATACCTCTTATGTCAAACTTGGGGTCTGAGAGGTTACAGCAGGAGATGATGGATTGGGACGGATAGTGGGCGGCGTGGTGTAGCGTGTCGTTTCATTTTTCATTCCTGTACTTTTACCCACCGGCTGCATTTGCTATTTACTGGTACTGTACGATAAGACCACGAGGATCAGAGAAGATCGGTCTGGATGAAATTCAGATTTGGTCTTGACGGAGCTTTTCTTACCGTATGCTTTTCTCATTCTGCCTTTTTACTCTACCAAACGGCAGTGGCACTGGTCGTGGTAGTGCCATAGAATGAATCTTTCGCCCACTGCAGGTTTGTACAATGTTGTAGCCCGGATGGTGACGCTTCGTCGCTTTCTCATCCTGTGGTTCTTTTTCTATCTCCTTTACCGGCGGTCAGCATGGTTCGACTGGCATGATAGCTACTGGGTATGTAACCATCTCGTGTCTAAGGGTACCTAGGTATGTTGTATATGTACAAGGTCCTGCTGCTGTGCTGTTCATATTTACATCCTCCTTAGACGCATCCCTAGCATTCACTCCTGGCTCTTACAGAGTCGTTCCCTTGATTCTGGTCAAATAGTAGTGGTGGTGGTGGTGGTGGTGGTGGTGGCCATCGTCCCCAAGTTGGTTTGTCCTCTTTCCCTTTTTTCCGATATATTCCTTTTTCTTAATTGCTTGGGCCTTTGTTTACAATGAATTTACATTTTATACTATTTACACAATTACTTTTTACTTTTTGGTTTTTCTGCTCAAGGTTTCTTGGTTCTTTTCTTTTTCTTTTTCATCATCGAAACCACCAATTCACACTCGCCGTAACCCCGTCCCCGACCCCCTTGACACTATGCCACCACCCCTTTGGGATGAATAGGGCTTCTCCGATTCCCAACTCGACTTGGAAGCCGTATTTGTTGAGGACGTTTGCGTATCTGTTCCCACCGAAGCTTGCATTGGTGGCATTGGCATTGCTGGCAATGCTTACATCGCCAGTACTGTCGTTGGCGGTGTCAGTAGCGTCGTCTGAGGCCACCGCCTGGGCCTCGGTCGTCGCCCCCCACACCGCATCATGCAACAAAACCATCTCCGGCCCCGCCATCATCTCCTCCCCGCGAATGGTCGACGAAAAGGACGAAAAGGACGACGACAGGTTCAACAGTTGCCGCTGGACGTCTTCAAAAACCGCGTCGCCGACTTCGGGAGGAAGCAAACGCATTACTTTCCGGCCGGCAAGTTGGATGAATAGGTTTGGGTTCGGGTCGCGGTGTAAGGGGGTATAGGTGGGGGGACGGCCGAGCCAGAGACTGGATGAGTAGATGTCGCCTTTGATGAGATTCAGAGCAGTTGAACTGGAGGTTGGGTTTTGTTGTTGTGAGGGTTGAGCCGCGAGAAGAAGGTCAGGGGTAGGAATGTCTCTTTGGAGGGCGGGAGGTAAAGAGGAGATTTCGCATTGGGCGAGGTAGATTGTTTGCATTTTCAGATTGGAAGCTGAAGGTGAAGATGGAGCTGAGGCCGAGGATTGCTTCGACGATAAATATTTTAGCAATACCCCCAAAGGGGCTTCGATGCGCTGGAATGTTTCGACTTCTTCGTGGCTGTATACTTTGCTGATGATGTCCGGCGTCGAAGAAGCAGCGCCGGCAGCAGCTGAAGCACTCGCAGCCGTAGCTTTTGTCGTTGTGGTTGTCAGCTCCAGAGGCACAATAGTGGATTGGTACTCTTGCCAGAAAGACGGACGGAGCTCGGACGATCGAGGGACCCGGACCCGAACCCGGGCTACTTGAGGCTGCTGGGACAAGGGCTGCTGCTTCTCGTTGTTGTTGCTGGTGTCGCTGTGCCCTTGTTCGGCTTCAATCAATTTAAAGTCCAAATCTCCGTCGTGGATGAACCATTTCCAACAAGCTGGCGGTAGAGTGCTTGCTGATCGTGGAAGACGGGCTGGAAATGCTGCGGAATAGGCTTTCTCGTAGAACAGGTCGGCGTCCCATGATTCGAGACAGGGGACTTGTTGCAGAATACCAGCTTTGCGTGGTCTGGGGCTTGAAGTTTTGAAGTGGCGACGGGTCTGAAGGGCTGATGCTGCTGCTGACAAAGGCTGACGAGGTCGAGGTCGGAGGTGATGGACACTGTGGACAGAACGAAGGTCACGGGTAGATGTAGATATGCCCCATGGCACTGTCCGGTGACCGAGACATGACATGGGGAATGTCAGTCGTTCCGCGACCTGAATTGTCCCTGCTGGTTGTAGTTGACTGTCGATGTGAATGCGATACTGGTAAGTTTCGCTTGCTCAATGCGCCTCTTGGGGGCGCGAGGCTGGACCACGATGTGATGCCGGGGTTGGTTTGCTAGCACGAGGCTGAAGTTACTTTAGTCGTCTACTTTAGGCGAGAACGATATAAGAAAGTCTGCCGGTTGGCCAGCCTACAACATCGTAAAATGTGCCGAGGCACAATGAAATGGGTCGCCTATCATCGTATCATCGTATCCCGCTCTCCCCAGACGGCCTGCCCATCTCCCTCTTCTCCACCAACCCCCGGGCCTTATCATGATGTGATCTTCGAGGGCGGCCTCAGGGTCGGCGGCTTGAGTACAGTAAACGTCCCCCCTCATCGAATCCCCAACCCCGGGCCAAGTCCCCCCAGGCGGCAAACACGAGCACTTGAATCGACTACAGTACGAGGTGTTGGCTAGTGGTACCATCTACAATGTATTTATCTGTACTACCCCGGCTTTTCTTCCCCCCTACTACCGAGCAACCTCACTCTTTTTTCTTCCCCAGGGTCCTCGTTCATTAACCCGAGATCGCCCTCGTTCCTCTCTTCTCTTTGTCCATCCCGACTCCCTTGATTTTGCTGTTCGCCCCTCTTCTAGATCAGCATCGCTAGAAGTCATCTTCCTAGTCACCTAACATGGCGGCCAAACTCGATCGGATCCGCCATGTGCAACGCTCCGACAAATCCGCTTATACCTACTACCCGGTCCTGATCATTGGGGCCGGCGAGTCCGGCCTCGCAATGGGCTGTCGCCTAAAGCAAGTTCTCGGATTCGACCAGTTCCGCATCTTTGAAAGAAAGTCCGCTCTCGGCGGGACATGGTACACGAATCAATATCCGGGCATTGCATGTGACATGTATGTGCGGTCCTGCTGCTGCTGCTGCTCAATACCCTCCTGATACCCAAACTACTCGCCACATTATATCAATACAACATACATATTCCCCCCTTTCCCCATTACTGACAGAATGCGTCCCGTCCAGACCAGCAATTCTATATTCATATTCATTCGCGCAAAACCCCCACTGGACATCCCTCTTCCCATCCGGCAAGGAAATCGTCCAATATCTCTACGACGTATGCGAGAAATTCGAGATCCTCGACAAAATCCAATACGACACCTCCGTCAAGAGCGTGCGATGGGTAGACTCCGACTCAGAATGGGAAGTCGAACTCGAACACCTAGCCCCCGGTGTCGGGGACCTATCAACCTCCGAACGCAAAGCGCTCGAACGCGAAAAGGGAGTCGACGCCGTCGTATTGCGAACAGAGACAGTCCGAGCCAAAATCGTCGTCAGCGCCGTCGGCGGGCTCGTCGAACCCAAACCACCGTTAGACGTTCCGGGGATCGAAACCTTCGAAGGTGAAATCGTCCACACAGCCCGCTGGAAGCCCAACCTAGATCTACGCGACAAGGAAGTCATCGTGATCGGCACAGGCTGCAGCGCCGGCCAAGTCGTTCCCGAGCTCATCAAACCCGAACATGGCGCCAAACACGTCACTCAACTGATGCGCTCTCCACCCTGGGCCGTCGAATTCATGCCACCCTCCGGAAAAGAATTCTACGCGAAATGGATCCCCTACCTCTCCCAACGGATTCCGGGGTTCCAAAACGCAGTACGAAAGTTCGCTTTCGGCATGCTCGAGCTCGAATTCGTCAGTCTGTTCTCACCGACCGAGGCGGCCCGCGAGCGTCGCAAGAAGAAAGCCGAGCAACTCCTCGCATACCTGCGCCGCAAAGTGCCCGCTAAATACCACGAGATCCTGACTCCAGATTACGAAGTCTTCTGTAAACGGCGCGTCGTCGACGAAGGATGGTTCGATAGTCTCAACAGTCCAAAAGTCGAGTTGACCACATTACCACTCACAGCCGTACAACCAAAATCCGTCACCCTAGGTCCTGGAAGACACTATCCGCCCATGTCAAAACAAGATTCCAACGCACCCACGGACCAACGCACCGTGCCTGCCGACGTGATAATCATGGCCAACGGCTACGAAACAAATCAATGGCTGCATCCGCTTGACGTCACCGGTAGAGACGGACGTAGTCTCTACAAGACCTGGGACGAACGCGGTGGGGCCCAGGCTTATTTGGGGACCGCCATGGACGGGTTTCCTAATTTTTTCATGATTTTCGGCCCCAACACCGCCACGGGACACAGTAGTGTCATTCTCGCCTCGGAGAATATGGTCAACTACAGTTTGAATTTTATTGGTCCCATCCTCCGCGGCGACGTCGATACCTGGGAGGTTACAGAACAGGCGGAGCGCAATTGGACCGACGATATCCAGCGCGCCCTGAAGAACTCCGTTTTCCTGTCTGGCGGTTGCAAGTCGTGGTACAATGCCCCGAATGGCTGGAATTCCACCGTCTACCCTTGGACGCAGATCGATTTCACGCTTCGATGCACTTTCCCCAAGTGGCGCGACTGGTCGGCAAAGTATACGAGAAAGGGGCTGCTGAAGTTGCGTCTGGCTCGCGCCCTCAAGTTGTTCGGCCTGCTGGTGGCCTTGACTGGCGTCGTTTTCACCGCCAGGAACGGCACCGATCGCCTGAGAGAGCTGGTATCGCAAACACTAAGACGCACTGTCGATGGCGTTAGACGTGTGGTTGGGAGAATTGCAGTATGAGCATGGTTAGACAGATAACTATTGAGACACTGACTGGTAGCTAAGATATTCATCTTCTAGATCGTTCGGAGATACAATGTCAATTACATGCATCGACAATTGTATGTTTGGAGTCAACAGTATCAACATGTTCTGCTACTGTATGCATACTGTGTCTGGGCGGCTAATTCCCAATGATGTAACACGTCGTCCAAGCAAAACGCCGTTCGCCCTGCTGTAACAAAACTCGGCCATTGCCCTGTCAAAACACAATCGAAACAGAAAGGCCGTATCGTCTTGGCCGGTAACCCTCAACTCTCCAGCGTTCTCGGTCCGCAATGACCGGGTCTCTTCTCTGCTCAACCAGGGATCTAGCAATCTGCTAGTCAACTTCAACATCCCACTTCCGACGCCACCTCAAAACAGGCTCAAATACCAACGAGGGCGACCTTGTTCACCCTTTGGCAGGATCAAAAAGCACACCGACTATCTCGTCCAAGATGGTAAAGACGAGATGTTGATTTAGCCGTGCATTGTTCATGGTCGCCGACAACCTTCGAGCAGCTGCCTGGGCATTGGCACGCCCAACAACATTCCCCGCTAGGTCAGGAATCAAGGTTGCCAATATCGTCGACGCCTCTGCTCGAGACTTCTTCTTCTCTGAAGCCGTTCGTGGCTTGGCCTCTCTCCATTTGCCGCCGCCAGGCCACATGGTCTCCTTAACCATGTCGATGTATTTGAGTAACGAATCCTCCTGTGTAAAGCCCTTGACCATTTCCCGCACCTTACGTTCGACCGTGCCCCCAAGCAACTGGTGTAAGACCACGATAACAGCACGGCCGCGAAGCCAGTTGTTCCCGCGGTTCAGCTCAAAGGTCTCGAGAAACAAATCGCAGATGGGCTTGACGAACGGTTCCAGTTCTTTATCTTCAAACGCCGCCAATTCTGCTTCTGCTTCAGCTACCGGGCCGGCATCTATCGACACAATCTCGCCTTGGTTGTTGACTCCAAACTGGTTGGTAGCTGCTGATATCAGATTCTGGCCAGCCACCGACAGTTGATCAAGGACCGACACATTGCCAAGAAACTCGTCCATGCCATCGGTGACAGAGTTATAGATGCGTGTCACTATGTCTTGTGCATCGGACGCATTCTTCGTATTCTGGGGCGAGATGACAGTCTGCTGTGAGAGAAACGACCTCAACTCGCGGCTTCGACACACATCAGGCATCTGGAGCAACTGCTGTAGATAACGCTCCAATGCTTGGCGCCGGTTTTGTAGGAATTGTTTCTGGAGCTTCATCACCACTCGACGTCGTGGAAACTCGAGGTTCCTGGTCGATGGATACCGCCGACGCAATCTCTGGTGCAAGTCGTGGAACTCGGAATATCGCCGAGGTACCGCCCACACTGCGGCCGGCATATGGTCTCCCGCCTGACGCCGGACCTCTACCACATACAAGGCAAACTCGCGGCCGTCCTCCTCCTTACCCACCACTACCGACTTGATCGAAATGCTGGACCGTCCATACAAACTGTTGTCACTCTCTTGAACAATGTACTGTTGACGTTGCAGTTCCTTTCGGCGAATTTCCCTTTGTAGGCTCGACTTGGATTTGGCCAATATCCGCAACTCTGCAACATTGTTCGTCAATTCGGCCTTGCGGGTCAATGCGTCCACCACTGCCTCTTGCGAAACCAACCGCTCAATGTCGTCGGTCAGCGCGCTGATGGCTTCGGCAAGTCCGAGATCCCCTGGAGCCGCTTCATGAATCTCATCCTCTTCCGTCTCATTGTCTTTCGGCTCGTCTTCGTCAACATACTCGTCTTCGAGGAATTTCTCTTCATCAGGAAAGAGGTCATTGTCAGCAAATACTCCTATGCGGGACGACGTGTTGACAAGCCCTAGAGTAGCAAGACTGGGTTTCGGTTTGTTTGCCGCATCTGATCCCTGGAAGTCCAACGACCCCCGAGGAGAATCTAGGTTTCTGGCAGATCGAGATGCTGAGACAGGAGACCCGAACAGCGCGTCGTCACCGTCGGCAGGGTTCTCGTCCAGCGGACTATCAGTCATGATGTTATTCATCGCTGCTTCCATATTCTCGATCACCCTACGCTGTTCGGCAGAGTCCCCGTTGGAGGATTCCTGTCCTAAACTCTGAGTCGAATGTGCTAACGTATCGGTATCATAGTCATCATCAAATAAAGGATTCGTGGACTTGGTCGGGTCAGGGTGTTCAAGTAGCTTGGAAGATGGAAGGCTCCGTATATCTGAGGAAGACGCTGCTGCCCGTCTCAGGTCATTGGCATTGGCACGTGCAGGAGGCTGAGAGTTGGTTCGAGTCATCGAGGCTTTGACAGGGGATTTTGAGCTAGGTCGGGGGACCGTTTCATCCATCTCCGCGATGCCGCCTTTACTCTGAGGAACACTCCACATATTCGCCGCCTCGGCGGACGCGAGAAACTTGTAGTAGAGATCCGACTTCCGAAAATTCGGAAGGTGCCGAGTCTCTAATTCTTCCAGGACGGCGGACTGTGCGGAAAGAATGGCAGTCCGTGCTGCTCTGTATTGCTGTGGCGTCGCCTTGCGGCCAGCAACGAGGAATGCCTTGATGGCATCCTTTGATTCCTGCGGAATTTTGAGTTCGGATTTTGACATGTAAGTCTCGCTGATTTGTGCAATGTCCATTCGATCGGCATCTGTCCAGGTTTGCTGTGGGTTGAGCTCGTCACCGAAGTCGTCTTCCAGTGGGTTTCGAAACCCATCCACCACTACCCAGAATTGGACCAAAGACATCTGATGCTGACGATCCATATACTCCATGAAATACGACAATCCTGAAGCGGTATGCATAATTTCCACCATCGTCCAGTCCCGATGCCTGCCTCCTTGAAGACCCCGTGCTTCGGGACTCGGCCCTATCAGTTGCTGAGGCCGGCCGGTATGGCTAAGTTTTGCGATCTTTTGATCAAGGACACGCTTTGCCATTTCCAACCTGCGTAGATAGACAGGGTCCTGCCCTTCCACCATACTTTCTCGCTGGATCTGGCTCGATATTTGACTGCGGAACCTCCTGGCATCGGATAGGTTTTTGGTCTTGCGAATGGCTCTAACGAAGCGCTCAAATGCCCGTTCGCTATCGTTTGGTGCAAGTTGCGGAAGTTCCTGGCTGGCCTTCCCCTTAGGCATCGGTGAAGCGTGCTGATCCAGGGCGGCCCGCATTCTTCGAACGGTCTTTCGGTCTTGCAGTGTAGTGCTGCCATAAGCCTCGACGATTTGGTTCCATGTGTCAGGGTCTGCGAGAAGCTGTACGATTGGAAAGAGCACTGCGCAAGCGACGATCTCCTTGACCAGCACCAGGACGGCACGGCTCGCCAGCATGGTCTCTGGCAGAAGAAACGGGAGAATGCGGACCAGCATCTTACGCAGATGATCTTGTTGAATTGTTTTAGTCTCAGGATAGGCGAGAGACGCGGCCGGGTGCAACTTTCCATCCCTGTATTTGGCCGCAATCGCCAGCTCGAGTTCTTCTGATTCCGTGACGCTCCGATTCAAGCTGCGTCCTCGGACCGCCCGCTCAGCTAGATCATAGTCCCGTAGGTGGGCGGAAAGAATGGGCACAACCTTGGAGACAACCACATTCACCATGTCTTCCCTTAGTATACGATCCCTAATCCCGGCAATTGCTCTCCGAATGTTTCTGTCCACTTCATTGACGAATGCTGGGCTTTTGGAGATGCTGCCATACCAAGACGACACGAAGTCCCTCAAAGCAAGACCAACCAGGGTGTCAAGCGCCTGTGACACAACGAAAGACTGGTTGTATAGTTGAGCGGGCTGATACCGGCGGGAAGTCTTTAAAGCAGAAAGTTCGGACTGCCATTTCTCTGGCACAAGGAATGCCGGAGCATCTGCGGTGAGGGAACGGTCATGTTGATATACTGCTCGTGACCTAACGACGCTCAGGGTGGCTGCGGCGATAAGGAGTAGGGCGACAAGGAACCCGAGAATGAAGGCATAACCCAGGAGACGCAGGACGGGCAGACAACGGACAGCAAGGCCCCATGCGACAAAGGCTGCAAAGGCGGCAAAGGCGACATGTCGGCGATCAAGGTTCATCCTCAACTCATGTTTATGTCAGGTGGTTTGGCTGAGAAACCAGCCTAACGTGATGCGTTTCTTGACATTTAAGACATGGTGGATGTCGACATGTGAGGACGTAGAGAGACCGGCAATGCGTAGGAACGGGGCCGATTGGGGGGAAAACCATGCGCCAAGGACTAGTAGGCTGGGGTATTGATCTGGTCCTTGAGCCAGCAGAGGATGTATATACGGACTCAGTGCGTGTAAAGGTCGTCGTCGCCTGTCACTGCACATGAGGATGCCATTGCCGTTGCCGTACGAACATAGTACTAGTAGAGTGGTAGTATTGCCTCGAATGGCTGCGGTCGGCAGACCTTCCATTCACAGAAACTGCATGAGAAGTGCTGTACTCATACGTAAAGCAAATACGGTGGACTGTTGTGCCGTCATATGCATATCTTTGTGGTACACTGCAACACTGCAACTTGAACTGGGACCTGATCACGGCGCCAAAGCCGGCCAGCGAGCTTCCCACAATACTTCTCAGCCGCCGTAGACCACCGATGTTGACGCAACAATTGAGAGCTAGCAGGACATCCCTTCTGTCATTTGCTCCTCTGACATGCTTAGTTGGGTGGCGGTCCAATAAGTCGAAGACGATCAATGATGGGGATCTACAAACTACGTGGAGATCATTGCTCCAGCGATCGGGGAGGGTCTACTTCTTCTCTTTGAGGACATACACAACAAGCAGATCTTGCACCTTTAGTTTGAGGGACACCCTAGGGACCCTCTCGCCAACTTCCTTATAGGGCCAAGGCATCAAGTATGACCAAGTCCCGCTTGCGAGCTATCATTCAATGGGCAAAGAGCCACTGAGAGTAATAGCGGTCAAAGAGTGTGGCATGTACTCATCCACAGGCGACCTAATCCACTTCAAGTTGATGCGGCATGCAATCTCTGATTCTGTGCCCCAGCTGGGGTAACGAGATCTCATTCCTCAGTCCAACCACGCTGCACGTGGCGTTGAGACTCTGCAAGACTAGGGATGCGCCGCTCCACGACTGGACAGTACTCACGACCATCTGGCATGGCATGGTTGCCTTGCAGACTCCCACGCCCCCTCTCAAGTGCGTTGTCGCTGTCCCCTTCTGTCCGAAGCTGTTGCATGTTCAAAATGAGGAGCTCGAATGTGAGGGGGTAATTCATGCCTTGAGACGCGCGCCACAGCCCTGCAAGAGAACGAACGAATCAGTCCTAGAGGATCAAGTTCATAATCTGCTCAATGCACGGGCAGGGCAGCGTCGGCATCTCTCGCACACTGGCAGACTTGGCTTGAATCCTGAGAGAACTGATCCTTGTAAAGGACTTGCAGGCCGACATTTTCTCGAGACGACAATGAACACTATCCTTGCCATGTCTTTTACGTCAATGAAGCCCAAGCGGCCTGCAAGGGACATGGAACTACGGCCGCCCCGTCGTCACTACGGATAGCAGGACGTCTGCTATTGGGCTGATCGGGCAGCAATTTTTGGCGGTGAAACACTACAGCTGTGCGCACCCCCTGCTCGCCCTGGCAATCCAAGATAGTGTTCAGTTCGACTTTGCACCATCATCTCTCGGATGAACGCTACATCACACATTTCAGCCGAGCTCTGGGGGGTGAACGAACCCATGTCGAGCGAGCATATCCCACTTCATGATTGGCCCCATAGCCGACAGAGGGTCTGCAGTCTTTCTTCAGCATTTGTTCAGAGCTGATCGACATATTTTGCGCAGGCTTTTGCTGCAAGCATACAGCATGGGACATCCATCTTCCGTAATCTGCGTTGAGGTCGATGTCAGGGCGCAAATCCCTTCTCCCCGGGAATGACTGGATCCAGTAAAGCATTAATTCGCAACATAGCGTTGGCGTCGCCCCAACCGGGAACACCAAATCCCTAGAGGGCGGCGACCACGCGGTCGTCTTCAAGCGGCAGCGCCGCGATTATCTCTGGTAAGTACCAGCAGCAGTTGCTTTCAATGGTAATGGCACCCTTATGTCGAGCTTCCCGAGGGAATGCTGGTTGATCACTAAAGAGACTTTTCCTTATAATGTGATGGAATGGATATTTGAGCATCCCACTGCGTAAAGCGCTGCAGCAGCATGATAAACAACATTAGCCGCGCCCTCATTTCGCTACACAACCGTACGTCCCACTCGATGCAATGTTTTCCGGATATCTTGCCTCGCTTCATTGGACTCGACCTTAACCGCATACGTTGTGCAAGTGGTGGGCATTTGGCCAACCCCCGGGCAAGCAGGCAGGACTGGCCTCTCTTGCATGATGTGCTGAAGTTATGACGGCTCATGATTTGGCACTAAGAGGAGGAGGTGTTGTGCATGTTCGAGTTCATGGTGTATCGGTAGCGCTTGGGCGCCCACGTCACGATCCGATTGATGGGCTGCCGCATGCATATCCAAGTTCAGCGCCACGCCACCGCTTTCTTCCTCCGGCCGTACCAGCTACCCGTTTCATCCTGACGGGCTGAGGGAACCAAGTCACCGTGTGACGGGCCTTGGTCTTTGTGGGCTGGGAAAGAGCAAAGACGACGTTGAAGGAGAGTTACGGGGCGCCCACGATCAGTTGCTGGAAATGACATGGTCCACCAACCGTGCGCCAAAATAACCTTCGAGGGACGGCCCCCGACCCACGACGGATAAATGTCCATCAAGTCACACCCACCAAAGAAGTGCGTCATCAGGTGAGACGGGAAGTCCGAAGACTAGGCTTGTCAAAATGCTCTGATTCTGTTGTCCCCTTGTCAATGTGGAAGACCGCTGAGTTGCGCGGACCTGGGCATCCACCCGGGGATGCCATTCCCCGTCGAACGGCGCGAATAAAGTGTGAACTATCCTCGCATGGAGGCTACTTTCCGGTCCACAGTGGGCTACATGCCAGGGCCCTGGAAATCGTACTTCGGCGTCGCCTCCTTCTCCTCTTACCCATACTCCTGCGTATGTCTACACCCAGTAATCTCAAAAGGAGTGGCGGCTTGGGCTGTTCACCCTTTGACCCACAGGACTCGATTCACACCCGGGGCGTGCTTGTCCTTTTCCCTCCCACGACTAAAATTTTGGTGTGGCTGGGCCGTCTAGGCAGCTAACTATCGACCCCCTGCCTCGTCGCCTGTCACGGTGTTAGTGTCAGAATCATTGCGAGGTTTCGGATGCCAATGGTCGTCTCCGCAAAAGTGCTTCCCGAATCTCGCTATGATCCAGCATGCGGTACATTGAGTCGATGGAAACTAACTCTATGGTTGACCTCAAGTCCGGACTGAATAATGGGTCAGGAATTTGGGGGTACCATCCCCAGTACTGAGAGGCTTCTCTCAAAAGCAAATATCAGGAAGGATTTGCATCTGTTGGCTCGGCACGCAACCCGATCATCGCTGGCCCTTCGAACCCTGGTACCCTCCATTCCATTCTGCGTCCACCTCGAAAGCCAGCAAATCCTGCTCCCACACCATCTGGTCACCCTTTTCACCACGCAAGCCGCAGTAGTGCACGATCTCAAGCAGAACAGCTCGCTTGTGCCCTGCCATCTTGCCCATCTCTTCCATCCCTCCAGTATCTGCCCCTCGGCGCCTGCTGACAAGCTCTATTCCTCCTTATGCCTGCCACCACCGTTGCAGCCATCTGTAGGCTGGGGCTCAACTGCTCACTGCTCAGCTGACCTACGACCATGCCGCATACTCCGTCAGTCACGTTGTCCTACTGGCTGATGCCCCTGACCGACTTAGAAATCGTGCCGGTCCGCCAGTTCGTCACCCATTGTCTCTCGACGCATTCACCTAGCGGCATGGTCTGGGAAATTGAAGAGGTGTCCTTGTACCCTGGTCGACGAGGATTTAGTGATCGAGGCTGATGGTTGCTATCGAGTCGGCAAAGAGGCATGGTGACACAGCGCAGGCTCATGCACCGTCTCATCCGCCCAGCGCTCTCAATCGCTCGCCTTGCAGAGCACTAGCTTACCGCGCACGATGAGATATGGAGATCAGTGCCCGCCTTGGCCGTCTCTGCCTATCCTTGACTGGGATGTCCCCCTTTCACGCTCAGAGATGACACATCACGCACCTCTCTTAAACCGGCATCCGTTAGGCACACAATTATAGCAAGCCACATGAGTCTTGCAGCAGAGGCGCGAAGAACAGCGCAATCAACAACCACAAGGACTCCACAGAAAACAATGTTTCGTGCACAGAAGGCAACCAATTTCTCTCCCTCCAATCGAGAGCTACCGCCGTCACCTTTTCTCTGGCGATCCGGCATACCTCGTTTGCTAGCAACTTTTCTATCCTGGGTTTCTGGGTGAATGTTCTATCCACCCCTGGTCTTGATATCGTCGGTCCATTCTTAAATGCCGGTTATCATGTTTCGTTTGGGCCAGTCGTCCAGTCAGCAGCCTTCTAAGGTCTGATTGGTTTGCACATCACGGTGCCCGAACGACACGATTGACATGATATATACATAGGTGTACTCTGCCAGAATCAACAAGTACTTTTCTTCAATGATCATCTTTGGAATCCTTCAAAGTCACTTCCAGAACTGACTCTAGTGACAGCTGCAGTCGTTGCATCAAACGTCCCATATCGTGGCTGACTGTGCTTTACGAGAAGAGTGGTTTGACAGCTCAACGTTCAGCAGTGACATTCCCCAAAGGGATATATAATCAGCTTTTTCATCATGCTATTGCTCCATCGTCATGCACACACGTCCTGTCCTCATTTCAGCCACGAAGATCTCAGCTTGCCTCTTGAACTCGATCCAACCGTGTCTCACAAGGTCCGCCACCTCTCCGGTAACTCTCCTATTCAAGTCTTGCGGACTCTAGCTGATCCGCAGAGAAGACCACAACATACAATTAGCCGAGACGATGTCCATATTATCAAGCGGACCAGTTACACCGTCACCGGCTGGCAGGGCAACGGCTCCCTTGAGGGGTCTCGAAACTGGTGAGAATGATGTGGATCAAATGCAAAACGACGAACGTAGACGCGATGTGTCTGCAGATGTTGCAGAGGCCATTGCATCTGAGCTTGAGACAAGGACCATTTCGCATCTCAGTCTATTGCACAGCCCCGCGGCCCGGCACACCATCCACTTGTCAAGTATTGAGCAATGCATGCCGCGATCGTATATCCGGATGTGTTTAGCATATCGGGTCCCAGATGCAACAAGGCTTCCCCAAATTTTGACATGTCTGGACGCTTTTGTGAGAAAGTTAATCGACGCGAAACCCTACCTCAGTGGCTTCGTAGTTGCAGTCACAGGTGCTAACAGTCCAGTGGGCGCCGTGCAAATCGAATTTACAGATGACGATTTTCTGCACTATCCCTGTGTCACTGTACGGCGCCTAACGCGCGAAGAAGTTCCATATACTTATGACGAACTCAACCAGAATGGCCTGCCTCCCAGTGCGATCAGGCCTGATCTTGTCTCGGCTCTTGGTGAGGCTGCCGATCAAGACCGGGCCCCAGTGTTTCGAGTCCAGGCGAATGTGTTGGAAGGCGGCCTCGTTGTCTCGCTCTATCTCCATCACTGCATTTCTGACGGCACAGGTATGGGCTTGCTGATGACAGGGAGTGTGCTGAACGATGATTTCGCCTTCGACCGCCACCTAGACGCCAGGGGGCACGATATTCCCAGGCTGTCTCTGAGACTGGAGGCCTTTGCTCATCACAAGAGCGTGCTTAGACAACACCTGTCCTACAGCTTCGCCAATCAGATCAATGATCGTCAGTTGAAATGCAAAACCACCAACAGCGCGCCGCAAGCGAACAACGTGGCAAAACCACCGGGTCGCGGATGCGTGGTCGCCTTTCCTCTGAGTCGGCTGGCCACACTGAAAGCGATGGTGGAGAAGTATGCGGACGGCCACTTCATCACGCCGAACGACGTGCTTCAAGCACTCATCTGGCAGTGCATGACGAAAGCCAGAATCGCATCGCTGCGCGAAACAACCGTTACAACCTCGAAATTGCTCATACCGATCAACATTCGCAACAGGCTGAAGAGACCCCTGCCCGAGTCATACTTTGGCGCAGCCATAGACTTTGCTTCGGTCCAGCTACCGTTGTCTCATCTTGCCGACACCAGCCTGCAGATGATGGCTCGCACAGCCATGGAGATCCGGAAGAGTATCAACAAGGTGGATGAACCTTATATCCGACAGGCAATCTCGCTGGCAAGATTCCCTGATCCACAGATGGACACTCGAGATCTGCAGGCTAGCAATATGGACAGAGTCAATGGAGCCGACATGTACATCACGAGCTGGGAGAAGCTGAGATGCTATGAGGCTACTCTGGAGATGGGTCTTGGACCACCCGACTGGGTCCGCAAGCCGTGGTCCAAAGACCCCGGCTCATGCATCATTCTTCCATACGACAAGCGGAAGGACTATCTCGAAGTCGTCATTCAAATGACCGAAGAGGATATGGCGCGGCTGTTGGATGATTCGACCTTCATGGAGTATGTGGCCCGGGTCATAGATTAAACGGCAAATAACAAAGCATGTGTTTGGTTATGTCAGCGAGTTATGGAGAAATCGAGCTTGGAGCACTGCGGACTTTCTTGTGGGTTTGGAAGGGCAACGGAGTGATATCTGCGTCTGGAGGGCATACATCTGGACATGGTCGGCTGACGGCAGATGCTGGCAAGGCAGAGCGAAAAGCAAGGTGCTCCAGGTACAGCATATGACTGGAGGGACATTGGGGAGGGTCTGGGCTGAATTGGAGCTGGTGTATCACTGCGATTTGGCCGCGGTTCATTGGCTAGAATGACAATGAAACGGAACGTTTCAGGGCGCCTGCATGATGGCAGTAATGGTGCCAAATAACTCCCTCGTAGCTTGAAGGGAAAACGCTCCACAGCAGGTATTTGGATATCAGAAGACTCATAGAGAGACTCTCAGATTTGATGCCAATCACCTCACGCGGTGCTGCAAAACGGTTGGTCAAAGCAGACTAGACATGTCCATTGATTACTGATCTTTTCAAACAGACTTGAGGTCTTGAAGATGGTACTACTATGGGATGTCAGGTTCGAAGATTCTCCTCGAATACTACTAGTATCGCGTCAAGGATGAGTTACGCGAAACGCGTCGAGGTAATCACATGATATCGCGACTGAACTAGAACGAATGTGGAAACACGTCATTTGTGGACGCGTCTCGAGTAGGTGATGAGACGCGTTCATTGCCACCATCGCCCTCTTCACAACTTCTCCTGCTTCATTGATTTCTGTGTATCGAACACTGTAACTGCAGGCAACCTTGCAATTGTGCTGTTCCAAGTCCCCGGGACGATACTCGACTCTTCGCATCCAATATGACCCAGACCGAAAGTGCCGACACGGCGCAAGATGACTATGAGGAGATGCCGGGTGGCCCTGGTGCCCCAATCCCGGTATCGCAGCTTGTAGTAAGTACTCAGACCCACGATCTTGGTTCAAGAATCTTGGTAATAACCTCTCTCAGGGTGTCGCGGGTCTTACAGACAGAGACATCAAGCTAGTTGTCGAGGGTGGCTTTCACACAGTGGAATCGATCGCTTATACGTGAGTACGACCAGGAGTTTTGCTAGCAGAACCTACTGACAGTCACCCAGACCGCGGCGACAACTGGAGCAGATCAAAGGCATTTCCGAAGCAAAAGCTAGTAAACTCTTGAACGAAGGTAAGTTCGCGCATGCTGCAAGTACTTTTCCTTTCCTCAGTCTGACTGGGGCACAGCAATGAAACTGGTGCCTATGGGCTTCACCACGGCTACAGAAATGCACGCGCGGCGAAGCGACCTTATTTCCATCACGACGGGCTCGAAGAACCTTGACCGACTTCTTGGAGGGGGCGTCGAAACCGGTTCCATCACTGAGATCTTTGGAGAGTTTCGAACGGGGAAAAGTCAGATATGTCACACAATGGCCGTTACATGCCAGCTGCCTTTCGATATGGGCGGTGGAGAGGGCAAGTGCCTCTATATCGATACTGAGGGCACGTTTCGACCTGTCCGGTTGCTATCGGTAGCAAACCGCTATGGATTGGAAGGAGAGGAAGTGCTGGATAACGTTGCTTACGCTCGAGCTTATAACTCGGAGCATCAACTCCAACTGCTCCAACAGGCCTCCCAGATGATGTGTGAGACGCGGTTTTCCCTGCTTATTGTCGACTCTGCAACCTCGCTGTATCGCACAGACTACAATGGAAGAGGGGAGCTGTCATCGAGGCAGTCGCACATGGCCAAGTTCCTGCGAACGCTGCAGAGGTTGGCGGACGAGTTTGGAATCGCCGTCGTCATCACCAATCAGGTCGTCGCACAGGTGGACGGCGGTCCAAGTGCCATGTTTAATCCTGACCCGAAGAAACCGATTGGCGGTAACATCATCGCCCATGCAAGTACGACTCGGCTGAGTTTGAAAAAGGGTCGGGGTGAGACTCGAATATGCAAAATCTATGACAGTCCGTGCTTGCCTGAGAGCGACACCTTGTTCGCCATCTACGAACATGGCATTGGCGATCCTCAGCCCAAGGATGACAAGGAATGATTTATGGATGCTTTGATGGACTGTGGCACATAGCGTGGGCGTATGGGTATTGCTGTTGTTTGTTTAGCTACCATGTTAACTATCCTACAAAGTGGAGATTTCTCCATTTATATGCATTTGAAAATATTGCATGCCTACCCCTACGTGACCAGCGGTCAGCCTTGATTGTTCGAAGCAGCTGAGTGTGACAGAGTCATTTCACAGGGCGGTTGGGGACAGTCAAATACCCCATGGTCTGAGTCCGAGTAGTGTACCTAGGAAGCAACGACTCTGTCAAGAATACCGTACGTCGGTGTGGTCCTGATGATTCTTTCCAGGACTTAATGCGGCTGCGCATACGAAGAACCTACCTTATGTAAATGCCAGGTTATACCTGGGTACACCTTAGGTAGAGAGAGGTTGGAAGACAACTGGAAGTCCAGGTGCAGGGGACGAGAAGGCCAATCTTGGCACACTAGCCTAATGTAGAATTCTTGGCTTATGATTTAAGCAAGCATAATTTACCCACAGATTCGCATCGGTCGGATGGTGTAGTTGGTCATCACGTCTCCTTAACACGGAGAAGGTCCTGGGTTCAAGTCCCAGTCTGATCATTTTTTGCCTATTTCCCTGAATGGTTGCAGAAGTAAATATCACATGGCTGGGGCTATTTAAGGTCCAGTATCTACATTTTTGTGTCAAAACAAAGCCTCTCTTTTCTTTTTTGCTTGGTAAGGGATTCAAAAAGAGAGCTACAAACTTCAGAATCTGTGCAATCGTACTTGGAGTTCGCAAAGCTCGAGAGCATTCCGGAGACGCGGCACACGTTGTGCTCAAGTTGTGGCTGATAGCCTTTGAGCAGACCCAGTTCTGGTGGCTGTAGCGAATAAAGCACGGCTGATTTGGCTGCTGACATCCGAAAACAGGGATCTTTAAAATCAACTTACTACTAGTAGTACCGGGTCATTGCAAGCAGGTCGATCATAGGGCATATGATCCTACTGTAATTGGTCCCTTGAAAGCGACGGGACTGCCTTCATCGTCCATCACTCAGCTATTTTTAAGATTTGACTTGTAAGAACATAGCTAAACAGCCAGCTAAGGAGCGTCCAAGACGCCTAAACTTGACTAAAGACGTGGCCTGCAAGCCCATTGATTGTATATCTCCATTGCGCCCATGCGCCATGCTGCTCATACTACTTGGCGAGCATCATCAATGCTAGTAGTACATTAATCGCGGTCGCTGGTGAGGCTTGCAGTGTAATAGTCGGTGGTTCATTCATTCAGCCTTGCAAGGGGGTCAGCTGTTGCAGTGGCCTGTTCATTAACTGCCAGCTTCTTCATTCCCTGTATCTTGTCCCTCCTCCTTTGTACTACTTGAATTGTTAACAGTCATCTTACGCCCTGTCCAGGACATAGTCCTCCGCTTGCATCGCTTTGTTTACTTTCCTGCGCCCTAGGGTCATCGGCAGGGCGAGCTACAGTCTAGCCTCAAACGCGATCCCACGATCCAATCACAACCACTGTCGCGATCTTGTTCACTTGGGGCAATACTGAGAAGCGGACAGGAAACAACAGGGCCAGATGGAAGGTATGTGGCGTGCGCAGACTGACTGGTGATATCTCACAACTGACGCAAACTGCAGGGCAGTTTGACGGTAGCGCCCAGTCCACGGAGCGTCAACATGCGTCCCAGGATGGGTATGGAACCGGACCCAATGTCACCAACTCGAGCCCTCACTTCGACGTCCTCTGCGGTCCCCTGATCAATTACCAGCGCATGAGCGAAGAAGGAAGTCAATCATTTTGGCACGGTACGGTTCTGCTCGTCACGAAACCCGGCGATCGAGTTCCTACCCTTGATCTGAAGTCTCTGGGCGCATGGGACGGGAGGACCCCAGCGGAGAGTTCGCAGACACAAACAATTGAAGGCCTCAAGCTATATTCGGATCCAGACAAGACCTTTTGGCGGTTCAGTCTTCGCGTGCCGCTGGCGAGGGTAGAGACAAAATGGCAATACACGATACCTTATATGAACTTCCTTTCAGATGTCAGCCTCAGCCAGCCATCGAGAGAATTCGTGGTACCTGCTTCCACAGAGTCCATGCGCATCATGTTTCATTCGTGTAATGGATTTTCGGTCGGAACGGACCTGGATATTTGGACAGGTTCGTTTTTAAGAGTCGTCGCAGTCTCATGCAAGAAATATTGACTTGATGCCCAGGCCCCGTGTTATGGAACGACGTGATGCGAACTCATCAGCAACGTCCTTTCCATGTGATGATTGGCGGAGGCGATCAGATTTACAACGACGAGATCCGAGTAAGCGGCCCGTTGCAGGAGTGGACATCCATCACCAGCCCGATAAAGAGAAGAGAGTATCCGTTTGGCAACAAACTCCGGGACGAGTGCGACAAGTGGTATTACGAGAACTACCGTCGCTGGTATAGCACGGAACCCTTCGCCAGTGCCAACGGACAAATTCCCCAGATCAACATCTGGGACGACCACGATATCATCGACGGTTTCGGCTCCTACACAGACCATTTCATGCGCTGTCCGGTATTCCGAGGCATTGGAGGCGTCGCATTCAAATACTATTGTTTGTTTCAACATCATACCGCTCCGCCCGTATCGACCTTCACCACTGATGCCCCGACGACCATGGAGGCTGGAGCCGGTGGAACCGCCGGCGCTGACCCGCGTCAGCTTGAAAACACCTATGTCTACAGGAGAACGGCGGATGATCCAAGCTGGATCGTCGGCAAGCGACCGGGCCCCTACGTGGAAGAGAGATCGAGGAGTCTGTACATGCGCCTAGGCCGACGGATCGCATTCTGCGGCATCGATGCGCGCACCGAACGAACGCGAAAACAAATCAATTACCCTGAGACGTACGACATAATTTTCGAAAGACTGCACAACGAGTTCACGGCCGCTCGGGGCGAAATCAAACACCTCATTTTGCTTCTGGGTGTCCCCATCGCATATCCGCGTCTTGCATGGCTGGAAAACATTCTGACATCTCCCATCATCGCGCCGATTCGATTGCTCAACCGCCGGTTTGGGTTTGCAGGAGGCTTCTTCAACAGTTTCGACGGTGGTGTCGATTTACTCGACGACCTGGACGATCACTACACGGCCCGCCACCACAAGGCCGAGCGGAGGGAACTTGTGGTGCGTCTGCAGAGATTGGCCGCCGAGTTTTCAGTCAGAGTGACCATCCTGGGCGGCGACGTGCATTTGGCCGCCCTGGGCCGCTTCTACTCTTCCCCAGCTAATAACATGGATGCCCTTCAAGACCCTCGCTATATGGCCAACGTCATCTCCTCCGCCATCACGAACAAACCTCCTCCAAAGGCCGTCGCGAACCTACTAGCCAGGCGTAACAAGATCCACCATCTCCGAGACGGAAATACCGATGAGACTCTGTTGAATATGTTCGACAAACAACCCGGCGGTCAGCTCAAGGGTGCCGAATGGAACCATTGCACGATGCCCAGTCGGAATTATGCCTGTATCACTGAGATCCCAGACGATGGCGAGACAACAACGAACGGTGCAGCAGTCAATGGTGATGTCAATGTGACGGTCAACACGACAGGCAAGGAGGGCAAATCCCGACCACGCAGTAACGTCAACGGCCGTGACCCATTACACATTGGCGAGGAGAACGCAGGCACCCAACATCCCGCAGCCAGCGGAATCAGCAATGAGGGTCCTGTCCCGGGTGGCTTGAATGTCGCTATCAAAGTCGAAATCGACAATCATGACAATTCGGGAAAGACGGAGGGTTATGGCATGAGTAGTAAGTTTGAACTGCCCTGCCTTGCACTGTAGAAATCGCATACTAGTAGCACTCGTGACATGACTAACTCTTTTGTGTCTTGTTGCAGTTCCGAAACTCACTCTTCCGCCCAAGACGAGCGTTCCGGTCGAGGCTCCTGCAGGCAAGCCAGGCCCAGCTGGTCACCATGTGTGATGTGACCCTGGGACAAGAGACCTGTCATTGCAGGTGTTGTTTTTCAGGGACTTTTGTCTGCGTCTATTACCTCAGCTTTATTGTAATACCAATACCCATACCCGATATTGAAGAGGTGCCCATTCGGAGCCGTATTATTTTTCGCCCTTTTTCGTTCAATGGTCTGTGGTGCAATGCAGCGCATCAATTCTCTGGACTCCGTTGTGTTTGGTATGCGTTTGGAGGTCCCAGTCTGCAAAAGGTGCAAGTGGCCAGTTCCGCATTAGAAGCGAGTATTTCGGGTTTCTTTCGAGCTTGTCAGAATTCCCTCGGCTTTGCGATCAGGTTGGATTGCAGTGAGCTGAGCTGAGTTGTTGCATTATGGCACGGTAGTATGTAAAACTGTTCCCGTCGCCCATTTCTACAGCCTATCGGGACTCAAGCTACTATCTAGGTACTTTTTGCTGCCCTAACCACCCCATGGTCGCTATTACTACCATGTGCATTGAATCTGGACTTCCCCAAGCCCGCGTGTGACATACTGTAGGTACTCTTTCACGCGCCATGCCATACAGGCGACCCAAGGCTATATAGCCAGATGCTTGCGATACTGATAATAAATAGCATTGTATATAGCAGGTGCAGTATCAAAATGCTGTCCCGTACTGAAGTCCCAAGATACACCTCCCCCGGCTCCTCCAAGCGGTGACGGGAGTGTTTATGGGGGTGTGAATGTAGGTGTACTCCCAATCTTCTTGCACCCTTCCTCTTTGTCCATCCTCGAAGAATGACGGTTCACGGTTCACAACTCATCTCTTTTCAGCCTCCCTCCCTTTCCTCGGCCTCAGAACCACATTAAACTTCCTATCCGGCTTCAAGATTGTAAACTCCTTGGTACCCAGTTGGAGCGCTGGATCCTCAAGGGCAATGTCGTATCTCAACAGCAACGCGGCCATCATCATAGTGATGAACTGGGTAGCCACATTGCGACCAATGCACTGTCGACTGCCGTGGCCGAAACCCAGAAATGCGGTTTTCATGGTTGAGAGATCGGCGTCGCGGTGGTCAAGCCCGCTAGCGATACTAGTAGCGCTGGCACTGGCAAGCCATCGCTCGGGATCCCAAACGTCAGGGTCTCGATAGACAGTGGGGTTGCGCCCAATGATTGCCGCGGGGACGCCGACGTCGACGTTGGGAGGCACATAGATGCCGCAGATGACGGCGCCGGTTTTGGGAGGCGTCAAACGCGGCATGGCGTACCCGATGGGCGGGTGCATGCGCAGACATTCGATCTCGGCGGCTTCCAGAAGGGCCAGTTTGTTCAACTTCGAAAATGGGAGATTTGCTGTTGTCGATGATTCGGGTGGGAACATTGATTCGAGAGATTCGATGATGCGAGACTTAATCGTGGGGTTCTTGCATAGGTAGTATGTGAGCCAGGTAAGAGTTACGCTGCCTGTGCTGGCGCCGGCGACCCTGGGAGAGAAAGAAAAAAGTAAGTCGGGAGGTACTACGGTAGGAGTGTAGCAAGCAGATTGTTGGTAGAGGAGAGGTGGAAAGTGGGTTTTGAAACATTGAAGCTGAAGATGGTGGCATGCACAAGTTGTATGCACGCCGCAAACACAACACACTTACATCAATGAAGATGCTTCGGCTCTCAACTCGGCAAAATCCATACGATGGCCCGTCTCGGGGTCCTGGGCTTCGATGAAGCGTTGCATGATATCCTGGCGTGGTTTGTTTCCCGTAGTCGGCAGCACCTGTGACTGTGCTTGACGACGGTCATCTTGAAACCGTTTCTCCAATGCCATTCGCGCATACTCCAGGTACTCAACGCGGGCCTTCCAAAGTTTCTGGATATATGGCAAGGGAACCCAGCTGAGAACTTTGACGCTGTACTTGCCGAACGGAAGAATGCCACTGAGATTGCCATAGCGCTGGGACAGCTCCACCAGTGTCGAATAGCGGGCGGGCTTGCCTGCATCTAATGTTCCAAACGGTCTGCCGAAGGCTAGTTCGCCCATTAGATCCATGGTGAACAGCTCGAACCAGAAGTAAATGTCGAATGGCTCTCCGGTGGCGGCAAAGTCGTCCATCTTTCGAAGGAATTTGTCTAGTGTTTGGTCCACGATGGGCTCGAACAGATATAGCGATTGCATGCTGAAGCCATGGGCCACCATGCGCCGTTTTATGGCGTGACGTTTCTTCGAGCGTGTCGAGAACAATGACTCGCCCGTCGTTGAGAATGCGTCGTACCAGCTGGATTTGCCGAATTCCTCCGCACCTTTTCCATGGCCTGGAGGGATGGTCCGTCAGTTTCTCAGCTAGAGGAGCCTTGACAGGAAACAACGCATGTAGAGAACGCTGATGACAAAGAGGTGCCCTCTTCTTCGGCTCATATTTTTAATGTTTGATTGACATGTGCCTAATATAATTGTCCTGCTCGTCTGTCCTATTCATCACATACCGTAAATGGCCTTTACCGCATCAGGGTGGTTAAAGGATACTGAATTCGGTCCAGTCCGGATTGCCACTGCGCCCGCATATTGGTTGAACAGGTCTCTTACCCAGTCGGTGCGGCGTTGGTTCTTAAGTGCATTCGCCTCAGGCACCGCAGAGATGCGGGTGATCCATGGCCCAGGGATCTTGCTCAGAGGAGAAAAGAACAATCGGTAGACCAAGACGGACAAGTAGTAGATGACGATGCTAACGAGGAGGAACAACGACCATGTCAACACCGGCCGAGAGAGAGAAACGGAGACTGAGCTGAAGGTAGCCATTTTGCGGCCGTATACGTGACTCGAATTGAATTTATCTCGGCTGGTCACCAAGTCATAGGAGTCCGAGATCGCTCCTCGAGTCTTTCCAGGGTCTCTCGAAACGCAACTCGAGTGGCAGTTTATATCTAGGTAATTGTAACAGACAACCTCGGACGCGCAGGGTGCAAGCTGCAGCTTGAAGACATATACCGTCGGCCCAATGACAGGCTCGCTGATCGGACTTATCTTTTCACCTCAATCCCATCTCCTTATGTTCTTCGGGTGCCGATCGGCGCCGGTGTCGAACACCTCGCAATATCCTGTGGATTGTGGGAGGCAGCCAGAGGGATGGCCGGCACTCGCGTGCGTCAAGTTCACGCAGGTCTCGGGCTCCGAGCCCCACGATGGCTTAGGGATCTTGCAGGGGGTTGCTCAGACCCGCGGGGAAGAAGAGGCAGAAGCATGCAGATGGCACATCGCCTACCGTGGTTCCATCGGTGTACGCTCCCTGGACGGACCGGTGTCTGGTCTGCCGAGGGCGAAGCCCGTCAGCATGTGCATCTGGCGGAATAACGATCGTGACTTGAACAGTCCAAGAATGAAAAGATGGCCATAATTGCCAGTCCTTCAGGAGGGCGAAAGGAAGCATTGAGCCCGGTCAGAATCGCAGTCCACTTGGGCACTGACTAATCACACACACCCCACGTGACTCCTAGAAATAGTGCTTGTTACATAATCGAGCCGACTCTTCCTTGATTTGACAAACACTCAGACAACTTGAAGATCCTGCATCTGCCGAACACATCACTTTTCAATCTTGTGGCTTCGGCTGAGGCGAGTGTGTAACTTGACTCCTCATTGGCAAAGATAAGCAGTCAAACGCTGAACCCACCACCTCCGCCAAACCCCGGACAAGCTCCCCGCAGTATCGGCCAGCCGAACGGGCATAATACTCAGATGCAGAGACTGGTATACAATGTTGTACACAAAATGGACCCTAAGCAAGAAGCATAATGTGGGGTCCCCGCAATATGTGGTTGTAGTATCCTCTCTCAATCATACACCATGCTCCAGAGCTCTGTCCGGACGTGGGTTCTCCCCTACGGCAATGGATTGCTTGACCTCGGACTTTGCACGTTATAGTCATGCTGATGTATTGGACGTGGTAAGTGGACCCAAGCACCAGGTTCTTCTCATATACCGTTGTCTCTAAACGACGCGAGCTCCCCTCGCTTGTGTTGGCGATCGTCTACCTGGATTTGACGATTTCTATTCTGTGCGTTGTCTCTCTGCATCCTTCTTCCTTGCGATCTCACGACCGTGAATCAGATTGGCCTTTCATTCTCGTTTCAACCGGCTTGATACAATCTCATCGCAATGCGTGATACTCCCGAGCATAAGGCTGTCGTGGAACATGAGATTGAAGTTGCCCACCGCGAACACCAAGAAGTGCCACGCGGATATGAGGATCCTCACAAAGCCGCACTCGAGGACAATCCTGACCGACCCGAAAAGCTAAGCGCTACAGTTTTTCTGTCTGCCCTTTTCCTCGGGACTTCCTTCACAGGGCCCATCATCTTCGGGTTCATCCTGATCACCCCGATTCTGGTCCAACTAAGTCAAAAGCTGGGCGGCGAGAACATCGACTTTTGGATTCCTTCGGGCTGGGGCGCCGCTGCTGCTGTGGGATTCTCTATCGCAGGAAGATTGTCCGACATATTTGGAAGGCGATATGTCATTTTAGCAGGGCAGTTGTTGACAATTGTTGGTGGTGCGGTCGCGTGTACAGCGCAGTCGATGAACCAGCTCATTGCCGGCGAGGTTATACTTGGTGGGTCCATAGGAACGGTTTCGGTCGCTTATGCTGGTGAGTCAATATACCTTGGGGAGAGCACCAAGACAGTGATTGCCTCTCCCAAATGATTGTACCATGTCTCAACGCACCCATCATTCGAGTATCACCACTGCCAGCAAAACTGTCGCTTGCTCACCGGATCTTCTAGGTATATCTGAGATTCTCCCCAACAAATACCGTGGTATGGGTCTGGCATGGACAGAATTCAACCTCGCCACCTGGTCGGTGGCAGGGACGCTTCTATCCAACTCACTATTGTCCAACGCCAGCTGGCGCGTCATGCTGTACCTCGCCATCGGATACGGAGCCTTTTCCTTCATCGGCACCGCATGTGTCTACTTCCCACCCAGCCATCCCCGTCCTGACGGCCTGACTCGATGGCAAGAGTTCAAAGGATTGGATTTTGTCGGTGCCTTCCTGTTTGTTTCCGGGCTCGCCGTGTTTCTGTATGGCCTCAATTCCGGCGGCAACACGTACTCGTGGCACAGCGCAGGCACAGTTGCACCACTGGTCTTGGGCGCCATCGTGTTCCTGGCTGCCTTCGTCTACGACTTCACTGTCGCCAATGACCCCTTATTCCCATGGTATCTGTTCCGAAGCTTCCGCGAGTTCTCAGCACTGCTGATGCTCGTGTTTGTTGCGGGGATGGTGTTTTTCGCCGCCTCGGCGCTCAACGCGCAGACCATCTTATATCTGTATACGCCGGATTTGATCAAGATTGGGATATATTCCATTCCGTCTGGGTGAGTTTGAGGAAACACCCTAATCTTTCCCCTGTACCCAAAGCGCACACAGTATTTTCTGCCCTTTGGTCTCCAGTTGTCCCAACCTCCATCTCTTTCCTTTCCAACTGTATGCCATCTTACTCCTCGGGTGATCGGGTATTGGCATCCCACTAACACATTGAACCCACCCCACAGCGCCGGCCAACTCGTCGGCGGCGTCATCCTCCCCGCCTTAGTCCACTACATCAAACACGTACACTACCAACTCGCCTTCTCGGTCCTGATGCAAACCCTCTTCTTTGGACTCGCTGCCCTCATCACACCCCACAACATCAACTGGGTCATGGCGGTACAATTCCTGGCCATGCTCCCATTCGGCTGGATCACTCTTCTGTGCTACACTACGGCATCACTGCACGTTCCGCAGCGCGACCTAGGTGTCGCTATTGGTTTGATCGGCACATTTCGCTCTCTCGGCGGGTCCGTGGGCTCCGTTGTCTTTTCGTCCATTTTCGAACAAGTCGCCAAAAAGGAGATAGCTAGACGGGTTGCTCACGCTGTTGCTGCTGGTGCGGCTGGTGGTGGTGGTAGTACATCGCCACAGACAGCACTTCCAGCTCTCATCGAGGCCGTCGATCTAAGTATCCTAGGCGTTCCCGGCCAAGCAGAGTCCGTATCGTCGTCCGTGTCGGCCGCCGTGTTTGCGAAATGTGTTGAAGCTGCAAGGCTGGGCTATGCGTATGGTTTCCGTATCACTTGGCTGGCCTCCATCCCGTTTGGCGTTGTGGCTGTCCTGTGTGCTGTTGCGGTCAGGGATCCTTCAAAGTATTTTACGAATCATGTCGAGGTGCATTTGGAAAAGGAGGTGATTGGCAAGCATGGGCACCAACAGAAACATCAGCATCATGAAGAGCGTGAGAAGGAACGCGGGGCCTCGTGAGAATATCTACTACCTAGGTGTACTGGGAGTGGTCCGGGTAGTGATTACAGAGAGGAAATACAAACACAATACACACACACACATATATACGCATCAATATACGTATATGTATATGTATAAGTGGTATGCGACCTCACTTTGAATTCTGCCAAATACCGCAACATGCATGAATCGTATTCATGAATACTATTTGCTATAAAAAAGGTATTTCAACATGAAGGAGAAACGTAACGTGGCGTTGTATAGCTTTAGCTAATGTAGTTCATTCCATTCCCACATGTTTTACTACACCCTGGACTCGTACATGTGATTCAGCGTTCCTGTCCTCTTGAGCCCAGTTGGAGCAACGCTCGCTGTTCTCTGGTTCTGGTAAGCTGGTGTTTGCTCTCGATTGCGGCTCTGACTTGGACCGCGTGCAAGGCCGACAGTGGCAGTGGCATTTTGTTGTTGTTGAGGGCCACGAGATCGCGACAGTGTTCGTTGTGGTGGGTCCACACCCGGCGGCAGCGCCGGCAGTCGTGGGTTTGGTTGTAATCTCGTGGACATTGACCGGGCCACAAACTGCGTTTCTGCCATATTGTTGACGAGTTGTTGGTGTTGCGCAGGGTCGTCAACCTGCTTTGATATCTCGACCGTTGTTGTGAAAGTACCCAACTCCACCGTTGTGGCAGTGACACCAGAGTGCTTCCCATTTTCGGACGGCGCCCCACGACTGGGTCCCCCAAAATCTACGCCGGCCCCTGCGCCACGAAACATTTCCTGCTGAACACGCGAGGCACGAATATACTCGCGCCTAGCGCATTCAACCAGCGCAATCGTCAACAGCACCATCCCCCACTGCATAAAGTCCTTGACCGTGGCGAGCTTGGCGAGCATGTCGTCAAGCCCGGGTTTGCCGGTATCTTTGAACCGAAACTGCGGACACCAGCGGGGCACGAGACCTTGGGTGCCTGCGAGAATGGGCGCCAGTTCGCAAGAGGTGCAGAGGATGGATTGGGCGAACCACGCTAGAAAATGAAGGATCGAGATCCCCAGCACGAACATTGTGCTGCTGACGCCGTAGTCGATGTCGTAGTCGTACGATGATGCCTCTCGGGAGGCAGGGGACCCAGGTTTCGTGCTGTCGGTGTCGGTGTCACCGGTTGGGTATGGTGGAACGGGAAGAGCGTTGAATTGCATGGCTGCCAGGTGCGTTGTGGTGTATACTAGGGACGTGAGCGGGATGGCTCCGATGTAGAAGACTAGAGGACTGTGGCTTGCACGTTAGCTTCGCCTTTCGGTGTGAAAATGAGTTGGGGTGGGAAGGGGACAAGACGATGAATGATGAATCTTACATCCAAATCCCAGTTGTTGTTGTCATTTCCTTCGCCCAGGCGGCATATTTGGACGAGGCAATGAGAAGGAACAGAGCCAGCACGAACGAAAGGATGAGAAGTAGGACCTGAACGGCTCGAGACTGCATCGTTCAAAATCCACGGAGAGGGTTTGGGGATGTGGCAGGTTGACGTGCTTGGATATTACCAAACGGCTGACAGGATGTCTTCTTGTGTTTTTCTGTTTATGCCATCCGTACACGATCGAAGCAATCTGGCCGTAGAAACGAGCGACTGGTAAATTTCAGATTGATCAACAAGCAAGTAGAGAGAGTTGAAAAGTAAACAGTAGCGTCCAGCGCCGGCGCCAGCGCCGCGATTGATATGAGAGGAGGGAAAAGCCTATGGCAGGAAGACAATGAATGTGGTCGACGAGCCTTCTATGCCGGAGGTACGTATATATGAACCCACGGCAACAAAAACGAGCGAACGCTTGCTTGGGAAGAAACCAGACCCGCTTGTGGAGAGAATGGACAGAAGAAGAACTCGAGTTACCAGACGGAAGAAGGGCAAAGGGATCAAGATATTCCTAGACCAGGTAGTTCGTAGCAGGTGGAACAAAAGGCACAGTTGCAATAGGTAGATTGATCCTGCCTCAGTGACCCTTCATTGACATCCTGTACGAGGCTGGCATTTGATGTGAGATATGGTTGGCGTAGCGCCACCGCAGCACCATGACGGGCGGTTCGTCTCGCAAGTTTCGTCTGGGGATAGAGGCCATCCTGATTATCTATCATGCATCCGGAAAATACCTACCTAGGGCACCTGAAGCCTCATGACGTGAAGATCCTGGCGCAGTAACCATTGAGCATGTCGGGATCTCATGTCTCCCGGCTGGAGTGGTGTCCTCCTTCGAGGGGCAGACCACCTCCTAGAGTAGATGGGCATCTTGAAATGGGATACAATGCCAGTAGTAGGCGGAGAGGCCGACGGGACAAGACAGTTGGTGTATCAAAAGAAGCTTGTCCTCAAGGCAGACAAAGCGTCAACGTCGTGTAGGCGAAGCATATCAGCCTGTGGCTGTCGCAGATGAGACGGTTCTTGTGGCAGAAGCGTGTTTGAGAATCGAGCGACAAGCGACGTGAAGCAGATGCGAGACGTGCCACTAAACCGCTTTTGGTAAGGACGGATCGGGAAGGATCTCAGCCTTGCACGTGATAAGGCTGCATAAGAACCCCAATATATCTGTGTGCTACAATGTAGTAGTGACAGAACCACCGACGAACGATGAGCAGGAAAATAGTCTCCGCCTCCTTGAGCGGTGGATCTTTCTTGATAGTAAATCGAGATCTCCCATACACATCTACAGACCGGCTGAACAAGTCTAGACCACAGAATATCGCCCTCCTGTCCGTTCGGCAGCATCGGCGGCGCTCATAGTGCCCTCCTTTAGCAGGCGCATCAACTCCCTCATGGCATCGCGCACAACGACTTCCGTGTCCCCCTCGACGAGGATATACAGCTTCGGATTCTCGCCCGGCCCAGGCTCCTTGCCAGCCGGATAGAAAGAGCCCTTGGTGGTGATGGATGTGCCTGTTGCTTCGAGGATCTTGGCAACGTTGGTCCGGTTGGTGACGGCCCATCTCGCCTTTTCTAGAAACAAACAGAAGGGTTAGTATTCGAAACATTTCCAAAAGAGCAGTAGAGAAAAACTTACGGGGAAAGTCGTTGATCTCCAGGGTCGCGTGGAATGCGCCGGCATCTGGACCTTTGTTGTCGATCGGCACACCAGAGCGCATGATCCCGGCCTTGGAGAGTTTCTGGTTGATAGCACCCACAGCAGCGGCGACTTTGTCCATTTGACTTTGCAGGCCAGAAGCTGCTGGCTCCCTCTCAGTTCTGTGAACTGTAATTTTGCCGTCGAGATCAATTCCTTTGGGCACACCAGGGAGAGCAGTGCTGGAAGGAGTGGCATCGGATGCCGCCTTGACACTCGAGGCTGCCTTGGCAAACAAGTCGTCGCCAACCTTGACGTCTTTTCCTTCTTCCTTTTCTTCTTCCTCATCGCCCTCATCGCCGGTTTTGAAAGTCTTGCGCTCTCGAGCCTTGGCGGCATCACGTTCTTGATCCAGTCGCTCAAGACCTTTCCCGCCAAAGCCAGATGCAGCGGCTTTCTCCTTTCCAGCCTTGACTTTCTCCATGAACGAATCGACGAGTTTCTGGACGGGTTCGGGAACAGGTTGACCACTCTGCTTCAGAGCCTTCGCAATGTCAACGGCATATCGATCCTGCTCTTCAGTCAGAAACGTCACGGCGGTACCTGTATTTCCTGCTCTTCCTGTACGACCGGCTCGGTGTACGTAGTCCTCCAGATGATTGGGCGCATCATAATTGACCACCAGCTTGAGCTGTTTAACATCCAGACCACGGGCAGCAACAGAAGTGGCAATTAGAATGGGGATTACCCCGGCCTTGAAATCAGCAATGGTCGAGTCTCTGTCGATCTGATCCTTCCCGCCATGAATTGACATACACGGATATCCTCTCTTCATCAAATCCCTCAACAAGCCATCGGCGGACTCTTGACGATCCACGAAGATAAGGACGCGATCATCTTCGTTCTTGTCATCCTCATAGAGCTTTCCCAAGAGTTCAAGAAGGCGGACGAATTTCGTGCTCTCCTCCCGTACCTCAACAATTTGTGTGATCTCGGGAGCGACAACACTGCGACCACCAACAACAATCTCAATGGGTTTGCTCAATGTTTTCCTGGCCAATGCTTCCATCTGACGAGGGAAGGTTGCCGAAAACAGCACGGTCTGACGGTCAGGTCGGATGTTTGACAAAATCTTCATTACTTGTGGTTCGAAGCCCATATCGAACATTCGATCAGCCTCGTCAAGCACGACATATGTCACTCGCCTCAAGTTCGTCACCCGCCCACCGTTGGCGGCGAGCAAATCAATCATACGACCAGGCGTACAAACCACGATCTCTGCTCCTCGCTTGAGATCGGCGATCTGATCTTTGATGGGCGCGCCTCCGTAAGCACAAACTGCCCGCAAGTTGAGAGCTTTCAGGAAAGGCTTGCATTCTTTATGGATTTGCGTGGCCAGCTCTCGAGTCGGACTCAGGACTAGTCCAATTGGTCCATCAAGCGGATCAAGAGGTCGCTGATCCTTGATATGCCGAAACATGGGAAGCAAAAACGCAATGGTTTTTCCGGAACCGGTTTTGGCGACGCCGATGACATCTCGGCCAGACATAATTGCAGGAATAGCCTGCGCCTGTATACTCGTCGGAGCTTCATATCCCAGTCTTTGAATGACCTCCAAGACCTGAACACCCAGACCGCATTGAGCCCATTTCTGGACAGGCTTTGGCACGTTAACACCTCGCACTTTGATATTGTCAAGTTCCATGCGCAAAGCTGCCACGTCCTCTTCAGTCCACTCCGCCATCTCAATAGGCTCGGAGTAGAAATTGCGCCGAAACGGCTCGTATTGCATTTTCGCGTGGTTCACAGTCGGGATATCCTTCTTCTTTTTCTTGGCATTGGCAGATGCTAGTGATAGAATGTTATCAGGGTTGTCATCGTCAACTGCCGTGAAGTCAACATCGTCGTCGGAAAAGAGTGCCTCAGGCTCTTGCTGGCGTGATTTCGCTTTTGATTTCTGGCCGAAGGACTTTGTGTCGCGCTCAGGTTGCAGCTCTTGCATGAAAGCATCCAAAGGATCTACATCTTCATTTTCTGCCTGGCCAGCTGCAGGGGCGGTGCTCGGTGCCGGTGCTGGAGCATCCGCCATTGCGATGTCCCCGTTTTGTTCTGCTTGCCTTCGTTGCTCAGCCGCCTCTCGCGCGGCGGCCATTGCTTCCTCTTCTGTGCCATCTCCATGCATGTCGACATCCCCATCATCATCGTCACCACCTTCAGCCTCTGTCGAGTGGGCAAGAGCTGAATCACCGTTCGCTTCCAACGGCATATCTGGGAGCTTTTCAAGTTTCTTCTTGGTTCGCTCATCGTCCTCGAAATCCAGGCCCGGTTTCACCAAATCGGTATCACTGGTTGCCTTGCTCCCGAGGCCGATCTTTCCCAAATGACCCTTGGCTTTAAGAGATGTCGTGGTTGACAGGCCATTGGTACCGGAATTTGGCAGGTGTGACTCTTTACTCGACACACTGCCATTTGTTGGAACTGGCGCAGCAACGTCGCCGCCAAGCACTTTAACGGGTGCCGAAGCATGCTGTGCCTTTTTTGCGATGGCTTTGGGATCAAATTTTCCAGTATAGGGGGTGGAAGTTGTCGCCGTCGTTGGGGCGGGCGCTGGCGCTGCCGAATCTGTTGCCGACGCTGATGCGGGTGCTGGAGCAGGAGAATCGCGAGCAGGAACGGCAGGAGATTGCGGTGAGCTTACAGATGGCGATATTCCCGCTCGTCTATCAATCTCATTCAAGATGTTCCGTGCTCCGCCTGCTGCCTCGAGTTCCTTTTGTTTTCTGGCTTGTTCTTCGGCTTGCTTTTTCTTCCATTGCTCAAGCTTGGCAAGCCTTGCCGCCTTTTGCTGTTCGGCAGTGAGGGGGGTAGGAGTTGAAGGCTTCGAAGTCTGCGGTCGTTGATGAGCGCCGTATGACTGGGAGTGTCTCGGAGAACTCACCTCATTGACAGGATCAACCGATCCTCGTCTAGAACCACGATCACGGCTGTCGTCTCGCTTTCTCTTTCGTGATTCAGTCGAATCATCCCTTGTACGACGGTCTCGCTCACGCGGATCGTCACGCCTGGATCTCGTATCCCTATCTCTACTCAGTCGTCGGTCATCGCGGTCTCGTGAGCGCCTTCGGTCTCTTGATCTATCCCGTCTCGAATAGTAACGATCATCGTCTCTTCGACTGTCGTATCGGCGATCTATGGAGCGATCTCGCCTCCGGTACCCATCCCGATCACGATCACGGCGGTCTCGGTCTCGGTCTCTGTCGCGGTCTCGATACCGTCGCTGTGCCAGGGAAAATAGTGAGCATCCGTCCTTACACAACACAGTACTTGGGAAGTACATACATCAGGACTCCGAGATCTGGAATATCTCCGCCGATGACCTCGGTCATCCTCCCGGCGACTTCTCTCATAGCGATCCTCATCTTTTCGACTGCGTCTTGACGAGGAATAAGAACTGCCTACAGGTGATGGTGAGCGAGTGTCCCCGTGCCTAGCCATCCTGTGGCTGCAGATAAGTGAGCTTTACTGCTTGTACCGCAACCAGGACCAGGCTTGAACAGGATTAATAGGTGACTGCTGCTCTCGGTTGGATGATGGCAAGTTGTTGCTCCCAGAGGCTAGGATTTTGGCTGTCGATATACCTCACACTAAATGCGCAAATGGGAGTTCAAGATAACCTCGAGGCTGCAAGTTGCCATCGAAATCGTCTGGTCTGTAAAGATTAGGTCTCTCGGCCCCAGGGCTGGAGGCATCGAAGAATCGGATGCGAAGTCGCCTCTGTCCCGCAATCTTGGCATATTACATAATCCGGGCGGCTGATCACGTGCGCGGATGGGCCCAGCACACTTCCTCATACGGCGTGCTAGTGCCAGTGGTACGCGCATTGGGATCGAGGCTCCAGCCACCGAGTTAGACAGGACGGTGCAGTGTACTTCATGACTGATATCATCCCCATTCCAACGCGGCCCTCCTTGCTTCGAATTGCTCTTCAGTATTCGGTTGTCGCTCTCCAACGGTCGCTATGACGGCCTCTCTTCCCTATTCCCGGACGCTGTCGAAGCAGCTCATTGCCAGGACAGCAAGGTCATTCACGCGACCCTCGGCGACCCCCCTACTACGCGTTACTTGCGACTGCACACCCAATAGTGCACGATCAACTCGTGCTCATGGATTCTTGGGCCATCTATCTACTGTTAAATCCGCTAGGAGCTATGCCACATCCACCGACAAGCCTGCAAGCAGGCCCAAAGCTCATACAGGACGCGCACCGGCAAAGCGCAGCCCCACGCCGAAGGAAGCCAAACCTGCAAAGAAGACAACGACCAAGAGGAAGAAGAAGTCCTCTGCTGCAAAGCCCAAACCGAAGGGCAGGAAACGACTGAGCAAGACGGCAGTGCTCCAGAAACAGCGACAGGAACAGAAAGACCTGCGCGCAACCGCATTGCTTGACCAACCCAAGCAACTGCCTCAAACCGCCTATACATTGGTGGTTGTTGAGGAAGCCAAAAAGGGAGGAGATGTCAAGAGTAACGCGGCATCAGCGTCTGCGCGATACAGAAGTTTGTCTCCGGAGGAGCGCGAGGTAAGTTGACAACCAACTACACAGCGGCGGGGCTGCGATTGACGATTACCTTATGCAGGAATACAACCATCAAGCAAACTTGAACAAAGAGAAGAACGAGCAAGCGTACAAAAGATGGGTGCAGGGGTTCACTCCACTTCAGATCAAGCAGGCCAACAATGCCCGCCGACAGCTTGCTAAGAAAGCCAAGGAGGCAGGGAAGAAGACCAAGTTCCAGCGTCTCAAGGATGACCGGACCGTTAAAGCCCCGCGGAACGCCTACTCTTTCTTCTTCACGGAGCGGCATAGATCAGGCGATCTGAAAGGTCTTTCTGTCGGCGAATCAGGCAAGCTGATCGGGAGAGAGTGGAAGAACTTGTCGCCTGCCGAGAAGAAGGTAAGAGCAGCATTGTGGTGTATTACTTTCCATGAAAATGTGCTAATTTGTTTTGTTAAAAAAGCCCTACGAGGACAAGGCCGCAGCCGACAAAGCCCGCTATGAGGAGGAATACAAGACTGTGTACGGCGTGGATCCTCCGCATTTAAGGCGAGGCTCGGGCTCGAGCTCGACCTGATCGCCAGCATTTCCTGCTACTGCAATGCAATACCTCAACCAATAACATGACATAAGCTTTAACCAGCTCTAGCCATCCACCAATCTGTGCCAACGGCATGCCGTCCGTCCTGATCTGGTGTTGGTTCCGCGCTGTTACTTTATGCTCAACTTTGGCAGCAAATGTGTCTGGCAAGGAACACTGAAATTGCTCCTTTGAATCATATATCGAGGTGAAACTCTCGAATGCGTCGTGGCATCCATCTGTTTAGCTTTGTATCAATCACCGGGGAGATCACGGAGGAGGCGCTGACCGATAGTTCTACATGTTGGGTGGTACGGGACATGGTGAGAGGAGCTTTCCGGGTGAACCTATGGTCATGCTTTTCAGGAAAAGGGTGGGCTGTATGAGTGGGCTCTGTTTCTCCTTATGGTCGAGTTCACTCTTGGAATGGTACTGATACCTTATTCAGTCACATAAATATGTCTGCTGTTGTACATGCTTATCACTTTGCTGGTCTCGATCCCCGCTAGAGTGTACAGATTTAAGACCTCTCATCGCAGATAACCAGTCTTCCTATCATAGATATGCAATCTGTTATCACACATGTTACGGTCACTCATGTTTGACTGTATCTGGTTGACGATCCACACCAGGACGCTGGCTGTGCATCGGACATTGTATCGGGCATCCAGTAACCAAATCAAGCGCTTACGCCTTCTCCTCTTCCTTGGGCTTGGCCTCCTCCTCGAGCATGTTTCTTCGACTCTCCATTGTAAACCACAAATTCCGACTTGCGCTTTCCAGAGTGCTGGTAAGACCAATACCAAAACCTTGCAGTAGAGCCACCAATTGAGCACGCAGCCCATCAATGCCGCCATCGATGCTTCCCACCCATCTTGTACCTTCCATATCGAACACCTGGCCATCGATGCGGGCGCCAAGCAGCAACAACTTCTTCAGACCATCCTGGACAGGCGGATCATAATATGACGGAGTCGCACGGCGCGTTGGAGCCGGAAAGTGCGGTGGCTGGGGGCTCAAGATCGAGAAAGCGGTTTTCAGGTGCACCGGCGACACGGCCGGGAGGGTCAAGATCGCAACGGCGCCCTCAAGAATGGGAGTTAGAGGATGCTCGCCCTTATGTTCGCTTGCAATCCTGTATGCCGCTTCCGAAAGCGCATGGTTCAACGACGGATCTTCTTTTTCCGACGGGATCGCCGTCAGTCCACCAATTGGTTCAGGGGGCAGCTGTTGTTGCCCGGGCTTAAAATACTCGGCCACACGAAGTGCGGGTTCGAAAATGTTCGTCTTGATGACCTCGAACTTGATATAATCTCCGATCAGATCTTGCGGCTGTGCCCCTTGCTTGGATAGTTGTTCGTCGACCTTGCGCAGAGCAGAGGTCAGTTCACGTCTGATGCCCACCCACTCGGCGGCCTTGAGGTTGTTATGTTGGAAGAAGACAATCAGAGGTGTCGTCTGGAGAATGGAAACGTAGGACCGGAGAAGCTGTGATTTTCGGTATAGGGGACTTCGGTGTGATGGAGGTTGCACAGGCGAATATCGAGATAATTGAGGTATCGACGAATGTATTTGTGCGTCTGTAGGTGCCGGTGTCGTGGCCGTGGCCGTTGCTGTCGCGTACTGGCATCGGCCGCAGGTGTAAGTGTAGCCGGCTCGTTGGAGCTGCAGCTCTGCCAGCTGCGCAAGGGAGCGCAGCCGGAGGCGAGGAGGCATGGTCAGCCTTCTGGAGGTGGACAGCAGTCTCAAGCTGCTTTCAGGAATTCAAGTCCTAAAGAAGATGATGGGGAAGTCGTGTAGATCGATATTCAATGGCTCGTGAGATTTCCTCGCAGTTTCACGCTGGCAGGGCCAATGGGAGTACTATTTTGCCAAATCACGTGAGCACCACCAAGCCTTGCCGTAGCGTCGCCGCCCTTAGCAGTTCAGCCTTGTAGCCAGCCTGGTCCAACTCACTAACCACTGGCAACGAGAATGGTATCTGTGAATACAGTTAAAGAGTTCATAGGCTTAAAGTTCTTGTTGAAAGGTTTCGCGACGACCGAAGCGGCCCTCGTGTGCCCTCTCTGGGTTATTGTTGGTCACCTTAGAAGTACCTGTTGGCCCAAGCTATTGCCGCCTTTAGCTGTGGTCCACCGCGAAAGCGCGCCTGCGATAGGCGGAGATAGATCTGACTTTGATCGACTCCGAGTCAACATCGAGTCATATTTACCTCGAGGGGTACCTTGATCCTCTGCCCTGGGCTGCATACCGTATCCTTTTACACTTGGTTAATCGAACCTGTCTCACCGCGCCTCATTGAAGGCATTGCTGATCTCGGATATGGCGACTCCTAACCCATATGTCTCAATAGCGCCTCTTTTGAAAAAGCTCTCTGCGCCAGCCCCGCAGGACAACCATGTCGACGCCGAAGACATCGCGCTCGCCTTCTCGAGGACATTTGAGAACAGACTGAATGGGACACAACTCGCCTCTCTCTTAACATTGCTACACTCGACGCGCAACGACCGACGACCGGACGTCATTGCAAAATGCGCCGAAGCAATGCGCGATGCCGCGGTACAAGTTGACAAGCAAAAGTTGAAGAAGGCTGTCGCAAAGAGACGACGGAAACTGGGAGAATACAGAGGAGGTCTTTGCGACATCGTTGGCACCGGCGGCGATGCACACTCTACCTTCAACATCTCGACGACCTCGTCCATCATTGCTTCTCCGATCTTGTTGATGGCGAAGCACGGTAACAGAGCTCAGACATCTATGTCGGGATCCGCAGATGTCCTAAATGCCGTTACTCCTCGACCGCCAAAACTCGAAGCTCTAACGGCCGAGCACCTACCCGCCGCTTATGAACACACCAACTACACGTTCTTGTTTGCGCCGAACTATCACCCTGGCATGAAACACGCAGCGACCGTGCGCCGGGAGCTGGGCCTTCGTACCATCTTCAACTTACTGGGACCTTTGGCCCATCCTGTCGACGCGTCTATCGAAGCTCGAGTCTGCGGAGTCGCATATCAAGAACTTGGGCCAACCTTTGCCGAGGCTCTGATTCTTTCGGGGGCGACAAAGGCCATGGTGGTGTGCGGACAGGAAGATCTGGATGAGATCAGTTGTGCGGGAAAGACAAACTGCTGGCTGTTAAGAGAGTCAAAGAACCCTCAATATGAGGGCAACTGGGACGATGAAGACGAGGATGCTACAAGCGACGACGAGGCGCCTCCGAAATACATCACCAAAGTGGAAAAGTTCGAGATCGAGCCGGCCGACTTTGGTCTTCCAAGCCATCCACTATCAGAGGTTGGAGGCGGCAAACTGCCTAGACAGAACGCCGAAGTCTTGATGAGCATTCTGCGCAACGAGAGAAGTCCCGACGACCCGATTTTGCATTTTGTCCTCATGAACGTCGCGGCACTTTTCGTGGTGAGTGGCGCCTGTGAGGCAGATACCTGCGAAAGTGGCCCAGTCATCAAGGAACGAGGTCCTGGAGGGGGTCGCTGGAAAGAGGGCGTGAAAAAGGCACGATGGTGCATAGAAAGCGGGAAAGCTTTGGAGGAATTTCAAAAGTTCATAGACTTTACCAACAGCCTGTAGAACAGGACTTGGTATCAAAAAAATAGACCCTTGCCGCCATTCATCTTGTGGCATACTGCCAAAACCGTGTCCTTTTTCTTTTTCGCTTCTTCAGCTCTCATTCAGCTCATCATCCTTGAATCCGTGCCATCCGCTCCGTAAACCCGTCTTGCGCCAACGCTATGCAAAGAGACCGTTCAAACAGTGTGGTATTGTAGTTTGGTGTGAACATGAGGTGGATCATCGCGCTTCGAACTGGACCATGCTATGTCTCCGTTAGTATGGGCGTCAACTTCATGGCCTCTCACAGGTCGGCGCTTACCGCTTGGTTCTCTCCTTGTAGAGCACTCTGTGACCGCACATGCTGCATCTGATGGCGTCGCCTCTTCCTAGACTGACTTTTGCGGCACATTCACCACAGACATATTGAACCGTTGGGCCACCTGAGGCATCTCCAGCAGCGTAGCTTGTGGCAAACTGGTTGAAACCGCCGGACTGGGTGGGCAAGGTGTAGGCTTCGCGCTGGGACGACATTTTGAGTAGGATGAAGACGTGAGTGTGTATGGTGGCGTGAAGGAGTAATATTCGAGGGCACTCGTCAATATTTAAACTCGTTGAAACTGATCGACGTTGACAAATGCTGCGCGACCAAAAGATTCACCGGTGAAAGTTTTGGCGGAGGGCGTGGTCACGTGGGTAGAGGGAGCCTTATCACGTGACCAGGCTCCCACTTCAACCTGGAGCTAAATTTGGAACGATCCGTCTTCTGTTATCTCAACGCACCTCTTGTGTTATGCGATGGACGTGGTTCGGTCTGTCTGCTGTGTCGATCCATGACTGAACTTGCAGCAGTGGTATGGGAACAGGGAAGATATGGCCCCGAGGCTAACTGAGAATTTATTGCCCAATGAGGCTTTTTGATGGTCGTAAGAGGATGTGTGAGTTCGCGGGATCGTTGAACCAATGTCCAACCCACGGTACTAGTATTCACGGTGTTTTGCAGCTGCCTTGATATGATTGATGATATGCGGCTCCCAGACTTCCAAGTAAGGACAAGACTCAGTCCGTTCCATGGCTTTTGTCTCCTTGAAAACTTCAGAAGATGTGCCGCAAGCCCGACCGTCCATTGTTTGCTTTGCCCCCCAGTCCTTGAGTGACTCGAATTGTGCAGGAGAAGTCGTCCATAGACTCGTCCAGCAAGCCCGTCAATGAACCCCAAACGAGTCAATTTTGTTTCCAATGATCTCCCCACCCTATGTGACACCGGCGTGTCGAGGGACGTTGCTTGGATGGCCGCCTTGGTCGTTGCCAAAAACTACTCCCAGCTCCTGTTCGAACGTTTGAACGAGCGTGCAAAAAACTTTTTCCCCCAAAGCATCCACATTATTTTGCGGTGCATTGGAGGGAAGTGAAACCTCAACTTATGAAGAGATTTTTTCCGGGCTACGATATACGGCCTACTGCAACAGATTAGAAGTGTGATCCCTGACCATGGAATCGGTGGCAGTGGATGAACCACTGCACCACCGACCCATTGGTCTGAGGCACTTCTAATTGTTGGAAGTAATTGCGCGACCATAATATTTGAAGTATACTTGGTAACTGAAGCAACGGGAGGGCGCCCGGAGAATGGTTCACTGCACTGCACGTGTTGGGGGGGAACCAACCTCACCGTTTGTCAACATCTGACGGAACTTGAACTCCTCAATCCTTCCGACACTCGAGAAATGCCGAAGATTCAACACAGATACCTTGACGACGAAAAGAGAGGGGTTACCTTCTTAGCCTCAACCTGAGATATGCTGCGATGGTGCCGGTGATCTTGCGGTCAACTCTATTTGGCGTAAGTTGTGAGAGATGCAAGAAAGAAGCCCCTGCAATTGCAGGTATGAAACAGCATGCTCGCTGGCGAGTGAAGAGCTATTGGGGGGTGTTTTGCGTCCATTTCACTGACAAGTGAATGAAATGAGAGTGTTTCATTCCCTTTCCTCGATGGCGGAGGGTTCTGTGATGCCAACACCGGCAGAGAGACCCCTTTTGCGAACGGTCAGATCGGTTGTTGGGGGCTGCCCAGATCGAAACTGCCCAGGACGGCAACATATGAAGCAAGGCAATAGCTTGAGGACGTTAGCAACAGCAGGCTTTGAAACGTCGATAAGCGGCCAAGGTCATCGAATCGTCTGTCCCTTGCCGAAAATTGATGTGAATCTGGAACAGACGTTTGAGGATGGGCTGAACGGACACGACGCCGATCTGAACCATTCACCTACAGCTCGTCGATCTGACAGAATGAGCAACCGGTATATTCGCACAACATACGAATTTCTGTTTGGATCCGTACCTGGTTGTGTTCCGCAAGACCCGATATCAGGCTCCTGGATCTTCGGATTTTTGTGACCCCCTTCAAGTACGGGGAGTGCGATCCGAAGTGACAAGTCATGCAAGGGAATTGTGAAAAGGGAAGCCATCCGATCTACGACCTCAAAGGGTGTCCCCTCGACTTGGAGACGTTGTTCCTTCCGGAGCAGGCGGCACAGTGGCGTGAAATATCCGTGGGCTCTTCATGCCACTTCCCCTCTGGCCAGCTATGGACATTGACAGGTGTTAAGATACCACTACTACTACCGCTACTCTACCACTGCCATGTTACCCTATGACTACTACTATCAGCCTGTGGTGACATTCAGTCGTCAATCATGTTGCTTTTATCTACCTACAATCTGTTTACTTTCCAATCCTCATTTTTCCCACTTCACATGTGATCAACAAAGGACGAACAACCCACAACCCACACTCCCGACTCGGCTAACCGGCCAGCATCCCGACAGGTATCCGACGATTACCGCACTTTGATCTCGATCCACGTTGGGATCTACAACCGTAGTTTAACAACACAACCGCAAAGGAGCCGAAACGAAACGAAACAAAATGGAGCGGATGTCAATAATTCACCAGACGGACTGGACGATCGATCAATTTTTGTTTCAGAAGCCGAGGGGCTAAAGGTGAACCGGGCCAAGGATGTCCTACTGTAGGTGCAGCCTTGTGGGCTTCCTAAGGCCGACCAGCGCGGTCGACTACAACGACGCCGGGGGTATCTTTCGTTAGTGCGCTCTCGCTAGACTTTCCCGGGTCAGCCGCCAGCTTAGTCAGGATCAGTAAAATGACAGTACAGTACCTGTTTCAACAACAACTGCCACACTAAAGCCCAAGAAATGTGTAATACGCTAGTGCCAACTGGGAAAGATGGGAGTTGATTACGCGCTACTCTACTTATGTACTAGTATGATACTGACGAAAGATTGCCCAGAGGTGTTGTAGTATCACTGATGGGCGGCGTGCGGGGTGGGGCAGGGCGGCTTCTCCAGTCTGGGCTGTTGGTTGTGTTTGTAAATAAAAGAATCCTACGGAGCGTAGCGGAGTAGGTTATACTTGCAAATAATAAACAATCTACAACTACATTTTTGTATGTATCTCCTCTCCGCTACTACAGTATTACGCACTGGTCAGGTCTGGTCCTGATGAGATCAGCGGCTGGGCTGGGCTGGACTGGAGACAAAACTATTATTATTACTATTATTACAGAACGAGTCCAACACCACACCGCATGTCTCAGTTCTGTGATGTCGCCCACAATAATCCAAGACCAGCCCCGGGGCAACACCCATTTTTCTAAAAGCCACCATCGTCATTGATATCCAGCACTGGCACACAAGAAGCACGTCCAGTCTGACCTGAGCGCCGATCCACGATCCACGATCTGGCAACATGGATGACTTGGACCATCTTGTCGTAGAGTGCTGTGTAGTTCTAGTACTGTGGTAGGTAAGCATAGGCATGCACAGTAACTAGGAACTCGTGGCGGGCAGACTGGCAGACTGGCTGAGTGACAAAAGACAAACAGTCCGACGACCAAAGTCTGGCCTGGCACGCAGGAACACTCTTGTTAGAGATGTAATAATGAATAAATATCATCATTAGTAGTAGAGGATACATGTACAACCCCAGAATACTGTAGATAGAAGCATTCATTGGACGAGCCGCCCGAATGAGACGTGCTGAGCAAGATGAAACTTGAAGGAACTGCCAGCGATCATGATGGAAGAGGAGGAAGGGCGAGGCGCGACCCGGCCGTCCGCAACTAAAGAAAGATCCGACCTTACTATGTACCAGGACTCGTATTCAGTCTGTTATTGTACTATACCTGTACCCCCAGAAAGCAAGCCTGTGAGGGCTAAAAATATTAGTGGTAGGTACATAAGGACAAGGACTTGCCAGTGGGATTGTGAAAGAAGTATAGACAGTCTAGTCTGATCGGAACCCCTGGCTAGGTAGCCTTTAGCCCGCCCTCGGCCTTCTGTTTCAGCCTGTAGTTGTACTGACGGTTGCTGTATCATGCAGGAGGCCTGGGGCCTTTAAGGCCTGAAGTCAGGAGGATTTGAGGGTGGATGTCCGTCTGTCGACTTTCAAGTTTCATTCAGAACTCTAAGGAACGACTCGACTTGTTTCTCACAGCAGCGCCTCTCGAGTCCAGTCCGCTCCTTCGAACGGAGTCGTGTCCTTTCAGCCACGCGAATGGATACTACTGCCGTGTAGGAAGATGTGATTGATAGTCCCCCTACACCAGGCCTTACACTTCGGTAGCGCCTCTTTTGGATCGATTACCTGGCACTGGTACCCCTTGCATGACGACGAAGAGGAGCGCAAGGAACGTTGAAACCAAACGAAAAAAAAGAAGGCTGGTCAGGGGATGGATGACCAGATACTATTCTGTTGATACTGTAGATGCATAGCTTACGTAGGCACTGCAGTCACCGCAACAAGACACCCGGCTGGGGGCCGGGCGCCTCGAGACGTCGTCTGCCGTCTCCCATCACCAATTCAAGTTCTGTGACATGTCAAGCTATCAATCAATCTATCAATAAATAATGGACTGCCCAACCACCTGCTGTACGTACATCCATCCATCCACCCATGTAAACTGTGTCATGCATACATCGGATGGCGGGGGAGGCGCCCGGAAACAGACGACAGAGAGCAGCACTGCAAGGGATGGGATGTCCGCGAAATGGACAGTGGTGAGCCACCGACCCGACCTAAGGTCCTTGAAGTATACGATGCAAAATGGTCCGGTCTGGTCTGCTCAGCTGCAATTACGGTCCAGTCCCAGTAGTAGTAGTAAATTGTCTCGATTCGAGGCGGGAGAAATTGAAAATTAGGCCCCGCGTTGAGTAGAAGACAGGCGTCGTCATCAAGGTCCGGTATAGCTACGGAACCTAATCTCCGTTGTCAACATAATCAAAAAACACCACACCACAACCACACCACAACACGACACCACCAGGGCAGATTGCAATGATCAAAAACAGTGAGAAACAAGTTTATAGTTTTCATGCAACAAAGTGCTTTTTCATCTATTTGTTCCCTAGAGTGTGATCAAGAAGCGAAAGTCTATATACTGGAGCAACACCTCTGCCAAAATCAACCCCGGAGATTTGCAAGTCCGGGGACGATCGAGCAAGGTGAAGCTCGTAAAGAATGTTTATCCTCCCACCATCTGCACACGCGACGGGGTTTTTGGTCTTGTGGAGACTAAATTGGGCTGGGCATCTGGTCAAGACACACACGCACCCAACTTGAACATCCACAAAATACCTCCGAAGTCGTGTCGATAAATTTTGCTAGAAAAGGAAAATAAAATCAAGAAAAGGCTATCCGGCCAAACCCCGGAATAGCATGTGTATGCTCCATCCATCGCCGTTGCTTCGCTTCGCTTATCATGGTCATTTGAGGGAATCATGACATGGGTTCGCGTGACTTGTGCATCCTTTCGTTCATTTCGTCTTGATCGGAGATCACCAAAGAAGTTTCTGAAGAATTGAGAAGTTTGTTGAATTGGTTCATAGCCCAGCAAGTCTAGAATGACCTTTCTTGATGTTTGTCGTATAGTCATGATTTGAAAAAGTATTCCACGGAGGTGTATTGCCGCCCTGGAGGTTTGATGTTGAAGAGTGATCGTCGAGATCGGGTACTGATCCTGCAAGGGTGATGACATGTCCATGTGTCGACTCATGGAGCATGCCGTAAACGAGCGTATTTGCAGGCAGCGTAAAAAGGGTGTTGGTCGGAGGGCGACAATAAGGGTTTCATTCAAAGGCTGCAGAACTAGCTGCGCTCAAGGAAGAAAAAGGATGGAAAACTTTCGTGTCAAGACAAGGTCATTCTTGCTGGGTCTTTTGTTTCGTTATCCGGTCATTCAGCTTATGCGCGAGTAGGCAGGTGTCGAGCGTGGACACGGTAGTGGACGTGGCCAGCGTTGGTGGACTCGACATCACGCTTGCTGGAGCTACCCGGGCACATGGTCAAGACCAGGTTGGTGTCTTGATCGCAGACCATGGTGCGGGTGTCGTCAGGGGCGTTGTAGGCAGCAGTGCAGACGGTTTCACCGGCAGGGCAGTCGACAGAAACACAGGTAGGGTTGCTGGCATCGTTCTGGTTGGAAGGGACAATCTCCATACCACCGGCAGAGAAAGGATAGCCGTCAATGTTGGACAGATCATACGAGACCTTGCCATCAGCCCAGGTGAACTCGAACTGAGAGACAGGGCCGCTGGTGGTGGCATTGGGAGACAGCTTGATGGAGATACCGACGCCCTCTTGGCTGTACTTCTCGGTGTAGCTGCCCTGGAGCTGTTGCATGTTGGCATTGTAGTCCTGGCCGACGGAAGCGTAGTAGATGGGGAATCCACAGTTGTTGACAACGGTGGCAGAGCCAACGGCCATGACGGCAGGAGCAGAGGCAAGCAGCACGGCTGCGCCAGAGATGATGTTCTTGAACTGCATTTTGACTGGTTGAAAAGTTGATACTCGTAGAGAGTGATATCCCGAAAGATTCAGAGATGTTGGGTTGGTCCTGTATAGGAGTGGGTGGGTTTGTCGACACAAAAAGGTTCTTGCAGCAAAGGAATGATGCTGTTCAGAGACCTGCTCGAGAGTCGTAAGAGAAGGAGGCTGGAAAGAAGGATTGACACGAATGGTTCCGTAAAGCGAAAAGCAACAACAGAGAAGGGCCGTGGGTTTAAGTAATTTCGACACGGTCCCTTCTTGTCCACATCAACAAACCTCGATGCGCCCACAGCATCTCAACTCCAGAGGCCCTGGCACCACACGATGGGTCCTCCTGCATCGGGCAGAGATTTTCGTCCATGCGTCTTTGTCGGCGCCTGTCCAGGCCACTGCGAGTGCCACCCTGGGTGGACGGGGGTCCCCGGGTCATCAGTAGTCCAGAGTCAACCTCCGTAGTGTCCACCAGCTGGCAGAATCTGTGGGCGACAATGGGACCGCCCCAAGACGTGTGTCGTGTCGAGTCTGGGCAACAAAGGGGTGGAACCGTTGATTTTGCCCATGCTGAGGAAAAACGATGGGCTTGTTGCATTTTGCATATCCATCCCGGAGCCGCCAATGGAACTTCAAGCGCAACGCCACAAGGATAAGTGGTCTCGAGCTAATGCAGGTTGCGTTGGTGGACTTTGCACCAATCCCAGCGCTCGACACCATCCTGACCAGGGTCCTCCGGGACAAGCACTATCTCAGGCACCAAAGCTCGCCGATTGGGAGTTCACAGAGGGCCCGCCGTGAAAATGCCGCAGTCAGTGCCGCTCAACTAGGCGAAAGAAGGACATGGTTCAGGTACCGTCCAGGCACCAACACACCCTCACCCTCCAAGATTTCAAGCCATCCGCCTTCCCGTTGCTCGCTTGTTGTTGCCCACGTGTCGACGGCTATGCTTAAGGGATCTATGTCAACGTTAGGTACCGAGCTGTCGTGCTGTCTCCTGTAGATGTGGTGTATAGTGGTCGCATAACGTACAAGAGTCGCACGACCGCTTTGTGACAACACACTGTCAGCTCTCCTGGTGCCACATGTTGCAAGGAGGCCGCCATCAAGTGACTGCCCTTCAACACCACCAACCAGGGCAACGCTGAGCGGCCACGGAGGACCCCCGGGTGCGAAAATCTCGGATGGCCTTCGGTATGACACCTTCGCACCCCAAAGGCAGATTGTATCCCGATAGTGTGTTCACCACCATGACGGCCAGCAGCTAACGCTTCTCCGCCCGTGAAATTCTCGAAGTGGTTAAGATTTTCGGCAAGACGCAAAAGGTTTTCCAACGGGTCTCGTGCTGTTGGGTGTCTTCCATTCGGGCAGACTCAAGGTTGTCGCCTTGGTGGATAGAAGGGCGTTCCGACGCCTCTCCCGTCCCAAGCTAACGAAGTCCCAGCCTAGTGTCTGGGTGTTCTGCGCCTGCGTAAGATGTATCATTGACGGCATGCCGTTGAGTTGACAGCGCTGGGCTGCAGCCACAATCCCACTACACCTAAAGTGCTTGCAGGATGCGACTCCGGAAAGACTGACATGTACATGGGGTGTTGGATGAATGCAGTGAGAATACCTCATTCTACAGCACGCTAGAAGCGTTGTTGTCGATGGAGACCCGAAGGCCCAGCGGAGTCCGACCTGGCCTCGCCGCGAGGTAGTTCGGAGACCGTTGGCGGACTGGCAACCCCGAAGGACATTTGCCTGTTTCTCCCACGATAGCCAGGTACGTCGGAGCACTGACGACAGATCCTACTACTGCGTTGCAACTTACCGGAATGGTTCTCCGTCCTTCATAGTCGATTTAGTCAATGAAGGGCAGTCCTGTATGCTCGGGAAAGGCAGAACCTCGAGTCGCGTTGATACCTTCTCCGTTAATCCGTCCACTTGATCGCACGTCGTAGCAAAAGTTAGCATGAATCCTGGACCTAGAAACGATGCTGCAGCGGCGGGATCAAAAGGGACGGTTGTCTTCCTTGCTGACGGACATGGATCGATATTGCTGCAGCAAGCGAGTTCAACCGCCAGGTTTTGCTTCTCAACGTCGACTTGGTCGCGTGCGAGGGAACTGTTTGACAGATTCGACCATGACCCCTTGCAGCAGGAATCTACAGCTACCTAGGTACCTATTCTCTAGGAAGCGTCCTGCCCTACTCGATGGTGTTGTGCCGGCGTGATCGGGCATTCGCGAGGCGGGATAGCCAGTCCGTAGTTCTGCCGTTGTGCGAGCAAAGAGAGATCTCCTCGAATCATTGGTATGGCATAGGAGCGCTTGTATGTGGTAGTGTAGCGGTAATATGAACCATCCTATCAAGACTATCATGTAGGTGACAAAGTACAATCCTGCGCCTACAACGTTATTGTAACTCGTAGGATGTGATAGGCTCCAACCGTGAACACCTCACTGAAGCTCAGGCTGCAGGCCATGTTCATGGTCACCTGGTGACTAAGCAACATTATCACGTGCCGGCGCTGAAAACCTGCCCTAATCTAATCTGATCGGGCCACCGAACAAAGGTCCCACCATCGCCCACAACTTCAAGTTTTGCACCTGAAAAGTCTTCCTCAACTGTTGGATGCTGAGTGGCGGAGGCGTGCAAGTCGCTGCCACTCAGCTCGAGACGAACTCTTCAAAATGTGACTATGGACAATAGTTCGGACCACTAACAAACTGCCCCGATGCTAGTAGACTTTTCACAGTCGCTCCAATGTTGCTAGCTCTCAGCGACACCTACTATACAGAAAGATTCTGCTGCTCGGCTCCCGGACCCGCGTCGCCGAACTGCCCTCTCTTTGAACTTTTCCACCCTGTCCTCGGCAGTAAGATTCTGGCTTCAAGGCTGGGCAGTCCCTGCGATAGGATGCAAGGACGTTTGCCTGGTACCGCATTCCATGGTTGCAGGCGAATCAAGGTTTAGCCCCTCCCAACCTCCTAGCAGGAGGTTCCTTTTCAACTCCCAGCAACGCTTGGATCACCCTACGAGGTCGCCTCAGCACTTGGATTGGTCGACCGTGCGTTGCTTTGCCATGTGTTCGGCACTTCCGTTCCTTTGGTACCCTGGCACGGACGGTACAGTAGCATGGCATTATTATTGAGTGGGAAAACTCCCTTGTATACTGAACCGCCGGGTTTCGAACACCCGTTGTGAAAAGCTAACTACCAACTTCCGACAGCACACCGGACATCAGGCAATTACAGGCATGCAGGAACCCAGTACCTTTTGCATCATGCTGCAGCTTCCGGCTGTTTGGAATGGCGGAAATCGAGCCCTGTCGATTGTGTCTGGATGCCTCTTCCGTCAATGGTCAAGTTTGCCAGACTCACGACATTCAGAGCCATGATACAAGATACACACAGTCCTTGGCACCACTTCCGGTGTCCTGGATACTACCGACTACGGACTTTGACAACCTCTAGGGTCTCGTCAAATGCTCCATATCTACTGTGGGTACAGGGATTTGTATTCTACTGATCAACTATCGATTCTTTTACTTGCAAGTCCGCAGCCGGAGCCATGCCTTTTTCAGTATCTGGTATACAGAATACTCTCCGCCAGACATCACCACACTAGAGCTTTTGAGTCCAGTCGAACCCTGATTACCTCAATCTTTGTCTGGACAGCTGTCTGGAACCGCTGTCTGGAAATGCTTCCGAATCGGTACTCTGGGTACTCCTGTCAAAGGGACTTTGACATACTGGTTTTTGCGCCACGTCTATCCAGCGTCCTACAGCATGATCTCAGTCACCGTTAACGTCTGGAAGGGTTTGTGGACGGAGCCGTCCATTCTTTCGTCCTTCGTCCCTTGCGTCTGGAAGGTGTGTCTTCTGGCCCTGCAGGGGTCTCCGCCTGACTCAACGGTATAGGTGTCTGGGTGGCTCCCGAGGCGTGACGCTATCCGCTGGTGTTCAATAGTTGCAGTATCCGTTCAGGCACCTCAACTGGTCTACGGGTTCTCTCCGATGTACACTCTCACCACTACGGCTGCACCATCGGAATGTGTCTAGATCACCCTTGCATCTGCCTCCGACTGGCCGGGTCATCCTGATGGGACCACGGAATCATTTGCCTATGGAACATGTCCTGTCCATCAAAGATACTTGCTTCGGTTGTCTTGTTGCCCGCTCGTTCAGACCCTTGCTCATCCGCCACGGGGAGTATTTTCCATCCTGCATTTCCTGCAAGTTCTCCGATGCATTGCTCAGGTCACTTGCCACAAAGGAAGTGTTCGACAGTCGCGGCGCATCCAATGCGCTATATCCGATGACAACAGTGACTGCTGTTGAATCATGGTATGGCATGGATGGAGTGTCGCCCTGCAGCTCAACGCAGAAGGATAGCCAAAGGGAACAAGGGCAACCTTTCGATTCCATTTGCCATCGTATCTTCTACTGTGAGTTCCAAGCTAGCAGTTGGCTGAGTGCTGCGGGCAGTCAGACCAATTGTTATCCCAACGGCAGGGCATTTTACTGGAATGTCTTCCTTGTGTATGAGGAGTACTAGCACAACGTTGGATGTGTTCCCTCGCTATACCATGTCCGCCGTCAAAGCCTTTATTGGACTAAAGGTGATGTTGGCACAACTCGCTGGCTGTGAATGCGGCCAGCGTGTCTAGTTTCATGGTTGGTCTCTGCGAAGGAAAGCTTTCGACCGGATACGACGCAATATGCGAACTCCGTCCCGAAGGCAGTCCTGCCGACCCTGTCTCTGTTTAATCCGCCTTGCATATTCTCTTTCCATCAGTATTCGCTGCCATACCCTGTCGTGGGAAAGTTATCTTACAGAACTCTTTGCTTGTGCCGATTCCGTTCACCTATCCAGGACATTTGAACCACAACTAGGCCGGATCTGTCTCCATACAATTTTGAGTTGTCATGTGGATGTGCCTGGAAGTTGCAGCGACAATCCGGACGCGGGTCCATCCTTCCGCCACCACCAGTGAAGTCCGTCGTGCTTTGGGTTTCTCGGCGAGGCCAACATCTGCAACGGTACTTGCACGTCCTGGTGGCATGCTGGAAGCGCGAGCGTAAGTTGTTCTGTCCACTGGCCATCCACCACTTTGACTGAATTCAACATTCCTCTTCGGTGCTCCTTTCTAATCCTATCGGCCTAGGCAGTAATGCATCTACACAGACCTTGGAGGTGCTAATCCGTTGGCTGCCGACTTGCACTGCTAGATCCCGGCTCAGGCTTCTACAGTCTGTAGTTTGTCTCAAGACCTCATCAACCGCCATCATGTTTTTCCACCTACAGGTGAGTTGTCCATTGCGTCTGTCCACTGGCATGTGCTGGTTCAAGGGGGCAGGCACACTACGGCACCATGTAAGCACGTCGATTCGGATAGCCCAGATCGGGCACTGATATTCGTTGTCCAGATTTCGGTACGTGATACCTCTTCTGGTGGATTTATGCGAACATGGGCTTCAGCACTCGACTTAGCCAGAGGGTCTGTCTCCCCTTGAGACCTCCAGCTTGGACAAAGGGGGATCTCGGCCCAAAATCGAATCAGGTGTATGGAAAATCGAGTGTGTGGAAGAGCTTCGCTGGTCGACCCAACCTGCAACACATTGCCGATGATGGGTCCCCAACCCCAGCGCTGCCTTTTGGGATCCCTTCGGGTATAACGACTATGACTGTGATCGTGCTTCGTCTACGGGTTTTCAACCTGTTGTTCATGGGACTTTAAAGCCACTTGTCAGCGCTTGCAACCAAGAGCTCCTTAGGAATCAGTTCTACTCGAGAGACTACAAACGAAAAACGCAGTGCAACAATTCCTTATTTGCATAATCTAAACCAGAAATGTATGTCGCTCCATTCTCCGAGTCTCGCCCATGACCCAATATCAGCATGGCACTGCGGCATTCTGCCTGCCCAAACTCAAGAGATCAATGTCTATCTACAGCTTGGCCTGTCTAGCAGCTCCAACGCCATTTGCCTGTCCATCCTCCTTAGGGATATTGGTGAATCCCTTGACTTTCTGCAGATCCATGATCTGATTGGGTCCGCCAAATCTTCCCTGGGTATCATTCCAGTTCCTATGCACAGCCGTCTCTGGCCTCCATCTGAACGACTGCTTCAACTTGGGATGCAATTTGCCTTCGATGACATCGGCGATGAACCCGCCGACGGTAGGGATATGCATGAACCCGTGGCCGGAGCCACCTGCACCGATGATCAAAGACGGATGCTGGGGATGACGATCGATCAAGAACGAGCGGTTCGGGGTATCTGCGCACCAGCACAGACGACCCAGCACGAACGGCCTGTCGGCTAGCTGCGGCATGGTTTCTCGCAGGAACTCTCGACATCGCTGTTCGGCATCAACGGGCAGCTGCTCGACGGGGACGGCGATGCTCTGCTTGTTGCCATCTTTGTCCACCCAGTTGCAGTAACCAGGGTGTTCGTCACACATTTTGAGCTGATGTTTGTCCTCGTCCGGTTCCATGAAGAACCCCTTTTCAATGTGGAACAACACGGGCAAATTCTTGAACAACTTTGTTTCCTCCGGCGTCATCTGGATATGAGCCAGCGTCCATGCCGTCGGACGCAGCTGGTCCTTGAAGTCGAGCAACTGGTTGGCATTGGCGCCGGCACACAGGATAGTGTAGTCGGCCCGGATCTCGCGGCCATCTTTGGTGCGGACACCCTTGACGTCGCCATTCTCGAAGATCAGCTCCTTGACATCCCCCACGACAAACTTGGCACCCAGCCTAGTCGCCTCGTTGAAGCACGACACAAGAGCCTTGCGTGCATGCACCCATCCGGCGCCGGTGCGCTTGTACAGGCCCTTCCAGCCGGGGAAGTTGCCCTGCAATACGCCCTGCGGCATCGTCTTGCGGAAGTCCTCGGCATTGGCCAACTCGACAAACTCTGGGTTGAGGTCCGGCCGCTCGCGGTCGTGCAGCTTCTTCAATCCGTCCTTGGTGCTCGCCGCCACTATGTATCCCGTGTCGTGGAAATATGGCGTGAACACGGGGTCTTTGGTCCATCCTTCCGTGGCCGCTCTCAGCAGGTACCGAGACACCCACGCCTCATCGTCTCCATCGGAAAAGTTGCCTTGCTCCACAATCTTGTTCACGTCATTGCCCGCGCTGAGCGGCGACGGCACCGGGTAAGGGTCAATCAGTGTCACGTTTTTGTGACCCCGACGCAGCAGGTGGAGAGCCGTCGAAGTACCCCAGGTCCCGGCGCCGACAATGAGGAAACTCGAGTCTTTTGACACCGACATTTTTGAGTCTGTCGAGTACGTACGCGTACGCAGGCGGTATATCGTGTCAATTATGGCGCCGTCGTTGCCTTCCTAATCGTCACCTCCGCAGTAGCTTCTCACCAGCCTCGTCCCCGTGAACAAGTCACGACAGCCTTGTCTGATGCGAATTGAGCAGTCGCCTAGCGAAACCAATCTCGGGAAAGAAGGTCGTTGAAAGTATTCCTCTGATCCCACAACCAGGAAGCCGCCCGACGTAGCAAACCAGGAAATCCGTTCAAGGTTGGTGTCTTGTCGATTGCCGGATAACGATGTTGTAATTGTATGGAGAGAGGTATAGGCCCAAGTCTGCGAGAAGGAGTCCTACCGCGGAAATCAAGGAACATATATTCAACTACAACCGTATTGGCATCACCCCATCGACTCAATCCACGGTACCATCGTACTGTAATAGCAACAACCTGTTAGGTTAACCCGTCTGGTCGCCACTTATCAATATCTTTCGTCCCCTCAACTCCGCAAATCAACCGCACACACTAAACGACTGGGTCTCTTTGACTTGAATTGACGAGGCTCATGTGCCTGTGGGAAAGCACAAGCCAAACTACCTTAGCCGCGGAGGGACGCCGACGACCCGGTTGGTGGATTGGGTCAATCGAAAGCCCCATCATGGCTGGTGAGAAGGTACAAGCGATGGCGGGTGCTAAGGGCGCGAAAATCCGATTGTACAGTACTAGCACCACTGACTGCAACTGGCAGTTTGGGACAACAATACCTTGATAATACGCACCGCCATACACATACCTACCTAGGTACGTATACGATGACTGTTGCATCATTACCTACTATAGGTGACTGCCACTGTAGTAGGTACAGGTAAAGCACACACGACGCTCGCCTTGATACTGGCTGCAAACTGGCAATTATTAGGTGGTCGGCTTCGGCTTCGGCTTCGGCTTCGGCCAGGTTGGTCAGACACCAGATCTTCCTGCATTTTTGATTCCAGCCTCAGGCTTGAAGGACAGTGTTATCATATCACAAGATTACGACTACTGTACCTGCCGGACGCCCGGACCGCTCCTCTCCAACGGTCGAGATAGATACACGTTGATGCAGTGCAGGTCCACGCGAGTGAGTGGTGACGCCCTGGCCCCTTGCCGACACAGTTCCATATGCACCCGGGAGATGATGATGACTTCAATCAAGCGTCCCAGATGCCGAGGGCAACTATGTGCCAAATCTACCCGGGGCAGGAAACGAGCACAGCTCACCGTGCAGTGTAGTGCAATTGCAGTGCAATGCAAACTTCAAGTTGAACTTGGCTCGTTTGATCGGGTAAAAAGACCAAGCTTCCGATTTCAATCTCATCATGGATTTGCGCTCCTGCTACATGGAACTTTCTTTGCAAATCACGGAAGCTGCACTCAGCCCCTCGACCTCGTGTGCTTTGAGCGAGCCGCCCTTAGAGAAAAAATATCCCACTCGCCCTGTCGTGACGAAAACCAACATTGAAGTTACTGTAGTATCATCCAGCACCAGCAACCCGTTCCTATCTGTTTCTCTGTCCCTTTGAAGGCCCTACAAAACATACCGGAAAGCCGGGTTCTCACGATCCGTCTTGTCATGAAACCCTTCCAACTCGCCATCAACCTCTTGGATTTCTCCACGAGCCAAAGCGGCATCACGTTTCTTGTTCTCTCTGGACATGTAGAACCGCAAGACGAGGTTGAATGAGATCTGCACAGGACAAAAGATTAGCACGACTGGCACCGAAACTAAATCCAAAGCACCTTATCGCTTTGCGCCATGGCCTCAGGACAATAAGTACTCACGCTCAAACCAAAACAGACCAGCAACCCCGTGATAGCCGACTCGTAGATAGGAGCCTCCTTGGGGAAGAAGATGTGTGGACCGATCAAGTTTCCGACGCCAAAGGCGGCAAAGATGACGGCATTGACAAAGGAACGCTTGGTATGTCCGGCGAAATTGGACGCGGTCAACGTCCAGCTGAACAGGTTGGTGACTCCAAAGATGAATTGCAGCCATGTACATCCTAGGAGCGACCATTTGTTGCCCGGGGTGCGGTCGATGAACCGGATTCCAAACAGACCCGCGACATTAGGAATGTTGGCGGCGATCGAGATCCAGATGATGGTGTTTGGGATCTTGGTGGCCAAGTATCCGAGCAGCGGTTCGATGACGGCAACAAATGCCCCCGTTGGCATTTGCAGCAGGACGGTGTGGAGGTCGTCGAATCCGAATCCTTCAATCAGAGGTGATGCAAAGGCCGAAACGCTGGAGTTGCCTATGTCAAAATGTTAGCGAGAGGATAAAAATTGGGATGGTCCACAAGGCCCATAGTTTGCCATACAAATGCCATTGGTGATCTGGAAAGCAGTCAGAAGCCAGAGTTTTGGGTCGGTCAATGCCTCCTTGATCTGGTACGGCTTGAGTTTCTTGTCTTGGATGCCGATCTTGTTGGTCGAGATCCGGTGGATGACGACTAGCTTTTGACGCCGCGTGAGCCAGCGACACTCGGTCGGCGTGTTGGGGACGAGGAACCAGAAAACAGCCGCCCAGGCGGTGGTGAGAGCGCCGACAAACTGAAAGAAAAAATTGTCCGTGTTAGCCAATTTCGGTGTTTTGTGTCATGGCACAAGTGTGGTGTGTATGGCTTTCTCTTACCAGGAAGACCAGTTTCCAATTGGCAATGGAGCTGTGGCTGTTGCCGAGGCCGTAGGAGGCGATGGAGAGAAGCACGACGCCACTCCCAAAGGAGGACTGCCAGAAACTGTTTCGAACCGGAGTTTCCTCTCGCTTGTAGAAGGAAGATGTGATGATCATCATGGTGGGGGTGATGCCGACTTCAAGGCAGCCTTTTCATCGTGGTTAGTTCGGCGCCGGCCGAATCAATCTTGAATCTTGACTCACCCAACAAGAACCGCAGAACGGCAAACCCGGCGAACGAGTTGGCCACACAGCACATGAAGGTCAAGACGCCCCAGGTGAAGATCAAAATCGTGGTATAGGTTGCAACCGGCAGTTTCTGAAGGAGCAATGTAGATGGATAGGCCCACTTTTCTCAGGTCAGTGTGCTGCTCTTTTCATCCAGAACTAACTGTGGGCGTCACTTACGAATAGATACCCAAAGTAGTAGATACTGGCCAGCCAGTTGTAGTCTCCAGGAGTCATATGCTGTTGGATTGGTTAGCGCAAGGGAACTCCCACACCATTCCAAGGGTATTTTCCACTCACGGTATCAGGCAACAACTGATAGGCGTAGGCGTATCCAAGCACGGAATTGTCCAAGAACTGCAGAGCATAGGTCATACAGATGACAGGCATGAGAATCATGTCACACCTGCGCCGGACCGCGGCGCTTTCAGCCTCGAGTTCTTCCCGAGGGATGGTTCTCATCTCTTCGAACCATCCCAGGGCAATGTCGACGCCTTCCGGGATGACCGTCTCCTCGGCCTCTTGGATGCTCTCCTGTTTCGATGAGGGCTTGGAGGGCGCTGTAGGCTCAGCCTTGGTCGTGACGGTGTCCACCTTCTCCGACATGGTGGGCTGTGAAGACAAGGGCGGTAGCACTGTCGTTCGTAGAAGGTGTGATAGACTGGGAGAGGCCAGCAAAAAGGACAAAGGACTTCAAGACGAACTGGAAGCTGGATAGGGGTTGAGCGAAGGCGGTCCCTTGGTGTCGTTGCCCTGGCATTTATGTGTTTTTTCTCTCTCGTCTCGTCCCGATCCCCAGAGCGAGATTCAATATGCTAGCATCGCCCGGCCTCGCCTTATCTGACTGAGGGTGTAGGTATAACCAAGCCATGCACCCCAGACGGGTCTGGAGATAAGAGGCTGGCCCACGAAATCCCTATCAATTGATTGGGGATGAGAGGTCCAGGCGACCCTTGGCAAGGGGATATATCGCTAAGCGGAGCCTGAGTGACAATGCGATGGGTCCGGCCAAACCCTAACTGCGTCCGGAGGTTGATCTTCAACCAGTCATGCGTCGTAGAATAAATGATTCACGGCTTCTCGACTGGCTGAAGGCCTCTGTCGCCATGGAAGATGACCAAGAAAGAGACCACCCGCATCTCGCGGGACTGGTAGCCGGGGGGAGAGTATTTCTCCCCCAGTGGCACGAGGACATGGAGATGACAGGCGGTGGATTCTTTTTTCGTGCATGGCCCACTATTACTGACTGCTCGGGCCAGCTAGGATTCGTGTAGGGTGTCAGCAAGGCGGGCGAGATGAAGGTACAAGCGACGTCGACAAACCCACTTCATCCCCGGAAGGGTCTTTTTGATGCGCCGCTAAACCGTGTTGGGAGACCCAGTCGACCGGGACAAGATTGCAACCGGAGCTTTCTCGCCGTTATCACAAGTGGATCCCTGAAGGTCCAGCCGACCTCGTATACAGCTCATGACAATGTACAGAGTGCCAGGCCATCGAGGCTCACAAATCGAATAGCTTGCGGACATGCTGCCGAGGCTGTCGCACGGAATCATCTGGACGGAATGATGGCTGGCTTCTGCACACACACTTCCCGGCCAAAAGGGGTCCAGAATCAAAGGCACGAGGTCACTTCAATTTGGTGATAATAGAGAGATACGGTCGGGTGCGGCATTGACGGGAGATACCATTGATCCCCGAGTTTACTGCGATATCACCGGTGGCCGAGGAAAAGGGGCGAGACCATCATATCAGCAACCCGTATCTGCCGACATCCTGTCCATACAGATAGGGAATCGCAGAGGTACATTCCAGGGATCTTTGATAGTCTTGAGAGAAGTCGTGCCTGGTCCGAGACGACAACATGATCGAGATCAATTGCGTTGGCGAGTCTTTCGAGGTGAGTGTGTGAACAACTGCCATATCTGTGCGGTGATTTAATTGACTGGAAAGATTGGCCTCGAACATGGAACAAAAGCCGCTCCTCAAATTGCCAGTACAATCCAGTTCTATGCCGACCTGTTCCAGAAAAAGGTCAAATTGAGCTGGGAGCAAGCATGTTCCGAGGCCAAGAGGTTTGCACCTCACATCCACCAGTACTACCCCCATCTGGAATCAGAGATGCAAGGGATTGCCAAAGGAGCGGGCGTCACGTATGAAGAAATCCTCGCCCTCAACGTGAGGTCTGAGCTGTTCTTCGGTGCTGCATTGGATGGCTGTACGAGTTTATCATGGAAGACAGATTCCACGTGCTATCTGGCCCAAAACTGGGATGTAAGTACTTACCACCATTTACCTCTGCCTTGTCAAGACACATGAGCTGATCGACCATAGTGGATGGTTGAGCAAAAGCCCAACCTCGTTCTATTGCAGATTGCGCAGAAGGACAAGCCGGTCATCCAGCAGGTGACTGAGGCTGGCATCATTGGCAAGATAGGTGAGCAACGGACGTCACTCTGAATGATTGTGGTCATAGTTGATCCCGAGACCAGGTCTTAATTCTGCCGGCGTTGGTCTCTGCGTCAATGCAATCCGCTGTGCAGGGAGCGATGTCAACCGGGACCCCATACACATCATGTGGAGGTTAGTCCTGGAAAGCCCGTCGGTCGACGCTGCCCTGGAGGCCATCAAAGCACACGGCTGTGGTGGCGCTTGCCACATGTTGATAGCGGACAAGTCGCGCAGCATTGGTGTCGAAGTCACACACCAAACGATCAAGTATCTGCAACCAGACGAGAAGGGCCGGGTGTTCCATAGCAACCACATGTTGGAGTCCCATCCCGGAACGGACATGCTTTGGGTCAACGACAGCCTGACTCGGGTCCAGAGGATTCGGGAACTCGCCGATAAGCTTGAAGGCGAGGTAACCCAGGATGCGTTGCAGAAGTTTCTTTGCGACGAGGACAATTATCCCTGTTCGATCAACCGAGAGCAGAAGGGGGAGAGCGATGCGGCGAGTGTCTTTAGCATCACCATGGACCTTGCAAAGGTCGAGGCAAAGGTGTTGCTTGGACGACCTAGCAAACCTGAAAAGGTCTATGTGCTACGGCCCAGGCCGATCAATTAGATATATAGAGGCATAGGTCAAGGAGTCATGGAGTCAACGTGTTTCATCTTCACATATATAATGCTCCTATGAACCCCAATTTCATTGATAATCCGCAAACTCTTTGTCATCCCAGAAATGAATGGCTCCCTTCAAGGCCGGACCAGCCTTGAGCGCGAGATTCGCAATGACCGAGCCCGGCTGATGAGCTTCTACCAGCCGAGGCGTGATGTTTTCGATGTATCTCTGGAGCTCTTCCTGGCTCATACCGTTGTTGTCTGGTTACAGAGAAAAGTCTTGTTAGCGATTTTATTTTCTTCTTGCTCATGCTCCGGCGTGTTAGAAGGTGTTACTTACATTCACCTTTCAAGATAGCTTGCACCATCGGCGTATTGACTACGCCAGGGTACAGCCCAACAGCCGTGATCTCAGGTTCTTCCAGAGTCAAGGCCTTGATAACGTAGTTGACAGCAGCTTTGGTTGCGCCATAAGCACCCCAGGCCGGGAACGACGGCTTTTCGCCAGCGTCTGAGGAAGTGACAATGACCCTACCATTGGTCTTTCTCAAATGAGGAATGGATGCTTTGAGCTGGAATCTCGATGTCAGTCATGCGCAATTCCAGTCTCAAACAACACTTTGTACGCACCATCGACACATGGGCGACAACATTGATGTTGAAGATCTTCGTCCAGTCGGCAGGATTGACTTCAGCAATTCTCTTGACTGGAGCCATGATGCCGGCGTTCAAAGCCACGGCGTCTAGTCGTCCCCAGGTAGAGACGGCGACATCCACAGCCTTGCAGTTGACCTCGTGCTGACTGACGTCGCCCACCACATACTGGACTCTGTCGACGCCTTGCTGCGATTGGAACTTTTTCAATGGCTCTTCATTGATGTCGACCAAGACCACACGCGCATTCTGTTCTAACAACTTGTTGACAATTGCTGCCCCAATGCCGAGACCTCCTCCAGTCACAATTACGACGGGTGATTGAGACATATTTTGTTTGTCGTATAGGGGTAGGATTTCTCAGATCAAGAGATTCGAACGTTTCTCCTATTCAACTTGCCTTGTTCGGTCTTCAATGCAATGACAAAATCCTGCTTCTTCGCTCTCGAAATGACCAGTGGTTCAGCGACCACTCCGCTTGTTTGTCCACGACACACCATCCCGGCCACGGAACGGAATCCTGGCCGGGGTCAAGTACTCCACGGCCATCGCTACCGCTGTCATATCCACCCTTGTTATCGCTGATCTGGCCATCTGAAACTATGTTCCAAGGGTGCGACGGGCTGTCGACAATGGTAATTGCCACGCGGAAAGCAGGGTGGATGAACACTCGGAGGACTACAACGTACTGTCAAACTTTGCCAGGTCGGCTGTAGAGCTGTCAGCAGAAGGTACAGCCGACGTTAGCGAGAGTGGGACCAATTTGCAATCATAAGCGAGAACGGACCGTGACAAGACAATATTACATGGTCAGCGTAAGCGGATTTCAGCGACATTCCTCAAGCGACCTACCTTAGGTACCTCAAGTAGGTGCCTAAACAACTCGATGACTTGAAGCAGATGAGACCCATGCATGCCCTTCCCAAGACCCAGCGGAAAGGTAGGTTCACCCAAAAGAGATCCTACGGCCTTATCGGGGTTGAAGGTACAGCCGAACAATGGGGTTGGCATGGGCCCGTAGCCACCAACTTCAGCCTCCACCATGTGCCCGTGTGGGCGTTGTGGATCGCAGCGTCCGAGATTCCTTTCCTTTTTGCCCTCCGAGTCGTACACATGGTGCAGCCTGAACTGGACGGGGCCCTAGCCTTGCACAAGACCTCGTGCCACTGCCGTGCCCTGCATACGAGCATCGAGAGCCCGCCGCTTAGGTCCTGACTCGGCTGTACCTTCGCGAAGCGACGTTCGACCCTTGACTGTGGAGTGCGTCGATTGGCAGTGGCAGTATGGGGAGCGGAGCGCTCTGGGGGCGCCGAAGAACGAACGCCCAGCGAGGGTCAAGGTATCTATCTCCGAAGAGAAAGATAAGTACTGTATATATTTACATTGATTCGGGAAGTCAAGTCTCAACTCAACCACTGCAAGCACAGAAGGACATTTCGCCTGACCAGTGACCATCATATCCCCATCATCCATCTTATCCATCTTCTATTCCCTTGCATTTCCCTTACCTGCACACTGCACCAGAAGAAAGACCCTCAATCTCGGCCAAAATGAATTCCAAAACCTTCGTTTCCGACCACTACGACTACCCCGTGCAAGAGCAAGGGCCCCCTCGCTTGTCCTTGAAAGGCGAAGCAGCTCAACCACGCATCCACTTCGACCCCAAGAAACACCTGCGCTTCCAGCTTCCGGAAAAGACGTACACGCTCGAAGACCTCAAATACAACGTCAAGCAATCAGTAGGCAAGGTGGCAGCAACAGACCCCTTCCCCTTGTTCACACCCGAAGCGGTCGTCGAGATGCGGCGGGAACTGCTGGCCGAGCGCACAATCAAGAACTGCATGACCTACACTCGCCCCGGATCAGTCCAAGTCCGCGGCGCATGTCCCCAATACGCACCCTTTGTGTACGAAGCCTGGACACACCCCGAGACCATCAAGGCCGTCTCGGCCGTCGTTGGATTGCCCGTCAAGATCAACATGGCCCAAGAGATCGGACACACCAACATCCAATTGGGCCCTGATGGTCTTGAAGGCCTCAAGAAATTGACTCCGGAGCCCCTTGTGCCCAGCAATCCGGCTGCTGCGGATGTCGAAGAGGAAGACATCAAGGAAGATAAAGATACCGATGTCATCGAGTGGCATAACGACATGTATCCTTGGTCCCTTGTTGTGTCGTTGTCTTTGCCGCAGGGTAAGGGTGGTGAGACTGCTTGTTTGTGTGGTGATGGGTCGATTATCAAGGCTCCCAAGCCGGATGTGGTGAGTCTTCAGCTTCTCGCATGAAGAGCGAGGTTGGTGGTCACTCTTGACTGACGTTTTTTAGGGCTACGGTGTCCTTCTCCACGGAAGTGTCGTTCTACACAAGGCCGTGCGGGCCGTCGGCGCCGAAGAACGCATCACCATGGTTTGTTCCTGGTGGCCCGCCGACCCGCTGTTGCACGACAACTCCAAGATCGCAAACACGCGCGACGTCTCGTTCAAGCCGGAAATGTACTACCAGTGGGCGACGTATCGTCTTGAGAACATTGCTGCCAGATGTTTGGCAAAGGCGAAGGAGTACCGCGAGAAGCATGAGTCGAAGGAAAATTACTCGGATGCCGTGGTCGATCCTCAGGAGTTTGCGGAGTGGGCAAAGGAGCAGATAGCTTACTTTGAGAGGACTTATGACCACATGAAATAGAGAACAGTATAGAGAAATTGTCATGCTGTTCATGTCTGAGGTTGCATTAGTTAGGTCTGTGTCAGGGATGCAGTGGTGATGGTGATGGTGATGCTGGCGGTTGGCGAATGTGGGTATGTCGTTATGTGCTGCTTAGATTTAGGACCATTCTGTATCTTGAAAAATAAATCATTTACTTCGATTCGAGTCGGGCCAGACACTCCATGTCGAAACCGGTAAACAAATAAAGCACGTCTGCTAGAATCGGGATAATACCGAGTACCTCAGATATCTTGTTGAATCTTGATGGTTGTACCCATCGTCCTATCCAAACCAAACGGTACAGTAGCACCTTCCAGTCGGTACAGCTAGTTACACAAGTAAGTATACGCCAAATTTCACAGAGTCAGTAAATGCAGAACACACGTAAACTTGAGTTCTGCTGTTCTCGCTCGTCCCTTGCAGGCCAAGCAACGTCTCCATCATAAATTATACCAGGCTAATGTTCTCACTAACAGGGACAACGTATTTCTCCCAGTCATTGCGTGAATAATGACTATCGGCCGTCTGGGGGAACGGGTCCTCTTCGAGATCCCTTGCCTGCCAGACCTGGCTGATGATAGTGCGCATGCGATCGATGTTGGAGACGGTGGAAGTCTCCATGGCATGCAGGACTTCTAGGACCAATTTGCGGCCATGGACAGGACGACCGGAGCGTTCATCCACCCACAGCTCATCGTTGTAGTTGTTGAGCTCGACGGCAGCGACGAAGACGGGCCACGACAGACCGGTCATGAAACCTTTTTCGATGAAGCGGACGACCTCGCGCATGATCTGCTCGACCAGATGACTCACCAGCGGAGTGGTCGGGAGGGCATTGTAAAGGGCACAATTCAGGTAAAGCAGGGCGGCGAGTCTCTTGACGTTGGCCGACATGATGAGATATTCGTCGTCATTCTCGACGGCCTGCTCGAGACTTTCCAGCTTGAAGCGGGCGACGGCACAGGCATTGAGAAACGAATCGGTAATGGAAATGGTTGGGTCGGCGTAGGCGGCGCGGCTGAGTTCGGTGATGGTGCACAGCAACGCCACCAGCTCTGGACTACATCCCATCCAGACGTCGACAATCTTCTCGCCAAAGTTCCAGTAGTCGCGCCCGAACAGCGGCACCTGCGCACACGCCGTGCGGCCGATGACATCGTGGAACGCGAAAAAACGCTCTGCAAATGCCGTCAGGTCGTTGACCTCAACCACCTCGGCGCCCGGGACTCGGCGGTCCTGCTGCTGCTGGATCAGCTCCTTTCGGAACCTCACCATGTCATGGGCCCCCTTCAAGTGTACCACCCAGCCCGAGTCACAGTCCTGAATGATCTCGTAGAGACACAGCACCACCATGGTGATGAGCGTGTCGGAGCTGGCGGCCACCTTTTCGGGACCCTCCACCTGGAACCGGTTCTGCAGTTCTTGCAACACCTGCGCCTTCAGCTTCATCGCCGGCATCCGCCATGCCGGTTCCTTCTTGGACCGGTGACATGCCGACAGCGCCAAAATGGACAAAATCCCCGTCTTGGAGTTGGTCAGCGTGAAAGGCAGGATGAGCGAGGCAAAGGGTGATTGTGAGAGTTTGCTCGACGTTGTTAACGGACACAGCTTTTGGATGTAGTAATTCAACAGCAGCGACTGGTCCTCGTCCACCAAGTGCGGGATCAATGGCACCGACCGCGACCGGATTACCGCCGTCGAGTACGAGTTGGCCGAGTAGGGACTGCTGCTGTCGATATCCAGGGCGGCATTGAGCCTAGACGCCAGTCGCTGTAGATGAGCGCCGCCATCACCGCCGACCTGCAAGTTGTGTGAGGAAAGACCCTCGGTCGTGTCGAGCCTTAGAGGTTCTTCGAACGTCTGGGCAGAATAGTTGAGGAAATGGTATGGTTGGATCCGGGGCACCGGCACAGGCTGCCACTGCGCTGGTTCTGATGATATAGAGTTGGGCGAGTTCGAAGTGCCTCCAGATTTGGACCAGACGCCTGCCCGCCCGAACGCCAGCCCCTTGGACACGTAGTCGTCCTCCCAGCGGATCTCGTGCCCATAGTCGCATTGTCGGTGAGCGATCTGGCACCGGTGGCAAGTCGGCCGTTGTTCGTCGCACTTGACCTTGCGCGACCGGCATGTCAAGCAGCCTGCTCGCGTGCGTGGTTTCGGCGGCTGCTGGTCTGGCCGGCGACGACGGCCCATGTTGGCAACTGGTGAAGGTACAGCCGTTCCCCGTCCTTTGGGGACACGCGACTCTGCCCTTTCATTTGTACTCGCGGTGCCACGGGACCGGGGACTAGTCTGCACTGTTATCTGACATAGTGAAGTAATCTAGTTGGACGGGGAGGAAACTGTGGGAGAATGGAGACTCGGTCCAGTGGTGGGCCTGGGGTTGCCAGGGTTGTCCGACTCCCGAGCCAGGGCTTAGGCCTTCAACCTGAATCTTGCAATCCCGAATACTCGGTGGGCTGGAAGCAGTAGTAGCGTAAACTATAGGGATTGTCAGTCTTGGTCTTCGAAGCGCTTCTAGGGTATAGCTGCTAATCAACACTGCCAGCTCGTGGTCGTCACCGACCAGTAGGGTACTGCGGAGGATAGAAACTCATCGCTGACAGAAGCCATATTCCAAGTTGGTGGATCAAATTATCAAGCCGCTTCTCCGAACAGCTCACGGGGCCGATACCTGCAGTTGAACCAAGACAAGAATGAAGGGAGAGTGGAGTTGATAAGCCGCGGGTAACAAGCAATAATGAAACGAATTTCGATGGCGTCGGTATTGTGCGTAAGACCCCCTGGTATTTCTTCCCTCGTATCGTTACAACCACCAACAGCACGGACTATTCCGCGCCGCGGATGCCGCCCTTCTGGTAGAGGTTGCTTGCTGCTTACCTACATTCCATTCATGCCGACCCTAGATCTAGGTTCGATCGATGATAGCATGGAGGAGGATCCCCACCACCAACGGGGCCACTGCTGTGCATACGCCTCCTAGGATGGGTCGTCCATCGGAGGTCGTGTGGCGGTGGTAACAATGATGGAGTGGTTGAGTCAATCTAGTCGAGCAGGAGATCCTGCCCTTGGTAAGAGCATGCAGAACTCTTCAAGAATGGGACTTGTGGACAGGTTGGTTTGTCGGTTCATTGCCATTGATTTTGCTCAGCATTGTGATTGAACTTCCTCCATTCAACGACCAGTAGGTGGTTTGCAGCAGTTGACAGTATGGGAAAGAGGAGAATACTTGTGGGCTACGGGATCGATGTCGACGCCTGTTCCAGTCCCATCAACACGCGCGACGGAGCCAAGCCCGACCTAACAAACATTTCACGAGGCACCTTCGGGGCCACTGTCGGGGTGCCTCGGCTTCTGGACCTGTGGAAGAAAAAAACCATCAAGTGCTCCTGGTACATCCCTGGCCATACCCTGGAGACCTTCCCTGAAGAAATGGCTCTGATTCGAGACGCCGGGCACGAAATCGGACTACATGGATACACCCACGAGTATCCGGGGGACCTGACTCGCGAGCAGTTCGAGGCGACGTTGGTGAAAACCATTGATATCACAACCAGATTCTGCGGAATGAAGCCAAAGGGATTCACCGCGCCGGCGTGGAAGACCAGTCCGGACATGGTCGATGTGTTAGAACAGCACGGCATCGAGTATGGTGAGTCCAAGGATGGTCATATATCCAGCCTTCCATCACCTCACCAGGACTGTCCTTGACCTCTCGTGTCGCCGCAGATCATTCTTTCATGCATCACGACTTCAAACCCTACTATGTGCCGTACGGCCGTGAATGCTTCCAGGCAACGGACTACAAGAACCACCCAGAGACATGGATGGTGCCCATGAAGCAGAGTGCAAAGTCCAATGTGGTCGAGATTCCGGGCAACTGGTCCATCGACGACTGGCCGCCTTTCCAGTTTGATCCTTGGTCGGTATCCGTAAGTCACAGTCCCCTTTTGTCGAAAGCCCTGAATTGACCGAGACGACAACAAAATAGCAAGGGTACGTTGATCCGTTCAACATTGAGCGGCAATGGCAAGAACAGTTTCAGTGGTGTTACGAAAATTATGACACGTTCATCTTTCCCATCAGCATCCATCCGCAGGTCAGCGGGCGACCTCATATCCTCAGAATGCACGAGAGGTTCATCGACTGGGTGAACCGCGAGCATGAAGGTGTGGAATGGTGTACGTTTGCCACGATGGCACAAGAATTCAGGGAGGGAAGGATATAATCATAGGGCAGGGTTAGAGGAACGGAGGTCAGCGAAGCCAAACCTGGTCCGACTGGCATCTCGTTCTCCGAAAGATGTTCATATCCGTTCCTTCTAAGAATGGACTGTGCCGCAACAGACAGCTCATTGAATGTTCATCTGGATTGACACTCTGTCGGTGCTCTTACGACAGCGTGTAGACTCTGGTCGCGACATCTGAGTGCAAGCAAGTGTTGGTCGACTGGAAGGCAGCTGAGAAATGCTGGCGCCAAGGCTGGATTCGTGAATGCTAGAAGACCTTCTTCATGCCCCTACGATAGGAGACAAGCAATACACAGGGATATGACGAGGACGCGGAGCGTTGGCGTGCAACTCAAGGCAGCAAAGGTCAAATCAACCTGTACAAACGACGGACATATATGCTTACTAATACACACCGGCTGGAGTTGTATCACGTGAGACGGAGGCACGTGATACGGAGTAGTCGGTAATCGTCACGTGCAAGAAGGATCAAAGTCAAGACCTGAGCGGGCTGATTCAATTCTTTCAAAATGTTGTCCGATTTACGACAACACATTTCATTGCTTCGTATTATTACATAATGCACACTCTCTATCTGGGATCGTGTAGTAGTGCTAAGCACTGGTGGAGGAGAGTATGGCCTTTCCTCAAGTTTCCACTGAGTGGAGTTGACCTGGGGATTCCAGGTGCAAGGGCCGATCCTTTGTGAAATCTTGTCTCAAAGCCGGCAACACGGCTTGATCAATCGGCCCAAATGTTCGTGACATGTGGTATTTCCTTGCAAGAGCCCCTCTCGACCAAATGATCGCCGGGCACTGAAGGGTAGTCATTCAGGAAAACCGTGAAATTCGGTTCCCAAGTCTCTGACGACATAGGTTATGGGGTAATTGTCTGGAGCTCCGAGCTCACCGCCAGAGGGTGGCGCTGTCGGGGAGTACTCTGAAGATGGTGTTGTCATGAGCGGATCGCTCTGAAATCATGATTCTCGCATGGGAAATGACGTGAGGTTGGCGTAGTTGTACAGTGTTCGAACTCAGTCCGAACCTCAGCTCCCATTAATGAGCCGCACCAAAGCCACAGCGGCGCCGGCTGCCAGTACACCTACAACGAGCATCTGCAGGGCTCCGCCTATACAGGCCCGGTAGTTGTCACTTCCCGTCCAACCGCGGACGACTCCGGTCTTGACATAGCCAAAGACTAGCAAGACGATTCCCATCAGACCAATACTCCACCATAGGCCCAAAAGGACATCGTTTCGGGGCACAAGGAAGTAGGGTATGAGTGGAAGGAACCCGCCGACAAAATAGCTGATACCCAACGTGATTGCTGAAAGATATGGCCGGCCAGTTTCCGGCTTTGGTGCTTGGAAGTGGTTTTGGAGGAGAAATTCCTTGAACCCGGGAGTCGAAGTTTTGATCCGGTCTGCTATCCGCTTCGTGTCCTCCTCGGACATGCCGAATTGTTCGAAATACTCCTGGACATAGTCACGAGCTGTATCTGGTTCTTCGTAGACCAATTCATCGCATCTCCGGACGGTCGCATTATAAGATTCTCTGTCACAACTGTCAGTCAAGAGATCATACGATACGAACGCGTGAGTATAACTTACACTTCACTTTTGGCACCCACGTAACCGCCCAGTCCCATGGAAATTGCTCCGGCAATGAGCTCTGCGAGACCACCCAGGATCACCACCCGGGTGTCTCCAAGAGCCGTCAGGCCTGCTGTGAGAGCAAAAGGTACGGTGAGACCATCTGACAATCCCAATATCGAATCAGAAACAATCCTCGCGTCGAGCCTGAGTCGTGCCCAAATTCCCTCCACGCTCCGTTGAGAACTTTTGTCGGACATGGCTCCTCGGCCGCGTTGGCCTTCTGAGCCCTGCAGGGTAGTCGTTCTTGATAATAATGGTCTGTTTGCTTCCAGATCAGGGGCTGTTGGGAGTGTCTCTCTTGGTAACCATCTGCCAGTCAGGCTGGTTTCTGATTGGTTGTCGCCGTCGCGGCTGGTCATGTCGTTGATAACTTGAACTTCAGTTCGGAGTTCGGTGTAGTTTTTGCTGAACCAGGGGTCGGAGAATTTTTTCCTGTCTTTGATAATGGTCCAAGAAATAGTGGGCATGCAGTAGGTTGTCTGAGATTCCTACTGTGCAGCGTCACTTGTATTTAAAAGTGTCACGGTCACTGTTCCACAGTCCGTTGATGTAGAATGGTTCTCCCTGGATCTGGGCCGCTGGCCAATCACAGCAAGGATGAAAGTCAGCGATATGATATGTGGCTTTCGCTCAAGCCAATCGAGAACAGATGAGTTGAAATGCGATTTGTTTATTGGTGAATCTCGTGCTGAATGGTATATAGCCTTTGCAATTGCCATTTCCTTTTGTTCTGCCCTACCATGCGCAGATTTTTATGCTACATGGCTGTGATGGCAGCCTTCGCTTGTCGGGCGTAAGGGAAAAATCTCGAAGAGTGAATTATCTCACTCGGCTGCAGCCTTGTGCGTTGCCAGCCAATCGCCACACAGCACCTGATGATCAGGACCCTTCGATTATCTTCTGATCTTATCTAAACTCCGTCATCCCGCTGGGCGCCCAGTACACGAGGGGTTTATGCCCGCGAGCTCCGCGGAACACCGAGCTCATGATTATTAGGTACCTACTATTGATTGACCTCATTGTTTGATCTCGTCTATTCGGCCTCGTCTAGAAGTCTTGGATGTCCCTGCGTGTTCTGTGTCCAGACCATGGCGATGTCGTCTCGGCCGAGATGATGTACATCGCGGGGTTTTCATGTCCGGAGAAACTCTCATCTCCTTTGCTGCCTCCGTGGCTTCCTCCTTGAGCGGTTGCCCAGGTCGTCCATGTGTTGTTGACATCGCTGGCGAGGACGGTAGCACTGCATGCAACGCACTCTGTAAGTTGTGGGTGGAAGGAGCCTACGCAAGGAAGGTGCCTCCCACCTTGTGCTCATCCTTAATAATGGTTGTTCCTCTTCATGTTCAATGTTACGCTCTTCTGCATACGTTTATCATCGACAGCACTTAGGTGAGGCATTGATTGTGAGTGGCTGTCAGCTGCAGTTGAATCCGCTCTTTATCTTCCTTGTATTGCTCCTCAATCATAATTGTTTCCAGTCTGCCTATTCCTTCGACAGCCGGTCCTCAGCTCAAGATGCACGGCAAAGCTCTTCTTCTCCTTGCCATCTTGGCCGAGATACCAGCATCACTGGCATCACAAAAAGACAATGCTTTGCAGAGCGAGATGAACTGCAACAACTTTACTCCGGCAGCATGTGTGACCCGCGGTCGAGTTCATGGTCCGTTTCAACTTCAGCATGTCCTCGCCTATGCAAACATAAGAGATGGGAATTCAGGAAAAAGCACTGAGACGGACTGTGCGTGCTTCGAACTGGAGACCTCATCCGAAGTCTGTGGCAATATCCTAGCCTTTGCCAAGTGTCTAGAAGGGCTGCCGTCTGCTGGGGAAGCTGATGAGGTTTGCAACATGGATCAAGACTGCATCATTCAACTCGTCGAATGCCCCCATGAATCCATGCCGGACAAGGATAGGGCTGGTGGCCCTCTCTCCCAACAGGGGCTCCTTGCACGTTCCACGCCGGACCAGGGCTTCTCTGGCGTCGTTGTCGTGCCGGCAGGGAAGGAGGACTCAGAACAACTTCGCATTTGCGATGTCTTTGCATCTGCAATGCCCGGTGCGGTCCAACAGGCCATGCTCAATGGGGATCCGAATGTTGTTGCGCAGTCTTTGGCTGAGGAATTCTCCGGCAACGTGCTCCCTCAATAGTATGAGGACTTGCCGGCGAACATCAAGAACTACTACTCCACCATCACAATTCCGGCCACGTTGATTGCTCGGGCAACGGACGAGCCTACCGTGACCGTCAACAAGCCGGCAAGGGTGCGTCGCAGCGATCCTACCGTTGACGCTTGGATATCAAGCATCAGGTCATATGAATCTCAGATCAGTTCGCTCTCCCGCGCTGCTCATTCACAAGCAGACCTTGCTAGCGCACTTTCCAGAACCGCCAGCAGCGAGTCGCGCAGGGCGACCAGTTTGGGTGACTTGGGCCTTGGCACAACTGCAAGCCTACAATCCGTCCTGGCATCCTCCAACTCTGCGTTGGCAGTGTCCCAATCGAGAGTCGCTGAATCCGCTTCTAAAGCGATAAATCACCTGCAAGATACTTCCAGCTCGGACCAGGGCTCCAATGCCGCATCGGCTCGATTCACCGAGATGGCATTTTACTCAAGCACGCTGGGCGCTATTGCATGCCTGGGTCTGGCTCTTGTCCTGTAGAAATCGGGCCTTGGTTGTCATGGGATTGACGGATTCGAATAGACAGAGCAGTCGTTATTAGGTTAGATGCAATTCCAGACTATTGATAGTGTTCATCTCCATCCACCGACTCTTCCCTCGTCCCAGCGAGCTCGCATTTCCCGTCTCTTTGCCAGCGTTGTAGCACCTTCTCGGATCCTACGAACCCAGTCAGTCACCTCCTTCTCACTGGCCTTTCCATCCGCGCCCGTATTGCCATCGTAGCTCCCTTCCATGAAGCTTTCTTGAATGGCTCGCAGCACGGCTTCTTGTTCACCAATGCTCGCCACCAACCGCTGATACATCTGCCTCGGGCCCCAAGGCTCCAATGCATCGTCCATCTCACTCTGTTTTCTCCTCCACTGACTCTGTAGGGAAGTATGATTCAGAAGCAATTGAGCGGTTTCATCGCGCAGTTGCCGTAATTGGCTTTCCAACTGTGACACTTGTTGGGCCAGCTGAATGTTGGCCTGGATGGCCGACTCTAGTGGGACGAGCGAGGAGGCATATGAAGGATGAGTCGTGGCCAAGGACGCCAGAAGGGATGGGTTGTTGACAAGTGGATGGAGTTCCTTGATGGGCTTGTCTTCGAGTTGTTTGGGTATCCAGCGATCGGCCAACGACGGAGGCGGTATCGGAGTATATTGCTGCGCTTGTTGTCCTTGAGGGAGGACAGGCGTAGATGACCCCAGTCCTGATTGTGCGGCTGTTGTTGGGATTGGGGGAGGCGGACGAGGCGAGTTTATTGTGCCTGGCTGTGTTGCTGAGGGGTTCGGGATGCTAGGTGTTGGTGTCGAGGAGGGATGTGCTGATGGCGGTCTTGGGAGACTGGGATCGGCGGTGTCGTTCAAGTTGATAGTATGTGATGGACCTGTAGGTTTGGGTGGAGGGGGAGGAGGCGTCGGTGTTACTGTTGCTGCTGCGCCCATATTCGGAGCGATTGGGGATGCGGGTATAGGAGATGATGGCGCGGGAACAGGAACGCCGATGCCCGGTGTTGACGAGGAGGTATAGAATGATTCCGCCATTATGAGAAGGAAAAGATTTGTATTTGATTCTATATGGCTTACTTCAAGTGCATGGTTTGATATGGTAGTAGGTAATTACTGTATGTGCAAATGCAGTGTTGTATGGGACTGGAGGAGGTGTTGGAGTGGTCCTCGCAGCCTTGTCCAAGCTGTGGAGTTGTAATCTGCGGAGGCAAGGCTGGCCAGGGAAATTCTTCCGAGGCGTTTCTGAACTTCAGTACTACAACTGTCCAACTACTTCACCACGACCATCAACTTTCGCAATTTCATCCACCCATTCCACCACTGCATCTCATCTTCGTTGCGACACTTGATCCGACTGACACTCTACACTCCTACTACTACTATCTGGCTCATCTTAGTCGTCCGCAAAAATGGACTACCAAAACCGCGCCGGGTCGAAATTCGGCGGCGGCGGCGTCGCCTCGCACTCAGCCACCAACGCAGACCGACGCGAACGACTTCGAAAACTAGCTTTGGAGACCATCGACCTAGACAAAGACCCCTACTTCTTCAAAAACCACGTTGGATCATTCGAATGCCGACTATGTCTGACGGTCCACCAGAACGATGGATCATACCTCGCCCACACGCAGGGGCGCAAGCACCAGACCAATCTGGCGCGGCGGGCGGCGCGGGAACAGAAAGAAATGCAAAAGGACGGAAACCAAATGCTCCCCGGCATGATGGGAGTACAAGTGCGCAAAAACGTGGTCAAGATTGGTCGTCCGGGCTACAAAATCACCAAGATCCGGGATCCGCTTACTCGCCAGGTTGGGCTGTTGTTTCAGCTTCTGTATCCGGAAATCGCACCGGGTGTGCAGCCCCGCGTGCGGTTCATGAGTGCCTTTGAGCAGAAGGTCGAAGAGCCGGATCGAGATTATCAGTATTTGCTTGTTGCGGCTGAGCCGTACGAGACGTGTGGGTTTAAGTTGCAGAGTCGGGAAATTGACAGAAGAGAAGGGAGATATTGGACTTGGTGGGATGCTGATGCGAAGGAGTTTTGGTGTCAGATTCTTTTCAAGACGGAGAGAGATGAGCGGTATAGTAATGTTCCGGGGTTGGCGCCGAGTGGGAAGAAGTGAGGTGGATGATGCGGACGATTAAAAAAAAGCGAAAAACGGACGGACAACACCGTGCCACAGGATATCCGGAGCAGTGCTGAATTTGTTAACAGGGTCAGCACTATGGCGCTGTGTTCCACTCCACTCGGGTTTCGCGGTGGCTTTGCGAGGTCCAACATGCGAGTTGTGGACTGCGGCCATTTTCGGCGTATTGCTGCATAGCAGTCTGGTCTGGCTTGCAGTGTTTGACTTGACCTGGCACACGGAAGAGCGGCCTGCCAGATTACCATGGCCATACTGCATGCGATGCGGCTTATATGACTTCCGGGAAACACCTCGACCAACACCCGTGAACAGATCCCGAAGTACGCTGGCGTTAGGCTGGCCTTGTCGGTTGCTGCTCTCTGAAAAGCCCGATGACAGGGCAGCTCTTTAACCTCCTCATCACGACCAATTACTGTACTCTTACAACGGAGATCATATCGAGCACCAGTGGCGACTCGACCTTTCAGCGCTTACATCGGCTCAACCTTGCGACCCCCTGCGTATTGCAGACTGAGAGAAGTCAAGAAGGGTGGAGAACAGCGTGCAGGAATGCGAAGGATAGGATTGTCGGGACACCGAGTGACCGGTCAGCCTCGGGTTTCATGATACTACCTAGGTAGTACCCTGAGGTACATAACGAGCTGCCACCATCTACGGGCTGCTCCCAGCAAAGCAGATTGACTCCTTGCGATTGAACTACCATGCGCAAAAGGAAATCAACACCAAACCAACACAGATTGATTGATTATGCACCCAGTTGATGGAATTTGATGATGACGGTAGCATCAAGCCATCCGTCGTTTAATCATCAATGAAGTCTGCTTTTCCCCTGCTACCTAAGTGCCTGCCCAAACGCCCTCAACATGTAGCAAGCAAGTGTGCGCCGTAACTATCAATTACCGCCTGATGATCTCCCATTTTCGTATCATTACTGCCCCAACTGCGCCTTTCCCTGCATGACCACATCGCCATATTCCTTGAGACTAAAATCCCGATCAACAATACTATCCCACGCCCGCTGCATATCCTCCTGTGCTTTCTTGTTTTTCCATCCCCATCCCGGCCGTTCATCCTGCTCCGTTTGGTCTGACTGTATGCCGCCGCCACCACCACCACCATTGGCATCCTCGCGATGAGTTCCCGCCATCTGTGTGGACTGTCTTGTTGTCCTGGCCGCCGATGTATTTGCCCGACCACCGTTCAGAAGATTGGTCGTCGGTCCACCATCGGTACCGCTACTCTGCGAATTCGGCTGTGATCGAGGTGGAGAGAGTTCGCCGGGCGCAGCGGCGTTGAGGTGGTCGTTGGCCGGGGGAGGGGTGCGTGGATGATTGTGCTGGTGCTGGCCGTTAGTTGGACCAGCCGGGTTGTCGGGAAGTAGATTGTTGGGGGTGTCGTCGTCGAAGGACTCGTCGACGTCGATATCGCCGGTGTCTTGGAATGCGGAGGGGGAGGGCGTGGAGGTGGTTGACGTCGTCATTGTTTCGTCGAGATCCATGGCTGAGAGAAGAGGGACTTGAGTTAAGGTAACTTGGAGGGTTTTCTGGAGGTATTCACTTTCAAGTTTCGCTGACTGCTGTGAAATGAGGCGGGCTGCTTGTACAGTTCAGCAGTAATTAGTGGAGTGAACAACGGGCAGTGATAATCGCGGGCGTGTACTATAAAGTGAATATAAGGCTGCTCGCAGTGACACTATTGGTATTTCACTACTGACCAATCACGCCAAGGCAGTCGCAGCCTTGCAGAATGCAGTGTCGCAGGCAGTGGGGCACAGCCTTATTGTTGTTTCCTACAAGTATCATTGACCGCGACACTTTTCTTACTCCTGCTACTACCCTAGGTATGGTAAACAATAATTACCACTCTATTATATCCGCGACAATGGACACAACAGAGAACAACAAGCGCAAACTTGAAGTCGACGACCCAGGCACAGCATCAGTGTCAGAGTCAGAGTCTGTGTCCGCGCCAGCGCCAAAACGACAATGCTCACAGCCGGGTGCCAGTGGCGGCCAGCCTCGACCCCTCAATGCAAGCATGGAAAAAGAAAAACCTGCGCACTCGCTCACTTGGCAAACGCCGGCTTGGCCGACCCCAATACGACAATACTCGACGACAGGCAGCCATCTTCTAAACTACCCTCCAAGTGCATATGGAATCGCAAGTACAACGACTCACACTGCCAAACAGCAGCAACAAAAGCCTCCCTCATCAAAGACAACCACTGCCAAAATACAACAACAAAAGCCTCTTTCGGAGCAGCAAACACATCAGAAGATGGGCCTCGCAGAGTGTGCTAGAGAGACACTCAGTGTCGTACCCGGACTCTTGCTTACCCGACCCGATGCTCGACCCGATGGCTTCCGATATGCCCAGCAGCCCTTGAATCTGGTTGACAAGTGTCCCAATCTGCCCAAGACCAAGATACGAGTCATCGACAGCGACACCATTGACGCCGCACTTCAGATGTCCCTTAACGCGTTGGCAAACGACCCTCCGATCTGCATCCTGAACATGGCCAATGCAAAACGTGCAGGCGGTGGGTTTCGAACTGGGTCGCTTGCACAGGAGGAAGAGCTCTGTTACAGAACCTCTCTTGCCCGCACTCTCAAGTATGGCTTGTACCCCATCCCCGAGGATAATGTCATCTATTCACCTACCGTGCTTGTCATCCGAAGCAGCTTTACCAACGGCCACCTTCTGTTCGACTGTCGTGACCCGCGCCAACTTCCGGTCATCAGCGTCATTTCTGCAGCGGCAATCCATAAGCCTGCAACAAAAAAGGTGCCTGGAACGGCACCAATCACCGCTTCGTTGGACTATGCCAGGGAAAAGGATCGAGAGCTCATGAAGGAAAAGATGCGTGTCATTCTTCGCACGGCGATTCGAAACAATCATCGCAAACTCGTGCTGGGTGAATTCGGCTGCGGTGTCTTTGAAAATCCGGCCAATCGAGTCTGTGAAATGTGGGAAGCGGTGTTCAAGGAGGATGAATTCTCCAGGGGTTGGTGGGAGGATGTCGTCTTTGCTGTTCTCAGCCGGGGAAGAGATCCAAACTTGAATATCTTCACGAAGTTCTTGGATGGTGTGGAGGTTTGAGATGGGTCGACCAAAAGCACAGTCGCTGTCACTTACGTTCAAGTGGAAAGATTGTGGTGGCGTCGCTCAGTGGAAGGGTGGTGGGCAGAGTCGCTTGCTTTCGGAGCCTTTTCTATGTGAGAACGGTGAGGCATGCTGCATGCGGCAAGAAGTCAGGTAGGCGTGCTCAAATAGCTAGTCCGAACGCATCATGGCAGGCAGAATCCCAACTTGGGGCGTCAAAGCCAGATAATGAGTTCATCGTGGTGTTTGCAGCCATATACTTTCCTTGCCGACATTGATTTGTCTCGGTAGACGTCATGCATCCCGTCATAGGCCGTCCTTGCCCTCAATCCTCAGCTTAGTGACAAAATCGTGCGCTTGCCATCATAGAAGAATAATCTGCATCCCAAAAGCTTTCAGTGCCCCATAGGGAGAAGGGGTTAGGAAGAAGGACAGGCTAGTGGGTTCCAATGCCCCCACAGCAGCGTTTCCAAGGCCGGGATATGGACCAAGATCAGTCCTACAACTCAACTTGCTGCTACGATCCATGCACTCGCAGCAGATAGTTGTCGACGCATGATCCTCCTATGAACGAGAAGATATTTGTTCGTGCCAACTTACCCAAAAAGAAGGATTTGCATTGGTCGGCTCCTGACTGGCCAGCCTCGTCGATTAGTCAGTATCGGCTATCGATAAGCGCACCCGCCATCGGCAGTGGAGCCGCGGAAAGACGTCAATCTGGCTGCGGCTGCGGCTCCAACAAACTTGACCAAAATTCCGACAACCGGCCTCGAACACGGCGACTGTACAATAATTATTAATCCTCAGAACGAGCCTTTCTGCGAAGCCAACTCTCTTCAGACTGCAAACCATTGACTACCTAGATACCTACCTTAAAGATTGGACGAGGGTTCAGTCATCTATCTGTTCAGGGCGGTAAAGTGTTCTAAAGATTCCACTTCCTCTCGGCCGCGGTCGCTTCGCCTCGCCACTCGCGACGACCATACCATGAGCGCCATCCTCAGCGCGGACGACTTGAACGACTTCATTTCGCCCGGCGTCGCATGCATCAAACCGGTCGAAACTCTACCCAAGCAAGAAGACTACAACCCCTACGAAGTCACCACCGAAGACAAAGTGGCGGCGCAGAACCCTGCGCCCGCGTCCATCTCGTTAACCGACTGCCTCGCGTGTTCAGGCTGCGTCACGTCCGCCGAAGCCGTCCTCGTGTCCTTGCAATCACATACCGAAGTCCTCAATACTCTTGACTCATACGAATCTCTCAACATCCAAAATCTTCTTCAACAACAATCAAAAAACGGCCTCGGTCATATCAACCATGCCCATACCTCAACACCCATACCTCAAAATGCAAAACTGTTCGTCGCCAGCGTCAGCCCGCAGGTCCGGGCAAGTCTGGCCGCAACATACGGCATCTCCGAACGAAAAGCCGGCTTCATGATCGAACAATTTCTGTCTGGCGCACAGGGGTTACGGATAGGCGGCGCACACAACAGCAGTTTTACATATGTGGTTGACACGAACCAGCTACGAGAAGCATGTCTGGTACTGGGGGCGGAGGAAGTGTCCGAATCTCTCTCCAACAAAAAAAGACCAGTCTTGACCTCCGCTTGTCCCGGCTGGATCTGCTACGCCGAAAAAACACATCCTCACGTGCTACCGCATTTATCGTCCTTGAAATCTCCACAGGCCCTCTCAGGAACACTGTTGAAGTCGGTGCTGAGCAAGACTCTGGGGATCCATCCGTCGCAAATCTGGCATTTGGCTATCATGCCGTGCTTTGATAAGAAACTCGAAGCTAGTCGTGAAGAACTCACTGATCGGTGGTGGCGGCCAGAGTCACAACAACAAGGCCAAACCACTACCCAACCGGTTCGCGACGTCGACTGTGTCATCACCTCGCGCGAACTCCTATCTCTCGCCGAAGCCCGTAACATTCAACTCTCTTCACTCCCACTTACACCTCTCGAACAACCACCCTTTCCCGACGCCAGAATATCCAATTTTTTGTTTCCTTCGCCCCGTCGGCGGCAGCAGCGGGCCGAACAATCGCCCAACGCAGGCTCGTCAGGCGGTTACTTATACCACATCATGGCCACCGAACAGGCCAACCACCCCGGCAGCACAATCTCCATTCAACGAGGTCGCAACGCCGATGTCGTCGAGTACTTTTTATTCTCTGCCGACGGGACCCAAACACTGATGAAATGTGCGCGATACTACGGGTTTCGAAATATTCAAAATCTGGTGAGGAAGCTCAAGCCGGCAAAACAGTCTAGACTCCCTGGTGCCGCGAGACGTGCCACTGCCGCCACTGGAGGAGCAGCTGACTACGCTTACGTCGAAGTCATGGCTTGTCCAGGCGGCTGTACGAACGGCGGAGGTCAGATTAAAGTCGACGATGTCGCGGGTATCTTGCCGCAGACTAGGGGCGAACAAGTCACTACTACGCCAGTGACTCCGCAAGCCCAAAAAGAATGGCTGAAACGCGTTGACGAGGCTTATTATTCTGCTGAGTCTGATTTCGATTCCGATTTCGATGAGAACATGCAGGATCACGACGACAACAATGCCAAAGATAATGATCCTGATGTCAACATGACGAATGGCCATGTTTCCACTGCTGCTGTCAATGGTACATCTGACACTCCACACGTCAACAACAACCACACCAATAACAACGACAACAATTCTCTCGATACTCCTGGGAACGTCATCAACGGCATAAATGTTTCCGACGTTCAAGATTTGCTGCATTACTGGGCCGGATTGGTCGGTGTGCCGCTGGAGAAGCTTGCCTACACGACCTTCCGGCAGGTCGAAAGTGATGTGGGCAAGAATAAGGCAAATGGCAAGCTGAGCGATACAGAACGGATTGCTCAGATTGCAGGCATGAGCGGCGGTGGCTGGTGACTGTAACATACTGGACGGTTGAGTTATGACTACATTCAACATTTATGAACACTGGGATGAAGGAGTTTTTGCTGTAACGAGCCTGTTCAGAAAGGGGGCTACGGTAGAGGGATCCTGAGATAAGACAACTGATATTGTACATTGGAGTAGCCTAGAGTATCTACATTGAAGACTATGTCCCTAAGTACTGTCCACTTCACCCCTCGCTCTTGTCAAAGTTAGACACTCGATTGAACGATTACCCGGATCAACCCCCATATACTGGACAAAGCTATTAGTATTGCATGCCCTCGACACTCGGAGTCTGGCAACTCCCCAATGCCACCCCCTTATCCTCTCCAGGCCACCTGGTTCACTCGCCCGTCAATTTGCTCTCTTCATCCATCGAACAGCAGGCATCCATACCTCGTAAACGAGTTGTGAACAGTAGTAGCGTTCACTGATCTGGAAATCAGCGACTTACAGGGTCTGCTGAGATTTCGAAGAGCCATCGAAGGAAATAGAGCCAAAGACAGCCGCAACGCAAAAGGGCCTACAAGGGTCTGCTGGAAGGTCTGAAGAATGAGTGTTGGAATGATAAAGACGACGAGAACATGTTTGTGCCCTCTCCAAGCTGAGCTGGGTCTTGGCCCGCTCAAAGAAATAGATCCGACTGGGTAACAGTGTCACGTCTCAAAAAAGAATCCACAGCTCAATGATCTGTTTACATGTGCCCAATATACTCGTCTTCGATATCCATATCGATTGGAAACAAAGGATCTCTCTGGGTGAGTTCAATCTGTGCATGAGACCTGCAGTGGCGGCGATGAATGGTCATACTTTCTTGACCAGACCAAAGCAGCGCGCTGCGATCATGGCTCGACATGGACAGGTCGACGATCAACAGCAATAAGTGGGAATGGGATTGGCTTGTGTTGGGGGATTGGATTGGGGGATTGGTGGAAGCAATACAGTGGTCGAGGTAGGAGGGGTGTTAGTCAGAGGTATCGAGTTGGTCGATGGAGCGAGAGAAGGTAGTAAGGCAAAGCTGGTGCGTGGAGGTGGTGCTAGTGAGACCCACGGCTTCGCGGTTGCGAGCGTACGATCTCAAATGTGAGGTTCTCGAGAATGATGGTGTCAGCGACGAGAAACCGAGAGCAGGAGGCTACCAAGTCTAGAGGGGCGTTAGTGCGGGCGCCAGCCTCTGCTCAGCGCGAACGACTGAATGTAGGGTCGGTGACAATGCACCACGTCGGAATGAGAGATGTCGTAATCAAACGAGTTCGGCTCTCCTGGGCAACACACGCCCGCCCTCTTGCCCAAGAGATGTTGCTCGACACGAGACTGATTTAAGTCTAGCAACCTGGTGCCGCTGTTAGGGTCTGAGCGATATAACGCCTTGGAATCGTATACCAGGTCGACAACGTCCAGAAATTGGGCGTCGACCATATGGTTAGAGTAGCGGTGATGACTTGGTAGCTTGTCAGGTGTGTGGATAAGCGGTTGGGACAGTAGCCAGTGGCAATGAGAGCCATATCAAAGGATTGAGTTGTACCACAAAAGTTTCCTGGGCACCACCCACCCACCCACTGCCCAGGAAACAATGCTGAAGATAATGGGACCAATCAAGATGTTAGCATTGTGAATCGCACTGCAAGTGCTGTATCTGCTGATAAGAGAGGAGAAAAAGCTGGAAAGAGTTCCTGAGCACCGCCCACCAACCCGCTCCTCAGGAAGTTGCTCTGGGTTAGAACTAGGATCGGTACGACCCTACTCGAGAGGTTGTTGGCCGATGACAGTGGGCTGATGAAGGATAATGTGGCTACGAGCCATGCCGAGCGGCGAGAATCTTTTGCAGGGATCGGTTGCTGAGAAGGATGGTGACAATAACGTGGCAATGGTCTCCTGGGCTGCCACCCAACCGCCCTCTTGCCCAGGAGATAATAGAAATACAGGGATGAGGTTAGCAGCCGAGGATGGTATGCCGTCGACATTGAGATGGTGCTGCTAGTGGAAGCGAAAGACAGGCGTGACACAGGCATGCACACGTCGTGCCACATTCCCCAGACATATGGACTGGTATCGTGTCGACGTTTATGAAGGGGTCTCAGGCGTGGCTAAATGCCGATCCGTTGTCTTCGGAATGTCAAACAGGACACCCGAAGCAGTGATTGGATGAAGGGCATTGGCGATGAAGTCAAGATTGGATGTATGTATTGGCTGTTGGAGACGCATCGGTAAGCCTGCTATGCGTATGCACTAGACAACTGGTTCCCGAAGGCAGTGTGTGTTAGGTGTTGAAAGGACTCTCTGGGCACCACCCAACCACCCTCTTGCCCAGAGAGTCAAGGACCGGAGTTGTTCGGATTATAGAAGGTTGCTGAAGCTGTTCGTTGTGCCTATGGATGAAGCGAAAGGCACAGGAGAAAGTTACCTGCCACCCAATTGCCCAGGATACAACTGAAGGGAGTGTTGCTGGCGGATCGTCGTGATGAGATGGTTGACGAGTAGATGGGATAATCTTGTTGTTGACAAGCAAGAAAAGCATCCCAGGGAGCCGCCCAGCCACCCTCTTCCCTAGGATAAAGGTAGACGCGTCTGCGCGTGAGCAAATGAGAAACGCGGGTTGTTGTCGAGGCAATGGGGGAGTAATCAGGAAGTAGAACGACCATAGGTTAGTGAGATGCCCTCCTATGGAACTGGACCTCTGCAGAGGCGCGAGCCCTGGTTTGTGGGTTGTTCGTGTTGGTAAGGGAGGCTGATCAAGCCTTGTGGGTCAATGACAGCTCTGGCGGCCGCGAGCAGGTGATTCAGAGGTTGTGGGGAGAGTGTGGTGCGGTATACTGCAGCGAGAGGTGGAGACAACGCTGCTCGACAGGTAAGGATGTGCACATGGTATTGGAGAGACGCTCCTGATGGGGTGGGTACTGATCAGCACTGTGGAAGCTCTGTTGGCGGTCCACAGGTACCCCAGGAAGGGTCGTAGAGGTGTCGTGAAGGAGTGTTGTACGAAGAGTGCTTCTCGGTATGAAGATTGGCACATGTGAGGGCCATGGACTGATGGCTTAGAGACTATGACAAGGGTCCCCAGTATGCCCTCTGCCTGGTTGCACTTAGATCAGCTTCGCTGGTCACTCATGGGCAACGTGAGACACTCAAAGCGGAGTGCGGTCTCGAGTGGGTGTCGGCGAGAGGAACAAACAGCTCTGTTGGCCGCCCGTACGTGACTCAGAGTCTGTTAAGGGATACTGCGATGTACTTGCTGTTGGACAAAGCAATACAGAACAACCCTGTATGTCTGATGAAGGGCGACTCAGATATTGTTGAGGAGTGATCATAAGTTGCGGTATGCCGACGACATCAACTAATCGATGCTGCTGTCTGCATCTGATTGTATCAATCGAGGTCACTCCGTCTTATGACCCAACTTAATCGACCAGAAGCTTGCGAGCTTCTGGAGTGGACTCCTCCGCAGGTACCGAACTGACAACAACGGTTAAGCTGTCTCAGCAATGTTGCTGGCGCTTATATTCTTGATAGCAGCTCAGTCTGGCGCTGGTGCTTCAAGTTGATGCTCAGTAAGGGCCCTGCTGTGACCTGCAGACGACCCTGAGCCAGGGAGAGCATATAAAAGGCGTTGTTGCCTCTACAATGCACGAAGTTGGGGGACGAACCTCTTAGAGAGGTTCCAGTTCCCCTGGCCGAGGAACGCTGAGCCCCGACCGTTGATGTCAGGGTGCCCCCCGGCCCATCCCTGGGGAATGCCGTTGTATAGCGACATCCCCTGAGCGCTATTCCCGAGAAGAGTGCCATATTCCCCGGGAAACCGTCCCCCAACAAGCAACAGCTGTTGCGGGTTGACATATTGCGGAGGAGCAGTTTGCCCCTCCGGCAGCAGCCCCGTAGCATCTGTTCGCTGCTGGGGGTTGAAGTATTGTGGAAGGGCATGCTGCCCTTCCGGCAGACCCAAAGGAGCAACAGACCCCTCTGGAAACAGCTCCGGATCCGCGAGCAGCGCATCCAGGTCGAATTGCGGAAGGGCATCATGCCCTTCCTGCAAACCCCCCAAGGGGGCAACCGGCTCCTGGGCAGCAAATGCTGCGACAGGGCCTTGCCCCCTCAAGGGGAATCCTGGAAGCCCCGCGGCTTCCGCGCCTGCCTCCTCTCCCTGCCCCCGCGACTGAGGCAGGACCGGGGGCTCTCCGATCTGCCATTGAGTGACGTCTGGCAAGACGCCACCCACTTGGCCCTCTGGAAGGACCATAATTGGCTCGGGGAGCTCATCCCCCATATGAGCAGGCCTTTTGGCACATGCCTCCATGTGCCTCTTGGTGTTGTCTTTCCGTTTTCCGGAAAAGACACAGGAACGCCAAGCACAGACGTACTTGGTGTGCACGGCATTTGCGGGCCCCTTCTCGCACGTCTTCTCGTGCCTGCGGAGATTGGTAGCATTAGCTACCTGTTTGGGGCAATACCGGCACGAGAGCTTCCTGCCACCATGCTGGCTCCTGGTATGGCTGGCGAGTGCACCCTTTGAGGTGTACTCGCCATTGCAGCCAGGCTGCCCACAAGAGAAGGCCTTCCCGGCCATCTTACCAGAGGCTTCCTGTCGGTCACAACTCGGTGTCAGCTTTTGCTCAGAAACAATGGCATCCGGAAAAGCAACTAGCTCTTCAGAGATATGAAGAGATTTTCGATATGCAAATGGAGTGCCACTTACCCTGTAAATTCGGTTGAAGCTGTTGTTTATCTGGCGTCTTCCGCTTCAATGTGTGCGAGGGTGCTGGAGGGAGGGAGGAGAGCGGAGAGAGATTCTGTGGTCCGTGTTATATGCTGGGCGATGTGTGGTGTTCTGTGCTGTGTGTGCTGAAGTGTTGAAGATTTTGTGGTGAGAGCTGTATGCTGCGTCCTATGGGGCCAAGGAAGGAGCATGCAGGAGGAAGATAAACGTGTGAGCACTTGAGAAGGCACAACTTATACCTGAAAAGATGAGCTTTCCGAGCTCTGCAGGAGCTATTCTCGGACACGCCGGGGTGGCTCATGAATCTAAAGCTGAACATACTTCAAAAACCAAAGGGTGCAACATCAAACGGCATCCACAATTGGGAAATGCAATGACGATTTTGCTGAAGCAGACGTGATATCTTTGAGTTTGAGGAACGTGCAGGGGTGTAAGGAGTACTCCTGCCATGGTATCCACCTGAGTGGTCGCTGGAACACTCCCTCTCATCACTGAGGTTCGGTGTTGGCAGTGCACTTCCCTGTTCCGGCGGGTTGTCGATTGACAGAGCTTCTAAGATGAACACCTGGGTGATACATCTTAGTGTCCACTTCAACCTTCACCATTGCTACAAACCTTGGGCTCCTGGGAAGTTTCTGTTTCCTGCCTTCGGTGCAAGATATTGGCCACTCAGGGTTCCGATTTGGCTGAGGCTTCGGGGAGAAAGTCCATGCAATATCCGTGCTCATGACCTCGCTAGCAACGACACTTCGCCGACGCTTGACTCCAGCAATTCAAAACCAAGGAGATCTGCAGGATTTGGGCATATGGTGAAGTGTGACTGAACGGAGTCTGCTGTTTTGGAAGCTAATGCGACCCATCACTGTTTGCGAGTTGCCGAAAAAAGACAGTTGGAAGCACGGACAATGGCAGTCAGTGGATACCTTGGCATTGGACAGATGGGTGACCAGGGGACACGTAGGAGCTGGTTCAGCACTCAGTTTCTGCTGGTTAAGCTTTTGACCTTTTCGTCGCTAGCACGCGGTGACATTGTGGCCATCTCGAGCGCCAACCACAAACACCACGGCTGGACTAACAGAGTTTGGGAACACAATCCATTTCCGCCGACCTTTTGCATTGCAACGGTATTTCCTTACATGTAGTGAAGCCTCGTATGGAGGCGTAGAGCTGGCAACAATAGTGGACAGGATACTGGGGTTTCTCTGTGGTGGGTATTGAGTTTCGCAGCCTTGCCGTTACAAGTTAGGCATGGGCACTCAGGCTGGGGCCATCTGGCCAATCATTCTGTATTCTGTTTGAACTTCATGGCGGATTCGTGTCACCCAGGCTGCAGTAATAAATACCTTGGTAACACCTGCACACCTAAATCCGCTGCTAATACGGTCATTACATGGCGATTCAGAAACTCATGGTGTTGATCCCCGCGGCCAAGCCATAAGGCGCCAAGCATTTCAAAAGGTCGACCACGTCCAACTCCGCCGCAGTTCAACGTTCAACCGACCTGCCATTCAGCATCTTACCTCGACCTCAATCCAGTGTCCTGTGTTCTATACCCACTCCACTCCTTCGAACCGCTGCAAAAGCATAAGGTATCTTATTCTCAGTTCCCCCAAGTTTTCTCTGTGGTACGCTACGGACATTTTTATCAGTGCCATTGTCTGCACAATCAGAACTCAGCCCCACTACCCGGCATCGATGGGAAACCTCTGCTCGAGGTCGGCCAATGAGCCCGATCACTTCTCCACCCCTGGGAGGACAGTCGGATCAAGTACACCGGCACAGAATCAGCCCAGCTCTGCTCCTGTCCCCCAGAAGGTGACTACGAGCACTCCCGGCAGGACTCTGGGCGGGGTGGAGCGGCCTACAGGGCCGGACGATCCAAGGAGTGCTGCGGCACGAGCAGCAGAGGTAAGCCCCGACACTGACAGTTTTTGGTAGCCAACTCCAGGAAGAGCTGCCTGCTGTCCTTCTCGTGGATCACGCCACGGAGCGGGTCCCTAGCGATGAGTGGATCAAGCTACAGTATCGACCTTGCAATGCGTGTGCCCGATTTGAAAGCAGGGGTAGTTTTGCACCCGCATTAACCTTTCAACTTCTTAGGAACGAGCCGCCAAAGCGAACAAGACCAGTGGCAAACTCTCTGCCCAATTGTCAAGCCAGAAGAAGCAGACCCAGAATCAGTTGCTCAATTCGGGTTCTCAGACAGAGAGGAGAACGAGAGATGCCGACCAAACTGCAGAAGCTCGCAATTGGAACTAGCCATGTCCCTCTACTCAACGGCCTTGTACAGTGAGAGAGGTCGATCTGGAGCGGAACCAATGACCGGTGTCAACTTTGGGGTGAGCCGTGGCTTGCAAAGGCTGCCACGGTGGCCTTTGAAGTCGGTAGTGGCCATGGATGATGGACCCCGAACCGCACGTTGCCAAACCTTGCTGTTTGAACTCTGGCATCCACTGATCCATTGCGATGCACGGGATCCACAAGCAGAGTGGTGCACAACAGCTTTGACAACCTTCACTGACCGACGACCGTGTTGGAACTATGCACAGCCCTGCTGCTAGTGTGTGGTTCGGCATCGAAAGTCTGTTGCCTTTTCTTTGCCCTGGTTGAGTGTGGCATTCAGTCTCAGGTGGCGAAGATTTTCTGGGGTCAGTTCGCTGCCCCCAGAGGAGGGTGTCTCGTTCAGAGGCGGGACGGAGAACCGCAGGCGTGCAGACGGCGTTTGATGGCCTAGAAAGCCCTTTTTGGGCGATAAAGAGAATTCATTTCAATTGGACATGATTGCCATACTACAGTACATACAACAATCTCAAGTATATTCTTCATTTGAAGCTTGGGGAGTGCAGCAGCAATCGAGTCGCATTGCAAATGTGTGGAAGCTTGAGCGAGGTGCACTTCGCGGGCTTTGGGTTCAAAGGTGACGGGCGCAGGCAGCTCTGGTCCCTGGAGCAGAAACTGCGCCTAAATTTCCCCGGGGCAGTCACTGAGCACCTGCAGCAGGCATTACAGTCCCTAAGAATTTGAACCTTGGAAAGCCCCAGGTTGCTCCTAACAACCTGTCCCGAGCATCTCAGGCTCTCTCAATCCCTCTCAGACTTGCAGACCTTACTACTACTAGTAGTACCAATCCTGTCGTTCTTGTTTCCCTCTGTACAGCAATCTGACCTTTGAACAAGGAAACGTGGTCTGCACGAATACGAGCCATGCTTTGCCCGCTCGTCCCTTTCTTGTATGATATCTATCTGTTCTCTTCCCTGACTGCGGTATAGAGCCCAATCCAGCCCGCCAACATCGACCCACACGTTCAGCCTACACCATGTTACTAGTACCTGTTAATCGGCGGTCCTCCCTTCTTGACACTCAAGTCTCCTCCCAACAAACCCCTTCCTTCGTCCTCGACCCCGGTAGAAGTAGACAGGTGCTTGAAGTGATTGACCAGTGGGAGCTCTATTAGCGAGCTTTAAAGACACGGGAGGACAGCTCTTTTGGGAACAAAATGAAAGTTTCGAGGCTAGGATATTCACGAACACAAAATCCAGAAGACCGCACACTGGCAGTTCCCATACTCAAGGCTGAGTCGTTGCTGGACGCAGTGCTTACATTGCATAACAGAACTAAGTTGAATCAAGCTCTTGTCTTCTCGTTTATTAGTGATTCGGCCAGGCCCGAGCCGCCATCATCTCTTCTGTCGATAGTCAGATCTGCAGTATATCTTCAATGCTGCTGGTCCTGTCATCTCTGTTACATATCCGAACTTACCGCATCCAAGTTACAGTGGCCCAGCATCATGTTCGAAGTCCAACGGCTTTCGCCAAGAATGAGGACTTCGGCAGCCGGCTGCAGTGTGCAGGATGAGGACCTGTAACCCACCTATCTTGCACAAAGTCTAACAAGACTTCAACAGAAGAAGATCAGTGCGGAAATTCAAGGGTAGGAATGCATTCTGAAGGGCGACCGAATCAGAGACAGAATCTTGTCGGACGGTTATCTTCTGGATTTGAGGTCAAGCAGACTGGCGTGTTACAGGAATGTGCTGTTGAAAAGCGAAAGGGTCCCAGTTGGCCTGGACATCCCCCACCCGTGGCTGGGGAGACTGATGATTCGGGTACGATCCCCGATCTTTAAGCCGGCGTCTGAGTACTATTCCAAGTGGCAGCGGCGAAGAATATGGGGCCAAAAGAGTGCCTCGCAGGGGCAACGCCATGCTGATTTTCTTCTTGGGGAGATATTCAGCGCAGAAGCGGGCATTACAAGAGGTTTGAAGCCAGTGCAGGTGGTTATATTGCGCATTCACAGGTGAAAACGGAATGGGAAGCGGAAGGAGGAAGCAGAGTTCCTGAGGTTCTACATCTCGCGATACAGGATGGCCCAGGTCGAGGGGCCATCCACTATACTGCTGTGCTGCACTCGTCGCGACTCGACGATAAGAGAATGTGACAACAAAGACCTCCAAGACAAAGGACCGATAGACGGATCTTTGCACACGTCTTCTCGGAAAAGAAGACAACATATGTGCTCGATGCCTTGCATTGCCCATCGTCCTTCATTCTGACATGTTCTTTTGTTTCGACGGCGGAGTCCCTCCCAACCCATCGCCCGCTTCGTCTTTGAAGGCTTGCGACAATTCAACTTCCCAGTCTATTTTTGATCCGTAGGAGAAGCGCTCCAGCATAACTTTTGAATTCCATCATGATAGCCACGGTGCCCGCCCGGAATCCAACCCAAGCATGCCTCTTGCATTCGAGGCCTCCAGCAGCAAAAACGCCAAACGCCCTGCCCTAGTGTGGATTGCTATGCTATGCTAATTCGGGTACAGGTCATCATTTCAAGCTCATCAATGTCAGCCCAGCACTATTCAGTCCATGGCGCTCTACTACAATGTAGACGCATCTCAGTGGGACTGCTGGACTTTCTGAACCAATTTCCTGCCGCTCATAGCCCAGCTTGAAACCAGAAGATCCTGATCATAATCACTCCTCCTTTCCTTCGTTGGGCAGAAGGTTGCCACGGACGGCGAACATCTTGCCAGAAGTGGCTGCAACAAACCCATCAACCTGTCGTGCATACTGCTCCACCTGTCGGCTGTTCAACATGCTCTCCAAGCGGCTTGGCTCGGTCGGCAACTTGAAGAGCTTCTGCCACTCATCCTCCGGCAAAGGGGGTTGCTTCGAAAGTGCACGAGCAGCGTTCTCGGCCTTGCGCTTAGCTTGCCATTGCTGAATCTTAGCCTGCTCTCTGGCCAAAGCTCGCTGGTAGTAGGAGAAGTTGTTGGCTTCGACGTGGTGAGTTTCGATAGAATCCAGAAGATTGTCGGCGGTCTGGGACAGATATGGGTCGATGTTGATGGACAAGGACTCGAAGCTTGGCGCAAGGGTGTCGTTCTTGATCACGGGGTTGTTCTCAATCTCGTCGACAGAGTTGGGAGCCTTCATGACACCGGAAGCGAGCAGGCGTGGGACTTGGTGGACAAAGGTATTGACGAGGTGAGAGTTGTGGACAGTGACCGGGATTTCGACCAGGATATCAGTGTATTTGAGACCCGACTTGAGGAGGCTATTGAAGTGTTAGCATTGTCTCCTTGCCTGTTTTTGCAGTGGTTTCATACTTCTCGGTGGTGAACTTGTTTTCCTTGTAGGCAGTCATGAACTGGGGGGAGAGTCTGAATGCCTTGATGCTGAGGATACCCTGGGAGCTTCGGCTGACATCGTGGACGAGCGCAACGGTCTTCTCATTCAACTCCTTCTGGTAGTGGTACTGGTTCTCAATGAAGTTGGTGTTGACGAAGTTGCCCAGATTGGCACTGGTGTACCAACCGACATTGTTGGCATCGACATTGACCTCGCGCAACATGCGAATCATCTCGGCCTGGTATGCAGTGTTTGACTTTGCCCGCGGCGCCGCAGCTGCGCTGTTGAAGTGCTGTTGTTCATACTGCGCCTCCGGAGGAAGATCGACGACGGGGAACGGGAAGGTGTTGGTGATTTCGAGAGTGCCGTTGACGTTCATGCCAACGAGGCTGCCGGTCGCAGTGGTTGGGAAGCGGTTTGCGCAATGCTTGATGACTTTCATGACAACCTGTTTCTCCAGGTCAGATCGATCCCTCATTGTCCAATTTGTGTACCGGGTAGTCGAAACTCACCAGCGCCTCGAGCTGGACTGCCTTGATGGGAACATCCTTCCTGCGACAGAGTCAGTGGGTCGAAATCGGGGAAAAGCAAAGATCCTAAAACAAAGATCGGTCTGTCTTACTCGGGAAGGGGAACGGTGGTAGCCATGTCGGCGGAGTATCTGGTGAATGTAGCGACTGGTTTGGTGTATTTGACTTTGTTTTGTTCACCAGTGAGGTTGTCGTCGTCGATGCTCCTCACTTGGACATGTTCATGTTCGTAGCCACTCTTCTTTGTGGGAGGGAGGGACATTTTTGCGGGCTGCGCTTCCTCACAAGCGGAAGGTTTGGCGAAGCACGTGATCCAACAAGTAGTTGATGCAAAGGAAGGTTTGCCGAAGTTGATACAAATCCGGGCAGGAAGTGAGGTGAGAAGACGGAGTTCAAGTTGGAGATTGAAGACTGAAGTGGATGGTGGAGTTTACTCTTTGTTTTGCTGTCTATGTCCTGCGCCTGTGTTCACGCCTATCTGTCTACCTGCGGTTGTTGTCCTTCCAAGGCGACACGGCTGGGATGGCTTCCGGAAGGATCCTCCCTCAGTCAAATACTGTAACATGCTACTACGGAAACGGGAGGAGTGTGACCTCTAGGATCATTCAGACACATTACGAGAGAATCGTGCTGTATTGCAAACCCCTAGTTTTGAGGAAATGCTTCTATATGAATAAGTCTACAATTGTAGATGGTTTCAAGGGGCTATAACGCTGTCAAGGCGGACAAGATATCCGACTTCGGAGGATGGGAAAGAAATATATGTGGTCATGCATCACGATCTGATTTGATCTGATCTGATAAAGATATTTTTCTCCATGTCAATGGCAATCCGCCCCATACTTCTTCTACCACCACAGTGCAAGTCAACCATACTGGCCCAAGTTCTCTAGCGTGCTGTATATAGACGTTCTTCATTTGGTTGTTCTCTGCTGCTCTCCTTTTGAAATTCCTGCTTATCCATGTCGTCGAATACTAACCTCGATATCTGGTTTGTGAGTGGTCGCTCCCCGCCATCAGGTCTTTCAGCATGCTAACTTACATTTCCGACAGGCGGGCGCATTTGCTGCTTTCTCGGTCGATCTACTCGTTTACCCTCTAGACACTCTCAAGACACGCATCCAATCGCAGGACTATAAGAAGCTGTATAAGAACACCAATGGAACGCTCAACCGTTCTCTGTTCCGCGGATTATACCAAGGCGTTGGCCCGATCATCCTCATCACAATCCCCTCTTCCGGCGCCTTCTTTACTACGTACGAAGCCTTAAAATTTGGTCTGAAAGAATGGGTACCACCGAATTCTACGATTTATATTCCTCAAGCGGCTGTACATTCCGTGGCAAGTGGCTGCGCGGAGCTGGTCAGCTGCGCCATCCTGACGCCGGCCGAGGTCGTGAAGCAGAATGCTCAAATGCTGAGAGCCGGTAGCAGCCGCGCGGCGTCCTTTGAAGTATTCAGACATTTTAAGAAGCATCCGACCAGATTATGGAGCGGCTATACTGCATTGGCGGCGAGAAATCTGCCCTTCACTGCACTTCAGTTTCCCGTGTTTGAATCATTGAAGGGCTATTTCATGGGAAAGCGTCAACAGAAAAAGGGTGGTCAGCCGGTCGACGGGATCTTTGAACGGGCCAGGATCACCGCCCTTAGCGCCGGTATTGCTGGCAGTGGCGCTGCATGGATCACCACTCCTATCGATGTGGTCAAGACCCGAATCATGCTGGCTGCCGGGTCTGGTGACGACGGACCGAAACAAGATTTGAAAGCAAAGTCTTCCAACTTTCTTCTCCATGGTGTGCAGGGACAGCGCAAAAGTGGCCTTACCGTTGCACGAGAGATACTCGCTGGAGAGGGTGTGCGGGGTCTGTTCCGCGGCGGTTTGCTTCGCGCAGGTTGGACCGCGATCGGCAGTGGTCTCTACCTTGGATGTTATGAAGGTGGAAGATTCTATTTGGAGAGTGCTAGGGAAGAGGCTGAGAAGAGGGATAATTCCCTGCAACGTGACTGGTCTAAGATCAATGTCGGAATAGGGAAGAGCAGGTCCCAAGGAGATGTTGTGAAAAAGAGTGCATGGCAGGAAGACTGATTACTGTCAATGCTTTCTATCTCAAGGTCTTTGACGAAGACCGACTGCCGCAGATCCAGCGTCTTGGTCCCTCGGGATTGAGGTTCCGAACGACTTAGCGACAGGTTCCCCTTAGAGTACATGTCCTGCACCTGGCGAGTCGTCCACAGGAAAGGCCAATCAAGGCAGCGACTCCACAGATGCAGCGTCCCTGAGGCTCGCTCGGGGGGAGGGGAAGCTCCACAGGTTTTACGGCGGGGTCTTGGGAATTTCCTTTCAGAAGTGGAACGAAGCTGAGATGGGCTCGCATACTCAGTTGCTAGCGGTCCCTGCTCCGAAGCCGTTGAGTCGGGGTCCTGCTTATCACGGCACCCACATTGACTGATGTTTGTCATGCGCCGATAGAGCGTGCACATTGGTTGCTCAGAGACACGATATTCTATCGCCCGCCGACCGCTCGAGATTGTGCCTGGACGCACGAAAAGCCGACATCAACGGATATCTGTGCATGATCTGCTCGATGCGGAGAGTGGTGTCTGATTATTGGACTTGGACTCGTTAAGAGCGCTGCCAAATTTCTGGCCCCCACGGCTTGTCTCGACTGTATCCAGGGTACAGAAACTGTCTCAGCGGCACGGTCTCTTGTTGCAGCCATGGCTCACTGCCGCTTTTGGCAAGGCTTTCACTTCCTGGCAGTCGATGTCAACCTAAATCGGCGCGGCGGGATTACCACCCGTTTGATGCATGGGAAAAAGTATACATTTTTAGGACAAAACAGTACGCTCGAATATGGGTGTCAAGAGATAAAGAGATTGTCACTTGAAGAGCGAGCTCTTGACCGAAAAAGGAAAAGGAAACGGGGCATGCTGGGGTCGAAGATCGTTCATTCATCTCTATTTGTCGTTTTAACTCATCTCTACATCCCCATCTCCATGGGCATCTTGTCCATTGGTCTCGACTTCGACCTCGACCTCGAAATCCTCATCGACATCCTCTTCCTGGTCGTCTTCATCTTCCCATGCATCGTCATCGTCCATCTGGTCCTCAACGCCAAGGATCTTGTTCAACTGCTGGACCAACTCAACTGCATGATCCCGTAATCTTTCATCCTCGTACTCTAGCTTGCGATATAACCGAAGGCAATTGTCCAGCCATGTCTTAGCTGTCTCCTGACTTTTAGCCACCTCCTCAGGGGTAGTTTCGGGCTTTTGCGAAATCAGAACCTGGCACCAGCCCCCCAAATACCAGCACTCGACACTTTCATCGTCCTGCCGAATTAGACCTTCAATGACCGCAAATGCCTCCGGTTCCTGCTCGACTTCCATGAGCAGTCTGCTCAAGCTCACCCGGGTAGCAAAGTCAGGCCGTCGTTCATCGTCATCCACTTCCTGCGGAACATCCTTCCAGATATCCATACTTCGCCCCAACGCCTGGCGCGCATCGTCCACCCTCGTCTGGCTTATTCTGACGCTCGCTAAGGTCTGTAAAACACCGGCACTCAAGCGCTCGGGACATACTGCGACGGCTTCCGTGACGAACGCCTCACATCGTTGCTCGGCATCCTCTTCCCAACTCAAATCGGTCATGTAGACTTCGGCCATGGCGCACAATGCATTTGCCAGTTTGGCCCTCTTTTCGTCCAGAACTTTTGCGGTCTGACCCAGGGCTTTGGCCTCATCGTCCTCGAGGACTTCAATCTCATTCCGCAGAACTTCAGTCGCTCTCTCGAAATGCGCTATGCTCTCGTGGCCACCATCCTCGCATATTTGTGCCAGCTCCAGCCAAGGCTCGGCGCTCACCAGCGCCCCGTCAGGGTCGAGCTGTGTGACGCGTGTGAAACTTTTCCTGGCAGCATCGATATCGCCCAAGGCAAGCTGGATCTCGGCTGTGAGGGTCAGCGCTGCAGGGAGCGTAGGTTTGCCTTCAGCCGCTAGTTGAAGTAGGGCATCTATGTCGGCATCCTGGCCATTGCTTTGGGGTGGTCGTTCCGATTCTAGTCTGCGTAGGGCTTCTTCGGCAAGTGGGAGGGCACGCTCGGGTTGGGCTTGTTCGAGTAGCTCAGCCGCTTCCGTGAGAAGGTCTTCGACCGGTCGCTGGGAGGATGGTTTGGGTGCGGACTTGACTAGCGGAGCGTTGGTCGAATGGAGGATATCCTTTTGCTTCCCCGGTGATTTTGTCTTTGTCTTGGCCATTTTGTTCGAAGAAAAGACAGGTCACGAAAATTTCCTTCCGTGGTATCGAACTCGAGAGGGATTGATTGTTACGGCACTGGCATTAGCCTGCACAGTTCTACACAGTATGTCAAACTCCGCCAGCACCGAGAGCGCAACAAAATTTTAGGCCATGATTTAGAGGGCCGTTTCATACGGAAGGTACGCCGAGGGACTATTCCACGTGATGATAGCGGATATCCTCTCCGATCGCCCAATGAGCCTGAGTGGCATCTTGATATACAGTGGTAGAAATCGAGCGCACGGCCAGTTTCGGGCGAGGGCCCGCATAGACTTCGTCATTTGCAGTATAAAACGTAGTAGCACGCGTGGCGGCCCCTCGATCAAGTCAAGCTCAACACTTGGGGACTGGCCGGCCCTTCTGATCGCTCTTCTCACGAGCCTCCTTCGCCCTCTGCCATACCTGAAGCAGGTCTTTTGGCGCCTGCCCAAACCTCTTTCGTTCTTTGGTGTGAAACGCTACACCATTTCGCTGTTCGCCGGCGTCTTGGTTGGTGGATGCGCATTCCGCCCTGGGCGATCCTCCCAGATTCGTGACTTCATGCCTGCATGGAAAAGGACCATGCGAAAGTCATGCCCGAAGGCGACTGTTTCACGCCTGGAATCATACCTAAGGCTCATCCTGGTAATAAACTTCCATCGTATGGTTCGGCATATTCACATGAAACGCTCCGAGCCTTGAATCAGCCTCCCAGTATGACGTCAATGTCACCGCGTACATCTCACCCTTTTTGTTTTCTCGTTGACTTTCCCTGGTTGAGCACGCAGTGAAACAAGCCCGGTTGTCGTTCCCGGGCTCCTACATAGACGGTGCAATTTCGCTAAAGATGTATTAATGACCGTCGCATGACTGATTTTCTCTACTTGTCCCCGGCGCCCTCACCTCTAACCATCTCCAACACTATCATGGCGCCCTCGAATAACTTCATAGCCACCCTGCGCGAGAAAGTCTACCGTGCCAAACCCGAGTTGGGCATCACTTTCAGTCGAGACCGTGATGAGGTCCGCGGAGGGTCTGAGTCAGACGTTGCCCGTCGGATCGAAGAGGATGAGAGCGGCTGGTCGAGCGAGGAGGACTCGGACACGGAATCATCCAACACCACGCCATCAACCCACGGTGCCAAAGGCCTGGATGAGTTCATGAACAATGATGACCCTCCTGAGATCAAGCGCCGCTACGGCATCCTTCCTCTGACCCAGTCTCAGGACGAGGCTGGCGAGAATGGAGAACAGCCGGACTGGATATCCTTGTCACAGGTGACTCCGGATATGATTGGGCAAGACATCACATTCCGTGCGCGAGTTCATATCGTTCGACATATGAGCGCCAAACTGGCCTTCATCGTCTTTCGAGAGCAGACAACTACTGTGCAGGGGGTGCTAAGCGCTAAAGAAAATGAGATTTCCGAGAACATGGTTCGGTGGGCTCTGCACATTCGGTCAGGCACGATAGCCGTGGTCAAAGCTCGTGTGAAGGAACCCGAGCAGACGGTCAAGACCGCGAGTGCGCACCACGCGGAGCTGGAAATCCAGGAGATGCACCTTGTGTCTATTAGAACCAGCCCCATTCCCTTCAGCGTGTATGAGGCTGAGGCTGCTACGGACGGCCACTCGCTTTCCGACCGTGTGAGGTTGTCCAACCGTGTTCTTGACCTGCGGACTCCTACATCGCAGGCAATTTTCAGAATACAATCGGGCGTTTGCAGAGCGTTTCGGAACTTTCTCGAGGATAGGGGATTCTTAGAAATACATACTCCCAAACTGCAAGGCGGTGCCACCGAAGGAGGCGCAGATGTCTTCCAGGTCAACTATTTTGGTCGGCCAGCTTTCCTCGCGCAGAGCCCTCAGTTGGCGAAACAGATGTGTATATCTGCGGATATGGGCAAGGTCTACGAGATTGGGCCGGTCTTTCGAGCTGGTACGCATAACCTTTCACTATCTCGACGTATCTAACATGCTTCACAGAAAATTCCAATACACCGAGACATATGACCGAATACACAGGTCTAGATTTAGAAATGGCAATAAACCGACATTACCATGAAACCATGTGGCTCATCGATGCGTGCCTCAAGGACATCTTCAAAACCATCTACGCGCGACATCGGCTCGATGTCGATGCCACGAAACATCATTTCCCTCATGAGGATTTGATATGGTTAGAGCAGACTCCTCGCCTCACCTTTTCAGAAGCAGTTCAATTGTTGAATGAATCCGGGTGGACCAACGAGGACGGAAGTCAACAGTCTGAACTGGAAGACTTGCCTACCAGAGCCGAACGAAGAGTCGGCGAATTGGTCAAGGAGAAGTACCAAACAGATTACTACATCATAGACAAGTTTCCTTCGTCCGCACGCCCTTTCTACACCATGCCCGATCCCAAGGACGACCGGTTCACCAACTCTTTCGACTTCTTTGTCCGAGGTCAGGAGATTCTCAGTGGTGGACAACGTATCCATGACTACAATTTTCTCAAGGAACGAATGGAGGCTTCGGGGATGAACCCGGCCACTCTGAAAGAATACATGGAGGCTTTTGAATGGGTGGCACCTCCACACGCAGGAGCAGGGATTGGGCTGGAAAGACTGGTTTCTTTACTGCTCGACCTTGGTAACCTGCGATATGCATCACTGTTTCCTCGCGACCCCAAGAGCTTCCCTGCTCCCAAAGATAATCATCTGCGGCATCCAGACGACAACACCATGCAACGGCCGCAAGGGCGGCTCCCACCATTGGAAAACCTGGTGGCGAACTACGGTGATGCCACCAACACGTCTTGGATGGACGAAAGATTCCAGGTTTGGAGAGATGACAAGACCGGCGCTGCTGTCGCCTATGTGCCGGTTCGCAACCGAGCGATCTGTGCGGGCAACCCCCTTTGTGATGCCAGGCAGCTAGAAGACGTGATTACAGCATTTCTACACTGGCTTCGGCGGGAGACCAAGTTGAAGCCGTTGTTTATCTTGGTGGGCAAAGACGTGGAAGAAGTTCTAGGAGACAAGTTGGGATGGAAAAGCTTCACCAATGTGGCGGAGCAACGGGTGAACCTGGCCAACGACGAACACGTCAATGTCGACAGCGACGTTGCCCGCAAAATCAGACACGCCAAGAAAGAAGGCGTTGAGGTAGTGGAATACGGCAGCGATGTGCCGGAGGATGTGAAGCACAAGATTGAAGAACGGATCAAAGAGTGGCAGCAGAGTCGCGAAGGAGCCCAGGTCCATTTGAGTGAGATCACCCCGTTCAGAGACAATGTCCATCGACAGTACTTCGTGGCCCAGGACGACAAGGGCAAGATCCATTCTCTGGTGGTGCTGGCCCAGCTTGCTCCGCGATATGGCGTGCAGGTGAAATGGGCCTTGGATTTCCCAGGTGCCGTCAACGGAGCCATCGAATATGCCGTGCAGACGGCGCTCAAGTCGGCCGCACAAGCGGGCTACAAGACATGCACGTTTGGTGCTGGAGCGACGGCGAAGTTGACCACAGGTCACAATATGGGCAATGCCAGGTCGGCCGCACTGAATTCGATCTACCAGACTCTGGCGGCCAAGTTCCGTCTGGAACAAAAGACGGGATTCCGTGCCAAGTTCAACAGCATGGACGATCCGATTTATCTGTGCTATCCGCCAAAGGGACTGGGGCCGAGAGGAGCCCGTGCAATTGTGGACTTTTTCCAATCTGAAGGCGTCGATGGAGCTACCACTAATGGCGAAGCAACTAATGGGACGGACGGGGCGTGATTGGTCTGGTTTTGCTGTCGACGATGTTGATGTTCTCGATCGGTTCCTCTGCTCTTTGTTTCTCAGGCAGGAATGGAATGGAATGGGAACCGAGGATCAAACAGCCTAGTGACGACCTAGACACGCGACCGGGATGAAGATGCTGCTGCTGCATGCTTCGCTTTGCTGTTGTTACGAGCTCATGTGCCACGACATACGATACAACTCATGGTTTCATCAGCTGGGTGTTGGAGCGAGTTGATACAATTGCTCAAGCATACATGTGTAGAATACATACCCAGGGGCGTTCTTACCATGCAGCACTGTTCGGATTACTGTAACATGGAATTAATGGGATCCATATTTCCTGCGACATTATATTCTCCGAGTCACGACTGAACAATTCTTACATACCAGCACCCACAACAACGCGTACGACATGAGTAGGTAAGAACCCAATATAATAGATATAACCAGGGACACTGTCATAAGCCGATGTCGTCGAGACTCAAAGCCAAGAGAGATCGGAGTTTGTTGCCGAATCCCGACTGGGGCATGTGGGGGTGAGGGTGGCCCCCGGATCAGGGCGACTTTCGAGCTCGCGAAACTGCCGAACGTCAGTACCACAACTTGACATCCAGAGTCCTCGCAACGGCCACCGTGTGGAGCAAGCTACCTACCAGCAAGTACAAGTATGTGAATATATAAAGCAGAAAGGGGCCGCGGCACCGGCCTCGGGGCGAGACACACCTACTAGTCCTGTGTAGGAGTCCATACCATCTGAGGCGGCCATATAACACTTGATTTCTACCTGTCGAACATGTCTGGCCCAGGCGACAACTCAACCCGACGACCGGCATCGGTCCAGATCGAGCAGCTCCAAGTGCAAGGCTTCATCAACCAGACCACACAAGTCGCCAACTTTCTCGGAATCCAGTATGCGACGATCCCAGCACGATTCCGACAAGCCCGCCTCGTCGACCATTCCCGCCAAACCGGTATCCTGGATGCGACGCAATATGGACCGCGGTGTCCGCAATCTTCCCGACCGGGCGGCGAGGCGCAAATTCCCTTGTTTCTCGGACAGCGACGCAGCCACGAAACTCCAGTCGACGAATTTGGATGCCTTAGGCTGAACATCTACACGCCGCCGAGTCAACAAGATCCTCAACCTCTGCTGCCAGTGGTAGTCTGGATCCACGGCGGGGGGTTTGCGATAGGCGACGGCGGAGCCGACTTCGACGGCAACTATCTTGTCCGCCATTCGATCGACAACTCCAAGCCCGTCATCTACGTGGCCCTGAACTACCGATTAGGACACTTTGGGTTTTTGTGGTCCAAGGAACTATACGCCGAGGCTGTGCGCGATGGCGAAACACCCTTCCAAAACATCGGCTTTTGCGACCAGCGGACGGCTTTGCTCTGGATTCAGAAGCACATCCATCACTTTGGCGGCGATCAGGATCAGATCACCATTGCTGGAGAATCGGCCGGTGGATTGTCGGTGCTGGCTCACTTACGCTCTAATGTGCCGGTGTGTCAGCATGGGATCATCATGTCATGTCCTAACCTGGACTATCCCCGACCTGAAGAGGTGCAGGCGACTTTTGAACAGCTCGTCGATGAAGCATGCAGTATCTCGGGCGTGCCATTGTCGTCGTCTCCGTTGTCGGACAATGAGAAGTTGATGGCTCTTCGGAGACTGACGGCAGATGATATGGTCCGGTTGATGGGGACGCAATTCGCCACGCCGAAATATGATAAAGAGTGGTTTACGTATCAGGATCCAGATAAAACTACAGCTGGGCCGGCGCCCTTTGCGCCCTGGGTCAAGGGTGTCCTGGCTGGCGCGACGAGAGATGAAGCTGCTCTGTTTACAATTGTTAGGGGACTGCACAAGTGGACGTTTGCCCAATTTGAAGAAAGGGTTAAATCTGCTATTCCGGACCCTACGCTTGCAGCTGAATTGATGGATGCGTATGGATTGAGTGACAAGGCTGATGGTTCGACTAACTTTCGAGGGTTTTTGGATATGATTACCGATTGCAGTTTTGCGGGCGTGCCGTATATTCTTGCCGAACAGGAACAGGAAGAGTCAGATGGGAAGAGTCTTGAGGCGGCTGCTCCGCCCGTAAGTGTCTACCGCTTCGATCAGCAAGATACGTTCAAGGACAGCCCTCTTTACGGATATGCATATCATGCGCTGGACAATGCTTACTTCTGCCGTCTGCCCTCTGTGGCGGGACCAAATGCGGCGCAAGATACTAAAGCTACAGCGGACAAGATGTCTGAAGCGATTTTGGCGCTTGCATATGGAGACCAGCCGTGGGAGACGTATCGCGAAAACCAGAATGTCATGGTCTTCAATGGCAACAAGAGCGGGTTGGAGCATGCGAGCCCGCAGAATCGATGGCGCAGCATTTTGGAAAGGGAAAGCGGTGATCCAAGGCGGACAAGGATCTTGAGAAGGGCTGGACATCGCTTGATGGGACTGCTTCATGCTTCTTTGCCGTGATTGCTCACAAACTCTTTTTGTTCTGTGAAAATGGACGATCAACGGCGGTGGGTTGGGTGATGAAGAATCAAGACACTAGTGCCCATCATCGATTCATTCACTGCTTTTTGATCTCAGCATTTGTCTTGATGTTAATGCGTTGTCATATCCTCCGAAGCGAGCAAGTAAAGTTGTCATAAGAATAACAAATGCCAGTCACAGTTACTGGTACTATACAGCTCCACTGTTCTGTGCAGACAGAAGGTGATACAAATGAGCCTGAAGTGGTGACCAAATGAAATCAGATTCAGTCCAGCAGGAATGGAATGACTCAACCCAGCTCAGCTCCCACTCATCCTCACCACAAGATCATGAAACATATACCCAGCACCAGAAATATGTTGCAACCCCCATCGTACAGTCCACCCCCAGTATCGGCATCTCATCTTCTCCCGTATCACCTAAGCTACGCGGATTTCTTCATCCCCTCTGATCCTTCTTCTTCACCAACACCCCCACAACATGCACCAACGGCCCAAACCCATCAACCTCCTCAACATCCACCCTCTCCCACCCCCCATCTCCATCCTTTTCCTTTGCAACTTTGAGCAATGTCCCCATCGTGTCTCTTGTCAACTCACACCCGCCCATCAACTGTTTCCACCCGAGACCCATGTAAATATATTGAACAGCTCTCGCCAGCACGTTCTTCTTATTTAGGACATGCTCACACACGACGAATCGACCACCGGGTTTGAGCAGGGTGTATACATCGGCCACCGTGGCACGCTGGTCAGGCACACCGCAGAGGACGCGGAGACAGACGATTTCATCAAACAACTGCAGTTTTCGATCGAGATCTGGACTGCGTTCCGAGCGATGGCCTTCGTCCATGTCCAACAATCCATCCTTCATCAAAGCCGGCACAATGGAATCCAAATCAGCCGTACACCCCAAAACACGATACTTTTCGTCCGGTTCAAAGCCCGCCCTTTTCGCCGCCGCCTTCAGTTGCTCATGCATGCTGATGCCCGGCTCGACGCCGTAGATCGCCACAATGTTTTCGGGGTGTGTGAATCGGTGAATTTGTTCGCCGGTGCCGGGCCCAACGTCGAGAATAAGGCCTTTGCTTTGAGACAATAGGGGAAATAGGGATGGTGGTGTGTCGCGGGCGCAGAGGGGGCCGAAGCAAGTCCAGAGGCGGGCGAAGGCGCGTTCTTTGTAGGATTGGAAATTGCGGAATGGGAGGGTTGGAGCGAGGAGGAATGTGAGGATGAAATCTGAGGCGGCTTTGTAAGTTTTGCATGGTATTGCATTCAAGAGTCAAGACTGCGGGCCATATCTCGATACTATGGCATAGGGTTTCTCTCCATGTCTCTCTTTCTCAACCTCTCATCCTCTCCTCTCCCACACGCCTCAGTTTCGAACCTACTACGTAGGTAGGTATGGCTTGTATTATGTCTTGAGATAGGTCATATATGCTGCTGGGCTTTGCGAACAATAAGGTATCAATCCCATTGATTTCACTTACAGAATAAACTCCCCATGAAAAATGGAAGTGGGAGGATATACCCCTTGAGATAGTCCAGGATGGTCGGAGTCGGACTCGATGCCATCTTGAACAAGTCAACCGACAAAAATCTCGTTTCAGTCTGGCCGCTAGCCGATTGGGATAGTACCTTATGTAGATTCGTCGATTGATGTTATCGTTGTTGCCAAGGCCGTGTGAGATATATGATGGTATGAGTGATTCAGCTGGCGCAGAAGTAACAACCTATCGACGACTTCTTCTTCTTCTTTCTGGGGAAGGGGTTATATTCAATGTGCAGTGAGTCCCGATGCCCTTCTTATTCCAGGAATCTTGACTCTTCGGGTTCGGGTTGAAGTTGAATCAGTCTCGACTCAGTTCACCAGTGCCCGTCGTCGTTAATTGCTGGCTGTCGCGGTCTGATGCTTCAGATACCTACCTGGATCCAGAAATCCAAGCCAGCTCCTGGAGGCATTTTGTAACCTGGGAGAGGGAGAGGGGGTGGGAAATGAAAGCTATTTCAAGTTCTCCCCTTCGTATCCAGCCCTCAGCTTGCACGTCAGCAAGAGGCAGAAACCACAAATCAAAGATGACTGTTCCGCCGAGCCTCGTATTACTACCACAGTACATGGTATGGGTAGTATTGACTGTCCAACACCCAGGACATTGGGATTGCATGACAGGGACATCCCCTGCGATGCGGGGTTCAGATCTCGTATTGCTGCATTTCCCAGCCTGCCCCTTGTGAGGGACCTCAGCTCGGCTTCAGCTGAGCTGGAGCTGCCAACATTGGACTGACGTGTTTGCTGGCGTGGACTAGACCGGGAACCATGCTACTGGAAGTTTTGTCTGGTCAGACTTGAAGAAAAAAGGCTGCAAAGGTGATTCGATCCGGTCGTGTCCAGAATCTCAGACGCATGGTGGCTTGGACGAGTCTCGGGGATTCTCAATCACAGGCTTACAGAAGATGGACGGACAGCCATGGTCCAGTTTATGGCGTCTCGTACTCGAAAAAGAAGGAGAGAACAGCTGAGTGCGTTTTCACATCTTATCAACAATAAAGGTCGATTGATGGTCGCGCGAATCTCCGCTGCTATGCCATGGCGCTTGGGTCCTCATCCATCGGCTCGCGCCCCATTTTTCTCCTTAAAATGCTCAGCCTTACAGAGTTGTCTCTAGGATATTTTTCGCAGTGGACTTCATACCTAGGTAGCTGGATGGTAAAGTGAAGAAGTTGGATGGATTTCAAAGCAGAACTGCGTTCATTGTATCTATCTACACACACATTCTCCCCGTGAGAAAAGTTACATTCAGTTCACAGCCTGCGGCGTTCCTGGTGGTATTTTCCTTGGGTATCTGTAGCCACAAACACAACTCTCATTCTTACATCGCAGCAGTACTGTGGGAAAATGCATTTCTTTGCCTCCATGCGTGAAATGACCAAATTGGTCTGCAATGCTCTGCTCAGTCTAATCGAGTGAGAAATGCTTCTCTTTCTTCCAGGCTTCCACCATCAACCCCAGAGCCTTGGCAACGGGCTTTTCTTGTAGTTCTCGAGGCAGCGAGCGAGGAAAGTCAACCACTGCTTGACGCAAGGCTGCAATGCCTGCGGCGCCGAAAAACAGGAGAAAACGATCGATAGCGTTGTGTTCGAGCATTGACTTCAAGACGATCAGATGACTCATCTGCACCTGGTCGGGAGGCGTATTGACAATATGTGCAAGACTTGACCAGTAATTGGTGGGAGGCCAAGGGTTTTGGACTTTTGCTTTCGCAAAGTTGCGCAAGGCAATCGACGCGTAGCCAACCCCTAACCCCGTCAGACGGTCATACTGTTTGTTCTCGCTGACAAAGCCCTTCTGGTCGTCGGACAACTTCTCCAGACGCCATCCCAGACGCATCCTACCAGCGGATGTAGATTCTGGGCCGTATATGCCGAAGAGGATAGGAGCTGTGGCGTGGAATTTGCACATCAACACTGAGATGAGGGATACAGTCGTTGATCTGCCATTGTTCGACGGCACGTTTCTTGCAAATTGCAATTCGGGCATCGAGAAGATCTGTGCCACTAGAGTGCCAATAGGCTCGGCTGCCTTCGGGTTCACCGCGCACTCCCCGACGAAGGCATTGATGATGGCTTTGCTGAAAAAAGAGAGGAGATAGAGAACAAGTGATGGAACTGTGGTCCGACCGTCGTCGTGCAGAGAGAATGGTGAGGGGAGGTAGTCGTTGACCGAAACGGGCGGCGATGGGATTTCCGTCAATGACCTGAGCAAGGTTGTTTTCACTCGTTCATGCTATGATCAGGTCAGCGCACGTCCGTCGTTACCACCACATTGGGATCGGTCAATACATACCGCTTTCTTGTTCCCAATCTTGTCGTCGGTCAACTGCCCCACGCTCGTGCGCATCGCTCGACGCATGTCCCCTACATGTGGTTTCAGGTTTGGATCCTTCTTCACCTGCTCCCAAAAGCCTTTCCGGAATTCTTTGAGCTTTTTGTGGATGGCCAAATAGTTTCGATGGAGCGCCTCTAGATCGGGTGACGTAGCGGGAGACTGAGATGTGCTCTGAGGAGTGGGCGCTGTTGTTTGAGTGGAAGCGGCAGCAGCAGCAGCTTGTTTCTCGGCTTCTTGCTTTCGGAGAACAGCCTCCTGCTCCGCCTTTAGCTTTTCTTCGCGCTGTTTCTTCTCGGCAGCTTCATTTTCTCGCCGGCGCCTTTCTTCCGCCTCAGCCTTCTGTTTTTCGAGTTCAGCCTGTCGTTCGGCCTCCGCTTTAGCTTGCTCTTCTCGTTCGCGACGTTCTTTTTCTTCCTTGGCTTTTCGCTCCTCCTCGGCTCGTTTCCGTGCCAGTTCCTCTTGCTGTTTTCGCCTCTCTTCCTCCTCTAGTCTCTTCCGTTCCTCTTCCCGTCGACGCCTCTCTTCTTCTTCCTGCTGTTTGATATATGCGTGAAGTACAGCTTCGGCCTGTTGGCGGACCCCATCATGTTTGGCGTTGGCCACACTCAGTTCGGCTAGATGCACCTCTGCCTGAGCAAGCTCTTTGGCGTCGAGTTCCTCTTGCTGCTGCCTTCGCTGATACACATGCAGTTTTTGGCGTTCCACCTCGTGTAGATGAATTTGGCTGAATGCACGTTCCAGTTCGAACTGGATCTGTCTCGAAGGGCTATCATCATTCCTTCGACCCCTTGGGCTACTTCTAGCTTGAAGAGGTGATGAATGAAGCCTGGCTTGAGCCATCTTGTCGCCTTGTCACGTGATTGGAAGAACAGGACGCTTCTTCGAGAACCCGGCCAGGCCCAAGGGTGGCTAAGCGTTTTGGGGATTCTTTTCGTAGCTTTCCGCCTGTGAGATAGTCGGAATTACCGAGGACTCGACGAAAAGAAGGGAATATTCGAATGATAGTGGTCACCGAGCCTTCATGCTCGGAAAGTTTGATAGTGGATTGGTACGATGGCGGCTTTTGTAGAAAGGTCCACCAAGAAGTGATCAACGACACCCTTTCGAAGGATACTGAGGTCGAGTCCTCAAAATCCGATGTGAGGATGAGTTTCGCTTCTGACAGAGCTCTTGTCGAGCGAAAGGTCCAGTAGCCAGGGTGGCTCAACTTCAGTGAAAAGGATCAAGGCATTGATTCCGCTGGTACAGGGATCACAGGAAGTTCTGATCAACAAAATAGGACTGGCTAGGGCCGTGACAAAGACCGGCCGCTTGGTGTGATGGGATGGTAGGAGATTGGGATGAGCGAAGCGAGGCTGAAAAAGTGCCCGGGACTTTTGATCTTGCTGTGAATACAACGCGTCTTGAGGTTGATTCAATTTTTGCGTCTCGCGTTGCCTGCGCTGCGCTCTAGTCTCATATCAACTTGAACTCAACTTGAATCCCGCCAGCGGCAACTTTGGGCTTGGCATTGATTTTATTGTACAACTCGAACTTGAACACAGGCACTGGCAGGTATCTGCAAGCGATGTACGGCGTATTCAAATGTCAGCCGGTGTATTTCAGGCTATCTGAGACTGTCCCGTAGTTAAATAACAAGACCAGGACCACCTGGGTGACGAGTCTGCAAGAAGGAAAGTAGAAATGCCCGTCCGACGATGTATCCCCCTGAAACAACTATATTCCGTAGAGTGCCTCCAGGAGGGGTTCGGGCACCGTAGGAAGCCTGAGGAGCCTGGAGGTGACGAGTCCAGGGGACTAAAAGGAGAAGAATAGCAACAGAGCAGGTGGTTGAGTGGTACTTGTGTGCTGCCAGCATCCACTCTCTCGTCATAGCCGCAGGCAGTCTTCATCCCGAACTTGAAGCCTACCGTAGTAAACTGCATCCACCACCACGTTGCCTCTGGCTTCCATCTGCTCTGTAACGTTACTACTCCAACTTGAATACTAGTAACGCAGTTGGTGTCCTTGTTCGTTGTCCCATCACCATCTCTCCTTCATCTCTTCATCCGCAACCTCACCATCCTTTTCCTCTTCTTCTTCTCGCTTCTCGCACCAAAGAAACAGTCCTTCAAGTCGCCAGAGTCGCTCTCTTGCACTGCTTCCCGCCCGAGTGCAATTCGGGTCCGTCCGTGTCCTCCGTCGATTCCATTCCTGTCCCTCCCTCACCCAACCTTAGGTCGTCGAGCCTGCTTGTCTGCGCCATCAACTTTCAGCCTGCAGTCGCAGTTTACAGTCCTAGCAACTGATTCGTTGTTGTGAGGGACTGCCACTAGCTCTACGCTACTGCTTTCCTCGAACCTTCATACATCCTGCGCTGTCATTGTCGACGGCTCGCCGATCCCTCCATCCTCGAACTCAGCCGTCACTATCGCAGGTAAATCTGGCTGAGCCAGGAGTACCAGTCATCTCTTTCACAAGGCTCGAGTCATTGGGAAGAGAGTCTGCAGACAGGAGATCAGCCTACAAGACTACCTGCGCCAATTTATCTGGTACGTTCGTCGCAAGAACAAACATTAATTGCCATCACCCTCATTGCCTCCCCCTCATTGTGACTGCGCCCATAGTCCTTCCTAACATCCTCCACTGCTCACATCGCCGAGCCCAGTATATCCAAAGCATGTTAGGTTCAGGGACACGTTGCTAACAATGACATTATAGCTCGGCAACTTGTCTACGTCCGACCCTACGACCCAAGTGGTGTAAATCACTGCACTGAGTGCACCCTCCTTCCCCGTGACGTTCATTTTGTCCGATCACGCCGTCACTGCGAAACAAGACTGGACATCACTCTCTAAAGATATCTGAAGATGGCACAACCAGGCTCAACCGGCGTGCCGGGCCCTACAGGGCGCAGACTCCATATTGCCCATCGTCGCAGTCCTTCTGAACTGACGCCACTTATGATGGAACAACTTGCTCTTCAGCAACAGATCGAACTGCTTCAACAACAACAGCAGCAGATTGCTGCTACACATCAGCAATATGTCAACATGGGCATGATCCAGCAGCCTTTGCAAGGCATGCCTGGCTATTCTCCAGTCCAAGGACAGCCTGGCTTGGGAGGCATGTCCCCGAACAACAATAATTTCCAGTTTCCTCAAATGCAGCAACAGATGGCAGTTCCAGGAAATCCTCCTACCCATCCTGCCGCTCATCGTCGCAATCAATCCGCTCTACCAGGCATGGCAATGGGTCCTCCCCCAGCTCCCTCGTCCGGACAGGCTTACGGCGAATTTAACCAGCAAGCCATGGGTCAGAACCGTGAGAATGCTGGCGGACGTGGAAGAGGGGGTCCTGCACAAGGTGGACATGCTCGACGCCATTCACTTGCTCTCCCCGAGGCAAAGAAAGCTGCGGAGCTTGCGGAAAAGAAGAGAACAGCTGCAGGCTTCCAATTTCCCATTCCTGGGGCTGCGGGCACAGTCGAAAGCCCTGCTACCGCTACTCCCTCCGATGACAAACCAGCAACTGCCGGTGGTGCACAAGGACTCGGTCTGCAGCGTGCCGGTAATGCTCGCGTGATGGGTCATAGTCGGAGTCAGAGTATGGCTTCAGGAGGTGCTCGAGGTGGTGGTGCAGCTGGCCGCGGTGGTGCAGGCGCTGGGTTCCAGTTTCCAGCTCCAGCAGATGCCGGCGCAGGTCAGGGCAATCAGTCGGACCTGCAGCGCCGTGGAAGCCAGAGCAGCCACACTAGACAAGGCTCGCGAAATTTTGACGGCAACTGGCGTCAACAGAACAACCAGCAGAGCAACGATCAGCAACAGCAGATGGGTCAATTCTCCCAGCAACAGGGCATTGGTGGCGGAGGTTTTCAACCTGGACACCGAGTTCGCGGCTCAATGAATCAGTCCATTGGCTCAATTAGTGGGTTCCAATATCCTGGCCAGCCTCAGCTGGTGCAGATGCCTCAGGCTCAAATGATGATGCCTCAAATGTTTGCCGGTCAGCAGTTGAACGCTCTGCAGATTGCTCAGCTTCAAGCAATGCAGGGTGCTCAACTGGGTGGATTGGCCGCAAGCCAACATGCACCACCTGCGATGGGCTTGCAGCAACAACAGCAGCAGAGAAAGACTCTCTTTACGCCTTATCTGCCCCAAGCTACTTTGCCTGCTCTCCTTAACGATGGTCAGCTGGTTGCCGGCATTCTCCGAGTCAACAAGAAAAACCGATCTGATGCGTACGTTACCACCAGCGATCTGGACGCCGATATCTTCATTTGTGGTAGCAAGGATCGGAATCGAGCGCTCGAGGGCGATCTGGTGGCTGTCGAGCTCCTCGATGTTGATGAGGTCTGGAGTCAAAAACGTGAAAAAGAAGAAAAGAAGAAGCGCAAGGATATCACCGATACCCGGTCCGGGAATAATCAGAATGGCAAGAATGATGCCTCTTCTAACGATACTCAGTCGATCGCACCGGACGGCAGCATTCGACGACGTGGTAGTTTGCGTCAACGACCAACGCAAAAGAAGAACGATGACGTCGAAGTCGAAGGTCAGAGTCTCCTCCTCATGGAAGAAGAAGAAATCAGCGACGAACAGAAGCCGCTCTACGCTGGTCACGTTGTTGCTGTCATTGAACGTGTTGCCGGTCAAATGTTCTCTGGCACTCTTGGCCTCTTACGTCCGAGCAGTCAAGCCACGAAAGAAAAGCAGGAGGCGGAACGAAATGCTCGCGATGGTGGCCACAGCCGGTCCGAATCCCGTCAACAAGACAAGCCAAAGATTGTCTGGTTCAAGCCGACCGACAAGCGGGTGCCATTGATCGCCATTCCTACCGAACAAGCCCCTCGTGACTTCGTCGATAAACACATGGATTACGCCAACAGAATCTTTGTTGCGTGCATTAAGCGATGGCCCATTACGTCTCTCCATCCTTTTGGTACCTTGGTTGAGCAGCTTGGCGAGATGGGAGACCTTCGCGTCGAAACCGATGCATTACTCCGTGACAACAACTTTGGATCCGATGAGTTTTCCGACGCTGTTCTGAAGAGTGTTGGATGGGACGATTGGTCCTTGGCGTCTGAGAGCGAAGACTTCCTGGCCGCTCGTCGTGATCTCCGTGACGAGCGCACTTTCACCATTGACCCCAATGGCACTAGCGATTTGGACGATGCCATTCACTTCAAGTCAGTCGAGGACGGATTGGTCGAAGTGGGAATACATGTCACAGATATTGCGCACTTTGTCAAGGCCAACTCTTTGGTCGATCGTGAAGCCAAGAAGCGAGGAACTGGCGTGTATCTGGTCAATCGTGCTGTCAACATGCTACCACCGAAGTTGTCTTCCGGAGTGTGCTCCCTTATTCCTGGAGAGGGACGTCTTACGGTCAGTGTGATCTTCAAGGTCAACCCGGAGACTGGAAAGGTTGAAGGCGAACCTTGGATTGGAAAGACCATCATACAAAGTTCTGGCAAGCTGGCTTACCGTGATGTTGATGCCGTCATTAAGGGAGATGGCAATGCTGGCTTGCACGGTGCCACGGTCGACGACATCAAGACTCTCCATACCATCGCCAACAAGTTCCGTGAAGCTCGGTTTGGCCACCGCTCCGCCAACATCTCACCACTTCGCTTGCTTTATCAGCTTGACGACGAGAACGTTCCAGTTGAGCAGAACATTTTCAATACGTCCGCCGCTCATGAGATAGTGGAGGAGATCTGCTGCAAGGCCAATTTCTTTGTGGCTCAGAAGATTTTGGCCGCCCTGCCAGATAAGGCTCTCCTGCGACGACAGGCGCCTCCCAACCCTCGCCGTCTCTTGACATTCGCCGATCGCATGACTCGAGCCGGCTACGAGATTGACACCACCAGCAGTGGCACCTTGCAAAACAGCCTCTTCAAGGTGGAAGATCCAGACCTGCGCAAGGGTATGGAGACTCTCCTCATTAAGACTCTGCAACGTGCCAAGTATTACATTGCCGACCAAGTTTCGGAAGAGCAGCGCCAGCATTACGCTTTGAATCTGCCGATCTACACCCACTTCACCAACCCCAGTCGGCGTTATGCAGACATTGTTGTGCATCGTCAGTTGGAAGCGGCTCTTTCCAACACCGAGTTCACTGAAGACTTGGAGAGCTTGGCTAAAATGGCTGAGCAGTGCAACAACAAGAAGGATAATGCCCATTCCGCTCAAGAACAAAGTGTGCACATTGAATCCTGCCGAATGATGGACAAGAAGAGCAAGGAGCTCGGTGGTGACTTGGTCAGCGAGGGCATTGTCATTTGTGTTTACGAATCAGCCTTTGATGTTCTCATCCCCGAATATGGCTTTGAGAAGCGTGTCCACTGTGACCAGCTACCATTGAAGAAAGCCGAGTTCCGCAAGGATGAAAGAGTTCTTGAACTCTACTGGGAGAAGGGCGTGCCCTCGTCTGCATACGTTCCCGAGGACGAGCGACCCAGAGCTTCGGGAAGCACCAAAGGCACTGGCCCGGCCTCTCGCGAGGCAGATTCAGCCAAAGATCGAGCCAAAGAACGATATGAAACACAGCGCAAGCAGACCGAGAGCAACACCATGTCGACTGACGATGTTGATGCCCTGTTTGACGACGAGGACAGCACTTCTGAAATCACCGAGATGGCGGCTGGAGTTTCTCTCAACTCGTCTGCCGACCGCCCGACTCAGAGCCTTCCACCGTCCCCAAGTCGCAATGGAGCGTCGGCTCAAGGACCCGCACGCACCCAGTCAGACTCTAGGATCGCGAAGGCTGGAGGCGACATTCCAGAAAATCACTTGACCGACAAGGAGAAGTATCTGAGCTATTTCAAACTGAGAGAGGAAGGTGGCGAGCACATTCAAGATGTCACTGAAATGACTAGAGTGCCTGTCATTTTGAAGACTGACCTGAGCAAGAGTCCTCCGTAAGTTTCCCTGCCACACCACATACTGAACTGCAGATGCTGACCGATATCTTAGATGCTTGACCATCCGCTCCATGAATCCATATGCGTTGTGATTCTGGAGACCATGCTGCCGAGATCCACAACACACCTTTGAGCGAGGATAGAGCGAACGACAATGCCGGAGTTCTCTTTTCGGCGAGGCTCTTCTTGCAAACGCTTGGACGGCCAAGATTTAGCTTGTGCTTGTATCAACAATGGTGCAGACACTATTCGGTGCAGCTTTACATTGCTTAAGGGCTGAGAAGTTGTGGTTGGCGAGTGTATGTGTATCTGGAACCAAGCGACTAGACTGGCAATGACTCTAGGGTCATGGGTGGGCTGTAGGAGTGGCCAACAAGTGTGTTTGTTGGTGTCTGTGTACGCTCAACAGGGATTATGCGAGCAAGATGGTGCGTTGTTTTACAGTGTTGGACCATGAAGATGCAAACAAGCGAGCGAAAGCTGTAATACAGGGATTTTTCCTTTTGTTTGTTTTAGCGCTGTATTGCAGAAAAAGTTTCTATTTCATTGACTAGACTGTCCTGCCACAGTACAACGATTGTCTGTGTTTATCCTATCCTATCATGTCTCGCGTGCGTGGTGCTATGTTGCGTGCATCTAAGCAGGGGTGATACGCCATGTTGGGTGTATTGCCTGCCAGTGGTTCAAGATATGCTGGCAGGTCCAAAATATAATAACCTGTAGTACCAGGGGGGGTAAAGGAATGCCACTAGGAAACCAACAGTATAGAGGAAACCAATGGTTTGGTAGTGCCGTTCCAGTCCGGTTTACTCTCCCTTTGTGATCCTTTCAAACACTTTGACACCATAACGGCCCAAAGCACTGGCACAAGCGACGGCATCAGCACCGACGTGGCGCATACGGTCGAAACCATCCTTGTCCTCGACGCCACCGACACCAATGATTTGGAGATCCTTCGTTTCTTGATGTCTATCGAACAGACGGCGGAAAGTAGCGACATTTCCCAGCGCCAACGGATGCAGCGCCGCACCCGCAAGACCACCGATTCCAGTTCCAGATTCACTGTTCAGAACGGGACTGAGTTGGTCGTTTAGCAACAGACACGACCCGAGAGTGTTTGTGGTCGTAACGAAATCGACGACACTGCGTGGGTCGCCGGGTTCCGAGGACTTGTGGGTTCTAAGGGCGTCGACGACCATTTCGAATTGCGACGAGTGCGTGTATGGCGGTAATTTGAGGCCGACTTTCGGTACACTGTCTGGCGTGGCCATGCGCCCTCGATACGTTGCTTTGGAATCGCCGATCGCCTCCAAGTATTCGGATAGTTGTGTTTGGTTATATGCTGGTGGTGGGCTGTTGGCGATGTTGGGACATGAGAGGTTGACTTCCATTGCGAGCCGGAGGTCTTCGTCCATTTCGGCGGCGTTGGCGATCAACGCATAAGCCATGGAGATCTCGTCGGGTGTGCCTGTCACGCTGAGTACGAATGGTTTCTTTGTCGGTGTATCGGTGCCCAGGTGGCGTTGGCCTACGATTTCGTTGATGATTCCGAGGTATTCGGACAGAGTGAGGGGGGAGTAGCCTAGTGTGTTGAGGGTTGAGATTGGTCCGGGTTCAGAGGAAGAGGAAGGCGAGCTTGAGTTGGTGGTGGTTGGTGAGGTGGAAGAGGTGGAAGAGGTGGTCGAAGAGGTTGTTGGCTTGGATTCTTCTCCTTTCGGTGCGTTGGCGGGGATCGTCGTGCCGGGAACAAAAAACGTGTATTGGTGGATCGAGTCGTCGTGAGAAAAGCCCTCGAGAAGACTGGTTCGGATGGTCACTGCTCCTGTGTACGGGCTGTCGTAGAGCGCTTTGATGTCTTCGAGTGTCGTTGCCCATGGACATGCCGAGTTGAGGAGGGGCGGGTCGATCTTGAGCTTTGATGATGGCATGGTTGGGTTTGCGACGAGACCAAGATCAATAGATGATAGGTAGGCTTGCTGGGCTTGCTGGGCTTGCCTTGCGTCTGAAGGGAAAGTGAAAGGATGTGTGACTGACTGACGTTCAAAGTCAGCTATTGTATTATATGGTCAAGATAGACGGGAGGATAGTGTTTTGTTGCTTGTGTCTCATGCACAATGCCGCTCTGGCCCGGTCGAAGTATACGTCTTGATGACTGTATAATTATGAGTGACAATGTCTTGTGGCTTCCGTTTGTCTGACCTCAAAACGGGTGTTGTGCACCTCTTGTAACCCAGCCTATGCAATGACCATGGAAACGTGTTGTCCACTGCTTGGGGGCCAGATCTGTGGGCCAATGGAACATGTAGTGCTTGCTTACCTACCTTGTATATCTTATTCAGCTGCCACTGGGAGTGCTACTGCTGAGGCCACGTTTCGCTTCAAAGTGCAAGAGCGATTCTCTGGTAAACAGAGTCCAAGAAATAGATTGTGCCAGAATCGCGGGACGACGGTGATGTGGTCGATGCAATTGTGAAAAGGACGTCAAAAATGCTACTATAATTATTCTATGCAGCGTGTCAACTGAGGTGACGGCGGTCCGGATCTAAGCGAAGCCAGCTAATCACGAAGCAGTGGAGGAATGCCATGTCTCAGATCGGAAGATAAAGCTACTATGCAATAATACATCTACAATGTATCTGTACCAGTACAATCTTGTACGTCGTCAGGCTGACGGGACAGGGCAGAAGTTGATGTGAGGCTTATGATTTGGACGTTTCAATCATCTTCGTCTTTCATCTATCGTAAGCAAAGGAGCGCGCAGTGCAGCACAGCATCGATTTCTCGAGCCAAAGACTTTCTGCGCAAAGCAAAGCTGCGCCCTAACTCGATTGCCTTCCTCTAGTTGTGAAGGCTTACAACTTTTGCATGGCCACGACATCAGTGGACTGGACATGGTCCTCGTCCTCCTCGATCTTTTGCTGCAACTCATCGAGGGAAACCTTCTCGTCCTCAACAACCAAGTTGATCTGAAGCTTCTTGATACCAAAGCCAACCGGCACCAACTTGTGAGCACCCCAGACAAGACCATCCATCTCGATGGCCAAAACGTTCTGCACCAACTCGTCCATATTGGTCTCGTCATCCCACGGCTTGACATCGAGGGTGACAATGGATTTGGCGGCGGGCTTGGCCTTGCCCTCCTTCTTCTTGCGGTACTCGGCCAATCTCTTCTCACGCTCGGCCACGACTTCTGGGTCTTCCTCCTCTGACTCGGAGCCGAACAGGTCGACATCATCATCTTCGGCCTCGGGGGCATCCTTGGGGTTCTGGGTCACGGCAACTGCCTCAGGTCCGTAGGTGGTGAATGGCTTGGATGGGTCGCCAGGCAGCGTGGAGAAGTCGGCTTCGTATGACTTGATGTGGTTGTACCAGCGGTAGGCGTGGGGGTACTTCTCAACGGCGGGGGCCTTGTCCAAAGCCTTGAAGGAGACAACATCGGCCTGAGTTGGCTGGAAGCTGTAGACGGACTGTCAGCGACCGTGTTCATTAAAACAAAACTTTATGGCGCATCATGGTTTGCTCAACAAGAAATCAGAGGTGCAAATGCTTGCGATTGGAAGTAGTCATTTTGCGGTGTCTTAAGCCGCATCATCAACACGGACCAATTTGGTCTCATCATAGGAGGAGTGAAGCAAAACAGGGACCACTGAGGAGGACAACATACCCAGAGATGTATGAGCGAGTTCGGAGCCAGTTGTTGAGCACTATGGCGGTGTCAGTTGGTGCCGTACGAGGAGTTGCGATCAGGACAAGGACACCTACACGTAAGGCCGCTGTCGGAGACAAAGTCGGTGAAACCCATCTTGACTCTGGAAAGTGTACTGAAGTCGGTGTTTTAGCGAATTTAAACGGTTCTGAGCAGGGTTGTGGTAGGTGAAAAGGCTGGTGTTGTCCAAGTCGTTTTGCCAGCGAGGCCCAAAAGCAAAAAAAGATGAAGATGCATCCCGCCGCCAAGCCTGCCCATTTCTATGCGACGCCCTTTCCAGACGTGAATCACGCTGCTTTAACAGTACTCACTGTCACATCATGGCACAACAAATTACATTACAGTGTATACATTGTCATTGTCCACAAGCTGGCTGGCGAGTTGACGTGCTCATGGCTGTGAATCCAAGTTGTATTTGAGGCTGCTTGGTAAAGGATTTAAAGATGCGTAATCGCCGTGCCTGGCTTCGAGAAGCAATCTTTTGCTAGGGATATGAGTTGTACCCGGCCATATCACCCCCTTCAAAAAGACGGTCGCTCTCATCGCCGGCAAGGCTGCGGAAGGACAAGGTGGCAATTGATTGGCCGCAAGGCTCCACCATAAAGCGGCACTCCACCAACTTGATCCGACCATTCCGGATTCGGCGACCGTCGCATGAGATCATTCGACGAGTCTCGAGAGTTCCAGAAAGCGAGAGGCTGCGGATGTCGCCCGGATGAGCAGATTGATTCCAGCCAACATAAGTTGTAACTATCCTCCTTCTTCCGTTTCCTTGGGGCCATCATGCATATACACCTAATAGAACACCGATAATACCAGTAAAACAAGCGCAGAGCGCTACAACACCCAACATGAATGCAGCAAAGTCGACGCTCGTTCGACGAGCCTTTTCAACACGCTCATTTACAACCCCTGTACGACGTACCACATTCACTCCTTTACTACATAATGCAGCGCGGTCTGCTGCCGTTACGAGATCAGTGCTACCTGCCATTTCCGCGGTACGGACATATGCCAGCGGAAGACCACATCCGCCGGGTGGCACACACCGAATGGATATGGGAGGAGGGGAGCAGAAACCAGCATTGGAAGAGTACGGTGTGGATTTGACCGCTCGAGCCAAGGCTGGCAAGCTTGATCCTGTCATCGGAAGAGATGGAGAGATACACCGGACGATCCAGATTCTCTCCCGAAGAACGAAGAACAACCCAGTCCTGATAGGTTCTGCCGGTACAGGCAAAACCGCCATCCTGGAAGGTCTTGCACAGAGAATAGTAAGAGGCGATGTGCCCGAGAGCATCAAGAACAAAAGAGTCATCTCATTGGACCTGGGCCAACTCATTGCCGGAGCCAAGTTCAGAGGTGACTTCGAGGAGAGACTTAAACGGGTACTGAAAGAAGTGCAAGATGCTCAAGGTGGGGTTATTCTTTTCATCGATGAATTGCATACCTTGCTTGGTCTTGGGAAGGCAGAAGGCTCCATTGATGCCAGCAACCTCCTGAAGCCGGCTCTATCCCGGGGCGAGCTACAATGCTGTGGTGCAACCACTCTCAACGAGTACCGCCAGATCGAGAAGGATGTCGCTCTTGCGCGTCGATTCCAGCCTATCATAGTCGGCGAGCCATCTGTTCAAGACACTATTTCCATCCTCCGAGGCATCAAAGACAGGTATGAGGTCCATCACGGTGTCCGAATCACTGATGGAGCTCTCGTCGCCGCCGCTACTTACAGCAACCGCTACATTACGGATCGTTTCTTGCCAGACAAGGCCATTGACCTGGTCGACGAGGCTGCTTCTGCCTTGCGCCTGCAACAGGAATCGAAGCCTGACTCGATCCAGAAACTCGACCGGGAGATCATGACCATACAGATTGAGCTCGAATCCTTGCGCAAGGAGACCGACGTGGCGTCCAAGGAGCGTCGGCAGAAGCTCGAGGAAACGCTCAAAGAGAAGAAGAAAGAGGTGGACCGGTTGACCGAGATCTGGAACCGCGAGAAAGCCGAGATCGAAGCCATCAAGAAGACCAAAGAAGACTTGGAGAAGGCCCGGCATGAATTGGAGCAAGCCAGACGGGAGGGCAACTTCGCCCGTGCAGGAGAACTGCAGTACGCTGTCATCCCCAAGCTCGAATCTCAATTGCCAAAGGAGGGTGAGGAGGTTGCCACAACCACGAAAGACGGAGAGACGTTAATCCACGACGCCGTCACCGCCGACGACATTGCCAATGTCGTCAGCCGCACCACCGGCATCCCCGTCAACAAGCTTATGGCGGGCGAAGTCGAGAAACTGATCAAGATGGAAGACAAACTTCGCGAACACGTTCGGGGCCAAGATGAGGCGTTGGCAGCAGTAGCCAACGCCGTGCGCATGCAGCGGGCCGGTCTCAGCGGTGAGAACCGTCCAATGGGCAGTTTCATGTTCCTCGGACCGACGGGTGTGGGCAAGACAGAACTATGCAAACAGCTTGCCAACTTCCTGTTCAGCACCGAGACCGCCGTCGTGAGATTCGACATGTCCGAGTTCCAGGAGAAACACACGGTTTCGCGATTGATCGGCGCCACTGCCGGCTACGTCGGTTACGAAGACGCAGGTCAGCTGACTGAAGCCGTGCGCCGCAAGCCTTATGCCGTTTTGCTATTTGACGAGTTTGAAAAGGCACACCGCGACATTTCAAGTTTGTTGCTGCAGGTTCTGGACGAGGGCTTCTTGACCGACAGCCAGGGTCACAAGGTTGATTTCCGCAACACGCTGATCGTGCTCACCAGCAACTTGGGCGCTGATGTGCTGATGGTCGGTGGCGATTCCGAGAACGTGACTCCGGAACAAAAGAAGGCCGTCATGGAGATCGTCCAGGCCAGCTATCCGCCCGAATTCCTCAACAGAATCGACGAGTTCATCATCTTCAACAAGTTGTCCAGATCTGCTCTAAGAGACATTGTCGACATTCGAATCAAGGAGCTTCAGGGAAGACTCGACGACCGCAGAATCAAGCTCGAAATGTCCAACGATGTCAAGGATTGGCTGTGCGAAAAGGGCTATGATCCAAAGTACGGTGCTAGACCTCTCAACCGACTCATCCAGCATGAGATCGGCAGGAGGTTGGCCGACAAGATCATCCGCGGCGAGCTTAGGAACGGTGACAAGGCCACTGTTGTCGTGGCCGATAACAAGGAGGCTTTGGAATTGCAAATCAGCAAACCTGGCTCCGAGTAAAATTGGACACGACGACGCTCCTTTTCCCTGTCAATCAAGCAACATGAGCACACCACCACCGCGCCCGGAGGACACTGACTCGCTCGCCTCCCCAGGTGAGGCCGGTTGAGGTGGTTTTTACAGTCGATGACCACCTACAACAACAAAACAGATAAACTCCCACTCCACGAACAGTCAAGTCCTCTCCAATGTGACGAGTCAGACTTCACATCAGCTACCCCACATGCCTGAGCGTGTCGAATCTACCCATATCTTCAAACAAGATGAGCATCCTCTTCTCTTTGCCAGGTACCATCACCGCCCCCATCCTGGCATTTTGTGTACGATGTTATGAATGAACAAAGGAAAACCATACAAGTGCATATTGTACGGTACATACCATCTTTGGCATGGATGGCATTCACGGAGTTCTGGTCTACTATTGGCATCCATTAGCAAGGGTTTTTGGGATCAATGCCATATGAAGTTATCAGTCAAAGTGAAGAAAGAAAAGGAGAGATGGTTTTCAGCATTTGTGTTATTCCGAATGGCATCCGAGAATTCTGATACCCCTCTCAATTCAATTCATCCTCTTCAAACAAATCGTTTGTCCATACCTACTAGTAACAAATAATATTCATGTACAACAGTGTCTGCAGTATCTCTCTTGGTCTATGCGTTCCACTGAACACAGTCCATTTTTCCTGCTCATGTAATAGCCTGTAAAGAAGGTGATAGAATACCAAACTATTTCCATCCCATCGCCACACCTTCCTATTATTGGCACCAGAATCAGTATAAACCAATTAACCCAATATTACTATACCGACATTTCCGGTCCGTTTCTCTGTAGGACGCAATTCCAGCAATGATCAACTCCAACGACTGTTTCTACAAGATCCATTTTGGTATCTACCAAAACTCCACTTTTTCTTCTGCTGCTCCTTCTGCTTTTGCTTCTGTATTTTCTTTTTTCCCTTCAAGTCTCCAAGCTTGACGATGCGCTTCCCTTTCTTGAAGTAGTTGACAATTCTCTCTGATTGTGCAAGCAATGGCCCATTCTGATCTGTCCTCGTCTGTCTCTTGCTGTCGCTGGAGCAATGTCTGGAGCACGGGTTCAGAACGAAGCCAGGGTACGTCGACGAGCAAGTGGCGGGATATGTGTTGGATCTGTGTTAGCCGGTAAGCGACGACAGGATGCATAGTCCACCTGTTTCGGTCAACGCACGGGTTATTTGTCTTTAAACCTTTTTTGCGGGAGAATCGCCACGGAACATCCACATGAGCGCTATGGCCGTCGCGATCCAAGGATCAATAGCTTCAGATGATAAAGACCCCTGTACATTTCTGAAATTGATCGGAAAGAATCAACCAGCACATCCTTGTCGAGAACTCGTCCGTGTCTGGAAATATATCTCGTCCGAGGAAGATGCGGCATTGACGTACATGTCTGTGCCGCGTGCGCAGCAAGGTGATGGCTTGACAAGTCCGCATAAGAAGGTGAGCTCTTTTGGTGCGGTCTGATGGGAAATTCCGGCCAAATGGCTGGTCAGATCCGAAATTCGTATACGTGCCTCAAGCCGGTTGAGGTGTGCATGACAGCTGAGGGGCGTTCTGTACGTAAAACGCGCAGATTCCTGCCAATACCATACCAGGAGCTGCTGGTCCGCGCTGAACGCTCTGACTGCGCCCAAATGAAGTTCTCTCATTCTTTTTCGACGATTCGATGTTCAGACCCAAATGAAAAGTCAGGAGAACAGGGCGCTCTTTGACAATGCAACCCCAGCATGGACGGGCTCTTCGATTTGGCGCCAATCCCGGGGAAAATCCGTCCCGATTAAGCGTACGCGATGCTCATTGTCCTGCGACGAACCTCTGTTCCAACGCCGGGAGCCTGGCGAACAAATTCGTCCCAAATGGACGCAAGGCTTTTCCAGATCCGCATCGCCTTCCCTGAGGCAACGCCACAGAGAATTGCTAGACAAAAGCAATAAACATGGTCTCCAATAGCTGAAAATGGAACCGATAAAGACGGTGTAAGAGTTAGGTGAACAAATATTATCTGAAAAGTGGCCAGCGCCTTCATCAAACAGAGAGTGTGGTGGTTGAGGTGTGGGACGGCTCACACAAACATGTCCGATGTCTGAAACATGTCCGATGTCTGCGGTTGGTCTCTGGTACAGAAGAATGCCCGTGACCTCAAGCTGGCCAGATATTCTCCTCGTACCTGAGATCACCCGTGGCCAGGCTCCCCAGATTGCCTCGTGATAACAAGATTTGTTCGAGTGCCGTAGACTTTTGCTGGGGGGG